ATATCGTCCACATCGCGACCGCTCATGCGCAACTCTTTCCTATTTTCATATCAATCACTAACCAATGCCGAATGGTGACAGCCACTGCCTCTGCGCAGACTCTTGAAAAATTTAATTGTTATGGTGAGCCTGCTGAACCCGACCTTCGAGTCCTTTGCGTTCTCTTCCGATGTGGCAACGAGCACGACGTACCATATCCTAATTAGGTTCAGATCGTGGCCCCAGCATGGAGCCCCCCTTTCCACGGCTCTTCCCATCTCGTTTTGTTTCCGATTTCATGGCTACGTTGCAATTTACCTATCTGTTCAAATCAGCCTCGCCCCAACACAAGAGGCTGAGCTACTAATTACTTGTTTGTAACTCAGGGGCCGCCATTATTGCGATCGAAACAAGCCTGGGAGTAATTTTGTCCTGCTCACCCGCGCCCAGCATCCAGCGTCTCGGAACGACAGTATTGAAAACCACGCTACAGGCAACCCGCCATTACGCCCGAAGATGTGCCGTTTTGCCGTTCAAAGAGTACTCGGTTGTTTTCTTTCCTTTTACTTCTTCAGGTGTATCGGATGTCGGCCCTTAGCGCTCGACACGCCAGGATGCAAACTACAAAGATTAAGCCAACCAACCTCCCAAGATAAGCTTCCTTCCATGTACCCTTCAATCCTTCGCAACCTTAATCATAGCACGGAGCATCTGGACCGCGACTGTTTGGGACATGGATACAGCGCCAAAACCGTTTGGCAATTCCTCTCGGCCAAGCCCCGTCGAAGCTAACCGCATCTCCACCAAATGACACGGTCGGGAGCTTGTTAACCGCCGTTAGCCTTATGACTTGTCAAAATGGGTTGTACCCTATCCAGAATAGGTTTAGAGTCTTTTAATTTCTTATGACCAAGAGCATCACCATTTCCCGTTTTGGACTAGCTCAGCTTAACTGGGATTAGGTGGTTTATTAGCTTGACTTAACCTATTTAAGTAAGAGGTAGTTACCAGAACTATACATGTACATTTTCCCAATCGAGTTAGCTGCGCGAGCATTCACTGTCTCCACTCATCCCCATCTTGGTTGCATACCCAGCATTCTCCGGCCAATGGCCGATGACCGGTTATGAGGTTATCATGCCTCTTCCCCCTCATCATCTCCTCCTCTGTTGTCTAAGTATGTATCTCAGTCATTTCTGTTTGTTCCCCCTATGAGGTCCACGTGGTCGTAAAGTAGCCACGGTATGAAAATGGTGGGACAAGATGCCCCGTTCGGCTCAAGATCCACTCCCTGGCACTCCAGACATCTGGCCGCCAGCGTACGGATACGGCTTGGATGGGATACCTGTACAGCCGTGCTCGTTTCGACTGTAGTTTGTATCTCAGCTTTATTTCTGATTTATTTTTACCTCACGGTTCACGATGGGTCCTTCCCGTGCTTTTACGACCCAGCCAAGCATTGTTTCGAGACGGGTGGTTGATCTGCATACGAGTGGGCCAATGGGGACACGATGATCGTCTTTGGATGCTAGGTAATTGCTCTTTGTTGTGTGCTGCGAGAGAAAAAAAAGTGACGACGGATGATGGGACCCGGGATTTTGGGTAATGCGCCATGCATACCGCATACAGACTGCTCATTGTGTGTAGGTGGATTACGGACCCTCCTTCTTCTCTGCAGATTATTCTTATGATTCTGACAGTGCTTTTGACTGTTGGGGCGGTGTTGGCACGGGATGGCGGCCATGCATGCTCAGGAAGTAACTGTGTTCTATACTTATCCACTCGATCAAGTGCAGTCCAAGCCCAAAGTCCGTAAACACCGAAGGATGTATTGAGTGCAGTACTCAGTCTTCCAACACCTATGATATGGAATAAACAAGTAGTGGTCAGCGCGGGACAAAATATCTAAAAGGTTATTTGATGTGAAAGAAAATTTATCAAGAAGAGGCAGGAGACTGAATTCCCTCTCAAGGCGTCGTTAGCTCTGATCCCTATGATGAAATACCTGTTGGGCGGGTAGGACTAGGCTTCTGGGGAACAACATGCTCTCCACAAATCCTCCCGCACAGATCAGACGGTGGAAACATATTTAACTTTCTGCTTGAGTAGAAACAGAAAAAGAACAAATTTAAGGGGGAAATGAATCCAGGCGACACCTCGATAGTGTCTAGGATTGCTCTCTTCAGCTGCAAGGCACCACCAGGCAACCCGTGTCTTAGCCTAATAACTAAAGCGACCGGTGCCTTTTATCAAACGACCAACAATCATTCGCCTCACCATTCAAAATCACCGAACTTGGCAGGACACGCGAGATGACATCAGGCCCTAGGTCGTACCTTGTACGGAGTAACTATTCCCAAAATTTGCGGTCGATGGGAGGTAGGAGAAGGCTCGGGAGGCCGCAGCCATTGCAGTAGTTTATAGTGTAGTGGCATATCGAGTTAGTATCGCGATGTAAAAATATCCCACATGGCGGCCATGGTCGTGGGTGATGGCTTCCTGCATTTCCTAAGCTGCAAGGGGGTGCAGTGTTGGGAAACATGTTGGTGTTTCAGAGTAGCAGATACTCCACGGTCGATCAGGCCATGTGGTTGTCAGGATGGCAAGGCAGACTCGGTAGGTGCAATCTGCCCTGTGAGGAATCTGAGCACCCCCCGAGATCCGTCCAGAGTGCACATCACTTGCTTTCAATTGGCTGGCTCGGCTGGTGATCTCATAGCCTTGAAGGGGGGTATCAGGGCTTCGATCGATCGTCTTTCAGAGAGTATCACTACATACTCTTTGCTGGGTTGTCCAGAGGATGGGTACTGGACAGCAGAATTTCCAATGAACTACACCTGAAATGACCATGCTAAAATGCTACTCCAGCCCAGTTTCCCTTGAGCTGTTCATTTCTATCTTTTCTTTCCATAATATATCTGAGGAGGTCGCGCGCTATACCCAGTACGCTGCTCTCGGTAGGTGGTGTTATGAGCGTCTTGCCGACGGCCGAAGGTCCGAGCTACCCTTGTAACTTGATGATTTACTGATCCCCAGCATTCTATGAGCCCTTAATTGTCGCATATGTGACATGGGAATTTCAATTTCCCTGGAGTAGTGGCGGGTGGTACGAAGGATTGATATCCCTGTATGAGCCATGTGGTCGAAGGATCAGGCATGGTACATATTGTTACGTTACAGATCACTAAATAGTTCATGCACTGCCCGAATGAGCAAAATTAGCACAGAGAACTGCGCTAATCTAGCAAGGGGGAAGTCTAAAGCACAACGAACCAGGGGGTTAGCCGCTAATTTACCTAATCCGGCTACAGTAATCCCCAGTACGAGCACTAAAAGAGAAGGGGATCATACTGTAGGTTAGGGGGCCACACTACTGCAGCTTCCATGCTAGGTGCTGCAGGCTTCATGCCAGGCTAGCACTATCTGGGTAAAGACAGAGGAGTTGCGACAGGGCCAATGATCCTGGACCGCTTGTTTCAAATTGCTTACTCCGTACACGTGGACTTCCTGCGGTATGTGGTCATCTGAGAGGTACAGTACATTCTCTCCAGAAGTTAATCAAGAGGCTTTCTGGCTAGCTCTTTAAGCCCCGACCGGGCAATCGAAGAAGCAATATCGCAGATATCTTGAGACACAAATTCCTCTACTTCGTCATTCATTCGCCCCCAAAGGCAGAACTTATTGCCAGACCGGAAAATTGTGTGCCAACCCTTATCATCCTCCATAACTGGTTGTCCTGGTTTAAGCCCGTAAGATCGAGCGATTATTTGACCTTCGGAGTCGTCGCCCATCCACTCTTCCTGATGTTTAGGACTTGACGGATTCGAGGTCCAGCCAGGGGGAACTGTAAACTGGTAATCCTTGGCGATATAGCTAAAGCCAAGAGGGAGTTAGACTATACTTACTAGAGGTAGAGTGGAGGCTTCCGTAGGTGACTTGATAGGCAAGACCGCCACCGAAGGTGGGGTAGAGTCTCTGAAGGGAGGCATTATCGCAATAGTGGACAGTTTCGGGATTTCAGGATTTCGTTTGTCAGGATTGTGAGTTGGTGAAGGGATAACTTGGACCAAGAGCAGGTCTGCTGTAGTCATTGGTAGTTTCCGCCGATTCGCACCGCGTATCACTTGCGGCCACTAGAAGCCAATTTTTGAAGGCACAAACAAGGCAGAAACCTAAAATTGACCAGTCGGACTCCATAATGAAGGATTTCTGCTTGGTGGAGGCAATCGGCCCGCCCATATACGTGCATGAATACAAAAAAATAACAAACAAGGCTATTATAGCCAACTCTCTAAAGCATTAATCAAACCCATCAGCCTCAGCACTTGCATCACTTGCATCAACGTGAACTTCTATTGCGGGAAGGTGAAATTGTGCCAATCCATATTGAGCTGTGGCCTCATGGCATGATCTGGGAAGCTGGAGAGCAAATAAAGGTGTCAGTCGCTGGGCATAACTTACGCCCTGAGATTAGATCAGAGGTCGGACTACCACAGACACTGAACAGAGGCAAGATTGCAATTTATACTGGAGGTCGGTATGATAGCCACCTATTGGTGCCATTCATTCCTTAGTTGAGATCAGTCGCTGTTTTCTCTTCCCGTGTTATTGCAATACGATTGTTATTTGTTACGACAACTTACGTTGCACTCTCCAGTCATCTTGTATTCTTAGTCTAAAAATAGTATTGATTGGGCGCAGCCCTAACACCAGACAGTTTCATATATTTCCGCCAACTTCTCTACTTTAACTGCGCCCTGGAGCCTTATTTACGTTAAGGAAGTCTCTCGGCATCAATGACAAAGGGGTTGACTAGGGTAGTCGGGTGTCGTGCTGGATTTTCCAGTTAAACAAATATTCAAGTCCAATTGGCGGAGGTTTGCGTGTATCAGATGTTGATTAGAATTAGAAGGAAAATTAAGGTACCATTGTCATTGAAATTCCTTGACGAAGAGATCCTCCCTCTGGTCATTGAAGGTCCCCCACACGATCACATTATCGTCATCACAATACGCCTCAATCTAGACAGTGACCGAGCCAACTTTCCAGCTCTCCATTCTGCCTCGCAGTTTCTTTCCAAAGATGTTGAATGGAATACCAAGCAGTGCCATGGCACCCAAAAGTCCGGAATATGTTCCAAAGCATCCCAGGAAACCATTACGGTCAACGAAGCTGACAGCACTGTACGAAATGCCAAACCCAACTATGTTTCGAAGTGCTCCGACAACGATAACAAGGGCACTATAGTATATGTTGGCAATGGGTATTCAACTTTAGTAGACTACTTACCTTGCGAGGCCTCGGTAGCATTCAATCGTGTATGTGGTGGCGACGACATTTGCGGAGACGAATCCGAACTGCTGTAGTCCAAAAGCTATCATTGGGACTATCCAGTGATATCGATACGGATCATTGCAGGCAATTCCAAATAACAACGATCCCACAAACCCTGTCAATATAGGGAGGATCATATTTAGCAGCTGATGTTCAGGCTATTCAGTGAGATAGCATTTTATCTTAGGCTTTTCAATTTGAGTAAATGAAGTCACCTCATGAATTCCATTATTGCGTTTTGCTTTCCAGCGGATGATGATATCGGCGCCAATGCCTGAGATCAGGACTGAAAGAATACCCGCAACCGCAAGAGGGATACCCATTAGCCCAACGTTAGACTCTTTCCAGTCATAAGGAGGGGCAACAAGCACGACACCAAAAACAAGTCCGGTTGAAAGACTGGCCCCGATGAAGACAGCGTTCAAGCAAACCACCTGCCTTGGTCAGTACTTGAGAGCAAAATATCGGGTAAGATACATACCCAAATAGCATTTGGTAAGCACACACAGCGTAACAGATCAACTGCAGCCGTCATAACTGCTTTTAAACTGCCATGTTCAGATATGAGTCTTAAAGAATAGAGATACGAGTACGATCGGTTCGATGGCCGTACGGCATCGGCGTATCCATCGACCCCGACTGGAGCAGTGCCTCCTGCAAAGACTTTAGTCCTCTTGATAAAGCAAAATGAACGGTGGGCTTTCTCACGTATGCTGCCATCTGTACGCGGCCATGTCGTCTCCGGGATGAAACACAGAACCATGATGAAGCTGACGGCTGCTGCAATACCAAGAATCCAGTAAAACCACTTCCATGAAAGTGCAGCTACAATATTAGTAGATGCAATTACCAATAGCTGCGCCGAAGATCCCCTAGGAAGACATTAGTTTGGGATTGTGTCTTATGGCTCAACAAATTCCTTACCCCGGAAGCCCACATGGCCGCAATCCGCGAGTTTCGCTCATGAACGTAATGAAGGTCGCGAAGTATAGGCGGTACCAACGATTCCACGCTACCAACACCAAGACCCATAATGCAGCGCGCCGCAATGTGTGAATACAGACTTCGAGCGGCCCCATGGGAAGCCGCACACCAAACGCAGAATCTAACACCATGACGAACCTGGTTCCTGTACACTGTGCGAGAAGTACGGATAGAATTCCACACACGCCCACGAAGAGGGATGGCAGGGTACCGAGCTGGCTGCTTGTTTGATAGCTTGGTGCACCTGGAATAGCTGGAACTGGACTTGCTGTCATGGCCCGGGCATGAACAGCACTATTTGAACTTTGGGCAGAGTCAAGCCCCATATAGTATGTCGCCATAACAGGGAGAATGCCCGCTATTGCCTGGATGGCGCCGAGACCAATCCCCGCATCTAGATCCTCATCAACAGGGTGCTCAGCTAGTTTTGGAAAATTCACTCACATAGACAGACAGTCATTAAGCACATGAATTTCCTCCATTTTGGAAGTTGGAGTGGATCTGGGCCTCGTCAGGAGCGTTCTTTGAAAGAAAGAGCGGGGTACAGACCATTGGGATCTCGAGAAGGTACTGGGACCAGTCTGATTTCTCCGGCCTCGTCAATCAGTTGGAATGTACTTATTGGGTCTCCATTCTTTACGACTTCCTTCGATGCATCTTCAGTGCATTCGGCATCAATATCATCGACGGAAGATTTGGTGCGCATATCGCTGACTGGGCAAACGGAAATTCCAATACTGGAGTAAATCCCAGAAAGCTCAACTTAGCTCTGGTCCACTGCGCGGGAAGTTATATTTCTGGGGTCATATAGCTTTGTTCGGTAATAGCTTCCTAAGTGCCGATGGCTGGGGTGTCCGCGGGGACAATCTGGGGTAAGGAAGTTACAGTGGTGTTCCATAAGTTTGCAACACCCGAAAAAGTTCAAACCCATCTCATCAGCTATACTTTGAAAGACAAGTTGAAACACAATGCCGGGAATATCTAGAAAGAGGGTTCAAAAGACATTCAGAAAGATCTGTTAAAAACATAAAATCGTGGCATATTTTGACGGCCTGTTTTCTTGGTCCCTGGTTTCAGACTTTTGAACTGCCACTGTACATAGTTTGTAACATACGAAGGAAATATGGAGATAGCAAACTGCGATTAGGAAGGGAGAGGGGATCCGCGGAAGGACGAGGCTCTACGCTGGTCAAGCTTATCGCGCGAGAACGAGACGTGCTATGGAAAAGGGCCTTGGAAATGATTATCCACGCAACACTCACAGATGCCCATCCGAGGAAACCCCACCACTGGGCAATATCCAAGCTTGCTATCAACGCTCTTATCAACAGAAAAATTAATTAAGTGAGGAAAAATTGCTCTGTCCAAGAATGAGAAAATCGGATTGCCAGTTTCACGAAGCATGTCTCCGTTCAGAGTGATAATCATCGGCGCTGGGCTAGCTGGAAGCCTGCTAGCCAATGGGCTCATATTACATGGCGTCGATTGTGTAGTTTACAAGCGTGATAGCGGAAGCCATCCAACCGAAACTAGCGAGTAAAGTGCCATGTACTCTGCCAAAAACCACGAAGGGTACCAGATCCGGCTGGGTGCCAGTGCCTTCGTCGGCTTCAAGGCGCGTCTCACTGAGCAACAGCTTGAAGAATTGATCAAATTATTTGGTCGATCAGGTGGTCGCATTTCGTCTGCCCCTGTTTTGTACAATTCAAAATTCGACACTGGACTACAAGAGCTCACTAAATATCCCGCATATACCAAGTCTGCTCCTATAAACCGAGTGGTATTGCGAAACTTTCTTCAAGGCAAGTCACAGATGAGGCACAGATGTTGTCGGAGGGACCAATTCATTAATTCTATGAGCAAAACCCATTCGATCTGCTGGAAAACTACGTTATAAGAAGTATTTCTCCCGATATGAGATTATCAAAGGCTCCAGTGCGGGTGGAAGCAAAATACGTGTGCATTTCCGTGATGGATCATCAGACGAAGGCGACATAGTTATTTCAGCCGAAGGCTCCGGTTCTAAGGTAATGCTCCCTTCTTGGCGTATTTCTCTTTTATATCTCATGGATGTGTCTCAGATCAATGTGCAAGTTGGACTAGAAAATATCTACCAGCTAACGAAAACGGTTGGGTTCCTTGCAAAAGGCCATCTAAGCGCCAAAAAACTAAGAACCCTTCCTCCAGAGGCCACTTATGGTCCAATAACCTGTATCAAAAACAACATGGTGTTGTTCTTCAGTGGTGGGTATGGCTTCCACAGAGTAATTGGGCGACGACTGACAAACTTCAGCATATCTTCCGCCTGCAAAGCCTGATGCGGATGGCAACACGAGACAGGAATATGACGAGGATGCTGGCTCTCTTTTCTGGGCTCTGAATGTGCCGTCGACCTATCTGCCGGAAGGAGGCCTGGAATCGATCAGAGATAGAACGAACTTTTGCTTGGAAGGAATAGCCAACTGGAGTCCCAGATAGTCAGTCACTCGCTTGCGTTGCGCCTTTCTCCATCTACCATTCGACCTGCTAATCCCTCTCAGCCATGATCTGCTGAGAAGTGTTGATGACAAGGATGTTTATGCGTTCCAACCCTACGCCAGTAAAAAGGCCTCCCAAAAATTGGCGCGCGAAGGTGACTACCACCGATATGGCGGAGAAAGGCCATCCTCGAGTCTGGCTAATCGGCGATGCTATTCATCCAATGCTTCCAGGGCGGTAGGTTACTTTTTTTGAAACTAGAATGATGAGTGTGTGGCTAATTGCTATCACAGAGGAATGTGGCAATCAGGCTATGAGAGACGCAGTAGATATGCTCAAGTAACTTCTACCACTCGCCCAATTGGCAAGTTCCGGAGGACCCGTGGAAGACGTGGATGTTCAAAGGGCTGTACAGGCATACGAAGATGATATGATACCACGTGCATTTGACTGGGTGCAAAAGAGCGGAGGGCTAGGGAGAAAGGTGGGTATTCCTAACTACTCCTCCGTGGCAGTCCGGTGGATGTATAACAAGATGCCTTTTAGTTCGCCGATCCAGAGAGTCTACAGGGACGTATCACATTGTTCATTCTTGGAATAGTCTTGCGGGTCATGTACTTTTCGACGGTCTTCAAGAGATGGCTTTTGCGGGACTCGGTGATAGACGATGCACCAGAATTACCCGAGTATTCAATCGATACGTATTCTCCGATGCCTATCGACCTACTTCATATTCGCCTATGGTGGCAGGTGGAGGGCAAGAAAAGAGGGTTCCAATTGTTTGATTATTGGAAGCTTTCCGAACAGAAAGAAAGGAACTGTCGGTCATGGTCAAGGCTATAGTGTCGGATTCCCTTCCATCTTTATAGAAATCACAATTCACCATTTCCTTTTTTCGCATCCTGCGACGGCCTCAGCCGCGCCATACACATACATCCAACAATCCCAATCAAAGATCCCACACCAGCACCCCCAACAACTCCCCTCCAACTTCCTGGTGCAGGCCCAGCTAAACCCCGCGACGCAACAACCAGCACTCCAAGCGCTGCCGCGGGTTCCCCCCAGTTATCAACCGCCACCTGGCCGGTGTTATAACGTAGTCGCCAACTGCGATCCTTCCACTCGATCTCTTCCCGTCCCCACATCCGGCCGATGAGGCCAAGACTCGCTATTCCAGCCCCGATCATGCCCCCCGTCCCCGCTGAGCGAAGAAAGAAGGGCGCGGTGATCGAGCGGCGTTTGACGAGGTATGCGGCGCCGCAGTTTAGGAGGCCGATTGCGCTGCCGAGTTGAAACCCCCGGCTGAGGACGTGAGTTGCGAGAATGGTTCGCGCTAGCGGTTGGTCGTCTGCATATTCGGATGTTGGGAAGAAGTACGACATTATGTTCTAGGATATTGAGGACTGCAGACTGGAGATAGCTAGGTTGGAGGAGGAGGCTGGTCCTAGCAGGTGTTAATGGTGAATGGCATTTCTCGTGTTTAGGATGTTCTCGTGGGGGCGAGACTGGTTCTGATGATTCATGAAGAAGGAGGAGCGGGGGAATTCCGACGGGAACGATTCCAAGTCACGGGAATAGCCTCGAAGGGGGCCAGCATCCTGGTTCAAGGAGGCGTCCAATGATATGATCGAGCTGACTCTTTACTTCTTCAATAGCGATTGGCTACAGCATGCTTTCGGGAGATAACAGGGGGTGAATCAACAGGGGAACCGACCGTATCTGTGCGTTAGAAGCTCAGAGATGCAGATTACAGTAAGCTTTCGCGTGAAGGTGAAGGTGAAGGTTATCATCAGCGTCAATTTCAAGGGACAATTCGATAACCTATCATCGGCTCGGTCGAGAACGGGGATATTCGGATTAGTGAAGAAAGTTAGACACCTTTTTGGGAGTCAGGCTTCTTCAGATAGGAGCATATCGAATACGGAACAAAGGTGGTAGGCATACAGTGGTGTTCCATACGTCTTCGTCCACCTGGTGATGACATAATATTCTGCCGGTCAAATAATCTTACTGCTTTCTGCATTACTTACCCAAATTTCATGATTCCAAGGAGATAGATAGAGACCAAAGCTAGAATTTGAATGAATTTCATCATAAACAAAACTAAAGTCTCTTTTATAAAAAGTTACAGACTAGTCAAGCTTACACTGAAAGCGGAAGACGAGGCGGTAGGACGAGGGTGGATGAAGACTTATGGAACACCACTGTATATCAATCACTCTTTAAGCATTCTGTACGGATGATCTACAACAGTCCATATTCACATGCATATCCATTCTCGCATTAGGTACAAGCTAAATCCACCTTAAGTCCACAAGGAGCATCATTTGAATCAAGAATACCAGGATCTCCTCCAGGCCAAGCGAAAGGTCCGAGAAAAAAACAGGCTGTTTAGGGTAAGAAAGGATGGGAGCCAAAGAAAAAGGTTCAAGGAAAAGATAGTTCGTGTGATAGACAGGAGGGGCTGATCGACTCATGAACAATGGGTAGGCACAAGAGCATCGATGGAATCAAAGAGAGCCGAAATCAAAAAACGCCTTTTCGGATACAGGATAATCCTCGCTAGCACAGTCCGCACAACCCAACCGAGAGGTAAACTCTGAACGAGCAGGAATAGTCGGCTTTGCAGTGGCGGGTAGCGGAATGGTTGTCTTCCGGAATACGAGGGGCATTTTCTGCAGCGGGTTATGAGACAAGCGCTTTGTTCTCACCCGATGCAGGTGCCTGAAAACGTACATCCAGAGGCCAGTGAGGAACAGAAGAGAATACAAATAGACCAAAATATGGACACGAATAGGGTCGAGCCATATGCCTTTCGGATATCATAACTCCGCTAAAATAACCCGAGGAAAATATGATAGACAAGAGAACAGGAGGCTCTTACGGAGCAGGGTAGAGGGCTCGAGGGAGCAAAGAGACAGTTCGGTGAAGGCGAGGTTTCAACATGTCAACGAGAGGAGTTGTGGTAGATCGTATGAGAAGAGACGCCGGAGTCGCTTAGCGACGATCAGGGTTGGTGACCTAGAATAACGTCAGTGAATTGTTTGGTTGGAATGGCTTGAGGCACTTTGACTAACCTGCAGGATTCGGCGAGAGAAGTCATGGTCATCGTCGATGCTACCGTTGCTCTGACGGCGCTGAGCCATGTAGTCTCCGTCGAAACGCGAATCCGACATGGAAGGCGGCTGCGAATCACGGCCGTAGCCACCGGTCGTACCGCGGAATCCACCCTCGGCGTTCTGCTTCTTCGAGCGGTAGAAGAAGAAGATGGCACCGGCCAGAGCGGCCACACCGACAACACCAACCACCACACCGGCGGCAATGGCTGCAGTGTTGTGGCTGCTCTTGACCTGGGCTGCATCGTCGGTGGGCTGCTGCCCGCTCGCGGCGGTGATCACAACGGTTTGGCCACTAGAGTCGGTTGAGGCGGAAGCGGCAGCATCAGTCTTCGAAGCGGAGCCATCATTGGTGTTGCTGCCGCTGGAAGCCGATGCCGAGGCAGCGGATACGGAACCACCCAGACCGGTTGTGTAAACAGAGTAGAAACCATCACCACCACCTGAATCAAAAAGTCAGCCATCATTAATCATCTGCGTTGTGCGATCACACTAGAATCAAAGGGTCAACATACACATATCTTGAGGCCAGCCATCACAAGCTGTGCCACACTTTCCCTTGGCCACCTTAGCTGATGAAGGAGGCAATTCATCACCGCAGAGGCAATCCGAGCCTGCCGTCAAGGCGAAGACAGCAGCGTTGTAGCCAGTGCAGCGGTCATAGCACCATCCAGAACTTTGGAATGTGTATGTCGTCTGATTAGAAAGGCCCTCGCTGCTGCTGTAGCAACCCACGAGGGTCATGGAGCGAGGAGCCAACACTTGGATAGAATCGGCCATGGCTGAGCCGGCAGCGAGGAGGATGCTCGAGGCCGCAAGGGCGGTCTGCATATTGAAGAGCATATTGACTCGAGAGGAGAGGATGGGTTTGAGCGGGAGTTGTATGAAAGTGCAGGGAATGAAATAGCGCGTCAGACACAGTCGGAGCGGTTATGGAAATAGAAGAACCAGGAACGACCCGCGTAACCCTTAGGAACTTCTCGAGGAGGAAAAAGTGTCGATGAAAGTCGTCAGGTCGAGAGTGACAGTCCTCGCATCAAAAGGGCCGCTGGGTTTGGCGCGTAAAATTACCGGTCGGGGAACCAGGGTAGGCGGGGATATGGCGAAAGGCTATGTATGTTGAAGCCGAGTATGACGAGCAGACCAGGTGAACGAAAGGAATAGTAAAGGGTGAAACGATCAAATATCGAAAGTTGACAGCGAGAGGACGAGTACACAGGTCTCGAGACAAAGCAGAGGATGGAATCTCAAGGCCGAGGAGATTCACCCCTAAGTCAGGCTTTGTTTATGGGACTCAGGATTTTTCGAACGGCCGGGAGGTTGGATCACAGACCAGTTGGATTGAGAACTGGCAGCAAGGGAAGTCGAAGTCGAATCAGGGTCTCGGCGAGTCGAGAGGAAAACGAGTGTAGATGGGGTGAGGGAGGAGAGGGAGAATCTTCAGGGACGAAGGAGAAGAGTGGCAGTGCGCAACGAGACGGGAGTCGTTAGTATGGGGGGGGGGGCCATCAGTTTTAGTGTGTTTGTCGGAAGGTGGATTCATTCAGGGACTAAGGGGTCCGGCGAGTTTGGGGCCCTGGGGGATGGTATTGAGCGGTAATCTGGAAGTAAACAGACGGTTTGTGATACCGTCAGTACTTCACAATACAGAGTCCATTGCACTGTTCAACTATCAAATCAGAGTCTTATTTTTGACTCTGATAGTACTCTCTGGATACTGCCCTAGTCTCATGTAGGTCTGTTCTCGAAGGTCCTTCAAAAGGTTTGTTTCTGTCTTTGCCGGTCGAGTTCAGATGGATGTACTCTGTACCAACGGGTGTACTGCGTATGACCCATACCGATAACAATACATACCATGTGCAGGTCTCCACTTTGTCCCAATGGGAGCCATTTTCGTCTGGCCAATCATCCGCCACAGTACCTGACATAATCAGGCACCGGGCTCCATCACCTTCACCTTCAATCAGCGTCAACCAGGGGCCACACAGTCGATCCCCTTCCACTTTGGCTCCCAGACGGCTGAAGATGGCGCTCGAATCTGTGCCGACTTGACGTTGGTGGTCCTCCGTTGCTCGAATCCCACACTGCCACACATTCTTCGCGCCCGCTTCGATCGTCGTTTCTCGCCACACCAACCCCTCTTTCTCCCTCCTTTAACGCTATGATCCGCTAGCGTCGGACAAAGACATCATACTCGAAGGTTCTGAGGGCATGACTCGCCTGTACAATGAGACGGAAATGCACGACTGCAATCAACCAGACAATATTAGTATACTACTGTACACGAACGCCATCATATTATGATTCTTGTGGCTGCTTCTTTGAATCCTGCGCCTATCTCGGCTGCCTTTTGCGACCGGTGTAACTTTACATACTCGGTATAGTCCATAACTCATTACACACCGTACAGAGTACTGTACAGACAAGCGTTCGATTCTCCTGCGTCTGAGAGGGAGGAAATGCCCGATCACCCGTTCTTCCGGGCGCACGTCTTATCACATAATGTAAGTGGGAACACTGCTGTGTTGTCCCTGCATAGACAAAAAGATTCTCGTTTCCAGGGTCCTGTCTATCGGGAACACCATCTCGCTTCATGTCAGTCGTCCCTAGTACGGATCAGAGGAAATGAAAATTGCTAGCGCATGGAGCTCATTTGCCGCCCGTGTCTAGGGGTCTGGTACCGGTATGAATGTAACAAACACGACAGCATGCCGACATTCGGCTCGAGGACATTCTGTCAAAAGGTCAAAGTATATAGATATACGGAATACGGATTTGAGGTTTAGACGGTTATCACCTACTACTATCTTCCCTCTACCCAATGTCCTATCATCTCTTATTCTCCAAATCCCCTGTCCCATAAACATAGCCCCTTTTTTTGGTCAGCATTATTACCACGGATCCTGAGCGGCCACTCCCGGAGTGGACCAACATCTGTACCCAAATATTGAGACGTCTCCCGTATGGTACATCCATTACATCCATACTGTATGCCCGTAATGAAAACCCTGGATCTCCCGCACCCTGCAGCAGGTCCACTTCGGAGACAATCAACTCGATTGAACGATGCTCGCGTGCGAGACGAGTCCATTCGGCTTGTATTTGGTGCAAAAAGCAACCTCAACGGTTTCGGTATGAAATAAAATAGTGAGAAAAGAACTTGAACCCCGAGGGAAAACCATATCAATACTATATCAAGCAAGCTCGGATGCCCCGCGTATTAATGTGTTTCACCTTGATCAAATAGTGCAAGTGCCCACACTGCCACATCACCAGTGAAAGCAAGGCTTGTTTAGATTGAGTCGAATGTTGACTACCATTTCAGAAGCTACTACGCTGGCTTTGAAATATAGTTTTATGGCTGAATGCTGAATGGATCGTTCATCCTGATGCTAGGGTCTACTGACTTGACGGGCAGTTACTTCAATGATGCGCCGAAAAAATATATATCCGGATCACGTAGCAACGAACACTACTCTGACACCCCGAACACCTTAGGTCTCAGTACAATAGTACGGATCCCAACCCGAATCTTCCACCAAAACTGATTGTCATTGTAAATGCCTCCTTTCATTTGAGCAGCTTCTCGAAGATGCCGGGACTGTTGTGCAGCTCTGGGAGAGGCGACGCCGGCGACTTGTTTGATTTTCACCGGTAAAGCCTAATACATATGGGCATAGCTTTGCTGAATGAGAAGTTCCTACCTAACGAACGAGATGTCATTTTCCTTTAGCTAAATCCGGTCATAACTAATGAAAAATCAAGTACCACGCCTTCAACAGTCCACCTGCGTATCAAAACCGCACTGGTGATCCTTGACAGCTAAACCGATATACATTTGAACTCAATCTTACGAATAGATTCATTCAATACATTGACAACACCCGAAGACCACCGATAAACAAACATACATACAGCATGTACGAAGTACAGAGTACACCAATGTATGCCCAGGCCTATCCGAGGGCGCCCTCTTGACTCACCACATTGTTATTTATGGTATAGTGGCGCCCACTAGGGCAACAGTTGCTCCACCTGCCAAAAGAAAATGACTTAGGCACCGCCAGTCCCTTGCGCCGCCAGATCGAAACTGAACACAAAGCCCCCAGCCATCACTGCATCGCAGCATAACAGCTACCCACAAAGTGGTGGCGAGTGGGGGGAAATTTCCGCCGTGTTCATCCGATATTACACCTGTCTAGTCCTGTGCATATGGAACCTCCCATGTATGTAAACTTGTTACGAGGCTCCAGGTCTAGACGGGTCCTGGATTTTAAAAAGACTTGACGTGCACTAACCCTGCATTGTGGGTTCTTGGCTCGGCTTGTCGGGTCTTCTGGAGTGGTCTAGAACTTGACGAGTTTTTCGGGGCATTGGGGGGTCTGTGATGGTGGATTTGAACACACAACTGAACAGCAACCCGTGACCTATTGTTCGAGTGGCCGGGATACTCGGCTATGAAAAGAAATCTGGAAGATTTGTTTCCTTGAGGTTGATTACCAATCTGGTTGCTGGTGGAACGACTTTAGTTCATGATGTTGGTGCGGTAGAGTTTGAATATCGCATAACATTCAGTCAATCGAATATCCAGGCCTCTAATCCATTCATTGCAGAGCGAAGTGAAGCATATCTTGTCTCCGATATCGAAATGGAATAATCTAACTGTTGACGTGCAATCACAATATAGAATTCCAGTCGAAGTAGTCAAGGATTGACCACGACGTCACTCGTATTCAATAAATTTCGAGACACACCTAGCGGGTTTCTCCCTTAGATATCTGATAATGCAAAGCAACTGAACAATCCAAAAGAAACTCGACGAGGCTATTATATATAGCCTTTCTCAATAAAGGTATCCACTAACCCAGTCCAAATCTGAAGTTGACTCCCGTCCGTGTTCCTCTCGATATCATAGAACCCACATCGTCCTTGAGAGCATACATAATGGACACCTCCCGGAACCCGATGTTGCTGTCCATTCATCTGTCGCCGGCTAGGCGCGCCGCACCCACACTGTGGATTTGTAGGTCTGAGACCGCGTTCGTCACAGAAGGCGAGGAACTGGCCGCATGAGGAACACCTGTAGTATGGTCGGCGGGCGTTGCCGTTGAGATTGTCTCCACGGACCTCCAGGAGGCTGCCTTCTGAGCCACAGCGGCGACATGTCGGCGTTGGTTCAGGGGAATCTTCGTGTTTTGGAATAAATTTCATGGTGAACTGGAATGTGTTGGTCTCGCTGTCAACGTCGTCTGGTCATCGAACTTACTTTTCCTGCGTCTCTTGATAGTCGCGATAAGATGCTTCGCTGAGCGGGTTCTCCTTCAAGGAGGAAGGTGTAGGACCATTTTGGCCATAGTTATTGAGATGGAGGTGACGCTTTTAATCAGTCATCTGTATGTGCTTGTCAGAATTGCGTTTTCGCGATTAGATGGTTGATATAAAGCTGGGACAGTTCCGGCGGGATCCGTACCAGCCAACAACTCTATTGTATTTTACATGTCGAATCTTGGAATCCAGAGAATATTATTTAGTTCTTCTATGCCCTGGACTATCTCACAGTACCTCGCCAAACTAGAAGCCCTGGTTCTATCCAACATATCTGCTGAAGACACAGCGCCTTTTCTCATGCATTGTACATATAAAACAAAGTACCTCACAAGATCTTCACATTTATGTAGCCGAAACCCATAGAAAAGAAGAATCATCCTCAATTAGGTATATTGAGCTTGTGTTCAGGCTCACTTATGGACAGCAGCCTCTTATTCCCCTTCTTTATTTTCACAATCACCCATTCACGTGAAGGAGAACAGGCCTAGGCAATTGTCCAAACAGTAGATTGCCCACCCAATTTTTTGGTTGAATGTCCCTTTTAAGGCTTGGGAATATGTATCGTCTTGCTGATCATCAAACATCCGTGCAAGACGAATAGCAGGACAATGGGATGGAACTCGAAAATAGTACCCTCAGCAAAAACGCCAAAGGGAATGTTCTCATGAGTCCAGCCTTGGGAGACCCAGTAGGCCATAAGGGAGGCAATAGACAGGGTAGTGGGGATGGGAGTGCCTTCGAAGTATTTTGACTTTCCAGTCTTGTCCTTGGGCAGAACTGCCACAGTAACGTTGAACCGAGCCAAGCGGGTCAGGCCGCAGAGGACGAAAAAGGCCAGGAAGACGTGGTCAAGCGAGGTACGAATACCCATGGCGAATGCGGCGGCGGCGGGAGAAAGGCCGAAGGAGATCTGTGCATGCGCATCGAAGAATTAGTATATACATTTTGCATCGCGCTGCAATGGTAAAGGTCCGCACCAGATCCGCAAGCGAGTCAAGTTCCTGTCCCATCAGTGAGGACTTCTTGCGCCACCGCGCAATCTTGCCGTCCATGAAGTCGAAGAACAGACCGAATGGCATGAATCCGAGAGCGGCCCACAGAGCACTATAATCGGAGGGGTCGCCGAGACAGTAGCGCATGGAGGAGAAGACGGACATGACTATTTGGTGCGGTTAGTAGCAGAACGGGGCCATGGGGGACGTATCGACTTGCCTCCGCAGAAACCTGTTGCGATGTTGATTAGCCATTGTAAATCACCAAAAAAGCTGGTTCAGCGGGCCAATGATCTTACCGTTGAGTTCAGTCACCAGATCGGCGAGATGAAGAGCCCTGCGACAGTATTAGATCGAATTTCGAAAGGGTAGGCAGCAGCAATAATGTCGCAAATACTGACTTCACTAAGCTGAAGTGACCATTCTCAGAGGAAAGAAGCATCTTCTGCTTTCCTTGGCCTGTAGAGTCTCGGTCAGTGCGCGCACGAGAGGCCCAGGCTGATCGCAAACTAACCTCCGTCGCTGGTGGACGAGACATCGCTGTTGGAACTGCTCGGCGCCATGGTGGACTTTCTGCGTGACATGCTCAGATGAAGAGCGATTACAAGGGGTATGAACGCTGAAATATGGATGTAGCTGTTGTAGAAGGTAACAGAAGGGGGGCTGCGGGACTCAGAATGGCAGTTAGAGAACAGGAATCCTGCTTCGAAAGTGTGTTGACACGCGCACAGTGACAATCGCAGAGCGGTCAACGTCATTTCCGAAGGCACCTTGGCAGTAATCGAGGGGCTGTGCACCCCATGTCTGCGCCACACTGCACTAGCCACACGGGAAAAGTTACAAAGCTCGACTTGTCGGCATGGAGGGGAACTCAAACTCGCCTCATCGGTCATATATAGAAACAAATGGACAGATATTCCCTGGGTTATCTCGAGAGAAGTTTCGAAAGAGATTTAAAAGATCATTTCACAGAGAAAGTTGAAGCGTATTTAGCTGGACCTTCTCGATATTTGGATTCACTGTGTGAACTGCCACTGCACAATAATCGTTCGATAGAGCTTTTACCACAAGTCAAGTCTTGAATAACAGGCGTAACAACAGAAATCGAATGTTTTTGTGTGACTGGATATATTCTACAGTCCCTGCGGCCAGAGAAGCAGTAATTGTGTCAGGATGCACAAGCAGAAAGGACATATTCCTGAAGAAAGCTCCCGAATCCCCCAAACGCCAAAAGAAGACAAGCAATTCGGCTATAAAGGTCCTTTAACCACGACCACGGAAGCCACCGCGGGATCCACCCCGGCCACCACCGCGAGAGAAGCCACCACCACGGCCGCCGAAGCTGCCACCGCCGCCACGGCCACGACCGCCGCCGAATCCACCACGACCGCGAGGAGCACCACCACGAGCACCGAATCCACCACGGCCACGGGGAGCGCCACCGCGACCGCCGCGAGCACCACCAGCTCGCTTGGGCTTAGCGGCACCTGGTGGGGGCTTGGGCTTGGGAAGAAACCTAGACGAGGAGATCGTCAGTTTCGACTGTGCAAGATGGTACAGGTAGAACGAAGAAGAGGGAAAGTTAAGACGTACTTCTCCAGAGGGAGCAGCTTATCGCCGCCGATGAAGACCTTGTCACCGGGCTTGAACGAGCTGGCGACAATGCCCTCCTGGGGCTTGATGGTGAAGTACACCTGGTTGATGGGACCGAGGACCTCGTCGACCTTGCCAATGGGAGTCTATCACAATGAATGTTAGGTATAAAGCCTGAATATAGTGTCTGGAAGGCATTGTCCGGGGCGGTGTACCTTGTTCTCGAGGTAGATCGGGGCGTTGAAGTAGGGGATCTTCGGGTTGATCGACTCGCAGACCATCTCACCCTCGCAAGCGTGCATAACAGTTCCCATCTCTGACATTGATTGTCAGTATCGCGTTCGACGAATCGTCAATTCGAGGTATACATACCGAGAACCTGCGCGGGGGGACCGAATGACGGCTGGAAACCTCCGCGGCCTGCATCCAAAAAAAATTTCGTTAGCTTTCTCCGAACAATCATGACCTCGCAAAACAGGGGGAAATGTCGCATACCACCACGGTTACCAAAGCCACCCCGGTTCGCACCGGTAGCGGATCCACGCCCACGGAAAGACATGTTGAAGATTGTTGTCGTTGGGGGTTCTTGGGCGAAGAAGTTTTCGAGTGGTGGAAACTTCGTACGGTAAGGCGTCGCTAGCCAGGGCAGTTTGGAGTCACATGACTCACCGCCCGGCTCCGTCCCTCACGAAAGAGTCATTTTCCCCTCGATGCGAAACACATGAGCCAGGTTAGACCTCTCTCTTCCCTTCAGTCTCTCGACGGACAATTTCTCTGCGACTCCCCAGAGAGATTCTATAATGGTTTCTGAAGCCCCCAAGGATTTGCCTGCGCGCCCTGCTGCGCAGGCTGAGGAAAACGCCCAAAACGCTGCTGCCCCGCCAAAAGATGCCAAAAAACAAGCCCCCGCTCCCGACGTTCTCCCAGACTGGTTGATTGAGCGTAACAATTTCTTCGAAGAGCTTTGGCAACAACATCTGGAGCAGTCCAAGTCCCGTCCGCGCCCTGAGATCAACGTTACCCTCGATATCGGCGACGGTAACCCGTCCTCTGTCCCCGCAAAGGCCTACGAGACCACCCCCGGCTCTTTCCTTCGCGATGTGCCTAAGGATGTGAGCGCCGATGTGGTTGTTGCAAAGGTCAATGGAGAATTGTGGGACCTGAACCGTCCTTTGGAGGGTGACTGCACGGTATCTTTCGTTCCGTTCTCGTCAGACGAAGGACGAGCAACGTTCTGGCATAGCTCAGCCCACGTTCTCGGCGAGGCCTCCGAGTGTGAATTCGGCTGTCTACTGTCGCACGGTCCAAGCCACCCAAGCGGTTTTTGGTACGACGAAAAATTACCAGGAGAGTAAGTGCCTAAACATGCTATGCGCGGGAATCGTGTCTCGGTACTAATCAACATTGGCCAACAGTCGTGTCCTGCATCCCTCCGACTGGCCTGCGCTTGAGAACAGGGCCTCGCGCATTTTCAAGGAGAAGCAGAGCTTCGATCGATTGGAGGTCTCCAAGGAGAACCTCAAGAAGATGTTTGCGTACAGCAAGTACAAGCTGCATTATATTGACAAGCTTGTGACTGGAGAGAAGAGTACCGTCTATCGCTGCGGTACTTTGGTTGATCTGTGCCGGGGACCTCATATCCAGAACACGGGTAGGTCCTAGCAAATCACAAAAATACCTAAGACTCACAATTAACCTCAAAAATCTAGGCAAGATTAAGACTTTCAAAATCATGCAGGTTAGTGTGTCATCCGTCACTTGGCCAAAATATGAAAATAGTCAGCTAATCATCCCTTTTATTCTCCGCCAGAACTCCTCCGCATACTTCCTCGGTGACCAAAACAACGATTCCCTTCAGCGTATCCGTGGTGTCGCTTTCCCTGACAAGAACTCCATGAAGGAGCACTTGAAGTTCCTCGAGGAGGCTGAGAAGCGCAACCACCTAAGAATCGGCAAGGCCCAGGAACTGTTCTTCTTCGACGATGCCTCCCCCGGAAGTCCTTTCTTGCTACCCCGCGGTACCTTGATTTTCAATGCCCTCCAGAAGCTGCTACGATCTGAGTACCGCAAGCGCGGCTACCAGGAGGTCCAGACCCCGAACATGTACGACGTCAGTATCTGGAAGCAATCCGGTCACTGGCAGCACTATGCAGCTGATATGTTCAAATTGGACGTTGAGAAGCGTGAGTGGGCCCTGAAGCCTATGAACTGCCCGGGTCACTTTGTCTTGTTCGGCCACCGTGATCGTAGCTACCGCGATCTTCCTCTTAGGATCGCAGATTTTTCTCCACTACACCGCAACGAAGCATCTGGTGCGCTGAGCGGCCTGACCCGTGTGAGAAAGTTCCAACAGGTAAGCCCAATTATCCTTCAAAGATTCGTGAATTCCCTGCGGAGAAGTTCCGTCGTGAGAAGTGCTGCCGATTACTAACGATTACTTGTATTAGGATGATAGCCATATCTTCTGCACAAACGAGCAGATTGAGTCTGAAGTCGCAGGCTTGTTCGACTTTTTGGAATCCATCTATGGGCTGTTCGGTTTCACCTTCAAGTTGAAGCTGTCTACTCGCCCTGAGAAGTACATGGGTGACTTGGAGACCTGGAACCGCGCCGAGGATCAGCTCAAGAAGGCCATGACCAAATTCGTGGGCAACGACTTGGTCATCGATGAGGGCGATGGAGCCTTCTACGGCCCAAAGATTGACATCACCATTGCGGACGCCCTCAAGCGTGAGTTCCAGTGCGCCACCATTCAGCTAGATTACCAGGCTCCCATCAACTTCAAGCTTGAGTACGTGGATAAGGAGAAGCCCAAGGAGGAGGACAGCGAGAAGGAGGAGGGTGAGGCCTCCAACCAACCCGCAGCTGGTCGGTCCCGTCCCGTGGTTATCCACCGTGCCATCATTGGTAGCTTCGAGCGCTTCCTTGGCATTCTGACGGAGCACTTTGGTGGAAAATGGCCTTTCTGGCTCAGCCCTCGCCAGATCATGATCATTCCGGTCATGCCCGCTCTGAATGCCTATTGCGAGGAGCTGCAGGAGATTCTCCGTGCGGACAAGCTCAATGTGGAGATTGACATCTCTGGCAACACTCTCCAGAAGAAGATCCGTACCGCCCAACTGGCTCAGATCAATTTCATCTTTGTGGTCGGACAGCAGGAGATGGAGTCTCGCTCGGTCAACATCCGCAACCGTGACGACCCGGCTACCCAGAAGCTGGGTGTAATGGTGCCGCTTGACGAGGTTCGGGTGAAGATGAAGGCGCTGCGTAAGGAGCGTCGGTTGGAGAACAAGCTGTAGGCGTGATATACGTTATTGATTTATGAGAAAGTGAAAATGCAAAGCATTCGGGAATTCGACTGATTCAAACTTGACTATTTGCGCATTGACCTAGATACTGTATTGCCTATCTTAAGATTGGACGAGCCACAGGGTTCTTTCAGTAAAGGTAATTCCTGGGAATATGTACATATACGGTATGCCCATGTTTGTCCGTTTATCAAGCTCAGAAGTATCCAGATTAGGGAAATATTCAAGGAAACTCCCTCTTCGTCTTCTAGGTTCCCTTGTCTATTCATCCTCCTCTTCGTCCTTCGGTACCATTACTTCTTTTGATTTGAAAACTGCTTGTTCTTACTACCCTCGGATTTTTTTTCTCTTCCTCTCTCTACTTTACAGACTTACAGTTTCTCCTCTATCACCACGATGGCTCAGCCACATCTATGCCCATATCGCGAGAGGGACAAATGTGGTAGAACATTTCGAAGCCCAGGAGAAGCGGCTACGCATGCAAAGGAGATACACGAAGACCCTACGGTCCCTTGCCATTATGCAGAGGAGTTCAACTGCCACAAGCTATTCGGTACGGAAAAGCAAGCAACGGCGCATGCTAGACGTGAACATCACAAGGACAAAATTCCCTGCCCCGACGCAGAGAAATGTAGCTGCCCGGCTACCTTTACTACGGTAGGCCATGCCAAAAGTCATGCGGAATCCTTCCACCGAGAAATCGAACATCCATGTCCCTGCGCAGAGGAATATAGTTGTCCGGCTATATTTCGTTCAAAAGCCAATGCAGAGGCGCACGCAAAGTCGGCGCACAAAAAAGTGCGATATCCGTGTCCCGATCCCAAGTGTCAGAAGGTGTTTACAACGCAGCGTTATGTCGCGGAGCACGTCAAAAGAGTACACCCAACTGAAAGACCTGAACCACGTCAGTTTCCCTGTCCTGTTGCAAATGACTACAATTGTCCTCAGCGTTTCCATACGACAAAGGAGGCAAAACGACATGCCAGGACCGCACACAAGATGGACAGGATTACCTGCCCCAACACAGGCTGCCCGGCTACCTTTTCTACGACATCTGCAGCAGAGAAGCACGCGAAGTCAGCGCACAAGGGAGAGCGATATCCGTGCCCAATTCCTCAATGTACGAAGGTCTTTACCGACAAATTTTACATCGAGGGACATGTGAAAAGGGTGCATAAAAAAGAAAACCCCAAAGACCATGGGGTACCCTGCCCTGATGCAAAGGAGTTTGATTGCGATGAGCGTTTCTGGTCGACAGAGGAGGCAAAAAGACATTCCAGGAGTGTACACAAGAAAGACAGGGTTCCATGCCCCTACGCAGAGGAAGATAAGTGCCCGCAAACCTTTGATTCGGTAGGCCATGCAAACGAACATGCAAGATCAATCCACGAGAATGTTCGATATCCGTGCCCGGTTCCCAACTGTCCGAAGACCTATGCCAAGGAAGCTTATCTCAAGGAGCATGCGGAAAGGGCACACCCAACAAAAGATGCTTGGCCTTGCCCAGTCGCTGAGAAATTTGACTGTCCGAAGACTTTCTCAAGCAACCACAAGGCCATGTATCACGCGAAGCAGCATCTTCCCGACAGATATATTTGTCAGTATAGCAAATGTCTGTCCCATGTTCAAGAGAAAAAGATGGCAACTTACAGGATGCGGAATCACCAACGGATGCATACAAAAAAAGGTTACTTCAAGGAGGGAGAATGCCCGGCCCTGCATGTAAGTGACAGTTCAAGGGGTGATTGAGCATGATCTGATGATGCCAATAGGTTCTGGTCGACCCATATGCTACTAATGTTGAAGTAAAGAATCAGCCCGCAGCAAATCCTGAAGCCGAGGATAACGAAGCCGAGGGCAGCGAAGCCGGGAATAGTGGAAGCGAGAGTTTGGGAGACGAAGAAGCTAAGGAACAAGGCGACCATGAACGTGCACCTGACAAAAGAGACGTGCATCAAGGAGACCAAGGGGCCGAGTCTGACGATGATGAAGCCCTGGTGTCAGAAAATCTTGATTGTGCTACAACTGCCGTGGCAGCCACTTGGCTCGACAATAAGCCTTCGGAAAGCCAAGAGAAGCTCCGTAAATGTAAGATATACTAAGATTTACCTCCCTATGCTTCATTGCTAACCTGATGACCCAGTGGCTGTGCGTGTAGGCCAGCGAAACATTGGCCTAAAGTGTATAGGCCCACGGAGAGTGGAGGAAGGGCTCGTGCTTGGTACAGAGGCGTGCCCAAACGGAGCAACAATCTCGCTGGAAAACGGCGTCTTCAAGGAAAGACCTAAAACAGTCGGCATCAAATTTCGATGCATAAACTGCGACTCGAGATACCTTTTTAAAGAGTTTCTTTGGCACAACTTCTTGGACGCAGATGCCAGTCAGGGATGGTGCGCCGCTAACAATTGCCTCAAGCCATTGTGGGAAGGCACCAAATTCTGCCGAGTGCATTTCCTCAGGTGGAAGCCAGAAGACTTTGCCCTTGATCAGCAATCAATTGTTGAGCTCAAACGCTTGTTCTCACTGGCCGCATCTGAGAAATGGCTCCCCGGGAGCAAGATAGCAAAGGTCATGAAGAAGGAGATCTCTAACCAGAAGGCACTGCCCCCTGCGCGTCTTGTCAACATTGACCTGGAATTTTCGTTCAATCCCCGTGAAGTGTACCAGATTGGCCTCGCCGGTGTTGAAGGGACTCACGTACTTGATTGTCTGCCCAAGTACAGCAAGCCTTCTGCTGCGCGATCCTCGTCAAGCTCCGCGCCGTTAACTTTTTGCCAAAGGATGTTGGGAAAGAAGTTCAAATTGATGCCGACTATCCACGGCACCCTGGATTCGAAGGGCGTCGTGACAAAGCTTAATGAATACGATATTACACCAAACACAACGTTCGTCTCATGGGGCCATTGGCATTTCGACGTCTCACTTCTCAGAGAATGGCTCGATGAAGAGGGGCATCATGACGTGCTTCCCAATAACGAACGCGTCCTTTTGCTTTTGAAGGAGTTCCGAGGCAACTTGGACCGGATACTCGGCAAAGAATGCTTTCACGGCCATCGCTTCCCGCTCAAATTGCCTTTCGTGTTCCCTATCTTGTTCGGAAAAGGCGACCCTCTGGCGGGGCGTAATCACAATGCTATTGTGGACGCCCTACAGCTGGCCCAGATGACAAATCTGTACTTCGACCTGTGCAACCCCCCGGGGAGCGAGTCGTTTGGAAGGGCTCAGAAGCCGTGGACCCGTGGACCTCGCACAAGAGGCAGTTGTTGCTGGACTCATTCTACGATCCTTTGACGTCAGTTAAGAAGCGGAAGCTATCCTGAGCTAGAAATGAGCTCATTTGCAGGCCTCAGGTTGTGAACAACCATGAGAATGTGAATGAAGGCTCTCTTTGAATGCATCTCATTGCATCATACAAAGTGGAATCCTCATGTTCTGCTTTCTACCATTTCTGTGGTCTTTCTTGCTTGACATCCATTCCGTTTCTACAATAGAAGAGAATAGAAGTGGCTGTACTATGTCTACTCTGGGCTCGTCAAAAAAAGATTCATGACTCGATCTCAAATTAGTAAGGTTATTAGGTAGGTAACTGTCGTCGATACTTAGATAACTAGTTAGGGCTGGATCGACGCTTACCTAAGGAGACTGGAACCTGGATAGAAGTCTGAATCTAGGACCAAAGAGAACAAGTCTAGCTGGAAGATCTTTTTGAAGCTCTTTGAACCATCTACCTACATAGCTCTAGGACTATCTCTCGGACTATCTTTTGGGTTATGATGAACAAAGTCCTTTTGAAATATTGTCAAGGAACATTACAAAGAGTAGACCAGGAACTATCCTCATTAGGCCTATCTTATTGTGCCAGTAACTGGACCCTGCAAACATGTCCAAACCTTCGGTTGTGATAGAACATTCTCCTCCAGAGTTGGCGGGTTACTCGCACTTAAGGAGCATGCTTCGTAATACAAGTTTAAATGCCAGTATGATCGACGCCTGCCTCATTTCCAGCAAAAGAAGATATCACTTCCTAACTAGTGGGTATGTAGTGCATCGAAATGTCATATTCGAGAGAGTATCTTCAAGAGGAATGGTACGATGATGTTCTGCCTCTTGATCAAACGCTCCGTTTGCTGCTTAAAGTCGAGAAGTACCGTCTCAACATATCAAAAGCCATTGGTAGGTAGCCTTAGATATGCTTCCATAGCAGGCCATTCCCGCTTTCGTTCCCAGACCCATATCTCACCGTTATCCAACTACGCACAGCCATACAGAACATCCGCACACATACAAAATGTGCTACAAATCCTGCGACGTCACCCTTCTCGAGGAGGGCCCCGAAACCCCCGTACTCATGATTTCTATAGTAATCTTGAGCGGGCCTGACTAAAGACTAGAGCTAAACGTTAAATTGAAGTTAAGGGTCATGTGTAGGTCTACGATCAATTTCGGGAATATGGCAGTGAAGCAAGTAGATGCCTAACTTGTAACTGGTCTGACACCAACACACTCGTTGCTCTGCGAATGATTTCTCTATGGTCATGTAAGCGTCAATTTGGAAATTTTTTAGGTCTGTTATCACAGTCCGGTTCTCCAAGATCTTCTTACAGTTGAGGCAGTTGGACAGCTTTTTCTTTCTTCAGGTTACTAAGATACAAATTGCTAGCCAGGTCTGCTGCCAGTGCTATAAGCAAGGTAGAAAAAACATGTTTACTAGCAAATACCGTTCTCATAGTTTCATTAGCACAATGATTTGATCTGTTCGTGAATATTCTTATGTTACTAAGTATCATATACGATAGGGCTGGATCGGCGGATTTTCGAGTGATCCGCAGCGCCAAACAAGGGACACGGCGCTCCACAACCAACAAAGGGCTGGGCTCACGTTTCAGAGTCTTTGATGACCTTGGTCCTATTTTCAGCTCCTAAACTTTCTTTCAGCTGAAACTCAAGTCGAGTCTGTGAAGTAGACTCGAAGAATATAGCTCAGCTTCTTATAAGGTCGTTGCCCAATCCACCAGAAACCACCACAAACCAGCCAAACCCGCTCCGATCACCCGCGGGGACTGCGGGGCTCAGCTTTCTTCTCATCACACCTCAAGGCCAACTTCCCCTTTTCTTCTGGGAGGTCACCGATTCTCCTCGTGCGTTCGTTTTTGATTCTTCTTCGTTTCTCGCTTTCGCTAGAATTCCGACCATCGCCTCTTCTGTCTTTCTCTTTTCTTCTCTTCCCTCCTCTCCGCTTCTCAAACCCCCCGCCCGCCATGGCTGATCTACAGGGCCGCAAGGTCTTCAAGGTCTTCAACCAGGACTTCATCGTGAACGAGCACTACAATGTCACCAAGGAGCTAGGCCAGGGTGCCTACGGTATCGTCTGGTAGGTCGGCCACTTTGGAGTTGTGGTGGAAATGGCTATCCAGGGTCGTGTGATGAAACTGACGTCCACCTCGTGTAGTGCCGCAACAAACACTCAGACTGGCGAAGGCGTTGCCATCAAGAAAGTCACCAACGTATTCAGCAAAAAGATCCTTGCCAAGCGAGCCCTGCGCGAGATAAAGCTCCTCCAGCACTTCCGCGGCCATCGCAATGTACGTGCCTCTCTCCCCCCCCTCGCGCTCATACCACACACCCCTCCTCCTTCTCCCGCTGACTTGGAGTCTAATAGATTACCTGCCTATACGATATGGACATTCCCCGCCCGGACCAATTTAACGAAACTTATCTTTATGAGGGTACGAAAATATTATGCTACCTATGGAAAAACGTTCCCATCTGACAACATTGCAGAATTGATGGAGTGTGACTTGGCGGCTATCATCCGTTCGGGCCAGCCCTTGACCGATGCGCACTTCCAATCCTTCATTTATCAGATCCTTTGCGGTCTGAAGTATATTCACTCCGCGAACGTACTGCACCGTGATCTGAAGCCCGGTAACCTGCTTGTCAATGCGGACTGCGAGCTGAAGATTTGTGACTTTGGTCTGGCTCGTGGGTTCTCGATTGACCCGGAGGAGAATGCTGGTTATATGACCGAGTATGTCGCGACAAGATGGTATCGTGCACCGGAGATTATGTTGAGCTTCCAAAGCTACACCAAAGCTAGTACGTTCCTCTCTTATCATCCCCCCGGCCTCTTCCCTATTGTCCGGAAGGAAGCAAAAGCTAACAACTGTGCCATAGTTGATGTCTGGTCCGTGGGCTGTATCCTTGCCGAGCTGCTCGGCGGACGTCCCTTCTTCAAGGGTCGTGACTACGTCGATCAGCTGAACCAGATCCTGCACTACCTGGGTACCCCCAACGAGGAGACCCTGGCACGCATTGGATCGCCTCGCGCCCAGGAATACGTGCGCAACCTGCCATTCATGCCCAAGATCCCCTTCCAGCGGCTATTCCCCAACGCCAACCCCGATGCATTGGACCTGCTGGACCGCATGCTAGCCTTTGACCCGTCCTCCCGTATTTCCGTCGAAGAGGCCCTCGAGCATCCGTACCTGCACATCTGGCACGATGCCTCGGACGAGCCCACCTGCCCAACCACCTTCGACTTCCACTTTGAAGTCGTTGACGACGTCCCCGAGATGCGCAAGATGATCCTTGACGAGGTCATCCGCTTCCGCGCCACCGTCCGTCAACAGTCCCAGGCCCACGCTGCCCAGCAGCAGCAGATGGCCCAGGCAACCAACGTCCCCATCCCCGAGAACCAGCAGGGCGGCTGGAAGACCGAGGAGCCTAAGCCTCAGGAGGCGGCCGCTGGCGGGCACATGAATGACTTGGAGGCCTCGCTGCAGCGCGGCATGGACTCTGTGCATCATTGATTGTATATTTTTCATTGACATTGACATGGAATTGAGAAAAATCAACCGCTCGTTTTTGTGTTGTCTCTTCTTCTTCTTCCCAACCTTCTACCTTCGCCCTCCCCCCTTTCATGCGTGCAAATGCGTTTTATCCCTATTTCTCTTCCTCTTTCTTGTTTGGTTCTGGCTCGGCTGGATCTGCCAATAATCAAGTTGCGCCGGTGTTTTCGCCCCTTTCTTCATGTTGACATAATATATTAGCAAAGAGATACCTCCGAGAAGAAAGACCGGACGACTGCATACTATATTCCTTGCCGTTTTTTCTATTGTTTTAGTCCCTTGACTCTGTGCTAGTTCCCCCTTTTGTCCTGTTTTCTCTCTTGTGCTGAGTTCTTTGTTCGTGACTTGCCATGCATGGTATCACTTGGCGACTGTTCTCGAGTACACTGTCCGCTTGGATCAGATAGATAGATGATTGTAGTCTGTTCTATCTGTTTTTAAATGGAGATTCTGATTGAAAGAAATGGATTTTAGTTATGGCAGGTAGATGAAGGGAGTAGCAGGATTTTGAGTTTCAGTACTCTAGAGTATGTACACTCATGGCTATCAGATGAAAGGCTCAGTGAAGGATCAGAAGGGATGTATACTAATACAATCTTTGCACTCTGCTGGAGACTTGACTTGATAAATGCCGCACTCGCTGGATATAAACAATGAACTCGGACTCGATAAGCTAGAAAGAAAAAATCAAGGCGCTTATATGACCAGCTAAATCAGTAATCGGAGAAATAGCTAAAAGAAGAAAGAAACACCAAGCTATGTATTCCATCCCCATCAACCCACAATGCGCAAAGCCAACAGCCAATACCAATCAAAGATCAATCCAAACTTATAATGAATCATCAATGATAATACCCCCTCCACCAAACAGCCATACAAGCCGCAACCACCAAATCCAACATCTTAATCCCCTCATCCTCAATAACCAATTTCCCCAATTTAGCACTCTTCCCCCTCATCCCACCACCCGCCAACTCCCTCGCAAGCGAGAAATCCAACCGATCCTCATCCGAGTCCGGACCCCCGCTGCTCGTGCTCGTGCTACGGCGCGGATGCAGAGGCGGCGGGTATTGGTGTCTGAATTCGCCGCGGGAGAATCGTGATGTGCGCAGGGATGTGCGGCGGACGATGTTTATGGGGTTGAAGGGGGTGCGTGGGTTGTGGCTGCTTGGTGGGTCGGGGGTGTAGGGGGTGTTGGGGCCGGAGTGGGCGCGGGGTCGGGTGAAGTTGTTTGGATTGAGGAATTGGGAGAGGGAGTTTCGTTTGGTATTTGTGTCGGGGTTTGATGGGTCGGGGATGTGGCGTGGCGAGATTGGGCCTGTGGTTGGGTTGGAAGTTTGGGAGTGATGGTGAGTATGAGGATGTTGGTGGTGGTGTGGGCGTTGCGAGGCGTGAAAGTGTAGATTGGCGGCTTGGGATGGAGTGTTGAAGCGGATTTCGGCGACTGTTACGGCTGGATTGGCATCGCTGTCACCAGGTGGTACATTGCCTGGTGCGGAAATCATATGCTTGCATTTCAGGCTGCGGCCGTTGACGCTGGAGGAGAAGGTGCAGATGCCGTTCCATGGCGAATTGAAGACGTAGTAGCCACTCTTCAGTTTCGAGCCCTCGGGAACATGTCCGTTACCCGAGTCACTGCGGATTCCTCCATTTGTATCCTCGAATTGCCTTGAAACGCAGAGTTGCCGATGGAATTTGCGTGGACCCGTTGACTGTGGCTGCGTCTGCGGTTGTTGTTCGGTGGTCTTCGGTTGGTCAAGCCCCAACGATGCCTTTAAAGATGGCCCTGCTGACTGTAACATTCCCGGGGAAGATTAGCAGCCAGGCTGGCCAGGGAAAGCGGTTCATTAGATCCAGCGAATCGATTATATCCAGGAGTCGATATCTCAATATCAATGGCATTACGGACCATCCGAGGTGCAGATATCGTCGCGACATTCCATTGCGTGCCTGACGCAGGATCCCGTCGGATAAGAGTAATATGGAATCCAGCATTGCCACGAGAAGCTAGATGTGCTCTTTGCTGGCGAGTGGGTGACTGTCCGGGGCTTTGATTTGGCGAGCGAGAGCCATCATTCGACGGGCGAGGTGGTAATAGCGGTCTGTTGGCGTCTAGACTATGCCGACCAGCGGGCATGGTCTCATAATTTTCTCTCCAAACTTCCCTTCCTCGGGCCTGGACATTATCCACAAATGCACTCCATCGATTGGTCTTTCTAAATCGATCGTCGCCGCTCAATGGGTCTTCAATGAGGGGCTCCTCGTTGGGCGGCAGCGGAGGCAGAGGGCGCGGTATGTCTGTATTACCAACTGACTCTACCGAGCTCTGTCTCGGTTCGCCCTTCGTCTCTGGCTGTATATTCACAACAGGAGTCCCGACAAAGGACATATTCTCCGCCGAGACTTGCGGCCCAGGCACCGGCCGGCGGGGTATCCGTGGAGGGGCAACATTTTCCTGCGCAGGAGCAGGCGCAGGCGCAGGCGTGGAAGTAGCCACAGATGTCGGTTTATTCTCCTGGCCTGAAGCCTCTCGTTCGCCACCGACCGGTTTCCGACGAACATTGTTCAGACGAGCAAACTCTCGCTGAGCGGGATCGGCTATGCCCCCAGCTCCTAGCTCCTCCTTGCGTCGATGTAATTGTTTCTCGCGCTCGAGTTCGACTTCCTGGAGCAGCGCATCGTCCTCGGGTGTCGCGACGTGGAGATAGTATAGAGATGCATTGATAGCTTCGGCAGAGACGCTAGATTTCGTGGGTGGCTTGACAGGGGAGAGGAATATGTCTGCCATGCGCGCATGCATTCCGCAGTTAGCCACCGCTTCTCTTACAAGTACGAGGGACCGATAAGCCCAGCATGGGATGAGAGATTGGGGAAAGTAGGATTGAGATAGAGTTAATTGAGTGAATAGTAACGCACCTTGACTGCCAGGCACCCTCACGATGTATAGTTGCAAGGGATCGTGCTTCTCGTGGGTGGGATTGCGTGGATATGCGGGGGGATTGGAGGCGATGGCCGTGATGGACGAGAGCGAACGAGCCTCGACAGGTCCCTGTTGAAATGTCGCGGGGACAGAAGACATACTGGGCACGGCCGGGGTGTGCCGACCCCAGGATTGAAGAGGATCAATACTCAATGGGTCCAGGGTCAAGGGTATACGGGAGTTGTCGAACGTCAAGTCGGGTTCTTTGCGGAGGGTTGGAGCGTAAGACTGTAAACATCGGCGGGTCTCTTCTTCGGTAGTGGGCCACACAGGGTTCACGTTGGTATTTCAGTCTACTGCTGCTGAAGAGAATATTAAAGTTTTGGATGACGAGGATTGAATACGTCGACACTGAACATTATTTGGTCCGCAATTAAACCTAAATCGACGCAAGGAAAGTGCCATACAAGCAAGTAGAAAGCTGCCTGATTCCCGGACGGTGTGGCGCAGTACCTCGTTAGCTTAAGTGGGCTTACGGCCTTACGCAGGCACCGATGAAAAGGAAAGATCTGATTATGTCAGAGATCTCCAGCTAGTTACTAATTATGGATCACGAGAGTCCGATAAGAGGAAAGAGAAATCTTCGTTGTGGCGTATTCAACAGTTGGTATCTCCAATATAGCTACAAGGCTATGGAATATGACAATGGAGGCAAAGAGAATGCTAAGGAGAGGAGGAATCCAACAAGAAAGGAAAAGGAAAAGAAAAGGAGGGAATCTCGGCGAAAATGGGGGTGTCCAAGTAAAGTAGAAAGAGACCAAAAAGAGACAATGATGGATGAAACTCCAATGAAAAACAGACCCTCCAAGAGAACGCCGCGATGGAAGACCCGGTCCCAAATATCCAATTCCCATGTAACATTAAACCACGGTCTCAGACCGTTCGCCCTCTGCAATGACGGGCACTCCCAATCCTCGATCGGGGCTCTGCAAGACAAGTTGCTCGTGACGCCGGGCACGGAGGAAGTCACTGACGGCGCGAATCAAGATGAACCATCCGACAATCATAAGAACGTACGATATCCACTCGCTGGTGGTGATGCCCGATAGAGCGCCGCCGCCATCACCGCCAGCGCTCTCACCAACGGAGTTGGGATCGAAATTGTGGCTGTTGGGATCAGGGGGCGCCACGTATTGATCACTGCCAGTATCGCCGCCCGAAGACTCACTGCCGCCTTTCATATAGAAACCGTATTGAACAAGGGTAAGGCCGAGACCCGCTCGACTGCCATTCTTTGCGGCGTGGGTGGTATGCAGGAGGTACGTCAACAGGAAACCGACGAGTTGGAACGACATAGAGATCATGGCGTTCCACACAAAGGAGAACACGGATCCAACAGGCAGGCCATCCACATACACCTCGTCGGAAGAGATGCCGGGCGCAACGATCGTGGTCTCCCAGTATGGGGGTGTCGCATCAGCAGCGGCTTCCTCGTAAGACTAAAAAAAGCAATTATATTAGCCCAAACCATCACAGATCACAGCCTCACAATAGTATATCGGGGATTAACTTACAGGAGGCAGATCCTCGTTCTTCTCGCCTCGTTCTGGCTTGGCGGCCAGATTGGCAAACACTCCATCATTCGATTGGGCGACCGATCGACTGCCCCCAGATGCTGGGGTCGTAAAAGTAGGCAGTAAAGTCGGTCGGCGTGGCAGTGGTGAGGCACGAGGTTCCTCTTGTCCATCGATCCTGGCATCCGAGGAGGACGCTGACGACGCCACTTGACCGTAGCCGGCGGGTGACCCGGCATCCGGATTGGCACGCATCAACCGCTGCCTATCGTCGGGCTCCTCGTCATCTTCAGATTCGTCTTCATCGCCAAAGGCGTCGGCAAGGGTCTGATCATCATCATTGTGAAGTGGGTCGCCATGAAGGAGCCGCCTTGAAGATGGGGAAGTCGACCGGGAGCGGGAGCGGAACGAGGGAGGCGGAGAAGTCGGAGTAATATCAGATCGAGTAGGGTTCAACGGGTAGGAATGCGAGTGGTCGTCTTCATCGTGGGCATTCACCTGAAGGGAAAATGTGGTGTTAGTTTCTGGTCGGAGTCAAATCCGGGGGAGGCAGCGATGGCGCTGCCGGCCAGGACTATGGGATCAGCGTGAGGGGGGTGAGACTCGGGGGATAACGAACCCGTTGATAGCGCTGCGAGCTCATGACGAGCTGAGCGGGAAGGAGTAGAGAGGAGAGCAGTATAGAGGGAGAGAAACGATCGATGATTGTTGAAATGACAAAAGACACACAAAGGGAGCAAGAAACCAGCGACAGAGGAACAGAGAGAGTAGCAGAGAGATGTGAGGTGAGGTGGAAGCGCCGGGAAAGAGGAGTCGGGCCTGCCTCAGGCTAGGAAGGCGAGTTTCGCTGACCAACCGGGGCTTGGCATTGTATCCGCGGGTTTCGCGATGCTTTATGTCAGATTGTCAGTAGACCACGCCTCATCTAAATCATTCACACACTACCACCCACCATGTCCAGGCCACAGGTATGTGTCTATTGCGCTTCTGACGTTCAACGCTGCATTCGCGATACAATGTCCCAGCATTGAAAAATCTCCATCTCACAATACTACCCTACAGACGCTCAACCCGCGCTCCCTCCAATCTCGCCTCTCCCACATCCTCCAACACTGGCCCACAGACCCCGTCCGTCCAGCCTCAGTCTCAGTCCAAACCTACCTCCAAAACCAACTAGCCCAGAACAAGAGCACAAATAGCTCCTCACAGTCTCCATCCACGCCAACTTCCCAAGCCATCCCCAAAATCTCCGAGTCCTCCGTGAACGCGCTCTCTGTGCTCCTGGAAAACCGTTTCGCGAATAAATACCCCCTGTCGCAAAAGATTCGCTACCCGGCGAGCGACCCCGAGCACTATGATAATCTGATTCGGGAATTTGAGGAGGCGCCGAATCGGGATTGGTTTGGGCGGTTGCGCAAGAGATTGGGTGGATTGTTGCGGTTGCAGTGATTGCATTGCGACTGCTTGATATTCACGTTTACTGTATAAAAGTGGGGGGCATTCTCTCCTCCCATGAGTCTCTGTTATGGTTGGGGATTAGAAGGGGCTTTTTTGAGGGATTTGCATGGCCTGTATCAATATCTTGAAATCTTGTTTTGGGCGACAATTACTGTATCACTACTCCATGTACGAAAAATTAGACAAGAATAATCTCAGATCAACTGGAAAAGAGGTTATAGTGGACAAGCGCCGAGTCAATTCGCCTGTACATATGTAGTATAGTAGAGTAACTCCACAAGTGACGACGAAATTTGCTATATACAATGACCCAATTGATATAATATGCACGCTCCGGGAGAATCAAAACTTTCCAAAAGAAAAGACATGCAAAAAACCAGTGACAAGTACGAAAATTTTTTACAGCATGGGCTTCAGATCATCGGCGACCTTGAACGGAGCCTCAGTCTTGGCTTTGACCTCCTCAACGGTCACGCCATCAGCAATCTCAATCAGAGTCAGACCATCGGTGAAATCAACGTCAAACACGCAGAGATCGGTGATGATCCGGCTGACACAGGCGGGTCCCGTAAGAGGGAACTCGCACTGCTTGACGATCTTGGGGTTACCCTTCTTATCGGTGTGCTCCATGGTGACGACGACCTTGGTTGCGGACGGGTTGGACACGAGATCCATGGCACCGCCGAAGCCCTTGATCTTACCGGGTAGCATCCAGTTGGCTAGATCACCCTTGGCACTAACCTGCATGGCGCCCAGAATGGTCAGGTCGATACGGCCAGAGCGGATCATGCCGAAGGACTCGTCGCTGCCGAAGACAGAGGCACCGGGATTGAGAGTGACGGTCTCTTTGCCGGCATTGATGAGATCAGGGTCCTCCTCGCCCTGCTTGGGGTAGGGACCCAGACCAAGGATACCGTTCTCAGATTGCAGGGTTACCTCGACGGAGGAGTCGACGAAGTTGGGAGCAAGCATAGGCATGCCAATACCCAGGTTGGCGTACATGCCGTTCTTGAATTCCTTCGCGGCACGACGGACAATGCGCTCACGCTTGCTGGCGGTGTCACCCTTGCCCAGCGCCGAGGTATCGGCACCCTCCTCCTTGGCGAAGGTGTACTTCTCGATCTTCTTCTCCGTGGTGCTCTGGATCACACGCTTGACGTAGATACCGGGTAGGTGGATCGCAGCGGGCTCAATCTCACCAGGCTCAACAATGTGCTCGGCCTCAACGATGGTCATCTTGGCGTTGCGGCCCATGGCACCGTTGAAGTTGGCCGCGGCGTAGCGGAACTGGCAGTTACCCAGCTTATCAGCCTTCCAAACCTTGACGAAGGCATAATCACCCTTGATCGCCTCCTCCATGACATAGCTCTTGCCATCGAACACCTTTGTGTCGCGGGGCTGGCTGTACAAGGCGACGGTGCCGTCGTTGTTGTGGCGCAGAGGCAAATCACCAGTCTGAACGACGGTGCCGAAGGCGGCGGGAGTGTAGAACGCAGGGATACCCGCACCACCGGAGCGGCAGCGCTCGGCGAGAGTACCTTGAGGGGTGAGCTCGAGCTCAATCTCACCAGTAAGATACATGCGCTCAAAGGTCTTGTTCTCGCCAACGTAGCTGGCAATCATCTTCTTGATCTGCTTGGACTGCAGGAGCAGGCCGAGGCCGGAGCCGTCGACACCGGCGTTGTTGCTGACGACGGTCAGGCCTTGGATGGAAGAGTTGGCTCGAACAGCATTGATCAGGGTGTCGGGCACACCACAGAGTCCGAAACCACCGGCCAATAGTGTAGAGTTGGACTTCATGTCCTTGGTGGCCTCCTCGGCGGAGGCGAAGACCTTGTTGATCGCGGCGCGGCGAACACTGCTGGAGAAGGTGCGAGCAAGGAAGCGCTGGTGCTGTAAGGGTACACGACGGCGTCAGTCTCTTCGTGAGTAGCTATGGGGAGAAGATCCAAACGTACCTTGGCCGGATCAGCAGAGAACTGCCGCGCCATGCGCAGGCAGGTTGCTACTTGAGAAGGCATGGCGAGTTGCTGCGATTGGGATAGCTGGAGGATAGTAGGTGCAATAGAGGCAGGACGGAAATGCAAGAGGGGATGTAAGACCAGCAGGAAGCACACAGCAACAATGCGGATGGCAAATGCGATACCGGCAGGTGGTTGCTCTTATAGTCCCGGGCGGCGGCAGTGGGTGCGGAATAGAAGCCGGATGTTCTTCGTGTTGCCCTCTTCCCCGGACATTCCCACATTTCCCCGCAGGAAGCTCCATTGCCTCTCCAATTTCCCTAGGCGCCTCAAATATGCTATGATAGGCCATTTACGGACGTTTAAACCGTCGGAAACTATAAGAGTCACTTTCAGCACTATATTTATCTGATTTTCAATCACTTTGATTCGATCTTGAGCAAAGATTATATTGAGAACAGCAGCCGAAGTGACAGCCGATCCGATTCCGATCCGCGGGCCGCCGGTGGCTGACTCATCTGGAAGCCTGAAGCACATCATACCAAGCCTCGAGTTCTGTCCAAAGTCACTGACATCGACAACTTTGACCCAGTCCATAGGACAGTGACGGTTTTTGAAACTTTACAGTGTCACCAAGGCATACCGTTGGACAATAAACTCAAAATTCAACCACATACCTACACTATTCTAGAGGACCGCAAGAAACCATCTCAGGTGGTATTACGGAATAGATCCCGAGGAATATCATCAACATGATCGGTCATTCATGGTATCTTCTGTTTATGTACAACTGACAAAAAATATTCTTCTCGCACATGCAAGAATATCACAAGACATAGCACGGTCATGACGGAATGAGAGGGAAAGTGGGATAGGATAGCGATGAATAGAAGTGCCGTGAAATCGCCGAGGGGCATCACGGCATCGAAACATTCGGGAAGAGTCGTACACAATCGTGTTGGGGGATGTAGTCTCCTGTCCTCGCGTAACGAACGGTACAGAGAACTACCACTGTGCATCATCTTTCTTGAGTTCGTTCATGTAGGCCTGCTTCTCCTCAGCGGCTGTAGGCCAGGGCGATTTGGACCCATCGTTGTTATGGTCTGTCGAGCTTTCTTGGTAGGATGGCGGGTCCATGTTGACATCTTCAGTAATCCCTGGTGACTGAACATCCTCCATGGCTATTGGTAGCTCGGTGTTTTCAGTCTCCACGTTCGGTTTGAATTCGGGGATGTCGCGAGAGACAGGATCAACCAGGCGATCTTTCATGGTGTCGTTAATGTAGACTAGGAAGTAGGGGGTAGGTGGGTTATTGGTCTCAGTATTCTTGAAGATTTCGTCCAAGTTCTGGACCTCGGTCACATATTCGTCATTGTACTTGCGCCAGACATCCTTGCGGAAGTCGTGGATGTAGATCCAGTAGTGACCAAAAGAGACGGAACCGTGATGCACAAAGACGGCGTATAGTCGGTATGGAAGTTTCCTGAAACTGGAGAATTGGTTGGAAAGCATGGCTTGAGTGTTCTGGATTTCTTGATCGACGGCTGCGAAATAAAATTTAGCAGGTTATAAGGAACCAGGCTGATTGACGGTAGGGTCCTTACACTGAAGCTCGCTCTGCACGGTCTGGGAAAGCTGGTCGAGCTCATTGAGGAGCTCCGGTTTGATCTCCAGGTTGCCGTCGCTTTCGATAGCAGCAACATCCTCAAGCACCTTTTTAGTACCACTGAAGAGTTCCGTCATTTCGAGAAGGTCATCATCCTATGTACTGCATTAGCTTCTGGAATTCAATGATGATTTGTGAAGCCGATCGTACATGCTCTCGCAACAGTTCCGCTCGACGAGCTTGAAGCGCCTTGAGGGTACTCTTCCATTCCCAACACTGACGACGGCGATTCATCACTTCCGGCTTGGTGGTATCCATGTACCGGTCAAGGTAGATGAGTTGTAGCAAGTCCAAGTGGTGCGTTGACTTGAACGAGCTCTTCTTCACGGGATCAAACTGAACGCGTTGCACCTGGATCTGCAAGATCGGAGGAATGTTGGTGATGGATCCGTACTGCTCGGCCTCTCCATTCTCAACGCTGATCTTTTGCACATCGAATGCACCGTCGATGGCTGCATAGATATCACGCGACCCGCCAGCCACATCGACCTTGATGTCGCACCATCTTTCCTCCTTGGATCGCGTGCCTCCTGCGGTGGTGATGTAAGACCGGGTTCGACCATAAAACAAGCTGGCAGATGTCAGTGAACGACATAGGTATTTGGAAGTTCAGGGTTTACCCACTCCTTGATTTGATCGACCTGTTCCCCGTCGCTGTCGATTCTCAGCGGCTTGATGGCACACTGACTCTGGAAAAGGACGTTGTTGATCACTTCGGTGACATCCTGCTGGGCACCAATCTCGACTTCTTCAATCAACTGCTTTTGACGATCCACTTCCGGGATCGGACGTGGGGGTACCGGTGGCGGGTGGTTAGGGGCCTCGGGATGCAGTGGGGTGGCGCCGACGGTCTCGAATGCATCCCCATCGGGTTCTGATGTTGGTGGCGAAAGCGGGCCACCTTTTCTATCCTCGTCGTCTTTGTTTTCGGCCGGAAGCGCAGATTCCGCATTAGGAATCGCTTCTGACACGAGTGTGGCATCACTGCCAATATCACTGGGATTAGAGGCTTTCGAGAGCGGTGTTCCGTTTTCCGGAGCTGTTTGCTCTTCAGTTCGCTCTTCAGCAATAGTGAGAGGAGGTCCGAGAGGTCCCAGAATGGGTCTTCCATCGACGTCACCGAGGCTCTGAGATTTTGAGATGGTTGATCTCCGACGGATGGCAGCTTCCCCTCCCGGACTGATCAAGGTCAAACGTGCCAGCTCTTGCCCAGGAGTTACTGAAGACTGTGCCGACGTGATCATACTGTCAAACAGACTCCGGAGTTCACTAAGGACTGCAAATAATTAGCTTTCATTTCAAGACTTTTGACAGGCCGAAATCAGGAAACTTACATTTGAGTGACCGCTCTACTTCTTTCTTGGCCACTTTACGGGACCCAACCTGCTTTTGAGCCATGATTGATTCGTCGTTCACGTCCATTTGGTGCTTCTCGAAATGCATGACCATGTCGCGGAATGGACGGACCGAAAAATAGAACTGGAGAAGGCTGTTTAGATAGCAGGTGTTGCCGATGTTTTGCAGGCCGACAGGCCATTCCACCAGGTTGCGATCTGGCTCACTCGAGATTCCAGCCATGTTACGCAACATCGGGCTATCCATGTTCTTAGCAATGATCGACAAAGCGCGGTTGTAGATGTCGGCTTGGCCTGGGTTTTCATCGATGCAGATCGTGTAGGCTGCCATGATAGCGCCGTCGTCGGCGGTGCGATCTGGAATCTGGAGTAAGCGGTAGGCGTCCCCGATATCCATTTCTCCTGCAATAGTCTCCCCAGTGGCAATGTAGTGCTCTAGCATATTGGACTTGCGGCTCTCCGCGATGAGCTTGAGAGCGCGAACGGCGAGGTCTTTGCACGAGGGATTGTCGTTCAGCTTTGCAGTGTACATGGTGATGATGAAGTCGTCTGGAGTGTTGTCTTCGACACCCAAAAATACCTGGGCTTGCTCAACAGTGGAAACTCGGTCTTCTGACACGGCCTTGATACGGTCACTGCCTCTGCTGGCACCTATCCGCCACAAGTGCTGGCGGGACTCATTCTCTTTCTCCGGCGAGGTAGAACTCAGGTAAGCATAGAACTTCCCAATGATGTTGTCTTCGGTGAGGGTGTAGTCGTTATGCCACAGCCCAAAGTACCTGTACGAGTCAACAAGATCATCATCCGTGTATTTTCCTTCCGAGTAAGCAACTGCGACGGCCTGCTCGATTATCTCATAATCCTCCCCACCGCGCAGAGTAGCGATTGCTTTCAGGCATTGCAAATACAGCGGAGCTCGTCCCGGGTCGACTGAGACTTGTCGATCGTATGCTTCAATAATCGCCGAGGCGGCCATATCCTCTGTGGCGCCGAGATCCTCGTAAAACCTAGGAGAAAAGCAGATAGTCAGTGATATTCATCACTCAAACGCAGGTCAGTTCCAGGCAGACTGGGGATACTAACGGAGCAGGCGGCATTGCAAATTCGTGGGCGCGGGAAGATTTCGGGTCTAATTCATGCATCAGCTTCGGTGTATCATAGGTCTCCAGGGGCAAGAACGAACACTCCATGGCATCCAGAGCGTAGAAGAGGTCATTCGTCGACAGGGAGGGAAGCGCAGGGAAATTGACACCCCTCTTCTCGGAAGTGGGTCGCTGGTGAAGCAAACAGAGTAGTTCCTGGATTATGTCGTCGAGAAAAATCGGCTCGGTGTCCTGGTAAGGCTGCATCGACCAGGGGTTAGGGGATGGCGGTTGCCAGCTACCAGCATCCTATCAGAAAAGTTAGTGAAAGAGGCAATATGACAGGATATATAAGAATATTGAAAGCACTGACAGCGTCGTAGACAAACCCCAAGAACTCCAACACGTCTTTACACGCAGTTCCCTCCAGTCCAAATGATAGCATGAACCTCTTATTGGCGGACGAGATCGCCTTACTCCGCTCGTGGCTATGAAGAGCATTATGAAGATAGAGGCGCAGGTTATCTAGGACAGTAATGGGCGCGGGAATGGCCATGCCCTCAAGCCGCTCTGGTTGTGCTGCGATTGCCTCTTCTGCACGCTCGCGAATCAATTCTGGATCGCTCAACAGCTCTAGAAACTGCGGAGTAATAAGAGGCGACAGAATCCGGAGTGAGACCATCGCCGAGCAGGAAAGATGAGAGCACTGATAGTGGTATGTCTCAACCACCTGCCCTTTATCCGTCACCTCTTCCGCCATTCGACTACCCTGCTGTCGGCCCGATTTGTACACAAAATGGTGCAAATGCTCTGAAATCTTGGCTACAGCAAATGCATTGCCACTTGTGGTGTGACTGACTACCACCTGTAAGTGGTAGCGACATTTCGAGCAGACAGCTGATAGCTTGGACGATGTTCCCGGTCTCCGTCTCTGCTCAGCCTTTGCCAGGTATGTTTGATTCTCCTTTGTCACATATGTGTGTTGACAAGCATGAGGCGAGACGAAGTCGGAGGTCTTGTCGCCATCCTCTGGGTGTACTGGTGGGACCTGTGAAAGCAGGTTGAGGCCAGTACCCGGCAGGTGTGCAGGATCGTATAGCCGGATGTCTTCCGCCAAGCGGGGAGCTGTCTTGCCTATACATTGCAGCGGGATAACTTGTCAGCAGACTTATCTACAATGATGAGGTCGAAAGAAGGATTCCTTCATGTTATAGTTGCTCACCTGGCCGCTGTGGAGGCACCATGACGACGGATCTATTGACGCAGCGCCGCGCGACTCAAAGCTTTCCCCTTTTCTTATGGAGCAAACCTGGGCACTCCCAAATGCAAATCACCCATGCGGACCCAGGAAATACTTTTGGGCCCCCGCGATGGAACGGTGTTTCGTGGAAGGGGACGGGCTGGCGGAGAGACAGCGGGGAGCCCACCACGCTGGGTAGCAGTGGGCGGTAAGCTTGCACCCGTTGTTGAAGGAGACACAGCTGCAGCCTTGATGGATGGAGATTTGCAGGCCTGAATCAAGCAGAAAGGATCTATCAAGATGCAAACGCAACGTGATTTCGAAAAATAAAATTGGGACGTGTTATTGTGACTCTTTCGAAACAGAACAGCCGTTAGAGCTTCATGGGTTGATTGCCATATCAATAGGGCGGTGTACAAGGCGGTCAAGTGCAGCAAAATGGAGTCCCGAAATCCCAGCTCGACCACACCTCCGTCCGCCTCCAAGTCGCAGCTCATCCCTCCCCGCGATACCATGGCGAACCACGAAGAGGACCACCACTACCACCCCCAGGATGCTGTCTCAGCAGCCGTCAAGACCACCATGCTAACTGGTAGTGTTGGTCTCTTTGCCTCGGCGGTGCAGAACACCCTGGTGAGGCAGAACGTCGGCCCGCTGGGTATCTTCATGCGCAGCGGTAGCACCATCACTATCCTCGGTACGAAGTCCCTGTCGAATGGGTTTCTGGGTCGGCCAATGCTAACATGACCGCTCGTCTAGCCGCAATGGGTGGTACCTACGAGTTCGCCAAGACCGCCTCGGCCAACCTGCGCGAGAAGCAGGACCCTGTGAACACTGCCATCGGTGGTTTCTTCTCTGGTGCGATTCTGGGTCTCCGAGGTCAGTCACAAGCACGCATAGATGATAGGAACGCAATTGGTCTGGACCGGTGGCATACTGACGCTTCTCCAGCCCGCTCCCTCCCCGCCGTTCTGGGTTACGGTGTGGCCCTCTCCACCGGCATGTTCGCGTTCGACTACACCGGTGGCTCCCTGTTCGGATACAGCAAGGACAAGACTGAGGATGAGTTCGACCGCCGGACGAAGCTGCGCAAAGCTTTCCAGACTCCCGCCGAGCAGACCTTTGCTGAATTGGGTGAGGGACGCGGTACGTTTTCACCAATGCCTTTTTGACCCCTCGTTCTGTGGGAGTCCCGCATTGAGCAATACTAATGGCATTCTGACAGGCATCTACGCCCCCGGCTACGAGGAGCGCCGTGCAGAGCGGATCAAGGAGGCATATGGCATTGAGGTCCCCAGATCCCCAGTCCCCGCATCATAAAAGCCTATTCCCTTTTTCCTCCGATATTCTTGATCCCGCCCTGCCTCCTTCTATCCCAGTCTCGTTGTGTAAATTACCCACTTTTCATCATGTTGCCTTAGCATGCAGGATAAATCAATCCGAAACCAATTTCTTATTCGTGAATCTGAGTGACGTAGACCTATTTGTACGTCTGTGTGGGTAGGGAGGGAGGGGTTTGGCCGTGCACCCAGCTCAGGTCATTAGACAGCCATTCTGGTGGGATTGGATCCATTGGATGAACCTGACTAGAATTTGCGAATGTCTCATAGGTCCGATCCTTTCGTGGATATCAAATAGCCACTCCTCGTGTGGGCGGCTTCTGCGATCGACTTTGGGGTTCGTGGAGTTGTGGAGGGGGATGATGTGCAAGGCGGCCAATGATGACGGAGCCATATCAAACTCACCTCAACACACTTCAGAGCCATTATGATTCTACCGCATAGCTGCAGCCAGACAGCTTCGCTCATGATCACCGCTCTGGAAACTCTGAATTTCTCCAGGACAGTCGAAACTGGAATTTTCCAATCATGATCTTATCCGACGATGACCTTTCCTATGGATTACGTCGATCTTGATATCGCAGATTTGTCACTGACAAGCCACCGGACAGGAAGGTCCACAGAGCAAACTCCAGGACACCGACAGATACAGATATGGCATTGATTGACTCAAATAAACTCGAAGCTCACCCGGTTGCTATGTACTGTGACAAACTTATCTCGATGCAACTGCCGGGTGTCTCTCAAGTACTGGGGTCCAGTGATCCTTCCGCAGAACGAACACAACTACAGTACTACAGGAGTTGTGGCAAGCGTCGCAAAGTTGACCTGCATCATCAGGCCGTCGGAAGTATCGGGCTGCATCGGTACGGAGCTCATGTCCTCCGCAAGGGGCAAACCACGTTTTTCGAGCAAGCTTCGAAACTGTTCCCTCGAGTGCCGACAGCGTTGGACCCTCGACGTCATGCACTATTCACAGGGCAGATCAGGGGAGGGGAGAGTAAATCCCCCCTTTTCAACCTTTTCTACTCCGTACAAGTTGACGGGCCTCGGACGGGGCTGAGCCTCAGATCGCGTGGATCATGCTCGCATGAAGCAAGCCCATTTGGCTGTGGCACCCTTCTTTTTATCCTTCCAGAGGGGACCTTTGCAGGGCCAACAGCACCCCAGCGCCTCGGCATGGCGGAGCCACCTTCGTCAGCCACGTTGACCATCCAGGCAGACAAATATTAACTTGCCCGTGGGCTTAGACAACCTCATGAAGTATCCGGAATACTTCATAGGGCGTCTTGACTGGAGACAAAATCTCTGAATGGGGGGTTCTCCCCTTCTTCCATAGTCCTGCGGAACCCGCAGTGCCAGAGGAGACCAGAGAGTTCGAACATCTTGGCCCGTTCGGTCATGATTTCCGCCAGTGTAGGTCCTCGACGTCAACCATCGTGATTAATGCGAATTAACTTTCAGGTGGTGCATCTTTCCCCTCAATCTGAGCCGGGCATCCCGAAAAGCAGGACCAACTGGTGGATGAACGGAAGTCCACCAAGGAGTCGTATTGGAGTATTGTAGTCACTCATTGTAACTGGGTGCCACAGTAGTGACTGTAAACTGGGTACTCTCCCGTTTATACAACGGCCGTTCAAAAGTCTGAAACAAGAGACCAAGCGAAAAGACCATCTAAATATGCTGCGACTTTACATTTCTATCAGATCTTTCTGAATATCTTTTGAAGCCTCTTTCTAGATATTCCCGGCAGTTTTATTCAACTTGCCTTTTAATGTATAGCTGATGAGAGGGGGTTGAACTTGTCCGGGTGTTCAAACTTACGGAACGCCACTGTACAACGGGGCGAGTTAGGAGGAGGGGGTCCATTTGTGTATTGGGTTTCCTGGTCGTCATCACTCGATCGCATCCCTCTCCTCGTAGACGTCATTCCCACACCATCTTTCATACTATGCGATCGATCCCCGGAGACTACTCTTTTTTGTGCTCTTGGGACAATTCCAACAATTCATATCTCACGTCTTTCCTCAATTCCCCTTCTTACCTTAACCCCCCCCTTTTCTCTCTCTCTCCCTATTCTGCAGTTCGGCGCCGTCGATAGTCCTGTGGGGCGAGCGAAATTGATCTCCCGTCGTCAAGCCTGTTCGACGAACTCCCCGCAAAAGAGCCCAGGCCCCAAGCCTCGCCGGTCGCTGGGTAACCAGAAATCCCCCTCTTCCTCAGGGCAAAGCCAACGGCCTAAAAAAAAAACCTCCGAGGACCAGGCTTCATCCAAGACTCATTATTCCCCTTGCTTGAATCTTTTGATTCTCACTTTCCACCACCAAGATCTCCTACTCTCCCCTTTTCCATTCACCCCCGTCACTCCTGTTGATCTCCCCAAACTCCGGTCTGCATCTCCGACATCCTCGACCTCTCATTTCCCCATTTACCACGTTCCCGTCATGGCGATGGCCGCGCGGCCACAGACCCCCGTGCAGGATGCATACCCAATCCCGCACCCAAACGAGACGGGGGCCCTGATCCGCGGGTATAGCACCGGCCGTTCCTCGTCGCGACCCAACTCCTTTGCCGGCAACGGCTCGGCCTTCCGCTACGGTAACCTCGACCAGTCGTCCCAACTCGCCCATAACCCGCGCTTCAAGGAGGACTTTGACACGCCCAGTCGTCGCAGCTCGGTCTTGATTGATGGTCCCTCTGGAGGCGGTGCTGGAGTACAGCGCTCAGCCTCACTCATGTCCCCGGGCCCGTCGCGCTCAGGCACACTCCAGAAGAAGGCCTCCCTGAGCAAGAAATCCAGTTTACGACGCAATGGGAGTCGGCGCTCCACGAGCGCGGGCAGTGTGCGAAGCCTCAGCTTGGGCGACCGAGAGAAATATCACTCGGACGGCGTGGAGGATGTGAACAGCGCATTCACGGTTCCTATCCCGACTACTGGCAACCCGACGGAGGTGTTGGCGAACCGCTTTCAAGGTACGTTCTTGCAGCTGGACAATGCTTTCTCTTGGATAGCTGAAGTTTACTGACACGTCCCCTTCCTCCGTAGCATGGCGCAAGATTCTGAAGGATCTGATCATCTTCTTCAAGGAAGTACAAAAGTCCTACGAAACCAGATCGAAGCTCTTCCTCTCCGCCTCTCATGTGACGAACAACCAAACTGTCCCCCCGGCGTTCCTACAATCTGGTGGCCTTGCCGATGCGACCGAGATTCTCCAGCATTTCCAGCGTCAGGGATACACTGAGGCCAACAAGGCCGTGGAGGTGGAGATTGAGGTAATCAGTCAGTTGACGGGTCTCCGAAGCGATCTCCAGAAGAAGACCAAGGAGATCAAGAGTCTCTCGGGCGACTTCAAGACCACCGTGGAAAAGGAACTTGATGGCACCCGCAAGGCGGTGCGCAATCTTCATGAGTCGCTGGGCCTGGTGGACAACGATCCCTCTGCGACCTCCGGCAAGGGCGATCCCTTCTTGATGCGCCTGAATGTCGAGCGACAGGTGGAAAAGCAGATCGAGGAGGAAAACTATCTTCATCGGGTTTGTTGCCTCCTACTCAGTGATTGGAATGATATGAGCTAACATTTTTACCCTTTTCCGTTACAGGCGTACTTGAATCTGGAAAACTCCGGTCGGGAACTCGAATCGATCGTCGTCAGCGAGATCCAAAAGGCCTACAATGCCTATGCCAGTATCCTTAAGAGGGAAGCTGATGAGGCTTATGATACGGTGGAGAAGCTGCGTGCGGGACCGATTTCGATGCCACAAGATCACGAGTGGAATGCCTTTGTCGCCGGCACTGACGAACTCGTAGACCCGCGCATCCCGCTGCGCAATGTGGAGAACATCACGTACGACGGCAAGGATCACCCGGCGGCAGCAGAGGTGCGCGCGGGGATGCTGGAACGCAAGAGCAAGTACCTGAAGAGTTATACTCCTGGTTGGTACGTGCTGTCGCCGACGCATCTACACGAATTCAAGTCGGCCGACCGTGTAGCGTGGCAGACTCCCGTCATGTCACTTTATCTGCCAGAGCAAAAGCTGGGCTCCCATTCGCAGGAAGACTCTAGCTCCCACAAGTTCATGTTGAAGGGCCGACAGACCGGTGCCATGCACCGCGGTCACTCGTGGGTGTTCCGTGCCGAGTCCCACGAAACCATGATGTCCTGGTATGAGGACATTGAAAGTCTCAGCAACAAGACGGGCGAAGCACGCAATGCATTTGTGCGGCGACACGTTCGTAGTGTGAGCGGTCGCTCGGTCAGCAGCGAGGTGATGGAGGATGACGAGGCTGATCGGACCCCGTACTCCGCCGAGTCCGTGGTTCTGGGCCAGGAACGGCCCACCTCAGCCACCCGCCAGCCCGGCGGGGCCTTCCCGAGTGACGTCCAGATCGATCGGCATCTCCAAGCGCCGCTGTCCCCATCCAGCGGTGACAGCTCTGCCGGCAGGGAGATGATCGCTGCCGCTAGCGCTCTTCCAGACGGTACTGGAGCCGCAGGTCCCTCGCGGTATTACGGCGGTCGCGAATCGGGCACCGCATCTCCACAACCAACCAATGATGACGGCTCAATCAAGGTGGACCACTCTCGGTCCCGGATGAGTCGCCATGACAGCTACTACGGAGACTGGATGGGACCTACCGCCATAGTAGCCCTGCAGAAGAAGAGCCAGCTGGCTGAAGCGGCAAATGCAGATGCTCGCGAGATCCGTTCGGACGGAGACCACAACTCCGTGGTGGCCATGCCTGGGGTCGTAGAGGGTGCAGACCGCCGTGAATCTTCCGCGCCGCCGCAGGTTGCTCGTCGGGAGAGCGTGTCTACGGTGCCGACCAATACCAACGGCACCGACTACACCAATAACACGCTGGCCACGTCCGTCGACGAAGCGCCCGAGTTCATGAAGAACGGCACTGCCGTGGCTAGTGGCTCCATGCCCTCCAAGAACTACGAGGATGGGTACGCAGTAGCCGGCGCCGCCGGCAGTGCCAAAACGGGCCCAGACTTGAGCCTGCCCAAGCAGGACAGCGTCACGGCTATCGACATGAAGATCCCTGGTCGCTACCCACCCACCAACAATGTGGCCGCATGATATCAATCGTTTCCTTTCTCCCTTTCATTTGATTTTTTCTTCTCTTTTCATTTGTTTCTATCTTCATTTCCTGTATGTCTTTTTTTCATGTCCTCCCCGCCTTTTGGGACCAGAGTGTCCCACTTGTACATGTATCAATTCCCCCAACACCACGATTATTGCCACTACCCTACACTCCAATGCGTCCTAGGTTCCCATTTAGGCGTTTTGGTTCATTCGTTTCTGTCGAGGATATCTCTCTGCCATAGTATTCCTCTACGTACCCGCTCCAAAGCTATAGATCCAGATCCAGATCCTCCCCCGTCGCAGGCGTTCGTTCCGGGTGTTGCAGGCGCTCGGTTACCGGGTCTCTTTCGATTCGTGATTCCCCCGGGATGCGGCGCATCCATGCATTCGTTTCTATTTTCTCGATCTGTGATCTTTTTGGCATGTTTTTATTTCCTGTTTTTTTCTAGAGTGAAGAAATGAAAACGATTTGGTGTGATCTCATAGATGTATATTGCATGAGGGTAGAGCTTTTAGTCTAATCTTCACCTGTACTGTATATGTCATTTGATGGGATTATTCGCTGCAGGATTGGAGTAGTCCACTGGACCTCGGATGAATTGTGTAGTAATAATCAGGTTGACTCTCATGCTTGATTGTGTGTGTGTGTATGTATATGCTGTTGTACCCCTGGACTGATCCCAGGCCTAGACCAGTGGCTGGCTGCAGGATGGGTGACCCGGGGTGGCTAGACCGTGCAGGGCTGGATTGTGTACAGTACATTTCACAAGTGGCGTATCGATATGTACAGTAAGTATGGAGTCCTGGTTTACCGTATGCATACTTGACGGTATCTACTGGTGACTGCTAGGAAGGGCTATCGTCTGGTGATGATGACGGGAGTATATCTCGGGTGTTAGATATCGTCTGTGATTGCCCGAGAGGCCTGGAGAGTGCTTGAGAGATACTTGGAGTTATGCAGATAGGCAGCTTTGACGGTAGTGATCTAATTATCTACTTACTATCTGATATTCTGTCTATACTTTATTCGTGCTCTTTCTGTAGGATTATCCGGTTGTAGTGGAAGGTCTAGCTAGGTACTACGATCATTTCCTCCGTAGAACTCAACCTGGCCGTGCCTCGGGCGGTGGGGGCTAAATCGGACGGGTCGAGTATCAGAAACCAAACCCACTGACCCGGTCAACTGCCAAACTGCCAAATTCCCAAACACGACACAACACCCCCAAACAACCTCAACCCCGTCTTTCCGTCCACCTCATCCACCACCACTCTCTTCCTTCTTCTTCTCCTTCGCCTCCCCTCCGGGAATCTCCTCCCTCTTCTGCTTCTCCTTCTTCCTTCTCCTCTCCACCACCCTCGATCCACGACCTTATCCTTGTACCACCACCGAGCTTGAAAGTATGGGTAGGTGTTTCCCCCCCCCCCCCCCGTCCTGTCTCACTGGGCCCGGTCAGCAGTATATGCGGGCGTCAAATACACGGGCAGTACTCGTGTCCAGCCCAGTTTACCCCGTTGCTTTCTGTCCTGTCCCGAGTGTCTGGCCTGGTCCTTCATACATTATTCGGTCATTCTCAGCTGCTTCCCCCTCCCTTCCCCTTCCTCCCTCCCTCCAATCACCGCTCGTCCCCCTCCCAACCAAACACTGGCCCTTTCGTCTTTCTGACCATCCCCCTCCTCCTGCACCTCCTCCTTCTTCCCTTCCTCTTCCCTTTCCCCCTCCCTTAACCTGTTCTAGTCCTGTTCGGCTAATCCTCCCTTTCTATTTCTTTTCCTCCAACAGCGGACGTCTATCGACCGTATCAAGTGAGTAACTACAACTTCCTTATCTTCTTTTTCCTACACGTCCGTCGTGGCCCACGCTATCGCGGAATGCGCGACGCTGGGCGCGACCCGTTGTCCACTATCGTGGTCAGTGCGGGGCCGGATACCTCCCCAAGTCCAGATCCACGACCCAGTTTGCGCCGCATCGTCGCCTGGACCAGGGAAATCATCAGAGGGGGACGGAGATGAATTGCGCTTCGTTTGATCTCCCTGGATTCTGCAAACATCCTACACTCCCCTCCCTGTGTTCTGTGCGCACAAACCGCGAAACGCAGTGGCCCGCCCCAAGCGCTGTCTCCGGGGGTCCTCGAATTGGGGCCCTCAGCTCATACAGGCATGGTCACATGACCGGTCCTCCTCCTCCACCCCGATCTCGCGCGGTCTTCTTCTCCCCGGGTCCCTCTGCTGTGCTCTCTTGTCTCGGCTGCGCCTCAATTCCCATCCAAGACATACCATTGCTTCTTCCCCCCACTCACCCTGGTGTTTGGCCATCACTTTCTTCCCCTTTTCCGTTATTCGTCATTCTCGCTCGCGCGATCCTATTCCCCTCTTCTCTTCCTCCCTCCGTCACCATGTCTTCTCAATACCCCGATCACCATTATCCCGACTCTGACCGTATCCAGCAGCGTGAGAGGTCTCGTTCGCCCCGTCGTCGTCCTTCTCGCAGTCCCCGACGCAATCGTCGCTCGTATTCGCCGCGCAGTCGCTCTCGCAGCCGTGACGATTACCGTCGCAGTGATCGCGAGCGCCGTTCTCGTTCTCCGTTGAGTAATTCTGCTGCCGCTGCACCCTCGGGCTCTCCCTACGGTGGACGCAGTAGCTACCCGCCGGGTCGAAACTTTGAGGATCGTTCTGCCGCCAAAGAAAATATGATGCAATCCGTCCGCGACTCGTCCCAACAAGACCGCCGCGTCTATGTGGGCAACCTTTCATACGATGTGAAATGGCACCACTTGAAAGATTTTATGCGACAGGGTAAGCAATGATGGAGCGCGCGATGGTCGTGGGTGATATTGGCGTCGATCCGCCACGTGATATCAGGATAATGGCTGACCGATGATCTCGGGTTTTCCCCTCGAACAGCTGGAGAGGTTCTCTTTGCCGATGTTTTACTTCTTCCGAATGGAATGTCGAAGGTGGGCGCCAATACGTAGAGTGGCTGGTTCCTTTTCTACTCCCTGATTTCTCGTGGTTTTGTTTCTGGTTTCATTGCATGGACTGTTGGGTTGACGGGCTGGGCCTGGTTATCCGGACACTGTAGGGATGCGGGTACGTCTTTTGCACAGGGGAATTTCTTTCAGAAGCGTGGTGACTAACTCTGGAAACAGGATTGTGGAATACGCTACGAGGGAGCAAGCGCAAAACGCAGTCAACTCGCTCAGCAACCAAAATCTGATGGGCCGCCTCGTTTACGTCCGCGAAGTACGTCGATACCATACTTTTGGAGAGATTGAGGATGGACGGGCAAAAACTGATTGTTTTCAATTGCAGGATCGTGAGGCCGAGCCTCGTTTCATCGGTGGTCCTCCCCGCGGCGACTTTGGCGGTGGTGGCCGCGGTGGCTTCGGTGGTGGATTTGGCGGCCCCCCGGTGGTGGTGGCCGTCAACTCTATGTGTCGAACGTTTGTAGTCCCCAATGTTCCCCCCTTGTGATGCTAAGATTTTGCTGTGAGCCAGGATCGTATTGACAGAATCCCATTAGCTTCCGTTCAATGTGGGCTGGCAAGACTTGAAGGATCTGTTCCGCCAAGCTGGTAAGTGAAGCAACTGCTTGGGGGGATCAATTGACAGGTCCTTCCGAGTCATTGTTCTCCTCTCCGTTCTTCTTTGGGTTTTCCCTTTTGTGAGCGTTTGGCGTTTGGCGAATTGACTTGAACTTCCTTTACAGCCCAGCAGGGTGCCGTTATCCGTGCCGATGTGCACACCGACCCGACCGGTCGCCCCAAGGGCTCCGGTATCGTTGCTTTTGAGTCTCCGGAAGATGCGCGCAACGCTATTGCCCAGTTCAACGGCTACGAATGGCAGGGCCGTCCTCTGGAAGTTCGAGAGGACCGTTTCGCTGGCGGTGGCCCCGGCTTTGGTGGCCGTGGTGGCTTCGGCGGTGGTTTCGGCGGTCGCGGTGGTTTCCCTGGAGGCCGTGGCGGCTTTGGTGGACGCGGTGGATTTGGCGGTGGTTTCGGCGGCCGTGGTGGATTCGCTGGCGGTGCTCCAGGCGGCTTTGGCGGCGGCGGAGGCGGCGGTGGCTTCGAGAATCCCGTTGCTTCGGTGCCCCCGAACGCATTCACTGACTTTGCGACCTCTGGCGGCGAGAAGAGCGGTGTTATCTACGTTCGCAACGTAAGTTTTCTTCGGGGATGTGTTTACATCTGAGGGTTGATGTTTGGGATGAATTGCTGACTCGGATAATAGCTGCCCTGGTCTACCTGCAATGAGGACCTGATTGATCTGTTCTCGACGATTGGCAAGGTTGATCGGGCTGAGATTCAGTACGAGCCCAATGGCCGCTCCCGCGGTACTGGTGTGGTTGAATTTGATAGCCCTGACACTGCAGAGACCGCGATTGGTGAGTTGTTGCGCTTGTCTACTTGCATGGTCGTCTTGTACTAACTTTTTTGTCTAGCCAAGTTCACTGGCTACCAGTATGGCGGCCGTCCTCTCGGAATTACTTTTGTCAAGTATCTGAATGATGGCGGCGCACCTGGCGAGATGATGGAGGGAGCTGAGCCCACGGACGTCATTACCCAGGACCAGATCATGTAATCTGTTGTCTTGGCCCTCTAACACTTGGGCCTCTTTACTGTTTCTGTTTGGGATTATTCTTTCTTCTCTTCTCTCCTTCTTCTTTTGTTGCTTTTCGCCATGATTCCCTTATTCCCGTCATGTTTCCCTTGTGTCCAAAGGGTATTGTCGATCTGCCTTAGAATGGAAAAAAAACGTCTGTGCTTTTTGTAGTTTGCACGTGCAGAAGATCCGCCAGACAATCGCAACTTTACTTTTTCTCCACTTTTTCCCAATCTCCCGTAACTTCTTCTTAACCACACCACTCCAATTGACAACTTACAACCTCCATTCTCGCAATGGTATCCCTTCAACGCCTCCCCGTTCCTCGAAGGACCATCTCTTCTATCCAATCCATCCGCACAACCCGCCCTTTCCACACAATCCACCACCGACCATCCTCATCTCCATCAACCAGAACCACTATCCAAATCCAAATCCAAACCTCCAAACCCACGCCCCTCACCTCAATCCGCCCCTACCACTCAACCCTCCACCCCCGCCCACCCACCCACGAATACACAAACAGCCAAACCGCCATCCTAACCGCCTCCCTCCCACACATCCCAACCCACGGTTTCACAAGCGCCGCGTTAACCCGGGGTGCCCGCGACGCGGGCTTCCTCGATGTCTCGGTGCAGCTTTTGCCGAGGGGCGCGTTTGATCTGGTGCTTTTTTGGTTGGCCAGTCGGAGGGGGTTGTTGAGGGGGAGGGTTGAGGCGGGGGATGTTTTTGGGGAGGGTGCTGGTGCTGCGGAGGGGTTGAGTGTGGAGGAAAAGCTTAGGGTTTTGGTGGTGGAGAGGTTGAAGATGAATGTTGATGTTAAGGGGGTTTGGCAGGATGTACGTCTAAACCTCTCTCTCGCTCTCTCTACCCTTCCTTTCAATCCTTGTCTTTCGTTCTTTTTTTTCGTTTCTATTGGTACTAACACCATCCCACCCAGGCCCTCGCCCAAATGTCCCTCCTAGGCAACATCCCCCTCTCCCTCCTCGAACTCCACGCCATATCCAACGATATCCTCACCCTAGCAGGCGACACTGCCGTCGACTCGACCTGGTACGCGCGCCGGATGGCAGTTGCCGCGATCTACGCCAGCGCTGAGGTAGTCATGACGCGGGATCCGACGCCTGATCTGCTCGAGACGGAGGCGTTTGTGCGGCGCCGGTTTGAGGATAAGGAGGTTTTGAGGGGGAAGGTTGAGGGGGTGGGGTCTTGGGTTGGGTTTTGGGGGAGTACGGCTGTTGGGGTTGGGAGGAGTTGGGGGTTGAAGATTTAGGGTCGATGGGGAGAGAGGAATTGTATTTTTAGGTCTGGCTGAGGCGGATGGGATGCGCGTCCTTGTCCTTGTTTTGGTGTCCTGATCTATCTTGCTTGGTGGATCTTTGATGCTTTAGGGCTCTTTTGTCCAGCTCGATTTGGAATGCTTTCAGCATTTGGATGGACGAGGACATGGATGGATCGATCTCCCGGTGCTTGTATTCTATTATTTCTATTCTTTGGACAGCGTCTAGCGAACAAGCCTCTACTTTCTTCCTTCGGTCCAAGATACTGTACGACTAAGCTTACTATTGTGATATCATCTGCAAGTTAATCATCTTATTGATAACGATAAATGGATATGTATTTATGCATCGCTACCCTCTTTCCACTTGCCACGTCCACCTCAACCACCCTCTCACACTCAATGCAACGAAACATTCTGCACTGCTTCCTCAACACTTACCGGCTGCACAGTATCCTTCCCATCCGGAGCAGATACAAGCAACGTCGGGCTAGTCGGACTCGTAGGCGAAAACGGATCAGACAGTGTTCCGGCATCCTCGCTGGCACCCTGCACAGTCGTCGTGCTACTTACAGCCAGAGCCACGGCCTCTGAATCGCTCTCTTTCGCCTGAGACCCGGTACTGACTCCGCTCTCGACAGAGTCCGTGTGTGCGTGAGCCTGTGCCTTGCCGCGGCCCCAGCGGCGTGTTTTGGGCGGCGCGGGTTTCTGTCCGTGCTTGTTGATGCTGGTGCCGGCGCTTGTGGCCGGAGTAGGGCTGGGTCCAGTTGAGGCTGGTACGGACCGGTGCTGGCTCGTTGATGGAGTTGTTTGGGATGAGCGACGTGGTGGAGGGAGAGCTGGGGGTGGATTAGAGGCGGAGCGCCGCGCGTGCCCTGGAATTGGAGGTACGAGGTGAGAGGTGGTCGTAGAGTCACGCCGGTCTGTGGTCGTGCTGGCCGTGGTAGCATCTGGGGTTGTGGAGGAAGGAGTTGTCGGCGCTGGTGGGGTGGGCGCCGTGTGCGTTGATGTCGGGCTAATCTCGACACCTTCGGGGATAGTGTTGCGATCACTACTGGTGCCGGTGGAGTGCTGGTCATCTTCGTCGACGGCGAGACGACGCCCGCGCCAGCGCCGGGATTTCGGTGGTTCGGGCTTGATCTTGGGGGCGCGAATGGTGGGAGCTTCCGCGACCAGGTCGATGCTGCGGCCATCATTGCGACTGGGTGTGATGACGCCGGGCTTTTCATGCTGATTCGCGACGGCTTGCACGCTGAGTGTGGATGCCGACGCAGGCTCGAACTGCATACCTAGTTGATGGATGGTGCTGAGTTTCCGTCGCGAGTCGGGTGCCTCGGATGAGCCACGCGAGTCTAAAGAGTCCATCCTTGTGGGTGATGCCGTGCCTGGTGAATCGGGGATTGAGCTCATGTGAGATAATGTACGCGTGACAGCGATTGAGTCCATTTCAACCGGCGAGTCTTGCTGGACCGTCGCGTCGAGGACTGTATCGATCGTGGCAGTGACAATCTGGGTAGGTGTCTCATGGACTGGAGTAGTGATCTCGGGATTATCGACATTGCGTAGCCAATCCACCGTTGCGCACCTGCCTACAAGTCGCCGTGTGGTTTCATCAACATCTTCAAAGTGGAGGATCTTTTCTTGCTCGGCCTGGCTTCCATACGAGACTTGTCCTCGGCCGAGAATGCTGAGCAATCTCCTCAATTCATCCCGCTTGTAATACGGCGGGAGTCGTAGCTGAGTATGTGCCAGCAGCGGGTACAAAACACGGAGATAAGTATGTCGTAGTGCAGATGCCTCCTCGGGCAAGTCCAGGAGGTTGCGGATCAAGATATCCACCAAGACATGCAAGTCATTGGTAAAGAAATATTCATAGGTGCTGGGAGTGGTAAAGATCAGATAAAGCAGCTTCAAGGTAAGCAACTGTAGAGATGTCTCGACTATCCACATGTCAGCTTACAGCTAGCGCAGCTATAAGGGATACTAAACTCACCTTCGCGGTTGATAAGCAGGATAATGTTCTCGCCAAAGGTCTTGTACAAGCTTCCGTGGACAGAGAGAACCTTGATGACCTTATTCGTCAACCGACTAGAAGACGACCGCTCATCAACTGGATCATGAGCCGAGATCATAAACTGCTCATTGAGCACCAACTGAAACCAAAATTAGCTAGCCCTTCAACATCAATAGATCACCGAACATCACTCACCAGCACTCGGATCACAGGATAATGATACGGATCCGTGACATCGTAGGACAAATCCTCGATAATGTCGAAGAGACACCGTATGAAATCGTCATCCACAAGTACTGTCCATAGAAAGAGCCATATCAGCACCCAACTTTACCAGAATTATACTTCCAGTCAACCAACATACCCAGATCCTCAATCTTGACTCGCTGAATTCGCGACATCTCATATAACAAGTCCATGAGCAACCGGTGGAGACCAGCCCCGCCATCCGTATCGTCCCTGCGCAGCGACTGAATCAATTCCAGGAGGCGCGCAAACACGCCCTCCTCATTCATCATCTGCAAAGCCGCTTCATTCTGCCGACCGTCGAAGAGCAGGAACGATGCGATAAAGTGTAGTGTTTTCAGATCATCTTCCTGGACAGGAGCAGTGTGTATTAGCGGGCTGTTTGCGACTTCAATTTCGCGTTGTACTAAGGGAAGAGGAGGGTAGGTAGGTAGATAGGTACCTGTAAGAGACAGTAGATGATCTGTCGGCGGACGTACTCCGCATGAGCCCCGAAGATAGTTGACGCAAAGAGCTTGTACGAACAGCGCGAGATGTCGTATTCGGTAGAGAGAAATTCATCTAGATGTTAAAGGATATATTGTTAGCGACTAGCATAGTGAAAGAGGTCATGCAGCGAGACACTAGAATGGCCGTGGAATTGAAGAGGGGGAGGAGGAAGAGGGGACCATGTTGCGCACCTTTGCACTGCGTCGTCAAGCTCAGATACGCCCTGAGGGCGTCGTCAATCGAATCCTCGGTGTCACAAGCCTGCGAGACAATCTCTTCAAGTTCTGCTAAGTGGTTAATTGAGGCTTGTCGCAAGGGAGCAATCGCCGACCCATGACAGCGCCGCCTTCGCCCTGAAGGCCGGTCCCGGTGGTAGTCCGCAGGGTTGGCGGGGCAAGGAATAACGACTCACCATTCCAGAACTGCTGGGGCTCCGAGACCTCGGGCTCCATTTCCCACCGAGCTCGATCTGGGTCTTCGGGGGTGGTGAGTCAGGGCACTCATCCCGTCTTGTTGTGTCGGGGAAGAAAGAGAGAGGTTGGAGATGCGGAATGTGTTTGGTGTTTGGAGGCGGGGCGAGGTCGTTAGCTCCGGTCCAGTCCACTTTGCGGGCCACCCTACAAAGAGACAACTACATACGAGGTATAGGAGAAGACAAGAATGTGGTCAAGAGAGTCTGCTTGGTATTTGTTACTCCTCGAGTCTATGGTGATGGACAGTATTACGGTCAAATCAAGATATATGCATATTTTTCGCTGGTATCACTGTATGCAGGACAATTTCCGCAAAATAAAAACAAAACGAACAAAGGCCTTAAACGAGAGGGAGAAAGTATATCATGAAACCGGGCGTTGGAAGGGATGCGCTTCGGTGTTTCTGCAAAAGGTCAGTAATGTTTTCTCAGATAAATGTAGAGAGTCCTCAAAAACTTACAGCACATATTTATCCAAATCCACTACACTAGGATCGCTGAAGAGTAGATAAAAGTACTTCAGCGTTTCCGCCGTCCAAAAGGACTCCATCGCATCCTTCTGCGCGGGCTTTGACGCCGTGACATCCTTAATGCCAGCGTGCGCCAGGTTAGTCCGCGTGTACTTGATAATTGCCTCGAACATCTTCCATCCCTTCCGCCGCCAGGCGTCGTCGCCTGTCAATCGGAACATGATAAACACAGACTCAATAGCCTCGGGACGGAGGAAGTACTCTGGCGCCGAGATGCTCGTCATACCCGAGGGTAGACGGTCATTGATCTCATTGCCCTCGGACTGCGACACGAAGGCTGGGCGGGGCGCCTCGCCGTTGGAGGCTGGAGCTGCTGCGCCCCGTCCGGCGTTGACTGCATCCCGCTTGTTGTAGGTAGGGTCGTTGTCGTGTGGATTCATGGAGCCAGGCATGGGAAGAGGCACAGCCATGCCGCCTTCGCCAGCTCCTTGAGGCTTGTGATCGTTATTCAGCTTGACTCGCTGACCATAGGTGCTTTCGCCAGTGCGGAACCGCGCTTCAGCCTCGGAATCGATAACGTGCGAGTACCGCTTGACGTCGGCCTGGTAGAGCTTCTCGTCCCAATCGCATGACTTGTCCTTGCTGCAGGGCAACAGGCGGAATCGCTCGGGCATGATCCCGGTGTTGGTCGACTCGTACGCCCAAACACAGCCGTCGGTCAGCTTGGCAGCCAAATCCATGTCACTCTCGATGCTAAACGCCTTTGCGCCCATGGCAACCATGCCGCCCAGGAAACAGCTGAGGTGGGTGCTTTCATATTCGAGATCCGAAGGACCAAGGACTCCAAGCTTCGCGGGGTCGAGGGACCCAGTAGTCGCCATGAAACGCAGGTTCCGCTGGCCCTTGACCATGGGTCTGAAAAGCAGTGTCTTGCGAGCTGCGTCCATCGCCTTCTTGTACATCTTCTTATACTGGTCATTTGCACCGCCTAGAATGAGATACTCCTTGGGCAGATATTCGTAGGTCGAGTCAGCCAATCCGCCAAGACCATACTTGTTGTCACGAAGTGACAATGGGAGCCCTAGGCCACCGTCACATTTCTCAGTGACAGAGGTCGAGCCCTCAGTGGTAGGCTTGCTAGAACTATCACTGCTAGCACTGCTCCCCAATTTACCATCGCGGTTATATGGCGCAAGCTCTGCTTCCGAGAGATCAATCTCGGTGTCACGCTCGATCAAGCGAGTATAACTCTCGATATCAGTCGGGGCAGCATACGGTTTACGGGTACGCGTGGACGAAGGTGTATGCGTAGCCACGGTCGAAGACGAAGTGTTTGTCGCAACAAGCTCTTCAAAGTCGTCTTCCAGAGGCATAGCAGTATCCCGACTGGGTCTATACCTGGGGCAGCCCTGTGCATTCACCCGCACAGGCCACAGGCCCGGGATGTTGGTCTCGTCCTGGAATTCCTCCAGTCGATTGGTGATACGCGCAATTGCATCGTAGTACTTGTCCTGTTTGGTCAATTGGGCCAAGCGGGTGAATTCCAACGAGAGGGATCCAATCTCAGCCAAGGTGGCCTTGGCTGACGCCCGGTGAGGACGCTTAGTATGGGCGCTAGAGGAGAATGTCAGCTCTGTAAATATGAAAGAGAAATTTTGCTGTGCAGACTCACGGAGTCCAGCGGTAGTATAGCACGGGCATGCGGTTCGGCGTGTCAAAGGCGCCAATCAGAACCTCGGCTAATTGCTCAGCCTTCTCCAACAGAATCTCGTATTTCTGCCCGGAGATATCGTAGGCACCGAGTAATCCTCCCAGGTAGCGAATCACAGTCTCAAACACGGGAATATCCTCTCGGGGAGAGGTCGTGAAGTCAATCTTCTTAACCGCATCCACGGCCTCTGAGAACTCATCCTTCAAATCCATGATCCACAGGGTATCCAGCGAATCGATCAGCGTCGCACCCCAACCATTGAACGGATCATCGAAAGTCTCCGTGACAGGTTTAATTTCGTCATGTCCAATTGCAACTTGCTTATATCCAGCCCAGGCGTGCTTAAACTCGGCCCTGATAGTGCTCAATCGCTGCAGCCGCTCCTGTTTATCCGCGCTGGTCTCATCCTTGGGTTTAGCCTGGAGCTTGGGCATGGCCTTTGATACCTCCTTGGGGAGGGTGATCAGTTCGCTCGGTGCAACGGGGAACCGCTCGGGTGTCTTGACCCAGTGCGCAGCGGGGCCATTGGGGTGCTCCTGAACCGACAATCTGCCGGTACCGCCGTGATCAATTTCCTCGGGAAGGTTGTCAAGAGAGTCACCAATGATCGTAGGAGGTAGCTTGCTGCTGCTTCCAGGTTTCTCATCACTCGAGCCGTCCGAGCTCCCGGTGCCTGGAGACTTCAGTGGGGCATCTTTGGAGGCAGTCGATCCAGACGCAGATCCAGACGCCAACCCAGGTGTAGATCCAACGTCCTTATTCTTATCAACCTTCGCACTACCCGGCCCAACGGGCGACTTGAACTCATTCTGCGGCGGATACTGGGGCGGGGATTTGCTACTATCCTCAGCCGGGGCTTGCTGTTTAGGTGGATTTTGGTTCGAGGCAGCCGGTTGTGAGGAATGATCGCCACTTGAGGTCTCGATCACGGCGGTCTGGCTCCAATCGCGCGACCGGGCGAAATGGAGGGTGGTCAGGACGAGGACCGCGGCGAAGATGAGCAAGACGCGGTAGCGGCGGGCTCGAAACATGGTGGGCCGTCGCACCCGTCGGGGGGGGAAAAAGGAGAGAATGGTAGTTAGTGGCTGAAGGAGTGGATTGGGATCGGAGGAGGGCAGGAGAAGGAGAGAAAAGAAGAAGGAAAAGAAAATATTAAGGAGAGGAAAGTGCCCAGTCGAGACGCGGAGGAGTCGAGAGTTGGATGTCACGAGACGAAATGAAGAGGAAGGAGAATACAAAATACGACTTTAATGCGGAGTGGAGATCCACATGTGATGGGTCGGACTCAGGAACCAGGCTGAGTAGGACGAAGCCCAAGTAACTAACTAACTCTAGTTAACAACTAACTAAATTCAATCGGCGTTTCGTTTAGGGGTCCACGGTGTTTGTGGCTATGAATAGCATCCAAGTTGCAGTATGTTGTCAGAAAAGACTCTCCATCCTCAAGCCTGAGTGTGGTATTTATTTGGCATTCAAGTAGTCTGTCCAATCCTGCACTACTACGGAGTACCCCCTCCTCACTTCACCCTTCAGCCCATCAGGGATCTCGACCGAGCCAAGAACGCCGAGTGTCGCCAAACCCGCGGCTCTTGGGCCGTTCACTGGTGGACACTGGACACTACTTGAGCCTGGAGCCTTGGAAGTTGGAGGGGATACCAATTCCCAGTTGACCTCTCAAAACATGGCATGTCTCGTAGTTCAATGGGTCGTTTCCGACGTGTTGCTGCATTATTCGATCCTTCTTTTGCGTTTCAGGCCAGTTGACATACTGTAACTACCAAGTACAGTAAGTTATTCTCCAGGGTACTGGTAATGAACTAACCAGTGGAGGGACTATCTGGGGGCGATCAGTAAGGGTCTGGCGGGTCGGCCTATCATCGCAGAGTGGCAATTCCTTAGAGAGGGGACGGTCAAAAGAATTCATTTCTTCATTCGCTGAGCATGCTAAGGAGATAATTACGACTGCTGGCTTAGTACTCAATAGTTAATAGCCCCTGATTAACGACGTAGTGTCGTATTCGCTCCGGCAGGGCCGAAATAAGCACAATACCCTACTACTGTACCTCGGTGATGATGGACAGGATTGCTTGGGGTTTTCGAGTCGAGTCGAGTCGATTGGATTTGTATTTGATTAGAAGATTTACTCGGGTACACAGGGGCTGAATATTGCACTTTGTATATTCATACGAGAACATTCATAATGGTACTGACTACAAGTACAAGCTCTTTGTTGATGGCCGCTGCAGATCGACCTCCAATCTAGGGAATGGCTAAGACGGCACCCCAAAATTGGTATTTGGACATCTCCATTTCCAAATCTAGTTAAGCGCTGGAATTGCTTTATTATCTTTGGTCTTTCTGAATGTCTGTTAAGTTGTCTTTTGAGATAGACCGACTTATACTCCAGATAGTTAGAACTGATGAGATGATTTCGAACTTTCCTGGGTGTTTCAAACTTGTGGGAAGGGGCTTTGACGGTAGTAAGCCAAGGATAAGGCATAACTAGATTTGGAAATGGGCATGTCGAAATACCATTGCTTAGGATCTACAAAGAAAACCCCAGAAAGTAAAAACAAAATCAAGCAAATTCATAATTCCGTCTAGCCTATCGTTAAAAAGATGTGCAACAAGAAAAAGTTCGTGTTGTGACATGTGCATGGATTGGATCCCCGGTCTAAGGCTGTATTGTGCGCAGCAGCATATCGACTAGATCCCCACGGGAGCCCGTCTACCCTCAGTATTCGCCTTCTGGAACTGTTGAATGAGACCAAGCACACCCGCACCCCCGGCAATGGCGTCGATATTCTCCCCCTCATCACCTTCATCTACGTCCTCTTCCTGACCAAGGGGATTCATGCGCCATGAATCGCCCAAGCTACTCTCGCCAGTACCAGCACCCCCACTGGAAGCAACGCCTGGCTGACGCGCTGTGGAATCACGGGGTTCCGGAGACTGTGCGTCTTCGTCATCGATGGTGCTGGCGATGGGTAGCTGTGACCGTGCCAGTCGAGAACGCTGGTGAGGTGCGTGACGTGCCACAGGGCGGAAGCCGGAGCTAGAGGGTTGATGATGCGGGTCCAAGAGGATGGAAGGGCCTGGAGAGCGGGGTTCGCCTGTTGGTGCCGGCCGGAATCTGGAGGCGGCAACAATGGACTGCGGGCCCCATGGTCCACCGGCTGGGCCAAACCGAGTTGAATGCTCGAATCGTTCGGGCAAGGCCCTCAGCTCGGGAGACCCGAGAGTGGGCAAGCCTGGGGGTGGATGGAATGGGCGGCGTGTGTTCGTCTGAGGATTGGTCCCGTAGTGATCCAAGAAGCCATAGTAGGATGCAAGCATCTTGCCATCCTTGGTGGAGAAGTAATCAGCGCGCAGATCCTGGCGACCATTGTCACGTGGGCCCTGAGACATGACGTTCGTGCCCTTCTTGAAGTCGAACACTGCAAATGAGCAGAGGTAGCCCACGCCATCGACATGAACCGTAAACTCGCGGAAGAAATCGATCAAGCGGTCACTGCACTTTGGCAAGCTAAACCACAGGACAAACGGCGTAAAGATCATGCTCAAGATCTCCTCCAAGAAGATAACGATTTTCAGCTGATAGCAAACGGCAAATTCCTTCCGCACATCGTCACTATGCAAGCGCCCTTTCCACGTCGAGGGGAAATAATGGGTGAAATCAATCAACTCAAGAAGGGCAAACTCCGGATCGAAGACGTCGGTCTCTTCGGGTGCCATCCCCTGGGCAAAGGCCCAAACAGTACCGAAAATTCCGAGATAGAAGAGCACCGTTCGATCATGGGTGATTTCAAACCCAAGGAACAGTTCCGGATCGATCACCGAGGCAAGCGCAAGCACTGAAGCCAGTGCACCAGAGATAAAGGCGACAAAACGGGCCAACTGAACGGTCTTGTCCTTGGGAAATTGATCAATGTAGCGGCTGGCGAAAGGGTAAGACATGTTGATGCGACGCTCAAAGAGATGCCAAAGTTCGTTGAATTCGCGGAACTTCCACTCCGCCAGCGGGGTGTATTGACGCGAGCCAATTTGTGCTGGATTCTTCTTAAACTCGTTGAAATAGCGGAAAAAATAATGCATGAGGAAATAGACCACGATGAAAGGGGCGACGAAGATGTTCATAATGCCCGCAAAGATGAACCGTCGGCGTAAACCATCGCTCAGCGCTCTTCTGTGGGTATCTTTGAGGAAAATGGTTCGTAACTGGCCTTGCTCGTTGAAAACATAGTCCATAATGCAGAGGTTGAGGTTCCATTCCAGGGTCCGCGAGAAGAGCTGCCGATTGCGGAGAAATGGGATCGGCAACGTCAAGTCCAGGATGTCTTTGTTGACTAGCGCGATCATGTAGTTTTCTTTGCGCATCAAGCGATTGGCAATATCGTGGGCATCCATGCGCTGCTTTGACTGGCTGCGTAGGTACTTTCGGTGCTTGGCAGAGACTGCGGCAGCTGTGGATGGGTTGGCATCTCGTAGCGTCATCAGGCGGCTGACTACCTCTTGCCATGAGATTGTCTGAACCTCAGCATCGGACACTCCAAGCAGATAGTAATAAAAGTCATGCATGTGCTTGAGTCTACGAATATCCAGCAGAAGCTGGAAGAGCTTGCTGATCCAAAAAAAGCTGAGTAACCACAGTAAAAACGTGGCTGAGCCAGACATTTTGGATGTGCATTTGGGGACGAGAATTTCATCCAGGGACTTGCTGCCCCGAACTTTGTGGTAGTCGACGCAGTTGGTCAGAAAAGTCGTAAATCCAACCACGAAAGCAAACGTCCTAAAATTTATCAGCTTCGAGGTTCGGAAGGCCAGGTCGCAGAGTAAAGGAAAACAGGGCAAGGAGCTCGACTTACAAAAGATTCAAGGACCGACTCAGTAAGATGGACCAAAACCCATTTCCCAGGAAATAGGTATACACATCTTTCAGAAAGTTGTCTAGGTTCTCCACGTTTGCCCATCGCCACATGGCTTTCTTCTTGGGATCCGTGTTGCTTAAGCTCGGATGCTGTTGTGCAATGAACCACCGGGCTACGGGGTGAGTGCTCGCAGTGCCTGCCATAGTGTGTATTTGACGTGTTTGCCGGCGTGATGGATCAGGTTGGGGTGACGGTCGAGGACTCGGGGTTCTTGAACGGCTGGGCATGCTATGAGGTGGGGGGAGGGAGACGCGACTTCAACTCCTCGTCATCATGCCCCTCGACTAGCAGCGATTGCGGTACATCTTCGTCTCGATCGTCAAGCTCATACCCTGGTGGAGATGGCTGGGTCATCCACCGCGGCCTCGAAGGTTTGCGCCGGCGAGTATGAGATGGTGAACCATGACGAGCTGCTGCCTTCCCGGAGGACCTGGGACCCAACAAGCCAGCACTCGGGCTGGAGGCTTCACTTCGAGCTGCATCCGCCAGAGCATCCTGCAACTCTCCGTCACTGAAGTGCTCATTATAGTCCGCCTCGTGGGCCAACCCCGCGCGCTCCTCGAGATCAGAGGATTCGGATCCGGCGTCGTTCTCGCGGATTGCCTCGTACACCGAGGGGGAGTCCGTGGGAGGAAGAAAGCGAGACAAGATATTAGAGGACATCATCTTGCCATCTGATCAGAGCTGATATATCTGGCCCTAGGGACTCATCGCCGCAGCTGTATGTGTCAGTCGTATATGATCAACACCTGAAAGGAGTGCGGAGAAAGAAAGGACCCGCTCTAGCTCAATGGCGCAACGCTGGTCGCATCAGCCGCTTGATGGTCGAGGTCTGTTTATTCGTATAGCTGAGAGAGGATGACAGCTGCCTTTATTATTCGCGTCGGAGGACTCTGACCTTGTGCATCTGATCGCGTCCCGTGAGGTACGCCGAAGCTCTGCGTGATCTCCAGAGCCGCCCCGTTATGACATAATAAGCTTCCGTCGGGCCAGGATGGAAGCCTGGGAGCCTGGGAGCCTGAAGGCCTGAAAAGAATGACTAACGTATGTGGCAGCCTGAGGCTTCACATCACTGTTGCAGCACGAGTCATGCGGATTGTGCGGGGTCGACGCTACCCAAAGAGGTAAAGGACGCCTGCAGCTGCTTCTGTTTGAGGACCTTCCACCGAAGATTCTACTGCTCCAGGGACTAGCGAATAATATTGCGAGTTTCCGATTTCCAGTCCTGCAAGGACTGTGTCCGTTTGGTCTGTCCCCTGTCTCTGTCTCAGTGGGCCTCCAGCGGCTGGCTGATGTGTGCTACTGACACGCTGACTTCTAGAACACTTGCGATTGCACCACCCGCCACCACTTCTGTACTTGGCGGTGTCGTTCGAGTCTGGGCCTTATTGGACCTTGGATCCCGACAACATCTCCCGACATTTCTCCTCGCTCTGCCTTCTCCTATGTAGGCTTCAACGGTCGCCTAAACGGAGATATGGGTAGTCCAAAGTCCGCCATTCATGCTGATAGGATATCTTCTCCCTCCTTAGCATCCGGGAACCCACGGCGCCCCGAGCGGCTCCACTCTCGGGGATTTCCCACGACCAACCTTTTTGCAGCCAGGAGAAGACTCGCGGTCAAACGGATGTCGTTGACTCTTCATGACCAGATCAGCGCCAGTTGAATGGCCCATCAACCCAGGTAGCAGTGACCGGGCCCCCTAATAGTGGCATCCACCTCAAAGTTTGTACTAGGTACCTACACTGCTCTCGGTTTAGTCTTCCCCATGCGAAGGAGGCATTTATCATTCCATGTGGGCATGATTATCCTGGCCCCCTTTCTCCTGTTCTCTGATCATTACATGGACCACCAGGGTCTGGAGTCCTGGACCATGAAGAATGAGTGCAAGGAAACAGGGATGAGGATTACTGGCAGACCGCTGACTGGGCGCAGCCGGGGCCGGGGGGGGGGGGGGGGAAGAAGGATTAAGGACAGTGTGGAGGGTCTGATCTACCAGATCATGTCCTTGGCTTTGGGCACCATGTCATGATTCAGGGATCGGTCAGAATTGTTCCCACCAGTGGCTCGCGTCTGGGGGTCTTCCAAAAAGGTAACCAGGGTCACGCAATTTGGGGGTCATAATGGCTTCTGTCCTACTGGCTAATCAATCGCTGCTGGTACTCAACAAACCAGCTCGTGGGCTTTTTGAAATGGTGGCCCCCCATATCCCGTCTGGAGGCTTAGTGGGGTAGGGAATACTAACGACACTCCCATTTGAGCCGTCTAGCGCGATATAATCCTGCAGTTGGCCCGTCCCATTGGTGCTAGCTCTCGGTATTCTCGGTTGAGATGGATTGAACAATGGGGGACGAAAAGAAATGCCCCCCGGACGGCCTCGCCACCTGACGCTTATCGGGTCCTTCCATGTAGAACTGCCGGCTGTCGGCTATAGTATGCAGGTGTTAAAGTCCAGAACGCAGAGTGTACTTCGTAAGGTTCAAGGATTGGAAGAATTGTTAAACGGTACGGTCTTGCGCCAGGCTCTGTCTTTGGAATGGACGGGGCTAGTCCCTTGTCCTAGGGCTTATTTCGCGACATGGTGATGATGGTCGTTAGAGACATAGTGCAGCCAATGCACAGGGAGTCCCTGTCTAATTCAATTCAATCCAGTTCAAATGAGATCTTATTCAGCAAAGGCCCCGGAAAAATAATGGAGAATGTTGATTGGGCATACCCATAATGAACAGCGACACCAAGGGCGATTAGTGGTAATCTTACCTACAGTAGTTGAGGTAGAATACTAAGACAATAATATGATAGCAATGCCAAATTTTTGATTGTTTAATCACCTTACAAACTAAGCAGATCTTCCAAAAGACCCAAAAAGTCGGGTTAGAGGTCGTTAGGGTAGGTTAGTTGGGTTAGTTCACGGAGTCGTAGCAGAGAGTGTCCCCTATACAACTCAGCTCGTCCATTATCCACACTTCCCCCCCTCTCCTCCCTCTCTCTCTACCCCCTCTCCCTCCTCCCTCCCTCCCTCTTCACCTTCCACCACCACCAACCTCCGAGGGTATTGACATCGACCACCCGCCACTCCATCTATCGTCACATAATCTCCTTTGCCATTCCTCTCTGCTCCTTCTGGTCCGTCTGCTTCGGACCTTTTGAGTTAAGGGATCTGCAGAGCACCACACACAACCCCCCCCCCCCCCCCCCTCCCTTCAAACGCCCAACCACAACCCGCCGGGAACCCCAGCGAAACCGACGCGAGACCTCCAATTCGAAAAGGGACTGATGAAGGTGTGTGTGTGCGCTGCCCTCCTCTGCGACTCCCATTCCATCCTCCAATCCTGCTCGCTTGCCACACTGCATCCCCTCCTCGTTCCCTCTTTCCTATAATGCTATCGCCGCGCCCTGAACGACCAGCTTTCGGGGCTTCCTGATCTCGCTATTGAATATCCTCACGGTAGCGACACGGTCGCAAGTCGTCGGTTGGAGGAGTGGATGCTTACTGTCTCATTTTAGGCCCTGCATCACTCAGACAAACGACGCTGAACTGCGCCTGCCTTTGACGCCCATCTTGTCAATCCCGCCCAACCCTCAACCGAATGTACGATTTCGAACCCCTTCCTTCTGCTAGACTCCATGTGTTCTCCTAGCAATCTCCTGGATATAAGCCACTCCCAATTGCTCACGCGCGACTGAGCACCGAAACTGAAAAAAAAAGGACTTGAATATACAGGAGAGTGCATACACCGGATACCGACCGGTTCGGAGGGTGAGGTTGTGTCGGGCGCGCGGAGTGATTCCTCTTTTCCTATCCGGGCCTCCTTACTTTCTCGCGCTCGTCATCTCACGCAAAGTTGCGACCACGCAGAATGGAGCCTGACAATCCCAATGGGTACAAGCGGAGCTCGATGCACCAGGCCTTCTATAGCCGCCCCGTGGAACGACGTCCCAGCAAGAAATCATCCTCCCGGGATCGCCATGGCATGGTATATCCAGACAATTTCCGTGACACGAGTATTCGCACTGTGACCCCGGAGTCTCACTCCCCCTTGTCCGATGCGGAGTATCTCACTGGCAACAGTGCGAGCGCGCCGTCACCACGGACCACCATGCGATCGCGGACAGTAGAGCGAAACGAGGAAGAAACGCTCACAGAAGCTAGGGGCCAGCGCACACGATCACGAACGACGAATCTAGAGGAACAACGGGGGGACATGGCGCCGAACACTTTCAAGGCACGAACGCGGATCGGATCGGTCAATGCGGCCAGCTCGTCTCAGCCCAAGATGGTGGATACCAAGGTCGCTGAGGAATCCGCAAGTTCAATCGGTTTCCCTTCAATACACTCGCCTAATTACGTTGGTCAGGCCGTCACACGTCAACGAATCAGCAGATCCCAGGGAGCCGGCTTGACAAGCCCTGTCGCACACAACCAAGCCGCCTTCGCCTCTCCCCTTTCGAATACTGATTCCGCCAAGATTCTACAGTTGATGAAAACGACTTGTGGCCGAATGCACGGAATCCTTTCCTTTCGAACAGCGACAAATAACTCATGGTCGTCAAGCACTTGGACATCGGGCTATTGTGCCATCAATGTTGCCACGGGTAGTCTGATATATCAAGCAAAGGGCGAGCCAGCGCTAGCAAAAACATTGATCCCTGATTTACGTGGGTGTCGCGTTCGCACGTTGTTCGACGCAGAGTTGCAAACTACTTACTTGAGCGTCAACACATTTACCTCCGGTCTCGGCATTCAACTACGACCTCACGTGAACGAGACCTTCGACTCTTGGTTGGCGGCCCTGCTTTGCTGGCAGCCCATCCGCCCAAAGGGCGTTCAAAATAAAATGACCAAACCTCAGGCCGTCGTCATCGGCGATCGCCGTATTCCCGAGCGTCGACGAAACTCGGAGAGTGCTGCACAGAAAGATGCAGCCATCATTAAGGTTGGAAAGATGCTTCTGTGGGATAAGCCCTCCGCATCTGGAGCGCGTCCTGCGTCAGTCCGTCGAGTATCTACATATCGGCAATCCAGGGCCTTGAACTCTTCATGGCAGCGGGTAAGCTGTACATTGCAGGAGAACGGTTTCTTCAAGCTTTATACCGAGTCGGATGTCACACTCGTGGCAACAGTCCAGCTCTCTCAACTCTCGAGGTGTGCCATTCAGCAATTGGACTCATCGGTATTGGATGATGAGTTTTGCATCGCGATTTACCCGCAATATACGGCACACCCAGTCCCCGACCCTGGAATCCGCCCCATATATCTTGCTCTCGAAAGCCGCGTCATTTTTGAGGTATGGTTTGTGCTGTTACGTGCATTTACCATTCCAGAGCTTTACGGCCCCGAGGCTCTCGATGATGAAGAAGACCGGAACAAGACGCCAGAGGCTCAGTCTCCTGCACACCACACCCACGACATGTTCCGAATTGAGCGTATCTTGAACCTCCGAATCACCGAGGCGAAGCTTTTCCGAGTCAAGGAAGAAGAGACTCCTCGCAGCCGAAAGATGTCCAGATCGCATGGGCACTCCGCCCCATCGCCACCCAAAGCCAGCGATTACTACACAGAGGTCCTCTTAGATGGAGAAATTCGCGCCAAGACGGCTGTCAAATACCGTACTACGAACCCGTTCTGGCGCGAGGACTTCACTTTCAACGACTTGCCGCCTGTCCTCTCTCAAGCCTCTATCCTAGTCAAAACTCTCAATCCGACGCAAAGAGATTGGACGCTCATCGCGCATGGAACGTACTCTAACCAAGATGTCAATGCAGCCAATATGCTGGACGAAATCGAAATTTCAACCAAGGACGCGATCTTTGGGCGAGTTGACTTGCGCCTTGAAGAATTAGACCCTGGCGTTGACACAGAAAAGTGGTGGCCCATTCTGGATGACCAGGATCAGGCCGTGGGAGAGATGTTCATGAAAGCCCGAATGGAAGAGACGGTCGTCTTGATGTCCGAAGAATATGCGCAGATGCACGACCTACTCCACGCCTTCACTAACGGTCTGACAATCAACATGGCTCGGGTCATGTCATCCGAATTGACTCAATTGGCCGAAATGCTCTTGAACATCTTCCAGGTCTCTGGAGCAACAGTAGATTGGATATCTGCGCTTATCGAAGACGAAATCGATGGCGTCCACAAGGAATCGACCGCCAATCGTCTGCGCTACACGACGAGAATCCACTCCAATGACTCTCGCGAGTCTGGCCAGGACCGTGAAATCCTTGTCAGAGATATGGGACGGACAGCTACCGTTGAAGCCAACTTGCTATTCCGTGGGAATTCACTACTCACCAAGGCCCTCGATCTGCACATGCGTCGACTTGGCAAGGAATATCTGGAAGACACTATTGGAGAACGAATCCGGGAAATCGATGAAAGTGATCCAGAGTGCGAGGTAGATCCGGCTCGTGTGCCACGTACGGAAGATCTGGATCGTAACTGGCGCAACCTGATCTCGCTTACTACGGGTGTCTGGAAGTCGATTGCCATGTCCGTTGGTCGGTGTCCCCCCGAGCTTCGTCGTATTTTCCGGCACGTCAGAGCTTGCGCAGAGGATCGTTACGGCGATTTCCTCCGCTCCGTGACTTATAGCAGTGTTTCTGGTTTCTTGTTCCTGCGGTTCTTTTGTCCGGCTATCCTGAACCCCAAGCTATTTGGACTTTTGAAAGGTAAGGCGTATCATGGTGGATGTCACAAGCTTCGAGTTCAACGCGCTAACTTACATGGCAGACCACCCTCGTCCTCGGGCTCAACGCACTTTGACGCTTATTGCCAAGGCTCTTCAAGGACTGGCCAACATGACAACATTCGGCAACAAAGAACCGTGGATGGAACCGATGAACAAATTTTTAGTGGGCAACCGCGCCGATTTCAAGGCATTCGTCGACCAAATTTGCAACATTTCGGCGGAGCGTCCAGCTGCTATGATCACGCCCTCTTATACGACTCCTCTGCAGATTCTCGGGCGCTTACCGGCTACCTCCCGCGAGGGTTTCCCGAGTCTTCCGTTCCTGATCGATATTGCTCGATGCTTCGCAAACTTAATCCGTATATGGTTAGAGGTGGTTTCAGAGCGACTATCCGAGCTTGAGGAAGTAGATCCCTTCCTGGCCAGATTTCATCAATTGGCTTTGCAACTGCAGGAGCGCACCGAGGATTGCCTCGATGAGGCCGAGCAGGCGGAGCGACCGAGTGGGAATCTTGAGGTGAAGTGGGAGGAATTGGTGGACTCGATGGAGCGAGCAGTCACCTTCTATGATGAGGGTTCGAGTAAACCTACCACTCCAGCTGCAGAACTACCCCTCTCAAAGAGCAATCTGCCAGTCTCCTCCTCCTCGGCATCAAACACCCCCGGTCACCGCGGCTCAGTTGGCTACTTCGCCACTCGCCCTGCTATGCCCCGTCGATCAACCGACAATGCGCCCGAAGCGGACGACACGCCACCCAGCTCATCGTCGGCTACTTGGGACCAGTCTCGCGTACCATTCAGCATTCCTCGGTGGTCCGATCCTCGCGATAGCACTGGCAGTTCCAAAAACTCTTCTACCTACTCTCTCGAATCCTCAGAGAATGCCAAGGCCCGCCGGTCCAGTGTCACCAAAGAATCTTCGAGCAAATACCGCTTCTTCGACTTTGTCCCCGCGCCGTCACGTCGCAAGAAGGACCGAGACCAGTCTCAGCATCACTCGCACGAGGATCTCCGGAACGAGTTCTAGATGACAAGCACTGCCTTGTGACTGGTCACATTCGTCTTCCGTAAAATTTTCCTTATCTATATGTGCTCATGAAGTCCACGCTCCATTTCCTTTGCTCGCTTCATCATCATTTCTCATCTTCAACTATCTCCGACAATATCCTTTTCAATCTCACTTCTCGATCGGATTGAAAACCGATCGATCTTCTCTGTGTTCTCTCAGCATGTGTCACGGTGTTGATACCCTTCTTTCTTCTCCCTCTCTTTTCTGATTTCCCCGCTCCTCCCATGCCTTCCATCCATCTATCCCCTTCCATGTCATATACATGCCTTTCAACCTTCGCCAGCCAGCCAGGTCAGCTAGTTTGCCGGATATCACTCAGCTCTTGGATTGAGAGCGAGGAAAAGTTCAAAAGGACCATACACTTGAATGACTCAACGGACGCTCGGTTTTTACAAAAGAGGCCTTGAGCTTTGTGTCCTGCGGGTGTATTTCGTGGCGATGCACTTTCGGTGTGCTCGTGTGAGTGCGTGTCAGTGTGGTCAGTGGTTGTTGTCAGCGTGTATATACTTGATTGTATTCCTCGAATAGACGGAATGGACCCTTGTTCTCAGCGTGATTCGATGCATTTCTTTTTCCATCCATAGACTGTATTTCCAATTGTTGTCTGCCATACATCAACTCAATGATTTGCCAAATCTGTAGCTGGACTTTCGACAATCCGGTCCTCCACAATGAACAGCTACAGTAGTTTTGTGTATACTAGGTCTTATCAAAATGCAAACCTGCATGAAAGATCATCAAGCCAACTCTCTCAAGTTCCCCATTCGCTCGAATTTCCGACCCAAAATGGAAATTTTCCTGACTCAGCACCGCCTAAGCCAGCCCGAGACGAAGATGTCATACAACGCTGAAATCTTTAGATTGGAATGTATATTATACAGCCCCTCGGACCCCTTTGAGTCTATTTACTCACTGATCGTCCCCGACGCGTCTTATGTTCGGAATGAGTGATGACCTTTTGCGCGCTGTAAGTGACCCGGTTGACCACATGATCTTGGGCGGATGTATATGGATTGGCCGGAAGCTGATGGATAGACTGTTCAGTGTGATCTCTGCTATTCGAGAAAGGTTTAAATCTTGATTGATTGTTCGAGATTGTATGGTAATCATTAGCTGACTTAATCCCTGCAGGTTCGATGTGATAGAAGACCTCGTTGTTCAAATTGCACCGATGCAGGAGCCGACTGTCGACGTGATCGCCCTGAGCGGCCGGCTCGATCTCAGAAATCGACTGTGTACGTTGCATTGTCAAAGAAAATTTATGTTACTAGTACTCACTGATCATTACAGTATTTCGTCACTAGGCGAGAGACTTTTGAGGCTGGAAAAAGCAGTCTCGGCACCTTACACGTACGATGAACAAATCCGTTCTATTACGATATCAGGTATTACTGACACCATGGCACAGCCCTGATAATTCAAGTCCATCTCATGGATTATGTCAATCTGAAATAGATGTCTACTCCAAGAAAGAAAGCTGGATCATGTGGTTCCTGCGAAGGAAGCTTCCAAGTCTCCCCTCAGCAGTTGCCCCGTGGTTACCCCGGACGAGTCTACTCACCATGCGGAACAAGCCCGGGTAATCATTCAGAGTGAACTCGACGGTAATGAACGTATGAATCGTGAGCGTCAAGCAATTCTAAAGTCTGCCCTGGAATTTGTGAATTCTATGGCGCGTGGTGCGAACTCGGGGCCTGATGAGGCTCCGACCTTCGATGTACCGCATGGCGAATGCGCAGATATTCCCGAATCTATTGAGCCAAGCCCAGAGCTGCTGTACATGCTTTTAAGAGGTAATTGTATCTCTCCTATTGTGAGGACCTTTACTCACAGAAAGGCAGAGTCCACCACCACAGGCGAAATGCCGCACAACATTCACTGGCCCGACCATATCTCCAACAAAGCTTTACGGAAAATGGTGTCCAGCTTCCTCGGTGGTAAACTCACGGGCCAGAAATTTTATCAGTATTGCATCTGCATCTATGTGAGACCCATTTTTAACACCTACGACATGCCCAGGCTCTACAACGATTCGGTCATGAACGAACAATTTCTCAAGTCGAAGAGATCATACGCCGCCTCTGCGCTTCGTGCTATCCAAAGTCTTAATTTTTTGAATATTCCGAGCTTGTCTTTTGTTCAATCATTGATCTCCGCGGTAAGTCTTATGGTCAATAGCATTACAGAGGCCTTTCTGACGTTGTCATTGAACGTAGACATTTTTAATGCAATATCTCGGAAACATGAGCCAAGCTTGGGTGTTGAACTCCTACGCCGCTCGCTTAATTGCCGGTTTGAATTACCATGATACCAAGACCAGAAACTGCGATCAAGACCTCGAAGAGGAGATCAACAATTCTGTCTACTGGTGTTTTTACCTTGATCGCACTCTAAGCTCCCTTCTTCGCCGGCCACCGTCATTACCCGAACTTCAAGGTTCGGCGAGCGACCTTATCTGTTGGAATAATTCTCTTCCTCACATGCCACTAATACGTATTCTTGTGGACCTGGCCGAAATCCAAGGAGACCTTTCGAGCAGTTGCAAGGCGCCCGACAACCGGCAAATTCTGGATAATCACTCCAAGTTGCAAGAAAGGATGAACGCCATCTATTCAACGTTACAGTCTGTGAGTCTTGATAATACTGAAGAACCCTTTTGGACTTGCTCTGACACAATTTATGTTCCAGAGCCGGAACTCTGCACCCGAGCTATTCAGTTGTGATTGGGTTGCAACCGAGTTCTCCTATTATGCTATCCTAGTGGACATTCTTCGATCGAGATTGAAATACGCATTCTCTCCTTTGACACATAGAGAATGTGTCTCATATTCTAGGAAAGCCTTGAAAGCACTGCAGTATCTGCAGAAACATCTCACCAAAAACCCAGGTTTCATTGATCCGTATCCCACGTTTCTCACTTGGTGAGTTCCCGTAATTTCAGCACCTCATAGGTCAGATTGGACCGCTGACGATTCGTGTCTGTTTATCCTAGGACTATATTTTTATACCCCCTCAGTCCATTTTTTGTCCTCTTCTGCAACATCATCGGTGAATTAGACATGGATGACTACCGCCTCATTCAAGACATCACCCAAAACTTATCCCAATCCACCAGCAGTCCTTACATTGTGAGATTGCTCAATCTCTTGGGTACCCTCCAAAACCTTTGCGAGCCATTAATTCAGACCAAGATGCATCTTGGCCCCCAAGCCAAGGTCGCCCCTTGGTATCCAGCTACAAGTGACGAGCAGCAAGCGACTATGGCTGTTTCTGAAGAGTCTCTTGCTCTGGCAGCCTCGTATGCTGGCTCTGAATTTCAATCATACTCTCAAAATGAGCAGCCGAATGCTACTGCGGGAGTACAGCCTCTTGCTGATGAGTTGATGTGGCACTTGTTCAATAGTCAGCCTTCGCTGCAATGGTGTGAGTCAGATGTTATCACTCTAGATCCACCTGTAAATTATTGATGGCTAGGGAGTTTACTTAGTCTTTATCCTGAACTCCGCTCAATATAATATGTTTCGGTATTATTATCCATTCTGTCTCCAGACTCGGAACATGATACGTAGAAGATGATGCTCTGTACTACATAGAAAAGTCTTATAGTTGTACAGAGGTATTTTGAATATCAGTGCCCGGATGACTGCTGAATATACTTGTTTAATCAGGATTCTATCTGAAGAATAATTCAAGGTACTGCTAAGAACTCGCTGCGTCGATCGTGGGCTACAAGGAACTCTAACATTTTTACTAGCATAATCTACAGGATTTGATGGCTGGCACAATCGCTACAGACGGTTTGGACACCTCCAATCTCTACGAACCTGCGAAAACGACAAGGTAGATCGCGAACTCCGGCCACCCTGGTGTACTCTAAGTAAATATAAATTTAGTACATCATAGTTATTTCTAGAGAGGGTAAGAAATCTTGAATCTATGACTAGGCTTTTGACAGTTGAGTTGAGTTTTCTTCGCAACGGTGACATATGTCCACGCCCAAATTTTTTCATCTTTCAACAAATTCGATGACTCTCCTGGGTGAGGCTCAGAATGACTGCTGCAGGCCTGACAAACCTGCGCAGTGTTGGATGAAGGGCATCCAATCGAGCCTGACAACACACACGCTACGGCGGACGACCACCATACGATGCCTCGACCATCCAGAAAGACGTGTCCAAATACATCTAAAGGGGCCGTTTAAAAGAGGGCAGGTTCAGGAAGCCTGTGCGCTAGACTCAGAATTTTCAACTACCACTGCAATCATCATCAAAACCGACACTGGAGATAGTCGGACACCGGATTCGGTTAGGATCGTTCCGTCGAATGTATCGGCGACGATCCGAGGGAGGCCTTGATCTACCCAAAATCGGTTAGCCCCCATACTCTTCCCTTGCAACACCATGTATGGAGTAAGGCAACAACGAAGTTGATCGAGAAGGTCTCGTATTTCTCATCTCGTGACTCTCGAAGAAGTTTCCGATACATTGCCTCTGAGGAGCTTTGATCTGGGTTGATTGTTCTCCTTTATACCCCTTGAAGGACATAGCCTCAATAAAATCACAATCTCTGACATCGCCACGATGGACGTCTCTTCAAAGGGACTAACGATGCCATCTTTCCAGCGAAAAGGCAGCAATATCCTGATTCGTCGTGCACAATACTCGGATATCCCCTTCATGGCAAACATAGCGGCAGCCGAATTTCGTGATTCCGATCTGAACAAATTCCTCTGCCCATATCGCCATCAGTATCCCGACCATTTCAACAGACGCTTCCTACAGATGTTTCAAGCGCGACATTTCGACCCTCGATCAATTGGCTTTGTAGCCGTGGAGCCTTCCAGCCCGCACAAGCCCGTAGCCTACATACACTTGACCCGCTTTGGAGACGACGAGCAAGCGAGACGATTGATTGCGGCGCAGGACTCGCTCTGGCGGAGACTATGCCATCGGTTGCTTCAGCTTCGAACCATGATAGTAAACTATCTCTGGCCTGATCGGTCCACTGATCACGATGCGGCGCGCCAGTTTGACGAATCGGCCAAGCGCGACAGTGAAAAGTATTGGGGGTCTGATGAGATGAGGGCAAAGTATGGGAATCGCTGGCATGTAAGGGGTCTAGTGGTCTCCTCATCGCATCAACGTAGAGGAGTTGGCCAGGCGCTCATGGCGGAGGTTTTGCAGAGGGCGCAGCAAGAGGGTGTTGTAGTTGGATTGGAGGCCAGTGGAGATGGGGAGAAGCTCTACCGATTGCTGGGATTTGAGATGCGAGGCCCATTCTCTATGATTGTTGGACCACCAGTTGGGGGGTTTATGATGTGGACTCCTAAATGAACAGAGTAGACTATAGGTTATCAATATTTAAGGCGATCCGGTTAATTATTGATTCGTGGATCTCCCTTTTCGTAGTTGGTCGCCTTAACGACTAGGCGGGGCTGCTGTGCACCAGTTACTTAAAAGAGTGCCCGATGGACCAAGGTGATATAAAAGATTTTTATTGACCCAGGTAACAAACACTCCTGCTTACAATAAACACATGGAAATACTATAATTCCTTCTGAGTTGGATTACATCACAACTGGGCTAAACCATGGCGGATCCCGTCAGATATGAGCTCTCCGACCTGGACAAAGGAGGATTCCTCAAGGAGGTGACCGTCGCCATGTTCTACGAGATCCCTCCTATTGCCAACTCGGAAAAGGGTATCGCATCTTTGGAATACGGGCTGAAGAATGCAATCGATCAGTTGCCTTTCATGGCAGGAGACTTGCAATTTGAAAAGACTGGTAAACTCTGCGTCATCAAACCCCCAGAGGGCCAGCTCAAATTCGATATTCACCGATTCGAATCCATTGAACAAAAGTCTCTTTCCACTTTCGCTCAAACATCCTTCGCCCCTGATTCACTGGATCTCACTCAATTTCTGCCTCAAGCCCCAGAGGACAAAAAGCCAGTTTGTCGTTTGAAGTTAAACCTCATTGAGGGTGGTTTGGTTCTGGGACTCCGGGTCAACCATGCAGCTGGAGACTGGTCTTCGATTGATAGATTCTTGTCTCTAATTTGCCAAAGCTGCAAAGCTCATCAAGAAGGCTTGGAGATGCCCACCTACACACCAGACCTGAACAGAGTCCCGTACAATACGCCCACAGATATCTCGAAATACCCGAGGCAGGATTCCTTGGAGAAACTTCGAATCTTCCACGTCATGGAAAAGAGTCAATTCAAACCTCCCTCGTCAACCCCATCCCAACCCAAGATCTTCCGAATTTCGGACGCGGCTATCAAGGATATCAAAGACCAATGCTCTTCCTATCTCACTGGGGTGGACTTCATATCCTCGTACGACTGCATCTCTGCTCTTGTCTGGACGTCAATTACTCGTGCGCGACTTCATCTTCACCCAGAAGAAAAGACCTCCCCATCTCGCTTCATTCACCCCATCGACGTGCGAGCCCGGGACCCAGAACACAAAACTTCTGAACAATACTTCGGCAACGCCGTTATCGGATCCCAAGCTGGTCCCATAGACGCCCAAGCCCTGGTATCAGACGCAAAGAGAGGCCTAGCAACCGCAGCCTCCCTAGTTCGGCAATCAATCAATTCCGTCGACATGACCTCAATCAGCCATATGACCTCTCTCAATTCATCTCTCTCACCAACAGAAACTTTGGGTACTCACGCTGATTTCACAAACATGGACGTGTTCATGAATACTTGGCACTCGGGGAGCACAGAGAGGTATGATCTTGGAGCGGGTGTGGTCCCCGTTGCTTTACGACTGCAAGCACCAATCCCGGGGGCTTGCGCAGTGATTTTACCGAGTTTCTCGCGGGGATCCACGAAGGTCTTTGATGTTCATCTACAGGTAACGCCGGAGGAGCATGGGCTGTTGAAACAAGATGCGGGCTTTGCAAAGTATTTTGAGCTGATTACATAGAGTGTGCTGGTTTCGAGGGGTGAAGAGAGACAGCTGGAATTCGTTTTTTTTTAATTGACTTAATGTATAGATTGCGAGGTTTAGTCGAGGGATAACTGCTTAGTTCAATTCTCAATCTTTGACGTACTTTGACTGATAAGCTCGTTTCAACGGTTGCTAATGGAACGTCACTGAAACTCGAAAGGTATGCATCACACAGTCGCAAAGCATCCTAGTAATATCAAACAAATCCCAACCATTCGAGAGCGTCAAACTTCCCATGGTGATCCTCCTGCCTTCAAAGACGCAGGAAGGCCATTCTCAACATGTTTGAGAACATTTACAGAAGGGAGTGCCGCATGTGCAAGTCACTGTACATTCACAATTTGAAGATACTCGAACAGCCAAGCCTCCCATCCATTAAACGCTACAAATCCACTGGAGTAACTGGATTCCTTTACATCCACAGGCAGACCTTACCACTAGCCGTACCGCCTGCGACCCAGTTCTTGCTTCGGTGAAATACAGCTACTGCAGGAACAGCAGTAATTCCTTCACCACCAAGCTGAGCCAGCTGATCGCCGGAGCTACTGTAGACATCGACAAAGCGGTTCATGTTACCGACACAGAATCGCTGAATATGGGACTGGGGATTCATCTGCCACTGGGGACGAAGACTAGCGGAATGGATGTTAGCATTAATTTCGCATCAAGAGAAGAGTCGAAATGATCTTTAAGCTTACATGGTCACCCAACGACCGGTTTGACAGTTGTGCCTTACGACAGTGTCGGGGCGGAATTCCTTGTCAGAAAGAGTGTGACCCGGTTTCCATGATGAGATACCCTTAGCTCCAAGGTCATAGAGCTTGATCGTATCATCGTATGAGGTAGTAGCAATTTGGCCGGCCCCGTTGAACGCAGCATGTGAGACTGAAAGGCGGCTTTCATGTTCCGCAACTGGCACAGGCTCATCAGTCGACAACTTTCGCAGGTCCCACAGCTTCATCGTCCGGTCTAGGCTTGCAGTCGCAAAGTAGTGTGGCTCTGACGGGTATAAAGAAAAGCCTCCGATCTTCTTCTCAGAAAGCTGCCAATGGGTGACGGTCTTCGTTGACAATTTGCTGCGCATATCATAACGCCCAAAGGTACCATTGAGCGTTGTCCAGTACAGTGTGTTGGGGTCTTGGGGAGCCATATCAATCCCAGAGAGCGCTTCGTCAATGTTTGTAGACTCAGGGCCATATTTCTCCACCGAAGTAGTCTTCTCGAGATCCAGTTCTCGGATAGAGCTATCATAACTTGCAGTATACAAGCGCGTGGGCTTCAATGGGTGGACTGTCATAGCACTGATAGTTCGAGTATGCGGCTTGAGAGTGGTCAAAACCGGATCAGGATCGTCGTCATCCTCGTCATCTCCCGTTTCTGGCTTCTCTTGAGAGGCATCGAAGACACCGAGATGTCCCATCTTATCACCAGCAAATATCAAGGGCTTGGTCTCGGAAGGATGGAATGCCATGGCATAGACTCGCTCGGGTGTGATCTTGATCCCTATAGGAATCCCATGTGTTAGTTGTTTCTGGCGTGTACACAAGGCTGAGAGGGAGTTCATACTTTGAGGATCCCATTGGCCCCACAGACTGAGCCCATTCATTTCCTCCCGCAACGCTTTCAAGTCCTTGTCGGTGGTTTTCTTGATGTCCTCATCACCGAACGTCCGCACGTAAGGCTCTGCGACACCCTTGTTCACAACATCAACGCCAATCAAACTATCTCCATCGAGCTTCTGCCCAGCAATAAACATATCATTTGCAGAGTATGAGTCGGTCCTTCGGACCTTCTTAGCGCGTTCGGCCTCCTTGGCTGCCTCGTACTGCTCTTCGGCCTTGCGCTTCACGACCTCGCTGTCAGCGGTCAATCCCCTCAAGCGTGAAGACTGACGGCGCGGTAGCGGCGATTCTTCTTCCTTGATGCGCTTCGGAGGCGCCCTTTTCTTCGGCTTCGGCGCATTGCTGCCGGGGGTTTAGGGGTGGTGAAGAGGCCCGCTGATTGCGTCTCCAAGCTCAACTTCTTCAAGAGGGCATCGCGCTCGGCGATATTCGCCAGACGTTGCTTCTCAAACTCAGAGAGTCCATGTGTACTGTCAATCGTCATGGTGAGCGATACAATGATCGAAATCCGCAAAGCGCAGTTGTTGGGTATCGCCAGCGTGCTCAGCGCGGGAAACGCGTGAGAGAAGAACGCGAAGTCATGTGACTAAATGGGAAAAGCTTCGACCAATTTCAATTCATTTTTTGGCCACAGCTCGATGCAACGATTATCACCAGACGAGGCAATGGCGACGAATATCTCCCGCGCATTCTTTTTGTCGGCAACAGCAAGCTCCCCAACTCCCTTTCTCTATCAAACTCGTACCCTTGCGCCGATATCACTCTCATTGCGCAGAACGTTTGCTGCTCGCGTGCGTCAATACTCGGCTGAAAATAATGCTTCCCGCGACTACAATAGGTCGGAGAGCAGTTTTGCATCAGACCAAGATGAATTGAGTCAGGATTCCGCATCCCAAAAGTCTGGCTCTGGTTCAGCATCTGAAAGCCCCCAGCCTCGGAGAAGCTACTTGCGTCGGCGTTCTGCTGCACTGTCACCGAAAGTTCGCAGCAAAACGCCAGTCCCCTCTTCAAAATCGACGAAAAATTCGAGTACAGTCACCGGCCAGGAAAGAAAAGCCTTTGGAGAGCTACTTGGGCAGCTGGGCATTGGGCGCGATGACGCAAATGCGCACGCCGAGGGCACAACACAAGCCTCGGACTTGTCGGGTGAAGGGCAGGAGCATATACAGGAGCTGATGGTCAAGTTGGGCTCAATTCTGAAAGATGTGCAAGATAAGAACAAGTCTTCTGCCAAATCCAAGGGGGATTCGCGAAAAGCACCCGATGGCGAAGACGGCATACCTCTTTCCGGCCAACTCTCAGAGGACCCCAGCATGACAGATGGACTATCAGAGAAAATTGGCGGTACCAAGCTGCGAATCAGTGACCTCGGCTACACCGAGCCAGCCTCGGCCACGAGCATCGAACCCGAGATTACTATGAAAGAAGCGATCGAGTTTGTCGTCAAGAAAGAATCCGAGAAGATTGAGTTTGCACTGTTTCAAGCGATTGAGGAAGGCAAAGGTGATATGGGCCTGTGGGAAGTTTGCAAAGAACGCATTTTCTCGGTACTGCAGCATTTGGATGAGGCGGCTGAGATCACAATGCCTGGGTCTGACAACTCACTGGTTGCAAACGAAATACTAAGTACCAATTCAGCGGGTCCTCCATCTGGACCTCTAAGAATCCCACCCGTCGTGCCAATTAGCCCAGTCATTACAGCACTTTATCCGAGGACTCTTCTGATCGCCTTCCGCCTGCTGAATACGCATTTCCCTGAGTCGCCTCTCATCGGCCAGTTCCGGTCAACTATTAAGGAGCAGGGCCGCGCCTCTGCGCTCCTTGGATCATCCGTTGCTCTCTACGACGAGATGATTCACTTCTACTGGCATGGTTGCAACGATCTCCCGGCCGTGGTTTCGTTCCTCCATGACATGGATGTAACTGGGCTGGAACCTAGTTTCAGAACCCGCAGGCTGCTAAAAGATATCGTCCGCCAGCAACAACGGGACAAGGATACCCGCGGACAATCTCAGGTGGATCAGGACTCATTCTGGGATTTCCCTCCAAACAAAAGAGCGTTTGAGGAACTTGCTGGGCGTAATGGGTGGCTAGAGAAGCTCAAGGCTCGTGCACGACAGTCCCACAACAATCGGAAAGCCCGATATACCTGAGTGTGTGCGTGTGTGGATGGCTCTGAGGTTCTCCAATGGGCTTTTCCATGTCTGTATAATATTGTACAACCTGTATCGGAGTTTTCATGTCCCTGTACAATCAATTAGACACCATAGCATCGGCGTTGATCTAAAATCGAACCACTCATCATATTTATTGATCTCGAGAAACCAGAGCCTATCTACAAAGTTGTTCTGTGAGAGGCACAACGACCTAGCTAAATATCCAAACTACCGCTCATAGACGCCCCAAAACCGCTCGGCATTGAACGTATACCGATTATCCTGTTTCCAAAGATCATCATATGCAGTAAAGAGCACAAGATCGTCCTCACGGTGCGCAAAGCTGCGACGAATGCTTTCAATCGCAACGCGCTGGTTCTCAGGCGACGGGACAGCCGCACCATTGGATTGGCCAGCATGCGGCCAGCCAGACTCGGTGATCATTGTGCGTTTTCCACCAGCTGCAGCGGAGACGGCGTGAGCCTGCTCGAGTACATATGGCCCTGCGTTGTATGGGTGCTGGGTTGCGTCGAAGAAGGCGTGGCAGTTTGCGGCGCAATAGTCAGAGGCAAGGCAGAGTTCTGGGTGTTTGAGGAGGACAGAGAAGGTATCAACGGTCACAACGGGTCCTTGGTATCCCTGCTTGCGGAGCATTGTTCGAGCTTCGTTCACGGCCTTGGTCACGTCTGCAGGTGCCGCCATACCACTGTTGACGAGTTCATTCCCGATGGCAATTGTGTGGAATACGGACCAATCTTTCTTTCCATCCGGCAGAGTGGCTGCGTCGTCGAATGCCTTGAGACTTTCGGGGAACTGCTCCAAGTCGTAGACCCCGGCAAAAACTTGCATGTGGTGTTGTCGTGCTGCTCGGGCGACGGTGGTAGTTTGTCCACAGTCTGTACCATAGATACGGACAAATGGGTATTCCGTCAATCGGTCGAGGTCTTTGTTAATTTGTTCTTGCGTTTTGCAGCTTCTATCCGCGTTGTAGGGCGAGTAGGAGATTCCGAATCTACGATGTTGATCTTCGTGATGGTCAGGGTGAGCATGTTGTGCAGGATGGGGATGCTGAGCAGGAGGCTGCGGTTTCTTCTGCGATCTATCGGCATGTAGTGGCCTCTCTGTCTGTGTCGTTGGTTGCTCCTGGGGTGCTATTGGTGGCACAGTCCCAGCATCCCGTGTCGCATCGGGCTTTATCGCTGATGCGGATATATGAGTGCCGGTTGTGCGGGCCTTTGCAATTATATCAACAGCCATTCGGAATAATGGAGCTTGCTATGGGCATTGGGTTTATCTACTGACATTTTCTTGCGGCGTGGGTGTCGCAACAAGGCCGTTCGTCTCCGTGCGGATCACGTCTCCATTCTCGTTAACCCAAACGACTACCTCAGCAGTAGATTGGGCCTGAGAAGCGCCGTCTAGTCCACCGAGACCATGATTGGCACCTACGCAAAAATCAGTCACAACTGGCCCAGAAGACTAGAGATGGCCGGTCTCTTTCTTACCCTTGGCCTCGGTATAAACGCCGAATGCAAGAAACAGGGCCAACAGGGCCTGGTTAAGGCGCTTCATCGCACCGTTGAATCCGTGGGTCGAATTCGTCCAAGCCCCCAATGCTGAACCTAGGGTTAGTGAAGTCGATCACGATCAGACCAGGGACAACGGGATATCCTCCCTGCACACGAAGAAAGTATCATCCCATGCAGATCAGGCTGGTTATATTCGCCCTGGGATCGAGACGCCCAGAGTTTACTCGTAAATGTGGTCACATAGCAAGTAAATGAAGGGGCATCCTGGCATAACTATTCATCGTGGGGTCACATGGAGAATGGGATCATGGTCCCGATCTGGAGCAGCCGTAGCCCCTTGACATGGGAAACCAGGGTTTCTCAGGACCAGCGTGGCCCACTTGAATCAGCTCCCGAAAAAGACCCAATGCCAAATAATTGTCGAAGGTGTGATATTTCTCTCGGAACTTGGCGGGGAATGTCCCTAGCGCGACGGAGTGTTATGGAATGTTGAACTCATTCCAGGTCCGTTGCGCCGAAACTGGAGGGGCGTGGACCTCGAAGTCTGGCATGATGTAGACTATCGACTAGGGCGTTAGAGGGGGCCTATTTCTCACATTATGCAGACTGAAGAGGGGTAGAGGAAACTCATATCGTACACAGGTTCTCATCCCAATCGCCACCGATCGAAACGGGGACAGTTACTTTTGACGATTTGTGATGTGCACATTAGACATCAAACCCCTGGGATCCATCAGCGGTTTCCAATCAGGGATAATACAATCGAAGCAAGAGTTTTGAAAAGTATTCAAATATGCAAAACTTGGCCCAGCAATAAGCTGCAGCCACGGTAGAAATAGGAGTAATATTAAACAGTCTAGAAACCACGCAATGATAAAGTATGAGACCGTCCCCGAAGAAAGAATACAAGAAAAGATGGGAAAGGGGACAGGGCTGTACAGAATTTGAATAGCGAAAGTGATGCATATCAACGGGCCGCTGTAACAATACACGGGACGAAGCATGGGGAAGGGCATTAGGGCGTATAGTGGGATCGCCGAGAAACACCATCGGATGTACATGTGGAGGGTGCCGGAGGTCATTGGAGCATGAGCGGTCATTCGAGTAAGGAACGAAGGGCCTGAGCTGTTCACTTTTTCTTGCTCATCACCTTCGTGATAGCGTGCCGGATGACGGTGCCAGCTTTCTCAATCTCCTTCTTGGTAAGGCCGATGGTTACGCAGACCTTGAGACCGGGCGGCACGACCTGTTTAGGCTGGAAGTTATCTTCAAGTGTCTTGAGGCGGGAGATGAGGACTCCGTTGGCAAGGCACTGTTAGGAAAGCACACATGTTAGCTTATGATCTGTCTTGCAAGGGTCAAAAAAATTGGAAAGACGGATTCTAACCTCGTCAACAACATCCTGGAGCAGATACTGCTGATCCTCATAGGAGAGTCTCTTGGAGGCGACAACCTCCGGCTTGATAATCAAGATAAGAACTGGGTTCTCCGGAGCGCTAGTGCAGTAGACCCAGTCACTGCGGGGATCCAGCTGAGCGCGCATAGCCTTTGTGAACTCCCGAAGTTGCGTAACAGTCTCCGGGCTATTTTGAAGAAGGTTGATAGTCGCACTAGCAGTAGTCGATAGCAGAGCAGGAAGTGCAGCGGAGAAGGTGTACGCCGCAGCTGAAATCCGCTGGTGGTGAACAATTTCTTCAGATCCTGCACAGAAACCTCCACCTCCAACAAGAGGACCAGCCAATGACCCCACAATCATATCGACCTCGGCAGCATCGACATTCTGGTGCTCGGTGATACCGCGTCCGGTGCGGCCCAAGACTCCGAAGGACCAGGTCTCGTCGAGAATAAGGCGGAACTTATACTTGAGTCTCAATTCGATCTAGAGTTCACGCGAGATTAGCAACGCGCAAACAACAGGTAACGGCAGGGCAGATAAACGTCAACTCACAATCTTGGGCAGGTCAACCAGGTCACCGTATGACTCGAACAGTCCCTCAGTAATGATGAACCGCCGAGTCAGCGGCTTTCGGGCCTGCTCTTTGGTAACCTTGGCAAGGACACGCTCCAAATCCTCCATATCGTTGTGCTCGTACCACCGAACGATACTCCGGGAGATCTGGATTCCCTTGCGAATAGCAAAGCTAACACCCTTATCCGCAACAATAATGTCACCACGCTTGGAAAACGCAGGAATGACACTGGAAATGGTCGAGAACGCTTGTGAGTACATGATACAGGCCGGTGTTCCCAGGAAAGAGGCAATATCGGCCTCGGTCTTCATGTGCACGTCCTGACTACCGTAGAATCCGCGGGGACCGCAGGGACCTACACCATAGTTGCGTAAGGTTTGAATAGCCTGCTCCTTGAGAGACTCATTCGTGTTGAAATTATAGAAGTTGTAGGAGCAGAGGTTGTTGACAGTGCGACCGTTGGCGAGCTTGGACTTGGGACCGACAGGACTGCAAAGTTCACGATGAATTGTTAGCACTATGACCGAGGGGTTCCGCGGGCCGCATTCACGGTGCGGTCTTTAGACAGTGTGAGAACTTACCCAACAATCACCATTCGCTTTTCGATCTCCATCTCTTCCAGGGCAGTGGGCTGGGCCACTAGCGGCTCGGGAGTCCACTCATCAACGAGGTCATCGATTTCATCCTCGGTCAAGGGCACGACACCAGGCTTGGTGGAGTACTTAGGGGCGAGCAAGTAGCGCACGGCAAAGAGAAACAGGAAAAGCTCGACCGCAGATCGAATTGGGTCGTCCTGATAACTGGATTTCACGTAGCGGAGGAAGATCGCAGAGCCGGGGACACGATGGAAGAGGTTCGCGAGTTCGTGAAGGTACTCCGACAGGAGACGTTGCGTCTCCTGGAGGTCCATCGTAGGGGGTATTCGAGGCGCTCAGGGCGCAGAAACGTCGATTAGGTAGATTCCAGGACCAGAGGCCTTCAAAGAGCACCAAACAGACTTGATTTGACGGATTGGTTGACGGACACGTCTTCGGGGGCTCGCGGACAGGCTGAAACGTTGTCTATCACGTGACCGTACAGGACTGGTACGGCGCCTCGCAATCAGATTGGTAGAATTGTTAGGCAGAGCGCGGCGCGTCTATTGAAATCGAACGATCTACTGTATCGCCTATTTGTGTCGTCTCTTCCAAGCTCAGCACCTGTTAGATTAAGTTTCCTACTATCAAACACTCCGAACAGCAGGCCAAGAACAATTAGGGGAACGAGTCTTATGATGAATTGAAGCAATGCAGTTTGTATTCCGTGAATGTTTTAAGAGAATAAGAAAGTGAGCTATGAGAACGGAAAACGAAGGTAAACCCCGAGGACGATGAGAGAACCACTCGAGATACAAGTGTCATTCCACACAAGAAGCCATTAAGATCAACAAGTGCGCCGGTGATTTCACGAAAGAATGCAGCGAATCGCAAGAAAATAAGTAGGAAAGTAAGAAAGAAAAAAGACAGTGAACTTTGTACAGGCCATTCTCATACAAGGTCAGATTGACCATTTCACAGTAAGCGCTGGAAAGCGTCGTTGCCACCGGTTGGAGTGACGACAGCATGTGACGAGAAACCCTTGGGCAAGTGGCTACCGGTGTAGTAGGTCTGGGTGTCGTTGAGGCCCTTGTCAAGGGGCTGGAGGAGGTACATGCTGTTGCCCGACTTAACACCGATGGCATTATAGAGGGTGCGGCGTAAGCTGGTGTCGATATCCATATTGCGCACAACAATCGGTGCGGCAATGAGAACAACAAAGAGGACCAGCATAACGAAGTAGAGAATGGCGAAGCGGATAACACGTCTCTTGCGCAACTTTGACTGCTTAAGAGAGTAGATAGGGGGGCGAATTTGGCGACTAGGGAGAGGATGTTAGTCTCATGGCAATGCTTTGGATTAGAAAATGCGGCGAAACATACCTGGGACGCAGCCAAAACAGGATGACAGAGTGGAACTTGTCGGCGTAGGGGATGGCAAGGACTGGCAGCATGAAGAAGAGGATGATGTGACCAAGCACAAAGTCGGCGGCGAAATAACCCAACTCGGTGATCTTGCAAAGGAACTCACGACCAGGCTGGGAAAGGGAGTGCCAACCCATGTTGTACCACTTACCAGTCCACCAGGCGATGTTGGACTGGTCGTTCTTGAACTCACGGGTGAGGGCCAGGGAGATGATCAGCTTGTAAATGAAGCGCTGGAGAGCCATCATGGCGATCATGCCCGAGACGGTACGGGGCCAGTTGAAGGATTCAAGAACGAAGAGAACCTCGAAGAAGACGATCAGGACGATGACAGCGATGGCATGAGCAATCGCAGCCAGGACAGCACCGAACTTCTTGCAACACAAGCTGAAGATGGGACCCATACAGCAGGCCATGCCGAAGAACATACCAGCGACACCAGCGTTGATACCGATCGGAGCGAATGCAACGATAGCAATGCGCGCAATAGCGTCGGGGGCGTACTTGGTGTCGTCACTGAACATAGTGCGGGAGTTGATGTACAAGTATGGGATAAACGTCACTGCAACCACGACCAAGGGAGCGATGATCTCACTGAAGAAGATGTTGGTGATGCGGGCACGAGGAATGTCACCAGAGCCTTTCTCGGAGGGAACGCCAAGAACTTTCTTCTTGTAACCAGTGATGCGGGTTCGAGACAGACGGCAGAAACCGATCCAAGACGAAGCGTGGGAGCGGGAGTTACCACGCGACAGCCAGCGGAGATAGTCACGGTAGTCAATGAAGAAGTCGTTCCAGGAGAACTGATGAGGGTTGAACAGGAAGGGTGAGATGATGAGGGCGAGCAGCGAAACCCAGAACCAGATCAAAGCTGGAGTCCAAACAGTGGTGGTGGCGAACAGCAGCATCAGCAGGAGACGAGCACCAGCATAGATCGAAGGGCCCGCGAAACGAGAGTACAAAACACCGAAGGGAATACGGGCAGTTGCGAAACCACGACCAGTACCGATGTAACGGGCACCGCCGAACGACAAGTTCTGGTGGACAGCGTGCGCGTAGATCTGACACACAAACACCTCGAACATGAACGAGAAGGAACCAAAGTGCTTCGCCAGACGAGTAGCCATGCGCCAGACACCACGCTCAGTCAATTCCTGAACAGCCAGGGGAACGAACGAGATGAAGAACACAATGAAGATGGAAATAACACAACGGTTCACCCAGTTGATGATGGGGGCGAGATCAGCGCAGTATGTTGGCTCCAGGGGATCAGTGATGGGCAAATCGGAGTTGTAACGGCAAGTAATGGTCTCGTGCTTCAAGGCACCCAAGTTGATCAGGACGATCATGAACATCTGCACAGACAGCATAATGAACATGTTGTTGATGTGGAAACCAGGGTGAGCGTAGTAGAACGACAAGAATCGGTCAAGAGGCAGTTGAGTACCAAGGTAGTAGTATTCACGCGAGAGCATCTGCTCACCCATACCAGTACCAATCTTGGTTGTGAAGTTCAGAATGGAGCCGAAACCCAAGTCACGACCCTTACCACACTGGTAGTACTCGCAGTGCTTGATACGACCACCACGAAGGAGGGCGTTCATACCGGCGTAAATATCCTCGTTCAGGTGAAGACCCTTTTGAGCCTTGGACACACCACCACGGGTACACATGAAGGTTGCGTTCAGGAAATCAGGGTGACCATAATGCAGCTTACCGCCGATCTGGGCAAGAGTACGGGCGAACAGGGTACCGAACGTTTGTTCCTTGGAAGCAGCGACATCACCAAGCACACCAATGCTCTCAGAGAAAATGTATTCACGAGCGCCAAGAATGGCGACTGGGTTGGTGTCTGGCGAGGGAACACCGGGAGTGTAGGGCGAAACGTTGTCGGTGGTCAGCTCCTCGAACTCGGCGAGAACAGAGCGGATCTTTAGGCACTCTTCCAAGTAGTTGTCTTGGTTGGCATCGATCAGCTGAATGTATTCACCGCGGTAGAAGATGATGGCGTGGTTCTGGTTGTCGGACTTTCCGTCACCGAGAATGGGGTTACCAGACAGCTGGATGCGGAACTTGGGTTTGCGCATGCCGTTCTCGAGCAGCTCACAGTGACCGTCGATCAGAGCAGAGTACAGGCGAGGTTCCTCGCCCTCATTGACAGGAGGCTCCTCATCAAGGTACGCGATCTGCAGGTCGGGGTAGGCACGGAGGAGGAACTCGGTGTTCTCGCGCTCGTCCTTGTTGAACTTGGCATAACGTTGCATGGAAACACAGATGCGGAACTTGCGGCGGGCCATACGCTCAAGCTCACGCTCGAGCTTCTCGGAGTTACCACCGAACATCTGTACAACCTCGGGGTTCTCGACGCGGTAAAGGAGCTTGATAGCGCGGCTGTAGTTCATGAAACCAGAGACAGTTCTGTACAGGGTCTGAGAGCGAAGCGAAGCCCAGATACGGGTGCGGAGAGTGTACTCGGGAGCAGCAGACTTGAAACCAATGCAGTAGAAGGGAAGGTCATCGATCTTGCTCTTAGCAGCATCCTTCTCGCCCTTCTCGCCGTATTCGCCATTGAATTGAGAGGTCTCATCGGCCAGGATCTTGGTGTCCTTGACGAAGCAGTCCCATTCGTGAGGGTGGAGCTGCTTGAGATACTCAAGCACAGTAACACGGGAGTATGGCTCATCTTCACGAATGATCTCACGTAGGGACAGAAGAATCTTCTCACCGTAGTGGGGAATCAAAACACTGAAAGTGGGCATGTTGTCCACGGGCAGAGGCTCGGGCATGGGAGTCGACAGAGACTGGGCGAAGAAGGAGATACGGCGCTCGGCCTCACTACCAGCAGGGAAAAACTCAGTCTTGAAAGATTGATCTTCTTGAGAGACGAAGAAGGTGGGAGCACGGAGGGTACGCTTGCCCTCCTGCTCGGAGGGAACCTGGTGGTAGAGGAGCTTCTGCACATGGTCGATCGCCAACAGATGCTCACGGTACATCGAGATGATGATGGCGTTCCAAACCTGGGAGATGAGCACCTTGGGCTTGTACTTGATCTCCATGTCGGTAGTGGCCAGGACCTTCGAGTAGATACGCTTGGGAAGGCGGGAGAAGATGTTTCGCCATGGAGACCAGATGGAAACACCAAGGTAGAACGAGCGAGCCACCGAGAAGATGGTGTTGCAAATAATGTACCACAGGTAGCTGTCCAGGAAGAAGAGCGTCAGGTCCATGAAGAACATGAGACCCAGCAGGATCTGAGGCTGCCTGTGGCACAGAATGTTGCCGAGGTATTTGACCCCAGTGCACTCGTAGATAGTCATGGGTGAGAGAATTCGGATGGGATCCTTGAACGACAGGGTCAGGAAGAAGTAGGACTCAGCGAGCTTGGCACCGAAAACGCAAACCCAAAGACCGTAAGACATCCACATGTCATTGCCGTGCAGACGCGGGAAGCTGGCGGTAAAGGTCTGGCTGGCAACGTACTGCCGACCGTTCTTCTTCAGATAACTACCGAAGAGGGCGCCCAGTGGCTGAACGGCGAAGAAGGTCGCCGTCAGGAGAGCAAGGACGAAGTGAACAATACCAAGGGCAAGGCCAACCGGCTTCTGGATACCGGAGGGCAGCATATCTAAGAAGCCGAAGATAACCACGCCGGGCGCCAGGTTAAGGATGAACATGCCGAGGATGAAGAAGAACCGCTTGCGCAAGTGCTGAGCACCAGCCCACCGGCGAGGAACATACATCCACTCGCAGATGGTAGCAAACAGCTGGATGAAGGCAGCGAGGGCACCGCCGAAACCCACGGCGGCCAGATACTTGGCAGTGGACGGCTTGTTATCCCACTGTTGTTGGTAATCAACGGTGTAGAGAGTCGGGGCGTTGTACGCAGTGAAGAACCAGAAAGAACACAGATGAATAACCCAGATACGGTTGAAGTTGGTGATCAAGTGGAACCATGATCGAGTCTCCTTGTAGGTCTTGAAGAACGCCTTCTTCCAAAGGACCTCCTTCAGCTTAGGCCAACGCTGAGCCGGGGGAATATCGACCAAGCGAGTCTTGTCCTCGAAGCCGATACGCTCGATACCCTCCGGGTACCAGAAAAGCTGGTTCATATCATCGTAACCGATGATCTTGTTGTGATCGTGCTCGCGGCGAACATACTTGCCTTCATAGATCTCGTAACCCTGGTCACGGCAGAACTGGTAGAGAGGAGTGATGATTTCGTTGAGGTAAGTGAACTCCTCAACGGGCTCCACGCGGGCCTGGCACTCAGGCGAGGTATAGTAGTCATCGGCACACTTGAAGATGAAGCACAGACACTCAGGCAAGAATCGGACCTGGTTGGCCTCACCCCAGATGAGCAGATACAGGGCAATCTGGCGAGCCCGATCGTGCTGGGACATCCGGTTCATGCGAGACTTCCAGCGGTACTCCGCGGCCTCCAGGCTGTTGTCACCTTCCAGAGCCTCAAGGGTCTCCTCCTCGTTCTCGGGGTTCTGCTTGGCGGCCTTCTGGGCAGCCTTGCGGGCCTTGCGAGTCTTGCGGTCGGCTTTTCCAAGCTTCATGTTGGCGAAGCCAACGGCATCGTCCAGGTCCAGGTGGGCCGCAAAGTACCAACGGCGGTAGTTGGCATTATGACCACCAATGTAGTCGGCGTGCAGAGACAGAAGAGCCTGGTTAGGGGTCATGCGAGAAGCACGAGAATCGAGAAGTGTCATCATGTGGTCGTACATGTTCCGCATGCTGTCGCGCTGGAAACCGAATTTGTTGACCAGGTCCAGGAAGATGTCCTCCAGCTCCTCCTTGGACAGCGGAATCTGGGCATCTGAGGTCCAGGCAGGGTAGGGTTCCCGCGAACGCTGGCCAGCCGGCAACGCGTTTCCATATTCCATGCCGTAAACGGGAGTCGAGGCACCTGATGACCGGTTGCCGCCATAGGAGACCTGCGATGATGGCGGACGATATCCATATCCACCGCGACCATATTGGCTGTCAGTGTAGCTGTTGTATCGCTCGTCCCCACGGCCATAGTAGTCCATGTCGGCAGCACGCGCAGTCTCCGATCTCATAGTGAAATCACTGAAAGTCTCAGAGTCCTCCTCGGAGTCATGGCCGCGCCGGCCACGGCCATAGCCAGCCTGACCGGCATCGTAGTACTGGTCGGCATAGTATTCATCCTGGTGGCCGCCCGACTCGTAGTATCCCCCTTCAGCGTAGCCCTGATTACCACCGTCGTGTGCGTAGGCTCCCGAGGCACTGTGACTCTCTTGTCAGCTTTGTTTCAATCCTTCATGGGGCTCCAACGGCTTGATCAGCCTCTTGCCATTCATCACAGGTGTCCATACCCTCGGTCATAGTAGCCATCGCCGTAGTCCTGGTGGTCGTAATAGCCCTGCCCAGCAGCATGCTCGTCCTGATAGTAGGAGTCACCATGGCCAGCCGGGTGGCCGTAGCCGTCGTCATAGTGGCCTCCTTGTTGGTAGCCAGACATGACGGAGGAGTCGCAATCGATCGCTTGGTTCGAGCTATGTTGATCACGGTCAGTGGACTGGCCGATGGGACCGTGATGTTTGTCTCTTGCGCCTTGTCTCGACGTGGGGGAGATGCCGGCGAATCCGAAGTGAGGCTCTTACCTCAACCGCGACTCATTCACAGTATTAAGTTAATTGATGAGGCGAGAATGGTGTAGTTGGTGTGTGTTTTTTTTTTAGATGAAGCGAAATTAATGCAGCATCGACAGAGAACGAATGGCGTTGAACCTCGTAACGGCGTAGGTCAAAAAGGGATGCCGAGCTAAGACGAAGATCCCGAATCCGCGAGTCTCAAACTCGATCGGAGGTGTAAAGAGCGAAGCGAATGAACCAGTCGACAGCGGAACGCGGCGTGGTAATCAGCACTTCCCTTCTCCGGACCTTCCTCAAGGAAACGAGAGTGTCACCCTAGCAAAGGAAGATGGGATGGGGGGAAAGAAGAAGAAAGCGAATGGAATGGGGAAGGGGCTGGATGGGAGGTTGGATAGACAGAGAGAGACGAGATTGCGAGGAAGGAGGGAAAATATTGGCGGTGCTGTTATTTTGGGATCGGGGGGGGGGGATTGTTTCACCTAATTTCCTAAATTTACGATTACGGCGTACGGAGAGTATTATTGACAGAGAGCATGGTGGACGGAGTATGGAGTACGATGTACAATACACCTCCGGCAAGGAGAGAACGGCAGGTACCTGGTACTGGGGTGGAGTGTGGGAGCCACTGCGTACGTGGTGGTATCCAATACATACACAACCACCTCTGCTCCCTGCTACTGTGTGTACCTCGGAATAGAATACCGCACGTGAGGTACCGGTACCATACACGAGCCTCCATCGTCAGGGGACCCTCCCAAGCCTCTGGACTCTCTTCAGGGCCTTCTCTTCTTCTTGTCACCTCTCCGAGGCCCAAACCCCCTGCTCAGCCCTCTTCGCAATACGCTGTTGTTGTCCAACAGTACGCATACACACATCCAGTCCTCTCCCCACCACAGACCAGATCCTAATGTTATCGGCCAATAAGCAGCAGTCGAGCTGTCTCTCCACTACAACGCTGTGCCCAATGAGACTGTCCCGCTCATGCTGGATTCCAAGGGAATTGCGACGGCCCCTGAAACCCGCCCCACCAGCGCCTTCCAGCATGTATTCCAGGTAACAAATTATGTGGTCGGAGCGGGTATTTCCATCGGGGATACCTACGATGGGCCTGTGGCGCCCTCTGATTTGCCCATGCCTTGTTATCGTTACCACGACGGCATGCAGGGATAGGCGTTGCGCGGGTACTCGTTTTTCATTCCTCGTTTCTACGCGACGACGATTCGCAATCTGGTATTTCGCGGTGGCAGTGAGAACGACACAACGAGCGATGTGCAATGGCAAAGCAGAGCAGTTCAAATCCGACGGTTCGATTGTCCATCTGCTGGCTACCATTTCTATCGGGGATTAAACAAAGACTGACGGCCGTCTATCTGGCAATGATCCATGGTTCTCAAGCGACAGTACCAATCCTCCAGCCAGCGATCGCTTGACTTCTCTGCCGAATTGGCCGCTCAACGCTCAACTCTTCCTGTTGCTTTTCTGGGATGCACTGGCCTGCCTTCAGATGATGATCGTCCGTCAAAGTTGCTTCTTCCGCTGAGTTCATCCCAGCGCAGACAGGAAGAGGTACAAGATTTCCACGCTAACACACTCAATTTGCCACCGCAAAATTACGCCTCATACATTTAGGGTACATTTAGTACATTTGACGCCGCACATCGTCTCAAATTGTATTGCGTTTGACTTTGCCCACCGTTGGAGCTATCCCGAACTGAGTCCAGCGTGGTCCTATAATAAGACTCCACACGCACACGACTCTCCACTACCCACACATCGGTGTTGCAAAAAAAAACCGGCTGTTGTTGGCTTTTTTCTCAAGCCACACACCATCTTCGTTCCTTGATCGGGAGTTGCTTTGGAAAACTAATTTTGCAGTGGTTAATTCATCGCCAACAAGAAAAGGGCCCATTTGATATATGACGAAGTCCGTATAGATAAATAGAATCTGCTGTCAAGCTTCCGACCGGGGCGATTCAGTCTCTTCCAATCCATGGAATCCTCGCCAGCTTCCAACCTGTTCAATCTGACCTCGCATCTTTATGCATCTAATTCCGATGACGAGTCCACAGTAGTGACAACTCTGTACTGTGCAGAAACAGTAACCGGTACTGTAAAGGTGTCGCAGGCAATCTCCACAGCTGGCCCAGTCTTTCAGCCCGTCCCACCAGCTAAGTGGATCACCGATGCTTTTATTTTCTGATTTCAAGCCTCGACTTGGGGGCCACCATGGTCCAGCCAAAAGTTGGTCGATACCCAGCATACGCAACGGGCTGCGAATATCCTCCATCGAGCGGGCGCATTCAAGACCCGGACGTGTGAATAGTATGCCGATGACCAGTATGTCCAGTTTTATACAGGTAGGAGTGCACTGGTCTTGATTGCTACTAAGTATACGCATCGCTAGTAATGTACGGACAGGGCGAGGGAATAAGTTCAACGACCGACCCGAGTACATTCTAAATCTATTGTGATGGTCGGAGCCTCAACAGAGAAGATGCTTGCTAAGCAATTACAGATGGATAGTCTTGTGTATATTGATCGAATGGCTTCTAATTATGTTATCTTTCAGACACGTCGCGCCCAACGCGCGACCGTAAACTCTGTAACCAACCTGTTGAGCCTACAGGTGAGTAATCGGTCCATAACAGGATTCGCTGCTTGCTGTGATGCAAACCTGCTGCAGGAACGATACATCCACTGCATGAAAATGGGACCACTCTCCAATTTTAATATTCGATTTGCCAGTGTTCTCGTTCTTGACTGCGACTCCGAAAGGTCAATGGTCCTAACTCAACATGCTTCTGCGATCCTATTGTCCCCCCTACTCTACAGAGGTACAGTAGCAAGAAGCCCCTCCCATCATTTCAAGCCCGGAGTCCCTCCTTTTACTAGCCGATCACAAACCCCAAAAATAACCTGTCTCGAAAGCCCGCTCGAAGGGTCTAGTCAACGATCGCTCGCGGCATAGGCTTGCCCTAATGTTGCAAGTTTATTGTATTAACCCGCTTCTTTTCAATACCCGAAACTTCGTACGGAGTACTAAGATCCCCCTTGGCCTCTTTGGGCTTAAATGTGGCTGGAGGCCAATTTTCAAGGCAGCGATCTCTCAGTGTTCCTTGAATTCTCTTACAGTACAGAAGAATACAGTCCTCCCAGGCTCTCACCACCGTCATTGGCGCTAACGATATGTATCTGTACCGCGGATGTCCCCGGGTAGGTTATGCATAACCCCCTGTTCAGGAGAGGTTGACTTTCCACGGAGCATAATCTAAGTATAGAGAGAACTTTCTGTAGGTATATGACTACGAGGAACATTTGTAAGTTGCAGCGCATACGGTAAAACAACCTCAATGTCACACTACTTCACGTAGCATCCCTGAATTACATACAAAACACACGTCGATCGCTCGTCACAATCGAATTTAGTTAATTTAGTCATCAGTGAGGCTGTGTCTAAACTGATGATCCCTATCCCGTCCCCTCCACTAATTTACATTGTACCCAGCCATTGTTCTCGTCCGAACAAGATCGCAATCGAAAGACGAAAGAGACTAGGCAGCATGTCAGCGTCCATGCTCTGCATAAACCATCAGTAATATTTGAACATGACTTGGCATGCATGCAATATTATTGTCCTCGAGCATATTTCAACGTGGTCGTCCAGAGCATAATCTGAAATGTATTAAAGCCGGCAGGGGCTGCGGCAAGTGCTAGGCATTATACGATAGTACAGTAACTCCGAAGGAAAAACTAAATGTCAAAGTCCCCTGTCTGGCCATGGTCTGCCGGGCTTTCTCCTCAATGCTTCCTTAACCCCAGCCACTGCTAGGTGGCTTGATGCTTGTTCATGCTACTGTTCGCTTATGATGCCTCGGGAGCAAGGGGATCTCCGTAAAGGCAAAAATGAAGTGGTCGGCTTTCGGTTATGTATGTGCATTGTGCAATGCATTGCCGACTACGTTTAGAGAGCAGATATTATAATCAATTATGCTTGTTCAAGGTTCAAGGCTTGGTGAGATTCACATATTTCGGAGACGACAACCCATTCCTCGACGGTGCGTGGCAGTCTGCTCGGGTATACTTGATTCGGTAAACAAATTGTCGATGGCAACTCTGCTGGATTCGCTGGAAGCGTTCCTGCAGGTCAATGGAACCTCGCGTCGGGCAGATCATCTTGCAGTCTGCGGGTTTCAGACGAATCTCTGGATGACCACCTTGTACCTGAGTCATGCATGTCTAAAGGTAGCTGCTGCAATCCCCGGTCAGGAAGCTCTAGGTGATATTGGTTCGATAATATATTACATCATCATGCAATGTAAGCTCTCTCGAGTCTAGTTGACAGCGGTACCTACTGCTACATCACCTGTAGCCGTGGTACCATAAGCTCAAAACCAGCTGCGTATGTTTAAACAATCAATTCCTTTCAACGTATCTCTTTAATTACCCCGAGGGAAACCTCTAATAATGGTACTACGGCCACTATCAAGTATACTTCTCTTGAGGCTATCGGTGTTCAGAGAATATAATTCTACCTAGTAGTGATCGTATTGTGGTGTTGACCTGCGTGATATCCAAGATATATCCGTTTAATAACTGACCCCCGTAGGACCTTGATAGTAAACAACAGCACTGGATTATTGGCCTTTCACTTCCGTGAATGAACAAGACTGCAGCAAGCAAATTCTCCAGGGCTTTATTCAAACCATATCTCAATTGATAGTTAATTGAATAAGTGTAAGTAATTGAGAGGTTGAGATGCGCCCGGGTTGGCGTGCGGATGCGAGCCTCGGCCCAGGGGTTATTTACCAACGACAGGAAACATCTCTATAATCAACTAAATCTATAGGAAAATACGATAAAAATATCTTTCAATAAGAACGTAATGATCTTCAGTCCACCGTGGATAAACTGTAGAGCCACTCACTCTTTACATCTTGCAATAACCTTAATATTGGGCAATTTTCCTATCGTGTGCTCTACGTCGCCAGGCCCAGTGGCCATGATTATATGACATACCATATCCAAGTCAAGCAGCAGTGTAGGGACTGATCGGGATTTCAAGACTGTGTGCTCCTTCATGACAGATGAATTGTGGATTTAGAAGGCACTTAGTTTGGGACCAGAAGCCATATTTGCCAAGATGACAGAGATAGCGGGATATCAGCTCAGAATTGGAGAAGTGCCATCTAGAACAGTTGTATAGAAGCCTAAAATATGTACATCAAATATACACCTACTCTGCTATGGTTCTCCAGCTCCAGACTGAGACAATAAGATATTTGGTTCCTATAACCCCGCAGGGATGGAAGATAAAGACTTACATGCTCCCTTTGGGATATAATTCGTCAGTGATGAATAATTAATATGAAATTTAAATACGGTTGATAGAAGTCATTGTCCTTCGGATAATGAACAGTCATGGTCGGGAACAAGCGTGCGTTAGTAGTAATATATAAATCAGAGGCACCGGCAAAGAATTTCCCTCGCATGGAAACCCTTTTATCGCAATACTTTCCCCATCTTTGGAATTGAACCTTTTGAGAGACTTCCGTATAATGAATCATCATTTATTGAAGAGTGTCACCTGCTGTGTTCTAAAACACTCGATGTTGGAGCACCATTGGAGCGACACGCAGTTTACCTAAAACGTGGTTACCGGGCCAACCATCCTCCGTTGATGGCTAAACTTGGGGAAGAAACACTTTTACCGAACCACTTTGATCCCCAGTCCAAAGCAGCAAGACACAAAGGCAACTCCAACTTGCAAGTTAAAAGAATTCTCGTGTGCTTTGGCTTGAATGAACTCCTTTTTCATTGGGAGATCGCGACCCTAGACCGGTTGACTCTGGAGCGGAACCCACCCACCCCCGCAAGCCCGACCACGATGGCACGACTCAACACGACGAATCCGCTGAATACGGCTATTCAGCGGAAGAAAAGCTTGAAAGAGAGAAAGGAGCCATTCCAGACCCGCGATTCCACCGAGCAATACACCAACACCAGGTCCTCCACCGGGAGCGGCACCAGCGCACTTTCCAGAGCGTCATCGCAACGGCACAGCCGAGGATCAAGCGCTGTATTTGACATTTTTTCTGATGACAGCTCCATCCCGGAGAGCAGAAATAGTCCCGGAAAGCAAAAGAAGACCAGGACCCTCAAAGCTGCGAATGTCAACTCCCTCCTCCTCCCGATCAGTCAGACCCCACGGCAGAGGCCCATTGTCAAATTGGAAACGGACGACTTTGAGAAAGAGAACGATATTATGGAAGATACACCAGAGCGCCACACAGCAACAAGGGAGGCCCCGCGGCAGATCTCTCCGACAAGACGAAACATGGCGCGAACTCCAAGAAGAGGCCGTGCAGACAGTATGCCCCGTGCGGACAACACGCCTTTGAGCCCCCAGAGCCCAGAATCAGAGACAGAGGACGAGTGTGAGGACAATAGCTTTAACTCACTAGATGACTTCGTTGTCAGTGACAATGAAGATCTCAGCTTCCATGAGACATCAGATTCCGAGACAGAGGATGAAAAGCTCCCATCGCCGCCTCCACCCCCAAAATCAACCCGAAAGAGATTGATGAGAGGAAGACGACCAGATGCCGATACCGACAAACAGCCTCTGAAGAATACATCGCTGAAAGCACCCCTTCGCCTGCAGTCCAAAATCCCCGAAACACGAAGACTATCTTCATCAAGTGAAGATAGCCCCAAACACGTGTCTCAGGAAGACCTCAACCTCTCTACAAAGCTTAGAGCGATGGATCTAAATGGCGACAATGAGCCAACTTCTCAGCTGGAAACAAAGTCCACACGGTATGGGTTACAGGATGTCTTCGTGTATCAAGATTATATGGTTTCTTGCTGACTATTCAATGATGCAGCTCTATAATAGAGCTGGACTGTTCACCAAAAGTATTACGACCAGCAAGAAAGAAGCTGGAAACACCCCCATCAAGCCCCAAACAAACCCGCTTGCGATCTCCAACAAAAAGCAAGATTCGAATTCCAGCCACTCCTCACCGCGAGAGTGTTGATGCATTCTGGAGCCAAGAGGAAACAAATAACTGGAATGATCAGTATTCGCCCCGCAAGGAAAAGACCTCCAGTCGCACTGTGATTGAACTGCTACAAGACTTTGACGATTCCGACGAGGACGAGGATAGAAGCCGTGGATCTAGCTCCAGCAGTGATATCGAAGTTATCCCTAAGATGGATGCGAGGATACTGACGACACCAAAGCCGCTTAGCAAGACAGCCATCAAAAAGGCAGAAGCAGAAAAAAACCGCGCAGCTAAAGCTCGACGGCTCTCATTCAACAACAAGAAGGCTGAGTTTGCACAGACCTTCTTCAATGTTCTGGACCAAGCTGCATCTGGAGGCGAGGTTAGCAGGCTTGCAAAGCCCACTGGCGGAGTCAAAATCACTTGGTCAAAAACCCTGAATACAACCGCTGGGCGAGCTCATTGGAGAGGTGAACGAGTTGTTTCGCATGGACCAAATGGCGAGACAAGGGGCTTTAGCAAGATCCGGCACCATGCGACGATCGAGCTGGCCGAGAAGATTATTGATGACGAATACCGGCTCATCAACACTCTCGCTCATGAGTACTGCCATCTCGCCAACTATATGGTTTCCAATGTACACGACAACCCCCACGGCGCCAGTTTCAAGAATTGGGGACAAAAGTGTGCTGAAGTCATGAAGGATCACCCAGTCTACGGCGGACAGATCCACGTAACGACAAAGCACACCTACCAGATTGACTACAAGTACGTGTGGAATTGTATGTCCTGCGGCCAGGAATATTGCCGCCACTCGAAGAGTATCGACACGGAACGCTCTCGCTGCGGTGCTTGCCGAGGTGTGTTGCAGCAGATCAAGCCCAAGCCGCGCAACGTATCGCCCAAGAAGAGCACGGCAACGCCAGGCCAGAGGAAGATCTTGGAGGATGTGACGAGGAATCTTGACGATCTTGTTTTTTGAGCATGTTGAATACCATCATGTGAATGTTTCGACGACAGTCATTTTCTTTTGTTATGAGGGAGATTTGAGATATGACGCTCTACTTGCATTTTGAATTAGCCTGTTATCTCAAGCATACCTTGCATTTTGAATTAGCGAATGTCTTGACTGCGCCACCTTTGATCGAGGCAGAATCGATCATTCATCTTTGAAACCCGACCTGGAGATAACTTTCGTTGGACTTGTTCATATTATTTTGTTGACTATCTAAAGATCCTAACTAATATCGATTTAACCAACCGCTCCTGAAGACTGATTCCCTCAAATCCCAAAACACCCTCCATACCTGCCATAATACCCTCAATAACCATTCATATACCCATCCGATTCCCTTGCACTCTCTCACCTTCCCAGGCCAACCCCTCTAAACAAAAAGACCCCAATCCCAAATCTCCAGTCGATCCACCAACGCACCCACAGCATCCTCCGCAACAGCCTCCTCCCTCGACAAACCCCGCGCATCCCCACTCTTATCAAACTCCTCATGAGGTACATTGAAAAACACCAACAAATCCGTCTCCTGGGCCTCCAACCGCACCATCAAATAATGGCACGTCACCTTAGAAATCGGCAATCCCCCAGCTGTCCCATCAAGCGCAGCACCACCAACAGCCGCGTCCGTAACAGGAGCAGTCGTCCCATTAGTAGGAGCGTGAACACGTCCACCCCGTCGACGGGAAGTAGTCAGAAACTGGACAACGCCCTTGTACGCGATAACCGATGAACCCGGCGGCGCGGACGCGCCGAGGCGAGTCGGGTTCACGCGCGTGGGCGGGTCGACGATTTGGATTGCGTCGCCTTCGTCGCATAGGTCGTTGAGGTGGTGCAGTGCGGCGGCTTGGTCGATAGTTTCGCGTGTGGCGCTTGCTGCGGTGCCGCTGGTGGCGGTTAGGGATGGGTGTTGGTGGCTGAAGGTGGTGAAGGTGCTGAGGGCGTCTTCTTGGGAGACGCGTTGGTTGATTTCGATGATGAAGTTTGAGAGAGTGTCAGGGGATAGGAAGAGTTCTTGGTGGTCGGGGATCTCACGGAGATCGCTGTCGTATAGTTAGTGTCTGATATCTTTTTGAGTTTTGGGCTGATGGATGTGGAATGAGATGCCGGGTCAAGTTGGATGGTTGGGAAGGGCCAGTTTTTGAGTATAGGATAGATAGATCCAATACATGGGTGGTGACGGGAATAGGGGATCAATTTGACCATTGGAGAATGATATACTTACCTTCCATCAATCCAGTCCTGCGGCACTACCCCGCGGATCGCCCCGCCGAAAAAGTCTTGCTCAATGACCTGGGCCATGATTGGAGTAGACCAGTCGAGAGAACAAGAGCAAACTGCTAGTTGACTGATCGCCCTCGATGGTCAGACGTATTGAATGCTGGTCCGGTCTCAATGAGCCGACAAGGCAAGTTGAAGCTTTGAATTTACAAGCTGGATGCCAAGCTCTACTCGTCCTTCAGAGATTCAATTTCTTGCGGATTTCTGCAGTCGGCGAGTATAGGATCAAGTGGCCGAGTCAAGTACAGAGTGATTTGAGAACAATTATGGCAAACCAACTTCAGACGGATTTGGACTCTGATTTTATGTCGACGAGGTGAGTTGGAGGCAGCAATTGCGGGAGGCAGTCGTCCGCCCAATGACGTTGGTCGTTGGCCGGCGGTAGCGCGGTTGACTCAATTCTGAGCCTCTCAGTTGTGGCCCCCAAAACTACAGACTATACAGACTATACGGAGTATATATCCAACTAAACCAGTACTGGAAAAATATGGGCATCACGATGAAATATCGTTGATTTGGTTATCAGATGTTATGCTACCATGAGACTAAAAGATGTAGAAGCTCAGACCAGAATCGACTCGGTCGTCGCGTCATTTAATCAAAAAGCTCCTCCACATAGGGATCCAGCTCAATCAGGCGGAACTGCTGGCCCCATTTCGCACGGAACTCTTTGTTCCGATACGCATAACTAGTCACTTGCGAGAAGCTGACTAGTTCCACATTCCAGCCGCGCTGCAGTGCGCGCTCAACCATCCGCATGAATCCGCCAGAGAATTCGGCGACCGCGGCATCGCCGGTCGCCAGGACAATCGTCGACGGTTCGTCGGTGTCCACGATGCTTTCAAGCATCTTGAGGTGTAGAATTTCGTCCACACCTTGCTCAACCCATCGATCCCCAGTGGTGCCGACCGTTTCAGGCCCGGACGTGGGGTGGGTTGTCCACCCAGGGCCCTTTCGGAACTTGGATGGACGTGGTGTTGTGTGCTTGACTTTGTGCACACGATCTAAAATGTTGGCTTCGTAGCCAAGTTGTTCAGCCTCCGTGATGGAAGGCAGTCGATCCGAGCCAACTAAGACTCTTTTCTCAGCTGGACGGCCTCGTTCCATGATCAAAGAAAAGTTGGCAAAAGACATGTGTAGCCGGCGGATTCGGGTTGTGACAGGAATGTTCCGCGAGACTTTTACCGAATCGTGGAAACCCACCATGATCTGAGAGGACTTGTTAGCTTCAAAAATCAATACATTCAAACATAAGCGAGACACATACATTGGACATGTCAACGAAGACATGGATAGGGCGGGGTTCAACACCCTTCTTGGTTGAAGGAGACCGCCCCACTTGCAATACAAGCTGAGCGTACTCAGGGAACTCCCGGAGAAGCTTCGTAACTAGGCCAATTCGGCGCTCCTTTGCGGTCTTGTAAGCAGCGGGGAGGACTCGGATACCCGCAGAAGTAGTGACGATATTTCGAACAGCATCGGAGTTCAGAGTCCAGTCTGTCTCGTCGTATGATGAAGGCGGAGTGTCGTCGCGATCGTCGTGCGAGTCGAGACCGCCCACTTGGGACGGAACGAATGCCAGGACTCCGGACTTCTTGGTGATGGGTTGGTCGAACACGACGGTACTCGAGTCAGACTCTGCACCGGTGCTGGTCTCTGAGAGTATTGGTTCGGGGTCGACATTGGACTTGATAACCTTTCTGGCAAGCTTGACCCCGGTGTTGAGCTTGGGAATATCGGCTGGCTGGGCTGTATTGCCAATTGCCGTCGGTGGAGTCTGGAGAGGCAATGTAGCTGTAACATTGCTCTTGGTAGGAGAGCTGCCTGCAGCATGTCTTAGGATCGTGAGGGGTTGTTGACGAGGGGAAGGCGGGAGTGGACGAGATCGATTTGAGTTTGTTTCTTTGGTCACTCGAGGGTTCGACGTCTTGAGTGCCGGGACGGATTTGCGGGGCGTCGAGGTTCTCTCTTTGACCGGTTCCTCATGTGGAGGTCGCTTTGGTATTGGGAGAGCTGGGCGTCGGTCGAGTAAAGGCTGCTGGGTATCTCCGGGCCCCGAATCATTTTGAGAAAATGGCTCTTCCTGGCTGAGGAGATCCCAAATCAAGCCGAAGTCTCCGAGTTTTGGGTCGCTCCGCTGGGGTTTAATCTCGTCGGTGCGACTGCTGTTATCGTATGAGGTGTCTTGGCTAGGATGTCCCTCGCTGGACGGAGCAGCGGGAAGACCCGTCTGGTGAGCGAGATCGGAGTTTCCCTCATAAGTGGGAGACCTGATAAGGTCAAGCACCTGGGAGAAGTCCCAATTTGAGGTCGACTCGGTGGTCTTCGTTGCGAGCATTGATGAGTTGGGTGGTGGGTTTAGATTAGATTGATTGGAGGAGAGTTGAGGTGATAAAGAAGAGTCACGAAAATTGCAAGGAAGCCACGCAGTTGATGGTCAACATTCGAGTTAAATCTCATTTCGTAAAGATGTAAGAAGCAGAGCTTGAAAGCACATGGTGGGGGTCAGGGAGTCAGGTAGATTCTGGGCAGCAAGAATGGGGTTGTTTGGAGATGCGGTGGCGCTGGGTTGACTCGGGGAAAGTAATGCATGTTGTGACCGCTTGCCTCTGTCGAGGGAGATTGCACTAGTCCATATCGGGATAGATTGTTGATGCCTCAGCGAGATGGCCAAGGTAGCACGCACGTGATGTCAAATGATGACTAAGTGTTCTTGGCGTTTCCAACCCTACTTCTGTTACAAAGCTTGGCACCACAGTCATTCCAACGTCATGCGCAACATCGCTAGATTTCGGATCCGGGCAGGCTGGCAACACGTCATGTCGCAGGACACCCCCGGACTCTTCTCTGATTCGGTGGTCCGGCGATCCACGATTCATGCTTGTTCTTACTATCAATGTTCAGTTAGCGTAGCCAAGGTTGAAAGACCGCGCTGTAGATCAAACAAGCTTGTACATATCCGCAAACAATAGCACGACGTCATGTTTGTTTGTCATTTTGTTTGGCATCACATGGGAAACATTGCATATATAAACCTCCTACTTTCCAAGCGTTGATTTTCTTTCCAACAACTCTTCAACTTCTACAACTATCCATTCAAGTTACCAAACTTCCAACAACCATCAATCATCATGTCTGACGCCGGCCGCAAGGATTTCTCTACCAGTATGTGATACACTCAGCACCTCTCGCCACGTCTTCGATGCTAACCTTGTTCTCCAACAGAGGCTAAGGAGGAGATCACTCCTGACTCCACCAAGTCCACCCAGCAGAAGGTCAAGGAGGGCTTCACCGACACCACTGACCGTGTCGCTCGCGGCTTCCAGACCGACGACAGCAAGAGCGCTCCTCAGGGGGCCTTCGACAAGACCCAGCGTGCCCACGACAATGAGGCTCACGGCGGTGCCACCGGTTCCATGTAAGACATTCCCATCTCGGCCTAATAAGGCGTCTTCTAGACAAAGCATCCAACAATGAACACCAGTCTAACCCAACTTTTTACAGCGGCGACAAGGTCAAGGGTGCCCTCGGCATGAACAACTAAGGTGTCTAATCATGCACCTTCGAGGAGATTGCCCACTGGGGCGTCTCGGCAAATTTGATGTTTTCACGACTCACAGAATGAGCCCCTGATGATACCTTTTGCTATTATGATTTCGTTACGAACCTGAATGCAGATCACTGCCACATATTTATTGCTCCTCAATATTTCGTAGGATGTTCTAGGCTGTAGTAGGATATCGTAGTTCATCGTCGCTCGACAAGATTTCCGAACATCATATCTCGTTGTCGTGTGAGATGGCCTAACTCGCGCTCTAGTTCTTTGTATCGCGCCCGAGCTCCTGGTACATCCTTCGGTAAGTCGTGGAAAGCTTTCACACGACCTTCAAGGGACCTGACAGTCTCCCTCAGCCGAATGACATTCTCTTCTTCCACCATAATCTTGTCGATAGTAGGACCACATGGTTGATTCCGCTCGAGTGATGCAATACGGTCCTGATATTCCCCAACTTTCGTGCTGAGCACCTTCGTGCCTCGCACCCACTCCGAAGTCAAGCTCTGGGTATCCGCCGGCGTCTCGTATGCCTTGTCAGACCTGAGCTCTTCCAGATCATCTTGCAGCCGTATGAGCTCTTTCTGGAGGTATCGGTGCAACATATCCACCTTGGCCATTTGGTCTTGCGTGTCGAACTCTTCTGCTGTGAGCTCGACAATCGAATGGCTCAGATCCTCAGGAGTAGGGTTCAAAGTGTTACCAAGGGCAACTGCTGCATCAGAAAGATCGTCTAGATTGTTTCTGCCATTTTCGTCAAGGCACATCTCGACTTCGTCCAGAATTTCCTTCTTCTGGCGTTTATGAGGGTCCTTTGCTTCAGCCTCTTCACGTAATTGAAAGGTACGGACAGCTTCTTCACGAGCGAGGTGTTGGAGACGGGTTTCCTCGTCCGCAGCATCGTTGGCTGCAGCCAACGTCAAAAGAACGCGGAGGGTGTCCTCGTTGCGTTCGAAATGGGGTACTGGTTTGGGCGCATACTGGCGGCTGAGCCAGGAGTTCACGTACGCCCAGTCCTTAGCCTGGATAGCTGCCTGGCGGGCTTTGGTGGGGGAGGCGAGCGAGCCATCGTGAAATGAGTCCATTATGCAACCTCTTTTGAAATGATTCCAATTGAAGCAAAGGATTATTAGGGGGAGCCGATTGTTATTTGGATAAATTGTTGCAGTTCCGATAAGATAGTGCAAGGCGGTCTGACCTCCAACCCGCGCCCGTGAAGCTGTCCTTTCTCCCCGCCTCCACCAGACTGGGGAGGCATTGTCAACAAGCATGACCAGCTACTTTCCTTCTGGTGCCAGCAATGGCTCGTCGCCAGTATCATCATCCCCGCTGTCTCCGCCGCCCTCTCAACGCTCCACGGCGTTGTCGAATCGCTTGACCTCCGTGCTCTCGGCCTCGTATGCCGACTCTGACATCCGCGATGCCCTGGAAACCTTGAGTGTTCGAGGAATCCAGAATACTGCCGAGACAAGACGTCAGTTACGCTTGGATGTACAGAAGGAGGTTGTTGATAGCAATGCGGAGATTGTGAGAGATTTCGGGAATGTTGCGGAGGTAAGAATCTCCCCGCACCCTGTTCGCAAAAGCCTCCGCTGATGCTAATGCTTTGTCACAACAGCAATTGAGACGAATTGGAAGCGTGATCGCCGCCCTCAACCAAACATGTGACGAAATGCGTAAACATATCGGTCAGGCTAAGCAGGAGACGGCACCAGTGTTGGAGGAGGCCACCGCGTTGATGAACCAGAAGAAAGGCACCGAGACGAAACAGCGGTTGCTAGATGCTTTCTCGAAACACTTTTTGGTACCCGAGGAGGATCTCATGGTCTTGACGGCGGCTGAAGAGCCTATCGATGACCGCTTCTTCGATATACTTGCCCGCGTCAAGCAGGTGCACCACGACTGCGAACTTCTGCTCGGCGGCGAAAACCAACGACTGGGCTTGGAGGTCATGGAGTTGAGCACCCGACATCTCAACACTGCTTATCAGAAATTATACCGGTGGATCCAAAAGGAATTCCAATCTTTGAACCTTGAGGATCCACGAATCAGCAGCTCGATCCGCCGCGCATTGAGGGTGTTGGCAGAGAAGCCAACCCTGTTCCACAGTTGTCTTGACTTCTTCGCAGAGGCGCGTGACTACGTGCTTTCAGACTCGTTCCATTATGCGCTGACAGATGCGATCTCCGGTGCCACTGGAGCCGAACCTGGGGGTGATCGCAGCGTCAAGCCAATTGAGTTCTCAGCACACGACCCGTTGCGATATGTTGGTGATATGCTTGCTTGGGTGCATTCAACAACAGTGTCGGAGAGGGAAGCACTGGAGGCTCTTTTTGTCGCTGATGGAGAAGAGCTCGCGCGAGGTATCCAGGCTGGATTGAGCAGTGAACCCTGGTCACGCATCGACGAGGAAGAGGAGGCTACGTTTGATGGTCGGAAGGCCCTCAGCGATCTGGTAAACCGCGATCTTACTGGAGTCTCACGATCACTTCGACAGAGAGTCGAGCTTGTGATCCAAGGGCACGACGATCCTGTGACCTGCTACAAAGTGGTCAATCTGCTTTCCTTCTACCGCACGACTTTTGCTAAATTGGTCGGTCCACAATCAAACCTGGTCGACTTGATGCAAGCTTTGGAGAAATTTACATTTGGCCACTTCGAGGTGTTGATGCGCGACCAGGCCAGTGCCCTCTCAACTGATCAAGCTGCCCTTGCTCCTCCAGATGACTTGTCACCTCCAGAATTCCTGTTGGACGCTCTGGAAAGCCTCCTATCTCTCATGAAATCCCACGATGCATCAGTGGGCGCGGACGAGTCGTCTGACGCGGACAGCGAGAATTCATTTACCCCCGTCCTTCGTGCCACCTTTGACCCATTCCTGACGCTGGCTCGGTCCTCGTCTGATGAGTTGAAGGATACTACCGCGCAGACTATATACCGCACCAATATTCTTCTCGCAGCGCGGGCAACTGTCCAACCATTCTCTTTCGCCAGTGCAACACATATTGCACCTCTATCCACCGCCCTGTCTACACTCCGCACCAATCTTCTCGACATCCAGCACCAGTTCCTACTCGAGATGTCTGGGCTGCAGACACTTCTCGAAGCACTGGAGCCATTCTCCAATACCTCCAAGGATGAGATGGAAACAAAGAATGAACAGACTGAGAAGCCAGATCAACAGAAGCCTCAGCTTGCCGATCTCGCCAGCCTTCCTGCCTTCCAACCTGAAGCTCTGGTTGCGTCGAGTCAGCAGCTGGATGACTTCCTCCCATCTGCGCTCATGGACGCGACTGATAACCTTAAGCGTGTGCAGAGCGCCTCGCTCGTGCAGAGCGTGACCGAGGACGCCGTCGAGGCATTCTGTCGCGACTTCGAGTTCGTGGAAGGCATGATCATCGCCGCGGATGAAGCGCGAGGTATGACCCAGGCGAGCCTCGGAACCGGAGGTAGCGTATTCAGTGGTCGGAGTGGGAGATCTTTGCGGAGACCAGGGACAGGAGAGGATCGTGACGAGGATGATGGCGAGAGAGAGGACCAGTGGAGCTTACGGTCGTTGTTCCCTCGGACCACTGGTGAAATTCGTGTGCTTTTGAGTTGAGTTGATATTGGAATATGGTACAGGAGTACACCTCGAATGAAGATAGAAGTATCTGAAACCTTTTGTATATACATATCTAGCTGTTCATGGCCTTACCAGGAGCTGGCCTGAGGCAGGCGTAGAATTCATGTTTTGATCCAATTTATGGCTCTGTAGCTCAAGACCTCAAGAGATCCCAACAGGTGTTATAATTGAGAATCAGTCCCAATTGGTACCCCCAATCGCCAGTGGTCTAGTGGTCTAGATGGCCCTAGATTGCTGCAGCTGCCATCTCGGTGGTGGGCGGCTGTCTGGACGTTGCGACGAAGCTTATGTGGAGCGCGTTCAGGTGGCGGTGGTTGGGGCCTCTCTTTTTTTCCTGCCTGCATTTTAGATGTATCCCCAGCAGACAATTCTGAAGCATTTTATACTTCTCGTATATCATTTTAATCAAGGAAATTAGGAGAATATAGTAATCTCTTTTTAATATCTCTTTAAGGGTGTTGGTGGCTATATCCATATGTTAAATGCTAAGTGCGGTATCGACGTGGAGTTTTGGAGCATCGTGAGCTGAAGATAGAGCATCGTTGGGAGTTTGTATGAGAAATCAGAAATCGCAGGTTCAATTCATAGACTTGGAGTTTTCTTCCAAGGCGAGACTTTGGACATTATATTCGCTTGAGCTTCATACTCCCCTCCACTGCCTCGACACGGAAGGCGAGCACTCCGAATGTGAACAGTATATCACAAAGCTTCCCCCTACCTACTCAATAGCCATAGCCCTTCAAACTTCGCTTGGTCGTATTCTGCCTTCAACAGGCTCCTGGCTATACTCATTAGCCCCCTCCGGCCTTTCTCGAATCAGCCGGTTGCCCTTCAACGCCTCGGGCCTGCCCACGTCATCGAGGTCGTACTCAGCTAAATGAGTGAAACCGAGATGTCAGCTAATCATCAAAAAAGTTAACCAGAATCTTAAGACTAACAGCGTTTCTCCTGAGTGATATTCATGTACCGAGGCTGAACGCCGCTCCAGGGCTTAGACGCTCCCATATCGACATCTTTATCAGTATCACGGACGTCCTCTTGACCCTGAGCTTCCGCTTGTCCTTTGGCGGACACAGACATGGCGAACAAGGTGGTTGTTGATATTTCCAAGTTTTTGTAGAGTTTTAAGCAGAGGGGTTGCTGTTTGCATTGGCTAATTCGGTAAATGTTCTAAGACCTGTTATTTATAGAGGCTCGGATTTGCCGCTGGGCGTCATGTTTACGCTACACTTACGCCCCACACCCGTCGTGGCGCGGTGAGAAAGAGCCTCTGGGGAAAGAATAAATACTACAAATAAGAGCATCACTAAGAACATAAGTAGAGCCGACCATCAGGACTGATTGTAAGGTAGCGATGGAGTATTGAGGGATGAAGCTTGTTCACATTCACTATTCTAAACCTTTCATATCCGGGCATCAACACCGTAAAATATGTGGAACTTGGAGATCAACAATGGCATCCGTTGATTCTTCAATGCAATAAAAGCTATGTGCTTAGTGATCGAGAAACAAATTCGTCTATGCATCTAGTCGGCTCGGTGACAATTCATGATTGTGATTCACGGGGAAATCGACTATCAGAGCGATGATGTATACACTGGTGAAGAGCTGATTTATATCCTTCACCAATGGTATACAATAAAGCTTCTCCACAAACCAGCTTGCAGAAATTTTCAGAATAGCCTCAGTCTTTCAGCTGATAGTGGCCGAAGAAATCGAAAATATACTCGGTGGCGTTGAAGACATACTTGCCCAGTGGACACTGAGAAGCCAATCTCTCGTAATCGTCATTGCCGACAGTAGAAGGCCAGCAGTGACCGTTTTCACCCTCACGATAGTGCTGCACAATACCAGCCTGGCCAGCGCAGTCCCAACTAGCATGATTGACCAGAAGTTGCTGGAAAACGGTCTCATTCTTGGTCCATTTGGCATTCGCGCCACATCCATTCCGCTCCGCCCAGCCCTCGAGAATATCGATAACGGGAAGCTTGGGATGTTCCTTGGTATTGCCGTCAATGGGAGCGGTAGTGTCGATGGTGCCGTGGAACTCGAGGAATGGATATCCTTCTTCACGCTTCGCGGGCGCACAGGGGCCTACACCGGGTATATCGTCGGTGTTGTACCAGGCGCCACTCACGGCAGCAAAGGCAGCGAAGCGGCTACCAACCGTGGCATTGCAAGCAATCACGCCGGTGAAGCCTCCCCCATTTGACTTTCCAGCAGCGTAGACTCTGCGGGTGTCGATGCAGAGCTTCTCTTCCATAAGGGTCAAGAGATCGTTGGTAAAGTCCAGATCATTCGGACGAGAGGTATCGGCGCTGGGATTGGAGAGCCAATAGCCATTCTTGCTATTGGGATAGATCGCAATACCATTTGGGTTGAACTCCGGGTTGGAGAATTGGGATAGTGCTTCTTCCTCGTGCATGTCCCGGGACGCGCCGTGGAAGGAGAAGTACAACGGCGTTGGCTTGTTTTTATCATAGTTGGTTGGGACGAAGAGCTGATACTGCGATCGGTACCTGGCAGATGCAAGGTCTTGCTTTCTCCAGGATTGGGGAACTTGGAAGGAATATCTTTCCCACAGCCAGAGCGACTGGCAATGCTCACACCAGCCAGTACGGCAAAGGAGAGAAGGGATGAAATATACATTGCGTTTGTGCTGCGGCGATGGTATGAACACGATGAAATCCAGTGAGGAGGAATGCCTTAGTTATAGCACGTCACGAGGATTCTCCTTTCGTGTGAGTTGTCAAAGTCGATCTGGAAAAAGATCAATTAACGTTTGATGGAAACGAGCTGAACGGCCCCAACAAAGGAAAGATATGCCTTCGCCCTCTTCTGCGCTTTTCGGCCCCCGCGATCAACACAGCCCTTGCAGTTTCCTGCCACAAAATACTCAGCACTATATAAAATCAGAGCACAACAATCAGGCAGGACAGTGTGATTGGTGGTATATTCTCGGAAAATGTCCTGCATCAATCTCTGGCTGGCTCCAGACCTGCAGAATCGCCTGATGAAGAGACTGGTTTTTGGATGCTGAAAGTGGACACTGCCAAGTACATTCTCGCCCCCAATCAGCAAAGATGTCTCTACTATGGATGATCTTCGTCCTGCATGTCATGCCACGCCGTGCTACTGACTCGTGTTGTCTACAAGAGCCAGGCATTTCGTCACTAAATGATAAGCTGCAGCTGCCGAGAAATCTGCCCTGATAAATGTCTTCGGTCTCCCGCTTATGATTGCAACACCGTCATTATAATGGCCGTTGAGCCATCGCCATGCTCTTAAATCTCAATCCCATAGCCTGATCGCTGTGGGTGTGCTACTTCCTACACTCGCCTCGGTCGCGGTCAGCCTACGATTTTTGACTCGACATCATTTACGAGTCGCCCCCAGAGAGGATGGCTGCACTCTTTTGATATCCGTAGTCCTGGTATGGGGACCTGGGATAATAACCATCGCCGGCGCTGTGCTAGGAGCGTTGGGTGCGCATTCTGTGCGGGCAGGTCCTAATGCCACTCATCAGAATACAATTCTCAGAAGTCCCGAAGATGAAATTGCCGAGCAGGTACGAACGATCTCGACCATGTCCTTTTGTGCCCGGAGGGGACGTACTAATTTGACTTAGATTGTTCTTGGATACTGTATAGTCGAAAAGATCACGTTTGGAGTCATCAAGATCAGCGTACTCCTGGCCTATCGGAGAATTTTTCGAGGCAGGACATTCAATATTGCCTCATTATTGATGATAGTGGTTTGCACTGTTCTAGTACTTTCATTCTTGATCATCTCGGCCCTTCAATGCCATGTGCGGAATTGGAGTCTCGAGCACTTGGACTGGTCGCATCGAACACATTGCATTCAAGCGGAGATATCGTGGTCTGGCTATGCCATTACGGACGTGGTCACCGATTTTATTCTTTTGCTCTCCCCAGTACCTCTGAGATGGAAGCTGCAGCTTACTCTATCGAAGAAGAGTAGTATGTTACTGGTCTTCCTTCTCGGGTCTCTCTCCACTACAGTTAGGATCACTAGGATGGTAGTAATTTTGTATTTCACTTATGGTACGTCGATTTTCATCTTTCAACACGAATCAGAGCTGACTGTCACTTAGGCTCATCTGATGGATATCGACACCTGCTTGACCCCATCTCAACAGCGCTGATATGGAGTCTGGTGGAAACTTCAGTGGCGATCATTGCTACCTGCCTGCCTTCTATCCGCCCCTTGATCCATCGATCCTCGGCCAGCCATAAGAATAATCGTCAGACATTTGATATTAACCAGCTGTTCAAGCCAGGGGGCTCACAGCTCCTGTTGCATCCAACTATACATGAATTTGACGAAATCGACAACCGTAATCGGCTGACCTATCCAGGATGTGAAGGGGTGGCCACGTTAGCACAGGAGGATGCCTTCAAATCGAATAGACTGCTATGCCTACAACACCAAATATACCAACTAAAGACTTTGCGAGTTACAGCACGTTTCGTTTTGTATAAAATCCTTGAATACTTCGAGATGAAAGTGAATTGAGTTGTGTCTATAATGCTAGACAGTGGCATTAGTCAAAAAAGCAAGCAAGCTGTAGACTGTATGCATTTTGCATCTTGCTTTTTGCTTCAATAATACTACGTAGGGTACTTAAGAACAGTACTACTTTGCAGACAGTGATTGGTGACAGCGCAGAGATCTGGACTGGATCAACGGAGCAGACCCATCTCGAGGGATGTCCCCTACCTTCGACTAATAATCTAACCATATGTCATTCAAACGGCGGCAAGACAACTGACAGCCAATCATCAGCCCTTTTCTTTTTTTCGAGGTCGTGTTCGCTCTGTTATTCCCGAGATCGTAGTGGGTCTATCTCGCTTGACCTGGTGCTCTTGCGTAGACACTATTGACTATATATACCCTATAATATGCAATATTCATAGCACGGATGCCTCTAGTCTGTCCTACTCATCTGCAGTACGCACACAACAACCAGCCGATCTGATGCATTTGGTCGGTATATAAAGATCAGGTAACCCTCCCTTTTCCCACCACTCAATTATCAGAAAAGGACTCAGATCTCAACTAATCAGTATTGTCTCATTATGAAGTCCCTCACGATTCTCCCCCTTATCCTCTCCTTGGGCTACTGCATTACGCCCAACTCGATCTCAAATCAGAAGTCAGACAATTTCTACGGTGTGAGTGGTAATCCCCCCCCCTCTTGGGTGCATATAATTAGCATAGACTGACTAACCCCTCGCAGAATGATCTTATCATCGCCGCTTCAGACGAGGGCGCAGAGACCTACTATGGATACAAAGTTCCAAGTGGAGAGTGTGAAAATCTCACAGACCAACCGTAGGTCAAGCATATCCCCTGTTGGTGCACACACTCTAAACCTCAGAACGAGATCCGGGTGAATGACAAATCGAAGCTTTACTGTGATTTTTTCAGGTGAGTCTTACCCTTTCCCCCATGAAACACTGTGATATTGATGAAATATAGCGACTCCGACTGTTCGGGGCGGCAGGTCGTCTCTGTGTCCAGCTGCTACAACAACACATACAACGAGGATGTTATCACTGTTCCGTCTTTCATTTGCTACTCTAGCGATGACCTTGACTGCTAAAAAGAGGGTCTGGAGCTTATAGAGTGATCGATTGAAGTTGTATTGCGTTCATGGAGAATTAGCGGTCCTCGGCTTGCGGTATCCACCCCGGAGGGGTTTCAAATGATATCTCACAAAGGCATACGTGGTTTCAAATAAGAGGAACATATTCCGTGCTCTACACTATTTGAAGCTCCTTGATAATTGATTCGATACATTCCCCTCCATTTATACTGTATCATTAGCAGAATCAGCTTCTAGAACAGCGATCTTGTCGAGGGACCTTGGCTTTCTCTTCCTGCTCAGACGACGCACGCCGAGGGAGACATAGAAAGCTCCATATCCCTCTCAAATGTTCCTCTTTTGGGTTGTACAAATTTGAAGTTTGGTTTCGCCTTCTTTAGAAGGGACACATACAACCCATGCGAAACCCGCAAGTTTATACCTCCTACAAATCACAAAAATCGGTAGACAAGTCGTATATTTCATCTAGTACTCTGAACTCTCCACCATAAAAGAATCAAACCCCAAGACATGCAGGGCCATCGCTAAACCCCAAAGAAGTCACCCAAGAGCAACAGCAAAGTGTCATCAGACCACCCGATCCAATGCATACCATGGATGCCATACACCAGAATCAATCAGAAGCAGACGCCCAAAGTGATACAGACCAACCGTACCGATACCAGAAACGAAGACAAACATGATCAAAACAGGGCCGGCCGAGTAGTAGTATCGGAGGAACCAAAGTTGAAACAAGAGTGACAAGAGCCGTAATTGTCTTTTTATTCCATTTCTTACATCGTTTCGAAACACCTGAAAAAGAAACAAAGATGCGTGTTCGTAGGAGAACTCAGGTCCTTCCATGACATTCGCAGAAGGAGACGGCGTCAACGCCATCTATCCACCACGTTCACCAAACTCTCGCGCCCAATCCTCATACCTGCGCAGCCCATCTGGTGAGACACTGGGTCTAATAGAGTACAAGCTTGCCTCGAAATCCTGAAACTTGATGGGACGAATTTGGTCCATGGGTGTGTATAGGAGCGCTTCGCCGAGGTTGCGGAGCGGACCCATGGCGGCGTCTTTGGCGAGGGCTGTGATGTCAGAGCCGGAGAAGCCTGAATTACATGTTAGAAACAGATTCAAGATCCAGCGAATGTGTGGAGATGACAGGTGTTTACCTTCTGTGACATGGACCAACACTTCGATATCCTCAGCGCTCAATTCATGATGCTGATGACTCAATAGCTTACGTAGCTGTTGCTCGCGTACATGGTGTTCTGGTAGGGGAATATATTGCCTCCGTACGAACCGGCGCCGCGCAGCCTCATCAATATCCCATGGCATATTCGTTGCCGCAAGGACTAGAACACGACTCGCATCACCTTCCTTCTTATCGCGGGCACTCTGCTCACGGCCCGCAGCAGCACGCTGGAGATCAGACCATTGAATCAAAAACTCGGTCTTTGATCGGCGCGATGCCTCGTGCTCGGAACCGGAAGACCGTGCAGATAGCAAAGAGTCAATCTCATCGACAAAGATGATGGAGGGTGCAAGAACCTTGGCGAGACCGAACAAAGCACGGACGAGCTTTTCGCTTTCGCCATGCCATTTGGACGTTAAACTTGAGGAGGAAACAGAGAAGAACGTAGATTTGGATTCCGTGGCTACGGAACGGGCGAGCATAGTTTTGCCTGTGCCTGGAGGGCCGAAAAGGAGCATGCCGCGGGCAGGCTCGCGGAGGCCTGAGAATAGATCGGGTCGGAGGAATGGATATACCACTGCTTCCTTGAGAGAATTCTTGGCTCCGTCAAGACCTGCGATATCATCCCAATATACCTCGTCGCCACGTACGACGATATCATTGAGGATCTGCCGCGCGGACTGTAGATCCACGCCTTTGGGCAACTTGCTCAAAATCTTGGTGATATCATGGTCGTCACCTTCGTCTTCATCTTCTGCTTCGCCTTCTGACGATCGCTGCTCCCAAGACTCCTGATCACTCGAGGGAGGTGTCTCTCGTCGCTTCACTGGAGGTGGTTTGCGTCGTAAGGCGTTGCTGCCGTTCGCTCCTGAGATTGACATTCGATCCACGCCACGCTGAACATCGTCACTGCCTGAAGATGGTGACATGTAGGTCGGCTGACTGGTTGGAGCGACGCGCGGTGCAGACTTTGTTCGCGGCTTGCTACTTGATATATTGCCGTCCGGATCCTGCCGGGGCGTCGTTGGTCGAGAGTTGCCTTCTGATTTTGTGATATTTGTGATTCGTGGGGGAGGCGGGAGTGTTGTCCTCAAGCCAACAGGCTTAGGTTTTATTGATGGCTTGGCAGCCGGCGAAGAGGTAGGTGAAGGGGTGAAGTCCCGTGGATCCGGCATGGCAACTAGACCGGGAGGAGGAGGAAGCGGTCGGCGACTTTCAGAGGCAGGTTGAGGTTTTCGTGGAGACACTTGAGCAGAAGACCTGGGTGATGGTCTGCTCAGAGAGGATGGTAGCTTAGGCTCTCGCCAGTTTGCCGGAGGAATCCGATCCGCTGCAGAATCTCTTCGCGGAGGAAGTCTCCCCAACGAGGGAGGTTCGTCGCCAGAGCTGGTCCTCGGCTCCGTTTCGCGGCGAAAACTAGGGTCGCTAGCTGCCATCTGACGAGTCGAAGCCAGCGTCGCATCGTTCACGGTCTTCTCGCTCGACGGGGTCCGATAGATGTTTCCCCAAGCCAATCCCGCTGCTTTGGAGGCGGTCGGCCGCATCTCCTTCTTCTTTGTGCTGGCCTTGGACTTCTTCCCATTCTTCTTTCCATCTGTGTTTCGTAGCGTCGTCAGCATCGTCTTGCGTCGCTCCGGGCTCGACCCTCGAGACTTGGTCTTCTCGGACGAGTTCGAGTTGACACGCAGAGCCGGCGAGTCCAATAAAGGAGCATCGTCCTGGAGGGATTGCGGCTCGGAGGTATGTCTCGCCATGGACGGAACCGAATGGCGGCCTGGGATAGCCGCCGGTTTGGAAAGGTCGGTGTAGCCGACGGCGGGAATTGTACCGTCTCCGATCCAGCCGGGGTGGTTATTGGATGAGGAGGATCGTTGTAAGATGGCGGGGAATTTGCCCTTGATCAGGGTGGCAGCGTCTTTGCTCCCGTTGGCCTCGGCAGATTCCTTCCGGCTTTCGCGCAGGGCCTCGAGTAGATCGACTCGCTCGCGGCATTGGACCTCTAGCGCGCGGATAGAATCCTGCAGAGCCCTCTCCGTTTCAGACTTCGGTGTATAGTTCGATGGTACACGACGAGCATTGTGATGGTAAATAGTCTCGAGGGCGGATCTCCAGGACCTCAATGCCTCCTCTTCGTTGTTCTGATATCATGAGCAACTGCCGTTTTTGCACTGCCCGCTCGGGTCGGGACCTGGTTTTGGGGGGAAAGCGGAACGACCTACCTGACCCTCGAAATAGACCGCGGTCGAGCACGCGAGATAGCATTCATCGTATGTCTTCTGCAGGGAAGACGCGGGCCGTGGGCGCATCATTGGGAAATTGTAAGCCCGCACCCATTTCACTGCAGGGTTGTGGTGGTGGTGGGGAGGAAGTAAGACGATGATCTCCCGCGGAATGGTGAGGGGATTTTTCGCGTGACGTCGTCGGTTCGCTGGTTACTGCATGCGGACTTGCCTACTCCACTGGCCTGCGGTGTCTTAAAGAGACATTTGGATGTAAGGCTTAGGGTTGTCGTAGTCTATCCATAGTCTTAATATTGGAAGGATATTTTGCAAGACAATTGGTCTACATCCAATGTACTTCCTGCTTAACAGGATATTGTCTGATCAAGCTGTCGCCACTTATGGAGCCATCATCGCTTTTGGGCTACTGAATAGATACCATTAGTGCTTTGTTAGAATATTATATTCGCAACATGTTTACTGGTGAATGATCAGGAATCGTTCAATAACTGTTCAAGCTTCCTCAGTTACTGTCTACTAGATTGGTAGCCTTGCTGTGCTGATCTCGTGATAGACTACACCTATATGCTCCCCAGGGCTATGCATCCTGCGATAACTAGTGTGGTATCCTGTCTATGTTGCGCTCATCTCGGCATATTTCTATTTGAATAAACCCTCCAAATCCCCAAAGTCATCTCGAGAGCAGTATTGCGCACAGCTGCTAGTCTATGGAGATGGTCCCTAGCTAGTCAATTACTCAAAGCATGATACACTAACTAGCGAAAGAGGACAGGAGAATTGACCTTCAAAGGTGAACCACAAGGAATGCACGGGAGATCGAATACATCCAGATACTCGCTATCTGGGGTTCTACAATAGTTGTCAATGTGATCTATACCTACAGTTTTGGAGATTGATACAACTGGCGTGTATGGATCAATACCGTGTGGATATCCATTTTTCCGTGGACAATTTTCAATACATGCTAGTACCGTATGGGAAATTACAGCAAATGCGTCGCGTCGCGAAAGTGTGAGGACACAGGTCAAACTCGAACTCCAACACTTGAATCCTTTACCAAGACCGTGATATAGCTGGCTCTTCATCTAAGGTTTCTATAAACCCTTTCAATATCCCTCGACATCCCATCCCAATACTGGCATTCGCAATGACAGACACCGCGGAGAATCTCACCCATCTCAACGAAGCAATTCGTCGAGTAACACCGCCAGTCCTGGTATCTCTGCTCAGGGCAATTTGTGAGACAAATCCATCTGCCAGGGCTCTGGTGAAGGACCGGCTTTTCGTGGACGAAGCTGCAGTTCCCCAACCAGGAACCCCGCCCAAGATCCCCTCCGATTTCCAGGACAGCGAGGACAGTGATGCTAGCGACGACAAGGCGAAAGAGGATGCTAAACCGCCCTCGGCGACTACCGGTCCCAAACGATTGAGAACGCGTTATGCTTGGTGTAAGAATTGCGAAGAGGAGTATGACATTACTGCAAATACCGCGACGAGCTGTTCCTACCATCCAGGTATGTACTGTTTAGCAATCTACCAAACCCATAACCATTGTGGGCTCGAATTGAATATCTTGAATTGATGTAACGTCTAGATGACTATCCCGAGCCGGATGAAGACATGTTTGTTGACCATGATGTGGATTGTCATGGGCCGATTGATACTGAGGACAATCGGAGCATGTATCCCGAGTCTTTTATTTACTCCTGTTGTGATCGCCATGGGGACGAAGAGCCCTGTGTTACGGATTGGCATAGGGAGCGTCAGTATAAGGGCTCGAAGAGGCAGAAGTATTAGATTGAAAGGAGAATAGTTGGATGGCGTTTGTGGAATTGGTTTCTATCAAATATTTCTGGGTTCGCTTCCCGTATCCTTGTCCTATGATATGATCAGGGAAGCGAATCAAGAAAGATGATTGATATCATATCACACGCATGTAGCTAGGTGTGTCAATCTTGGGATTAGCCTCGAATCAGGTAAAGGAGCAGGCTATATGTACATTACAGGTACAACCGGAATAGACTCACATACACACTGAAAAACAAATCCTTTCGGATATCACATCTAGGTTCCTCGTGGCAGACGTCTATCGGTACATGCAAAGTAGAAAAGAGGACACGAAAGAAAAGGAACAACCACAAACACATACGTATATTGATGCAAACAAAGATTGAACCCCCCAGCCCGCGCACATGAAAAATCAAAAGAAAACCCGAGGTTCCACGTTTCCAACGCCGGTAACGAGATAGAACACATTGGACGGGGGGAGAGCGTCGAGAAGATGAGAATGAGGAAGAAGGGAAATGACGAGGTCGATCTCCAGACCGGTTTGGAAGTGCCATTCCAACTAACCCCGTTTTCTCCAAACTGTACATTACCCGCATCGCTTTTGTATTGGTGTGAGAGATGGCTTGAACAGGGAAGGACGAGAAAACATAGCCATGTTCTTCCGGTCCACGCCACGAGAAATTATGTGGGCACTGCCCGTATCTTTCATGACCCAGACGGAAAGGATGCAGCAGAGATCCATATCGCCGGAGGAGATCGAGGAAATGGGAAGATGTCTTATGTGATTGTTTCACATAATACGAGACATTGCACAGAGGTAGGGAAATATGAGGGAGATCGGGTCGATAGATGTGTTTCAAGTCGGTAGATAGGGATTAGGGTCGGGTCGAGTAGTCTCCGATGGAAGGCGTTTAGTCGGAGAGGCTCTTGAAATAAGCCTTGGCCATCTCATAAGACGTCCTATTTTACAAACGTCAGTACATAATACTCTACTAACCGTGAGAGGTGACCAGAGTAGGAATACATACCAGCAAATAGCTGTGCTGGGCATGGTCGAGATAATACGCGGGCGCATACCACGCAGGAAACCCGCCCAGCCAAACTGGCGCTTGATAATAGCAGCCGCATTGAAGAGGCCCCGAACGGAGCGGATTTCCTCGCTCTCGGCAAGACCACGGGTCTGGAGGAGTGTCTTCACCACGTCCAGGGGAGTGGTGATACCAGCAGCAAAGGCACCGGCGAGACCACCAGCCATGCAGTGGGTGAAAGGATCGTAATCTCCCTTGGGGTTCATGACCTTGGAGATGGATTCATATGCGACGAATTGGGTGGCAGTAAAAGGCACGGTCATGCAGAGGGTGGTAGGGTAGGAGACGTAGAAGGCCTGGAGACCCTCGGTGCGGTAGACGGTTTTGGCGCATTGCATGAGACTCTTGTGGACGGATCCGTGGACTTGCATTCGTTGTTTGATGACTGTTGAAATGGGTTAGTAGGGCCCTCCATCTCATTGCCCTGGAGATCAGATCTCTTACCATCAAAGGGGTTCATCAGCGCATCACTGGCGATTGTGGCCGAAGCTCCGCTCATGGCTGTATTTCCTAGTTAGTCACGCGACACCGCAAGAAATAGAGGGACCCTCGAGTCTCTTACCAGCTGCCAGAGGATGATGCCCGTCGTCCACATTTCCACCTGCCATTTCCTTCACAATCTCATATGTGCCAAAGTACACCGCGTGTGCAGGACCTGAAACCCGCTCATCAGTCTGCGCCCTCCAGCCAAAATCCGAGGCCTCATCGAAAACATACCAGCGCCAACAATTACACTCGACACACCCTTCCATAGTGTCCGCCAGCCCTCAATCCGATAAATCGTCGAGACCGCGTTGGTCAAACCGGTGTAGAGACCGCCTGTGGAGGGATGCAAGATTTGCATGCGGGTCTAGCGACAGTTTCCCAACCTCGTCAGCCAAATGCGTTTCTCACCAAATCGTTCACTCCCCAAAAATCAGAAAACAGAGATACATACCTTGAGCAAGTCAACGGGGTACATAACCGAATGCTCCTGTAAAATCCGCTCATCAGCCCGTGTTCCTCGCCTCATCATCTCAAGTGCCCCCGACAGTTCCCCGCTCAACGTACCGCTATCCCTGCAAAAGCACCAGCAAGCATATTGTGGCCGAGGCCATAACTCGAAGGAAGGGCTTCGTAACTAGAAAAGTAAAACAATGAATTAGCCCATCAGCCCTCGCAAACCCGGCCAGACATCCGAAATCATTCCCCTCTGAAAAAGAGAGGCGGCGGCAAGTATCTCCCACCGGGCTCCGGTGAGCCAGATCGCCGGCAACACCACACACACAATGCCAGACGCCGCGGAGAACCCAAAACAAATGCTTTGATGAGAGAAGGGTTCCCGCTCGCTGCAGAGTGATCATCCACTGAGTCCCGCTGGGAGATGCCAGTCGCCGCGGAGGAGGGTTCTATCGACATACTCATATTCCTGCCCCGGGATCTGGTCGGAGGCCGCCATGGAGCTCCGCTAGCTCAAGGCGCAGCGGGCGCAATTCCGGAAAAGAGGAAGGAAGAGGTAAAAAGCGAGGTAGCGAATGGTTATACCGAGACCGAGGTGTTGTCGCAAGCGAAGAAGGGACGGGCGCCGCTCGTGGATGAGGTCAACGGGGGTTGTTCTCCGTGGAGCACGGCACGAAACAGGTACGGAGCAACAAGATTTCTTTGGTCCACGGGAACCAACGGTGAGAGATTGAGGAGAGGAGAGGAGTGTGTATAGTTTGTTTTCGCAAGGAATTAGAAAAAAAATAAAGGAGGAGAATGAAAGAACCAAGAACAACGTCTAGAACGGATTGTTTTGTAAGGTCCAAATTTTTTTTTTCGGGCAGCCCGGAGAAGAAGGAAAGGGAGATCGTTGGAGTTCAACGACAATTCACAGTAACCCAGACCTGCCGCAGATAGTGTCCACTGGGAAATTATTATTCACGGCCGACCTTCGCTGGATTCCACCGACTCCATTCCTGCCACCGTCCTACTCTACTTTACTTTATTCTAACCGTGACTCTACACAGATCTGCACTTCCATTGAGATAATCATTAAGATTGTTTTGTTATATCCCTTCCTCATGCCTCTCATTCATCACTGCCTCTCTCCCCGATTACTCAGAAACCAGAGTCCAGAATCCCCGACCATCTTCCCTCCGAAGATCCGATGACGGAGCTTACCTAAGGAGGGTCCGGGACCGGTACTACTTACCAAATCGGGCGCTCGGGTATCGTGGCATCCCCGAGGAAAATGCCGAGGTACATGTCTGCAACTTACACGGTACCTGCCATCTACACAGAACTTGCCAGTCCAGGCAGGTACCCACACGGTATAGTCCCCGGTACCGAATTATCAATCTGATAAGCGGCCCAAATGAATCACTGCAAATGACCGCCCCCCCCCTCCCCCTGTGATCCTTTTAGTCAATTTAGTGCACTGGGGTACAGCACTGTGTGCCTAGAGTGGACACATCTCCTATGGCCCAACCAGGGACAGTTTGGCGTCTGTCGAATTCTTCGAGAAGAGATCCACCATCCCCTTTTCCTGGACGCTGGGCGGAACGACTCACTATGTAGTGAGCAGAGAGACAACAGAACAGAACTCAACACCGCAAGATCAAAGACCGGACACATTACCAATACTTATCACCACTATCTTACCTTCTTTCGCCTCCGTAAACTTTGTTTCCGCCCAAAAGTACACTCCTCGAACCAGTAACCACGGACCTGTCACTCCAGCGGCGAAATCGCTCAGCCCGAACACGCGACTCCGCGGAGCGGGCTGCCGAGGCCCGGTTGGGCTTCAACCCGTGTCCGTGTCGACTAAACCCAGATCGGACTCGTATATACGGGATGGACCTTTGTGCCAATAGCCAAGTTCCACATGACTGTCAGGTCAAAGCAAGGAGTGAGACTTATATCGAATATACATGATATGGCTGTAGCAGTGATGATGCCCTGTGGGACAGGACTCAACAAGGAGCAGGATTCTTTCCGCAGGAACCGGACCCGGGAACAAGCGCAGAGCCATTTACAATACACATCACATCTGATAAGATCAAGATTCGCTATCAGGCTATGGAAATACTGTAAACAAAGATAGAGGGAGAACACTGTGATCTGACCATGAAAAAGAAATACCCAATAAATGAAAATGGAACCCAACTCCACGGCGCCGCTGCATGGTTTTCCCATGGGAGAAAGAGGAAGGGGAACGGTGAGGCATGGAGGGGATAGAGTAGATGTCAAGATTGTTGTTTCGGGTTACATTGAGGAAGGGAGTCTAAGTCCACTGATTCCTGATTTCTCCCGTCACCGAGGACACACTGTGGAATGGATATTGGATCTTGGTCAGAGACAAGAGGGGGGAGTAGGAGGTAGATGGTGAGAATGGGAGGTTTGGACCCGGAGCGGGGGATAAGTAGAATGGAGGGGGAAGAAGAAAGGTAGTTCGTTCACGTCGTCAAAAATTCTCATCTGCGTATGGAGTCGCAATCGTGGTATTCCCGTATGTAGGAAACCCCGTTGGCGACGGATCACCACTCGACGTTGAACGACCATTCTCCTACAGATTTGTGTTAGTAATGATGCCGCTAACCGCTCCAGCTTACAGCACGATGTAACGACTCACCATTCTTCAAGTTCTCGGCAGTATCACTCAACAAAATGACCCGGCGCTTATTGCAATAGGCCGTCTTGTCGAGAATATCCACCTTGAGCTCGGCCAGTTCGGGCACGGGCTTCTCAAACATCTCACTCAGACTCTCGACCGCCATCTCCAGATCCTTCTGATTATCCTCAAATATCTCCGTAAGGTTATTCCTCGCCAGATAGAATGCAAATGCATACGTCCACTTCAGCGTCTGGCGGCACTGTTGAAGAGCCTGCGAGGCGGTGTCGAGGAACTGCACTTCAATCCAGGACAGTCCCGACGCGGACTGCAGACTGGTCATCTTCTTCTCGGTCTTGAGATACAGATCTTTGTCTAGTTTGGCGGATTGCTCGTGGTTCGCATAGCGGTTGTAGTAATGCAGATAACGTTCCAACGAGGCACGAGATTTGGCCTGGGCACCCCGAGCCTCAGAGCCTGATTTTTCTTCATATCGGTTGCAGTTGTACCAGCTGGTGCCGTGTTCGGACCAGAGACCCATGCACATCCAGCAGAATTCGTGCTTGCACTTGCGGCAGGTCATATGGTTGCAGCCGCCGTTCTTCTCGATCGTTGACTGGCACTTGGGGCATTCCTTGGTATTGGCGGATATCCAGTTGGCGGTCTCCGAGTCATCCTCGCACTTTTGTAGCCACATCTTGACCAATGTGCAAGGGGTGGGCTGGTGGTCGTTCAGGGTGCAGCCGAAGCAGAACTCATGTCCACAGCGGCATCGGACGGTGGGAACGACGCGGCGAAGATCGCGGGTCTTGACGCCGCAGTCGACCGCATACACGCATTCGGGTGCCGGGCACCATCGTAGATTCTCCCTATCATCCACGTAGGTCCTGGTAAGAAGCGTGCGGTACCTATAAGTTAAACAGGAATGTCAGATTAGTTCCAACGTTCATTTTCCATCTTCATACCCCTCCAAGGACACAGGCTGACTCACCGTTCTTTCAAGTCATCGGTCACCAAGAGATCTAGAGACTTAGAATCCACAATGCGATGGCAGTTCTCACCAGGGCACTCGATACGGGCAGCCTCTCCTTCTTCCTTGATCTTCTGAGCCAAGTACTGCCGGTAACAACTAACGCAGAACCGATGGCCACAGCGCATGGCATAGCTCTCTAAATTATCCCCATCATCGCAGCAAATATCACACATGAATCCAGGGATGACCTCAGTCCGCGCCGTACCCTGCGAACTTTTGCCCAGCCCGGCCGCTTCCAGGGTCTCGTCCTCACGCTCCATGTAGCCCTCTATTAGCTTTTCCTTTTTCCACCGGGCATATCGGAGCAGGATCGCGGCCGACTCTGGGGGTAGACCAAGGATAGCGGAAACCTCGTTAATCTGCACGAGCTGTTCATGGTCGATATCGACGGGGGCCAAGACCTTGTACTTGACTTCGTATGGTTTGCGCTTCTGCTTGAGGAGATCTTTGTCATCGGAGAAGCCGGTGTCTAAGTCGCTGAAATCTGGGATCAGAGAAACAGGTCAGCACTGGGATGTCCTTTTCGTCGGATGTTCCTTTCGTCGGATGTTCGTTTCGTCTGATCCTCGAGACCATCGAGATCAAGCTAGGGTTCTTCTTCTATGCACACGCACCTTCTCCCAAACTCTCATCCTCACTACCCTGCGTATCGATAAAGTCCTCCGCGCTCGACACATCGCTCATAAAATCATCATCGGAGTCCATACTGCCCGTCGTCGTCGCCGGCGTCGCGATACGACTCTTCTTCACGGTCACGCTGGCGGAACTAGTTGAGCTGCCCCTCTCGGTATCCTGGGAGTTCACTGTCACAGAGGAAGCGTGCTTAGAGCGTGACTTTGACTTGGAGTCAGAAGCAGTCGCAGTCGCAGTCTCAGTCGCGGTCACAGTCGTGGCAGTGGCGTTGGCGTTTCCGGAGTAGGCAGCCTTGGTGGCGGCTTTGGAGGAAGACTGGTCGTTGTCCGCAATCGCCGCCTCAGCCGCCTTTCTCTTCCGCGTGAGGCGAGGCGTGGTGAAAGGGGGTGCGGCAAAGATGCCGACGTGGGGGAGGGGGGAGGGAGGGGAGGGTCCTTTTAAGGAGGGATCTTAGAGCAGAGGGGAGGAGGGAGAGGGGGTTCTAGCAGCCAAGGGAGTGTGGTGTTAAACCAGTTGAGCCACAACGTCACTCAGCAAATTTGGACGGTCGGGAATCGGGAGGGACTGGGACTGGGACTGGGACTGGGACTCGGGTGGGGAAGATCGGACGGAACCGTTCAGTAACTACCCTTAGAAGTAGTTAACTTAACAGGCTGTTAATGTACTTTGAGTGATAATGTGATTAGGCACCTGATCAGTCAAGGGCGTTGATGAATAATAACACGAAAAGTGGAAACTAACTAACCACCGTAGTCAGTTAGTTAGGTTGAAAAAAAATGCATTTGTCAACGTGATCGTTATGAGACCTGTCTTCACGCCTGAAATTGCCCAGACCCTACAGTACTCCGCGCTAAGATGTGATTCGCGAGGCTGAAAGTGACCTGCAGATCGTAGGGCGTGGCGCCTTACGGATGCCTACTGTATGAATCACTGCACAGAAATCAAGTTGGATAAAGGAGTCATAGATGGAAGAGTATAATGGAAAAGAGAATTTAAGTTATTTGTGAGTCTCTACATGATTTGCTAGTCAGTCATGGGGACTTTCATACCTCTTGCAAAGACTGCCTATACCTTACGTATACCAAACACCCTCTCTATGAAGCACTAACAACCATCATACCATGCTAACGTAGATCAACCAAGTCGAACCGTAATTTGTATGCCCATTTTTGCCCTATGAAAAATCGTGTGGTATATGGAAAGTCTCTACTCCTCATCACTCTCTTCCTCATCCTCCTCATCCTCCTCATCCTCATCTTCCTCCTCACTACTCTCCTCTTCAGCATTCGCCAACCAATCCACAAACTGCTGCGTCTGAGCCCGAACAGTCCGCATCTCCTCCGTACTACTAGCCCGCTCATCCTCCCACCACTGCTCATAAGCCTCCTCATCCACCAACTCCAGATCATACAGCTCCTTCGCCGTAAACAGCAAGATACTCGCACCCTTGTTCCGATGCACCAGGTCCTGCTGTAACTGAAGCAAAAAGTCCACCTGGTCCTTCTTGACTTCCTTCTTGCGGTCGAACAAGGTGCGGTCCACCACTTCGCGGTATTTGGTAAACACCTCCTTCACCGCCTCGCTGGCTCCCTTGCCGCCGTCCATCAACTGGGAGATATACTTCATAAAGGAGGATACCACGGCCCGTCGGACTTGCACGTCGGAGGCGTTGGCCGTCATGCGCAGACTGACCAGTTCCAACTGCACCACGTCGGCGGATGTGCCTTCGCGTAGACTGTCAAAGACACTGACAGAGGCGTCGTGGTGGAAGTTATCCTGCTCTTCGCCGTCGGAGAAACTGCTTCGCCCAGAGCGAGGCCATGATCCCTCGGAGATTTCAGAGGATAGGGTGGAAATCGAGGCATTGGATAGTGAAAGGCCGGGCATGCGGTATACCAATCCTGACGAGGCCACACTGATATCATCTTCCTCATCCTCCTCGTCCTCACCATGGATAAACTCGTATCCCTCGCCGCCCTCGCCGACAACCGCGGGGTCACTGGTTCCCACGCTTCCATCAGGCCGAGACCGGGTAATGCGCTTCCCACTCTCGATCTTGACACCGTCTGCAATTCTAACACCATAGGAGAGAAGAGCACCTTGAGCAATGGAGCAGTTCTTGCCAACCACAACGCCGTCCGCAATAATAGCCCCGCGGACATCTGAACCATCCCCGATAACCACATTGTCCCAGATATAAGCGCCATCCAGCTGGACATTCTTGCCGATCTTGCAGTTCCGACCCAAAATCGTGCTGTGCACCGTTGACCGGTCGCCGATGCTAGTACCGCGACCAATCACAGTACGTCGACCGAGTACACACGAGCGAGCGAGCGTGACGCCCTGCTCCTGGTACAAGTTGCCCTTCCGGAGGCTGTAGGTGTGTCCCGGGAGGAGGTTGGTGTCCGGGCACAGGGGGTAGGCCCAGCGCGAGACGATATCCTTGCTGACGGCATCGTAGGCCTTTAGGTTGCGTACCCGCGCGGCATAGTCCTCTTTAATGATGTATGTATGGATCGTCTTGCCGTTCAATTCATAATCCTTCAAGACTCCGTACAAGTAGTGTTTCCGGGGTGACTGGTAGTCAAAGCTGTCAGACCACAAGCTCAGTACGTCCGGGGTGCAGATATCAATGCTGCAGTCAATAAGGTCTTGGCGGATGTCCAGTTCGGGCGTGGACAAGATGATATCGGAATCAATGTTCAGGCGTGCCGGGTGCTCGTCGGAGTGGTGGTCGATCTCCTCGTAGTGCAGACAGCGATCCTTGGTTGGGTCGATCACGAAGACGGGGGAGATGGAGGAGGATTTGGCGCGGTGGTTGCGGCCCGCCTCGCGGAGGACCATGGTCATAATGGCGTTCTTGTCGGCCTCACGACGCTTGCGGTGCTTCGTGAGAGCGCCCTCGATGGGCAGGTTGCTGATGACATCGCCGCTCACGACGATGAAATCGCCAGTGATGAGATGCTTGCCGTCGAGATCTCGCATGACATCACCGACGGAGGTAGAGGTGGACTTGAGGAAGGTCAATTGCTTGAAGGGCGAGGATGGAGCTCGCCATTTTGAAGTGCTGGACAAATCCAGTTAGTCATGTCCTACCCTCGCATGTATCTGGTATATAGGCGCCATACTTGATGTATTTCTCTAGTTGATCCGAATGAGCACCTGCGTATAGGAATACCTCTTCGACGCCCGCATTGGCAAGGAACTCGAGGGTGTATTCGATGAGAGGGGTATTGGCGAGAGGGAGTAGACACTATTCGTTGCAGATGCTGGTCAGATTTGCTCCTGCATATTGCGCTCGTTGGGATGCCAGCACATACCCTTGGCTTGTCGCGCGTGAAAGGCTCGAATCTAGTCTCAAAGGTATCGGCAAGTACGACCGCCTGAAGGGTCGCCTCTACTTCCTCCGCCGTGTTCTTAGGCTTCGCGCCGCCACCCTTTTGCTTGGCGCCCATTGCTGTTCGGAGATCCTGGAGCGGTGTCAATAAGAATGATTCACACAGGAGCCGTGGCGGTTGGTTGACGGGACGGTTCACGGTTCGATTTGACCGAAGGGCAGCCGTACCTCTAATAATCGAGAATCAAAGAACAGGAAAGAAACCGGGGCTGAATCGCCGAATTCGCGGTGAAAGATGCTGTAGCTCGCTGTTCCAATATGACTCCGCCGTCCATGAAAGGCACAAAAAACCCCGCCAAGCCTCGGACTCCCACCGTGTTGCCTGGTTTGCATGGTTTAACATGTTTGCACACTCAAGCTCCATTTTCCCACGTGACTGCGATGGCGCAGGGGCCCTCACACCAGCCACAAGCAGCCGCAAAAGGTCCAGATGGTCCAGAATTTCCTGCAAGGCCTGGACCCCTGTGGACTCCTTTAATTGCCCTACGACAAAAGGTATTCGGTCTAGACGCGTCTCCAAGATGGCTCCCTCAATATCTCGGGTTCGGCCGACCGGCTCTCGTGTGTGGGAATGCGGGTATAGTGGAGATGGTTCGTCGGGAGTAGTACGCGGACAAGGCGAGCAAAGGTCAATTAGTCGCGTTTGACATCTTTTGGAATGACGGTGCGTACAGTAACTTGAATGTCTTGAAGAGAGCGCCTGAATTGAGCCGACCCCTACATGCCTTGCCTCATCTGCCATTTTACAGTATTCTAGGGCCGAACAGCTTCAGTTGACCGGAGGCCCTTTCAAGCCCCTGAGTTTATCCCGACATGCGAGGAAAACAGACACAGCCCCATTTGAGAAACCAGTATATGTAAAATGTGTATACAATATGTAATTGGCAGAATAATCCTCCCAATAATAGATAATGGTAAATAAGTGTATATGAGAGTCCATGGTGGATCGACGCTGACGCGTGAATCGTAGCCGCACAAATTCGCCACCCAAAATCAGAGAACCTTGGAACAAAATACCAGAACAAGACAAACGCCATGACCTGTAAGGGGTAGAACGACCGTGGCCGAGGCAACGAGACAAGCTGGGAACGGCGACCGAGCAAAGTGAGCGATATACGACTAAAGGACTCATTATAGACAAGTGGGAATCGTAGGGTAATGGACAGATGGAGAAAGAGTAGGAGAAGAGGAGTAGATGGGCGAGAGAGGGACACGTGGGGAGGAGAATGGTGCGTTTTGATCTTTAGCCAGGTCGCCCAGCTTGTACGGCCATCATCGGTTGAGGTTGGGGGTACATGCGCTGTCGTTTGACGTTCGGGTTTTCTGTAGCGCTTGCCATCTCGGACATTTGCCGACGATGTTGTGGCCGAGGAGGGACACCACTGGAGGGAACAGTTATCGTGGGAGGTGCAGGGAATTGCACGCCATTCTGGTCCACCGTATAGGTGCCCGGTGGTGCGCCGGGGGCGGCCACGAATTGCCCAGGGACCGCAGACATTGGTTGTGGCACTGGCGCCATGCCATGGAATTGACCAGGGGATTGCCAGTTATTCATCGACCCGGCCGGAGATTGACCAGGGGAGCTATTATCCTCTTTGATTGATTGCGTGGCCGACGTTTGAGCTGCCATCGTCACTGCTGCTGCGGTGGGCGCGGCGGTATCGATCCCCTGCGCCATAGTCTTGAGGTGCACCAAGTGCTTCTCTAGCATACCGAGAAGACTCTTGCGAGTGAAAGGCTTCGGTAGGACGTCGTCCATACCTATCAGCGAACGTTAGTGGGGTTTCTTCAGGTCGATGAAAACCAAGTGCAAGCTGTTGCCTTACCGTGTTGGAAGTAGAGCTGAATATCATCACTACGGATGTTGGAGGTCATAGCAATGATAGGCGTACGGTCGAACTGGCGGATGAGATGACAGGCAGAGACACCGTCAAGATTCGGCATGATAATATCCATGAGAATCAGATCGTATTTTGAACCGCCTTGCATCTTGTTTACAGCCTCCAGACCGTCGAACTAGAAAACAAATCAGATTAGTACTTTTGTGCATTGACCTGTACTTTGCAGGTCATCCGACGTGGTCTGACATACCGCAGTGTCAACCACACAATTGAACGAATATAAGAATTTTCCACCAATCTGTCGACAAGTCGCGTCGTCCTCGACCAGCAAGATTTGCGGACTGCGTACCCAGCCGGGATCGACGTGGGTGGTCTTCTTGCGGTTACCATTGTCTTGGTAGCGTCGAGCCTCGGCAGGGTCAACTTCTGGCTTGGGGGGCATGGGGTACGGCACATTATTAACGTGCTCGCTATACATCGGATCGATACCGTTGGTGGCACCCACAGGGTAAACCACTTGTTCCAGGTCGCTGCCCATCTTGGGATAGACCATCGCTGCAGGGTTGGGTGGTACAGTAGTCACTGGACGAGCGACAGCGACGCTACCGCGAGCTGCTGGATCCATGGTGGGGGCAGCTACTGGGACCGCGCCCGCCTTCTGGGCATCGCTAGCCGCAGCTGCTGGATCCATGGCCGCCAGGTTGAACTGCATCTCGGAGTTCATATCGTTCAGCAGCTTCGACGCCTGCTGGAGAGGCGAGGATGGCTCGTCGTCCACACCGCCAACCTGAGACGGACTCATCGCGGCGCCGCCTTGGCCCTGGAAAGCGAGGGCCTTGCTGTCCCTTCGCTGGCGCGCATCCACCGAGAGCAAGTAAGTCATCACCTGGTGAATCACATTCTCATGGTTCAAGACTGTCTTCTGCACTCGCATCACCTCCTGCAACATGAGCTGATGATCCACGGTGAGCTGTGCATAGCGATCCGAGAGATGCTGGATTTGTTGTTGCTGGGCGACAATCTGTTGGTTGAGGAGGTCGATCTGCTGGGTGGGTGCGGATTCATCGTTGGGCTGGTTCTGCTTGCGGGGAGCAGGAGCCTTTCTGCGAATGTTGTCTAACGAATCCTTGCTATTGGCGCGGAACTCGGGGTGTTTGAATTCCCATGCCTATTGCGATATTCCGTATCAGCCAGGGCTAGAATAGATCATGTGGGTGACTAGGTCATGCGAATATGGGGGGATTTCCGGAGTGAGGAGTAGCGGTAAGTGAAGTGCGGGCCTTACGTTTTGCCCATACGGCGACTGGCCATTTTCCTCGTTATTCTGGCGAACCTTGTGGAAGTCGTACTTGTTGAGTTGGCGCACGAAACTGGCAAAGTTGCTATGCTTGAAGTGTTTGGGTAGAATGGTCTTGGTGAATTTTTCACACTAGAATGGACGCTGGAAGTTAGTCTCGATCGATCGCGACCGATACCGGTAGGAGAAGACATTTAGGGGGGGGGGGGGGGGCGCATTTACCTCGAGGACCACGAAACTATCCCCTTCATCTCCCCAGCGGACAATGGACGCGTAGGAGGGATCCTCCAGCATTCTACATGTTTGGGTCAATACATGGCGGGACGATTGCCGCGGTCGGGCGACAGGGATGTGGTTCTTTGTGGCGGGCGGATTGCAGGGTGCAGGAGAAGAGCCACGACGAGCAGCGGAGGGGGAATGGCGACTCGGGCGGGGAGGGCAGATACTCACTTATACAGTTTGCGAACCTAGCCATGATGAAACAAAGTTAGCGACAAGAAGCAGAGGGCTGAAGATCATCACGACATACGAAGTCGCTGGAGTTCCCAGCGGGGGCGGAGGTCGACGAGGTCTGGCCACCCTCCATGCTGGGCTAGACGGGTCGCGACCGGTCGAACAAGCAGCAGGCTGGGGGACCCGGAGGCGGGCTGGCGGGTATAACAAAGTAATAAGCAATGGGCTAAGTCCAACAGACCCGGGAAAAGGGAATGAGGATGTGATAAATGGAGACCAAGTCGCAGGGGAACAAAGAAAAAGAAACGAGGGTCGGTGAAGCCAGTCGGGGGGAGTTTGTTGGCGCGATGTGGGAGGGAGAAGGGGAAGAAAAAAAGAAGCAGTCCGGGAACAAGAACTGCGCAGAACCGAACGGGGTACCGCCTCGTTCGGATGACTACGAGAGGAGGAGGAGGAGGAGCCAACGACCACAGAGAGGTCCGGTGGAGACGGACAGGGAAACCCAAACCAAGGAGAGGAAGAGATCGAAGAGAACAATCATAATTATGATTATGATTACGATGTTAAAGTAATATAATAATAGAAAAGCGATCTGAATGAGTTGTCGAGTTGCGTACTGTTCCAAGTACATATCTTCTTCTTTCTGAGCCTTGGTCCTCTGGAATGTGTCTTAACAGTGTGTACCTGGTCTTGTATCCTCCCATTGCCCTGGCGCTCCGGGCTCCATGTTTTTGGTCTGACAACGACTGTAACTATGTACGGCCGTTTAGCATTTAGCCCTACAGTCATTCTCTCACCTGGTGCCTCTCCTGTGCCCTCTGTACTCTGATTATTATGATTCTCTCCGGCTGAATACAATCGGTACGATCCCTCCGAAAAGTAGACCAACCTTCCTTGGACCCTGCTGCTGCATGATTGAACCAAAAATCCACGCTACTCATTGGCAGATAGTGCGTCCGTTGACATGCAATTGTCAGTGCGCATGAATTGGAAGGGGGTGGGGGCAAGCATGCGTGCGGCCTCGAAGTTCCTCCAGAATCCAGGGACTTGCAGGTATACCCTTCAGAAAGCCGATGGTCCCATCTGGACAGGGTATACTAGTCAAGAACGGGGGAATTTGGAACGATCAAACCCAACCGCCAAGAATTCCCTTGAGACATTGCGTTCACAAAAGATCCCAGTAGTCGGACGAGAGGAAAAACTATTCATCAAACCATTCATCATTCCAATGCAAGTTTGAGGGTCCACCGCTCGGAGGAAAACCTTGGGACGTGGGAAACAAAGTGTGGATCATTGCTTTTTGCTGGTTCCCACACGCGGCCGCTCGAGCTTTGCAACTGGCTGGTTTCTCCAGCATTAGGCTCCGTCGTGTTCATTAGTGTTCATATGTAGCCAGTGAACGGCGGGCGTCATTCCCTGATGGCGTTGGTGAGCAACGAACGGTGAGCTTGAAGTTTGGGACAACCAGTAGATCTTTATAGAAATTCCCAGTATGAGACTATAAGCCGGTAGTTTCCATGCCATAGATGCTGGATCAGTCAAAGTCGTCATGAAGTAACTATCGTCAATGATGGTGGTCACCAAAGTACGAGTACTGGTGGAGGTGGGTTATGTACTCGCCAGATGGTCCATCAGCGGGCCAAAGCGCGTTTCCACCAGAGAGGTTCGTAGTAACCCCCTCTCAGCCATGATGAGTGCATATTCTCAACATGAGATGGAGTAGGGTGTAAAATCAAACAAATAACCATCCTTCATTGTTGTGGTCCAGAGTCAGGGGAACCCCGTTTCAATGTCAATGTGAATGTGAATGTGAATGTTGATGTTAATGCAGGGTTCAACGGGCGCCGATCGTGTCCCCAACGGCCGATGACGAAATCACCAAATCTGCGGAGCTCCTCGCAAAAACATCAACAACACCCCATCTCTCCTTCCACCACGCTTCCTCCCGCGCTCTCTCATCTCTTCCCTCTCTATTCCCATTTTGTTGATCCTCAATTCACTGCCATCATGTTCGCCCGCCGTCTCGCCACCGCTCTCCCCCGCGTCCAGGTCGCCCCCTTCCACAGCACCGCACGCAACCTCGTCCAGAAGGGCGACCCCATCCCCAACCTGAACGTCCTCGTCGAGAACTCTCCGGGTAACAAGGTCAACCTCGCCAAGGAGATCAAGGGCAAGGCTGTTATCGTTGGCACCCCCGCCGCCTTTAGTACGTGAAAACGGATTTCAATGCGAATGATCCAAGAGAGCTGTTGTTGACCGATGTACCTGGTTCTACGTTTCAGGCCCCGCTTGCTCCAGCACCCACGTTCCGGGATACATTAACCACCCCAAGCTGAAGGAGGCTGGCCAGGTCTTTGTCGTTTCCGTCAATGATCCCTTTGTGTAAGTTGAGCTTGTGTTCCGTGGAGTGGGGAAGTGCAATTGGGATGAGAAAACGGGGATTATAATTATGGATCGATCGCTAATGCGCAATAAAAATGCAGCACCCAGGCATGGGGCGTTTCCCTGGACCCCCAGGGCAAGAGTGGCGTACGTTTTTACCTATCCTCTCTTTGAAAACTTGGGACTGTGGCTAACATGATTCTCCCGGTTACACAGGTCCGCTTCCTCGGCGACCCAACCGGCAAGTTCACCGAGGCCCTTGACTTGAGCTTCGACAGCGTCGCCATCTTCGGCAACAACCGTAGCAAGCGGTATGCTCTGCTGGTGGAGGATGGCAAGGTCAAGGAGGCCTTTGTCGAGCCTGATAACACGGGCGTGAACGGTACGTTATTAGCTGATTGAAATCTGTGCCACTGGGAAAGGACGAAGCGACTGACTTGATTTGATAATAGTGTCTGCTGCGGAGAAGGTGCTCGGTTAAAACATCTGCTGTAAGAGTATAAGTAGGAATGATCAGATCAGTCGATAGGGCCCTTGCATATAGCAATTGATGTCGACAAAAATCAAATAAGCATTGACGAATTAGATTAGAAATTGAGCCTAGCCTTAACATTAATTGAGTCGTGTCAATTGTTCTCTTGGGTAGGTACGCAGTGAATGATGGTAAGGCTTCCCCGCAAAAGTGGTGTGGACATATACACCGATTATAAGGTCAGTACTGGGGCCCCACCGTTCTTCAACTCTGGACTCTCAAAAACTGCATGCGAGAACATTACCTAGGTATTACACTGGCGATAAGGTAAATTTACTCTGAGGTGATTACGTGCAGTATACAGTGGTGTTCCATAAGTTTGCAACACCCGAAAAAGTTCAAACCCCTCATCAGCTATACTTTGAAAGACAAGTTGAAACACAGATGCCGGGAATATCTAGAAAGAGGGTTCAAAAGACATTCAGAAAGATCTGTTAAAAACATAAAATCGAGGCATATTTTGACGGCCTGTTTTCTTGGTCCCTGGTTTCAGACTTTTGAACTGCCACTGTATACTCCAAAGACCCACGCTGTAAAAGTGCGCTACCTACTTATTTCAACTCCATTCTAGGTTAACGACTGCCTAACCTCGAGACCCGGCCGATGGGTCTTGATATTCGCACGACGGTTTATAATAAGTTAGCGCAAGATCTACTATGCAATTCTGTTTTTTAGTCTCGTATATACATGTGAAACTCCTGATATTTTAACAACGTTTTGACTGTGAGACAATTAATTGGGTGTCTGAAACATGAAGCATCAAGAATTCTAGCATATAGGAGTTGTGAGAATAACGTGGGGTACGAAGAAGATTTAGTGAATCGCGTGCGGCAGCTCCAAGATGTGAGTTCTTCGAGAACCTAGAGAATAATAGTGTAGCTGCTGCCATAAGGCATTTCGAGGCAGCGATTCAAGATAGGTTGCTATGGTCTAGACTATAGCATCCAAGATGAATTTTCGAACAAAGTTCGAGCTACATACTCTGTTATAAGGCTTTAAGACTTTAATGTTGCACCTAATACATTATGCATGGCAAACAAAAATGATTCGTTGTCAAGTAGATCCATAAAGAAAGGAGACAGCTCTAAATATCAACAGATATCAAAAACAATCTTGTACGACTTAACCTGGAGGCCCCCCACACACATCCACCATATACACCTGGGACCTCCTTCTCCTCAGCATCCTCACAACCCATCACTCACTCAGTTGGTAGTAAAATAAGCGATGTTATTAGTAAAGACACCGATATTATCGCTATAAGACGCAAGGCTCTTTCCATCCTTGTCCACCATACTCTGGGAGCCGAGGACATTAAGGTTATACACGGAAATCGCAGAAGTGCCTTCAATGCTGAAAATCGAGCTTTGGCAGTTCTGGGGCCCGCCGTACACGGAGCAGGCTAGTGGTCAGCTGAGTTAGTGGCTGGAACTAAAGCTTGGATATGACGAGTTAGAGGGGACTTACTGGCGTCGTAGTTGTTGAAGAAGGAGTACAGGCCTGCGCCGTATACGTGGAGGTCTGTCGAGTTAACGACGCGGAGACCCCAGCCCATAGCGCAGTTACCTGTGCTGCCGCTGCAGCTGGTGGCGAAGTCGGGGTCGTGAATCGCAGTGTTTGGTGTGAAGGGTGTCAGGGCATTGGGATTTGGTTGGTAGTATCTGTATACCTCTTGCGTGAGCATTTCTTGCTTGAGAAAGTGGTGCTTGGGGGGGGGGGGGGGCGAACGCTGTTTCGGTTTGAATCTGTCCCATGTATACGTTCTTGGTGGATGCGAACTGGTACTGGTAGAGCGAGCTGTGCTCGACAGATGTGCCGGACCTGTATTTATCTTGTATTAGCTCGATGGTTTAGAGAAGGTTATCGTTGTATGTAAACTCACAGCCAGATATTGCCTGCCGTGCTCTCAATGTTCAAACCGCGGCCACTGTAGATGGTGATCTGGCCGCCGTCGGATCCACTCTGAACATCAACGTCACTTTCACAGTTGTTAGCACGCAAGTCAGGGAAAAGATCTTTTCAGCCCTGAGAGGGAAATATCGGGAAACATACTGGTCCGAAACCCAAAGCCAACAGTTCTCCATGTACAGGTTGGAAGCCGAAGGAGTTACGTGCATGAGCATGTAGGCTGCAATGCAGTTGTTATCGACGTTCGAGCTGTTAGGTGTTTTGGCACACTCCGTAGTAGTCTGCTGGGAGCCCGCAAATCCTCCAACCCGGGCGTGGACATCCCAGAGACCAGCTGGCTCGGATGACGAGGCAATATTCCACTCGATAAGAATGGCACCAGCTTGAGGTCCCTGGGTGCTGAGAATGAGATCCGAGAGTTCAACCTGGCCCTGATCACCTGCCTGGCCAACCTGAATCACAGGCTTTGGCGCATCCATGTTGTTGAAGAAGTCTCCACTAGACATGATGACAGGGTACGCCTCTCCAACGATCTTGGAGTTGGCTGGGATTATCAGAGTGCTGGTAACCTTGTAGACTCCAGCGTCGATGTACACGACATTGCCAGACCCAGCAGCGCTATTGATGACACTCTGGAGTGCCGCCGTGTCGTCGGTCGTTCCATCGCCCTTGGCACCACCATCACGAACGCTGGAGAATGAGGAAGCTGACAGAGATTCGTACTGTGGCTTCGACCGCTGGTAATACTTTGAACCATCCAAAAGTCCTGCGGGGCGAGAGACCGGTGTGAGATCACTGGCAAATTTGGTCGGGCCGGCAGGGGTATACTGATTACCCTGACCCCAGGCCGCAATAACACTCGAGCCCGAGGTACCTGCCAAAACCGTGCTATTGGGACCCTCAACCACGACACCAACGTTGTCAAGAGCAACATTTTCGAGAATGATGCTGCCGGCAGTTTGGGGAGCCGAAGAGTCTGACCGAGCGGATTTGATGGCGACGGGGGTGTTGGTGATGGAGCTGTCAAACAAGGTAATCGAGCCGACGCTCTGCTGGTCGCTACCGCCGGTCGAGATATCAATTCCGAGCTGGCAGTTGTTGATGTTGATTTCTTGATATGTCCAGCCCCAGTTCCAGAAGTGGCTGATCGCAGTCACCGCATTGTTGAAGGTCAGGTTGCGCATGGTAAATTGCTGGTTTCCGAGGGCTGCTCCAATCTTGCCTCCGTTGAAGACGAGGTCACCCGCAAAACCGGCAGAGCCTGAGAGATTCGCAATCAGTACGTATTCATTTGTGCAGCTCAATTCCTGGATGATTTGGGGCAGACTCACCACTTTCACAAAAGATTCCCTGGTGCTCAGTCCCTTGGTCCGCACTGAGCTGGAAAACAATATTCTGCAGGCTCGTCGCCTGAGCAGTGGGCCAGTGGATTCCACTAATCTGCGTGCCTGCGGCGACATCAGTGGTATCAAGGACGAAATTGCGGACCTGTCTCCAAAACACAGTAGTCGCAGGCCAGTTCGGGTCAGCACTGAAGTAAGGATCTCCGTCAATTAGATAGCCACCGTTGAACCCGGAAGATGCCTTGATGACTGGCATCGCATTCGGGTTGCCAATGATGATTGTGTTGTAGTAGTCGAAGATTGGCGCCGAAACCACGTACGTGCCCGAGGGGAAGTACACGACTGCGGGCGTGGTCGTGCTTGAGAAGCAGTTCTGGCCGCAACGTGCACCACTGCTGATAGCATTGTTGATAGCAGCAGTGTCATCCGTGACACCATCACCTAAAATTTGTATGAGTACATGGAAGAATCAGAGAATTCACGGAGCACAAAGTGTATTCAAACCTACCCTTTGCTCCAAAGTCCTTGACATTGCGGAAAGTCGTATACCCCGAAGGCCCGAAGGGCGAGATGCCCTGGTGCTTGATGGACTCCATCCAGAACGCAGGCCCATCCCGAGCTACAATGTTTGCGTTGGAGGAACCACGGCTCACTAGATCTGAGCCATACTCGTTGTTCCCATGTCGAGCATGTATACCACCACCAGCAGCTTCAGCCACCGGAATCGCATTAGCAGGGGACACAGACCCGAGCAGAAGGGTAAGTGGGAGAAGAGAAGAGATATGCATCGCGACCTTGTCACTGTTCTCAAGCGGATTATTGTTGTCGGCCGTTGTGTGCACGATGATACAAACTGGGAGGCCAGGGTCATATTTATATGTCCTGGAATCATGTATATTTTGCTTCTTGAAGCGAGTTCTTCGGGTTCTGAGGAGATGTTCCCCGCGTTGACACTATTCGTTCTCCATCTGGAGAAAATGGGCTCCACTTGTCCTCCACAAGAGTCGATTGACCGGGCAATGTTCTTAGCAATGTTCTTGAAATCTAGATGACAGTGACAGTAATCCCTGTAAGAGTCCCATGGGACGCGGAATCTCGCACGAAGAGGCATTCCCCCGCGCCCGCACAATGGACGAAGGAGGCTTGTAGTCTACGAAGACTAATTTTTCGGCATAAATTGATATCGTCAGAGTGGACTTCCGGAGTACGTCGGTGTGTGAGTGTCTTAGAAAGTATATTAATCCTGGCCTCGTAGAATTGCGGGGAATCGGATATCGGTCTTTTCGCACGAGCATCTTGGCCCCGGCACTTGCAATATGAACTTCGTTTCAGCAGGCACACTCCGCTCCAATGTTAATTGTATCTTCATTTCCTTGCTTTGGGCATCAATTCCCTCCCCCGCTTCATAGATTAGGCCATGTTCCTGGCTTAGAAGGTTCTTCAGCGTTCTACGCGACAATCCGCGGGGTGAGTTCACACTTGATCGTTGCTAAAACCCGGTGAAGGACTAATGTAGGCACGGTGCATGACCCTAGTTTAGCAAGCCTTGCTCTATGGCCCATGTCAATCTATACGGGGTCCCCACAACGGCTCTCGGGATTGCTTCTATCCAGACATCACGCCCAGTTCGTCAGAGGGGTCGGAGGCGTCTGAAGCGATGCATGAGCGACGGCTTGCCTTCATGAAGAAGCGCCACAAATTGCGGGGTATTAGTTTACAGCCCGGTAGACTGCTAGGTGGGAATGAAACACGACGATAGAAACGGAGAAGAATTGAGAGGAAGCATCTTTAGTACGGTATCCTGTTCTTGAGTGTTGTAATGAAAGCTCGGATGATTATGACATAGTGCGTATGATTCCGTTTAAGTTCTGCAAACAAGGAGAAAAAAGAGAACCCCAATTTACTACTGGTAAAATCGTGATGCATAATGTAGAAAATATACATAGATTCCATTCGAACGAGTGTGTAGCTATATCAGTAAGAATGAATGGTGGACTGGACAGAAAAGAATATTCACAGAATCAACATCAATATCAATATCAATATCAAATGCATCCGCTATTGTGCTATTAGCAACCTTCTCGATCCTTTGCAGCCTATTGTAGACCGGGAATAGCATTACCCGGTTAGTGAGGAACCACAGGGTACTGAAGGTTGCTGCAAGATCCATCACACTTCTGATACAGGCCGATGAAACCATACCCTCCACAGTTTTGGAGAGGATCACCAGCGCAGGGCATCAGGCAGTTACCCATGGGAGTGACGGTGGGCATATCTTTCGTGGGAATACTGTTGCCACAGAAGCACTGATTTTCATCCTCCACGCCGGCAATGGTGTAACCATCGGCAATGCATTGCTCAACGCATGCAGCCGGAGTCATATCAGAGATATCCCCGGAAGAACCAGTCAGGATACGCACACCGCCGACATTGTCCTGGGTACATCCGATCCACTCCCATTGATGACTACTGGTGAGATCGGTGTAGTAATGCAGAGGCTGGCCAATTTCAGTTGGCGCGCCACAACCGCTCATAAATTGAGCATCATTTGGGCCAGGCTGGACTGGGTTGCAGCCTGGGAGGGCATCGAGCCAACCGTCGACCTGCTCGTCAATCGAGCGCTCGAGAATGCAGCCGTCGGTAACATAATCGGGCTGGAGGGTAATCGGCTCACACTTGGTGATATCACCGCCTCCGTCATCGCAAGTGTTGATGGCGTCTTGGAGAACGTCAATGTCCCAGCCGTTAAGCTAAGGTGAGAACAAATAACGTTAGTAACGCTGTTTCAGAATGAAGAAGATATCATGTTACTTGCGAAGTCTCCATGCAACCCGTAGCCAGTGGGGTCACCAAAGGAAAAGACGAATGGCTGTTGATCACCATACCACATGTCCCCAAACTGCTCGGTGTGCCAATTGACTTCGATGAAAATCGAGATAATTCGCACCGGGTGAGTTGCAGGGCAAGGTCCATTATCGTACTCCTGGGTAGGATAGGCCACATGGGACTTGTGGTCAGAGCTATCTAGGTTGACACCGTCCCAGCAGGATGGGAAATAGACTTGCGCACGGAGACCATCGGGACAGTTGGTAGTTGGGAAGTTGGGTGTCTGCGGAGTGCCTGGGGCATTATAGTTCAAGCAGGCGAAGCTTCGAGCATTAGTCTCGATTGTGCCTTTATCGCTGCGGTCAAGAGGATTTCCGGCGATCATGCGGAACCCGGCCGGAGGTGCGACGATTGTGCCATTGGTAGTAGGGTCAGGCCTCTGTCTGGATTACAATGTTAGACATTGTTTTGTGACGGGGAGAATGAATGATTGATACTTACTCATAGTAGATGAGTGCACCGCCATTCTGTGGCACTTGCGTGAAGCTTCCATTCTGAGCTTGATAATACAACGCGGCAACCCAGTAATTGGACTTATCCTGAATCGCTGAGCATGAGCTGCACTGCGATGTCTGGGTCATGTTGTAGTCCATTGTGAATCCGAAGCCGGATCCGCCCAAAACGGTGTGAACATGGTTGGACGCAACTCCGGGCGAGACGATTGGGTCTACTTGTTCAATGACCAGGGGCGAGCTGCAAGGCACTTTGAAAAAGGCGAGAGATGGATGCACCGAGCAAAGGAACATCCAGGTCAGGGAGGCCTGCTTCGTGAAGAAGGGCATAGTGGGATATTACTGCAGCTGAGCAGAATGCAGCTAAGATGAGGTCCACTTTGGTCTGTTGACCAGGCAGTCAGCGGCCTTCTTAAACGAAGAAATTCAAGCCGTCTTTAGCAAAATAGAGGGAGGGTAAGCGCTATGTTCAAATCCGTAAATGTCTTCAATTTCAGGCCGCGGATGTGTAGGGAACAAGACGCCCAGACTCCGGTGACAATTTCATGCCCAACGCTTGAAATACATAACGAATGGGAATGCACCATCTCCGCGGTTTCAACGCTCCCCACACATACCCCTTAGTATCTGATCATAACCTGCAAGGGTTCCTCGTGAAGAACCTGGGGGTAACCTCGTTGTCGTCTCATGTCTGCGCGTCCGAGTTTCCGCGACCCCGAGATTCCGCGACTCCGCAAATTCATCGGGCAGATCGCAGGGATGCTAGATGCGTGACGAATGATCCCGGTGAGAAGACACTGTTTCGGGAGACTAGTGGCTGATATTGTGCAGAATGAATGGTCTGGGGTATTCCGGGGTGCATCACTTGCAGAATCTTAACTGCGAGGATGGGAAACTTCAACAAGCATTTTGACTATCCCAGGCACACCTGGATGATTTAGATACCACTTTATTGTTAGGGATGGCTAGTAGGACTCATCTGAAACAGTCAGGAAATGACGGGAGAGAGGTTAAATTAATTTCCGTGACCGATACTCCGCTATATACTCTTAACCGCCCTGAAAGGAGGGGCTTACTTGTAAAGCAGGTGGTATGGAAAGAGGAACATAGCACTATGCTTAGAATCCGTGAGGGATGTCGTTGTTTCCAGTCGGAGTCAAAGTTAACTTGGTGGAAGATTGCAGAGCGCAATCAAGCCAGGATAACTATATAAGTGTATACACTCGGTTTCTTGTGCCCAGCTCATGCCACAAGTATCAATCTGCCAAATACCTCTATACTTCAATCATCATTATCACTTCTATCTTTATCAGTCATGTGTTCTAAGACTGCCTCCATTTTTCTCCTCTCTCTTGGACCAGCACTTGTACTTGCTCAAGGCAAGCGTGGTCTAGCCTACAACAACGGCACACTCGCAAACCTCTTCAGTGGCCAAAGCCAAGTCACATGGGGCTACAATTGGGGATTTGATCGCATCGGACTTGACAATTCCCTTGACTTCTCGCCAATGCTTTGGGGCCTCCCCTCCTCGGCGAACCCAGACTGGACAGCGGCAGTTGATGCGGCAGGTGTCAAGGAAATCCTTGGTTTCAACGAGCCAGACCTTGGCTCGCAGTCCAACATCAGCCCGTCCGATGCTGCTGCCGGTTATCTCGAGTTTATGCAGCCGTTTGAGGACCAAGTCCGGATCGGGACTCCTGCGGTAACCAACGGGCCTCCCCCAAGCATGGGCGTTGGCTGGATGGATCAGTTCTTTGGGAACTGTACGTCCTGCACGTTGGACTTTGTCGCGATTCACTGGTATTCGAACAACGACCCGGATGGCTTCAAGTCCCATGTGCAACAGTTCTACAAGTACAATAAACCTATTTGGATTACCGAATTTGCGGCAAGCGGCTCGGAGGATGATCAGATCTCGTTCCTGCAGAACGTTCTTCCGTGGCTTGACTCGCAGGCCCAAGTTGAGCGATACGCTTATTTTGGAGTTTTCCCGGGATTTTTGGCAAACGAGAATGGGGATGGTATGTCGCAGCTTGGCCAGGTTTATGCCACTTACAGTGGTTAGTGGCTAGGTTTTCTGGTGACAAGGCAGAAAGATGGCTAGGACCAACTGCTAGGGCTAAGTTTGGGCTATATGGACATATATTGGTGCAAAATTTCTGCTGTCTAGCTTCCACCAAGACGTTTAACCCCATTCTGCTCCTGGAATTATCCAGTTCAAAGTGCATTGACCTTACCCTCAATCCAAACAATAATCAAGCGCTTAATCTAGTAATTCTATTCGAGGCACAAGCTTGGCAGCCGAAAGTCCCATCCAAAGTATCCAAATAGTTTACACCCTATAAGGTCGAAGTGGTTACCATATTGAGAAATTCGTTACTTCTCTTGTGTGTCAGAGCAAGCAGATATCCACAATGATTATGTGGCTGTAGGCTTGACTAACAGGAGTCACCAAGTTCGCACCTTGGCACTTCTTTGAGCTCGCCCTACCGGCCTTGTAGCTATATTCAGTAAAAAATGCGATCAAGAGAGCAAGGACGAAGACCTGGATAGTGGATCAGGATAGTTAATCTATCAAGGGTCTCCAAAGCCATTGTGACAGTATTTAGCGCCAATATCGTGAAGGCAGAACTCGGCACAGGAGAGCGGCGAATGAGCATCTAGAACAAGTGCCACTTTCGTTTCAGATCTCGTACAGAGTATAATTTACCACAGCTTGCAGTTGTGGTTCACTTCTGAGTACCTGGAGAGGGGGAATAGTCCTCGGATTTAGGAATGTAAGGCTTCAGACCCCCAGTAACAAAAACCGGGGGGCCCTCGCCTAGTAGTTTTGTCGTTTGAGTCGCTGAGTGGCTCGAGTATATACTCTTTCGGGGTTGGTCTCGGGGGCTCGAGATGCCAAGCTCGGGAAGAACAAGGTCCCGAAAGTTTATTTGAGTCCGAGTTTCAGGCCGTACACGCTCTGGTGAAGTCTGAAATCTTAGGGTTGCCTGTGGAGGTTCATTCCACAAGACAACGCGATTCATGGCTTACCGGGATCTAAGGATCCTGACTCGAGAAATGGCTGGGTGAATGCTAGGTTCCGCATTTCCGCGAGAAGCAATGCATTTGTTCCCCTGGCGCCTCGAGCTCGGTGGCTGCCGCTCAGCCGTTTGGCCCGTTTTGGGGGCGGGGTTGTCTGGGGTAGACGCAACGAGATTTGATCACCCTCGCTCTCGACTTTTATTTAGCGTCTCGGCTGCTGCCCAACCGTTGACCGTTTTTATACCGCGCGGATACCCCGCGGAGTAGATCGAGGGAGAAGGTATCTGGGGTTCGACGCGTATGACTGCCGAAGAACCTTATTCTATAGAAATGCGGGAAATACTGGATTGATAAATTAATAATACCCAATTCCATACTTCGAGCGTATTGTCCATAGTAAACTGTCCTTATGATACGCGTCTGACTGGCATTTTTTGGGTTCGTCGGCTCCAGCTCGGTAGCGAACGATTTCCAAACTCGAAAGACCAAGCAGAAGTTGCTCCCATGAGAAGGCCTGGGCTTCTTCCTCTGGGGAAGCTCGTTCCATAGATGAATATTGAATGTTGAAGTTTGCTACATCTAGTATCCCATACCCATCATCCTGTAGTCCCTGTGCATTATGTGATAGGTACCACCATATGTCCCTACTTGTCCTGGCCTACGACGATCTATGTTGCAATCATGCAATCGTCCGATGAGCGTATCTCTCGACCTACTGAGCCCGGAGGGCTAGTTCTCGAAGCCTGGGGCCAAGGCATCATGGTGGGCTCGCTGGTAGTAATGGGCGCAATCATCGTGGCCAACATGAAAAGCCATGTGCTTCTTCACAAGCTCATCTTGGCAGAGGTAAGCCCCAGCAAGAGTCTAGGGTCTTCGAGGCATATAGATTGAACCGACTAACAAATCCTAACGAGCACACAGCTAATTCTCGCTATTCCACATGGATTATTCATCTTTAACAAACCGCCTGTCTACGGATGGTACCTCTCGGCCAGTGCTATCGGTCTTAACATCTCTTGGAGTCTTCACAATATCATCGCCTGGATGAAAAGCAGACGCTTCTACTCTTACAGGGTATCCTGTACATACATCATCACAGTCATACTGGTCCAACCATACTGGGTACTGGAGATATACGCTAATTTTACTTACTTCAACAACATCAATCGAATCTACCAGACTACGAGACCCCTAGAACCATTCTTTCGGTATGTCTTCTCCTTTCTTAGATTCGACATGCAAGAGCAAAAACTCTTCGTACTAAATCCTTTACTTCGATAGAGATCCATGGTGGATATATACCACATGCTCTCTCTTCTACACAATCAAACGCGTCTACAACTTCGGTATCCTGGAACTTGTCAAAGTTAGCCCACGCTTCGGGGTCATGCTAGCGTCCATGTGTCTCTCCATAGTCTTCATTATCGTTGACACCTGCAGTGTCGTCAGCGCGTTCAACGACATGTCGCTTCCCATCGGCGTCGAGCCATACTGGAAGGTAAGTCACACGACCCTGAACTTCCTTGGTCATTATTGTCCTCTCTGGCAAACGAGAAATAAAACTCACAGGGGCGATCTTTCTACGTCTCAGCTCTCCTTCATTTTCAAATGCCTCTGCAACACCGTGATCCTCGACGACTTCGAAACAGCCCTCAACCGCATCCGCACCTACCGCCAGCAGGAACAAGCGCGAATGAGCAACTGGCCTAATAGACATTCTGGAAACATTCATCCGCATTATTCGGTCTATTAGCAGGCTTCTGTGAGTGGAGCGTTTCCAACCTTGGAAGTTATTGGAGTTGAGACGTCGACGCGCGGGGCTCAGGAAGGGAGAGTAATGTAGATCACATGGTCATACTCGTTCACTGGTATAGTTTCTCTTTTGTGTATAGTAGGAGTCATTTCCAGGTGCAGGGAAGTGGACTTAACATGATGTTTATTCGAAATTCCGTACGCTACCATACGGTTTGTTATAATGATGGAAATATATAGTTACAGTGGACGGGAGTATGGTGCAAATTTATTTTGTTGGATGAAGAAATCCGAATGTGAACTTTAACTCTAGCGAGGCGTGTAAATACTAAATAGCAGTTAAACTAAATATATTGACATCTATGGCTTGAAGCTAATTTCCTTGCAACCTAGGTACTTGAAAAGATTTCCACCCGCACTTGGACAATACATATCTTTGAAAACTTGACTAGCATATCTATCAGGGCCCGAGCACCTATACATGTTGAATTTCTAAATTTTGAATTCTTTAAGATTGGCAGCGGACTCTAAAAAATACTGCAAAATACATGAGGAATTTGGGATGCAATTCAGTTCCACCAGCCTTGCAGCGATATACAGTGGAAATAATACACGGGATGGCAAATTAGATTGGTAAAAGTTCCGTAGAGATACACGAGGTAATAGAATTCAATTGCTCGGAGCAAGCACGATAATAAGAATAGCTCTTAGTATCTTCCAGCCGTGTTTCAGAGCCCAGCTCCAAACCCACTCTGCAACCCATCGCGTGGCCACGACTCAACCAACTCCGTCAAGATCCGCAACCGATCCCGCGAATCCTCTGCTTCATCCTGCCAATACGCCAACATCTCCACCGCACTCATAACCGCATCCTTCCAGCCAAGCGGAAGAAGTTCCTCGGTCGCACCGCACCGGCTAGCAGCCAAAAGGATGAGGGCGCTGCGGGTGCACGAGCGCAGCATCAGCCAGACGCCGTGATGGCGGTGCTTGAAACCCTTGCGGTTCTTGTGAATGCGCTCTACGGACATTTGCAAGCCCTTTACGACGAATTCGTCGGTTAGTGGGTCGCGGGTTTGGTGAGCGATTGCTTCGAGCATGTATGGGAAGTAGATCCACTCGTAGCAGTCGAGGAGGTGGCCGCGTAGGACGAATTTGAGGACGTCGTCGTCCATCTCGGGGCTTGAGAGGGAGAGAATCGGTGGGAGGGAGGCCGTCCTAGGATTGAGCTGTTAGTAGGCCTCTCAAAATGGGGGTGATTCGATTAAATCGAAGATGTGGGCATTACCATTCGGAGGCTTGAACTTCAAAATCGAGTGATGATTCTCTCAGTTGGTAGGCGTCTGGAAATCGGCCTTGCGTTTGGTTCCGGAAGAACAGTTGGATAATTCGCATTGTTAATCGTCGAATGGCGGTCTCCGCCAGATAGAAGTACCATACCCGGGATTCTTCGCGGCTCAGTTGCTCCATTGGAAGTGCCGGGAAGAACGTTGGATATGTGAAGCCAAGTGGATTGGGCTGGTTAAGACCGAGTTCCAAGCGCAGCTCACTAGAGCAGACACACCGAATCTAGTCAGTGCAAATTTAAGAAAGAAGGCGTCTAGCACAGAAAGGAGTGCAGATGAAGGAGCAGCTCACAGTTCGGACTTTAGACAGGCCCAGTGTGTTGTCTCCAAACAGCGAAGATCGTTCGTCAGGTTCCCGGACACCCTGCTTGAAAAGACCATCGTCTCTGCCATTGCCGCAGTCTGCACGAAACACCTCCAGGCCTTGATGGGTTGGAAGATAGCCATCAGGTAAACCCCAGAATAGAAGAAACACTGCACTTCCAGCACTCCATGTGTGCGCAGAACCACCCCGAGCCTCATCTGTGCGGCTTCAAAGTACTTTTGACCGAGATGAAAGGAGGGTGACCTTCGCGCTGTCATTGAGCTAGCTTCATGGTGCTCCTGGAAGCTTTCGGAAATTGCGCCCAAAGCGCAGACGAGTAGCTATGGAGAAGAAGTTCTCGTCAGTAATGAATCCCAGCTAGCCATAGATAGCCACATTTATGCGGAGATTGAATAACGAGACAATTGAAGATTTTAGAGCCCCTTACCACGAGGCATGAAGGTGCGTCCCAACCTATCCCATGAACACACGCTTGGTACAGATAATCTGTCACCAAGGGCACATCAAGGATTGGATTCGCAATATGCACATGCTCCAGAAATGTTTGGAGTAGCCTAGTGCATGTTTCCAGGTCTAATTCCAGTCGTTCGAGGCGAGGGTCGCTTTTCGCGAGGAAAGGCTCTGCTGACAGGGTTGGTGAAATAACCAATGCTTTGAGGTTGGTACTCGAGTCGAATTTGCCCTCGAATACGCTCCAGGAGAGAATGGTCTCGATTGTGAGTCGGCTTAGCTCTGAGCTGTAGTACAAGGGACTGCCAATTAATGTCGAGGTGTCGCCATCTATCACTGCTGAAGAAGCAGTTTTGATGGTTGCTAGATCATCGGCAGAGCGGTCAACAGGTGGCTGTACCTGCTCGGTTTGTTGCTGTTGCTGTTGCTGCTGTTGCTGCTGCTGCTGGATCAACAATTCAAGCTGATCCAGGCGTTGGATAATCACTAGGCTGGCAGGATCGAACCTTTAGTGGCAGTTAGCTGCGATGGTCTGCGAAATTTGCATGTAAATCTGCAAGAAAAGGAGGTTTCCGTACGCCGACAAGTCCGCCGGATCATTTACCACACATTTAGCGCCAATTCTTTCACAGAATGAACATGATGGCTTCTTGTTGTCGCATTTGGTCCTACGAGCACGACAAGTTTGACATGCTCGAACGGCCCTCTTACGTGGATATGCGCCACGAGGCCTGGACTGTTGCTTGGTGGCGGGAGGATTGGGGCTATCAGAGGTAAGCATTTCCGCAGTCAGCAGTGGAGGCAGTAGAATGCGACTGCTACGGGAAGAGCCGAAGCGATACTCCGCGTCGGGCACCCGCGGATCTGTCACCCCGGAGGACGGTAGAGCCATGCTGTGGCCGCGAGTGGGTTTGCAGGTAGCGGAGTCTCGCTCCAGACTGATTTGCGGGGGAGCATCGACGTCTTAAATCGATCCAAGGTGGCAAGTGGGGACGGTAAGAGACTCCTGGGGGCTCGAAAATTCGATACACTAGACGGCACTAGACGTATCTCGTATTGAACTTGCCATTCCCGTTGCAGGTAAGCGTCGGGTTCGCTTCCAATCCCGAACCCAAGACAATTGCGGGGGAAACGCCCAAAAGGGCCACTGCTACCACACTGTCCAGCGGCAAGGGGTCTCGCGCGACTTTTGCTACTTTTCGCTTTGTCGCTTCTTCTTCCCATTGGTGACTGCGTTCTCCACGCCGGAATGGGAGTTTGATATCGCCTAGCAGGAACTTTGACATTCGCCCGGATGCTTGCTTGGACTTGTATACTTCAAACCATGCGCCAGGTATATAAGCCGTGGACTGTTCCCCCACGCTGATCCTCGTTGACATTGTGACCTTTCCACATCAATCTCCTTCCTTTGCAAATCGATTCCTCCAAGTCGATTCTCCCATCTGCTGTCAGAATGGCGACCGAGAAAGTCGAACACTCCAACGTGGAGACGGTCATCGAGCCGAATCTGCATCCTGAGCAGGGCAAATCGGCGCTGATCACCGACAATTTCTTTGAGCATGAACAGACTGTCTACCAAGTCATCCGGGGCCATCCAGTCTTAGTCTGGTGGGCTTTCTTCTTCAGCGTCAGTGCTATTGCATGGTAAGTCCCTCTCCACGATTGATATTCTGTCTCTCTAGATTCCAGGGCTGACACGGCGGCTTACTAGGGGGTTCGATGCCCAGGTGAACGGCGCCGTACTCTCCATCCCGTCTTTCCGACGAGACTTTGGAGAGATTTACGACAGTGGCTACGTAGTTCCTGCTCCATGGCTCAGCGCGTTCAACTCGATTTCCTCCGTTGGACAGTTCTTTGGAGGCTTCATTTGCAGTATTTTTGCCGACCGTTTCGGCAGAAGACTGGCCCTGGCCGTCGGTGTCGTGATTTCCTGCGGTGGTATCTTCGGAGAACTATTCTCGACCGCAAGAGCCGCTTTCTTGATCAGCAAATTGATCTTGGGAGTTGGATTGGGGTTCTATCTTACCATCGGACCCCTGTACTCTTCTGAAGTGAGTTTAAAAACTACCGCCTAGATTAGAGGTGAGATCAGTTCACTAACATGTTTGAACAGGTCTCGCCCGTTGTCCTTCGTGGCATCACCACGGCAGGTGTCAACCTGGGTATTGTTATCGGCCAGTTGCTGTCCAATGCAGCCATCAAGGGTTTCGGTGATCGCGGTGATCGGTGGGCCTACCGGGGCCCATTCGCCATTCAATTCTTCTTTGTCAGTAAGTCATATCTGGCTAATTTTTCTCGCATAGTTCAAAAATGAGCTCTAGAAGACTGACCTATATTCTGATAAAGTTTTCCTGGCCATTGGGCTTCCATTCTCCGTCGAATCGCCTTGGTACCTCGTCCGTCATGAAAGGATCAACGATGCCCGAACCGCCCTCCAGCGCCTCTACGGCAGCGGGACGAACATCGAGACAAAGCTCGTGGCTATCCAGATGACCGTGGCCCAAGACCTGGAAACGAAGGAGTCCAAGTGGTCCGACCTTATCCATGGTACAAATCGTCTTCGCACTATAATTTCCTGCGGAGTCTTCGTGTGCCAGCACCTCGTCGGAATCATCTTTGTCCTCGGCTTTTCCACCTACTTCTTCCAGCTGGCTGGTCTCCCCACCGAGCGTTCCTTCGATCTCGGCGTTGGAGTTACCGCTTGTGGTGTCGTTGGTACTATGCTCTCCTGGACAATCGTCAATCGTCTCGGACGACGGACTATTTTCGTCTGGGGCATGGCTATTCTCAGCATTATCAACCTGCTCATCGGTATCCTTGACGTGGTCCCAACTAAGGGTGCTAGCTGGACCCAGGCAGCTCTCACCGTGGTCTGGGCCTTCTTCTACCAAGTCGGCATTGGTGCCGTCGCGTTCGTCCTTCTCGGTGAAACTTCCTCGCCATCTCTGCGCGCTAAGACTACTGCCATGGCGACCGCCACCCAGGCCATCTTTGGTATTGTCATGAACATCGTTGTGCCATACATGGTCAACCCGGACGAGGGTAATATGAATGGCAAGGTTGGATTTGTCTTCGGTGGCCTGGGTGTGATCGCCACAGTGGGTTGTTTCTTGTACATCCCCGATTTGAAAGATCGTACTTTCGAAGAGATCGATGTCATGTTTGCGAATCGTGTGCCGCCCCGCAAGATGGGAGAATATGTTGTCGAGCACTAAGGCTTGGTTTGAACATGTCTTCTTGCCTCAAATGGGATTTTTGCTGGAGAGTACAAGTGTAATACAACGTGGCCCTGGCCTTGTTCTGGATCTGGTGTTCTTCTTTCTTTCATTGATAATCGCCTCCATGGCTACAGGTTGGTTTGAAACTACAGTCAAATCTGGCTAGATGCTTCAGAATGGGGAATAATTATTAATGAGTTTCGCTTGGTTCTTCATGTAGTGAGAGATCTTCCACTTAATGTAAGTAAAAGTAGTTGAAGTCAAGTCCAATCACGACTGCTGGAAAGGATCATGAGACTTTTCTGTACACATAGATACCAGTAAAGATGAATCAACATTTAACGGTGTCGGCGGGTAGTCTGATATTCTCTAACCAGTCATATAACACCAATTATAAAACACTCTAGTCGTTTTAGCACAGGCCAGGATGTTATACGTGATACTAAGCCGTCGAACAGAGCCCAGGTTTCCCACACAATGTAGATTTACCCCCTCTAGCCCGCAGTAATGCAAGAAATCACTGAACACCAGCGCTTATGCTCCACATTCCGATACACATCGTTGCGACTTCCAACGGGGCTCATGCAATGCCCCGTGGGGAATACTACAAAGTTGTATGTGTGACACTGACAGGGATATGTGTGAGCCAATCAGAGGAGAACGCGACACTCCGCGCCTGCAACCCCAATGCCAAGCCGATCCTGCATTAGCGTCAGCCTCACCTCTCCACACCGCGGATGGCTGCTCGTTCTCGGAAGAGTCCTCGGCCTATTGAAGCGTCTTCAAGTCCGTACCGAGAGCTCCCTGTACGACGGACCAGCTAATTTCAGAACAGGTGGAGAAGAATGCACGTGGATAGAATGTCCTTTCCTCTACGACCGTTGCACTCTCGCGGAGATCCCGTGCCCAGAAGCTCCAACTTTGCCTTCCCCTTTTGTCCAAGGGGAAAACTTCGGGCAATTCTTAATCATGTCGGCCAATATAAAGCTTGAGATGTAGCCTCCTGGCTTTCAGTATTGCATCAAGAAGTTTTTACCATCTCTCTTCCTTGATTTGGTTAGAGGAATTGGACAAAGGAAGATCACCATGGCTACGATGGACATTGATCATATCATTTCCGAACTTTCTATAAATGAAAAGGTTTCTTTGCTTTCAGGTAGGTCCTATCCACGAACGCCCTGAGTTTTTTTTCTGTCCCTTTCATCTTTTCTTTTCCCAATGCTGATCAATGCCCTACGACTTCACAGGCGTTGATGCCTGGCATACCTATGCAATTCCCCGCCTAGGCGTCCCAGCAATTCGCACAACAGACGGGCCCAACGGTGCTCGGGGGACACGTTATTTCAATGGCGTACCCTCTGCCTGCCTCCCATGCGGGACAGCACTTGGCGCTACATTCGATACAGACCTAGTCTTCGAACTCGGCCGCCTCTTAGCCGCGGAATGCAAGGCCAAGGGAGCACACGTTCTGCTAGGCCCGACGATCAATATCCAACGAGGTCCGCTGGGTGGGCGAGGCTTCGAGTCGTTTTCCGAGGATCCAGTCCTCTCCGGCCTCGCCGCGGCGAGTTACTGCGCTGGAGTCCAAGCCCTTGGTGTGATTCCTACGTTGAAGCATCTGGTTTGCAATGACCAGGAGCACGAGCGTGTCGCCGTTAGTGCACTGGTCACTGAACGCGCCTTGCGTGAGATTTACTTGCTTCCCTTCCAGCTAGCCATTAAGGTCGCGAGGCCGGGTGCCTTGATGACCTCGTACAATAAACTGAACGGATCTCATGCGAGCGAGAGCCCTCGGCTGTTGAGGGAGATTGTTCGGAATGAATGGGGCTATGAGGGCTTGATCGTGAGTGACTGGTTCGTCTTATCCCCATGACCCCGGATTGTTCTTGATATTATTTAACCAATTAACTAATACACTGGCAGGTTTGGCACATATAGCGTCGCAGGGGCTGTCAACGCAGGCCTCGATCTAGAAATGCCTGGTCCCACGCGGTTCCGCGGTCCGGCCCTGATGCATGCGTTGACTTCCAACAAAGTCTCGGAGAGAACACTGGATGACCGCGTACGTAAGGTGCTGGAGCTGGTGAAGCTTGCTTCAAAGGCTGAGATCCCCGAATACGCTCCGGAGCGTCAACTGAACCGGCCAGAGGATCGCGCGCTTCTAAGGCGCGCTGCAGCCGAGTCGACCGTGTTGCTGAAAAATGAAGATAATATTTTGCCTCTCAACCCAAAAAATAAGACCCTTATTCTCGGTCCTAATGCAGATATCGCTGCTTATTGTGGAGGTGGTTCAGCATCATTGCTGGCATACTACACTGTCACGCCGAGACAGGGTATCGCAGCAAAATCCGAGGTGGAATTTACCCAGGGTGTCTATGGTCACAAGGAGCTGCCTCTGTTCGGAGAGCATCTCAAGACAGACAGTGGAGAGCGTGGATATACATTCCGTGTCTTCACTGAGCCCCCGACTTGCAAGCTCCGCCAACATGTCGATGAGCTTCACATGACCAACAGCTGTGCGTTCCTGATGGATTACAGCCATCCCAAGGTGTCCGGTGATACCTACTATGCTACTCTGGAGGGAATCTTCGAACCTCCCGAGAGTGGTGTCTATGAATTTGGACTCACTGTGGCGGGTACAGGACTGCTCTACATCGACGGCGAGCTGGTCGTAGACAACAAGACCGTACAGCGGCCCGGAACTTCATTCTTCGGAATTGGTACCCTGGAAGAGAGAGGCTCTCGATATTTGGAGGCTGGCAAGCAACACCGACTGTATATCGAGTACAGCACTGCCCCAACCTCGAATCTGAAACACCACGGGGTCGTCTCATTCGGGCCTGGTGGTGTCCGACTTGGCGGGTGTCGAAAGCTAGACACGGAACTTTCCATCCAGGAAGCAGTGCAGCTGGCAGCACAGACGGAGCAAGTGGTTGTCTGTGTGGGCCTAAGTGGCGACTGGGAAAGTGAGGGCTTTGATCGCCCGCATATGGACCTGCCACAAGGAACAGATGACCTCGTCAAGGCTGTGCTGGAGGTCCAGCCGAATGCAGTCGTGGTTGTGCAGAGCGGTACGCCGGTTACGATGCCTTGGGCCCATCAGACTAAGGCGCTGCTTCAGGCGTGGTATGGGGGCAATGAGGCTGGAAATGGAATTGCGGATGTACTCTTCGGCGATGTTAACCCGGTATGTATACCCCGAGGGAGGGAGAGCAATTCTGCCTCCTTCAACTCCTTCTCACTCCCTACCTGTTTGAATGACTGACTGACCTGATGATTAGTCTGCGAAACTCCCCCTGACCTTCCCGGCGGACGTTTCGCATAACCCTTCATATCTAAGCTACCGCTCTGAGCGTGGAAGAGTGCTATACAGCGAAGATGTGTACGTAGGATACCGCTACTACGACAAAGTCGGCTGCCCGCCACTCTTCCGTTTCGGCCACGGCCTCTCATACACAACGTTCAACCTATCCAACCTCGCAATCCACGAGACACTCACCCCCGCCAAGTCAAAAATCCAAGACGAATCCATCGAGCTCACCGTCTCGGTCGCCAACTCCGGCGCTCGCAGCGGTGCGGAGGTCGTTCAAGTCTATGTGCACCCCCCGGCTACTGCGTCCGTGGGACGGCCTGTGCGGGAGCTCAAGGGGTATAAGAAGATCATGTTGGAGCCTGGTGAGACAAAGGAGGTTTCTATTGCTGTTCCAGTGGGCCTTGCGACCAGCTTCTGGGATGAGGGGAGATCCGCGTGGTTGAGTGAGGCTGGGATGTATACTCTTGAGGTTGTAGGAACTGGAGAAGGGAATACGTTGGCGGCACAGTTTGAGGTTCGGACTTCGAGGTGGTGGAATGGGCTGTAAGGTCACCACAGTGGTTGGAGATTAGAAAAGTAACTCCGGCGTCCGACACTCGAAGCTCTTCATTATTGTCAATGTCTAGTCCATTCATGAGCAAATCTCATGGAATTTTGCCTCGAAAAGGGAATATTTGCCCTGGAAACCAACCTGCTCTATACCGTAATCGAATGCAAGGATGGCTCTGTACCAATAGGAGGGCATGTTCTTCTCCAATGCAATGATTCGCTCTCTATATTTTTTTTCACAACTACGGAACAGCTTGGAATCATTTTCCATAGCCTATAGTATTGAAGTTGTCAATATTTCAGGAGTTCTGTAATTTGGCTCTTTGCTGTCTTGGATCGTTAGACCTGCACACATCTAAATCAGCTTGATGGATCTCTTATTGGTCGGTGAGATTATATGTTGGATTTCTGGGCTACGTTTGAAAGAAGGATTTAGGCTAGCTTGTTGCATAGGTATTTTGGAGTCGCAAAAACGAGAACTACAGTATATAGGAAGTCCGTGCTAACTGAAAATGGCTGGCGGTCGTGCCACAATGCAGCCGTGGCCGTGCGAATAGAAAGGTGACGCGGCCCTTTTGCCACTGTTATCAACTTGTGTGGCGCTGGTCACAACGTGTCAGCCTGAAGGAACCGCGTTCGAGAAGACTTGAACCCTGCAGATCCACTGCTCGACTGATAACTTGCGTTGAATTGTATCTGCATTTTACAAGCGAACATTTAGGCGTTCTGGTGCCGATACTATTTACCTTATATATCACCATAGCACGAATACTGCTATAAGACAGGTCTTATAGAATCGAAATCTCCTTCGAATGACCCTTGTAATCTAATACGATCCTGAATCATGAAATCAATTCCTATGGATGGATGGCGGCGCAAGCCAGGCGGGATGACCGGCAACAACGAAATCCTCGTCATACATAGCCTATCGTCAATAATCATTGTCAGATCCGGATTTTATTTAAGGCTCAGAATATCACTAAAGACAACTCCATGTCTTGTAGATGATTGACTTTATTTATCTACTATCCAAGTGGGACTCCTTTCTCAGTCGGTCTCCCGCTTCGTCATAGTCTAGTGCCAAGGCTCGTGCACCCCGTTCCAGCCACAGTCCCCTCTCTCGCTCTCTCTCGCTCTCTCTTAACACTCTCCCATCCTCCCCATCTGTCCCCTGCCTATTCCCTCCCCTCTTACCACCTGTCTCGGATCAATCCCAGCGTCCAATTGTTGTCGCATTTCCCCTAGTGGCTGGTCCGTCGTCCTACTCTTCCGAAGACGCTACAGGTGAACCTCGACCTCCGCACGCCTGACCACTACCACCTACTCTCCTTGGGCCGCTATCCGAAGCAACGACAGCAAGTGGGCTGTGAGACCTTGGCAAGAGGCTGTCCAATATAACCCTACGAATCACCCAGTCGGTTTCTTCTCCTCGGTTGCATCCTTTATCTCCTCTCCTTTATCGCGACCGTTGCGCCTATACCCGCCACCATGTCGAAGGTCGTTCGCAGTGTCAAGAACGTTACAAAGGGATACTCCTCGGTGCAGGTGAAGGTCCGAAATGGTATGCGTGGCCCTTTCCACCTTCTAGATTGACGTTGTCAATACCCCGCGATCACTGTATCTGCGCCTAGTCTTCCTTTCTCATTGTCACTGCCTCCTTGCGTTCCGCAGTGATGATTTGAGATAGGAGTGATGCGCCGCCGGTGGGCCTCCGATCTGACATGAAGTTGCTAACTGTATTGTTCTTTTAGCTACAAGCAATGATCCATGGGGCCCGACGGGCACTGATATGTCCGAGATTGCGGCCATGACATTCGGAAGGTAGGAGTTCACCCAACAACTTCCATCTGGACGACTATGGGTCTAACGTTACATTGAATCCAGCCCGAACGAGTTCTACGAAATCATGGACATGCTCGACAAGCGTCTCAATGACAAAGGAAAGAATTGGCGCCATGTGCTCAAGTCGTTGAAGGTGCTGGACTACTGCCTGCACGAGGGATCCGAGCTAGTGGTGACGTGGGCCCGGAAGAACGTGTATATCATCAAGACTCTGCGCGAATTCCAATACGTTGACGAGGAGAGCAGAGACGTGGGCCAGAATGGTGAGTCGTTCTATCAACTTAGATCATGCGCGGCCGCTAATTCCTGTCGGTAGTACGTGTGGCCGCAAAGGAACTTACTGCATTGGTGTTGGACGAGGATCGCCTGCGCAGCGAACGATCAGATCGCAAGCTTTGGAAGACTCGTGTGAGCGGACTCGACGATGGATATGGTGGAGGCAGCAGCGAGCCTCCTAAAAATCGGGACCGCCGGCGACCCCGCCGTGACGACGAGGATGATACCGAATACCGATTGGCGATTGAGGCCAGCAAAGCTGAAGCCGAGGAGGAGCGCAAGCGACGGGCGAGGGAAGCCAACACTGAGGATGACGAGGATCTGGCAAAGGCGATCAAGCTCAGTCGGGAAGAAGAGGATCTGCGGAAGCGCGAACTGGAGCAAAGCAACGCACACTCGCTCTTTGATGAGACCCCGGCCCAGGTCCAGCCCACTGGTTTCAATCAGGGCTACCAGCAACAGGGTGCAGTCGACTGGTTCGGCAACCCCATTAACGTACAGCAACCCATGACGACTGGCTTCTTGAACAACCAATACGCACAGCCTACTGGATTCCAAGGCCAGCCGACGGGCATGGCCAACCCATACGCAAATGGATATCAGCAGCAGCAGCCTTCTGCTTTTGAGCAGAACCCCTACGGGCAAGCTCAGAACAACTTCTTGCAGCCACAAGCTACCCTCCAACCCCAGCAGACGGCTTTCAACACCAACAATCCCTATGGTCCCACCGACGTTTTTGGTCAGCAGCAGCAGCAACAGCCCCAGGAGAACTACCTGTCTGCTGGAACCAACAATCCTTGGGCTGCAACCCAGCCTGGCGATGCATTGAAGCCTATGCCAACTGGATCCAACAACCCCTTTGCCCAACGCACCCAGTCCCAATTGACCAGTCAACCATCAAAGCCGGGTCCTCCCTCGCTCAACACATTGGCCGAAGACCGTGCCACCTCCCAATTCAACAACAACCAGTATAACGCTAGCCAGTTCACCCAACAACCCAGCCAGCCGAATCCCATTGCCAACTTCCAAGCCCCTCAGCCCCCAAAGAGCACTCCACCTCAGTCTGCCGACCCTCACCACGCCCGTCTCAATGCCCTTCTTGCATCGGGCGAGGGTCAGGACACGTTCGGTAACGTTGGTGACTTGCGTATACCTGCGCAGCACACCGCGCCGGGCACATTCGTCAACTCCGCAGGTCAGGGTTTGGATCGCTTGCATGCCAGCCAGACAGGACACAACCCCTTCTTCGGCCAGCAATACACCGGTATGCCCCAGCAGACCGGTTTCATGCAGCAGCAACCTACCAACAATCCTTGGGGCGCTCAGCAACGACCGCAGCAACATGGTGGTAGTCTGATCGACCTCTAGATCCACCGTTCTTGGATACAACCCTGGTTTTCTTTCTCTCATTTTCCTTCTATCGCGCCGCAGATGTCAAAAGCTAAGATCATCTGAGCTTCGACATCTCTCTTCACCCCCTTTCCCTTGTTCTTTTAACCAGCCCCACTTCCATGTCACGCCACCTACATGGACAACAGAACGCAATTGCATTGTGAAGCCACACGTCCAAGGTGCCGAATTTCCATCGGCACACACTATGTTTGTCTTCCTTTTCCACTTTCCTTCTGGGCCGCAGAATATCCCTTGGTCGTTTTCATGTTTTGTCGCGATGCTTTCTTCGTATCCTGCGCCTCCCTTTCTCTTCTCTTTTGTTTACTCCGCCTTGTCGTTAGGATATCCTTCTCACTTCTCAACTGGGTTTAAGGTTTTTTCTTGTCTTGTCATTTGTTTCTCTATGGTAGATACTGTAGGAATTGGTAAATCATCAAGTGCTGTTGGTAGTCAGTCACGATATTAGGCCGTATCTCCACTGCTCCCAGATCGGTGCCGTGTCCACCTAGTCAGCACGATTGAATATTGAAAGACAGGTATATTCGTGGCTAATTCAGCGCATGTTGCCAGGAGGTTAGGCCTGATCTATGGTAACAGTGTAGTTACTTCATGAGAACCTTCGATCCAAAACGACAAAAGAATGCACTAAATGAACCCAAAATCTGATCCGAAACGTCAACCATAACCATGCTGCCCAATATATCATGTATCCCGGGTATCACGCTCCCGAAGCAGGTTCAACCTCGGATATAATAGTGATCCAGGACCCCATCCCGCTTATTCACAAAAAGCAACGGGTATCCCGACGTGCACATAACCACAATCAAGGAGAGAGCCGGCCAAGTCTTCAATCATATCATATAGCATCCGCATCTCACCTGCACGTATAGCTCGTTGATAGTGATGGGTTACCCACTCCATTATAGATCGCGCTCTCCGGGTAGGGGCAAATCGGTCTGGTCCATGACTCTCCATTTAATAAGAAGGAGATAGAGAGGCAATCGGGCTTGATATCATGTTCGACCCAGGCTCGCAACGCATCGAAGATGTCCGTTGGCTGGTTCGTGGTTTGTCCACCACAGTGTCCAAGGCCTGGGACTTCGTAGAGACGGTAGAAGTCATGGATATTGGGTATTAGCGTGGCTACTCTTCTGTAGTAGTCAACGGAGCCCGCGGCGGGAATGGTTGGATCAGACTAGATATGTGTTAGTGTCCTTCGAGGGGATTCAAGAATCTCCGTTTGACGGGGAAAGGATCACCTACTAATCCATGGTAACTCAGAATTTTACCACCTGTCTTTTTGAAGGCAGAGAGATCCGGGTCGTCCGTTCCGATGATTGGCCCGTACTTGGCGACTGAGATATCGACCAGCTTTGCGAACTCGGCGATAGTCAATCCTTCAAAGTCGAATGAAGGATCATTCTCGCTTGCAAAATATTGAAGCCATTGCAGACCTAGTGCAAGGGGTTCCCCGACACAAGTGCCATTCGAAAGACACTTTGTCACAGCATTGGCATCTCTACCAGTAAGATCACCGGAAATATCAGCACCGTAATTCAGACCATACCAGATGAAGTTTCCATCTGTATCCCGTGGACCTGTCCATGTCGCATTTGCCACTTTAGCTGCCGCACTACTGAGAGATCGGATGGTGCCAGTCGAAGAGCAATTGAAGATTTCACCGACATGTGAAAATGGATCAAAAACGCATTTATCCATGGCAGAGATTATCCCGTCTTTCACGCCGTCCAATTCGTCACAGGTAGATATAGCCGCCTCGCCGAGGTAGTCTAACTCGCATCCCTCGGGATGTTCTTTCAGATTGTTCATCACTACCTGTGGCCACACTCTGGAAGGGATAAGTTGACCCCAGTTGATGTCCGGTGCAGATGCGACAATCCCATCGTACAATTTCGGATATCTCTGCGCCAACATCAACCCCTGTCGACCACCCTGGGAGCATCCACTGAAGTACGAGTAAAGCGGTGCTTGGCCATAGAAGCTATTTATAAGATCCTTGCCGATCAGAGCTTCGTCGCCGAGGGAGACAGACGCTAGATTTTTGAGAACGTTGATATTTGGCTTCCCATTCGCATCGAGTGCCCAGCCACTCATGTCTCGAGTATTGTTGATCTGGCCTGCATTGGTGCTGATAGTGGCATAACCTTGTCCCACGGCAGCGTACATCTCGTAGTTTGAGATACTATTCAAACCGGCTGAAGCACTGGCGCCGCCGACGGCTTGGAAACGGCCGTTCCAGGATCCAACTGGCAGCCACGCCATGACGGTGATCAAGTCATTGACTCCGGGGTGGGTGTACTCAATGGTGATATTGCATAATGAAATGTCTGTGAAATTGATCGTCGGGTGGTTGAAGGTTTGTGATGATGGAGCTGATCCGGAGAAATTGGTGACTAGGGATGAGTTGATGGACAGAAACTGGGCATGAGGTACCACGGGCGTTGGGAAAGACTGGGAGGTGCAAAGCGATATGGAGCCCTCTGGGAAAGACATTGTCATGTCTGTGCCTGCCTGGATGACCTCCTGGTAGACCATTGATTAGACAGTAGCCAGCAAATTCTTGTGTTCGGGCATTTACGAGATGGCGAGGCACAGAAAGTGACGATCCCTGCTTAAGGCCCCCCCCCCACCTCCTTCTTTCCCCTCGTGGATGACATCCCAATGCAGCTGGGCTTTCGGGTTCAGCAGATTGGTTCTCGAGGCAAATTATATCCCTAAAACTATGTGGAGAAGAAATATCCTGATCTTTTCGGAGAAATTCTTTGTTTTTCTTCATAGTAATAGGACAAATTCCAGAAATAGGAGTGGTGCTCGACAAGGTCGGCGACAAAGATATATTTTGGAAGCGTCAAGGTACTAGGGGGATCTGAGGTACTAACTGCCTTATCTACCCTGTGACGACCGACCTGATGCGTCATATTTAAAATATCTTGTCCATCCATACTTGAACGTTATAGGTGATTGAGATCAATCAGAATAGTTTATTGAAAAAGAAAAATTTCTCTAAGGTTGTTGTGCGTAGATCTGCAGTTAGGGGTATAGAGCGACATTCCCGTTGACCATTGCTCACATTAAGTGAGACCTCAACACTTCCACACAGAAATCAGATTTAAGCATGCATAGCACCAAAGCCTGTACCAGGCTGAATTCTCCTCTACTCTATACCAAAAGCCGCGATGATTGACAGTGCCGACAGTCCCACCAGGAAGACTGCCAGGCACATGCCAACACAAATTGATATCAATCGTAAACCATTGTGGTTAGCTTGTTTATCGTCACTGAGATTCGTACATGACTGTTCTTCAGTGGATGTTTCGCTGTTGGGGGAAACCTCGGTTTGGGGCTTTTCTGACACCATGTCGGCGCGCATTGTAGCAAAATGTGAAAATGGCAGGAGATCCATTGAAGAAAATCGGCGTATTCGGGAAACCGGTAAACCGTAATTGTCAGGCCCGAAACTGTGGTGGGCCTTTGTATACTTGTAACTTAAACGAACTCAATTACTCTGACTTCACACCAATATAGTAATACAGAGTGATAAACGGGAACTGGACAGTTTTCTGTCCGCTATGGAAGGTCCACTTGGAGAGGTCAAGACCTGGCTGATCCAGCAATGTGCGAACTTCTGTCGTGGTGCGAGTTCGAAGGCAGGATATGAACCCATCAAGCCATATTGTCAACGGTGCGATAGGCAAGACAAATGTGAAAAAGAGATGGACAGGCGAGTTCCAATACCAGACAAGTGTTACGTGGAAAGCCCAAAAGAAAACCAATGGTGAACATAGGCAAGTCCAAACCTCGCGTGCGGTGATTTCAAATATGCTGCAGCTGTCAGTGCTAGTTTTGATGATATCGGAGAATTTCACTTACACAAATGCGTCGGCAGACTCGATATTATTTTTTAGAATTCCCGCTGCATCTTCATCTCCGAAGTGGTGGAAGCAGATATTGAAGATTCGGCATTCTTTCCTGCCTTTTGCTGCAATTCGAGGAGCAGCTCGCGCATCGACTGGGGTGTCAATGTACGTCACATTCTGTTGTTTTTTGGAGATCCGACTCCATTCATCACGATGAGGGAAGAGATCGCTCAAAACGAACTGGACAGGTTCCTTGCCTTGAGTCTCAAGTTTTTTGTTGATCTCAGACTCGAGGACTGGCGTAGGACCGCCGGCGCCGGCACAAATATCCAAGATCGTGTACGAAGAAAGGTCTTTTAGATGCTCTTCGACCACTGCACATGCCTGCGTTGCGAGACTTCCGCGACTCCACCCGGGTACTTTAAGATTCCATAGTCGAGTGAGGGAGAATTGCTCGTGTTGATGAAGCCACGAAGGGCACCATGTTTGATCACCAATCTCCAGAAGCTGCGATCGAGGCCAAGACATGGTGTTTGCGCTGCCGTGGACTTTGAGGTTCAAAGGTATAGATCAATATAGGCAACGAGCTCGGTGGTTGGGAACTCGGGGTCGACTGGAATTAACCGTTCGCTGACTGTACTTGAATTGGTCCGTGCATGGTAAAGTTTCAATGGGCCACAACAAGCAGAACTACTGGATGGGTCGGAGGGGATCGTCGGTGACCGCGATTGTCGCTCGGCAAACTTGTTTATCCGCTCAGGATATGATACCTCAGCGCCAAAAGGCAAAAATAGGGCTGCAGTACTCCGTCCATATGGCGGGAGTCATGTTTGGAATGTACCGATGTGCCTAAAGTAAATTAGGCTTTTGCCCTTCCTACAGTATGTATAAGCGTCCCCACTACACTATTGAACAATAGTACAGTTGTCAGGTTGAGATTTACAACTGCATAGATCTCGATCGGTGAACGATCGCGGGAACAGCCTTCATCCTAGTTGTATCAGTTTGTATGACCTGATTCCGTAATTTTTACCCTAGCGGATACACGTCCGTGGTGGTTCATCACAGCTCCAGGAGGGCTCATGAAGCTTTTTCGCGGGCTTTTCAAAACGCTCTGGTACTTTGGTAGGCCCACTACGATTGTGATTTTGGAGAGGACGGTCATTTTGAAACCTGAACGAGCCCTAGGAAGAAATGTAAATTTATATTCGTAATTCGTTTTAAAAGGTTTTTTTTGATATTGAATCGATGTCCAACAGTATGAGATATTGGGCTCACCCTAGCAATCTAAGATATTGACGCACCATTTTCTCCTAGATCAGTCTAGTAGCATAAGCACCCACTGATCCACGCGCCTTGCCGGACCTTAACGCCAGGTTGCTGACATCGTGCCACCTGTCTAAAGATCAAGGTGAATCCAGCTGCTATTCATGGTAGGCTCCACGGGCCAGGCTCCTGATCGACCAATAGACTCAGCTGCGAGCCCGCTTAAAATGCTTCATCCAACAAACAGGAATCCCTAGCTGAACCACCACCCACAGCTACGGGAGTCTGCCAGGTTGACCATTGAAATGGTTGCAGCCAGACTGGCTGCAGATTCTCCCACCGCGGAAACATAGTACATCGGTCCTAACTTGACCAGAATTCGAATTCCTGTCATAGCCAACAAGGCGGTCATCACACAGGCAAGGAGTGAGGTAAGTAGTTTTGTCGAATCTTGGAACTTCACAGCCATGCTTTTGACGCCTGCATGAACGTCATCTGCAACGTCAATTCCGATGATAGCCAATGTCTGGACAATTGCCCATACATAAGCTTGAGAGAGTGAGACGTCACCCCGAGCGATCAGCCGGACTCGGCACCTGGCTACCTTCTTGTCGAAATCTCGGTAGACGGTGTCATTCCAAGTGCAAGCTGCTCCGCGCGCGAGAAGGCAGAAAAATAGTAGAGTGACAGTGCGGTCGATACCCATCCCAAGAGAAGCTTGAATAAAGCTCGCAATTGCGGCGTAGAATACACCGAAAAGGCAGGGAACATAGAGGGCATAGAATCCGGCGGGTCTGTCCAAGCGCATCAACTCTGCATAGGGTAGGCATGACGCTGGCGGATAGGAAACGAGTCCAGCAGGCGGCTGGTACTCGGCATTCTGTGTTTGTCCGATATCTTTGTTCAACATAGTGGACGTGCTGGTGGGATTGAGAAGCTTTGTAATTTCATTAACGAGTTCATAGGCCTCAGGGGGTCTTAAGTCCCTTCTACAGAGGATCTGAGGACAGACTTGAACCCTTTTGTGATAGGCCATTGATATCAATGAACATGTCCCGCTCAAACTCATCACATCAAGCCTTAGTAGTGAAACCTTTCAGTCCGCAATGAAGCTGAGACTGGGTACCGCTACAGCCATAAGCTGCCCTAGTGAGAAGCTCTTGCAAAAGTAACTTTCCATCATGAATCGCCTTGCAGACAGCATGATGGACTCCACTACGGAATATAGAGGTTCATATCCCTTTGAATGCACTGCAATGGGTACTGTCCACAGCGATTGAAGCCACATGTGGTTCTGCATGATTGGTAGTAGTGCTGATCAATTCTCAATTGGGAAGGTGGGAACCTTCCGTCCGATCAAGATTGTGCAGGATCCAGCCACCGTATTCCACTAGTATTGGTGTATGTTTATGAAAGCGGTGAACGGCGATCATGCATAGCACTCAATGGCGTGAAACATTTCGTCGCTGGCGAACTCATCAGCAACAGCAGTAAAAGTCCATCATGAAGGTTGTGATTGTCGGTGCAGGCCTAGGTGGACTGGCTTGCGCAATTGCTTGCCGCCGCGAGGGTATTGACGTGGAGGTTCTTGAACGCTCCCCGAAGATCCACGAAGTTGGAGCAGGTATTCAAGTGCCACCTAATGGAACCAGAATAATGCGCGATTTTGGGCTGCTGCCCCAGCTGCTCGAGAAAGGAGTTCAAGTCCAAGAAGTGAACTTTCGAAGATACAAGGACGGTCGCTTACTGCGAAGGATGCCATTCGGAGATGATATCACCGAGCAATTCGGGGCACCGTGGGTGTATGTTGTTGAATGATCTTCCCTCATACTTTTAACAACTCATAAAATTTATGCAGTGTTATCCACCGGGTCGACTATCACTGTATTCTTCATGATGAAGCAATTCGTCTTGGTGCAGTCATCCGGCTAGGAGCAGAGGTCACTGATATCTCTACCGATGAGCCAGCAGCTCTTCTTGCCGATGGGACAAAGGTAGTGGCAGATGTTATTATTGGAGCTGACGGTACTTGACAAGACCTGCATACTCTTACTACATTCATATGAGCTGACAATAGCAGGTCAAATGTCTTCGGTCAGAACGGCCGTACTTGGGGCCTCTGTTTCTTCGAACCCCACGGGTGACATGGCCTACCGAGCAACTTTCTCTAGGGAGCAGCTCGAGGCGCTGGGCGATGACGATGTCAATGAACTATGCAAGAGGATCGCCGTGACTAGCTGGTTGGGACCAGATAAGCATACTATATTCTACCCTGTCCGTGGCGGGAAGGAGTTCAACCTTGTCCTGCTTCGACCAGATAATTTATCATCGGACGCCCGCAAGGAACAAGGCGATATTGATGAAATGCGTGAGAGCTATATTGGTTGGGATGAGACGTAGGTGTCTTATTAAGTCTTCTTTCAAGTACAGAAGGGCTTGCTAATTGGTTTTTTCATCATTAAAGCTTGCAGAAGATTATCTCATGTGTGCCGTCGGTTTATAAATGGAAGCTGACCCATCTTCCTGAACTTGAATCATGGACAAAGGTCGGTACTGCTACCCACTTTCCCTCATCTTCCCAGGGATTGACTTGATTTGGACAGAACTCCGTTGCGCTTCTCGGCGATGCATGCCATCCCACTCTGCCTTATCAAGCGCAAGGGGCTGCGATGGCGGTCGAGGATGGAGCTGTTATTGGCAAGCTTCTCGGCTCCTTACAGGCCCAGGTATTGGAGCCAGACAGCTCTGGAAATGAGCCTTCACGATTAGCAGCATCCTCGGCACAAAATCTTACCACTGAAGTGCTGGCTCTCTATGAGAAGAGTCGAAAAACACGCACCACGCGAAACATTCAAGGGGCAGTCAAGAACCGAAAGCTCTTTCACATGCCGGATGGATTCCTTCAAAAGATACGAGACTTTGTATTAGGATTTGCTGGAGTGACTCGGAAAAGCGACTGGACATATATATCCTCATCCAAGCAGAGTGATACTCTTGGCTTGGACGTGCTGGAAGACTGTGGAAAAGCTTTTGAGGATTGGAAAGTGTCTATCGAGCTGGAAAAATGATCGTAACAATACCAGCCTCCTACAATCCCGCCTGACAACGACGATTGGTTAATTCTGCTCAGATTCTTCAATACTCAGGCCGAAATGATTGTGCATTGATCGACACGTCATTTCTCGCCATCTGCTGTCTATTAGCTGTCTGTAATTAAAACCAAAACACTGCGCTAGCAAGGTTCTAGGACCCACTGTAAGGCGGCTATTCAAAAAGACAGGAAGAATTTTCCTGTCCAAGCCCCATTGTAAATGACAATAGTTCGGGATCAGCTGAAGCTAAATCTCGCTTTTGTTCGGTCAATCCTTTGTTATGCTTGTTCAGACGACACACGTCCGAAAGACACGTCCACGATGCTAGTGCAGTCTGAATCATCCGAAGAACTCCACGTGCGCAATAGTCCGTTGTTCAGCGATTTATTAATTGCGCAAAATCTGCGATGGTTCAGTTGCCTGAGCTGAGATTCTTTGACTTCCTCGCCGAGAGCTCTGCATGCGACTCATCGGCCATCATCGGCGACATGGCGACTCCATCCGCCATTGAAATCGGTAATTTGACAGGAAAATGGATCATTGTGCGTGTTGATATTGGCAGTACCAAAGTGCTCAAACGATAACTGATTATTTTTCATAGGATAAACGCCATTCGACGGATCCAGAGGCCGGGTTGAAGATGGTATGTACATATTCCTAACTAGCAGGGCATTTTACCGCGGCTCGCGGATACTGAGTAGTTTTCCTTCCCAGCAAAGAGTCAACTGGATGCTTCGAAAGGCCGTTGGCTTAGCCGCGGTGACATTGCACATATCCTTACAGGGAACTCCCAATGACCAAAATGAGAAAATGCCTGGGGTTGGCCTTCATCTAGAGATCCTGCAAGTTCCCACCGGCGGTCTGGCACAAATTCCTGAGAGCCGAATTCTGGACGACAATCAATCCACTTTACTGAAGGATTTCCTCTTTGGCACAAGGCGATCGGATAATCAGCTGATTCGAGGCACTGAAGGCCCCCACAGCCGGTTAGTTCCCAATCTCACACTGAAGACGCCGATCCAAAATATCGAGACTGGACAACATGTCAGAGGAGAGATAAACCAAAATGGAGCCGATGGCGGCGGCTTCATCATCGAGGGGATTGGACTGTGGATCCATAGCTTTGACGAGCGGCAAGACGGTGCATGAACAGTGGAGCAGGTGAGACTTTCTTTTCATCAGCTGTGAAGGAAGACCCACTGCCACAGCAAACAGTCTCAAAATCCGACTCGAGCTTAGAGCAATCATCAAAGCCCCCGAGTTCGAGTAATGTGCCGACAGCCACCTCTCTCAGTTCATACGGTGAAAGTCCGATCCTGAATCATCAGCTCTCACGGCGCCTTGTGACTATATCCGATCACTGCCCTCCAAAGATATTCGAAAGAAGTTGATCAATGCTTTCAACATATGGTTCCAGTTACCAAACGATGCGACCACCACGATTGGACAGATCATCAACGACCTTCATAATGCGTCACTTATCTTAGACGATATCCAAGACAACTCTGTACTCCGACGTGGGAGCCCTGCGACGCACTGTATTTTAGGGGATGCTCAGTCAATCAACAGTGCAACATACATGTTCATGAACACATGTTTGACGCTGCAGCAAATGCTCCCCTCGAATCCAGCAGCGATGGATGTGTTACTCAAGGGTATGAGGGAGCTTTTCGTTGGACAAAGCTGGAAACTCAAGTGGAAATTCTTGTCCATCTGTGCAGGAATATATGGCCATGATCGACGGCAAGACAGGTGCCATGTTTATCTTGCTGGTCCGTCTGATGCACAGCTTCTCCCAGCACAGCGTGTCTATCCCAGAACTTGATCGCTTAGCAACCCTTCTGGGCCGCTTTTATCAGGTGCGAGATGATTACCTCAATCTCCAAAGTGACGATTATTAGGAACAGAAGGGATTCTGTGAGGACTTGGATGAAGGGAAATTCTCGTATCCGATTGTCTCGTGCTTCAACTCAGACCCCATTGCATGAGATATTATTCTTGGCATCTTCCGACAGAATGGTAACAGGGAGCACACTCTGTCCATAAATACAAAGACATACATACTTGGTCTCATCAAGAGATCAGGGGCATTTGAGGCTACACGGAAGCTATTCGATCGATCTAAGCAGGAGATCTGGGCGGTGCTTTCAGATCTTGAAGAATCGATAGGCCAGCCTAATCCGGGTCTACGGGCCATCTTGACAGCTTTATCAGTGTTCTAAAACCCCATGAGCACTTGCTGCGGGCTTTATCGGCAGAAGAAGCCCATGGCCTCTCCCAAGGTCTACCGGGATAGAAAATACCATCGACGATTAGCGAGGGATGGAAAATCTCGCTAGTAATGTGAAGAACTACCCAAGGACCAAGACCTGTCTATTCCATAATGTCAAGAAGCTAGCCACAATTAGAGTGTTGCTATGTGCCCAGCGGTTAATTTAACCTGCCTTGAACATTGGGTTCAATACATGCCTCGATTGACTAGATTAAGATCGCCAAATCATGATTCCATAAGGATCACGATCAGCATCGCTGACAGATACCTCCACGCTAGCATCCTTGTAAACTTCTTCGCCCAAAGCTGAAGGAGTAGCTCCGCCCTGCTTAGCAGTGTCCTGGATAGCCTGAAGAGCAGCTTTCCGGTCACTCTCCCAGCGTTGCGACAACTCTTCCTGCAACTTATGCTGCATAACCGTACGGAGATACCCGCGCTCCGAGTTTGAGTGAGAAAGAGAGATAACCACCGATCCACGCTCGGTAGCAGCAAGAGCTTCGTGGTGGCTCATCTCGCCAGTGAAAAGAAGGTCGGGAATATCAGTTCCGCGGAGAAGAACACCCGATCCAGAGCCAGGGCACATGCCAACGGTGCGAATGCGAATCTCGTCGACTGAACGGCTTTGCGGGATGGCAATTGGAATGCCGGGTTGGAGGCCAACTCCACGGCCGACGTGATCGATCAAGGTTGTTAGAGGCTGGGCCTCGTTGAAGGTGACTAGGCGGCCAGCACCGGCAGACTCGAACCCCTCCGGGATGGAATCTGGGGGCGATGGGTGAATGGTGGATCGGGTGTGAGGAAGTTTCTGAGAGATAGTTGCCGAACCAGTAGTTGGGATGAACTGGGACTGCGGGTAAGTAGGAGCGGAGTATAGAGCCGAGGAGCAGTCTTTGATGGAAGGCTTCAGCTCGGTTTTAGATGACTGATAATTGCCGGTCACCACGTCGCAGAGCCAGTCAGCCATTCCTGCAGGAACAGTATCAACAGCCGTATGCGGCGAGTAGACACTGATTCCATGCTGAGCCAGTCGCAGAAGGGATCTCTGTTGGGTGTCATCAAGAGTGATAGACTTGAGTCCACGGAAAATGATGGGGTCTATTAGTGGGAATTAATATGGACACGTATGCAATTGAATACAGTCAGTCTTACGATATGCAACAACAGCTGAGTCCTGGCGCCTGATGGCCTCGTCTGCAACGGCTGTGGTAAGATCGATGGCTAGGAGCACCGAGTTCTTCTGTCGGCGGGTAGGCTCAAAGGGAGCTTCAAGAAGCACTGCATGTTCGGTCAGCACAGCATGATCGAAGTGGTAACTCTAACACGTCATGCTAGTCAATGCCTTAACTTACAGCCGGTGTTATCGAAGCTTTTGTCTGCCAATGCCTCGGGATACCTGCATACATGTTAAACACAAAGCTCCATTGATTTTACAAGAAGCTCTCTGCACAAGAAACAACGTACAGCTTCCTCATTGAGCTCACAACAGCCTGTGTGAAAGGCGAGCACGTAGTTGTTGAAGCCATTGTAGAGCACCGACGTGCAACAGTCCGCAGGGAATTCATGAATTTTCGAAGAAGGACAAGTAGATCCACCGCAACAGCAACAGAAGGAACGGGACGGTGACGCTATCGCTATCGGGACGCCACAGCGTGCACGTGCCACACCAGCCACACCCATCGGAACAGGCGAATTTGTAATGCGACTTCATCGAGATCCCGCGGACTTGAAGCCTCAACCAGCTTTCAACAGTCTTTTCGATCGTGCTTGATGTTCTCCCGCGCCTCCTCTCTCACAAAGCTGAGCCGGGGCTGTCGCTATATCCTCCGCCCTAGTCCTGCCTTCATCTCGCAGGCTCCGTTCTCCCTTACCGCGCGCTCGTTCTCTGCTGTCGGTGCAGCCATGGCAGACACTTCCGGTGTTACTGCGGAATTGCTCCAGAAGAAGCTGGAGGATGAGCTGGAGGCTAAGACTGTGAAGATTGAGGATCTTTCTGGTATAATACTTCTCTCTCTCAGTCGAGTGTGTTTGAAGTCGGTTATAGGACTGTATGTACTAACTATATGTTCTTCTCTCGCATAGGTGGCTGTGGACAGGCATTCCAGGCTGTTATCGTTTCCGACAAGTTCGCTGGCAAGACCCTGCTTGCCCGGCACCGCCTCGTCAATGCCGTCCTGAAAGAGGAGATTCCCAAGATTCACGCTTGGACCCCGAAGTGCTACACCACTGAGCAATACGAGGCCCTTGGGGAGTAGGAAGTGTATCAAGCCGAGATAACAGGATACGACATGATACCAGAAAATAATAAATCGGTTTGACATTCGCTCTTGATGCCTAGGGTCAAGGGCCGATCAATGTCTTCCAGATTTACGTGAACATGGATTGGTGGTTGCACAGGATGTAACTCCAATCAACAAGTGAGATCGTTTCACATGGATCAATGATACTCCCAGGTCAGCAATTGCCAGGATACGGGAAAAGCTACCAAATTTTGTTTGTACGATAGATCTGAATTGAATGACTTTCTGAAATGCCTGCCGCTATGGATGCTTTTATATACAAATCTATCGATGCACATTGTTATGTGACATCATTTCTCCTCTAGAGCCTTAGCATTCATGTCAGCCTCGGCCTCTTTCTCGAACGTTGACCCAATGATCCCATCAATGTCACCAGCGACGGTACCTGCAAGGACACCCACGCCGATGATGCCACCGTCACTTGCTTCCCGAAGGAAGATGCTTTTCCCTTCGCTTTGAGGTCCTGCGCTAATGACTAACCGGTCGATGTATCGCTGAACGGTCTCTTTATAATGCGGATAATGCTGGATGACTCCCCCGTTGACAGCCACGACCAATTCCTCCGGTCCCTTAAGCCAGCCCGGCGTCGATGATCCAAAATCGGGGATTTTCTGCTCTTGAGTCGATTGACGCTGGCTTCCATTGGAGTTCTCTGCTGTGGGCTTGGCCTGATCTTTGTCTTCCAATTCAATCTCCCGAATACACGCGAGAAGTCCGACCGTGGCGGCGGCAATCAGTGCAGCAGACCGGTCCTGCACGGCAGCTGCAATGGCGCGAATATGACCAGCATACTCTGCCGTCCACTTCCAATCACTGGACTCCGGAGGGGGCAGTTCTCGCGTCAAGACGTCGGCTAATTTCCCATCTGAGTGACTTGATGCAACCTCCAGGGACAGGAAATTTGTCGTGAGAGCATTTTCGGTGACCAACTTCACGGGCATTGACGACCGTGGCACCGCCTTGATATTCTTAAACCAGTCATAGCTGATTATTCGCACCAGCTCGCCAATATAGCGACCGCCCACCATATACTCGAGAGGCTGGAAGCCAGGCCAGTCTGTATGATCATCCAGTTCGGTGTCCCACTTTGTCACAACGTCGAGTTCCTGCAAAGGTCCCGTTGCTCCTCGAAGCGTCCATTCGGTGGAAACAACAGATTCGACTGCATCTGGATCCTTCTCTCGGATATGGCGGATTTTGGATTCTTGCAGATCGGTAAGCTTCATCGGCACGGCAGAGTTGCAGCCCGCGCCAACGAGGAGACCCATCACGACGCGAGTGTTGGGCAGAGCACGAATAGAGTAAGCCAGCGATGCAAACGTTGAAATAGTATCGTTAGTCATGACGGAGATCTTGAGTTTAGGTAGACAATATTTCTTTTGTCGTTTGGCGGGCATTTCGCCGGGGTCATCTTCCGTCGAGCGCCGGGTGTGGCATTCGTAGCCGTCGAGGAGAGCTTGACGGAGATTCAGAGAGGATCTCAATGCGAAACCTTTGCCAGTTGGCATGAGGATAGCCTCATTAACGGAGTTTTGCCTAGAATGACGTTAATCTCAAGTCGGTGCGTGGTGCTAATGATCGGGGGGGCAAAGGTTTACTTGATAGGGAAACAAAAGGAGATACCCATGGCTATCTCCGAAGGTGCATCATCTTTAGAATTGGCCAGATCATCGTGAATCACCTCTGCGATGCAATCTCCAATCCAGGAAAACAGTGAGTCGGGCTGATCTCGGCGCAGGCGGTCTTCGATCGGCCATGCTTTCTCTAGCGTCCGTCGCACATGCGAGTGTTTGCCTATTTGTTCTTCGCCCAGTAGGTCGATGAAGGCCACTCGTAGATAGTACAAGCCGAGATAGACGGCCAGGTAGCGGCCTGATTCTTGACCTGTAGGCAGACGTGTGGTGGCAGTGGGGAAGAACTGCTCTGAGGAACTCAAGGCCAGCTCACGGTATGTTAAAGATAGGCGATGGGACAGGCGATACAGCCTGTTGTGGTCAATTTTGAGCGGCGACAGAAAATCTTGGAACGCAGGGTCGATTCTGGCCATGGTTGCGTGTTCAGCTGTCAGTGTCGCATCTGTTCTGGAGAGTGTTGTATTTAGTGGGTAAAAGCAGGACCCTTGCAGTAGCTTTTTTTGGGTTGGGCGGGAGCTGCGGAGCCAATCAGACTGGCCGTCGAGGCTGACGGCTCGCGTGCCTGAGAGACCCCCAATGCAACGTTAAAGATGACAGTAGGGAAGGAGATCGGAAGATGATCCAATAAATTTACGGGAACAAGGGGATTGATGCTTTATCATGAACTATAATTTGATGTCATACATTAGTATCATTGTCAAGGCTGATGTCGTACGTTTCTCCCTTCTATACACCTCCACCCACGATAATCTTCAAACGCTCCAAGGTCAAATTTGATTATTGCTATACTGGAGGCCAAGGAAATTCTTTCCAAGGCTTTCCATCAGTTTCATTAGCTAAGTCTGTCAAAGTCTTCCACTTCCACACCTCTCCGTTAGGATTAACAAGTTCATTGTCATCCCCGAGAGCCACAGCACTATGGTTGATCTTATTCTCCCCAATCAAAAACCGTAGATACGGTGCTGGGTCCCACGAAGACGTAGCCGTAACTGTCGCCTTGTACTTCTGAAGAGGAATCTCAGATACTTCAACCTGCCCAGATCCCCCTTCTCTCATGATCTCGGAGATTTCAAGAAAACTGCGAGTATCACCCCCGATGTGAACGGTATCAGGGATCTTCTCCTTTGGTAGAGCGGCTAGCGAAGCAACAACCTTACCCACATCCTCGAGTGAGGTAAACGAGATAGGCGAGTTAGCCGATCCCACACTCTCGTATCGGCCATTCTTGGTATCGAAGCCAAACCAAGGCCCAATACTATCTTCTATGAAAAGTCCGCAAAAGACCCGGCAGATCTTCCGATCGGGGATCAAGTTCTGCGCCAGAGCAAAGTGCCTTTTCTTCGCGTCCCATTCTAGATGTGGAAAGTCATGGACATAGTGGTCCACGCCGAATTCTGAGGGAAAATAGAGTTGGACGTCGGTTTGGGGCAGGGCGCGGAGTAGCTTCTCCTTGAATGAATGGCCCGAATGCCCGACGGTGTTTACAAGGATATGGACTCCACGGAGGGCGTCGACGAGGTTATCCTCATCGTATTTTCGGCTTGTATATTTTCCATTGATTTTTGAAGCTTCTGGGGAAGCTTCGTTTCGCGAGAGGAGTATGACATCAGAGAAATGTTCGTTGAAAGGAGGGGAGAGAAAGGCCGAGGCGACATGGCGCCCTAGGTGACCGGTAGCACCGGCAATTGCAACAACTGGGCGTGAGATTATGGAAGCCATTTGTTTGAATCTGATCTGGATTTTCTAAGGCTTTTGCGAGACGTATATAAGTCCGACTAGAACATAAAGGTCATTGATTAACAATTGATTATCATACAGTCCGGAATCAGTCCGCTGCAACTTGCCCCACTCTAAGATGGTGAAAGGCATGTTTATTGGTCGATTCATGAGTTTGTTTGAACTGCAAATCGACCAAACAGACTGCTCATCCAATCATTGCACATGCGGCCGAACTCCAGTGGATGTTTGCACTGTTTAGGGCTTTGCACAGTCCTACAGTATATAGATCGGACGAATCCTACAGACTGTGCTTCTCAGTAACCTTCTATACTTTAAAATTGTTGATATCTACGCATTCTTTAATACTCTCCTCTAATGGCCGAGATCTCATATTCATCCCGACTCGAAAGAGTCCTCCGCTACCTCTTAAAAAACCAACCTCACCCAACACACACCGACTGTCAATGCACCCACCATCACAATCCAGACTGGATATTCGACGCAGACACATGGTCCCAACTTGAAACTCTTCGCCGACTACTATGCCAGCGACCAACTCTCCCCAGACTTCCCGCAGATATCTTGGAAGACATCGACGCAGTTATTGCCTACCGAAATAGCCACAACCTTCTCACATCGACCAGATCAATTACACCCAGCATTACAATTCAAGGCCAATCGCAAAAACCAAATCCTATTAGAATATCTTGTTGGAAAGGTGATATCACCACCTTGACCGATATCACCGCAATCGTTAATGCAGCAAACTCCCAACTCGAAGGGTGTTTTCGGCCTGAACATCGCTGCATCGATAACGTGATTCACTCTGCAGCGGGCCCTCGACTCCGTGATACATGTCACGATATTGTCGAGTCCCGGGGCTATGTGGAACCTGTCGGCTCTGCCAAGGTCACGCCAGGCTTCCTCTTGCCAGCGGGATACATCCTGCACACCGTCGGCCCCCAACTACATCAGAAGGTCAAACCACAGGCGCATCAACGGGCGCAACTCGCGTCTTGCTACCAATCTTGTCTCGATGCAGCAGAGACTCTACCCCCGCTTGAAGATGGCCGTAAAGTCATTGCATTCTGTTGTATATCGACCGGTCTCTTCGCGTTTCCGTCAGATATGGCGGCAACCATCGCCGTGGACACTGTGTTAACCTGGTGTGCGAAGCACCCGGATACTAGTATCACGGATATAATATTCGATACCTTCCTCGACAAAGACCGGGCGTTGTATCGGGACATTCTATCGGATATCCAGGTTAACTCTTCCAAGACAAATATCGACCTCAACATCTCTTACACTCACACCGAGCTATACCAACCATCCACCCTCCCCCAACAAAATCCAACCCTCTCACCCTCCCTCCTCAAAGCCCGCACCTGGCTCAACCAAGCCACCACCCTCATCATCTCTGCCGGCGCCGGCCTCTCCGCCGCAACAGGCCTAGACTATACCTCCACCATGCTCTTCGCAGCCCACTTCCCCGCCTTCCTGCCCCAGGGTCTCCGCAAACTCTACGACGTCTTCGGATACAGAGGGTGGGACAGTCCCGCCCAGAAATGGGGGTACTACTTCACGCATCTCGACATGGTGCGTCGATGGCCCGAGGCGCAGTGCGGAGTTTACCGTATACTTCACCAGCTGACGGAACGGTTTGGCGAGCGGTGGTTCGTGCGGACGAGTAATGCGGATGGATTCTTTGTGAAGAATGGGTTTGATGCGGCGAGGGTTGCGACGCCGCAGGGCGGGTATGGATATTTGCAGTGTTTGAGGAAGTGTAGGGGTGATGCGGTTGTGGAGGCTGGTGCGTTAGTGGATGCTGCGATGCCGTTTGTGGATCCTGTTACTCAGACGCTGAGGGATGATGGGCTGGTGCCACGGTGTGAGTTTTGTGGTGGGGAGATGACGCTTTGTGTTCGAGGGGGAAGGTATTTCAATGAAGGGCCGTTTCGGGGAATGGAGAGGAGGTGGGAGGTGTTTTTGGACGGGTTGGAGAGGGAGATGGAGGAGGATCAGGTGGTGTCTTCTGGTTCGGTGGTTATTTTGGAGGTGGGGGTTGGATTGAACACTCCTGCTGTACTGCGATGGCCGAATGAGGATCTTATTTCTGAGTCGGAGAGTCAACAGTTTCGGCTTATTCGGGTTGGGATGGAGGCGTCTGGGTGTGTGCCGTGGGAATTGGAGGAACAGGACCTGGCTGTGGGGATTTCAGGGGATATCAAGGCAGCTTTGGATGTGTTGATATCGTGAATATTTGAGATAGGGTTACATTATTAGACTAGACAAGCAATGGCCCCGAAAGCGTGAAGAAGAAGACAATTACAGGATATCGAACGAAATACTAAAGTCAGAAAGAGAAACGAGATATGCATCAATCATAGGATTGGTCTTGACTATCAGATCACTAGGAAGTGTTTTCCAACACATCTAGCCGAAAAGTGCTTTACACCATCACATTCTAGTATTTTACCTCCTTCTTCACCCTCACGCCGAACCAGCATCCGTCTCCATACTAAGGTACTTGGCCTCCGCACCACGAATACAAGCAATATTCGCCCCGAGCTTGTTAATCGTCTCGATATACTCATCATACGGATCCGAGTCAAACACAATACCGCCACCAGCCTGGAGATACGCCACGCCGTCCTTAACCATCATCGTCCGCAGCGCGATGCACGTATCCATTGCGCCGGACATCTCACTAGATCCATCCGCGTTGGCAATATTATACCCAAAGTAGCCCACAGCACCGGCATACACACCGCGCTTCTCACCCTCCAGCTCGGCAATGAGCTGCATAGCTCGCACCTTGGGCGCACCGGACACCGTGCCGGCGGGGAAGATGGACCGGAAGGCGTCGAAGCGGGTCTTGTCCGAACGAAGGACGCCCGATACTTGCGAGACGAGATGCTGCACGTGCGAGAACTTCTCGACGACCATCAACCGGTCCACCTGGGTGGTGATCGGGTCGCAGACGCGGTTGACGTCGTTGCGGGCCAAATCAACCAGCATGACGTGCTCGGCGCGGTCCTTCAGGCTGCTGCGTAGCTCGTCCGCCAGTTCCTTGTCTTCTTCCGGGGTCTTGCCGCGCTTGACAGTTCCCGCGATGGGGTGGGTGATGATGCGGCCGAGCTCTTCCTTGACGAGGAGCTCGGGGCTGGCGCCGACGAGCTGGAAGTCTTGGCAGTCAATGTAGAATAGGTAAGGGGAGGGATTGACAGTGCGGAGATGGCGGAAGAGGTTAAAGGGGTGGAGGGAGGTCGGCCTGGATAACCGTTGTGAAGGCACAGTCTGGAAGATATCGCCCTTTTTGATGTGCTCCTTCAACCGGTTAACATGGTTCTCGTAACCCTCCTGTCCGATGTTGGATGTATATTCCTGGTCGGGAATAATAGGACCCTGTTTGGGCAGTGGCGTGCGGTCCTGCAGTAGAGTCTCAATCGTCGTCTTGATCACCTCCTGGCCCTTGAGGTACTCGGCCTCGATATCGGCGTCGTTGGCAGGAATAGGGACATAGGTGACGATCTTGATAACCTGGAAGAAGTGATCAAATGCCACAATCGTATCAAATAGCATGAACAGCGACTCCGGCACACCCAGCACATCCTTCATGGGCCGGGCCGTCTTGGGCTCAAAGTATCGGACACAATCGTAGCCCACATAGCCGATGGCTCCACCGGTGAGTGGCGGGAGAATCAGACCGGGAACAGATGCCACGCGGGACTGGGAAAGTTCGGCTTCGAGGATGGGGAGAGGGTCGGCGGCAGGACCATGGCCAGGTCCGGTCTTGAGCACGTTTTTAGGGTCTGTAAAGAGGGATTCGTGAGTGGTATGACTCGATAGAAGCCAGAGCGATATCGGTATCGGAGATGCCAAGTCACCCACCTGCGCCAACGAAGCTGTACCGTCCAATAGTCTCTGTAGTCGCAGCACTCTCGTACAAAAATGACATGCGCGAGCTATACCCCCGTCAGTGATCTCATTCGGCAACATTCCTCCGCGAGACCACCCCGCAGGCCCCGTCGCAATCCACACCGGAACCGGCAACATACTTCTCTGCAAGCTTGAGATAGGCCAATGTCGGAGTCAACAGATCGGCCGGGATCGAAGCCGTCACGGGCAACAGGTTCGGAGGAAATTGGGAGTTTCTCGACTTCGCGATGACTTCTCGCGCCGTCTGGAGCGACGGGACATTGATGATCTGAGTCATCCCAGAGGTGCGCGTTAGCTATGAGCAGATCTTGGTGGTAGAGGGCGACTGGACGTCGCTTCGAAAGAAGTTGTCTTGCATACCGGAGGTGCCATTGTCAGTGTAGTACCCTGTCAAGTATCAGGGGGCACGGTAGAGTCGTGGATGTTGTCGCAATGACAGCGGGATTTGGCGGTGGGAAAATGAAGAACTACCTGTGGGGCGCTGGATTGGCCGCTGCCAGGGTCGCCCTCGACCCCGATAAAGCTGACTCAGATTCAATTTGAAAGAAAGTAAGCAAAGTAATCCATATCGGGTCCTTCGGATAGACCTCGTCAACTCAATAGAATACTCAAAAATGCAAGAAAAGAGTCCAAGCAGACAGTTCATCAATGACCCAAAACGGACTAGCGCGGGGAGTCGTTATCGGGACTCATCGCTTATCGATATGCTTCCCTCCAAATACAATCATTTTGGCTCGTGCGACAGCAACAAAGTGATCAGCGCGCAAAGCACACGACGATGCGCGATCCCACGCAACCCTAACACACACCCTCTCTACTCTCTACACATCCCTCTCCAACAATGTCCACCTCCACAGTCCACCGACAACCCTTCCCAACCGAACCAGGCCAACTGCCCTCGCCGCGCACCCGCAGTTCCACAACAGAAAGGCTCGAGCTCGGCCTCGATCTCGACACACCCACGTGGACGCCCTGGGCCGAACGCCTCCGAGAGCTGTCGCAGCTAGCGGCCACATCGCTGGGTACCGTCTACATCGAGCCCGATACCGAGAAGACCATCCACGCACACTTGGACGCAGTCGAGTCGATCTTGCGCGATCCGCGTCCAGAGCTAACGCGCGAGATTGGGAATTATCGGCGACGGAGTTTGGGGTGTAAATGTAAACCCAGTGTGGAGGTTAAAGAGAACGCGATCACGACGGAGGATCTAGAAGCGGAGGTTGAATACCAGCAGGAGAATGGCGTTGATCAAGCTATTGTCTTGGCGCAGTTGACGGGTCTTTTGCGGGAGGTCACTTTGTTAAATGGGGAAGTTGAACGACGGCGTGAAGAAGCGAGGGAGATTCGGGATTTATTCGAAGAGAGATGTCGCCGGTTAACGCGGACGGTTGCCGAGCTGGAAGATGAAGTGGTGGAATTGTACGGTCGAGGATTAACCCTTTTCAATTAGTTGTGTCGGACCTTGCTAACATCTACCTTAGACAATCCGATCTTGTTGAGGACGCGGTTGATTTGGAAGGTATACAGGGTACTGTCCATGGACTGCATGATTGGATTGACCGGATACGCGAAGAGCAAAAAGTCGTTCGGCTGTCGAGGGATCTTGCCTATCAAAAGGCGCGGCGGTCGTGGATTAGTCGGCGGGGGAAGGAGGGTTACACTATTGAGACGGATGGGGAAATGATGCTGGAGGGGTTGAGTGCTTGGATGCGTGGGTGGAGGGATGTGGAGGAGGGCTTTCAGGTCCGAGCGCGGGCACGACAGATGCGACGAGATCGGAGACAGGGACAGCTCTTGCGGTTGGGGGAGAAGGTCAAGCTTGTACGTGGAGTTTCATAAGTTTGAAGCTCCCCAGAAAGTTCAAAATCATCTTTTGCAAGGCAAGTCGAGGGATAATGCCCGGGGTATCTAGAAAGACGTTTCAAAAGACACTTGGAACGATCTTATAAAATAACCTAAAGTCGAAGCTTATTTAGATGGTTGTTCTTCTTCGTCTCTAGTTTCAAGACTTTTGAACTGCCACTTGTGCCACGGACGGGGATGTCTCTAATCGTTCTATGGTCACATAACCTCGCTCTGCAAGAGAGCCCGTGTATAAAGCAAGAAGAGAAAAGATACACATCACCTCCATGCTGGCTCTAATACGAGGACTAATTCGAAAATGGGATCATACATTTTTAGATTCGAGATTGACACGAACGAATATAGTAACGTTCAAACCACCGACCACCAACCAACCCCAAATAAAAACGAGAAAATATAAAAGAGAAGGCCACACTCGCCAAAATCCGTGAATCGTTCGCCGTTTACAAAAACCCAGTTCCCAAAAGCAAATGCATGCCGTAATGCATCTTCTAAATCAAACGTTGTATGTTCACAGAAAATATGTAGAGGAAAAAGGGGCGTGGAGCCATTGACTGCATCCGCTTCGGTGAGAAATGGCAGTGCGGCGGGATGGTAATCGGAGGGTTGGTCCGTTGTGCGGTGCGTCCTCCATGATTATCATTCAAGGCCTCTGGGTGGAGAATTAATCCCAAGGTTTGGGCACCAGATTTGGTCGCCGCATGGGCGTAAAAGAGAATGAGACTGAACAAAAGGCGTGGCAGAAATTCCTGAGATCAAGCCCCGCTGTTCAAAAGTTCAAAGATTATCAAGACAGACCGACTAGAGAGTCATGTGGTCAGAAGTAAAAGACAAGCAGTGACTGGTGTGGATGCGGAGATTACCCGAGGATCAAATCATCAGGCATCTGTCAAGTTACGGTGACGATAGAAATGTCACCGTTGAAGATTCACGATAGCCATCTACAAAGAGAGTCAGCACTTCATCCTGCGCCACTTGATTAGATCCACATACCTGGTTTCCTAAGCCGCAAGCGAGTTTTTTCCCATCGGGATCCCATGATAAAGCACGGTCTGGGTTTGCTGGCCCATGACCGTTCTGTCCATTCGTTACACGGTCAGGGTCCTCCTTGACCTCTGCCGTGCTGGGGGCTTTCCAGGTGGCCATCGGATCCCCCCCACGCTCGACGTTCCAGATAAAGACCTGATCTTTACTGACAGCCCCAAGCGCATATCCATCTGGAGAGAAGCTACCGGTAAGGGCTGGTACAGAGGCGCCGAGGCGCAAGCGATGGACGCATTTGTATTGTTTCGAGTCCAGGTCCACCTGCCACACTCCGACTGTACTATCGGCAGAGTATGAAGCAATGGTGATGGAGTTGTTCCCTTGTTTCGTTTGCAATGCCGACTGGGGCTGAATGTCGACGGCAGTGATGGCGTCTTGGTGGGCGTTTTCGATCAGGATGTCATGGGTAGGAATCCAGATTAATGCTTTCGTAGCGCTTGCCGTAACTGCTACGGAATAGCTGGCGGTATGGGCACAGCGGATAAAAGTCCACTCCGTATCAGCCTGTTGCGAGGTATGTGTCTTGGCTAGTCGGATGTTGCTGTCTACTTCACATTCGTAGACGGCCCCATTTCCACACGCAAAGACCTGATTGCGTCCACACCATGCCAGATCGTAGATCTGATTGTCGATCACCTGGGGCGGCGGGTAGACGTCGGGTCGTCGGCCGTCATCCCACAGAGCTAGTTCGGAGGTGCGCTCATCAGATGCCACAATCACCAATTGCGGGCTTTCCTCCGCCCAATGTAACCCACTGATCACACGAGGGAGATCTGGTAACAAATCAACCACATTACCATCAGCATTGTACATGGTCACGTTTCCCTTCATGTCTCGGAAAGAGGCCACGGCCAATTTCGCACCGATGCCATCCCACGCCACCGAGGATACATATGCACCCGTGCCCTTGAGATTCAAAAACTTATTCTGAGCAGGTGCAGATGTTGAAGATAGCTTCCAGATGCTACAGAAGGTGTCTCCAGCGGCCAGGAGTAGCGAGGGATCCCGCGGGCGCCAGTTAGCAGATAGCACGTGATCTTCGTCGAGTAAGGCGGTGTCGGGGGTCAAATCGGCAGCCTTGGCGGGGGAGATCTGGATACCCACACTGCTGCCCGTGTTGAGTGTGGGTTCCTGAGGCACCTCTTCGGGCTCCGTGGCCCCCATGCTCACATCTCCGTCGCCGTCCACATCGGCCGCATGTGGATGTGGGCTAGCTAGCTTGCTCTCAGCCTCATCGACCTCCATCGCCTCGTCGCCATTAGTCTCGCTCGTGCGGGTTTTCTTGCCGGCCTCCACCAAATGACCATTCGTCACGTCGTCATGCGCCTGCTCTGGCTCTGGCTCTGGCGCTGGCGCTGGCGCTAGCGCTGGTGCTGGTGCTGGTGCTGGCGCTGGTGCCGGTGCCTGCTCTGCGCTCGCTTCCTCATGGCTTTTCAATGTGCTCACTTCAAATGGCTCCGGGCCGAAAAAGTAATTCGCAGACGTAAATGTAGTTGGGTTGCCCTCCTTTCGCTCGTCGTTAGAATCACCAGCACGGGGAAAGAAAAAAAAAAAAGACGGGCGCCAGCAGGGGAGAGGGTAAAAGGAAAGCACTGATGGACCCGCTGTAACACCCAAGACATAGGTCGCGCGAACATACCTTGTCAATAGAGGACTCGAGCTCGTGGTACTGCAGACCTTTCTGGACCAGCGACACCAGCGCATGGGTTTTAATGTGGCGCGCAAAGGGCAGCGTTTGAGGGTCGGGGTACCATGCGCGCTGCAGTGAAACGGCAGCATCGCCATGACCTATAGGTGGACGCGGTTAGGAATGGGACTAGCAAGAGGTAAAAGACAGAAGCGGGCGCAAAGCGTTGATCGCATGGGGGCGATGATGCGACAACAGAGACGAGCCGAGCTTGGCGGCAGCTACGAACCTGATTCTTGAAGGTAGCTAGAAGCGCGGGATTAGCGAGCTGCAGCGCGCATCGAGGATTCGCGGAAGGGAGAGCACATACCGCCATATTAGGTAGTTGACGTGATGCGAAGTCAGGTCAGGTTGTGCCATGATTACATGTGCGACCAGTTAAGTGCCGCGAACATGCCAGAAATTGGGGGGTGGGAATGGAGGCTTCCGTAAGGGAAGGTGAAAATCAAAAGTGGAGGCTCTAGGCGGCGGAGACCAGATGGAGCTTCCAGGAACGCGAACACGAGTCGGGGCCTTGAAAAAGTGCGGAGGAGAGTGGTAAGTTCGTTAGACCGAGCGAGCCGAAAGCAGAAAGGGGGCGAATGGATAATCCGAGGGGCCGTGGGTGGCTCAGGCTTGAAATTCCGGGGGGGTGGGTGGGAGGGAGGTTGGCAGATTGGATGGGGGTGGATGAGAGAGAGGGAGCAAGGGAAGGAAAGAGAAGGTTGAAAATGAAAAACGGAAAGGGTTGAAGATGGGCCGGGCCAGAATGGGGGGAGGGCCAGGAAGAAAGAGAGAAAGCGACGGGGGTGGTTGATTCCAGCCACCGATGACTAGCAGACAGGGCGGCAGATGGCAGATGGCCGATGGCAGATGGCAGTGGAGATTGGTCCGGTGAATTGGGGGAGGGTTCACGTTCGAGATCGATCGTGGAACGTGGAAAGAAAAGGAAGGAAGAGAGAGACGGATGGGAGGAGGAGGAAGAAGAAGAAGGAAGAGCACCTTACACTAGGTGGTTGGAGGAGATCAGTTTTGGGTGGTTGGCAGCGAACCAGACCAGACCAATGCGAGCCCACGAACCAGTCGGTCCCTTCCCAGGAATGAAGAATGGAGAAGCTGAAGCAGAGTGTCAGCGTCGAGTCTCGAGGTTAAACGCACTAGCCACCACCACTCAAGGCTAAAAGTGGGCTCGGGCTCAATCTTGACCTTGCATCCTGCGGTGGCGTCCTCCACCCAGAGAAAAGAACGCCGGGAATCTCGGGGTTGGCTCGGCTAGACACCACGGGCAGGGATAGGGATCGACAGGGTACAGGACTACAGAGTCGGAGTCGACGATGTATAGATACCAGACTCGAGAGTCTCGGATGGGCGTGGTCGTGGTCGAGCTGGAACTACTGCTACTGCTCTTTCGTTTGACCCGGACCCATCAGCCGCCAGGGCTTGTCTTTTGTGGACTTTCCCAACCTTACCTGAGCTTAAGACTCTTAGCTCTGACTAACGCTTTTCGGTGCCAACTGGTGGATCATCACATAATAATGGCCCGGTTGGAACTGGTGAAGAGTCGGACGTAGACTACTGTACTCCGTACGGAGTACTCCCATGTCGACTCCTCCGGACTGAGTGCTGACTGCACATCATCGGAGCTGGGTCTCCACACTCCGGAGCTTTTTAACCCCGTGACCTGAGAGAAGTACTGTACTGACAACCTAAAGGTCTACGCTGGTACTCTATTCTCTATTTCTATACCTGCCTGTAGCTGGACCAGTTGCAAGATCTCTCTCCCATATCACACTGATATCCATCGGGGGCGCCCCTGTCATCTAGTGCTCCGTACATAAATATATCGCCGTCGCGAAATCAGAGTCTAACTACCTACTGGCTCCTTGCAGAAGTTTATATGGGTAATCATGTATTCGCTAGTCAACACGTCGATCCTAAGATTGAGAATCTAGAGATCTTTAGCTGGATCCGACCTAGGCTACAGTTTACACATACTGTATGTAGTGCAGGCCGTGACTATATGTAGCATCGGCACTAAATATATTCATAGAATGACACCGATGAATAACGCTTCAACTATCTATACCACAGAGCCTAGACATGAACAGAACCTCCTTCGAACTCTATCATAGTATTAAACAATGCAAATCCCCGTCATAAAGCACTTCAACCTAGTCGGGTCCATTGTTGTATACCGACCGAGGCGGGATCCATCCAGCCACTAGTCCACTAATCTAATCGGTCCGCTCGCCTTTCCAGACGGGAATCTCAGCCCCCCGACCTCACCTGCAGAACATCCTCTCCACAACAAAAATCTCCGGGCTTCTGGTCGACAAGCCCTGCGGTCTCGCGTTCGCCGCGAGACGAAATGCCCCTCCGAGTCAATATTCCCCCGGCCACCCGCGCCGTCCTCATCAGCCTGTTGGCCCTCTCCCTCCTCTACAACATCGCCAGATGGCGCCAACTTGACACCTCCGCTGGCAGCGTCCAAACCAGCCCCATCATTCCCTATCTCACCCTCGTTCCCTCTCTCTTCTACTACTATCCCTGGACCCTGCTCACGGCCACCTTTGTAGAGCAGAATATCTTTACCGTCTCCCTCAACGCGGCTACTATCTTCTATGGCGGGAAATATCTCGAGCGCGCGTGGGGGTCTCGCGAATTCAGCAAGTTCATCATCGCTGTCGCGCTGATCCCTAATGTCGTGATTGTGCCGTTCTATCTGATCTGGGGCGCCCTTGGAGGGTCCTCAAGTCGAGCGTATGTCCCCGTCCCTGTAGTCCAGTGTCCTGGGCCTTGTTCTGGAATCTGAGCTGACCATTGACACCCCCCTTCTATACACAGTCTCACCCAGATCTGCGGCGGCGTCGCGATCCAAGCTTCTTTCCTTGTCGCCTTCAAGCAACTAGTCCCCGAACACACGGTCGCCATTTTCAAGGGCCTGGTCAAGATGCGCGTCAAGCATTTCCCCGCCTTATTCCTGTTCCTTAACACCCTCAGCGGCATCATCATCGGAACCGATACCGCCGCCGTCCTGGCCTGGCTAGGCCTCCTATCCAGCTGGACCTACCTTCGCTTCTACAAGCGCCAGCCCGATCTCACCGGTACCTCCACCAATGGCCTCGGTATCAAGGGTGATGCCAGCGAAACATTTGCCTTTGCCTGCCTCTTCCCCGACGTGATGCAGCCCCCTATCGCGTTTGTCGCCGATCAATTCTACGCTTTGCTGGTCGCAGTTAAAATCCTCACCCCCTTCTCGGAAGATGAGATTGCCTCGGGAAACCAGCAGGTGCTGGCTCGTGGTGAGGCTGGACTCCCCACACTCCTCAGCAACCACCGCGGAGGAGCGCGGGGCTCCAGCAAGCGGGAGGAGGCTGAGCGGAGACGCGCGCTGGCATTGAAGGCTTTGGATCAGCGATTACAGTCGGCGGGTGGACGGGCTCATGCCGGTCCGTCGACGTTAGGAGAGCCCTCTTCTTCGCAGCACCGACCGACTACGCCGACGCCGTCGGCACCATCCGGGCAGAGCATGCTGGGAGAGACTAGTTATAACCCTGATCATGCATGAAAAGGCGCAGCATTGGGACTGTTTGGACATACTTGCATGAATCCGAGGGGAGGGGTCCTCGGCTTGATGAATTACCTCCTCTTGTCTCTGTTGCTCTAATATCTCCTTCTGATGATGTATATTGCACACCATTTTCATTTTTCTCTCATATTGTCATGGATCTCGATCGTCCATTGGTTGAAACCCTACGACCCTGCGACCCATGTGTGACTTTACGAGGGTCACTTATTTTTCTTATTACGACCAAGCGAGACTGCTGTTTTGTATTCTTGACAATTTTTCCTTTCTTCGCTCTATACCGGCCCCCAGCGAGCATCTTGCAATGAAAGATCTTCAGTACAGAATAGGTCGATGTGTCTTCCGAATGGATTTAGTCAGAGTTTCCAAAAAATACAAAGTCGTAATGAGAACAACCAGAAAGATAAAGATGCGAGTATACTATGCTACAGGTGATCTCTCCAACCCACCCAACACGTAGGGCGGACAAAAAGAGACCAGAAAGGTGTAGTGGAAACATCCTCTACCACACCAAAAGAGGTTCGGTTAAGCCTCGAAGAAGGAGACTCCTCACAGCGCCTTCAACTTCTCAACCTCACCCCTCGCCTCAGCCAACATCCGCTCCTGATCCTTCTTCGCCTGCCGCATAGCTTGTATACGCTCACGGTCCTTACCCGCCTTAGCCGTAATAGCATCCAACCGCTTCCGCTCCGCCTCATCCTCCGCACTAGCAGGGACCTCCTCCGCCCCTGTCGACGCTTGCACCCGACTCCAAATCTCCTTGTAACTAAGATCCTTCAGATCCACGACGGCAGTCTTCTCGCCACCCTCGGGAGCCGGCGCATGCTTGTCGGTGATCTTTTTGGCGCCGACGATCGCGGACGCGGTGCTGCTGAGTCGCTCCGCGAAGTAGATTGTCAATGCGGGCGGGGCGTTTTGGTCGTCTGTTTGTTGCACGGTCATGCGGACGCCTGGGTTGTGGTACTTTAGGCGGGGTAGGCAGTTGCGCCAGAAGTGGCGGGCGCCTTGGTGGCCGTTGTAGATTTTCTGCGCGTATGTGAGGTGCAGCCGGGTTACTGGGGGGAATTCTTTTGTGGCGGAGGTTGGGCTGGGGAAGATTGCGGCGCCGGTGCCGGTTCGGATATCGAGGATCTGGGGGAGGGAGATGTGGTTAGTTTGTGGGTTTTGTTGAATGTTTGGATGTTTGAATTGAGTAGGTATGATATTGGAATTGTTGTGGTGACAAAGTGATCGAGTTGAATGTGGAAGGAGATTCGGGGAGAATGTTCAACGGTGAGGAATGGGATGATTTACCCTCTGGAAGAGAAGAAGCAATTGCGTTAGCCAGTGGTTCTATTCCATTCAAATGTATGCAAGAATTGAGCATCTCGACTCTGTTGTTCCGAACCACTTACAGTCTTCAGCTTGCGCATGCGCTTGAACAGGTTCACCATGATGGCAGAGTGTGTCGCACAGGGGCTGACCCTGCTGCGAAGGTAATTTTGAGACCGACAGAAAGTGGAATTGGACTGAGAATCGAAATCTTCTCTTCAATGGCCTCAGTCAGAGCTTGGTGTGTGTTGTCTTGGATCTGGGAAATTTGACTGCGGAAACTCTCGCGCTCGAAAGTTGCTCCGTGATATTGAATCACGTGATACATACAGTCACAAGTACACTTTATGACTACCAAACCCACTTGAAGATTGAAGCTAACATGATTCTGACTTCATAGCCACAAAGATGAGTGAATCAATTTCTATTTTCTTGATTTTGACTCATTCCCTACATAGCCACCATCGTCGTGATTCAAGTCGACGAAAGGCACGTGCGGAAATCCCGGCCAGTCACAGCCACCGCCTCTCGACCGCCTTTGAGTCACTGGCACAATCCCGTTTGGAATTTATATCACCCCGCGATCTTTTGTTTCCCTGCCCCTCGGGAATCTTAATCAGGGTTCAATCCGGCTGAAAGAAATCATGGCAGCCGCCGCTGCATCCGCTGCTGCGCTCGATCCGAGCAACAGCACGAAAAACACCCTGAAGCTTGAAAATGTGACCACCTGCCCCTCCCCCTCCATTGGGCCTTGTCCCGAAATTTTTGGATTTATGATCGCAAGTTGCTGATTGTACTATACACTGCACAGACCGAAAAGCGTGATTCCCTCATCGAAATTGAGAAGAAATACCAGGCACAATGGAAGGAGAACAAGGTCTTCGAGGTCGACGCTCCATCGTTCGCGGAGGTTCCCCAGGGCTCCATGTCCGCCGCCGAGCTGCGTGAGAAGCACCCCAAGTTCTTCGGTACCATGGCCTACCCCTACATGAACGGTACTCTGCACGCCGGTCACAGTTTCACTGCCAGTAAGGTCGAGTTCATGACCGGTTTCGCTCGCATGGAGGGTAAGCGTGCCCTATTCCCGCTCGGTTTCCACTGCACCGGTATGCCCATCAAGGCCTGTGCCGACAAGCTGCGCGACGAGGTGAAGATGTTCGGCCAGAACTTTGAGGGATACAAGGAAGATGAGGAGCCCAGCTCCCCCGCTGCGCTTACCCAAGAGTTTAAGCCCGAGGCCAAGGCCCAGGCTGAGAAGTTCTCTGGCAAGAAGAGCAAGGCTGCTGCTAAGACGGTGAAGATGAAGTACCAGTTCCAGATCATGCTGGCCATTGGTGTTCCTCTGGAGGATATTCACAAGTTCGCCGATGCCAACCACTGGTTGCACCACTTCCCTCCTCTTGCCGTCCGTGATCTGGACAGCATGGGTGCCCGTGTTGACTGGCGCAGACAGTTCGTCACCACTGACGCCAACCCTTACTACGATGCTTTCGTCCGCTGGCAGATGAACCGCCTGCACGAGCTCGGCAAGATCATGTACGGCAACCGTTACACCATCTACTCGCCTAAGGATGGCCAGCCCTGCATGGACCACGATCGTACCGAGGGTGAGGGTATTGGTCCCCAGGAATACACTGCCCTGAAGCTCCAGGTTAAGGAGTGGGCCCCCGAGATCGCTCAGATTGTCAAGGGTAAGATCGAGGATGATGCCAAGGTCTTCTTCGTCCCTGCTACCCTGCGCCCCGAGACCATGTACGGCCAGACCAACTGCTTCGTTGGTCCTAAGATCAGCTACGGTCTGTTCAAGCTGAAGGAGAAGGAGTACGTCGTTGTCACCAAGCGTGCTGCTTGGAACATGGCTTTCCAGGGCCACTTCTTCGAGAACGGTTACTTCCCCAAGACCCAGGATGAGCTCCCTCTCGTCCTCGAGGCCCCTGGCTCTGCCTTTATTGGTACTCTGATCAACGCTCCTCTGTCCTTCCACAAGGAGGGCGTGTACATTCTGCCCATGGATAGCGTCTCTGCTTCAAAGGGTACTGGTGTCGTTACTTCCGTTCCCTCGGACAGCCCCGATGACTATGCTACCCTGATGGATCTGATTAAGAAGGCCGACTACTACGGTATTAAGAAGGAATGGGCTGAGAAGGAAATCTTCCCTCTGATTGATACCCCCACCTACGGCAACTTGACTGCTCCCGCTCTGGTCAAGCAGCTCAAGATTAACTCGCCCAAGGACGTCACACAGCTCGCCGAGGCCAAGGATCTTGCCTACACCGAGGGCTTCTACAAGGGTACCATGATCGTTGGCGAGTTCAAGGGCGAGCCCGTCAGCGCTGCCAAGGACAAGGTCCGCCAGTCTCTGTACCAGAGCGGCGACGCCTTCCCCTTCGCTGACCCCATGGGTAAGGTCGTTTCTCGCTCTGGCGACGAGTGTGTTGTTGCATACCTCGGCCAGTGGTTCCTGAACTACGGTGAGAACGACGCCGAGTGGCAACAGGAGACCATGAATCACGTCGTCAACAAGCTCAACACCTACGCTGCCGAGACCAAACACGGCTTCGAGAAGAACCTGTCCTGGCTGAACCGCTGGGCTTGCGCCCGTACCTACGGTCTGGGCTCCAAGCTGCCCTGGGACACCCAGTTCCTGGTTGAGTCCCTGAGTGACAGTACTGTCTACATGGCCTATTACACCATTGCCCACCTCCTGCACGGTGACCGCTATGGCAAGACCACCGGTCCCCTGAACGTCACCGCCGATCAGATGATTGACGAGGTCTGGGACTACATCTTCACCCGTCGTGAGATCAGCGACGAGCTGATCGCCAAGTCCGGCATCAGCAAGGATGCTCTGCTCCAGATGCGCCGCGAGTTTGAGTACTGGTACCCCCTGGATGTCCGTGTTTCCGGCAAGGACCTGATCCAGAACCACCTGACCTTCTTCCTGTACATCCACATTGCGCTCTTCCCGCCTGAGTACTGGCCCCGCGGCGTTCGTGCCAACGGTCACCTGCTGCTGAATGGTGAGAAGATGAGTAAGAGTACCGGAAACTTCCTTACCCTGAAGGATGCCGTCGACAAGTTCGGTGCCGATGCTACCCGTATCGCCTTTGCCGATGCTGGTGACGGTATCGAGGATGCCAACTTCGAGGAGGCCGTTGCCAACAGCAACATTCTGCGTCTGTTCACTCTGAAGGAGTGGATTGAGGAGGTTGTCAAGGACTCCTCTCTGCGCACCGGAGAGACTGAAGATGCCTCTGCGAAGCTGTTTGACGAGCTATTCAACAATGAGCTGAACAGCCTCGTCCGTGAGACCCAGAAGCACTACCAAGAGTAAGTTTTGTTTAGCTTTTGATATCTGAGTGCATTGCTAACATTCCGCCCCCCAGCACCGACTTTAAGCTTGCCCTGAAATCTGGTCTGTATGACTTCACTGCTGCTCGCGATACCTACCGTGAGGCTGCCACCGCTGCTGACGTTGGCATGCACCGCGATACGATCCTGCGCTACATTGAGCTGCAGGCTCTGATGCTTGCACCCATTACTCCTCACTGGGCTGAGTATGTCTGGCTCGAGGTTCTCAAGAAGGTTAGATGCCCACCTCCCTCTGTATGACCATAGCAAGACCCGCATATTCTAACACTCCACAGCCCGAGTCCATCCACTTTGCAAAGTTCCCCACCGTTCCTGAGCCCAAGGTGGACCTCACTGCTGCCCAGAACTACGTCCGCAGCACCGCCTCCAGCATTCTGTCCTCCGAGGGCCAGTTCACCAAGCGTCTGTCCAAGGGCAAGGCTTCCAACTTCGACCCCCGCAAGCCAAAGAAGCTCACGATCTTCTATGCCGAGAACTTCCCCGCCTGGCAGGAAAAGTATATCGACCTGGTGCGCGAGGCCTTTGACTCTCTGACCGTCACTATCAACGACAAGGAGCTCAACGCCAAGGTCGGCAAGTTGGGCGAGATGAAGAAGGCCATGCCCTTCGTTCAGACCCTGAAGCGCCGCCTGGTTACCAGCCGCGAATCTCCCGAGTTCGTCTTCGGCCGCAAGCTGCCCTTCGACGAGCTCAAGTACCTGGCCGCTATGATCCCCGGCCTGAAGCGTACTTCCGGGTACAAGGAGATTGAGCTGATTGCCGTTGATGAGGGTGGCAAGACTGGCAAGGTTGTTGGCACCGGCGAGGCTCGCGAGGGTCTGAATGCTGAGAATGCTGTGCCTGGTCAGCCTTCCTTTACTTTTGCTAACGTTGACTAAATGGGGTTTCTTCTTGTTGTTCTGGAGATATAAATCGGGTTCCTGACCCTGTTTTCTTTGGCCTGTTCCAGAGTCATGTTTGATGAGCTTATGCTACGAAAAAGAATAAATGCATTTTCATGGTTCATAACACACGCTATACTTCTTGTATGACTAGGCCTTTGTGTGAAACCTCTTAGATCACGATGTGGGTGTGCACCTTCGGGTTAGTCGTAAGAGCACCACTGCGAGTAGATCTTGCATCAAGATTCTACATTGACGGGGCGAGAGTAACCAGCGATACCTGCGAAATTCGGAAAGGAAATGAAAAGGCACAAAGTGAAATGGAGAGTTAATTGTATGTTATACAAGGTGGCTTATCAGAACTCCAATCGCTATGCTAACAGGGTTAATGTACAGGGCATAGTACTCCCGCAGAAGAATTCGGCTGAGCGCGAGGAGCACAGTTCAACTATATTGGTGTCTCATGCGTGGTCTCTTGCGTTTGTCCGCCTTTAACTTCTCCGCAATGAAGTTCCAACAATTGATCGGTGGCCGCGTATCAATGTGCTTTCCGTTAGGAGTGAATACCTCAATTTGAGGGTAGTTTTCGGTATCGGGTTCCTCATTGCGCTTGGTGCGGACTTGGACACTGACTTCGATCCAGCCACAACCTTCAACCAGGACATCGGCTGACATCACGCGATACGGTAGTTTGGGGATAGGAATTCCCTTATCCTTGACAGCCTTGGCAACTGTAGAGGGCAGATTCGATGCGGTGATGTCCCACTTCAAATCGAACTTTCCAGCTGATGCCATTGTGCTGCCTGTACCTTCTTTCATGAGGACGGTTCCTGCATAGGGTCGCTGCTCGGTTTGCACTTCAATCGCCTTCTCTGTCTTTGTAACGTGAGACTCGATGGGCACAAAGCATGCAGCCAGAATGGTATCTTCTGGATTCACCGCGGTAATGCGCACAAGACCACCACCCAGGAGGAGAGACTGGCCGGGTTTGACGGTGCATCGATCGGGCTTGATCCGTTTGGTCATCATCAAATCGCGCTTGTGCTCATCACGCACGTAGTCCTCAAGCTGACCACGTTCGAGGCCAGGCAAGTCGATGACTTCGCCCTTCCCGCGGCCGAATGGGATGCGGATAGGCGATACTGTGGTTCCCGGCATGGATGACACCACTGGGAGCACTGGGAACATGTCCTCGCGGGGAGCTGGAGGCAGCAGACTATCGGGATCCAACAAGGATGCCTGTCGTTGATTAGGAATCTCGTGCTCTTGCCGTTGGTGTTCGATCCATTCGGCCATGTTCTCGAGACGTCGTGAGTCTTTGGGATAGCATGCCTCTATGAAACTGCTCTTCCCGACGTTTGCCTTTCCAACTACCCAGATACCTCCCCCGTGCTCTTTGATTTCTTCTTTGATTTGCTTGGTCCACCAGCCACGGTGGGCACTGATCATGTGCACATTGCCGAGTCTCACGTCTTTTCCAGCCTTGCCCAGAGCATCACGGAGCACAGTGCGCACATACTCCATCTTAGAATCCACTTGATCCTTGGTTGCGGCTAGCAGGTCCGAGCGCGTAATGATGAAGCTCAAAGTTGGCAGCCTTTTGCCTCCACGGTACTTTTCGTTGGCTGACCGTCGATTCTTAGAACGCTGCTCTTGAACAAGCAGTGCCCAATGGATGCGTGGAATGAGAGACATGGGGAAGTCTGCGGCATCCAAGATATGATAGACACGGTTATTCTTGTAAGGTGACTCGTTCATGAAGGCTCGGATTGAATGGACGGAGGGCTTCGGGGAAGCAACAGCCTTATTATGATGTATTAAGTCGTGGCAGCGGTCGCAGACATGTGTAATACGCGATGGAGATTGTAGGGAATAGTCGTCGGGTACAACGGCGTCATCTGGAAGTGCACCACCTTTGACAGAGGTTAGTAAAGAAGTTCTAGCGCTTGCCTAGGGGTTATTTATTGAAGAACTAACCCTGGAGAGGTAAAGGGACTGTAGGTTGCGCATCCTCTCCATTATCACTCTGCTCTGTGTTTACGCTTGTCGCATTCTCCGCCGTATTGCCTTTCTCGATGGCGTCTTTTTTGGAGGCCAGCAGTTTCCGGGTCTGCTTTCGGCCTGCGCTATAGTACCCCGGTTCATTTGGCTCGATCGTTTGTGAAAAAGCACCACATCCAGGACAACATGTTGGCAAAACATCAGTCAGATTCTCGATATCGGCTTGAGTTCTTTGTGGACGCGATGATGAAAAGTTGCGACACTGCTTGCGACTTCGGTCAATAAGGGAGCTGTTCTTGATCATGGGCGGTGCAACGCGACATCCTGTATATATCGAATACGCCAGTCGTCGAGAACAATGTTTTGAACCGAGTTGCAGGCTGTCGAGCCTCAGGGCCCTAGATATTGCGCCTCGAGCGCAAAGTGACATGGTTGCAAAGAGCCGAAGTTGTGAGTTCGGGCGGAGCTTTTTTTGCTGGTAGTCTTATCGATAAGGCTCAGGGTTGAGTCTTGTTGAACATCAACACTCGCATACATGCACGGACGGAGAACCAACAACAGTTTCCGATATTTATGATTCAAAGTGTTTTTTAATTTGCGTAATTGCGTCTACAACTATAGCTAGGGGCTCAAGCTGGCATTAGAGCTTACAATGACTATGGAACTCACGTCTATTGCGCGACTGGCATATGCTATGTCGATATTCGCAAGGGTTCAACGGAGATGTTCGATCAATTTTTGATTAGAAATCTGAAGAGAAAAAGATGACCGACCAGGTTGATATTAATACAAGAATATTCGCTTTAAACCCATGCACCCGATAAACCTTTCGAAGCAAAAACGCCATCGTAAAACATAAACCAGCATCCCGTCGCTACACCTTCAAGCGCGGGCTTTCCCCTTCCCCTTGGCATCGGTTTCTTCTTCTTCTTCTTCTTCTTCTTCCTCCTCCTCAGAATCACTCATAAACTCGTCGTCATCATCAAACCCGATGAAGCGGCGAGGTGCCGGCTTCTGGGCCGACTTAGAGGGTCCCGCGGAATTTGAAGATGCGCCATTGTTTTCTTCCTCCTCTTCCTCCTCTTCGGAGCCAGATGAGCTCGCATTCTCGCTACCCTCACTAGCACTGGTGCTAGATCCGCCCAAAATCGCATCACGTAGGTTGTCCGTCCATGCGCCGTCCTTCATTGCGAGAAGAACCGCCTCCCTTGCCTTTTCATTCATCTCCTCCTTGTCGTCCATCCATTGTCCATCAATCTTTTGCTTTCCACCCCCGTTCTTGATCTCATCCTGACGCTTCTCTGCCATCTCTACCACGGCCTGCCACCGGCGGCGACGCTCCTCCTTCTCTTGCTTATCCATTTCCGGCTTAACCGCGAGATACTCTGCCAGTGCTTTGGCCTCATTGACCGTACGCAAACGACGGCCATCGAGGTTACGGCTCGAGCTGTTACTGTCGCCCTGATTGCGCTTGCGCTTGCTGGCCATGCGCCCACCCGCGGCACGAAGTTGAGACCCGAAACCACCCTTACCACCGCACAGCGGGGCGGAGAGGCGGATGGGAAGGAGGGCAGTGGCGGAGACATCCTTGCTATTGATCAAGGATTGGACGGGAGCAGCAGAGGCGAATATTTGCTTGTTGTTGGTGGTTGTGAGGATAAGACGTTCAAGACGAAGCGATGCTGGAAGGTATGAGGCGACTTTGTCGGTCAGGTCTGACACGCTCGCTGTGGAGGGAAGCGCGAATGAGAGAGTAGATGGGAGCGACAGTCCCGGGAATGACGAGAGCAGGACGTTAATATTTGACTGCGCCATCTTGTATCCGTTGTTGAGTTGTAGAGCTGAAGTGTAGAGATGATGAGGCTATCGATCAACGCCATCGAGATAAGCTGGGCGGCTGGAAACTGCCAGTCATGTGACTGCCAGACCGATAGGTGACTCAGCCGACCAGCGTCTCCAATCACATGATCTGACCCAATCTTGCTAATTAGGGCGGAAACCCTAGCGAGCCCCCGAAAAGGAATATCGCACTTTTCTCGCGGCGCAGCTCCACTCTCTGATCTTTAAATCACCCATCTTTTCCTGACGTTGTCAAAGCGATTCCACGAATTGCGCCAGGAACTCGCGACAATGTAAGAATTCACTCCAGATTCTGTTCGATGCCGTCAATTAACTAACAATGCCGCAGGCTTATCCCCAAGGCCGACCGCAAGAAGATCCACGAGTACCTCTTCCGTGGTATGTAACCACCCCCTCGCCGACGCCTCGACTTGCCAGGATTCCCACCTATCGCTGGCACGCTGGACAAGGCGCAGTACGGATTGAAGGAATACGGATGACTGATTATCGGATTTACAGAGGGTGTGCTCGTGGCCAAGAAGGACTTCAACCTTCCCAAGCACGGTGACATTGACACCAAGAACCTCTATGTACGATGAACCCGACAGCCCGCCATTGACGCCCTGAACACGTGCTAACGCCTCTCGTCCAACAGGTCATCAAGGCTATGCAGTCCCTGAACTCCCGTGGCTTCGTCAAGACCCAGTTCTCGTGGCAGTACTACTACTACACCCTCACCCCCGAGGGTCTGGACTACCTGCGCGAGTGGCTCCACCTCCCCGCTGAGGTTGTCCCCGCCACCCACATCAAGCAGCAGCGCTCCCACGCTCCTCCCCGCGGCATGATGGGCGGTGAGGACCGTGAGCGTCGTCCCCGTGCTCCCCGTGAGGGTCGCGAGGGTGGCTACCGCCGCCGTGAGGAGGGCAAGGAGGGTGCTGCCCCCGGCGAGTTCGCTCCTTCCTTCCGTGGTGGCTTCGGCCGTGGCCGCGGTGCTCCCCAGCAGCAGTAAAGGACTCTTCCTTGATGCCTTGGTGTCCTGTCATCCACTGCTCGGTCATCCTTAGGGGCTGATGCTATCGACTTTCGGTCTGGAGTAGGAATTCTCAATCAAGTGATACTGAAACGGGTTGGTTGCTCGGTGCATCTTCTACGGTCCCCCGGTTTCTGAGACTTTGGGGATACGGAAAAATCAAAAAAGTTGAAACGATGTCACTGGCTTTATGATGTAGCTAGTCTTAATGGCACACTCATGACTCAGTGCAATTTTTGTCCTTCTCGTAGATATTTCGTACATGGATCCAAACACTAACGCAACCACGCCGAGCTTATTCACAAGATATCATGGTTTGGATTTCGCTGCGTACAAGCTTCGACTGTCTCCAGGACTTATTCTAAGCAAATCTCTTCTGATCATATCGCACCACTGCTTGAAGAATCACCGATGCACCAGTAGCACAATCATCCGCAGAGGAGAACTCCTCGGGATGGTGACTGAGTCCATCTTTGCACGGCACAAAGATCATGCTAGTGGGAATCCTCTTCGATGTAAACACGCTATCATGACCAGCACCGCTCATCATATGCCGAACCAGCGATTTAGTATCAGCAACGGGAGCATCTGCAACAACAGCATGAGCCGACTGCTCGACACAGTCAATACAATCATCGTGGAACTTGACAGCCGGAGAATCAAAGTCAAGCGTCCACTCAACACGACACGGCTTGCCGATCCCAGCCCCTTCCGCCGCAGCAATCTTGTCGAAATCGCTGCGCAGCTCCTTCTCAACCTCCGCTACTAGAGCTGTCTCTGGGCCGCGAATGTCCAAGCTGAAGCTCACTGTCCCGGGGACCGTGTTGACACTTCCTGGTGCGACTTCGATAATACCCACGCTGGCGAGACACCCTTTGCCGGCGGCTACCTCTCGTGCTCGCACCATCATCTGTGCAAAAGCGTATAATGCATCGGCACGATGTTCAAATGCCGTCGTGCCGGTATGAGTGTCTCGTCCGATGATCTTCAATCGGAACCAGCGATAGGCCTGGACTGCGGTGACAACGCCGACTCGTTGGCCAGCTGAGATCAGGTGCGGGCCCTGCTCGATGTGCAATTCGAAATGTGCTGCCATGGGTGTGGTCCTGTAAGAACATGGCACATCACCTAGGTAGTTGATCTTCTCCAAAGCAGACTTCATCGTTTCCGGAGCAGATGCAGCTGTCGGGAGCGATGCAACGGTTGGTACCTCCTTGAGGTTATGGGCTTTTGATAACGGGATGCATTCCGCCCAGACTCCTGATGCGATCATGCTCACTGGGAATCGGGCGCCTTCTTCACTGAAGAGGTGTTAGCATATCTTATAGGGAGGACCAGTGGACACGCTTCATACTTAGTCCAGTTTACAACTCCGACTCCTCCCTCAGTCTCTAACCCCAGCTCATCTATTCTTTTCAAGGTTTCTACGCCAGATAACACGCCTAGGATGCCATCGTACCGCCCTCCCGTGGGCTGTGTATCCAGGTGACTGCCAATGAATGTAGCAGGGACATCCTTTCGTCGACCTCGACGCACGGCGAATATATTGCCCATTGCATCCACTGTGATCTCGCATTTGAGATCCTTCATAGTCTGGATGAACCAGTCTCGAACGCTTTTGTCTTCTTCGGACAGGGCAAGGCGCTGCATGCCTGTGTCTGTTGGATCACTGTATCTTGTCAACCACACCGTCATCAACAGTATATATTGTAGAAAATAAAGCGAGAGACTCACTTTCCCCATCGTATCCCCGACCCCCATTGGCAGGAATGATGGAGATCTTTGGCCAATCGCTCCTTGTTGACTCTCAATGCCGAGACGTCGGCTTCGGAGAGCTCCGTGGTCAACATAGCGAGGTAGCGTGATGTGGAGAATGGGCTTGTAAATCGTGGATGAACTGGTGATTTGGGTTGTCGCAAAATTATCGCCCCAAGGGATGATGGTCTTGTCCAAGTTGTACGAAGTGATTGAATCGTGCACATGGTGAAACGTGGATACTTATAGTGTATAGAGAAGGAGGTCCTAATACCGGAAGTCGGAACTGCTATTGATAAGGGAGCGGGGAAAGACAGCGGCACAAAGTCCGCTGTTGATAGAACTGATATACATGTAGCCCCCGCATTGGGGTAGATGGAGTAATCCCAGGATGCTCTCTCCATTTACGTGCACGGACCTACTTGGTCAGCTCTTCAATTTGGAGTGTTTAGGGAGACCTAAACACAGGGGGTCTTTGGAATTCCCATTGTCTTGCCTGTTAATTGCTTCTCAACATCGCCTCATTGATAATATACTACGAATACTCATAAGACCGTCAGCTTAAAAGGCCGCTCTTCTCGGCGCTAGAATTCCATCTAGGAAGGCTTCAAAGAACTCTAGGCTCGTCAACTTATAGTACAAAGAAGCTCGCGGTAGGATGGTTCTGTGAGGCATTGGGGCCGATTATGTTATTAATGATGGTGTCATAGACACCAAAGCACACAGGAAGCAGGGGAGAACGAAGTCAAATTGGTCTATCTAGAAGAACAAGAGGACGAAAAAGGAAAAGAAGAAGGGAAAGGCCTAAATAGCCCTACATCAAACGGCCTGGTCCTGCAATCAGCAAACCTGCAGGGCAAGGAAGACGAGCGCATGCACTGCCAAACGGGCAAGGTCGAGGTCGAGTCATCAATTAATACCTATGCGCCAATACGCCTAGGAATCAGAACATCATTTCAGACACATTAGCACCGTTATCCAAAGAATCCGCCTCCTTTCGAAGGACATCAGCTCTGAACCTTCTAAACGCAGTCTCGATCCGCTTTTTCCGTTCCGGGTCAGATGTGATACTACGGCTACCACTGGCTGCTCCACCCGCAAAGCCTGAACCATGAAGTTAGTTGAAGAGCCAAGATGGGCTCATAAGTAGATTCACATACCAAGTTCTCCGCCCAAGAAAAGACCACCGAATGAAGCAAAGAAGTAGGTTGCGAAGTCTCCAAAAGTTGTGGGCTTCAACAATGGCGTTAGATCAGGGATAGGCTCTGATAGATTGTCAGTCAAATCTTCATTCTCATGGTATTATGTGACTTGTGAGGCGTAGCTATGGGGATATACCGGTGCGTCCATCTGCGAAGATCACCTTGGTAGGTCTTTCCTGCGCTCGAATGGCAGCGAAGAATGCCTTACGCGTGCTTCGCAGCCGAATTGCAGCATACAATCCAAGCCCAAGACCTACCGCAGACCCAACCGTAGTCCACAAGGAAACAGTTGAGGCAGCTGATTTGAGCGCATCCCGATCGTCGGCTTGGAGATCGTGTTGCATATGCTGATCGGCAAGTTTGGCGAGCTCGTCGCTGCGACGGCGGCGGAGAAGGGCGAAAGATTCAGACATGATAAATTAGCTATCACACGTGAGGGTGAGATAGAGGAACAATAGTTGAGGAAGAAAGATTTATGAAGCAAGAGAAGTTGGGCTTCGAGGAGCCGGTTTCTACCAGCCACAAGCGGGCCTGGAGGAGCTTGGAGTGATGACGTCACGTACGGCTCACTGCCAGCAGACGAAGTACGCAGTAGAAGTCTCACTTGAACTTCTTGTTCACCAGGGAAGCTACTCAGCCGTGATGATAATTTCAAATAGAGTAACAGATCAAGTTGAGAGAAGTGACTACCATGCGTATTTGGTGAATGAGAGGACTGATCGCCAGGGACATGTACGGCACTCCCGCGCCACACCAAGAGGACCCAAATAGCTTTTTTAGGAGATCCAGGGATTTACCCTTCACATGGCATTTTGAAGAGATAATGGGTAACCTGCAGACTGACAGTAGCTCGGTATGCTGACCAATAGTACGGTCTTTATTGATTTCAGCCGAAGGAGCAAAGAACTGGGCATAGTCTTCTGGCAGCATTTGTACTCCGCCACATCCAAACTTATCTTGCTAGATAAAGTATGCAAGAAAGAGCTAGAGTATATAGCATACATAGCACTTCATAAGCAGCTTAGTTCGGAGTATCACATTTTGGTTGGCAGTTGCTGTTCACTAGGATTTGAAACCCCCTACAGATCCTGGCTCTCCCAGGATAGATTGGTAGCATCGGTTTTGGTGCGCCTTTCTCACGTAGAATGGGCCCTTACGATATACATTTTTGCTGGGATAACCTTGTTAGAGCGGTTCGAATGAATCAACGCGTGGCAGTGAACCTTATATAGAGTGGGGCCATGCCGGATCTTCATTCATATTGCCTTGGCCAGTTTACACCGAATATCTATCGCGTGTGACGGGGATCAGTTTAGAGTGGCACTTGATTCACATACCCTGTCGTAGATTCTACACCGAAGGTTTCCCTTGTTGTTTCTTCCCTGAGATGTACGTCATTGTCTTTACTTTCCTTCGTCAAGCATGAGGCTAAACGCGCTCTCGAACCTGTCTGTTCGACTCGGTGCATGCAATAAAGTTGAAAGCCTAGCTAATACTGTACGCAATCAAACTCTAAAACGCCTTTTCATCAGGGCTGACTCTATGGCTTTCGTGGATGGGATCCTCGTGACTGATTGGCTAGTATCAATCGCATACTGCGAGGCTCTCAGGCGCTAAATTAACCCGCACCAATGTAGGGTCCGGTCCGTCGTCCCTCCAGCTGAGAAATACAACCTCATCGTTGTCCAAGATGCTCAAAATTGCGTCATCGTGATGATGCAAAGCTTCCTTAGACACACAGTAGTTGACATACATCCGAGAATCCAATGAAGCCTGAGTCTAATTTGTGCCTTATCGATGTTTACCACTGTTCAGCTCCACATTGAGTCGTTCAGAAAAGATACATGCTCGCCATCGACGAGAAGTGGCAAAAAGGGGCACATGGTGACAGCCCTTGCTTTATCCTTTGTCTAAGAGGCGTAAGGATTGACCACGAGATCTCATTTTTTTTGCTTTTGATCGTACACCGCCCAGCTGGTGAGGTTACACAATCCTGTTTGCCATGCATGGGCTGAAAGGATATTCCCCTCGTAGGATTTATGCAGCATGGGCACATAAAACGTGTCGATAAATTCCCTCGCGACTCTCATGAACTGAGCGGCCAGCTGCTTCCCCACTCCACCACTTTAACGTCTGATCGCAATGAGATTGCTTCCTCCATGGTAAGTTGATTGGCTTCGAGACGTACTCGCTCATCGAATCACCTTTTTCGTTACTGCATGATCCTGCATGATTCTGCACATTATCTGCGGGCCGTCTGCGTAGTCCTCCCGCTTTCCCCCTCAGTGAATATGGGCAACGATAGACGACGGGCGTTTATAATTTAAGAAGGACAGAAATGTATAAGATCTAGGTCTAGGCAAATTTACAAATCGCAAGCGCTCGAATGTTCTAATATCCCTTTCTACTCTTTTCCTGGGGTTATAACTCAAGTATGACAGACGAGTCTATCCATCGTCAACTTCGTTACCAACCCGGTGCTGTCGTATTAGATGAGGAGAAGGATCCCAAAGTCATCCAGTCACTGAATTCCCCCGAGAATGGTAGTCTTTCACCACGCACTTCTCCAAACGAATTTGAACAAGATCGCATAATACAAGGAAACGAAAAGTTCAACCGACTTGGCTGGAAACGCCTGACCATTTGCCTTATTGTGGAAGCTATCGCTCTGGGTAGCTTGAGCCTCCCTGCGGCATTCTCAACACTTGGCATGGTTGCTGGAGTCATCTCGTCTGTTGTCATCGGTCTCATTGCCACTTATGCAGGCTACATTGTTGGAGCTGTGAAGATCAAATATCCAGAGATTGAGAATTATCCAGACATTGGGAGATTACTCTTTGGAGAGACCGGATTCTGGATCATAACCTGCGCTTTCGTGATTGGAATCATGCTAGGCGTTGGTTCTCATTGTCTGACTGGTATCATTGCTTTTGTGAGAATCACAGACAGTGATATTTGCACAGTGATATTTGGGCTGATTTCAACTATCATCCTTCTCTTGGCTGCTATTCCACCGTCGTTTGCGGACCTTGCCATCTTGGGGTACATCGATTTTGCATCAATTATCCTAGCCATAGGCATCACAATAATTGCTACTGGGATACAGATTTCTCAAAGTCCTGGTGGTCTATCAAGCTCAACGTGGTCAGCCTGGCCTAAGGAGGACGCTGATTTTCCGAAAGTGATGGTTGCACTCAACAATATCGTCTTCGCATATTCATTTGCTCCTACCTTGCCATCTTTTATGGCTGAAATGCATACTCCAAAGGATTATGTCAAGTCAGTCTACGCAATTGGACTGATCGAGATCGTCCTTTACACATTGATCGGATCCCTTGTCTATTACTTCGTCGGCCAGGATGTGCAGTCTCCTGCATTGCTATCAGCTGGACCCCTGATCTCGAGAATTGCCTTCGGTGTTGCTCTCCCAGTCATCTTCATTTCCGGTTCAATCAATACCTCCGTGGTTGCTCGATATATCCACGGCCACATCTATCGAGACTCCGTCGTACGCTATGTGAATACGAAAACCGGCTGGGTTACATGGATTGCACTCGTGACGGTCCTTACTTTCCTCTCGTGGATCGTTGCTGAAGCAATCCCTGTGTTTTCGGACATGTTATCTATCACTGCTGCCTTGTTAAACTCTGGGCTCTGCTTTTATGTCCCTGCTATCATGTGGTTTGTTCTCCTCAAAGAGGGAAGTTGGTTTTCATGGGAGAATATTCGAACTGCCTTCTATAACGGGCTCGTTTTTCTGCTTGGGATCGGAATCCTCGTCTGCGGCATGTATGCCAATGTTCTCAATCTGGTAAGCGAGACCATCATCTAGCAAGCAAAAGAGCTATTAGCTAACCCAAAGGAACAGATAGAAGAGTCCAAGACAGGAATTGTTGGTCGGCCCTTCACTTGTGCAGTGGCTGAGCTGTCATAACCAACGATTCGAGGGTGAGATGGAGCCCTGGTCAACTGCGATATGATATGATCTCAAGTGTCAGCATCTCAAGATGTATTGAATCAAGGCCCTTGTACTTTGTCAATATAAAAGTTCATTGTCTCGAGGCAATAACATCTTGTGGAGGTCTTACTAAAGGAAGCCGAAAATATTAATGGAGACTCGAGGCTAGGGGCTTTACAGCTTATTTGAAACTGAAGTTCGAGGGATGTTCTCCGATGGACACATCTTGCCTCCATCTGGTTGCAGTAATACCTATTTCGACAACCACTATTTGATTTAATGATCCCATTACTACCCTGCCAAGTATCCACCCCGCTCTTCATCCTTCGACGTGCGAAGCCGCAGCCCTGGCTATCGTCCTCAAGTCTTCTGTGCTATTACAAGATGCAAATATGAATCTGTCTGGCCGAACAATAGTGAATCGCCTCCCCTTCAAGGCCTTTCTCAAATAGAAGGGATCATAGAATTCTGGCTTCGGCCTGTTTGCACATAGCTTCGACTGGGCAAACTCCTCCCCAGGAGCAAGCCGGAATACATCGTGATCGATTTTGTATGGAGCACCGGCCATATCTTCAACCAGAAAAGTGGCCTCGTCAGCACGAATCTCACCGTGGGACAAGTCATCAATATCCAACATCGCTTCTCGAGCTGAAGCCACTTCTTCAAATTTCCTGACGTATACGAGGAGCTGGAACAAGCCAGCTTTTCCTGGTCGGAAGATAACATCGTCCGTGAAACACACTTCTGCGTTAGAACTTTGCGCGGACCTGCAATAGACCTGAGGCAGGCACAAGCCACCATTGTGCTCTGGAATGAATGGCATTCCTGGTGAGTGGTCGTAACGCACAAGTCCTTCCTTGCGTCTACCGAGAGACAACTCATGGCGCCAGGATGGCACCAGCTGAACGAACCAAAGGTACACGTTTCTCATGAAAATTTTCAAGGGATTACCCTCAGTGACAAATTTGCCATTTTCAATCGTCGAGGCTAATGATTTCTCAAGTTGTTGCTTTCGCTCTTCGTACCAGGCTTTCAGAACCCGTTTATGAAAGTCGGGGGTTTTCGGTTGGATGCGACAGAGTAGAGCGAGGCGCCATGCAAGAGACACTGCATCACGGAAGCCGGATGCAATTCCTTGACCTCCGACTGTGGATTTCTAATTAGTTTGGGCCAGACTCTCATACATCCAGACAATTCATCGACATACACGGCGGGAAGACGTGGGCTGCGTCACCACAAAGTACAACTCGGCCATCAGACCATCTGTTGCAGCTTCTGGCAGAGAACCTGAATGGCCGCGACCGAAGAACTTGAATGCAATCCTCAGGGAACGGAACGTCCTGCGATAGTCTGAAAATTGTATCAGTACATACTTCAAGAGAATTCAGCGAGAGACGTACCCATAGCGTTTCCCAGGGTGGGTTATGTAGGGAAAGACCACTTTTTTGATCATTTCTGGCTTCGCCATCTCATCTCCATCCTCGCCGTTCTGCACAACAAATTCAAATCTCCATAGACGATCCGACGGAAGCCCGAAGCGTCCGCATACAGATGGTCGGTTCGGGTTGCAAATGAATCGGAAGTTGAGGGGAAAGAAAAGATCGTAGACTTGTTCAGGTGTATACCCAAGTCTCCATAATGGAAAGTCGGGATGAGTCTTCTCATTTGGAAGGTTGATCTTCCAATTCAAAGCGACCCAAGTCTCTTCGTAAAATGATCTGCCATCAAATCTTCAGAATATGGATGGTTGGACTGCTTAATGTTTCACCTACTGGTGGGCCTGCTCCATGAGGATTCCTCGGGGTTCAAGGTACTGCTTCCGTGTGAAGCCAGTCTTTCCATCAGCGCCGATAAAGAATCGCGATCGGATTTGGTGTTCTTGGCCTTTCACATCACGATATTGACAAATCGTTCCCTGTTCATCCTCTGAGAGACTGGTAACTTCGCATCCCGACCGCAGGTCGCAATATTTTGACGATGCCATTGCATCTCGCAAGCATCTCTCTAATGCGGGCTGTTTGTGACAGATGAAGCCTACATGACCTGTGCCGCCTTCTGTCTATCCGAGGACAATCAAATTATTAGTTGGACTATTTGACTGAAAAGTGGAGGTGACCTTACAGTTCCATAGTCCATCTCAATAAACGCTCGTTTATCCAGAACCGGATCCTTTCCTCCTATAAATTTAAACTTGTGCATGCCTAATGCAAGTTAGCAAAATACATGGGTATTTCACAGGCACAGATATTTGACTGCATCGCCCATGTTTTTAGGGAAGGGGTTGGACTCACAAGTCCCAATTTCCGAGTACACCGACGAGTACAACCCGGCACCCTGTAGAAGACGAATACCGTCTTCATCCAAGGCAATACCACGAGGGTCGGTCGTGATCTCTGCTCCCTTCTCCAAAACAATGTTGGAGATATTCATCTTTCCCAGATACGCGGACAGCATGGCCCCTGTTGGGCCACAACCGCAAATTACCACATCGGTAGTTTCGTATTCCATGCCGGATCACTTGAAGCTAGGGAATGTGTATAGTATAGCAAGCCCACCAGCCTGACAAGCTCTATGTTGTCTTATAGAGCTTTAGATTCCAGTTGAAGGCTAAATAACATCAGGCAATTCCGCTCCTCTCCACATTCCTGTGGAGGTCCCGCATTCCCCCACGGTCCCGCCCGGGATCTCTTCAGCAAGTTACACAGGACCCACTCTGTGAGTGGATATTTCCACGGGTCCTGCGGTGTGCAAACTATCGGCGGAGGTATGAATTTATATCCGGCTCCGTGTGGGTGTGGGGGTGACTGACGTGAGCTGAGTATATCCGAATTTGGGATCGTCGACCCCGCGTCCCGCAATACGAGGGGGCCCCAGGGCGACGGGCACTAGTTAAGTACAGCAAATAGCTCAGCTTTTCATTTATTCAAGAAACTGCGATTTCAACAACTCTCCACAAAATTCACACAGATGCCGGACTGGACTCATTTGATTCGCTTTATCGCAGTGGAGGATAGCCTTGTTCATCTTGGCCAACTCGTCGATGTAACCCGTGATATTGGTCGAGACAGCGTTGATGGCGTCGAGATTGCCGCATACGTGATCGAAGGAACCATCTTCGATGGCAAAGTTACCAAGGATATTTTGCATGTGAAGCAGGTAAGTAGATCTCCAAAAGCCAACCCAGCTAGAAGATTAATCTTCCCAGTTGCTGTCTCCTGTTTCGAGAGAGGAGTGCAACTACATTCGTTGCTTGGGACTGAATTACATAGACCATGCCAATGTAAGTCGGAGGTATCAATTGCAAAGAAAATAGTTGCAGTGGCTCACTACCATAAAGGAAGCGAACATGGCTCTCCCTAAAGCCCCGATTCTATTCACCAAGCCCCGAACCGCCCTGATCGGACCCTACCCCGCCGCAATCAACGTTCCCAAGTGTGCACAAGACGATACAAGCGACTATGAAGCCGAGCTCTGTTTGATTATTGGCAAGAGTGGTCGTGACATCCCGGAAGAGGAAGCGCTCGATTATGTGCTTGGATACACCGCGTCGAATGATGTGTCTGCCAGAAATCTGCAGATGCTTACTACACAGTGGTCTTTCTCCAAAGGGCTTGACGGTAGCTGTCCAATCGGTATGTCAATTAAGTATTCCATGTTGTGTCTATATTAACTTGGGATCTATTTGTAGGACCCGTTTTGGTCGCACCTTCTGTGATCAAGGACCCTCAGACGTTGTCAATCAAGGCGATTCACAACGGTGCCACGGTCCAGGATGGCCATACCAAGGATATGATCTTTTCCATCAAGAAACAGATCTCCTATCTCTCTCAAGGCACCACTCTGGAAGCTGGCACCATGTTCTTGACCGGAACGCCGGCTGGTATTGGCTTCTTCCGCCAGCCAAGAGTGGTTTTGAAGGATGGCGACGAGATCTCTATCCAGATTGACCAAATTGGAACCCTAATTAACAAAGTCCGTTATGACACGCGTTGATTGTTTCCAAGATGAATGTCCATTGAATTCTATTCTTTCCCCATCGGCTGGGTTGGATCGGCTCGAATACATATAGAGTTTTCGCACTCTTTTCAGTTTTAAATTAAAAATTCATAAATAGATGCCATTATCTGAACTGCCCCATAGCTTAGAGGTTTATGAAGCCAATACAAAGAGAAAAACACTAAAGATGATCAAGGTCCATGACACACAGTTCACACATCTGCCCTATGAGAAACATGACGAGGAGTTCTGTCCAGAGCGGCATGGTGGCACAATTTCTTCAAGGTAGTTGCTGTAGAATTCCTTACAGGGTATAGCATGATCCATATGCTTGATGCCTGAGATCACTCTGAAGCAAATAAGTGATAATCGCTTTGTCTCACCACAATGCGCATTGCATTCCTTGCATACATCAACAGCTTTTCTGCCGAGCTAATTATTGTAAAAAAAGCGAACAAAAAATGGAAAATGTTGATAGAGTCCAATACGATACGGTGTCGGGCGTGCTCCACTATTTCAAGAACCAAGATGGGACTTCAGGTCCCCAGACTGCCAGGGACTCATCCCCCGCTGGACCATACCCAATAGGTGTCTGATCATTAACCAGATCACCGTCTGCATAATGCTCAATCATATTCCCAGTGGTATCCCACCAGTAATCAAAAATCTGCGAGCCCAGAATGTGCCTGCCAATGCCCCACACAGACTTATACTTCTTGTTGGCAAGCCACTGGTGTCCAAGCTTCTGAGTGTCGAAGTCATGAACCTCGAATGAGCAATGATGCACATGCGTTGTTGCATTCGTGCTTATGAAGAAGGTATGGTGTTCTACATAATCGCTGCCACGATCAATGTGAGCGAAAAGTGCGACGTTCTTCTTCTGGCCCTCCTTTTCCACGTGGAGGAAGTCTGTCGGCACTATGTTGAAATTTTTGGTGTAGAAATCGACCAAATCGTCAAATTTTTGTGTGCAGACTCCGAAGTGCCCGAGCTGTTGTCCGGATATTAGTTAAGGTACATAATGATCCCTTCATAAATATACGTACCTTGTGCACAGCTGCAGGACCGGGTTGGAATCGCTGGAACCTTCGAATGCGAGGTTTCTCATCTTCATAATTGATAGTGAGTTTCTCCGGATATTCACCCTTCTCAGCTACCTCCTGCCCAAATATCAAGTTGACTGGGAATCCTTCGGGGTCCGTAAATGTCACCATAGAGCCGCCACCAGGAGCATCAGATAGCTCCTGGATTTTACTAGCGGTCGGAAGCTTAGCGGCCCTATTAAAAAGGCGGATTAGCTTTTTATTTAAAAAGGGGATGGTGGTTTCATACTTCTCTAGATCCTGGTATGTCTCCACAGTGAATGCGCCGCCGAGAAACTCCTTGGGCCCCTTACGAGCATAGTAGACATACTGATCATCACCATACCCTCGATACCAGGCTTGATCTTCTGTCCTTTTGGCGACCGTCATACCAAAATCTGGATATTTCACTATTAGTTCAATTCAAGAAGAGTGTAACATTTTGGGGAGTCTTAACCATACCTTCAAGAAAGGTCGTGATTTGATCTAGATCAGGATGCTGGTATCGCATATGTGCCAGCTTGACCAAACGAATTTGATTATCTTTCTTGATTCCACATCGCTCTTGCCATTGCATCACATTCTCCTGTTCGCTCCCAATAGCAACAATGTCGGGAACCGAAGCTCCATGGTTTGGTCGCACCATTGCAAATGAAAAGGTGGAATTTAGTCTTGATTCTCAGTGGATTCAGTCTTGATTATGAGTCTCGGAGAAATCTTCCTGCACGAAGCTGAGAGACTTTATGATCTTTATGATGTGTATTTGGCATTCCACAAGAGGCACCGCACTGTGGCTTCGTAAGCCTTCCCCAAACCCCACACACTTGAAGGTCCCACAAGGCAACCTGTCCCACCGGATATAGCCCCACCGAGTCGGGAAGGGGAAGGAGACCAATAAATACCATATTCTGCAAGAGCTCCTAGGGCTTCCATCGGCTGGATTTGCACCGATGTCTATCTATGATTCGTTGTCTTCGTTTTAACTTTAATCTCTCAGGGGGCGAGAATATATCGTCACAACCCAGAGTCCATGCCGTATTACATATCATGTGTGCATCTCAGGCGAACCTGGTACGAATAAGGATGAGGAATCAGCTCCCCCTCGGATGAGTTTGGATATTCGGATTTATCTGAGCTCATCCAAGGATTAATCTTACTACAGTCTAGGTAATTATATTCATGGATGTACTTTCGACTCTTTACTTGTTGAGATGAGACCACCCGATGGCCCTTCCTGGCCGCTTTCGCAGATCCTTCCGATTAGCTAGCAAGTTGCGTCCTGCAACAACAGCGAAGTCCCTTTAACTACCTGCCCGAGAATACTGCGCAGTTCTCCGTTGCCCAGCCGTTTGGCTGTATAGGCAAACAGTCTTGTTGCTCCAATTAGGTAGCCTTTGGGCTCAGCTTGTCGTCCTTAGCCTTCTTCGGCTGTCTTTGGCCTTTGGAGCGTGCGGTCTCTCTCCGGGGATAGAGTACCGCCCATCTCCTTGTCCTTCTGTGAGATAGAATCAACTTCCTCTCCTCTCTCTGCGCGCGCGCGCGCGTGTGTGTGTGTGTGTGCAAGATTCCTTCATATCAATCGGTCAGCATGCCCATCATTATTACATGTGTCCTTCTTTTTGTCTTTATTATTGTAGTAATAATTTTCATATTATTTATAGCCCTCTATCTCACTTCTTTTCTTCGGGTTATATAGCTAAAACTTAGGCAAAATGCTCTGCTCAATATCAGCCCTCTTAGTCGCCCAATGCCTTCTATCTCGTATCTTAAATTATTGTTTACCTTACATTGCATATATAACTAACTGGCATATATCATAAATTTCACTAATACTTAGAGGCTTCTGCCGCTCAATGGGAGAAGGAATGGAAAGTGGCGAAGTCCGGCAGTCACCTGCGCCAGGTCGACAACACATTGCCAGCCAAGTACACGCGACGGCTCTATGGATCTCCTACCTACAAATCAAGCTTGCCTACCAACGCACGGTGGAAGCCGTCTCACGATCCAAAGGAACCGAGGATAGGGCAAGAGGAGGAGTTGAAGGGAATTTGAATTCCAGTTTCGCTATTTGAGCGGAATTGCAGTCTTTTTACAGATAACGGTCGCCCGTGAGGGGGGAATTCGCCTTCTACCCAGCACAGACGATTCCGACCAGCTCCTGCAATCCAGGCCATTGCATCATAAGGGCGCGAGACTACGCCAGTTTCACAGCCCATAATCACGGGCTGTAATTCACCTGCAAGAATTCCTGATAACCTGCGCGATGGCCCTTGCGAAGCATACCCACACTAGTCATCTGCCGGTTATCATCCTGTTGGCCATTTGATAGGTGACGGTGGGACCGTGTTATCACACTGCGTTTCTACACGTGCCACCACCGCAGATGTACCACCTTCGCTCTTTGATTGATTCTCAAGCCTAAACCGTTACCGCCAAAGCAACCCTTGCCTTACGATCTAATTCAAACGTCATGCAGAGGGAAATAATCTGAATACTGATTGCGTTTTGCACGTTACGAGGAAAGTCCATAAGAATAACTCCCAGTGTGATCAATTTGATTGAAATTGGCAGTTATCGGGACCAAAATTACTGGACCTAGCCAATATAACAGAGATTTCTTGGGAGTGCATGTTTTCACTAGTTCAAGATTGTCTAGGACAGTCTTGAAAAGGTTTCCTGACCTTTCTCGTCCAGATTTGGTTACTGTCTTAGATTACACATATCCGTCTAGAATGCCTTGGCATTTTCGTGCGCCTCGCCATGAGCGTCTAAGCGCTCCCGGAGCAACTTTTTCCATTCCACATCCATGTCTCTAAATCCAAAAGAGGCTGAAACACTCATACCAAATAGGGAAGAAGGCAGCGTATTCCCAGTCAAGTATACCGACAACCTTTCCGTCTTAGACCATGATGTTTCCCAAATTGAGATCGCAATGAGTAAGCATATAGGGTTCGCACTTCGGTACAGTAGTTTTCGAAATCACTTATACCTCCACACTCTTACAACTTTATTCTCGGAAAATAAATCCGCCATACATGAACTCTGATTGGATCAAGTGTTTTGATTTTAATTTCAGACCGCTTCCTATAATGTTGGCTGTATTTTATAATACAATAGCCAGACCGTGACGGATGTATTCTACACGAAACCGCCATACACCCGCGACCTCTAGTGCCCCTCCTTCCTCCCCTCGTCACTCAACAACTTTCCACACTTGCGACCTCATCCCCGGAAATAAATCCGAACCCCGCTAACCTATTTTGGTTTACCGCTTCATAACTTTGGCAGAACCGTAACTAAATAGTTACCTAGTAAACAAGGGGATGCGCTGTGGCAGTCTGGTCGGAACAGACACGTCGAGGCACGGGAGATAGGCAAATCGGAAAGGGGCAAATAGATACGCCAAACACCACCAACAAGACTAGCAGGAAGGCATTCAACACCCTCCTAAGGGCGAGCGTCGCGAGACCGGCGATGCGTACTGAATGAACCAATCAGATACTGATAAAGCGACTGTTAAAAGATGTATAAACGAGGTGAATTGAATGTGTAGAAAAGACTGTCAGAAACAAGCATGCAAATTGTATATATATATCTCCTTGAAAAAAAAGAGAGAGTGTGTGTATAAGGCCTTTCGCCGCAACTCTGCGAATCAACGAATCAAACCAACCAAACGTATAAATAGACTAAACAGAAAGGCAGTGTAGCAGACAAAATCCGTCATCAGTTCCCCCACTAGTTACACTAGTTAACTAGTTAGTTAGTTAGCTAGTTAACCGTCATGGTCTTACATCAGCAGATGAGTCATCGCAATAATACCGCAATGCTCCATGGAACCGCGCAGAATCTTTGGAGAGTATGGCGATCTGGCATGTCGGCTTTGCCTGGTGGCTTTATTCATCCGACGGTACACAGGCAATATGTGCCCCTCCCGCCTGTGCTTGCCGACTTGTCGCCCCGTCATCTACGCAGAACTCTTAATACAGTAAGCCCGAGCCTGATTGTGGAAGGCTCTATGAGCATCATATGACGAATATTGTAATCACGGGAACAAGTCTCATTCCAATGCAGGGCGTTCAAACTTCGCAATCGTGAGGCCTGTCATCAGAACCAATGCTCGAAGGTTAGCAGTCTCAATCTCATTAGCCTCCTTCAAGCCATTAACAAAGACAAGGCCTTCGCGATTCATAATAGCAATGACGGGAGCCACAAGCTCAGAAACCTTGCCGTGCCGTTTGTACCAGGTCGAGCTAACCCGGCAGAGACGCGTGTTCTGGTCTAAAATAAACGGCACATCCGCCGGTGCCTCTCCATAGTTCGACTTCCAGTCGCTAAAACACTCCCATTGGAGCATCTTAGAGTATATCTTCGGGAATTCGCGATCATTCATGTGCTCGTGCACGCGCTGGAATTGATAACAGGACCCGTTATGATAATGTGACTTGTCGATTTCATCAAATCGCCAGCGTTCGCCGTTAGCTAGGGTTACCCACCCTCGATATCGGAAGCAACACCTGCAATGCAGGAAACTTGGGTAGTCAACGTCAATACCGCCGACGACGTTCTCTCTTTCGAATGGAATTGGCCTAGTGTCTTTGGCCTTTAGGCCCGCTGCATCGTCTTCGTAGCTAGTCACGACAAGGTCGTTACAGCTAAGCTTATAAGATCTCTCTAGGTTCGATGAATGTCGGTCTGACAGAGCTACATCCCCAAGACCCGGAATGGTCCTCGTGTCTTGAGTAGGGTTTGGCTTTGGTAGCGAGATACCAAAATATGGGGGACTCCATATGTTATATATCGGGGACATAGAGCCTTCCTTCCAGCAGGGACCTTGGCTTATTTGGAAACACAACTTGGGCTCGGACGAGAATAGGTACCAGCGGCCTGTGTTGATAGCCCAGGGCTCAGCACGAGTGATTTGGAACATATCCGTGCATTTTGGTTTTGATGGCTCCGGAGAAGCTTCAACATCAGCACTAGAGACGTAAAAGATTAGATGCAATGCCTAGAGTTTTGTGGGGTTTAGAGGAAGCCTGACTCGGAGGCGAGCTTATCTTCTAGTCGACTATTCATTCTTGATGAATAGTCGGATCAGATACACGAGTGGAGTGGTTGGGCTGTCACCAGGCGAAGGCACGCGGTGTGCATTCAATAGAAGTAAACATATAGTAGAAGGAGAAGCCACGGTACAAAAGACAATGTAACTTTATTAACATCAGCAGTTGAAACGCAACAGTTAAACTAGCGAGACGCTGGGGCCTCGCGTCGTCGCTGCGCCTCTATGCCAGTGGATGCGGGGGAAAAAGGTGGATCAGTCTGTGTATTTCCCGAGTCAAAGCGTTGGTGGTGTCTGAGGGGTAATCTGTTTCCGAATTTTACTGTACCTGATTGTTGCCTTGTGTGCGCCTGACGGGTATAGGTGCGCCCCACTTGTGCTAATACAGTAAGCGGCTTAAACTAACGAAGCTTCAGAGAGTGCCAATTTTGCCGAAGGTCCAATCAGCGACGAAGTCCCTGGAAGCGAGAATCCAATCTGATAAGGTGTAATCCTGACCCGTATACACGAAGTACTTGCTTATTCTGATTTCCGGGCCCTTCGATTCGTCCATGCCCATCAGCCTCCCCCTCATCTGCTTCCCGCACTTGGAGACTTGGCCAACCGCATCCTCCCACCGTCCGCCGGTGGAACTGGTTCAGTTGTTGCAGAATAACATTACACCATCGTATGTCAATACCCAACGCTGGCCCTGAACCTGAAACTCTCGTTCAACTATTCCCAATCCTCACTAGACTAGCTCCTCCTCTTGCTCCAAACTAAACCCAGTCCAGTCGGCGTCATGAGCATCCAAAGTCAAACGATCCCTCACGTGGGGCTCCCCGCAGCGCAGATTGGATTCAAGGGGAGATCTGAGGAATGCAAATCCCTAGCTTCTATCTTCACTCACACATACCACACACACACTCTCTCTCTATCTCCGACCTCGCCGACGGGAACTGCAGATTCAAACTAGTCAACTATCCCTCGTTGTCGCCGTAGCGCGCAGGGAACGAGTCCATAAGCCGTCCACTTAGAAGCAACAAGCTCAAATCAGACACCACCCACGAACCCAAAAACCAGACCCTTAAAAGCAAGCGAACGGGAGAAAGGATAACCAACATGACTCAGAGTTTGTCGATCCTTTGTTTCGGCGACTCCCTTACTGCAGGCTTCTACCATCACGGGCTGGAGTATCATCCGTATGCAAAGAAGCTCTATGAGTGCCTTCAAGCAGCGTTTCCAACGGCCGAATTCATGATCGAGGTGGATGGAGCTGCAGGAGACTTAGTCACATCTCCTCCCGGGTCATTTCTATCACGGATTCAGGGGAAATGTGTGACGAAGAAATATGACTGGGTCATCGTTCTCGGCGGGACGAAGTGGGTTTACCTTCTTATCTACTCTATACACTGCATATTTACTCACGCTGACTTCTTTACACTAGTGACCTTGGATATGGCAACAACCCTGACAAGATATATGCTGCCCTTCAAGGGTGCTGGAATGTTGTTCTTGCTACAGGCGGCAAAGTACTTGCCTTAACAGTCCCTGAGTGCGCAGCTGATTCTGCAATCCTGGACCAGAGACGGGCCGAGTTAAACTCGTATATCCTTAGTCATCAAGCAGAGCAATTGTAAGTTTTTCTAGCTTCTTAGTGCGACAGAGGGGATCTCTAAGCCTTTGATAGTTACGCGTTTGACCTGAAGAGTAAAATTCCGTATCGTTCTGCGACTCTTGTATTCCGAGACGGGATATTTGATGATGGCTTGCATCTTACACCGGCCGGATATGATCTGATGGGGAGTGTGGTAGGGGCTCATTTGATTAATCTCTAAACGCAGAAGGGGCAATGCAAAGGGGAAAGAGATGGACCTAAATTGCTGCAAGACGAGATATTATAACCAGAACGCCTATTACCCGTCAAAAAGAATCCGATCTAGTCTAAAGAATATCATAAATAGGCACTGCTTTCCTTAACTTCTTAATTCACTTTCCGATGTTCTCTATAAATCGATGCGCGATACCTATTTTTATTCCCCTGTCAATAAAGAAATTTAGATCTTGGTTCTTATGTACTTGCTCGAGGTCAAGGCCATTCTCGAGCATCACCTCGCACGTTTATCGGCATGCAGCTTTAAGGGTATCCTTATCGACTATCGACACAAGCCATTCAGTGTACTCCTCCACGGCTCTATCAGTGGGACCTGGGACCTTAAGGAGGCTCTAGGCCGTCAAAAGTCAACCGCCGCTTTGAACATTACGGTATTATTACGATGACTCATTCATCATGTAAGGCCATTACTACCACTGTTTTGCCAAACTTATAGAGCGGTAAGCTAAAGAAGGTTGGTTTATTTCGGATTCTTTTTCCGGGAAAGAAGTTACAAGAGTGTAGAGGTATAACTGATTTCGAAAACTACTGTAGGCGCTTCGTCAAGTTCTCCAAAACTTGTTGAGGGAGGTGGCGAAGGTTAAGGGCCAGAGCATCCTAGAGCTCTTGGTCAGAGTGAAACGGTCCACGGGGTCAAGATCGAAAAATAATAAGCCTGGATAGCATGGGCTTTGATCGACACACTTAACAGAGGTTGACGTGATGGATCGAAGCTGCTTTCTCACTTTCACGACTTGATCCGCGATATCTATTTTTTGGGGCTAAGACAAAGAAGTCCATGCCTCCTCGAGCGTCTGACCACCGATGCGTTCGTTCAAAATGAAGTACCCCCCATCTCGATCGACCCAGTCACGTAATGGATAACTTACACCCTGAAAAACAGACATAGGGATTTGGAAGATTTGCTCACTGGCCGAGGCCGAGGCACCGATTTCATTTACGATTCTGTTTTGAAGGCTACACTTATTAAGTCTTTTTGGGATTTCTAGACCTATTCAATATGGTGCCCCGGCGGAAAGTGCCGGTACTAAGCGCAAAATATACTAACTAATATTATCCCACCATGTCCGCTCTTTAGCTCTGATGGAATTCCAGGAAAGTGATGTCCCGATGAAAATCTTGATCTGCCACAGCAGGGTTCGAAAATGTTACAATCGATATCAATCATTCTAGTAAAGCCTAAGCCAAGTGGAAGATGTGTCACATCTTTCTGGAAGCCTCTATTCCAAGCATGTATGTTCTATCTGGCCTTAATTCCGTCTTGAATCGTCACATGAAGTGCAATATGTGATTGCCGGATATCAGACCTCTTGTATGTAGATAAGGCCATCATCATCGATAGGTAGCACAAAGCAACGCACGTATGTACATTGATGCTTAGACAATAGGAAAATTCCTATCACGGTTCAACTCCCGGTCTCCAATACTATTTCAACGATGTTTAATTGGTTAGATATTTATGAGCACCTTATACGCCCAGAAAATTCCAGTTATCGCACTTGATCGTGGGAGCCAATCACCACGATCGCAATTATCAACCATTATCACGGCGGCCCCTTGCGGCCGCCTGAATCTGCATTAATCTACATTAAGATATGCGAACGCCTCGTGAGAAATGAGCCTGGCTGCGTCAGCGCTTATCATGGTTAAGTGCCTCACGGGTTCGCCGCGGGGACCTCCGACAGCCTCCTGCTGTCCAGTTTGGCACATCAATGGTTGACTGCTCTCCGAAAAATATAATATTTGCAGTCAATCATGGAGATCTCCGACGCAGAATCCTCCTTCTAAATTTTCGTGATAACCAGCTGATATGGTATGCAGCATATATTCCGAGCCACCAATTTTTGGACGGCAATATTATGGCTGGCTTTCATTTGCCATTCATTAATGCCTCTGGGTACCTACTATATCGAGATAATGTCTATTTTGAGCAGAAGATCATCTACTCATGATGCAGGTCCACAGCTTCTCAAGGATGTCTGGGCTCTCACAGCCACCGCCATTCTGATTGTGGTTTTGAGGATCATTGCGAAATTGAGGATTGGGAAATTCGGGCCGGATGATCTCTTAATGGGGTTCGCACTGGTTAGCAAGCCTTTTCTTTCTACTTTAAGCTAAAATCCACAGTGTGAAAAACGCGATTGAACATTATTGCTTCCATTCCGCTTCCTCTTAACTTTTTTTTTCCCGTTCTCTATTGACTATGGTGGATCATAGTGCTTAGCCACCGTCGGATCAGTCATGTTAACCATAGGGATCAAACGTGGATTTGGCCGAAATGAAGACGACCTTGACACCAACAGCATATCAAAGGTCGTCATATTTGACTATCTGACACAGACATTTGGGCTTGCAGGTGGAGCCTTAGGACGAGTTTCCTTCATTGTCTTCATCATTGGGCTACTTGCGTCCAGAAAATGGCACCGAGTGGTCTTTTGGGTCTTGATCGGTCTTCAGGTGGTAGTAAACTCAATGTTTATAGTCATCCTGTTCGTCCAATGCCCAGGACATGGGTCGGCTATTTGGGACCATGATAAACCAAAGTGTTGGAACACTCTAGTGCAGGCTTACTATGGATATTTCCAAGGAGGTAAGAGATACCCCACGATTCGATTAGGATATAGGACTCCTCTGAATGATGTATGAAATAGCGTTCAACGCAACAACTGACCTTTACCTTGCTGTCTTCCCAACCGCCATATTATGGAGGTTGAACCTGAAGCTGAGAGTCAAATTGGGACTGGTGGCGTTGTTGGGACTAGGGATTTTGTGAGTGATAGCGGCTCATACACTGTTTACATTTCACTAATAGAAGCTCTTTATCAGTGCGATGGTCGCTGCTATAATAAAAACGGTAGAGACACGTGTCCTCGCGTCTTACGTCATAGACACGACGAATGCAACAGTCAACTACGATCGCTGGCTATATGTTGAGACACATTTGGTGATAATAACAGCCTCGATACCATGCATTCGATCTTTCCTGAGTCCGATGAACGGGCAAACATACACAAGTAAAGACACGCATGAGCTGGGCTCACCCTACGTGGTCAGCTCCAGTGTATACACGAGAAAGACCAAGAAGCGTGAGCTTTCCTTGGATAGGAAACAAATACTTAATGCCTCTGGAGGCAATCTGAGCAGCGAAGATATTTGCCACAGTGATAATCATGATGACATACATGACTCAGGTGTTCGAGCGAATCTGCCATGATCTGTGTTTAGGAAACTGTCAATTTATTCTGTTGGAAGGTTGAGGAGCTGTCCATAAATACAAACTTAGAAGCTCAGGTGTGGATATTGCTGGTGATATTTGAATCGATTGCAACGTTTGCTGTCCTTTTTTTAGCAGAAACCAGCCGCTCTGCTATTTTTATTAACTCCCACTCCTTTCTACTGTCAAATTTTCCACAGAGTCTGTTATTTTCCTCTAAGTGCCAGAAGGCCGTCTGCGCTGACGCTTTTTGCTTTACTGGATAGCCACAAAGCTTGTGATTTATCCCGAGTACCGCTACTGTGTCCCAGACAGATCGGATATGCTCAAGCACTGTTGGCCATGCGTTTTGGATATTACAAATAACTTGGAGCTGTGCATAACGAAATGCAGAGGATACACTGCTTCCAAGCAGGCTATTTCATTAGGGTAAAATGATGCGAGGCATGACCTGGAGGCTGGGATACCTTTGGCAGATTTACGACTCGATCGCGAAACAATATCTGTAACGGGTCAGACCCGCTTCCCACTACATGGCCCTGCCATATAGCCTTTCCCCCACACGCTCCCGTTCTGCTACCGCCTTGCACGTTACTCCCATTGTTGTTCCGCTTGTTCCACTCCTTCTCTTCTCCAAGCTTTTTGTAAACAGCATGTTGGCCTAGTCAGTATTGAATCAATTGGCTTCAGCCCTACACAATATCTAACTTTTTTTAGAATAGACTTTTGCATACGGATAGTAGCAATTAATTGAATAAGGTTTTTAGAGTCTCAGCTACATATATTATCCCGTTGTTGTTATGGTGCGCGAAAGTTGGAACCATTTTGTAGATTTGACCTCGCGGAACATGGATCGGGTGGGGCGGTCGAGATGTTCGACCAATGATATTTTTCTGACACGGTATTTGGCCAATCATGAATTTTGATTCTTTTTCCGATATGGGCCTTCTCACGAGAATCGAGATATGGCCGCCTCTTTGGCCAGTTGATCTGCTGCGTCGTTCCCAGGCGAACGAGCCTCAACAGCAGCCGATACAGTAGGCCTCCACTAATTCTCACCATAGCTCTGTCATTACAGAAGGCCTAGAACTATAATAGCCAGTTCGCTCATTATTCACGATGGTTACGACGTTCAACAAAGCATGTCGCTTCCCCCGCAATTTTCTATTCCCGCAACAGAGGGTCACGAACTGAGAGGGACGCCAAAACTCGCGGATCCCCTTCCCCCCGGATTTTTTCTAGGGCCGCTACGCTACGACTGCTTCTTCTTAAGGCTTCTCTTCCCCTCCGCGCTCAGTCGGACCTTCCTCGATCCCTGTCACTGATAAGACCGACGGCACCTTCCACTCCTTCACGGGAACCTCCGCCCAATCTTATACCCCTATCGCGATAAACCCCAGGCTTGTTTGCAGCGATAGCTGACCACTAACCTCTATATAGCGCCTCCGATAGGGTGAAGTGGTCCTATCAGCCACATCAGACACATCTGTCACGCACCAAAGGGGCAACCCCAGGAGCACAGAGACCCACTCCGGGTGCGCAATGCTGTGCAGAACAGCAACCAGAAGTGTAATCGAATCGTGAAATGCATTGCTTTGGGAGCTCTGGCTAAAAGCTTATCTCCCCCACTTAGAACTCAGCTAATGCCCGTTCTCTCTGATTAGCCACCACGGCGCTCCACGCACGATAGGACGCAATCCGCTCGGGTTGACGGGGCTAACGCTTTCGAGGTCCTTCGCTGTATGTAGTCCTGATGTAGTCGTGCTCTGTAGTTCGAAGAATCTCGTCCCGAATCCCGAGTGCCGAGTCCTGGCTTTAGTCGTAGTCGTGGTCGACTTCATGCGATACTCTTGCTCATGATAACCGGCCGGGGCCGATCGAGGGCGGGATCTTGTCGCCTCCCTAGCTAGCCCTTGTCCACATGGATTGATTCGCGACGTGCTTTAGAGTATGGGTTTTTCTTTTTGGTTATACTAAAAGCCTTTCTTTCTTTCTTTTTTTTTTTTTTTTTAATTTTGCACAACCATCGCACAGCACATATCCCATCGCGAGTATAATACGCGGGTAGTTTCCCCAGGTCTTGGCTGATCCAGACATCATCCACATTCCCAATTCTCCACAGCACACACCATGGACGGCCCCGACCAGATCGGACCTGATCACCGGCCGAAACAAACAATCGGCGACAAAGTTTACCGCCTCGTGAGGAGGTTCACCACCAGGTAATGCGCCGGCGACCGCGATCTTGCCAACGAGCTCTTTATATTGACGTGTCTGTTTGTCGACAGGGAGAGCCTCATCGGGGACTATGACTATGCCTACCTATTTACCCCGCGGCTGCCGTTCACCAAAGCGACCCGCAAATCGGCCCCGTTCTTCGGGCTAGAGGATCGAGTGCCAGTCCTCCTCGCCCTAATCCTCGGATTGCAGCATGCACTTGCGATGTTGGCGGGTGGTGAGTCTTTGCGCATAGATAATAGGACGGCGTACCCCGAGGATGGAGAATTTCTGAACACGTTCAATTGGTAGTGATTTCCCCGCCTATCCTGCTAGGCGGCTCCTCTGGCGTCAACCTCGATAACGAGCTTTACCAGTATCTCGTGTCGACCTCGTTAATTGTGTCAGGCCTGCTCAGTACGTTGCAGATGCTGCGCTTGCATATCTACGGCACGAAGTACTATATTGGAACCGGGCTGCTGTCGGTCGTGGGTATGTACCTCCCCGCTCCCAAGCACGGACCGTTAGTGTCTTTGAACTAATCGTTGTCGTTGCTGTATAGGTACCTCTTTCTCCACTATTACCGTGGGCACCGGCGCCTTTTCGCAGATGTACAAGTCGGGCTACTGCCCCGTCGACGCAGAGGGAAACCGACTCCCCTGCCCGCAAGGATACGGCGCCCTGCTCGCCACCTCCTGCTTGTGCTCCTTGCTAGAAATCGGGCTCTTATTCATGAACAGCCGCATCATTGCCCGCGTCTTCCCTCCCCTCGTCACCGGCCCGACGGTTCTCCTTATCGGGGCCTCTCTCATCAAGTCCGGCATGCAGAACTGGGGCGGTGGTACCTCGTGTGTGCCGGCCTCGTCAACCGCGACACGACCTATGTGCCCCAGTGACAGCGCCCCGCATGCGTTACCTTGGGGCAGCCCCGAGTTCATCGGGCTCGGCTTCCTGGTATTTGTGACTATCATTTTGTGCGAACGGTTTGGTCCACCTATCCTGAAGAGCTGCTCCGTGGTGGTAGGTCTGCTAGTCGGATCGATTGTCGCGGCTGCCTGTAATTACTTTGAAGACTCAGGCATTACGGCCGCTCCCGTGGCGTCCTTTGCCTGGGTGCATACGTTCCCGCTGAAGATCTACCCGCCACTGATCCTGCCCCTGATGGCCCTCTTCATCGTCACTATGATGGAGTCCATTGGAGACATCACCGCTACCTGCGACGTGTCTAAGCTGGAGGTAACGGGCGCCACCTTCGACTCGCGCATCCAGGGCGGCGTTCTAGGCAACGGACTGACCTGCCTGCTGGCTGGGCTGATGACTATCAGCCCGATGTCGGTCTTCGCGCAGAACAACGGCGTTATCGCGCTGACCAAGTGCGCCAACCGCACCGCTGGCTACTGCTGCTGCTTCTTCCTAGTCATCATGGGTATCTTCTCCAAGTTCGCCGCGGCGCTGGTTGCCATCCCCAGCGCTGTGCTGGGCGGCATGACCACCTTCCTGTTCAGCAGCGTGGCCATCTCCGGCATCCGTATCATCTCCACTATCGACTTCAACCGCCGCAATCGCTTCATCCTGACTGCCAGCTTTTCTCTAGGCATGGGCATTACCCTGATCCCGGACTGGTGGTCGTATTTCTTCTCTTACAGCGGCGACAACCACGCCCTGGAGGGTCTGCTGGACGCCGTAGATCTTGTCATGGAGAACGGTTTCGCTGTTTGCGCTATCTTCGGCGTCTTCTTGAACCTGGTCCTGCCCGAGGAGCCGGATGATGTTGCGCCGGTGTGGGCTGCGAATTCAAATGCGTCGGACGATGACCGTACAGTGACTGAGATGACCTCTGTGCAGGGCGAGACGAAGATGTAGCCGGTGCGGATGTGATTTTTCTTGTCTTGACCTTGACCTTGCACTGCTGCACTTCATAGGATACTTTAGGGTCTCTGTTTGATTTGGGTTGGCGTTGTTTGTATTTGTATATGCTCTATGTCCTGATAATCTGGATTTCTTATGCCTAATCGATGTTATTGTCTCTTCGCTGGATATTGCCATATGTGGTTGTATTAGTATCAGTGGTGGTAGTAACAGTAGCTGTGGTAGAGTTCATCGTATGCATAAGCATTACAGGTGGTAGTGCGAATGGCCGGGGCAGTCATGTCATAGCATCAGTCATGGTATCAGTCGTGGGATCAGTCGTGGTATCAGTTGTGATCTTGGCCATGTATTACCCTGGATCTATAGGGTAGGGAATAAAATCAGTCGTGGCATCCGATAGCATTTTGACGCGGTGTGCTTCCAAACTCCCACAAAACGCCCTTTTCACGTGACTTACGGGTGAGGTTCGGTCCGGTGAGGGGTTTGCCGACACTCATGCGCCACCAGACTAGTGGCTTGCCAGGAAGTGTCTCACTGGTCCTTAGATTGGGGTCACTGTTCTCTGGCTGTTGCCCCTAGTCCCGGCTGGCTCACAGTCCCTGGGCCTGATATCCGTCAACTGGCGACCTGGTTAGATCACCGAGCCAAGTAGCCAGATGTCATCACGCTCGGGCGAATTGAACGAATATGCAAGGAGGATAAGAAAAGATAAGATGAGGAAAGATGGCGTCGAGACATGGAGTGGTAACTTACCACATAAACAAGGGTTATACTGAGTACTGTAACCCACTTTCCTTTGTGTCTTGGATAGTAATTTCGTATCCTTGGCATTACGGTTGTCGTCATACGTGTACATATCAGAGCCAGCTATGGGGTATTTCAACCTGCCCCATGATATTCGTTCTTTCTTCAATCAATCAACCTTTGCATCCAAGATTGGTTCCGCTTGAGCCTACCCTCTATCTCATTCGCCTACAGGGATTACTAGCCTATACTGTCTCAGCTTGCTCCGACAACAGAAGCTAGGAGATGACTTCTCGTATGTACGGAGTCTGTACGTACAGGATGTATACACTGTAGTCCTTCAATTACAATCGTATTTCTGCCAAAATTGCAGAGTGATGAACTAAAATGGATTAGCTCTGGCTGGATTTAATTTCGGGGAAAAGAGTCATGAGAGCCTTACAATGAACTCTTTGGGAAGAGGCATTGTCCTCTCTGAGTAGGAGGACGAAGCTGGCTTTGATCAGCGAGATGGGTACCTGAGGATTAACCGGTACCGCTGCCAGATGGCTAGTTACCGTTACCAGAAGAGGTAACTAGTTAGGCTAGTGTGCTGACAAAATAGACGTGGGGGCCATGGAAATATGTCCCGCGAAGATAGGACCCTCCGTCTCCCATTATTGTTCTCCATCTCCCTATCGATAGCGTGAAGCGCTTTCGGATGTGCGGACGTAAGGTGAAAGCCTAGTCCACTTCGTTCATCATGGACGAGTCAAGCGGAGTCCGTTTGCCGAAGGCTTGTAGGACATGTGCTAAGGCCAAAGTTCGCTGTGAGCCCCAAAGTGGAGGTGGTCCCTGTAAGCGGCAAGTATCTGGGATTACTTGCATGAGAGAACTTCAAGCTAAGGGCTTCCAGATGTCGTCGTCTCAATAAAGACTGTGGGGATCAGGCCCCTGGAGCTCATCGGCGGCAAAAGACCAAACCTGCAAGCGCGTAGGTTGCCTATACTCTGGCAGCTCCAGTACTTCGCTGATTAAACAGTGAGGTTTCAGCATTGGAAGCCAAATTAGACCGGATGGTCGCTTTACTCGCCGCTTCTGAGCGACTTCCTGGGAATCTCCAGTCAGATGTCGGCCTGTCACCTGGGTGCTCATCCGCCACGGTCAGAAGCATCGATGCACCTCCGCCAGGAGATGCAGAAGGGCAGACGCTGTTAGAGGCGTATACCAACTTGATGATTCCAATGTTCCCTTTCGTTCCAACACCATCTCGCATGACCGCTGAAGAGCTCCGTCGAGAGAGGCCGTTTCTTTATCTAAATATCTCAATGATCGCCAGTCCGAATTCTGCACGCCAACGAGAGCTTTCAAATGCCGTCAAAGAATACTTAGCCGATCGAATCATTATGAATGGACATCGGAGCCTGGATCTTCTTCAAGGTCTACTCGTCCATCTGGCTTGGTTCATTTCCGTCACACGTGTGCCTCGGGCGAACCTTGCTGATACTATTGACGGCCCTCCATCCAATTCAAATACAGCCCCAAAGCAACCTACTCAAGGGACTGCTCAATTAGACGCGTTTTTACATCTTGCAATGGCACAAGCCATCAGTTTGGGTCTGCATCTGGATCCATGCAGCCCGAGGACAATGAATCAACCTATCGCCTACCTAAGTCAGGTAGACCTCCACCGAGATAGAAATCCACCTCGCACGATAGAGGAGCGTCGGACCTTCTTGGGCTGCTACTATGCTATGATGATGTACGAACTGGTGTTTTATAAATCTCTGCTTGATACTAATGATAGCTAAAGGTTATCGGTCTGCGCCAAAGATATGGAATCATTCCGTTTTACAAAATACACAGAAGAATGCTGCAAGATATTAGAAGAGTCACCCGAGCTCCCTACAGACACGTATGCGGTCTCACTTGTGAGAACCATGCATCTTGCGGAGACCATAAACCAGACGATGACTGTGCGTGATGTCTCTTCTTCGTTTGCTTCGGCTCCGCTTGGTATGAGCTTGCGATGGCATCAAGCTGAGCTCCAAAAGTTGAGGGCGTCTTTGGTATGTGAACAGCCACACGCAGGTATGTATCAAAACTAGTGGGCAAGATGTTAGTGAACTAAGTGCTAACCTCTCTGAATATCGATAAAGCTATATTATCCTTCCACTACGATACACTCGAGATGTTGCTCTATCGCAGCTCTCTCAATACCGAAATTTCAGACAACGAATACGGTAACTATCCTGTAACACGGCTAGATCTTCTCTATCGCTGTCTGGAAGCCACGAAGTCATTTTTCTACAATTTGTATACACTTCCGGCCGTGTATTTCCGCTTTCTCCCCTTCACGATATCCAGTCAATTTGGTCAAGCAGTTGTCACACTGTCGCAATTGACTCTATACCAAAGCGAGAACGGAGCTTGGGATAGTGCTTACGTCAAAAACACTATCGACTTTAATCAGACTGTCGATGTACTGGGACAGAAGCTAGATGAAGCCCGGGCGATGATCCAACAAACAGGCGGGCAGGATGTGGCGTCACCTTCTGGGCCGCCAGAGATTTTCAAGAGGCTTGATGCCCGAATGAAGATGATGAAGAATATGCATCGACGCAGGCAAGAAGTTCAGTCGAAGACGTTGCAGTCGCAGACCGTTGAAGAAGGAGATGATATGAATTTCATATTCAATTTACCGCCAGACTTTTTTATTACTGACGCCGATTTCTATGACTTCGCAGGGTCTTTTGCTCCTTCCACTGTTATGTGAAAGATGCGCTGCTGGGTGATGCTGTGCTCATAACCCATGCCCACAGAGACGGGATTCCGCTCCAAGGCACCTTCTGGAAGTTCTGCGGGTGTAATAACCCCGAAGACAACAACATCAGATTTCAATGGGAAGCCGTCTCCGAAGAGATCTCATTTATGAACCCGGAGATTCTCGAAGACCTGCTGTACGTCAAAGTGGTGGGAGCAGAGATGTAGTTTTTCGGCGCTGGGGACAGACCAGTATTTAGATGATTGCATTAAGATTTCTTTTTCTATGCAAGAATGCCAAAGCTATTTCTGGATCCAAAAGTACTAGGAATATACGTATTTCCATACAAGGTCTTCATATTACAGGGCAACGGCGCCCACCGCAGCAGCGACGATAACCATGACACCAGCCAGGTTAGTCGCGGCAAATCCACTAGCCCCACCAGTATGAACAGCGGCCGAAGCAGAAGTAGTTGAGTTTCCAGAGGTGGTAGAGTTTCCGATCTTCGAGGCAGACGAACTAGTCGTGGTCAAAGAGACAACGGGCGAGCTAGTGGGTGCAGCGGTGACCATGCTGCCACCACTCTCAGTCTGAGTGGTGGACTTTTCACTAGACTCGCCAGTCAAGGTCGGCTTGGCGGAGGAGGTGGTCTGCGCGACGGTGGTGGTACTAGCGGCCAATTTGCCGTTAGGACCCCAACCGGGCATGTAGCTGGGAGTCAAAGTCGCGGTGCCGGAGTAGAGAGGGCAACCGGGCTGGGTGGTCTTGGGAGGAGCACGACCGCCACCGCAGTCAACAAAGTCGCAGATCTCGCCAGTGTCGGGAACCCACCAAATCATACTGGCTTCGTGCCATTGATCCGTGGTTTGCGACGAGATGCAGCCACTGATGTCGGTGCGGGCAGTCGCGAGGCTGGCAAGCCCGAGAATGACAGGGAGGGCAAAGGTCTTCATTTTTGCGAGTACTATGGAACGAATGAATATTGCTGAACGCAGTAAAGAGTGGTCCCGATGGTGGGGTTAAACGAGTGACGGCGAAGAAAAAATGAAGACTGCGCGACGAGAGGCAGTGCCAAAATGGCGCGTCGGCTCTGTCTTATATCTCATTCTTCTTCGCCCTTCGGCGTTTGGATCTGGATTGGACCTAGTACAGAACTCTCCAGCAAAGCCTTACTGGTCACACTCTTGCTTTCGGCCAATCTCGTCTCCCCCAAAGCGCTCAAAGAGGGACTGGAGTCCCTGCCAAGGAGCCAGTGGCGGCGATTACCGACGCCCAATTGGATTTCCGAGCTCAAGGTGGGGGGCCCTAAGCCGCTATAAGTCCCTCGTGAGCCTCAAAAGGGTCAAGGGTCCTGTTTTGGGGGTAAGCTTTTGACCCTGAATAGGGGCATCCGGCGTCTTCCATTGGCCTAGCTGATTGTTGTAATTTGGAGGCTCATCAGTTTTCAAAGTTCAAGGAGAAGAGGCTTTGCCAATTTGCCCCTTCCAGGGGTGATGCCGAACCTCCGATCGGGGGGCTATTTTTAGCGCCAGTTTGAATTAGCGGGGGAAGTGTGACCATGGGAGATCGATCGAGCGTAATATGGCGATCATTTCAGTACTTTGAGCCTGTCAATCAAGGCTTGTTTGTTATCTGCCTTGCTGCCTTAGGGTGCTTATTATGAGTGTGTCTTAGATGATCGACGACGTCTACGGATATCGGCGCATTTGGTTTCAAAGGAATGACTATTCACTCGTTGACTGCTCAAATGCTCAAACATCGTATGAAAGATCTGACCCCATGCATGGGAGGAGTGAAGAAGAGGAAAAGAACTATATACCACCCTCAAGTGCGCTGAGCACGGGCAATGAAGACGGTCTTACGGTGAGTCTTATCTCCTTTCTTGAAAATCAACTGATCAGGGATCAGCTCATAATCAAACCCAGTACTTAATCCAGCATCCTTGAACAGCTTCTCCATATCGTCCCGCGAGAATCCATGCGTTTTGACGGTGTGGGCCGCATCGCCAAAGTCGTGTCCTTGCTTCTTAGCATGGTCATGGCCGTGATCGTGACCCTCACCGTGTCGATGATCGTGGCCAGAGCTGGGGATCAAGTCGATGATCATGAACGAACCACCCTTCTTCAACCGGGTTGCTAGCCGTTGCAGCGCGATATCGGGATGCTCGAAGTGGTGCAAAGCCAAGCTAACGGCTACCATGTCAAAATCGGTGTATTCAGGTCCAGAGAATTCTTCGGGAGCAGGCTCGGCGAGGAGGTCGGCCTTGTAGCCGATCATTTTGTCACTGAGTCCAACTGTGCTGGCATTGCGGTTGAATTCGGCCACCATTTGCTCAGAGACATCAATGCCGATGACTTTGGTCAAAAATGGTGCTAGCGTCTTTCAATCAATATCAGTATCCAATTCTAGTATAGCGGTAGACTCATGGGGTTTGCTTACCATCGAGATGACGCCAGGGCCACAAGCATATTCAAGCAGCTTGACTTCCTGACCCTTTCCGGCTCCACTGTCTGTCCAACGATCACTAAGCCAAAGTCGGTGCTTGAGCGTCTGTTCAGCGAGGATTTTCATGGAGTCAGCAAATTTGCTTTGGTATGTCGATGCCATTTGACTATCCAAAGCCTGAATTAGTTCACTGTTTTTAGAGATCCTGTGGGGTCCGATCAAGGGGCTCTTACTCGAAGTATGCTCGATTTGCCTCTGTAAATTCAGTCATTTTTGCCAAAATGTGATTTCCACTATGTTTGATACGGGTGGATTGTCTTTTTTTAATGAGATGTAAAAGTCCTGAATCAAGTTGATGTGGTGCGGATGAAGGAACCGGAGTTGGATTGGAAGAGGTTATTTATGTGGAGGCTCGGAGACATCTTCGGAAACTTCCAATGCACCAGGCAGAGTTTATACTCAACGCTAATTGCTCGCAACCAAACTTGTCGGAGATATTTCTGGCCAGCAAGGTAGATCAAAGTCTCCGAGATAGGTCCTGAAACGCACGCTAAGATCGATTTTCAAAGGTCTAGGCAGTTTTGCAAAGGCTCTAGCTGTAGGTATCCGCAAACCCCAATGGCACTCAAGAGTGCTTACCCGATGACCATTCGTGAGATAGTACACAGACTCTCGTATCTACAACAAGCGATCATCAATAAAAATGCACTATAGCATTGCATCTAATAGGAAGTCCCTTCAATACAACGGTGGAGCATCGAAGCATTGGAGCATCGACCAAGTCCTGCCTGGGGAGTCAGGAACAACCAGCTCCCTTCACCGCCCGCCGAGCTCCAAACTGCCAAAAAGGCATCATCAGCTCCGTTGACCATCCTCCAATCCCCACATCCAACACGACTCCCCTTCCCAATCCTCTATCCCTTGTCCGAATCGTCATCTCCACCAGCCTGTGATTAGGTCGGCAAATCCTCATTCACCCCCCGCCTCCCGCTCTCCGCCATGGACCCCTCCAAGATCCCCGATTTCCTGGCCGAGCAGCAAGCCCAAGGCACGCCCGAGACGCAGACCTATTTCCTGACCTTTGAAGACTTCTGGGAGCGGAAACTATGGCATCAGCTTACCGATTCGCTGGTTGAGTTCTTTCGTATGAAGGAGAGTGCTCCGCAGCGCTTGGCTATCTTCAAGGCCTTTGTGTTGAGCTTCGCCGATCGGATCAATCAGCTTAAGTTTGTGGCGCTGGGATTGATGGCATCAACGGAATGTCCTGGTGAGTTGATGTGATCCGAATACTACTAGATTCTGAATTTCTGTTCCAAATGTTGAATTTATTGCTAACGGTTTCCCTCCGCTTGATAGATGACAACGAACGGCTCGCTTTCCTCACAGCCCTCTCCAATAAGGTCAATAAGCCCGAATCACAAGATGCATACGTCTATGCGCTCGCAGACGTCGCCAACGTCAAGTTGCGAGTACCAGATCTGGAGGGAGCACAGAAGGATCTCGCCGCCTGCCAGAAGGTGCTTGACTCATTCGACTCGGTCGAGACCGTCGTACATGCGTCATTCTACAAAGTGAACGCCGATTATTATCACGTACGTACTACCGTACTCAATACCAAAGCCAGCACGAACCAATGAAGCTGCGCAGAAATGGAGGATGCAAAGATACAAACTAACAATATCCCAGACTAAGCAAGAGTTCGCCTCCTTCTACAAAAACGCTCTCCTTTACCTGGCCTGCATCGACCTCGAAGAACTCCCCGAGACCGAGCGCGTCTCCCGCGCCTACAATCTCAGCGTCGCCGCGCTCGTCTCAGACTCAATCTACAACTTCGGCGAGCTCCTCCTGCACCCGATCCTGGATTCCCTGACCGAGACACCACACAACTGGCTGCGCGACCTGCTCTTCGCCTTCAACCGGGGCGATCTGACCGCATACGACGTGCTTGCCGGCAACATTAGCAAGAACAAGCTGCTCGAGGCGCACCGCATGTTCATGTACCAGAAGATTTCGCTTTCCGCGCTGACGGAGATGGTCTTCCGGCGCCCGCCGCATGGTCGCTCCCTCTCGTTCGCTGATATCGCCTCCGAGACGAAGGTGCAGCCTGACGAGATTGAGCATCTGGTTATGAAGGCGCTGTCGCTTGGTTTGTTGAAGGGGTCGATTGACCAGGTCGCACAGGTGGCGCATATCCACTGGGTGCAGCCTAAGGTGTTGGATATGAAGCAGATTGATGGCATGCGGAACCGTTTGAAGGATTGGGATGCCGGTGTCAATCAGCTTGGTCATTGGATCGAGGGTGTCGGTAAGGATGTCTGGGCTGCATAGACGGTGTACACGTATTCTTTCTAGCCGCTTTTATCTATAATGAATGAATAGGGTGGTTCCTGCTTGCATTAAGCCAATGGTCATTGTATTTGCGTTTATTTGTAGACTGTCTGTAATGCTGAGAGTGATGCCGTAGATATAGAAGATGATTAGAACATGGAGGATCCCAACAGGACACATCCAATTAGCCAGGCCGGCCACCACACACACCAGACCACTACTTGCGTCCACATGCCCCACACGTCCCAACCGAACGCAGCTTGGGTCAACACGGTTTCAATGGGCACCCCGGTATACCAGCAAACGCCAATAAGGACGGTAGGTGGAGAGACAAGGTTCAGCAGAGCCAGCCCCAAGATGGAGATAGGGTATCGCACTGGCGCGGGGCCCTGAATGCGAGTAATGAAGGTGAGAGGTGCGCAGAGGAGACCGATCATGAACGAGAGGGAGAAGTTCAGAGTGGCAAGGGTAGAGAGGGAAAGACCAAGCAGGAGCAGCGCAAACGATTTGATCAAGAGATATTGTTGGGGAACAATAGGCCGTGAGATACCCAGGCCATTGGAAAGTAGTGCGGCCAGAATCAAGGGGAGAACGATGTCTACAACGACGAAGATATAGGTGGTAGCGGTGAAGTACTGTGGCGGTAGTTAGTGTATGCTTTCTTTTCTGTGGATGTTGTGTCAATAGCTGACCTGGTGGAAGATTGTGTTAAATATCCAAAGTGGAACGAGGCCGAGCAAATGCAAACCGCTAACCAGTGAAAGTGGCAAGGCCAACACACGCTCTGCAACGGTACTTCCGTTGATCTTGGTCTCAGTAATAACCTTTTCGGTAGCTGGATCGGATGCCTTCACGCTCTTGGACTTGGGGGCATCGGAACCAGTGGGAACACTCGGCTTAGAGTCCGAGTAGTATCCGGTTCGCATCCACAATGCAATCGCCATGATAGTAAAGTTTCCCGCAATAAGCATGGCACTGGGCAGGTAGGTTCCAATGCTGACGAATCGGTTGGACTGCATGAGCAGATAGAAGAAGAAACTCTGATGGAGGTGCTCGAGCAAGTTATTCAAGCTGCGGCAGAGACTCTCAATGGTCCGACCCAAAGCCATCTCATCTTCCCAGCCCTCGCCCTTGGGTTGGAGGGTTATAGCGTCGATATGATACGGCATGAAACTGCTATGTGCTCCAGTGGCATAGCCAAGACCTTGCTTGGTCATACCACGCAGAATCGTCTTCAGACGATCCTTGTAGGTATCATCGTGCTTCCACATCTCTTGCAGATTGGCGCCGATGCCCATCTGTCCACCTGCTATGGCCACGGCCGTGTTGAAGAGATCGAGGTTAGGCAGTTGACCATTAACGCCATCATAGACAATGTGGAGAGAGTGGAAGTGGTTCTCGAACGGATACTCGATAACCATCGCGCCTTGCAACGCACCACTCTTCAATGGTAGCGGTTGGACAGATGCTGGATGGAGATCATGGTATGCGTCGATCCATGCTTGGGTTCCGGTTTTGCTGTCTGGTGGGAAAACGAAGATAATGTCCTTGGACCAGAGCGACCAGCCTAGTAGAAACGGATTAATGCTTATTCGAGGATAGGTAGTCTCAAGTCAATGCAGGGTCTCACGTTTAAAGTATCTGGCCAGTGTCAAGGCAAGAGTCACACCGTTTAGGTTCAACTCGTCACCCGCAGTCTTCCATGCTGCGACCAAGACAATTGCCTCTGTCGCATCACCCCGCGGTGCATGGATGATACCATAGACGTTCTCTCCCTGGTACCCAATTCCCGCAGAGGTGTATTCGTATTTCTGTGTAGCAACTTTCAATCCGGCAGCTTGCAAAATCGAGGAGATTTTATTGGAGATCCTATTCCTTTATAATCAGCACTCTGTCCAACTCGAGTTGTTCCCATAATTGCTTGACGTACGCTGGGGTCGATTCCACCTCCGGGTTCTGGGGCCCATTGTCACGGCCCTCTTGGATCAATGCTTGAAGTTCCTTCTTGTATCCTCGGAAGATGTTCTGTTCGCTGCCGGTGAAATAGGCATGCACCTGGCCCGGTAACAACGCATTCTCGGAGATGTAGGTGTGTCGCGAGTACTCGTTCAAGGGAAGGAGAAGTAGCCAGACGACGCCGACGACGATGCAAAGGAAGGACAGAATGTTCGGAAGGCGGACAAAGAGAAGCTGTGGGTTATTCCGCAAGTTGCGGATCGCAGCTGGTAGTAGTATAGCTGTTAGTGACTTGGTTCTGACCTGTAGGTGTAAGGTTGTTGAGGGGGAAGGGCTTTGCTGCTGGGTTTCGCAACTTTCTCGAAGCTCACATTTTAGCGCCATTGAACGAGAACCATTGGGGAATTACTTCCCAATCCACCACGACGAGCAGGTCAAATGAATGTTCCGTCGAGTGGACGGTGAGAGGCCAGCTTGTTGCGGAGCGCGGAGCTCGGTGGTGTTTACGGGAAATGTACGACGGACGGAAGAGACCAAATGCGCAGAATTATAGATGCAGTCGCTATGCTATGATCCCATCCAAATTCCCCCCACCCAAGACAATAAAAAGTAACCATGGCAAGATATACACGTAAGATTAAGTAGATATTGGCATAATGCAGGACGTTTATGCGCCAAGACGCTGGGAATTTCCCAAAAAGCTCATGGGCACCTGGTTTCCGCTGGTGCCGCTGGCGCTGTTTGAGGGCAAGACACCATATCGGCCGTAGGTCTTCTGGTCAACAGACACATAATGTGGCAGTCTTCCCAGGAGGTTGAGCTTGCCCTCAATCCAACGAAGAACCTTCTCAGGGGGCACAAAGACTTTGAGATAACCGAGTCCGACTGGTTCAATTAGCAACAAAATTCGAATGGATGTAAGCAGAAACGGCCATGGAGAACTTACACAGATAACCGACAAGAATGGCACAGAGATGGCCAAGGAAGCTGACGTTCGAGACCAGGATGGACAGGACAACGCAGGCTAAGAGAGGCGATGTCCACGTAGGAATTTTGTATGGGCCAAGACTAGAATTCCGTTAGCTATAGGCTGGATGATCTTCGACTTTTCCACTCACCTGAAGTAGGGGTTGGACTTGAACGTCCGGATCGCCTCGGAGCCCAAAAGAAGAAAGACCCAGACACTTTGAAACCGGTTAGACAAGTTCGTAAAGAGATACCCAGTAGATAATACTCACCTCGACCCAAGGACAGAGGTATTTCCATGCAAAATCACCTTCTCAATCAAAATGTACAGCCCAGCTGGCAAGGTAGAGAGCGCTGTTAAAAATGTCAGGTCAGTATAGTGTAATGAGAATCAGGAAGGCATCCATTAAATCCAATGCTCGCCAGGCCAAGGTGCTACTCACGTCCAATAAACAAAGCAATCGCGGTGAGTGTGCCATGCTCCGCCTCGAACCGTTCCAACAGAGGTGTCAATGCTAGAGCATTCAAAAAGGCATGGAAGAAACCGGTATGAATGATGGGGTAGGTGTTGAGACGGTACACTGCAAGGCTTGTTAGCACAATCTACCTCGAGATGTGTTCAGTGCCGAGGCATTCGGCAGAATGAGCATACTAGTTCCAAGATTGATTTCATTTGGAATCAAGGCACCCCACTCTACCACGCTCCAGATGGTCTGTAGCTCTAGCAACCAGAATGCAAGTATCACCAGAAGGACAAGTCGCGTGAACAGCGGTAACCGCACGAGGTACGATCGAACCCGGCCCGGGTTGAAGGGCAGCGGGGGTAACGCGGTCGGAGTAGCCATGTCGAGTAGCAGAGAAGATTGACGGGAATTTTACGGACTGGTGCAGCGCGCGGGCACCCGAGTGACAAGAATCGAGTACAAAGATGGCACCCTCGCGGGACAACGGTTCGGTCGGACTATGGACTCGGGGATTTGAAGAGCAGGTGAGACGGGCTTGTATCGCAGGTAGACGCGACAGATCTCTATTTGCAGGGTAACTATTAGATAGCAAAGTATCGTCAGTGAGTGCACAAATATTACCATGAAGTGTTCAGACTTTGTGATGACTTGTCGCCGCCAGGGATATCTCACAGGACACGCGATCGGCTTGTCGGGCTTCAAGGACGCGACTGGCGGTGCGGAATCAAGTACAGACCACAAATTACCGAGGTAAAAGACACAAAGCAATAGTCTCAAGGCAAGTAACAAAGTTCCCACGACAGAAAAGTAGGCGGGAGAAGGTGATTGTGAATCCTCCGGCGTCGCCGTAAACTCGGGGGGCTTTTCGGAAAACCGTGGCCGCCGCAACGATCCCCGCTATTCCTAATTGGGAACCGGTCCACTCTATGATCAGCTAATACGAGAGAGCCTGCTTCTCATGACGAAATTTAGAACAAGGACGCTCATATTTGAAGTAGATGATAATTAGAAAATGATTTTTAATGGTATATTATTGACCAACTATCACATTGGTAATATCAATGACCGGTAAGGCGCTAGGCAATTCTGATCACCTGGTTCACAGTGAAGCTTCTCCAAGGTATAGTAAAGACATGCTTCAATATCGGCAAGGTATTGTTGTGATGCTAAAGATCCCTTTTCATTCCAGATACATCTATGATAAATCAATTGGTGCAGACTTCCAGACTACCGGTGGTGTGGCCAATGTCCTCAATTTCCACTATCACGGTGGCTAGATATACCCTCAACCTACGCAGTACTCGTTACACTTGGTCCTGGTGTAGTTGATCCAACCTCTTCCCCAATTTCTGGGGCTCCTCCCGTCAAATTACCGGCACTGGTGGATTGGTGTTGACCAGCTATATTCGTCGATTTTCTCCAAGAGCGACTCCTTCGAGATGCTCTAGAAATCGGGCCCCCGCGACGAGATGCAGACTGCGAAAATTGTTAGTCAATTCGATGTCAAGTCGTTTCTCGAGAGCCTAACGCTGGGGAGACTCTTCATACCGATCGTCTTTTGGCTCCATTCTCTAACTTCCAACGCTCAAACATTGACTTCAAGCTCTCTTTAGTGCGATCCACCCCAAATGTAGCGTTGTATTCTAGAATGATATGATCCCAAGGAACTTTGGAATCTTTTCTTTCCGTGACGAACTTGTATCCGTTTCTTATTTCCTCCTCTGTTTTCAGTTTTCGTGGGTGCCGCTTTCGTCTCGGGGTATTCTGCTTATTGGTGCTGCTCGCCGTTGCATCACTCCCATAGATTGCAGCGGCGCTCTCCAGCAATTCCTCTATTGACCAGCCCATTCCCTGTGTGCTACTGGCAGTTCCGGGCTCATCGAGGAGAATTATCTCTGTCTCTCGGGTTTCCTCTATCTGCTGCGTAGTTGGTGGGAATTCTGGTAAACCATCCGTCCTGCGCTCTTCGGGCCTGTCATGATGGACGTCCTGCATTTCCATGTCCTCATCCGCACTCTGATCTGTGCTCGAAGAGTCATCACTAGAGATGGCATAGTCGATATCACCTCTCGTATCATGAATTATGGAGTTCACGGGAGAGGTTTGCCGGGGTATCGAAGGAGAATTCCTAGTTCTGGACACGGGAGATGGTCTTGACAAAGTTGTTAAGTAGCGATGTATCATACTGCGACGCTCGTTCAGTCTCGTAACAAGGTCTTTCTTCTGTTTAATGACTGGTGGTAAAGGTCAATGTCCGTTCACTTCAAGTCTTGTATTCATTACTTACCAGCCATCAATGCGTTTTCATAGTCCCTCAGCTCTCTGATCACGGCTTGAATGGCCTCATTCTCTTTCTTCATATCTTCTGGATGAGGCCAAGGTTCAAGGAGCTTGCGGACATGAATGATGTACCCCCTTTCATGCTCAGATAAACGAATGAGTTGCCCTCGAAAGCTGTAGTGATAGGAGCCATCATCTTGAAGGATCATATCCTTGTCCTCTGTCTCTCGAATAACATTCACCCAGTTCAAGGACGGGATGGGACTGTTCTCCCCGCTTTCACCTGCCACTAGACTTGGGCCACGGTTGCGAAATTCCTTCCGTAGATTCTCTTCGAAGGTATTACCAACGAGCGCCCAGGGGTCTCGGTTCCTGTGCCGAACAAGACTCATGTTTCCGTCAATAATAGCTTGATATTTATCAAGCAGAATGACTGTTCGTTCCAAGATAGGATCATTCAATATATCGCGGATCTCGTGGTCCCTGTTGTAAGTCACAAAGTCTAGGTCAGATGGGCGCATGGTGTTTCCCAGATCTGGAGATAAGTCGCGGCGAAATTCCACATCAGTGTCGGGTAAAGACATTGCCCCCAAGCGGTGTTTTTAAATAGCTGAACGCGATGAGGGAGTTGGGATAAACTTGGGAAGGGTATCTCGGATTGCGAAAGTGTGAGTTCGAGGTCTGTGTAGGACCATTGCTAGCCCAAGGGAGGGTGCATATTTATCTCAGTTTCTCCCCCAGACGAAACATAGAATCAATGGCAGAAAATCGAACTTTTGGAAGAGCGGTCCCCCTCTAGTCAGCAGGCGTCTATCCCCCCTGTCAAAATGTGGAGGAAAAGGCAACCACTCAGTATGGGAACTAATACAAAAACATTCGAGATTCTTTGTCCCTCTCCGTCACTTTCCAGGCTAATGCATGATCTAACCGGTTCTCTCGGGGGGAAAGGCGCCATCAATTCTCGACCTAGGATTAGCCGCCGTCGATCACGTTGAAGCTTGATTTCCAGGGGTTTCTATGGACAGGGAACGTAGGAAAACGAAGTCCGAGTCCTTCTTTGGCCCCCAAAATACATTATTCGTCCACGTCCAACGGATTTGTTTGCTATGTCCTCTTCCAAGACAAAGCCATTCACAATTATAAAGGTCCTTCGACTTCTTGAGTCCTTCGACTTCTTGATTAGGAAACAGCCCTCCTGATTACCCCAGTAGCTTTCTGTTTCAAATTTTGATGTAAGACGTAAAATACGAAATGTGCACTGGCTTGGGTCAAGAACAAAAAGTCCCATGTGTGGGGGATTGGTACTTTTGCATGCATGAAAACTTGTCTCTCGAGAGACATTCCAATCAGCTTTGCACAGCCTCATCCTATTTTGGATTATACATATTATGCCACCGGAAATAGCCGCTCATAGTTTCAGATGTATGTGGCTTGATGGATACATGTGGACAGCATCCAGGAACCCTTGTGGTGAGGTTGACGATATTCAGGAACCTGTGGCACAATCAAACATGCCAAGAAACTCCAGTCGTGGAAAGTTCTGTGTTCTGTAGGTTCAAATCTCTTAAGACGTGGTCACATTAGTGATATAATCTCAAAGTTTCTCATTGTTTACACTTGAGGCGAAAGGATACATTAGAGGGATACGCTTCTGCAATTAGACTCTTGGTAGAACCTTCTAGAGTACCCACTGGCATTCAGGTACCCTTTTGACTGCGGCTGTAGGGGCAGAAAATAGGTATCAGGCTAGAATGATGATGTGGCTAGATTTGCTTCAACATCCTCTCCTTCGAAATGTCTTTCTGGATAGTGGAGGCATGATATCTCGGACCTTCGTTCTAGTAGTCGTTGATAGTGTGAGCTTGAATTTTTGCCAGGCTCTCGGACGTGTGATGTGGATGGCCTTGGCCAATGTAATTATTGGGTTAGTCCAACTTGTATGGGTAAATCGTTTCAGGCCGTCGATATCGCTAAGTCCTAGACAGGGGAGGGTCACATGAGGGGATATTTGGCATTATTAGAGTGATTATTTTGCAGTAACACCTCTTGAGGCTTAATCCATGTATTCGTTTCTGCATTATCATTCTGCTGATCATCCACCCTCTGGGAGTATCCATTATCATATCCGGCCAGCGTTCGAGGAATATCACGGTTTAACTAACTTGGAACGCCTTTATCGGGTTTGAGTGTTCAATATCATACTACAGTATGGGTTTCACGTCCCCAATCGCACCTCTTCTTTTCTTCCCTAGAGTACGAACCCGTGCATCTCCCTCGATCCTCTTTCCTCTCGCCCTCCTTTTCCAAAGGTGCTGCCTCGGAAGACAGTGAGCTAGAAGCAAAGGGCCTGTGTTCTTGCATCCTGAAGTATTCAGCTAAACGAAGCGCCGCTTCCATAGCCCCAGGGTTACCAGACAACTTGCTGCAGTCTTCCATAACAAGGTGGTCAACAGTCCGCACTTAGCGTGGTAGCTAAGGGCACATCCGCAGAACATGGCCATGCAGAAGTCCAAGCAATGTGGAAGAGGGGTCCGTCCCCCTGCGGCTGCTTGGTCTCGATTTGTCCCAGAGCTCACGCAAGCTTTCTTCAGATGTCCTTGGTATTGGCCTTGTATCCGCTTCGGATTTCATTGTGATCCGTCACGAAACTGGGTGTACAAAACTCATACAGGTAACTTCTCTCAACTTGAATGTCTTCCTTGGTAGACTAGATTAGTCTATCCCCAAGGTCAGCCCTCGAGAGCCATACTCCATTTCTTCATGAACCAGGGCTTGGCTTCCCAGCTCTTCGAATCCCAAGGCTGGCAAGGTCCGTTCTCCAGATATCGCCGGCAGACAAGAGCATGTCGAGTATAGATATCCAATTTGAGATCCCACAGATCAAAGATGTCAGGCATGGCGAAGGTCATCATAATGGCACGCTCGCGAAGCAACGGCAGGGGTATCAAATCAAGACTGGCGTGATGTGGTATGAGTATTTGGGCCATTGTCGGTTGCAGGTGTACGGGGACTGAAGTGTTGAGGGTGGAAGCGATTACATCTCGGGGGCTATCTTGTGTTGTGATGGGCCTATAGAATGGCGACATGTAGGAGGCACTACACGCTGCAAGCTTTGCGAGATCAAAGCCCAGACACAGAGCATTGTTGAGGACCGCCAACCAGATAGTGTCTCGTGTTGTTTGAAGGGTGTTTGAAAGTGGATCAGCAGAACGAATTACCGCTGTCCCTGAGCGGGTCTCTGCATCTCCTACCGAAGCAGGTTCTGTTGGACTGTCTGGAGACGGTACATTCTCGAAACTTTGGTTTTCAGACAACGTATCCCACAGTGACCTGGCTAAGGGTCGAGGCGCAATACTCCGAACGCTTTCACTGCAAAGAGCAACGGACTTTCGGGACCGCCCGTGTCTCTCGCCTTTCGGTTGCGATTAGTGACCAGTACCGTGAAGCACCTCATGAATTCAAAAAATGAGACATACGATATGCTCGCTGGGCATTTTTATTCTGCTCTCTTCGGGCGGCAGTAACAACCCTCCTTCTGACTCGATTGGCTGTGCTGTGAGCATCCCGCTGGGGTTTGCCGTCTGGGGCGGAGGCAGATGATTCGCTACAGGGTTCTGGATCTGCCATTGGCTCAGACTGCAGATCAGAGGCTAATGTCACCTTCGTCGAGATCAAAGTCATGATTCATGTCGCTATGAAACTATGGCAGAGCACAAGGGTTGTCGTGGCAAGGTGGAAGGTGCTTAACTCCGTTTGGCCCGAGGTTGACGGTGAGTGGGGAGGGCCTCAGCGGATGGCTTACTCGTGGCTTACGCTTGAGAGCCAATCAGATGGGGCCAACTATATTCAGCCAGTCAAGGTATTGACCTTGCCAATTCCATGCCTGCTGCTCTATAAATTGGCCGAACTCTCTTGGAAATGATAGTGGAATTGCAGTTCAATATTACTATTCCACTTTTGCACATACAATATTTATCCAACCCCGCAAAAATGAGCACCGAGGCCAAGAAAATCATCGCTGTTGTTGGAGCCACTGGCACCCAGGGCTCCTCCGTCGCCCGTACATTCCTGAAGCTTCCCAACTGGAGCGTTCGATGCCTGACGCGAGATCCAACATCCGACAAAGCCACTGAACTATCTGGATTGGGTGCCGAAATCATGAAAGCGGACCTGGAAGACAAAGAATCTCTCCGCCAAGCATTCAACGGTGTGCATGCAATCTTTGTCAACACAGACTTCTGGCACCCGTATCGAAAAGCGCTAGCCGCAGGTGCTGATAGCCTTGCCAGTGCCAAGGAAGGCTACGATGTGGAGGTCTCTCATGGAAGAAATGCCGCCGATGTGGCTGCAACTATCCCAACCCTAGAACGATTTGTATACTCGGCGCTGGGTCCCATGAAAGCCGCGTCTGGTGGAAAGTACTCGCTGTCATATCACTGGGAAACCAAGGCATACATCGCCGACTATATTCAAGCCCAGCCCGAGCTTGCCAGGAAGGCTTCTTTCATTTACATCGGAGCCTACATCACCAACCCATTTCTCTATCCCAGATTCCAGCCTGAGAGCGGGGAGTTTGTGTCAGTGATCCCAGCAAAGAAAGAGACCATGATGCCAATAATCAACACGGCCGAGTCAACAGGGCCTTTTGTTCGAGCTTTGGTGGAGGATGAGGAGTCTGGAACCAAATTGCTGGCGTACGACGACTATCTCAGCCTTCAAGAGATTACGGATGCCTGGTCTAGATCTCTGGGAAAGCAAGCCAAGTTAATCTCAATGACTATGGAAGAAATTAACGAGAAGATGGGGGTTCCTCTGGAAATTCTTCATGGCCCTGCTTTTATAAGCGAATATAGCTATTGCGCGGGTCTTGAGAACGTCATTGAGCCTGGTCAGCTCAAGAGCCGTGTGCAACATCAGTCGTTTGAGGCCTGGCTCAAGGAGCAAGATATCTCAGACTTGCTTGGTTTGAAGAAAGAGAATCGTTGGGATGGCCGGGTTCAGTAAAGGTCCTCGGGCTTGAGAGATACCTGTGCGAGATCATCTGGAGACTTAAATCTAACCGCCTTTTTTTTATTTTTGACTTACCACCTTCTGTCCAGATTGTAGAGAGGCTAAACTGATGATATTTTTCAAATGGTCACTTTGACACTCTAGCAGATTATCAAAATTCTGACCCAATTCATTATTCGTGTTTTCACAAAATATCTCCTGGCATTATGATATTCATTCTCAAGTCATCCATGAACAGCCAATCATTTCATGACGAAGTAAACTATATGAGCTTAACCTTTCATTCTATAGGCTTCTCGGTGCAAAATTTCCAATCATAATCTCGTATTTGCCCTGACACGCTTGTTGGGCGATAGTGGGGCGTGGGCGACGTGGTCAAAGGTATAGGTAGCACTGGCTTCGAGGCGAATTGGGACTGGTTTGCTGAACAAAGGGAGCGGAACAACCAAGAATCAAGTCGTCAAGGAGAAGTTACAACACCAGCACTTTTGAAGGGTAGGATTTTGGCAATTTTCTCGGTCCTTGTTGATGATATTTTTAACTTTGCAAGCGGATTTCCCTGTGCACGAGTAGTCAGTGGGTCACGGCCACACAGGCACCAGCTTGGCCCGTTAATTTTTACACTATTGACTTCCCGTGCCTCTCGGAACTTGGCCGTTCATGAGCCTCCTTATACTCCCTCCTTACAAAGCAACAAGACATGAGTACTTCCATAACGAACGCGACTTTCGGCTATCGCCCGGCTAGTCCTGGGGCATCCCCGCATAGCCCCCAGGTTGATGTTCGGTCAACAAACCGAATCATGTAATATCAACATAATCAGACGTCTCCTTAATCAATCTAAGTGGCGTAAAAGAGACTCAAAAGGATCCACCACTCGGCGTTTCGGGTTCGGAAGTGGAAGTATATCTCCACCGGAAAGGCTATCATCGGGCTGGGTGGGTCGGTCCAGCGTTAGGGCAAGCCTTTTTCTCAACCTGATGCAGTCATTGTCCGATTTTCGAGCCCTTTCTGAATTTTTTTTACCAAACGCCCCGACTGTGTGCCCCAGATCAAGTTTAAGCTTCTCTTTTTCCCCCTCGTAACCCCTCAGAAACTCACAATCCCCGTTCCTGCACACTTTATTCGCCTGATTGTCCGATCGACGAAGGCCAGTGACGCCTTGGAAAGGTCTTTTCTGGGTTAAGAGTGGATTAACATATACGTGAGGGGTCTCGTTGGCCGAGGATACTCCCGAATTTGCCCGTATTTAAGCGCCAGCTTTTTCCTCTGTGGGATTCCCTGGTTTCTGAGTAAATCTGGGCCTGGTCTGTTGTGTTCTTTTCATCTACTCGTCTCAACGCAGCTCTTGCCATTATGAATCACGACGAGATATCAGCGAACGCCAATGCGGGCTCTAACACGGGGGAGCGCAAGGTGCAGCCAATTCCGCCGCTGGACGAGAGGGATATCAAGCTGGGGTACATGAGCGAGGCCGACCGCCATGTCTACGAAAGTGGTATTCAGAAGTTCAGTCGTCTTGGGTGGAAGCGACTTACAGTCGTGCTCATTGTCGAGGCTATCGCATTGGGTAGTTTATCGATTCCTTCCACGTTCGCTACACTTGGCATGGTTGCCGGTGTTATTTGTACTGTTGGACTCGGTCTAGTCGCCATTTATACCAGTCATATCATTGGACAGGTCAAGTTGGCCTTTCCTGAAATTACCAGTTATGCGGACACAGGTCGACTCATGGGCGCACGTCTGGGTTGCCCACGTTTTGGTTATGAAGTGATGAGTGGAATGCTTGCTCTTCAATTACTATTCCTCACTGGGTCTCACTGTCTCACTGGAACCATTGCGTTCTTGAATATCACAAAAAGTGATGTCTGCTCTGTGGTGTTTGGAGTAGTCTCTGCGATTATTCTGCTATTGCTCGCAGTGCCTCCTAGCTTTACCGAGATGGCTATTCTTGGTTATGTCGACTTTGCCTCGATTATCATCGCGATTGGTATTACTGTCATCGCTACGGGTGTTGATGCACACCACTCTCCCGGTGGTCTTTCCGGTGTCAACTGGTCTGCTTGGCCCAAGGAGGATATCTCCTTCTCCGAGGCCTTTGTAGCATTGACGAATATCGTCTTCGCGTATAGCTTTGCCCTTTGCCAATTCTCGTTTATGGACGAAATGCACACTCCTCGCGACTACGTCAAGTCTATTTGGGCACTCGGTATTACGGAGATCGTGATCTATACCCTCGCCGGTGCCTTGATCTACGCATTTGTCGGACAGGACGTGGGCAGCCCTGCTCTTCTCTCGGCCGGTAGCTTGATGAAGCGGGTGGCATTCGGCATTGCTTTACCCGTCATCTTTATCAGTGGGTCTATCAACACCGTGGTGTTCGGCCGTCTTGTCCACGGTCGTATCTTCGCCGATTCTCATATCCGCTTTATCAATACAAAGATGGGATGGTTGACGTGGCTTGCTGTTATTACTGCTGGCACGATTATTGCATTCATCATTGCCGAGGTCATTCCTTTCTTCAATGACCTGCTTTCCATTTCCTCGTCGCTGTTCATCTCTGGGTTCACTTTCTATTTCCCTCCCATGATGTGGGCATTGCTCCTGAAGAAGGGGAAGTGGAGTGAGCCTAAGAACATCATGCTTGGTCTTGTCAACTTGGGCGTCTTCCTTATTGGTATGATCACGCTTGTGGCTGGAACATACTCCAGTGTCGATGATATTGTAAGTTCTAATTATCTCTATACGTCAATCATGTCTGGTACTAACTCTGCCTAAAAAGATCAACAAGTACAAAGCCGGTACTGTGCATGGTGTATTCACATGTGGATCTCCAGAGTAAAGTGATTTGACCAGGCAGATTGGGTCTTCATTCAAACTATCTATAAGCTCACATTGTTCGGAGCACATGATCACAACATCATTCAGATTTGATATTGTTGTTTAGCATGGGTTATGGGAGCGTTTTAACGTGAAGATGACCAACATAAAGAGCGTTCTTGAATAGATTATAGATATACATTGTTTCTATCTTAGGTTCTTATTTACTCTGTTGTATTGAGCTGTCTACTTGAGTGTAGCATTTAGCGTCTTTAGCCTGGTATTCCGTTGCTGGTCAATGACACCAGATCTACATGGTACTTGGAATTTGTTTCCTGGAAATAGGCAGTCCTAGAAGCACATTTCTATGAGGCACAAAGACCTTATCCGCGAAGTCATGAAGTGATAAATCTCAATGTCCTTCATAACTGGAACATATCATTTTAAGGCTCAAAAGAAATATCATTTCATTCCTCATAACTTAGCCATCTCAGAATCACCAGTCCCATCTCTACGGAACCTATCAGCCCATAATCCAGCCAAAAGGTAACCATCCAAGAACAAGGACCCAATGTTCTCAACAGCTCCTATTCATCAAACCAGCGCAGATTCCTTACAAGTACTGGTTGAACCACGCAACGGCCTGAACGAAAGCCTGCTCCTTAGCCCACTTCTGAATCTTCACGTTCAAGTCGCCACGGACGGCGAAGCCGTGGGCAACACCGCTGAACAGGTTGATTTGCCATGGGTGGCCGGCCTTGATTAGGGTGTCCTCGGACTCGTGGCGGAGCTGGGTGGTGAAGATGGAGTCGGTTTCTGTGGGGGGTAGACGTGTTAGTTATTTGTCGCTCTGGAAGTAAAAGTGGGAGGGTGAGATTGGGAAAGGGACATACCGGCGGCAGCAATGGAGAAGGGGCCCTGGATAGCGCCGAGCTCCTCGTGGGTGATGAAGGAGGGGTGGGCAGCGAAACCAACGTCGACCTTGTCGGTCTTCAAGAAGCGGGTGACGTACTATAGAATAGCGCGCGTTAGCATGTCCTTCCCTAAACATAGAGGGTTGCTATCAATCGCATCGTAGAAACATACCTTTGCGCCGAAGCAGTAACCCACAGCGCCAACCTTCTTCACGCCCAAAGTCTCACGGACATACTTGATGGAAGCCTCCACGACAGGGTCGACGTTGGCGGTCTGGTGGTTGGGCAACCAAGCGCCCAGGTTGGCCTTGCCGGACTCCATGTCGGCGACGCTGATCTGGTCACCCTGGAACAGGTCCGGGATGACCGTCAGGTAGCCGCTCTTGGCGAACTCATCGGCGAGGAGCTGGGAGTTGGGGAAGATGCCAAAGATGTCGGTCAAGAAGACGATGGCCTTTTCGGGGGTCTTGTTGTCCTTGGGGTAGGTGATATAGGTGTTAACTAGTAGGAGGAGAGGGGAGATAGATGTTAGCTTGGGGTATTTTCTAAGGTTGTCGGGCCATTATTTTTCAAGTAGCTAGCTATATGTCAGAGATACTCACCACCGTCAATGTTCTTCACCTCGCCGACAGGAGTACCCTCGTGCTTGAAGCCAGTGGCACAACAGGCGGCAGGGGGGTTAGAAGCCATGAGGAAGGTAAATTGGGTGGAATATGAGGGTGTCTGGGGGGGATCTCAAGAAGAGCAAGAAGCAAACGAATATCGAAGATATCAAGCAAGGAAGGCGGACGTCTCGGGGGATTAAAGCAGACATTAAATCTCAACCGCAACCCCTCCAACAAGCACGACACGGCCCCGTTATGCAGGTTGTATCTACCATTGATCCAATCACAGTCTCGACAGGGGACCGATGGACAAGCTCTTGTGGAATTGATGAATTTTGCCCCCGTCATAGCGGTCGCCGAACTCCACTTTTCCATTGCAGGTGCCCCTCCCTCAGGAGGATTAGTAATGGCTGTGTAGCCCGGCGTGATACTGTCAATTGCGCATACTACAGGGATAAATTGGGTGATTGTGGTGTTATTCAATGCATGAGCATGGATAGAATTGCAATATCTACTCATATATGGGCGATCTAGAGTTCATCTCTCAATGGTCTCGTATTTCCCAGGGACAGTCCTCGAATGGCTGCAGAAAACTGTTGACTCGGTACTCGGCACGCGGTCCGGCGATAAGCCACGTTATCTCCGAAGTCCGCTAAAGGCTTAATTTAGAATTTGCCTGTGGCCTGTCAACTTACGAAGGAAACAATTAAGAAATAAGAATAGCCGGGACCGGCAGCCAGACAATTCGAAGCCATGCCAATTATGAACACTGAAGAGTATGCCCCTGTCCGTCGTCCGACTGTTTAGAGTGTGAAGAGTTTAAAATGTCGTCATGGTAATATCTGCATCGTACATTCAATACATATCTCTCGAGCTCTCTGGACCGGATATCGGCGGTAGCTGACCAGGTATCTATGAAGCCGCCCGTCATTGGCCCATATCTTACTGTCTCATTAAAAGTCCATAAGCATTCATTCCAATCATTAGTGTCGGAGGTATTCCGACCATCCTCCCTGCCTGTCAGAGGGATTGTCACCCCAGGGAGAGACGATCCGATCTGATCCGATCACGTCACATTATTACGTCTGCACCTTCATCCCACTTGACATTCGTAAGAATAAAAATCACATCCACATTCAGTCCACGTCCACATCGTATCCATATCAAAATCAAAATCCATGACCGAGGTGTAAAGGGGTATCAAAGGAAATAAATAAATCATAATAACAGCCACTGCGCCGTACATGAGAGTTTTCACGGGAAGCGGTAGCCCAGCTGAGGACGGTGCTCGCGTTTCACAGCCCAGGCCTTCAAGGCGATGAAGAGGATCTCCAGCGCCATGACGAACGCGGTGAATCCCATGCCCACCGTGAAGGTGAACATCGCATCCACATCATAGTACTCCATGGCCTCGATGACATTGCGCGTGCTCAGCATGAAGATCAGACCGCCCGACATCAGGCAGAATGCTGCGACAATCTCGGTCGGTGGGCGAGCGGGCAAGTACGAGGTGGGAGGGCGCAGGAACAGCAGGACGTATGTCATCCCACGGGCCAGCGCGAAACCCACCAGCATGTTGCCCCACTGCTTGTGCACCATAGTCGAGGTCATGCTGGTCTGGTGGTGTGAACCCATCATCATACCCAACAGCAGGATAATCAGCGCCGGCATCGGGTTGAGAGACACGCCCTGCGATCTGGGAACATGCCAATTCTCGTCGCGAGAGCTATGTGCCGGAGATCGTAGGATGGTGTTGTTGAGAGCTTCACGGATACGCGAAGATTCGAAGAGCATACCAACCTGGTGATGAAATGGTTAGCACTATGACCTAGTCTTCGTATTTTCGGGGATAATCCTTACCAAGCCACCACCAAAGAACATCACGGAAATGGAGGCATGCTCCAGATCAGTCGCAGACCAGGGACGACCAGCGTTGGAAAGGTGCTCGAGGAACACATTGGTGATACCATACAACCAAATCACAAAGGACTCGGTAAACTCGCCAGAGGGAACCTTGGCCTTCCAGCCAACAACTGACGCGGGAGGCTTTATGTTCCACGCCCATCCCAGATCTGCCCAGCATCCCACATAGCGGCCCAAGGTCAGGACACCATACCAGAAGAAGATGCCACCCTTGATGAAGTGAGCGAGACCATTGAAGATCTCCCTTTGCCGCATGATCCCGCCATAGGTCACTGCGCCAGAGGCAATAGCCATGAACCCAAATGGCAGAATAATGCGATCAATCACGTTGTACACCCCGTTGAAGATGCGCAGGACGCGGTTGGAAACCATTCCCGGAACGCGATTCGACAGGAAACGGTCCACAAAGGTGCTGTGCAACCACCCGCGCGGCGCGGCCGGCTGCGCCGGAAGGTCTTCTTCCGGCTTCTCAAAGCCATCGCATTCAGAGGGTGACTCGAAAGAGGGCGATCCGGGACTGTGGTCCGGTGAGTTCGGCTCAGTGCCCTGGCCACTGTCTCTGGACCAGCGGTACTCGTGCATCGGACCCGTCGAGAACGTGTGCTCATGCTCGTCTGTTGCGACAGGCAAGAAAGAAGCATGCTCGTAAGAGGTCTTGTCCGCGTTTGACTCGCCGCGGCCGGCATATGCAAAGATCAGAGCTAGAATAACCTGAGCGCTGATAACCCACGTCGCGATCCAGCCAATCTTGTGGTGTGCATTGTTCTCGTACAGATCAGGAGTCTGGCTGTTGTAGATGATGCCGAGCAAGAGACCGAACGCATTGAACAGCAAGAAGAGGAACTGCGACGGGAGCGCAAGTCGTGAACGTCCAATGCTAAGCATGACAGCTATGGCAACCCCATTAACTGCTGCGCGCACACCCTACGGTGATCCAGGATCGACTTACCTGCTGGAAGAACGATGCACCAGCCCAGCATCATCAGCGCAATGTGGACCATGATGGCACCCGAATGCTTCCCGTACGCAAAGTAGCTCATTGGGCCTTCGCTATTCGCAGGCGTCGTTGGCGACGACGTCGCGACAGGATCGGAGTTCATATCCATGCTCATCCCCATGTCCATATCCGAATGCTCGTCGTCTCCATGTGCAACCGCCGTCGCCAGACACGCCAGAAAGACTGCCGCATAGGCAGTGCGGATAGCTAACAGCCGCATCGGAGTTCAAGAGAAGACGATCGCAAAGCTCTCGGGGTTAGGAATTATTTGCTACGCCGAGATGGAAAACGAGGCGCAGTTGCTACGGCAAGAGAATAAAAGAGAAAAGAGAGAGGTCAGAGAGGTCAGGCCTGTCAGCGCAGCTCTATCGAATCGTGACGTAACGTCTCTACCGAACTCGGGAGAGTGTTGCAAGCTCCCGTTTTGTGTTTTCCTGATTTTCTTCTCGAGTGGGAAACGGAGCAGTCAACCGAGGATCTGGGTTCCACGCGATAAACTCCAGGGTGTATCCGGGGTTGGGCCAGCCTTGGGTGAGGGAACTGCAAGTGGTGTGGTGGTTGATGCAAGGAAGGAGGTGGTAGGGCTGAAGGGAGGAAGTATAAGGCGGAGCGGCTCGTGGGAAGTGACGAGGTATAAAAAAGAGCTGAGCTCTGGCGGGGTGACAGGGAATTAATAATGGATTGAGAGGAGCGAAGCAGCTGGAAGTAATTCGGATATGACTAGGGTAATTAAGGGATTATGGTTTCTCGAATTTGTGAATTTTGAATTTTCTTTTTGTTCGCCGGCACTGATTTCCAATGCTTCGGGAACGGAGCTAACAGCTGCGATCACCGAGGGTGCGTGGCAGTAGACACAGGGGAGCTCCGGCATTACAGTACTCAGTACAAAGAAGTCCCAAGCCTTTTTCCACTCGTTCTCTCTTCCTCATTTCCTTGGCCTTCCGGGACCCGTTCCTGATGATTCACAAACCTGGTCCAACTAGGCCGTGCCTGCCGTGGCTGGTATCAAATAATTATCCTCGACTGGAAGACCCTAGGCCACTTCATGTCCACATTGGTTAGGGATGAGAGAGTCGAGTAGGGTACACTATATAATCTGCGCTTTTATCGAGCGCTTTCCGGTGTGCTCCCCTCATTCCTTCTTTGAACTCACTGCATCCTCCCTTGACTGTGACCACAGGAAGCACCGGCATGGATCTGCAGTAGTCATATGCATTTGCATTTGCATAGCGGACTGCTCGACTGGTCCGGGAAAGTCTTGGCAAAACCAAATTTCGCTTCTTCACAATTCTCCAATAAGAAAATTGACAGAGCGAAAATAAAAAATATTATTATTATTATTATTATTCTCAGTTCGGATGAGCCGGGATCTATTCAGAGTCAGCTTCCAGCCTCCATCGGCATCGACACCAGTGCACTGGGCCTGAGTGACCTCATTTCCATGGGAATCGCCCGTCGGAAGTACAGTCAGAGCAAAGGCAGGGGACTAGTCGAATAATCGAACATCAAGGACGGCATGACTCTTAGTTGGATTCCGTATTTTCTTTCGTGCTGTAATCTGTTCAATACACATAGTACATAAGTTATAGACTTTGCTGGGATTTTTGCTAGGCACCTTGCTTGGGCTTGTGCATAAGCGCCCACTTAGCCTATGACGTAGTCGATCGCTTCCCCGTTTGGCATTTGCTCTCACCGCCAGCATCCTGCAACTGTGCATGTGTACTCCGTACTGGATGTACTTCTACGCTCTACCTGAATCAAGGGAAATTATCAGACATAATTATCAAGAATTCCTTCTGAATTATTGAGCCAACGAACAATCCTTCATTGGATTACTTCATAGACTACGTCTTACTTCAAAAATGGTGATAAGGTCGAGGCTCTCCAGGCAGCCTTGCCAGCGTTGAACACACTCCCCGAAGATCAGACGATCGCTCTGGAAACGAACCCACCCAATCATTTATCTTAGATCTCCTACGGTAAGTAGTGCGGAGTAGGTTCTGTGCTGTTGAACCATCCGACTCTCGTCGCAGTCTTTGTTCTCGTCGATCGCCCAGAAACGATCCAAGATATCGACCTGTGGCCCTGTGGCTGAACTACAGTACTCTACTAGTCTAGCGTCCAGCTCCCGCCTTCGTCAGGCGTCAGCAGCCATCGGAGCCCCGGCATCGCCAGCACCCTTTGACCATCCCTGTCTCGGTCTCGCGCGCCCTTTCTTCCGAGCCGCACTTTTGAGTTGTCCGCTGCAAGTGGGGTTGGCGGTACGCCAACCCCCGATGGTCCCGGTCGGGCCATGTCCAGCTCTGAATATCGTAAATGAGATGATAGCGCATTTGGTGGCTGGACAGACCATGCACGGTGTCACGATGCACAAGCCATGAGCTACCTATACAGTGGGGGAGAATCAGAGAAATGGGGCCTTTGCTTCTTCGCACGAGCATGTGGCTCCAGGCGCCCAGGGCTTTGGTCGAGACGTGTCCACATGCATGTTCGTAAAGCCCAGACTAGTTATGCCGTGAAGTATGAAACATCGAGGACCTCATGCGGGATGATATTATCTCCGAGCGAAGCAGCTTCGCCGAGCCCCATGCTGGCTTCCGTATTACGGGATCAAAAGCCCATAATTAACGATAAATATGGCAATCAATTAGCAATAGCAGTAATCAATCAGCGCACACGTCGGCATCGGCCAATAGTAATGAGCACGATCGGTCATTACACTCCCAGCCAATATCCCAACCGTTAGCCCAGCGCAGCCCGTAGACTGTATAAATAATAAGTTCATCTTTCAGCCCTAGTCAGCTAAATAGCTCCAAGACAGCCGTGCAACTATCTCGAAACAGCTTCTTGGCCTAGGGCGCCCACTAGTTACCTAGGCAGGTCATCCGAACGCCGCTTAGTAAGATCTACTTTGGCCCATCTGACTAGTTAACTGGAAGGTTGGATTCCTGACCTACCATAGGCCGGCCATCCAATTGGATTGCACATCAAAAGACAGTTTTATCTAACGCTGACCAGATTGTCTTGGATCCTCATGTCTCTTGGAGTCCTTGTAGTGACTTACCTCTAAAAGTGAGAGCCTTTTAAGTCCAAGCTGCATCAGTGCAACGAGGTAGATTACAGAATATGTTTTCATCCCTAACCTAGTTTTCCTGATGGACGCTTCAAATATATATTTGTCGGGTGATTATAGGCTTCTCGGATCTCTAAGAGGTCTTGTCTCTCCTCACGTGCTATCTTTCCCATGGTAATCTTCCGGTAAGATTTGATCGTGATCGGAGCAAGATGCTGAGCACGGTTGCTTTTGCGGCTTCATATACGGGACTACTGGACGCCCGAGGCGTTACCTCGACGATGGGATCGTGAGAAAATCATGGGGTTATAGTTCCGTCGTCCGAAGCATAGATTGGATCCTCTTCACTATAAGCTTCGCCCTATCAGTACAAAACTCTCCTCAACCCCTCCTTAGCAGCCGTTGAGCAGAGCCGCATTTTGTCAAGTCTCTCCACGAAAACAACTTGGAACCAGGTACGTAGCTTTCGGAAGAGGCTGTCTCCCTATCTTCCGCAGAAGTATAATGAAATGATGGACTTTCGCTGGCATGTCCCTATGAATCTACACGTTACGAGCCGTGGGCTCGTAATGATAAAATGCGGCTTTCAATTTGTTTCTATGAGCACTTGAGTCATTTCCTTGCTACGTATCTACAACCCTATAGAGTAGTTGTCTGTGTGGTGTACCACTTACAACAGAGACAAAGGCTGGAGAAAGTTCTTCGGAGATTCAGTCGTGGATACGATGGGTGATCTAAATCGCACGATAGAGTTTCCCCAGCCAATCGTAGATTTATAGTTATAGCGTTGATTGTGGGAGCGCTACATTCAATTTGACGATATATATGATGCAAGTATTAGGGTCAAAGTGCTATCGGTGTTTTAGACGCTCGGGCAAAAGGCTGAATATGTCTGTCTGCTTCCGTCCTGTATTTCCAATTTTTCATTTTCTATTGGCTTTTGAGTATGGGTTTTGAAGGAGCGAGGAAGATACAGATCAATCAAGATCACATTTCTGTGGGAAGTAAGATATTTCTGTAACAGGATATAGTGTTTACTTCTTTCGAGTCCTTTCTAGGTCTCGATCAAGCCACAAAGCTAAGTCTTGACTCAATAATGAAAGCATAGCTGGTCGCTAAGCCTGTGTCAGACAAATGAAAGCAAGAAATTAGTAAGATGACCTCCAGCCAAGAGCTAAAGCTAGCGGGTCCGATTCGGACCCGTTCTTTACCTGCCAGCATGACAATCTTCGCCGCGCTACGATTGGACGTGATGGAATCGGTATCCGCGGCCTTCCGGCCAGAGCTGGTTGGGGCCCCCAACGCACACGCACTGTGGACACGCACCTTCTACCACGCACGTCCCCGAGTTCCAAACCCGAGTTCAGTAGTTCGTGCCCGCTTCTTCTCTTGCGGAATACAAAGGCCGGATACTTTCCTTGGTGATTTCATCGGAGCTGTCATATGACACATGCTGGCCAATTAACTAAGTTAGTTGACTGAGTTAACTGTTAAATTTCTCGCGCTTAATAAGTAATTAATCATAACTTAACTAACTATTGCTAATCCTGGCTGGTCGCCTAAAGCACATTTGGGCACTTGTTCCATTTCCCCTCCGTCCTCTAAGTCTGCATTTATACTCGATACCTCTAACGTGCTGCTTTGTGTTACTTCTGTACCCCAGGATCGGTACTTCGGGTGTTACAAGATCATACGGTGTGGTGTGACAGAGGCATCTGCAGCTGCCCGCTCTTTTGAGTCTGCAGATTACAAACCTAGAGTGGTCGTTCTCCTCCCTGCTTTCCAATAGTCAGCTAGTTAGTTATTGTTAACTAGAAGTTGTTTTGTAATCATAGTGCTAATTCGTAACTTCCTAATTAGCTTCCTCCGTAATCATAATCCATACAACACTCTCTCCTTTCAAGCGGGAATTTCCAACCACAACCCCTCCATCCCGATCAGCAGATCGACATGCAGCAAGCGGGCTCGAGTGATATTACCATCCTTAGTAGAAACGCCCTGCAGAGCATCGGATGTTCGGCACTAACACCATCCGCAAGCCGTAATTCCATTCAAGCGTTCCTCAGGCACAACGAGCGTCCAATAAGAGCCGGCTTAACCCTGGTCTCTTCCCGCACGATCAGCAAGGCCAAGGACCTGTTTGGCACGGATGAGATGTGAACGTGAATAATTTGCATAAAATTAAATTATGAGCGTGCCACGGGAAAAGTCAATGAAGTAGTACGTTGTGCAACTGGCCTTGTGCGACTATGTCTTAGCATTAATTCTACCCCAGGTTTTTGCTATAAGGTACAATAGACGCGATTCATACTTCTTTTTGGGCTGTGCCTGACGTTACTGTCATCGGCAAACAAAGCATGCTGCAGATATAGATCGGACGAGGCTGACCCAAGTATGACGGGCGCCCCTTATAAACAGCCTTCAATATGGAGATGGAGGCACCGTAGTAGACACAACTGCCATTTGCATTACAAGAGACGGTCTTCAGCCCGCTAGTATTCAACGGCAGTCTCTATGATGAATCTCCACGGTCTTGCATAATCCCCTTGTTTACTAATAGCCTTCGGTAGCCCTGACGAAATACACAAGTAATGACAATCCCTGTGGTCCTGGAACCTCGATTTAAGTAAACAAGGCTTTAGTTTGGCATGTTATAAACATCATCCCATGACAGTATATCATGCACCTTCATATGCTTGACTCTTGATGCTCGTTCGCCGTATTAGCCGTAATATCCAGTTGTGGAAATATGCCCGGTTGTGATATCTCGCCATCAACCAATGCAGTCATCTGCATGCTAGGGAATATTGATCACCTATAAATTAGCGCCATCATGCTCCAATTGCTCAAGGGGGGATTATTTATCACAAAAATCGTCTTCCATGTCGGATGAGGCGTCTCCGAATCATTAGCGCCGGCTTTCTCAATGTGCGGTCGTGTTTCGAGGATGACTTGAGGGTATTGTAAGATGACCATTATATCAGTCGTTTGCATATCAGTCAAATACCAACTTGATCACGAAGGATACTGATCACTTAAAGGCACCTTGAGTAACCCTCGAGGTCTGGGGATGGATTATGTAGTAAGTAGAGCGAGTATAGTTTGACTGCAGCAGCCGAATGAATTGTACCCGGGATGCAGAAAGGAAAGTGCCGGGTCTGGAAGTCGAACGAGCTAAGAAGAACATTTCAGCTAGTTTACTAGATCTTCGTCCAATCAGATTATGCACAGAAAGGGAGAAAGGCTTTGGCACTGGCGCTCTGACGAGGTCAACGAGCTTCAGAAGACTCTGAAGATTCCATACCAGCCTTGCAGTGGGTTTTGCAAATTGAGTCGGTTCTCGCCTTTGGAGGACATGTTTGATTTTGAGGTTCTTCTTCCGCGCAGGCAACAACATCAAATGATGAGAATAGCCCAGCGGATACGAAGTATACCTTGATCTGTGAGAGGCCCGGCTCTGGTCTGCATGAAGATATTGTAGCTTGAATCTATAATCAGGCCCAGAAAAATTGGAACAAGAGGTGTAAAAGACTTATTTTCTAAAGGAATTGCTCATACAAAACAAGAACGAATAGTATAATCCCAAATGTCAATCCTTTGGATGTGAGGCTCCAAACACGTTATCCATCAGTGGATCCTGAAATCTCGGGCATCATCAATTATTACATAATCAGACACACATGACCACCGAAAGGGGACTAGTTCCGGGTCAAGCGAGCTGGCCCGTGCGTGGTTCCCGATTGGGGCAGCACACAACGATTTTCCAACCCTAAAGTGCGATTCGACCTTCGTCCTTCTTCAACAGCGCCAACGACCCTCGTCCCCGTCAACAACCCCTCCGTCAACTCCCCCCTTTCGACATCTCAAGATGACTCACGAGTCCGTTTGGTACTCCCGGCCCCGCAAGTAAGTCAACTTTTGAGCCCGATCGCTGCACAAATGCCGGTGAATGGCGACTGACTAGATGCTTCTCTCACAGGTACGGCAAGGGCTCCCGCGAATGGTGTGTTGAACCCCTCCTTGGAATCTGCGATTTTCCCGGATAAGAGCGACGATTGGGAAAGAGAGTGAATGAAGAGAGAGCGAGAGTTTTGGATCGGATATTGAGATTCGGGACTTTGGGGACGGAGTGCTAATTCGTGTTTCGCTCGATTACAGCCGTGTCTGCACTCACCGCGCCGGTCTGATCCGCAAGTACGGCGTATGTGGAATCTCTCCTTGATTATCTTCTGCGAGCGCATCGAGTGCCGCATGTTGAGACACCGAACCCTGGGCTAACGGTGTCTTACAGATGAACATCTGCCGTCAGTGCTTCCGTGAGAAGTCCACCGACATCGGTTTCACCAAGGTTCGTACCTTCAATCTCTACATCTACCGACTCGAGACAATACACCCGCACACGAGATACCACGTCGTTGCAATTTCCACAAGACTCGATCCCAACACTTGAAATACGCACATCAATACTAACTCGCCCACTCTCACCTACAGTACCGCTAAACAAGTCAAAAACCATGTCCACCTTTTAACGTCCTTCTCGATTCATCCTCGTCTACGATCCGTTCACTCGTGTACGTACCCTGGCGCTCCTCGATCTCGATAGTGTCCCGGGATGGGGAAATGATTCGAAGTGTCCCGGGGGAAAAATAGAAAGAAATTACGCCCGCACTCCGTTTCCTTTTCGCATGACGGCTCCAAAATTGGTTGTTGCTTTTTCTTGATGGAGGAGACATTCTTTCATCTTCGTTTGCTTGGTGTCTCGGGTGGATCGGAGGGGACTGGGGTTGTTGTGTGAAGAGTTCGCAAAACGAGGATGTCATGTTTACCCTCATCCTTTTTTTCCTTATCCAATATCAATGACGGATTTTCTTTACTGGGATTATCATTTGGCTCTTGGTTGTTGAGTATGGAGTAGCGCGGAGGGAACTTGGTGGTGGTGAATGCCTTAAAAAAGCTGAACTACTGTGACTTGACATTTGCCTTGCTTTTCTTGGGCCTTGGGTGTTCTTCTGGTTCTGCATCTGGACAGGATTATTACAACATTCAAAACTCAAGTAGACTGGCCGTAGATTTTGATGATGCGGGTCTATGTAGCTTCCATGTGCTCTACGTCTGCATTGATCGTACTGATCGCAGCCGCTAGAGCCACGGGACCCGCCACACTTAATCCGAACGTCTCGTACAAAACTCAATACTCAATCATCTTGTTGATACCAAGGACATAGTACATTAGTTAACGAGGAATCCATTGGTCTCATACCCTTTCTCGCTATGTACATCAAACAAAAAAAACCAGATGCAAAACACCCTGAACCCCAAGCCAATAGCCAAACCGAATCCATTTTCCCCTCAAGCACATGGTTCATTGCTACGAAATATCATTTCTCGGGATCAATCGAGCGAATGCCATAGAACAGCAGGTAAGCGTTCTGCTTGAGGACATCCGCGATGCTGGCGACAGTCACTTTGTTATCATCCATGAGCACCCACTGGATCAGGAGTGATTAGCATAGCTCTATGGTTGATTATTAGTTGTCATCGATAGTGGGGTACGTACCTGGTCGCCTCCGAGGCGAGTGTATGAGTAGTAGTGTCCCGAATCCATGGAGCCCTGGTGGACCACGACAGTGGACAGATCGTAAATGTACTTCGACGTGTCCACGCGCTCCTTGTCCTTCTTCACGGTGTAGGGGAGCATGTTCAGGGTAATCGGGAAGTCAATATGACCATGCATCTTCTCGGAGGAGGCCTGGTTGTGCTCATAGCGCTAAAGAGGAGAAGCATGTTAGTTTTGTCTGGTGTCCATAGAATCTCGAGATACGCACCTTCAACTGCATGCACAGGATACTAGGCAGCTTGTTGATCTGCAGCCGCTTCGAGGCTCTCTGCGGCGTGTTGCCGCATTTCTCGCAATGATATGCCGCCTCAGTGTGGTGCTGCAGGTCTTCGACCGCAGTAAAGCTCTCCAAGCAGCTAATCAGGTTCGAGGTACCGGTCCCACTTGATCGGCCCAGCTTGCGCTTCTTGTTCTGCAGCTGCACGTCGAGACTTAGGTCCGCCATGGGGTCATAAGTGTGGGTGGTTTTGCCGCACTTGTGGCACATCACGCTGCTACGAAGTTCCCCGTAGAAAGTACGATGGAAGAAGCATTCACATTTGGTGTCGTAGCTTTCGGAGTGGCCGGGGGTGGCGGCGTGAAGAGAATTGACTAGGAACTGGAAGTATTCGTGAGCGTCTTGCTGGCGATAGCCTGCCATTTCCTGTAGTTTGGGATTAGCTGAATATTCTTTTTGCTATATCATCAGGTTCATGGGCTTCTGGCTTACTCTTGACGCATCCCAGCCATGATAGAGGAGGGTAGCCGCCGACACTGCATCGGTTTTCTCACCACTGTTGAATTCCATAAATATCTCAGTGGCAGCACAAGCCATGCAAAAGGGTCTCTTGCAAGTGTGGATGTCATGACCTCCGGCCAGGAAATACGCGTTAAGAGTCGGATCATGCAGCAGAGCTTGGAGAATGACAGCCTGATAACAGGTCTGTCCCATGTTCCAGACACCGCGGGCGCCACGACGGGAGCAAGGGTTCTTGTAAGCGTTGTTCTTGACATAGACTTCCGAAGCAGAGTCCTCAATCCATCGGTCTTTGCCATCTATCAGTTAGTCAGCTGCTCAGTCAATGAGGGTCTCAAGGGGGCAAAAGGTGAGCTGAGACGCACCTTGATATTCAAACTTGCCAGAAGGGCCACAGAGCCTTTCAAGGCCATGATCGTAGATAAAATCCACACACGTCTCACAGAAGATGAAGCGGTTGCGTGATTCCATATCTAGGTGGAGTGGATTAGCCTCCAGCAACAGTATGTCAGAGTAGACCAGAACCTACAGAAAGCATGGCCAGTCTTCTTCGTGTGGGCCTTGCGTTCCGAGTTCAGACAGGCTTCCGAGCAGGTCAAACAGTGGTACTTTGGTTTCAAAGAAGCCACGGTCCGCAGGCCACTAGTCGGCACTGCAGCCGTCTCAGGCTTCGTGTACGGTGCCAGGGACTCGAATTGTTTGCGGTACCCATTCTTAAACTGGCCCGCAGTGGATTGATCTTGCAGGATCGTGGCAAGATGTTCTGGTGAGGGGTCAGACATGTCGTGGTCAAGGCGGGGGTCAATGAAGTCTGGACATACCGCAGCCAAACGCCGCTTCAGAAAGGATGTTGACAGATTCAAGGCTCGCCATTATGGATGACAAGCAAGATGATGTAGAGGAAAGTAACGAGAATAGGAAAGGGAATGGGAAAGGGATGAGGGTTGGGGAGATGTCAAGGAGGTGGAGTGCAAAGACAAAGAGAGGAGGTTGCCCAGTAAAGGGACCCAGCCCTCAAGGCAACGATAGAAAAAATGACGAAAGGAAGGATGAGAGAGGGACCAGAGATCCCGGGTGCAAGATACAAGGCTCTTTTTGGCCGTCGGATGCACAAAGATATCCAGTTGAGCCTCAAGGACTTCACCTGAGTAGGGCGAGCATTGCACTGCGGAAGAAATGATCAGTATTCCCTTGTAGCAGGCTATACACAATATTCAAGGTCGACTTACATATTCAAGACCAGGAGAGTCAACGGTGCCGTGTGGGGAAGGGGAGATGGACAAGAGGCGCTATAGGGCTCTTCTTTCACCGAAGGGTTGCCTCGGCAGCTCACGTTGCCAGCAAAGCCGCAACCTGCCCCGCCAGATTGCAATGGATGGATGTTAAACGATCAAAGCAGCAAAGCAAAGGACTCGGAGATGTAAGAATCACTCGGATTATGCAAAGAAAGGTAAATAATCCCCGTGAGATCGAGGACCTGATCGGGGGGGGGGCAGAGTGGGTGTGGTTTGCCATCGGGACCTTTTTTTCGCCAGCGCCCGATTTACCGCCGGATCAACGATCGGAGGTGCCGCCATCTCGAGTTCCGCCGCCACGGGACTTGATCATCATGGGAAGACCACTCCGAGCTAACAAAGTGCGATTTAGGATTAGAGAGTACATGGTATATAGCTCCGGGAATATCTCTGGTTTGATCTTTCTTTCTATTCTCTAACATAGTCATGTCTGTCATGACTCTTGCTTCGTTTCAAGTCATAATAATTACAGGCCATGTTCATCTATCTATTCCATCTTTTCATCCAACGAGAACCAAGGGTATCAAAGGCCAACAAACGCCATCCAAACCTGGTCTGATGTTTCCCCACATTGAGAGGGGTTGCCAGAGCACAGTCTGGCAGGGCGCTTCTCGAATATTCAAGATGTCCACTTCACAATGCCCTGCCCTCCCATCGTTATAGGCCAAATATAGCATGCGAATGACAATCCCGGACAGCCGTTCGAACGCTTCACCGCACACCACGACCCCGAGGCAGCGCACTTGGTCGCCCCCTGTCGGCACCTCTCGTAGCATACCGGCTTGTCGTTGAGCCTCGTGTAGAGCCTCTCGTCGTGCCTCTCGTTGTACCGCCTCGGGTAGTACCCCGAGTGGTACCCCGGCTAGGAGCAGAATACTTCGAGGTTGGTCTGGAGGAGACGGTGCTGGGAGGGTGGTCGACAAAAGATGTGTCCGTAGTCCTAGGCGAGGGTCAATTGGTGAACCCTGGGTTGGACGGGAGCATAGCCATCGCGACGACGCTTTCCCAAGGTGTGACGAGGTATCCAATACTCACAAGAATGTCATTTCGCCATCTTCCGGTCGGAGTGGCTCATTTTCTGCCTCTTTGCAGGGTTTGTTAGTACGTGGGCTTCCATTGACAAGATCAATCCCCATTGCATGGGGATGCGGATGCGTTTGCATACCTTTCTGAGCCTCAGCCTGCTTGGCTCTCTTGAAAGAGTCGGTAATCGGGGCCTGACAGTAGTGAGTATTGACCTCCCAATACAATTTCCTCATGGAACACGTCTCCAATGGCTCTGTGGGCCTACCTCTGGGAAATCCACACAAAACGCGTTCATGTTCATGCCGTACAGGAAACTAGCAAAGCTCTCGCTAAAGCGCGTCAAACTCTCGTGCATGAGCTGCAGGTGCATGAAATTGGCCTCCAGATCGGCCATAGAGTCGGCCAATTCTGCAAACTGTGGTTCCAACGCATTGATGGCGGGCTGGTTGTATCCAGCATGGCTGATGCTGTGACCGTAGCCATGCGCTTCCCGGAGCGAGGAGCGTGAACTCGGTCGCAAAGGGGTTGTGGGGCGAGAGGAGAGCCTTGGTCGCGAGGAGGATCGTGGTGCAGGGGCGTCCATAGCTTTTGGGCGTTGTGATGGTGTTGTTTGTTTTGGGGAGAGAGGGGCAAGGCGGAAGAGGTCAAGTGGGTTTTCTGGAGTGGGCGATCGTGAGCGCCTCTACTTTTTGGGCGTGCAGCTGTTGGAAATTGGGGCTCGAGGGCCGACAATTAGGAGGGACTGTAAATAGGACTAGGAGGAACTGGGCGTGATTTTGAGGTGCATCCGAGGAGGAGAATAGGAATGGACCAAGTTGAGGATAAACGTCGCGGCGTTGATCTCCCGCGGGTTGTTGCCCGTGACTGGCTTTGACTTCAACTGGACATGCGACCACACGAAGAGACCACCATATTACTTATGGTGATGGCCAGAAGTGCCCACCACGTATCAGCCTGGTCTATATAGAACCGAGTTCTACTGCAAATAGATAATATCATAAAGAACGACTATAATACCACCATCAATCCACGCGAAAGAATTGAGTCTTTCCCCGCATTGCCACCCCGATCGTCATGGGCCTTGCTTTTGAGCGAATCCACTCGTGATCTCGCCTGAACTTCAGGCCCTGAAGGACTCGGCAATCTTCTCCTCCTCCATATTCCTTGTCCCTGGCCTGAGTTATATCTTTTATATATACGCCCTATCTCGCGCTCTGAATAATTATATTCCGGCCGTCCTGTTCTTTTTGCCCCCGCCACATGCGGGCCTGCTCAATTCTGCGCCGCATCTCTCCCTCGGCCAGTCCCCGTCCTGTTTCTTGTCGTATCAACTCCGCTGCTGCTTCCCCGGAAAGAGGCGCTCAGATCGCCTCCCAATACGCTCGTCAACCCCGACCATTTTCACTCGTGCGACCTTACTCCACACGGCCGCATTCTCAGGATCAACCGAGGGAAGCATCTTCTTTCTGGACTATCACATTCACCCTGCTGGCCGTTGGCGGAGGCGCCTGGCTCCACGATAAATACTTTACATCGACGGATAACTCGCCGCTGTCGCTCCCTTCCCCAACCCCTGCGTCGCAATCACACTCCTTCCTCCAAGTCATCGATACCCTGACCACCATGCCTATCGAACCCGCCCCGGGTACCGTCGGGACCCTGACCCCGGAACAAGAAGTCAAGCTGCAGGAGTTTTGGGTGTTGACCCTCAGAGTCTTCGGTGTTCCCCTCGACGTCCTCGAGGCCGAGCACGCCAATGGTAAAGGCAACGCCGAAGCGGCTCAGGATAAGAAGTCTTCCGGCAAACGCCGGGGATGGTCACTCTGGGGCAAGAGCGGCGACGATGAGGAGGACAAAAAGAGCGTCTCATCCGCGAGCGGGATCACTTCGAGTCTAGCCTCGATCAACATCACCGACGGTGACGACAAGCACGGTCAGTCCAAGGAATTCCAGCAGGCGCTCGTTGAGTTGCAGCCGGAGGAAATCCGCACGGCCTTTTGGAACATGGTGAAGCAGGATAATCCGGATGCACTGTTGCTGCGCTTCCTCCGTGCACGCAAGTGGGACGTCAAGAAAGCGCTGATCATGTTGATTTCGACGATGCGCTGGCGTCTGCAGGATGTGCACGTCGATGACGATATCATGGCCAACGGCGAGGCCCAGGCCCTGAAACAGGCGTCGAGTGCCGATCCCGCTAAGAAGCAGAAGGGCGAGGAGTTCTTGAAACAGATGCGCATGGGCAAGAGTTTCCTGCACGGCGTCGACAAGTTTGGCCGACCAATCTGCGTTGTGCGAGTGCGCCTGCACCGGGCCTCGGACCAGGAGGTGGACACGCTGGAACGGTTTACAGTCTATACTATTGAGACTGCCCGGCTGCTTCTGGCGCCTCCGGTTGAGACTGCAGTAAGTTACCACCTACGCAAGCCTGACTAAAGGCCTAGTTCTAATTATCATAGACTATTATTTTCGATATGACCAACTTTGCATTGGCCAACATGGTAAGCTTCATCTACTGGCTTTTTTATTCATACGCCACATACTAACGTGTGTTCTCAGGATTACACGCCTGTCAAGTTCATGATCAAGTGCTTCGAAGCGAACTACCCCGAATCTCTCGGATCCGTTCTCATTCACAAGGCGCCCTGGATCTTCTCAAGTCTGTCTCTCTCCATCCCAACCCCCATTCGACTCCAATCTAATTCAGTCAGGTATCTGGAGTGTCATCAAGGGTTGGCTCGACCCCGTCGTCGCCGCCAAGATTCACTTCACCAAAAACCGCGAAGACCTCGAAGAGTTCATCGCCCCAGGCCAAATCATGAAGGAGCTCGAGGGTGACGAGAACTGGGAATACGCATACGCCGAGATCAAGGAGGGCGAGAACGCTCAGATGGAGGACACGGAGACTCGCGACAAGTTGATTGCGGAGCGCCAGGTCCTGGCGAAGGAGATCCAAGATGTCACCATTGAGTGGATTCGCGCCAGCTACAAGAAGGAGACTGATGCTGTAAACGCTGCCAAGGATAAGCGGAATGGCTTGATCGAAAAGCTGCGCGAGCAGTATTGGGTTCTGGATCCGTACATTCGTGCCCGCTCGCTGTATGACCGACTCAACATTGTCAAGGGCGGTGGCAAGATTGAGTTCTACCCCGAGGCCGAGAAGAAGGCCGCCCAGGATGAAAAGAAGGTTAGCGGTGATGCGCCTGCGGAGACACCGGAGGCAACGGAGAGTGCTCAGTCTGCATGATCTTGTTGGAGAAACCCGGTGGCTGTTTTCGTGCCATGTTGGACTTTGTGATGGTTTGAATGTTGGCGGCTAGAATCGTGCATGCTGCGTGGTTGTATAGTATGGTATATACCGACGGCATTGGCGTCTTTCCTGGATAGCCGGTTAGTCTATATAGAGTGCGTCTGTCTATTCGGTGATTTTGAAAGAGGTTCGGGTTTTGTGTCAGGTGTCCCAATTCCAATTGAGCATTATATACGTCGCAATTTAACATTCCCAACGTACCAACCGAAGAAGCATTCAATGGCATTCAGACAATCCTCTATTGCTAGGACATCGGCCATTGCTTGAGGCAAACAACCCACATGACTCTTCGTGTTTCTGGAAATTTTTGGGCAGCAACCCCCATTTACATCTTAGACTTGATCTCCTCATACAGAGCCTTCAGCTTATCCATCTCCGACTCCTTAGCAGGCCAGCTAATACCCAGACCCTCCTGCTCATTAGGCTTGGGAATCTATAAAACAGTAGTGAGTAAAGGGTTTCTTGAAGACTGAAAAGAGGGCCATCCGGATGAGATGAACATACCATGTGGAAGTGGACCTGCAATACATTGTTTAGTAAGTTGCTTAATTTGAAGATGAAGTTGAATATGGGTGTACTCACGTGGTCAACGACCTGGTGCGCAATACGTCCGTTGTTCTGGAGGACGTTGAAATCGGTGGCGCCGCTGGCGAGAGCGATCTTCTTTGCGACGGGCTATACGAAAGACAAGCTGGTTAGCTGAGCATCCTGCGAAGAGTTACCAGCATGCTGTTGCTGTTGATCCCATTGGTTCCTCGATCTCTGTTAATTCTTGCGTCTGGACAAGGACCTTGGGGGTTGGTGGCCCCTAGTTCTCTGCCAACACCCAGTCTGCAGGGTTGACTGTCTTTTTTCACACTCTCTTATTCCTTCTGCTTTGCTGTGCATCGCAGTCCGGCTGCTCTCTACTTACCAGAATCTCAAGGAGGTCCTCGTCGGGGATGTCGGTCAGCTTGGCGCCGTGGAATTTGGGGATGACGAGCTATTCAACGACGAGTTAGCATCCATTCGAACACACAAAACGATCCCAATCGCAAACAGGATTCGAATTATGGTATATTCGCCGGCAGAGTCACTCCCAGGGCGCAGATTCAAATCGCATCAAGGCGACCATGATCGGTGCGGGGAAGGAGACAAGCGGGCGAGGGGATAGCGTACCGCATGGCCACGGCTGAGAGGCTGGATATCGAGGAACGCAAAGACCTTGTCGCTCTCGAAGATCTTGAAGGAAGGGATATCACCTAGGATGCGGGGTGTTAGCGGCCCATTGCATCCGCGTCAAGCTGGTAGGCAGGAGCTTGGTGAACTCGACTACGCGTCAAAGGAGCTAGCTACCCACCCTTGATAATCTTGCAGAAAAGGCACGTGGCAGAGGCCATACTGTCAGTCGATTTGGATTTTTGTAGAGGAGGGGTTCGGTGTAATTGAATGGAACAGTGTAGTTTGTTGCCAGAATACGAAGATCAAGGGAATTAATTCGAAGTCGAAGTCATGATCATGCGGGGTCAGCTCCGACCCGGCGGGGAAAGCAAAGAAAGAAAAGGCAGTGCGGGTGTCGGGGTTCGAACGCGGGTCGGCCAGTTTTCCAGGGAGGGGTTATGAGTTAAATTGTGAGAACTTCTCCGAGGAGTGGGACAGGCTAGCGCAGAACCCATTTCTTGCCTTTTACCAGAGATGGCCGTGGTTTGCCCACAATACTCCTCTACTCAATCTTTGGAATAACCTGCTACGACACAGCCGTCGTATCTTTTTTGGATTTTTTTTTCTTGATTATTATTGTGAGAACTAGAATTTATTGTTTTCTCTTTTTTTAGAGCTTTTTAGGACGTCTAGATCGTGTTTTGGGGATGGTTGGGGGTGCGCGGTGTGTGTGCATAACACGATCATTTGTGGTGTGTATACGAACCCTTTCGCCTGCCCACGACCAACACCCGCAAGTTCCTTTTGGAAGAGAGATTCCAACCCCAGATCAAATACCGTTTGTCACTATTTACCATGCGTGTATCAGGCTCAAATTCTCTCTGTCCAGACATCTTTGCTATTCACACACTACCTCCTTCTCCGCGGGAATCAACCCAATTTAATGCAATACAAAATGCCACCGCATTAATAGATCCATAGAACACCATAGGTACCAGTCCAAAGAAGAGATTTCCAGCAATACCCCGTCGAAGAATCAACTCCGCCAACTCCGTCCGCGCAATCTCCGGCGCAACGGGCGATTTGAAGGGACCGAGTAACCGAAAAAATGTGACGAATGAGGCGCCGAAGCAGTAAATCAGCAGCATCCGCAGCCCATGCTCACGGTACAACTCCATCAGTCCCGGTGCACCGCCAAAGTCTCGAGCTAGTGTGCCCATGTATGCGCTGTGGTCGACGCCGTATTGGATGCGTGACCCTTTGGCAGCTAAGAGATGGTAGTGTGGAGGATATTTTGGAATGACCATTTTCCCGGTGATAAGAGCTGTCCACCACATGGATTGTTGCTCGGCGATTGGGGGGATGGCACCGACGCCTGGGCGGACGAACCCGACGAAGGCGATATCCGGGTGGGATGGGTGGATGACGTTTCGAATTCGGGCGTCGGATGCTGTGGGATATGTGCTGTCAAGGTAGGGGAAGTGTTGATTGTACCTCTTACGGTGTTAGCTCCAGCAGGGGGAAATGATAGATATATTGAAAGAAGACTGACCCTCTACAGTATACCACACAGTCCGGCTTGATGACCTCGTTCTTCAAGCGCTGCCAATCCTTCCTTTCGGGGTTAGCTTGGAAATGGACTCGGCCAGAGTCATCCATATACTCATGTACAAGTATCGACGACTCGGTTGGAATTGGCATCTTCTGGCGGATCAATGTATCGAATCCCAAGACAAGCCAAAAGCGGATTGTGCTTTTGATAGGGCCGGTTGAGGTCTGGCATTGCCTTGCTACTCTTGTTGACGAACACGAATGCTCGACCCAGTCGCTCTTACGGAAGACCACCGACGTGCTGGTTCATACCAGCTTTCGTTCCTCTAAGAAGCCTCTGTACTTGCCTGATGGCGAAATCGGAGACGAACTAGCGTAGTCTGCTGCGGGCTATGGCGCGATGTACATATACGGTCTCGAAGAGGTTGGCGATGAGACCGTCGATGGGAAGGCCGCCACCGAAGGTCTTGCCAAAAATCTGGAAGCCACTGACTGCCTTGGGAAAGGAAAGGAATCCAGTTCGGAAGCACATCGTGACTGACTGGGCATCGGCTTTGATGGATTCATAGGCGATATCTTCCAGGCTCAAACATTAGTATGGAGGACAGCTGGGCAGATGGTACAACTTACCCATTGCTGTTTCCCCACATCCTAAGATCAGGACATTGCGGCCTGCTACCTGTGAGCGATCCTTGTAAAGTGATGAATGAAACACATCACCATTGACGTTCTCAATTCCCGGGATAGTGGGAATATTGGGCGCAACGTGTAGTCCCGTGCATATGGCAATGTGCGAACAGTCATAGAACTTTTCTTGCTTATCCTCAGAGTCTGTCCCGTCTAGGTAGTTGACACGAAGTATCCACTGGGAGCTCTCTGGCAGTCGGTCTACACGAATGACGGGGCTGTTGAGCTTGATATGGGTGTCCAGGTTGAACTTGGCAACATAAGATCGCAGATAGTCCACATATTCAGGAAGTGAGATATGATCAGGCCTATCCAGTGGCAAGCGATGGTCCGAGAATGTGGTCAACTGCTTGCTGCTGACCAGTTCTGCATTCTGATGGGATCGGTAGTTGAATGTCCCGCCAATATCCGCTTCGCTAGATGCTGTTAGTACGGAGTAATAGTAGACTATTCATCTTCCTTATGAATAGCTAGACTTACGCTCCAAATAGGCAAGCCTCAATCCGCTGTTCCGGTGTCGAGGCCTCTAGCAGGGTCTTGAGGGTAACTAGACCAGCAGGACTAGTTATAGGTAGTAGACCATTATCGTGGATATTGAGGAGTGAGAGAGGAGTGGCTTACCCTGCGCCAATAATCGCTACCTTAATCGACATTGTGATGGATGTCGCCTCACCGAGAATATCTTGATCGTAGCAGATGAGAAGTCGCGGTGTGATATGAACTGCAATTCGGAAGGTCAACTGCTTAGGCATTGACCGGTTTTCTCGCGTAAGCGCCAGGATGTATTGGGATATAAGCAATCGATCCTATTAAGTAGCACCTCGCTGTGCGCATCCGTTTCCATGCAATTGGGAGGAAACACGAGGTGAAAACCTGTTATTTTTCGCAACATCTAGAGATCTTCTATCAGCTTTAGCCCGTCCTCTGGTTTGATACGGCCTATAAATTAGGATGTGTGCCCGTGGGCGCTCGTTATATATCTGCTTACCCCGTACACCTAACATTGGGACTTAGATAGGTGTTGAATATCACAAGGAACAAAATGATCATCAATTGGAAGAAAGCTTGTACCAACATAACGAGACTAGCCGTTTCATACGAATATTGATGTGCATGATTATAGCGGAATCATAGCAATATAGACTCAGATGAAGATGCTCTGAAAGATGGGGTGAACTGGCCAATCACATTCGCCATATTGTCAGACCTTTTGTGGCCGATTGAGGTCCAGTGGCTGTTGCGACCACAGCACCAGAAGTACGATTTCATGAAAGCAATCAAAGCCAAGAATCAAGCTTCTTATTTCTTATTCCGGTCAACAACATAAATAAAAGAAGCCGTCACTACGAGGGCAGCAGAGCACTATCACGGCCTTCCGAAACCGGACTAGCGCCAGAGTCCCGTGTTCCCGAATTGCAGGCGGACACTGCGAAAGGTCCATCCACCTGCTCCTCACCACGCCAATCGGCAACCACTCCCCTCCAACAGGTCTCGCGATTCGCACGCAGAGGCCATGCAGAAGTGCCGGTCTATCAATCCTGCCCTGGGGTCGCGGGCCTTCACCCCTGCCCCGCGGGTTCAGGTTCAGTTCCAGCGCCGCAACCTCCAGGATGTCGCTATTACTCGCACCGGAAGGCCCGTTCTGAAGGTCCAGGGTGGCCGGTAAGCATTCAATTGCGCTGATTCTGGGTCTCTCTGGTTGCTAACTTCTTTGCGCCTGATAGCTCGTCCCTCGGAGGTACCGCTCATCCCTTGACGACTCGATCCCACCCGTCCGTGCGATATATACTCACCACTCATATCTAGGCCACACCGCGACTGTCTTTGGTGCCACCGGTTTCCTGGGTCGTTACATTGTCAACAAGCTCGGTAGGTTGAGGATCCTGTCTAGGATATGGGTGTGAGGAGCGGGAGGACTGACTTCCCGCAGCTACCCAGGGATGCAATGTGGTGGTCCCCTACCGTGAGGAAATGGCCAAGCGTCACCTGAAGGTCACTGGTGATCTGGGCCGTGTTACTTTCATTGTATGGAACTCATTGAAGCAAGAAATCGAACCGAAGACGCAGGTTGTCTGACTCGAACATAGGAATACGACCTCCGCAACACCCAGTCTATCGAGGAGAGTGTCCGTCACTCCGATGTTGTCTACAACCTCACTGGTCGCCAATACCCTACCAAGTGAGTGCATATATCAATGATTCGGGATCTTGAATAGTCAATTGACTGTAAATCAGGAACTTCTCCTACGCCGATGTACACGTTGACGGTGCTGAGCGCATCGCCGAGGCTGTCGCCAAGTACGACGTGGACCGCTTCATCCACGTTTCCTCCTACAATGCCCGCCGGGACTCTCCCTCTGAGTTCTTTGCCACCAAGGTCGGTTGATATTGCGGGTCTTGCTGTGACGTACAGGAAGGTACTAATGCGAATATAGGCATGGGGTGAGGAGGTCGTCCGCAAAATCTACCCCGAGACCACCATTGTCCGCCCTGCCCCGATGTTCGGTTTCGAGGACAATCTCCTTCACAAGCTCGCTGGCATGTCCAACCTGTTCACTGCCAACCACATGCAGGAGCGCTACTGGCCAGTCCACGTAAGTCTCGTGACACAATCGCCTCGACCAACATTGACTAACCCGCACTTTCTAGGCCATTGACGTCGGTGCTGCCCTCGAGAAGATGCTGCACGATGATAGCACCGTTGGCCAGACCTTCGAGCTCTACGGTCCCAAGAACTACTCCACCGCGGAGATTGCCGAGCTGGTGGACCGTGAAATCATCAAGAAGCGCACCCACATTAACGTCCCCAAGGCTATCATCAAGCCCTTTGCCTACTACCTCAACAAGTACCTGTGGTGGCACACCATGTCCGCCGACGAGATCGAGCGCGAGTTCATCGATCAAGAGATCGACCCCACGGCCAAGACCTTCCAGGATCTGGGCATGAACGAGATTGCCGACCTGGCGGACCTGACCTTCCACTACTTGCAGGGCTACCGTAGTGCCTCGTACTATGATCTTCCCCCGGCGACCGAGCGTGAGCGCCGCGAGGAGAAGAAGTACCTGCATGTGCTGGACGACCAGTAGTTGTGTGTTTTAATGTGTACATAAGCTGCTTCCTAGACGCGAATCTTATTTCCTTGTGTTGTCTGGATTCGATCAAAATCAATCTCGTTTGTCAATGCTATATTTCTTATCAACAATTTCTAGCCTGCTTCTTCAATGGTACATAGCGTACTTGTTCGCGTATCTAAGTGCGTAATTCAGTACTCAGTAATGTTCCTGCATAAGCTCCCACTCGATGCAGTTCCAGACAAGCTCCGCCCCGCACTCGGCCGAATAACATCATCTCCCCATCTCCAATCTCCCGCTCTCCATCTCAACTACAACACCCACCATAATGCCCCCTCAAACCCCAATCCTCCTCCTAAAAACGAAATCCTCTCCTCACGACGGCTACGAAGATTACTTCTCCACAAACGGCTACACACCCTCCTTCATCCCGGTCCTCGAACACCGCTTCCACACCGAGAACCTAGCTAGCGTGCGCGAACTCTTCGCATCCGGCGCTTTTAACACCGACACCACCACCACCACACCTGACAATGGATCCAAGGAGGCCAGTGTGTGTAAGAAGAAATATGGGGGCATGATATTCACCAGCCAGCGTGCGGTAGAAGCCTTCGCAGAGATGATCGAACAAAAAGGCCGTACGTCTTCCCCCTCCATAGAACTAAACTCCAATCCCAACCCCAGCTCTACAATCACCAATCCACACCTCTACATATACCATATACCATACCAATCCCTCTAAAAAATTCCCAGTCCCATTCCACCCCTCACAATCAACCCCCCTCCCCCTCTACACCGTCGGCCCCGCCACAGCCCGCGCCCTAGCACCCCTCCGCGACACATACCTCCCCACGGCAACCATCCACGGCGCAGACGCCGGCAACGGACATAATCTCGCCCACCTCATACTAGACCACTACAACGCGCTACAGCTACAGCTACAGCTACAGCTACGGCTACAGCAAGACCGCCCTTCCGACGCGGACGCGGATCTTGGTTCGCACAAGCCCAAGCCATCCCTGCTCTTCCTCGTCGGCGAACAGCGCCGCGATATCATCCCCAAGACGCTCATGGATACCGGGAGACCGGCGGCGGAGCGCATAGATGTAGATGAGATTGTCGTTTATGAGACCGGGGAAATGGGCTCGTTTGAGGTTGATTTTCGGGATGTACTGCGCAGGGAGAGGCAGGGTGCAGGTGGGGGGCCGATTTGGGTGGTTGTTTTTTCGCCGTCGGGGTGTGAGGGGATGCTTAGGGTTCTTGGGCTGGGACCTTTTAAGTCTGCGTCTGCTTCTGTGGACCGGGATGGTGATGGTGATGGTGAGGGGAGGCGGAGGGATGTGTTTGTTGCGACTATTGGGCCGACGACGAGGGATTTCTTGAGGGAGAGGTTTGGGTTTGAGGCGGATGTTTGTGCGGAGAGGCCGAGTCCTGAGGGGATTGCGGAGGGGATTAGGAGGTTTGTGGATGGGTCTGGGGAGTAGATGGATGTATATAGAGTGCAGATTTTTTTGATTCTCTGTACATTTGTTAGAATTGTATATACTAGGTGCGGATATGTACGCTATAAGAGGTCTTGAGCATGTTTCTACAGTACTATCGAGTTTCGAGTTTCAACGTTGGGATTTTAAACATGGATAGATCACCTCATAGAATTGCTATCCAGATTTGCCCTTGTTATCTAAACCACGGAGAAGTCGCGTCCAGGCTGACAATTGTTCGATTTGATTGCATGCTCAAACAGAATGACAAGAAACATTGCTATGGTCCCTCGCGCGGCGGTGCTTACCGCATAATCTCCTCGTAGATCAACACTAAGAATATAAGTTAGTGCATAAGCTCTCCTAGTCACGCCCATCTCATAAATAGAGGGAGTTGTCAGAAGACAGGTCCACGCAAACTCACACTTCAATTGCTCCTTGCTCAGCGAATCCTTGTTCTTGTCGAAATCAAAGAAGCCCTCTGGAATGGGCGGCGCCGTCGGCTCATCTTCGGGATCATGGTATGGTTCGAGGTACGGGTGGCGCAGGGCATCCTCAACGGAGATGCGCTTGGCCGGGTTAAAGGCCAGCAGCTTCTCGAGCAGGTCCAAGGCCAGGTCGTTGCTCTTGGGGAAGAGGGCGCGGAAGGGGATCTTCTTCTTAAAGGGGAGAGAGCGGATGTACTCGCGGGCTCGTCGGGACTTGATACCATAGTAGTCTTCCATTGTTGGCGTACCAAGGACATCCAGGATGAGGGTGAGCTGGTGGTGGTCTGGATATGAGTGTTAGTGGATTGGTATGCAAGGACCAAAACTTCCGGGCAATTGGATACTGTCACGTACAATCCTTGCCAGGGAACAGCGGCTTGCCACTCAGCATCTCCGCTAATATGCAGCCCACACTCCACACATCAATGGCCTTGGTGTATTCCTTGAATGTCAACATGATCTCCGGGGCCCGGTACCAGCGAGTGGCCACATATTCGGTCATGAAGCCAGAGTTGTCGTCGGTAGAGGCGGCCGAGCGGGCCAGACCGAAATCGCATACTTTCAGATCACAGTTGGCGTTGAGCAGGAGATTGGAGGGTTTCAGATCACGGTGCAGGACGTTGGCAGAGTGCATGGCCTTGAGAGCGCGCAGTGTCTGGTAGATAAAGTATTGGCAGTGATCATCTGACAGATCTTGCGTGCGGATAACACGATGCATGTCAGTTTCCATCAGCTCCTGCCGACCAGTTAGATTGATCATATCAAGTTACGCGATTGATTAGTCCTTGCCCTACCTGAATCAAGTACACTTCATTGAAGCCCTCGTAGTTCCGGGGCCGTTGGATATCCAAAATGGAGATAATGTTCTCGTGGTTGAAATAGCGCAGCAGCTTCATCTCACGCAGTGTCCGCAGGCAGAACATGGAGTGGTCGAAGGGGGTAATCTTTTTGATGGCGACCTTCTGGCCGGAAGGCTTGTGGATGGCAGAGCTGGGAGATCATGAGTTTTGATGTCATATAAATTAGGAATCAACGGGCAAGAGAGTGCTTACCAGACAACACCGTATGCGCCCTCACCGATCACATCCTGAATCTCATATTGGTCGGACACATTGAAGGAAATCTTGCGCGAGCCTCCCTGGGAGGGGTTCTGTTGAACCATAATGACGGTTCTGCGGGTCTGAGGTTCCTGGTCAGCTCTCATGGTCAAGCCAAAAGCCCAGGACAGGGCACGGGAGAATGGGAAGCATTCCATGATGCGGGGAAGTGGTTCAAACAAGCTCAAGGGAATGACAGAAAAGCTAGGTCCCCGGGCAACCTGCCAGGCCCAGGTTTGGGAAGGAGAGGTGCGACACAATCGGACAGAGTTGGGACGAAACAGAAAATCCAAGATTCACAAGCACAGTGACCACGAGTATCCAAAGTTTGGAGGGCAAACAGCGCATCCACAGCAAAAAAGCCGCAAGACGCAGGACTAGAGTAAAGGCGAGCTTACATTTGTTTGCGCACTGGGTATAAATGCAAGTCCTGTTCAGAGCTGATCTTGTCTATGAGACTTTGTACAATCCGGGGGCCGCGAGGAGAGGGGGAAGGAGGGGTCGACGAGCTCTGGGCGACGGTGCGATCAGGGGGAGGGAGGAAGGAAGGACGAGGATATCAGTGGCGAGGAGAGCGAGCGACCGAGCTCTGAAGGAGTGTATCAGAGGGAAAGAGCACCGCTAAAGGGGTGAGCAGGTCTCGGGAGGCTGAGAAAGGGTGGTGTCTTGGTTAGTGAGCTGTTTGGAAGATGGAAGTGTGAGGACGATGAAGCCGTGCCGAGGCGGGGGTTTGGCGGGTGATCGCCAGCAAAACAATCGCAGTAATGGAAAATGATTTCACAGTAGGGTCATGATATTAGCGCGACGGAGGAGCACCACAGCCACGTACCAGGGTTTATCTTTTGTGCGGTCGCTGTTCTCTGTTTTTGTGTCTCAGGTACTCAGGTGAGGTGTAAGGTTGGAAGATGGGAGGTGTTGGGTGGGGGGAGAAGAGAGGAATCAGCGGGACTCAGTCATGGGCCGCTGGGTCGGGCGTGTGGTGGGGCAAGACGAGGAGGAAAAGGGAAAAGTATATGAAAAGTAATAGGAAAGGGTGGAAAATAATTGAAAATGATTGCTGGACAAATGATTGGGAAATGATGGAGGGGAGTCTGGTTAATATAGAATGCGGGATATAGAAAGGTATCGAGAAGAGGGAACTTGATTCGGGGAGAGTCTGTCTCGTTATGATCGAGAGGCTGGTGAACTAGTCTTACTGCAATTTCGATTGGTATACTGAGTAGAAGAGAGAAAATCCAGATTAGGATAGTTCTACTCCGTACAGTATTCATGTGGAAGACCATGGGCCGATGGTCTCATACTCCGTCGAATGTCCATGATCGTCTTGGATCTATCCAGTTGACTGACCTGGACCAGGATGCTTCTAGATCCGGGCCATCCTGATGGGTATCCTGGTTCGGTACTTCTGTAATGACCATAGAGAGACATCTAGTCTCCTGCTCCCCTGAGAGAATCTCTGGATATTGCATTGTTTATCTTCCACTGAACCTTGGCTCTGGCGGGGGTCTTGACTCCACACTAAACCAGCTAACTAACCCCGTCTACTCCGTACAGTGCTATGCTATACACACCAAACTAGTAGGTATCGACACAGGACCCGAATATCTCCTATACTCTCCTCTTCCACCAACTATTCACACCCTCCATCACCACGCTCTTCCAAAAACAGAGTTCCCGCCACCAGCGCCAAAGGGCTCGCCCTCCTCTCTCCAGCCCCGACTGAACGGCGCTACTGTCGGAACTGGTCACAATCACAGTGACTCGCCGTCTCCACCCGCGGACCGCTCCATGGGCTCGATGATTGGAGCACTCGGCCTCCTCCCTGGTTTCACCACCACCGAGCCGGTGTCTGATGCGTCTGATTGGCGTGGTGATCAAACCGGAGAGGCCCAAAGAAGATTCAAAAACAGACAAGATGGTTGGAACTTGAGAGATGCTTGGCGAGGGGAGCAGACACGAGAGACGCAGACTTTAAGACACAACTGGTACACTCTCCCGGACCTAGTGAACACTAACGACGTGCGAAACGAGGCCGCTAATGCCACTAAGGAAACTATTGAGGCTGAGGCGCAACGTGGGATACAAAAATAACATAAACATCCATTTTCGGGGGAACTACTCATGGCCGGCGTAGATGGTCAGCGGGCTTCTAGGCGCCCTACAAGGAGGAACAGACGAGAAGATAGAGAGAAAAAAAGGAGAGAAGAAGGCGAACAGAAACAAACCCTGGTCTACTTCCAAAATAGGGGAGGATGCCCGCATAGAGAAACCCATGCCCTTCATCCGTAATGGTACAGGCGGGAGATCGAGCAAGAGGACAGGGAACGGGGAGGAACGTGGAGGATTCATGAGGATGGAGAGTTGGGGGGAATGATGGGAAGGAGATTCAATACGGGAGGTAACGAGCAAATACAAAAAAAAAAGGAAGAGCATGTTACTGCACAACCTGGTAGAGAGCAAAGAAGTCAGTCGGAGAGAAAGACTTGAACTGTCAAGGTCATCATCATACCTTTTCCCGCAGCGTCGTCATCCATTGATCCAAGCTGACGCTCTGGTCCGCGCGGTCCTCCACCAACATAGTCTGGGCCCAAAGCCGCAGACCAGGCTCGCCGTCCTCCCGCACCACGTACAGGTGAGGCACAATCATGCTGCCCACCCCCTTCGAGTGGTGGTCCCGGCTCTTCTCAATCACTGCTCGCACTCGCTGGTTGAACTCGTTATCCACCTCGGGCAGAGTCGTCTTACCAACCCGCAGCTGGTTCTTGTCCGCCACACCAAACACATCCTCAATGAGCTGGGGAACGGCGTCACGACCGACCCACAGGAACTGCGTCTGGCCATCATCAATCAGGTACAGGCCGTATGAGGCAATACGGCCTGAAGACAGGTTGACCGTGGGCGGAAGAAGGATCTCGCCGGTCTGCTCGTCGGGCACACCTGCATTGTCGGGCATGTCGTGGAGAGAGTACATCTTGGGGTAGATGTATTGGATAAGGAGAGGCAGAGGTAGAGTCGACAGAAGGCAAAGGGCGGCTGAACGCATATCCGTCGGGATCTGAGCGGACTTGCGAAGACCAAGCTATATGAAGTCGATTAGTTAACCGGTAATCATATAATTATGCTATGCCGCATGGGATCGCACGGATAGCATGGGGAAAAACCTACGTTCTTGATTAAAGCAAGGAAGAGGACAGGCAGACCGCGGAGGTTAGCTGGGAACTGGAGACCACTACCGCTGACGCTGCCACCGGCAAGCTCCTTGCGGTAGGTCGTCAACAACTCGACAATCTTCGTCTGCAGAGCCTCGCGAGCGGGCTCGAGACCACTGCTGAGAGCACGCTCAACAGCCTTGTGGCTGAAGAAGGTGGCCACAGCCTGCTGATCAGCCGAAGCATAGATGTCGGCCAAGTTGGTGGTAGTAGGCAGCGCAACGGTGATGACCCGAATCCGGCGCTCGCCGTTGCAGGTGGTGTGAAGCACGGCGGCCTGCAAGCACACAACTGGCTTGGCCACGGTCTCGTCGATAGCAACCTCGACAACATAGGCCTGGTCGCGGGGGAAAGCGGGGAACGCGCAGAGATCGGAGCTGCGGTTGAAGAAATTACCGTAGAAGGTGCTCATACGCAGGCCAGTGGTGGCACGAACGCGGAGCACGGCCTCCAGACCGATCTCAGAAGAGAGATACTCGGAGAATTCGCGGGCGAACTTCATAGCGTCCTCAGACCGGGCCGCGTTCCAGCCAGGGTAGAAGTAGGTCTGTCCACCAGTATACCGGGGCAAGCAGCTAAGAGAGGCAACGTCCTGATATTGGGACGAGAAGAGGAACATATCGACGGAAACCTGAGCCTTGGAGCATTCAACCGCAAAGCTCTTGTAGAAGGAGTTGGCAGTCTGCAAAAGAGCGGACTCCTTGCTCGTACCCAGCACCTTCTTATCCTCACGCATGGTGAGTGCCCCGTGACCGACGTTGGGCAAGGATGCGCTCAGCACGGTCATTTTACCTCCCACGGGCGAGATCAGCTTGTAACCGGCACGTAGAGCTGAGCCCATGGCGCAGCTGTTGTTCTGGGTGTTCTGGAACATCGTCTGCAGCTTATCCAAGAATGTCTCAATGTTCTCCCGGCATTCGCTCAGTGTCACCAGGAGGTCACCGGGGATGGGGAGGAAGGGCTCATCGAGGTCGCTTATAACCAGCATCCGAGGGTCTGAGCTGGCGGAGCCATCGCGGGGGATACTGAAGTAGTGCAGGCTGGAGTCGACTGCGACGAAGCCAAGACGAGTCCGTCGGTCAGCGTTGGGAATGCGGTCGAGGCTCTCCTTGATGCAGCGTGCGATAACGGCCAAAAGACCGCTAGTCACCGACGCATAGCTCACATCGATCAAGAAGAGGTAAACCAGTGGCTGTGGGGGTCGAACCATGTATTCTTGAGGCGCAACGAACTCGACCATGCTGTGGTTCAGATCGGCGCGGAGAGCACGATCAGCAGGCCGTTGGTGTGTCGAATCCCAATCAAAGGCCTGAGGAACATCATTGGTGAGGTTACACATGTTGCATCGCCAGCGGTGGCCATGGTCGAGGAAGGTAACGAAAGGATTGATATAGGAGCGGCAGCGTCTGCATCGTGAAATGACTTGGTCCGGGATGACAGGGACAGGATCCTCGGCGTCGTGAAGAGCGGCGTAAGGCTGAATGACAAGAGCGAAAGGCAACTTGGACTTCTTGAGGAGTGAATTATTCGTAGGGACTGCATTCAACGTAGACCGCATATATTTGGGAGGGCAATTGGCGGTGGGAGAGTCGAAAACGCTGGTCTGCGGGGGTTGTCAGTCATCTTGGGCGATCCTCGCACCAGGAAAGCATGCACGGGAGCTCCTCGACGTACCTGCGGAGGCAGAACAATGGGAGGGAGAGGGGGTAGTCCAGCTCTGCGACATTAAATGGCTGAGAGATGAGGTCTGTCGGGTAGAGCTGGTTGAGTTGGACGTTGCGTTGGGGCTGCACCGCAGGCTGTGGCTGTGGCGGGGGCATGTGGTGCGGCTCGCTCATGCCCATTCCGCCGAATTGCTGGGTCATTTGCGAGACCCCGTCCGAAGGAGGAGCGTAGCCCGCGGCGGCAGGCTGCATCTGAGTCGGGTCGGCGCCGTAGGTCGGCTGTTGATATCCCGCAGCCTGCGGCTGCTGGGGATAGGCGCCGTAAGCACCTCCGGCAGTGGGCTGGCCTCCCAGCGCAGCATTGGCACCGGAACCAAACTCAAAGGCCTCGCCTGCGTATGCTCTCTTCTTCTTGGCTGCGGCACCAGAGGGCGGCGCTCCCTGCGGGGGAACGGCAGACTGTTGCTGTTGTGTGGGATCCGGGGAGACATAACCGGGCTGGGCGTACCCTTCCTGGGGAGGGTAACCCCCTTGTGGAGCCGCCATGAAGATCTGCTAGCGGTCGACGTATGCGAAAGGGAATTGCTCCACGGGATTGGGGAGTCGAAATGGGCGACGAATTTCGAGGGGGAGGGTGGTTGTGGTTGAGATGGGGTCGCGGGTGACAGCTTCGCTAGAACCCCACAATCAGCTTTACCATCGACCAGGTTGGGGTCAATATGGAACGGGCGAGCACAGGAACACTGTTCAAGGGAAAGCAGACAAGCACAGAGACGGGGTTAGATCATACCAGAGGCACAGGGACGGAGGGGGAAGGGAAGCAGAGGAGGCGGTGATGGCGAAGGTGGCCTTTAGGTTGTGGAGGGCCAACCAATCACGGGGTCGCGGCCACATGAGAGCTCGGCCACGGCCAAGTTAGAGGTATACCCCATGATGTTCAGAATTATCTTGGAAGAGAAAGGAGATCTATTGATTTAATATATCATAGATCAGCTGGAAAGGTATATCATATGCTGTCCTCATTAACATTTTCTTTGGTGAATATATATCTCCAGGCCATGACAACCCCCCTGTGGCTGATTTATGCATCCCGATACTCGATCCGACTAGCATGCTTAGTCCATGCATCATGGCACAGACCAGTCGATTTTGGTTGATTTGAAAGGTTTCACACCTGAGTCAAGCTCTTTCATATCCTTCCTAACTACTATCCTTACACTCGTCTCTATAGTTCATTGCTGTTGCATAGCACTCCTACTGCAGTACTGTAGAGAGAATGTGGTCGGCTAAGGTAGAGTGGTTGCCCGGCCAACACCACCCACCACAGTGTCTTCCGCTGCACACGAACACCTCCACACCTTCAATCTCCAGTCTTGCATCGCCGTCCGCCACAGTAGGTAGTTTTTCGTTTCTTTCTTTTGGGGGATTTTATCTATACTTTTTTCTTCCTTTTCTCTTCATTTGCATTCTTGTGGTCCATCGAGCGAGGGAATTGGAACGCCAAATTGGACCAGAAATCTCCGAACACAGCACGAATCGCCAACCACCGTTGAATGTGTGAATTATCACAATGAGTGTTCGGGTCGTCGCACGTGTACGACCACTTCTCAAGTCTGAGCGTGATTTCGATGTCATTCTTCGCACAGGTGCCTCTGGCGCCACCGAGGCCAAGTCGCGCGAGTCCTTGAACGATGACCGAAAGCTGGCGGCGTTGAGGGATCGGGATAACGTCGTCCGTATCCCCAACCCAAAGAACGAAGGGGAGGAGTACACTTTTCAATTCAATGCGGTTTACGATGCGGATGTGACGCAACAGGAGTTATTTGATGCAGAGGGTGAGTGGCTTCTCGAGTTGGGTTTTGCTGGAAAGCTTTGTGTCGCATGTCAATGGCCATCGCTCACCCGTTTTGTTTGTGATAGTCGCTCCCACGATCAAGCACCTTTTCAATGGATTCGATGTTACCCTCTTTGCCTACGGTGTTACTGGAACCGGCAAGACACACACGATGCGCGGCGGTAAAAGTCTCGCGGACCGAGGTGTTATTCCCCGACTCCTGAGCGGCATCTACAGACGGAGCCGAAAGATGGAAAAGGACAGCAACGGGGAGACCACCGTGCAGGTCTCTCTGAGCTACTACGAGATTTACAATGACAAGGTGTACGACTTGTTTGAGCCGCCTGAGAAGCGCACGCTCGCAGGCCTTTCTCTTCGGGACAATGGAGGCAAGACAGTGGTTTGTGGGCTGACGGAGAAGCCGTGTACGAGTTTGAAGGAGTTCGAGGGCCTCTATGACCAGGCAAACACCAATCGCTCGACTTCGGCGACGAAGGTTAGTTTGAAGAAGTCTACTTGTATCTTGTTCTCGCATTGCTGACAATGTCCTTACAAGTTGAATGCCCATTCGTCTCGTTCTCACGCAATTCTTGGAGTGAAGATCACGGTCACAACACCGGAGAAAACTCGTATCAGTACTGCTTCTGCAATCGATCTCGCAGGCTCGGAAGATAACCGAAGAACCGAGAATGATAAGGAGCGCATGGTGGAATCAGCCAGCATCAACAAGAGCCTCTTCGTTCTGGCACAGTGTGTCGAGGCAATCACCAAGAAGCAACACCGTATCCCGTATCGCGAGTCCAAGATGACTCGGATTTTGTCGCTGGGACAAAACAACGGCCTGACGGTGATGATTCTCAACCTTGCTCCCGTTCGCTCATACCATTTGGACACTATCAGCTCTCTGAATGTTGCCAACCGCACCAGAAAGATCGAGGTACGAGAAGTCGAGAATGATCCGATTTTCAAGGGTCCTGCCAGACCCGCTGTCCGGCCGTCTCTGGCAGCAACCCGAAAGCCGTTGCAGCCCCTCACTGCTTCAGTCCATGTCAATATGCCTGCTTCTGTCGTCAAAGACTCAGCCAAGAAGGATGAAGACAAGCCCTTGAAGGCTTTCAGTGTTTACTCCGATCGATCCCAGCCCAAGGCCGTGACCCAGATTCGAAAGGCCGAGGTTTCAAAGAGATCTTCTCTCTCTTCTGAACATCCAATCCGAACGTTGAAGCCACCTCGTCCAAGCTTTGCCCCGCCACAGATGAGCTACGGTGATATCTGCGCAGCCAGGATTGAGGAAATGGTTGAGAAAAAGGTTGAAGAGATTCTGGCTGTTCGGGCTGTGAGCGAGCAGTCAAGACAGACTCAGGTTTGGGAGCTGAACGAGCAGCTTCAGCGTCGATTGGAACAGCTCGAACAACGCATCGAAGGCACTGAGGACGCCCGCGCCGAGGGTCTCTCATACCTCCTTATGGCCAAACAGCACCAGGCGCGTGGCGAGAACTGCTCCGCATTGAAGATGTACCAGCTTGCTCTTCCACATTTTCCGCACAATGAGAAGCTCGCAGCCAAGATTGCAACTCTGAAGGAGCGCATTCATGGCAAGCCTCAGGCTCGTCAGTCTGTCCCTCAGGTATCGCCGCCTAAGGGCAGATTCGGAAGCATGCTATCTCTTAAGAAGGAGCCTACTCTTACACTGGGCAAGCGTCAGGCGGAGGATCTTTACAAAGACTATGCGGATCAAACTGGCGGTAACGGATTCTCCAGCGATGAGGACAGTATTCTCCCGAAGCCAAAGAAGCGTGCTACATCCAAGTCTCTCCGTCATAATGGGGGTGACCTGGAGGCACTGGATGAGTACGAGGATCCCTCTGTCTCCCCACGAACCATCCACCTTCTCTCCATCATCAATTCGCGGGATGTGAGTCAGATCAAACTGCTGAAGGGCGTTGGCGCCAAGAAGGCGGAGGCTATCGTCGACTGCCTCTGCGAGATGGACCATGCATTGGGTACCGGTGATGAAATAGTCTCCGACCAGCCGCATTTCCAAGTGAGCAGCCTGACGGAACTGAGCACGTTGAAGGGCGTGGGTGTTCGTACAGTCGAGAACATGCGGAACGGAGTTTTGGTTTGATTTTGCATTTGCAGTTTCCATGTCTTGGGCATTGACTTGGGCATTTTGTTGGTTGGGTTTCATGCATCTTCCTTCAGCGACGGTGCTGGGGCGTTTTAGTCTAGCTTTTGAATTAGAACAATGGAGTCTCTTCAATTGGTATGCATCTTCTTTCTTGAGAGTGTGTAGACATATCATATGTCGAGTACATAACGTCCCTGATTCAGGATGATAAGAGTGGAGGTGTTGGATAACTCTCGGCCCTTGGTATACCCACAGGTCTTATTACACAACCCCCTATGAAGATTTCCATTTAAAGTGCCAAGCAATCCACCTCTACTGGAATGATTCAAAGAACAAGCCCAATTAAGTAGTTCTGGGATATCAAATGCCAGCGCTTTGCTCTCACTTTGGAATCTAGCTAGAAATTGCGATATGTAGTATTCCATGAACCCTACTATCTGTACGTGGCAGCGAATCATCCCTTGATTGAAATGTCAATGCATCCCGTCTATCAATGCTCAATTAAATCGTTATAGAATGCACCTTGTTGAAAACCCGCAGAACCCAAATACCCTGTCTCAATCGATCATCATCATTTTTTGTCTTACACCTTCCCCAACTTCACACCACCAACAACAATCCTAGCGACAACGAACAGTGTCGCCCCCGCAAGCATAACTACACCGCAAAAGACCTGTAGCCTCATGTACGAGCCGGTCAAAACATCAGGAACGAGGGCACCGCCAATCGGGGTGCCAGTAAGCGCAGCGAAGGAAATGATCGAGAAACACGTGCCATTGCGGACACCGACCTCACGTAAATCAGAAATTTGGGCGATGAGTGCTGGGGCAAGGGAGACGAAAGCGCCGGATCCAAAGCCGTACATGGCACTGAAGACGATGGCTGGGGCGTTGCTGCGTGATGGAAGCCATAGGGCTAGGACGAGGATGGCGGAGAGATAGCTGAAGATGATCATCACGTTGTATCGGCCGACGCGGTCTGCCAGGTAACCCGGGACTGTACGGCCAAAGATACTGCATTGAAGATTAGCCAGTGATAAAAAAAGAAGAGGAGGTTAATTTACCTAGCCGCATTTAAGATCGGAATGAGATACTGCGACAAATGCTGCGACATGCCATATCGCTGCGCCTGCGTGATAACAAACGTAAATGGCAAAAACATCCCCCAGAAGAAACAGAAGCACGCAGCAGTCGTAATGACGAATTTTTTATCCTTCAGCGGACGGACAAAATTCATAAAAGCAAACGGTTTCTTCGTATGCTTCAGCCTCGACTTGAGGGTAAGATTGGAAACGCCCAGCATAGCCAGAATCAAAAAGGCGCAGATGCGCATTGCCCATGGGAAACCGACCTTCGGAATGAGATTCGTCACCATGATGGGGAAAATGACACCTCCAAGGCTTGATCCGGAGGCTGTGATGCCTAGTGCGAAGGCGCGACGTTTGGCGAACCATGTGCTGACTGAGTTTACGCTGGCGTTGAATACGGCGCTTGCGCCGAGGGGACTGCAGATTCCTTGGGCGAGGATGAATTGGTAGTACTCCGTTGAGAGGGAGGCCATCATGAGGCCGAAGACGTGGAGGAATGTGCCGCCGAGGAGGATGTATCGGGGGCCATAGTTATCGAAGAGGGTGCCGAATACGGGGCCCTGGTAGATATTGGCGTTAGTATTAACTAGGCTTTGATATTAAGCAGGTTCGAGAGACACCTACAGCAAAGAACATGACGAATGTCTCCAATGAAGTGATCCATGTCACGGTACTGGTGGACATGTTGCTGAGTTGATGGCTCTCGTAGTACGTCTGGAAGACACCGATGCCTAGACAAGGTCAGAGGTGCGTTGTTTTCACAAGATACCAGTCACACATACAGTTGATCCAGCCAAAACTGACGAACAAGCCGCAAAAAGCTCCCAACACTGTCATCCATGCCGCGACTCCTCCATCTGGTGGAGGGCCGGGGCCTGGAGGACCCGCAGGTGCTGGAACGTCAACCTCACTCTTCTCCGGTAAAGGCTCTGCATTGGCATGATTTTTCTCTGAACCGACGGGGTCGGCTGTGTGAACACCCTTCTCAAGGTCATCATTCACTTGATCGCTCATGGCTGGCGTTGAAATATCTGACTGCGCAGTATTTGTGCTAGCACTGTCGTGGATAGAGGGAGTCGCATGCTGGTTATTGGAACTCATTTTCTCGAGGCTGCTGTCTTTCGAAGACAGTAGACCAGTCCCACACCTCGTTCGATTGATGGGTCCAAGTCTGTGCCGGCTCTTAAGTCATGCGACTGGGTTCAAGAGTAGCCTGTGCGACAACACATGTGTTAGAAACTTGTATACTCGACGGATCTCTCATTCCGAAGATAGTCCAAAAGGCCATTGCCTGTCAGGGGTCTGCGACAGGTAGACATGAAAATAACGAGAGTATACGATTCCATTGGACTGGAAATTTCGCCTCAAATCTAAGATGCGCGGCGAAATCATGCAACTTACTTGAAGGTTGATATTCCACAACGAGAGACAAGAGACTCTAACGCCAGCCTTTGCAATCCGAACCTCGGCCCGCACTCTTATTTGTGAGCGTAAATGCGCCGGACTGAGTGGTGCTTGATGATAGGCGTTATAGAACTTGGGGGCCGGAAGTGGTTCCTATCGCGAGGAAGTGGACGTTGTTGCCGTGTACGGACAGAGGAAAGAGATAATGAATATGTACAAAAGCAAGAGGGAGACCAGAGTCGCCAGCAACTGCAGGAAATATATGAAGAGATGCAAAAGAGAAAATCCCGGGTCGGGCTCGTTCGCGACTTCGGTCATCGCGGCAAGCTAAACTCCGAGCACGATCGTGTCGGCGTCCACATTGCGATTGTATGAATGCCGCTAACCACGAAGAGAAGGGAGTCGACAAACAGGGCTCAGGCTGGTTTGGCTCGTCCTCGGGAGGGCACCAACTCGTCCCCACTTTGGAGCTCGATTTATCATCGTCCACGGACCTCCGAAAATTCCTAAAAGTCCTGTTCTGGACTCCGAGTGCTTAGCTCCGGGGATGGGACGGGCCTCTCCGAGGTCTGTCCGGGGCCTTCGTCGCATTTGGGTACTGTTTGGGGGCCTTTGCGGTTAGGACTATCGGGATGAGGGGCCAAAAAAAAAAGGCGCATGAATCAATCTTGTCCAGCGAACTGACTCGTGTTATGAGCAGATCCAAACACAGCAATTAACCGAGATGAAGCTCGCGGGGAATGTGTATGGAGTATTAGGTCCATATTGTAGTCTGTTTGTACAGTGCTGCGGTCTATTCGAAGTAGGCGGGGAGAAGCCGTGTGGATCTGCCGTGATTTGTTGATTAATCGGAAAATTGGCGGTTGGCCTAACGGCGTTTGAACCCGCGGTCTCTCTACGGTTTGTGATCGATTGCCTGCAGCTGGTTACGTGCAGGGCGGAATTTAAAAGTACTAAACCAACCAGGGCGAAGGAAATAATAGGCCTTCAAATATTACAATTTCCTAGCGGGAAAGGAATACATCGCCTACCTCAAGTACTTCCGTGCATGGAGCTTATTGTCGCTGACTATGCCTTGTTTAGGATAACTAATCGGAGCTTTCGTAGAATGTTTGCTAGGACTTGCGACCCTAACGTTATGGACCCTAACGTTATGGGCCCTGCTTATGTCAGATCGCTATTCATGTCAGAACATAGCGTTCGGACATATTATTCGGTCTTTTGGCCTGTTCGGTTAGCAGGTCTGGGCGCGTGCCATAACAACGTTAACTAGTCTTGGCGTCTGCTAAGCACTAACGGTATCATTAGCAGTGTCCCGCACAAGTAAGCTTCACGGAAATATGAGCCGATATCCATTGTGTGAGGATCAAACGGAGGTCAATTATCTACATACAGTAGTTTCGTTCTTGTTTTGTCTATTATTAATTGAAGTTAATTTTGCACTTGGTTTTCAAACACGATTAGCTATCATGCCATGCCAGTGAACCTCTGATGATAGAGACATAGGCTGACAGCCCCCAAATTTCCGTTTCAATTCGAAGGTGTTATCGGATCCAAGACAATCTGGACATCCCCAAAATTAGCAGCAAATGACTGAACTGCGGCAGGTGCATTGACTGTGGTGGCTGGATTGATTGAAGTTAAGCTTGAACTCAGGACCACTCTTTGTAGGCTGGGGAACATTTTCTAAAGGTATATATGCGAGAGATTAGTTAATGAACTTGAAAAGGGACGGCGTAAGCAACCTTGCAGCGTTCAACGAATCGTTTCTCCACACGATCGTCGAAAAGAATATGCGTATCCGTTGGCATTATCATCGCCAACCGAATATCAAGAACCCGAAGAGCCGGAGCTTGAATCTTGGGCAGATAGAGAAGCTTTAACTTTTCCCAAAATTGAATAGTCACAGATCGAACGCGTGGGAAATTCAAGCCCTTGAGTAATCCATTTCGCTGACTCGAGTACGGGGCGCAGACTAAGGAGAGCCTCGTAACAAAACTCATGTAAATCTGTCTTCGTGCCAACGGCATGCTTTCAAGAGCGCCAAACTTTGACCCGGATAATTCACTCCAAAGGTGGCGCATAGCCTCACGGAACCAGAGTGTGTTGACCTGTGCGCAGTTCCACAGTGTGGCTCGTGAAATTGAACTTGCTATACGCCTGGGATTTTCTGGCATATAGAAAACCTCATCATCACCGGGCAGGTAGCCGACTGCAACGAACTCGAAGATCAAGGATACCAACTCGGTGAGAGAGAGGACTCGCCGAGATGCTCTCATCGTGGCCATGATGAGTGTGCCCTATCGAGTATGCTGGGAGATGAAGATGTAAGTGAGAGGGAGAGTGTGTGTGTGTGTGGATTTGAGAGACCAAAGCGACGAAGACAGGTAAACAAGCCGAGAGATGGCGAGAGGCTGTACGCAATGAGGCAGGCATGGTTGGGCGAACTTCACGTCTAGCAACTTTCTCGTAAAAAAAGATGATAGTGATACAGACATGTTCCGATGGCGCTAAACTATGTCGACTCTATTACGAGGTAGCGGTCAGCAAACATGGAGAAGTATTTACACACTGGATTTTATATAACCAAATTTTGCAGGAGATTGTCTCCATCGAGCGGGTTACAGAGAGATCAGAAGGTAGCTACTTGATGTGCGAGCAATTTGGAATGGTGACTCTTTATTGAACTCTACCTCTTCATATAGCGTACATGCTGCTGGTCTATCCCTGTATCTGTTCTACTTGCAAGATCTGATGGGAAATCGGAGAGAATTTCCACTCTCTTCGTTCCAGAATGACACAGGACCCGGTATAAACTCTTGAAAATATCAACTAAAAGGGTAAAAATTGACAGGATGAGGAATTTGTAATCGAGGAGTGGGCGTAAGACTACACCGTTCGTAGATTGGGAAATGTCTCCTGTGGGTGTATCAGCAAGACACTTAGTTGATTAACACATATTGCAAGGAGAACCATTAACCTTACAGGGTACCGCTAATCATTCTATGACCTGAACATTAATCAAAATATTCTGGTTGCCATTCTGATTGTATATGTCCACGGGTAATAATCCATGTGACCGAAGATAACGAGTTCACGTAGAATGGAAACCAACGCGGGAATATGAGAATGAGAAGGGAATTGAAGAGCCGAGTGCGAGCAAGTGGGCGAGTAAGAGTGAAGGGACCAAGGAAGCGAGGAGAGACAGGGAAAAGGGCGAGAGAAGCGTGGCAACAGAGCGAGATGTCGTCACTACTGGATAACTAGTCCTGGGAAGAATTCCCGTCAGTCACTAATATGCTGTATGCATGTAATGAGAAATTGATGCAGACATGTTATTATTGTGTCAAAGTAGTCGTATATTCTCACTGCAGATGAGTATATTTAGATTTTTGGAAAGTGAAGGGGATATGATACAACCAGAAAAATAGTGAACATCGCCTGGGTAGCAGGTAGTATACGTTTGTACTAAAACACTGCTACCTCTCGGACTAAGCAGAACGTTTGATTCAGCGAGGGAAATGATCATATGGAAAATTCCACGCGGTAAGTCTGTCAATAGGATGATGCAGGAGATAGAGGGCAACAGAGCAATCTATCCCAATTCTCACTTTCGCACCTCTGCTTAGACTACCATCGTTATTCCCACTGGTGTTCGGGATTTTAGTCGCAGTTACAGTTGTAGTAGCTTCCGAGCTCGAGGGTCCATTTGATACATACGGCACAGACCTAGCTCTTGTGCTGGTGGACCCTGTTGCTGTAGGCATGATAGCGCTAATCTTGGGAGTAGTCGACTGGATGAGCGTACTTTAGATACGTACTGGATGTCTTTGTATTGACCGAATCGCGTACGTGCATTCTGTATGACACCGGGAGAAGAAGAAAAACATTGAGCATTCTGAAAGATTCACCGATGGCAAAACTAAACACCTCATCGCGATATTTCTGACTTTGATTTACCGGTAAAGATCCGCATGGTCACCCTTGATAGCATCCGAACCCTTCTCGGCGATCATGTACACTGAGTTCTGGATACGGCAATCCGGAATCTCCGGGATAACAGAAGCGTCGATAACACGGAGATTGCGAATGCCGTGCACCTTAAGACCGGCATCGACAACACCCTGTTGGATATCCTTGGAAAGACGAGCAGTACCGCAAGGGTGGAAGGATGTCTGGGAGCGATCGAGAACAGTTCTCTTCATGGCCTCATCATCATCCAGCGGCATATCCCAGGGGTATTCACCTTCAACGATATCCTTGAAACCGTCTCCATGCTTGAGGACATCGTAGGCAAATCTGATGCCTTCGCGAATAGCGATGATATCAAGATCATTGCTGAAGTAATTAAGGTTGATGTTGGCTTGCTGAAGAGGGTCGGCGCTGTTCAGGGTTACTTCGCCGCCCTCGGAGACGGGGCGAACGAGATCAACCATGACAGTCATGTAACTACCCTGTCGGGGATGGGGGAAGTGCCATTGGAACGCACTTCCGAAAAGGGGGATGAAGTCAAGCTCAAAATGAGGCTGGCCGTAGGGACAGAATGGATCAAGATTGTTATTGGCGGCCTTCGCCTGGCGATATTCGGGCGACTTTTCGAGGTACTTGTCAATTCGAGGGAATCCAATCATCTCGAGGAAGGGAGAGCCCATGGCACCAGCGTGACCGTTAGAGTAGGCAGCCAGGACTTTATCCTGGAGGGGACCCTTGCGCAGGACATGGCTGTCCATGGAGAACTCATCTTTGAGACGGAGGACGAATGGAACACCAGGGTGGTCGAGTAGATGCTGGCCAACATGAGGAGAATCCACAAGAACGGGAATGTTATGCTTCTTCAGTTCTCCGGCTGGTCCAATACCACTCAGCATAAGAAGCTTTGGGGTTTCAAACACACCCTGGGACACGATGACTTCGCGCTCAGCGTAGAAGTTGAGCTCTTGACCAGAAGAGGTAATCACAGTAACACCCTTAGCAGACCGATCAGCCTTATCAATGATAAGAGACTTGGAGTAGACCTCGGGTAGAACGGTGATATTAGACTTTCCAGCAATTGCTAGGAAACTACCAGAGCGACGACCCTGGTAGATAGTGTTGACACTATGCACAAGACCGCGCATTTCACCGTCGAAGATGTTCTCGGAGACGGGCTCTCCTGTAGACTTCCAGGCCCTTGTGAGTAGCTCACGGAAGCCCTTCATCTCAGGCATTAGGTTGGCGTGTGCAATTGGAATAGGGCCTCCCGCTCCAATCTTCTTCAGCTCGGGAGAGTATACCCCGGCGTCATCATGGTAGGTGACACTCTTGCGAAGGTAGGGGACAAGAGGGTCCCAGGTCCACTCTTTACCACCATACTTCTCCCACAAGTCAAAGGTACCTTTGGATCCAGGTACCCAGGAGAAGTAATTCAAAGAAGAGCTACCACCCAAGGCCTTGCCGCGAGTATTGGGCTTCTCAACACGCTCATAGTCGTCACGCTTGACCATGGTTGTCTTGAAAGCCCAGTCGTATTGAGAGCCTCGCAAGTCCATAGCGAGTCCCGGAGTCCGAATCTCATCATTATCCTGAGAGCTGCCAATACCGGCCTCGACAATGAGAATGCGAGCTGCAGGGTTCTCAGCCAGCCGAGCAGCAACTATATTGCCTGCAGTACCGCCACCAACGACAATGAAGTCAAAACGGGCACCATCTCGAACAGACATAATGGTAGAGTTTTGAAAGAGAGTCAAAAGTATTCAAAAGAAATCCAGTGGTGGTAGAGAGCTGTGAGGGATAGAAAAAACTATGGAAGAAGCGGTGCAGATGCCATGATTTTATATCCTATGAGAATGCCACTAATGTTTAGTTTCAGTATCCTCAATTTTGCTCATTGATGAGAGCGTTTCATGGATCAGCCCTGGAGTGTATGACGATTGAGACGTTTGCCCCTCCTCTTGAATTGAGACTATACTAGTCCCGTCCGATACAAGCTCTGCATTTTGTGAACGTAACCCATTATGGAAGTAGTAGACGATTAGAGAAATATGACCGGCCATTCAAATATTGCAAAGAAGACACCGCACACATCCAGTGGTGGCTGATTCACTTTTGAAGGCTAGTGATCTGCGTTTGTAGACTCTTCGCTGAAAGGCTAGACCGTGGGTCCTCATAGAAGTCATGATTCAGCCTATGGATGTCCATGAAGGATACATGTTTGAGGGAAAAAGTGTAGATCATTTGAATTCTATAGGCCCGGATAACTTGATCCGCTGACTCCGGTCTTATGTGTCCCCTGTATTATAGCTAGAGCTGCCAATTGAAAAGTCCAACTGGTTTACCGATAACACGGGACTCGACGTCACTAGAGACTGTTTATGGGGGTTTTCACGAGGCTTCGAGTCCACTGGTTCCATAAGGGACCCACCAGGGGCTGAGAAACTGGCAATTTAATAATTGAACAGACATGTTGCTTCGGTATTGCGAGTGCAAATTCAATCCCAAACGATTGTGCAGGGAGCCAGAGATGATTATGTGAGAGAAGTCATACAAGCACACTCACGACAGTCGAAAAAACTACTCGGAATCATTGAATGGTAAAGTGAGGAGTTATTAGGCTAGACTGTGCTGGCTTAATTTTACGGAACATGTTTCGACAATGGTGAGAGATAATTGCTGAATGTGTAATTAGTATACATGTTAAGTTTGGTGAGAATTCGATGTTGACGCAGGCTTATCCGCATTTGGAAATACAATGAGACCAATCACACACGTTCCCGAAAGTAGCCTAAATAGTCCTTCCGTTTTTATGGTGACACGTCAAGCTTTCGAAACATTGAGATATAAAAACTGCATTCATGATATCACCTCAATCTGCATCTCGAATCATACATACTGATTGAAACGTGGAGTGGAGAAAGCGGCACATTCGCAACACGGAGGTGCTCGGGTTTGCTAGAGCAAGCTATCCAACGTAGGTGCGGCGCGGCTACGAAAAGAAGTATGGAGCTACTGTAGCTACATCCAAGAAAATACGTAGCAATATTGACAGCTATACTCGCAGATTGTGTTTCATTTATATTTAGGGCTGGTGTTGTACCATAAGCTCAATCAATCAGCAGCTCATTGCAATTCGAGCATGTTCGCTGACGAAAGAAGGATATTGTGAGATCTCTATGAGACTGGGAGCTGTGCAATACAAAGCAACACGTTATTAAAGGGCTCTTTCCCGAAGAAGAATATCCCGATACTCCAGAAATGCCTTGTATGCTGGTTTCGGGACAGTCCTATCTTCATTCTTCCACACCTGGTATCCAACCTCCTCCCAGACTTGAAGTTGACGAGTAAAATTCGTGTCGGTTTGATTTTCTGCTTTGATTGAACAAATTGGAATATATCTGCTTGCTGCATGTTCAACTTGCGCATGAGATAGGCAATGATGATAGTCGGTGAGCGCGATATTCCAAGATCGCAGTGAATTAATATCGCCTCCGGAGCTGCACCGCGCCGCTTGTCATTTGTTTCATGTTCGCACGCGACGGGTAAGGAGAGCAATGAGGAAAGAGCTGGTAATCCCATTCTGTCGATAAAGTCGCTAATATCACTCATATGAGCGAGGAGGTCTTGGGTTGACGAATCTACACTCTGAACCCATTTATGGCTATGGTCTGGAACGCCGGCCTCTCTTGTAATGGTATTCCACCACACCCATCGATCATCGGTGAGAGAGACTATTGCGTTGATATGGTTCTCTTGAAGCATTTCCCGGTTATATGAGGAGAGACCAGGGACAATCTGTCTCATCCGATCCGTGAATGCCCTCTCCCACTTCTTGTTCCTCTCCTCTTGGGTAATTTCTCTTGTAGAATTTTCACCCGTAGTGTTACTTTATGCTCCTGCTTTACAGTAAGGGAGAGGTTGAAGATTGCTCGTAAGGTTAAGGTGGATGGGAAGTTATGGTGCTTGGTTGTTCAGCGACCCCTTGTTTTGGATCTTGTACGTCAGGCGACCAAGAACATTGACAAAGCTTACGACTTGGAAGTCAGTGATTGTAAAAGGTCACTTCTATTAAAATGGTATAATGCGTCCCAGTACTCGCCATCATATTCACCATTACCTAGCCTGCTGGTGTACTATCAAAAGTAAATGGACTACTAGGATTAAAAAACCAAGACCAGCAATTTTCCTCTTCCGCGCTCATTGAGATATCGACGCCTGGGAGTTGCTCGATGAAGATAGCCAAGCCCCCACGCTCGAGAGCCGAGGGCTTTACGAAGACGAGTTTCTTGAGGGACGGGAAGAGTCTCTGGGTGTCATCGGTCAGCCTAGATAAAGGGGAAAAAATGATATTGAAGTCAAACCTTGATACGTCGCGCAAGCTTGTAGCACTTGTCGACCGGTAGATAAAACCGATAATACAAATCCATAGCCTCGAGAACATGCAGGTGAAGGACCCGAAGCGCAGGAGCATGGAAGGGCGGGACATAGAAATTCCTCACAGAAGATAGAATCTGCATGTACGCAAGTCTCGCTTGGGGAAATGTGACATCCTTCAGAATCTTCTTCTGTCTGCTCAGCCATCCGCGGTGTTTCGGATACACCTTGATGAAGAGAACTTTCGCAAAGTGAGCGTAGAATTGTCTGCGAGCTGGCGTGATATGACTGAATGAGCCCGCGTTCAGTTTCCGTGGCATCTCCCAGACAAGCCGCATGGCTTCGTGGAACCATAGGCTATTGACGAGTGCACATCTGTGGATGGTGACTCCGGCGGCTTCGAGGCGGCAGAGACAGGGAGAGGGGTGGAGGCCATAGTTTTCGGCGGCCCAGCTAAAGATCTCAGCGACTAGTTCGGGGATTGAGAGTACACGTTGGGCAGCGGTCATTGTGGTTGTGGTGTTGGAGGACATTGTGATCGTGGAGTGGTGCTACCCTCGTGGCTCAAGGACGAAACTTGGGGGTTTGGAAGATGGTATTGTTGAACAAGATCGACCTGGTCAGAAAGAGGTGTAAAGGAAGATATCAAGAGAGAAGATAGAAAGACCAAACAAGCAAGAGGTCGAGGTGCGATATTTAGGCAAGACAAACCACATCGTGGAAAGTTCCTACCTATAGAATCACACGGAATGGCAAACAGAATCTCGGAAGTGCAACTCAACATTACGGCGTAAGCGACAATTCTCCTTAAGGGTCATTGATCGTCATTAGCATCAATTTTTAGAAGACAATCTATATCTATTTGAGTATTGACAAGTTGTCAAAATTATAGTCTAGCACAAGCCCTATGGCGACTGATATCTATACCGATGAAAGATCAAATACCAAATTTAAACTAGTTTCAGTACCGGTGAAAGAATTCTAGTATATCAATCAAACCCACGTGGGTATTCTTAATGCTATGTATAATATGGACAATGAAGAACGAGCATAAAATGCAAGTCGGACAACATAAACAAGAGAAGAGAACAAAAATAGTGCCATATTATTGATAGCACAATGCAATGAGAAAAGAAAGGGTGAGAAAATGAAGGAAGAAGGAGGAAGTTCAGACATGAAGCAGACATATCCTTAAAAGCAGAGGTATCAAATCCCAAAATCAAGGAGGATGGAAAGAGAGAGAGAGACCCACAACTTTTTAGCCATGGTCTCGCCGAAACATCCAAGATCATGGGCTCCTGCCACTGCAGAACCAAGAGCCAAGCAAGGTAGGAGGATAAAAGGAGTAGGAGAAAGAGAAACATTCCAACGGAACGGACATGGCGACTAAGCACGAGGTCGTCAAGTAATAGGTCAGAGTCAGAGTCAAAGCCAAGGTCGATCTTCGCAGGTACATCACGCGAAGAGCGGGGTGCCAGTCAAAAGCAATGCATTAAAGCCAGAGACCGCTTGGGGCTGGAATAGATTGAAGGGGGGGTGTCGGTGTCGAGGAAGAACGAACGATGAAAGGCGCTGGAGTCGGTTGGACCGAGTTGAAAAAAAAAAGAAAAGGGCATTTGGAATAGATAATTGCGCAATCATGGATTTTCACGTGTCGTTTCACCTCCAGCGAGACTCCTGCGACCCGCGCAGTCCAGAGGGGCGCCAGCTGCCGGTTGAGTGCTTGGAGACGGTGCTGGTGGGCGAGTTTGTGCCTGTGGTGAAGACGTATTCGCCATCGACGTATTGAGCGCCCTGGGAGAAGGTGCTGCGGTGCTTGCGGCGAGCATAGCGCTGTTCGAGACGATACAGCTCGAGTTCTAAACAAGGTAGATGTTAGAGATTGCTATTTGGAGTATTGTGTAGTGTTTCTGCGTTGGGGTGCGACGTACTGGCTTGTAGCTTATCGATGAGACCCATGGTGACGGTGTAGGTGTAGAGACAGATGCGAAATCCCGACGATTATGCTTGTATGTTTCGCGCCTGTTCCTGGCGAGGTTCTATATATGGAAGCGCGGCGACAATCGTTCCCTCATGCAGCGGGAGGTAACGTGGGCGGTTCAGTGTGTGGACGCCAGCAGCGGACGAAGAATTCGAGGTTGACTGGAGAAGCTGGTCAGCCCTGTCGCGCATGGAACCACGACTTCAACAAATCAATTGGGTCATTTCTCACCCGTGTACAGGTATCCAACAGCAATGACCCAGCTAGAATGCTGAAAAGGGGGGTGGGAATAGCGGAGGGAGGGAGGGGGGATGTATATTTACAATCGCGGAGGAGGAGGGGGGGCGCACGAGGGCAGTGGAACTGGTGCCACAAGGAAGCCACACGGTCCGACGAAGGAGGGGGCAGGTTGACAGGTTGTAGGATGAGGTGGGATTGGTTTGGATTGGTTTTAGCGGACGCAAGGAATGAGAGCGACCGGGGCGTCTGGCGATGTTCCAACGGAAGAGAGCGACGAAAACGTGATGGAAAGAGGGGGAAAGAGTGTGGATGGAATGTTGGGGGGGCCCAAGCAAAAATGAGTGGCTTGCAGACGCGATAAGAAGGTGAGAAGGAATGGAAGGAAAAAAGAGAACAAACTCCGCGTCCGAAAAGGCCTCGACAGGAGAGAGAGAGAGAGCGAGAGAGAGAGAGCAGCTCCAGAGTGATTATTATTATTCTTTAGCGCCGAGTCTGGAGGGTCGCGTCCGAGCGTAAGTTAACTTGGTTAGCTTTAGGCCCTTAGCTAGGTTACTTGAGTTAACTAGTTTAACTATACAGACCGGTTAGTCAGGGGACTGGACTCGCACACTGGCCAGTGACTGGCGCTAACCAGCCACTAGTGAGCTAGTGTCTGCTGGGCCCGCCTTCTAGACCTTTCCTCGGTTCATTTTGACAATCTTGGTGACGGAGTACTTGGGCCGTGTTTCATGTTGAGTTCTCCTGGTTTATCGTGGCTGGTTCTCCGGACACTCTCTTATGTATCTGTCATCCACATGGCTATGGCGACATCCCGCATGCTGCATCGGGCGGCTTACGGCCATTGGGCTAGACCTCGCTGCAGACCATTAAATCTCTCACAGTGCCCCCTTACTCGATCTTCTTCTCGTCCGCCGGGGCCTCCTCCCCCTCGTGGGCCAGCGACAGTTCCTGGGCTAATACGCGGCATGTCAGCAATTGGCATCAGATTACAAGCAACCCCACTTCATCTTCCCCCGGGGTTGCTATTCGTGGAACCCAGAGCACGTACCATTCCAGAGCTCCGCATAGACGCCCTCCAGATCGAGTAACTCCCGGTGTGACCCCATCTCCGCCACATGGCCATCCTTGAGCACCAGGATCTGGTCACTATCATAGATCGTCCGCAGCCGGTGCGCGACAAACACGCTCGTGCGGCTCTTTTCTTTCAGAATGCTGTTGATGTTCTGCAGGAGCGCCTGTTCGGTGTAGGTGTCTAGGGCCGAGGTCTATCTCGTTTGTCCGGGCGGGGTCAGCCACATTACGCGTGCTGGGAAACTCCCAAATGGAACCACAAAACAACATAATAGAACAACAATCGTGTACGTACCGCTTCATCAAAGAACAACAGGTGAGGGTCCTTCAGCAACAGTCGCGAAATCGCCAGTCGCTGCTTCTCGCCGCCAGAGATCATCATGCCGCGCTCGCCGACCGCGGTCTCGTACCCCTCCGGCAGTCGCTCGATCAGCTCGCTGATGCGGGCGCGCTCGGCCGCATGGCGCACTTCTTCGTCCGTCGCATCGATCTGACCGTAGCGGATGTTGTGTGCGATGGTGTCGTTGAAGAGTGGTGTATCCTGGGGCACCACACCGATGGCCCGCCGGAGGCTGTCGAGGCTCACGTCGCGCACATCCTGACCATCAATCAAGATCCGACCGGACTGGGTGTCGTAGAAGCGGAAGAGTAGACGCAAGATAGTCGACTTGCCGCAGCCACTGGGACCCACGATGGCAAACTTGGAACCAGCGGGGATGGTGAACGTCACATTCTTCAGGATCGGACGGTCGGGGTGGTAGCCGAAAGTGACGTTCTCGAAGCGAATCTCGCCGCCGCGCTTCAACTCGAGTGGCTTCGCGTTGGGCTTCTCCTGAATAGTGACATTCACCTTTTGCAAGTTGAACAGGGTCTCCATGTCCAGTAGAGACTGGCGCAGTTCACGGTAGACCGAGCCCAGGAAATTGAGCGGCACAGAGAGCTGGAAAACCAGTTGGTTGACCATGACCAGGTCGCCGACCGTCAGGGTACCCGTGGCCACGCCGTCGGCTGCCAGATACATCATTGCGGCCAGCGCAGTGGAGAAGATCATGTTCTGGCCAGAGTTCAGCAAGGCCAGGGAGGTGGTGACTTTGATAGAGGCATCTTCGTAGTTCTTTAAAGCCTTGTCGTAGCGGGCAACTTCGAACTTCTCATTATTGAAGTACTTGACGGCCTCATAGTTGATCAGGGAATCTACAGCCACGGTAGCCCCGCGATTGTCGGCAGCATTGGCCTGTCGACGGAACTTGGTGCGCCAGGCGGTGGTGGTAATGGTGAATGCCGTGTATGCTACCATGGTAGTAGCTGTGATGGCGGCGAATTGGAGACCATATTGGTAGGTCTACAAAACGATTAGCAAGGGTTGGTGTCAAAATCGAACAAAAAAAAAAAAAAAAAAATGAGCCATACTAGAATACCACACACGAGCGAGATCTCAAGTGCCGTGGGCACCACATGGAACACCATGGATGTCAGCAAGAAGCTGATACCTTTCGTTCCACGATCAATGGCGCGTGTGAGACCACCTGTCTGGCGCGAGAGATGGAAGTTGAGATCCAGTCGGAGAAGGTGGTCAAAGACATTCCGGGCAACTCTGCGAATAGCCTTTTGGGCGACACTGGCGAAGACTGCATTACGCAGTTCTTGGAAGATAGTGGCTCCAATGCGGGTTGCGCCATCTATCGGATATTGTTAGAGGCATTTATCTCAGCTGGGAGCAGAGTGGTGCTTACAAGCTATGATCATGGAGCCCGCTACGGTGTATGCCGTTCCACCGAGGGTGGCGAAATCAACGTTCATGGAGTCGACAATGTTCTTAAAGTAGAAAGGAACCTCCACATTAAGAATCTGGAATCAAATATCGTTAATTCTCAAGGAAAGAAATGATAAGAGATCAGATGAAAACGCACCTTCGCACCCACAAGCAGTGAGAGTGCAGTTCCAACTCGAAGCTTGGTTCCCCAGTCATCCTACCATCTCGGTCAGCACTTCCGATAGTGTATATAGTTCCATTTCGAAGCAGTACCTTTGGCCACAAATACTTCGCCATCTCTCGCATGATAGCCCAGTCTGCCTTGCGCTGTTCCTTACTTGCGATAGTTGACTCACCCAACAAGTCTTTCTTCGGGGTATTCTTTGTCTCGCTACCGGCAGGTTTCTGGACACTAGCGGCATTGGCCAATTCGGCGGCAGTAGCAGTGGGTGTGGAGTTATTCCTTGCAGAGGTTGGGTCCTTGCCATCGGTCGATTGGTTCCGCCATGGACTGCCAGAGGTGAACACCCGCAACTGGATTCTGTGCTGCTGGATGCCATTCGGGCTTATCCACCGTGCCCGGCCGGCGAAGCTCGGATGTATGTACCGTGCTGTGCGCCAGCACGGAGATTGAGCCGCTCTGAGCAGCATGGCTGCTGGGTGAAGGAAATATGACCGCTAGAGGTGGTTCGGTGGAGAAATTGCGTTCACAGGAGCATAATGGAGCGCACGCGAGGGGAATGGCGTGCGCAGGTGTGCTTGCGATAGCTCGTGGAGGAGGCAACCTTGGGGGCCGCCGGCTTCGGAGAAAACTGTCAGCTTACACAAATGGGTATGGGGAAGGTCGAGGAGACAGACGATTGCCTGGAGCTGATATATAACAGGAAGAGCAATGAGACCAGCCCCGACTCAAACGAGTCCTTCCTTTATGCGCGTTGGTATTTGAGGTAAATGTCGCAATTGAATGCGGGCGTGGTGTACCTCCGCTCGCCGCACCAGCCGCAAGCTTCGGCGCCACGATTTCCCGGCTTGATTTCCCTTGCGAGCTCCAAATCTGACGTAAAGTCCTTCAGCACCACGCGGTCGTCGGTCTTTCTTCAGGAACAATGAGTCCAGCCCTCCAGCGAGGTGTCCGGACTCTGTCTTGGACTCGAGTTGTTCCTCGCGTTCACAGGCAGGCCAGATGTATTCAGATTCGCGCCGCGCCATCGGAAGAGCCAACCGTCAACGGCGACCATCTGCCCCTCGCGGGCACGCCTAGTTCCGCCGCATCGCGAGGTATGTCGAATTGACAAACTTTGATAAGCCATTGCTACTTGATTATGTGCTTAGCTGACAATTATGGTTGATAGATGCGCGCTTCGATGTCATCGGCGCCCCATATTCACTCCTCTCGGTATCACTTTCCGCTTCGCAGAACCTGTACACGCGCCGGGGAACATTGGTGGGATTGAGCGGCAAGGCGGATAATGTATGCAGTTCACTGTGATGGGTGATATACGATTGGATAATGCGCTGACAATTTGTGATTGCGATAGGTGGTTTCGACGTTGAGCGTCCTCGAACCCTTCCGCAGGGCCCCTCTGGGTGTGCCTTTCCTCTATCAGAAGGTATGAAACATTTACTTCCCGTGCTCTGGACAAGACAGTTGCTAAGGACTATGCAGGTCTCTTCCGCGAGCCCCGTCACAGCCCTCGTTTCCGTTCGATCGCCGACGACCTCGTTTGCGGTCGTGAATCTCAATGGCTCTGTGGATTGGATGGTTGCGCAGCGACGCGCTCTGCTGGCATGGACAGGCCGGTCCTTGTCCATCAAGCCAACTATCAACACTAACCTGGTTTGTGATACCCTCTGATCCGTGTGTGGCGAACAAATGGCTGATTCTAAATCACGTACAGAGCCTGGCTCATTGGGGTAGCTCTGCGGTCACCGGTAGAGGATTGATCGCGTTGGTAGGCCAGGGTCAGGTCTACTCCGTGGAATTGAAAGACGGCGAGCAATACGTCGCTCATCCTAGGTACGTGACGCCGACTCCGAGCCGAGCCACGTTGGATTGCTCTAACATGAAATAGCAACGTTGTCGCCTATACCATGTCCTCCAATCCCCCTCGTCCTTACCGCTTCAAATCCACAACTCTGAGCTTCCAGGTTCCCGGCCTGAAGACACTGCCACGCCTACTGCAGGGCAACAAGTTCATCCGAGATGTGTCCGACTCCAAGGCTTGGAAGAACACCATGAGCTTCCTCCACAAGATTCGGACATGGTCTCGGATGACCATTTGGGGAGATAGAGTATGATACTTACCACGTGATAATGCTTTGAAATACAGCAGCTAACAACGCACTTGTAGCTTTTCCTGCAATTCGATGGGCCTGCAACCATCCTCATGCAGTCTCGCGGGCCTCGTGTTAACGACATCCTCTCTGAGGGTCAAGTCAATGAAATCGCTGATGCTCCGCGGGGAATCACCAGTTCGGCCCCGCAGGAGTCTATCAAGCTAACACCCTCGGAGGCAGAGATCTCTCACTCGGTCGAGAACTTGAACCAGGAGCTTCGGGGAATTCGCCAGAGCGTTGCAGAGATCCGAAAGGACGGCTCCGTCGAGATCAAGGAAGTCGGCCGGACGAATCCTAAGGACGCATAAGGGCGTGCTATATCGCCCTGTCTCTCTTCGCACTAGAGGTGGTTTTCTTCGGGAACTGTTTACTTTGCATCTTGTACAACATTTTGGGCGTATTGAAATCACAGCTGCGGTCACTCAAATCAATTTTCTTTTCTGTCAAGATAAACTACCATCGACATATTACACAAATGCTTTGTGTCTTGGCATCTTGCAAAGCTCGAGCTCTATCTAGACTTTCTAGGCGCAAACCAGTAAATAGCATAATCCGGCCCCTCATCCCTAGCCATCTGTCCCTCTGACCACAATCTGAACATGTCCGAAATGTGCTTGAAATCTCGCAATATCTTCCGGACTGACGTGCGCTGTCGACGTTGTGTTAAGGGTAATCTTCTTCAGACAGGGAAACATCGTCTAGATAGATAGTCAGGCGATGTCAACGCAATTTTCCAAGACACGTATGTTCAAAGAACCAACCTTCAACCGCTTCGCTAGTCGTATCCGCATCTTTCGATCGGACAGAGCACCTCCCTTGCTGTCATCGCCAACCGTAACGTCAATAGTAAGATTCTCAAGCATACGGCCCTTAATATCAGGCAAGGAGAGTAATCGTTGTCCGGACCGAATATCGAGCCTTGCAAAGCGTAAGCGAGGGAAAGACAATCTCTTAAGAATTCGATTCTCCTTGGAACTGTTTTGAACATCATTTTCAAAGGAAAGTGCCACCACAAAATTGGCGTATATCTGTTTGCGGGCACGAGGGAGCTCTTGAAGTGCCTGGAGCTTAGAATAAGGCTGTGGAGTCCACCAGAGATACCGCATGGCTTCGTAGAACCATAGGTTGTTGACTCGTGCGTAGCGGGCGAATCGAGTCTTTGAGAATGTCTGATTGTATGCCCAATGGTCTTTTTTGTACCCGCCTGCGTCCCATTTTAGGATTTCGGAGACGAGTTCTGGCATGGAAAGCACGCGTTGTGAAGCTGACAGAGCTGAGTATTCATGTGCAGCTTGGTGAACTGGGTGTGGGATAGGTCGGAAGTACTTCTTAGAGGGGCGAAGAAGGAGGTGGGTTAGGTACAATGTTCTATGGATGGAACGGATAATCCAGTGGGAGGGATACAATGCACTGAGCAAGATGAAGGACAGGAGGGTGAAAATATGTAGCCATATTGAGAAGTAGATCATCTTGACTATCAAATGTCGTTAGGAATTATGCGGAAATCCGATGCCTCGCTCAGTGGTCACGGGTATTTGATGCTTATGGTGGCAGAGAGGGCGGGACAAAGATGTAATGACTGATGTTAAGAAAGTGTGAATGGCAAAGAGATGCAAGTGCCGTGAAGTTTAACGCCATGAAATTGGTACACCTACGGCATTACTTCAAACTGGTGAGAGAATTCCAGGACACGATGTATTGCAGTAGGTCTGCAGGGACAAAAGACGATGGGTATCTTTGCTAAACCACCGCCAACCGAGCAAAAAGGCTAAGTACACGGACAAAGAAATTATTCGCGGCCCCTCATCTTTTCGACTTGCGTCCCCCAATACCCAGCCTTCCCAGATTGGGCAGACTCGACTTGTGTTTATGTGCAGAGCCGAGAAGAGACGTAGAGCTGGTGGCTCTGGCGTCCGGCGCTCCACGGTTCCCACTCACACCTATGCTAGCGGTTCCAGACACCTGGCCAATCCCGACGCCCATTGGATTTACCATGCCTGTACGCGGAGCGTCAGGTAGACCCGATCGATCTCGTGTTCGATCAACGGTCGCTGCAGAGAGCGCGGCAGTCAACGAGGGATTCTGCAAGATGTCTGTTGGATCCAGCGAGTGGCGCTGCGCAGCCTGCGCGCGGCGCGCTCGTTCCTGGACAGCCTTGAATTTATCAAGAAGCTCGGTCCATCGGATATCGTCACGACTCTTGCCGCGCGTGCCGGAGGCACGGTCAAAGGATGACGCGGTTTGGGAGGTGCTATTGGGACTCATGAGTACGTGCGGCCTTTTTTGGGGAGGACTGCTTCCTGTCTTGGCATTGAGGGTTCCATTTGCGTACCTGCGGGGACCACCATGGAGGAAACCGATGTTGCTGACACTGTTCAGCCGGTTTTTAAGGGCGGCAAAGGCGGAGCTCTGGGGGAGGAGCATGAGGACGCCGTAGAGGCATTTGTACAGGTAGGGATATTTTTCGGGTTCGAGGAGTTGGAGACGTAGGTCTGGAAGATGTATTAGCCAAGAGCTTTCGTACCAGGAAAGATACCATACATGTGAACACGGGGGATTCGAGCAGTTGCACCAGTTTGTCGATCTGGATCAGCATATTGACTGTCATTTCAAGCTCGGCACTGTGGATGTTAGAACTGGCAGTCAACACTTCAACGACGAGCCACTCACAATATTTGCAAAAGATTGTAGGCCTGCTCATAGGCCTGAGCGAGAAGACATAGAGAAAAGGTGGACACAGCATTGTGACACCAAGAACGGAATAGGGCAACGAAAAACATTTGTCCTTCCTAGAGAGACAGTCAGTGTCTGAAAGAAACCATGGCATTACTGGTAACATACCCTCGTGTCAAGATTCCTCAAGCGCTTCCTCATATCTGACAATTCAGGTGCAGTGATAAGATTATTGTTCAAATTCTGTACCATAATGCTGGCAAATTCAAGATCCTAGTCAAGTAGTATTAGTACGAACCCCGACAGATTCGACATGCATAACATACCTCTTCCTTTTCGAGGCAATCCGCCAAAGTCCGATAGATACGCTCAGGGCTCAGATTCAGACATAATTGCCGGATTATCAAATTACCCCGAACTTCCAACAGGTGTCGATCAGTAGAGAAGAGCTGTAGCAGATTCACCATAAACGAAGTGAAGTAGCTATCCTCGCTGTTCCTTGAGATCTGAGACAACAGTTGCAAGTCCTTGGTCACCACTGCTTCTGCAGGGTCGGAGAGGGTTTTCAACAGAGCTGGGAACGTCCCGTCGTTGAATGCAACCACTTTCCGTGGGGCTTTCCGGTGTAACATGATCAGCCACGAAAGAGCAGCTACCCGTGTGGCTTCGTTTTCATTCAAGAATTGCAAAGTCAGCGAGTTCACCGCTGCAGCATAATCAAGATCAGCTGGCTGCGCAGGTACCGAAACGATACTACTCCGCGGTGTCGGGGCCCGAGAAGACTCTTGCGTTGCTCTCCTCGAATCGGGGTTGGAGATTTCTGAAGGCTTCCTGTCTATGCTCTCTTTGCTCGGCGCCGTCGAGGGAACCTTGGATGCGGCTTGAGCGTAGTCATCGGGAAGGTCATCTGAAAGAGAGTAAATGTATTCGAGCAGGGACTTGTTGACTCGGTTCGCTGCTTGCCGCACCGAGTCCGAACCACTTGACATCGCCGGAAGTACTTGAGTCAGCAGCCTCGGGACAAAAGGGAGGATATCCTCAGGGCTAATCTCAAAGAACGCATCGATCCAGCGAAGTGCAGTCAATTGCATCTCCTCCTCTATATAGCTGTTAGCTTCGCGGCTGGTAGACCCGGAAACGAGGGCATGTTTACCGAATGAGGTATCGACGAAGCTGACCAGAATTTCCAGGATCTTTGGGTAGTCGATGTGAACGTCTTGCCCTGGGATCCAGTCGCCATCAGCCTGAATAGCGTCCTCGTCAAATAGTGAGTCGGATGCGGAGTCTTCCACGGCAATGTCATCCTTCTCGCCATCATCGGCGCCGGCGGTTTCGAGTGTCTGCTCGGTCTTGACGCTCACGGTGTCACTAGCATTGGAGCGTCTGCGACTTTCTTGTCCTTTTCGACTTTCTTCGATTCCTTTCTTCAAACGGGTGATTCTTTTGATCTCCGAGAGAAACCTGTCCAGAAGGCCCTGTGTGGCTACGTTGACATCTTTGTGAGGTCCACCTAGAAACTTGATCAATCCCTCCAAGAACTCGGGCAAGAAGGTGACCAGCTCAAGGTCTGGGATAGTATCAAGTAATGTCAACCAAGATACCAAGAAGTTGCGAGTGTAGGGCCCAATCACATGGATTCGTTCCTTGAGTAAAGGTATGAATTTGGCGAGGGAGAATGCGGTAGGGGGTTCGGTGTCATGCGCGTCGTCTGAATCGGCCGTCTCCTTTTCTGACAGCTGTAGCACAGAGACATATGAAGATGCAGACTCGGCCACGATGTCCTTTACCAGTCGATCGAGAAGCTCCGCACCATTCTTCACGGAAAGCTCTGAATCAGAAGCGAGCTATAGGCGCATGTTAGTACAGCTTCATACGCTACTCTTAATCCCAGTTGTTCTCACCTTGGCCAACGCATCGAATATCTCATTAAAGAAGAGCAGAACCTCTCCCTTAGCTACCTTAGCGATGTTGTACATGCTCTCGCAAGCGTAATAGCGGACTCGCGCATCTTGGTCGGTAAAGCAAGCTAGAACGGGAGGAACGATCTCTTTCAAGTACGGCGCAACACCTTCCTATAAATTCAACATGTCAGCCCAGACTCCCAAAAGCATTTCTTTTGTGTCCGAAGTCTCACAGATCCCAGCGCGATCGAGGCAGCCGCCAATCCGATCAGACCGCCATTCCTGGCATGAGGTTGGTGCACAGCGTATGCATAGTCGTGGCAAAGCTGTTCGACGATCTTCGCAATCTTTTCTTGTTCTCCTCTGAAAACGGCATCTCGAACGATTTTCTCTAGCCTGAAGAAGTGTCGCGTGTTAGCGGGAGGTGACATGGCACGACTCTCCCAATTTCCAGAGGAAGCACGTACTCTAGAGCTCCCTGCTTCCTCTTGTCGTAGAGCTTGTCGTTGAGCAACCGCTGTATTGAATGATCCATCGCTCCTACGGACGGAGAGGATAGCTGTTTCAAGCTGCGGCTAGGCAGTGATCATGATGGAAAGAATCACGTCGGTCGGGGTCAGTTCGCAAGCTCGTAGGCGGGGACCACTTCGAAGATTGTCGGATCAGTAAAGTACTCCGGTCTGGAGTTGTTTTATCCAGGCAGAGCCTCGTTGATTGCACTCACAAGCTCGAGGGTGGGGGAAGAAGATGCGTTGTCAACGTGGAGATGGAGGAGTCCAAGCGCGGTGTGACGTATGTCAGCAACGGGCCTGGACTCGGCCCGAGATTTAGTTGCACCCAGCACGTCTGCTTATGCTGTCTGCTCAAAACACTTGCATGAAATAGCTAACAAAAGGACGTGAAAAGATTTGGGCAAATTGAAAGGACAAACTTTCTTTCTTTGTTCTCAACTTTTATGGCAGCTCCTCATAGACTTCATCACGGATCGACTCATATTGCAGTCCAATTTAATGGCACTTTCGGCGTCAGGCACGCATGCAGCCAGCGGCTCCCTCGCTTCGCTCCTTGAACCAACCAGCGAGAGGGTTAAAGAGTTTAACATGTTTTAAGAGAAATACTAAGATATAAGCGTGTTGAATTTTAAGGAATTGAGTTTGGTAAACAAAATTGTGCAATTAGTCTCTGAAACTCCGTTCAAGCATGGGCACCGAGGAATTCGAAAACACCTCTTTTGAATTGTACAACAGGCATGGTATGGCTTCGATGTGGACTTAATTAGTACCATAATGACTCGTGTAACAGTCCAACTTCACGGTTACAATCAGTGTCTTCAAGTTCTTCCAATCGTAAAGCTTCATGAGGTTAAGGGTACAGTAAGGGTCAAACAGCAATCTCCTTGTCACACAGGTCAAAAAGTAGTTTCACGAGAGCTTCTATTTAGTAATCGCTTCATGCCAAAATATCCAGTAAACGACGCCATTCGCCGCATCAAGATCAGAGCAGTCAAAATCTATCAATGACTAATGTACTGGAACACCGCCGAGACATCCTTTTCGCTGGTTTCCTGTCGAATAAGCAGATCCTGGATCTTAGCCAGCAGGCCCTTCTCTCCATTATTGACAAAATGGTTCCAAGAGCTTGTATCACCGTAGAGCATGGCAGGGGCCTTGACAAATTGTGTGCCGTCCTCGCGGCAGCGCTTACACTTGAATGTGTCATGTGTATCGCTGCGAGTCTCGGGCTTGAACTGGAACAACTCTCGGAGCGACTCAAGAGAGAAGTGGCGCTCCACGTCTTCTGCTGAATCGACGACGCAGGATGAGAGTGACTGCTTGTGTGATTGACGCTGGAAAATCTTCTCCTCGATTGATCCCGTGGCAATGAATCGATAAACGAAGCAGTCTTTCTTTTGGCCATCACGCCAGACACGAGCCAGCGCTTGTTGATCGGCAGCCGGATTCCAATCAGGATCGAACAGGACAAGCCGGTTGGCACCAATGAGGTTGAGACCACATCCACCAGCCTTACTGCTGAGAAGGAAGATAAACTCTTCGCCGTTCGGGTCGTTGAACTTGTCCACCAGCTTCGTTCGCTTCTTGATGTTCATTGTTCCATCCAGCCGCAGACAGCCATAAGCACGAGATCTGCAAAGCCTCTCGAACAGATCAAGAGTCTGGGTGTAATTGCTGATGAGAACGATCTTATCATTGGTGTCTTGACGGATTCGTGCAAGCATGCGATCGAGTACCATCATTTTTCCAGAGTACCAGCTCTTGATGTCTCTGTCTCGACCACGGGCCTCGGGGGGTGTAAAGTCTTCGGGGAATGTGTATTCACATCCTGGAAGATCTTCTGCCAAATTCAGAAGATCCGGGTGATTGCAAAGCTTCTTCAAAATGCCGATAGCCTTCAAAGGCTGACTACCTTTTCCTCGTAACAGACTTCGGATATCGGGGCTCTGAATGAAGTGGTTGTAGAGATCCAATTGGAACTGTGACATGTTACAGAACACTACGTGTTCGTACTTGACAGGCAAATATTTCGATAGAATGTCGTTTGTTCGTCGGATGATGAATTTGTTCACGATTCCCGAAAGCTCCCGTAGGCGTTCATCGCCCAGCTTCCGGTTTTCTTCTGTGCCGGCGGCATCTCGGCCTCGGAGAATAGGGAGTTCAAATCTCTTGCGGAACTCAGCCTGCGAGCCCAGCAGGTTGGGATTGGCAAAGTGAAGCAAAGCAAAGTATTCCGACAGGTCGTTCTGGATAGGCGTTCCAGAAAGAATAACACGCCGGTTGACGTTAAGGCTGTTCAGAGCCATCCATGTCAAACTCTCCTTATTCTTGAGTCGATGGCCCTCGTCACACAGAAGCAATCCGATCGGCGTGTCCTTGAGAGCATCGACATACATGCGAAGCGTTTCGTAGGACACAATAAGTACAGGTCTAACAACACTTCTACCTGATGCAATTGCCCACTGCTTGATCTGCTGAGTAAGTTCAGCCTTGGAGGCCTTTCCATCAATGGCAAAGGGGGTGGTAGCATCTTTGCCCAGCCATTTGGTTAACTCGTTCGCCCAGTTGCCGACCAAACTTGATGGGCAGGCAATAACACATTTCTGAATGGTTGTTCTTCCCGCCTCCGGATCCTGTTTGAGTAATGTCCACATCAATGAGATGCATTGCAACTGGACAAAAACATTAGTCGAAATACTTTCACATAGAGCTCGTTCTCTGCTGCATACCGTCTTTCCTAATCCCATGCCATCTGCCATGATGCAACCATTGGCGTTCTTATCAATCAGGCCTGTCGTACATCGATACAAAAACTGTCGAGCGAGCAATGTCAGTCGTTGGTTCCGGCGACGTAAGAACTCGTGAACAATACCTTAACTCCCTCCACTTGATGTGGTCGGAGAATCTTCGCCAACCTCGGGTCAATAACAACAGGCACCTTTGGCCTCCCTTCCACCTTCTTTTTGATGCCCAAAATATCTGCTAAACTTTTATGTACCAATGGCTCATCCAATTTGGCCTCACCCGGTTCCTTGGGTGCTTCCGAGTCTTTAGGCTTCGGCTCTTCGGGGACATCATCAACCGTTGGGTCATATAACACAATTGCAAACTCTCCGCTGGGGTCATGCAGTGGCTTAGCGACAAAGGTTGCACCTTGTCGCATACCCAAAGTAGGAGCAGCTCGTCCAGCATTGTATTCGCCCGTGTCCTTGTTAAGCAACGGGATCTGAAACCTCTGCCTGAAGGCGGTATCTTTGTCCTTGGGTTTGAACACTGGGAATTTGTTCACTTCTCGGGTCGCCAATGCGAGTCGATCGTCATTTGTGTATGCCTTCTCTGCTCCATCCTCGACACTGCCATCTGCGTCTGCATAGTTGACCTTGCGTCTCTTTCTTGCTGGCTTTTCCGAAGCTCGAGTAGGGGTTGCAGATCCTGGGCATTTGAATGGTTTGGAAAGGCGATCGAGAGCGTTCACGGATCTGGGCTGTAAGGGTGTCTTGACACCGCCGTCTGCCGGGGCTGGCCGAGGTCGATACCTTGATAGATGTAAGTAAAGCCTTCAGGATATCTAGAAGGGAAATTTTCATACATTTGAGCGATAACAAGACAAATTCAGAGTCTCAATGAGATGCAACTGTACAAATCCCCCCTGTCCAAAAGAAAATGGTCGTTGTTGAAGTGGTTGCCACCGACGCGTTCCTGCCTCGCGTCTGCCTGCAACACCAAAGTGCCGCGGCCCCACGTGACCTCCGGGTCACCCCGCCATGGAAAGCTGGGGAGATTGGCAAGCGGGACTGCACATTCGTCACATATCGAGGCTCAATGTCATCGGATTTCTGGGCTGGCTACCTTAGCGGTGCCCTAGGGATTATAATTGGGAATCCGCTAGATGTGATCAAGGTCCGACTGCAGGCAGGCCATTCAAGAGATGCATCTGCCCAATCACAACTGAGCCGCTTCGAGAAAGCGAGCTCACTCGTACGAGGTTTGTGAGACTTTGATATCATTCATTCGTTTTGTTACGAGTTGACGAAGAGCTGTGTTGATTGCGGTAACAGGCGCGGCTGCTCCAATTCTGGGATATGGAGCCCTCAATGCGCTGCTCTTCGTGGCCTACAATCGGTCATTGATGGCTATGGACAGCAGCATTACAGACCCCACGAACCCTGGTGGTGTGCCTGTATATAAGATCTGGATTGCTGGTGCCGCAGGCGGTCTTGCCAGCTGGACGATTTCCTCTCCGACGGAGTTCATCAAGTGCAGAGCACAGCTGGACTCGCGCCCAGAGGTGTCGTCCTGGACAGTTGCGAAGGATATATATCGTAATCGAGGCTGGAGGGGCCTTTACTACGGAGGAGCGATTACCAGTGCACGAGATTCAATTGGTTATGGTTTTTAGTATGAAAGGCCTTGTCCCCCGCGTCCCACATTGTATGTGGAGATATATATTCGCTGACATGCGATCACCCTTAGTTTCTGGTCATATGAGCTTTGCAAACGCTTTATCACAGCTGAGAATGAAACGCCTCACCAGGCTGCTATGAAGATTCTCCTCTGCGGTGGCATTGCTGGCATTGTCACTTGGGGTTCGGTCTTCCCACTGGACATGGTCAAGACAAGACTGCAGGCGCAAACGATGGCTGACCATTCTTTTGCACATACACCCAACGAGAACCAAAACCTTCTACGGCAGCCCCGGGCGACGCTGAATTCCTTCCAGATGGCCCGAGAGGTCTACCGGGCCGAGGGCATGGGCGCCTTTTATCGGGGCCTCGGGATCTGCAGCATTCGAGCGTTTATTGTGAACGCTGTTCAGGTAAGTAGTGATATGTGCAGTACTTTTGGAACAGTTCAAGGCTAATAGAAGTGCAGTGGGCTTGCTACGAATGGCTAATGAAGAGCTTCAACAATGCGAGTGTGCCTGTGCCAGTCACGGATCATATATAGATGTGTACAGGAAGGAGTACGGAGTACGGAGTCCAAAAACCAGACAGCGGGAGGAGCCAAGCAATGAATATAGACCGGAAACCCAATTGCGGTTAGCTTTATTTGGTATTGAGGGATTTCTATTGCGGAGGATTGCTTGTAAGGGGGGATAAATTTCGCCCTGATGTCCGTAGCCCGTGGGGACTACCGAGAACCGGCGATTTCAAACCGTGGGCCCGCAAACCGGCTGAGCGGTAGACCGCCGAGAACCGGCAATATCAAGAAATGCCTCACGTGAGTATCCACCAAACATGCAGGAAAATCAGAGTCGCGCGTTTGTGGACATGAGAATCGTAACATTATCGACGTCAATACTTTTGGGGACTTTTGAATGCTTGAATCCAGACCAAGCGAGAGGACAGCCAGGAAAAATGGCGTGTCCCTGACGGTTTTTGTGGTGGCAACTCGAGGTCCAGCTCAGTCTTTCATTTCCACGTTGTCGTCCTCCGATCGCTTAACGTTGTCTGCAACTCCCAATCCAACGGCAGCTTCGGCGATCTTCTGGCTGTGAGGCTCTTCGCGCAGGATACGGACTCTGTGGGTGAAGATCGGCTGGTCAGCGAGGTTGCTCAAGAAAGGACATATCGGCAAACGGGATGTGAAGGCTCACCTGCGCTTGTGGTTCTTGCCCTTGGTGTGCGCCTTCAGGTTGTACTCGCTCTCAAACCATTTCGAGCATTCGGTGCAATAGTGCTGTCCCAAGCCAGGCAGATCCTCTGCATCCTTGGTCGCCTTGTACTGCGAGAGATGGTGAGGCGAATCGATGTCGGCGAGGACCTGGTCGTAGTCTCTGCGCAGAGGGTTAGCACCCCTGTTATGGGTATCAGACTGTAGTTGAAGGATTGTACCTCGTGCGACGCTTGTTCTTGACTCTTCTGAGAGCACCCATCTTGTGTTAGGCCCGGCTTTCGTTCCGCGCTGCTAGTATCGAAAAATGAAGACGAAGAAAAAAAGGCTGTTATCGCCGATTCCGGAGTAATACTCGGGCGGAGTGGAGCACGGGGAGGAGCTGGGACGAGACAATGGACGAGGTTTTGGAGTGAAATTTCCGCGCCGGTTTGTGGGCCGTGAAAGCATTTCGAAACGCCTCGGGTCTGATTGGCGGCCGACCACGCTGGCCGCAGCGGGCGGGAGCAGCAGTCGGCACGCCTCGGCTCGTTCGGTTTCGTCACCGGCTCACGGGGCATGGTATGGCTGGTAAGATTGGTATTTTATGACGTTTGCATCGCGGCATGTTGCTCCGGGGCTTGTTGCGGGCCAACCTCTAAGGAGCAACGGCCTGTGCTGCTTGAGATTATGATATGAAATATTATATTCGATACTAATGAGTGGTGATGCTCTAGCATGTTTCCATGTAATTAGAAGAGCCAAAACAAGATCCAATGGCCATTCGGGCGGAGATGGGCACAGGGCCCATCATGAAAGCCCACATGCGAAGGTCCTTGAGCTGTGCGGATAAAGGATAAACAGTCTGAGGACCCAAGCCCGCATTGACCATGCTTCTTTTCTGCCTTTGGCCCGAAGGATACGTTTCCTTGGCCAAGTGTCCCCCCCAAGCCTGTAATTACAAACTTCGTGATTGGTGGCCGCCCTCACCCCCGTCACATGCCGTGTATTGCCATTACGGGACACTTGGGATGCCCAGCGACTCTCACATGGAAAGTTGAGACGATGTTATAGCATTCGAGGAGCTTCAATATAATGGTAAGACTGAAGCAGAGGACTACCAGCAGGATTTCACGAGCTATACCAATTGATCTCCCAATTACTGTATCAGCTACATTATTATTGAGCGAGAGCAGAAGCCACCATCTCACTCCATCTACCCCAGCCTCTTCTCAGTGTTGCATGCGGAGGTCGGGCAGTATGTAACAGTACCGTATGAGCGTATCGCCATGGTAACAGCGGTTACGGCTCTTCGGTCCCAGTCGAATTCTCTCGCCCACTCAAAACCACCAAGCTTCCCTTTTTTCTTCTCCTTCTCTTCCCTTCCACTCTCCACTCTTTATTGCTTCCACAGGTGAAGGTGGTTGCTTTCTTTGGATGCATTGTGCTGCCTCATTTTAGAGAGAGCTATCCATCATGATCTCCACTCGGCTTGCGCGTGCCGGTGCGCTGGTAAGCTCTCAGCCCTGCATCCTCGGCTTAGCAGTGGGCGATGTCTGCAGTGCATTGCTCGCTTCAAAACTCCCTCCCGAGGCCAAAATTGCCTGATTCGCAGTGAAACTAACATGATTGTGTTCTTCGCAGGCCCCTAAGTTCCGTCTTGTAAGCAGCAACCTAGAATCTTCGCATTGCGAAAAGGCGTCAGCGGGCGAAGCTCCCCTGCGTACCTGGGGAGAAGCCATAGGCATGACGAAAAGATGCATATGACATCAACTAACATGACTCTTCTAGCTCAACGGATCTCGGGCCTTCGCTACCATCAACAATGACCCTCTTGACAAGAAGGTCGAGATGACCAACCACGAGAAGGGCAACTTCATCAACTACAAGAAGATGTCCGAGAACCTCGAGATTGTTCGTGCTCGTCTGCAGCGCCCTCTCACCTACGCCGAGAAGGTCCTGTACTCTCACCTTGACGACCCCCACGGTCAGGACATCGAGCGTGGTACCTCCTACCTCAAGCTCCGCCCCGACCGTGTTGCTTGCCAGGACGCCACTGCCCAGATGGCTATCCTCCAGTTCATGTCCGCTGGCATGCCCTCCGTCCAGACCCCCACCACCGTCCACTGTGACCACTTGATTGAGGCCCAGGTTGGTGGTGAGAAGGATTTGGCCCGTGCCAACGACATCAACAAGGAGGTCTACGACTTCCTTGCCTCCGCCACTGCCAAGTACAACATCGGTTTCTGGAAGCCCGGTTCCGGTATCATTCACCAGATCGTCATGGAGAACTACGCTTTCCCCGGTGGTCTGATGATCGGTACTGACTCTCACACCCCCAACGCCGGTGGTCTCGGTATGGCCGCTATCGGTGTCGGTGGTGCTGACGCCGTCGACGTCATGGCCGGTCTCCCCTGGGAGCTGAAGGCCCCCAAGGTCATTGGTGTCCGCCTCACTGGCCAGATGTCTGGCTGGACCACCCCTAAGGATATCATCCTGAAGGTTGCCGGTCTCCTGACCGTCAAGGGTGGTACTGGCGCTATCATTGAGTACCACGGTCCCGGTGTCAACTCCCTGTCTTGCACTGGTATGGGTACCATCTGTAACATGGGTGCCGAGATTGGTGCCACCACCTCCATGTTCCCCTTCAACGACCGCATGTACGACTACCTGAAGGCCACCAAGCGTCAGCACATTGGTGACTTCTCTCGTGAGTACGCCGCTCAGCTCCGTGAGGACGAGGGTGCCGAGTACGACCAGCTGGTTGAGATCAACCTGTCTGAGCTCGAGCCCTACATCAACGGTCCCTTCACCCCCGATCTTGCCACCCCCATCTCTCAGTTCAAGGAGGCTGTCAAGACCAACAAGTGGCCCGAGGAGCTCAAGGTCGGCCTGATCGGTTCTTGCACCAACTCCTCCTACGAGGATATGTCCCGTTCCGCTTCCATCGCCCGCGATGCTCTCGACCACGGCCTCAAGTCCAAGTCTCTGTTCACCATCACCCCTGGTTCCGAGCAGATCCGCGCTACCATCGAGCGTGACGGCCAGATGGCCACCATGGAGGAGTACGGCGGTGTTATCCTTGCCAACGCCTGCGGTCCTTGCATTGGTCAGTGGGACCGCAAGGATGTCAAGAAGGGCGAGGCCAACTCCATCATCTCTTCTTACAACCGTAACTTCACTGGCCGTAACGACGCCAACCCTGCCACCCACGCCTTCGTCGCCTCCCCCGACATTGTCGTCGCCATGACCGTCGCCGGTACCCTCAACTTCAACCCCCTCACCGATAAGCTGAAGGATGCCAACGGTAACGAGTTCATGCTCAAGGCTCCCTCCGGTGACGGTCTGCCCGAGCGTGGCTACGACCCCGGCCAGAACACCTACCAGGCTCCCCCTGCCGACCGCAGCTCCGTCAACGTTGCTGTCTCCCCCACCAGTGACCGTCTCCAGCTCCTTGCCGGTTTCCCCAAGTGGGACGGCAAGAACGCCGAGAACATCCCCATCCTGATCAAGTGCCAGGGCAAGACCACCACTGACCACATCTCCATGGCCGGTCCCTGGTTGAAGTACCGTGGCCACCTGGACAACATCTCCAACAACATGCTGATCGGTGCCATCAACGAGGAGAACGGCGAGGCCAACAAGGTCAAGAACGCCTTCACCGGCAAGTACGATGCCGTCCCCGCCACTGCCCGTGACTACAAGGCCCGCGGCATCCAGTGGGTTGTCATTGGTGACTGGAACTACGGTGAGGGTTCTTCCCGTGAGCACGCCGCTCTGGAGCCCCGTCATCTCGGTGGTCTGGCCGTCATCACCCGCTCCTTCGCTCGTATCCACGAGACCAACCTGAAGAAGCAGGGTATGCTGCCCCTGACCTTCACCGACCCTGCCGACTACGACAAGATCCGCCCCGATGACAAGGTTGACCTGATGTGCACTGAGCTCGCCGTTGGCAAGCCCATGACCCTCCGTGTTCACCCCGCCGATGGCAGCAAGGCCTTCGACATCTCCCTCAGCCACACCTTCAACGAGTCCCAGATTGAGTGGTTCCTCGACGGTTCTGCCCTGAACACCATGGCCCGCAAGTCCGCCAACTAAATAGAAAGATTTCCTTCTACTCTTGGGGAAATCTGCCTTTTAGTTGATGTGTGATGTTTTCTTTGCCTTGGTGTTCTTTTGAAAGTTCTTCAGGGTTCGGCTTCGACTGGAGTCGCTTATCCCGTGTAAACTACGTTCTCTTGATGTGTTTAGCGACCCGAGAAAGAGAGCAGAGTGGTTCCTGCCACCTCACTATCTCACTTGGAGGGGGTATTGAAGGGGGCATTGAGTAGGGCGGCATGCCACTGCAACCGTTCATATGTGTGTGTGTGTGTGTGTGTGTGTGTGCATGTCTGTCCCTCTTTCGAGCCGGGTATGAGGAGTTGTGCTCTGGGAAAAATTTATGATCTTTTTGTCTTTTCCGGCCTCAGGCCTCGCGTTGGATTCCCGATTACTTTTTGGGTGGGCTCAATGGATATCACTATCTGATTTTCTCACTACATTGTTTCCGTATGTCTTTCTGGATAGCATGCATACACTATTTCCTTGTGTTCTACCTATGTTTTGGTATGGTAGTCTGTAGAAATGTACATTGTAGAGTAAATGCTCTAACAGAGTGGACTTGAGTATTGTAGTCCATCTTCCGAGGGACAAGAGCGCAGGCTGAGCTAATCTGCCGAGGCCCGTCTCTGCCCCGCGGAAAGACGATCGACTTGACGCAGGTAGACGACAAAACTACGGCGCAATCGGATTTGCAGATTCCGTGATTACCGTACAAGGCATATATAGCCCTTGTCAGGGATACGGAGAACCCGTTCTACTCCGCTAAACTACTTTATCAATAACGAGTAACGAGTGTGTTGAGATATACCCCGATCGCTCCTCCTGTCGACTTCTTCCCCGCCAATTTAGGCCCGGTTATATTGCTGGGACTTGGCCGCCAAACCGATCCTTCTGTCCGCTCGTCCAGTGATAAGCGGGGTGCTTGGGTCTACAATCGGTAGAGCATCTCGCAAAGATGGCGACGCAGCTCGTGGCCCTCCCGGAAGTTGAGCGCCTGAGTGCGTCAGTGATACGAATTCTGGGCGGAAACCCGGGAAAGGTGCGCATTACCGCCAGATATGAAGCAGATCGGAGATGAGTAGTAGAACGAATGGCTAACGACAGGCACCATGGCTTGACTTTTGGCGTATAGTTCACTTTACAAGGTATGTAGTCCTTCCACCAAGCACCCTTTCATCTGTGCTACATACTCAATCATCCCAGGAACCAACACATACCTCATCGGCCGCGGCTACCAACGCATCCTCATCGATACCGGCCAAGGCGAACCAGCCTGGGCCAAACAGCTACAAACCGTCCTCTCTGACGAAAAAGCCACCGTGCACCAAGCCCTCCTCACCCACTGGCACGGCGATCACGTCGGCGGCCTGCCTGATCTGAAGCGGCTCTGCCCCGATGCTCAAGTATTCAAGCACCATCATCAGCCGGAAGATGCATATGCCGATATCAAGGATGGGCAGGTCTTTAGTGTGGAGGGGGCTACGCTGAAAGCCCTGTTCACGCCCGGTCATACGGAGGATCATATGGCTTTTGTGTTGGAGGAGGAGGATGCGATATTCACGGGTGATAGTACGTGACGAGTCCACGTTCAAGTCCAAGTCCCTTCTCCCTGCCTACCCCGGTTCTCTCTCTCTCATCTACGATGCGTCTATCATGGCATTAAGATATCGCGAGACGGGTCCAGAGTACTAGTACTAACTCCCCCACAGACGTCCTCGGCCACGGCACCGCCGTCTTCGAAGACCTAAAAGTCTACCTAGCCAGTCTCCACCGCATGCGCGACCGCGTCCAGGGCCGGGGGTATCCCGGCCACGGCGTGGTGCTGGAAAACGCAACTGCCCGCATTGCCGAGTACATCCAGCACCGGCAACAGCGCGAGGACGAGGTGCTGCGCGTGCTGCGGTATGGAAAGTTGGACGTGGCACCTGGGGAACCCGAGCCTGAGCGCCGACAGGCGTGGACGCCGCTGGAGCTGGTGAAGCGGATTTATGTTGGGGTGCCGGAGAATTTGCATTTGCCGGCGTCGCATGGGGTGGCGCTGGTGTTGGCTAAGTTGGAGGGGGAGGGGAGGACGGTGCAGGAGGAGAATGGGGGGTGGAGGTTGGTTGGGGAGAGGAGTGCGTTGTGATGATGTTGTTAGGGGTGGACTGGTTGTATATACTGATATATCGACTACTTTTCTATCGGGCTATGTTAAGCATACATCCAATTAGTCCCATACAATCAGGCCATTGGTTACGTAAGATCGCGGGTGCCCCATCGACATAAAGACGTCAGCGAGCAGTCATTCTGTTGTCGTTTCCACCGCCAAGTCCCTTGATTCTGGTCGCAGGACTGTCGCCGACTGGCTGGGTTGACAAGGACCCAATCATGACTCCGATTGAGATATTAAGTGGCTGGTGAAGTGGTTGTTTGAGACGGCTTGACCGGCCAGCGAATCCCGGGAAGGTGGTGAATCCAAATCAGGTTGGCGATAGTTGAATACTTCGTCTTGAACACTCGATCGAGTACTGGTAGCAGGAACTAAGAATAATGAGTAGAGTCCCAAGAGCTCCAGCTCCAGTAGGACAAGGCGAGAATGCAAAAGAGGGGAAAGGGCCAGCGCTAAAACGTTAAAAATCGCGGATCGGCGATTCCAACCAGCAGACAAACTCCTCTGGACGCTTCGTGGGCGAACGTGAGATAGACCGGGGTCTACAGTCCATCCCAATACAGTGCTAGTACCCAGGTACAAGGTCCCACCCGGTCTTGTTTCTGTTTCTGTTTCTCTTCTTTTCGTCTTCCTCGTCCCTCTCCAGCCCTGATGTGAGCGCTATTGAGGAGCTCCACAGTAGCTTGTTCCAAGAAATTTGGGGGGAAACGCTGACCTCACTCGGGCTCTTCTTCCCACTCCCCCCGCCCTTGCTGCTGGCTCTCTCAACATCCCGACGTCTTGTTTCTATCACCTCCCCCTCTCCCCTTTGGTTTGTTTTGTGTGGGCAAAAGAGATTGCTGGTTTGGTTGTGGTGTTTTCCAACCTGATCGGTCAAGGGTTTCCAATTCAGTGAGTCAGCCTCGTTTTCTTCTTCCCTCATCGTCTTGCCCAGTGGCGGGGCAACAAAACTGAACTGCGGCGTTTGCTAAATGACAGGCCTTCGGTCTACGCTGTAGGGAGTTCTTCCGTTTGTATTTACTTCGCTCATCTATCTTGCATCCTTGACACCTATCTCGTCTCCGCATTGACTCCGCTTCTTTCGTCGTGTCGGCCCGTCGCTTCGCTGCTTGTCCCCGCGTTGTCTCCGCCCGCCATGCCGTCGCTCGAAGAACCCAAGCAGAACGAGGCCCGTCTGCTGCTCGTTTCCAATCGTCTCCCAATTACCATTAAGCGCTCCGAAGATGGCAAATATGACTTCTCCATGTCCTCGGGTGGACTGGTGAGTGGATTGAGTGGATTGTCCAAGTCGACGACTTTTCAGTGGTACGGCTGGCCCGGACTAGAGGTGCCCGAGGCAGAGATCCCAGTGGTCAAGCAGCGCTTGAAGGAGGAATACGGCGCAGTTCCGGTGTTTATCGATGATGACCTCGCTGATCGTCACTACAATGGGTTTTCGAGTGAGTTGTTCTTGATCGGGTTCAATGGACGCTAGTGGAGGACACTGCTAACCCCGGACTTTTCTCGTGGATCTACAGATTCTATTCTCTGGCCCTTGTTCCACTACCACCCCGGTGAAATTACATTCGACGAGTCGGCCTGGGACGCTTACAAGGAAGCCAACCGGCTATTTGCCAAAGCCATCGCCAAAGAAGTCATGGATGGAGATCTGATCTGGGTCCACGACTACCATCTCATGCTGCTTCCAGAGATGCTCCGGGAAGAGATCGGTGATAGCAAGCAGAACGTCAAGATTGGTTTCTTCCTGCACACTCCGTTCCCCAGTAGTGAGATCTACCGCATTCTGCCCGTTCGCAATGAGCTTCTGCTGGGAGTTTTGCATTGTGACCTGATTGGTTTCCACACTTATGACTACACCCGGCATTTCTTGAGCAGTTGCTCGCGTCTACTGTGAGTTGGCATGTTATTCGGGGAAATTGCGAAGCGGTATTGACTAATGAAACTAGGGGCCTTGCAACGACGCCCAATGGAATTGAATTCCAGGGCAAGATTATTACCTGCGGCGCTTTCCCGATTGGTATCGACCCCGAGAAGTTCAAGGAGGGACTCAAGAAGGAAAAGGTGCAAAAGCGCATCGCTATGCTGGAACAGAAGTTCCAGGGCGTCAAGCTCATGGTGGGTGTTGACCGTCTAGACTACATCAAGGGTGTGCCCCAGAAGCTGCATGCGCTGGAGGTCTTCCTCAGCGACCACCCGGAGTGGGTTGGTAAAGTGGTCCTGGTGCAGGTGGCGGTGCCGAGTCGCCAGGATGTGGAAGAGTATCAGAACCTGCGGGCTGTGGTTAATGAATTGGTCGGCCGTATTAACGGGAAATTCGGCACCGTCGAGTTTATGCCGATTCATTTCCTCCACAAGTCCGTCAACTTTGACGAGCTCATTGCTCTCTATGCCGTGTCTGATGCCTGCATTGTCTCGTCCACTCGCGACGGTATGAACCTCGTCGCGTACGAGTACATTGCAACTCAGCAGAAGCGACACGGTGTACTCGTCCTCTCCGAGTTCGCCGGCGCCGCCCAAAGTCTGAACGGTAGTATCATTGTGAACCCGTGGAATACGGAAGAGCTGGCTGGTGCCTACCAAGAAGCTGTCACCATGAGCGATGAACAGCGCGCCCTGAACTTTGCCAAGCTAGACAAATACGTCTCCAAATACACCAGGTATGCTTTCCCTCTCCGTTACAATAGCAATCCTCGTTCATACTAACGATCACAAAGTGCATTCTGGGGCCAATCCTTCGTCACCGAACTCACCCGGATATCCAACCAATCCGCCGACAAGTTCCAAGCAAAGAAACTAGCAGTTGGTGCGTCCAACTTCGCGGACGGCAGCGTCACCCCGGAGCAGGTCGCGTAGATTTCTCACGCTTGGCAAATGCCTTTTCTTCAACGATTTATCTTACTTAGATGCTCTCATGACATGGATGTGGCGAAATGTACTTGATTTCTTGCAATTTTTTTTCCGATATTGTTGGTTTCTTGTGCTTTGGGGTTGGATGGGAATACTATTTGTGCTATTTCTTCTTTACCTTTTGAGATAATTTGCAATTGGGGTAATTTATCTTCTCTCTTTAGATGTTAAGACTGACTCTTGAGGCTCATTTTTTCTCTTCTGGTATGGTCTACTCAATGAAAGTGGGGTATGCCAGCTGGTGGTGCAGCAGGTAATTCCCATCGGCCTTGTTGTCCATATCTGCACAAGCAACGCCACAACTGCGCTCCTCGTATCAGTCGCGAGGCAGTGCTGAGCGATTGGCTGGTGCTGACTGGGAATAAGGCAGACAGCAGTGAGCATCATAAATGGACCTCATCCAGGCCGACTATGCTCTCAGTCCAACCCGCTTGCTTTGCAAAACACCATGAGTTTACGGTCGTCATTACTCTTCAATAGACGCGGCCAGAATGCCTCGAGCTCGAGGCTGCCAGCTCAACCGGCATCCGCAGACCCCTGGGAAAAGGCACTTGCCCTGTATGTCAAGGCCCTTGACGCATCGAAAAAGCAACAGTTGAATGTTATTTCCCAGTGACATACTGCCTATGGGATGCCCTCAGGCTCCAAGAACGCCATTTAGTACATCTCTCGGAGCCGATGCTTGATGAGGCTAGGAGGATATTGGTGACATTGACTGATTTCTTGAGCACCGACCGCTGTCTCAGGTGGTTCTCACTATCCACCATAATCAACTACTCGGGGAACTTCCATCAACTGCTCGATAACATCATCGAAGCACTGGAGATTGCCCAATTGGAAAGCAAACGAGGCGGAGGACTTTGGCCATTTGCCCACTTCAATAGTGCACGCCTCGCCTTCCTCAGTGAATGGAAGAATATCGTGCTACGGACCACCACGTGGGGGATCTCCTGGGAAATATCACGCGGAGTCATTGAAGATACAGAAGATCGATCTATTTTCTTTGACGGTGGCCTAGGGCAAGATATGATGGACATTGCTCAAACTTGGAGTGCAAAGTTGATGCCGTTCAGCATGGCCCGTGGTGGTCGTCCTAAGTGGGCCCGAATGCGTCGAGCTCAATGCCCGTATTGTTTCGTCATGATAAACGAGATTGATTTCGAAAAGCATCGAATGATAGGATGTCGGGGACAGAGCAGACTGGTTTTCAAATGATATATTTGCATTATTTTCGAAGAACTAGCTCAATTCCAAACTTCTATACAGTGTCGATCAGGGTATTCGAGAAGATGGTATAATTGGACTCGCCCCTGGTGTCCAAAACAGCAAACATGATCTCTTCAAACAGACCATTCCATTCACTTTCCTCGAGTACTTCCTTATAGATCCTGGCAACTTCAGCCGGGGGATTCTGGAACGCACCGCAGCCCATTGCACCAAGTACACAGTGTGTGATCTTGTTCTGGGCAAGAATTCGGAAGATTTGTCGCATTTTGTTCTTTAGAATGTCGACATCCTGCGGACGAGCTATTTCCCCAGAAATGAGAAATGAAAAATGAAATAGAAATGCAACATTTAAGGACCACTCACCAAATCTCTTCTTATCTCCCGTTAGAGTAGGACGCCGCAACGCCGGCATGCTAATAACACCCACCGAAAATATCTCTTCAGGTTGGTAAACACGACCCCAGGACCCAATTTCACCCCTGAATACCGCTACGCTAGGTGACCAAATCGCGCCGTAGATGGGAAGAGGGTAGAATCGTTTGTACAGTGTTGCGGCTAATGTACTTCGCATGCACAATGCCTCTTCTTGCGCCAGGGCTCCGCGAAGCCACCCTCCGCCGGGATTCCTTTCACTGGCCATATTCAACACGCCGATTTTGGCGGATGGGTTGGTGTCTAGGATTGTCTTGGCTGCTGTGAAGCTGTCCATGTTTTGGATTGAGAGTTTGGGTTTGGTTGTGTTGTCTGAGGTTGGGAGGGCTGGGAGGAGTCGGGAGTATAGGATTGCTTCATTTGAGGCATTGGTGGTGTTGAGGATGTTGGTCGTGAGCGATTGAGTTTCTTCCGCTATTCCCTGACGCTCGATCTTGTTTGGAGGTCTTGACATATTGGAAATAGACGATGATATGTTGACAGAAATTATTCTGAGGCGAAAATTAGGTTGATTGTTTAGTGTCGTGTAGGAATCATGTTGGTTAATTTATAACTAGATCTGTCGCTCATATGACTCACTGCAAAAATGTGGCGGTGCTTTAGGAAACGATGGTTCGAGTCAAGGCATAATTTGAAAGGCTGAAAGTGTCTGTGAATACGAGATAAGAGGCGTGTAGTTAATGATGATCTACTTGTGATTTAGCTTGGCTGCCAAGTCATTGGCTTTGCCGCTTGGGGTGCCCGTTGTGGTGACTAGGCCACAATGCTCAGCCTCACGGCCAAGCTAATATTGTGATCAGGACAAACCAGAATGAGATAAGATCGCCAAAGGACCTAGAGAAGAGAGTCCAAGTTGAAAGAGAACATCAAAGTAGAGAATTACTAAAACGACACCCTAAATTACGTGGGGAACACCTCGACTTCGCTACGGTACTCCAAATACTCCCACAGGGACGGCTCAACCCGGCCCCTTTTCTTTCTGTACATTTAGAAGTTTCCTTCTTCAATCAATCACTTTAATCTGATGATTCCGGTAGTTATCTTTCTTCCTAATTCATACTAGTATATGCACCAATTCGGCCTTGCATTGACAGAAGACAATAAAAATACAGGTATTGACTGAGTTTTAAAAGCAATGGCAACTGTGCAACGAGCTTGGTGTGGGGCCATCTTTCTCGGGACTGAGTCTGCTTCCTTAACTGCAAGTGGTATCAGGGTGATCTTTCTTGAAATCACAGTAGATAGACGAGCCATCCTGCACACAGACCAGACCAGAAGCGCATTTCTGAATAGCCCATTTGCCGTTGTCGCAGAGCCCAAATGAACTGCCATTGCACTGGTATGTACCAGAGGCCGAGCAAGATTCTCCCAAGACTGGACAGGTGCTGGAAGATGAGAGAGCTGATGTCAATGAGGTGGTAGTGGTGGAGCTCGTTCTAGTGGTAGACGAGGAGGTCGCAACAACCTTCTTGATATCAGTAATGACAGGGTGCAAAGTTGTTGTTGTTGGTTCCGTCTTGCTGCTGGTGGTGGTCTTGGTCAGCGTGATAAGTGTAGTCGGGGCCTTGGCGGTCGTGGTCGTTGAGTGCAAAGTAGTCAGTTGGACAGTGCTAGTGCTAGTGGTGGTTGCAGCATGCGTCGTTATCGAGATGGCGGTGGTTTTCGAGGTAGAAACAGTGGTCTTAGTGCTGCTGATGCTAGTAGATAAAGAAGATCCCAGAGCAGAAGCGATGCCAGAAAGGAAACCATCATTGGCATAAACTTGACTGGCGTCCCACAACATCACACCACCAAAGCTGCTGTATTCCTGATCCTTTATGTAGTCGACGATTGAAGCAATGGCCGATGCGGACTCGTATCCCGTCCCTGCTGCGGTAGTACCACCGGGAATGCCAAGGAAGACCTTGACATCAGGGTTGAGAGAGACAGTTGTGGCCCAAGTATTCCAGGTCTCGAAGTTGAAGTCAACCTGCGTCGTGGAGCCAGCCACAAAAGTATTGATACCACAGTAGTTGTTGTAAAATTGTACCCAGATAGCGTCGAAATACACACTTCCGTCAAGCATGGGGCTGTCGGCTGCGTCAGGGTAGGGACACTGAGGTGCAGCAGTCAGGTAGTACGTCTTGGAGGTGTCTTGAGCAAACAGAGTACGCAGCTCGTTCGCAAAGGCGGGCATATTCTCGACTGTAGACTCGAAGTCAAAGTCGAAGCCATCAACAATGGCGTCGCCAAAGGGACGATTGACGGAGGAATCTGATGAAACTGGTCCGAATGTCTCCCAGACTAGCTGAGCTCCAGCAACAGCAGCATCGGCGCTACTGAATCCTCCCTCAGAGTAGGTAGCCCCGCCGATCGACAGAAGAATAGTTTTCCCAAGGCCTTGGCATGTCACGATGTCCTTCCTATAACCATCATAGTATTTTCAGTGATCCAATCTCCTTACTATAGCATAGCCACGACTTACCCAATAGTAGGGAAGTCGAGAAGAGCAGTTCCGTCGAAGACCGTGCAGGTATTGCCAGAATTAGCAAAGTTGACCTCGGGGGCACCGCCCTCGCCATTAATTACGGTCAAGAATGCTAGTTGAATGACCTAGAGAGAATGTGAGTATGCTGGATAAGATACCCTCGGGAGTTGACAGCACTCGAGGAAAGGGCGATCATCTCAGATCGATATCCGCGTCTGAAAGTTCACGGTAAGTATACATATATCAAGTAAAAAGGAACGATCAGGGAAATTGGAAATACATACTTTCACAGTAATAAGAAAGATCCTGTTGGGCCAGGTCACCAGATGAGGCTCCATAGGAATTTTGGCCTAAATTCCGTCATTTAGTAGGAGTCAAAGGGCCAGGTGATGGTGGCAAAGGCATTTTATAACCGACCCCAATATACAGCAACGTTAGACTCTCCGGTCAAGCTCAAGCCAGCTCGAACGCCCTGGAATATCCAAAACACTGCCAGACTGATGGCAGTGTACGTGAGAGGCATGTTGACAAAGGGATAAGAAGAACAAAGCGTTATGATTCAAATAGAGCTTAGTGTTCTTCAAGTAATGAATATGAATATTGACTCCAGGTCAAATGTGGAAAAGGAATGTATTGGGTGGGTAGATAGAGAAGGAAAAATTGAGTGACAAGAAGCGAATGTAAAAGTTGATGCAAAAAATCTCTAACAGAAGAAACTTTCATCCTTCTTATAGAGATCGTACACTAGATTCTAATAACTGAAATGATGCTAGATGGTGGCCTAGGCTCACTTTCGCATCAGAGCCATGCCCCTTAAGGCAACATTAAACTGAAACTGTAGTTCATACATCTCCAGGCAGGCGCTAGTATCTGTCATAATTCTTGACTGTGGCGGCTGGCCCTGATAGGTTGTTAGATGCAACGAGGCGTTGTCAAGAGTGGCCGCAATCCACACTTCTATAACCGAGATGAGATAAACCCCAAATCGGGTTAGCACGCACATCATCCATCTAGCGAATATGGACGTTTGTCGCTTATTCTAGGACGGTATGAGCAGGATCTCTACAAGAGTTCGACATCTCCGCTCCCGCCATGGATCCTGGTAACTACTTAACGTAGTTCCCAGCCACCCTGGCCACCCCATCAGAAAACGCGTCAACCTACCAACCTACCAGCTTCAACCAACTACCATGCCACCAATTCGCTCTGAATCCTTACAGAAATCGGCCAATCAAGAGGGCAAGATTTTATTAGCCCTTGATGATATTAAAAATGGCCGTGTCAAATCTATTCGCGCAAGCAAAGCTATACGAAATTCCACGCAGTACCCTACAAAAGCGTGTATGTGGTGTAGTCTCTATCGTAGAGAGACGTAACCCTAGCCATAAACTGACCCAATTAGAAGAGGATTCGCTTGTTGATTGGATTATCTCCATAGATTCGCGTGGAGCAGCCCCTCGGCTAGCTACTGTAGCCGAAATGGCTAATATCCTACTAGCTGCACGCGGTAGCTACCCTCCGCCTACAGTTAGCAAGAATTGGCCATCAGCCTTTATAAATCGACGCGAAGAGACTCGATCACGCTTCTCTATGCGATACGACTACCAGCGCGCACTAAATAAAGACCCAAAATCGCTACGAGAGTGGTTTACTACCGTATAACGCGCTATCGATGAGAACGGTATACAATTGGAGGATATCTACAACTTTGACGAGACCGGATTTGTAATAGGCCTTATATCTACGTAGAAGGTGGTTACGCGAGCTGAATACTACGGTCGGCGATCGATACTACAGCCACGAAATCGCGAATAGGTCCCTGCTATCGAAGCAATTTGCGCAGATAGCTATTCGCTACCGCTATATGTAGTTTTTAAAGGTAAAGTTGCTATTACGGGTTAGTTTGATAACCTACTAAAAGATTGGCGATTTAAGGTCTCGAATAACGGCTAGACTACCGATGAGATTGGCCTACGCTAGCTAGAGAAGCTATTTATCCTATCAACGAATTCGCGTGTACGTAGCCGCTTTCGGCTACTAATTCTTGGTAGCTATAGTAGCCACCTTACGCCCTAATTCGACCGATTATACGCAGAAAACGATATTATACCTCTTTGTATGCCTGCGTATTCGTCACATCTACTACAACTACTAGATGTTGGCTGTTTTGCAGTGCTAAAGCGCGCGTACGGTCGCTTCGTAAGCGATCTTGCGCGTAGAGGATATAATCATATAGATAAATTCGATTTCCTAGAAGACTACTAACGCGCGCGGTAGGAAGCCTACTAATCAAGCACTATTCAAAATAGCTTCGTAGCTAGTGGCCTAGTGCCAATCGATACAGAAAGAGTGCTCTCGAAGCTTAATATCTCTCTACGAACTCCGTCACCACTAAACAGCTAGCTAAGCAGCCTATCTAGCTAATTTACACCAAAAACGCCTAGAACTATCGTTCAGCTACAAAAGCAATCTTCAATGCTGATAGATCTACTACACCAGCGGTCACAAAGCCCTCCGAGCCCAATCAAAACCATACTAGATCAGATTATTAAGGGCACTGCACTATCGCTACACAACGCTGCATTACTCGCGCAAGATAATGCGAATCTACGCGCAGCCAATGAGAAGATCGTCAAGAAGCGTAATCGGTCGTATAAGTATATACCCTGCGAAGAGGGTTTGACCGTTGAAGAGGGCCTACAGCTAGTTGCGCAGCTAGATTTGCCAGAAGAAGCACCGGTGGTAGAATCGCATACGCAGGGCGAATTGCCTATTCAGGCAAATCGGCCGGCTACTAGGGCTCCGCCTAGGTGTAGTGGGTGCTGGGAGATTGGCCATAAGATCAACCGTTGTAAGAATCGTCAGCAGTAGTAAATTCAATGCGTTTTGATGGAGATAATTGATTTTGAAATTTTCTAATGGGGTAGGGTGGCCAGGGTGGCTGGGAACTACGTTAACTAACGTTAGTTATAAATTAATAGATTAGTCATGCGGTCGAACGGTAACTAGTTAGTTATTCGTTTTGAACATGTTACGTACCTAATTTGTCGGTTTTCTCTTGAAATGAATCTTATTTCATCTTTTTCCTCATTGATCGCGCTGTACTTAGTATACAGTTACGGCTAAAATTGATCTACTTGCGCAAGATGCTGATCAAGCTGAATGTCGGAGTATCAAGAAAAGTGGACAATAAACTTACCACTGCTATAGCGATATTCGAAATCAGATTAACCTAAATTCTCTCGTGAATTGTTTCTTGAACCCTAACTTGAAACATACTAATCTAATTTTGGTTACTTTCTCAATAATCCCTGCTCACATGTATCGTATCGGCTAACAGTAAAAAATGGATCATTGTTATAAAACTGTAAGGAGCCATGGAATCTTGTACAAACCCAAACCAAATAGAAGGTGAGTAAGGGGTGCAGGTCACATGGCACTATCGGCAACCGCGCTCCTTCTCTCACCTGTTATTAAAATCTCCTTCGTCCCTTTGACACTATAAACAATCTCTGTCTTTGGGTTCCTCTCCTCCTGATTAATCTTCTGACCCTTCGAGATATCGTGTGCCCCTTCCTATTTTTATGGCTGTACTTATTAGCTATACGAGCAGTCATTTCAAATCCCCATCTTCCTCCATCTTTCTTTTAGATCAGTGAAGATGTCTATCCAACAGCCCACGAAAGTCTCCATACCAGACTCGCTCCAGCAAGTCACCCGTCACTGGGCTCCTAAGCGAGTGGCCTCGCTCAACGATGCGTACGATGTGAGAATTGTGAAGGTGGCCGGGGAGTTCGTTTGGCACAGCCATACCGACACGGACGAGCTCTTCTACATTCTGTCAGGGGACCTGACCATCCAACTGCGCGAACCGGGCAATGAGCAAACTAAGGATCTACAGGACATCCAACTTAGTGCCGGCGAGATGGTGGTCATCCCTAAAGGCGTACGACATCGACCAGTCACGAATGGCCAGGAATGTGCTATCATGGTTCTAGAGCCATCGAGTGTAGTCAACACGGGGGATGCGACGGACACAAGGGGACTCAAGAACGCAGTGGAATAATCACATCGGCATATTGCTCCCTAGCTCGTTGGCGAGTAGTCATTTAGGTCTACTATATCATTTAGCGACAAGGGCCTTTCTAATGCTAGATGTTATTAAGACCTGAAACTCATCATAGAGGAAAACAGCTATCTCATTTAGGTACTAGGTCTTTCATACAGGTTGACTACAAGGCGCTTCTATCATTAGTGGTATTACTATTCTTCTCTAGCCTATTCGAGTGGGGGGTGCGTAGACGACAGCAGCTAAGGAGGACGCCTAGGCAGCAGGTGTATAGCACTTTCGTGTAAAATATATCATTCAAGGTCTCGCTAAGGTCATGTAAAATACAACACCTATTTTTGGAAGCGGAGGAAATACGACCATACGGTATATAGACTAGCTTGTTTCAGGATAGGGTTCGGGAATCAATTCGTGAGAGTATGCTGGTATATCTGATTTCGAATATCGCTGTAACTGATGGATCCGCTTGCAGTACCCTTCCATGGGATCTTGTATATAGTATGAGATTTTCCAGAAACTCGGACATTATCACCTCAAGTCCCACTTTTCTTAGCGAGGACATCTCGACATATCCATCGCATATATATTTGGTTCTTTTTCATATTAATCAATCAATCGTTCATTTCTTGTTCGGTTAGTTCCGTCTGATCATATTCGTGCATATACACACGCGCGCGACCTAAAAGGAAGACACCGCCTTCGGCAGAATAAATGCTCTTTGCCACGATTGTGCGTGGCTTTTGGAGGGAGAATCGTGGTCTTTTCACCTAGGGCTTCGGACGCCACGCCCGTGGCCAAATTAGGCTTAGCGTGACTTCCTTGAATACATGTACATGCACAAGGAAGCCCAGCGAGTGAATCATAGGGCAAGGGTATAAATAAGCCTTGAATGATCAGTTAAAAGGTCATCCTCAAGTTTGTTTTTCTCCAGGAGAGACACTGTTGCCCCTTGACCAAAGTTTGATCGCCCACGATGCCAAAGAAAACTCGAGCTAAGCGTACTGAAATCGACTGGAACTTATTCGTTCAATAACCAGATACGCAAGTCAACACCGATCATGCCGATTCTACAAAGCAGTATTTAAAGCACATAGAACGCAATTTTCGAGAGTTAGTCGCTCTGTTTCTCTTACTTATTTCTTTCCAGGTCACTTACAAATAATGCCAGGTTTGCACAAAATCTGGACCCCCCTAATACTCGTCATTGGCTCAAGAATATCACTTTCAAGGTAATTGAAGGATTTCTTCGATGGTATCTCGACAACCACGATATAGAATATCAGTCCGCTTTCCTTGTTTTTGCGAGGTATTTTAGAATATATTAGTGTCAAGAAATACACTGCAAATTTTCTTACGATCTTGGTCGAAAAATGACTACGGTACGTGCTATCTTAAATCCGCTCAACGACAAATACTTACTATTGAAGCTCGTATATACTATACTTACCGACGAGTACGAGCTTGATCTCGGGGGTAAAATACAGCTATCAGTCAACATCGACGATCTCTTATACTCTAGCTATCACCTTCTTGCTATGTGTGATATTGCATTTCCTACCTTTCGCTGCTAAGGCTAACTAAGCACGTTGCGGAAAATAATAATATCCACATCGGCTCGACCTGGAATACTAGTCGAGTCTTTAGGCTATATGAGTAACGATGCCGTGAAATAGAAGGATATTGAATTGTATATAGTGAAGCATCCCGATAATCCGACATGCCACGTTCTCCTTATGAGAGTTATATATAGGCTTAACAAGGGCAAGAGGAACAAAGGCGTACCGTAAGAAACAGAATCCATATAAGTTATGTACCGTCCTAACAAAAGCAGGCCTGTTTTCACCTATATAGAACGGAACGATAACCTAGGCCTGTGTGTTATCTAGATATTATTGAGTATGCCTTTCTCGATAATGCATTTGCTAGCGAGCATATTACATATCCGCTATATATTTGGAACCTTATAGAGGTCCGGGAATACCGGCTTAGTACCCCTATTTACTTTAAAGAGGCCGTCAAAGAAATCCTAATCTTTAGAAGAGCTGTGAAGAATGAAGGGGGTCTTTGGATCACCGATCCACGACGCGTACTGAGTTATGGTACGGTGCTAGAATATGAAAAGTCTATTATTGTTTTAGCTGGGTCTAAACAAATCACCGGGATTCTTCAGCCACTCAGTATGCGCCTCATTAGCTCGCGATCTTCGCAAGATTCGATACAGTAAGAGGGCGAATCTTAATAGCCCTCTAGCACGTTTAAAAGGGTTAACATGAATCGATTCGCGTAGCGGTAAAGCTATACGGTATACCCTACTTCACACTATCTGCTCGCGTGAATGGAAAGGCCTCACGCGTTGATATACGCGCAAATTATTATAAATTGACCTAATTAGAACAGGATTCGCTTGTTGAACAGATCTTCGAAATAGATTCGCGTGGAGCAGCCCCACGCCCTCTAATGTACGCGAAATAGCTAATAGTCTTCTAGTAGCGTGCGGATTACCGTAACACACTCCGACTAGGCTACATCATGTTGGGCCCCTTTAACCCATCTACTGAGATCACCCACTGGCAGTCGTATAGGCGCATCAGCTGCTTTAAGCAGCAATGAGGCAAAAAGGTACCATCCTGCACTGACAACCACGAAACCAGCAGCTCCAGCAGCCTATAGTATATTAAACACTCAGTTAGCATGAATCACGAATTATTGAGTGTCCAAATATATATCAAGCTTACCTCTCCAATTCGAGCCGCAATAGCGTCTTTACCTTCGGCTTGACTCCAGTTAGAGCCGGCGAGAAGGCAGTATTGAATTAATAGGAACAGGAAAACAATCACGTTAGGAATATTAGACCTCAGTGAACAGATGAGGCTAATGAACGAGAACAAGGCCATGCAAAGGTAGAACCATGCTATAATAATGTACCAGATCAGAGCCCGCCAGCAACTTAGCAAGATATCTCGGGAAGCTTACCAAAACTCGCCAGAAACCCACGGTCGCTAAGGCCAAGGTATGGTTTACTTGGATCTGGGGAGTATGCAGCGTATGATCCAAAACTTGGACTGAGAGTCGAGCCCATAGTGAACCAAAATCCACCTTTTTTGACTAATTAGTATTTATTGTTCTCCAATTTTAATCGCTAAGATTTAGAGCCGTCTTACCGAACCCACAAGACACAACAAAAGGGAATGTGTTTCCGCAAAAAAATTCAAGAACACCCGCAATTATCATCAAAGTTCCACCGACGAAAAAGTATGTGCCACTATAAGACCACATCAGTTAGCAAGGTGAGTAATGTAACAGTAGATGATAAAGACAATATAGAGAGAGGGAAGACGTGCATAGTTGCCGCTCCGCCTCCGCCTGAACCTCGCCAGCCTAGGAGATCTAGCGAGATACAGGATAAACTCATGCATAAACCCAGTAAAGTCCTAAAAAATGTTAGTCGAGAAGACAATCAAGCTTTTTGCTTTCTCTCCCCTTACAATGGCGCTGCATTTCCCCATGGACGTCCTTTGAAAGCTTCTGGAGCCAACAATAGGCTCCTTTGCAACACTTCGGTGTCCAAGGGAGGAGATTGAGCACCAGTGATGGTCTCTTTTTCGCTGACAGTCTCTTGAATACTCATTTTAAATTGGGAATCGAAGTCAGAAGAGAGTGTCGGTATTTTCATAATCTGTGAAGTACGCTAAGGCTCAGTTCGCAGGAGTGGCCAAGTAGCTAAACTTTTCATATAGGTAATGCTATGGAGCACTGTTAGGAAGATGACAGCTTTATATATTCAACATTGCTTATCGTAGTGTATATCACTGTTAAGACTATAATTTTAACATTCCAACCCGAATACTATTTATCGTTTACCTACATCTAATTACTGAAAGATGGCTAGAATAAGCATATCGATGATTCTGTTTTAGGAAGTTAAATATGGTGGGTCCATGAGGGCCAATCGGGAGGCCATCCTATCGTGACGAGATAAGCAGCACCCATCCAATACCATAATCCACAAAAGTTCAATTGATCAAGATAACGTCCAGATAGAACGATGATTGGGCAAAGTGTTTCGATACCGCCGCATCACCCCATACATTCTTGCCACTGCTCCATCACCGCAATCTTCGGAACATACAGATAAATAATAATGTGGAGGTACGTGGAAGGTTCACACTCTCGGGTTTGTCACAAGAAGTAATATAGTACATAACTAATCTTGGTGGATTATTATCATCTCTTCGCGGATTTGCACGTTTTTGTGTGGGGAACTCGCTAAATACCTTACACTGTATATCAAAATTAAATTACTAGAGCAAGCTGAAACAGTATCGCACGGTATGCATTTACGGGACTATTTGACAAAGCTAATTGGGTTGTATGAACGTTGATTGATTGAAGATGAGATAAAAGCTATGTGCAAAACAGGGGGCATGGTAAATAGCCATATGCATATTCCGATCCCGGGAAGAAAAGAGACAGTAAGGGCTGTGATACTCGAAGTAAACTGGTCTAAAGTTGCTGAACTTGCTGCACTTGTCCAAGTTTAGATACAAAACCAATAAAATATAGGGCATAGAAACAACTAATAGGAGGAGACTGTAAGTACCTTTCTACTTTCGCGAGATATGTTCTCGCAAATGAATCCATGCCAAACCTCTTTAAAAAAAAAAAAAATGTGGCCGCCACCTTTGTCAAAGTCGCGGCAATCAGGGGCTCACTATCACATTCAGAAAGTGAGCAGGAAGTCGAACATGTAAGACAATTCCTGAGTCGCATAAATAATGACATATGAATATCTCCTCAGACAATGTTAGCACTGCTTATGTCTTTAGAGGGTGCAAACCCCGCCTCGAGACCGACACATCTACATTGGCAAAGGAGCAAGCAGGGAAATGAAACTGAGAGCATGGCCAATCTACTATAGTTCAATGTCACAAATCAAATCCGTGGTAATACTTTCATATGAGCGAGTTAACTTAAGCTTAGTCACCACCAAAGCTCCACATACTATAACTTCCTAATAGAGTAATCGTGGTAGGTATGGGAATGACCGTACAACCGTCCATGATAAGAAAGAAATCTAGAACTAATTCTAGATAGTTGGAGGACAAAAATTGGATCTTATCACCTGGAACTTTATTCATTGCTTTACGGGCACGATTTTTAGTACGGTGTAGATGAAACGGTGGTCCCTAGCGAGCATTGTAGCGGCGATGGTCTTGAAAATCATTATTTAAACCCTTCATCCCCTCCTATAGTGGTCGCTTTACTCTCATGGTCGGACACTTTGGACATTATAGCCGGACCTTCTATAACCTCATTTCGCTCGAACTTTTGTTCTGATAACTTGACTTCTTTCTACGACACAATGTGCCAAGATGAGATTGCCATCAACGGCTGGACTAGCACGCCAGCCGATGCCGGTGCTATCTTTGGTGATCAACCTTTCATCAATAAGCCGAAGCCCCTTTCTCTTGATGAGGTCAAGTTTCCATTCGAAGATCCTATTGTTGCAAAAACCTTGACTTATGCACAGGAGACCCTACACCCCGAAACCTTCAACCACTCTATGAGGGTCTACTTCTATGGTATGCTTGCGGGTGAAATTTGCCTTAAGGAATGCTCTTGCTTGTGTGGCTAACACTGCGGTAGGAATGGTCATTACCAAGCAGCAATTTCCCGAGATTGCTTCTACTCTCAGTCCGATGACTTGGGCTCTGACTTGTTTATTGCATGATGTGGGAACTGCTGAAGAAAACCTGACTGCAACACGGATGTCGTTTGATATATATGGGGGCATTAAAGCCTTGCATGTCCTTAAAGAATTTGGAGCCAGTCAAGATCAGGCGGAAGCAGTTGCTGAGGCAATCATCCGCCATGAGGACATGGGGGTGGATGGCACGATTACGTATATCGGCCAACTCATTCAGCTGGCCACCACATATGACAACACCACCATTCACCCGCATGTAAAGGACTTCCAAAAGATGGTCCATGACACTACCCGTTCCCAGATCGCGGGAGCTTATCCCCGCCTAAAGTGGTCCAATTTCTTCTCCACAATCATTCGCAAGGAGGAGAAAATCAAACCCTGGTGTCATTCGACACATCTTGTTGACTTTGATAATGAGATTGAGAACAACACTCTCATGAAGCAGTTTGAGTGAAGCCCAACAAAGCCGACTTACTCTATGGTGGTCTCAAGCTCCTTGTCAACAATGCTTCTAAGTTGTCTATCAGATTCTGATGAGTGTCTTCCTCTCGTTTAGGCCTACATGTTTTCTATCAGTTTTGTCTGAGACATCTCGTGTTGGGTTTCTGTTCTGATACTTTCTGTCATTTTCTCTCATTTTCTGTTCTTATAATATTATCTGTGTTGTCCCGACGGAAGATGTGTTGTCACTAGCTCATGTTTTGTGGCATTGGCCAGAAAATCTTCAGTCTTTTATGTAGTAGTCTTTCCAATGTTTTTCCGATACCTTATGTTATTTATTGTCGGCTAGTGTGGCGCCCTTAGATATAGATGTCAAGTTTTCTCCCTTCGCTGATAATCAGTCGATCTAGTCTTTGCTTTCAACACTTTGGTTTTGACTTGGTACGATCTCAGTGTCATCAATAAAGAAGGGCAGATCACAACCCAGACTAATTTGAAAGCATTTCCGTGTTTGCCCAAGATGAAAATTTTCTGTTTAATAATTCCAGAGCCAGATTCAATACAAGTAGCCGTTATGCTGCCCGAGTGAGAACAACCAACATGCCGGACAATTCATTCTTTATACAGCTACAACTCTCTGGCTCTCATCAAAGTCTCTAGCTATGCAGTGATTCAGGCAAACATGGTTATAATTCCAGCAAACGTTCGTAAGCATAGCTTCTAAATCTCTATGCGCCCGTAAGAGTGTGTGATAGAGTTAGTGCAATAGCTAGATAATAGATACTTGAGGCAGATGGAGCTCAATCCCCTTCATGTTTTCAAATTGTGGCAAGCTAGCAATCATCGAAACAAAATAAACGAGATCATCTACGCAGTCACCTGTACTATTTAGTACTATATCATGCTATGCTGACCTCGCACTTGGTGGTTCTGGATGAAACTCGTCAATGAGACCGTAAAAATTCATTCTCGTCCTCTCCAATGTTATATGAGAAGCAAGCCATGACCCAATCCGTCTAGATCCCCTGGCCGCTCTTCTCCTTTCCAGTGCTCTCGCAGAAGATTTGAAGCGCTGATCACATTTAAACAACCTGTCAAATTCCAGAGCATCCCCAAAGATCCGATGACAAGATCCTGCTGGCTTTGTGCCCGACAACCAAGACCGGCAATAAAAGTCGGCCAGAGAAGGCACTTAAATAGTGTCGCATCTCGTTTGAGGGCTTCAATCAGGCCAAGCAATTGCGAAACCAATTCCTCGTTATCCGGTGTTGCTGTCCATTGGGTGCCAAGGAGTTGCCTTCCGTATAGCAAAGCGGCAGTCTTGTACGCCTGTGATAGCATGCAGAGTTTATTGATTTTCGTCGTAGAAGACGACCTCGGGAGATGGAAGTTCGATGCCCATTCAAAGGAATCGAAATTGTCAGTCAGCTCGAGCATGGCAATGGTGTCTTGTATATGTGTATGAATGAGGATGTCATCGTGTCTTCTAGACTCCATAACAGCTCGTTGATTGGAAAAGAACCGTATCGAGCTTAATAGAAACTCAGGGCATCCGAGAAAACTTCCCACAATGGACTCTTGATGCTTGCTTTCATCATTGCTGACATCGTGTTCGAATACTGGCCTCGAAGTTGAAAACGCGGTTCCGAGGGTTTCAATTCTGTTAGTGTCAGTGACAAGACAGCCGCACATTAAGAAAAGAGGCCTACGTACAACGAAAGCTCTCTGTTTTTCAATAAGCCAACTTCTGTTAAGCCCTCAGAGAGATCAAAGAGAAGTAGTATGATACTCGACTGGCTCCTAACTTCAATGAAAGAAAAGATGCAAATATTTATATTCCTCTTGGTACGCCAACTTGCCTTGCTTTCATGTGAGTTATCTAGCTTTGCGTAAGCCGCCCACTCACCTGATGTCAGACTATTGGGTTCGCCGCAACGGGCAGCCTCGTAAAGGTGCTCTCCGGGCGCTAACATTGCCTCCATCAGTGATTGATCTTGCAGATAATTTTATCGAGGCTGCAGGATGTGCGGCCATCCCAATTTGTTGAAGAGTACTCCCTAATCCACTGGTGATGGTGGCTCCCAAGATCGCTTGGGGACCCACTTACATATTTTATCGGCCCTTTCAGCCTCGAGGCGCCAACTGAAACTCCGAGTGTAGCGCCACAGCCCAGCGGCTGAATTGTGCCCCAGATCATTTATAGGATCTAGTTCTACGCGCTTTTGTGTCATTTATTGCAAACCTGACTTTTTTAGTCGCAGTATATGCATTTCTATTGCATGAGCTGTCGCGCTGCCACCATGTCAAAGAGACCTTAACCAACGGTCAGATAACAACTCTTTCGCAGTAGGTCGATCTTTTGGTCACCACTGCCGCATTTTACTTATGAAATGGAGAAAATGATCTTGCTGCTCCCCCTAAAGTTGACTTCAAGGCCCTCTAAAAGACGTAAGAGGAATTTCGGCAAGACCCTTCTTCCATTTCCCTATTTTCCACGGACCAGAAACACAGATCGAGAGGGAAAAAATAAGGCCAAGTGGGGATTGAAGCTTCACTATATCAAAATAGTCAAATCAATCATGCTTGTAGAAGATCTCTTACTAAAAGCTTCGTGCTCATTTTCTGTAAAAGAGGTTATATTGACTCGGACCAGCAAAGAGACGGAATCAAATATGTACTGGATAAAGTAGAGAAAACTGAGCACTTAGATGAATAGAAAGGCGAAATTGGATTCTTGACTGCTATTTTACCAAGACGGCGTACGAGATATATAGCTTTATTCCTCTCGTCAGAACGACCACGCCTTGCTCAGCCGACACAAAGTTTCAGAGGGCAAAAGCTCAGCTAGGGTGGCATCCAGACGAGACCTACCTGCCAATCGACTCTAGGACTGATGCATCGTGCAGAGTACTACCGCACGAATAACTCGCCCAGCCGTTCGATCCAATAGCCACACAGTGCAGTGCTGTTGCTATTTCTAGGGAACAGCATATCTACGCATCGCCTGCGTCCTATTGTCACCACCTGGTCGATAGAGCTCTACTTGCCAGTCATTGCGTGGCCCAGGACCGAAGACAAAACGTACAGGGCGCACCAACATAGAGACAATAGTTCCCTCGTCGTCTCCGGTACGAATAACGTTCGTGCCGCAGGAGTAAACCCCTGTTTTCCTATCCGTCCATCTCATCCTCTCCGCCAATCGATTACAAGTAAACGGGGCTCCGATAACAAGACGCACTCATCCGCTTGATCCAATAGCCACATTACAAAGCGCCGTTGCTATTTCTAGGGAACCGTATATCTGCCCCTCGTCCGCGTCCGGTTATCACGACCGGGTCGACGGAGAACTACTTACCAGTAGTTCCGTAGGCTAGGACCGAAGACAGCGCAGGACGCACCGACATAGAGACAATAGCTTTATTATCGTCTCCACTCTACATACAACCCTGTTTTCCCCGACCGTCTATCTTATCCTCTCCGCCGATCGATTATAAAGTGAACGGGAGTTCGGCGACAAGGCGCACTCGGTAGCAGGGGCTCGCGGAGCTCTAGAATGTGGGTGACAACAGGAAAAACTGCGTAGGTCGATAGAAAGGGGATATTTGCACACGGTCTGACGAGGTCGCCTAGCGAGGACTTTAGCTTTAGAGATCGTTCCTGGTCCTGAGTTTCGATATAGTCGCCGTGAAGCCTTGCGATTATCGTGAAAGGACAGAGCGTCACTGTTATCATCTCATTAACTCTCACAGACTTAGCAAATCACTAGCTAACGCGTATAGAGGCCGGGACACTCTAGTCACTCACGTACGCTGACTAGTTTAATCCTGTTCTTCCTCGGTTCCGAAATGATACGGACGCCATCAGCCAGGGCTGCTAACGCGGTCGCCCTTAATTTACGCCCCTAGGGCAGATTTTGAAGCCCTGCTACATACGGGCGATTGTCTAAAAAGAGTGTAGGGTGAATGCGCCTGGGTACGCGGAAGTTCGACAACGGACCGACCGATAAGACACGTTAAGGGCCGGAACTGCAGGTCGGCGCGGTAGACCAAGGGAAAAAATACCTTATCTCGAGCCTAATAGTGAGAGCTGAACGGAAACGCGGGGCAGGGCGAGGGAAAGCAGCGAAGACTGGGCTGGAGGGCACGAAGGGCTGCAAAGGCCCGGCCGGTTCACACTGGCGGTATAGGTGGTAGCGGAGATCGGTGGTTCAGATCAATAGCAAAAATGCCTCACTCGCAAGGCACACACGAGGAACGGAGAGGAAGGAAGGGTAGAAGGGCAAACAACAGCTCGAAGTTGAAGCGGCGATGAATGGGACTTTATAGAAACACGCACGGCGATAGTAACGCGTATAGAGGCGCTAAACCTGAACGGGCACGCTAAACTCTTTTGCGTAATTCACCTTCACCGGATTATACGGAGTAGACAGAACGTAGAATGGCGGGCAAATAAATTAGCGCCGTTTCCCGCGCCCCGCTTACTATCGTGTAGTAAGTTACCACTCTATAGATATCTCGACAATTTATAGCGAATAATTAGCAATTAACGGTTACCTGCGAAATTTCATAAGCAAATTAGTTTGCAATAAACGATAAACAACAGCGGACCTAAATAGTAATAGGTGACACTCTACCCGTTAAGGTTCTAGGCATCAGGAAAGCCACCCTTCGGACTATCACTGTCATCCTATATCCAAAGAGGGAGGGGAACATCGGAGACGGGCAGACGGTCAAGGGGGGGTAGCAGGGCGGTACAAGGGAAGCCAGTTCTACCTGCCCGCTCACCGTGGGCACCAATGCACTCTCATAAACACTCTCATAAACACTATCCTACTATAGAATTCGAAAACAGATTACCCTTTAGACACTCGCGCTTTCTCTTCCAAGCGCCCCACCCCGATTGCGCTAAACTAATGGCGTACTCTACGCCGAGTGCATCTATCACACTAAAGTATTTTGGGAGTATCCATCCGCTTCACTCCTATTGACAAGAGGGCACGTGTGCACATATATGTATGTTGAAGCGACGCGATGCTGAAATCGCGGGACCGCTGGATCCGAGGCGAGGTCTCTAGTGCGCCATAAAGAAGTGCCACTCCACAAGGGTCAACTCCGGATGATGCCTACGCAAAGGAAGGCAGAAAGAGGGAAAAACAAGCGAGTTCTATCTATCTATCGGAGAACGAGGGAAAGTAGGTCCACTGAGCTCTTTATAGGCCGAGGGAGCAAGCACTGTCCTGGAAACCTCCGCGGGAGCATCCGCCCAAGGAGATGGAAATCTTTGTCAAAAGTGAATTCGGTCGGGGGTAATCCCCACCATCTTTTCTAGTAATTCATAAAAATTACCGTAATTACACTTTTATCGTCATCTGACATCTTGCAAGATAGAAGTTCATCGGAAAAGAGATAATAAAGATGGCTAAAAGACAGTCTATTACAGTAGAAAATCCGAGGCCCAGAATTCATATATATGATTACTATACGGAGTACCAATGCCTGTAATTTCCACGGCCCCACTCGGAATTTCTAATATAAATTTGCACTTCAAATAGACCAAGAACTGGTCATATCTGCAGGCCCCAGGAGCCTTTGCCGTATATTTCTTCCATAGTTAGTACAGGTACCATAACACCGCTCATTCTGCGCCAACCCTTCGCAGTCGACTCAATCAACGTCTCGACCTTCCCCTGTGTATTTTGAATTTCTTCGAATCGTGCGGCAGCTTGCGAGCTACAGTGGCAGCAGTGGGTCGAATATCTGGACCCAGGTCTGGGTCCTGCGGAAGACTACCTGGGAGCTCATTACTAGCCCCCAGGAGCAAGTGAGTTGTTCCGGGGAACAGTTGACCAATTCTTGGCGCTATTATACACTAAGATAGTATCGCGCAAATCTTGCTCATAACTATGGGATTGTATTGACGCATGATGCATTTATATATCCGCACCCAGGACAGTTCAAGCCAGTAATACTGTATTGGATATTCCTGCGAAATCGTCTTACAATCGTCACCATTATCGAACGGGTATTAGTTCGTCGTACGGTTAGCGTCAGAGGACCCCACAAAACGGAGAGGTAAAATAAGATTACATAGGCCGATCAGCCTGAGTATTCGGGAAAGCGATCAGGTTACTTAGGGAGCTACTCATGCTCGCTCCGTGAGCTGCTCAGGGCGGCGGGGTAACTAACTCACCCTGTGCTCTGTGAGCCGATCATTTCCCGAGGCGACAGTTTTACCGTCACCTAGATTACTAGATTACTGTAGAAATCGCCGAATCTCCCTCTAATCTAGGTATATCATCTATATTATATCCGTCGAGATATCTACGTATTACCTATCTATCTTCCCCTACTTTTATACTTTACCCCTGCTGGCTATCTTCGTATTGATTTGGCTGTTGATTTGGTAGTTGACCCTGCATCCTCGCTAGTGACGAATCTTGCTACGAATCGTCTACACTCCTCGAACAACCATGAAGGGCGGATTTTAACCTACGCGAGTATACCCGTATAGCGAATGAGCAGTGTAGTAGGAGAGGTGTATAGAGTAGTAGAAATCTTGTAATCGTCGAAATTCCCAAAGAAACAGGAGCTCCCAGGTGTAGTTCCTAGCAGTCGTGGGAGGCATGATTCAGAGCATGCCTACCAAGTGTTTCAACTTGTCTTCTCACAGTACGAACTCGGATGGGATTAGAAGACGTTGCCTGCCGGGGTAATGCTATCCAAGTTGCCGATCTTTTATAATATCTTTACAGATAGGTTAGTGACGCACTACAATACTCATGTAAGAAATTCAAGTGGTTCCAGGAGAATACTAACATAGCCACCACTACGGCTGTTGTCATCCCCCTAATAATAATATTTACTTTGCTGTCTGGAGTGGCACCAATGGGGAGGTGTTGCTCTGCCTCCACCTCCTCCACCACAAAACATTCTTGGCCCTTAAATTGACCGCTTCGGACAGTTTTCAAGAGCAGTTTTATTCAATTGGAATTCGATCAAGTTAGCGACTGAAGTGCGACTTTCCCTCCGTCATGGCAGAGAACTGCCAGAGCGAGGAGACCCTCAATCCTAGCGCACCTAGAAACCTCGAAAATTGTTCAGGGGTTGATTCGCTTGCTACGTCTACTGCGATGACCGCCGAAAGAGCTTACTACCATTTCGGTGATTTCTTCATCAAAAGAGGCCTTCGGCCGAGCGAATACAAGACCACTGTTCGAGGCACGAAGCATATCCCCCGACTAGGGAAAGAACGACTCCAAAACGAGGCCGCAGCGTTGCGTTTCATTCAACGCGTTAGCAACATCCCTGTTCCAACTTTGTACGGTGCTTTCGAGGTCGACGACTTATTTATATTAATCACAGAGCACATTGACGGCATTCCTATGTCAGGTTTATCGGAAGATCAAAAAAGTGTCGTCCGTACTGAAGTTGAGCAACACCTAGCCACCCTCCGTGGGATCAAATCGGACACTATTGGTGGCCCTTCAGGGATAGTACTCCCGCCATATCGAGTAATGCGGCTCTCGGAAAAAAATGAATGGCCACGGAAAGTGTCTAAAGATGGCAAATATGTCTTCTGCCACACTGATCTTGCCCAGTATAATATCATTGTCGATCCTCAAACATTGAAAATCCAGGCTATTATCGACTGGGAATACGCCGGATTCTTCCCTGAGTACTTTGAGTGGCCTTTCTACGAAAGACGAGGCCCGTCAATAGCTTTGGATGGTGAACATGACGATTCCGCAGAGTTGCTGCAATTTATGGAGGCTTCCTGATTAGTTACCTGAAGAAAACGAGTTGGAATGTGATTATGGAACCGATGTTGGATTCGTCTCGGTCAATATGAGCTAGTAGCGCATACGGAAGCAGTAACAGAGCCTCCCCTCAATCCAACTCAGAAACAGATCACTCTTAGTCCCCATAACCCTCATACATAACCACATCAACCCTTAACCTTGCCGCCTATATATATATAGTCTCTCTTCTAATCATACTTAGAAGGGCATGCTCTATCTACCCTTTGGATCCTAGGTCCCTATATTCTAGATGTAATTTAGGGTGTCGTTTTAGTATTCTGATATTTGAATTAGTTATTCACATCTATTCGTTATACAAAAAGCAATGAAAATCTATGTTCCACCAAACGCTCTCAACATGCATCTCTGTACAGATATTATCAAGTCGCATCACGACAATATTATACAACCACACCTTGCATCTCAACCGTTTAAGCACGGCACATACGGCCAGAGTCGGATACAGTCCAGGCATCACTGCCAACGGCCTTCAGGGCATAGAAGAAATAGTTGGGGTCCCACTTGTTCTTCACAGTGAGCAGAGGGCTGTAGTTGCTTCCGAAGAAGGTATCCTGCCAGTTGAGCTGGCGGAAGTCGCCCTCGTTCTGGTAGCAGCCGCTGTTGGGGGTAACGGCCTCCAGCTGGGGGACGTAGTCGTTGGTGATCTTCCACTGATCGGCGATCATGTCGGCCCAGGGGGCAGTCTCGTTCCAGGCGGTGCCGATCTGCATGGTCACAGCGGCGTTCCGGAGGGCGGGGAAGACGGCGTTGTTGACGTTGCCGGAGTTGGTGACGTTCATGCCGACACCGACGGCGATCACGCCGGACTGAGTCAGGTTCCGCAGAGCGGAGCTCATGCCCTCGTAGTTGTTCTCCAGGGTGTTGCGGGGAATCAGACGGCCACCGTACTGGTAAGTAGTAACGGCCAGGTTACCCCAAGGCAGGGGGCCCATGTACTTGTTGTAGTGGTCGTAATACGAAGTGTACTGGGTCAGGCCCAATTCGTAGGTGATGCCAAGGTTGGTGAGAGCGTTGGTGAAGGGGGTCAGGATAGCCTTCACATCAGCGGAGGTCTTGTTGTAGGCAGTGACGGGGTTGATGATGAAGACGCTGCTAGTCATCTCGTAGATGACAGTCACACCCTGGTCGATCATGGCTGGCAGCAGCTGATGGAATTGAGCGACGGCCTCGTAGAAGGTGTCAGTGGTGATGTCGGCAGCAGTGAACTCAAGAGCAGCACCGGAGATGGTGGCATCCTGGTGAGCCTTGACGGTCATCGACACGACAACACCATAGTTACCGGCACCACCACCGCTGAGAGCCCAGTACAGATCGGAGTTCTGGGAGCGTGAAGCAGTAACGAGCTTGCCGGCAGCAGTGACAACCTCAAACTGCAGAGTCTGGTCGGCACCAAGACCGAACTCGGTGCTCAGGGCAGAGTGACCACCACCCTGGGTGTAACCACCAGCAAGACCAACGGTAGGGCATTCACCAGTAACGACAACAAGACCCTTGGCGGCAGCAGCCTCAAGGATCTGGTAGCCCAGGACACCAGCACCGATCTTGAAGGCGGGACCCTGATAGTAAGAGTCCGACCATTCGGTGTAGTCAATGGCAGTGAGGTGGTGGGTCCAGACAGAGAGAGCACCGGCACCGGTCGAACGACCCAGGTAGCTGTTTTTTCAACGGTCAATATTGGGGGGCTTCCAAAGCAGGATAGGAAAGTCTAGGAGATATGAAACTCACTCATGACCAGTGTTCTTAATGACAAAGCGAATGTTGTTGTCACGGGCAAAGTTAACAGCAGCCACAACGTCCGAGCTACACGAAACGTTGACGGCGTAGTCAGGGAAGTTGCCGAGCTGGCACGCTTTGCTCTCTGCAGAGAAGGGATCGCAGCTCTGGTTGGCAAAGAACATCTGCATCACCGAGGAGGAGGACTCCAGGCTGTGAAGCTATTGTTAACATCTGTTCGTCATCTTTTAAATCAGTGGGATTAGACATACTGAGGCTGAGGCTCCGTCCAGGAGTTCTGCAGAGCCGTGCAAGCAGCAGCATCGTAGTTGGGATCGTGGCAGACGCTGCCAATGGGGACGGTGGCCACCAGACGACCACCAACAGTGCTGTTCAGCGACGCCCAGGCATGTGTAGCAGGCCAGCAGCCATCTCCAGGCAAGCAGCGGCACTGGCTCTGGGTCGAGCTACGGGCGGAGGACACAGAGGCGACGGCCGTGGAGGCCAGAGCCGCAACGGTTACCAACCAGGCCTTCATGGTGGAGTTGAGGTGGAAAGTAAAAGACAGGAGATGGCTTGTACGACCAAAGGGGAGGTACGTTTGCCGATCGCGAGTTTAAATCGTTCGTCAGGGGGAGAAGAAGCCGCGCAGCTCGAGGTTTTATGGAATATCTGATGGCCACTGGGCCACTAGGCACCTCGGCCTGGACTCGGGAGGGGGTCTCATCGCCGATCGGAGATGTTCCCCAGAGCGTCTAGCTTGGACAATAGTACGGAATGCAGGATCAAAAACGTGGTGGGCACAAAGTGGATTGCGGCATTGAATTTTGGGATTTCATCGGGGCCTTTCATGGTTGCGTTCATCGGATTTGCCGGAATTGAGCCGAACGACGAACTCTGGGGTCTCCATGCACACAAGGTGGACAGAAACGGAATGTGGTTTCAGGATATACACCTTTTTGCCCGGAGTACTACATGCCACGGAGAAATAATGGTACGGGAGGAAGTTAAGGAACCTAGGAACCCTGTAGATGAGATTGATTGGAAAAGACAGCCGATTGGCAGTGTCTACTCAAAGTTAAGTTTACTTGGGCCTAAAATGCGACAACTCCTGCACTCCAGAGACTTAGCTTTGCCACAATTTAATTCCCTGCATATTATTGTTGCGAAGAAGGATCTCTTCTTAGAAGACACCCCCTGTAAATTATTCTTCCGTCGCACTACGTTGCACGAATTAGAACACAACAATGACCTTCCAGAAGGAAAAAAAAAAAAAAAGCCACTGCAAGCAATTTCGCCGAGTGGTACCGTACTGTAGAAAAGCTTCCACTACGGTCACTAGTTCAGCCACTGCAACATCAGGATAATATTTACAAACAAAACAGGCCAGCTCGAGGCGGAAGCGACGGGAGGCCTGCCAATTTCTTAACGTAAACTTCAGTCTAGTCCAGGATCCGATCGATCGGGTGTCTCAGTTAAGGCGACTTGTAGCCAATAACCAGCTTCATCCGCGAAGGAAAGTGGATTCCAGCCCAAAATTTGGCAGAGACTTGACCAAGCTTTACCCAACGGAGAAATAGCTTGAAGACGAGGTGGATATCCAAGTGGAGGCTCCTTTCTATCAGAATTTGCTTGGACCACCGTCTTCGCTGTTGGCTGTGTATACACCTCCCGAAGCCAATCCGGACCATGGATGCTTTTAGGGCTGGAGACCGTTCGACTGGCCTATTGGCGCTTCGCCAGCATAGCTACGTGTATCCGGGATTCTGTAGCAAATAATGCCCACGTTCTTCCATGAATTATCACGTAACTCTTTCTCGTTTTCCGTTCCGCGCCGAGCCTCCTAGTGTGAAGGTTACAGTGGCGCCTCTCGCAACCTCAGTGCCAATTTTCCAGCTATTATTCGCTCTGAAATTCTGAATTTTGTAAATTAGACATCACAAAAAGTATAATTCGCATTCCCCCAAAAACCCTTCTGGTTCCGGAGTGCGCTTCTGCGGCAACGGATTTCTTATTAAGGAACGCGCTTCTCTGCTGCGGGCACCACTTTTCAACGGTTATGCAGCAGTTCTAGGGACTCTGTTCCGTCTCCACTGTCTCATCCGAAGCGCCGAAGAGATCGATCACCATGTCAAACAGTAACGGCTACTCCTTAGAAAGGGGTATCTGGGCCGCGGTGATCATTGCGGCGCTGATCGTGATTTTGAGGGTCTTTGCAAAGATTAAAATCAAACGGTTCCACGTCGACGATGTGTTGATGGTCATTGCAGAGGTATGTTGATTCTTTTTTTTTCTGCACCTATTTGCGTGCACATTTCACTGACCTGTACAGATTCTCATCATTGCCTCAACTGTCTTCCTCAGTCTCTGTGTACAGCATGGCTTTGGTGGTGATCTCACCAAGTTGCCCAAGCCGGATTCAGAGCTAGTCCTGAAGTATATCGCTATTCAGATTCCTCTCGTGACCTTCAGCACTACCATCGCCCGTTCCGGTTTCATCATCTACCTCATCGCGGTTCTCGGCACGAATAAAAATTACAAGATTGTACTCTGGGTGGTTTTGGCGATTCAGGCAGCGGGCAATATCGTTTCTGCGGTCTTGCCTCTGAGCATCTGTCGCGATGTGCGGGCGTTGTGGGATATAGAGGCAGCTTTGCACACTACATGTGGTGACACTGCTGCGGTCATCAAGTTCGCCTATTACTCCAACAGTAGGTTACCTGAACTCGTTGGATAAGTGAGTATATACTAATGGATCTGTAGCTTTCAACTCGGCCACCGATCTCTTCCTGGCGGTCTTCCCGACTGTGGTGTTTTGGAATCTTAACCTCAAACTACGCATCAAAATTGGTCTGATTGTGCTTCTGTCTATGGGCTTCATGTAAGTTCACACCCAGCCATGTTTGTTTCACTCCAGCTAACAACATTTAAAAATATAGTGCGATGATTGCTTCCATTATCAAGACCACAAAACTGGACCAGCTCCCTGGCATCACCGACCTTGGTGCTACTGGCGGTGTCGAACTCATCCGCTGGGGTTACGTCGAGAACGCCATTATTATCATCACTTCTTCCATTCCTTGCATCCGTCCCTTGATCATCTCTTCTGTACGCAAATTCTCCAGCGTCACCCGCTCCTACGAACTCAGTGGACCCTTCAGTGGCCACCGTACTGCAGGTGGAAACGAGACGAACCACTCCAAAATGGCACGACGATTCAACAAGTCCCACAACTTGGAGAACGGCAGCGTCGAACGAATACTGGACCAGAGTACGCATACCAGCACCACTATTGGTGGACGACCCGACACGCCTGAGCGGGAGTATCCTGGTATCACCAAGCAGGTCGAGATCTCGGTGATTTCTGATGATCAACATCGACGACTTTGATCTGTGTATTATTCATCACTCCTTCCACCTTTCTTTTCTAGCTTCTTTCTTTTTCAACTTTCGCTCAAGGTACATGTGGTTACGAGTGCATACATGCACATGGGTTCATAGCGTCTAGACTAGCATTACATAGCTACGATAATGTTTGAAATTCAATTATACTACTCGTGTGTAACTTCTACCACGTGGATTCATAAGCAAATTCCTCGTTGCACGAAATTCACCGCTGTAGCCTCTAAAACACTGCATACGAGATATTTATAATGAGTAAATTGATTAACTTTGAATCGTACCTCCTTTGTGACAGCCTCGCTCGTGCTCAGAACCTCCATTACCTTCTTCTTCTTCTTCTTCTTCTTCTTCTTCTTCCTCGCTGATGGAATATAGACTGCTAGACCTAATTGCACCGAAGGAGAGAATAGTAGGCATGATAGACGATCCTTCTCCAGGATCTGTATCTACCCATCTTTGACTACTGTCAATGTTATGAGATCATCTACTTGCGATTTCAGACATCACATCCCACTGCAGATCAGCGGATTGCCAGACCCACGCAGGATTCGGAACTCCACCACGGGGCCGCCGACCGGAAAACCGACGGCCTGGGACGGTGCAAGCTGAAACTTCTGGTGATCAGCAGTGCAGGGGCCAATTTCGAGGGTTGACCGATCTTGGTGGAGAGCGGATCCGTGCGAAAGTTTGCTTGATCGGCGGGCACGGAGGCTTCCTATGATTATTTTGGGTTTCAGGAAGAGATAACGGGCGTGGGGTTCGGATGTACTTTATCGTTGATTAGAATATGCATATCTGAGATGAGATAAGTAATATTGAGTGTATCAAATCCGATCTTGTCGATTTCTGGTCAAAGATGTCTTAATGCATCCCATAGGAAAGGGCAAAAGGGCAGGGATGATCATATCGACTTCCAGAACTTCGTTGCCTTGAACACCGAGAATATGAGAAGCATTTCATCGGTCATGCGTCGAGACAATACAGAAACTATCATCAAACAGGAAGAATTCGAATTCTATTCGGAAAGATATCAAAAGAAAGGATTCCGAAATACAGGCTAGATTGAACCCCATCCCTGTCTCTGGACACAGTTTCTTGAAATGTCACTCTACATTAGTGCTTTAGCACGGAACTATCTAACGATTAGATAGATCTGAATCTTTGCTGGTGTTCTATCGGTGAAATTCATTGGCATATAACAAAGTAAGTCTTACACAGCCCCCAGCAATGAAGATAGTCCTAATGGGAGCTTGTCCTGGCAATTTAGAGACTCGAGGTCGAGAATCGCCAACAACCGTTTTTGAAGAATCCTGAGAAACCCCGAATAGAAGGAACGGCGAGTGATTCAGATACAACAGCTGTATGTTCATCAAAATAACAATCAGACTGCAAGTAAAGTGCTTGATAGTTTACTATTCATCAAACTCGTGGCCCTAATTTTCCTTTTGAACGGGCTGATATAGAAGAACAACATATCATACTGAACACCGTAATGGCATCTATTTCTAAATAGAACATTGTTAACCCTGCCTCTCTATCTGTATCGATGAAACTAATTGACTTGACCATAATTTATTGCATAAAGCTTCAGAACTGCCTCTGCCTATAGGGCTCATCTTGGCGGATGGCGGCAAAGGGGATCTTGCCTACTTCAAAAGAATGATAAACCCGTTTTATTCTACTCCAGCCTAATTATATCTCTATGATAGAAATATTCGAGAACTTCCAGGTCAACATTTCCGAAAATTATCTCAGCAATGACTTCTGACAACCCCTTGTCTGCGATGGCCCTGTTCGGCATGAGAGAATGGGTCGCAGTGGTTACTGGGGTTGGCACAGGTCTTGAACCGAGTAAGTAGTGCGTAGGGAAGAAAGAGGATAGAGCCTCCATTGAACTAATATGACTTTTCAAGTTGCAGCTCACGTTCTTGCGGCGAACGGTGGGACAAGCCAGACTTGGCGGATACCATCAGAAGAAATAAGGAGTGTCGACTCGTCCTAGTGAATCATGTATGGGGGCTGGAGATAACTGCTATACCAGGCACCAAAACGGAAATACTCTAGCCTCTAACTCATCATACAGCTTCACCGACGGACATATACATCCATCCCACATCTTCTTCATCATGTTCCGACGTTCTCTTCTCCTAACAACGGTAGACTTCATAATTCCTCTCCTCAGGGGACAGATAGCCCTACTACTTAGACATGATTTTAACCACCGGCGACGACATATGCTCTAAAGATTCCAGATAAATATCATCCACGAAGAGGGCAAAGTTATAGCGCACCCCAAATCCGAATTCTGGGCCCGCGCTGTGGACAGGTTCACTACAGTCCCATTTGACCGGGTTTTCCTCACAGTTCAGTAAATGAGCTAGACTTTTTTCAACCCGTAATTTGCTACATGCTAAATTTTTTTCCTTGTCAGCAGTTTATTCTAGATAGTAAGTTACGGTTAGTTCATGCCAGATGAAGAAGTTCTATTGTTGTCCACATTACTTTGTTTTACTCAAGTATTTCCCCCTAACTGGCCCAGTTTCTATCTTTAGTTGCAATCCCTTTTCTCTAGTAAAAATCAGTAATTCGAAATTCTAATTAGGATGACCAAATTCTTCATATAGGAGAGATTATGTCGTAGGTGTTGTGCGACATGGCGTTCTACTTCTCTATGAAGCCAATGTCGATGCAAACATTGCAAACTCTCCCCGAAAATTCTAAGAAGTCAACTCCGCGACTCCGACTCCGCAGCTTCAGTGTTTGGCCCTCTTCCAATCTCCAGTCTGTCCCCAGCTCGACATTTTCCAGGGCCCACTCTCGCATTTCTCTCAATATTGGGACATAAACTGTCTGCGGCAGGGATTGTGAGACCACAATGGCACCGAGTCATCTCCTGCGGGCTATGCCCATCCGCTCAATCGCGTCGCCGATGAGCCTGGCACGATCAAGCATCATTCCTTCCACCCTCTCTCTCCGCCAGAGCATTCGCTACAATTCTTACACACCCACCGAAACCACACAAGAACCCATTGAGCCCCAACCAACCTTCTCCGCCACCTCGACCATCCCCAAATCCCAAACTCTCAACCCACCCACTCTGCTCCGCGATTATGCCTCCTCGACTAAGACCGGCACCGTCGTCTCCGTTGGCTGCATGGACCGCACTGTCACCGTGGTCTACCGCTCTAACGAATGGGACAAGCACATCCGCAAATACTACCGGAAGGAAGTCAAGGTCTTGGTCTCTGACCCGCAAAACTCTCTGCGCAAGGGTGACGTGGTTGAATTCTCTTCTGGTGCTCCCAAGAGCCGCCGCGTGCATCATGTCATTGAGCGCATTATCACTCCTTTCGCCGTACCCATTGAGGAACGACCGGCTGTTTTGACGCGAGAGGAGCGCGAGCAGGAGCGCGAGAAGCGCTGGGCTGCAAAGTATGTTCGCCGGGAGTCGAGGCGGCTGGGCGAGGAACTTGATTTGGAGGCCATTGCTCGAGAGGAGGGTTTGGTCCAGGAAGGAGAGACGGTCTCTACGGCAGGTTTGATTCACCGAGTTTTCCTCGGACAAGAGCGCATCGGCAAGGTGAAGAAGCTGGTGCAGGAGCGGACCGCTGAAGTCCAAGCATGAAAATGTGCTACCATGTGATTTCAAGGACTTTGAACATTGGCCCTTGTGTTTTTAGCAGGCCTATTTCCCTTTTTGGATATCCGTGTTGGGACTCCATGTCGGATTATTTGTACTATACTATATTACAGCATTCATTGATCGATTCACCATGTTACTCGTGACCTTGACGGTCTTCCGATTTATCACAAGCTTCACGCGGAGTAGAAACATGCTCATCTTTATATCGAAATAAAGTTTTCGTAAAGGCATAAGCAAAAATTGATTGAACATGGCGGCATTAGAGAAGTATGTACGCGAAGAGAGCCCCATCCCATGAAAAGTCTCAGAGTGTATACCGTGCAAAAGTAGATCTGCTCGAATCTCTTTCTGTCTTGGTCATAGCTGACCATCCCCAACCTAAAGAAACTTGCAAATGGAAAGTAAGTCACTGGTATCACGGAAGAGAAACCAACTCCTTTACCCAGAAATGACGAATGGCAATCCTTCTAAATCCCAAATCCTCCAGAGTGCCGAGGAACCAACCTCGAGGTACCGTAACTTCGTAGATGAATTGGCCTGATGAACCTTTTGTGGCTCATCCGACTATGCTGGATCAGGTCTCGTCAAGATCCTGCTATGAGGGTTTTCCTGGCAGCTTTGAACGGCTCTCACGAGGCAAATACCCGCACCTTGAGGTCGACACTTCCTGTGGCGAGCACACAGCGGATGGACATCTTGCTTGCCGCGTTGGTATCGTCTTTCGCTCCGTTTGATGTAGCAGGTTCTGCGGAGCCGTTGGCTCCATTGGCATTGCTGTCCTTGATCAGCGGAGGTGCCCACCGAATCGAGCTGACAAAGTGGTCGTGAGCATTGATTGTGCGCACACACTTGCACTCTTGAGTAAGGTCCCAACATCGTAGTGTCTTGTCATCTGCCACCGAGAGCAGATACTTCCCACCAGGATGGAAGACAAGAGCTCGGACCCAGTTGTCGTGGCCCACCAATGTTTTGATCAGGTTGCCCCGGGCATCCCATAGACGAATGGTCTTATCACGAGCACCCGTAGCAACAAATTCAGCCGATGATGACGCAGAGGGCGGCTTTTTCAGTCCCGCCAGAGGCGCCAGATGTGGGTAACTCGTGGTAGGAGCAAAGGCAACACACTCAATCACATGCTCATGCCCAAGGAAAGTCGCCTTAGGCTCCCCTGAAGAGATTTCCCAGAGACGGGGGACTTGGTCATCTCCCGCAGAGAACAGGAACCGCCCATCTGGAGAAGGTGCCACATCTCGCACCCAAGCAGAATGTCCTTGCAATGTCTTGACGCAATACCCAGTCGTCACGTCCCATATCCGTAGTGTCATATCACGCGATGCCGACACCAACAGATTGCCGGACATCGGGGACCCTGCAGCCCCTGATGGAATGAAGCGGACCGCTGAGACGCTGTGATCGTGCCCTGGTAGAGTACGGATGTTCTTGTACTCATCGGCAGGGTCCCACAATTTGATAGTCAGATCGGATGAACATGAGGCAAGGAGGGTACCCCCTCGCGGTCCACCATAATCCACATCCAGAACCGCCCTCGTATGACCTTTGATTGTCCGCTCCAATTCACCCAATTCCCAGTCCCAAATTTTGATCGTTGTGTCCTCTGATCCGGAGGCGAGAGAGGAAAATATAGGGTGGAAGGCAACACAGGTGACGGGCTGCCGGTGCGACTCCAGGTCGTGGCGAGCAGGGGCTCGGGGTAGCCAAGATACCGGATCCTGGTTTCTTCGAGAGAGCGATGTAGGGGTGGCTGTATCCAGTTCGGTCTGAAGGGTAGCTATCCGGGTCTCTAGATCCATAATCTATATCCACAGCATGTCAGTCTCCTTTTTTTTTCATTGAGCCCTTGCAGTATGCGCTATGCTGCAGGTGAATTCCCCCCACCTTCTTCTGTAGTCGGACCACGCTGGTCCATTTCTTCTCCAGCAGTCCCTCATATTTCTTCAATGTAGAATCCTCGACGGAGACTGACTCGCCAAGCTCTTCTCGTAGCGCTGCGCAAGTCTTCGGCAAGTTCGCAGCGGTCATGTAGGCAATCATCGCCTTGTGCCTGTAGTAAAGAGACATGTTAGTTGTCAAAAGCCAAAGAACTTCTGATCAGGGTACATACAGCTCCTCCGCCTGTCGCGCCGTGAGGAGCTGGCTCATGGTGCCGGCGGATTTGTGTGTTTCCCAAGCAGTTCTTCACTGCACCTCCGCATGCACCGGAGGTTGTCAAGTATTTCAGGGGCCCAGTTGGACAGGGAGTCTGGATGACGATGAAGATGCACCGAAGGATTCTGGAAACAAGTCGAATTGAAGCAGAGCACCAAATTGATCGGAATTGCGTAAGAAGCTGGGAAAGTCGGGATCGCAAAGGGCCAGCGATGATCCACCGCGGGGTCACAACAAAACAACCCTCGACACCGCCAAGCCCGCTTGTTTACTTTCCGATCGCCAGCCCGCCGCTGTTTATTCCCTTCCCCTCCTAAAAACCAGAATCCAGATCCTCGCCCAGGCCCACCCATTTTTATCATTTTGTCGGGCTGTTGCGCTTGGGGTCATTATCTGTGTCTTGAATGCTGCCAGTTGCTCCCACGTTCTGGCGGTCCACATTCCTGATCGCAGACTGAAGCCCCGATCTGGCACTCACAACCCCCGTTCGTTTCTTTGGGCATCAAACGCTTTGTCGGTAAGAAAATCTTGTTTCTTTCAGGTCGAAAGCACCTTCTTCTTGAGCTCCTTTGTCAGGGGCATATTCGCTATGCTACCGATTGCAGGGTATGCTAACTCGGAGGTATATACAGATATCGCTCCGTTCTCAGACACTTCCTTTGATCATTTAGCCCATCACTATGGCTGAAGGCGAGGAGGACTTCTCCTCTCTGCCACTGCCCGAGCGCTTCGCTCACAAGGTTCGATGTTCTTCGCATATTGCTGAAAAGGTTACGGCGCGGCCGTCAATGAGCAAGAAACTGACCGATCGCTCGATAGAATTGGAAAGTTCGCAAGGAAGGATACGAGGATGCCAAAGCACAATTTGAAAAGACTCCTGACGAATCGGACCCTGTGTTTACGCCATTCCTACAGGACCCTGGGCTGTGGAAAGGGGCAGTAGCAGACTCGAATGTGGCGGCGCAAGTAGAAGGTCTAGGGTCTTATTGTGCTTTCTTGAAATTTGGCGGAGTACAAGCGTGCACGAGGTATCTTTGATAATCGATATCTATTCTTTACCCTGTTGTGATGTTAACAATGTCCCAGGACGCGACCTCACACAATCGGGCCGATCGCGGAAAAGGGTCTCCCCTGCGCCAGACCAGCGGGTAAAGCGAGCGCTCAGGAAGCCCTTCTATTATGCGTCGAAATCGACGCAGCCGGTCCCGTCCTCGAAGACCTTCTACCTGTACTTTCCCATAAGGTACCTAAAACGATCGCTGGTGCTCTCGCGGCACTGACCACGCTCTATCACAACTTTGGATGCAAGATTGTGGACCCAAAACCGACACTGAAAGCGCTACCGAAAGTATTCGGTCATGCTGACAAGAACGTTCGAGCCGAGGCCCAGAATCTGACGGTTGAATTATATCGATGGCTGCGGGAAGCTATCAAGCCCCTCTTCTGGGCGGACCTGAAGCCAGTGCAGCAGCAGGACCTGGAAAAGCTATTTGAAAATGTGAAGCAAGAAGCCCCACCCAAACAAGAGCGATTCACCCGGGCACAGCAGGATGCTATGGCCACCGCCAGTGCATCTCCAGGGGCTGGCGATGGCGGGGAAGACCAAGGTGGTGAGGAATATGCCGAGGAGGAACCAGAAGAGGTGGACGTATTTGATCTGGCCGAGCCTGTCGACGTTATGCCGAAAGTACCCAAGGATCTACATGACCAGCTCGGTTCATCAAAATGGAAAGACCGAAAGGAAGCCTTGGACGCTCTTTATACTGCCATTAATGTGCCCCGCATCAAGGATGGTCCTTACGATGAGATTGTGAGGGCTTTAGCCAAGTGCATGAAAGACGCCAACATTGCCGTCGTTACAGTCGCTGCCAACTGTGTCGATCTACTGGCAAAGGGATTACGCAATGGCTTCATGAAATATCGATCTACAATTATGGCACCTATGCTAGAGCGTTTGAAGGAAAAGAAGCAGTCTGTGGCAGACGCTCTGGGTCAGGCATTGGATGCGGTCTTCTCATCAACGGATCTCTCAGATTGCCTGGCGGAGATTCTTGAGTTCCTCAAGCACAAGAACCCACAGGTAAAGCAGGAGACTCTCAAGTTCTTGATCCGCTGCCTTCGCACGACCCGCACTGTACCAGCCAAGCCAGACATCAAGGCAATCGCCGATGCAGGTACCAAAGCAATGACAGAGTCTACCGAGGCCCTCCGATCTGGGGGTGCAGAAATCCTGGGTACGCTGATGAAGATCTTGGGCGAAAGAGCCATGAACCCTTACCTTGACGGGTTGGACGAGATCCGAAAGACCAAGATCAAGGAGTACTTTGAGACTGCAGAGGTGAAGGCCAAGGACCGCCCGAAGCCGATCGTTGCTCCTCCCAAGCCCGCCGCGCCCGCTGCTCGGAAGGCACCTCCAGGAAAGAAGCCTGCTCTCGGAATGAAGAAACCGGCTCCTGCGGCCGCCGCTCCCCCTCCTGTGGAGGAGGCTCCAGCCAAGCCAGCCCCCAAGACGATTCCCTCCAAGCTTGGAAAGCCCGGTCTTGCTCCTCCTGGAGCAGGCCTCAAGCTCCAGCGCAAGCTTGGTGGTCCAGGAGGTATTGCGTCGCCGCAGAGACGGGTCATCTCTCCCCCGACGGAAGAAGCAGCACCTCCCCCGGCTGCCCCCAAGTTTGGTCTTGGACGTGGCCTAGCAGGCCGTCCCATTGCCAAACCTGCAGCGCCTCCTGAGCCGGCTCCGGCTCCGGCTCCCGCAGTGAGCGCGATGTCAGCGGCAGACCGTGCGGAGTTGGAGGAACTCCGAGCAGAGAAGGACAGATTCATTCGAACAATCGAAGACTTGAAGACGGAGCGCTCTAAGTTCAACTCGCAGATTACAGAGCTGCAGAACCAGAACGCACAATTGATTGAGGATCATACCAGGGACGTACTGAGCATCAAGGCCAAGGAGACACAGCTGGTTCGCGCGCGGAGTGATGCCGAAGCCGCGGAGCAAAATGTCCAGAAGCAGCAACGCGAGATTGAACGGTTAAAGCGCGAGCTAGCACGAGCTCTTCGCGCGTCGGCGATGAGCCCGCCCAACGCTGGGTCCGAAGCTGGCAGCCTCGGCATTCCAGACTCTGCCTCTATCTACCAAGAACCTGCCGGGAACGGACATATTGGTCGCACAGGTTTGCACCTTGGATCTCGATTTGAGAGCACACGGCCAAGAAGCTATGCCTCGGCCAGCCCAAGTGAGGAGAAGGAAAACAATGGGCTTGAATCACCAGGAGGATTGGGCAGCCGAGATGGTGGCCTGGGCCTAGGCCGACGTAAGCTCAGTCCTACCTACGGTCTTTCTGGAATCGGAAGCCCAACACGCTCATCTCGGAGCTCTACGCATGCAACCGAAGACGAAGGTGCGCCTCGGTCTGCAGAACCTGCCGAAAACTGGAAGCGTGCTGCGGAGGTGACAAGCCAGCTGAAAGCGAGAATCGAACAAATGAAGGTAAGTCAACATCGTTGTATTCGGGTTAACATATGCACTCGTTGCTAAAATCAAGAATAGGCTCGCCAAGGGCTGTCACGGCCACCCGCGCACCGTTAATGATCAACTTGGATGACAGCGACCTCCCTATCTCCCTAACTTCTTCCTCCATTCTACGCGTGTCTTAGACTACCTAGTCTAAGGCTTCATTTGTGATGCATTCATGATTTTTGGCCTTGCGGTGGGACTTATTTGTTCTTCTAGGCGCGTTGGCTGGGTCTCTTGGTTTCTGAACTTTTTAGGCCGGATCTCTTGGTTTCGTGATTACTCATACCAACTCTGTTATTGTTCTTTTTCCTTCTTCTTTACATGCTTGTGTTTTGGGGCTCTCCATCTGTATCATAGAGGACATGAGTACGGAACCATCCTATAAGCAGACAAGGTCTCGTTCTTGGACACGATGAATCAATCTCATTGGGATTCGAGATGCGGAAGACTTCCAGGGTATACAATTCCTCTATTATGAGTATGATACCAATTCCTATTACAATCTCCTGTAACGTGATATATCCCAATGGTGCAGGTGGGAGACGGAGATGTTCTCTATTTCTTCCCAAACTACACACAATGTACCAGAAGCACACTCAAAGCCCATAAAGCTCAGCAAAGGGATCCACCTCCGAATCCTCATGCCGAGTATACTCAATCCAATCCGCAATCCCTTGCGCCTTCTCCTTCCCAAAAACCTCCCCAATCCAAGCCAATGTCACATCAATGCCCGCACTAACACCCGAAGACGTCCAAACATTCCCATCAACCACCCACCGCGCCCTCGCAACCCACTCCACCTCCGGCCGCAGCGCACTCATCTCCCTCCATGCCAGTTTATTCGTGGTTGCGCGTTTCCCATCCAACACCCCCGCCCGCGCGGCGAGTCCCGACCCCGTGCACACGGTTATCAGGTACTTGATGGTGGGATAGGTGTTTGCGATGAAGGTTATGGCTTCGGAGACGGGGGGTTTGGAGCCGCGGGAGCCTCGGCCGCCTGGGACGAGGAGGATGTCGAGGGGTGGGGCTGTTGCGAAGGTGTGGGTTGGGAGGATGGATTGGCTGGTTGTGCTTGGGAGATCGGGGGATTGGGTGGGGACGGGGTCGAGGGTGGTGGAGAGGAGGCTGAGGGTTATGGGTTCGGTTCTGGAGAGGACGTTGATGCAGTCGAGGGGGCCGAAGGCGTCGAGGGCTTGGAAGCCTGGGAAGAGGACGACTCCGATGCGGAGGGGTTCCTTGGATGAGCTGGGGGGGGGTTTCTGTTATTCGGGTGGTTAGTATAGTAGCGTGATGTTGGAGTGTATCCATGTAGAAATCATGAAGACCTACCGCTCATCTTGGGTTGTATGTACGTGGGTTGCCCGGGAGGTTCAGTCTGTCAGGGAAGCAAAGTTGTTCGGGCAATAATGGGGAATAGGTAGAGGATCTCTTTTTTATGTGAAGCCGAGGAAGGAACGAGACGGTCTTAGAAGTGCGGGATGAATGACGGTTAATCTTGACTCATTCGTGCAAAAGAACTCCAAGCCGCTAGCTGTCCACTCAGGCTCTCGTATCCATGTCGAATAGCCCCCGTTCTGGCGCGCTAAACAGGCCTGCTCATATTGGTGATCCTACGGCTCGATTCGAAACACTTGCATGTTGTAACATATTGTGATGCTTTTCCAACTGACAGCAGTGGCTAGTTAATCTTCACGTTTCGATTTAGTCAGCTCGGGTTAGAGAAGTAGTGCTCCCAGCGAAAGTTGCACTTCCAAACTTCCGGTTTACATGGATGAGCTAGGAAATATATCTACGCCTCGGCTTACCCATCCATCCATTTACTCGGCCAAATTGGTACTAAGGAATCCCAAAGAGTGCCGAAAAAAAGAGTGTGATTAGATGTAAACAATACGAAACAATCAATTTGGATTATACATCCACGTATAGCAAGGCCTTGGGGCTGTCGTTGGATATAGATCATGATCACGTGAGACTGGATCGTCCAACAATGAACTGCCCGAGGTCGAGGAATACCGTCAGAGAAAATTTTTCCATAGGCATATAGATGCAGTTACAATGATGGAGCTACAGAAAAGAGATACAAGCAGACTGCATGAATGCCATTCTAAACATTTACTACACTAGCCATGAGCATCGCCGAGACGCGACAAGGGCATATTGAACAGTTTGAGAAATGGATTCATGGGTATCTGCAGGAAAGAAAAAGTGGTACATAAGGCCGTCGAGGGAAGTTCGTCATTAGAGAAAATATTTTTTCTTTTTGGTTAGAATGGGATTCTCCAAGGGCCGAGGGCTCTTTCCCACCCATCTAAAGCTAAAAGAAAAATTTTGGCCGTCAATAAGTCATCCGGAGCCTGGAACACCTTTTTGAAAATCCTCCTCATTGGAACTTTTTTTGATAGGAGAGCGCTTTGAAAAAGGGCCGATCCCGTCAAGACAAAATCAACTCATCCCGGAGAGGGATGAATTTAGACCTTGATGGCGTTCTCAACAGCCTTGCGCTTCTTCTCCTGGCGGGCGTTGGCCTTGGCACCCATGATACCACCACCCCAGTGGCGGCGGGACTCATCGTACTTGTCGGTGTAGCCCTCCTTGATGGCAGAGAGGAGCTTGGAGAACTCAGCCTTGTCCTCAGAGCGGACCTCAGTCAGAGCCAGAACGGCGGAGGTCTGAAGATAGTCTAGTTAGCTTGTGATCGTCGATCAAGGGGAATACCAGTGATATGAACATACCTTCTTGTGGACAACGGTTCCGAGACGAGCCTTGCCCTTGACGATGGCGTATGGGACACCCATCTTGCGGCAGAGAGCGGGGAGGAAGACAACCAGCTCAATGGGGTCAACGTCGTGAGCAATCAGGACGAGGGAAGCCTTCTTGTTCTCAACGAGGCCGACGACGTGGTTGAGACCGTACTTGACGTGGTAGGGCTTCTTGGAGACATCCTCCTTCTTCTTGCCCTCGGAGACGGCGGTGGCCTCCTGGACGAGACGCTCCTTCTTCTCGGCCTTGGTCTCAGGGCGGTACTTGGCGAGGAGCTTGAAGGTCTGGGCAGCGGTGTTGCGGTCCAGGGTGCTCTGGAACTGAGCGATCGAAGGAGGAACCTTCAGGCGCATGTTCAGAATCTTCTTCTGGCGCTGCAGGCGGACATATTCGGGCCACTTGACGAAGCGGGACAGGTTGCGCTTGGGCTGGATGTCCTGGCCGATGCCGAAGTTGCGGGAACGCTTCTCGATGAGAGGGTTCTGGACAGAGCATGATTAGTATCTTCATCCTCTTTTTTTTTCTCGCACTCCCAGGGAAAGAAGCTACTAACCTTAGCGGCCTTCTTGGACGAGCCAGCCTTGCCCTGGGGGTAGGGCATGGCGGCGGTCTTCTTTCCGGACTTGGGAGGCTATCATTGAGAAAAAGAAGATCAGCGATCTAGTCCTTGACGGGCTGCATCTTCTTTGAACTCTAAGGAGCGCCATGCAATTGAACACCGTGCTACGGGTGTCAAATGCATAGCTGACTCCAGCCAAAATCATCGCCATGACTGTTCCACATCTCTTTCGAGGCTGCGGGCAATCGACGGAATTGTGCTTCGATTTGGAAAAATCGGAAGCTAGACAGAATTGTCTTGCGGCATCGCTGCAGTGGGCGAAGCCTGAACAAAAGACGTTCAAGTGCTTACCATTTTGTCGACTGAAGATCGGTGCGCTGGATGACGGTTGACGGGGAGAAGAAGAGGGAAAAGTTCGCCGGACTGCGGACGATCTTATGAATTTCTCGTGGGTCGCGCTAGCGTGGGCATGTGACTAGGGCTTAGGGCTAACCAGAGTTATGAAGTATGCGGTTGTATCACGTGACCTCGATGACATTGACAGGATCCTAAGTATGATGACTGAATGTTACTGCTGTTGCATTGGTCCCTCTCTTTTAAATCCTTTTACCTGACTAGAGACACCCAATGGAAAAGATTCGGGAATTAGGAACAATTAATCAGGTCTTTTCGACATTCCGAAACTCGTAGTCCATTACCATATCCGCATACCCGTCCGCGGTACTCCAGAATCTACTCTATATACAATGAAAAACATCAAGACGCCATAGAAAATGACAACAGAAGAGGCCATGCAAACAGATCATTGCAGATGCAACAGAAGCAAATAAACAATCCCCCATAAATGCTCCTGCTCTCATCACCGCCAGGCCCCCAATCCTGGCAGCGCCCCCCGTCCGAGACTCGCACTAGCAGCCTGAACAGCCTTCTTCTTCCCAGTCGTACCCTCCTGACTGCGTACACCGGCAATGATCTTCTCGATATTCGTCTCAACAACCACACCGCCAACAATCATCTCACTCAGCACCGCGTGCATCGTCTCATACCCAAAGATCAGATCTAGTTCGCAGACGTTCTCGAACATGCGATCTAAAGCCTCGACGAAGACTTGGATCAGGTCGATCAGGGCGAGCGGGGACTCAGTTGACGTGGAGATCATGATGAAGGAGAGCGTGGCATAGGTGCGGTAGGTTATTTGGGTTGGCGCGTCGGAGGGGCCGGTGGAGCTGGCGGCGCCTTGGGAGAGGAGGGGTGGGAGAGGAAGGAAGTTGCAGGCGCTGGATGGGCGTTGGGAGACGAGGTGGTATATTTGCGCGATGAGTGATTGTTGCGTTTGGGTGTCCTGTATATGACTTAGCGGGCTGGTGGAAGTGTATGCGCGGGGGAACTTGGGACATACCAGGGTTGTGTAGAACTTGGTTAGCCGGGGCTGGCCATTGTTATTGAAGACGAGAACAGCGTTGATCATCTTGAAGATTGAAGGCCGTTCAGTAGCAGTACACTGAAGTCTGAACCGAGCAGTGCAGTGAAACGAAATGTGGAGATGCTTGTGGTCAAGTCTTGAATGACAGAATGACGATGCGCTTATCGGCGACGCTGATAACTGCGGCCGTCGGCCTGGTCCGTGCGGTCAATTTTCCGGAGACCGCGATGGGCCTGCTTCTGCACCTGCACAAGGCAATTCTACAACACAACAAGATGAGGATACGTGCAGCCCTGGTCTCCGTGCCCAGAAGGCCGGCCACAAGGCCCTTGACCGATCAAATAACCGCCATCACCTCCACACCCTCCAAAATCATCGCACCTCCCCCCTCAAATCCAAACAAGCGCACTCTCGAAGAACTCACGCCCACCGATCTATGCTACTACTGGGACACCAAACCCCCAACCCCGTCCCAACTCGCCTCTGCAGACAAACTATTCACACCATCCCGCCACTCACCCCTCAAACTATGGTCCGCCAGCAAATTCCGCACTACGCCGCTCTCCTCCGTCGAGCCTGAAGTCGCATTCCTCGGTCGCTCTAATGTCGGCAAAAGCTCGCTGCTCAATGCGATCATGGGCCAGGATATATGCTGGACATCGTCCAAACCTGGCCGTACACGGGAAATGAATGCGTTCGGGATTGGTGGTACGAAAGGTGGTGAGCATAAAGTTGTCTTGCTGGATATGCCTGGTTACGGCAAAGCGAGTCGTGCGGAATGGGGGATGGAGATTATGAAGTATCTCCAAGGGCGAAAACAGTGAGTGTCAATGTCTTTCCTTGTTCTTCTTACTTTATGAATTCATTTCTCTAACCGAGTGCAACCTCCTAGACTCCGTCGAGCCTTCATCCTCATCGACAGCGAACACGGCATCAAACGAAACGACGCCGAAATCCTCAGCCTCTTCCGACGCTACGCAATCCCCCACCAAATCATCATCTCCAAAGTAGACAAAATCCTCGCCAAAAACAAAAAGCAAATGAAATCCGGCGCCTCGGCAATCGGGATCCAGCGGCTTCAGGATTTACTTCGCAGGCTACAGCCACAGGTGCAGCCTGATCCGAGTATATCAAATGGTCCTGGTGCATTGGGGGAAATTCTGACATGCAGTGCGGATACACCGATTGGGCCGGGCCGGGTATTGGGCATTGATGCAGTGCGCTGGGCTATTCTGTCGGCGGCGGGTATTGATGGGAGCTTGGAGGGTATTCAGCCTACTTTGGAGGGTTCTGGTTGATTTACTGGACATACACCGTTCGAGACACTATACGGGGATATAAAAACTACGGACTTTGAAGATGGGAGCACTTTATACATACTCGTGCCCAGTGGGGATGCATGTCTGTCCGCCTCGAGGAACGAAGGCACAGGAAATAACCGGCCATGGTGGGCAGTGCCTCTTCTGTGCGGTTGACTATGCTGGCCGAGATGAAATCTCCCCAGCTCAGGCCAAAGCGATGCGTGTGGCTATTGGCGCTGGCCGTCTATTTATCCACCTACAAGGTTGTACTATACTTACTCGCCTGGAGATAATACAATTTCACCCGCTTTACCCAAAGCGCGCAAGAAATTCTGTAAATGCTATAGACAATTTCAATCAAACGTCTACGGAGTAAGCTTATCCGGTATGCTTTCCCCTACGAACTCACAGAATAACAAAAACCCACTATATTATACGAGCCCGGAAGAGGTTATAACCCAGTTCCAGTCCCTTCTAGTAACCCTCCACCTCTATAGTCTAGTGGTATAAGAAACCATGACTGAGCTTCCCACTAAACGGGCTTCTTCTAGGAAGGAGTCCTCTGGGGTGGAGGGTTACTCCCTTTTATGCTGACCGGACATACAGGCTACCACCGCGGTTAGAACTTTGTTTATGTTTAATATATTCCTTATATCTAAATAATTCTTAGACTTAGGAGAATATAATAATCGTTTTTTATAGCCCTTTAACTATGTTAGTGGTTGTGTAAAGGTGGTATTTGTTGGGTGTGAACATCGTGGTGGAGTATTCAAGCATTGCGGGGAGTCACGAAATGTTGTGTATGACCTAGAGAGATTTTCCATAGTGGATTTTTGGCATGTATCTATTACCATCTAACAAAATTTGAAATTGGAAAATAAGAGATGTAGTATTTTGTATTGAATGTGTGAATTCAGCCTCCGTGGACACCGTAGAAAGCCTTTGCCATCGATAACAAAAACTTCAGATACAAGGGAAGGTAGTAACATAGAGGACACAGCGACAATTATAATAGCCAACAGAAAAAAAGAGCATGGTTGGTTAAATGCAGAAAGGGCAAAGGGTGCAAAATGGGCAGATAAGATGATGAACGTGTAAACGGATATAGAACCCTCCTGCAATAAGTGAGAGCAAAAATCAAGCGTGATGATGATAATGAAAAATGAAATCAGGAAACGTATAACGCCAGTCCCCCATCGTAATGCTGGATGACCGAAGAATGCCGACCGCGCTATGCAAAGGGTTTGTTTTCAAGGGAAGAGACCAGAGCCGTAAGGATAGGGTATCGTGAACGGAGTATAATGGAGAACATATGGTGCGTTGGAGGGAGTAGGGAAACGGGAGAAAACAAAAGAAAAACCTGGCAAAAAAGAGAAATGGGGCCAGTCTGGCGTGTAGGAATCGTGATTGAAAACGATCCCAGATCGTGATGGGCTTAATCCGAGTCCGAGTCGGAATCGACGTTGCTGGTGGCAATCTCTCGTCCGCGACGGTTGACCACAATGCGCTTGCCGAGTTTGTTTTCAGGGACACCATCCCGCGCAGCGCCGAAATCAAGGACCTAGAACGGATGAATTAGTTTCAATTTGCACCCTGTAGTCAGAAAGGCACGCACCTCAATATAGGTCAGACTGTCGCGCTGCACCGCGGCAACACATCGTCGGTCATTGAACTTCACTTGCCACACGCCACTTAAATCAGTGAGAAGGTCTCGAACACAGGCACCGGTGCTGACATCCCACATCTTCAGTGTTCGATCCGATCCGGAGATAACCTTCTGTCCATCGTGCTGGAAGCAGGTGATAGCACCAGTGTGCGCGCTTAACATGTTCTTGCAGTGGCCGTGCTCGGGATCCCAAATACGGAGGGTGGAATCTGCCGCGGCCGAGACCAGGTAGTCGCTCTGCAAAGAAAGTAGACCAACTAGGGAGGTATGACCTTCGAGGTTGTGTAGCAGCGATCCGTCATCCAGCGACCAGACCTTGACCATGTGGTCCATAGCGCCACTGATGCATCGGTTACGTTTGTGGTCCAACACAACGCTGTAAACCTTCAAGGAATGGCCCTGGAGCGTGTGAAGAACCTGGCCGGTAGAGATCTTCCAAACTCTAACTGTGCAGTCGTAACTTCCACTCACGAGGGTGTCGCCGTGGGCTGCAATTGCACGGACAGAGTGGGAATGGCCCGACAAGACACGCACAAAGTAGGGACAATCAGTATCATCCGCTAGAGGTCCGTTGGGGTAATACGAGGGATCGCCCGGTTTCGGAAGCTTCCACACGCGCAGGTTCGAATCACGAGATCCAGTGATGATGAGAGGGACTTTGGGCATGATCTCTGGACGACCGTTGGCATCTTTACCCACCTCAGTGGGCAAGACGATCTGCAAGCAGCGCACGGTAGACGTATGTCCGTTGAAGACCTGTGTACATCTAGCACGCTCAATGTCCCACACACGAACGGATCGATCGGTAGAGCCGGAAACCAGCGTGTTTCCGTGATATTCTAGGGCCCAGACACCACCTTCATGGCCCTCCAGCGTGGCTTTCAGAGCACCAGTCTTGGTGTCATAAACATTAATATTAGTGTCGTCGCTTCCAGTCAAAATCTTGTCCGTGTCAAACTGCAGGCAAGTGACGACGTGGCGGTCATGGGCACGGAAAGCGATGTGCTGAGGCTTGATATCAGGCTTCATCCAGCCTCGACGAATGGCATGATGCCGGCGATAGAGAGCCTTATAGAGGTAGAGTCCACGGAGGGTAGGCATACCGACATCAGGATAAGGAACAGCTGCAGCGGCAGCGTTGGCAGCGGCATATGGAGCCTCTGATGCAGCAATGTCCCTCTTCCAATCTGGCTCCGAGTGGTCGGTGCCACTGGAAGAGATCTTGCGCTTGGCGAGCTTGCGGCTCGAAGCACGGGTGTTAGCCTTTCGCTTGGGGCGTCTATTCGGGGTTAAAGACGCCAGAGGCGCTCTCTCGTGAGCGTGAGAAGAGGAGGCAACGGGAGAAGACTCGTTGTCAGCTCGGGAGAACGATTTGCTGAGGTCTCTCTCGAAATCCTCAGTGGTGCTGCACTGCCAGCCCCAACCCTCTCGGATAGCTCGCTCCAGCTCGCCTTCGGATAGGGCATAACCATCGCGATCAAGCAGGTCCTTCCACGTCTTCTCATCGGAACTGACAATGTGTCGCCACTTCTTCGAGACCTGTGACGCGCGACACATGGTTTGAACGTCGAAATATTTGACGATATTCAAGCTGAGTTCAAGAGGGAGCATGGTCAGGAAATCACACTTCAACGTCGGGTTCACGACATCGGCCACGAAATGCAGGGTGGGTTTTGGGCACCGTCTCAGGAACTGGTACATGAGATAGCTTTTCAGCTCGTCTGGCACAGCGTCAAAGAACTCGAGCACCTTGGGCATATCCATCAAAGATGGTGGAGACCGTGACGTATGAGTAGCCGCGAGGCTCTTGGCCCGAGAGGCTTCCGTATCAAGAAGGCGCACAGCTTTCGAGTAGCGTGGAACACTGTGATCCAAGCTGGAGTCCGTGTCAACATCCGGTCCCTCAGAGTCGAAAGAGGACTCGCCGTGCAGCGCATTCATGGCGGCAACGGGGGATAGGCTGGGGCTGGGCAGGCACATATCTTGCGCCATAGCATTGTCAATAGCCGAGAGTTGAGCAGTCAGGTCAGGCCTCCGCTGCGACGAACTTTCGGTAGAAGCAAATGATACGGTCTGGCTGAAGGAGCTCGGGTCCGATGTGATTGCCGTAGTTGCGTCTGGCTTGGCGATTTGCAGCTCCCGATTTTGAGCCAGGTCTTCCAAAAGCTTCTGAGCACCAGCGTCTGAAGGACCGACCTCGGCGGACAGCGGTGACCGCAACAGGGTTTCCCTACGAGGGAAATTCGCACTATAAACCCGCTGTCTCGAGGCTTGACCTTCACCCAAACTCCCGATGTTATGTTCAGTTTCTGGAGTGACTAAGCCGGCAGGGGAAAGATGGGTGGATGTCGATGCATAATGACGGGTGCGCCGTGCTGCAGGCTCGGATGGCACCCGAACTGCACGTGTCCGAGGAAGAATGGTTGGGCGAGGATCCAGAATAGACACAGGGGAGACAGGTCGGTGCTGAGGATTGGGTTGATTGATCCGAGCGACTGATCGTGGGGCCACCAGTCGTCGGGCAGCCCGATCATCTTCGGTTGTAAACGAGTTCACAGAGCGGATCAAACCGTTTGTTGAAGACTTGAGAGCATCGTTCTTCTCAGTCAGCTAGAGATATGTGAGCATTGTGGGACGAAACCAAGAAAGCGGGTAGAGGAGCATACCTCAGTGAAAGCCGCCGTAGTATCGTTCGGCTCGTTGAAAACGATCGACTGGTCCCCAAGGCTGAACCGAAGATTTCTCAAAATTGCTGGGGTTGGCGTAGAGGCAAGGGGATATAGTCTCGCGTCCAGATCCTTTGTGGCGTGCGGAGGTTTGATGATAAGAGGTGGGAAAGACGTTGTTGTGGTGGTGGTGGTAGTCACCACCGTGGTCCGAGTCGCGGGAGCAAACGAGAACTGAGCAAAGGAGTCGTTACTGGAGGGACCCTGCCCAACGTCATCTTGGTCGTGCTCATCCATCTCGCGTCTTTGATTGTCAACTAAACGAGAATCCAGGTGGCGATGAACATGGGCGTGTGGTGAACAAGATCAACGCGTTTGGATCGGTAGGTAGATTCGGAGTTCGAGTATGCCAAGCGGTGGAGTAGGCAGTTAATGGTATCTCACACCAGCTCAGGTGGGGGTTGAAGCGGTTGGAGAGTTGGTTAATCGAGGGTTGGAACGATCGGATACCACCAGAATCCAGACTTTTGATTCCGGGGGCCAGAAGAGGGGTGTTAACACAACACCCCGTCGAGATGATAACCAAAGACAAACATTTACGAGGGGAAAGTTAGAACATGGTGATGGGATGGAAAAGATGGAGGGAGGAGGGAGGAAGCAAGGAAGGTTCAAAGGGGAGGAAAGAGTGGCGGCTGACAGGGCCTGGGTTGAGTTGGGAACTTGGGAACTTGGGAGGGGGGGCGGAGAACAACAATTAATCCGAGTCCCGCCTTACAGTGACCGTGTGACTGTACAGAGACATATAACTAACTTAGTTAACTAACTACTCTGGACGTCATGGAACGTGCTCTTGCACTTGGATGGACTGGATCTGCCTACCTGCATATTCTGTGTGAATTGTCAGGGCGGGCTATTTGAATTATCCTTTTCTATATCCTACGAGATCATCTATACAATCTCTCATATTAGTCCTGGCGGTCTATTGCGACCGAGAATTTTACCGGATCTTGTCCTGCAGCGTGAAAACCTTGAAACCCTGCCACCAGCACCACCGCCCATGAAAGCCGATTCGCGGTTTCGATTCTGGCCTTTGCCTTTGTTTAGGACTTGCCACTAACGGACATTTCTTTCACTCTTGAAATAGTCTCTCAAGAAAACAACACTGCCCAATATGCAGCCAGTCCTGATGTTCAGGCGCCAATATCGGTCTGTCTCGGCAGCAATCCAAAGGACAAACCTGTTTACGGCTGCTCGGGCGATGTGGAGAGCAACCGAGCAGCAACTTCGGGGTCCAGACACACTCGCCACCGCCCAGTCACGTGGAGGTGGGGCTTATTCAAACCATTGGGCTTGCTTAGCTAAAACTTGTTAGTTAACTACTCTAATGTAGCTCGTTCCTTACGCTACTTTAAACTTGGTCAACCGCCAATTCTATGGTATGTGCAATATGATATGCCCGGTTCTGTGGTGGCCAATGCTGTTCACACCTTGGTAAGGTCCGAGCCCACTCTATGAGCCCATGTCTCAACCAACATGGTAATATACTGGCAAATCCGAGAGATAAATCTGGATCTCATTCATGGGAATCAAGTGTCGGGATCAGGGATCAGTGCTAACTCCTTCTTTGGTACCCTTTCAGCTGAGACCAAGGGCATTTCCTCGCGTCGGTGTTTGTTTATACCATAGAGATCCACCAAGGTGACAAAGGGATAGATCCTTTCAGAGTGACAAAATGTAACTCCACATAATCTCATCCAAGGGGGTACCCGATCAGCTTGATCCCCACTCTCCCTGGATTCGTCTGCTTACAACATAACATGTACCATGTACGTCACCTGCAGGTACCCTATTTCCCGTCGCACCCCTGCTCATCTTGATAGATTGAATAATAAGGTCTTTTACAAGAATAGTTATTCGCTATTAGCGTGCAGGTCAACAAACACAGACCAAGCAGAATTAAAAGAGTTCTTGCTCTCTTGAACTATACCAAGCCTTACAAAGACAGACAGTGAGGACGATATTATAGCCCTGGGCTGCGTGGTTACTTTTGGGAAATAGGAACGGTCTGGACTTCTGATGCATTAAGTATCATCTGTAACAAAGTAATTACTGCGAGAAAGACGCCGAATCCTTGAGCACCGTCTCTGATGGAACTGTAGGACACAACGTATCTTCCAAGGGAGTTCTGGGATCAGCTAGCTCGGGAAAGAGCCTTCAAAAGTAATGTTGACTGTCATGCCTGGGGAAATCTCGGATTCATATCAGCTGTTTCAGTTCAAAATATGAGCCCTGGAGATTTTGACAGAAGTACGAGGCACTGAGCTAGTACCGTATGGCATTCGATCCACATCTCTATTTCTTATTTCAATGGTTACGAACAGGGCCAAACTGTACGAGGTCCTCCATACAAAAATAAGAGAAAAGGGGCCACGATCACAGCAGCTCGCCCGAGTTGCTTCAGGTTGACATGTGCATCGATAAGTCGCTTGACTGATGCTGCTTCCGCCGGAGAGCCGGTTACGATGTTGCTACTCACGGGGGCCTGCACCTCGGAAAATCGACACCCGAGCTTCAGATAACGCTTTTTGATAGACGATCTGAATGCCCTATCCCAACAGCCCCCCGCCGTCTACCAGAGGATTCATGCTTGTGGCTCTGTAGAGCAGACACATTGGTCAATTACCCATATATCCCGAGACGTCACAATTGCTTGCCCGGTGGAACCAGCACACGGGCAGACTGGTAGCCCTGGACGGCCAAGGTGAAAGGTCCAGACAGCCAGCACATATACCCCTGTCCAGATTTGGATTGATGAGGCTTGCCTTGAGTAGGCTGTCATGACATCTCGTGAGGCTGCCTTGGGAGTCAGGGAAAATGGGCATCATAGGCAGGCACGTGCCGATTCATCAGATGAGTTGCGCGTGCCTGGTCCTGATGCGGTAGAAGTCAACCACCAAAGGGCTACCTCCAAAGGCAGAGACAACCTCACCCATCATCACCACCACCAGCAATGGCGCCCCGACTGGTTATAAAATGCCCTCCACCTCTCCCAATCCTGCCCTCCCTTCCTCCAAGTCTTCTCCGAATTCTCCTACCACCATCAACTGCAACTCCTAACCCACAGCTTTCTGGAAAAGCTTCCATGCCTTTCGACAAGCTCGGCGAGATGGACGAATTTGTCCTAGACGAGAAGCTGGACGAGCTGGACGAGATGATCAAAGTTCTCAAGGCGGAAAAGAAGAAACTGAACGAGAAGAAGATGCAGAGCAGAAATGGTCGACCTGAGAGATACAGAGCGCAGGCGCTCTCCACCTTCAATCGGGAACCAGTTCCCCCTGCTCAACGCTGCCTCACTCAGCTGGAGGCGAGCGTCTATCATTACCCGGTGGTTGTACGTGTTACGTGATGTTCTTCCGGCACATGATGGTTCTAACTAGCACTAGAAAACTAGCATCGAGTTACTGAAAGTGGTGGTACACACAATGGTATGATATCTGCCTCTATACTGTGCCCTCCATCATGGTATGAAATGCTGACTGGTTGTCCCACAGCTTTCGACCATCCTTTTCGCTCGGTTCGTGACTTTCAAAATCCCAGTCAAGAGCCTCAAAATCACATCTCTAACTTACGTCTCATTTGGCAGAGACTTGACACCCTTGGAATCCTTTGGATACCGGGAGCTTCCCGTCTGCTTTGCTGACGAGGATTTCCGCTTCGACGAGCACTTCCTGAATAACAAGGCCGGACTAGAGGAAACCGTTCCACTCCAAGTGCACCCGGACCATGTGATGGTGATGGTGAGAGACAAGGACGAGAAGACTGACAGGATGATCGATTACCTGGTAAGCTTCATCTTGAACAGTAAATACATCTCATTCACCTTGACTGACATGCGTAAAGGCAATATTCTTCGACCAGCTCCTGGAACGGGAAGTCCTGGGTTTTCAATTCGTGGTCGGCAGAGGATGGGGAGATGGCTCTCGTGTCTACGAGACGTATACCATCTCGATCGACTACAGTGGCGGACGTGGACCATCAGACCGGAAAGGGATGAAGGTGGACATTCATGATCCCAAGGAGGATCTGAAGGACTCCCTCCGGGTCAAAAAAGACATCGTGGCCATGGTTCGCTACATCCTCATGTGCACTAACCGACGGAGTGCTTTGCCAAGTACGCGTGCCATAACCACTCGGTGAATGGAACCCGGTGAGCTGACGATATTCACAGATGAACGATCTTGCCACTTCCATCCCTTCGTTCCTCCTTACGCCGCGGAGGCTGAACGCGGTCAGAACTTCGATAAGTCGTGGGAAAGGGAACTACGCTACCCAGTGATTCCCGGATGGCGCAGAGAGACCATCCATTCCCGGTTCATTGACACCGGATTCTACGGGTAAGCCAGCTATCATCTCCCACTCCAATTCGTCCCGTTAATCATAAGCATTCCAAGGGCGAAAATGTCCGTGACGTATCTCGTCCCGCCAGAGACGCCCGGGATTCCTCGTGATATCCCAACGCCAATGCCACTCCCGGTTCGCTTTGAGGATTGCAGAAAGCGAAAGGCCGATGTGGACTGGGAGTATGGCATTGGCTGGGTCGAGGAAGAGATGGAGAAGCGGGCGGCCGCCGATATCGTCAAGCGTAGGAAGGTGATGACCCCGTGAGGCGGTGCACGATGAAGGAGGTTTCGATGAGAGTTCGGCTGGTGGAGTCCTCTGATGAGCGGCGTCACTCTGAGTTCGCTCTATCATTCCCACTGATATCATTCATAAGTGAGAGACAGAGTCCATGAATCAGATCTATCTCGCCCGCAAATCTCATATCAAGTAGTGTTACACCGAAGAAGTACAGTAGAATCAAGACGGAGTTTTGACCTCCATGTCCTGCAGAGTGCAGACTGCAGACTGATGTGAATCATGAACTCGGCCGAACTTAGTCCAGCAACATAGCAGTATCTCCGAGCTCGAGACTTTCTAGGAGGCCGTTTTTCCCAGGCTTGAATGATTTGCAGCAGGTGGATCCCGATCCGCCCAGTTGGGCCCCATCGGCAGACGCATACAGCAAGAAATACTCTTCTTCAAAGACAATAGTGTGTTCATGATCTACAACGCCCACGGGGATCCAATATTTTAGAGTCTGGAGAAATTGTCCAGTTCCATGGAACAACAGTCAACTATTGCGTGCATTGTCCAGCATATTGGGGTGGACTATTGGGGGACCATTAGCCGCTAGCTTACCCGACCATTGAGAGAGCGGGCACTGTGATTGCCTCCCACAGATGTCAAACCATTCGTTTGGGTTCAATAGTGTTTTTACGATCGCTGTTTTCAGGTATGATAATTTGGGTGTTTCTTTCATGTGTTTCGAGTGGAAATGTCAAGGATCTGGAAAATCAAATTCGCTTTGTGATTGTGTGAGTTTCTCGCCCCTTTGATGGCTGTTATGTTCATCTTCGTCCAACTACGGAGTATAGCTCATGTACATACCCCTTTTCTATGCAGATCGAGATACAGTACTCGGAAGCCAGATCAAAGAGGATTGGTTGCCATTCCGCCGGGGCGATTAGCCTGATCGCATATGAGCTCCGAGAACAACCCCCCGATCTCGACTAAACAGAAATGCCCTGGAATGTCACCGCATTACTATTACTCCGTCACTGGTGGGTCTGATGTACTCCTTGAGTTCTTAGACACGGCACACTAGGCTCATGAACGGAGCTGCCCGGCCTGATGATCGACACCTCCAGATCGCACTTGATTTGCTCGGACCGGGTTCGAGGTCGCACGCGCTACTGTAGAACGCTCAAGGAAAAGAATCTCTGTTGCTTTGGAGCAGTGATTGGGGGAGTCTGTCAAATAATTGTCCTGGCCAGGATCTCACACAGTTCCCGGCTCTAGATGTTCGAAGCTGAAGAAGTTGACCTCGACAGAAATACTCGATGCAGTCTGGGGGACCACCGAGAAAGTGCCGAGGGTTAAGATGGATGTCAACCTGTCAGACCTTCTATAGGGTCCAGGTCCATGGGTGCTGGTGGGCGATGTTTCAGCCATCGCCTGGGGTGTAGTGGGCTATTTCCAGCAAGATTTGCATTCTATCGAGGTATGCAGTGCCATGGAAACCCAGTTGAATCAATACCAACGCGTGCAGCACACGTACCTCCTCTCCAGGCCCCCAAGGGCGGACCTGTCGATCATTACCATTCTGCTTGCAAACCAGTCAGGACGCAATGACCCGATTATTTGCCACAGCGCCACGTCGAGTGGAGGAGCCTCCGCGATGTGAAAGTGATGACGCTCCCGATCGGAGGGTGCTGCGGGCGAAATGGGTCGTCAAAAGATCGAGCTCGGCGATCGGATGTGCGAATGTGTCTGCAAGTGCCAAGTGGAACAAATGTATTAGATACTAGACACTAGGACGAAAACTCCCTTCATAGTTTTCTCCTATTCGGCCGGGCACGCATCCACCAGGACCTCCGCGGCAGCCGTGCCAATGGCGCGGATTTCAAGAGTCCGCTTGATTCTAAATACAGACTGCGCCAGTGTGAGGAAAAAGAAAGGGGATGGACCAGTCTGCTGGTAACTTTGGAATAATCCATCTGTGATGGAACTGCCGACTAGGCAGAAGAAGCTCAAGTGGAGTCTGGAACGCACCTAGCTACGGGGGCTGTATATAGAGAACCAGCCCAAGAATTCTCGAGAAGATTACTGGTCGCGTTTGAGGCGTCTGGGTAGGGTTAGTAGTGGTATTCATGTGCAGCCCCTTTCCATTAACGGACGGAAAGGCCAGGGATCTTTCGAATTAGAAGGTGCTTAGAATAGCAGATGGTTTATTTGATCTCACATCAGTGCATCACCCAGAGCCCCAGAATCTGGGAGTCAGATCCTGAGGCTGAGCCCAGGCCAGGGGCATTCGTGGCAAGTTGGCCACACGTGTAGTTTAAGGTTGCCCCGTGGCTACCACCGCGGAAGCGCAGTTCAACCGCAGTAAGGGGTTCGGGGAGAACACGAGGGATCGAAGGATTCGTGATGCCTTGGGGGTAAAAAGGGGCATAATATCACCCAGGAATTTGGTGATCTCAGAACTCTGTACTCCGTAGTATGTTCGCCTTTTGAGTTCTCCGTGTATACTCTTTGTACTCCGTACTCCGCTCCGTCCGCTATGCGGAGTACAGACTTCGATATCCGAAGGGATAGGGCACTGCAGAAGTCAAATTCCCGCTTTCTTATGATTATTCCCTGTGCAGCTGCGTCCCCATCCCGCGATCCATGGGTCTCCGTGCGCCAGGAACCGGACTTCCAGGGCCGCTGAACACAAACCAGAAATCAAATCGAAGTGGGTGCCTGTCGACTCTTGCTTATTTGGTCGACGCGAGAGGGGGCTGTCGATCGCATCACGATTTCACGGGCCATCGCGGGCCCATGAGCATCATCACAGCCCCTCGGATCCTTGGAAACAAAGTCAGGAACCAGATGGGTTAGCGTGCCAATGGCAAGGCCCCCTTAACGGATGCCGTGCTCCACCAGTCGAAATGAAACACCCCGTGCGAGACCTGAGGCGGCCTGCTGAGGCCAGTCGGAGCCAAGCAGGAGTCTATTTCCACAGAGTGGCCCATGCAGTCGACAACGACAGCGCAGGGTGGGTCACCCCTATTGACCTATTGACGATGGGGTGGGCTGGGAGGGGAATCATGGTGGCCGATAGAACGCTGGGATGGATCATGGATGGTAAGGATCTTGGTCTGTTAGCGACTTAGTGAGTGGCTAGTGAGCGGCCGATAAAAAAAAAGGCGGAGGGTGAGAACGGAAGATTCCAATCGATCTCACGATCTCCGTCTCTACAAAAAAGATCCCGGGGCCCTCCTCTCCTCGTCCACTGATCTCCTCAATCCTCCTTTCCCGTCTTTCTTTCTTTTTTCCCCCAACACCTCGTCATTTCCATCTCCCCGTTATATCTTGATTGTCCATTGCTTATTCTCTTTTCTTGGAACCGGTACGTGGTGGAGGCCCATGCGAGAACCGCCCAACTCTTCCTTTCGGTTCGACTGGGGACTGGTACCTAACTTGAACTGAGAGTCGCTGACGGTCCCAACAGTGGAGGACATTGAAATCAAGAGTAGGAGAAGAAAAATAATTTAAACTTCAACCGTGTCGGATCCCTCGAGGAGCCTTCGACTCCCCATCCCATCCTCGAGTCAGCGACGAAGTGTCTGAGGACTTTCTCGACTTCAATGCCCAGTGACCAGCATCTCTTGCTTCTGCAATAATCCAATGGCGCCTCGGGATCGCTCCCCGGTGCATGTGCCTCTACGAACATCCAGTCGAACTCACGTCAAGACCGGAGCCATGGAGAAACGTGACGACGTTGGTTACATCGAGCGGAAAACCTCCAAGGCGCAGCGCATCTTGGGGACCGACTTGCCGCTCCCCAATCCACAAGGCGGATGGGAGAAACCGCAAAAATCTCGTCGACAGAGTCTCCGGACCCCCGACAGCAGCTCCAGACAGTCGGACCAGCATTCGGGATTCGCAGCATTCCCTTCGTCTCGAGACTCGATAGCCCCGCCTCCCAACCTCCGCGTTCGTGCTTCGTCGCCTCTGCTCGGCCACAATTATCAATCTCAAGAATCTGTACCGCCAATGCCCAAGCACTCAAAGAGGGTCCACCAATCCGGGTCTTCGTCCACTTTGTTCTCCTATTTCAGCTCCAAAGAATCAACCAAATCAAACTCGAAATCCAACCCGACTACCCCCAAACAACAGAGCCTCCAACCCCATGTCCGTCATGAACTAGGGCTAGACCCCCAAGTGACCTACAAACAATCTCGCAGCGCGGCAAAGGAACAAGAGAAGGATAAGGACTCCAAACGCAAGCTGCGGCCTCCCCGCATTGATCTATCGATCCTCTTCCCGAAACCTCGAAATAATGCCCCTCCGCTGCTGTCACCCCATCGTATGACCAAGTCGCCTTCCCCGGTCCCCACTGTCGTTTCAGATTATCCCTCCAACCGGATGGACCGAGGTGGAATTGTCTCCTCGGCGAAGAAGTTTGGAGAACCCCTGTCCCAGCGAACCTCGGTCATTCCAAATGAAGGCCCCAAGCAGAATGGTGACCGCTCCGATCTGCTCTCAATTCCCGAATCTAAAGATGGCGAGTGGTATGACCATCCGCTGGAGCGGACTGTGGGGACCAGCGAGATTGATCTTGCCTTGGACCGATACGCTGGGCGGCGGTCGTTGTTCAGTCGCTCTAGTGTTTATACGGCCAGTCGAGAGAAATTGAAACCCGATACCCATCGTCCTGCGGAAATGGGAATCGCGGCTCGCAGGGGCCAAACCCCGGCTGCCATCCAACCCAAGGATATGTACTTGATGCCGACGACACAACCAGCGGAGACAACTCGCCATCGCGCCTTGACGACCGAATCAAGCACGTCGCGTGGTGGGAAGAGTGCGGTTAGCAAGAAGAGCAGCAAGAGCACGCTGAGAAACAAGGACCTCCAGAATTCCAGTGTGCTTTGTCTCTCTTCGTCGGAAGATGAGGATGAAGAGGACGTGGAGACACCGACGAACCAGCAAGGCAAGGCCACCAAAGACTCCCGCCGAAGCAGCGTGGCCACATACGGTGAATACGAACCGGAGATCTATACCGCACGCGCTGTGCAGGCTGCCACTGTCAAGAAGGTCAACCGGGCGCCGTCGACTAGCAGCCGAGGGTCTCATCCAACAAATGCACCTAGCCAGTCAAATCGCAGACATACGTCCATCGCCTCTACCGGCAAGTCGTCGACGACCACTCGACGCACCGCGAATTCCAAGCGGTCTAGCCACATCCCTATCATCGCCGAACCCGATATTCTCAACCAGTTCCCTCAACAGCCACTGCGTTCGCCTCAGGAATTAAAGGAGATGAACCGACGAAGCAGAGTCATCGCCGTGACCCGCCAGGAGCAGGATCTCCTCGAGGCGATGCGTCAGCGCAAAGGCAAGATCACACCCAGCATCTTCCAGTACAACAGCGGTGCGCCAGAAACCGATCGTAATTCAATGGTCTCGGGCCCGTCGCGAGACTCGTTCTGCGGCTCCGACACGTCCTTCCTGCGCCTCAGCGCTGCGTTCCCGCCCTTCCACGCGCGGACAGACCAAGGTGCAACTCACATGGACAAAAAAGCTTCTCCCTCGCAGAGTTCGGGTTCTGATACTGAACAGAAAATTGGTAATCCGATGGCCTCGCCCCAGTTCAGTACGGGCTATTCCGAAAGTCTTCCATCGCCCGCCACGAGCGGCGCTTCACCCCTTACGCCAACCCTCCCTATCCATCGATTCTCACCGCTGCCCTCGCCGAAGCCTCCTCCCCGTGGTCCTCCCCCCGCCATCCCGGAGGACCAGAAGCGGCATTCCCGCCGTCGCACCGATAGCAGCGAGGCAATTATGCTGCACGACAATGGTGAGCCGCAGCGCAAGCACGACCTTCCCCTCTGGGCATTCGACTTTGACTGGAAACACGACCGGGCGAGTGTGGCCCCCGTGTATTAGAGTTGCATATGCATCTCTATGCGCAACACGTTCACTTTTCACTTTCTTTTCTCACCTACCTTTCCACCTCCTGTATAATCATCATTTCTTTGTCCTGCGTGGACAGTCTCGACCGTCTTCTCGTCACCGATATTATCATTCATTCCGCATCAGTATCTTTTGCATCTCGGCGTTCTTGGTATTTACTGTCTTGGTCAATTGGAACTATTGAGCTCCATCTTTCTCCTCTTGTCTTATGAACGCTTTTACTCTGTCAAACACTCTCTTTCCTACCCTTTTCCTTGCTTGTTCTCCACCCTTCCGTGGGGCTTCTTATATACCCGCTCCTATGTTTCCCCTCGCTTTTTGGATTCGGTGGCTTTTTACTCATTATGGAGGGCTTTGATTTATCCCTCGTTGTCATTCTGATTAGCTATCAAGCTATTGTACTCATCAAATCCACTGCAAAATCTTGCATGCTGCATATACATCTCCACATCCTACGTAGACCTCGTTCCACCTTCTAGAATAGCGGTCTCAGCCTAGCTACATATGTAGCCCTAGCTCATGTGTGGCGGACGTGCATATAGCCCAGCCCATAGCCCAATCAGATGGTGGCTGGCCAAAGGCGGTGCCGACTGGATACAGACCCAACTGATCTGCAGCAGCAGATGCCTATGAATTAGTCTTGCCTCACTGTACTGCTGCATGCTTCTGAGGACACTGAAGAGAACAGATGGGCGAATGATGACATCGGAATGGGGGGCAAGGAGGCGGCGGGCTGGTGGGCTTGACGTCAGGCGATGAGCTTCGGAGGTTGGCGTGCCCAAAATGACGCCCCCAAACAGCTGCTTGAGCTGGGCCAGTCCCGGTCCATGGGGGCGTTAGAAAAACCACAACCATCGACCTGACTGGATAACCCGTACTTTGATCCCGTTATAAGCTTCGATGCCCAAAGGAAAAACCTTAGAAATGTGTGTAGTTCTGGACTCGTGACTGCTCAACTGCTTCACCCCGTGATCCACACCGCCGATTCGTCGCGCCGCACCCAAACTCTCTTGCCCCCCTCCGCCCCCGAATACCCCAGATCCCAACTTCAAAGGGCCCTCTTTACTCCCCTTCCAACCCACCCCTCCTTTCCTCTACGTCTTGACGCCTGTGTCCTGCCCACTCCTTTGCCTTATTTATCACCGACAGTCCCGCGTACTGTTCCACCAACGTTTGAAAAAACGCTGAACCACCGTTCCTCTCCTTTCTGCCCCATCCCAGCCACCCTCGCACGGAGCTCCGCCGTGATCGCCAACCGAAGCCCTGACGCTGGGCCCTAGCCGGGTGATCCTCGATTTTCCCCTGCCCTGGCTTGTGGGAATTGGGGCTTCAAGTTTGCCTTTTACTTTCCAGACCTTTGTCGTTCCCTACTACACAAAACATCGACCCTCGAGACCATTGCGTCGCTCCGTTTCCATTGTCCAAGCGAGGCGGGCCCCGTGTCGTGTTCGTTCTGTGGAGAATACATCCAAACCCAACCCAGGGCGCGATCACGTAGTTCGATACACTTTGTACGATGGGGGACCGCACACAACGCCAGCCTTCATGGCTGCGAGAGTCGACCAGAACTGTCCCTTGGTTATTGGTATGAATTATGAGGGGGGGGCTCTGATGGAGTTGGTTTGTTGAAATTGACCCGCTAACCTGGCTTTGTCTGTTGCAGCTTGCTGCGCAATCTACTGGGTTCGTGTTGGTAAGTTGCGACTCAAATTGCAAATGCTCTCAAACTGCCATGGGGCTAATCTCTTGATCTTTCTCGCGTGTAGCTGTCTCACTACTCCCGAATCATGCCGCCTGCGGGTGGTAAACGATACCTTACATCTACCGCCGTGTTTCTGGGCGAAGTCGTTAAACTAGCGATCACTCTGACCATGGCCCTCTACGATGTCTCCAAAAATGCGCCACCCTCCATGCCCGCTACCTCCCTCTTCTTCTCCCTCTCAAGCGCCGTGCTCTCGGGTGATAGCTGGAAGCTGGCCATCCCTGCGGGCCTCGGCGTCCTTTCGAACTCTCTCCAATACATTGCGCTGTCCAACATGCGCGCAGCCTCTTTCCAGGTCACATTCCAGCTGCAGTTTGTGACTACAGCGATCTTTGGCCTCATGGCGCTCCGGCGGAGTATTACCCCTCGAAAGTGGGGTCTGCTGTTGCTTCTGCTGCTTGGCGTAGCCTTGGTTCAGTTTCCTGATGCTAGTGCGGAGCAGATGTCGTTCCGCGATGAAGCATCCCGTCTTCACTTCCCCCGATCTTTGGAAGAGTGGAAGGCTGTCAAGGGTAGTGGTGCTGCTAGCAAATTGCTCAAACGTTCCGCCACTTACGAGGGGATTGAGGAGGACATTCTCACGGCTAACCCACGGCTGAACCACAACGTGGGTCTGCTCGCAGTCATTGGTGCTGCGGTTGCATCGGGTGTTGCAGGTGTCTATTTTGAGAAGGTTCTCAAGGACAGCTCTAACCATATCTCCTTGTGGGTGCGGAACGTGCAGTTGGCTATCTACTCTGTTTTCCCGGCCCTCTTCATTGGTGTGGTCTTCCAGGATGGCGAGCGGATCGCCAACGACGGCTTCTTCCAGGGCTATAACTGGATTGTCTGGGCCACGATTGTGACCCAGGCCTTGGGTGGTATTATCTCCACCTTTTATATCAGCCATACGCAACGCGACCCCCAGTGCTTGGCTACGACCACCAGTATCATTCTAAGTATCATCGGAAGCATTTGGCTCTTTGACTTTGAACTAACGGCCAGCGTATGTTCAAACTTCATTCGATTGGGATATCCACAATTACTGATGTAGACTTACTAGTTCTTCTTGGGCGCTGCTGCAGTCCTGGTGGCTACTCACTACTACGGTAATCCAAGTTTCAACCCTGCTGCAATCAAGGTGGGCGGAATGCGCCCCCCTCCGATTCGCATTGACAACTATGAGAAGGACGCCGGGAACGACAACGGCTCCCCCGTGGGAGGTCCTCCAGACGAGATCTCCATCAAACTGCCGACGACTCCCTTCTTATCCGACGGTATGTCGTCTTCTCGGCCCACATCGCCGAACCCGGGTCACACGCGGGTGAGCTCCAACCGGAACCCGAGTGGAGCACACTACTTCGAAAAGGAATAGTGATCCCACGAATGACCTTGGCCTGACGTCCAGGACAACTTTCTATCTGATGTGCTTATGGAGATATGACTTGGATACCTGATGGATACGGTGAGACCGCTATCTGCAATGAAACTTAGGATGAGGCTCTTTTGTAGCGAGCGTTTGTGGGTTTGGATCGATCTGCGTGTGAGCATGTTGTATAACGTTGATAAGTCGTTGAGACTTTCGGTCATGTATGCATATATACGAAGCAATGAAACCCTACCATATACCCTGACTCGAGTTCCAGCTTGACGTTGATTGATAGTGTGGTGCTGCTGGCACGGGACTTTTTATCCACGTGCCGCCATCCTGCTCTATTCTATTCCACCTCATCCCACACAATACCACCTCATCCCCATTCCTTTCAATTCAATTGATCCCATCATGAAGCGTAATCATTTTTCTTATTCTAAACATTTTCAGTCCTCGCCCAAACGACGCCGAGTCGATCCCGAGCCTGCCAGCTCTCACCAGAGCAGCAGGCCCGGGTTTATCGACCAGAGGTTAATCGAGGGCTCACAATGGCCAGGATATCCCAACTTCGTCCAACAAGGGCCTTCATCAATCCAGACCAGCACCTCATCAGGCCATGAAGATGATGTGCAATTGGATGCTTTTGGTACTCATGATCCAATTCGTTCGTGAATCACTCACTGACATATGTCTAGACCTTGAGCTACTCGCTCAACAGAAAGCCAATAGCAGCTTTCAATCATCGAATCAATTTTCTCATGTTACACCTGAAGAGGAAATTTTCACTGGCTTGAAGCATCAGGAAGCCCCACTGCAGAAGTCGCGGTTCTTTGACTGTCAGTATTCGAGCTGAAAGCATCTCTGGCCAATGTGTGCAAGTATCTCAGACCTAACAAATAAATCTAGCCTTCCCTCGCACCTCGCCTCTTCTCGGACTAGAGTCCAGTCAGTACGAGTTGATTTCAGGCCCACCTTCGAGTCCCTTGATGATGATGCATCGAAGAAAGGAACCATCATGGCGGAGTCAAGCACAGTTGGAACCAGCAGGCGATTCGCACCAGCGTGACTTAGTTCCACTCTCGACACAGCAGCCTTTCGCTTCTAATCTGAATATTGCTACATCCATGATCGGTCATCGGCATTACGGAAACAAACCATTTGGCCATCTGCCCCTATCGGTACGAGGCATCGTGTTAGTCTCGGTTGACCAGCTGCCCGAAAGATATCGCTCCCTGTATTCTTTCCCGCTGTTCAATGCGATCCAGTCCAAATGCTTCCAGCCAGTCTACAACACCAACGACAACATAGTCCTCGCCGCACCGACGGGAAGCGGGAAGACCGTCGTCATGGAGTTGGCTATCTGCAGACTATTGAACGTCCTGAAAGACGAGCGCTTCAAAGTGGTCTATCAAGCGCCGACGAAGTCCCTCTGCTTCGAGCGATTCCGCGACTGGAATGCCAAATTTGCACCACTGGACTTGAAATGTGCTGAATTGACTGGTGACACGGACCACACTCAACTGCGCGGTATTCAAAGCAGCCAGATTATAATCACAACGCCCGAGAAGTGGGACAGCATGACGCGCAAGTGGAAGGACCACATGAGGCTGATGCAACTTGTCAAGCTCTTTCTTATTGACGAAGTCCACATCCTCAAGGAGACGCGCGGAGCAACACTTGAAGCAGTTGTGTCACGTATGAAGAATATTGGGTCCAATGTGCGCTTTGTGGCGCTGAGTGCGACAGTGCCAAATTCAGAGGACATTGCTACATGGCTTGGCAAGGATGCGACGAACCAGCATGTTCCTGCGCACCGTGAGCATTTTGGGGAGGACTTTCGGCCTGTCAAATTGCAGAAGTTTGTGTATGGGTATCAGTCGACTGGGAATGACTTTGCCTTTGACAAAGTCTGCGGGGCCAAGTCAGTTGCGCGCTCCGTTGCGCACTCCGATTTTCAATGAAGCTGTCATGTTGCTAACAATGGTTCTCACAGACTGCCCGAAGTCATTGGCAACCATTCTTGCCACAAGCCTATCATTGTCTTCTGTTGTACCAGGAACTCATCCGTTGCAACGGCTAAAGAGCTGGCAAGGCTTTGGACTATGACCAATCCACCGGCTCGGCTTTGGAAGGCCCCACGCAAACAGATTGAAACGAATAACGATGATTTGAAAAGTTAGTTCGCACTTTGCGGGGAATCAGTTTAAGGATAATGGCTGAACTAACAATTCATAGCCACAATTACCACGGGAGTTGCATTCCACCATGCCGGCCTTAGTGCCGCCGACAGACACATGGTTGAGAGGGGTTTCCTGGAAGGGCAAATCAACGTTATCTGTTGCACTTCAACACTCGCCGTCGGCGTCAATTTGCCCTGTCAACTTGTCGTCATCAAAAACACCGTTGGATGGCAGGATGGTGGTTGCAAGGAATACTCTGACCTCGAGATGATGCAAATGCTTGGTCGGGCAGGACGGCCTCAATTTGACGACAGTGCAACAGCGGTCATACTTACCCGAAAGGAGCGAGTCACCCACTATGAGAGACTGGTCTCTGGCTCCGAGAGTCTGGAGAGCTGCCTGCATCTGAATCTCATCGAACACTTGAACGCGGAGATTGGCCTGGGGAATGTGACAGACGTTCAATCGGCGATCAAGTGGCTTGCGGGTACCTTTCTGTTCGTGCGACTGCGTCGAAATCCAACACACTACAAACTCAGGGAGGGAGCGAGCCAAGAAGATGAGGATACCTTGCTTCGTCAAATTTGTGAGAAAGATATTAAGCTTCTTCAGGAGTGTGGTCTTGTGGAGAAAGAAAAGCTTTGCTCGACTCAGTTCGGAGACGCCATGGCTCGGTATTACATCCGTTTCGAAACCATGAAGAAGTTGCTGTCACTGAAAGCTCAGGCAGATATACCTCAGATTGTGAGTACCTTCTAGACTTGGCCGATCCTGGTGTCATTCTAACATGAAAAGCTCGATGTCATCGTCCAAGCCGAAGAGTTCCACGACATCCGTCTCAAAGCCGGTGAAAAGACGCTGTACCGCGAAATCAACAAGGACCCGGGCATCCGATACCCGATCAAAGTTGATACAGCACAGCTATCTCACAAAATATCTTTACTCCTCCAGTCTGAGCTCGGCGCACTTGACTTTCCCACCAGCGATCAGCTGCAGAGACACAAGTTCACGTTCCAGCAAGACAAAAATCTCGTTTTCGCCCACGTGAACCGACTCATTCGCTGCTTGATCGACTGCTTGATTTCTCGAGAGGATTCGGTCGCCGCTCGTAATGCACTTGAGTTGGCACGGAGCTTTGGTGCTAAAGTTTGGGACCACTCTCCGCTTCAAATGAAACAGATTGAGCAGATTGGGGTAGTGGCAGTCAGAAAGTTAGCTGCTGCCGGGATCACGGATATTGAGGAGCTTGAAACTACTGAAGCCCCACGAATTGACATGATTTTGAGCAAGAATCCGCCTTTTGGAATGAAGTTGTTGGCGAGGTTGAAGGAATTTCCGAAGTTGAGAGTGACTATGAAAGTTGTGGGAACGGTGAGAGTTTATTGTTGATTGGTTGCTGGAGCTGCCTCTGATTGACCTTTGACCCTCAGGAAGCGAAAAAGGGAAATGTCAAAGTCCGCTTCAAGATTGACGTTGCCTTTATGAATGACAAGATCCCCGGCTACTTCCAACGAAAGCCGGTCTATGTTTGCTGCTTGACAGAGACATCGGATGGCCGATTGGTTGATTTTCGCCGCGTCAGGTGAGTGAGTCTCTAAAGTATATCTGGAATTCACTAAACTAATACTTTCCAGTGCCAGCAAGCTTCAAGACGGCGTCAGCGCCGCCTTGATTGCAGACCTGAAAGCCAAAGATCAATACATTGTCTGTCATGTCATGTGCGATGACATTGGTGAGCTTAGAGCCCTTGTGATGATGAGCTTAGCTAACATCGCCCAGCTGGTACGTCCAGGCGAGCTGAGATTAGGCCTGATCTGCCTCCCCATCTATTCTCAAAAGCTCCATCTCAAGCAAGTCAGTCAAAAGCTACGCGGCGAGACCCCCAGAATTCCACCCGTGACAGTATCTGGGATATACCAAAAAGCCCACCTGGACCTCCTACAGCCGCAGATGCATTTGATGGCGACGATTTGGAAGCTGGCGACTTTTTGGCCGTAGCTGATGGCCTCAGCAAGCCCAAGAATCCGGTCAAGTCTTTAGAAACCCCGATAGATGATCTCGATTGGCTTTCGATTGATGGAAGCTCCTCTAATTCGCAAGGAGCAACAGAAAATCCGCAAAGACAGAACCATGACTGGATCACAGACATAGAACACCTGGATGATAACGGACCAGAGCCTATCCGTCTCCCGAATGGAAATTGGGCCTGTAGCCACAAATGCAAGGACAAGACAAGGTATGCAATTCTCTTCGTATCATCCATGATACTCGCTGAAGGAAATAGTTGCAAGCATTTCTGTTGTCGAGAGGGCTTGGAAAAGCCACCCAAACCCAGGAAGCGAGCCGCCTCAAACCACAAAGCAGGCAACCTCAATCAACTGACGCTTTCGGCTGCAATCACGAAGCGAGATAATTCGCAGAACGTCAGAAACGGAAAGCAGCCGGCGAAACAACCACCCAAGCTGACTACGACAAAGAAAGTGAAGAGTCCCTTACAATCCCAGTTTCCAAAATTACCCCTCGAGAGAAAAATCTCCAATCGAGGAAAAACTGGAAACAAGGGCACAGGTACAATCAAGCTTTCCGCCTCGAAGACCAAAGGAGGAAAGTTGAATGACCAGCCACAGAGGGTCTCTAGTGACTTTGATGACGATGGCCTCGACGACTTGCCGCCTCTTTCTGACATCCTGCGAGGATCACGATCAGGTACAGCTTCAGAAGATCCAGCCGCAGTCGAGGCTTGTCAAAATGAAGACAATCTCTGTGAAAATCCGTTCGCCGGAGCCAAAAATGCAGTTGCAAAAGACCATCCTGCCAAAGTCGAGTCCCTCACAACCCCCAACTTTCCAGACATGATTGTACTTTCAGATGATCCCACCCCTGAACCTGGCAGGGACATCTTCACCAATCCTGAAGATATTGGAAGCTCCATTGCCACTGCGCCTCTTTCAGCTTCGAGTGGTAACATCGTCCTCCCTGCAACCCGGAAGTCGAGCAGTTTCTGCAGAGCCTACGAAGCAAGGATTCTTCAACAGGCTGAAAAATCTCCATTTTCAAAGTATCTGGCTCCCGCTCCAACCGTGAGACGCAATCTCACAAAACTGGAACCAATGTGCGCCGTCGATTCTGCTTCGAAAGACCACACGCGTCGAACACCAACAAACAGTTCGTCTGGATGGGACGATATCGATCGAATGTCGTGGGAGGAAATAAACGATATTATCAATCATTATTAATGTGCAGCTTTCAAGGGAATACTTTTCGAGAAACGGTTCTATTTGATCCAGGAACCAGGACAGTGGTACGTTGCATGTTTACTTTGAATGCAAGCTGTCATTATGCAGCAACAGAAATATGCCCTCTCTATGCAACATGGACAAGTATTCATTGAGGATCGATTTGAGGAAAAGACTGCGCATATTGAATTACATACTCAGAAACTAGCTTTATATTCAAACAAGTCATTATTTCTCTCCTTTGCCTCCTAAGGAATAATTTCCCCAATAGCAGCCGCGCAGTCTACGATGAAGATTCGAACATATGAGACCAGAGCCGGCATCTTGAAGGTAGAGATATGTATATAGAGTTTCTTCATTCCTTGTATTTGCACGCTGAGAAAGCATACAATTACACTCGAGGTTCCTATATTCCATCACATCATCTCTCGAAGTCACAAGTTGACATTTACTTTTACTACCAATGTCCGCCCCTTCTCAATTCGCTGGTTTGGCCGTGTTACGACATTCCCCGCTAATCGAACCGGAGATCCTGTTGCCTGGGCAGATCCCGAAAGCTTTTCTGAAGTTTGAAAGTATATGAGCGCGGTCATGAGTTAGCTAGGTCTATTCCGGCAACTAGAACTGCTCATGAAATTTATCTTCCGTTTTGTCAACTGACAGAAATTTGTTTTATGCCGGATTGAACTTTTGAATTCTCACAGTCAAGACTTGAAACTCTTCGAAGGTCGCCAATTGCTACAAGGTACCTCCAAGATACCATGCAATTGTCTTCAAAGAACGTGGATAGAATGACTCGACATGAAAATTCTTCACTTGGCGTCTGGGCTCGCCAATGAAGCTCCCGATTCTTCAGGTGCCATTTTCCTTGTCATATTTCTGAATATAATGGAGAGGTATCTAAGGAGTTAATTCAAGATAAGATTGATAAGAATGGCGTCTATCGGCCGCCGTAGACATGTTGCCGCAAAATTTGTTTTATGAACGCCAGTTGACGCCCAAACTTCCTGTAACAGGCAAATGCCCGTCTCCATAGACACAATTGCATTTTGGCTCAACTTGTGCATACCGGCTATCGAACCGTTCTTAGAGAAGAGGATCAAAGGCCCCAAAGGCCCCACTTGTAGCAATGAAAGCTGGGTAATATTTATTTTACCTGAGAAACGACTGAGTCTCCAATCGTCTCACTGTAATGATCTAGGAGACTTCGACTCTCTCCTGCTCTGAAATTCGATCGAAATAACTTCAAGGCTTTAGAAGCACTTTCTAGCAGTGATCAAAGGACTTTACTGGCGACATGTCACAACATTTTGGATGACCTCTAACCCCCTCAGTTGAGATCTAAATATTTCATAATGAAGAAACGCCTGGGGAAATACTGATCCTTTGGCAAAGGTCTGGCTACCGAAACATCAATTTAGGGATCGCAATAGTTGGACCATCGCCTTTGACCAACTTGATGCTCCGAACTTGCCATTTCCATTCAACGGCTTCTCATGTACTAGGATGTCATTCCTTAGGTAGTCTCACCTTGGTGGCGGGCTATCTAGTATCGTCAGACTCAATCTATGATTCTTTCCGAGTGTTGTTAGTACTAGAGTCTTATGTCGTGACGAGCCTGAGAACTAAATAGCACACAAATATCAATATAATCTGTACCACGAATCTCCATTTCGGCAGGAGAAATTTCATCTTTTCCATCCACAGTTCTCAAATCAGATCTACACCTCAGTCTATCGCTCGAGTCACCTCGGAACAATGGATCTGTTAGTTCACTCCATGATCTATTTGTTATTCTTCAGCTTGCTCTTCCCTCCCGGAATACTTGATGATACGGGACTTGTTTTTTTCTACTAGGTTGAGGTTTTCATTTGCCATTGCGATCGTGTTTCTTTACAACGTCTTCGCACACCGTGGATCGAGTTCTGTGCACCCACTCAATCCTCTGGATGGTGGCCCTGGTTCTGATTACCTTGCCCTTTGGATCTGGCAGTATCTTCAACATTGACGAGTCTAGATGTCAACTTGACGATTTCAGATCTTGACTGAATATATAATATATGACTGGCTGGTTTCTTGCTTTGAGATTCTTCAATTGATATACACAAATTTAGACTTCCGAACTGAGGCGAGTGGACCCATGGGCACGTGCCAGGGGTTCCAGGGTTCTCGCCGTTGACTCTTTCTAGAATCTTGATCATTTCAGTATTTCCGACTGATTCACATTCTCATTTTGCACTTGATCTTCTACATAATTCCTTCCTTTCACTGTACATTTCCCCATCATGGTGCGCCCCAAACGCCAAAACACTCAACCTCTCGAAGATGCCTCCGTGGCCCCCGCGACCTTCACCGACGGCCTGCCACTTCCCAAACTGATCGCATTCGACCTGGACTATACCCTCTGGCCTTTCTGGGTCGACACACATGTCAGTGCGCCTGTCAAGACCCGCGACAATAACTCGCGCGTTGTAGATCGGTATGTCCGCTTGATGCTCAATGGGGCCTGATTTCAGTCGTCTTTCTGACATCCAACGCCTTCTAGATGGGGTGAATCCTTTGCTTTCTATCCAGCCGTCTCATCTATTATTCACGCCTGCCAGAGTCGATCTATTCCCCTGGCACTCGCCTCGCGTACGCATGCCCCCGATCTGGCCCGCGATATGCTCAAAGCCCTCCATATCATCCCTACCTTCTCAGACAACCCCGCGGCCAACAACGCCAAGTCTATCCGCGCTCTGGAATACTTCGACTTTATCCAGATCTTCCCTGGCAACAAGACACAGCATTTCTCGCGCATTCATCAAGCGAGCGGGTTTCCATATGAAGATATGCTGTTTTTCGATGACGAGGCGCGAAATCGCAATGTGGAGACCGAGTTGGGGGTGACGTTTTACCTCGTGCGGGATGGAATGACCCGGGACGAGGTCGACAAGGGTGTTTGGGCATGGAGAAAGCGCAACGGGATCAAGCAGAGGTCGATAGTGGATGATGCTTGAGCTTGCTACGACCTTGCTGTCTTGCACGATATGCCGCAACGAAGTAATGCTTGGGCTCGGATTATAGGCGTTCATCATTTTAGACCGTAGTAAATTGATACCCGGGCAAAAATGCCTTACCCGACTGTACAGAATATCCAACATATGAACTATTACACCTTGTCTTCCGCTCTTTCATTTATCCTGACTCTCTGCACCTATCCAAAGTCCTCAAAAAGAATGTCGAGCTGCGACCCACGGGAGCTGCACGGGCCCGCCCAAACTCCGCAATCACCGACCCAACTTCACCTCAACACCAAAACATCAACACCTCAAATCAAAAGCAAAACACACAATGGCCACCCTCAAACCTCCTCCAGCGCAGCACCGCTCATCCTCGTCCTCGCATACCCCAACCGGTCCACCAAAGGCTCCTCTCAAAGCTGATCCCTCAGCCACCATCGCGGACACGGCTGTCTTCCAGGGAACATACCCCGTAACCATCGGCGCAGGCACGGTCATTCACCCACGGGCGCGATTCTATGCCTTTGAAGGCCCGATATCCGTGGGAGACGGGTGCATTATCAGCGAAAAGGCAATTATCGGCGCTGCGCCGGGTACATTAGCGTCGACCAGGCCATCACCGTCGTCTTCGACGGGTCCATCTCCAACAGGGCCGTCTCCAGCATCCTCATCTACGGACCTCTCATTATCCTCGCCGCAAATTCAAGGGCAACCACAGGATCTTGCCACCCGCATCTCCTACTTCGTTACAATCGGTCCACACTCCACAGTCCTCCCCGGCGCAAATGTTCATTCCTCCGCTACCATCGAATCCCTCGTCACGATAAACCGATACGCAGACATTGGTGCACACTCCAAGATTTGCTCCGGTTGCCAGATCCCCCCAACGGGTCCGTCGCTGAATGGACGGTCGTATGGGGGTCTGGAGTTGGACAACGGCGAAAGCGAGGCCGTACTGCGATGGAGCCTGCGCCGGCGGTTGTGGTTGCGGCGCAGGTTGCGCAGTTACCTGTGCCCCCGCCAGCTCCGGAAGGGAAGATCATCGAGGATGCGAGGTTGATGGTTCTTCAGAAGGAGAGAGAGGTGCTGGGGAGGATGATTGTGTCTGCTGGGACTGCAAAAAAGAAATAAGCCTGGGCTGGGGCCAGTCAATATACAGGTAATTGGTTCTTCAGGCGTTGCCCGGTGGCGTTGCTGTGTTTTCAAAGGTGGCTTTTTCTGCGTATACCCTATTTCTGCAGTCTAGTAGAGTGATAAAGGACTTTTGAAGCAATGAGGGTGCAGCATTCTGGGTGATCTGATTAACTCCGCGGTCGACAATGGCGTGTTGTAATGCATGACCACGGTGGAGCGTAGATTTTGTCCTAAGATCCATCCATGTCCATCGCGAAGTAGTGTGCAGTTACGAAATTTACGACTATGATCATTGCAAGTAACGAGAGTTTTGAACCTCCAGAAACTCCACCGTACATTGAGCATCTAGATACAATAACAAATGAAAAAGGGATTGCACAGCAGCCTAAAACACGACGGCCCATGACGACGAAAGCAAAGCATCCCAGACACCCGATTTGCCTTTCTCAAAAATAAGAAAATACATCGATAGAAAGATACAGGAAGAGAACCACATTAGGATGATCCACCACCGCGAGCCTGTCCACCACCACCTCTCATACGCTTTCCACCGCTTGCGCCCTCGTTTGCTGTATCTGTTCCATCCTCGCGAGACCGCTTGTTGCCTTGGGGAATGAATTGGCGTGCCTGAACATTCAAATTGCCACGATTGGCCGCAGGGCTGGCCGGGGTTTGATTCTGGTTCTGGTTCTGGCCACCGCCAGCGTTCTGACTTCCCCCACGACCTTGGCCACCACGACCACCTCGGCCACGAGGAAGACCCGTCCCACGTTGAGATGGAGCCTGTGCCTGGCTTTGCTGTTGATCGGCCTGCGCCTGCTGAGCATGGCCAAATGGATTTTGCTGCGCACCACCACGGCCACCACGGCCTCCGCGAGCAACAGGAAGGCCGGACTGTAACGCTCGCAGCACACCCGGGGCAGTGCCGGCCGGAGGTTTGGAGGGCAGCGAAGATGGTTGCTGCTGGACTTGCTGCTGCACCTGACCAAATGGATTGATAGTATTTGCAGCAACCTGGGCGTTTCCTTCCCCGGGCTGAATCTCGGGTGGCGCAGTTTCAGTTACTGCAGATACAGGAGCCTCAGGTGCGGCCACAGCAGCCTCCTGGGCAGGAAAGGCTTGGCTTGGTGCCGTCGCAGCTGGTACGACGGGGCTTGGCTGCGCCGGAGATACAGTGGGCGCCGGCGAGGTGCCTACTGGAGCCTTTGGAGCCGGGGCTGGAGGCCGCGCTGTCTTCGCAATCTCCCAGACTTCAACCACAGGCTTTTGTGGAGTCTCATCGGCGGCCTTGGAGACAACATCAATCTTTGCCAAAGATGTCTTGAGGCGAGTGTCCAGCATGCTGATACGAGCGGCAGTTTTCTTGTCGGAGAGCTGAACGGCGGCCTTGACCTTTTCGGCAGTTTCCTCCTCTTGGGTTTTCTTCAAGGCGGCCACAGCTTCTTCATGTGACTGTGAAGCTTTTTGGGCTTCCTCCTTTAACTTATCCTCAGCCTGGACAACCTTGGTGCGAATGTTGTTCCTAACAATGGTGCGAAGAGTCTCATTCTTCTGGAGAAGTTCACGGACTTGTTGGTCCGTAAGTTCGAGAAGATCAGAAAGGGCCTTGGATGGTGTGGCCGGTGTCTGTTCAGCACCTGCAGCAGGGGTGGCAGGGCCAGGGGCCTCTCCGGAGGACAGCTTCTCAATTTCCTGTCTGTGGCTCGCCTTAATCTCAGCGAGTTTACTGTTGAAAGTGTCCTTGAGCTTATCGGCACGCTCCTTGACTTTGGCGTCCATTTCCGCATCCTTGGTGGCGATGAGCGCGTCCTTCTCGGCAAGTGCAGCTTCCAGGCGTTGGATTTTAGCTTCCAACTCCTGGATCTTCTGCTCGTCGCCAGATGATACCACCGTGGTGGTCGCTGTGGGGAACTGTGATGCGGGCGTCGCGTTCACAGGAGCAGCATCGTCGGCGGCTGGGGCGCCTGCTGCAGTCGTCGATGCATCAGGTGTTTGAGAGGCCTTCGCCTTCACGGTTTCAAGCTCCGCCTTCGTGCTATCTAGCTCACCCTGTAGAACATCCTTCTCTTGTTTGAGAAGGTTGATCTTTGATGAGAGATCCCTAGAGCGAGCCTTGAATTGCTCCGTGAGTTTTTGACGAAGATCAGATATGCGCGTCTCAGCCGCTTGCTCTGCAGCCTGGAGCTTTTCTGCGGCTTCGGCTTGAAGAGCGTCGCGCGCAGAGACAGCCTCATCGCGTTCCTTTTGCAAAGTGGCCAGTTTCTCATTCAACGCCTCCATCTCTTGGGGATCAACCCGATCATATTTCTGCAGGATATTCTGCACGCGCTTCTGGTAATGATCACGGTCCGCCTGTAACAGTCGTAACTCATCATCCTTAGCCTCAACAACGCCTTCGAGCTCCCGGATCTTCGTTTCCAGGGGTTGAATTTGTTGTGTAAGCTCATCAACACGAGCGGACTTCTCGGCAAGCGCAGTTTCGGTCTCCTTGACCTGGTTCCGAAGGGTGACACTACTCTCGCGGAATAAGTTGAGCTCATTGAGGGTTTCCATGAGTTTGTTATGGTTCAAAGCACGGTGCTCGCTATCTGCTGCAGCGCGACGTTGCTGCTCGAGCTTGAGCCTAGTTTCGTCAAGCTGAGATTGAGTGTAGTCGAACTGTTGGCGAAGTCGCTTTGCCTCTTGGGTAGAAAGGTGATATTGCACCTCGACAATCTCCTTTTCGCGGCGAAGGTATTTAATGACTTCCTGAAGACCCTCGAGATCTGGGGCTGCCTGGTCGCTCTCTGGCTCCTCATTCTCAGGGATTTCAGCACGGTCGCGTTGCAGAGAAGCGATTTGTCCAGTTATACTTTCCAGCTGCGTGTGGAGAACAGAATTCTGGTGGTTCACCTCTTCTCGGCGTTTCTGCAACTCGGACAGTTCGGCTTCATATCGTGCCCTCTGCTCGGCCCAGCTCTCCTCCTTCTGAGCGAGATCCTTCTTGTAAGTCTCCGCTTGGGTGCGCAGCTCGGCCATGTCAAGCTTCAACTGATTAGCCTCAGCCCGAACGGCCTGAATATTTTTGGCGGCCTCGGCATGCTTGATAAGCTCGGCTTCATAGTTTTTCTGGAGGTTTTGCGAAATCTCAGCCTGAGCCTTGAGATCGTCTTGATGGCACTGAGCCGCAGCGACATGTCTCTGGTTGTCGTCCCTTAGACGCGTGATTTCAGATTCCAGATTAGCTTTCTGCTCCTCCAGATGACGTGTTGCTTCGCCCTGCTCATCTCGGAGCTTGGAGATTTCAGCGTTGGTGGTAGACAGCTCCGTAGAAATCTCTTCAATGCGGGTCTCAAGGTCTTGGATCTTCTTATCCTTCTCCTCGATCAGGCGGTCCGTCTCTTCGCGGTATTGAGCGTGAGTGTCGGCTTCAGCTTCCATTCGTTCCTCGGTCGACTGGCTGATAGCACGATATTCTTCGACTTGCTCCTTCGCATGAGCAAGTTCACCCTTGGCGAGATCAAGATCACGCTTGAGCTCTGATATTTCGATGAGAAGCTCCTGCTCACGAGTAAGACCACTACCATCCGTAGCGTCCTCCATGGGGGCAGGGCGCTCGGTCGAAGGAAGCGAAATGCTAGGCCGTGACTGAATGACCTGAAGACGCTCTTCAGCGCTCTTCAACTCAACATTAAGCTCATCCACCCGTGACTGGAGGTGATCCCGGGTGGTCTTGGTTGCGACCAATTCCTCCCGAACCACGCCCAGGCTGGTAACCAGATCATTTATTCTCTTCTGGCTCTGCTCGTGCTCGTAGTCCCGCCGCAGAGCGGCTTGCTTCGAAGTCTCTGTCTCGTCATTGAGCTTGCGTTTTGTAGCCTGTAGCTCCGTTTCGAGCGTTTCCACGCTCGACTGGAGACGGCGACGGCTGTCAGATTCCGCATGCTCCCGTTCGTTAAGAATAGTCTGAAGGCTCGCGTTTAAAGAGTCAAGGCGACCACGCTCGTTGCGCAGACTTTCAATATCATCGATCAATCGCTTCTCGATGTTCTTCCACAAATCTTTCTCGGCCTTGAGATTGGAGTTCTCTCGCTGCAGACTCTCAACAAGGCCCTTAGCCTCGACAAGATCCTCCGCCGCTTGTTGCGTTCTCAAGTCCTGCTTGCTGGAACTCTCCAGCAAATTGGAATAGCGATTTTGAAGCCCACTATTCTCGTTCTTCAGCATATTGAAGTTATTCTGAAGAATTTCTGCCCTTTGTGAAGCGGCAGCAAGCTGGCTATCAGACCGGCTAATCTCGCTCATCAACTCGCTGTTCTTTCTAGAGAGCTCGTTGACTTGTTGGCGAAGTGAGGTGTGGTCTGCAAGGGTCTCCTCACGGAAAGTATCGTAGTGGCCTTGCAACTTGCGTAGAAGATCTCCATAATCCGTATTGTCCCGAATTTGGCTATCGAAAGCACCGGGGGGTGCAGAACCCGGAGGAACAGATTGGGAGAAAGCTGTATCACCCCCGACAGTCTGCCGACGATGAGTAAGCAGGCTTCTGAATGTGTCCCGTTCCTTCACGTAGCTCTTAGACTGTGCAACAAGATTGGCAATCTCATCACGATACGTTTGCACACGGATTCGGAGTTCCTTTAATTCCTCGACTTCTTGTTGGCGAATGGCATCCTTGGCCCGAGCTTCCTCTCCCTCCATTTTGTCACCGAGCTCCCGCAGCATACGTCGAAGCGTCAAGTTCTGTTCTTGGAGCTCGTGCAGATCCTTGAAGGCGACGAGATTCCGACTGATGAAAAGGCCAGTCGGGTTAAGTTCTGCGGAGGATTCTTCAATTTCACCTCGGGCGATCTTCTCGAGTTCTTCACGGTCGTAGTCCTCGCCATGTCGAGCAATTGCTACTTCCATGACGAGGACCTTAACCTCGGCACTAAGGTCACGCAGTTGTTGACGAAGGATATCTCCTTCGCGAGTCAAACCTTCAACCTTGCCTTGCCATTTTCTCGACGCCTTAATGGCATCATCTCGCTCCTTCGCAGAAGTCTCTAGAAGGCCAGACAAGTCCATCACTGCGTCCTCGAGCCGTTTGTGATCATTCCGGAGGTCATCAATCTCCGGTTTGGTCGACTCCAGCTCTTGGAGCATCTCGTCGAGAGTAGACCGAAGCTCCTGGTTGGTCTTCTGTTCCGCAGAGAGCTGAGTGCGCATTTTGTCATATTCCGTGTACATCTGGGTAAATGTCAAATTACCCTTGGTGCGAGACATCCGCGGCGAGAAGGTGCTACCAGGGGTTCCGGGTCGCATGGGAGTGGTGGGTACGGCTCCATTCAGAGAGCGAGCAGGGCTTGCGGATCGATTGCGGGGGCCCTGTGATTCAAGCTCGGCGACTGTTGCCTCAAGCTCAGATACACGCGTCTCCGCAGCCTCCTTGTCGGCATGCTCAGTCTCCATCTCGACACGCAAGCGAGAAATCTCTTCCGCGGCTTCGTTCTTGGCATGCTCCAAAGCGATCTGGCACTCCTGCGCACGTTGCTTGGCGGAATTGGCAGAGGATTCCTGCAGCTTAGCAAGCCGGCTAGCGGTCTCGAGTTCGATACGGAACGTCTCTTCGGCCTGAATAGCCGTTTCCTTGAGCTGGCTGATGCTGGCGAGAGCCTCTTCATAGCGTTGTTCCGTCTCATCAAGTCTAGCCTTTAGGGAGTTGTCACTGCGGCGCAGCGTGTCGATTGTGTTGGCCGCCTCCTCATTTTCACGCTGAAGCTCGGCAATTCGTGCGCTCTTCTCCTTACGGAACTTGGTGTATTCCGCACTCTTAGTCTTCAGCTCGGTCTCAAACCACTCATTATTCTTCTTGGTGAGATCGACCTCTTGCTGTAAGTTCTGCTCGCGGAATCGTGCACTAGCAGCGGCGGAGTTTGCAGCCTGTAGGTTCTGTTCCGCAGCGGAGAGCTCGCGGCGCAACTCGATGGTCTTTTTGTGCTGCGCTGAGAGCTCCTCTGCTAACTTGTCGTGGGCAGCAGACTTGGATTCGAGCAATGCGAGGCTCTCGCGTTTCTCGGATTCGAGGGTCGAGATTCGTGATTTAAGAGAGTTGAACTCGGTCTCGTTGGAAGTCGTTGACGATTTGAGGGTGGAAATCTCGGATTCTAAGGCCGAGCGGGTGGTTTCTATCGCATGTCAGAAAAACTTCAAATGTAGAGCAGATTTCATGATACAAGTACCGGATTCGTGCAGTTTCTTTCTCAAATCTTCGACGTCCGCGTGGCCCTTCTCCACGGAGGTCTTCAACACCTTCACTTTTGACTCGTTACTGCGCACAGCATTTTCAAGCTCAACTTCCAGACGAAGCTTGTCAGACTTAAGCTCATCAAATTCGTGTGCTTTCTTCGTGATCGACTGCAGAAGCTGATTGACCAGATCCGTAGTTGGGGCCTGGGTCAATGTTGCGAGGGTAGCTTCTGGGATTGCATATTGAGAAGACAGATAAGGCAGTGAGATCGCCGTGTCCGCCATGATAGAATGAAGCTCACCAGTGGTGAGGTCGTATGGCCGCTATGTTGGGGTGAAAGGAAAGAGTCGCGGCGCAACACTGGAGCTGTATCGAGAGCTCTGAAGGTTCCAACGCGCGGTGTGCACTGCTCAGAGTCCAGTACACACAGCGCAGTCGGAGGAACCTTGGGGCATTGCGATCCAGCAAAGGAATGTGAGGAAGTCGTAAAGATTGAAGAAAAAACAGATGTGTGGGGGATGGCAAAGGAGAATTGAGCGATGAAGTGAGCCCGAGAGTCAAAGGACGAGAGTTCCTTGCGCGCGCTTTGGGTTGCTTCCTTCAAAGGCGGTTAGCACGGTTCTTATCACGTGACATATCTTTGAGCCCCGTCGCAGCCTCCAGTCTCGATCGCTTTGATCTTGGACTGTCTTTGATTCGGACAAGGCGCCCTCCTTCTCTCCTCCACCTTCCTTTCTCTTGTTCAACGGACTGCCTTGCATTCCTTTGAACTGCCACTTCTCATATGATCTGATTCGTCGAAATTCTCGAGCTTTTATTAGCTCAACACCGGCACCTGGTCGTGATCCTCAATCTAGCTCTATTTCGCCCTCCTGATCCACCTCTTACCCTCGAATCCAGCGTATCCTTCGATCGACTGTCGCAGCCATGTCGTACCTTCAGCAACAGCTCAAGAGCTTCAACGCCAGCGTTGTGGAATCGGCGAACCGTCTCCCCCAACAGCGACGAGTGGCGGCCAACAATCCTACAGCTTCTGGCAGCAGCTCGCAGGTACCTTCATCTGCTCCGACTCCTTCCTCGACAGGCGACTTGAAGAAGAAGCGACATGATGCAGACATTGTCTATTCACAGCCAGCCAACACGGGTACGGGTAAGGATATCATGACCCAGGTTCTATTTGCGATCGAGCACATGAAGACCAAAGGCGTGCCCCTAAAATTTGGGGACATCGTTTCCTATCTGTCACTCCAGCACCGGGCGCACGATCCGGCATACGTCCAGGCCCTTCGCAGCATCCTCCAGCGACATGAGAAAGTGGACTACGACCCGGCGGGCGCTGGGGGCGAGGGGACATTCAGCTTTCGCCCTCCGCATAATGTCCGCAATGCCGAACAGCTGCTACAAAAGCTACAGTCGCAGAAAACTGCCGCTGGTATGAGTGTTCGTGAGCTTCGGGAGGGCTGGTTGAACGTTGAGGAAGCCATCAACCAGCTTGAGAAGGAAGGAAAGCTGCTTGTAACTCGAAACAAGAAGGATGGTCATGCCAAGATGGTCTGGGCGAATGACCCCTCGCTGATTGAGCATTTTGATCCTGAGTTCAAGCAGATCTGGGATAAGATCAAGATTCCGGATCCCCAGGCCGTCAAGGAGGCGCTGGACAAAGCGGGCATTCTTCCCACGAACAAGAACAAGGTCATGAAGCCCCGCATCAAAGTGGAACAGAAGAAGACCAAAAAGCCCCGACGCAGTGGAAAGACGACCAATACCCACATGCAGGGTATTCTGAGGGACTACTCTCATCTCAAGCGGTGATTCGCTTTTGCCTCACTATTGAAGGTGGCACTGTTTGGGCAAAACGGCCCCATTTATTCCATTTTTATTTTTGCTTTCTGCATTGCATCGGTGTTTTTGGGGGGCTGGTATCTTCTTATGGTGACTTTATCTCAGGTTACCTTTATTTCAGGTCTTTTCTGTGAGCCCGGATTCGGCAAGATTGATTCTTTGCCAAAATTGTACCTTATTTTCGACAAATGATAGATACCCAGATAAATCAAAGCAAAGATCTTTAAACAACACTTCATGGAGGGCCTGTGAATTCCAGGAGGCAGCCTGTCCAACTTTGCAGGTAACCTTAGTCCTAAGGCAGTTCATGGATCCAAGTAAACTTACCAGTACCGGGCTAAGGTAGGCTAAACAAAAGGAATAAAATCAGCCCTTCCCGTAACCAATGTAGCAGTGACCAGAAAAAGCTCCATTCGGCGGCCCTACAAGTCCTGCTGAGGACGGATGAACCTGATGAAATAGACGGAATGTCTTAGCGGGGTGCACGCAGGATATATAACATCCGCGGGAAGTTAGACACCTCAATGTCGGGGGATTCCGTGAATTTACAAACCAGACAAAGCGCTACAAAAGGTTGAATTACATGGGTCTTCACCAGAGATGAAATCGAGGATATCTTGCTGGATCGAATCTAGTCTTCAGAGCTGCAACCATGTATTTCTCCCGCCTAGCCGTTCCACCGTCGCCAAGACTGATTCAAGGGGGACAAGTCATGAACTTCTATCAAATCTCCTCGTCAATCTTCTAGGGCAAGCTACTAGCCATTATCATCGCAGAATAAACCAATTTGAGATCTTCACATCTTTTCATTGACGTACATACAGAGCTATCTGTTCCCAATCCCACCTCAACTTTACCTGAAAGACGCCTTCCTTCCCTTGCGAGCGCCGGTTGACCTACCCCTGTGCCAGCTCCACTCAGAGGTGCTTGCCATTGCTGTTTATACACAGCCTGATCTCTCAATGGAACTTGGAGAACGAACTCAGTAGAACAAGTCTCGCACTCAACTGCTTCAGGTCCTTGGCCAAGTCTTTCAAGGGCACCGATGCGCCCAGCTCCTTGGCGAACCATGTTCGGAATTCCATCTCGATCAACGAATCGACTCCGTTCTCTCGGACACTGAGAGAGTCGTCGAAAGAGTCCTCGCTCACGTTGAGCAAGCTGGCCATCTTGTGCCTGAGAGCCGTGTGAATGATTTGCGCGGCATCATACTGAGTTGTGGCTGCCTGAAGTTGATCACGAATGAGAGGTGCTGATTTTCCAGCCTCTGCGCCAATGGCGCCTAGGGAACCCTGGGGAGCTGCTGGGAGCTGGCAAAACATCGGATACTGCAGATGACTCGGTGGGTCTTCGTTTCCGAGACTGTAGGAAGTTGGGGTTCGGAGACCGCAGATGAGCTGCGCGATATCGGGACTCAGGGTAGTGTTGTGACGTTGATCGATCATGTACTCAACGACGGTCAGCACCTCTTCTTCAGTCTGCTGATTTGCCATCTTGAAAGTGTGCTTTCCAGCATATTCAGAGTTCTCCGCAACGAATCCAATGCCAACCACAGCGCCCAGGTTGACACTAGCCCCGCGCATTCCCTTGGAAACACGGTGACGTGCGAGCGCATCCTGGAAGTTATTGCCAGCGTTGTAGTTAGCCTGACTTCGGTTGCCCACGATACCAGTGATGGAGCTCAACATCAAGAAGAAGTCAACATGCGGAAGCAGTCTGTGGAGGTTCCAAGACCCTGAGACCTTTGGAGCCAGGGCAGTTTCCCAATCCTGGTGAGCCATCGAGTCAAAAGCTCCATCCCTCAGAACAAAGCAGCATTGTATGCATCCCTTGACTGACGGCAAATCTTCGTTGATTGAAACAAACACTTCGCGGAGACGAGCGTCATCCGAGATATCACACTGGAAGACATGGCTCGTGCAGCCAAGGGCTTCCAGCTTGTCGATTGTGTTTTGCCCCGCCTCATGCACGGTTGATGAACGCGAAAGGAAGATGAGGTGCTTAGCTCCCATTCTAGCCAGCTTAAGGGCAATGCTGCGACCAATTCCTCCCAAACCTCCTGCCAGTATGTACGATGCATTGGGATCCAACTCAAGGGGAGGTAGTTGCTCCGGTAAGACAGAAACCGGACGAGAACCAGGGACGAGTGTCATCTTGCCGATGCTCTTACCAGTCTGCAGGAGGCGCATCCCATCTTTCAACTGACCATATTCAGAGATACGTGTTGGTCGAGCCTCATGAATCTTCTCGCTCAACCACAACTGCATCACCTCCTGGAGTATTTCTTGGCAGATCTCGGGGCGCTCCTCGGCCAAAGCATTAAGATCCACGCCCGAGAAGGTGACGTTATGCAGGAAGGGAGTCATGTCGAGCTTGGAACCATTTTGGAAGTCAAGCTTTCCGATCTCGACAAATCGCCCAAATGGCGCAATGCAAGCCCAGGATTGTCGGAGTGCTTCGCCACTAAGGGAGTTGAGGACAACGTCTACACCTGCAGGAGCGATTCGTTTGATTCCGCTCGAGAAAGTCAGGTCACGGCTAGAAAAGATGTGGTCCTCGGGAATGTTGAAGTTGTCGATGATAAATTGTTTCTTCTCAATGCTCGAGAGAGTCACGAAGATTTCGGCTCCCTTGACCTGTGCGTATTGAATGGCGGCTTGTCCCACACCACCTGCAGCGGCGTGAATCAGGATCTTCTCACCTGCTCTGAGCCGAGCGATATGACCTAGAGAATATATCACCGTGCTGTAGATGATTGGCATCCCTGCAGCAATTTCGAAACTGAGTGCGTCGGGAATCTTGACTGCCAGTCCTGAATGGGTGCGAACACGAGTACGCAAGGTGCCCATCCTGCCTGATGAAGGATCGCCGAGGCACATCACTCGATCACCAGCTTTGAGACCACTCACAGACGAGCCAACCGCGACAACGATACCGGCTGCCTCATGCCCAAAGCCTGGCTGGTCAATCTCCCCCATTGCCACCAATAAGTCCTTGAAGTTCAGTCCAACAGCACGAACGTCGATCTCGATTTCATGGGCAGTAAGTGGTTGTCTGGCGAGGTCTTCATCGGTAGTCCATACGAGACTGTCGACTCCAGGCTGGGGATTGACTAACCGCACGGGTCGTTCAATCGTATCCCACTGCTGGAGAATTGCTTTTGGCCGCTCGAAGTGAGTTTGAAGGGCCGTGCTTGCACTTTTGTCCTTGACGATGTGATTGGTCTCAATCACTCGTCTTCGGACACGATACTCGGCATTGGAGCCGCCAGGGTCGACTCCGTGTCTCAAATATTGATGCTCGAATACTCGGAATATAGCGTCAACATTCCCCTCTGCAGTAGCTGCAGCTTCTCTATCCAGAGAAAGAGTGACGAGATTGAGATTGTTGCGATCCAATTCCCAACGAACAGTGCGAATCAACCCCGTTGCCATTTGGAATTCAGGCTGCGTCAAGGGGTCTCCAGTAACCCACAACAGTGAATCACTCCCGGTGATCAGCTCTTGGACTGCTTGGAAGGTGTCACTATCCAAGTTGTTGAGAATGGGTTCTTCGGCTTCGAGCAAAGATATGCATGTTCTGCCCACCAAGTCCTCGGGACGAAGCATATCAAGCCGACAAATTGAAAGCTTCACTCCAGCGTCGATCAACTTTCCGGCCAGTAGACGAGAGATCTCTGAGTGGAATTGGAGGACCAGGAGTACTTCCAAAGAAGGCACAGCGGCCTCCTCTTGTACGTGCTTTGCGGTTGAGACCATCAAGGTGAAGTCAGCGAACTCAGCATAGGTAGAGCTAGAAGCTTCGGAGTCAATCCCAGAGAATCCAGCCTTTTGAAGAGCTTTCTCCCAGTCGGACTTGAGAGCAAATGTACCTGCTTTGTTCTCAATTGCACGGCTGAAGCTAGGCACAAAACCGAATGAGACATTGGTGTGTAGCGATTCTGGCCGCATCTCCTCCAGGACACATAACCGGCCTCCTGATTTTGCAAGAGAGTTCAGCCGCGAAAATGTCGCCTCTATGTCAGGCATTGCACGAATACAGTGGCTGACGATGATAAGATCGAACGATCTGGCTTCGAACCCCTGTTCCAGTGGGTCAGACCCCAAGTCAAGAGCTTTGTTTTCCACGACGTCTCCCCAGACAGCAAGGCGCTTCTTTAACGCCTCAAAGCCGCTAGTCGATGGAGACCCAATGACATATTGTTCGACAAAATTAGCGTTGCCACCTTCACTGAGAATTTTGAGGACATGCTCAGAGAGTGCTCCCGTGCGGCCCTGGACATCCAAGATGCGAATGCTGCGATGGCTGTGGCGCAGGAGAGTGAGAAATTGAGTAAGCGTGGGAAGAACATTCCCTCGCGACAAGCTACTCTTATCCCAAGACCAGATGAGGTCGGCTGTCTCTGACAAGAGTTTTTCAATCCTAGCCTCATTTCGCAAAATAGATGAGATTCTTGATGCCATCTTGACCAGCAATGCGCCTTCGGGATTCCTTGCCTCGACTTCGCGGTAGAGTTGCTTTTTCAGTGTGGCATTCGATGAATACTTCAACCAGGTCTCCAGTGACACATACGGGACAGCGTCAATCGTGAGATCTGCAGCGATACTTCGAAGGAGCTTGAGATAAGGCATGTGCCGATCTCCCAAGCTGGATGCTTTGGCCCCTCGGATGGCCAGAAGACTGTCGTTCGCTAAAAGAGTAGACGCTAACTGCAATTTACTGAGCCATTCCAACTGAGTAGCGTAGCTCGCAGGGGGATTGAAGGGACGCGGCAGAAGCTCTTGCAACTCCTTGTTGGTGACGAAGTCCAAATCTGGATGCCACTCAATGGAATAGCACGTTCTCCTGTCATTGGCAGGAGCGTCACTGCTTTCAGACTTGAAAGGGGCCAACCGTGCGCCAGTCAGCGAGAATATTTTCGCACCTGGATTTGAAGGGTTCCACGCCTGGATTGCACTCTCGAAACTTCCATGCAAACTGGGAGAAGCCTGACTTGTGCAGCGCAATGTCGTACCAGGCTTAGAGGACAATTCTTTCGTTGACAGCCACATCTCTCGCACGGAACTGGGAATGCAACCGCGTCGCAACATCTGCTTTCCATTCAGATCATATATGGCCGCGAATACCGCCTGGAAGGCATTGTCAAGGGTAGTTGGATGAATGAGGTGTTCGTGCGCGTACTGCTTTGGCATGACTTGCTTGACATCGGGAACAACAATGTCGCCTGTCATCAAGCCTTGGCTCTCATCACCGATGGCAACATTAGACAGGCTTCGGAATATGTCTCCGTGGTTGATGCCGATATCTTTGAGATGCTTGTAGATAGGAGCCAAATCAACCGGCACCTGGCAGCTGTTCTCCCTGGCCTGCACGAATGTCAGCCATTCCGACCTGGCTATCTCTTCTTGGCGGAAACCATCAATGTCATTGAGCGACTTCTTGAAATTCGGAGAGATTTCACCAGTGCAATGCTCAACCCACTCCTCAGTCGCCTGGTTGTAAGAGGCCACTTCGAACCTCCTCCATGTAGTGGAGAATGAAGTTTTGGACTCTGGCACAGGGTAGAAGGAAAGGCACACTTCCACCCCTTGGGTATCATCTGGAACCACCAGCATTGCTTTGAACAAGACGTCTCTCAGATGCACGCCAATCATGTCCGAGTCATCGGTCACTTGTTGCATTGCTTCCACTGCCATCACGATATAGCCTGCTCCTGGAAAAACATAACTATCGCCGATCTGAGATGAAATTAGAATCTGACTTGAGTTAACTCCAAGAGAGCCAAGATGAAGACACTCACCACATGCTCTTTGAGCCACGGATTCTCGGAAATGCGTAGGAAATGGCGCCATCGTGGACTATTGGGATTCCAATCCGAAACAGGGGCACCGAACAAGTCATGTCTAGGGAACTGGCGAAGGCGAGTATTTTTGACCAGGCGGCTCTCGTAGAGTGTTTGCTCTGCGTGGTTGAAGGGGTAGGGGGAAATCCACAATCATCCTGGGCGCAACCGAGGGATTCGCAGCCCTGTTGACCTTGTCCAGATTGATGGGTGCACCACGGATGACCAGGTTTCCAATGGTTTCAAGCAGACTGCTTAACCCAGCGTCCTTCCTGTTTAGGGTTGGCAAGTATGGTACGTCGGCATTTAACCCAACGATCTCTTTGGCTGCGCTTTGCATTGCTGGATGAGGTCCGACTTCCAGAATCACGTCTACCCAAGTGTTATGAGTTGAACAGCCATGCGATGGCGTAGGGTCAAAACACATCGAGGATAGGGCATCCGTAAATTTGACGGGGCACACCATACTGTCACGCCAGTGTGAGGCCTTTCCAGGAGCACATGTATCATCCAACAAACGACCCGTAAGAGTGGAGAACATATGCACAGTATGATCAAAGTTCAAGCGATGTTTCGATGGGAGCTCGCCCAACAGTTCATCATATTCTGCTGAGAAATACTCCATGTGGGCGGAGTGGGCAGCATGTTCCACCTTGAGCTTTCGGGTAAAGATTCCTTGCTCGTCGAGAATCTCTTTTAAAGCATCAACCATGACAAGGTCACCGGAAACAGTGTGATTGCGAGGGCTGTTATAGCAAGCGATAGACAACGCACCACCGGGGAATCTTGCGTGCACCTCTTTGAGGAGATCAAGTAACCGCTCTTCTTCAAGACCCACCGCAATCATACCTCCAGTGAAAGGTGGTTTCGACTCTCCTGAGCGGAGGACATGTCCTCGGAAGTATGCCACCTTCCAAGCTGCTTCGCGCGAAATTTTACCCGCACAGTAAGCTGCTGCGATTTCTCCTGACGAGTGTCCTGTCACACGGTGAGGAATGACACCCCAACTGAGCAAAAGGTCAAGCAATGCAATTTGAACCGCGCAAGATAGCGGATGTGCAAACGCAGATTTAGATATCCTCGAATCTTGTGCCTCTCGACCGAGCTCTTCTAGCAGTGACCAATCACTACCCAGGGACTGGAAGTAAGTACCAGCCGCTTCCAATGATTTCTTGAAAACTGGGTAGACGAGAAGTTGTTGGCCCATCTTCGCATATTGGGCCCCTTGCCCGGTGAAGACGAAGCCGATCCGCAAGGGCGATCGGGACTTGATGGCTTTTGAAGGCAACTTGGAAAGCTTGTCTTGGAGCTCGTCCACAGAATTACACATGGCATAACCTTTCCAAGGAAATCGAGATCTTTTTTCAGAGAGACTGAACGCAAGATCACTTAAGGTTTGCCGTGGGGAAGACTCGAAATCCAGAATCCGAGATGAGACATAGTCCCTTGTCTGCTCGACCACTTTCTCCAACCTATCCTGATCAAAGGCCGAGAAGATAAAAATTATTGGAGCTTCGGAAACTTGAAGGGCTCTTTCATTCGGATTCGGACGGTTGGTTTTGGCTCCGTTGGCGCCATCCGAACCATTGACGCCACTCCTACCGTTTGAGCCGTAAACATTGTTGGTACCATTGACATGATTGACACCGTTTATGCGATGTATGCCATTGCCACCGTTGATATCATTCGTGTCGTTGGTACTCTTGGTGCTATTCGTACCGTTGACGCCGTGCATGTCATTAACACCGTAAGTGCCGTTGACGCCGTTGACGCCGTTGACGCCGTTGATGTGAGTACCACCAGTTTGTGACACTAGAGTCTCAGAAATAGGCTCATCTGGTTGAGAATTGCAGCGCTTGAAAACTTGCGTAAGGAGGGCCTTAATTTCCTGTTCTGACGGGACTCTTTCGCTGGTTGTATGCCGAGCCGTTATCCGCCTCTCCTTCAAATAGTGGTACGCGTCGTCTAAAATGCAATGTGCGTTTGTGCCGCTGATTCCGTACGCACTGATAGAAGATCTGCGGATGCCGGATGTTGGCCACGGAATGCAACTTGTGGGAAACCGAAGGTTCCAGGCTTGAGAGATTTTCGGATTGACCTCTTCCAGTGTCGCATTCGGCGGAATAACACCAGACTCCAGAATGAGGACTGACTTGATCACACTAGCAATGCCAGCACCACCCTCAAGATGTCCGATGTTGGGCTTGATAGCCCCAACGTAGAATGGCGAATTTCGTCGCTGGGTCTCAAATGCAGCCGTAATGGCAGTGCATTCGATAAAGTCTCCAGCTTGTGTCCCAGTTCCATGACTTTCAGAATAAACCGTATCTTTGGGATCCAAACCCGAGGCTAGGTAGGTCTTGCGAATCAGTGACTCTTGTGCAGTTGCGCTTGGATATGTCAGTCCAGGGGTGCGACCATCATGGCCTAGACCAGTTCCACGAACGAGTGCTCTGATTGTGTCACCGTCACGAATGGCAGCAGATAAGGGCTTGAGAATGATAGTTCCGACACCTTCTCCAAGACCATACCCCTCTGCTCGAGAATCAAAAGCCATTGACTTGCCCTCGGGCCCCAGGAGTCCGGAATGTGACATTTTCATCAAATGAGCCGGATATCCTATCACGCTCACACCACTGACGATGGCCTTGTTTCATGATCGACTCGTCAACGAAGATTTCTCATCAGTAATAACTTGAGGAATTACTGACCATTTCACTTTCTTTCGCAAGAAGACTTTGCCTAGCGAGATGAAGAGCTACCAAACTGCTCGAGCAGGCAGTATCAATCGTGAGACTAGCTCCTTGCAAGTTGTAGAACCAGCTGACTCTGCCTGAAATCATAGAACTTTCCGCACCAGTGGGCTTATGCTTGAAAGACAGTTCCAAGTCGCTATTTAGACGATCTGCATGATGGTAGTTAAAACCGTTGACGAAAACAGACGTGTTCGAGGAGATTACATCTTCCATTGGAAGACCGGCTGCAAAGAAAATCAGTACATCTGCAGTAAACGTAAAATACCTTTGCCTACCATTTTCCAGTGCGTGGTACACGTTTTCCATCAGAATCCGTTGTTGAGGATCGAGACTCTGCACTTCGGTCTTGCTCATTTTGAAAAAGGCAGCGTCGAATCCATTGGGACTTTCTCCAAGAAAGCAAGCTCCTTTAGCGTAGAACTTCCATAAAAGTCAGCTACAATCCAGATGGTATTCCTGTGCCACATACCGTTCCCCCATGATCAGGATCTGGATGGTAGAATGCTTTTGAGCTGAGTCTATCCTCTGGTATAGGCCGAGTCGCTTGCCGTGCTTTCAGTAGAAAGTGCCAAAAGGCCTCAGTGTCATTGGCCTCATCAGCGGCTCGCATTGCCAAGCCAATGATGGCTACTGGCTCTCTATCGTCGACCCCTTGGTGAGCGATGCGCTCTGTATGGTCGTCCGTGTCTCCGTTAAGGTATGGGGTCATTTTTCCGTTCAAGTAAAAGATTCTGGGAATTGGATAACTATTTTTGTCCTTTTTACGATTTCAAGAGTCGGATATTGTCTTAATATACAATTCGCGATGGTTGGCTCGCAAACACCGCAAGTTATAAGTGAGGTCCACAGACAGCATTGGGAGGGCCTCTGCCCCGCCTTCAATCCTCATTTTCCAGTCTAGACAGCTCAGTATTCGCAACTCGAGGCACTTCATGGCCAGATGTGCTTCTGGTACCTTCCCGGCTGGCATCTGCATGGAAGGTATCCACCAAATGCGGAATTAAACAGAAAAACTCGGCCATCAAGATCGAGCCCAAGCGACCCCCAACCGCTGGGAAATGAAGATCATGTCTTTACAGGGCGTCACATGAAACTTTACCACAGAAACAATGCCAATTTTATACTTTTTGGAACTTGTGAATAACTCCGAGGATATGATAGGAAGGACAAAGAATCTTGAGATGTTAATGAATGATACCAGCGCTAATGTTTGGGATCCACTAGGAGTAAATACATGATACGGGTAAGGTGGTAAATTCCGTCCAATGTCAGGTACTGTAACGTGCATTACATGACCCCATACTTATACACACTCGTGTATTGTCACATATCGCTTCTTTGTGTTCAATGCCCCATGCTCGTGCAGAGCGCATCGTGTAGCTGAGCGATCGCATCGTATTGTGCTTCCTCAATACATTAGCTTATCTAGGCTCAAGGATTTTCTCGATAATGTGCATCCGCTATGCATCTCCTCATTTAGGCCTGCAGAATTCTCCGACGGTCCTCAGCCCTCAGCGACTCGTGGGCCATTCATTCCAAGTTGGCTGGCTGACCAAGTGGCCTGTGCAGTCTGTAATTTATGGCAATCACATTTGGTAGAGTTGAGGGCGTATCATGATGAGTTTCTTTCGCTCGTCATCTCATAATAATCCCGCATGCGCCAAAGCTACCGAATGATTAGCTAGACGGAGTGGTGACGGCCGAAGCAGTAGTCTTTCCTGCAGGTAGTCTGCATCACACTGTTGCCCAAGACCAAGCCACCTAAGTGTTTCATATAGTTGTAATTGAAGCTTGCATTGCACCGCAAACCGAAGATGCGTGACTGTAAACGTTGAGTTTTATCTAGAAATTCTCTCAATCCCTTGTATCTCGTAAGGGATTCCCAATCGTATCCAGTATTTATGCAATTTGCATTTTAAATACTGCCTCTGAAATTACAGCTTGGGTCTTCATAGTAAGCCAGAGAGAGCAGCTATGTAGTTGTTCATGACGTAGAATTCAAGCAAGAATAAACCAGTATCCAGTCAGTCACTATTTCTCCAACCTTTTAAGTGAACCAAGATCATAGAACCGTTCCATCGACGTGGGCCCTAAACATCTATCGCAAGTAGGACATTTATCATGGCGAAAGAGACAACAAACCTGGCAAAATATCAAATTTATATGGAAACGCTGAACGAAGGTTCTCAACTGGGAGGTTAACCTAGAAGCTTGGAGAAGAATGAGTTTCTCCGACACAATCTCTCATTCGTAGTGTGTTAAAGACACGTGTTTCTCCTATAGCCAGAGAAAATGCAAGATGCAAGGCGCCTCGTATTGACCGGATGAGATGAAGCCCAAGATACTCCCACCTTATCGCTGTCGCCGTTTCACCAGGCCCCTAAAATCTTGCACCTTAGCCACATGGTCATTCCACAGCTCCAAATCTTCGGGGAGGTAGTTGATATCGAAGGAGTAGAAGACCAATGCCAATGCCTTGAGAACCATCAGCGTAGCGAGATGCTTGCCTATGCATTCTCTGCTCCCCAAGCTAAACTATAACCTTGGTATTAGTACTCAGTCAGCAGCGTTTTGTCAAAGATCCTTACCGGAATGCTGTAGTAGCTAGCTTTTTTTGCCTCATCTGGATCGATCAACCACCGCTCAGGGCGAAATTCCGCTGCGTCAGCACCAAAGTATTCTGGATTGCGTGATGCCGCCCAGTAATTAATACCGATCACTTGTCCCGCACGGAATTGATAACCTGCCAGAATCGCCCCGCCATCAGGCACCACACGTGGGAACGTAACTCCAGCTACCGGCCATAATCTCATGATCTCCTTGAGAACAGCCTGGAGATAAGGCATCCCTTGTATAGCCTCGTGGGGTAGGATGCTATGGGAACTGGTGTCTGATCTCACCACTTTTGGATCAATTTCATCTCGTAGTCGCTGAAGGACAGCCGGTTCCCGGTAGACGTGATACATTGCTTGACACATGAACGAAGGTGTGAGCTCAGTGCCTCCCAAAGCGCCTCCAATTCCGATGCGGACTTCAGTCTTGTTCATTCGGTCGGCTTCCTTCTGTTGGAACCAGGTATCCAAGAAGCAAGCCCCCCTTGTTGAATCTTTTGCCGCTTCTTTTTCGGCGATTTGTTTCTCAGCAAAAGAACGAACCTCCTTCTCGCTCATGATGTAGGAAGGAACGTAATTCCAGAGAATTTTATGCCACTCTGAAATGATTCCTACCACGCTAGCATAGAATGTGCTTGCTCTTGTGAGCTGTAGAAGCCCATTGACATCGGCATCCTTCTCCACACATCCAAAGCTCTCCCCAAAGATAAGCAGCGAGCTATTATCCATGCTCCAGAGCTTTAGCCAGTGCAGTAAATCACATCTTTCTCCAAGATCGGCGAGCTGAATCAGCTTCTTAAAGAGTATTTCAAGTGACTGGTCAATAAGGTACTCCATCTTCACAACCTGGGAAAAAGAAAACGAATATTGAAACTTTCGGCGTAAGTCTCTGTGGTCCTTGTTGTTCCGCATTGATACCAGTGTTTTCCCACCAGGATTAGTGAAAGATACGTAGAAATCAGACTGTTTATGATGAATATTAGCCTGGAATCAAGCAATGGGGCATATACCAACCTTTTCAAAGGATGTACGAGGACCGTAGACCTCTCTTGCGACTTCCATGTCAGAGATGCTGAACTGGTTTGGACCGATCCGTATAACTGGACCTAAGAACCGGTAAGACATCTTTTGACTCTTGAGCAAAAGAAGCTGGTTATATCTCACCATGTTCCTGATGCAGTTTTGCTATTGTGTCCCGTGAATGACAGTGCAGCATTTCAATTAGGTACCATAATCGGGTATATCTTGCCCAGAATGGGCCGGGGATATTCCGTAGAGGGTCCCGATGATGCCTTATTATTTTGGCAATACAGAAAACAGAGAAAGAAACAATAGCCAATATGGCCAGTGTCGCTGTTTTGTTGGCATCGTAAAATCTCAGAGTTGCCATTGTTAGGTGTCAACTCCAGGGTGGATTATTTGGGGAAGGTTGAGAAGGAAACGAGGTATGTGCTCACGTACGTTTAATTTATATTTCATTGAGAAAGTTACATGATGTGCACTCGGAGGCCATTGAAGCATCATCCTAGATATGCGTAGTCTTTGCTTTGCCCCTCCTTGACCAGCGGTCAAAACCTGCACTGGGCTTCTGTCTGTAGACATTTGAACGATCCACTGGAGCCAGTGTATGCATTTGTAATCGCTCGCTCGCTTTCTCTCGAGCCCGAAATTAAGCTATTACATACTAGTGTAATACCATTCTACTGTCTTTTACACTATGTAAGGAAATCGGTACGAAAATTCTCCTTGTGCTTCAAGCCATGTCACGTTGCTGCAGGTGGTACAGGACCCCAGCGGAGACCTGTTTAATACATCACCTCCTTCTCCCCTCAACAACCTTCTGATTCTAGGTTGCCACGTAGAAATTTGCTTTCTAGGCCAATAGAATGAACATTGATCAAGTGTGCTGTTATAGAAACGCCATCATGGGTTGTTTATTCTCCTGATTTCCCCAGTTGCATTGTGAGATTTGGAGTATGAAAATTATCCTCACAAACATCCCATGGACTCCAAAGATGACTTATGCGAAAGCTTGCTTGCAATTTTGAAATAAACTAAATGTGATTTTCTACAGCTTATGTGGGCATGTGGTTTCTGTTTTCACGTAGAGCATTTTCCGATGTTATTCCCAGCCTCGACGGCAAAAGAACAACCACCTTAGTCCGACCATTTCTGGCAAAGAACATTTTTTACACCCCGGATATTCCTGAGCTCTCCGCAATTTCAAAGTTAATACATTCGACATCGCAAAAACGTAGAATGAACTGCCTCCAGTTTAACTCAGTTAGGGAGATCCGCCGCCCAGGTCACTACAGCATCAACAAGACCATCGACTTCCTTCTCAGTATTGTCGGCATGTATAATTACTCTCACACGCTCTCTTTCCTTTGCAACAACGGGATACCCAACTTCCAGGGAGAAAAAGCCACATCCCGTGAGTCTATCTTCGAGACTGTGAGAAAGTCCCACCTTCGTTAGAAGAGGAATGATGGGCGACATGAATTCCATCTCTTTCCAGGTATCAGCAGCGAACACCCTAACCCGGCCAGTCTTACAAGCCACTTCCCAGAGGTGGTGCTCAGTAAGGCCACGGTAGAACTGGCGGATTCGAGTTTGAAGCCTTTGCCTTCTCTGTGAAATTTGTTAGAAAATGTAAGATCGTAAGGGATGATTGAAAGGCATACTTCTTCTCCTTCGTCACTGCTAATTACATTATAGGATGCTTTCACAGTGGCCATAGTAAGAAAGGCCGGACCGGTGGTGAAGATAAAATTACGTGCGTAATTCACCAGAGTCTCTTTGAACAACGGTGGGCAGAGGACCGCGGCTGCATATCATTAGTGTTGATGATGATATGCTTCGAAAGAATATCGACTGACCTCCAGTAGCATTGATACCTTTACCAAAGGTATGCAAGCGAATGGCGAACTCACTTTCGAGTCCATGGTGGCAAATGAACCCACTGCCCCGAGGACCCATTATGCCATTTGAATGAGCCTCATCAACAACCATGACTGCATTCTTCAAGGGCAAACACTCCTTGACAACCTGCACAATTTCTGCTGCCGGAGCGATGTCACCGTCCATACTGTAAACGGACTCAATCGCAACGAAAACGGTTTTCTCTCCCTTTGCAACTCCAAAATCATTTTGAAGAAGCTCGAGAAGGACTTTCTTCAATGACTCTGGATCATTATGCTCGAAAGACTTGATCACCGAGGCGCGGCTCGCACGCATACCGGTGTGAACACTGGCGTGAATTTCACTGTCGTGAACAATGATATCAGTAGGACGAGGAAGAATGCTGAAAATGGCGACGTTTGCATCAAACCCGGAGTTGAATAACAGGCATGATTCCGCATTATGAAAGTCTGCGAGCCACCGTTCCAGTTCGAATGTGTACTCGGAGCTTCCATCTGCGACTCGGCTGGCTGCGGCACCAACCTTGAAATTAGGGTGCCGTGAGATCTCTTTCAAGACTTCTTCACGATGTACCCCGTTATTTAGAGACAGGAAATCATTTGATATGAAGTTGACGCCATTGGCGTAAAACTCAGGAGGACGAAGGGTCCAAAGTCGGCGTATCTGTCGCCGCTTGTCAATTGCCTCTTCGAGGCTTTGCTGGAGCGCTTCAGGGAAAAACACCATGCTGCAAGATTCTTTGGAAACAATCAGGATGATGAAGAGTTTAGACAGCGTGTGGCTTGATGTTATATTATAGGAAAATGAAAGAACTCCTTATACTTATACCCAGAGCATATCAGGAAACGCAGCCAGACTGATTGTGGAGAGGTGTATTTCATCGAAACCCATTTTTCTTTGTCTGGCTAAGAATATGCTTCCTCTCATAAATCCTCTGCATTTTCTTTTATTATTTACTATTTTTCATTTATTTTAGTATCGTTATGTTTTTGAGGTTAAGGAAGATGTATCATTCGTGGCGATGTGTAAGTCACTGTACCTCTAGCGTCCTCGTGTATTAGTTGCTACTCATTCTGGACTATCCCCCTACGATCAGATCAATGTTTAGTGTTAACAATTGACGAATTCCCTTTCGCCAGACACGAAGTAGCGGTGAGCGGCCCTAAAGTTGGAGTACTAACAGATGTGCAGTTACACAGCATAAGCTTCGACGGACCTGCTTTTACGCCGCGTACAGGTATTGCCCTTTCCATAGGCTGTAACTTTCATTGAGTAACAAGTACTAGATACGAGGTGCTAAAAATGTCCGATCAACATGGTTATCCACTGACATTGGGCATCCTTTACTACTGGTGCTTTCTAATAGAATTAAATGCAATGATCAAAAAAGAAAGCTCCACTTCTGAGAGTGACTCCGTTCACACTCACGCTGCTGAAACTCCGAGATGAACATATGGGGAACATTTGAGGCCGGGGTGGAGACTTGGTTTCTGTGGCCATCAGCAAACCCCCATTGGTACATTGTCGTACTTTGTGCTGTGTACGATTGAATTTCTTCGGATAGAGGGGAAATATCATTGGACGCTCCGATAGCTGCAAAATCCAGAAGGGTCTCCCACCTGTCCGTTGTAACCGTGCAATGACATGCATGCCCCTCCGATGTACCGAGCCGTGTACGAAGCTAAGATTGGGCCGAGATCGAAGAAGATCTGGTAATTTACAGATCAAACGGCTGTAACTTACGAATTGAATTTACGACGATAATTTACATTTTTTTTTTTTTGCAAAAGTACATAACAAGTTTGTCCGTCTGCTGCATAGCTGATCTGCTCACTCCTGTTGAGCGGGGTAGCTATATGCAGCGTGGGCTACCTTCGTATGCATCGTTTCTAGACTTGTGGACGAGCCACGTATCCGTGGGATCATGGATTATTTGACATACCAGACAGCAAATGATGCGCCATGTCATTCCTCCCACTATTCCAATCCTCGTTTTCTCATTATCTCATGCTCACTCACGTCTCTCTTATTATTCCCACGAAAATTGATCAATTGAGCACTTACTTCCACTATGGGCGACGCGGAGCACTCTGAACTGAACTTTCATGCTCAAGACTCCACGGTCTCTCAGTTGAACGCGGTGAGATGGAAAGCATTTCACGCTCGCCACAGCGAGGTCGAATTTGTTTGGCTACAGTTCTTACTTTTCGAGGGTTCAATTCGAATGAGAATGATACCTGTAGCGTATTTCTCCAGAATGATTGACGAGAACCGAAACTTGAGCCTTTCATCCGCCCATCTTCATCTCCTCCGCAATGACCATGTTACCGATGCGGCAGCACCTACTGGCACGATGTACTTGGCGCCAGATATTTCCACTGCATTTGTCCCCCCTCGCGATAGTTCACGAGCTCATATCCTTGCAAATATTGTCAATCAGAACCAGACTCCACGACCAGAGTGCTTGCGTACGAAGCTGCTAAATCTATCCGACTTTTTGTTTCATCCGCACGGCTTTGACATTCTAGTCGGGTACGAAGTCGAAGTTATCTTCTTCAACACAGAAGACAAGGACGGCAAAGAGCCTTTATCGAGTCACAAGCTATGTGGGATGATATCTGGTATGCGGCCTATATTGTCTATGGTGGAAGCGATTGTGAGGACGTTGAATGAGGAACAAATTTTGCTTGAACAATATCATGCAGAGATGACTCCCGGACAGTGGGAATTTGTACTCCAACCCCAAAGTCCGCTGGAAGCTGTAGATACCCTTACAAAAGCCCGTGAAATTATCGCCAACATTGCAAATGACCATGGATACCGCGCAACACTGCATCCCCGACCATTCCCTGAGCATGGCGGTTCAGGGGCACACTTGCACCTCTCCGTGAACTCTTCAACCACTTCAAGCCCTGAAGACACAGACCCATTCTTTGCGGGAATTATCGATCACTTTCCATCTTTGATGGCTTTCTGTCTTCCGCTTGATATCTGCTATGAGAGGGTAGCCACTGGAATCTGGAGCGGCGGGGAGTACATTAGTTGGGGCTGGGAGAACAAAGAGACCCCGTTGCGACGAGTCGCCAACAATCGCTTTGAGCTTAAACTGCACTGTGGCTTGGCCAATCCATATGCTTCTCTGGCCGCCATCCTCGCTGCAGGCATTGATGGTCTGAACAAAGGTCTCCCGCTCACCGGAGGAGACTGTCAAATCTCCCCGACATACATGTCCGAAGAGCAACGGGCCAAGCTCAGCATCCGTCCAGTTCCTCGAAATTTGCAGCAAAGCGTTGAACACCTGATTGAAGATAGAGGGCTGCAGAAGATTTTGGGTGAACAATACACAGCAACATACATTAGTGTCGCAACTGAATGGAATCGGCAGCTAAACAATATGGATCCCAAAAGTCAGCGAAGGATACTTCTGGAAAACTACTAGCTAGGCTGAGAGTGCTCAAATTCATGAACTTAGTTCACTGAAATTCATTCTAAAACTTGCTGGACCTTGGATTCTCGATATGGAGGATCACGCGACTTTCACTACGACGATTGTTTGATTACCAGTGAATTGCCAAGTGGTTCCGGAATAAATATTGGTTATCATGCTTTCTCTCATTATAATCTCACAACCCCCCCGGGTGGGTTACATTAGGCTATCAAACGTTTTTTCCCAGCATAGTCATATCTTTTAAGTTAGCGAGCCCCAGAACAGATTAGAACGCGCCAACAAATGTTTTATTCCTAGAATTTTTGAATGTGCTTCTCTTGGAGTGGTACTCTTAGATGTGTCAAAGGGTGGACTGGTCTGAATCATGGAGATCTCACTTCTCTCTGTTGAAGAACAATGAGAAGGACTAGTAGTAGAGAACCAGCCCCAACAGCTTAATTGGAAGGATAATGTTAGTGTAATGCCTTTTTTTAACACAAAAATGTCAACGATGTTTCTCACCTGGGGGTATGTAATAACTCTGTTGGAATGCCAGCCGTACAGTCTCTTTCAGTGCCGAGGGGACCGAATTCATTGACCGGCGATGGCCCATGATTTGTTTGATCAACTATCAGTATGTAAGCATGCATGAATAAAACTATCTGGAGAATGGCATGAATACTGACCTCATTTTTTCCAGCTTCATTCCGGAGTGCGACCATGAGTCGGCTTTCAAGGTCCCTCGATATCAATGCTTTCGAGAGAGTGATCCCCATCATAAACCCAACCTGTTGAACAAGATAATAAGTGGTGACGGATGTCGCCGCATTCTTTTCTGGCTTGGAAGCTGATAGAGCCACGAATTGAGAAGACAGCGTCATTCCCATCCCAACCCATGCGAAAAATCCATACGAGATCTCCCACATGTGCGGCTGATATAGAGTCCACCGGACAATGATGAGGAGAAAGCTCAGGATGGCTATTGTCAGGCCAATTATAGACCACCGAAGATATTTACGAGTCCTGTTAACACGAATTCAATATTAGTAAACGAGCGAAATGGTTTGGCTTCTCCATGTATAGCCGACCTTGGTATCAATTTGCCAGTGACCAATGCGCTCACTGCAAAACCGAGAGTAACTGGCCCCCAACATAACGCGCCCTCTGAGGCTGAAATTCCTCGAGTGTTCACCCAGTAGTCTGAGAACATTGGTGTCATCTGTAAGGCGTAGAGCATCAAATCAGAATTCAACTTCGCACGGCTGGGATGCACAGGGCTGGAGGGGACGGAGGTTACGTACACCATAACTGGCCAGACCAATAAAGAATTGGGCGGAATAGTTCAAACCCAGCTTGCTTACGCGAAGCAAGGAGAGCGGAAGCACGGGTTCTTGAGTCCAAAAGGCTTCGTTAAGACAGAAGATTGTAGAGCATGTTAAGAAAGTTGCTCCAAGAATGGCCAGAAAGATAGACCGGTTTTGTATCTCCTGTGCTTCGGCCAGTTGGACAAAGCCAAGTAAGCAAACAATAGCCATTAACAGGAAAACTAACCCTACAATATCGAATGGCTTGGACTTTGACTCGGTCTCTTGGATCTTGCTTTCTTCGATTGTATCCTCAATGGTTCGATACGTAGGGTCGGTGGTTATGAGCACCTGGGGCTTGTTAACGGGAAGTTTGAACGAGATTATCGCGATACATAACACAGCAAACGGAACGTGAACGATAAATGCCCTGGGGTGGAAAGAAAGTATGTTTAGCAATCAGATGTGGCAAGTATCAGAACTCTCGAGTCTCACATTTGCCATCCAATCTGGCTTGTAAGGAGTGCACCGATAGGAGCACCACAAGTCACCCCAACTAGCGAGACTGTAGTGACATAAGAGCGTAGCATCGCGACTCGGTGAAAGTTGTCGATATCTATCATTGAGTTTATTGTCAGAATCGCTCGCTGGAGCTAATTAATGGAGCCAAATATACTGTTCAAAAGCACAGATACGAGCTCATTCATCCCTGAACCTCCAAACCCTGTGATGACACGACCGAAAATGGCATAATTGATCGTGCCAGAAACTCCGCTATGAATATGTCAACCGGATATTAACCCACGAGGTGTGTATAACAGAAGGACTTACGTCAGAATGCAACCAGCTGCATACAATCCTAAAGCCAGGAGAATGGCGCTCTTAGATCCCATGGAATCGCATATTTGACCATACTTCGACGTTCAGCCATCTGCTAAATTCTTAACGGGAGTGTACTCACCACCGGAAGGCCAACTGTATAGCCAAGATTGTACGCGGTAATGAGCCACGAGGCGCAATTCGATGCGTTGAGAGCGGACGCGACATCGCTACCTGTGCTGAGGACAAATGTTTCGTCCGCATTGGCCAGGAAACATGCTGTGTATTTATCCAAAATTAGCGATGAATATAATCTACGTATTGTTAGATGAAACTACTCACCCAGCAAGAGCGCTCCTATTGCTAACTTTCCGATCTGGAGCGAATTCGACACTTCCAGAGTCTCTTCATCTTGTCCTGGCCTATCGAGAAGTGACTTTTGCTCCCCAATGGTCATCTTAAAGATGCCGCACTTTCAGTCGCAATACGTAGACAAAATGTAGGCGAAGGTTTTGCAGCAAACAAAGATCATGAGAGGGCTCAATGTGTTTTAATTGCCAACTACTGGGGTTGGAAGGCAAACTCTATGGGGGATCCATCACTTTCTCAGCTAGATCGGGTTACACAACTGCATGAACTGTGGGGATAATGTTCTCGCTATTGGTTCCACAGCCAATTATTGGTCACGTAGATATGTGGTTCTTGCGTGACTGAAGATTGACGTACAGTACGATTTTCACCCCTTGCTGGACTTTCTCATTGACGGAATACAGTTGCTAGTTAATTAGACTGCTTATTGCTCTCGCGCGTGAACCCTCAACTGTCCCGAATGACTACTATGGACAGATAGAAAGAATGTGAGCGGATTTGAGTATGGTTTCATTTCCTCCTTCTCATGTGGCAGGGGATCTCCGGAGAGGAATAAGCAAACATGAATTACTGGGCGAAGCTCAGCCGCTCTCACTGGCATGTGGCCTATGATTTGCAGGTACTCTTCAAATTGTGAGACCTTTGAGACTCTTCAGAGGCAAGGAAGCTGCAGAGACGAGAGGCAGCAGCCGATTCATCGGATCCTTTTCTTACCAATGAGCGGCGTCTGGCCTCTCCCTTGCCCCCCAAACTTACTCATCGGAAGTAGTAAAGAGCAACCGGGGTTCTACTCAAGAGCTCGCGATATATCTGAGCAAAAAAGTGGTCTAAAACCCTCGATGGTAGCATTCAGTACCATCGGGGTTTACTTCCTTAGTTGCGGGCTTTCAGAAGAGCCATCTTCTTGATTTGTCTAGTCTTTCCTTCTTCCTCTACTTAAGAAGATGATTAGAGTTCTCCTCCTTCTGCATTCCAAGCGTAGACGCTGCAGTCTTTTATGGCTGTTTATTTAGCAAGTACTGGTGGTGCTACGTGCCAGGCTATCCAGATGACCTATAGACTCATCCACCTCCACTAACCACTGTCTTTACAATTTAACCCAGGACCTTGATAAGAAAATCTATGTGGGCTTACTTATGTCCTTCTACCATTTCACTTAAAGAACAAAACGCAATCTACTCGGAAAATTGCCAATTAAGCTGTCATTTGCTAATAATGGAATAGCCTGGTGAAAATAAATACGGACTCTGTCACGACTAGGCTGGTCATTCTTGGTGTTTCACCAGAACACAGTGCATCTAACTTCCAAGCTCTCTCTTGCTTCTTCTTCTTCATTTTGTCCATCAAGTTCAAACGAGCTATGAATTGCACCACACACAGGAAGCTCTGGAGAGGTATCGTCGGCATCCTGTGGTGCTCTAAGGGTGGCCTCCGTCTCGTTATCAAAGAATTGTATAATGAGAACTTCAGAGGGTTCCTGGTGAGATATGAAGTGCCAGTCATGCCCCTTTCCCTGGGTATCGCGGGGTTTGTGCGCGGTGTAGGCCCATGTTCGGTACTTTCCAGCTTTGTGTTCGTCGTTCTCTTTGGATCGACCCTGAGGGGCTGCGGGGTCGATAATTTCGGCAAGATGAGGGGGAATGTCTTTGTCAAAGGAGACATCGTAATATTCCATGGGAGAATAATCGGATTTAGGGAACGAGAGGGTCGGCGCGACGGCAAGAGGGTCCCGAGTGACAGTCTTCAGAGGACGCCAGACGGAGAAAAGTGCAAATCGAGGAATGCCCTCCTCTCCGTCAGCGTTCCTATTGTAATGATCCTTGAGGTCATCCCAGTCAACACCAGAACGGAGCAGTTTGTTCTCTGCTTCAATGACTGGTTCTGCAACTGACACTAGGTCGCGATGCTGCTTTCGAATCTGGCGCCGGGCACCTCGTGGAGTAAAGTCGAGGTGTACTTTTGGAGCAGTGGATACACCAGCGTCGGGCCGGCTGCCATATATAGGACAGCAGATTGTTATTTCCTCGTCTGCCTTTTTCTCTTCTCCCTCGGATGGTTCAGGTTCTTCAGAGTACAGATTGCTTCTGAGAATCGCCCCCGTAGGTATAACATGCTTGCAGCCAGTCACTTTTTTCAGGAGCTCCTCAACTTCTGGGAAGTAGATCGATCTCAACAAATTCTCATCTTTCCAGCTTGCACGGTCATAGGGAGCTGAGTTAAGTCGTGACTCGCAACGACGAGCAGTGAAGCCATGCTTGGAAAGTTCGAATGGAGAAGCATCACCAAGATCCAAGGAAGGGCGAATATCGGTCAACGGCAAGCTAGGAGACGCCTGAAAATTTATAAGAGCGGGTAGGCTGTATGCTCCAGTTCCGGGAGTAGGCTTTGTACCTCGAGGGAGATAGTTGAATTTCCCGTAGTATTGTGTGGCAATGGAGCCCATTGGTGGCGAATTGAGATGATTGAGTATAGATAGAAAAGTGGGGCAATGAAAGAAGCAGATACCTGAGATGAGCCTGCACACACAGTAGAGAAGACATGGCATATAAATAGGTATCCCGGGGGTTTCGGGCTTTCATGTGCAGGCTCTGACCCTATGTACGTGACTTAATGCTGCATGCGAGCAACGTGGAGCATTGCGGTGGCCTTAATCCCCGTGTATTCAATACAAGATAAATATGCGTACAATACGGAACTTTTCTATACCACTCTGTAGCTAAAGAGAAATCAGGGCGCAGAGGCATGCCCGCTGTCCAAGAGTCAATTCAAACACCCGTAAGTGCCCTATACTCTAAGATAAATTAGGGAAGGTAGGAATGATCTTAGAATCCACGTCGAAGTTGACTTCCATTAAATCTCAGTCTCAACCTCTAAGCGCACATCGCAAATCCATGTTAACACGTTTGCGGGCAATATGTTATGTGGCTTTGATCTAAATCTAAAAATGAACTCACTGCTAGGTGCCAAAGTATCATACCTTGTGGCATGGTGAAATTCCTGGACCAATCAAGTGAAAGTTATTCTTGATATGGACAAAGCGTTCAAACTGATGTTAGACGAGCTAAAGCCTTTCAGCAGCCTGAAGCTCTAGGATGACACCATAGGGAAGCCAAAGAAGAAGGAGGGGCGCAAGTCAACCTACCTGGCAGAAAATATAGGTGCATGATGGATTGTCTGGGCTTTGCATTTTACCAGCTTACCGACTACCAAGATGTTACACAGCATCTGCGAGAGTGAATCTCTTTCATCTCGCCAATGTTATTAGATCTGTAGATGCAATGTGCACGGTCAAGGAACGTGGACCCCGTGCCTGGCCAAGTGGTCTTGACTACTCGGGTCAACTTTCTGCAGGTCCGAAGATCGATGCCACTACGGCCGGAGAAGTACCGTGAACACAAATACAATTTGGGACGCCTATATACTGCCTCGTCACGAAAATTACAAAAGCCGCCAATACGCCCTAAGTAACTCGTATTGCAATTACATGTCCACTGGCAGGATATCTAGATAGGTCACAACAGCCTAGCCCAGATCGCAATCGATTGATTTGACTAATTCCGTGGCGAATCGAGTCTTGGCTAATTTCGCTAAATTTCACCGAGCTCAGGTAACATCGCGCTACATAGGTTGAGTTGTTCGCGGGTGTTCATTGATTTATATTATGGCGCTTGCGGACATTCGCATGTACAACTAGTTACTCCGTACTGCAGTATACAGAAACGATACCTCATGAACCCATCCCAGGTTCCCACTGCCTATTGTTTGATATAGATATTGATGATAAGATTGGATTAATGTTGTATACAACAAACGTCATGTCAATCGTGCAATCCTAACTAGCGTCAATAGAGGTAGATTTTGTAAAATACATCGTTAATTCGTACGTATCTCACCTACGTATCGCTGAAGAATAATCCGCAGTATTAATACCACACTATATGCATCTATGGCCAGTACTCGGATATTCGTTCAAGACATCTGCAGGGGCAACGTCAAAAATGCACATATTGTATCATCCTTCGAGATTCCTATGAACACTTCTTTCTCCAGCACGTTGTTTTATGGAAAACGCTTATTTCATACGCCATACCGGTCGAACATACAGCGAGGGACAGAGGGGATAAATTTCCCGACTAATTACATAGCGCAGAAGGATCGGTCCGCTCCCGTCCGGTTATCGTTCCCATAAACGGGAAATTCAAAGTGCTTATATCTGCAATATAAGCAAAGATTGTGACTAGCTGTACTTTGTTTCTCTTGAATCAGGCAAGGTTTACCCGCTTAGTTTCGTGTATCCAATCATCTTTACGCTCAGTATATCTGATTTTAATCGCCCTCAAACATACATGAAGCAATTCTTCGATAGGTACCTCTTCGCTTACTTTTCAACGTTGAGAGTGTCCTGTTGGACGCAGGGACCTTTTTCTCAGCTAGCCACCGAGATCACCCTCATTTGAGGTCATAGCTTCAGAGGTATGCTCTAAGTAACCCCCTGAGCTGTATACCCGGTGGCCCCGCATGGCTTGAAGCTGCTTCGGGGCGATCGATCCGATCGAGATAAGATCTGCCAGCACGATCTCGACCTGAACCCCGCTGACAACATACGCAAGCGACAACGTAGATTGGTCTGCATTAGTTGTTCAGTTCGTACATAATATTCTCGTTGCTTTCTGTATGATTACCACAATCCCCAAATCTTCTCGGTATCGTTTTGGTATTACCTACGGTCTCAAGATCTGCTTGTTATTACCCGAGTGATACTAGTCGTTTTTCGGGATTCATTGGTAATTATGTGAATACGGGTTCTTGCAGTCCATACCTGTACGGTACGCTGGCAGTTCAAGTGTATCCGTTATGATGGAGCTTGGCGCTTCCACGGCATTGGTGCCATCAATACATGCAGGACGCAGAGGATGCGGCTTTTTCGACCTCGAGCTTCTGTGACCGTTTTTAGCCAGGCTTGTCAATTAGTGAGGGACCTTTGTCATGGAGTTTTCAGCATGTAGAGACTAAGACAGACAGAGAGATGCCTGGGCGAACCATCCCATTTACAATGTACGGTGTCATCTCCAGATCCTATACTAATGATCAACTTCATCATCGCAGCCAAATGTTCTTGTTCCAAGTAAAAATGCTCATCAATGCGTCAATTTTCTACCCGAGCTTTGCCTAGCTAGTTTTTCGACTACTTTGGTTTTAGCAGAACAGCGTGCAGCTGTTGCCATAGATTAATCACTTCCCTATCCATGTTCCAGCTTGCCACGGTGCGAGCGAGAGCCATGGCGAATTTAGCGCTAAGATTACAAACCGCTATTCATCTATCAATACAAAACATCTTTTTCCAACAACCCCGAATACCCGACATAATATCCGATGAAAGAGGCAGGAATATTTCAAACGCTAGGCCTATGTGGTATACTGGAGGAGGAATAGTGGATATTTACAAGCCACCTCAAGAGGAGTGCAGAAACATACCGTATAGACCCAAGATCAGTAATTACATAGAGGATTGACCCATTGAAGACCATATACATTGACACGTTCAAGGTCTTCCGTACTCAACAAATCACGGAGAATTTATTCGGTACTTCTTCAAAGGTCATTGCGCTGGCACCTCTAGCTGCCCGAGCCTCGGCCGGTGAGGATCGCTGGTTACACTGCATTATTCTCATACGAGACAGCATGTCAGGACCCGCTTATACATGGTTTTTGATAAAACTCCGAAAACCAAGTATTCCGTGTAAAGATCGATCATTGAAGAATACCATCTTCTTCCTGGCCCACTTGTTGCAGCATAGCTGTATTCATGTGGCCCGTGGGTCATTCTGAAGGCCTCGACCCATCATTGATACCTCAATATGTGGGGAACCCTGCACCGCTTGCGACTGTGCAGAATCTCGATCGATTGTCTTGTTATGTACCTACTCCGGCTTGATGACCATAGCTCAGATCGTGCTTTCTATCCACATTGTATTTTAACATTCGATTTTCTCGAAAGAAGTTCACCTGCAATGTGAATGACGACATTGCGTACACGTTGTCCTGCAGGACCTAGACACAAGAGCGGCCCTGGATGTTGAACACATTACCCGCGGAGAAGAAGACGCGTTTTCTGCATACTGCATATGCTTCCTGTGGATGACAGTCTCAGCCCGCACGGGCAATGCTGTCAAGCAAATTTCTGAAAAGATACCAGCATGTAAATGCCTCACGAAATAACGCTTTATGAAATGGTCAGTAGAACGCGCTGTAGCCGATCTGAAAAGCCACGACGCAGTGTGAAGACTATTTACATCTGCATTGCAGGGTAACGGTGTATTCCGAGGGAAGTGCGGTAATTCGCCACTGCTTTCTCAGAGGATTGGAAGTGTCCGTGCCGTGTATCATGACTAGTTATTAGGTTCTCTCGGTGGTCATATTCCAGGCTGCCGTTACTTGTAAGCTCTTCTGAGCGAGGTCAGCGACATTGACGCCTTGCTGGTAAACAATGACATGGCGTAGATACCTAGATAACCCAACGTAGAAGGTATCATTGTCTGTCTTGGACGGACAGCTCATTGCTTCTATAGTCAATATTAGATCGGAATGTACCTTGCTTATTCAAGGAATCCATAGAGCCTGAAGACGAAGAGGAGGGAGGAAACACTCATCGACATCAAAGTCCACGGTCAAGCTATCCTGCATCTTTTGAGTCCAATTCTACTCAATTCCTGCTCAATTGTCCCATTTCATGGTCATAGCGGGCTAGATATTTTGCTCCCTACATCTACCCGTCTTTTGATGAATACTTGACACTGCATCAATCTCCTGATTAGATATATTGGGAGCACCAAGTCCTCAAGGTTATCTAAGATTATCTCGAGCATTCGCCATGAGATTCCAATTCTAAGGTAGCTTGTCCATTCATCTAGAGGTATCAACTCAAAGCCGCAATGATGTACAAAGGCACAGAAAGAACCAAAGTATACAAAAAACGTGCAAACCCAAGAAAACCTTTCAACGCGTATAAAAATCAATCAATGAATCCAAAAATCATATCAACCACACACATGCCCTCCTTCAATCAATGCCCATTCTTCCCACCCTCCGTCCTCTCCAAATACTCCACCAAATCCTCAATAGTACACACCTTAATCCCCCACTTCTTACCAAACCGCAAACACCCATCCCGCCTCATCATCCCATTGTTCCCGACAATCTCCGGCACACCCTCAACAACATCCCCGCCCTCCACCAACTCCGCAATCACACCGACAGGCGCCTTACCAGCGAGTCGGCAGAATTCGACCGCAGCCTCGGTGTGGCCCTTGCGTTCGCGCACGCCGCCCGCACGCGCCTGCAGCGGGATGATGTGGCCCGGCCGGCGGAAGGAGTCGATCTGGGCGTCTGGGGAGGCGAGAGTGCGGCAGGTTAGCGCGCGGTCTTCGGCGGAGATGCCGGTTGTCACGGAGGCGTGGCTGGCGTCGATGGTGACGGTGTAGGCGGTGCCTTTGGGGTCTGCGTTTTCGGCGACCATTTGGGGGAGGGCGAGGCGGGATGCGAGGTTAGGCAGGATCGGGGCGCATATCAAGCCACTGTCGTAGGAGGGTGTTGTTAGTAAATTGTATAAAGGGTGGTTATGTTCATGCTCGGTGGTGCTATCGTCTCCGAGGGGACTGGTGTGCTGAGCTCCACCGGATGCCGGCCGCGGGGTGGGCGCTGCTCACCTTGTGTAGCGCACGAGGAATGCCATCTGTGCAGCGGTAATAGAGTCGGCTGCAATTATAAGATCTCCTTCGTTCTCACGGTCTTGTGAGTCGAGTACAATGATGAATTCGCCATTCTCTGTGGTGAGTCATCGTCAGTTACGAAGTCAATGGGTAGGCTTGCCGGTCGTTCAATCAGGCCGGAAGCAATGGCAATGGTCTGCAAAGAACTAGGACTCACTGAAGGCGGCAATTGTATCCTCGATCGAGTCGAATTGCTGTGCAACCTCTGTTGTGGAAGGCATCTTGGAGTGGTGGGAGGTGGTTGAGCGGTGCCGTTATTTTTGCCCCTCAGTGCCTATTGGCGGGACTCGGAGAGAGGAAGAAGGGAAATTGAAGGGAATTGGAGGAAATGAGAGGCTTCGAAACAGATTGAGTGCGAGAATGAGTATTTGCGATTTCCCCAAAAGAGAAAGAGAGAAATATGGGATCTTGCCAAAAAGTTGCCTCTGTAATTGCTGACTCTGTATTAGAAATGCCCGTGATGCCGGGAATTCCGCGCGGGGAGCCGGGCGGTGAGTGGGTGCCGAGGATATGGTTCGGCGTTTTAGTTGGACTGGCCTGTCAGCTGGTCCAAGGGTCCGACGGATTTAGGCATACTACCCTGTTTGGGTAGAACTAGGAAGTCTAATTGGAGTTTTCTATAGACATAAACAGGGGAACTTTCAACCCTATTTCATTGAGAGAAGGAAAGTATCAGTGATCAAACACGCATAGGAATGCGAAGCACGAGATATGTTCCGACTAAATTCTGATCGAAACAAAAAGAATCGCCATGTCTAAGTAGCCGTTCAACCGAGAGTCACGCGACGAAATGCAGGATTAGGTAGAAAAGGAAAAAAAAACAACGAATGTCGGAGTCTCGGATACGAGAAGCGTCACGTCTCAGTACAGACAGAGCGAGCTCAACTCATGCCATCCGTCCCCATCCACCGGACTTCATCGGCCTGTCGCTCGAGGGCCCGTCGCATCATATCTTCATACCTCTGCTCCTTCTCCCACTCATCACGATGTTTTTGACGCATTGCGGCACGGGTTTCTGCGTCAACCTCCGCCTGCATGAACCACTCGTCCTCGTCTTCATCCAAAACACCATCGAGGTCTGCGGGGATCGAAAACTTGATACGGCCGATGCGCTCTCCCGTCCAGATTAGCAGCTCGTCGCCCGTCAGGTTCCCACCAGTAGGTAGAATCTTGCGTGCCACTTCACTGCTATTATTTTGCGGATTTGTATCCGGCCATAGTCCACGGGCATTGGACGCGTCGTCCGGCCGTGGTGGTACTGCTGAGTGACTGGATCGCGCAAATGGAATTTGAGGTTGAGAGGTGTTGATATTCCAGCGACGGACTTCCGACCGGCCGTTGCGTTCGACCCATTTGATATTGCCCTCGGAGTCAGAATATACGAGTCGGTTGCCATGTGATGCGACCGAGAGTAGTTTTGAGCTCGCCGCGCTTTGCCGGTTCTTGTATTCTGGTGTCAATTGCGACGTCATCTTGGACGGATTGTCGTTGAGTTCTCGCGATGAAGATTTCATGCTGTACAACTCTAGTGAGCCTCTACCGTTGTATTCGCCACAGGCAACCACGGCGTGAGACTGGGGGTATGTCGAGTCTGAAAAGACGGGGAATCGAGGCGCAGGAGCCGAAGCAAGACCGCATAACCGGCCGCCAGAATGCACGGTACTTTGCAGTCGCGGGAAAAAGCGCCGGTCATAGCAGAGGATGCTGGGGAATCGGCCAGCAAGAAGGATAGAGTTCACATGGGGCGCTGGAGGGTGTAGGATGGAAAGTGGCCCAGGTTGGAAGAGAGGCGCATAATTCTCGCTAGCCCTAGGGTCTGGGCTGCGGATACGAGTGGGAGGCTGTCCGTTGGGTTGCAGTTGAAGTAATGGCGAGTCTGGATGAGCAAATATGTCCAACTCGGGTACCAGAGGTGCCATATTCCTCTCGCACCGTAAGCTGATAGCTTCCTCCTCCTCCATTGCGGATAGCCGAGCGTCATGAATCTGTAAACTGAGTGTTGTGGCGAGTGTCAATGGCACTGAGTAATCGGTCTCTTGCGAAAGCGCAAATATTGACCAAGGGTATCGCTGCTGCGATATCACCCTTAGTGTCTCCAGATCAACTTCATTCAAGACATTGCCCACGGCGAGGTAGGCTCTTCGTCGAAAAGAGTCTACTGAGACACCTTCTCCGAGATTGATAAATTCCAACGCAGATTTTGCAGGCGAAAGCTCTTGGCGTCTAGAAAGGTTGGTCATGAGAACGCCGCGCTCACTCATTCCAAGGATTCTCCCTTTGGTTGACTGCGAGTCAGCACGATGGGAATGATTGAGATCCCAAATACAAACGGTGCCATCCTCAAGAGGAGCCACGATTTTGTTCTCTCTCGCGGAGCTCCAGTCTTTCAGCAGCCCCATGCCCTTGATCTCGTACGGATGTTTCCTCCGGCCTGGACCATTTGATCGCATAGGCTGCTGCACCCATGATAGTGATATGGGTCCATGGCGAGCAATATATTCCGAATACCAATCCACATGTTCTCCCTCCGCCGAAGAATCCCAATCTGCAGCCGCCCTGGCTATATCGCTTGGCGAAACCCTTCGTTCCTCATCTAATGACCCATCCCCGGACTCCGGAGCCGGAGGTTGAATCAGATCACGCAATGAGTTTTGCCCCAGCGTGCTCAAAGCCGCGGTCGAGTTCGAGAGCAGACTTTCCGAAGTCCGGCCAGCCGGACGGGTGGCTTGCAGGGCAGCCCATGATTGCTCGTAGCAATGCAATTTCCAAAGATTATTGTCGCGGGCAAGGTCGAAGAATTTCTTGCAAACCAGTTGTAGCTTCACTTTCTCACGCGAGGTGAGAACTGTAGTCTCGAGGCAGTTGTCAGCGCTGGGCGTTCTTTTGCTTCTTTGTGGAGGAGACAAGGTGGTGCGGGGAACACGCGGGAGGGGAGGAGGGGTTTGCGGCGGCTCTTACGGTCGATGATTTTGGTGAGGATTTCTACCGGCAGCTTGTCCATGAGGGAGGCAGTGATGACTGCTGCATCGGGGGCAGGTGAAAGAGGCAGATGAGAATAAGGTTGATTGGAAGGGTTTCAAGGGTGAGTATGTTATGTTGCGACTGGAAAAAGCTCCAGAAGCTTCCTCGAGCTGGCGATCTGCACTGTCTCTGTCACGTGGCTTGGGGTAGGAAAGGAGATCGTTGTTTACTTTGGATATAGTCTCGATCATCGGCTCTTCGGGTTAGTATGGACATTTCTACCTGCTTAAAAGAGGAACGGAATCTCCCCCGTAACGGTTCTCTGGCGCGCGGGGTTGAATCTAGACTGTCTGGGGGCCAATTCACACGAATCAACCCCACCGGAGATCTGTTCCGGCAGATGAGCTGAACGAGCTTTTGTTCTATTTGAGGACCATAGATAGTGTGTATACATGATGCTATATAGAGAGTATAGAACAGCAGATCAGATCATGGTCGGAATTTTGCACTGCCAAACCCCAGCTCCGCATAAACCGTTCCAACCATGTCGTAAGTCGTGGATCTAAAGCAAACATAAATAGGACGACAAACGAGAATAGATCGGACGACATATCTCGAGAGACATTCTTATTCATCCGGCTTGAAAACAGCATCCTTGCAAAGAATAGTCACCTTCTTGAAGAATCGACGCCATTCCAACGGATCACCCTTGATCTTGACAAACTCGACTTCGAAGAGACCCTCGGAAACGCACTCAATGTGTACCTTGCCCTGAAGTGAACACATCCTACCATCTTTGGCAATCACCCGGATCATAGCAGATGTGTCCCCAGAGCTAACCGCAGGGACCGAGGGAACGGGCACTCCGAGTCGGTGAAGAGCTTCGCAGATCAATGGGACTAATAGCTTCAACTCCCATGACGAATAGAAGCGCGTCAGTGAGCGAGGTGGGATAATGTCTTGGAATACCTTGGCATTCTGGGTTCGACTCAAAGGCACCGAAGGCTTTTGGGAGAATTGGGACATTGAAGGCTCGTCTTCCAGCTGGGCTGACATCTCAATTTCCTGGGATGAGAAGGGATTGCCCGTGGGTTGTGTGGAGTAGTACTCGCCGGCCAGGTGTGGCGTGTGCCAATCCATAACCATGTTACCACCCGCCATCTCTGGTTGAGTAGAGGACATGCCGCCGGATGCATTGACCTCCTGATCCATATCCACATCCATGGGGTCACTTCGGCTGGCGCCTGGCCGCTTCTGGAAGAGGGGATCTTGGCTGAAGTCGATGTGCAGCGATTCAAACATTGATGTGGCGAGATTGACGGGGTCCTTCAATTTGTTCCCATCTGGTGACAGATATTTGTTCGATCGAGTGTTCCAGGGGTGTCTTCTCACATCTTCCAGCGAGAAGCGACTCTTGGGATCGACAGTCAACATACCGCGAAGTAAGGATAGAGTGGCCGGGGGCAGCTTCTGCCACAACTCGTCGCTAGGTCGTGCATTGGTCGTGAGGTATTCGTGAAATTCGTAACTATCGTCCGTGGGACTGTCCCATGGTGTATTACCGGCGAGGAGGACGAATAGGACAATACCACATGACCAAATATCGACCAAATCTGGATGATACCCCGATCCCTTGTTCTGACCACGAGTACTACAGGTGATCACCTCGGGGGCAATATAAGGTGGACTGCCACAGAAAGTGGTCGAGAGCTTCCTTGCGCCCTTGTATTCGAACAGCGCTGCCAGACCAAAGTCTGCGATCTTCAGATTCCCGTCACTGGTCAAAAGCATGTTCTCCGGCTTGATGTCACGATGTCCCACGCCTTTCGAGTGCATGAAGCTCACGGCACTGATCAGTTGTGAAAAGTAGACGTGGGCAATATCCTCTCCCACGCCCTCGTCGGCCTCGATCTTATCAAACAGATCCCCTCCCTCGGCCAATTCCATCGCAATCCATCGCCAGACCGCATCCTCGCCAGTCTGATAAAAGCTGATGATATTGTTGTGCCCTGTGACGTGTTTGTGTACTGTCACCTCTAGGGAGAGTTGCCTAGCACTGATCTTGCCATGGCGCGCCGCGTAATCCTTGTGGATGTACTTGACCGCGAAGACGGGATTATCCGAGTCGAGGGGGCGGCCTTTTTGATGCTGTCAAACAATTGATGGTACGTTAGAATACGCCAGCTTCCCGGACTTATAGACATGGAACTCACCAAGCATACGCGCCCTGGCCGATTGTTTTGGAGACGATGCGAAAGGGCACGTCGCTTGGCAGCGGGGCCAACTGGGAGTGTTGCATCGTCGGGTCCGTGGGATAAAAAGGAAGGTACCTGGGGCGGGTGTGAGAATTAGGATTAAGATGATCAGCGCTATGAGTGGATATAGTCCATTGTGTGATGCGAAACGAGTGACGGGCGATGGGTGAAGTGAGGTGGTGGACGCGGAAGATGCGCGGAGGCTGCAAGGGCCCGAAGTGTGCAGTCAAACGCGGGACGAGACGCGGGCCACTTTATCCCTTTTGGGTAGTGTGTTGACAGAGGGCCATCGTAGCAGAGCAGAAATCGAGATACATCGATGGATAGATGGGAGATAGAGAAGCAGACTGTAGAGTTGAGCATACTACCCGCTAAAGTCATCTTTTGGTTATGACCTACCCCCGGGGATATATGAATCTACATACTACTGAAGAGTAGTTCATCCTGGCTTCGCTCGACCCGCCCGTTCCCCTCCTTCGATCGCCCTAACGTATTCTCCGCGCGCATCGGGTCTGTGCTCGTGACTGTTTGGTGATCTATTTATATTCTGAGTCCTATTTGTCTATACTTTATGAGCGATACACCATGCTACTTAAATCTTCTCAAATATTCTAGTCTAGTATAATCTCATCAACTATATCATCTCATGATCGCAACTGCGGGAGTCCGAGATTAGTCGCCGTTCGCAGCACAAGCGGGGGGCCAAGCGTTGCCGGGGGGCGGCGAGTAAACAAAACCAACCCCCCAAAAAAACCAAAGAACCAAGCCGGCGCTTAGCGTGTCTTGTCTTCCTCTCCCTCGTTTCTTTGTCTCCCCATCCATCATCATTCCATTCTCACTTTCTCCTCCCATCCTTTTAGCAGCACTCCACTCTTCTATTGTTCCCCCTCCCCATCCCACCTCTCGTCTCCCGAGTCGCTTTTGGTCGTGGTGGGTCCGCTCTTGTTCGGATCCGTCGTCATTATTCCAGACAGCAACCCTCGTGCTACAGTTACTCACATTCCACGGACGGCCCGGGAAGCTGCAGCCTTCCGAATCACTTCTTTGTCGGACACTGGGACTCTCTAGAAGACTCTCCCTCTCTCTTTGCCATGGACTACACGATGGAGGATACGCAGAACTCGGTGGCCGAGACCCGGGAAGCGACCAAGCTCGGCACCACTGGACAGCGCAATGACACGCAGAGCGTCACCAAGCGGTTCGTGGTTCCGCCCGCCAAACACAACTCAAATGGGAATGATCACGAGTGCTAACTATCTCCTTTTTCGACCGTATAGCCTGCAAGCTGAGCTAATGCAGCTGATGATGTCGCCGTCGCCCGGTATCTCTGCCTTCCCCGACGCCGACGGCAACCTCCTCTCGTGGACGGCGACCATCACCGGCCCAACCGAGACACCCTATGAGGGGCTGACCCTGAAGCTCTCTTTTGCCTTCCCTAACAACTACCCTTACTCGCCGCCCACTGTCCTTTTCAAGACCCCCATCTACCACCCCAACGTCGATTTCTCCGGCCGCATCTGCCTGGATATCCTGAAGGACAAGTGGAGCGCCGTGTACAACGTCCAGAGCGTGCTCCTCAGCTTGCAAAGTCTCCTGGGCGAACCCAACAAGTAAGCCAGCAGTCCCTGAGCCACCGGGGTCATCCATCCGCGAGGTTCTAGTCACTGACCTGACCCAATAGTGCGAGCCCGCTGAACGCCCAAGCCGCCGAGCTCTGGGACTCGAACCAGGAAGAGTTCAAGAAGCATGTCCTGGCCCGCCACCGCGATCTCGACGACGAGTAGATGCTCCCCCTTTGCATGGTTTAGGATTCCATATTGGCGTCGGCCGGTCCCACGGGATGCCACCCTCCACCCGATGATTTCTTTATGCACAAGCATACGGTGTGGCGCATATGCATAATAGCCTGTTATCCGCAGGCTAGGAGTTACTGGTTCTCGTTTCTATGGGCGCTTCTCATCTATCTGGTTTATTCTTACGACACGCATTCAAGTACAGGCGCGTGTTGTCCTGATTTTTGCTTTTGAGAGTGTTGCTCTTGCTTTGTATGTTTCCCTTGTGGATTGATGTGAAAAGTCATTCATCATTTTCATTGCACTCGTGCTCTCATGGATCTCCAGCATGTCCATCTCAACGTAGAGTCGTGTAATACGGGACACTTCAACGAGGGCCATAGACGGGGTATGACCGACGTAGACTTTGAACAGTGATCCATGACTTGGCACGGAACTTGTGGTAATATGAACTCAAAAAAATCAGCTATCATCATGTGATACATCTCAAATATAGACACGGCGCCCATCAATTATGAGCCGAAGAACTGCTTCTCATTCGTGATGAGCAGACCCGCAATCGTCGCGCTCGTGAAAGTACTAATCGCACCCGTGAGCATCGCGCTGACGGCAACCCGGGACACATCACCACTACGGCCGGGCGAGATCTGGGACAGTACACCGATCTGGTTACCCAGCGAGCCGATGTTGGCGAATCCACAGAGGGCGTAGGTGGCGATCAGGCGCGAGCGATCTGAGAGGTGGGAGTACGCTTCCTGATTTTGGAGGGCGTTGTAGGCGACGAATTCGTTCTGCGCATGTTAGTAAATGAAGTAAACCAGATATCACCTAGGGCTTCAGGGAGGAGCAAGACATACCGACACCAGTTTAAGACCAATTAGTTGGCCCACCTTCAGCAAATCTCCATTCCGGGATACGCCCAGCAGGAAGGCAATTGGGTAGCAGATATAGCCAAGAATGAGCTCGAGGGTAAGCTCGGGATTGTTGATACTCAAGTAATGGCCCCACCAGGTAAGGAGACCATTAATAAGACCGATCAGCGAGATAATGCACAACAAAGTCGAGCCAATCATCGCGGCAATCTTAAGACCTAGCCAAGCTCCGTTGGCAAAGGCGTGCAGGGCATTAGCAGCACGGTGTTCCTCGTTATCCGGGATGACCACACGGCCAGCCGTGAGACTCTCTTCCTCCTCCGGCCAACGCAGCTTCGAGCAAGCCAGCGAGGCAGGAATACTCATGACACATGACGACACCAAAGCCTGGGGGTTAACACCCATCGTGATATACGCGATCAACACACTACCAGCGATAGTCGCGAAACCCGAGCACATGACCTGGTGCAGTTCAGCCATAGTCAGATGCGCGATGAACGGCCGAATCAGCATTGCCGACTCGCCTTGTCCAATGAAAGGAGATGCGGCAGCGACAACGGCCTCGGCACCGGAGACACGCATGCACCAGAAGAAGAACACGGCGAACTTCGCGATGAACCACTGCAGGATATTCGTATAGTACAGCAGCTGGACAACCGAGACGAAGAAGATAATGGCCGGGATCACGCCGACCAGGAACCAATTTGCCGGCTGGAGCGGTGTGGTCATCTTGAGGAAGTCGTCTGCCGTAAGGAAGGATACTCCGTCTGAAGCGAAACCCAACAGTTTACGGGCGAGCAGGGAAATGAAGTTGAAAATGTCGTATCCAGCCCCGGACCGCAGGACAAACAGCGCAATGATGAACTGTACCAGCATTCCCACAATCACCGTGTGCCAGATAATCTTCTTGCGGTTCCGCGAGGTCAAGTACAGCACGACGATGAAGACCAATAACCCGAATAGACTGACGGCACGGTTCTCACGCGTGTTGTCTGCTGATTCGGGTGACGCGAATGATCCGATAAGGATCACGCTGACGCATACCAGGGCTCCGAGGGGAGTGCGGAATTTCTCTGGAATGGCGTTCACTATTGGAGTCGAGGTTTTGTTCCAGATGAAATACATGGGCCGGGTGACGATGCTGATCGGGATGTAGAAGAAGATCAGACGTAGGGTGATGGCCAGGTAGAGCAGGAAAGGAATTAACCAACCCAGGTCATGGCGATGTAAAATGAGACCGGTGATCCACCAGCTGTGAAGGACGGCGTAAGTTTCTGTCTGCAGACTTACGCACAGGGTTATATAGACCAATTGGCCTTTTTCGAGTGATTTCACTCACCCGGTAAACAAGATCCAGATCGCGGCGTGCAAAGCATGTCTCCATTGCTTCAGCGCGCGGCGGTGCCATGGTCGTGGCGCAGGATTGGTTTCGCCTGTTTCTTCATCTTTCGAATCCTGGCTATGGCTGCCATGATCGAGGGGTGATGGTTCAGGCACGATGCCCTTTTCAAATGCGGTGTCCTTGGAAAAGACTACTTCGTCCTCACGGCCTTGCTCTGTAAAGGCAGTATGGTGATGGTGCGCATGGTGATGCTGGTGCTCCGCCTGCAACGCTGGATCTCGATGTTCAGTCGTGTCCACCGAGACATTGTTGACCTCGGACATTTTCTCGGTCATGGTGTCAGCAATGGGAAGTTGAAATCTCCCTTTTAGTGCTGTGTGGCGATCGAGTCTTGTTGAAGGACTCTGGGATCTACCACGTGTAGCGATCCTCTCTCCTTGCGCAAGCCGTGTAGAAAAGAAGCTTCAATGCGCGACAATCCAAAGGAAGCACCCGCAAGCAAGGAACTCAACCGGAGGGTCGTAGAGAATAGGATCTGCCGTGCAACCTCACAGGCTAGGGGCCAATTTATCAACACCAGGGACTGTTCACCAAGGAATCAGGTTATCAGAAAGCCGAGAGATTTCGCTTTGTGGCTGGCCTGGGTCTTTGCATTCCAGGCGTACCATTGGGGGGGCCAGTCCTTCGTTTATCAACGGCCTCAACGACAGGACCTTTTTCCCGATTTTTCTTTTTTTTTTCTTTTTTTCTTTTTTGTGTGGGGAAACACCCTAACGCAAGATAAGTGAAGCAGTGGACAACAGAGTGGGTATCCCTCGGGCCATATCCCAAGAATGGTGACTAGCGGGTTTCCCTGTCTCCTGATTGTCTATCACTGGTGATCAGACTTTTTTGCTTACCAGTCCTGTTCAAAGGAGCAAGTAGAAAGCGGGCTCGCCGACGGACCAGCCGTCTCACCCCGGGCACAGGAAATGAGGGGCCCGCATGTAACCTTTTTGCATGCCAGCAACTGTGCGGGCAAATCGTAGACGATATGCGGACACCAGCGCCCGCTATCTCGGCGACCGAGCACCTTCCTGGCCTCGTTGATGGTCCTATCTTGCCACTGGTGATGCGATGTGGTTGGCTGGGAGGCCGATCCACGAGCTGAGAAAGGTGGAAACTCCTCAACGGCAAGTGGAGACTGGAGCGCCGGTGGTGGTTTTTGGGTTTTTTGAGTTTTGGGGGTTTGCCTGGTTCAGGAGGTTGTGTGCCCTACGAGATCGGTTTGCTTTCTGGAGTCTAGTAAAAGTCTGGGGAAAGAAGTCGTGTGGGACATTCTGCATGATCAACAGAAGAAGGGTGTACAAATCCTGGTGGACTAGGTGCGGAGCACGCTTGAACAGAATACCCCCTGTCCACCTTCAAGACGATCTTTGCTCGAGGTGCCTCTCACTGGGCAACCCATTACCAGACTCCACACCCATTATTGACCCTCCTTGGCAGTCTCAGACTCTCAGCTGGTGCTCCTACTAAGGCGGGAGATTGAAAAAAAAATCTCAGATAGGCGTCCCAGCCAAGGCGATATTGACTTGAACTCTCATGTCTTGGTGTCTTGGTGTCTTGGCCCTGTAATTCTATACTACCCTGGCGTGATATGGGATCCTTGTCCACCAACAGCAATAGGCGATCTCCGCCACCCCAGCTCGTAGATCTTGGCGTTCCAATTGGCGAGAGCAAGTACTTATGGCAGTTATGGCTTGGGTCACGGGATGATCGTATGTTTATCTGGCCGAAACCTCGCACGTGCCTGGTGGTTAGAGACGGGATTGAATAATAATAACAACTAGCTAACTAACTAAAGGAGTGCGTCTTACCAGTTCGCAGATAGGACGTCAATCTACTTATCTATCAGTGCTCGGTTTTATGCTGACAGATTGGGCATTAATCCTGCCGGGCGAGCGTCAAAAGGACCAACTGAATCAGGAAGGAAGACTCGCCGCGTACACTTGTGAGAATATGCTACCTCGTATAATGCACGAGTCGGATATAAGCTTTGCTGGGTATACCTTCTGGATGCGCTGAACCCCATGCGCGTTTAGCATCGGGGTTCCAGGTTCCTACCCGGAAGCGGTATGCGGGGATTTGCCCCTCGCGGGCCAAACTTGGCAGTCCCTTGGGATCGGCTGGGCCAGCACTCACGGTTCAACCACGATACCCCGATTCGTATACTCGAGTTGGGTGTTCTAGGAAAAACGAAGCAATGGGCAGCGATAACGCTGACTGGGAGCTGGAGGAGGGTCTTCCTCAGTTCGAAGATCCTTTCATCCAGCAGTACTTGAAAGGCCGCGACGCTCTAATCGCCGAGGAACAAAAGAGGCGACATGGTAAGATAACCGGGGAATCAGGATTTCACAAAATATGAATACGGTTATACCTTTCTCTTGATTCTAATACTGCGATAGATGCCACTTATCGCAAGTCCCTGTCGCCCATCGCCGCCCAGGCCTGCAAGATCGTCTCGCAGATTCGGGCTCGCGAGCAGAACGAGGTGTGGACTACCGGTTTGGAGCCCGCGATAGCGCACGAGGCCGATGAGATCCTTTACCCCGGGGTGATGTTTCACCATGCAAAGGGTCGCATGGAGAAGACCAATCTGTGGAAGATTGTTGAGAAAATGCCCAAAGGATCGCTTTTACATGCACACATGGATGCCATGTTCGACATCGACTTCCTGATCGATCAGGCCTTTTCTACGCCGGGAATTCATATCTTGGCACCCAAGCCCCTCATTTCCTCCAATGACTACGAAAAAGGACCCGTTTTCTTCCAATTCTCGTCGCAGTCAACGGCGGAGAGTGAGAACAAGGCGAGTATCTGGACGGAAGGGTATGAGCCTTCCTCCTTGATCCCAATCCGGACAGCGGCCTCGTCATTCCCTAATGGCGGCGAGACTGCGTTCCGCGAGTGGCTTCGCAGTCGGTGCATGCTTATGCCGGAACATTCATACCACCACCATCACGGCGTTGATGCAATCTGGGCTATCTTTACTACGACCTTCCCCGTTATCAACTCGATCCTAATGTACGAGCCTATCTTCCGAGCATGCTTCCGCCGAATGCTGGGTCAACTGGCTGCCGATGGCATTCGATATGTGGAGTTCCGCATTGCGTTCGTCTTTGCTTGGAGGAAAGAGGGCAAGGATCAGCCGGAAGATGGCTATGATGACTGGTGTCGTACTGTCGAGGAAGAGGTTGAACGGTTTAAGCAGACGGAGCAAGGCAAATCATTCTACGAAGCGCGGATCATTTGGACCACGATTCGGCGATTCGGCAACAGGGAAATTGTCGACACTATGAAGCAGTGCATCGAGACCAAGCATGCCTTTCCAGATCTCATCTGTGGTTTTGATCTGGTCGGCCAGGAGGACTTGGGAAGACCCCTCAAGGATCTTGTACCGGTTCTCTTCTGGTTCCGCAAACGTTGTGCAGAGGAAGGTGTAGAAATTCCTTTCTTTTTCCATGCCGGTGAATGTTTAGGCGATGGCGATGAGACTGACCACAATCTCTTCGATGCCATCCTACTGGGCACTAGGAGAATTGGTCACGGCTTCTCCCTCTACAAACATCCCCTTCTGATTGACTTGGTCAAGGAGAAGAAGATCATGATCGAATGCTGCCCTATATCCAACGAGATCCTTCGCCTGGCAAGCTCCATCAAAAGCCACCCGTTACCGGCGCTCCTGTCCCGCGGCGTTGCTGTCTCACTGTGCAATGATGATCCAGCAATCCTCGGCCACGGGAAGAACGGGTTGACCCATGACTTCTGGCAGGCACTTCAGGGTCTGCAGAATATTGACTTGGTCGGTCTGGCGATGATGGTCCAGAATTCGATCCGGTGGAGCTGCTACGAGGACCAGTCCACCGCCGAATGGAAACATGATGTCGAGCAGGGTATCCTGGGCGAGGGGTTGAAGGCGGCTCGTCTGCGAGAATGGCATACGGAGTTTGAAAAGTTCTGCGAATGGGTTGTTTTGGAGTTTGCGGAGTTTGATGAGGAGGACTAGTGGCGATTGGCGTGCAAGTGTGGGATTTGGGTGGAACGCCCATGGGGCACATAGGATTCAGGGCTCTATTGAAGGAGCGGTGTAAATTTCAACAAGCTTTGCATCGATAATACTCAACTAGCAATGAGAAAAAGATATTTCTGTCTCAAAATTGAGGTGTAAATGAGTTCGAGGTGTGTACCCAACACGGTGGAGAATCAACAACGGTCGGTCCCAAGGGGAAGAGGGCCCGCCTGACTTGGGCCGATCACTTATCAGCTTTATCAGGTGCCACCACGATACTCCGCACGTCATCGTCAACCCACAACCCTCCTCTTTCCACCACACTCTTTATTCCTCACCGCTGGGGACTACACGATATTCCTTCGTTATCGAATTTAGAAAGATGCCTGTGCTTCGATGAATCTTATCTCTGCTTGACCGAGCCTCGTGGCGGCGCTTTGAAGATGGCGTACTTTCTGCCTTCGTTCTTCCAGAAACGCCTACTGAAATATGCCCTGTCACGCCTGGGCATCGTGGACACAGAGGCGCTGGACCTTGATAATCTGGGAATTCGTTGGGGCCAGCGGAGTACAGTGGAACTGAGAGATATCGGGCTCAAGTTAGAGGTGAGTCTGAGCGGAGACCCCGCGGGGGCGGGGCGATCAACCTGTTGCTTCTTTTCGAGCTTTGAAAGGATAATGCTGACGGCTGGACTTTGGGGAATTAGAAACTAGCGACCCTTCTCAACATCCCGCCGACATGTAAACTCCTCAGCGCCCGCGTCCAGCTCCTTCGGATCACCGTTCCGGCCGACATTTACAGCAGTGGTATCATCTGCGAAGCCTCCGGTATCATCGTACATATTCAGTTATTGTCGGATGAGCCAACCAAGGGCAGGCATGGGAGCACGATATCTCATTCTCCGTCGGTACACGGCTCAGATGAAGGGCAAATTTTACCGACCGCCACAAACCTGGCCGAATCCTTCCTCGAGGCCGAGCCAACGGAGGAAAAGGAGGAGCTGCAGGCCGCAATATCGTCGCAGTCTCATATATTGCAAAAGAGCTCTTCTTTTACGGACGAGGAAGATGAAGAGCTTGGTCTCGGAAACGAGACATTATCCCTCCCGAGCTTCGTTGCGGGATTCCTCAAAGGTGTGGCGGATCGGTTACAGCTGAAGATAAAGGATGTCGCTGTGCGGCTTGATATGGAGTTGAAGCAGGATGGTCCTTCGAAACGACATCCCGAGGATAAGCCGGATCTGGTTGCAGGATTATTGACTGTGGGCGAGATCGATGTTCATGGCGCGTCAGAATTTACCGCGGGCGCCGACGACCCTGTGCCGGTGCGTGAAGGCAAGCGGTTGATTTCCCTCGTTGATATTAACCTTGGGCTTGTGTCCGATCCTGCGGTGTTCTCGAACTATGCCCGGTTCACGGTGCCTGCATCTCCAACCACTACGATGCAGTCCAAAGAGAGTCAATCTTCAAGTCGAGCTTTCTCGCCTCCGCCGCTAGAATCGCCCGATTTAGACCCTGGGCTGGCCATGACCAGATCAACGATCTTTGAGCCATCTCTTGGACTTGGCTTTGGAAGCACCATGGATCCAGGGCTAGATGCATCGACATCTTCCCATGAGACATTATCGCATGATGGCCGATTCTCCGATGCAGACTCGGAGGCAGTGCATAGACAGGACAGATACCCCGACGACTCTCAAATCCTAGATGATGACGACCCTTTCCATGATAATCCTGGATATTTGGATTCGGTCATTGATACCCAGTTTGATGATTTTGATGATGTGCCGCCCGCGTTATTCCACGGCCGAAGACGGCAAATGGCAGAGAGCGGTGATAGTTCTTATCATCTCGGTCTTGCATTGCGTTCTAACCCTGGACTTGCAGAGTCGGCTAATCTAGGGTATTCTGAAACGGCCTCGCAGACAGAAAGTTTCAATGGTCCACAGGGTTATAACTCACACCAGGAGAGCCAATTCGGATTTGAATCTAATATTACGCCGCAATTCTCGGAGCAGGATCAAGGAGGAGAGGCGCTTTCTACCTCTCGACAAAGCTTCCCACGCTCTCCCCATCCAGAGCCTGCTCCACCATCCGATGCTGGCAGCGCATCATCTGCTGGAAGCCTTCCTGGCGCTCATCTGACAGAGTCCAAGTACTTTTCTCATGATGAGGCCCAAAGTTTGTATATGAGTGCTATGAGCCAGGGCACTGGTGAGAGCTTCGTTCCCAATATGCCGGGTGCATGGGACTCATTTCATCCTGGTGAAAAAACAGGAAGCCCTACGGAAGACCGCAAAACGGGGACTGTAGCCAGTCACGACTCGCAGATCAGCAATGACGGGCAGGATGAGCTTGCGGCATCTACTCCAAAGTTGAATGCTCCATCGGATTCGTACTCTGGCGAGCAACGAGAAGAAAGTCAGACTCGGCCCCAGTCTGCTGTCACCGATAGGGCGTCTACGCCCTCCTCTCCCGCACTGCACAAGCCGAACGAGATACGGAAGCCTTTTTTCAACGTCAACAAGATCCTGATTTGGTTGCCATCGTCTTCTGATGAGACAGAAGCAGACGTTGCTTCGCCTAGAATTCCGGTTGACCGTACAGAGAGTGATCCGAAGGATCTCTTATCTGGGATACGCGATTCTACCGTCGATGAAAGCATGTTTGTCTCGAAGTCCAACGCATCTACCTGTGTATCCAAAAGCTCTACCGGATCCCGACTTTCGAGTGCAGGAAACCATGCAGACCACCAACAAGGGCCAGTCGAGAACCAGGGACTGGCAGTTGAAATATTTGCGGTGTCTGTTCACTTTGACATAGCTATTGGTTGGCTTCTGGTCAAGGCAGGCCAGAGACTGTCCCAAATGTTCAACGGTGATGAAAAGGTCCAAACTCGAAAAGAGAACTTGCCAGTTCAACCAGTTCAACCAACAGCCGTGAAGCTTGAGGTACACAACATTTCTCTCAAGTTCATAGAGCATGTAGCGGGTCATGCATACCCTCCAGAAGTCACGGGTACGCCACCACCTCCGCCATTCACATCCCTAGAGGACATTGTTCTCCAGATTACTGCTTCTGGCCTAGCAGTGCATCTGTCCTCAAATGAAAAGCGCATGAATCTCCACCTCGATGTCTCGAAATTCGCCTTTGGAATTGCCTCTGGTGATCTCATTTCATTTAACGAGTCTTTGAAAATGCGTGAATCTACACGGGACATTACGACGCCCTCTCAGGGTGATGTCTCTCTTTCTCTAACGAAATCGGCGGACTCTGCCAAAGTTGATGTCTCCACTCTCCCTCTTCATATCAATCTCAATATCCAGCACCTAGAGGAGGTTCTCGGATGGATGGGCGGCTTAAGTACTATCCTAGAACTTGGAAGTTCTATGTCCTCGACATCGACAATGAAAGGAGCCCATAAACCTCTAAAAAGGCGTCAACGAGGGGTCCACTTCGAGACTCCGGCTCCATCCGTCCGCAAAGATTCACAGGCCTCCGTTCCTTGGAAAGTGAATGCTCGGCTGGGGGGTGTCGTGCTTGATGTCATTGGCGAAACGCATTATCTCAACCTCAGTACGACCGCGGTCAAAATTGTTAGTCGGTTCGAGGGCATTGGGCTCCAGATTGACAAGGCACGACTCAGTGGACCGCACCCACTGGATGACCTTTCTGATGCACCTGCAAAGGTCACTCTCGTTAACATCAGGGTTGAGTTCTTGTTCTCGCCCAAGGAAGTGGACCTCGATCGGCTTTTGACCCTAATCACGCCGTCCAAGGATAAATATGATGATGACGATGATATCATGCTAGAGACTTTGCTTCGGCAGCGGAGGCAAGGATCCGTTCTCCGTGTTACGGTAGCAGGAATGAAGACCGTCATTTCCAGCACCGGTGGCTTGGCTCCTCTCGCCTCCCTTGGATCTGAGCTCGGTCGCCTGTCTAACGTGACCAAGTATCTGCCAGAGGACGATCGTCCTGGCATTCTCACCTTGACACTTGTTCGAGAATTCGAAACTCAGGTCCATGTTGGAGGAGATGTCGGCGATATCAATGCGCACCTCACGAATGTGGAGGTTGGCTGGATCAGCATGCCGTCTCTTACTGCTACGCAGGTTGGGACGCTGGTCATCACCCGGAACAAGAAGGAAGAGCTAGTCGGCGAAGCGTTGCTATCCAGCAAAGAGAAAACCCCGATTGCGCCCCGTCCGCCTGTCCTCATGGCACGTTTTATTCCAGATGAGATGGATCCCACGTTCAAGATCAAACTACACCATCTCCGTGTCGAGTATACCATTCCTTCCATCATGGCATTCTTGGGTCTCAGTCAGGATACAACGGGGGGCGAGTTGGCAGGTGAAATGGCGAACTCCATTGCTAATCTCGCGGAGCACTCTGATCGACTAGCTGGGGCATCGGCCTTTTCTCCGTCTAGGTCCGAGGCGTCAGGTGCATCCAGCAAGCCTACAAAGTTGGCTGTTGTGTTTCAAGACTGCGTGCTTGGTTTGAACCCGCGCAATTCTCCTGCCAAGGGACTGGTGGTACTTACCAACTCCAAATTCAGCGGCACTTTACATGGCGATGAATCCTCAGAAGCTACCCTTGACATTAGAAAGGCGTCCATCATGATCATCGACAACGATGCGAATACAGGAAGTGCTGATAATCTCCGCCAACGCACATCAGCTGTCACGCAGAGCGATCAGATCCAAGAATATATTGCGAAGGGATACGTTCCCGTTTCTTCCATTTCTACTGCTACGGTAGTGGTCAAAATGATGCGTCTTGCTGAGGATGGCGCAAAGTCCCTGGACGTTGAGCTAAAGAATCGCCTTCTGATTTTGGAAACTTGTGCCGACTCAACTCAGACGCTCATCAGCATTCTGAACGGCCTTCAGCCTCCTACACCGCCCAGCGTCACTGTCAAGTACCGCACAGAGGTCACGCCAATCCAGGACATGCTTGCTTCTTTCTCGGGAAATGCTTTCAATGCTGACCCTTCCTTCCCTCTTGGCGAGAAGGTTGATCCGGCACTTGATCTTGGAGGCATTCCAGAAGAGGAAGAACTCGACAATGATGAACTTGAATATGTCAGCGATTTCTACCCCAAGCAGCACGATGCATCTATCGGTGATGTGAACGTTGAGCCGACGGGTATGGGTGAGAACAACGAACTCATCGACAGTTTCCATTCTCAGTACCACGTCTCGTCAAGTCTCACAGAGCTCGACTTCCAGGAGGACCATTTTGCGAAGCAGTCTGCCGTCGGAGGTACTGCCCATCGCTGGGACTCCACGCAGAACACCTACGGCCTCTCGAATGACACCAAGCTTCAGAAAAGCCCTCTTCGTGTAAGGGTGCGAGATGTACATGTGATCTGGAATTTGTTCGATGGTTATGATTGGCAGCGAACCCGAGACACCATCTCCAAGGCGGTTGAAGACGTTGAAACCAAGGCCACTGAACGACGAGCCCGGACCTCCCGCATGTCTCCTTCGGCCGAAGATGAAGAAGAATCGGTGATTGGAGATTTCCTCTTTAATTCCATCTATATCGGCATTCCTGCGAACAAAGACCCTCGGGACCTACATCGAGAAATTAATCGCGACATCAACGATCTCACAAGCGAGACTGGTAGCTATGCCACATCCACTACCGTCACCGGTGCAACCGCACGGCAGGGACGAGCTACGTCGGGAAGAGACAAGAAGAGACTTCGCTTGCATCGTAGCAAACATCACAAGATGACTTTCGAACTGTCTGGCATTTGCGCGGACCTTGTTGTATTCCCGCCGGGCTCGGAAGAGACACAGAGCTCTCTGGATGTACGAGTGAAGGATTTGGAGATCTTTGACCACGTGCCTACCTCGACGTGGAAGAAGTTTGCTACATACCTACATGAAGCGGGAGAGCGCGAGAGTGGGACAAGCATGGTGCATCTGGAGATCTTGACTGTGAAGCCCATCCCGGAACTTGCAGCGTCCGAGATTGTTCTCAAGGTGAGCTGCTTTTGCAAGATCTATATAGTTTCGATGACCTAATTAATTCTCTTTAGGCTACTGTACTACCGCTCCGACTACACGTTGATCAAGATGCTCTTGATTTCATGAGTCGCTTCTTCGAATTCCGAGACGAATCGATGGAGGCTTCGAATACTCCCGGAGATGCCCCATTCCTACAGCGTGTTGAAGTCAATGCTATCCAAGTCAAATTAGACTTCAAACCGAAACGAGTGGACTACGCCGGCCTTCGATCTGGCCGTACAACCGAATTTATGAACTTTTTCGTCCTGGACGGCTCTGACATGGTGCTACGGCATGTCATCATCTATGGAGTATCTGGATTCGACCGTCTCGGGAACACCCTCAACGACATCTGGATGCCGGACGTCAAGGCCAATCAGCTTCCTGGAGTCCTTGCCGGTCTTGCGCCCATTCGATCCTTGGTCAACGTGGGTGGTGGTGTGCGACAGTTGTTTGTCGTCCCAATGCGCGAGTATAAGAAAGACGGCCGAATCGTGCGCAGCATCCAAAAGGGTGCAGCTGCATTTGCCAAAACGACATCCAACGAGCTCATCAAGCTAGGAGCGAAATTGGCCATCGGCACGCAAACCGTCTTGCAAGGCGCAGAGGACCTACTAACTTCTCCGAACGCCCCATTGGCTGTTTCCGACGAAGACCGCGGCGACGAGGAGGAAGCCAAGAAAATTTCTCTCTATGCTGACCAGCCGATCGGTGTCGTACAGGGTTTGCGGGGTGGCTTCAGCGGTCTCGAACGCGATCTGCTACTGGCGCGTGATGCGATCGTCGCGGTCCCTGGCGAGGTTGTGGAGAGCGGTAGCGCCAAAGATGCGGCCAAGGCAGTGTTGAGGCGAGCCCCGACAGTCATACTCCGACCTGCCATTGGCGTTTCTAAAGCTGTTGGACAGACGCTCCTAGGTGCTGGAAATACTTTGGATCCGAGCAACCGGCGCAAGATGGAAGATGTAAGTGGACGCATGACGTTCCGTTTCTGTTTTGATTTTGCTTCGTTCTTCTCATGGAGGTACATGTATAGCAGGCTAACTCTTTTTTTCCAGAAATATAAACGTCACTAGTGGAGCTCTGCCCTGATTCGGGGCTATTCACCGAGGCGACCACCGAGCCCTTGGGCTTTCATTTCTTTGTGTAAAGGTTTTCTCTTCCCGTCTCTGGGGATTTGTTGTTTTTATCAACTCTCATGAGCCCGTAGATACTACAATGCTTTCGGCTTTCTATTTTCTGCTTTCTGCGTGCTGCGTTTTGCGTGCGACTTGCTTTGCTGCCAATGATACCACACCCTGGCCGGGACATGACGGATGACGACTGCATGTAAAAATTGCTGCTACGAAACGCATGATCTGGGCGTCCTTGACCAATATGGTTCGTCTCCTTGGATTTAATTTGAGATTGCTTGATTTGACATGAACTTGCTTTGGGCGCATATGCTGTATGCTGTATCTTATGATTATGAATGTGATTACCTTCCCCACTATTGTCCGAGCGCAACGTAGATTGAATCTCATTTAGCGAATCACCATCGCATTCAGGGTCGTGGCTCGAGAATGCGTGAGACTTGGGCACTAGACTTAACCATAACCGTAGTGTTGGGTAGTAACCGTGGGTAGGAGTGTCATGCTCGCATCATGAGCAGGTCATCATATTATGATGGCTATGCTTATCGAGACTATCATAGGTCTTTCATTGCCGTAATACTCGAAGCCCTAAGTTTCAGAGTAAAACTGTTCCCCTGAGCTGAAAGGCGCACCCGACTGGGATGGGATGCCTGAGTCCCGAGGTGGCAGGTAGCAGTCGGCCCCGACTTTTGCTGAACTTCTAGAAACTCGGACTCGGATCGCCACCACATGAACAAACCACCGCGGCCAGACAAGAAAAAACATCCGATCCATTCCCTGACAGTCCTTTGTTCTTCGCTATGGGTAACCCTTTTGATGCACTCATGAATCATGCATCGCCAGGTACGAGGTCAACCCTTCGGGCTGACCGAGTTGAACCATGGATGCCCTCGCAAAGAATTGCGCGAGGGTTCCCCAAAGAGCAAGTGCTGTCAAACTTACTCGGAGGCATCCCGACTTGTCCCTTTCACAGTTCCTTGAATCTCGTTTCTTTCCCCTGATAAACTCACTCGCACGTTCAGGGACGATTGTGGGTCTTCACCTCCGCCATGCATCATCCATTAGGTACTCAAGACTCCACCGAGGAGGCTGACGATTTCCTTACGATGCCCTACGACGCGTCGAAGTCTCCTGATAATTCGGGTCTTTGGCTCTCGGGTCTTTTGGAGGGGCCTTTGCCACCTGGCGGCCGTGCTCGGATTGACTGACAGCCAACGAATGCTCACTGGCCCAGTGTTTAGTTTCCGGGTTTCTCATTTCTGGTGTCTGCCCAACGAGCATCGCCGTTGCATTTCAGCCCTGGGCAACGACATTCATACCCACAGGCTCGATCTGCGCATCGAGTGGTCAATCACGATTCAATGGGGTGGATCGGGGTTCATGTCAAAAACGCACCTGGGGCGGGTGATTGGCCGGGGGTGGGACTGGAGGGTGTGCGACTAACGAGACGCTAAGGTCCCCAAACAACACATAAGATCAACGATCAAGCGGGTGATGATTCCCAGTGGGCGATCGCGACTCCGCGAGCCACAGCGGGCGGGTCTATCCCATCTGCATGTCATTTTCTCTGTTGCGATGCATCCACCCTGTCGGGTCTTCTATCATCTCAGCAGGCGATGACTGGTCAAGGAAGGATTGGGGCGCCTCTGGGGCACAGGGACACTCCTCCACACACACTCTCTCTGTGGCCCTACAGACCACCAGGGGGATGTGAACTCTCTGCATACACAACACACCTTGTCAGACCGACTTTTCACCCTCTTTTCTCCACCCTCGCCGGAAATGGAGGGTGTGACGTCGTCCATCCTATATAATCGCATTATATCACCCAGTGATGTGCCCAGGACCACTGGCCGAACCAACGGTTCGCTGCCCCCACGACCCAGCGTTCCTGGCGGCCAGCCAGGTTCCAGACCGCGTTGTCTTTTCCATGTGGAGATGTGAATATCCAGCAAGAGAGAGAAAAGAAAAAACAGACGAGTCCAGGCACCTCCGTTCTGCTCCGGTCCCAGACAGACAGACAGACTTTCGTTGAGCCGCCTCTTCTTTTCGCTTATATTACTATCGTACTTGAATCTCCCGGTCGCCTTGTAGTTTTCCCTGTTTCTTGTGGTTTCTGTTATCGTACCTTGCATCTGACGGGTGTACTGGTAAGCCGACGGTTTCATTGTCCCTTGCAGTGTTTCCCCGCTCTGACGAATCAGATGTATAGCGCCCGCGTTGGATTGATCTCCCGATCTACACCGGCAATTGATATGTCAACACGCTAAAAGCAGTTGAAGACGAACACCCTCTTTTCAAAAAAAGCCGTGGAGAACTCCCAAACGTGAATCTTAAGCCGGGAGCAGGAATCGACAGAAAAAGCCAATTCCAGAATGCATGAAGATCTGGACTACCAGGATCCTTTCGGGGCCTGGCACAGCAGCGAGTTGCTGGACAGCTCGCCATGCCTGAAATGTCTGGAGCTTCATGGCGTTCATGCACCATGCACGCCTCCTAAGCCCCTTCCTGCAGATGCGGTGTCACTTCTCCCTCGGTTGATCAAGCCTGGGATCACGGGTGCCCTCTCCCTCCATGACTATCGCAAGTATCTGTCGCAGTCTGCAGAGTGCGTGGACGATCCCGTCGATCGCTCTGAGAAGACTCTCAAGCGCAAGACCGCAACCTCCAATTTGAATCGTCCACCACCGCTCACCTCGTTTTCTTCTTGTGCGATCTCGGTGTCTTCGGTGGCATCAAGCACCCCGCCATTATCGCCGTCGTATTCTCATAGCATCATCTCTTACCAGAGCGAGCAAGAGCCCGAGGTTTCAGAGGCATCGACTGGTACGTTGCAGGCAATCCCCAATGTGTTTCGTAGTTCAATGAAAATAAAACAAGCACTGACCACTCTGCAGTTGTCCTTTCACCACCCCAGGGCCCACGAGTGCATCTTGTCTCGGAGAACTTTACACGCCCTAGACCGAACCGGAAGCGATTGGTGAGTACCCTGAAACAGTGATAAACATCCGATTTCCCCTTCACCGGCTAACATTTTCCCCTCTTTTCTAGAACACCTTCCGTGAGAAGCTTCAGAGGGAAGCACAGGCTCGGGGTCAGGCTCAACGACAATTGCCTCAATCCCGTCCTCAAGCCTCCACTCCGATGTTGGCCAACACGCAGGCCGTTGCCACCATCTCGCACGGTGGTGCCTCCTTTGAGATCTTGAATCCACGCAAATCCCTTGATGTGGCACGGATTGTCTCCTTTATTGAAGATGTCGATGGCTGCTCGCTTTTGTCTTATGACCCCCACAGCGACTCGATAGTCTCGTCCAATCCATATTCGGAGGACCAGAGCTTTGATGGAGTTTCCCTGTCGCAGTTCACCGACGCCTCTTTGCCATCGCATTACTCTTCTCCGTCTTTGTACGCTACCTCTCCGTCCATGGGATATTCCACACCTAAACGGCAAACCGCCGATATCCCCTCGTCGTCACCTGGAGTGCACGACCGAGTCCGCTCACTCTCCGACTACTCCCTTCGCAAACATGACTACTGGATAACCACACGCCAAGAAGACATCACCTCCTCATCAAAGAATAACCAGATGCAACACGACCTAGTCAGCGATTCATCCGACCAGCGCACAGTGTCAGCCACCGAGCGCCCAGAAGAAACCGAACCCGAACCCGAACTTCTCCCATCAGACCCCCAATCCCCCTCTTCTCAACCAACCTTCTTCTCCGAAGAAAGCGACATCGGCGAGCCGGGCTCGCCAGTCTACGCCAACGGCGAATGGGCCCAAGTCGACGAGCGCGACCGAGGCATCTTCCTGGACCCGCAACCCCCCTCCGCCCTATCACCGGGGTACTCTGAGCCTCCATCTCCATACGACGTCTACTACGCAAACACAATGTCCACAACCCTCCCCTCAACACCCTCCTACACTCAGCACTACGATCCCTACGACCCCATTTACTTCGACCCGCACGTCCAATCCGTCCTGGCCGCTGCAAACGCGCATGGAATGGGATTGCGCGGGAGCCCGGCGCGTGCCCTGGATGATCTGCAGCGCAGATTTGGTAGCTCCGTTTCGCTGGGTGGGACGGGGTCGGGGGATAGAGATGGGAATGGTGTTTGGCAGAAGGGGGAGAGGAAGGGATCGTTTTCGCAGAGGACGAAACTGAGGAAGTTTTTCAGCTGGAGATCTGGAAATTGAAGGGGTTGGGGGTGGTTTTGGTTGATTCCGAATTGGTATGAGATTGGATATGATTTGATGGATTTGGGGGCGTAGGCCCTCTTTACCTTTTTTTTTTCGGAGACTTGTTCTTTCCTTTCTTTTCCCTCCCTTGCCCTTCTTCTTCACTTCTTCTTCTACCTTGTCTTTTTATACTATGTATATCTTTTTATTCACTGGGTCCGGGACTCTGGATCGATATCACTTGGTTGATATGGTCCATTCAATCTTACTATTCTTCTTCTTCTTCCCGGAAAACAACTACATTTTAATATCACGAGCCCTGCATCAGTAATTATTGCAAAGCTCCGAGTGATATCAACGAACTATTTCTTATCAAAAGAAAGATATTTCTCCATTACTCCCAGTTCCGTGCCCTTCAATCCCGGGCCCAATCCCTGCCTCTTTCAGTTTATTCTTCAACCGTTCAGTGATAGCTGCAGGATACTCCGACGATGAGGGAACTGGCCCGTTCCCCTCAGCAGCCAACCTAGTGGTAATCTCTCTGCTAGCCCTGAAAAAAGGCACCGGTATATTCTCCTTTGATCCACACGCCTTGATACAGTCTTGGTACAACTCCTGGAACATTTCCTCACTGTACCCCCCGCCAGTAATGATAGCACGCGGTGGGACAGTGAAGTCGTTGGAGCCCAGCTGGGTGTGGAGTGATACAGGTGGTGGAGGATTTCCTGAGATGATCTGTGGGACTTCATGCTTGGACTGCGCGATGTTGTAACCTGCGTAGATTACTGGGGGTTGGTAGGGTTAGATCTGGTTTATAAGGGGTAGGAGCGGTATACGGCTTGACGGACCATCGTACTCTGGTAGCATTTTTGTTCGGACGAGGTTGGCCATTCCTTTCATGGCGCCGCAGACGATGACTGGGATGGGAGCAGACATGGTTGAATATGTGGTGTTCGAGAGTAGATGTATTCTCAGACCAAGAGTAAGGTATAGGATGGGCGAGTCGAGGGTTTAGCTGCTGTGCTAGGGAGGACGGTCTGTGCTAGAGGATATTGAGTTAACAAGACCTTGGGAGATCTAGGGGAATAATTTTCGATACAGTAGTTACCAAAGGAGAGGATTATTAATTTGATGATCAGATAAATACACGAGGTCGAGGGTTTCGAAGTCTATTCAAGGCCGAATCTACCGAATGACAAAGACGCTCCGAAAAGCCTCCGAACATGGGAATCTCTAACAAACGCAGATGACTCGACTTGAAAGATTAAACGCATTGCCTGATGTTTCTGGTATTTTCAAATACTCTATCCTGATCCAATATATAACTATTGTTTACAGATTGCCTTCCATATCGGGAAACAGAGCGATACTCTTTCAACCCCAGGTCACATGATAGGCTAAACCTAATATGGATTTCGCGTAAAGTACGAGTTTTGAACATACGAACGTTAGTTACAGTAGTTACTAGTTATATATTATTCGGACAATCAATTTTGACCTTGATTGCTAGGAAACAACGGATAATCTGTAAATCTGATATCGAGCGTCACCCTTCGAGCATGATATGATATCCCTAGTTTAATGATAATGATCGTGTATTGACGAGCCGATACTTTATATAGATCACAATTGCGGTGATCCGCTACGTCCTAAGCCCCTTTTGTCGTTCCATATTCGTACTCGTTCAGAGTCGACATAGCGTGCATTATTCTGCTCGGCCGAGTCTGTGACTCACTTGCCTTATTCTTGCAGCAACATCAAAGCTCTCCTCCATCGGACACCTTCAATTCCTCAGTCCCCAGAAATATTCGAGGTACGTGAAGAACGTTCGTTGTATATCGAGGGGTATGCAACGTGGGCTATCCCCGCGGGTAACAAACCGCCAAGTCATGTCTGCGAGCTGGGACCCGTCAAGGACACATCTAGAGATAGTAGTGCTAGCGAAGATTTCGACCTAGAGCTTTGCTAGGGTCGAATTGCGGAGGTGAGGTGGTGGGCTGCAGTTCTGGCGGCAGGCCGCGGCTGGCAGGCGACCCTTCCCGTGGCGGTAGGGACTATTTCCCGCCCTGGGAATGTCACTTAGTAGACAGTCCTTTCAGAATACATCATCTTGTAAAGGCTCCTCTACTTTCTGCTATTACTTTCGAACCACCGTCTTCAGCAGAAGCACAGGAGTATCTTCATAACTTTGCCCGACAGCATGATGCCTTGGATCAATTACTGTGCGAACTCGCCGCTACCAGCACGTTGCCCATGCATAATCGATTCGAGGCTTCTGTCTCATTACCTATACCTAAGCCAATCAGGGGAGGTGGATCCCATCAGCATACGGAGCAAATCTTTGCCGATCAAATACCAACCTTTACGGAGATTCCCCATTATATGGCATTCTCTGCTACTTCAGGTCTACTGGCCTCCTGCCTATTCGGGTCCTTCTGGGAGCCCGATATTTGGCTATTCAATGGCTTAACCCTGCAAAGAAAGAACGTCAATCGACTCTACAGTCGAAACAGTCATTCCCTATTATTTAGGTAACGTCGGGGCGACGGCCAAAGGTAGCCTCACTATGTCTAGGTACTATAGTCACTGGCCGTTTGCCACGGATACTTCAGGTATCTCGATCTTTCCTTCTAGCAACCTACCTAGAAGCAGTCACATAGACCTCGTCTCAATCTTTCATATATCCTTTAAACCACCGCTACATCAAAACCCGAAGGATCAGCGAGAGGGATACAATTTCTCGTGAAGATAAGTTTCGCCTCTTATTTATGACAGACACGCTATTAGAAATATATAGAAATCCACCGCTCTGCCTATATTCTCAATCTAGCATAGTAGATATCTAAGATACTTCCCTTCAGGTCAGACTCCATTTGTCTTACGACCATAGGCCGGTATACCTTTCGTGGGAATGGCAAGGTCAAAATGGGCAAGCGTTCAGCGATACTAGGTTTCCATATGCACCAAAACAATACATGATGCCGTTCAGGACCAACTCACTATCCTTGATCTAGATAGCGACAGGAATCACTCTCGCACCTTTACTCCACAAACCCGTTTTTAACAGCTATATCCACTTAGTTGGTAAGTAGGACCTAAATACTCCAGCTCGGCCATAAGCAATGAATTATGCCTAAATATTCTATAGCAACGTAGCGGTATTCTACTGCCTTTCGGCTTTACCTTGATCTATCTCCTTCCGAGGTCCATTAAGATCGCCGCATATAAGCAGCTCCACATTATTTTTGCTTAGGCGAAAGGGGCCTTTACAATTGCTTCAACGATACGGCCGAGACTTCAATAGCCGAGGGAGGAAGATATCTCCGACGAACGGCTCTTTATACTTACTACACGGAGTTTATTTTTTTAGATATTTTTCGTAGAAGGTACTCGGGTAGAAGATAGATCACTCTAGAAGCACGAGTAGCTAGAGAATTTTATTAATAAGATAGATACTAATTCTGGTAAATCTAGCTTATCTAAGTTCGAAGGCGAAGTAAATCGTTAAAAGATTAAGTATATCAGAAGTTAGTAGGAAGATATATCTATAAAGCCAAATTAATATTACGAGTATAGGCCTTCCCTTTCCTATTTACTAGCTAACGAGTTCTATTAAGATCGCCGTATACAAGTAGCTCTAGATTCTTTTTACTTACGTGAAAGGGGCCTTTATAATTACTTTCACGATACGGCCGAGACTTCAATAGCCGAGGGAAGAAGATATCTCCGACGAACGGCTCTACTTACTACACGGAGTTTATTTTTATAGACATTTTTCGTAGAAGGTACTCGGATAGAAGATAGATCACTCTAGAAGCGCGAATAGCTAGAGAATCTTGCTAATAGGGAGATAGGTACTAATTCTAGTAAATCTAGCTCGTCTGAGTTCGAAGGCGAAGTAAATCATCAAAAGATTAAGTATATCAGAAGTTAGCAGGAAGGTATATCTATGAAGCTAAATTAATATTAGGAGCACAGGCCTTCCGTATCCTGTTTACTAGCTAAATGATGTACAGAAGAATTAATCCATAACAATATTGAGCAATCACGGACCTCTGTCTTACAGTGACTGGCTATACAATTTAGTGATCCTCGTTCTCCCTGATCCAACTTCCAGGTTCGGTACCTTCTGGGCCGCTTCCCGGATGATCAGGAAATGCCTAGCAAAGCAACCATTTGCTACTAGCTTGACAGACGATCTACTTATTTATGCAGCCCTCTACTGCGCACTTTGCACCGGTGTGCTCAGTATTCAAGTAGTTGCACACTATATATGATCCCTTACGGCCCTAAACTTGGGCGCTAAACTCAGTTAGCGGTCGAAGGTGGATAAAAGCGACCTATACTAACCATGCTTGGTTCGTGTTTATGTGGCCTTATGTAGTTACTTCCTGCATTTATTTTTCTGTTGAGTATAGATGTCATAAAATATCAGGTTCTCTGCGGGGTTCTTATATATATGAGCGCTTGGACATAGTAGGGACAGTGCGACCAGTGGTTAGGAAATATTCGAAGGAGCTGCGTTGGGAATGTGACAAATACTCCGACGGACTTTTTTTTTTCTCGAGCTAATGATAACGTGTATAGCGCTTACAGCAGTGGGGCGTAGGTGTGCATGTGATGAAGCCGTATGTACGGCATTAGAATATGAAGTACCTGGTATTCATGCTGCTTACTTCGAGTGAACTTAAAGGCATTTAATGACATGTAGGAGTACCTAATTAGTATGACCATTTAGGGGCATACCCCTCTTTTCTCCCCCTTCTGGGAGGGCCCTCCGATGCCACCATCATTTATGTGGAAAATAACGACATACTACCTATGATCAACATCTAGATACTCACGCAACGGTTTAGTTAGGTCTGTATGGTTTTAGATGGTACCTAAGCTCTATATATGTACTCTGTCCCGAGTCACACTAGATTAGATATGACCTCTTTTATACCCTAGTTCGTCCCCTCATCCTACCGAGAGCATCGTATAGAAATAACTACTTATGCGTGAGCTAACACTGTTGAATTTTGTTTAAACTTCTAGCTTCTCTCTTACGAGATCAGTGATCAAGACGATTAGCATGTCTCCTCTAGTAAAATCTAATTTGCTTAACAAATACCATGTTTTCTTTAATGCCTAAGTCTTATCACGAGAGCATCCTGTATTACAACACGTAAGTATTAAGCCACTAAGCCCCGTCAGTGATGCTACAGTATACAGATACGTCCATCCTTATTATCATGCAAACCTGGAACAAATTTTTAAATACGGAATTAGCTATATAACTACGCTTTAGCGTATCCTGTGACTAAGGCTTGAAACAGTACCTCTCTGTTAGCCGATATGAAAGGCAATAACGGACGTCCCTGTACATAAAGACTACTCTCTGGATTACATTCCTGTCCAAGAGTGGAGACTTATACAAAGACACTACTCGAGACATGATCACTCTTCTTTCTCAGCCCTCGTAGCATCATTACGCCAATCCCACCACAATCCCAGAGCAGTCAACAAGCCCATCAACCCTTCAAAAGGCGCAACATTCTTCCAGCCCCCGCCACTACGATGAAAAACCACCATCGCCAGAAGCCGACCAGGAACAGCAACAAGCATCATCGGGATGTTGTTCTGGTATGACGCGATGGCGTAGAATGAGCCCAGAGAGAGCGATGTTAGGCTAGAATTAATTCGTAAATGTAAAGAACAGTCTCGGACGTACTGGAGGTGATATGTACCTGAGGGCTTGGATGGTGCCATTACTTAGCCCTTGTAAGGGTGAATCTGGGAGAGTTGCTGCGGCTGCTGGGAACAGTAGGGTGTATATTCCGCTCGCTAGGAGGGGAACTGTCTGGATGCCGAAGACATATGGAGCGAGAAGGAAGGTTTTGCTTCTTGGCATGTTCTGTTTTGGTGGCATCTTACTGTGTCCTGTACAGTAGTCTGTGGAAAGCTTGGCTTGAGAATGGAAGTGATCACTCGATGTGGCGAGTCGGAGAGACCCGCGATCGGGCCGCCCAACTAAGACTAAACCATCATCGTGCGGCTGTCAGCTTCCGTGGTAAGTCAACCAAGTCCATTTAACCCTCAGTCCTCAGCGGCAATGACTTGCTTCTACTAGGAACACCGACAATCAAACATAGAGCTAACTTGTCAACATGGAAGACCATGATAGAAAACATTGGGTATCAATTCCAAGTATATACATTGAAGATAATATAAACTCCAGATCGGTCAAGGTCAAGGAGTTTCCACTACAGACGCCAGAACCGCGCTCACCATGCTCTTCCTACGGAGCCCATGGTGGTCGCCTCGTTTAGAAGCATCTCGCCCCGTATGAGAAGTGTAGTGGCTTTTCTCTATCCGGTGCGATTGCATTGCACCAGAACTGCTTCTGCGTCGGCCCCGGGACTCGCCCGCAGAGCCGTCTGGTCCGAAACGGCTTCGGTGTAATGTAAGTGCTCTCCGCCGGGGCGAGGACCGCGGTGGTAAAGAGCTGGGGTGGCAGTCGTCTGGGAGCATGTCTGGATTGAAAGAGCCCTCCCCGACGACAGTCCGGCGAACTGCATCAATGTCCCCTTCGTTGCATTGTAATTGCGATATGTGCTGCCGTTGCAAACGAACGTCAAAGTGGTCTGGGATATTGGATGTCTGGTTCGGAGTCTCCATTCGGTCTAGAGAGAGGAAATCCGGTGGGATTGACGTGGGACTGGGGTTAGAACAAAGCGAGGGCGACGAGTCACCGCGTCCGTCCTCATCATGATCCGTATCCGGTGGCGTAAGGACATAGCCAGAGTATCGGCCGGAGAGTCTGGCCCCATTGTGCCGAAACCGCGCCTGGTCCGGGATGTCACTGCCTGGGGCCTGGAGAGTGTGTTCGTGCAATTTCTGCGTCAGCGTCGAAATGGAAAGACGCTTTTGCTCATAAGGAAAGGGCACAGAGGTCGGAGGTGGTTGTTGGGAGCGAGAGTAGAAGGATCGGGGGCGGGATAGAGTGCGGAATCGGTGCGACTGCGGCGAGGGGCATCGCGACGACAGGGGCGAGACCAGAGTACTATCGCAATCGACCATGAGCCGATCGTCTGCATCCACAGCCAACCGGCCTGGTCGCGAAGATGGCGACGAGAAAGAGAAGTCTTCGAACATGGCAGCGCCAAAAAGCCCGTGATCGGGATTTTGGACGTTGCAGCCTCGAGAGGGGAGTTGGGAAAGGAGTGTAAGCGTTCGAGGAATGTTCTCAGTCGGCGGCCGATTCCGCGGTGAGACAGAGTCTACCAGCAGTTGGCGAGGCAGAGCACATGGAGATATAATACGCTCGGGGAAATTCTGAATGGGCCTGGGATTTGCCCCAGACCGAAAAATCTTGAATCGTTGAACCAGTGGACGAACGGAGGCAAGACCACGTGATCTGGGCTGCGGTGCCTTTTTGCGTTGAGTTTTCGAATCCTTTCGGGCTTTTTGGTTTCCTTCAAACGCCCTGCTCCACTTGCAAACTCTATTCTTTTTATTTTGTTGCGGCTTTGTTCATGCAGTGGGGTGTAATCAGGAGAAGAGATTCACATTAAGTACGGAGTTCAAGGCAACATAATGTCCACGCAAAGAAACTAGCTCTATCCACAGATATCCACTACGGAGTAGTTTTGCCGCAAATCGACTCAAATACCCCCCATAGTATGCTGCCAGACTAATTTGCCAGTGTCATTCTTGCGAAGTTCTTGCAGGGGCTTCTTGTTCCCATTGTCAGATCCATCCCAATGCAACAAATACGCTCCACTGCCTTTGATCCCGTCGGAGCCCGGTGCCGCACCCTCAACGTCCTTGGAGGCCTTTGGCGGGAACCGGGGGCTAGTGGCGGCGTATAGATGGCGCTCACCACTCTCGTCCAATGGTACCATCCAGGGGCGAGCCAGAACGAGAAGGGCACTCATGGCGGTGCGGGTGATCGCCCCGAACTCGCGCATCAGGCCTGTTTTTACCGCCCCCGGGTAGGCGTGGACAAAGGATGTCGCTGGGTACATCGATGCCAACTGCTCCATGGACAGAGATGTCATGGTAATGGCATGCTTGGCGCAGTTGCGGAGAGAATAATTCTTCTGGAGAGACAAGTCGTCGAGGATAAGGGGTGCTTCGCCACCGGCCTCCAGGACGGAAACAACCCTTGACAGATTTCGGTAGAGACCCGGTTGGGCTGAAGTGGAGGCCTCGGCAGCCGTACCAGCCTTGGTCAATTGCGGCATGAGATTCGTCAAGAACCGCATACGAGAGTAGTAGTGCAGGCTGAGTTTCTTATCCAGCCCTTCATCCGTTTCTATATCATAGTATTGTCAGTGGCCTTCAATGCGAAGGATTCATTAGAATGGGAGATAGTCAGTACCATCTGGCCCCTTGGTCGTCAATATTCCAGCGGTCATGAACAACAGATTAACTTTCTCCTCCTTCTCCTGGATGGTCTTGCAAGCCTCGTCTACACTCTTGAGGCGAGCGGCGTCGCAGTGCACGAAGCTAATCTGCCCATCGGGGTTGACTTGGCGGAGTTCCTCGATGATTTTGGACGCCTGCTTCTCATTGCGACCAACGAGATACACTCGCGGTGAGACTGTGTCTCGTACTAAGGCACGAGCAGTCACTTCGCCAATCCCGCTGGTTCCGCCCACTGGGACATGTCTATGTTAGTGTTTTGTTTCATTTGAGGAAACCCAGTGCAGATAGGTGTAGCAGGGGGCATTAGGATAACCTACCGAACACGGCCACCAAACCTGGGCCATAGTCCTTCAGGTTGACATTATTGTTCAGCACGGTCTCAAGGGATGCCATCTTTCAAGTTTGTTGATGGTGGATGTCTGCCTGATCAACACCGGGGATAACACCCTGTCTAGGTCACATGACTTTTATTCTTGCTGCATCAAGCCGCATACGCTCAAGCGTCTTGCAAATTTAGGCAAAAGTACCGAAATAGGATTCTAGTTTTTTTGTGTTCTGGCTAGAATGGCTTCGGTTTCTTGATTAAATCATCTCGAGATATCAGCAAATGCAATGCTACCTTCAACGAAAGTTAAGCGCTACGTCCACAGCACAATCAAACTCGTGCCTATCATGCTCTTGGCTGTGTACAGTGGCAGTTCAAAGGTCTGAAACCAGAGGCCAAGAAGAAAGACCATCTAAATACTCTCCGACTATCTTTCTGTTTGAAAGGTCTTTCTGGATGTCTTTTGAGTTCTCTTTCTAGATAGGCTAGGCATAGGCAGTATTCCTCAGTTTATCTTTCAAGTACTACAAACAGCAAACTTGTTCAACCAAACTATAACCCCTCTTTCGATTATTTTCTTTTCTTGTCCATTCATGCCGAAAAATCGAAGTCATGTCACCGCCTGTTCATCCTCACATACCCACATTGTTTGAAGTCAAGGGTGATTCTCGGAGTAGATCACAAAAAGTGTCGAGAGGAACATGGAAAAGACCAGGATTTGGGTCCTCGATGCCGCAGTGATTTTACACAGAATTTCAATACCGTTGAAGAGCCATTTACGGCGCTTGCTCAGATAGAGCTTAAGTCCCGGGAAATGATGTAAGTAGCGTCTAGAAACGAGGGGAATGGAGACATCATGGTATATAATATCCAGACAGAGTCTGACTCGGAGAGGAAGATATCAGTGAAATGAGGAAGCCCAAGGTCGTCAGAAGAAGAAAGCGAGACTTGGAAGAATTTCGACAGCGGAACTTCCTCTGGAAGGAGTAAACGCCTGAAATGGGCAACGGGCGCCATCAAACTGGGAAACTCCCCGTTCACACAGTTTTGCTCCTTCGGTAGCTCAAACAGTCTTCCTACAGGTCACCATTGATAGCGTGAAGCGCGGATGCCCTGAAATGTGGTATAATTCGGTAGTCGTGAAACAATCACCCAGCCGGTGTACAGGCCTCAGATCCGGCTCGTATGAGCGTTGTGGTTGGAAGACACGCGTTCTTGTAACTAGGGATTCTGTGGATGATTCCTGTGGGAAGGCCGTGCCATAACCGCTGTAAATGAAACAAATACCCCAGGCCATATCAATATAGGGAAATTGAGGGCTACCGAGATGTTGAGCCTCCCCAAGGAGTCGTCTCTCTCTGTACTCTGCGTCCGTGAATAGGACAATGTACTCGTAATTCGGCTCCATGCGCTCCGTCCTCGACTGGACGGTCTGCCAAACTTTTGGTAGTAATACACCCTCGGCCCAGGATTTTGCTGGTTGTCTCCGAGCTAAGCTGCTTAAATTCGTGGGAATCCTCCCATTTAGCTGGCGGTCCTTCTACCGTGAGCGATTTCCGGCCGTAGTGCGTGTCACCTGGTAATTGCACATATCTCCTCGGGTCGTTATAGAGAACTCATTCCTGTTTCTTTAAATCTACCTATCATGGTCAGAGATTACCGTGTACTCGAATGGCTCAGACATACGTCGAACCTCCTATACTAAAGAAACAAAGTCATCACAACCGGATAATAGACCGATGTAGAGAAGGCGAGGCAGAGGGTGGTGCGGACTTTGGCAGGATCGCAGAGGCAATTGGTTGCAGGATCTTCAGGATGACCAGCACAAACGTAGCTGTTAGGTGAGTTCCACATGGGAATCGGGAGACATCAAGTGACTTGGCACTCCAGGCCGGCCTGTAGGTAGTACCGATGGTTCGTAGACACGAAGTGCGCCAGAGCCTTCTCCGTCAAGCAGCCGGACTGATTATGAGCCATATCGACCGGTATAAGGGGAATAAGAGCGGCGTTGGTGAGGCGAGATTGCTCTAGATTAGTACCATATTCTCGCAGATGAAAAAGTCTGGGCAGGATATCCATCGATTATAGATATATATCCAAGGAGATCTTTGCTGGATAACGAGGGCTGACTGTATCGAGAATCTGAATATATAGGTTGCTTTATCGCTTGTATATCAATGTGGGTAGACGGTAGTAGAGTTGAAGATGCAACAAAAGTCTCTCTAACAGAGGAGAGAGATTTTGGGCAACATTACTTATATGACCATGACGAGAGCAACCAGGCACTCCGGCGTCATGCCTCTTGTTTATTGCAACGGGCAAGCAACAGTAGTCTTTTGGGGTCAGTAGTGAGAGAGAAAGGTGATGTAGTGAATAGTAAGGGATACCCAATGTAGCAAAGAGGCCTGGAGAGAGAGATAAATGAGAAGGCAGGCTCTTAGATTCTGCATAGAGTAGAGAGAATGACAGGTAGACTACCTAAGAAAGGGACATAAACATGGAAGATTCCTAGGATATTTCCGTTGAGCTGTACCGGAAGTGAGACGTTTCTGAAGGGCATTTTCAATAGGTATAAAGTCTGAATAAACACAATTAGATCTCTTCATATCTAGGTATGTTTATGTAGAAATGTTGTCTTTTCCACAAATAGTGTGAGCCAGGTATATATCTCCCACGGGCAACGGCAAACAGAATCAAGATAAACATAACCCTGGAACTTTCCACTACAATAGTTAATATGCACAAGTACATAAGACCCTTGATTGTTAGAAAACACTACTCCAACACTAGTTCTATCATTTTCTAGTTTATCTTCTCCAAGAATTTGCTGGCGCATTTGGAGCAAGTTGACCCCAACGGTTGACTTATCAGTAAGGGCCATCTCCCCGCACTTCAGATTTCCCGTCGGAGTGCCTCCAACTGGCCCCACCGAATTCCGATACCTCAAACTTCTCTTCCTTTTCAACTTCTTTCCACCAACACAACTACCATGGCTACCTTTCTCAAGAAGCCCCTCAAACTGGCCCTGGTGCAGCTTGCATCAGGTAATTGACTCGTCCCCTTCATGCCTAGCACCCGCCCACTGACACAACGATGTACTGCAGGTGCGGACAAAGCCGTCAACCTCTCCCATGCCCGAAGCAAGGTCCTTGAAGCTGCCCAAGCTGGTGCAGGATTGATAGTTCTCCCAGAGTGCTTCAACTCGCCCTACGGCACACAATATTTCCCCAAATACGCCGAGACACTCCACCCCTCTCCTCCGACGAAGGAGCAGTCGCCCTCGTTCCACGCCCTATCGGCCATCGCCGCCGAGGCAAATGCATACCTCATCGGTGGCAGTATCCCCGAGTTGGAGCCGGAAACCAAGAAATTCTACAATACCTCGCTGGTGTTCTCGCCCACGGGCTCCTTGATCGGTACCCACCGCAAGACGCATCTGTTTGATATCGATATTCCCGGGAAGATCAAGTTCAAGGAGAGCGATGTACTATCACCCGGGAACGAGTTGACAGTCATTGATCTGCCCGAGTATGGCAAGATCGGTCTGGCCATCTGCTATGATATTCGATTCCCGGAGTCGGCGATGATTGCGGCCCGCAAGGGCGCGTTCTTGCTGGTCTACCCCGGCGCGTTCAACACCACGACGGGGCCTCTTCACTGGTCGCTTTTGGGTCGTGCTCGTGCCGTCGATAACCAGACATATGTGGCGCTGTGCAGTCCCTCGCGGGATCTCGAGGCCACCTATCATGCCTACGGTCACAGCTTGATCGCCGATCCGAGCGCGGGCATTTTGTCAGAGGCGGAGGAAAAGGAGACTATTATCTATGCTGATTTGGATAATGATACCATTGTGAATACTCGCAAGGGTATCCCTATCTATACTCAGCGACGGTTTGATGTATACCCCGATGTGAGCGGCGAAGGCTCGAAATAGACGCGACTAGAGGTAGTCAGGTGAATATATCGCATCGGCGGCGCACTTTCAAATGTAGAACAACATCTGGCTCGTTTTTGATCATTCTCAAAATGCAAGACTGTATGACTTTCAGCCACTAGACTGATTACCACTGTCCGATTTCGAATATCCAAGACCGTGGAAATCGACACCTCAGGCACGTTCGCAGGGTCAAATGGTGCCTGAGGCCTAAACAGAGCTCGGCTCAAGATCACATGACTCTAAATTCGCCCACCAATCACAGCCCCACAATTCGATAAGCGAGCCCACTCGGCCCACACGAACTTCACCCGCCTGCCACAAATCTGAATTTCCTTCTCCATCGACAACTTCCGCCCACAGTCGCCGACCACCCCTCCAACAGTCAGTCGCTCCCAACACTCATCAACCTACGGAATCCCTCGTTAACATTCATCCAGAAATGTCCTCCGCAAACACCGGCAAGAAGACCCGCTCGGCTATCTCCGACGTGGTGTCTCGCGAGTACACCATCAACCTCCACAAGCGGGTATGTTGAGAACGCAAAAACCCCCAAATCGAGAGATTTCCCCCTTACTCGCGAGAATTGGATTCTGTGCAGAATCTGTGGAGGTTCAAATGGACAGAGAACACACTCTCCTGAAACATGGAGTTCTTCTATGAGGAAATCAGTGTGTGTGCGCACTTGGGTGCGAAAAAGGAGACGTGAACATTGAAAAATGTTGGACCCTTTCCTTGCAAACCACCCTCAAACCACACCACCGCATCTTTCTCGAAAAAAACACACTCGATAGTCTGACGATCGGGAGGGGAGAACTTGACTTGTCTTGTCATGAGGGTTGAGACATACCTTTGAGAGATGTCGAGCAAGGTTTTCTCTCCCGGTTGGCATGGCCGCACAAGAAGAAGAAATTAGTTTTATGAAGTCCACCTCTATGGCCGAACCAGAAATTCTCGCAGGGACTCGATCTCTACCAGATGGCATTCGGACGGAAGACTAATTGCAACCTTCTTTTCAATCGTTACAGTGCCACGGTGTCAGCTTCAAGAAGCGTGCTCCCCGTGCTATCAAGGAGATCCGCGCTTTCGCCGAGAAGGCTATGGTAAGTGATTTCCACGCCTTTCCCGTCCTTGACGATCCTGTCACGCGCCCCGAACCTCCTGCTAACCTTACTTCTTCGTCACTGCAGGGCACCAAGGATGTCCGTGTCGACCCCGCCCTGAACAAGAAGGTCTGGGAGGCTGGTATCAAGGGCGTTCCCTTCCGTCTCCGCATCCGCATCTCCCGCAAGCGTAACGACGAGGAGGGTGCCAAGGAGCGTCTGTACTCCCACGTCCAGGCTGTCAACGTCAAGAACCCCAAGGGTCTGCACACCGCTACCGTCGATGACGCGTAAATGTGTTCTTTAATCCCGTCGGTGTCGTCGCTTCTATGATTCCATATTACAACTGGGGTTTTGGTCGGGGCTTTTCAAAATAAAAATACCTTCTTGCACCACTACTCTTTTCTGGCTTAATGTAGCTGTAGTTCTTGAAATTGTAGGCCATATCAGCGAGAACCAACACCCTGAATCCATTTCCTTTCCCTTGACTACACGTCACACGCCTTCTACAGCCTTTTTTTACAGCATTGAAAGTTTCACAATGGGTGCGGAAACTCTTCATTCACAAAGATGGCCTAAATGCATATCCTCGCCGGATGTAGTATGTCGATAAGAAATGCAGGTAGAAATAGAAACACGAAAAACTCCGGCCAACTTTGATATCGTACATTCAATAAATGAGAAAACAAATCCGCAACCCGACCCGGAACAGTAGAGGAAACACCCCTCTCCATTTCGCAAATAATCATCATCTCCTTGAAGTAGCCTTTAGTTTTTGATCTCTTGGATCTTGCTGTGGAGCTCATCAATGGTCTTCGCATTGACACGGATCGCCCAATGCTCGGGCTGTTCGTTGTCGGCCTGGGGCACCATGAATTGAACACTGTTGCTCTGGCGGGCATAGTCAAACTCCTCCTTCAGGAACGTGTTCAGGATGACATTACCACCGGGATCGGCACGGAGGACGATACGGGCACGCTTAGTCTCCGGGTGTTTAAGCAGGCGTAGAATACCGGTACCCTTGGATGTCCAGCCAGTGGCCAGCTTGAATGCTCTGGCACGACATTCAAAGACCAACGTTTCATCTTCCTCGCCCGCATTGGCTTGGGACATGTCGAAAAATTCACCAGGGGCAGCTTCCTCATCAGGGGTGGCGTCTCCAGAATTGACGCCGCTGGATGGCTGGGTAGAAGCCAGAGTCGACGCAGGAGCTGAAGGAGCCAGCGTGGAGTCAGTAGAGAATTTGATTGGCGAGTTGGGTTTCCAGGTCTTGTCCGCTGCTGGCGTGGCGTTGTTTTGGCCAAAGGAGATGGGCTGGCCAAAGGAAGTCGACTGGCCGAAGCTAGCCGAGAAGAGGCTCGAAGTAGATGTGGAGGTCTCCTTTTGGGGAGTTGGGGCAGGGGACTGAATCCGATCAAACAAACTGCGACCAGCAGCCGCAGTCGGCGCAGAAAGAGGTGCGTCCAGGCTGGACTTCGCGGTATCAGTATTCTCGGAAGGCTTGGTGCGCTTGGAGTTGCGCAGAGCGGATGCAAAATCGTCATCCGTACTGACATCTTCTTCCGCAGGGCGCTTTGAAGAATTAGCCTTGCCCTCATCATCAGACTCGTCGCTGTCCTTGTCAGCATTGTTGGGCTGCGGGGTAAGACGACCAAAGATATTCTCGGATGCGGGCAGAGGGCGGCCAGAGGTTTCGAAGATGGAAGCTGTGGAGGAGGCAGGAGATGGAGCACTCAAAACGGAATTGTCCGCGGGTACGAACAGAGAGTTGGCAGATGGTTTCTCTGCAGGTTTGACAGCATTGCCCCGAGTCTCCACCAAATCGGGCTCCTCGGCATCAACCCACTCGAACTTTCCGTTCCTGAAAACAGACTTCTTCTGACTACCGATTTCAAGCTTCGCGCGCTTTTCCTTCTGCTTCTCAGCATATTGGCGTTCCCATTCTTCTTCGTCATCCTCCTCGGAATCGAAATCTTCCGCCTTGCGCTTGGCTTTCTCCTCAGCCAAAGTCTTCTCTGCCTTCTGCTTGAACTGCGCCATGAAATCCACGGTGCCAACGCCATTCCCAAACTTGGGAGGGGCAAGAGCAGGAGCAGGAGCAGCGGAACCGTTCGGGGTCTTTGCAGAAGCCGCCTGTGCGAACATGTTGCCTGCCGGCTTAGGGGCTAGAGAAGCGGCGGGTGCTGGAGAAGCGACGGTGCCGTTGGAGAGTGATTTGGAGAACATATTACCCGTAGCACTCGGTGCAGGGGCGGACACAGGAACTGGTGGAGCTGTATTGGGAGTGGGCGAAGAGAAGGACTTGGCAAACACACTGGATGTAGCGGAGCCGTTGGGGCCATCGATGTGAACGGACTTCTCAGCCGCTTTCTTCACCAGTGGCTCGGGAGCGCCCTTAATAGGGGCACCCATGCCGTTCCGAACCCTGATGTAGAAGAGGATCAAATCATCGAAACTGTCCGTGCCGGGTTTATACTTCATGACTTCTTGTTTGAAGTGTGTATCCAATCCGCGAATCTTCCATAGCAGCTCCGCAGTCTCTGCTACCACCTTGTTTGTCCCAGCAGTGATATTGGGCTTCGAGATTGCTTCAGGAGCTTCGGGTTTCTGGATACTAGCAAGGCCAGAAGGTGCCGCGGTGGATGGCTTCACTGGAGTGGGTTGGGGAGTCGCAGTCTTACCACCAAGCAGATTGGCAAATGGTTTAGCGGGACTCGGCGCAGCTTGCTCTGTTGCAGGCTTCGGGGTGAACAAACTTGGTGCCTGGGCCGGCTCGGCCGGCTTGGGAGCTGTAGATGGTGTACCGAAAATATTTTTGAATGGTTGAGCAGCTTCGGTGGGCTTTTCTGGGGCCTGGGCCACCGCAGGCTTCGGTGTAAATAGACTCGGCGTGGCCAGTTCAGCTGGCTTCGAGGTAGTAGAAGCGGCACCGAAAATACTTCCAAAAGGGTTGGTCTCCGCAGGCTTGCTCAAACTCTGATCAGCCGCAGGTTTGGGGGTTCCAAACAGAGATCCAAAGGGTTTAGGCTCCGCAGGCTTTTCAAAATTTTGTTCCGTAACCGCCTTCGGCGCGAACATATTGGTTGCTGAAGCCTGTTCGGTCGCAGGCTTAGATGCAGTTGACTGTGCCGTGCTAGCCGCTCCGAAAATGTTCTTGAATGGCTGCGCCGGAGCAGTTGTAGAAGCTGCATCGTTCGCAGGAGCTTTGGCAGCAAAGAGGCTGGGAGTCGACGTCTGTTCTGCAGGCTTGGAGGCGAAAATGTTGGTTGAGGTAGATTGCTCGGCAGGGGGTTTCGGCGAGAAGATGTTGTTGGATGCAACTTGAGTCGCATCCGCTTTTTCGGGCTCTGAAGCCGCGGGTTTGAACATGAACGGGTTGCTGGAGGCCGAGGCTGGCGCTGGCGCGGTTGCTTTGGGAGCAAAGACATTATTCGTCGCCGGCTTCTCAGGCTCAGATGGGGTGGAAGTGGCAGGTGCTGCTCCGAAGAGGGACCCAAACGGTTGAGCCTGAGAGGTCGAGGTTGGTGCTTGACTAGCAAAGGCGGGCTTGGCCGCGAAGCCTTCGGCCTTATCGCTCGAGGGCTTCTCAGGAGGAGGAAAGCTCAGGCCACCAAATGGATTGCCCGCTGGTGCAGCTGGCTTCGGAGAAAATAGGTTCGGGGCTCCCGAGTCACCGAAAAGGTTTTTACTCGGGAAAGACGCAGATGGAGCAAAGGATGTCTTGGGTTTAGCATCAGGAGAAGTCTGCATGGAATCTGCAACAGGGTTTCCGTTGGCATTTGTGGCCGCCGGTTGCCCAAACAGGCCGGTGCCTACTGAAGTGCCCGCATTTTGCGGCGCACCGAACGAAAACGCCGGTTTAGGGGTTGGCTGACTTCCGAATCCACCGAAGCTTGCAGACCCAATGGTGGATGTTGGTTGAGCAGCAGGGGCCGAGTTGCCAGCACTGAAAGGGCTATTCGCAAACGGGTTACTTGCAGGAGACCCGAATCCACCGGAGAAATTGAATGACGAGCCATTTCCGCCGAAAGAGAACGGTGCCGCGCTGCCTTGAGTGGGCTGGCTGGGCGTTGTGCTAGCCCCGGGAAAGCTTTGGCTTTGACCGAAGCTGAAGCCACCTGGCTGATTTGTGGGTGCGGAAAATGAGGGAGTTGGGAAAGCTGGGGTGGAGGATAGCTGAGAGAAGGTCCCGGATGGTTCACTAGCACCACCGGTGGGGGTAGTTCCACGAGGGCGTCTGCGAATCTCTTTAATCCTATTGGCATTAGAGGGAGCCGGGGTCAGCATGCTTTCCAGACTTCGTTTGGACATGGTGGAAAGGAGTATGGATAGTTTTGCAGTATGAGACGATAGCGTTGTAAAGTAAGCAATGAAGGAAAAGAGCCGAAAGGTACACGTTTGCAGAGGTTGCGAGTGCTGGACGAGGGATGAAGTAGGAAAACCCGATGCAGAGGGAAATGAGGGGAGAGTTGACTCGACACAAAACGCGTCCAGAACACCCCAACCACGCGCATTCGGCGGGGGGACCTCCTCTGCCGTTTTGCTCTCACAAACAGACTCGTTGCAACCGACTCTTAACACGATCTCCCACCCATGACAGCTTCACACATACAACGGATGAACCAAAAGCGAAGAAGCGACTTACTTTCTGTTGGCCAGCTGAGCAGCCGTCGCCCGTTGGGGCTTCTCGTCAGGTGTGCCCGACATACCGAACTCTTCTAACGTATCCTTAGACCCTTGAGGACCTTGCGCCGTGCGTTTTGACATGCTACGGCAGGCTTATATCATCCGTGCGCGCACCTGGCTCCAAGCTCAAATGGTTCGCGGGCAACGAAGAAGCCTGACCACGTTCCCTCAGATCAACGACGATCCTCGAACCTGGCGCTCGCTCATACACGATACGGTTCCACGGGTCTCGATAGGTTTCGACGGATGAATGTTTGGCCTGGCCTGGTGGTCACGATCGATAACAGGATGCGCTCGAATGCCAACCGCGTATGATACCTGGTCGAAAGCGGAGTTCCAATATCACGCGCGGCCCAGATATCACCGGTACGGTGGATTTGAATCACCGACTGTTCGATTCTTCAGCCGCCCAGAGACCGAATCTCAGGTTGACTTTGTCGGGCTGATTGTTGGTCGTTGACGGCGTCCGGTTCCGTGACACGACCTCGATCGTGATCCGAAGCGCGAGGGGCTCCAAGGCGGGCTCACCGGGGTGAAGGATGATGAAAGGAGAACAAAGAAGAGATGTGTTTATCCTGAAGGATAAATAGTCCAGGCGATGGTTAGTTGGGGAAGAGGAAGGTTGTGGGATGGCCCTGGTTTATTTTTTTTTTCAACGTTCGCGGAGGTTGTCGCGGAGGCAAGAACACCACAGCAGAAAAATGCAGTCACGTGGTTTCTTGGCATGACGATACACAAACCTATCTGGCTATACAACGAGGCCGGACTCATCAACCGGTCTCTCTGCCCTTGGAGAAGATTGCCCGCCAGTCGACCGTTCATAAAGCACTTTGCTTTCGGGCTGTCCAGTCACCGCACTGGAAAACTCCATGACTCGGAGTGTGAAGCTCTGAAGCGTGATGTTGATGCAAGTTGCCGCAGGCATCCAAGTCCTGCTTAGATATGTTGGTCAAGTAACTACCTAAAGGCGGTTGCCAACTCAGCGATGCAGATAATGCATGAATTATCTGATTTTCACCATCTTTATGCAACTAATCCCGTGAGCTTTATCTGTCGATCTTACATAACAGTATACTGATAATCATACAACACCTCTTTCTAGAGGTCTTTCGTTTAATAACTTGCGCTTAGTCGTATGATCACGTAGTATCTATTTTCTAATTTTTGGTCTTGTTCTTGATTTAAAAATAGACTATACGATGGTAGAGTTCTTTGTGTAAGGGGAGAGTCGGGGTAGGGAAGAGGGATACTCCTAACGTATTTATTAGTCTTTGCGGTTTCAAAGAGGTAAGGTAAAAGGGCTTTCCACTAGAATTTAGTATAAATTAAGGTCATGGATTCTGCAGGTAATTATTACACATACAGTAATGTGCTATTGCACCTGGCACCTACTGACCGTGGTCCGGTAGTCCCAGAACAAGCCAACCTCATCCTATCCTCCGAAGCCATCAAGCTTACGACATTCTGCCGTCTCATTCGGCATCAAGCTCCTCATCAACGATTAAGCCCTCGCCTATATCATGCGTATCTGGTTTCAGAAAGGCATTGGCCCTGGTACCAACATCACTCTCGACCGGCCCGTTCCCTTGCGATGGAAAATTGTTCAGAAGCTAAGCGAGGATGATTTGCAGCTTACCGAAGGTGAGCATCTCTCCCTCGCTGTCACCAAAATCCTCTGTTGTGACCCGGAGTACCGCACAAGCTTGCACTTATGCGATGTTATATGCAAGTCCCCTATGAGAATACAGAGATGGACGTTGCGGACACCGGAGCTACTCAGGCTACGACATATATCCCTGAAGAGTTACTTGCATACCAGGATCTTACTTCCCAGGAGTTAGGAATTACTCCGAAACTCTTGGGATTTAAAATCACAAGTCAGGACAAGTCGGGGCTTGTCCCTGGTGGTTTCGTGGTCTGGTTGGCGTGGGAGATGGTGCCAGGGTTACGCCTCGGTATTAAGGATGGATGTCTTTGGGCCTCATGCATTCTGGGCTCTAGATGCTGCCGAAAGAGAAGAAATCCGGCAACACTTTGTGGAGAACCTCCTGTAGGTCGTTGAAGCATCTCTCGTTCTACATCGTTCATTGCTAACACCCATACTAGAGCAATAGAGACGATTGGACATTTTTCTGATACGCCCGCGTTGAGTAGCCTAGTCTGGGATAAGGATTCAAAAACCCTGTACGTTGTAGCAGATATCCTTGCAAACTGTTACTGACAATCGATAGTTATTTCATTGGATTTCGCTTGCGCAACAAGGCAACGGGAGAACCCCGCATCACCGTTCCTGACGTTAAGTGGACCGCATATTTTGGGCTCGCTCAACCGGACTCGCATGCATCGCTGAAAGGGGGATGGAATCAGGATACCTCGGGTTGGAAATGGTAGTCCAGGCATGTGTAACAGAAGGGAAGTGCCATCTGTGCTAAGAACAGCCATTCCAAGAACGTTGTTGCGCTCTAGAGCGAATCTCCATCCAGGGCGTCACTCGGTCGGTGCTTATGGATACGGAGGTCCAGATATGTATCATAACACAAAGGTAGTCGATGCACTCTTAGTCGGGAGATTCTAGAAATAAAAGCTCACTGGAAAGTCGTGCTACAATGGAAATTATGAAGATGTCTCTCTTGGCATTTTACTGCAGCTCTTGTAGAATGCTTTCCTAACTATGACGTCGCGACGTTGGGAGCAAGCTAAGTCCGCCTTAAACCCGTCCAGATGTACGCGACACTGGACTCGCATCCGTGCACAGTGCACACGCGGAGTATCGGCTATGTTCAAACGATGAGTGGACGACAACTCTCCAGAGATGAATGTCAGGCTGTAATTAAGGTTTACTCTCGTGCCCAGACAGTAATGCCGTGTCGGAACATCGCTAACTACCTAGTGCCAATTACCCAAAGTATATCGCTCGACAGAATATCCATTTCACCCTTGAAAAATGTCTCCGATGGGATAGATACCAAAAAAAATCGATATTAAATACTTAGACGGATGCTTGCATGAAGCCCTTGGTCGGCTATCAGATCAGGCGAGATCATGATCGCGTGTCTAGGTGGGTCAGTTCATGTTGGGACAACTCGAACCGCAACGTGAGCCTGAATGTAACAGAACCTAGGTAAAATGAAAACCCTCGTAGGCCGTACCACAGCAAGGGACTCACCGGAAAAAGGAAGGGAGTGAATGTCCTAGGCTGGTTCGATATTCTTCCGACTGGCCAACGTATTTGTGCTGTGAAACGACGGCCAAAGACTATCAAAGCCTGCACTATGAAAATGAGAAGAAAAAAAGATGAGACTAATCTCTTTAAGGACATTCTCGGTGAAGAAAATCAGATTCCCGCCGCATCACCACATTTACATTTGAGGCTTGCGCATGCGAGAGGACCTGGATCTTGTGCTAGTGTCTCGTCATTAGGTTTCCTTGCTTGCAGAATACGAAGTATATGAATTCGATCGAATGTTCCACCGTATCCGTGCCCTTTGGTAACACCCACCGCTTCCGCTTTTGGGTGCACCACGGTTTACCGGAAGTCACCAAACACCGTCTCTTTTTCAAGAAATCATCGAATTAATCAACCAATTAGCTAGTTATCAATAAAAAAAAAAATCTCCCTGCTCTCTCGCCTTCTCCTCATTCTCAATTGCCCGTTGAATAGCCTCGGCAGGCCTTTTTGTAGGTTTAAAACCATACGCCTTTTCGAACTGCTTAGCCAGCTTCCTCTCCTCCTTAGCCATCTCTTTCGCCTTCCTGTCACGAATTGATCGATTTGCATCGCGAGGCTTCAATTTACCATCTTGACTAAGCGGTTTAACCTGCCGCTTAGTATATTGGCGACGTACTGGCTCTTGTACAGATCTGATTCGCCGAATTGTATCTTGGGTCATGGCAAGCTCTTCAAGCTTCTCTCGCTGGTGGGCGAAGATTTTGGTAAGATCTCGCTGCATCTTCTCTGAAAGAGAATTGAGGTGTTTGTAAATCTTCGCCTGGTTCTTCTCTAGTGCTTCAATAGATTTTGGAGGGCTATTTTCAATACTAGAAGACGAGAGATTTGGTGGCGGAGATGGTGTAGAAGTAGGTGTAGCCGTACGCGACCGAAGATTAGGTGCATAGATATCAGAAATTACTAGTTGATTCGTAAGATTTTCAACAATCTTACTACCATCAACCGGCCAGATTCCACGCTCTTTAAAAGAATCGCGAATAATTCGTTGGCTAAAGGTTTTCGATCGAATCGGGCCAATTATAGATAGGAAATCTGCCTTCCCGTACGGCTGGCCACCCCAGAAGGATAGCTCATTATTCATAAGCCGAAATTGCTGCTTATAATTCAAGAAAGGCTTGCCATCAAGTGGTTGACAGAGATGCGTTGAATGAGGTAGGAAGCCGAATGGGATAATCGCATTATCCTCGCATTTCTGTAGGAATTCGAGGGTAAGATGCGCGCCATGGCCATCGAATATAAGATAGCGCTTTTCGCCCCTTTTCACCCGATCGGTAGTAGCAGTAATAAAATAGCCTAGCCAGGATAGGGCTAATTCATCAGAAATCCAGCCGTTTGGTGAGATTGTAGTGCCAGTTTCGCGTGGGAGATCTTCACTACCGTAGAACCAGGCCTCCATAAGATTCTTCCTACTACCTTTGAAGATAAAGAGCGGGTCCATCAGCCAGCCATCTGCACTAATACATTCAACTGCAGTAATAGTCTCGCCCCTCTCTCCTTCGGCTAGGTCAGGGCAAGATGATTTAGAGCCAATAACCTTTCGAGATTGCCCTTGACCGGGTTGGAAGCCGCATTCATCGAAGTTGTATACTAGCCGTGCGGGGACACCATGGAGAAGAGCTGCAAGCTGGTCGTACCAGTACGCAAGAAGCCCTGCATCTTCAGCTTGGATTCGATTCTTCTCCTTGGTCTTCTGCTTCACTGGGGCTAGATTCAGGTGCTTTGGGAGACGCGCTTCAAAGCGGTACGCCCACATCTTGCTAACCTGCCTATCCCGGCCCGCTCGCTCAAGCGCGCGATTTGCCCACGCCTGGATAACCCCGGCAGTAGGTGGTAGATTCCACTTATACATTTGGACTATCCAATTGGTCAAGGCCTTCTCCTGGTATAGCGAAAGGGCATTTTTCAGTGGTGTAGTGGGTGTAGCAGGCGTTTTGGCCTTTTTGACGCGATCGGCCAGTGTAGTGCGAGACACGTTGAATTCACGCGCAATCTTCGTGATATTCGGTCTCTTTTGGCCCGAAGCCAATCTGCAGGCTTCGGCCATGCGAGATTCGTCAAAATTAGCAGATTTAGTCATGTTGGGTGGTTGAAATAGCTGATTGTAGGTAGGTGTTGAAAAAGAGACGGTGTTTGGTGACTTCCGGTAAACCGTGGTGCACCCAAAAGCGGAAGCGGTGGGTGTTACCAAAGGGCACGGATAACACCATTTGCCATTTTGTCATTATCATCATTGCTATTATGAATTATGCTTTGCTGGAACCATGACCCATTCGCTCGATAAGAAGATGATGAAGCCGTTCAAAAAGTATAGTTAATTAGTTGCAACCTAGTTGCTACTGTAGGGTTTGGCTTATTATGGCCGTCGTGTCACTATTCCCTGTTCCTTGTTTACAATAAGGCATAACTTCAAAAATTAACCCCTGAGTTCAGAGTCACATTTCCCCCTCAAATGTGGCGGCAATGAAGCCTGCAGCTAGTCACATTCCATTCCCGCTTTTCGCTGCACTCCACAGGGCTAGTGTCCCTAGTTTCTTCCCACACTGCAATAAAGAGGCAGCCCTTCGGTCGCCCGATTGGTCTGATGCCGCTAACATCGACAGGGGATCTTGACCCCCCGTGGGGCCCGATCGGCATTGTCGATTCCCGTTCTTAATTCTGCGCGCCCCCCGATCATGAGGCAAGAAACCCGGCGTGACAGCCTCACCAGCCGAACCGGTCATGATGGCTTGCTTCAGCCCATGTCCTTGACTACACCACTTTCGTGATCTAGCCCCGGATTTCCAAGGTCACTCGCCATCTATTTCTCCGTCTCGAGTGGTATCTGGGGGTGGCATTTCTTCACGCTAGTTTTGACGATGCCTTGAAGGGTGTCGCGCGGAGGGGGTGCTTCACCCCTTTTTCAAATTGTCATGCGCGTTCCATGGGGGTTATTGATCCTCGCTGCATTATGGCTGCTGCGGAGCGCGATGAGGATGGGTATTTATAAGATCAGCCATGTGTCCTGTGCACTGTCAGGGTGGCCCACCTTCTTTTGGTCGAACCTGGAGTCAAGATGCATTTCGCGCCATTGCTCTCCTGCCTTGCTGTCGTAGCTTGTGCGCATGCACAGCTATTGGATCTTCCGCAAGTTGACAAGCTGGTCAAGGAGGCCTTGAAGCCGCTGGCCGCGTACACGAACTATCATGGACCCAAGGCGGGTACTGTTAACTTGCGCATCCCCCTGTGGTGGAAGGGCTGTTAGCAGATGCCGACGATTCTTCATACTGGCTGGCGGACATCAGTCATCAAGGTCTGGCCGCATTCAATTCCAATCCATCTGGATATAAGGTATTCCGCAATGTCAAGGACTACGGTGCCGTCGGTAAAGTTATACCATCAAAAGGCTGAATAGTAATAAAATTCTAATATGTAATCTAGGTGACGGCGTGACGGATGACACCGCTGCAATCAATGCTGCCATTAGTGATGGTGGCCGTTTTGGTCCTTCAAGCCGCGAGTCATCTACAACAACCCCTGCCATTGTGTACTTCCCAGCCGGAACATACCTGATATCGTCGTCAATCATTGACTATTACTTTACCCAACTGATTGGCAATCCCAACTCAGTACCAGTCATCAAGGCAACACCCGGGTTCACAGGCCTTGGTTTGATTGACGGAGACCAATACCAGAGCGATGGCAATCAGGGCTGGGGCTCTACAAACGTCTTCTACAGACAGATCCGGAATTTGAAGCTAGACATGACCTCTATCCCAGCCAGTTCTGCTGCTACTGGTATTCACTGGCCGACTGGACAGGCCACTAGCATCCAGAATGTTCAAATTGCGATGAGTTCTGCGTCGGGCACTCAGCACCAGGGCATTTTTATCGAGAATGGTACGTCTACCCGCAAGATGGAGTGACCACTTGCTGATATATTTTCAAAGGCTCTGGAGGCTTCTTGACCGACCTCACAATCACCGGTGGACTCTACGGACTTAACGTCGGCAACCAGCAATTCACTATGCGCAACGTGGCTGTCTCCGACGCAGTGACTGGTATCTCCCAAATTTGGGACTGGGGTTGGACATATCAGGGACTCACCCTGACCAACTGTACAACTGGCCTCTCGATCAGCAATGGAGGTGCTGGTAATCAGCTCGTTGGCTCGGTTAATGTTCTTGATAGTACCATCCAGGATTGCCCTACCTTCGTGACCACGGCCTGGGCTAGCTCAAGTTCGTCAAACGGTAGTCTTATCCTGGAGAACATTGCCCTTGACAATGTTCCCGTCGCAGTCAAGGGTACTAGCGGCACTGTCTTGGCCGGAACAACAGGTACTACGACCATTAGCGCTTGGGGCCAGGGTCACAAGTACACTCCGAGCGGGCCCACCAACTTCCAGGGCAGCTTTACCCCACCAACGCGTCCGAGTTCTTTGCTCGCGAGCGGTTCATCAAGTTACTACACCAAGACCAAGCCTCAGTATGAGGCTTCGCCTACATCCTCATTCGTCAGCATTCGCAGCGCTGGAGCCAAGGGCGATGGCTCCACAGATGACACTGCAGCCATTCAATCAGCAATTACCTCGGCGGCATCGTCTGGTCAAATTGTCTTCTTTGATCAAGGAACATATAAGGTCACAGGTACCATTTATGTTCCGTCCGGCTCCCGGATTGTTGGCGAGGCATACCCAGTGATCATGGCTAGCGGAAGCAAGTTTTCAAGCATCTCTAGTCCTGTGCCTGTCATCCAGGTTGGCAAATCTGGTGAGTCTGGGTCTATTGAATGGTCAGATATGATTGTTAGCACACAAGGATCTGCGCCGGGAGCTGTCCTTATTGAATGGAACTTGGCTGCAGCATCCGGCTCTGGTATGTGGGATGTTCACACCCGCATTGGAGGATTCACCGGCTCTCAGCAACAGGTCGCTCAGTGTCCCACTACTGCCGCTGTGAGCGCTGCGTGCGAAGTTGCTTATATGTCGATGCATATCACTAGCAGCGCGAGTGGTGTGTACTTGGAGAATGTGTGGCTTTGGACTGCGGACCACGATCTTGATAGTGCCTCCAACACCCAGATCTCGGTGTATACTGGCCGTGGCCTGCTGATTGAAGGAAAGAATATCTGGCTGTAAGTTGTGTCTTCTCACCCGAATATGACCGCTTGGTATTGCTAACGTCTATGTCAGCATTGGAACCGCGGTAGAACACCACTCTCTGTATCAGTACCAATTCTCCGGTGCCAGCTCAATCATGGCAGGATTCATTCAGACTGAGACACCGTAAGTTAGAACTCGCCAGGAATTAACGTTCGCCTCTGATGACTGACACGCATTATTCAGGTACTATCAACCCAACCCCAACGCAGCGAACAGCCCTTACCCAACCAACTCTGCCTTGAATGACCCCAGCTACAGCAGCTGCCTCGGGGGAAATTGCGACGCCCTGGGTCTCCGCGTGCTCAACAGCCAGGACCTCGTTATTTATGGAGCCGGGCTGTACAGCTTCTTCAACAACTACAGCACTGCCTGCTCCACATTCCCCACTCCCGAGAATTGCCAGAGCGAGATCTTCAGTATCGAAGGCACCACTAGTGGATTGGTGGTTTACTCGCTGAGCACCGTGGGAACGACCAACATGATTGTCAAGGATGGCAGCTCTCTTGCTGTTGTCAGCGATAACCTGGACACCTTTGCTGCTACCATTGCGTACTTCACTCTCTAGGATGGCTGTGGATTCTGTTTCTTTATGGGTAAATATCATGATCATACAATCGCCTATTCTCGTTTGTCCATCGTACTCCTTTTTTCAGGCCCTGTTCGATTAGAAGATCTCATCAAAATCTGGACAAAGTAGAATTGGATCTACGACCCGATAAGGTAACTTCAAATTATTCAGTTAGTCTTTGTAACTGCTGCACTGTAGTTGGCCATTTCCGACAAGTCTTCGGCTAAGTGTGTAAATCCCGGATATAAATCCGAGGTGGAGATCTGAGGTGGTGGGGGCGTGGGGGAATTAGAGCAATGAGGGGTGACAACTCGGGCGAGGAACACAAAGATAACCCGAGGCAAGCTTGTTGGCTATGCCTTGTCGTCGTGTATTTAGAGTGTAGCGCCCGCAACAAACCCCCGCATCCTTTTCGCGTCTGAATCCTATAAGAACGCGACTCATCAATCATGTCAACCGAAAACGACAAAGTGATACCCTTCGAGTCTCTCCCGCTGGATCCCAATGGCCCGCGTGGGAATGCCTGGGGTCGATTCGGACCAAACGACGAGCTTGGTACCTTGAACTTGCTTACTCCAGAGGTGATCGTCGAGGCGGCGAAAGAGATTCGGACTGGAATTCGGATATCACTTGACTGGCCGCTTAGCATGCCAAGCTATCCTAGCTTCGACCGCAATCCATTCGAGCAGAAGCTGGTTCTGCGGAATCCGAACTGCATTTATGATGATATTTTGACGTTTAATAGTCAGGGTTCGACACAGTGGGATGGGTTCAGACACTATGGTATGTATTTTCCTGAGTGATTGACGTCGAACTGCCCGGGTCTTACAAACGGACACAGTCATGATGCCTTACCACTATGGGAAAGCTAACATTAATGTGCTTGTTTAGCCAATCAGAAAATGCGCCGCTTCTATAATGGACACACTACGGAGGAGATCGAGAATTCAGATGTGATCGGTCTTCACAGTATGAACAAGCATACCCACGATCTACATTGATCCAAGCTAATCGATTGATAACAGCCGTTGCCGAACATGGCGGCATGACAGGCCGTGGTGTTCTACTTGATTTCGCGGATTGGGCCGGATCCAATGCAGTCTCCATCTCGGCTCTCGAGTCACAGGCCATCACCCTCGAGAGTCTCAAACAAGTGGTCAAGGATCATAAACTCAAGTTCTGCAAGGGCGATATCCTATTCATCCGTAGCGGTTTCACCGCAGCATACAATAAATTGAACGATCAACAGCGGCGAGATCTCCCGAATCGACCAACGCCGGACTTTATTGGCGTGGAAGCGACCGAGGGTATGGTGCGATGGTTATGGGATCACCAATTTGCCGCGGTGGCTGGCGATGCACCTAGTTTCGAACGCGCTCCAATCCGTGGCAGTCATGCAGATCCGAATTTCAATCTGCACGAATGGGTGTTGGCAGGATGGGGGACGCCCATTGGGGAGATGTTTGACCTGGAGAAGCTCTCCCAGCACTGTAAGGCTACTGGGAGATATAGTTTTTTCTTGTCCAGTATGCCACTCAAGGTACGCTCTTATCGCCCCCAAGTAGGCTATCTTTCCTAAATGCTGATGCAAACATGTTCAACAGGTGGTTGGAGGAGTGGCAAGTCCACCTAATGCGTTTGCTATTTTCTAGTTAGTCCAACATTGACCCCAGCATAGGATCTTTAAACTCGTCTTTTAAATCGTGTATGAAATCGTGTTTGGAAGCGTCTTTTGACTCGTAGACAAATCTACGTAGTGCTGGGGATCAGTACTCTGATAAATGTTGTGATGTCCATCTCCCGGAAGTCAAGTAGAGTAGAGGACCTGCGGCTGCGGCGAATGGGTTGTGTTGTGGTTGTCTCTCCCCCTTGAACACACACGCCTTTACCTCCAACGATCCTCCAATACTTGCAACGATCAGCTAAAATCCTAAAACAATACGGCGCAAAGAAATACCATGCCTTGAGAAATTTTCTATTCCGTCAAGGATGAGATGCGTTTGAGATTATTGGCCCCTAAACCAAAGAGAGACCCCGTGCCACCGGAGGATCATTAGTCCGCCCTCCCCCACACCATACAAGTGCAACGTGAGCCTCGACATGACTCGACTGTGATTGAGCCACGAATTTGGGGGACTGAGATGGTTCTGGGCCAGAAGGAATGATTGATCAGTATCCTCTCTTTTCAAATGTTGGCAGGCCCAATTGCCCGCAATTTTGGGTTCGTGATCTCTTTCTCCTTAATTGCGTTAACTGTGTCCAAGCTGACCAATCCAGGACTCGGAAAATGCACGGCTGTCCCCATGTGCGTTGCCTTACCTGGTGATCGCTCCCACCAGCATCATTCTGCTTGTTGCATGTCGCCTTCTGCTAGGCTCAATTTTACGACAGTGGCGGCCGCAATGGACTCTTCCATTTATCTCAGAGCAAGATGAATACCAAGGGTTCCCGCTGGAAGGGGTTAAACAATCCCTTGGATGGACTCTTGCGCTTCTCACGTTTACATGCATTGGCTTTGTTGCCGAGCTTATGCATTTCTTCCCTCCAAACATTGACGTATCGGCCGTTGCCTTTGTTGCATCGTGGGTAAGTTGTTTAGCACTTGTGATGAGGATGACACGTTATTGACACATTCCTAGGCCGCAGCAGGAGTAGTAATCACGGTCAAACGACCGAGGTCATGTTCAATTTCTATGCTAGTCTTTTTCGTTTTATGTTTCATGATCGAGATCATACTGGCCACCGCATTCTATGACAAATCGAGGTTCCAGACAACTTCTCGTTACGTTGCTGCTTCCGCGGCTTTGATGGCTTGCTTCACGATTCTCCTGATGCCATTTCGAAAACCTTCGCTTCCAGTGATTGATATCAGTACTGTTGGACAGACACCATGCAGCGATCTTCGCAGTCCAGAGGATAATTTACGATTGTGGCAGTTTATGACTGTATCATGGATGGCACCGCTAATATCCCTCGGACGCAAGAGACAGCTCAATGAGCCGGACGTCTGGTTCTTGGGATTTGAGTTCCAGCATAGTCGGCTCCACGAAAGGTTCCGTCGGCTTCGTGGATCCGTCCTTCGACGGGTACTGCAGGCGAACGGACTGGATGTCCTCATTATCTCCGTGATTGCTGTCGTGCAAATGATGTGCTCCTTCTCCACACCCGTCCTTCTGCAACAACTTCTGCAAGCAATGCAGGACCCAACTAAGCCGAAACGTGTGCCCCTAACGTATGCCGTTCTTGCGCTTGCACTCCGTCTGGTGGCCGCACAGTCTCAGGTGTTGAACTTGTGGTATGGAAGACGATGTTATGAGCGATCTAGAGGTGAAATGGTAATGATGGTGTATGAAAAAGCACTTTCACGCAAAAACATTCTCGGTCTACACGTTGAGAGCGAACAGAAGCAGCCAAGTGGAGAAGAGCCCACCGATGGCGATCCCACGATTCAGGAGGTTGAAATCTTGCCTGCCACAAAGCCAACCCTCTGGAACCGTTTGTTCTCAAGACGTAAACCGCAACCGAAGAAACCTAAAGAGGCTGCCACACTAGGTAAAATCTTCAATCTTCTTCGAGGCGACGTCTATGATGTGGCCCAGCGATTTTGGGAGATCGACGTTCTCATCGACAAGCCAGTAGGCTTGGTCATCGCCATTTTCCTTGTATGGACACTATTTGGCCCGTCTTGCTTCCTGGGTATTCTAGCGGTCTTGGTCGCCCAAGCTCTGAACGCTGTCATCACACGATTCCTTCTTCGGCGGGAACGACTCACACGAGCCGCCACGGATGTTCGCCTGCAGATCACATCGCAGTTCGTGGAAGCGATTCGGCATCTTCGATGGTACGGCTGGCAAGATCATTGGCTTCGACGAGTCATGGACGCTCGGCAACACGAGTTGAACCGGCGAATCATCACTAAACTATGCACCACTGCGATCAATTTCATCAACGCCTTTGCAAGCGGTGTCTTTCCAGTGGTCGCTCTATACGCCTACACTATGTTAGCTGGCCATGAGCTGCGTATTGATATCATTTTCCCTGCCTTGCAACTATTCACCATGCTCGAGACACGCTTGCGCGAAATCCCAAGTCTAATCACCGCGCTCATCAATGCTTCTATTGCACTTGGTCGTATCGAGGACTTCATGGCAGAACCGGACAAAGCGCAAGTTGATTCTGAGCAACCTCTAGATGACACCCCTTTTCGACTTGATTCATGTTCGTTTGCTTGGCCCGGTAAAATATCACCAGTCCTTCGGGACATCACTGTGGCTATCCCAAGAGGCCTCACTGTTGTGAGTGGAAAGGTTGGCGCCGGAAAGACAGCTTTCCTCCAAGCTCTCCTTGGAGAGTTGGATCGTCTTAGTGGCTCATGCCGTCTGCCGAACGAAACTATCGGATACTGCGCACAAACACCATGGCTACAGAGTATGAGCATTCGAGATAACATTCTCTTCTCCGCTCCCTATGAAGAGCAGCGTTACAAGCGGACTCTAGACGCTTGTGCCTTGCTTCCAGATCTTTCCCAATTCAAGCATGGTGACTTGACCTTCATTGGTGAGAATGGCGTTGGTCTCTCTGGTGGCCAGAAGGCACGAGTGGCTCTTGCTCGGGCGGTCTATAGTGCTTCCCGCGTGTTGCTTCTCGATGATCCACTGTCAGCTTTGGACCATAATACGGCCGAGTTTGTAGTTCGTAAATGTCTCTCCGGGCCGCTAATGCAGAACCGCACCATTGTTCTGGTGACACATCGTACCGCACTTGTGCGTGATATCGCTGATCAGATCGTTGAAATCGACGAAAGCCGTGCCGTTTTTCACAGCAAGGCTGCTATCATGGCATCAACCAAAAGAGATGGGTCTGGTCTTTTATCGAATCTCAACGACTCTGAGACCGAGACTGAAGAAGCCAGCGCCGAAGAAGAGGCAGCTGCAATTCCGGACAAGTTCATTGAAGAAGAGCACCGCGCAGAATGGGGTGTCAAGGCCCGCGTCTATTGGAACTACATCAGGGCTGGCAAGTACCGGTGGTGGGCTATTCTTGTTTTGGTTCTCACAATCTACCGACTTATGGCCGTTGGACAGTCGTGGTTCCTCAAAGAATGGGGTGAAGCCTACAGCCAAGCATCTCTTCCTCGCAGTGCACTGTCGGTCTGGAGCCAATCCATGGACACCTCACTAGTCTCAATCTCGAGCGTGGATGCATACTTTGTACCTGAAAGTCCCATCGACCGGCTTCCATCTCCACAAGAAGATGTTCGCCCGTGGTTATGGACATTTTTCGCCATCATCTGCTTCCAAGCAGCTGCACTTTTGGTCGCTCAGCTACTCATGCTGATCATTGTCTACTGTGCAGGCAAGACACTCTTCCACCAGGTGATGATTCGGGTCAGCCATGCCTCGTTCCGTTTCTTCGATGTCACCCCGGTAGGTCGGTTGATGAACCGTCTTACTTCGGACATCAGCGTGGTGGACGGCAACATTAGCGCGCAGTTCCAAGCAATTGCGTTCCATGCAATTACTTGGATCTCTTCCATATTGGTCATTGCCACGGCGACCCCAACCTTCCTCGTCTTCTCGTTGATTCTCACTGTCGCCTTTGTGCTTATTTTCTTGCGATTCCTGCCAGCATCCCAAAGTCTGCGCCGACTTGAGATGGTGTCATTGACGCCGCTATTATCCAACTTTGGGGAGTTGCTGCATGGACTGACTACTGTGCGCGCGTTCCGTGCAGAAGAACGCTTTCAGAATCGGGTCATCTCCGTGGTTGACAAGTTCCAGGGCATGGATCACTTCTATTGGTCATTACAGGCATGGCTCATGTATCGCTTCGAAAGTTTGTCTGCACTTTCAACCTTTTGCCTGACTGTTTTGGCGCTCTATACCAACACTACACCCGGGCTGGTGGCCTTTGTGCTCATCGCTGCCAATAATTTTGTCGACTCCACACATGCGCTGTGCCAGCAGTATGGTCAATTGCAGATGGACTTTGTGTCGGTTGAGCGCATCGACGAGCTCTTGCATATTGAGGAAGAACCACGAGGCACGATCGATCCTCCAGCGGCATGGCCAACGTATGGTAGCGACGTCATCTTTGAGAATGTCACCCTTCGATATGCCCCACACCTCGATCCAGCTTTGAAAGATGTCTCCCTCCAAATTCCCGGCGGGTCGACTACCGCTGTCATCGGCCGAACGGGCAGCGGTAAATCTACATTGGCCGTATCCCTTCTCAGTGTTGTTCGACCGGAAACCGGCCGCATCATGATCGACGGCATCAACATTGCCGATGTGAACACACAAGCACTCCGCACACGGGTTACATTCGTCGCCCAGGACCCCATTCTTTTCCCCGGTAGTGTCCGTCTTAACCTTGATCCCACGGAGGAGTTCGCCGATCAACAGTGCGCTGACGTCCTGGAGCGGCTCTGCGGCCGGCATGGATGGACCCTTGACACTCGTATCGAAGCTGGCGGTAAGAACCTCAGTCAAGGTCAACGCCAACTGATCGCTCTTACACGCGCTGTTCTTCGACGCAGTCCAGTTGTGATCCTCGATGAGGCCACCGCTTCGATTGATCACGAGACCTCCCTTGAAATCCAGCAGATCATTCGAGAGGAGCTGCAGCTGTCAACGGTTATCACTATTGCCCATCGGGTTGAAGCTGTGAAGGATGCGGACTACTTTGTGGAGCTGGACCAGGGGAAGGTCCATCGATATGGGAATGTCCGAGATCTGTAGTCAACGTACTGGAACCACTTTTAGATTTCGCCCACATATTTTCTAGCCTGTGGAAACCCGTATGCGTTGTTTCAACCCTCTACAGTCGCCTCATTCTATCACGGCGCATCACTTATACATAGAATTTTAGCAAGTGCATACATTACGAAGAAAAATGCAAGATGAGCTTGAAAGTCAAGGCTTTACCCAAGGAACGTTTTCATGTACATGTGTCAAAGAAAGGGTATCTAAATATTTACAGCTTGGCCTTGCCCTGAGCCTTCTTGAGGATAGGCTCCATCTTGGTGGCCTTCATGATGTTGCCCTTGATCTTGAGCTTACCGCCCATGAACAGACGCTGGGCGTTAGCCTTGCCAGAGACGAGGGAAGCGAAGTCTGCGTCGGAGAGGGAGAGGGTCACTAAATTATGAGCAACATCAGTATCGATCGAGAAATATTTCTTCAAGCCACGTATTTGCGCTGCTCAAACTCACCGTCAGCCTTGGCACCAGCGGGGGCGGCACCCTGGCCAACCTCGCCCTTGTTCTTCAGGTCGAGGTACCAGCTGGCCTCCTCGCCCTTCTCGTTCTTCAGGTTGAAAGAGACGATGGCCTTGGCCTTCTCGACGGCGTCCTTGCGCTCGGCGGCATCGGCCTGCAGCGTCTGGTTGATCGCGTCGAAGGCGGCGGAGGCGGGGAAGGAATCTGTGGTTGGTTAAGCTGGTTAGCGGAGCTTCTTGCGACCAGGACCGCAGAGTGGATGATGGAATTGAGATGGAGACATACCCTTCTTGAGAGACATGGTGGATGAATGTGGGAGGAATGATGGGGGTGGATGGATGGGGATGGGATGGATCGAAAGACAGAGTCGGTATAAGTTATATATGACGAAAGATGAAATGCGCCGGGGCGCGACATGTGAACTTGGCTTGTTAGCGCCACTGCCGTGCCGAGGCCCCGTGAACCCCCCGTGAATCCGTGCTCCACCCCACACGCGACTCGAGACGATCTTGACGGACACTACGAAGTACGACTCTTGACAGGAGACGACATTTATTCATGACATTATTGTTCATAAACCCCGTCGCAGGCGATCTCACAAGGACATGATCCCGCCAATCTTCCCCAAACCACCGAGTCCGAACTAGTACCCACCACGATCTTCCCCAACGAACCTGGAACAAATCCCCAGAACGAGCAAAACTTATGTCCCTTCCGGAGTACTCCACATCAGCCGGACCTAAATTCCCCTTTCCGATTCAAACGGACCCGTTACTTGGTCTATTGTTGGACGGTTTATTAGTCAACTGGGTCGCACGAATCCGGTATTCATCGCGAATCTCGCGATGCACTAACTCTCCAGCCCGCGACAATCGTTTCCCTTTTTGACCCTCCGAGGACCCTCGCTAGCTGCGACGTCACCGCCGACGCGAGGCTGAGGATGGTAGCTGCCGCTTCATATGATCGGGTCTTCCCCAGGAATGCTCGTCCACTTGCGTCGCCAAGCTGTACAGTGCTTCACAATGTCGCTGTACTGGATGAATTCCCGGTGGCATTGACTGCTGGCTGGCCGCCATGGGCTTCAGCATAATAGGCACGTCGACGCTGCGTTCGCGTGTCTGGTACTGTTTCCACCGGGCGCTGCCGCTTATTCGAGTCAACGGTGCCAATGCTTCATCCCATGTGCCCGCACGCAAGCGTATATCTTGAAAGTTGATCTCATGCAGCGATTTTCGATGATCGAGAATGAAGGACGCTACCTGCGATGCATCCATCACCACATTGACCAACTCTACATCCTGTAGGTAGGGCAATGAAGCGGACGTAAAACCGGGCGCCTCTGCGCGCTATCCGATTGCCTCAATCTTTTGTTGGTTGTGTTTCGGAGACAAGGCTCATTTGCCAGCGACAATGGCGACAGGCCTCTTTCGCCTTTCCAATGGAATACCAGCGTCCGGAGCTCAGGGAAGCTTTGGAGATACGCATGCAAAAGCTTAAAGTGGTCTGTGGGCGAACCTTCGCGGTAAGGGAAGCTCTCCATGTGAATGGTAAGTTGTCGAATCTGTGACCAGCGCCTACGCGAGGCAGGCGATGCACCGAATCCCAGATTTGGCTGGAGATAGAGCACCGCGGCGGGATGAACTGACAACAATGAGAGTCTGTCTAGAAACGTCAATGATACCTGCTCAACAGCAATGCGCAGCGAAATCAGCGCATAGTCGACCACGCTTCGACGGTACCGATGGCTGGGCGGCTGGCCCTCGCAAGTAATTCGCAGGTGACGCAGGTTTTTCAGGCAGGATAATACTCGTATGAACGAGGGGATATCGGTGGCGGCATGGAAGAGAGGTGGATATTGCTTGACTAGCAGGTCCGTCATTTTCCATGTCCCATATTTGGGGCTTCTTGGTGGCCCTTGCTGGTGCTGAGGTATATACACGAATGTCTGCTCTCTACCCGAGCCCGCGTCAATGACCGGTGGTAAGAAGGTCTCGGCGATATGAGCGATGACGAATGTCACTTGTTGGATATAATGACCGATGCGCTCAAGCGCGGACACCCGGGATGGCCGGCTCAACGATCGACATCGGAATCGGATTGTGATGTCTTGAAAGAGGGCTGGTACTAACTTGATAGCAAGGTCACGGCAGACAAGACGACATATTACCTTGTCGGTTGTTGTCAAGTGAGACTCCAATCTCTTCCGGATTGGCTCTCTTCTCCAGAGTCGAGTTAGTATGGACTCGGGGAGCATCATTTTTCTAACTATGATTTCAAGAAAATTGTAGGAATAGTATACTTGAATAAAGATTCGACATAGCACTCATCTATGTCAGCTCACTCAGCTACCACTGCTAAGCCGTCGTTATAAAGTACTTTGGTCAAGCTAGAACTCTCTTTTCTCTCTGTCCCTCACCCTGCACTGATATAGTGATTCGGACGTAGCTGTCGGCCTCCCTGTGACTCGGGAAATTCCCCTCTTGCTGCCTTTCCCCATTCGACGATTTTGTTTCCAGCTACTTCATAGTATGAGTCACTGGGCACCGACTTTGCAAGTCGATGGTCATGAACACAACGCAGTACCTAAGCGCCTGGTATAGTCCAGATAGAGATATCGATCCTGAATAGGAAAGTAGGGCTGGTCTGGAGAAGCCCTTTTTGTTTGTAGTGTTTGCATTATTTACTCTCATCAACGCGTGGACGCGTCTTATCAACACGTGATGATACAACTGGTCAACTTGAGAAAAGATTGTTCATCGATCGATTACTGGTGAATGAACTGGTATGAGATAGATTTTGGAATAGAAATGATATTCAACTGGGATTACGAGTGATTTGGTAGCTATCAAAAAGTAGCATGTCGAGTCTGCCCCGCAGAGCCGCATAGTACGACCCTTTATGCACGGCCGCGATAAGCCTTGGCACCCGGCGAGCGCTCAGGACATCGCCAGCCAAATTTTCCGCAACGCCAAATTCATCCCCGACGGTCCTCAGTGAGGTCACAGCAGGACTGGCTCCGACTACCGATTGTCTCACTTGTCGATATCTGCTCTGGCTTGCCTACACCCACGACCTCTCGGTGCCTCTTGCCATTCGACTATCCTCCCTCCGTGTTATCTCCACTCCCCCGCGACTGCGCGACTCCACCCAGCAGGCCTCTTCAGGTTCCTCCATCCGTCAGGATCGCATCATACGAAGGAAGGTCAGTCCTCCCATCAGTTCTCTCAGCATCGTACTCGACAGCGCAGCACACGCAGTCTCTTCTCTGAATCAATGGATGATGCGCCGTCTGTCGTATTTGCTTTTTTCCCCCACAGCCTGGCTGCTTCTCTCCCGGGTGCCACCACTCCGTTTGCACTTCGGGATCTCTGGATTTAAAAGGCTGATAGGAACTTGTCAGATCCCTCCGCACCTATCTTCCGTCATCTCTTGCGCTGGCGCTTGCTCTGCGTTCGTATTGTCGAACTAGAACTGTTGCCGGGTTTTCCTATGAAGACTTGTTCCTTTCCACTCTCGACAGACAACCGCGAATTGCTAAACCAATCTCGATCGATATCTGATCGACGTTGAACTCCACGATTCAACATTATCTCCTTGACCGTCTTCTCGCATCGTTTCCATACCTCACCTTGAGCACCTCGTCGACCACCCTTCAACCTGCTCACTCATCAGATCCTCTTCGGTGACGAGCGCATACAACCTCCAGCCGCCGCCTGCATCGACCTTGTCCCCTCCCTCGTTTTTCCTCTTGACTCATTCTTTACGGTGGATGAATCTCCTGTCATAACACATTTGAAGCATATCCGGCTGGTCCAATCTTCATTTTCGTGATCATCAATCCTGCTCCCATCGGCATCGTCTCCTCTTCATACAAACATGGATGACAAGCAGCGCAAGATCAACAGCCTTGTGGAAGATCAGGAGACCTACAGATTCCTTCTGGATGATCTTCTTGAATCAAATCCTTCCGACACTGCTGGAATCGCCGATCTTCAGGCCACCATCAAAAAGTTTGAGGATGAGATTGCGGAGCTGCTCGGTACTGCTCCGGGTGGCTCTTCAAGGACTTCTTCCAACAGCACTCCCAATAGTGTCTTGCCTGGATCACCTTCCCCGGCATATCAAGGCACACAGACTCCTCTGAATTCTTCCCTGGCGGATCCGACCTCTGCCCCATACCATCCATCAGCAGCCCCCTCGCCATTCACTGCTCGTCTCGGTCAACCCTCCAGGCCTTCCTTGTCGTCAAGAACCGATGAGTCACGTAAAAGGCAGCGTCAGGACTCCATGAGCTCGCCAGTCCAGCACCAGTCTTCGAAGAGAACAGCTGTCGACCGCCACAAGTCCCGATACGAGAAGCTACAGGCGGATATGGAAACCCAATTAAAGAAGAGTCGCGAACAGTATGAAGAGTCAAAAGATCCTGAGTCTGTCCGAACTACGGCAATGTTTGAAAGCATTTCGACCGAACAGGCCCTGGAGAGAATGAAGAAGGAGCAGGAGGAAGTGGAGGATGCGATTCGTTCTCAATTCCGAATGGATATGGACGAAGAAATGGCTCGCATGGTTCAGGCAGAAGATGCTGTCAGCGAAAGCGAGGATGAGCGCCCCTCGACTCCGCCATCAGTATTCAGGATTCCTGATCGCACACTTCCGAGCCCTATGAGGCATTCTTTTGGCACTCCTTCACTTATTGGCCATCAACCACCTCATCGATACCCAGTGCCAACACAATTTGACTATAATCCAGCTCCGCCAGGCTCATATCCATACGGTGATGATGATCTTCAGGAAATTCCAAGGGCATATTTCAACTCGCGCTTGCCTGGGTCGTCTGGATTCAGTGTCTCGAGTTTGGGACCCTCTGGATTCAATCCCTTTGGGCCAGCTACCCCTGCCCTCGGCCCACCACGTTACACTCCCATGTTCAGTGGGCCGAATCCTCTTATACGTAATCGGTCCCTGCCATGGATGCAAGATCCTATTCCGGCCCCCGAAGCGGTGGCTATTGACCTGCTTCGTGACAATCCACTCGGACTGGAGGATATGGATGACCTCGAGTAAGTACGCTGTCTACCAGTACTGATTATGGAAACTAATTTATGTGCTTGCAGGCGATATGAGGAGCAAAACTTCCCCCAGGACATCAAGAACCTTATCACTGGCATCAAGGACATCCGTGAAGCCACCAAGGCAGGGAAGGATGCGACGCCAGAGGGTCTCAAGGTCACCTTGATGAAGCATCAAAAGATCGGTGTGGCGTGGATGAAGGCCAAGGAAGAGAGTAACCACAAAGGCGGGATTCTCGCTGATGATATGGGTCTCGGCAAAACTGTTCAGGCCATTGCTCTCATGCTTGCCCGGCCCCCAACCGATCCTGAGCGTCATCCCACATTGATTGTTGCACCCAAAGCGTTGATGGATCAGTGGGAACGAGAAATCCAGAGACACGTTGAGCCTGGAAAGCATCAGCTTTCGGTGTTCATCTACCATGGTTCCAATCGTGCCGACTGGAGAAAGCTCAAGTCTTTCGACGTTGTCATCACGACCTTTGGTACTTTGACCGCCAGCTTCAAGACACTGCTCAAGGCCGAGAAGCTGGAAGAGGAAGGCAAGGATGCCAGCATCGTCAGAGAGTTTCGTAACCTGGCGACGCTGTTTACGCCAGCGAGTAAGTGGCATCGCGTCATTGTTGACGAGGCGCAAAACATTAAGAACCCATCGGCCAAATCGACCAAGGCGTGCTGCAGGCTCAATGCCGCATATCGTTGGTGTCTTACCGGAACACCGATGATGAACCGACTCGAGGACTTCCAGTCTCTTCTATGTTTCCTTCGAATCCGGCCCTACAACAACAAAGAAAAATTCAAGAGAGTACGTTGGCATCCTTAGTCTAAAGGAAAATGCGCTCCATGACTAACAATTCTCTTCAGGACTTCCGGACGGTGAAGACTGGCTTTGTGCCGGAGCCCGTAATGCAGCAGCTCAGAATTCTTGTCAAATCGGTCTGCTTCCGCCGCACGAAAACCTCGAAGATTGACGGGGAGCCGATTTTACAACTTCCTCCAAAGGTCATCGAAAAGGTCCATGTCGTGTTTGACGAGAGAGAACGGGATATCTACGATGCGCTTAACTCTAAGACCCAAGCTCAAATTGAAAGGCTTCTCAACGCCGGCATTCTGGGCAAGAACTACAGCCACGTCTTGGTGCTTCTGCTGCGACTACGGCAAGCCTGTTGCCACCCCCAGCTTATGCAGGCGATCAAAACCGAAATGGCCGCCGTCGAGGGCAGAGATCTGATTGCCAACGCGAAGCTCCTGAGTTCTACGGTCGTGGATCGCATCAAGAATAATGAAGGTGGCGAGGACGACGGAACTTGCCCTATCTGCATGGATATCGTCGAGAATGCGGTCATTTACATCCCTTGTGGCCACTCTGTCTGCAACGAATGCTTTGCTCGAATCTCCGACCCCCAGATTCTAGCCCGCGATAACGATACTGGCATGATCAAGTGCCAAAACTGCCGTGGCCCAGTCGATCCTCTCAAGATCACCGACGCGGAATCCTTTAAGAAAGCTTACGACCCGGCCGCTTCAACTGAGTCTTCGGCAGCTGCAGTTGAAGATGACCCGTCGGATGATTCTGATTCGGATGAGTGGGGCTCGGACACAGACACTGATGGATCCTCTGATCGATCCAAGAAGAAGTCCCTCGCGGAGCTTCGCAAGGAAGGCCAGAAGAACAAGCGGGCAAAGCGGAGATATCTTCGCCGTCTTGAAAAGTCTTGGGTTCCCAGTGCAAAGATCGCCAAGGCCGTTGAAATCCTGGGGGACAATGAAGCCCGTGGCAATGGCGAGAAGACCATCATCTTCAGCCAGTTCACTTCTCTTCTTGATCTTTTAGAGATTCCGATCAACCGGAAAGGCTGGAAATACTGTCGTTTCGATGGTAGCATGAACATTACAGAGCGCAACGAATCTGTGGCCACTTTCACGGATGATCCCGACGTCAAGATCATGCTGGTCTCTCTCAAAGCTGGCAACGCGGGTCTTAACCTCGTCGCTGCTTCCCACGTCATCCTATTCGATCCATTCTGGAACCCATACGTCGAGGATCAGGCCATTGATCGTGCCCACCGCATCGGTCAATTGAAGGACGTTTTTGTGCACCGCTTGCTCATCGAGAACACCGTTGAAGATCGCATCATCCATCTTCAAGAGCAGAAGCGGGAACTTATCAGCGGCGCCCTTGATGAGGGTGGCTCGATGAATGTCTCGCGATTGGATGTTCGCGAGCTGGCCTATCTCTTCGTAAGTCTCATTACTTCTCTGGCTGACATGTCAGCTCAGCTTCATCCTCTGGAAACTCTCCTACTAACTATCTTTATCCACGTAGGGCGTTCGTTCCTAGGTGACACAGCTGATGACCAAGACACGATTCATGGAGGCCTTCCGCTGGCTACAAAATTACGTTTCGCATCATTGTTGTAGATTTGCGTTGGGTTTGCGGGTGTTTCAGGCGCAATGACTATGTTCTCTCCCACGGCGATCCCATATACCCCCCAGTCATGACCGGAGAAATGTTTCCCGTGGATTTAATCTCTTTGTTTAGCGTTTGATGACTAGCTCTGTCGCTCTTAGGAAAAGCACCATCGAAACGAGATTTATTGTTTTGGGCTTGCCGAAAACGCGCTTTTATTTTCATTTGCATATAAGCTAGAATCAAAGATTCAAACTCGGCTTTTTGAGACCTTGTTGAAAGAGGACTTGCATTTTATGCAGTAAGCTCATTTCAGAGGGAGAGAGAAAAAAAAGACATTGAGATGGTAGGTAAAAAAGAGTCTAAGCTACTAATTGTGGTTGGGGGGAAAACCAAAAAGAAATGCGTATCGTGCCGTCCCTTTCTTCAAACCGCCACTGCCCCAACCGCTTTCATTGTATCGTGAATCCGAGGACTGACTTGAAATCGAGCCCAAAACTTCCGGTCGTGGAATATGCCGCCCCTCTTTTTTATGTCGCTGTCAAAGACGGAGACAAAGGGGGAAGTGGCTGTGAGGGTCCCCGAAGTCCGGAACGGAGTAGAACTGTCGGGGACCTGTTGGAGAATTGACCACTTTACAGGTCGGCATCGTCCTCATCGGGGAGGGGTTGGGCAGCAGCATCGATCATCTCCTGCTGGTACTTCGCGAGCTGCTCGTGGTCGACGGTGACCTCGGGGGGAGCAAGAGCGGGAGCAGCGACGAACTCCTGTATTAAGTAGTTAGTAGGCTGCATGTAGCGGTCAAGGTTGATGAAGATTGGGGAATACGTACCAGCTGGGGGTTGCCAACCAGTTTCCGGGCGAGCCACAGGAAGGGCTTCTCGAAGTTGTAGTTGGACTTGGCGGAGATATCGTAGTACTGGAGGTTCTTCTTGCGGTGGAAGGTGATGGTCTTGGCCTTGACCTTGCGCTCCTTCACATCGACCTTGTTACCGCAGAGAACGATGGGGATGTTCTCACAGACACGGACGAGGTCACCTATAGAATGGTTAGTTAATCAATCATGGCTAAAGTCGCGCAAGCATGGGAATTACGTACGGTGCCAGTTGGGAACGTTCTTGTAGGTGATACGGGAGGTGACATCGAACATGATGATACCGGCCTGACCGTTGATGTAGTAACCATCACGGAGACCACCGAATTTCTCCTGACCGGCGGTATCCCAGACATCGAACTGAATGGTTCCGAGGTTCTATCATTTTCGAGTTAGTCGGCCGTCATAAACGAGGAAGGGATCATGGCAACGCAGTCGAAGCGGGGCTCGGCGGGGCATAGCATACGGTAGTGAAGGTCAGAGGGTGAACCTCGACACCGAGAGTGGCAATGTACTTCTTCTCGAACTCGCCAGTCAGGTGGCGCTTGACGAAGGTGGTCTATCATATTGGTTGCGTTAGTGAAGGCTGTCATCCAGTGTGAGGCGAGCGTTGGGCAGATATTTTTCATCATTGTTGACACAATCGCGGGGCAAGGGAGGAAAGAGAGGGGTTGTTGCCAACACCGGGGGCCATCATGGACAACCAAGAAGATGTCAATGATGGCGAGCAACTCCAACATCCTGTGCCTCGACCTGGAATCAACACCCGTGAACTCAAGTAGAAGCCGCTTACCTTGCCAGTACCACCGTCACCGACCAGGACGAGCTTGAAGGTAGGTGGGGCCTGCGCAGCCATGATGGATTATTTCTTTTTTTTTCGCGACCGTTGAGCGTGAAGGAAATAGAAATCGCCGACAAATCAGCGGATGAGGAATGGATCACAGAGGGGTTGGATTGTTTTGGGGGTGGATGGGAGAAAGAAGGGGAAGGTCTGAATAATGCGCGATGGAATTTTTGCCCCGGTCGCGGGCTGGTCACGTGGCCCGTGTGTGTGCCTGTTGGCCTGACGTAGTGTCAACTCCGCCTTGCTTGCATCCCTCCAGCGTACTATTTAGCTTAGCTTGGTACTAGTTGAATTTATCAGGCTATGAGTGTTGATTACATGGAGAGTAAGTGATTCCAGTAGGTTACTATTAGTAAATATCAGCAAAATCATAGTATGGCCGACTATCCACAGTCGGCATGATGTCCCTAGTAGCTGTGGGCGCATCCCGTAGGGCTGGCCATAACCCAGCCTTGAATCATAGTGTAGATACTTGATCCACCGTTTCGTAGGCTTCCTATCGTCTATAGACTCAATTAATGTACAAAAAATTTCTCTCCATGCTTAACGACACACTATTGACCATTTTACAACTACAGAATTCACCGCCAAAGGAAATACTTGGAACAGGGTCATGCCTCATCATTCGTCAATAGATCGCATGTCAACGTACAGAGATAAGGAAACTGCCGCAAGAACTCATCGGTAGCCACGGCAACAGCAAAGAGGCTCATCTCGGACTAGCTCCTACAGGGGAACGAGATGACACCCCAAGAGTCCCCGACCACCCCAATTGCGCCGTGGAGTCAGCTCCAAATCGAGCTCGGTCGTTCCTGGTGCACCCTCGATTTTCCTGCTTACCTTGACCGTAAGCGGCCGCTGTATATTTCGTCAATAATATGGTCACAACAGCATGATTGATAGAATATCAATGGACGATAACACCTACCCCTTCGTTTTGCTGCACAGTGTCTGCAACCTTTGAGAGGCGCTCGTGATTCAACCAATGTACCCTTCCAAACTCTCGAATAGTATCTCCAGCCTTCAGGCCTGCCTGTTCAGCCGGACTCCTGGGCTCCACGCTGTTGACTCGTGCGAACGGTGTACCCAATGCAGTGGCATCCGAAATGCTGTTGGCTGCCACCGCTGTGGATGCGGCCGACGGAAGAGTCGTGCCATTTGTCGTGGCGGTCGCGGCTTGCGCATTTGATAGTTGGGCGAAGTGGGCATGAAGACCCTTCTCGAGATATTTCATGACATCTTTGTGATCGTTTCGCAGATGAATGATTCGGACGCGCGTTGTTCGAACTGTCATCGTCTGTCAGTATATTTGGTCCGGGTTGTCTATGAGCCTCGTCCAGATCCGACCGCACCTTGGGCAATGTCGATATCGTCGCGTGGAAACCCATCAAATGTCGTCAAGGATGTGTTCATGTTTACACCGTGCTAGCAACACCAGTAGAAGTCAGCACGCATGGAAATCTGCCAAAGCCAAAGCTGTCATCAACCCACCGAGCCAAGCACACTGCTGAGCGCGGACAGCTCCGCCTCGATCCGCTCTTTCTCCTGCATCAGATCGGGCATGGTCATTTTTGAATAGTCGCGAGGTGTGGCCCCGGACGTTGGTCCGGAGGCCACTGTAGGAGCGTGAATGTTGTCGTCCATGGGGATGCCCATAGTCCGAAGGTGGGGAAGATCGCAGCAGCAGCATCCGTTAAATCGCGGCGTGAAGGGCGGTGGGTCTCCAAGCGCTCTGTCTCCTTATATAAGCGCGACTTGGCGCTTCCAACCAAATAAATGGATATACCTCCAACATCTAGACTTGACCACACTTTGCGCTTTATACTCTCAGTTGAATACCCTGGTCCTGGTTTATCTTTTCCGTAATTGCGAATGACTCTCTTTGTCTGCATTCCATCGGAATCCCGGAATCATACCTACGGAAACTTCTTCACCAGCCTATCCTTGCACACTTAGGCTTGGAGACAGGATTTAAATCCCACCTGTTGAGCTGCCTCACCTCATGACGTACATGGATCAGATTCAAATTGTCGGTTTCTCAGCGGCCCCTACAGCTGCCTGAAGCCGGCGCGACTTGTGGTCATGGCGCTACCTTCGTCGCTCTTCCCTTTGCGAGGCTGGGACTTGTTGGTTCAACCGTCCGATGCCCTGACAGGAAGCACAAAAGGGAAAAAGAAAAGACACGCGACAAGAGAAAGAAAACTTCTCGCCTCGTTTGCAGAGCCCGCTTTCCTTGCAAGTCGCGGTCTCCGTCGCGACTGCCAAACAATGAGTGCTTCAAGCTCGAATGCAGCAGTTTCTGGTATGACCGTGTTTACATTGCCTTCCCGGGGCTGTTCACAACCTTCATGACTCCAGAATCGAGTATTCGACATCAAACAGGCGCATTTGCCGCTTTGTTGCAGGATGGAGAACACTGACGTCGATGTGATCGAGATCGAGACAAACGAGCTTCTTGTGGAAGATGAAACCGAACAGCTTCTGGCAGAGAAGGCAGAAGAGGTCTTGCCATTGACACCGAATACCCCCATCCATTCAAGAAATGGATGGACAGTTTTCGGTCCCGCAAAAGGGTGCCTTCAACAATCCCAGAACGATACGTCCCGGGCTGGTTTGAATCCTCGCAACCCGAATTTGCCTCGCACAACTCGGGTGATCGCCGGGACTCGCTGCTGTCAGGACATTCGTCGCAGTTGGGAACTGTGAAGACCACTACCCTCAGCATCACTAGTCGAAGCTTTGGAAGATCCAGAGGGACAACACAAAGCACGGCGGGTCAAAGTAGCCTCTCGGATGCTCGATTCTCAGCCGACAGCTCTCGTCCGACGTCAAGCCAGTACGTCGATGATCAGGCAGAGATCCGCGCGAACAAGAGGCGTCAAGTATTGCAGGAAATACTCACGACCGAGGCTGACTATGTGATGGGTCTCAAAGCGCTTACAGGAGTAGGTCATCAGGCAGCGGACCTTGATGCCGGAGAGCACTCGGCTAATCAAAGTTTGCAAGGTTCTCTCGATCTTTGATACCAGGCCGGAAATATATCACAACATTCAAAGAATTCGCGGTATCCACGAGAGTTTTTTGACGCAGTTGCAAACTATATCCCCGATGTCAACTTCAGCGGCCCCTGACGGCGCTTCTGATCTTTTGACTCGGGGACTTTCGAAACGCCTGAGTGGCATCGAATTGCCTGGACTGAAAGGTCTGCAAAACCGGTCCTTGAGAACTCGGAACTTCAAAGCTACCATTAATAAGCGTCTCAAGGCCATGCAAGCGGAGCCACTGGAGGCTCTTGAAGTCGCACGCGCCGTGGAGAATTTGGTATGTTATCTTTACCGGTGGCAAGTGTAACAAATACTAATCTGGTGCAGTCTGTGTCTTTCCCTGCATACGAAGAATTTTGTAGCAACTATGATCTGTTCACTCAGGACTTGGCCATCTTGCGACGCTCGGTTCCGAACTGGGCAATGTTCGATCAGGGTATTGAAGCTCTATCAAAATCAGTTGCCTCCATCGAAAGCCGAAAGCACGAAGACAACAAATCCATGACTATGAGTGATCTGATGATCAAGGTAAAATCTGTGGCCTTCCACATTGCATGAAGTGATTCATTGACAATTAGCTAGCCCATTCAGCGACTGTGTAAGTATCCGCTTCTCCTTCAAGACCTACTCCGCAATACCCCTGTCAGTGATTGTCCATCTTCTCATAACGGAATACGGCAAATTTTGGAGAGCTTGCGCGTTCTGGTTGCCCGAATCAACTCGGCAACAGGGAATCCCGTCAAGAAAGACCGAATCCAAAAAACTATCCTCCTTCAGGGGCGAATTGATTTTTCTGAATCGGTATGCATGTTGATTTCACCACCTAGAGAAGTGGTGGTATGACTGCTGACATTTGAATACATCAAGTACAAACTACAGGACATATATAAAGACTTGGGTCCGATGACGCTGTGTGGGGTTTTGCATGTCACATACCAGATACCAGGCCAAACTACGGGAGACTTCATGGTTTGCGCTCTCTTCAACTGCTATTTGCTGCTTTCGAAAGGGCTGGAGGATTCTCGTCGACTGGAAGTTGTGGCCTGTATTTACCTGGGGGATTTGAAGGAGGAGACCATTCAAAATGGCCAAGGTAAGTAGTCTTTGGCCACCATTTTCTCTGTTACATTCTGATTCTCCAGGGCTTTTTTGCTATGGGTGCTCGTTCTCGTGGAAGTTCCAGTTCCAAGTGCAAGAAGAGAGCTTTGAATTTGTGCTCAGTGCGTCATCCGCAATCGAAGAGAGATTATGGAAGACAGAGACCTTGAAGTGCTCTGCAGCCCTTGCAGAGATGGGCAAACCAGGCGGGACCTGGGATCCAAGAAAGTACTCTTTTCTAAACCTTCCGCTCCTGCCGTTAGATCGCATACAATACACAGTGGCATCTCTGGCCAGACGCTCGTCCATGGATTCCGTGGGCGTCGCACGCAAGGCGAACGTCCAACCTGTGGTCATCAAGAAGACACACTTTCCCCACACGACGGATGAGACCACGAATCCACCATCGGAGGGTGAGATTGAACGGCCCAAGACCACCGTCGCACGTGGTGCTCTGACCGTGACTGCAAAACGAGCGGAGCGAATTCGACTGGAGCGATTGATCTCGGATGTCTATACCCGAGATGTACTTCCCCTGCCGGGAATGGTGCTAGGACGAGGGGACCTATTTCGTCGTGGTTCGATTATGAGACGCCTCAGTCTACATGCCACATTTGCCAAACGGTCCAGCTCCGTCAGCATCGCGAGCCAGTCCGGACGGGCGGCTGCGGACGCACGCTCTATTGACTACCAAAGTGGGGAGGAAAAGGATTTGGTGACCCCTCAGGATGGGGCCAACGATCAGCGCCGCTCAGCAGAGGCAGACTGCAGGTCACCCAAGACACCCACATCCACGATTGGACGTCAAAGGACAATTCGATTCCGGAGCACACCCAAAAGAACGTCTGAATCTGCATCTTCGCCACGGAGTGAGAAACGCACTAGCCAGGAAATCAGCTCTGAAATATCTCCATCGCGAAAGAAATGGTCATCACCGATTGGTATACTGAGTGCACTTTCACCGAAGAATCTGATGCGATCAAAACCCGGCATGTGACATGGAGACGGGAATTGAAGGGGAGCTATCGTCAGATTTGATAGCTCGGGATGGTGTCACAGACAGGCGGCATATTGGCATGTTTGGCTTGGACTGACATTCTTACTATCGGCTGTATACCTTTGTATGGCACTTTTGTTCATAATTCTTACTCAAATGCACTGTTTCAAATGCTGGCCTGCCTTGGCACGCTTCTTATGCTTGTATACTTTATGGTAGGGTTCTAGACTAGGTTGATAAGGATTCTAGGGTGAATGAAAACGCTCAATGATTAAATTTTCAAGATTTTGAATACGGCAGCGCCATTAAAAAAAGCATGTTGCGGATTTTGGGTTTTAGGAGAGGGGAACTGCAGAGGTCGCATGCCCTACCCAAGCTAGAAACAGGAGTACATGAAGCTATCCAAAGTGCCAACAAGATCCACCGAAGAGACTAGAGACATAGTACTGTACATACTAGATACCAGCTGTTGCATGATACATACCCCAGCAATTGACACTGACGCCACTGTGGAGTATAAGTCAGGGCATGATATTATTATGTGACGATACTGCAATAGCTCGAGCCGCAACGAATTGGTAGGAATGACAACGAAAGACTAATAACATGGGCTGATCTCCACCAGTGGACTCCACAATCGACCAAACAGGCCAGAAAAGACCCAAAAGATTCAGCCAAGCGGATTGGATGACGTCGTGAGGCAGACGGACGGGAGTTTTCCATGACACACGAGCATTTGCGCAACGGCAGAGGCAGGTGACGTCATCCATCATCATCATTGCTTTTAAAGCTCCCCCGACCTTTCTTCCTTTTCCTCTTTGCTATTTGCTACCATCCATCTTACACGCTTACATCCAATTGAATTCTACAATCATCTCAGAACTTTCAAAATGCCTCGCGCCAACGATCCCACCCACAAGATCTTTTACAAGGGTCGCTCGGAGGACTTTATTGTCTTCGTTGATGACCTGGGGATCCTGCAGAAGTGGAAAGGTGACCGCAGCGTCCCATTGACTGATGTGCTCAACGGGTGGAAGATATTTGTAACTCATAGGTAAGTCTGTCATCGTTTCTTGTTGATGGTATGGGCTAACATTCTTGTCCCCATCAGCCACGGCGCCCAAGGCGTTCTTGACAGCGCCAGCAAGAATGCTCTGGAGAATGAGTTCGGTACCTCCAAGGACGATGAATGCCTTGTCAAGATCCTGGAGGGCGGCGAGTACCAGACCAGCACGGTTCGTTTCTTCTTTCATTCTTTCCCGTTCCCACCGGCCTGAAGCGTTATTGATATGCTGACTGTTATTGATATAGACACGCGAGCGTGAAGGCACCAAGAACGACTCCATGGGCTCCATGGGTATTACCCGGTAAATGAGTCAATCACTTCTGAATGGTTCCAATGATGGATCACACAACCATGGCCGTTTCCTTTTATCATCCTACGCTCTCGAAATCCCTGAAGATATCCAACCTTCTCATTTCGTTTTCTACGACCTTGGCCCCGCCGGTTCATGGTTTACGGTTCACCGTTTGAATGAAGATCCATATTCTGGGCTGTCTTGTGGATGTGAGTGATTTTGACATATTCCGGAAAGGTGTTTCCATTTGGGCTGTATTGCATTAGTTAGCAGTGGCAGGCTTCCATACCTGATATCATGAAATAACGAGAGGACGAGAAATCTGAACTCGTCATACAAATATCACAAGTCTCCAATGAGTAGTGCTCTTTATTATCTTGTATATGTGATATAGCAACGCACTCAAATTTCGAGATATCAGGTAAAGAATAGCTGTGGATAGAGCCTTCACATAATCGCCAGAATCCAGGGTATATAGCAACGAGACCATCTCAAGCAGCAAGTACACCAGCAACTATTCACAAGGTCATAAGAATCAGACTTCGGAAGCAATGAACCCCCTCTCGACCCGCCGCTTCACAACCCAAGCTCCTAACTCCGCCCAGACAGCCTCCTTCTCCGGTATACTCATCCCAGCAGCAAGTCCACTCGTCGTGGTCGCCACAAACACAGGCGCACCACCCCACTCACTCCCAGCCGTACACCCCATATTCTCCGCCTCATCCTGCCATCCATACCGAAACTCCTCTTTACGAATGCCCCGCCCATGCCGTACACGCCACACAGCCTCCCAAATCCCCTTACCGACCAGACAAACAGCTTCGGGCCGTTGCGCGGCGATTTTGGCTTGGAGAAAGGGCACCCCAGCGTCCATTTCGGCTTTGCTGAGCATGCTTGCGTCCCGGGAGGGGCGTTCCACGATGTTGGTGTTACCCACGTTGTAGAGCGCGGGAAGCTTGTATGTGTCTGAGGGCGGGTGTCGGATGGATGTTATGCCAGAGGAATGGAGGAGTTTCCAGTAGAGGTTTGACGGGTGGGCGTAGGCGAAGCCCGTTGTACCGGTAAGGATGCCTGGGTTCACGCCCACGAGGAGGAGGGTTAGGTTTGGGGGAATGGTGTCACGGAGCAGGGAGTCGGCGGCTGTTGGGGTGTGTGTTGGAGGGGGCTTCCCTCGACGGGGGGACTTCTTGGGAGAAGCTATTGGGGATTGTGGGATGGAGGATGAGGAACGTGAGCGGGTGATGCGAGGCGGTTGGGTGAGGTTTGTGGAGGCTGTAGTCGTGATGGTTCGTTCCACTCTGGGTCTTTTCGGACTGGCTGTGGTACTGCGCATCCTTCGTTCATGGAAGGGCATGCTTTCCAAGCCGCTGGCAGTAGGTTCTTGCTTGAGTTCGAGGGCATCGAGTTCTCTTTTTAAGGGACTGACTGGCCTGATGATGGACTCGGCAGCCATGCTGTTTGTGAGAAGGAAACGATTCAGCTTGCCATGAAAACTGGTAATCCTATCGACCGATATATCTTCTGTGACTGGGGGCTCTGCTGGGGTGCCCTCTCGCACTGCGGGGAGTTCGTCAAGTTGGGTCTCAGAGGGCATCGTGGCCAAGTCAGTGTATATATGCTAGGTTCAGTTGTGGTTATTAGTCTGATTTTGTGCCACCTGACGATGCACGTTGCTTCGTGTAATCCTTGACGAATGCGGGCAGAGCCCAGAGGTAAGTAGCTATTGCTGTTCGTATCTGTGGTCGATCAACGTTCGGTCTTGAATTTCTTGGAAACTCTTCGAAGCTTGGGTGAAGAAGGTCACGTGATTTGATGTAGGCCTTATCTATCAGGCACCAGATATCGATCCCCAATAGATGGAATGGCCTTGTTGATCACATCACACCTATCGTTCAATAAACATTACATGACTAAATACCTGAAGGTAGAATTGCGAATGAAATGGATGCTATCTACCAAGCTGTAAATTTGAGGGTTTAGGGGCATCTGCATAGTATTTTGGTGTGGCTGGGAATTCGGGATCCCAGTCCAATCAACAAGGATATATAGATCATCGAGGAGGAAACCCCAGATAGCAGGAAGTGGTGAACCTGGTCTATTTTCTATTGAAAAAAATGATTATGTAGGTATAGATCGGATGTAATATTATGTTCAATTAACTATGTACATTATCTGCGTCCAATATACGTAATAGATTGGACCGATTCGAAGCCTAAGCTTTAAGGACCCTCGACCGTTTGGGTAACGTCCAAGGTTCTGGACAAACAATCTATACAGGTTGTCAGTAAGCGTGTCTTGAGTGTTCTCCCGATATTTTCAACTTACCTCGCCTTCACTGTAAGCCCAGAAATAGACACCAATACCAATCAGGTAATACAACGCAGGATCGGTTCCCTGGTAGAGCAGTGCAGCGAACAGAGCGCTGAGAGGGTATACGACAAGTCGAAGTTCAATACTGCGATGTGGTAATGATCCCGCTAGAGGTCGCAAGGGCCACTCCCAGGCTAGGCCGATGAGACCCATGAGTAGATTGAGGGTCTGAAGGACCGGAATCGGGGAGACGGCGGCATCAAGGTTCTTCGAAATGAAGTCCCAGAAGACTTTTGGCCAGATGAAGCCCTCGATCGCACCTGCGACTTGGTCTGTGAGCAGATTAAGAGTTAGCTTAGCTCCCGCTGAAATGTGACGGAGATTATAGGAAGAAGCATACAGGCTGAGGCTGTCAGGATAATTAGTCGCGCCCAGTGATTTTTGATGAGCCTGCCCATCTTGCCGGATTATATGGTTCTGATGCAATAGCATGTATATCGGGTGAATCCCTCGGCCAGCGATAGATTCCAAGGTTTGCACGGCAATCGCTCACGGAGAAGCGACGCCGGTCAGTCTCTGTTAACAGCGCTCGTGTATGAAGGCACTTAGAGCGATGCGATGGAGGAGATTGAGCTCTGCGACGGAGTTTGCGACTTGCCCATCAAGCCGAATCTCTACCGGTCGATCTCCGACGAGAAAAGAAGGGTTAACAGTAGGACGGCGAGGGAAACTCTAGACGGAGTCTTATGGCAATAGCATGATTGAAGAGCCTTGGAAGAAAAGCTGGTGGAATGCGTTGAGGTACCGCCCGCACCTGCAGGCGGGGGTTCGAGTATAAGAATTCTATACTTAGACCCGAAGTAGCAAAGGCTCACCCACTTGGCCGCTGTAACCAATCTACGAAGCGACAGGATTATTGTGACGCTTGGGCGCCAAAACGCCCAAAAAAGGTCACTGGGTACATGGGTGGATGGAAGAATCCAATGTATGGCGGGCATATCGAGGCGAGTAGTGCTCTGTCAAGCTAGCTACAGTATTTCATCTGTGATCCGCACGGATACACTTAAGCGCCCACAGCCAATGAGTCTTCATAGCCGTGCATCGCGGGGACCAGCGACTGGATATTCCCCTCTTTTCCCTGCGTGCTGAAGAGAGCTTGTCCGCGGTGTGATTGGGTGAAAGGTGATGTGACGGAGCGGATCGCCCTGTCGGTCGAGGGCAAATCAGCGTCCACAGCGCAGGTCCTTGGCGTGATGAGATGCAGAGGTGCAGCTCGTGGCACGCGCTTCCAGGGAATAACTGGGTTCGTTCCTCGAGGAGGAGTTGACCCGTTTCACACACAATTCGAATTGTTGTGCCGAGTGGCTGGGGATGACTTCTGCGGGTGTCCAGGGCGATCTCTTGCGAGTCTGTGGATGGGGTTCTATTGTGCCCAAGACAAGGGGATGTTTACAACCCGTCGGGCGTCAGATGATCACCTCGGCCCTGACTCGCTGTGGTACACTCCCCGATGCTTCCGCACTCTGATGTCTGCACATCCAGCCCGATTGCGGCGGACCAAGCCCAAGACAGCAGTTAGAGAGGAGAAAGTTGTGATGGCCGACGTGATATCCAGTGCCAAGTGGGCCCAGATTCCCGTGTGGGTGAGAACCCCTAAGCAGGTCAAGATAGCGGCACAAACTGCACCACACCCTTCCCCGCCCAAAAAGTTTCCATGCTATATTTGGGATCTCTGAGAGGCCATTCCCGAGCCAGAATTGGGTGGAATGTCCGGGCCAAGAGACAGGCATGATCACATACGAATCGAACAATTCGGTAGAACTTGGGGATTCGTGTGACGAAAGCAAGCGCTTGCAGAATGCACGCTATAGGCCAGTTGGCCAGTGATATTCTGCCTTAGCTTCAGTTGCCGCTGACCACTCACCAGTCTTTTTTCGATCCAATTGTCGGACACTCCCAGATGGGCTTTGCCAAATTTCAAGGTCCTCGAGGCGTTGCTCCACCTCGTTCACCACTATCTTGCCATGTGGACGGCCATGGATTATTAGGTCTAAAGGAACATGCTTCGTCAGATTGAATACGGATTGGTTTTTTTTTAACTCGCAAATGGGAGTTTGTGAACGAACTCAGCGGAATCCCCATCGCAACCACAATCGTAACACATGGGCGAAGCAGGAAGCAGTGAAAAACCCCGCGGTTGATAGAACCCAAGCCAAGCAGGAATGCCTCACAATCTTATGATCTTTTGTATCTCAACTATACCCCGCCAAGATCCTTGCGCTAACTATAGTTCTAAAAAAAGGCCATGGCCAAGCGAGTCTAGAGAAAGTGACGAGAGCTCTAGAGCCTTTGGATAAGAGAAGACGGTGTAGGAATAGGTTCCCACCAGCCAACCCCGGAATTTTTACGAAGTTTTTAGGACTACCAACGAACACCTATCACATCAGAGGAGCGACCATTGCGCTTGTAGAGGGTGATGAGGATCCAAAAAGCACGGACGTAGGGTGTTTGTCTATTGGGCAAGCCAGGTCGAGTTTGTTTTCGGGCTCTCGGTTGTTGTGGCCCGCTGGAAGCGATGTAATTAATTATAGATCGGCCCCCCCTCCCTTTCTCACATCCCTGTAACGAAAACCACATCGCTGGGAATCTTTGAACCTCCCTCCAGCCTTTGGTTTTGTCCTTATCCATCAATGTCACTGCATGCCAACCCTGCCCGGAACTGTCTTGCAGGTGCATCTTTTCGAATGAGCGTTTAGTTTCACCTTGCGCGCTCGAAACATCAACCTCTTTGAGTTTGTACAACGACGCCAGTTCTTGCCCTGCCAGAAATCGGCCTGTGAGGATTCTCAAACGATCGTATTGTATCTATTTAACTTGAAAGACCAACCTCAAGCCCGTGGTCCTTTACCAAACGCCCGCTGTGACACCTGGGCCAACTTTGGCCTGGAATCAGTCCCGCGATCGGCGGGGTGGTTCGTGATCGAGAATACAAGCTCATGGAGAGGAAAAGACGGCGACGACAACATTTCTCGCATATCAAGCAACTCAACTGATACCTGACCCCGGAGCCTCTCTTACGAGAAGACCTGTGATCCCTCACGGATCTAGGGTTCCCCCTCAAAAGTTCGGGTTGCTGGCCAACCTTTGCTCGTCGTTCCTTTAATCAAAGCTCTGCAAAGACAGTCGTCGCTGGTCGACGTCATTAATCTTCAAGACGACAATATGGTCGCAAGTAATGAATCCTGGCTCAAACGAGCTGATCTGACCCCGACAAAATTGATGTTCTACGCCGGCTTTTGGGCGACTCATATCGGCATTTTTGCTCTTGGATGGTATGAGAGAAATCCCTCAGATAGTTGCTGCTACAACCACTGACCTTCGAATAGGTATCTCCAAGCAATAAATACCAAACTAGCCGGGTTGAACGTGCTCCAATACTCGGTCTGGATCTCCAGAGGTGCAGGTCTTGTCCTGTCTGTAGACGCAACTCTGATCCTCTTTCCAATGTGCCGGAATGTTCTTCGGTGGCTTCGACCTCAGATCAGATGGCTACCACTTGACGAGTCTGCATGGTTTCATCGCCAAATAGCCTATGCTCTCGTGGTCTTTTCGGCGGTGCACACGGGTGCGCATTATGTCAAGTAGGTCGTCTGGAATCCGTAGCCGAACATGTCAAAGGAACTTGCTGATTGGTCTACAGCTTCTACAACGTCGAAAAGAATCAAATCCGCCCAGAGTTGGCTGTACAGATTCACTACACCCAAGCTGGGGGAATCACAGGCCATGTCATGCTTTTGTGCATGTTGTTGATGTATACGACAGCCCATCACCGCATTAGACAACAGTCATATGAAACCTTCTGGTACACGCACCACCTTTTTGTACCATTCTTGTTGGCTCTGTATAGCCATGCAACGGGCTGCTTTGTTCGAGACACTGTAGAGCCATATTCTCCATTCGCAGGAAAAGAATTCTGGGGCCATTGTCTCGGCTATGAAGGATGGCGATGGGAGCTTGTCGCAGCCGCCTTGTATCTCTCTGAGCGGCTGTATCGTGAGATTCGATCTCGTCGGGAGACCGAGATCACAAAAGTGATCCGTCATCCTTATGGTATGTTGATCTGGTCCCTTGTCATGTCGAGAACAACGTATGCTGACAATGCGAATAGATGCCATGGAGATCCAATTCTGCAAACCCAGCATGAAGTACAAACCCGGTCAATGGCTCTTTCTCCAAGTGCCCGACGTCTCCAGCAACCAGTGGCACCCATTCACAATCACTTCCTGTCCATTCGATCCGTACATTAGTGTTCACGTTCGTCAAGTTGGCGATTTCACTCGTGCCCTCGGAGACGCTCTTGGATGCGGTCCCGCGCAGGCAAAAGACCTCGAAGGCCTCGATCCTCTGGGGATGTACGAAGTCGCCTTGCAAAATGGGCAATCGATGCCTAAGCTACGCATTGATGGCCCCTACGGTGCCCCAGCAGAAGATGTCTTTGAGAACGAAGTTGCCGTACTCATCGGAACTGGCATTGGTGTCACGCCGTGGGCTTCCATCTTGAAGAATATCTGGCATTTACGTTCCAGCCCGGACCCTCCCCGTCGTCTCAAGCGTGTTGAATTTATCTGGATTTGCAAAGATACCACTTCCTTTGAATGGTTCCAGGCTCTGCTCTCTTCCCTAGAAGCCCAGTCTGCCAATACGGCCGCTTACCATGGTAGCACCGAGTTCTTGCGCATTCATACCTATCTCACTCAGCGACTTGACGACGACACTGCCGCGAATATCTACCTGAATACCGTCGGTCAAGCTTTAGACCCCCTTACCGAATTGAAGGCTCAAACGAATTTTGGCCGTCCGGACTTCAAGCGCCTTTTCACTGCTATGCGTCTCGGTTTGCTAAACCAGACTTACCTCCAAGGTCTTCAAACGGCTTCTACCACGGAGGTTGGTGTGTACTTCTGTGGACCGAATACAGCGGCTCGACAGATTAATGATGCAGCCAAGTATGCCTCGACCAAGGCGGTTCGTTTCAAGTTCTGGAAGGAGCACTTTTAGTCCCAACGACTTTACACGAATTTTTCCTCGGCGATGCGTTGTATTCCCATCGCGTATGAAGTTATGAGTTACGGATCTCTCTGTTTGCGGTCTTTCTTCATTTAGTTGATTGAGCCTGCTTATACTGGACTACACATACGGCGGAATGGTCTGATGCCTTGTACTATATAGTTTATGATGATTGCACATTTTTTTGAATTTAATATCCACGGGGTGAATTGATTGCTATTAATGGACAAACGTAGAAACGCCGTCCGATGAACTCTGAGAGTTCACACCCTCATCTCTCTCATCCTCCTCACCCCATTTCAACTCCCTCCATCTGCGCTCCCAGGGCGTTCAGCCAAGCATCGGCCTGGGCCTGAGCGGCCGCCCTCTGGACGGTCACTTCTCTCAGCTCCTCCTCGATTTTCACGTGGATTCGAGCTTGCTTTTCTTCGAGCGAGTCGTAAAGCCCACGGAATTCGCTGAAGGTAATGCCGTCCTCGTGACAACCCAGACGCTCAAAGGCAAGCATCACCAACTCCTTCGACCAGGGACAGGCAACGATGGCACGTAACAAGACGGACTTCGCCGCCTTGATGTCCTGAGCCCGGTCAAGTTCAAACAAGAAGTAGAGTTTCCAGATGGTGATGTTTGACCGAGCGGTATAATCGCCAAGGTCTGTAGGGGCCGCATCTCTGTCCGCGTGCTCGCCGAGGGATGTTTCGAATGCCGCCCGCACAGTGTGCAAATTCCCTCCCGCGAACGTCGGGCGACAAAAATTCACGTAGAGATTGAACAAGTGGAGGGTCACTGGTATCTTCTGAACGACAATGGGTGACACGCTAGATTGGGGATCCAGCCTGTAGCGGCCCCGCAGCTCGTGTTGTTCAAAATCCGGTGGAGGACGAATTCGATCAAGAAATGAACAACGTGACTGATTCCACATATGGAGGGCCCTGAACATGGTGTTCAGGGGGAACAGTTTCACGCTCTCCTCCCAAAGGATTTGCACCCGGCGGGGCTGGAATTGTCCCCTCTGAGATACGTGGAAATAGATGAGCCTGGCTCGTGCCTGGTGGAGGAGTTCGGAGGTAAACGCCTTGAAAGTCTCCTCCTCATCTGATAGGTGTCCCAAGTTCAATACTCCGGAAACGTAAACATCAAGGGCCGTATCCAGTGACTTCGCTGAGATGTATTGAAGGAGGGCAAGGCAGTCAATGTAGGCCACATACACGTGAGGCATCTTCTCGGCAAGTGCTCGCTCCCAAAACCGACGCAAAATCTGTGCAAGTGGTTAGAGCCTTGACTTGATCCTCAAAAGCAAGGGGTCTTACCTTCTGAAGCCTGAGATCATCGAAAGGGCTATACTCCTTCTGTTCAGTAGCAGCATGGAATGCTTTCAAGTCAACCTTGCCTAGAAGCATGGTATGGAGCAGGTGGGAAGTTCTTGAGATGTCACCCTGCCGAAGCATTTCCCAAGCCCACGTGTTCCAAAGAGGTCCGCAGTTCAAGTTGTCATTGATAACCTGGGACCAGACTTGGTAAGCGAAATCTTGCGCACCCAAGCGGCACTGCATCAAAGCAAAGGCATTGTAAAGCTTGAAACTGGAACGACGGCTGTTCAACAAGCTTTTGGCGAATTTGGTTGCTGCTCGACGATCGCAAGCGAATGCCACTGCTAGAGCATACTCGGCCAAATCATCATCTTGGTGAAAACGCTCAGCCAAAGATTGTAGGGTCCGTCGCACCCAATCTGTGTCAAGAGTGTGTGATTGGCCAGAGAGGGCCGTGCTCCACGATTGAAGAGAATAAAACCAATTTTCTGGAGCGAACAATGTCTCTGGCGTGTGCAAGAAGCTCGTGACTGGGAATGAGAACGGCGGAAAGGTCGTTTGTGAGGCGTCAATTCCCGGCGGGAGCGATTCGGAGAGATAGCCTTTAATCGTGTCCAGGGATTCATTTCGCAGAAAATTGTCGCCGTCCCAAAGCCGAGTTGTCTGAGCATTTCCCTCTCTCGTCAGATGCGGTAGGTGGCAGAAGTACAAGAAGGCATTGACGATATCGTCAGGTACAGGCGCGTGCCAAAATGAGGGCAGGATGTGAAGGAGGTCTGATGTGAGAACTACCGAATAAGCAGTATCCACATTGACTCCATGAATGTCCAAACTTCGGGCTGGCATCTTGAGGTTTTGGATAAAGTTTCGCTCAGAACTTGTCCAAGATGAGACAAGGGACGAAACGTCGACATGGGCACTAAGCGGACGAGTGACAGGGTCAACCTTGTGATTCTTATCGCTTCGCCAGCCATGTCCCTTAAGCTCGCCCAAACGTGCAACCTCGGAATCCCAGAATTCACAGAACTGCAGAAGAACTGTGTCGCGTTGTCCCTCAGAGTGAGCGTCCGGTCGAAAACAAGTGAATTCAAGTACAGCCTGCCAAAGACCGACTGCAAGCTCAGTGTAGCCAGCTTCGCGAAGCAAAAGGGTTAGACGCAAGAGCAGATAGCATTGGACTTGAGGATAGCGAGAATCATGAGGACTAGCGTCGATGCGCTTCATGTAGTTGACCAACAAGGACTTGCAATCTTCCACGGCAAAGTCTTGGAAATCTGTTTGTCGAAGATTCAGATACTTCAACCAAAGGCTCATGGACTCAGGGTTTTCGCCCAAAGTTTTTTCCCATTCTTCGAAGAACTGCTTTCTGTCCCAGAGATGGCCACCTTCCTGAAGGCGGCCAAGCACCAACAGCTCCTTATGAACACTGTCGCCACAACTCACCAGGGCCTTGTCGTAGAGGGACAGCCTCATATCGGCCACGCTCTTGCATTCGGCAGATGTCAAGTGACGATCATCTTCTCCGGGACCAAGAACTAGAGCAGACTGATTGTCGATGAGCTCAAGCCACGATGCGACGTCCTTCGGGTTACACGCCAAGTTGTGCGATAGCTTGGCATTACGAGCTCGACGCTCCGCATCAAGACTGACTTGATGCTCTTCATTGTTGCTTGCCTGGGCAGTGACAAGTTCCATATCCTTGGGCAGGACATCTTCGGTCTTCGCTTTGCCGAGAATAGAGCGGTAGGCAAAACGCTCATCATCGGAGTCGCTTTCAACGGTATTGACACCAGACGCCTTCTCAATGGGATATTCGAGGAGTATGGTATCGCTCTTCAGCTCCTCGGTGGCGGGAGGGTTGGCATCCTGGCGGAGGCGGTAAAGCTGCGTTGGCTGTTTTACAGGCCCGGACAGCGGCCCAGGAAATTTGTGCTTTTGAGAACCAGCATTTTTGTCTCGTAAAACTATGGTGTCACTTTCCGCGTGTTCTCGATCAATGGCCAAATTCTCGGGTAAGCCCAGCACTTGACCTTCCCCGGCTCGACGGTACAAGGGGATGTCATAACGATGCGCAGTTCCATATTTCAGAACAGACCGATCGCCCTCTGTGTCAATAACATAGAGCTCTTCTGATTTCAAATGGGAAAGGTCAGAAGATGCAGGATTGACAGCTGGGGGATGTCTTTTCTCCTCCTTGCGGCCAGTCTCGTCACGCCATGTGCGATTGTGGTCTGTCTGACGTTCGCGAGAAGCTCGCTGGTCACGCAAGGGGGACTGGGAGCGATTGCGACGCGTGGTATGAGAGCGCTGACTGGGAGACCGGTAGCGGTAGTGTTCTTTGGATCGTCGAGGAGAGCGGGATCGGTGATCATGGCGGCGTTGTTTTCCAGCCGCGCGATCAGCTTCCGAAGTGGCCAGAGGAGCCTTGAAACTGGAGAATTTGGGGACAGCCTTTTTGTCCTGGGTTAAGTATTAGCACCTGCAGATTCAGCCTTGAAGGAGTTGCTGGACTCACCTGCGAACCCGACGTGTCCATCGTCGTGGGATCCGCCATCTTCTTATCGTGCAGGTGGAGTTATCAGATAGATCGGATAAATTATGATCCGAAAGGGAAGGCGGTCAAGAGATTTCGGAGAAAGGAAAATCCGAAGGTAAGAGGGGATGATCGGAAAGGAAATATTCCGGCAGTACGGGCGGTGAAGTTGGACATTTCCTGCCGAAACAAAACCTTCACGGGAAAGGCGGTGAGACCGAGTGCTGGTATGATAGAAGATCCAACCGTCGGAGAAATAATGTTCCAGTTAAGGAAGGCGGTAACAGCAGCCCCGACAGAAAAAAAAGTTGATGGTTAAGAGCCCGACAAGAACTTGTGTGTGCCCACTTGGGAAGCAGTCAACACATTCAATCCATTTAGAGATGGCTCACGGTGGTCTGTAGTGGAAATTTGCAGATCACATTCACTTTCCCACCATGGCCTCCTCTCTCGCGGCGCAGCTGTCGCAAATTGCGGCCAAGTCATCCCACGAGCTTGACCTTAAGAAGCAACGGGTCACCCATTCACAGTCATTAATTTTTGACCGGAAGGTCGCCTCTACGCAAGACTTCGATACTATCTATGACATATGTTATGATGGATTCCGGGAGCTTTGTTCCCTAGATGCTCGGTTTGAGGAGTTCGGGCGATCCATCTTCAGCGAGCAGAGCAAGGCCGAAGATCGAACTCAACTGAGCAGCTCACAAAACAAGGAGTTGGATGCTGTGATTGAGTCCTTCCTCGCTCTTGTTGGGGGGCGCCTGCAGTTGAGTCCCGCAGTTAAAGCTGTGGACTGGCTGGTCAGACGATTCAGGTATGAGCCCTGTACTATGAGCTTAACCATGCAGCTAACCACCACACCAGGGTTCATGAATATAACACGTCTTGCATTCTACTGACATTCCTTCCTTATCACACGACTCCCCTCTTCCTCAACCTACTCTTGATCCTGCCCAATGACCTGACTCCGACATTCAAAGTCCTCTACCCATATAAGACTGGCCTCATCAATCCGCCGCGGCATCCCATTGTGCACAGTGCCACCACAAACAAAGCATTCTTCGCAGCGCTGAACGAATATGTCCTCAAAGCCTGTCAGCAACAGTCCCAGAGCCATGCATTGCTTTCCTTCTGGGCTGGTATCATCACGGAGGCTGTGGCAGGCATGCTGGATAGCGCTCGTTCTGGTCGGAGAGAAGCTGAGAAGCAAAAACATGAGGATATCCTGATTCGTGTTCTGCCCCTTTTGAGTCGGGCTTTCGCAATGAGGAAGGTCTCTGAGCTGATCGTCAGCTGCTATATGATCTCTGTTGTGCTTGCCCAAAAGGCCTCCCTCACTGATGATGTCCTGGATGGTTTGATGGAGAGTGTGGTCACCTCTTGGACAGAAGACACCCTCGGCTCCGGTCTGATCTGTCTTTCAGTTTTGGCACAACAGAAATCGTCTGCCAATCTTCCCAGGAAGGTTTTCAAGTCTATCATACGGTTAGAGCACCCAGTGAAGCAATTGTCCGAGGTTACAACTCAGTATCAGACTTCCAAGCTTTTACTCGGCCTTGTTGCAGGGTGCGTCAGCAATCTTGATAAGCATAAGGATAATGCCCGTCTCTCCCTTCTCTCGTCCATTTTCGAGAACACGGTGCTGCAAGGCGATGATATCCAAGCAGCCATGGCGCTCGTCCTGAAGGCTGCAAGTGACTCGGATGAGGCCCGTGGAATGTCTCTGGATGTTCAGACTTATCTTGCTGAACTTGTTCAGGGATTCAGTCGGTCCAGCTCTCTGCAACCGATTTTCCAGAAGACTTTGGCCGAGACATCTCTTAACATCCCTGCTCTTGAGCACAATCTCCAAACTGTGGTTGAGGCACCTGCACTTCCCCCGGTTATTGAAGATGTGGATATGAAAGACGTGGATGAGGAGGATCTGGACAACTTCACACCAGCCTTTGAATCCTTGACCAACGAGCCCCTGTTCCCAACATCTTTCCTCAGCAAGCAGTCCATCCCTGAGTTCGAGAACCTGGTGCAGGTGTTCGCACTGGCCGGTGATTCAGAGGTTCGAATCGAACAATTCACCAGCCTGCCGATTTTGGGCAAGAACAACGTTTCAAACAGCCCGCAATTCATCTCATTCTTCATTCGTGTCCTTTCCGGACCCTTCCCCATTGGCACCAAGGTTGCTGCATTGAACATCCTTTCCTCGGTGTTGGTGTCGACATCGGGTGAAATAGATCCTCAAGCACTGCTGCCCTTCCTGATCGTTGGCCTCACAGACCCGTCGGAACGCATCCGTCGCGAAACTGCTGGAGTTCTAGCCATCCTCGGCTCTTTGTACAAGAGCAACAAAAAGCTCGATGCGATCAAACCCTGGGCTTCTGATGCTATCTACGGAAAGGGCAAGGGATCTACTGGCATTCAGTGGCTATCTTCGGCCGATGTATACAAAGTTCTGGAGCACGCGATTCTACCCGCGCTTGAGGAGTATATTCTTGATCCCAATCACATCAGCAAAGTGATTGACGCTACGATAAGAGGGGCTGTGCTCTCAGAGAATTCAGGTGCCCAGGAGCTGAAGAAATCTCTCCGATCAAGTCTGTTCACTTTCCTCTGCTCGCATGTTATCAACATGCCGGTATTTTCTCCCAAGTTCACTTTGCTGCGCATTCTCAACAATGTCAAAAAGGTTTCAGGTACTACTCGCACTAAGGAGCTTCTTCCTCTGCTCGAGTATTGGCGTGATCTCAGCCAAACCGAGGTGGATGACCTCTGTGCCAAGGAGCGCTTGTCAACCGCTAACAGCGAAGGCCTAGTCGTCGCTATTGTTGCTTCTAAGGACGAGGACGCATTCGAAACCCTTCTGTCCAGCATTGCCCATCGTGTCAAATCTCCCAGAACTTCCTTCGTAGTGGCCGTCTTTGATCGAATCAAGGATATCTGGCCCAAGGCTCTGGAAGAACGTCAATTGGTCGCAGCTCAAAAGCTACTGGATATTTCCCTTGGTTTGTCCACTGGGGAGACGTCCCTGGCCGACTATTGCCGTGATGTTTTGCACAGTGTTGAGCTGTCTGGGCCTGTTCTGGTCAACTTTGTCAAGAAGATTCCCGTTTCTCTAACTGACATCGAATCGCTGGGACCTGCCCCGAAGCGACGACGAACAAGCCAAAACAACATGGTTGCTATGACTGTCAAGGATGAGGCGGAGCTGAGCAAGCTCATGGACAAGATGACTTTCATCCTTGAAATTATCGATAGCTCGAATCCCGGCTCTCACCCTGAGCTGGCAGACGGTCTCTTCCAGACACTTGCTGCCCTCCACCACTTCAAGTCCCAGATTCAGTCCGGTATGAGCTATCTCCTGAGTTTGACTCTGGGAAGTCTTTTGGCTATTGTAAACAATTCCAAGGGATCCCCCAAGCCCCTATTCGATACTTCGGTTATTCGCGCGGATCTGGTCGTGGATTGTGTGCGGACGACCGACAGCCCCCAGGTTCAGAATGCTGCTCTTCTGCTCGTGGCTGGACTCTCTGTCATTGCTCCAGAGCTTGTCCTCCACAGTGTGATGCCTATCTTCACGTTTATGGGATCTAGCGTTCTCCGAAAGGACGATGACTATTCAGTTGCTGTCATCGATCAGACTATCGATCAGGTTGTTCCAGCACTTATCCAATCTCTCCGCAATCAGAAGCGCGATATTGTTTCGGGAACTTCTGAGCTGCTCCTCAGCTTTACTGCTGCCTTTGAGCATATTCCCTCACACCGTCGTCTTCGCCTCTTCCATGCCTTGATCACCAAGCTTGGCACTCAAGACTTCCTGTTCGCCGTTCTCGCCATGTTGGCCAACCGATATGCTACCGATAAGGATGTTCTTACCTTGATGACAGGCGTGGCCTCAGACACCACTCCTGTTGTGGAGCTGACCACTTACAGCAAGTATCTGAATCTTGTCATCGACGCCTTGAAGCCCAAGCCAGGAATCTCCAAGGTTCTCCTTGGCATTGGTAGCGATGACGGTCGCGACCCCCAGAAGGTTGCGGTGGATCTGCTTCGCGATCTCGCTCACTTGCTCAAACACTCGTCTCTCAAGGCCAAATTGGAAGCTGCGTTCGAGATTGAGAACGAGGTTGCCGATCAAGTCCGCGCTTGCTTCTCTCGGGTATTGGAACAGGTTCTGGGCATTGGTGAGTCTGTGCAGAGCATGAAGCCTGTTAGCCAGGCCTGTGGTGACGTTTTGGGATCGCTGTTCGGTACACTGTCTCTTGTCGACTTCCTGGATACCATCGAGGTTCTGCTTGAAGGACCCAATGATGATCTTCGACGCAAGGTGCTTCGGTTGCTGGAGAACCGTCTCCGTCAAACCCCTGAACGGGATAGCCAGTCTCAGATTCGTGTGCTCGACTTCCTGCCTACCTTGGTCGCCATTGTTCAATCATCTCCAGATTCGCTTCTCAAACATGCTGCTGTTGCCTGCATTGATCGCATCACTGAGAAGTATGGCCGTAAGGACCCCGCAAGGGTTATCCCTGCTGCCCAGGTTGTTGCCAGTGCCTCCTGCCTTGGCCACGATGATGAGCGTATCCGCATCATAGGTGTCCTGTGCCTCGCCTCCATGGCTGAAGTCCTGGGTCAAGCTATGATTCCGGCTCTTCCCGACGCGATGAGCCGGTCTCTGGAGTTGCTGGAGCTGAGCCTAATCCCCGACAAGGAGAACTCGCGCCTCCATGATGCCGTCTTCTCCCTCTTCTCCGCTCTGCTTGTCAACCTACCATTCATGATCTCGGCTGGTCATCTCGACAAGATTCTGCGGCTTGCATTTAAGTCTACCGAGGCAGATCTTGCGGAAAGCTCTGACGAGAGCCGCTTGGAAACTCTTCGCCTAATGGCCTCCCGCAAGATGGACCTCGCCACTACACTTGGTGCTATTGATCGCAACTGGCACCATGCTGTTGAGACCGGCCCCGCTGCTGTCAACGAGACCCTGGTGGTCCTCGCACTTGCTGTTGAGAAGAACCCCAAGTCGGCGGTCGTCAAGAACGTCAATGTCTTGTCGAAGATCCTCTTTAACGCTTTCGATCTGCGCCGGGAGCAGACCAGTCTTGGTGACGCAAGTGACTTTGACTCCTCCGATCTTGACGAAGCTGAGAGTGCCTTGAACGATATCACCATCAAGATGATCTACAAGCTCAATGACAGTACCTTCCGCCCGCTCTTCATCAAGTTTGTTGAATGGGCCACCACTGGTGTCTCCAAGAAGGACGAGCAAGGCCAGGTTTCGCGACTCACCACTTTCTACACCTTCCTCCAAGTGTTCTTCGGCACCCTCCAGTCCATCGTCACTGGATATTCCAACTACATTCTGGAGAATGTCGTCGAGATTTTGGGCAAGGTTGGCCCCGCCAAGACGACCAAGGCCCTTTGGCTTGCCGCTCTGCGTACACTTCGCAACTCGTTTGAACACGACCAAGATGGTATGTACTTTGGCTTCTAGCCTCTAGACTTTGCTAATGCGTTTTCACAGAATTCTGGCAATCTCCCTCGCACCTGGCCAGCATCTCCGGACCTCTCGTTTCCCAGCTTGCCCATGCTACCACCTCCAAGACTGCTGCACTTGTTGCTGAAGAAGTCGTCCCCGCCATTACCGAGCTGGCTGTTGCTGCCGATTCCACCGATAACTACAAGGAGCTCAACATGGCTCTGATGAAGTACCTTCGTCCTTCGACGGCTCCCAATGCGAAATCTGCGGGAGGTGATAACCCCTTCACCCGCCTTGCTGCCCTCAAGGCTGAGCAGGCCCTTACTGAGCAGCTTGGGGAGGAATGGCTCTCTCTGCTTCCTGAGATGTTGCCGTATATCAGCGAGCTGATGGAGGACGAGGATGAAAGTGTCGAGAAGGAAGTCCGGAAATGGGTGAAGCAAATCGAGGGCGTCCTTGGTGAGCGTCTTGATGATATGTTAACCTAGGGTTGTTCTTTGGTGACCCTTGTACAAAGATCCGCATTTGTTTGGCGTTTGTAAAGTAGACCACTCTGGATGGCGTCCAGGCATTTGTTGTCTGCATAAAAGAATTCCATTTATTTACAGTTCATTTGAGTTCCACGAGCGCCCCGTAACTCGCTCGCTTCCTTTATTCCATTCAGTGCCCCCCCTCAAAAGCAGAAATCAGTTCTCTGGGACTGGATGATCCTCGGCGGCAACTCCAGCGTTCCACCGATATTTAAAAGCCGGATGATCAGCCCTTGGGCCCGTCTGGCCAGGCGTTGAATACAAGTTCTCGCGATAAGTTCCCTTCGGCACCGCGTAATCGTCCCAGAAGAGTCCTCGGCGACGCAGTTCGGGAATAAGTAGTTCAATGATATCCTTGAACGAACCAGGCTTAACGGCGTACGCCTATGTCGAGACAAGTTAGAAGCGCCATGGCTTGAGAAGCTTTCAAGATTGGATTGATCTTTCTCTCACCAGGTTGAACCCATCGACATCGGCTTCTTGCACCCATCGTTCCATGCTGTCAGCAACTTGTGCAGCTGTGCCCACGGGGGTAGCCCCAAGGCCACCGACGGTGATGTGCTGGCCGACTGTTGTCTTGGTCCATTTGGCGACTTCCGGAGTAGCCCTGGACCAGCCCTCCACGGCAGACCTGTTTGACTCGATTAACTAGAGGTCATTCAATTCGAATGTGGTGCCCACCAACCTAATGGCGTTGCTCTCGACATGACGCAGCTCTTCATCATCGCCATACTTATCCAGATCAATACCAGTCCAGCCACCGAATAGAGCAAGCGCACCATCAATCGAGCCCAAGCTGCGGTAATACTTGAACTTCTCCACGGCTTCCTCCTCTGTACGACCAAGGACCGGGCACAGCAAAGCCAGGAACTTGATACTCTGTGGGTCTCGACCGAATTGGGTCTTCGCAAGCTGGCGAATTTCAGCAACGTTCTTGGCCACCACGGCCGGACTATGACCAGCCACAAAGATTGCCTCGGCATGTTGGGCTGCAAAGGTCTTTCCGGCCTTCGATGTACCGGCCTGGAGGATGACCGGAGTACGCTGAGGGCTGGGCTGGCAGATATGAGGACCTGGCACATTATAATATTTTCCAATGTGGTTGATTTCTCGCACAAGGGCTGGGTCTGTGTATATGCCGCGCTCGCGATCAAGAACGACGGCATCCTGGCGCCAGGAGGACTCCCAAAGCTTGTATGTAACTTTGACATATTCTTCTGCCAGGGCATATCTATCATCGTGCTGTGTCATTGTTAGCCTTCACTCAGATGGTCATTACATTTAAACATTCTTGAATCCAGGTGACTAACATGAGGCTGCTCTGCCTGGCCTAGGTTTCGGGCGGCAGAGTCAAGATAACCTGTCACAACCTAAAGGTCTCGGTCAGCTGTTTTTATCACTCTAGCTTTTTCATCTTGGAGGCTTACATTCCATCCCAGGCTAATCATTGAACAATTAGCCGATTTTCAGCAAAGCAAAAGTTTACCTTGAAAATTGTTATACATACCGTCCTTTTGTGAGGTGATCCACGGTTGAAAGTCGCCTCGCCAGATGATATGGCGGCTCGTAGGTGGTCGTCACCGTTACTCCAAAGCCAATGTTTTTGGTAGCTGCCGCCATAGCTGGGAAGACAGCCAGGGGCTCATTGACTGGCCATTGTGCGCCCGAGATAATTGCAGGATCGAGATTGCGTGGTCCCTTATAAACGTCGTACCCGCCTGGATCCAGCATATTGTAAGACTTTTATTCAATGCTCGTACGATGTGAACAAATAAACGTACCCAGTACATCCGCGATGAAGATACCGTGGAATTTTGCCGACTCGAGCAACTGCGCCAACTCAACCCAGTGGTCAATATCATTGAAACGATGCGATTCATCCTCAGGGTGGCGCCAAAGGCCTGGCGACTGGTGTCCGCTGCCTAAATTCCAGTTAGAGACCCCCGGGGTCGAGCGATAAGCATATAATGGCACCCACGACTTACACATCTCCACAAAGGCATTGAGGATGAGTGACTTGCGGGGTCTGAAAGACCCCGCGGCATTAGTGCTCTCGGTCATTCTTGCTTAAGGCCAGTTGACTTAAAGATAATGCGATACAATCTGCTTGAGCTTCTTTACCCGTGGCGAAATTCTGGGCAATACGCTATAGACTTTTGAAGGAAAAGAACAGATTCTACCAGAACGACCTAATTGGAGGGGTAGCATACAATTTGTATGCGAAGGATCAAGGAGCACACCATCCCCGCGTACGTCACTTGTAATTCTTTTGCGGTCCCAGCTTCATTGCTTCTCGCTGATCTCAAGAGTTGCGCATAGCATCAAAGTGGGCCGAGATGGCGCGATGCGGGAGATCCTGAACGGCCCTGGAGCTAAGCAGAACGTAACTGGCTCAACCTAGAGCAGGCGTGGTCTCATGCACGAGTTAGATCGCCGTATTCAATTATTAGTATCATTCTTGGCATTTGGGCTCTCCTTGATCTCTCGGGCGAGAGATGTACTCTCCCTAAGTCGGGTCGAAAGCACACCGCGAACTTTGGGAAGCGTCAGTTCGCGGTGAGATGATTCGTCGACAACCCTCTTCGCCTCTATTTTACCGAGAAGCCAAGTAGCTTTCCAACCATCGATTGGCTAAAACGCTCATCGAAATCAGCAATTGGGAGTTTCGACGGATGCCAACGTGGAGTCTATCAGTCGTGCCTCACGGGGGTCATCGACTACATTTCTCATGCTTTTCGTGTGCAATATCGTCGCATAAGCCGGTAACAAGGTAGATAGCAGGTTGTGAGAGAGATAGATCGACATAATCATTGAAGTTCCAATATGACGAACGTCCAAATTTTGCGTTCTCCACTAGCAGTATATCCACCTCGGCTCCATGCAAAGCGATGCCTCTAAACTTTAAATCGCACCCTAAGTTTCTTGCTTCTCAGTCTCAAAAGCACCTCATCTCAAGCATCTATCAAATCATTGCGGGTCTTAGCATGTTCATTCGCTACGAAGATACCGTTGATATTGCATGCCTCCAGAAACCATGAGCACCCCTGTCCCTGAAGACGGGCTGCATTGCGTAAAGATGGATGCATTTAAGCATGCATGATCCCCATAGGTTCCCATAGGATTGCGATCATATGCTGAGCTCGTGTCCACCTTTGTAGGCAGACACTATTCAAGTCTTTCCAGATAAAAGATTTGTGCATTTTGCGTCTAGAGCTAACCACTCAAATTGTCATAATGTCCAAGTTGCATATTCGGGATGGCATCTCCACAGTCCAGCCGCCTCTATCACAGGCAGTTGGTTACATCGTCGTTGTATTGATCGGTATCATAATTGCTCTGGGTATGATGGTCCGAGAGTCACCACGCTTCAAAGCCAATCTAACAAAGTAATAGTGATGATGCTAGTCACAAGGATCTTGAAGAAGACCACAGGTGAAGACAACAAGAAAACAGAAATGTAAGACCAAGGCCAATCGTTACTGATATGCATTTTAATTTATCTTGGTTGACAATGATCCAGGTTCATGACTGCAAATCGCACCGTACGAACTGGTCTTACTGCATCGGCCGTGATCTCTGTCAGTAAAGCTTGACTTGATCTTACTCAATTCGTCACTAATCACTAAGTAACTAACAGTCATGGCTTTGGTCCACTGCACTACTTGGATCTTCATTTGTGGGGTATGATTACGGTGTTGCAGGACCTTTCTGGTTTGCTGCCGGTTGTAGCCCGATGATCGTCTTCTTCGCCCTTCTCGGCATTTCGTGCAAGCGGAAGATTCCTGAAGCACATACCTCTCTAGAAGTGGTTCGAATTCGATACGGTATACTTAAAGATCAAAGAAACCGCGGGACAAATTTCATCTGACGGATCACAGGCCGAGCTGCACACATTGTGTTCATGATATTATGCTTGATCAACAATATCTTTGCTTGCGCAAACATGCTACTTGGCGCAGCTGCGGTTATTTCTGCCGTGTATGTTGATATTCACATCATTTCATACACGTAATACTGACTAAAGAAGATCTGGTATGCATATCATCGCCGCAACGTTTTTACTACCCGTCGGTGTAACGGTATACACCTTTGTCGGGGGTATTAAGGCAACGTTAGTTCTAATTCTGTTTGGCCATCAACCAAGATTCTGACTCTCAGCAGTTTCTTGACGGACTACTTCCATACAGCTGTTATACTTATAATCGCGTGCTACTTTTCCGTGAAAGCATTTTCCGACGACCAGATTGGCTCAGTGGGGAACCTCTTCGAGCTGCTTAAAGCCGCAGCTGAGCGTCACCCCGTTTCTGGTAACGAAGCTGGAACGTACTTGACTATGACATCGAAAAGCGTGAGCATAGATCCCATCTTCGAACAGGATTTCTTCTTAAGTATAATCTCAGGCAATCCTCTTCGGTATCCTGCATACTTGCGGCAATTTTGGCCTTGTTGTGGTAAGTACCATTCTGCCTTGTGTACAGGTCAGTGTGCTGATTTCATGGACAGATGGATACCAGCTATTTCATCAAGGCATTCTCCGCATCGCCTGCAGCAGTTGTCCCCGGGTATACAATTGGAGGCATTGCTTATTTTGCCATTCCTTGGGCTCTAGGCACGGTAATGAGCTCTGTTGCCCTTGGATTGGAAAACCAGCCAAACTTCCCGACGTACCCTAGAGTAAGCTCATCGATATTCCACACCGAAATCTTCAAACTCATACTGATTTCATTTTCCAGCGAATGACTACTTCCGAAGTCAGTGGCGGCTTAGTCCTTCCATATGCAGCCATGACGATCGCAGGCAAGGGCGGCGCAGCCGCTGTCCTTCTCATGACCTTCATGGCTGTGACTTCTACACTTTCTGCACAAGTGATTGCGGTCAGCTCGATTCTAAGCTTCGATATATATCGCGAGTATTTTAATAAAACAGCCACCGATCGCGACTTGATCCGGTCTAGTCACTTTGGCGTTATTTTCTTTGCTGCTTTCTCCGCTGGATTCAGTACCATGCTGCACTATGTTGGCATCGACCTTGGTTGGACGCTATACATGCTTGGTCAGTCTAACAAGGACCATTTTCAGAGGGTGCATTGAAACTGACAACTTTGATAGGAGTGGTTACTTGCCCAGGGATTTTCCCAATGGTTTTCACCGTTCTATGGCGCCGTCAAAGCAAGGCTGCAGCCATCCTCTCGCCCATACTAGGTCTGGCGACTGGACTGGCCGTGTGGCTTGGAACAGCATCTCATTTCGGAGGCGAAGTCTCCGTCGCCAGCACCGGTCAAGTACTGCCTTGCATGTACGGCACGGTAGCCTCCTGTTTCTCGCCAATTCCATATTCAATTTTGATCACACTGCTACGACCCCAAAATTACGACTGGGCGGATTTCCGGAGAGAGAAGCTCTCACTTGAAAAATTGGATAGCGACTTGACTGCTGCTCGTAGTGATGGGGCCCCTGGTAACAGTGAATCAAGTAGCATTGAAAATGGAGGACTTCATAGTGCTGCTTTGGAGTCGAAAGAGCTGAAGCGATGGGGTCGTATTGCGGCTTTTTGGTCCATCGCGACGTTCCTGGGCCACTGGGTAATTTGGCCTTTGCCAATGTATGGATCCCACTATGTTTTCGAGAAGAAGGTATGAGCACCGATATTCATTTCATATCATTTCCCTGCTGTGAAATTCTCCTATGTGCAAATTGAATCTAATTCTCATCTTGGCAGTTCTTCACTGCCTGGGTCGTCGTTGCTATCATTTGGCTCTGGGGCACAATGCTGGTCGCAATTTTCTACCCGCTGCTCGACGGTGGAATCCAGCAGATTCGTCAGGTCTACCAAGGTCTTACTGGAAGAGCCAATATTGTCACCGATGGTGCCAACAGCAAGATTGAAGGCGAGGCAAAATACTTTCCCCCTTCGCCATCCACAGAGTCAACTAGCGAAGGCCCTCGTCGACAGGCGCCCAAGGGCGAGGCTATGTAATTAGAGGACTCATGATCAGGGACGGGATGTAGCTTTAGACACGATGGATCTAGGGACGGGTTTGCCCGAACGATGGATTTTTTTAGCAAATTGTGAAATGGCCTGCGCCAATAATAGGGACGTCTACGGTTCTAGTTCACTGAGTTTCTACGTTGGAATTAATCTACACTGTACTCCCCATCTTCGAGCTTGAAATATGAGGGAGTGTGCAGCTTAATGTCCCCACTAGCTCTGCAAATTACGTACTGTCTATTAATTAGCAAAACAAAAGTGCGTAATATAGAGCTGTTCAAAAAGAATACTGTTCAGATATTGACAAAGTTTGATAAACGAAAGACTATTCGCCGCCTAGCGGACGACTCTCCATATTGCCTTAAGCAAGTGAAAGTAAGGAACATCAGTAAATCAAGAATTCCACGAAGACACCCAAGCCTTGATCAGCCAACCAAGTGATTTAGCTAGATGGGAAGCCAGCCTTTAGGTTATCATAGGAGGACGCGGGGTAGCTCAGCTCATTCTGGCTCTGATCCAGGGCACCGGTGCCGCCAAATTGGTTGACAACCTAGTAATATCTTGTTAGCATATGCACTGGTATAAGTCATTGTAAATTATGAGATGAGGGTAATTACCGTAGTGATCAAGCTGTCTGAGCCATTCTTGTCGCTGCTGCTCTCCCACCACATACCGCCACCAAGACCCTTGGACTGGATATATTGCGCCTTCAATTGAGCAACCTGTGGAGTGTCATAGCTAACCATCATTCTCTGCGTGGAGTCATAGCTGTAGCTTGCAACAGGCTGACTGAGATAGTTCTCAGTGGCACCGGTCAGGGGTAGAGCTTTATAGTCCCACACGCCGTTCTCCCAGCTCCCGCTACCAACCCCAGTGTAGGTGGTTCCAGGTCCGTCGGTATTCATGAATGAGCGGCCGTATAGTGGCATACCCATCACGATCTTGTTTGCTGGTACACCATTCGCGACATAGTAGTTAATGGCTTGGTCCGTGTTGAAGGGGGTGCTAGCTGGATTGCTGGTCGACGCGTAGACGTTGGCATCGTGGCCAGCGATAGTATCCCAGCTTCCAGAGTAATCATAGGCCATGAGATTCCAGAAGTCCAGGTACTGGTCCATTTGAGCAAGGTGGAGCTGCTGGTAATTTGCTGGGCCTGTCTCTTTGTTAGAACTGACTGGCATACTCTCAGAGGTAATAATATGGTGAATTAACTTACCAGCAGGGGATGCAACGGTGATCAGGAAATGATAATTACTCGCGTTGGCCGCGCTGTAAGCGTCCAATGACTAAATAATAATTAGCTTAGCTGCGTCTGATACTTCTGCGAGATAAGATCTCCCCACCGAGCGCACTGCTTGCAAAGTAGAGACCATGTCATCAGCCTGAGAGCTACTGGCAGGGTACTAGTCTAGTTAGTATATTTTGTGATCGAGAATTGAAGGTGAGCTTTAGACATACCTCCCAATCAATATCAACACCGTCGAAGCCAAGATCCTTGACTAGGTTTGTTGCAGAGGAAGCAAACGTCGCTCTGCCAGAGGCTGTACTCAGGGGAGCGGGAAAGTTGCTCGAGTAGGTCCAGCCGCCGATAGAGAGAAGAATCTTCAGCTTTCGGTTCTTCTGTTTGAGTAAGAATAGCTGCTTGACGCATCCATAAACATTGTTTCCAGTATCGCTCCACGAATCCCCGGTATAATGTTTCTCAATGTCGGCCCAAGAATCCGACATGTACACTTCTCCGGTATCCGGATGGACATTGGCAAAGGCATACAAAACATGGGTTAGTCTCTCCGCAGGCAGATCCTGGGGATTGAAGTTACGTCCATAGATAGCCTAGAATATGCCAACCATGTATATTAGCTAACTATGTTTTGGGATATGTGTTAGGTCATGGTACATACCCAGTTGACAAAATAGGCAACAGAGCGATATCCAGTTGTATCGCGAGCATCAAGCTCAGCTGTACGAGTTTCATGCGAAGGAATGACAGCAGCTCCCACGAGCCATCCCAGGCTTAGGAGGAAAGGAAGGGTAAATCGCATGATGAATGAAAGTCTGTAGAGTTTGTCGAAGGAATGTCTAGTCGAGCCAGCGACACTGAGGTTGGTGAATGCCAAACGAAACTTGGCGAGGGCGGACGCTACTATTTGTATTTGCCGGGAACTGCAGCTCAACAATAGAGTTGTCCGTCCTAACCGGACAAGAGGAATGTAATCAAGTGGATAAAAGCCTCATGGTCCGCCAGACCGAACGGCACGCTCTCTGCAGAGTGACTCCATGCCAATAACCCCATAGTTCCACATTTGACTCCTACTCGTTGACACAACCATGCAATTTGTTCAAAAGTGGAAAAGGCGAGGAAGATCAGAGGGTTCGGCACCTGCACATGGTCAACGTGGTCACCACAACAGTCCCAGCAGCCATCCACAAGAGACCGTCACATTCCCAAGGGCTGCAGAGAATCCCTTCGAAACCACCGGATATTCCTTGCTTGCCAATATCCGAAACCATCACGATGATTAGCAGATATGCACCGGTTCAAGGATGGAACAACGTGCTTCTAGGCAGCTTGGTGATCCTCAGTGTCGGATCTCGCCGTTGAAATTAGTTGTCGTCAGCGTCCAATCAGGGAATCTTGAATGCCCGGAAGGGGGTAACATTCTCATCTCCGAACTTTCCCCTCGACCGCCCTGAATACTTCGGGGTGTATATTGAGGTTGCTCATTGATTGCAAAGAGCATCCCCTTGACGGTCAAGAGTTAAGGGTGTTGCATTCTTTGTCCCTATCCCTCCAGTCCTGGAGGGGTAGGATAGTTTAGCAGTAAGTGTGGATGGCCGAATGTAACTTGGATCACAGTATCATCCAGATCGCAATGGGAGGTTTGATAGCTCTGACAAGAAAGAGCCTAAGGCTGCTCAGCAGGCGTCGCAACCAGCAAATCAGATGAGAAAGGCTCTTCGTCCTCGGTGCAAGCTGCAGGAACGCATCACCCGCGCGATAAGCCAATGTAACACTCATAACACTCGTACCCATGCGACCGGGGCATGTGCCATACCACCCAAGACGGGAGGCCCCCCTAAAGCTGATCTCCCGGCTTTTTCACAAAGAGGGTCAGGACGGAGTAAATGCGTAAATGCGAGCATGATTATTCAGCCAGGTCATCCTGAAGATAAAATCTGCCGGGGAATGATGACCCAAGGGGGGGGCAAGGGTTGTCCCCTCGACGCGACTTGTGAACCCGGCGTGGTTTGCAAAGAGCCTCATCGCTCCATTCCTGTGACAGTGCGATACTTTCCCCATGGAAAGTCGCCGCAAAATGTCTAAGATCTGATCTTGAACCATCTCGAACAAAAGGCTGAAGAGAAAGAAGGTGAAACCGGGGCTGCTTAGCGTGGTTGGGAACAAGAACCGGGCCCTTCGGATGGTTGCACGAGGACGCTCAGTCCCCGCATTCGCCCTGAGCTTAATTTCGCTTACTACGGAGATCACCCTCTAACTAGGTGACCTAATGAGTGAACTAACTTGTTTGGGTAGAATCTTGTTGAGCCAGGATGCTTTTTATGGTCGGCGATAATGCACGTCGTCACGTATCTTCCTATTTTGGGAATTGCCTGCTCGTAATCTGGGAAATTTGATCAAATGATGCATGCGGTACCTTGAGATCTTACGGTTTCCCCCATTCCAAACTGCCTAAAGACGAACTAATCTACCTAACCATAACCCAATCTAGGTCGAGTTGGAGTTGTCCGCGCATGACCAGGCTGCTGGGCCCCCAGACTCTCTGTAACTGTTGACGATACTGACAACGGACCCATACGTTCCCGCTATCATTAGGAAAGTCCCAGAGAGCACTATGAAGATACTCCAGCAAACCATCAAAATCCATTTGGGCGACCTGTCCATCTTGCCTTGGCTCCAGTGATCATATAGCCACATACATCCCATAGGTTGAAAGGACATCATAGTCCCTAGCAAAGCCCCGATCAGGGACACGAGATTGTTGAAGACGGGAATGGCACTAGCGATGATATAGGCCACTACAGTTATTCCAAGAGTGCAACCCAGCCAGCTCACCCAGTGGACAACAGTATTAGCAGTCAGATGTCGGGAGCCTTGCAATAACCTGATAAAGATGTACTTGGCAGGCAGCTATATTCTGTCAGTCTAGTACAAAGCAGATAGCGTAGTATAGACTTAAGACTAACATGAATTACCAGCATCGTACTAGCAATCAACCCCGGAAGAGCAAATCCATAACTTATCTTCTTCATGGTGGGACCTGCTGAGCCAAGAGCAGGCGATGCGACATAAGAGCCACAGTAGTAGTATACGACAAAGCCGATGGCAAGATAGACTGAGGTTACCACTGTCTGGCATATGATTAGTGATCTGGTATATTGGCGAGGCTCGCGCATCTCAGAGACAATAGAGAAGAATGCTGGTGTGCCTGCGTACGCAAAGACAATCGAAGACAATCGAAGACGCTGCAGCAATAGCATCGGAAAAGCTCGGACTTGCAACAATTTTATAGTCAGATACCCAGACTCCTCCTATCTGGGGTGCGGAAGCGGGGCGGTCCTGTACACCGACGGCAATGGTCACGATGAAGACTGCCCTTGTTTCTTAGATCAACTTGAAAGGCTCGCTTTTTATGTGGAAACCCACTTGATGTAAGGATACAAAACAATCCCACCCATGCTACCCAACTAATCCGTCCCAATGTTTGTATACTTGAAAGCATGAAACCAACTATAGCGGCGACCGCAACAAAGATAGCAGTACACGCACCATGCGTAGATACCGCATTGAGGGAGATCGAGATTCCAAGCATGCCGGAGCCTGCAACAAAGACCCAGTCTGTTCAACGATCAGTTAGTTGTCTAGCCAATGGATGGAATAACCTCACAGAGACAGAACGCGAATCCGAACTGGTACCGGCCAGGGTTGCCAAACATCAAGCCCCCCGCATCATCAATGCCATAAACATCTCGGTGTCGAAGTTTGAAATCATCGATGACATAGTCAGACCAGGTTGTAAAAGCGGCAATGACACAGAGGATGTTGCCCCCTGGCACTAAGCCAAGTGTATCAAATGCGACCGGTATCGAGAGGACGCCTAGCCTAATTTGGGTCTTCATCATAAGAGCTGCAGTTCCCAGCCATCCTACCTAGTAGCAATGTCAGTCGACGAAGTCAGTTGTGGAGTTACCGAGAGAGGAATATCATACGTTGCGATAGTTCGGACCGTCTCCCGTTATCTCTCCAAAGACAGCATCGTGGCTATATGTCTGATCCTCATAAATTTGGTCAATCTTTGATCCATCCAGAGCTACAGGTTCGTCGTGTTTCTTCTCGCCCATGTTGGAAGCATCAGATATTCTTTCCTTTGCATTGAGAAAGCGCTTCCAAAGGTGAGGAGTATTCGGGAACAGAAGGCACTATTTAAATGTCCTCAATTCAACGCCGGGCGCTAGGCCGATACGTGCATCAACGGAATTGTGGCTCCTTACATAATGTCAAACGCAAAATTGCAAGCTGGGCTTCAATTCGCATGGAAATTCCCGTGAGTGACTGATTGCTGCTAATTTTCAGTCATTTGGAATGGTTACTGTTGGCATTGCTACGTTGTATCCTTTGATACACGCGTGTAGATGTTGGACGACCACCGCAAATCCCCCATGGTTTCCTCTTGGCACCCGAAAAGCGCAGAGTTTCACCTTCATTTTCCATTATAGACTAGTACGTAATGACCGAGTGTTATCTTGCAGCAATTCCAACTACGACAGATAGGTAACTCTATATCCTGGTATTCTCCGCGTTATGAAGTTAGTCAATATGGGGAATGATGTATACAGCTTGACGAGGGCAACTGATTCGCGAAATTGGCCGGTAAGCCAACCGACAAACGGCTTCGGGTAAGGTTTCCTATCAGCACGATAAATACTTACGCATATCAAGGTGTGGATGTGATGATCAGCTTAGGCTACATAAACAATGGAGCTTTTGATTAGATAGACCGGATGAGTCCGGCTACGCTTCTGAATAAGAGAACTTAGAGTCTACATTAGTAGCGTAGTAATAGAGACATCCGGCTGAACTACGGCAGCCCTTCCGAGATGTTGACGGTGCCTCTAAGCAGTGATATACGAGCCAAATCGGAAACCACAGTTATGAATAGTTCTGAACATCAGTAGAGATGCCCCGCTGTAATGAAGTAACATTGAAAGACTAGGAATGAGTTCGAAGACAAACCTCGTGGTACTCAGAACCCCTTGTGGATAACCATGGCTAAAAATGGACGGTAAGCTCGATAAGAATATTTTGTGATTATCTTGCGTTTTGGCTTGCATCATATACCTATCTTCCGTATGGGAGATTTGTTGGGGTGCTTCGACTTGAATTTGACCGCAATATTTTGCCTTCGTTAGAAGGGGAACCCATTTCAAAGGATGGTGATGAGCAGGAACATAGGTCAGTCATACATATTACCGTCAAGAGAAACCCGCGAAGTTTTAGAGTTCTTATAACATCAGCCAAGCTACTAGGTCCTAGACTGGAGCTTTGTCTGATCTGACAGGAATTTTAGCAGGGACTCTGATGAGCTGTTCAACCATGACTGTGAAGCTAGTATAGATGCTTTGATTGCCACTCAGTTTGTCATGCCCAGGAAACGAGTACGTGCAAACATGGAATAGCCATGGACATGGTCATCAAACAGGAAGTTTCCATCTGGTACAAATCCTTCTCCAGAGGCAGAGGCGTCATGCTTGCTTTCATTATTCATACTCACACTCTTTTCGCTTTCTCTACCTTTCAAGTCCCCCTTCTCATGAGTACCCCGTCCCCATTACTCTTCGATGCTAGACTTTCGCACCCTTCCGCCTCTCCTCCATAAGTTCCCATGTATCAACGAAATACACCAACAGCAGCTCAGCGAGCCCTCGCAATTCCAGAGATAGTGGCTGAAATCTTCACATATTTGATTATTGAACCAGAGCCGGTCGATGGGGAACAGCAGGCCATATGTGTTCAGGAATTGCTGTGTTCGTGCAGTGGTGTCAACTCCCTCTGGTGTGCCGAGACCATGAGACACCTCTGGCAACATCCAACAAAAGGAAAACTGGTCTCGCTCGACGAGCGTCTTGGGCGAGTTCATCCCGCTCGTCGTCAGTTCTACGCAAGCTTTGTCCAGAGTGCCAAGATTGTTTCGACGCATCCAGCAGACTTTCCTAGGCAAACCGCTATTATGCGTGATCTGACCTTTCCGAAGCTGAACTCATTGGTTTTATGCATTGACGCATCCCGGGAACGAATCCTCTTGCCCTGGCCGAACGCTCCAAACGTCGAGAAACTCTTTATCCAGAATGTCTCACGAGTCTACCCAGGGGGTCGACTTTCTTCCTATGGCCTCATGGGAAAGACTTTGCGCAGGCGAACATTGACTAATCTCCCTGTGCATATCAAGGTCTGTCCCTCTCCTATTGAAATATTATGGTTTTCGGACTTAGTGCTTTTTTTATGTCAATAGAAACGGTATCCGACGGTCAAGCGAATCGGGAGATCAATCGACAGCATCACTACCCGCAAAATGACTGCACGAATTCTCAAAATGCTCCCCCGGACTGAATTTCAGGTGAAAGACCTGATGAGCTTCCGTGCTCGCACTTTGTGGTATTAGTTGCCTTGTCAGTCGTCTAATATCTTGTCCCGTCGATGAACGAATCGATAAGCCTGCATATGCCTACATGGAATCAGAGCTGTTAGTACATTGTATTTGTTTTTTAATTTCCAAAAATTGGTAAATTTAACCACCGCGCTTCTAGGGGTAGATGATTTCTACAGCACCGACCAGTGCTCGAGATCTCACAGTTAGCAGACAATCCATCAGATTCCTGGTATTCACACCCCATTTCCATCAACCATTATTTGACATCACATAAATTGTCCAGCCATGTATCAGTAACCACCTGATTCATCTCCATGATTCTCAGGGTTCGACTCGACGACACTTCTTCGAAATTCTTGCCAGAGTCTCGTCGGATACCATCACTATACTTCCCAGAATGAGGTTATCAATGTCTCCGTAGCGATCCTGTAAGGTAGTGAAGGGTATACACGTCAGTAAGAACGGCCGGGCCCAGGGGTTCGCTGAACAGACTCACTTCCAGAAATTGAGCAAGTGCATCGATCGAATCACGGGATAGCACTCTGGGAACCCAGATCATGTCATAATATGATGAGATCTCGCCGGGGTTGGCTCCAATGAGCTCTATTTGTATAGCTGAAAGCCGGGGGGGGTTCGATGGTAGGGAGAGGGATGGTGTGCATGTCGACGTGTAGGTACAAATTCAAGGTCCGGAGGCGAGGAAATGACAGCCCGTCGAGTATGCTGTTCGTTTGGACGACATTGTGCCATGGACCGATGCATAGCCTCCCACTGGGATGACTGCTACGCTATATACAACCGCTTCATGAAGGTTGCCCCAGAACGTCGGCAACTGTACGCGGATTTCGTGCGGGAGATCTATGCGGCAAACTTCAAGCGGCCACGGGCAGTCTTCTCGGGCATCACAGAGTTCCCGAACCTCCGGTCCATGAAGTTCTACCTTTTCGACCCAAAGGTGATCTTCATGCCGATGACGGTGGCCCCGAACCTTTCTGTCCTGGACCTGGACTGTGGGTAAGGAATGAATCCGAATGTGGGCACCGTTGACCGGAGAGTGATTAAGAACCTTCTCAAATACGCGAAGGTAAATTCGTTACTTTGACACTGACGATTAGGAGATTTCACTTTGACCATCGTTGCCTCCGTGATGCAGACTCTCTTCCCGAACTTGAATGTGCTTCGGTTCACGAAGAAGTCCTGGGTCAACGAAGTCCTTCTTCAGCTTTGCGTTTCCCGCCTCCCAGGGCTGGAGGTCTCCCATAACGGCCCTGACATGGAGTGTGGGAACCTCTGCCCACTGAGACGGAGGACTGAGCTTTCGGAAGCTCACAGCCAGTTCTATGGGGACTGGCTAGATTGCGTTTGAAGAAGTGGGTCACTCATGAAGTGGCTTGAACTTTTTCTGGAATTTTGATTATAATGGGAGAGATATACGCGCTTGGATTTTCTGGTTTTATCATTTAGCTGTCATTTTTCACATTTATTTAGGGGTTCAAAGGGCGAATTAACGAATATGATATTGCGTTCGCTGGGGAAAAAAAAGAAACATCATGGGGTATATCCATCAAAAGAGTACAGACAAAAGGCTCAAACTCATTAATGTAAGCAAATGCCATGCAAAGCAAGTCAATAAAAACAGAACATGCAACAGCGTAAAATTTTGTATAGGCCAGGGTATTAGAAAATTAAAGGCCAAAATTCAGCAAACAAAAGAAAGGCCAAAGAATGTGCAAGAAAATTAGAACTTTCAAGAAGCAGTACGCAAGCCTCGCAAGCCCGAGCTAACAATCGTCTCCGAATACTCCGGCGGCGCAAGATTGACATCGACGACCGGCTCGTTGATGGGGGCAACCGAGCGTGGCTGGAAGAATCCGTCTAGTTCTTCCTGTGTCACAATCATGCCCAAATCAGATTTGAGGGACTCTGCATACTTTGGTTGCGTAGTGACTTGAATAGGGAGACGGAGCGAGATGGTCGGGGTGAGTACGTTGGTGCCCGGTGTGTGGTATGTCAATGATAGGTCGAGCGAGTACGTGCGCGATATCAAGCAGGAATGGAAGGTCGGCACGAAGGTTTTGTTGTTGGGGAGGTTGATAGGGATTACTACTGATGCGGTGTAGTAGGTATCGCCGGAGAAGGAGGTCGATGGGCCGGTTGAGTGCTCGGAGGTCATCGATTGCACGGAGTCGCGGCGCTCGCACTCGGTTGATGAAGAGTGCTTGACCCATTTTGCGGAGGCAACACACATGTTAGAAATTGGAACAGACTCGGTGAAGAGACCTTGGCCAACTTGGGAGAATGGGGTTGAGCCAGACTGCATTGGGAAATCATCCCAGGGCCCTGCGCTGTAGAAAGTGCTGGCCTTGATCTTGCTGGTCAAGGAGCCCAGTTTGGGTGGTTGTTCATCACCCACGGGGTCGAATCGAAGCTGAACCGTTGCCATGGTGCTGACTGTATCACTAGCCTCGCAGCTAGGAGGAAGCAAGCGAATCGGCTTGGGCTGCGATGCAGAAGCTACCAAGCGGCCGAGCTTGCCTCGAAGGAACCCACGCTTAACATTCTTCTCCTTTCGGGTGCAATAGTAGGCGTGCTCGACCACGTTGATTGGAGGCTCCTCTTCCACAGTGGGGATGATGCGAACCTTCTTCGCAATGTTGGCCATGGTCTTGAGATTGCCGTGGTCTGTCGAGGACTTCTTTAATACCGTCGCGCGCACAATATAGGAGACCTGGCTCATATCAGGAGCCATATCATCCAGCAAAGTCTTTCCATTTCCAGCTAGCATGGGATCCCCTAAAGTAGGTGGGAGCATAGTGTGTGCATTATGAATGTGGATATTAGTTCGTGGGTGGGTGCAGACCTGCGGTAGCAGACGATCGGGTACCACAAAGGTAAACGGAAAGGAATATGTGCGTCCTGCCTCCATGATCCGCGGGCAGGGATAGTCAGATTCATCGATTGGTTGGCGGAGTTTGAGGAACATCTGCTGTGACCCCGTGCGTCCGGGGCAAGCTGCCCGTTCTACCGTAGTGTGTGACGTGCCTGTGTAGGATGTTAACCCTGCGCTGATGGTGATACCATAATTTTCCATGGTGACATACCTTGGAAGACAATATCAACCTCATCAAAGCGTGTATCAGCATCCACTGTGATCTTTACGCTGCCCTCGATCTGGTCGCCGGTTGTATAAGAGTTGACCAAGCCTGGCTTCTGACCAACGAATTCAATCTCGACCTTTGGTGGCGAGCGGCGCGTAAAAACATCCAAAGTTTCTGAGCCATGGCTCATAATCGACCTGGCGGCCATTGCGTTGAGGTTTTGGAGGCTTTCAAGCCTTGCAGGAACAAGAAAAGAGGAGGAGATTGGAATGCGGGCAAGCAGGTGCTTCTTGTACTGTGTTGTATTTAAATAAAGTATGCGGGGCCGTGGGCCGTGGAGAAGGCCAGTGTCTGTCTGTCTGCGCGACTTGACTGGAACACCCTGCAGGATCGCGTGCAATATTTGAGTTTCTTGTATTGGCAAGAAAAATAAGCAGAGGAAATTTGATGTGTATCTCGGCCGGTTGTTTCTTTAAAGACCAAAAAAAAGAAGCAGGGACTGAGAAAAAAAAAAAGAAGTAGAAAGTGGAGCCGTGGACAACCGCACTGGGGCTTGTTGTATACTCCGTCTAGAGCAGTGCGGTTAAGCAGGGAAAAAGGAACTCGATGGGTCTGGTGGATGCAACAAGTTGCGGAGGGCCTCCTCGTTTTATAGAACAGGTTAAAATAATGCTTCCTCGAGAAAGACGATCCTCTATCACGTCAGAGATGCTTTACAAATCCATGGAAAGCCTTATTCGTGAGTCATCGGCATCAATCAGCATCCATCGCCTAAATCTAACCGTTCGGGAGCTGTTTGATGGCTGCTCGCGACCTTGGTAGAAACGCCCGGAACACGTGTGGAGGGAACAGCCCAAGCCAAATCGTGGAGAGTGCAGTTAAAGGAAAGCTAGGCTGGTCGAGCCAGCAGCGTCATTGGGCAGCGCACAGATGATTGGAGGAGGTCAGCCTAGTCACGCCCTAATCGGCTGCTGCACACGCCCTTGGATTGACATTCCGCTTGTCGTTAAAGGAAGTAGTTTTGAGAAACAAGAACCCTTGACTAGCTCGGCACGGGATCCGAGCAGGATCACGCAGACATGATGAGCAGGAGGATGAGCAGACCACCATGGAATGAGTGACCTCGAAATGTAGACCTCCGTAGCCCTTCTCTTCATCTTTCTGCGACAGAGTTAAGCCCAACATCGAGTTCTGCGCAAACCCAGATTGGCAAGCTCTCTCAAAAAGCAGCTCTGAGTCTGAACAGCCGGTGGGTCGAACCAAGTCGGGACCTTGGTGGAGCGCGCCTTACGCCGACATGCACGCCCTTCGGGTCTCCACTGCCACCTTGCGACAACCAGAGTGATCCACTCACATTCTTCCGTGGAAGACGCTCGGTGTTGATGGCTGCCCAGGACCAATCATGCTCCCCAGCCATCGCGGGGAGTCACGGGCAGTGATTGGAGCAACAACTGGCTTTGCTGACAATCGATCTGGGATTTCAAAGCATAGGAAAACCTTCGCTCTCGTATTCGGTTTGTCAGCCTGGGCATTCAATATCAACCTTCACAAGATTATTCAGATGATGTCGACACGATTGTTCTTGTTCTAGTTCTTCTGTCGCCATGACACCATTGATGGGGCTCCCGTCAAGGACTTTCCCGAGGAGAAAGACAAGCGGTAGCCGGTGTCTCGGGAGGATCCAGAATTTTCCGACCGTAACCGAGCATCTGGCCATGCCGAGTGGGTGCAGTTCTCGGAGTCGACAACGGGATCAAAGGGGGGGAAATTGGTTGACCCTTGCTGCTGTTAAGCCGTCAATCTCGGTGGTTTGAGTCGGCTGGAGTGTCTGCCCATCGGCGTGGGATTAGGGGGACTCCGAGATCATCATCAGGTGACCTCAAGGATCTTCGGACAACAGCGCATCGTTCTAGATGCAATATACAAGTTCTTCCCTTCTTGACAACATCATGTTTTGGAAATTGCATTGAAAGGTTGTTTTATTTCTATTCACAACGCTACCGATGTTTACAAGGGTTGTCTCGACAGATAAATTACGGTGCAGACCCGTGGTGCAATGCGGATGAAACCGTACTCAAAAAACGTCGATGCGTGGAGATCCATGCTTATTCTTGTCCCATACTGGCCAAACACAGAAGTGAATCGGCAGCATCCAGCTCAAGATTAGCCGAGTGAAGACGGCAGACCGAGCGAGGCAAGAGACGACATCCCAATGATGGGAGCCTTGAATTAGAAAGAAACAGCGATGCGAAGAAAAGAAGAGAGAGAAAACAAGGCGGGGGAAAGCCCGCACATTGGTATGTTAATTGGCAAGCAACAAGGTATCTGAAGGCCGGAGAGCAAAAACGCCGCATCATGACGCCGAATGTACCCTCATGAAATTAGTAAGCCACCCTCGTTCGCATATCCTAGAGGGCATGTTAGCGATGAAACTGGGGACGAATGGAGGGAGAAGCCGATGTAGACTTACCGAGATCTTACGCTCGATCTCACGCACAGAGCGATCGAGTTCGGCGGCAATCATCATCTTCGTATCGTTCGGCAGTAGGAAGTACATCTCGCACAGGTCGCCGTCAATGACACCTTTGGAGGGGGCATAATACCCACGATAGATCAGGTGGTCCCGACCAGCAAGGGGAGGGTGTTGAGAAGCCAATTGCATCTCCAGACTCTGGAAGAAATCGACATCTTCACGGCTGACAAAAGGAACGAACATGCCAATCGTGCCTTGGAATCCGGTCCATACAATAATGTCGCGACCACCAGCCACCAGCTGCGCTTTATGTATGCCAGTGGGAATGTCTTGGACATAGTAGTGGATCATGAGCTCCAGACGATTGGGCGTGCCGTGAAGATAGCCCTTCTCGTGGACGAGGTGAGCCCCAGACCCGTCCTCATCAGCCTCCTCTGAAAACTTGATGGGGCAACGAAGCAGCCAGATATTGCCGAACTTGTCACCACCGGCCGTGGTTTCATAGTCGACCATTGTGGTAGATGTCGTCCAGCGAGCAATGGTATCATCCACGAATGGAATCAAGATGTTCTCCTGGTACTTGTAGACAACATACGTCACACTGTCACGGGTATCGCTAACCACAATACGGCTTCCTTGTGTCTGAAGACCGACAATTGTGTGGGGGACGACATGAGCCTGGCATTTCCGAAGCAGCTGCTTCATACCCAGATCATAAAGTCGGAGGAGTGAACCAATACCGGCGAGTACTCGGCCCTGGAAGGCAAGGAGAGCCAAAGGCGGCTCATCAACCTTGGTCTTGTGAATGAATTCCAACTCACGACCATCTTCTTGGAATCGATAGATATGAATAAAGCCGCCAGCAGATGAAGGTGCATCCACAGTCAGATCCTTCGCCGTTCCAACGACCAAGAATGTCTCATCGTCTTGGCTTGAGAATGGTACTGCGGCAATGCTGACCGCGGCTTCATTGTCTTCCAGCTCAAGAGTGAAGACCACTTGCTTTGACGAAACGGGGTCCACTATTTGAATGCATGACGCCCAGTGTCCGGTGCCGCGAGGGTAACCAAAGTCCTCCGGGGGCAGTATCTGAACTTCACCATTGCGTGTCTTCGAGTCCTCAATGAGGCTCTGTTGCGTTGCAGAGGATAAAACATTGTTATCGGATTCAATGACGTAGAAAAGAGGCTGTTCGGGATGCTTGACAAAGCGACGTGGTGTGTGAGCCAAGGGGATTGACTCTTGGAGCATGTTGTTGTCGAGCTTATCGATGGAGAAGATCCTAATGATCGTCAGTGACTCCGCCAAAAACTGATCATGGTTGTGACAAAAGATAGAGAGGGACTGATCTCAGTAGGAACAATTGGAAAAAAATAAAGAATAATTTGATCCACATGGTAAATTCGGATCCTTTTTTCATCATATGATCAAGGAAGTGGGAGGAAGGGGGAAAGATGATGGGGGTTGGCAACATACCGTAGATTCTTGCCCTGGATACCGATCATGCCCTCCTCGCACTGCTCACTAGAGAAGTTCCAGCCCCATTCGATGCTAGCACAGTCGAGGGGTGTGAGCATGAAGCTCTTTGTTTGGATATCTGAGTATCCGAGCCATGGGCGCGAGCTTAGCGCCAGAACTGCAGTCTGGCCCTTGACAGAGACTTGTGAGAGCTTCACGGGCTTTGCTCCCAGGAAACGTGTACGTGTATCAGAAAGCTCGCCAGTGACTTCATCCAGAACAGTGCGGAGATAGACACCGGAGTAGAGACCAATGTGCAGGTAAAGTGTGGTACCACCAGAGCTCGAGTCGGCCATAGCAATGATGTTAAGCGCCGATGGCGCCGACGTCAAAGCTTGCACAGATTTATTCTCAAGCGTAGAATCCGGATCAAGGCTAAGGACACGGACGGTGGAATCATCACAGCCGACAGCGAGGAAAGAGCTGCGCATCCTCCCCTCTGGAACTTCGCCCAAGCTCAAGCAAGTCACCGTGCCAGACATTTGACGACGCTCGTCATATTCTGCGAGCGATCCATCGGCATCCATTTCGAAATAGACGATCTCGCCGGAGCTCAGAGCCACTGCCACCTGGCGTTCATTAGTAGCGGCGGCCACAATGGATCGGTGCTGCGGTGCGGGCCACTCGTTGACTCGGCGATCAGCCATCAAATGACGGATACCGCGAGGGTGCACCTGAATCAAAGAGTCCTCGCCCAGCTGTTGCACTGCAAGCGTCGGGGCTGTAGAGAGGAAACCCGTATCGGAAACCTCCTCCACGACCTCGCCAATACTGAGGACAAGTGTACCGTTGGCGAAGGAGAGCACGATATAGGCATCATACTCATCCCCACGAGTAAGCTTCGTCGTCCAGACTGCGGAGGGTACTGTTCGAAGCTCTGACTCGACGATCTCCGAGACCTCCAGCCCATGTTTAAGTGTGCGGAAGGAGCTACGAGCACCATTGCCACCAATTGTGTAGATTTGCGGAGCATCGTCACCAGTGAGATTGGCAATCTTGCTATCGGTTAATGGGTTGAGCGAGTTGAGGCTCTCCATGAGGTTCAGGTTCTCCGCGGTGCGGGGGCGGAAATAGATGGGGTCATAGGGAACAGATGGGTCCGCAGAGAAATCATCACTAGTGAATTCAGTCTCCTCATCGTCATCACCAAGTTTTTCAAATTGGTAAAAGTTGTGGTTGCCCGATTCACTGGCAACGTAGAGGAAACCACTCTTGAGAATCAAGAGGCTAGACGCCACGGGAACGGTGTCAAAGTACTTGATTTTCAACCTTCTGACTTCGCCAGTGAGCTGACCATTCTCATCCTCAACCATGTCAAGGGTCAGCTTGAACATGTCACCGTCCTCCGTCTGGAGAAGGAAGAAGAATGCGCCCCTCATCTTGTGCATTACACCTGACACGATGGTGCGCTTCCTCTCCGGGTTCTCAGTGGGTCCAGTGCGACGCGGAATGGGCACACGGAAGGCATCCTGGTTCGAGTGGCGGTAGGTAATGTTGTCTTCCGCGCACACAAGTACACCGCTTGGGCCGTCTGCTCCTCCCGGCAGTTGGAACAGCATATTCGCCGTACGGTCAACAGGGTCCGACCACTTGCGGACAACATGGTTAAGACCCAGGTCAAGCTCATAATAGACGAGCACCTTCTCAATCTCCTCGTAGGCTTGACCAGTCGGATCCTGGTCAGATTCCGAGTAATCCACTTCAAGGGCAGCAAAAACGGGGTTTTCATAGCCAACATCCAGGGCAGTCATGGCGAAAACCAAGGTCTGTGGCTTGTGTGCCTCAAGTGGAGACGAGATAGTGAGCTCTGCCTGGGAATTGCGGTTGAGAACATAGACCAGCTTGTTCTTTTCCAACGAGGCAATCAGGCAAGCTCGACCCTTGGGATCCACGGCCAGGTATTGACCCGGAACTACCCGGCGTACTCCAGACTTGCCAAATGTTTCCAAGTGGATACGGTTGAAGCGGTTCTGGGAGGGAACATATTCAATGATCGTGATGCGACCCGAATCAGACCCGATGATAATGTAATCTGAAGTAAGAAAATGACTCAGCACAGTTCGCGTATAATAAACGGTTTATACAGCGTCAACGTTGCTGGCCCGGGCAGGTTCCAGAGCCCATCAAGGGACCGGATCGGAAAACCAAGACCGTGCTACCCGGGAAGCTTGAAGAATCACTAAGTTGAACTCGTAAATGGCAACCGAGGGCAATAACTGAGACATACCTTTGTTACTTCCAGCGACTCGAAACGCAGCCAATGAACGGATGATGCCAAAGACATCTTGGGAATAGATCGGAGTGACCTTTCCCTGCGCCGGGTCCGGACGGTGGATGGTCAGCTTGGACCCGGAGGCAGTGACGATTTGCTGTTCCTTAGTACCCGCGAACTGACCAAGGATGGCCTGTGTGATCGCAGTAGGGGGCTGGATCGTCAGCGAGTACATGAACATGTGCGAAGTAGTAGCCATAATGGGCAATTGAAGCTTGACGCCAGGTCTTTTTGCACCCCCGACGCGAAGCAAAATGACTGAAAGGTGTCACGAGCAATTGCAGTCTAGGGGGTGTGATAATCACACTAGTCCCATAGCTGCTGGATGGAGTCGATGGGTTTGAAAGACTCCTTCGTGGTTTTGGGGGTAGAGTCCCGAGAGGAGTTCTGAAGAGGATTTCAGCAGGAGCTCGAGCAGCGGGAAGCAAAGTTGCAAAATTCCCAAGTGCGCGGGAAGCAGTTTGGAGGATCACGTGGTATCGTACCGCACGATTGGATTCGACCGCCTTCCGCGAATATATCACCGCCCTTATGTAATGCCCCCGTTGGCCGGCTGGGGAGGTAAGTCAAAGGAAGCATCATCGCCTCCGCAATATCTGGCCACCTCCTGCCACTGTTTCTGATTTCCTTCCGGCATTGCTTACTCTTCGGGTGTAGCTAGCACTTTAAAATCTCTCAGCCTTTATCTCCTTCGGTTTCCGCGAGTCCCTGCGTCTCTCTCCGTCTTCCTCATCCACCACCACATACCCCCACTCGGCTGCAGCTGCCTACCTATTAACCGATCATGGCGGACGACAATGCTACTACAGAGGAGGCTCCCATCACCTTCACCGTGAAGTCCTCCACCGATGCCAAGTTCACACTTACTCTTCCTCTTTCTACACTTGTCTCGGAGCTCAAGGAGAAGCTCTCTGGCTCTGAATATGCCGATACCCCCGCCGATCGCCAACGACTGATCTACTCCGGTCGAGTACTGAAAGATAACGAGACACTCGAGGCCTACAAGATCAAGGATGGCCACACAATCCACTTGGTCAAGAGTGCTGCCAGCAACCAGCAGCGCTCGAATGCAACCGCTCCATCCAGCACCGCTGCATCAGGGGCAGCCACTACAACCCCAAGCCAGCCCGCTGCTGGTGTCCCCACCAACCTCGCCGCTGGTACTGGCAATAACCCCCTCGCCGGTCTGACTGGTGCTCGATATGCTGGTTTCGCCCAACTTCCCGGGGCTGGCCTCTTTGGCCCCGATGGTGGAGTAAGTTTGACAGCTCCTGGAATATATACTCGAGTCCCTCTTCCAATATTGGCTTGTATGCCTTGTATAACTTTCGGTTGACTGACTTCTGGCGCACAATATAGATGGGCCCTCCCCCAGACAGCGAAGCCATGTTGAGCATGCTGGAGAATCCCCAGATCCAGTCTCAGATTAACGAGGCGCTACAAAATCCCGCGATGATCGATATGATGATTCAACAGAACCCCATGCTCCGCGACATGGGTCCTATGGCACGAGAGCTGATGCAACGACCTGCATTCCGGCGTATGCTGACCGACCCCGCTTCCCTTCGCCAGATGATGCAGATGCAGCGAGCAATGGGAATGGGTGGTGGCGGCATGGGTGGCGGTGATAGTGCTTTCCCGGCTCCTGGCGTGACCAACACAACCGAGGGAGCTCAGAATACTCAGCAACAGAATACACAAGCCAATCCATTTGGCCAAATGCCGAACCCAATGATGGGGGAAACCCGTTTGCCGCTCTATTTGGCGGTCAGGGCTTCGGTCAGCCTCCCGCCAGCACTGCCACTCCTGGAACCAACCAGACTGAGGGTACTCAAGGAACCCAGAACACCGCAGCCCGATCTGCAACTGGAGAGGCTCAGGCTCAGGCTCCCGAAGCTGCTCAGAACCCGTTTGCCTCTCTCCTCAACCCGGCCTTGTTCGGTAATGCTGGCCAAGGCGGCATCAACCCATTCGACCCCCAGCAGAACCCGTTCTTGCGTGATCCCGCGCTTATGAACCAGTTGATGCAGGGCATGGGGGGACCAGGTGCCGAGGGCGGTGCTGCTGGTGCCAATCCACTGGCAGGTCTGTTTGGAGGCGGTGGTGGTTTCGGTACTCCACAGCCGCCTGACAACAGGCCCCCAGAGGAGAGATATGCTGATCAGCTTCGGCAATTGAATGATATGGGTTTCTTCGAGTTTGAGCGAAACATTGAGGCACTGCGCCGTTCGGGTGGCAGTGTCCAGGGAGCCGTGGAATACCTCCTTACCCATGGGTCATGAGTTTTCTTTCCTCGATTCTTAATTTCTTCTCTTGAGCAATAGCCTCTTTATTATGTCCCTTTCATCACCATATGTATTTCATGGCCCCCTGCTTTCATGATGTGTCGTTACGACTGATCCAATGCCTATGATCTTTTTACATTCCCCATTTCCGCGGGCACTTCTTGGATATTAATTCTTTGCTTTCTTCATGGATGCAAGCTGGAGCAGTTTTCGTCAGTAGAACCTCACTTTCTAGGGTACGGGTGAAGTCAGTATCTCTATTGTCCTTATCGCCGTCTTTCTGGGTACTGTAGGCTCTCTCTCGTGGCCCCGAGCTCTAATGACCTGTCATTTTCCAATCACAGTAGGTAATACTAAGAACTGTCTTGTATCAGCTCTAACATTTCCTGACTTCCGATCGGATATTGCATAAGGAGTCGGTCGAGTGTACGTACTCAAGTCGCGACGGGCATGGCAGACATGGAAGATTCCATATATACCTTCACCACCTGAACCTCATATCTTATCTATACTTGATGAGGTGCATATCGAATTGAATGCTAGGTTACATTGGGGAACCCCTTGATGTGAACCTCATCCTTCTGTGACAATAATACTCGAATTAGGTTTCTTTCAATCTACAGATCCCCGTCTTCGGTTAAATTGTCCTACAGTTGCATCGCATGAACAAAAGATCAAGTACAAGAATTCCTCTTTGTGATTGGTGCTCCTCGTAATTTGCCTTCCGCATGCCTCTCATTAGGTAATCCGTGTTGACACGCTGGAGTGGCCGATACCCTTTCAAGTCCCCCTCTCAACCCTTCGGTCGTGCATCAAATAGTTACTCCATATTGCTGACACTGTGGCATTCAGTGCCCATTTCACTCGTTATCCTCCACCCCTCTGGATCTCCCAGGTCATCGCGTACCCAATACCGCCGACCACAGCGAATTGGCAGCCTGCCGAACTGTCGGCATCATCATCATAGGTCCCCGCGCCCACCGCTCACCTAACCCTCCCTTGTCGATCATCTATATAAGTTCCCCAGGTCCAGAGTAGTCCGTCTCTCGGGGCGAAAATCAAGGGAGCGACCGCTAGTGAAGCCCTGGTGGTCTGCGCTTCTTTACCCACTACTCGCCGACGGCATACGTGCATGGGTATCTAGAGGCGGCCCTTTCTCTCCGAGTAGAGCGGCGCAACTCAAGATCCCCTTCGCAATGCACACGATCACATTCAGGCCGTTGCGGGCCCACGACTTGGCCTTGTGCTTGCTGCTGTTCGTGTCCAGTTCTTGGGCGTTTTACATCCCAGGTGAGTGTTCGTAACATGGGTCATTGCTTGTGCAACGCTAACCTGGACCCTTCTGTATTACAAGGTTACTCGGTCACCAGGTACAACGACGACCAACCGATCCCCTTGCTCGTAAACAAGATCTTCTCCGACCACACCCAGCTTCAATACGCCTATTTCGACCTCCCATTCGTCTGTCCCCCGAGCGGCCGAACCCATGGCGGATCCCCATTCGGATCTGGTCACAGCATCTCGCTCAATCTGGGCGAGGTTTTGCGGGGAGATCGCATCATGACATCGGACTTTGAGCTTATCATGGGTAAAGACGTGGAATGTCAATCGCTTTGTACTGCGCAAGTGAGCCGTTCAGATGTCAAGTGGGCACGGCAATTGATCAAGGAAAACTATGTGATTGAGTGGATCGCCGATAACCTCCCCGGAGCTACGAGCTTTGTCACCGTCGACCGCAGCCGCAAATACTATGCATCCGGATTCAAGTTGGGCTACCGCGATATCTCTCCGGCCACCGGCCAGTCGCGCTACTTCATCAACAACCATTTCACCATTGTTATCCGCTGGCGGAGCGCGCCGGAGGGAGGCAAGGTTATCGTCGGGTTCGAGGTCTATCCCAAGAGTATTAGTGCAGAGGACCGCAAGGAGGATGGTTGCCCCAAGGTCGTGCACAAGGATCAGGAAGGGCTTGGCTTGTATATCGCGCCTGACATGTCGCGTCTGCGGGAGAAGTATGGCGGGCTGTCCTATATTCCCGAGGACGACGACGATGACGATGGTGCCACGCTGGATATCCCCTACACATACTCTGTTTATTTCCGGGAAGAGAAGAAGGTCGAGTGGGCCAACCGCTGGGATCTGTACTTCACCAACCAGGGAGAGGGCTCGATGACCCATTGGCTGGCGATTATCAACTCCCTGACCATCTCCACAGTGTTAGGTGTGACTGTATTTGTCATCTGGAGTCGCACCGTCCAGGGCGATATCAAGGGCCGCGGCGACGGAGCCATGGAGGACCGCAAGCTCAAGGTGCAGTCTCGACGCAAGCGCTCTGGCGAGAAGAAGGGCGAGGGTCTGTTGGACAACGCAGATGTCGAGCATGATGCGGATATGTCATCGGATGATGAGACTTTCGAAGACACTAGCGGTTGGAAGCTTCTCCACGGCGATGTTTTCCGAGTTCCAGCCTACAGTGGCCTCCTGGCTCCACTGGTAGGATCTGGTATGCAACTGTTGTTTATGGCCACTGGCCTGCTGGTGCTATCTTGCCTCGGCGTCTTGAACCCTAGCTTCCGCGGTGGCTTCGTTAGCGTCGGAATGGGCCTGTTTGTATTTGCAGGTGTCTTTTCTGGTTACTTCTCCGGGCGTCTGTACAAGACCTTTGGTGGGTCTGGCTGGCGAAAGAACACTCTGATTGTGAGTTTTCTCCAAGTCAATCTGGGGCTTTGGGTTGATACATACTAACCTCGGTTTTAGACGGCTCTTCTTTTCCCTGGGTTGACTTTCTTCCTTGTCTTGGTCCTAAATTTGTTCGTTTGGGCTCAAGCATCCAGCACGGCAATCCCATTCAGCACACTCATTGGCCTGCTTGCACTTTGGCTACTTATCCAGGTTCCCCTCGTGTACATTGGTAGCTGGGTTGGCTATGTGCGGGCGAAGCCTTGGGAGCACCCCTTGAAGACGAACGCCGTTCCTCGTCAGATTCCACCCCAGCCTTGGTACCTGCGTAGTCCTGCAGGTCCCCTGCTGACTGGTCTGATTCCTTTCGCGGTTCTCTTCATTGAGCTACTCTTCGTGTTTAAGAACCTATGGCAGGATAAAAGTGGCTATTACTATGTGTTTGGCTTCCTCAGTGTCGTATCTGTTGTGCTTCTTGTGACGGTCATCGAAGTGACTGTCATTGCCACCTACAGCCAGCTCTGCTCTGAGGTAAGACTTTATGTCTCTATTCCACCCCTCAAACTCTCAACTGACATTTCTAGAACTATCACTGGTGGTGGCAAAGCTTCCTGACTGGTGGAAGCAGTGCCTTCTGGATCTTTGCCTACTGCATCTGGTACTACATGTTTAAGCTACACATCACCGGCTTTGTATCCACATTATTGTTCTTTAGCTACAGCTTCCTCGCCTGCGCTGTATACGGTTTATTAACTGGCACTGTCGGCTTCATCGCTGCCTACACCTTTGTCCGACGTGTCTACAGGTAGGCTATTATCTCCAGCCAGCCCCTTAATGTGACGAAGACTAATACAATTTTGACTACAGTGCTATTAAGGTGGACTAACCAACCCAACCGCCTTCGAGCCTCCCAATTTGACTCTCGCCTCGACTGACCGACCCCACTCTTCAATCTCTTCCATCACCCCATATATCTTATGACTAATTTCCTCAATAAGCATTGGTGACGATATTCCACCACCACGGCGTCCTCTCTTGACTTGCATGTCTCGACTCCCAACATGTTCAGACACACCTTCCTCTCTTTCAGATACACGTCTTCCTTTGATTTCCTTTCCATCTGTCAATTCCATCTGTCTCCTCTTGTGTGTCTATCTGACTCGGGTCATCATACAACTAAGCCAGGCGATGCTGCATTCACGGTTGGCTGGCCGACCCCGTTGGACTTGGGTTCTGGCGCTAGGCTGTGTTTCCTGCGTTGAGCGTTAATTTATTGTTTTCTCATTTGGTGTACTTTGCTGTGCTTCTTCGGACGTAGCTGTTGAAGCGGCTATTCTGTAGTGTAGATTGCACAGCTATCTCCGGCCATAGTGACGATGCCCTATACGTCAGGACTGTCGAGGCTCTCGAGGCTCATGGTTTCCTATTCCGTTTAGTAGACTGTCCAGTGGTCTCTCCAATCGTCTGGCTTAGACTTCGATACCTAGATTTCTCAAACATATTCAACCTATACTTTGGTGCTCTAGATAGATCGCCTCCAGCCTGGCTAGCTTACGAAGGTCTAGCTCTAAGTTTCGCAAGTCAGTTCGGTGTCTGCTGCAATGTTTTTATCCAAATTGATGTGGTTTGATTGTTTGTCCCCAACTGCCAAGGCTAGAACCTATATCGAACCTACACTCGACTGGATTGCCTACCAGGTATCCTATGACCGCTGGTTGACTCGTCGGATCCCGTGATTTCTCCGTGGCATTTCGTTTCGAGGGGTTTTAACCAACCTCTCCCTTCGATCCCATTAACGCCTAACCAACCTTTCCTCCCTTGTCTTCTGTCCATCCAACTTCGAACTTCACCTACTCCGCCTTTCGATCCTACACTTCTCATGATTTTTCAATATTCGGGGCTTCTATCAATTCATACATCGCTCAAGTACTTCTCAGCCAAGATCGTGGTATCTCTTCAGAATCATCTTATCCTACAGCCTCCTCCACCTTTTCGTCTCCTCACCTACAGCTATACCCATTCAAATATTTCATTGATTTCTACGGCATGGCTCCATTGGTTTCTCATGAGGCTAATATGGCAAGAAATGTCATTCATCTCACGCCTATTCGATACACTCCGCAGGAGTGGGCCGATCTGAACGCCCTGGTCCTTACTCGAAAACAGATGATAGAGCGCGGACTTCTCGTGGACAAGTTCAGCACCGACGAGCTTGCTAAGCTGCGACGCTGCTTGTTTTGTCGTCGTACGTTACCCTCCTTAAGATGCATACTTCTGCGGCAGTTTTTTGGGTATCTATTTACCAACAGAACTATACAGGTCGGATCTTCCAACAGCGCCGGAAGGTGCTTCACGATGGCGATGGGAACGCAATCGAGTATGATGAGTCGGACGATGAGCTGTCCAAGCTTAGACAAAGACACATCACCAAAATGGAGATCGCTTTCCGAATGCGACTGGCAGAGGATTTGGAATGGGCTCTGCTTGTTCGCCAGCGCCTGGTCTTCCTGGAGGATACCGATGAAGGCAAAGAAGGCGCCCATAGGACAAACGAGGAATTCCCCGTTGAACCTGCTACAAGCGTTGCCAAATACTACTCATGTCCTTCATATGTCCTTCTTGACCCAGAGTGTGTTTTCGACTACTCCAACTTCACCAGCCTGGCCGCCGACGAGCCTATTTACCACCGGCCGGGGCCGGATGGCCGGACTCGCCATTTCCAAGGCAGACTGCAGCTCCGTATAGAGACCGGCGATGCTGGCTGGATTCACGCAGAGGTTATCGAGGCCGAATTTCAAGAGTATCTCCGGAATCAGGTTTACCGTCAGGAGGATATTATTAGGGAGGGTCACTGCGAAGGTCACCCTGGGGAGTTTCGCAAGGGCGTAAGTCTACAAAATTCTCAAGAGATGCTTCAAAGTCCTTTGAAAAGGTGTTCTATAGAAGCATGCACTGACTCAAATATAGAATTTCACTTGCTGTAACCAGGGACCGTTTAGCCGTGGGTGTTCTCAATCACCCCACCACGTAAACAACCAGACACTCTGGCAAGTGTGGAAAGATTTTGAACTACACGAAACGCCAAAGGGATGCAAGAGCCCTCGACGATGTGTTGTCCTGGATTGCGAAATGGGGGTCGCCAACACTGGTGACCCCGAGCTCATCCGCATCGCCGCTGTGGATTATTTTAGCGGCGAAACATTACTGGACTCCCTGGTGTTCCCACAGCTCAAAATGTGGCACCTGAATACCAGGTTCTCGGGTGTAACTTGGCCAATGTTGTATAAAGCCCGCGAAGCGGGGCGTACTATTCCAGGTCGCGACGCTGCTCGACGTCGGCTATGGAGTTTCGTGGGGAAGAACACGGTCGTGATCGTGCATGGTGGATACCACGACTTCCTTGCCCTTCGCTGGATCCATCGAAATGTCATCGACACTCTTGACTGCGAACACCGCCGTGCGGTGCCAGAACGATCTCCTGGCCTAAAGAACCTAGCCAATATCCACCTGGGCCGGGAGATCCAGCGGGGCCGGAAAGGCCATGACAGCGTCGAGGATGCCCAGACGACTCGAGACCTGGCAAGCTGGTACGTTAAGAATCTGCCTCCTGAGGCCAAGGTCAAGCCGGAGAGTCGGTAATGAACGCGAGGACAAGGGAATTCGTGGGGATCATTCTGCCAATAGGCAAGCTACTCACCGGCGGATGTGGCCGTCGCCTGGGATTGCTGGTTAAAAATGGCCAGGTTGCTGGCAAGTAAATGGGTAAAGAGAGCCTTCACAGTAACATAGATATGCTTGCAACATAGAAGGTAAAAGTATCAAGTTCCAAAAGTCGCTTTTACATACCATTTGTAGGCGTAACGAGATCTGCATCGACCTTGCATACAGTTTAGCCACGCCTTGACGCAGCTCGCTCGGATGAGCTTCCTTCAGCCCCGTTATCATTTGGCATATTTTGTTTCGATTGTACCACGACCGATCTGCTGTTTAAAGCTATCTTTAAGTCAAGCGTCTGCTAGCCCATCCATATTATATGGGCTATTCCAGTTCTTCATCTTACTTAAATAACAATCTTCCTCGTAGAACATCTCAGACAAGCTAAATAAACAACTAGACCAGAAATGACTGGCCTTTGTCTACAAAATATGGGTTGTATGGAGCGGACCCGGAGAAATGTCATACAATATTCGAAAGAGCCTTCCGCAGTTAGATGGCGGGGGAATACCATGAACTAGGACCTGCTCGTTTGCCAGTAGCTTGTTTCTGCGGAGGGAAGCAAAGAGAATACTAAAAGACAAACCCAGAAATTCGCACGGAAACTCCCAGTATTATTACAAATACTATTTATGCCCCTCGTCCTGACTCCCTGACACGAACTGTTTCATTCACTCCTCTGAGTTTCCCGTAACTGGTGAGCTGACTTGGCTGGCAAAACTGGCCATTATCAATGTCGTATATAGCTCTGTACCATGACCAGCAAAACCGACTGGTGTAACACTGAGATGATTGAGCATGTATACCTGAAATATATCTAGGATTGCCAACGGACGTCTCCCGAGAACGGTTTTTCAAACCCTCACATGCGAAAACTCATAGAATGAGTAAGTATGCAATTCTTTATACATTATCATGAGCTAATAATTTATCTCATCACAGAGTCACTGGTGCTACGGCAAAGACACGCTAGGCTCTGGCTATGTCCAAGTCTCTGCGCAGTATAAAACTTGCAAACATTTCAGCAACTAGAGGGGGAGATTATACATATATGAAACTCTCAAAGACCTACTGCCCATAAAATACATTATTCTGGATTTTGAGATGGTCGCTGTCACAAGGAAATCTGGGCTCATTCGCATCTGTGCTGTTAACTACTTTAGCGGCGAAACATTGCTAGACTCCCTGGTATTTGGGCAGTCAAGATGTTGCACTTGAACAATTGAGCGCATTCACCTGCCCCGAAACACACAGTCAAACAAAAGCAAGGTCATGACAGTCTAGAAGACGCACGAGCTGCTCGAGAGCTTGCTCGATGGTACATTAAGCATTCTCGTGCGCCTGCCAACGAGGACAGTACCCAGCCAGACTGAGACTTGGCACATTGGACTATGCAGATTTTGCCCGCCAGTATCAAGGCCATGACAGAGATGCAAGACTAAGCGAAGGGAAATTACGGGGACATCAATGTTGATAGGTAAGCTGCTTAACGCTCGATAATGCAGTCATCGATTCAAATCACAAGACAAGAATGGTTGGACTGACAAGTCACCATAGAATGAGCATATACTACCTAGTGAAATTCAGTATAATACCAGCGACGACCGTCGCGGCCTAAAGGATATCTTCGACAGGCATGACAACGCAACGAATAAATATGATAGATGTCGTCTACGGAAACGACTGCGGAAATTGGGAATTCTTCGGTATGTCATGGTATATCTGACTATGTGGATGTACTACTGACCATGAACAACCCGAAAATTCCCAGAACCACGGAGGGACGGGTATACGTACTCCAGACATGGGCAAACGCCTATGAAACTTCCCGGCACTAAGACATGCCCACCAAGCAAAGGGCAATCTTAACAGCGCCAAGTCGGCTCTAAACAAAGCCAAATACCATGTCGGAACACGACGCTGCTAGTGAAGCATGTAGAGAATCCTACCAAGCAGTCAAATCACTACATACTTTCATTTCAGTTCTAAGATGAATGATTCTTAAGCAGTTCCTGAATCAATGTATACTAGTTAGCGGCATACTAATCAGATCTCATTGAAGCTCCCGGAAACCCATATAGATAGACGTGATTTCTTTCCACGCCATCAAATTGCAGCATCTAATATGTACATACCCTAGTGCTTCATGCCACTGCGAGTACCATTCTCGCCCGTATCTTGGTACTTAACTAGGAATCAGGGGTGAACAACGTTATCCATTAGTAGGTTGCTGTAGTATGACCAGGTTTCAGGAAGCAATGTAGCATTTTGGCAGCATAGTATTTCCCTGGACTACCAGTATTCAACTCTTTCTATTGTAATTCCTTTCCCGATGTCTACAATCAGTCGCTAATCCCTGTTCTACGGTGCAGATACCCTTGCAACCTCTTCGGGGATATAATGCCTAACCAGGGCATGATGAACTCATGTCCGACGGGTTGTTATCGGAGACGGGCTGTCAGTCCTGTTCATCACCGGGGGTGCCGTGTGTAGGTAGCATGTACCGTCGGACATCTACGTAGACCTGTAGGGATTAGACATCGCGTTGGCGTACAGGATACTTGGCGCTGCTTCAACCCGGTGATCATTAGAGATTGATTAGCTAGCGGGTTACAAGTCCTCGTACTCAGTACTACTTGGCAATATACTTACTTCCACATCGATTACTCGATCCTGCACTATCTCCCATCTCAGAGACAAGGATCGATCTGCTGGATCTGATCGAATTGCACAGCCACGCCATTCTGCATCGGGTGAAACAGTCCCGCCACGAGTGATGATACCCGTGCGGATGGTGATCGTTACACCGAGACGATGTAGCTCTACGGAATGTGTCTGTATCACTATCTATATTTTATATTTTATCTTGGGCGGACTACGAGAATGGATGCTCCCCGTGGATGTGGAGTGGAGACCTTGAAGGACTTGTCCACCCGGCGCTAGTCTGTTGGGAAAAACGAAACAGCGGTGACGCTTGCTTGGCTGGCGTCAGGAAACTGGGGAATGGAGGGAAATTGGGGGATAATCGGACTATCAGAATCATGTTTTACTGCTACATCTTGTTTTTTGGTGGAATGTGGAATGTGGATTGTGGAAATCCGGGGCCGGCGGCTGAAGAGAGCTTCTTCCCATGGCGTGCTTGCGCAGGGGGATTGCTCATGTGTTGTGAAACGAGAGTATGGAGATGAGGAGAAGGTTACTATTGGATGATAGTAGAATTATGAGTATTGAACGAGTATTCGCCTTGTTATTACTATATTATAACTATAGTATATGGATAGGATAGGCAGAAGATAGACATACTCTCGTGAAAAGGAGTATGAGTACCCTCTTAGTTATCGTCTATCATATACACCGCTTCTTCCACATGTCTTAGGAACCATCATATAGCCTCGTCATCCTCCTTTGCTAGCTCGGTACTCACGGACGTGGTACTCCATACTCCGTAATTCGGTCTTTTGGCGAAAGACCTGCCCTCTTCCAACCCTCCCTCCGTAAGGGTAATTGTCCACGCGGGCGCTTTTTTTTTTTTTCTCCTCCCTACAGTTCCTCCATTCGGGTATACGTACATCCCCTCATTGGCCATACAGATAAGCAAGTGGAGTACAGAGCCCCCGCTAAGCCTCACTCGGAAGCCAGTGGCCAGTGGTTGGACCGTAGGTCGCGGGCTATACTTCTGGGCCCAGACTAAGACGCGACTAAGGAGCGGGCTAGTGCTGGAAATGGCCATCCCAGGGGTCAACCGAGAGGATGCTGATTGGGTCGGTTTGCGGTGACACGATCCAGTGGAGAACAGAGTTGGGCCGGGGATCGGCTGCGTTACAAGGGTCTGTCAACCGCACCTCAATTCTCCCGTTGGCAGGCCCGTTGATTATAGGCCCTTCCCGGGGTCGAGTGAATTTAGTAAAAAAACTGGTCATGGAAAGTGTATCTTGTCTGTGCTGAGTGTGGATTATGTGGTGATACTCCTCGTGGTGCGGTCTGGGGGCTGATCGGGGTGGTCAATCTTACGCTGGCCAGCGTGTATTACAGCTGTCACGGATGGTAATTTATGTCCATTATTCATCGTTGCTAGACTGCTACTCCTTTGCTGGTCATCAGTTGCAGCTGGGAACAACTAAGCCCCCAGCCCACTTGCGACTGCAGGTGGCAACTCCTGCTCAGCACGCTGCTGGCGTGTTCCGTCTGATTTGAACCTTTTAGCACCTTCTCCCCGTGCATTCTGAATGGTTCGGACTGGGTGCCTCGAGCTGGATACCGAGTCCCAGGTCTTTGTCTAGGAGACCACATGACCCTTCAACAAGGCTGATCGGCTGAGGACCTGGTATATCCTTTAGGTTTGGGGATTAGTGATATCCAGTGTTTCTAGTGATATCCACCATTTCGGTGGTGGTTCATGCTTCCAGGAAGGTCGATATACTTCCGTATCTTCCGTATCGTGCGTAAGCGTGCCTGACCAGACCCCGATAAAATACGGATCAAATACATCAAATACCACTCGTGACATGGTTTACTCGGATTTCTCCACCGTCTCAATCACACCATCGCACTTCAGAATGAAGCCATCTTGCACCTTTTGGTCGTACGTCAGTCCTCTCTTTTTTTGCCCCTGATCTTCCATGCAGCAAGACTAACTCGAATCCGGAGTAGTTCGTCATGCGGAGAAGACTCGACTGCATAGAACTTCAAGAATCTATACCATCAAGCTGGATAGGCAGGAATATATACATCATCGGTACTTCTGTACTACGTACACTACGTACACTCCGTACCGTCCTCGGTGGGCTCCGCAATGTTGGGGCTTGGTCTACCCCGGCAATTGTTCCGTACAAGCGCCGTACACACTTTGTGTGCATCTTTTTTTTTTCTTTCTTTTTTTTGGGATCATCTTTCGAGATTCATAATCTGATCCATTTTCTTCCTGTCCAGCCTATAGAAAATCTTGTATTCTTTCGGACCACCCTCCTGTCTAAAGCAACTTCTTCTTTGGGTCCCAGGTCTTATCATTATTATTATTATTATTATTATTATTATTATTATTATTATTTTCTTTTCTTTTCTTTTCCGCTTCAGTTCCCCACATACGCCATTGCTCGCGACTTCATATATCTACCCTTCCCTCCCCCAACTTTGGTACACTTTCTTCTCTTCTACTCTTCTTTAAATCTACTGTATTCGGGCTTGGACATCTCTTCCCTCCCCCGCCCCCCTCCTCCTCCCTTCATCGGGCCGTCCTCTGAATCGTATTGCACAAATACTTAGCAATTCCATCATGGCGACCAAGAAGCCCAACATCCTCTACATCATGGCGGACCAGATGGCCGCGCCATTGCTGTCTCTGCATGATAAGAACTCGCCCATTAAGACCCCCAATTTGGACCGCCTGGCCAGCGAGGGTGTCGTCTTTGACTCGGCCTACTGCAATGCGCCTCTGTGTGCGCCCTCGCGCTTCGTCATGGTGAGCGGTCAACTGCCGTCGAAGATTGGCGCATACGATAACGCCGCGGATCTGCCCGCCGACACGCCCACGTACGCCCATTATCTGCGTCGCGAGGGTTACCACACGGCCTTGGCGGGTAAGATGCACTTTTGCGGTCCGGATCAACTGCACGGTTATGAGCAGCGCTTGACGAGTGACATTTATCCCGGTGACTATGGCTGGTCGGTCAATTGGGATGAGCCGGTGAGTCTTATTCCTTGCAAGCACCTCATTTGGATGCATTCGGCTGACTGAACTGTCTAGGAAATCCGCCTGGACTACTATCACAACATGTCGTCCGTCCTGGAAGCCGGCCCCGTCGTGCGCACGAACCAGCTCGACTTTGACGAGGAGGTCATCTACAAATCCCAGCAGTATCTGTACGACCACGTGCGCCACCGCACCGACCAGCCCTTCTGCTTGACCGTCTCCATGACCCACCCCCACGACCCCTACGCCATGACCAAGGAGTTCTGGGATCTGTACGAGGATGTCGAAATTCCCTTGCCCAAGAACGGGGCCATCCCACACGACCAGCAAGACCCGCATTCCCAGCGTGTGCTCAAGTGTATCGATCTGCTCGGCAAGGAGATGCCCGAGGAGCGAATTCGCGCCGCTCGTCGCGCTTACTATGCGGCCTGCACGTACGTGGACACCAACATCGGCAAGCTGCTCAAGGTGCTGAAGGATACCGGGCTGGACGAGGATACTATCATCGTTTTCACCGGTGACCACGGTGACATGCTCGGCGAGCGCGGATTGTGGTACAAGATGACTTGGTTCGAGAACTCGGCTCGCGTGCCGATGCTCTTCCACGCTCCGAAGAAGTTCGCTGCCAAGCGCGTGTCGGAGAATGTTTCCACCATGGATTTGCTGCCCACGTTCGCGGGTCTGGTCGGTGCGCCTCTCGTACCGGGTCTCCCGCTCGACGGTGTCTCCCTGGTTCCCTACCTGACCGGCGAAGAGGGCCCTCGCACCGACACCGTGTACGGCGAGTACATGGGCGAAGGCACCCAGGCCCCTCTGGTCATGATCCGCCGCGGCCGCTGGAAGTTCATTTATTCGACCATCGACCCGCCCATGCTGTTCGACCTGGTCAATGACCCAGAGGAGAAGGTCAACCTGGTCGCGGGCTTGCCCGTCCCTTCAGCACACAAGCCTGCTACCACCACCATCAAACCCGCCAACCCTCTCGGCGTGCCAGCCAGCCTCCCCACTCCCGACGATACCCCCCGCGTCTCGCCCATCCCACAACGCGCCAGCGACGCCTCAGCCCAGTACCCCTTCCCCTCGCCCACACCCCCTCGCACCCCCAGCCCAGCCAAATTCACAGCTTTGCCCGACACCACCGACCCAGCTAAGCTGCTGGCCTATTTCCTCGAGGAAACCAACACCCGTTGGGATCTGGAGGCTATCCGACAGGATGTTATTCGGTCACAGCGCCGGCGCCGTCTGGTGTACTCTGCCTTGATCCAGGGAACACCTTCGTTCTGGGATTACGAGCCGCGCGTGGATCCGAGCAAGCAGTATGTGCGTAACCAAGGCAAGGGCGTGCTCGATGATGTCGAGCTGATCTCGCGCTGGCCGCGCGTGTTGCAGCAGGCTGCGACTGCGAAGGGTATCTCTGCGTGAAGTGGGAGATGACTCCTTCTCCCCGCACAGTTTGATCTGATTCCAAGATAAGACTGTACAAAAACAAGCCCATCGGTTGTACTTGTTTCGTCTATCTACTTTTTCCGCATTGATGACTTGATTTCGACATGACCCGACTCATCGCGTTTGAAGCATTCCGCATGGCCATTTCCTGCTTTTTGTTATTTTTTCTTTTGGGCACTGTTTTCTCTTTTTCCGTTTTTTCTTCACATCATCTCATCAGCGAGGCGCTATACCCGGGAAGTACGATTTCCTTCTCAGTTCATACTTTTTCTATCTTGGACCACGAACTTGCAATTTGCATCTCCAGGTTGACCTTGAATGTGAAGTACTGTGTTTTGCAAACTCGCGTGGGCATACAGGCTTTTTTCTTTTTAGTTGTATATATCCTTTTTCTATTTATTTTTTTTTGGTTCTTAAATCCCGGGTTGGGTGTGCTTGCCCTTTGGTGAAATATGGGGAAGGGAAATGGAAATTGAAGTTGTGGATATTCTGACAGATTGAGTATGATATGCTAGTAAAAATGAGAATGAGAATGAATTTGATTATATTAAGCTTCGATACTGGCATGAATGATGTAGTCCTGCCGAAGTATACCATACTTTACACTCGGGCCGTATCATCCAGAGATGAGCAGTGTATGATGTCATCTGCGGCAAAGCGAAAAGTATAAAACTCGCCCAACTAAGCAAGTCTGACTACTAACTTACTCAGTACCAAGTAACTGACTAACTACTGTACTCCGTACAGTAGCCTGCTTAGTCCGATACTTTCGACGGTTTGCGGAGTTTGCTGTCGGTACTTTTTTTATCAGATTCCCCACACGCGGGGCAGCTCGGTTCTCGGCTGGTCTTAGCTCGACATTGAACCTTCTCCACGTCACTCCATCGCTATACAAGACATTCCCCCACAACATCTTCAGATCTTCAGTCCATTTCCACTTCCAATAACTACAATTAGCATTAACTCCTCTTTACCACAGCAATGCCCACCCTAACAGTAGCAGTCTCCCAATCACGCACCCTCCCAACAACCCCGCAAACCCTCTCCGCCCTCGAACGAACCACCCAGCACGCCGCCCGCCGCGGCGTGCACCTCCTCCTCTTCCCAGAAGCCTATCTAGGCGGGTACCCACGCACATGCTCCTTCGGTACGGCCGTGGGCAGCCGCGACCCGCGCGGGCGCGACCAGTTCCTGGCCTACTTCAAGGCGGCGGTTGATCTGGGCGATACGCCTGGTGGAGCGGGGGCGGACTGGGTGGAGAGGAGGTTGGAGGTTGGGGCTGGAAAGGAGCGGAGGGGGATGGGACGAGGGAGTGTTTGGAGAGAATTGCGAGGGAGACTGGGGTTTTTTTGGTGGTGGGCGTTGTGGAGAGGGCTGGGGGGAGTTTGTATTGTTCTGTTTTGTATGTTGAGCCTGCGCGTGGGGTGTTGGGGAAGAGGAGGAAGGTTATGCCGGTATGTTTTGCACTATCTCGATGAAGGTTGGAGAAGGGTGGTGTTGACACTCGGTGATTTGTATTTGTGACAGACCGGATCGGAGCGTCTTATTTGGGCTCAGGGCTCGCCGTCGACTCTTCGTGCGGTTACTACCACCCTCAACGGTATCCCGTTGACTCTAGCGGTGGCCATTTGCTGGGAAAATTATATGCCTCTTCTCCGACAGAGTCTCTACTCCCAAAACGTCAATATATACCTCGCTCCCACGGCAGATGACCGCGATACCTGGTTATCACTGATGCGCACCGTCGGCCAAGAAGGACGATGTTTCGTGCTCTCCGCCAACCAGTGTGTTCGCAACGAGGAATTGCCAGACTGGATAACATGTCAAACCAAGGAGACAGGTGAAGTCCCAACATCTGGAGAAGTTGCCTCACCGGTACAAATACAGAGCATGCCTAGCGGGCGAAAATTATCATTCACCCCCGAAGGACCGCATGAAATTGCCTGGCCTCAATGCTCGACTCATACGGAGAATCAGCCGGTCAGTGAGACAACTACATCGGTATCAAAACTGAACATCTTATCAGGGTCTGAGTATGTCTGTCGCGGCGGAAGTTGCATCATCTCACCGCTTGGCGACGTCCTGGCCGGCCCGTTGTGGGAGGTTTGTACGGACGATGCACCGGATAGCGATGAGGCGGGCGTTAGTATTGCGCCTTTGGGTATGTCTGCCGTCGAAGCGGAGGTGCGAAGTAATGCCGTTGCGGCTGGGAATGGATTGGCTATTTCGAAGATTGATCTGGATGATTGTGAGCGGGGAGGTTGGATTTGGATGTTGCGGGGAGTTATTCGAGGAGTGATGCGTTTAAGTTTAGTGTTAAGGGGTTGGATTTGAATCCGCCTGTATAAGGGCGTTATAGCCGTGTTGGACAGTATCGAGTATATGATTGAATTATGATTTGGCATTAGGTCTTTATGGTAGCCTCGTGCTGATGGTCTCGGTTAAATGGAGTAGCTCGATTTAGGTAGTGAGATCTGAACCTTTGGATTGCTTTGTCGAACTTTAAGTTATTTCTCGGGAAGGATGCTTAGACTTGTTACGTCAAAAGCTGTGATTCCTTCCAGGGACATGCACTGTCAGGGATTCCACATTGCATTTCTGGAGTTTCGATTACCTAGATAGAAGATACGGGGCCTATTTCATCCATCAAAACTGACTAATTCCAGTCCAGACAACCCCATCAACCGCTTTTGTCCTTAAGTACTTTCGGTATCTAAGATTATCTCATAGTCCAAATAGAACTCCATCTGAAAAGAACTACCACCCTCTCAAACAAACTTCAAACATTCAAAATTCAAAATTCAACAGCCACCACCAATCCTTTACAAAATTTTAATAATCATACAACCCCCTCTTCGTATCCTACCAATCTCACACCTGCGACCGATCAACCCTCACAGTCCCCTTTACCTTCACCGTATCCGTCTCCCCCTCCCCCTTCTCACTCTTACCAGGTTCATTGACATACGGATTCATCGTATCCGCATTTGACAGACCCTCTTGTTTAGCAGATATACTATTCGGTCCACGCGGTGGACCCATCCCTCGGGGCTGGAATTGTGATGGATTAGTTAGAATGTACCTAAGTGATGATAGGTTTATGGCTTATGTGATTTGTGGGATAAGTGTGGTTGGTGGTTGGTGGGTGTACGGACCTCGTCGTGGGTTGAACTTGAACTTGAACTCTTCGGTTGTCTTATATCTGGTGTGTCTGGGTGTATGTCGGTTAGATTTGTGATTCCAGTAATACTTTTCTTCTGGCTGGGATTTTGGGATGGGACTCGCTCATACTCATATTCCCTCTTTGTGAAAGGTAGAATGCTGCTGGGACTCCGAGTGCAAGGGCGACTAGCAATCTATAACGTACGCGTTAGTCGGTCATAAAACAAGATGTGTCTCGATAGATCGGCAGGATAGATCGACGGGATGCATACAAACGAGTAGCTCCTCCTTTGTTACCTGCCTCCGTAGCAGCGAATCGTTTCTGACTTGAATATACCGGACGGAAGCCACGGGTAGTTTGCGCTTGAGTCGGGAGTCCCGAGTGCATAGAGGATAGACGGTTGACGTTCATAGTGGATATTAGGGTGTTGTTTGGAATATCAAATCTGGAGCGAACAGCACAGGAGGATGATATTTAAGTACTTCCACCAAGGGGTCCCAATCGCATCAGGGCCACTGTAATAAAGCAAGAAGATCTCGATTTACTCTCGATCTTGTCCTGTCCCGGATCGGACTGGATTGTAATTACATCATTATTCTGTCAGAGCCAGTTGTGCCAAGTGTGGAGACAGAGACACTAAGAATGGTATGTAAAGTGGGACTGCAAGTGCTGTACGGCTGTAGTATTTGTAAGGGAGGGAGGTTTCCCGCCTATAGAAGGGTGCTGGTACAGAGTGTAATTCGTTTATTGAGTAGAGGTTGCGTACGGTGGTGATTCCGGCTGGGAAGTTTAGCAAATGCTGTATGTCCGCTCCTCGCTCGTTGATTGGTTAGACGGACGTAGCTTCCGATATGCAGGGTATAAACGAAGCTCAATAATATACATGCATCTCAAGCTTGTGATAGACTATCTATAGCAGGAATGGCTACACGCCGCCATTCGTCCGGAAGACATCACCTTTTTCGTATCTGAAAGCCCTGTAGTCTCGCCTGGTACTGTCGAGCAGTATCTCCGGTTTAAGAGATGTCTAGAGGGAGGGGACACCTGAGCCTTCAGGTACTTGTCCTACTTCAACCTTGGAAATCTCCCAAGCCATAGAAGGATACTGACTATCCCAAGTTGTTGAAAATACTTCAAAAACATCGATTCACCCTCCACCCTCCTATACACTATATATCCAAAGAAAAAAAAAAAAAAAAAAGGAGAGAACCAGATCATCGGTGCCCCAAACACAACAAAACGAAAGGGATATCAATGCTATCAATCGTGGTCGTCATTACCAGGCGGAATGTGACACTCCCGCGTTTTATGTACAACTGCGTTTTCCTCCGCTCTTCAGGTTTGGATTCCTCACTCGCTGTCAACTGTGCCACTCTTGCTTGCCTGTTCAGGTGGACGCCTCACTCCATCATCCATACGGGGGCTTTGACTAGAACCATTGATGGACCTTTACCGCGTACTTCCACCGTCAGGAAGGCTGCGAAGCGTATCCGTGGCTGGGTCTCGCGTTCCTCCGCCACGGCGGGCTTTTCATCGTGTGCTGGCCCGGGAGAGGGACGGGATGAAACCGGACCGGCGGGTTTACGGCCTATGAGTGCTCCAAAGACAGACTTCTTTTGCGGCCTGTGTGCGGGTGCTGTCCCGATATCTCCGGGTCCGGTCGAGTTGGAAGCAGGCGAGGAGTCGTCTTCGACAGCCGCAGAGTCATCCGCCTCTGGGTCTGCTGGTGGTGGGGGTTGATGAGAGAGTGGTGGCAGTCCGCTTTCCACTTTCATGTACCCTTCCACAAAGGAGATGTTGGGTGGGAAGTACTCCACGCAGACATCGCGGGCCTCAAGTGGGATCTTCTCCGCGATGTTGATGGTATTCTCGATGATCATCCGCACGCTAGCCTCCAAGCCTGGCAAGGCTGGATCATGCAAGTGACCGCTCAGGAAAGAAGCAAGCTCGGCGATCAAACGTTCAACCAGCTCTGCACGGTGCTCATGAGCAGCCGGAGTAGAAAGCATATCACCGAGTCCGTCAAAGGTTGTCCGGCGCCAGTTGGAAAGCCGCACGATCGAATTCTCGCGGTCTTCATCCGTAGACGGTCGCATCTGCTGTCTTCGGAGATTCATCTCGATACTCTTCAGTTGAATGCTCAGGATTGGGTCCAGGGCGGGATGGAAATGTCGCTGAAAGACCTGTTCCACTAACCACCGACTGATCACGGCTCGCCCTACTGCCGTCATCTCCTTGGTACCCACGTCGGTCGCATCATCCGTGACCAAACCGTGCAGCCATGGCGGGATACCACGCCAGTCCTTTCGCACCGAAAAGGCCAGGTCCTTGATAGCACCATCCAATCGCGTGAACCGGTTGGCGTATTCATTATCGTCTAATACGGTGCGAGACACGGCCATGCGCTGATGGGCCACTGTATTCTGAAGATGCTGCACCTGCGCTTCCTTGTCAAAGTAGTACCGCTTCACCTTGGAGTATTTAGTCTCTATCCTTTTAATTAGCATGGGTTCCCTCCTTCCTCAAACACAGCATCAGTGGTGAAGACTCACGCAATTCCTCATGCTTCTGCAGTAATGCCCGCACATCGATCTCGCCGGGGTCTTCGATTGTCCGTGACCCGGTTGGAGTGCCCCGTCCCGGTTCTGGCATGGTCTGAACCGTACTATCCTGTCGCTTCGAATCGCCCGGGGCCCGTTCGTTCGCGAGTGAAGTCGATGGAGGCTGCTGCTGCTGCGGCTGACTCTGGGATGGTGGCACCTGTGTGGAAGCCTGCTGCATGGCGTCAGGAGAGATTTGCGGACAGACTGGGGCAAGGGACTCGAGAGTCTGCCGGGAAGGGGGCCGGGAATTGAATACCAGATCCTGGGTCCGTGATAGGGACTGCTGGCTCCGATGGCCCGGGTGATCTGGGGTATAACGGGGGGATTCGGGCGGCGCGTCGGTGGGGGATGGGCGGGCAGAGGGTTGCTCGAGGAAGCTTGGATCGGTGTTGGAGCGTTCGAGAGGGGATGGGAGAGCGCGGTGATGCAATTGCAATTGCTGCTGATGCTGCTGTAGGGGCCACTCGAGATTGTCTCGCGACGTTCGCTGAAACTGCTGCTGGTGGTACTGCTGGTGGTAGGCTAGCGATACCGCCCGCGGTTCATACGAAGGACGATTAGAGATCGGGGACGAGTTGTCCGAATAGCTCGGTGGATGATGATACTGCTCCTCGTCGGTCGGGCCCAGGGAGTGCTGCGGTGAGGTGGGCTGAGAGCTGGGATGGGAAATAGGAAGGGAGATGGACTTCCCCTTGACGGAAACACTGCGGTCGAGGAAACCGGACGGGGGTCGCCCGAACAAGCTCTTTTTGGAACGACGAGGCGGGGGCTCTTCAGGGGGGACCACACTGACAGTCGGTCGGTCGCGTTGTTGCAGGGGACGCTGACGCTGGCTCTGGGAACGATGCAGCGAGGAGGAGGAGGGCAATTGGGTGGGTTCCTGAAGCTGAGGTGGCCGCTGATGTGAGGGTTGTGGCTGAGGTAAGTCGGTGGTAGTGGAGATGATTGAGCCGGATCCGTCGTAGTTGTGACGATAATCGGAGCTGCGATGGTCCGTGTAGTCTTCGAGACGAGGATTGCTGTTGTTGATGTTGATGTTGATGTTGTTGTGGTTGTTGTGGTTATTGTGGTTATTGTTGATGGGGGCCGGCGGAGTCCCAAACGCGGGGTGGACCAGCAGCTGTTCGACGGAGCTGGGATCTCGCGACGGAGGGGACGGGGTGGAGGGATGGGACGGAGACTTGGACTTTCGATTCCTGAAGAGGGGCATGACTTTGGTTCAAGTTTCACGTCTTCCGGGTCACGGTTCAAGGGCCACGTCGAAGGTCCATGAGCCACAATCCCAAGGAATAATTCAGGAGTGGGAAAAGAAAAGCAGCGGACGGTCAGGGTCCACGGTGGAGAGACCGCGCGCGCGAGAGCGAGGGAGGGAGGGGGGGGGGGGGTGTGGCTGTCCACGCAGAACCAACGCACGGGATGGCTGAACGAAAGTGGAGGGTTGAGCGGATCGGCCGTGAATGACGATTGGGCAAGAGGGTTCTAATTTTATCCGTCAGGATCGTGGTCCACGAGAAGGAGTTTACGAGGAGGAGGAGGAGGAGGAACGAGAGGGTGGAGTCTTCGGAATGTGAGGCGATGAACGAGAGAAAGAGAATCACATTGAGATCAGATTGAGGGAAAGAGGGCTGAATGATCCAGCACGCTAGTCCAGAGCCTGTGAGAGTCCGAGTCCCAGTCTACTCGTCCATAGTCGACGAGGTCCATACCAGACGAGGAGTCTCGACGAACGAGGCCCGAGCCCCTACAAAGAACAGCCGGCCGCAGCCTCGTATTGGGACGAGGAGCCCGTGAGTTCCAGTGGGGGCCAAAGGCAAATAAGCACCAGAACCCCAGCTGGAGAGCTAACAGCCTCCCGGGAATCTCGTAAATTCAGAAAAGCGACGAGAAACACGGGCCTGGTCCGGAAACCAAGATCCGCGATCTTGCATCTCTTTTGAGATCTTCCAATTGTGATGGATCGCAGATTGCAGCATGCAGAACAACGTATATGATGCGCGGCAGGACCTTATTTGTATACGAACATATACCACGGGGTACCGAGTGGTATCACGAGGAGACGATCACAAGAGTTGAAACTCCTTTGAAACGATCATAATTGAATGGTCAATTACAGTACAATCTATAGATAAATCTAATCCAATTCGGGAGTGGCTAGTCTCAATTTTGTGGCCGTACATATACTCTTGTCATCCATCCTCTCCTCTATACTTCATACTTCAACCCCTTTGCAATATCCCATCATCGCCAATATCATCCCTCAAGGACTACTCCGCCCACCCCCAAAATACGCCTCCTCCTCCCTCATCCTCCCAACCTCCCCTCGCACCCGAAATTCAAACGCCTCCCTCCTCTCCAAAATAACCACCCCACCCCCGTCCACCTTCTCCCTCCCCACCTCCCCCTCAAACTCCGCCACCCCACTCGCAAAAACCTCGTAATCATCATAATGAATCGGAATCGTCACTCCCGGCTCAACCATTTTCATCAATCGCACACCCTGCGCCGCATCCATGCTGACCATGAACGACAGCGGGGAGAACGCGGGCGAGGGGATCATGGTCCCCCCCAGATGGACTAGCATGAGGTCGATCGGGTTGTCGGTCGCGGTGTATTTCTCGCGGATGGCGTGTAGGTCTTCGGTGAAGAGCGTGTCACCCGTGATGTAGATGCGGTAGCCTGGGGCGAAGTCGGTGGGATCGTGGGTGTCGGCGCTGGTGCCGAGTTCGAGGATCCAGCCTGTTGTGGGGGGATCTAGAAAAGAAAGAACGAGAGTTGGAAATTGATGTCTTTTAAGAGGAGTGGGATTACTGTGGTAAAAGGACGTGCCACTCACTGCGTTGGCCATTTTATTAAGTAGCCCAACTACCGCATTGCTGGGTACGTGTCTGCCCGGCATGCCCGTGATGCGTAGCAGTGGTCGTTTCACGCCGCCGGTACCGCCAATCTCGACCAGGCCCGTCTCAAAGGGGGCCAGGGCGGAGACATTGGTAAAGGACTCGCTGCCTTTGTTGGTGAGTTGGACTCGGGCGTGGGGGTTGGTGATGATGGGGATATCGCGGCGGAGGGAGGCTTCCACTTTTTGGTCGAAGTGGTCACTATTTGCAATTAGTTAAGCTTCTATAATTCGTAATGGCAGTCATGGGATAGTTTGAAGTGAATGGAGGAAGTACACACCCGTGATAATGCGATAAAAGAACAAGATCAATCCGAGGTAGATCGTGCAGCTCGACAGCCGGATTAGTGCGCCGCTCGCTGGAAACGCCTGCGCCAAATTGGGCATGGTCACCGGCATGAAGAAAGTTGGGCTGTGGAGGTTAGTAAACGAAATTATCTGGATGGACACTCGAGTGGTACCAAAAGTATACTCGGGTATACCAGGTATAGCCACTTACATCAGTCATAATCCGAATCCCAGCCCATTCTCTGCATCCATTAGCATTCATACTCTCAAATAGAAATCAGATCTAACAAACATAATCACCGTCGCCGTCCCAACAAAGAATAACGAAGCATTCTCATTTCCCAGATCAGTGGGGTGCTGTTTCGTGTCCTTGGCTGGTGGGAGTGTATCCGGCAAAACAACTGCCCGGGGAGATCGCGCGTCGGAGGTTGTTCGTTTGTAGGATCGATGAAGATGCGCTGCATGATGTTTGGTCATTTCAAAAGTAACGCGGTGGTTTGCAAATGAGGTTGAGGGTAGGATCCATTCATATAACACCACCATGGGGCTCAAGGGTTCGCGTCTACATGACGTCACGGATAACATCTCAAAGGACCATAGTTCATAGTTCGTGGATCGTGGTCCAAATCAAATCAAATAATCGTAACGGACATTTTGCTATGTGAAGGACATACATTCAATGGCAGACAGACGAGCGTTGCATCAACAGGGCTGCGCCGTATCTGGCCCAGACACATATCATCTCGAGATTCAGTCTGTGAAGCTCTGACAGAAAAACAAGATTGACAGGTTTGACAAGGAGTGGTGGAATGAAATAACAAGTTCAACGATGACCCGCATCAATCCCTTAGCAGACGCCGTGCGACTTGCCGCTCTTGCCCTGCAGCGAGTGCCTCTCATGGTGGTAGCCGGCGTGGGAGTGGCCCTTGCGGTGTGGGTGAGCACGGTGGGCAACCATGTGCCTAGATTGGAGTCAGTTGGAAGATCCACTAATAACAGAGACGGATTCTGGGGAACGTACGTCTTGTACTTGGCCATCATGGACTGGTCCATAGACTCGAGCGTCTGCAGAGCCAGCTTTATATCGATAATGAGACTGTCGCAGCGGTTCATGCTGAAATCCTCGCGGACAACAATACGCATCAGCTGCAGCTTGTTGCTGTTCGGGGCCATCGTGTACGCGGGAACAATCCAACCACGCTCGCGCAGCTGGTGCGCCAGCGCAAACTCATCGTACACGCGCTCCGGGTTTGGCGGCAGGCGGAAGGCCACCAGGGGCAGACCATTGCCGCGACCCTGGCTCATGATGATCATACCCATCTCCGTCAGCTGGTCGGCCATGTAGTCTGCAGTGCGCGTAAGGTTGACCATGATCGAGCGGTAGCCATGCTTGCCCAGGCGGATCATCTGGTAGTACTGTCCAATGATCTGTGAGGCACCCTTGGAGAAGTTCAGGGTGAAACTGGCCTGGTCGGCACCCAGGTAGTTGATGTTAAACACCAGCTCCTTGGGCAGGAACTCGGGGGATCGCCAGAGCACCCAGCCCACACCGGGGTAGACCAGACCGTACTTGTGGCCGGAGACATTGATGGACACCACCTTTTCAAGGCGGAAATCCCACTCCAGATCGGGCACGGTGAAGGGAGCGACGAAGCCACCACTAGCGGCGTCAACGTGAATCGGGCAGTCGATACCGCGCTCGACCAGGAGATCGTTGATTCCCTTGACATCCTCGTACTCACCAGTGTAGGTGGTACCAAGAATAGCGCAGATACCGATGGTGTTCTCGTCTACGAGGTCGACGGCCTCCTTGGGGTCGATGACGTAGCGCTCCTCGGTACAGTAAACATATCTCTCCTCGACATCGAAGTAGCGGGCGGCCTTCTCCCAGCAGACCTGAACGGCGCTGTTCATGACAATGTTAGGGCGGGAGTAGTCCTTGCCCTCGGCCTTGCGCTTGTTCTGCCAGCGCTTCTTCATGGCCAGAGTGCCAAGCATGATCGCCTCGGAGGAGCCAATGGTCGAGGTTCCCATGGCATTCTCATCCCGGGCATCGGTCGGGCAGTTGAAAAGACGGGCAATCATGTTGACACAGCGGTTCTGGATTTCCGCAGAGTGCGGATACTCCTCGTAGTCGATGAAGTTCTTGCTAAAGGCCTCGGTCATGATTTGCTCGATCTCATCTTCCTATAGAAAGAAGCATTGACGCTTCGCATTAATGATTTTGGATCTCTTGGGTCATTGTGGTGACTGTCTGTCTCCATAATAGTGTTTGGGATCGTACCATGTAGGTGGTGACGAAACTGGCCAAGCTGCAGGAAAGGGTCAGCCCATTCTTCATACCCCGCATGGGTAGCATCGACCGCGACTTACTTGAGCTTGGGGTTGCCATCCAAGCTGAGCTCGTCCTTGATCATACGAGCTGCAACCTGGCGAGGCATCTCTTGCTCCGCCATCTCATGCTGAGGCAGGTGGTCGGCAGCGAAATGGCTACCGTAGACATTTGTGTAGAAGTCATCCTCGTCGGGCTGAGGGGCAGGGATGGAATCAATGGAATGGGACTTGGGGTCGAAGACCTGGTCGTCGTTCTTCACAGAAGTGAGAAAAACCATGATTGCAAATGGGAGAGAGGAATTGGAGAATGGAGGATATAGAGGAGGAAGAAAACTAGGGAGGAGAATTCCAAACAGGAGAGAAGAAGAAGAGCGTGTCAAGCTGGGGGAGCAGCAACACGTGCGGGGACCATGACGCAGCCAACCAGCCATCCACTCCTTTCTTCAGCTGCCACAACAACCACCAACACACTGACCTCTTGAACTATCCCACTCCTGTTTCATCTTAGTCGCCCTCTCGCTTACCACCCGCTTCCCCTTGGTCAATTATTCTTTCTGGCCTGCCAATCAAACCATTGACAAGCTTCGGTCAGTCTCCCCTCAACGACAAAGCTTGGTCAAAGCTTGGCAGAGTGACGATCCTCGTCCCGATACATCCGATCTGCCCCTCTTGCGCCCCTCTCCAGAGTCTCCACGACTTTCAGCCACGGGTCCTCAATTGGTATCCTCCTTCTACCTGACGACTATCCAGCCACTGGCGCCACGTCGACCTAGACTAGCGGTGTGGATTCGACTAGCCTCGATGAAACTTCATCAATGATTGTCCATTCAAATTGTTCAATGATATTCCGGTACACGCTGGCATCCATCAAGCTGTGACGCGACTCCCCAATTTCTATCGGACCGGGTCTGGGCCGATTCTATGTATCCCATATCTTAAAAAGTACGCTGACCAAACATTCTAGTTGCCTAATTTCAAAAATCCGTTTGCCTCTGTCAGTCTTTGCTTAGAGCTTGCTCTCGCGAACGAGTTTCTCCACCTCGGCAAACCGGTAGTAAAAGTCCAAGCTGCCCGGGTTGAGCAGCGTTCCCGAGGGCTGGATCCGCTTGCCAGAGACAATCTGCTTGACTGGGAGCTCTACTTTCTTGAGGTTGACCGTCGTCTAGTGAGACATTACACAAGTCAGTCCACTCTCCCAGAAGGTAATTCAAGGGCAACTAGCGTCATGATGACTTACCGGGATTTCTGGGGTCTCAAAGATAAAGGCCGGCACATGGCGGGCACTAAGCTCAGTGCGAATTGCACTCTTCACACGAGTCACCAGGTCGGCTGTGAAAGCAACACCGGGCTTCATCAACAGGAAGAGCATAACACGCTCGTCCGTGTCGGAGGGTCGGCGCTGGCCCACGCAGATCGAGTCGGCAATCTCCTGTGTGAACTTTCCTTCAATGACGCGGTAGATCTCTGCTGAGCCGAACCGCACACCCGAGGGGTTGAGAACTCCGTCGGCGCGGCCGTGAAAAACGAGCTGCTTGGTGATGGGGTGGATGGCCACAAAGTCACCGTGGGTCCAAACATCTGTGGGCGTGAGTAAGGGTAGACGGAGAAGTGAGTAGTGATCTGTCACTTACTATCAAACCGGGCAAAGTACGCATTAAAGTACTTCTTGCCGTCGGTATCGCCCCAGAACATCGTGGGCATGTTGGGGAAGGCTGATGTCGCCACCAGTTCACCGGGGACGCCCTCCTCGATCGCAACACCCTGAATACCCTCGCCTCCTTCGATCGTGGAATCGTAGACTTCCACTGGCACGCCCAGACTGCATCCCGCACATCCACCCACATACACGGGAGTCAGCGGGTTGCTAGTGCCAAAGCAGCCAGCAATATCAGTGCCGCCAGAGATGTTGTTGAGACGAGTGTGAGCTGGGAAACCTTGGTCGTAGAACCATTCAAATAATGCATCTCGTAGAACCATGCCGGTACTAGTGACAACCTGCAGAGCACTAAGATCGACTATCTCGCGAGGTCGGACGTTCGCTCGTTGCAATTCCTGTAGCCATCGCGGAGAAATACCCAGATGGGTGACCCTATTCTTTAGTTAGACACAGCTCTCTCGCATATCGAATATACTGTATCAGAGAAGTCACATACCTTTCTTGAGCGGCAAGCTTCACAAGTGACGCCACTTCGGGGATAAAGGGACTGCCATCGTAGAGCACCACTCGAGAGCCCAAGGCCAGCGTCTGAACGGCAGACAGATACATGATCCATCCGGTCGTGGTATATTGCAAGTTAACACTCTGCCGAGTAAATTCAGAGTGCAAACAACCCTCCTTGAAGCCGTTCAAGAGTACTCCTCCCACTGAATGCACAATGCACTTGGGCTGACCGGTCGTGCCAGACGAGTACACCACAAAAGCCGAGTCGCGGAAAGCAACGCGCTCAAACTCCAGGTGATCGTTACCACCTGCCTTGGCGAGGAAACTCGACAACGTCAAGCCTCGAGGGATACTGCTGATATCCGCTGGCTCTGCAGAGAATCGCGGCAACGAGACAATCCCCTGAAACTCAACCACCGACTCCATCCCGCGAGCGATCTCCTTCATCTTACCACGCAGATCAATCGTCTTCCCATTATACACAGCCAAATCATCCATAAACAACCACCGCGGCTTAATCTGCAATACCCGATCCAACACCCCCTTCGCCCCCATATCCGTCGAACTAGACGAGAAAATCGCACCCAGCGCCGTCGTCGCTAGCAACACAACCAGTGTATCGATGCTATTCGCCGAGCAAGCCGCAACGCGATCACCCCTCGCCACACCATTCGCTTTCATCGCTTGCGCCAGCGCACCAGTGCGTTGCCGTAATTGCGCCCAGGTGAGATGAACCGCGTTTCTGGCATCGCCCTCGCGGACTTCGGTAACGGCAATCTTCTGATCTTCCTTACCGGTCGTGTCGCCTGCACGACCGGTGAAAAGCAGGTTCTCGGCGAAATTAAGCTTGATACCTGTAAACCAGGATGGAATGCTGTCCATGCGGGCGGTCTCGTCCACCACGTGGGTGTACGTGCCCTCGTGGATGATGGGGAAGAATTCCCAACAGAACGCCCAGAATGCGGCGCGATTCTGGATGGAGTAGAGGTACATGCCGTGGAAGGACTGGCAGAAGCAGAATCAGCTGATGTTTCTGTGTATACAGAGTTTCATCTCTATGCAAGCAGTACTCACGTCGAATTTCCTTCCAGTGGATCGCTCCAGTTCTCGTCGGAACTGGCCCATCTGTGTTGATTCCGGGTCTGGATGCTCCCAGAGCTTCCGAGGGAGAGGTGTTGCTGCCATTGTTCACTGTAGAAGCTCTCACAAGATCCAGAACCCAATACAAAACGTGCTGTTTACAGGGGATCTTTCTGAGGTATGCGCAGTTTTATGACCAGCCACTCCAGAGCAACCGAGGGCCGACGCGCCAAGCTCCGCTGCGACCACCCTATGGGGGCAGATTGTAGACCCCGCCTCGGGGTCGCCAGGTGGGATCTATCGGGGACTAGTCCGATGTTGTGAAGAGTACATAGCCGATTCGGGGGTGAGTGTCTCTATGGATTTACCTTCCAATTCTATGAAACGATGCTATAGTACAGTGTTGAATTGAAAGGAGATTATGCTGGAATTCTGTCGACACATCTAACTAACACCACCACCAATTACGACTCAAACGACTGATTCAACTGGGCAACCGCTTTCGCAAGCTCAACTCGATCCTTACAAGCCGCAAACACAAACCGATCCAACCGCAGTACCACATACCGTTTCCCTCGAACGCTCTGCCACATCAACATCTCATTGTATCCCCGCGGCAGCGGGCGGGATTCACACAGCGCCGACCGGCCGAATTCGTCGCCAGTGGCGCTGCGGAAGAGCGGGTATTCGCAAGTACCCGCCCGGTCAACAAGATTGGCGCAATTGCTGCGGGGGACGAAAAAGGTTGCTTCCTCTGGGGATAGAAGGGGACTGGCCTTGATGCTTCCCAGGTCTTGGACCGCAATATCCCGCTCTTTAGGATGGTTCAGAAGTACCACGAGCTGGAAGGGCGTTCTTTTCTCGGCGAAGATTACGTCGTCGGTGAATTGCGCCTCGGCATTGTTGTGCAAGGAGATGCAATATGTCTGTGGGAAACAGAGGCCACCAGACATTTCAGGGATGAACGGCATCCCTGGTGAGTGGATGTACTGCGTCGGTCCATTACCACGAGGGCCTTGCTCGAGCCAATGCTTCCAGCTAGGAATGAGTTGGAGGAACCAGAGACCCCAGTTGCGGATGAAGCTGTGCATGAAACTTTTACCGTTGACGAGGTCTCCATTGCGGACGGTCGCGGCGAGGGATTTGTCTAACTGTTGCTTTCGCTCGAGGTACCATCCTTCGAAGAGGCGTTCGTAGTCGAGATGGCGTTTGGATGAGCAGGCGATGGAGAGACGCCAAGCGAGGGAGATGGCATCTCGGAATCCGGACGTGATGCCTTGTCCGCCGACTAGATATGCGAGGTAAGCTGAGTACGTAGTGTTGCGGGGATATAGATTAACATACATGGTGGAAAGACGTGGGCTGCATCGCCACAGAGAATCACCCTGTCAAGCACCCATTTATTGCAGCTTCGTGCAGAGAACCGGAAAGGTCTCGACCGGAGGACTTCAATGCAGTCCTCGGGAAACTCGACATCCTCTTTGAGCCTAAACACTAGTCAGCCTTTTCACGATCCAGTATATCTCCCCTCAAGCTCAATTAGACTTACCCATAACGACTCCCAGGATGCGTCAAATACGGATAAACCACCTCACGCACTTTATGTCGCTCGGCCATCTCCATCTCGTCCTCACCAGGCGCAATCACAAACTCAAAACGCCAAAGTCGATCCTCCGGACGCCCGAATCGTCCACATACCGCGGGTCGAGCGGGGTTGCAAAGGAACCGGAAGTCGCTGGGGAAGAATAAATCGTAGACCTGCTCCGGAGTATATCCGAGATTCCACAAGGGAAATTTCGGATGCGTCTTTGGTGTGGGGAGGTGTAAGTGCCAGTTTAGTGCGACCCAGGTTTCTTGATACTTCGTTCTGGAAGGTGATCAGCAACTGTATGTTTCTGCGTTGCGATAGCCTGAATGAGTACTTACTGTTCAGCCCAATCTAATTCAATCCCTTTAGGTTCGAGGTACATCTTCCGTGTATATCCCGTCTTGCCATCTGCTGCAGCGAGAAACTTGGCGCGTACTTTGTGCTCCGTACCCGACGCATCTTTGTACGTAGCATATACCCAGTTTTTATCTTCGGAGATGGACGTCAACTCGCAGCTGCTTCGTAGTTCACATTCGGCAGCTTTTTCTAGTACAGTACGAAGGTACTTTTCGAGAATGGGCTGTTTATGAGCGAGGACTCCGACATGACCTGTATTTCCTTCGCTCTGCACGATAAGAAGGTTAGATGTTGCTTGATTTACAGGGTTGGGGTCGACTGACCGAAGCTGTGTCGAAACAAAGGAAAGGCTCTGTATGCAGACTGTGATGATTTCCGCCAACAAACCTGATCTTTGGCATATCTATACAAAAGAAGGGTTAGCAGATGCCTTCAAGTTAATAACTGGCTGGCGGCATTTACTGGAACCAATCTTGGTGAAAACATGCTCGTACAGTCCCAGCCCCTGCATGAATCGAATACCATCCTCGTCAAGGGCAATCCCCCGAGGATCAGTGGTAATATCCGCTTCCTTCTCGAGGACAATATTTCGAACCCCCAGTTTGCCCAAATACCCGGATAACATGGCACCCGTTGGTCCACATCCGCAGATCAATACCTCCGTCGTTTCCCACTTTCCAGAATCTGCCATAGCGTTGAATGTCAGTCTTTGTCGACTTGTGTACTGGTATTCTGGCCGGAAGAGCTGCTTGAAGATAAACATAAATCAAAAGATCTCATGATCAGCTCTAGTCCTTGTTTATTGGTCCTTGTTTATTGGTCCTTGTTGTGGTCCATGCCAAGATGTGGGACCAATATGCTGTGGCGATGCAGGTACACCCCAGCTCCGAGGCTTGAGCGAGTTAGGTCCCTCTCTGGCATAGTCCCTCATTTCTATGCTTGGATTCGGTAGTTTATGGCTTGAATTTATTCCATTGAGCATAGCACTATTCTTTTTTGCAGGGTCAAGACGCCTAGTATTCTAATCGTTATAGCATTGCAGTTACTTCCGTAAAGCCGGGTCGGATATGCCAGACATGGTCTATTGGCGAAGAAACACTACATGATGAATCGTATTGTTCTAGAAATTCCTATGCGCTACCTGTGTCCACAAGCCAAAAAGGCATACGGTTAACTACCTGTCCCGAACAAGCAGCCTCCACGCACTGCACCAGACCCCCGAACCGAATTTGCCGGCCCGTCAGCCCTTTCCCGTAATGAGCATACTTTGCAGAGTTCGTCAGGATGGTTTTTGACTGTAGCGGGATGATTGGTTCCTGCATCATGCACCAACAGGTGTCGGTGACAATCTGGACCCCGAATTCCTCGAGTGTGGTGATCAAACCATCCTTGGCAGCTCGGCTGTAGGTGTCGCGGTTGCAGGTCACTACAAGTGCTGTATTTTCGCTCTTTGAACGTTGAGAGCAAAGTTGCATCAACTTCACGAGCTCTGCATATGAAAAGTGTGGATTTCCAAGCGACACTAGATCAATATGAGTCTGTCCCTCACCCTCTGCGTAGCCGTTGAATCGCTGCCATTGTTCTGCAAGGTCGGACCGTGATACTCTGACTTTCGCCGTGTCTCTCAGATGAGCCTCAGTATCTTCTGTGCTTCGGGCTTCGATCGTGATCCCCGCAATATGAAACATTGGAGCACTGGAAGTCGTCGCAAAGGCCGCGCCAAAGGCTTTCAGATCCTCTGTCGAAACAATCTTTCCTTCTAGTCCTGTGATAATCGGCACAGAATCGGCAGCAATGTCGCCTGTAATGTATCCAAGAAGAGGGAAAAGTGAATCATCGGCATCAACGGCGAGATCCAAGTGAATTTCTATCCGCGCTTTGCGGTTCTCCGTCAGATGACATCCGGTATTCAATGACCGTCCGGTCAAGGCAACGCAGACGTCTAGATAGTCTGGACACTTTATCGTCCTTGCACCAAGCACACTATTTGCAAAGACAACTGCATTAGACTCAGCCCACATGATATTGTCTCCAGGCTGTGGGGCAGTGTCTAGAAGATACGGAGCACATGTGAATGTCGGCTGAGCCCCCATCTCGATATAAGCCTGCGCCAATTTCTCAGAGGGCTCGCCCAGGGCGGGATCGACTCCCTGCGAGCGCCATAGTCGCCTATCAATGGAAATGGAATTGAGGGAAGTGGGTATACGGACTTTCGCTCCCCATTGACAGAGTGTCTGGGCGAACTGCAACGTGGCTGGGCCAGTGTAGATACAGCAGTCGATGTGGGCTTGTTTGACATTGATCAATTCTGTCACGCCTTGTATGGTTGCTGTACGGAGAATCACTCGCATTGCCACCTGTGCTGCTTTACCATGAGATCCGTTGAGTAATTCGCGGTCTAAAGGGGATAGTTGGATTGTGGAGAAATCGGGCTGGTAGAGAGATGAACCGAATAGAGAGCTGGGTGTTGTAGAGTCGGGCAGTCCCTTTGAGTTTGAAATCTGAGTCCCTGAGATTCTGACATGATTGGACTGCAACAACTTGTTGAAAGATGCCATTGGGACCTGCAGGACTGGGATGCTCCTCTGGAACATTTCTTCTGCGATAAGAACGCCGAGGGTCAGAATCATTTCCTCCCGGGCGAAGACCAAGGCAGACGGCTGGCTTCCATTCAGCAAGAGCTCAAGAATGACTCCACTACCGGTGCAGGAGCCGCGGCCGCTTGGAATCGCCAAGATCTTGCCCGCTACCGATTTGCCCACGAGGGGGTGGTGAGTGTCGATGACTGTGCCAGTTTTGGGATCTACACCTCCCCAGAAGCTGAGTGCGACATTGCTCCCGATAAGATCGCCTTCTGCAATACCTGGGATAAGCACGCGTGCTTCAATAGGGTCCTTTCATGATCTGTCAGGGTTGTCATTATTAAGGAAAAGTTGACTCAACTTACGTCCATCGCTTCGGCACAGCCCGCCGATAAGACAAGTATTCCGGTTGTGTATCGTAAATCGTTTAGGTCAAAGGACTCTTCAAACCAAGTATTATCCGTATTTCAAGATATTTGCCGCGAGATCGCGTGAAATAGCAAGCTAACGTCCGTTGTGAGAGACGATGAAAGAAAGAACGGGTGACGGCTCCGATAGCACACCGGAGGAGTCAACCGCGGAGACCCCACACGAGACAGAAACAAACACAAAGAGATTCTCCATACAAACAACACCAAGGACCATAAACATCCACAATACATCCGTACACCCATTTCTATCTCCCAAATGGTCATCCACCCGGCCCGGTCTACGCCAAAAACTCAGCCGGCACCTCTGGTCCCCACACAGCCAACAAGTCCGGGCGTGCCTTGACATACCCAATAGGCGTATCCTGATTCACCAAATCCCCATCGGCATAATGCTCCACAATATTGCCAGTAGTATCCCACCAGTAATCAAAGATCTGTGAGCCCAAGACATGCCGACCAACGCCCCAGGCCAGCTTATACCCCTTCTTTGTCAACCACTGATGACCCAGCTGCTGGGTGTCGAAATCGTGCACCTCAAAGGAACAGTGATGCACGTGTGCGCTGGCGGGATTGGCGCTGAAGAAGATGCAGTGGTGGTCGACGAGGGTGTCGCTGAGGTCGAGGTGGGCGAACATTGTTCTGAAGCTCTTTTGGCCTTCGTTTTCGATGTAGAGAAGGTCGGTGGGGAGGAGTTGAAGGTGGTGGTGTAGAAGTGGAGGAGGGCGTCGAATTTCTGGGTTGTGTATCCGAAATGGCCAAGCTGATGATTTTATGAACATCGGCTTGATATACCTTAAAAGTATATTGCGGGAAAGTTCGAGCTCTACGTACCTTGTGCACTGCAGCAGGACCGGGCTCAAACCGATTGAACTCGCGACGTCGAGACTTCTCGCCCGGATAGTTGAGTACCACCTTGTCCTGATGAGAGACCTCGACATTCGTCTGCTCCTGACCAAAGATCACATTGAAGGGAAATCCCTCGGGATCAGTAATGGTGACCAGCGAACCTCCGCCGGGTGCGTTGGGCATGTTCTGCAAGGCACCTGCAGACGGAAGACGAGAGGCTCTATCAAACAAGATGTAAGTCTTGGGGTCATTAGACAACGTATCAAAAGTGCTGTCTCACCTATCAAAGTCCTCTTGGCTTTGGGCCTCAAAACTCCCGCCCAAGAATTGCTTCGGTCCTTTGCGTGCATAGTATACGTATTGATCGGATCCATATCCTTTGAACCAAACCTCATCATCAGTTCTTTTCGCAACTTGCATTCCAAAGTCTGGAACTGTCAGCATTCTCTTGGGAATATTATGGTACGGAAGAAAAGAACATACCAATCATGAAGGTCTGAATCTCATCAAGATCGGGATGCTGATAACGCATGTGGGACAGCTTCTTCAGATTAATGCGATCATCTGGATTGATTCCTTGTTTCGCCAGCCACTCTGCCCGTGATACTTGTTCTTTTCCAACGGCGACCACATCTGGCACGGTCGCGCCACGATTCGGCTGGACGGTTTCGACTGTCATGTTGTATGGAGAATACAAGGTCCTTGCGTGGATACACGGAGCTCTAGATCAAGATCGTATCTGTATGATATGACTTACGAACTCGGTCTCCTTCTTTTATAATAATTTTAATAGCACCGGAGGGGCTGAGGGTGCTTCGGATGCTACCCAACTCTCAGCCGCACGAAGGTGGTGATTGTTCCCACATCTCAAACAGTTCCAACTACCCCACAGGTCCAAGTCACGTTCCCTGCTTGCTGGTCGGTACTTTTAGAGATGCTCTGGGCAATTCTAAGTGGAGATTTTACTCATCGATTATGTAGACTGTTATTATCATCAAACTGGTTGCTTCCGCGCAAAGGCCCCGCGCGGTAGAGGGGACATGGCTGTAGTGGGGAACTACGTATGATATGTATAAATTGTCTTCAATCTGAATCCCATTAGAGCTACTTATTTTTCTACTTAACCTACTTGTGACTAAAATTATGGCGGCTTTTAAAAGACTCGTTCGATTTACCACTGGCGCGCAGACTCATTATGGAGACCTTGTCAGCGCTGCTGAGAACAAGTATACCATTCGCAGACTGGAAGGCAGTCCTTTTACCAGCCTAAAGGCTACCGAGGAAATTGTTAATGTTGAAAAGGTCCGTTGATAATCCATGGTCTATATGTAATACTTGATGGTTCGGACTGATAGTTATGTAGCTCGAATGCCCCATTGAGAGCACCCCAATTGTTGTATGCATCGGACTGAACTATAGACAGCATGCGCAGGAAGCTAGTGTGAGTGCGCCCAAAGATTCCTTTTTAAACCATGTTCAAATCTCAGCCCCTTTCATCCGCGTAGCTTCCTGTTCCGAAATACCCTCCCGTCTTCACCAAGCCCGCCGACGCGCTTGCTGGGCCCTTCGACGCAATTGACATCCACCCCGATGCGCGCGAACTCCTCGATTACGAGGGCGAATTAACCGTGGTCATCGGCAAGGACGCAAAGAACGTCTCCGAAAAAGATGCACTAGACTACGTGTTAGGGTATACCGCCGGCAACGATGTGTCTGCTCGCAACTTCCAGTTACCCGAAGCCTCTGGTGGTCAATTCTGTTACGCCAAGTCATTTGATAACTTTGCGCCTATCGGCCATACCATCGTGGCAGCACAAGAAATCCCAGAGCCTCAGGCGCTAAAGTTGAGCACCAAGGTCAACGGGGTTATCAAGCAGGAGACGAGCACGGGCGATATGATTTGGGGTGTTCGCCAGATCATTAGCCACCTCTCGCGAGGCACGACGCTGCGGAAGGGCACGGTCATTATGACTGGTACCCCGTCCGGTGTGGGATACTTCCGGAAGGAGTTCCTCCAGGGTGGCGATGTTGTCGAAGTGGAGATTGAGGGGGTGGCTGTGACTAGAAACCGCATGAACCATTATTGATTAGACATAATATCGATCACTGGCTGTGAGGCTGATGCAAATACGGGGATAGTTCCCACATTAGCATGGAGGAATGATAGATCCCACATTTTCATAGCCTTGTTGCCGTTATATTTGCGCTAAGGAAATTGTGGATTTGGAAATATTCGACAGATGGCCAGTTAGTGGCTAGCAATAGAATCTAGACTATTCATCGAAATCGATTGCAACCTTATTCTATGAAACGTACTCCGAATCCGTCCTGAGCAGATCGCCACAGGCGGGGGAAAGCTCGGATGGAGCTTCTGGTCGGAGAGTCGCTGCGAGAAACTCCGTTGATGCGAAGTTAGTCTTTGCGTCTCTTTCCCCCCGCATTTTTGGTTTTTCTTAGTCCAGTTCTTGCATTTCTGTTTTATAATCTTCTGCATGATATGCAATTTAATTCAAGTTTGCGAGTACTGGCGATATGCTAGCCAATTCTCGACCCTCCAATCCTCCCTACGCTGGCCTGAAGGCCCGGCGCCGTCGGAAGACCTCTAAAGAAGAGCGCATCTGTCCAGTCTGCGCGCAAGCATTCAAGAAAGCGGAGCATTTGGCTCGACACTTGAGATCGCATACAAAAGAAAAGCCGTTCAACTGTCTGGTCTGCAATAAGGCGTTTGCCAGACAGTAAGTCGCCTCTCTCCCTATCGCTTGGTATGTAGTTGCTCATGGAGAACAGAGATACCCTGCTACGCCACTCGCGATCGCATCCCGCTGGGAGCAATGCGTATACCAGTACAGCCGGAATGTACAGACCGGCCGACGAATCTATGGATGAATCTATGGATGAAGAACACCCGTCTCCCAATCTGGACCCAGAGCTCATCTCGCATACGATCGGCCCAGATCCAGCAGTTCCGCTCCATCTCGAGCATATGAACCACCTCGACGCTCTTAATCCCATGGGAGGAAACATGATGGCACCAGTATCTCCTCCAAACAGCTCATCAATCGACAAGCATACCCCAAACATGTCCATCGGCGAGACCAGCACTTACCCAACTCAAGTCACACCCTTAAACTCCCTCTTCTCTCTAGAGACTGGTGACGCCTGGAGAAATCAAACCAGCCCACAGCCTCCTATATGGGACTACCCGCTAGACCGAGAATGGGAGACACTTCTCACCGGCGCCGACTTTGATTTGGAAGCCGTGAATTTATCCCTTCTATATGCTACCTCTGACTATGTCCCTGTGGAGACTATACCCGGCGTGGACATGTCACGACCACCTCCCCCAGCACAGCCTGCTTCAGTGGATAGCGATCACGCTAAGAGGCATGCCAATGCGGTACAGAGAAAGTGGCACACGTTTTCGGAATTTGCCTCCTCGGGCCAAATGACGCCCGACGTGCCTCGTGAAGCAAGTCTGATTGACGAGTCGTATCGCAAGCGGTTAGCGGAGCGTCTTCAACAACGGGTACAGCATGGCATTTTGCCTTCGACTCCTTTTCTTGTATGTTCCGCCTCTCCAAACGTTTCCCTTAAGATAAGGCGGCTCATTCTTTGTTACGCTTATGCTTAATATGAACAGGACCTTTGCATTCAAGCATATTTTTCCAAGTTCCATCCTCTCTTCCCCGTGGTGCACATGCCCACTTTTCGACCGGGAACCCAAAACTCCATTCTCCTTTTGTCGGTCTGTTCTGCTGGTAGTCTTTTCGTTGGCTCGTCGCGTGCCATATCCCATGGGATCAGTATGTTTGAGCGGCTGAACAAGGCTATACTCTCCTCGGTATGAGCACAAACACTCCTTTCTGTATACGCCACTAACGAGTGCAGTGGGACACATACGTTTCCAAATCTTGGGGAAGTTCCTTAGTGGCCCTGCAGGCTTCGATAATTGGACAGAATTTCGGTTTATTGATGGGGGTATGATACACTCGCATCCTTGTAACGCCGTTCATCTTGCCCGAGTAGTTATTGACTCACTGATAGCGACCAAAAGACTTGACGGGAATCGAGATGTGGCATGGCTCTATCGTTGCGGTAGGATTGACAATTTACCTGTAGTTTCAATAAGGCAAACTCGACTTACATCTTTCTCAGTGGGCACGCAAGGCAAGATTGTTTGATCTACGACACCCGTCATACAATCTTCTCGGGCTCGACGGCCAGGCTCTTGAAGACGCCTGGCTAGCTTGGATTCAAATTGAAGTTAAAAAGAGGTACAAATCCCACCAAATTAGACTCTCACACAAATTCTAACGATCAATAGAATTGTCCTCGGTCTCTATATTCATGATGCCGAACTCGCTCGCTTGCACCATCACGAACCTCTCCTCCGCCACTCCCTCGATCGTCTCCCCCAAATATCATCCAACGACCTCTTCACAGCATCCAGTGCAGAACACTGGAAATATCTCATGCTCGACGAACAAGCACGCACCCTCACGAATAACCCCCCTCGTAACTCTCCACCCCCACAATCAAATCCCCTCCCACAGGCAGTTCTCCCTAGCGATTTTGCACTCTGCGGTATGCTCGAATCTATAAGCGCAATGGCCTGCGAAACACAAGATCAACACTCTCTCCACTTCGAACACTCCTCATCAGCATCAATATCAATATCAACCTCCCTCCCTTCCTCATCATCTACACCCGCACCCTCAAAATGCCACACCCTCCTCACCACATGGCACACAACCTACCATGCACCCCTCCAAAACAAACCGGGCTGGCCCTGCCTAATGATGCTCTGGCACTCAATCCACATAACCCTACACGCAGACATCAACGCCCTCGAATGCGCCGCCGGCCGCGAGGGCTACGACGGCGTCCAAAAGTACACTCCCTACGCCCAGGCCTGGCTACGGTCCGCCGATGCAAAACGCTGCTTATTACATGCCCTGCTTATCCAGAAGAATTTCGAATCGTTATCCGCTGGCGCGGAGCCGGCGATTTACGTGCCGAAGTGTTTGTATTATGCTGGGTTGGTGTGGGCGTGTTTTTTGTGTTTCGGTGGACCCAGTGTACAAGGACATGAGCACGGGCCTCGAGCTGCAAATGAGCATGGCAATGAAAATGAGAATCAACCCTGCGATGATGATGGTGATGACCACGCGAACCACGACGAGGTCATCACCATCGGGCCCGCGGAGACTCTACAATTCGCAGAACTCCGTTTACCCGGTGTTGATGGGATAGGGGTGTTTTTGGAGCAGATGGGGGGATTGCAGCCGCGGCGGTTGGCGATGGGGAGTCTTTTTCGGATTATTGATTTGTTGCAGCGGATCAGTCATTGGAAGATTGCGCAAAGTTTGGCGGCGACGCTTTTGGTTGTTGTTGAGGAGACGCAGGATTTGTTTTGATTAAATAGGACAGTACTGGGCTCCAGTTATTAATAGCTGTAGTATAACTGGATGGAGTACGGATTATACAAAAAGGACTGGGAATGGGGGATATCAAAAATTATAATCATGTCGATACTGTGCAATACATCAATATCCTGTCTATATTTAAAGATGCCATACCATACCTACAACTCCAAAAGCTCCACCTCTTGCTGCCTATGGTGGAGACTAGATGTCCTGGAGCTTCACTGTCAAATCGATATCACCACGACTCTCGCCTCGTCATACTTGACTCCACCGTCTGCCCCGGTCGCCCTTTGCAGCTAAGCTATGACGAGAGGAACAGTGATCACTGCTCCTTCTATCGTCCCACAGCTCAATCAAGATATCTAATTATACTTGGTTATATCCCTAGCTTTGCAGTCCACTGCCAGCCACCGCATAGTCCGTCGAACTAGCGGTGTACGACAAAATACAATACTCCTGACAGACTCGGGTCCTACACATTGTCACCTCGCGTTATACTGTTATACTACCGAGCACTTTGTAAGGGTGATAGATTTCCAGATTCCTCAAGGGAAAAAAAAATCATTTTAATCAATAAGCACTAAGATAATAGGTATGTGTTATATTTCCACTGGTGTATCATTCAAAAAACCCGACTTGCAAAAGGGAAAAAGGAGACAAAAAAAAAAATGGGGGTAGGTAGAAGCACGTCCCCCCCCCCCCAAAGCACAAGCACGCAGTAGCCCAACAAGTCCAACGTTTAATCGTGGATCTTGTATATCGTACACCCACTTTCTTTCTTTCTTTTTTCTTTCGCTTCTCTTCTTCTCTTCCTCCCCCCGTCTTCGCAGCGCCAATTCCTCCCTTAAGACAAACACAGCCAAGAAAACCAAAGTATCTCGTTCGTTTCCTCTTCTTTACTTGAACATGCGCTTGAGCTTAGCGAAGAATCCCTCCTTCTTCTTCTTCTCGGGCTGCTGCTCTGCTGAGGGCTCACCCGTGGGCTCCTCGGCCTTATTGGCTGCCTCGGATTCGGCGGCCTGAGGAGCAGTGGTCTCCTCGGGAGTCTCGGTAGGCACATCAACCTTGGCCTTGGGCTCTTCGCCTCGCTTCGCAGCAGGCTCGGGCTTCTTGGGCTCGGCACCGGCGACGGGGACAGGGCCTGTGGTGGCGGCCCTGTCGGCCTTGGATGAGTTGATGGCTGCGGCAGCCGCGGCGACGGCATCGGGTGAGGCCTTGCTTTGCTTGGTCTCGGCGGGGCCAGGCGGGGTGACGGGAGAAGCAGCAGGGATAGCAACGGGAGCAGCAGCAGCCTCGGGCTTCGCCTCAGCAACCCTCTTCTCCTCGTTCACGGGCACAGGCTCGGGAACCGTGTACGCAGCAGTTGATGCAGGGCCGGCACCCGCCAACACCGACTTATCAGCCGCACCGCTAGCAGCGGCCTGCTTCTGCTCCTCCTCCGTCTTGGCGATCTTGGGCGGCTTCACCTCGTCGTTGGAGAAGATGGGCTTCTCGTAGGGGCGCTTGATGTGGGCGGCTTCACCCTCGGCGGGGGCCACGGCAGAGTCCCCGGTGGCTGCGGGAATCGCTTCGGTGGCCTTGGTGCGCTCGGGCAGTGTGGAGATGGGTGCGGCGACGATGGCGGGCTCTTCGGCGGCGGTCTCGGTGGTCGAGGGGTAGAGGTCGCCGGTGGTGGCAGCTGTGGTGGTAGACTCGGGGAGGACGGCTGTAGGTGACAACGTTTTAGCTTTTGTGCTATTCCTTTGACATGCTTCTGTAGCAGGTTCAGTGCTTACCCTTGCCCTCGGCCTCGGTGTCCAGGTCAGGAAGCTGGCCAGCCTTGGAGGCTTGCGTCTTGTCCACCACGGCCTGCAGGGTGCTCTCTTCTGTCAAGGGCGCCTCAACCTTGGCCTCTTGCTTGAGAGGCTCCTCGATCTTCTCTGCGGCCTTCTCGGCCTCCTTGGTCTCGGTCACCACGGGGGCGGTGGTTTCGGCAGTCTGCGCCTCGGTAGCAGGCACCTCTGTCTTTGCGGCAACCTCGGAATCGACATTGGAAGCAGCACCATCCTCGACCTCATTGTCGGGATTCCTATACACAGAGAGGAACAAATCAGCACCTAACGACGAATTGATTGCGAAGCAGAAGAGCTGGTGGCACGCGACCAACTTTTTTTCCTGCGGCTTTGAAAGCATGACACTTACACGACATCCTTGACGGTGTCGGCGACCTTGTCAACGGCCGCGGCAGCTGCGGGCTTCGCGCCGCCCTTGTTCTTCTTCTTTCCTCCTTTCTTAGCCATGATGGTCGTGATGGGTCGTGTGGTGAGTCTGCGCCGGAATGCGGTTAGAATTGACACGTCGAAATGACGACAAGAGTGCGGTGCCGACGAGAGGGAAGGTGAATTGAGTAGATTTGGAACGCTGGAGGGGAGTATGTCGTGTGTGTATATCTTGCCGGTGCAATGGAGATTGACGACGACTTACTAGTAAGTGATGGGGTTTTGGTGGATGAGGTGAAGAGTTGTAAGATGGAAGGATGGATGGAATTGAAGGCTCCCGACGGGAGTGGGCCAAAGCTCTCCCTTCTACAAGTCCGAAGAGTAAGGGATGGCGATCCGGTATGCTGGGTATAACGCCAGGTTGGGGGGATCCGTGGTTCTCTCGCCGTGGTGGTTCTGGAACGCGCAAGATGGTAAGAAGGAAGATGATCAATTCGTAATACTATGTTCGATGGGTCCATGGCCTTTGAAGGACAATTGGCACCTGTTCTTTGCTCTTTGTTTTTGCTTTTTTGGGACTCGCCAGTTACCCGCGACTCATTCCCAGGCCGCTCGCAGCATGGTCTTGCGAAGACGGAATAAATTAACGGACATTCTCGAAGCTCATAGTCGTCCGGAATTGACGAGCTCGATCTACGATTGCATGTATGGATCTCTCGATCGTCCTATATTTTTCCCCGCAAGCGAGGATATCGCAGTGCTCAGTGCACACAACCCCTTTTTGTTCCATACTTCCGCTTGCAGCAAGTGTCGTGTGCCTGCGAGCCAAGACTGCTTTGCAGGATGAGACAGACAGCCCTAGTACCCGATGCAGTATTAGGGCTGGCTGCTCCTGCAGGGCGCTAGGATCTTTTCGGGGGGGGGGGCTCTTAGGTCGATCTGGGGCGATTTACGATTGACGCGACCGTTGTCAAGCTAGCGGCTCTTACTTAGGGAGGGTGATTCCCGACCGGACTGGTCCTTGGACCTGCGTCCCTACATAGGGAGGAAGGGCCAACGTGTAGAGGGAGTAGCTAGGGAGTAGGTACGCTTGTACAGGCCTAGAATAAACGGGACAGCTGGCATTCTGGTCGGCCCGTCTGTAGACGGGACGATGGACGGCCGCCATTCCTTAACGTGGCTGGCCCCGATGGTGGGGGATTACATCATTCCTAGTCCGTCTTAGGCCAGCAGACATGGTTCGTTTGATGAGGGTGATAAAAATAACAACGGGAAGCATCATGATCATCAGCGTATCCATGTCAATTTTAGGAGCAAGTAGAAAGACAATGATGTAGGTGGCATACTGTAGATTGCAAGGCCCACGATGATGTTTCAAGTCTGAAAGCAACAATGGGTCATGGGTGAGCAAAATATGTTTAAACATGTCGATTGCACTGCGCAATATATATCTATTGGGAACAGCACACTCCTTAACAGAAAAGCCAATGAGATGTAAAATGGAAGAAAAAAAATTGACCGACGCAGGGGTCGAACCTGCAATCTCTTGATTCGTAGTCAAGCGCCTTGCCATTGGGCCAGCCGGCCAGATGCTATCCGTTGACCAGTCGGCCAAGCAGTGCTGGGTGATGGAAGAGCAGACGAATTTATGCTACATGAGCTGAAAAGCAGGGGGGACATGAACTATCAAGCTCTGATTGGTTAGGCGGTCGCGGCAAATTAGCAAATTGTAACTGTTGTATCGGGAGTACTCTTGTACCAGAAAGTTCTAACCTGAGCGGATTCACACACACATTGCAAACTCATGCAGTATGGTTTATTCTTGACTGCTTGGGTATCTCTTCTCATGCTTATCTTTCAATCAACAGGATCACTCATACTCCCTCACAAGCACAGTGCCGCATCGTCATCCACTGTCATTGATTGCCGCCCGTTAAACTCCCGACCTCACCCATTACATTACCTAACGGGACAGCGTGCCGGACTCCGAACCATCCCCCCTCCAGTCGACCCACTCCTGTCCAGGGGGGTTATCATCCTGTTTCCGGTTTCTTCTCGTCCTTCCTTTTCGTGGGCGCAATCAACTTGCCTCTCGTAGCGAGTGCACCACTCCACTGACGTCCTGGACCCCCACTCCATTCCCCTTCTGACCCCTCATTTGCAATTCGGTTGAGGCAAGTCGAGGCAAGTCGAGGCAAGACCACAGTGCCAGGCAAGGGAGGCGGTTTTTCTCTTGCTGACCAGCTTACCAGCTTACGACTGTGTGCAGTAGTTATTATTATATTCGCTGCTACTGCTGCTGCTGCTGCTGCTGCTGATGATGATGCAGACAATGCAACCGTGAGGCTCTCTCAGCGTGGCTGGTCGATCAGCCCACCTTGGGCGCGTACTGCGGTTGCCAATGGGATTCCAGAATGATTCGATTGCAGGCCAAGTCGCCACTTCTGCTCTCCCCAACCCTAATGGATTACTCGTACAACACCTTATCTTGCGATAGCAGGACCTCTCCTGGTGGGCGTACAGGGCACACGGTATGGGCCACCCACGGCCCAGCGCGAACGAGCAGGATCCAAGCGCCGACGGGACGCCATAATGGCCAATAGAACCAGGAACCATAAACTGTATGGCTGTTAACCTTGACCATCTTCCTCAGTCCAGTTTTTCTTCTTTTTTCTTTTTTTCCTCGCCTCCTGGTACAATTGTATATTCTCAATGGTTCTAGACTTCGTCATGTCTCCTCTCCGGAGAATAAGAATCATACTATGCCTGGTTTTTCTCCGGTTGACGTTCCTCCGGTCTATCCGTACTACCATAGTTCCGTACTCGTACAGTCTCGTCGTCCGGGTCGAGAGAACCCACTTGTTGCCCCAAAATCTTGCCCGCATTCGTCGCGATGGGCCCCCAAATGCGGGCGGGAGCAATCAGCGTGCGGCAAAGTCATTTAGTCGTGTCATATCTATTTCCATTGCCCTCCCATCACCCACGAGGGGCAAGTTTCTCGCACAGACCGAGAAAAGTGGATCGGACCGGATCCCAATGAGGCATGGCGAGGTCGGACTCGCCTTACCCATCGCCTTCACCGGAATCGGCCTGCCGGAGGGCGAGGAACAACAGGAAGTTGAGGAAAATTACTTGCCATATTCTTCCTCTTGAGGGCATTGAGTTACTGGAACAAGCAATTCCCACGGTTTCCTGGTGCTTATCGCCGTTGCATCCACTTCGTTCCATTCCCTTACCTCGTACGGCGTAGTCGTCTCCAGAATTCCCTCATTTCCCCATACTTCATCCACTCCGGCACCATTATTATTACTATCTACTTCCTCCCTATCCTTCTTCTTCTTCTTCTTCTTCTTCCGTTCTCTTCTCTTTCCCATAACTAACCGTATTCTTTCAAAAACTCTATCCCTCTCTCTCATAGAATGCTCATCCACTGCTTCACCCGTTCAACCCGCTCTACGTGCTTGCACATCCTCAGCGTCCCTTCCCACCCTGGGATTGGTCTGCAACTGTGAGGCCCCTCGCTCATACTTTTCAACAAACCCGAACGCGTGTCATCAACCCTCTTCTTCTCAACATAAGAGATCGAGAACCATCACTCTCAAGATGCCCTTCCGCGACACATTCAAACGGGTCTTCCACCGTCCCTCCACCCGCAAGGATACCAAGAACGGTAAACCCAAGGTCGAATACTATCGTCGCCATGAGATTCCCCCCTCCAAGTTTCGCGGACCTTTCGATAAGGAACACCAAAAGCGCCTAGCGGCCTGGTCGTTCGATGGTGCAATGGCCGAACGGCCACGTTCCCGCGACTTGTCACTGTCCCCCTGCGCCACTTATGATCTCCCGGACGGCCCTCTCGGCCCTCTGGATCCGCTCGATCGCAATGACTGCTGTGATATCTCCCCCGACAACGACGGCGTGCCGATCGATCCAGGTATGTACTAAAATCAAGCACATCGCCATATATTACCCAAAAAAGATATGAGTCAATGGAAGGTCATCCCTTTCTCGAACTCGAATCAATCATTCCCCTTTCCCTTCCCACTCGCCGATTTACCCGAAACATGGCTCCACGTCCTGACACGCCGCCCCTCCCTTCCAGGTCTGACCAACTCCGATACTTCCGTGCCCGACCTGCTCGACTCCTCCCGCCCCACCGTCGGCTCCCAGTCTTCCACAGTCGTCAACTCCAATTCTGAAAGCTACTCCGGCTCCATGATGACGCTTCTCCCCGAAGATCACCCCGTCGGCCCTTACGAATTCCCCGAGGATCCTATCGCCCTGCTCAAGGAGTCCATCCGGTATACCTCGCCTATCGTCCGTGCTATCTCACCTGCCTCGCCTTATCCCATGTCGTCACGGGGTAAGGCGAAGGCTCTGCCTTTTGCGGCGGAGGATTTGGCTCGCGCTTTGATTGCCGTGCAGGTCTGCGCGTAAATCGCTTCCCCCCCCGCGCCTTGTCATTTCTCATCACCATTCGGCCTCGCCATACTTTCGTCCCAATATCCCGGAGATTGGTCCTCTTGCTTCTGTGCGACTCGACGTCGCCTCGCTGCCTTTGGTTCTTCGCCACACTTTTCGGCAGTCTTGGGTGATTCGGATAAAAACCCGACATCCACCTCTTTGATGAACCACGATCAAACCCGGTTCTTCTCTTCAATTAGGCGTACAGATCTGGCTGGAGCCAGGATGTCCTGCCTAATTCGCTTATGGCCACGCGGGAGATGTCCGCGTGTTTCAACGCCTTTTCCTTTGCCCTTTTTCTTTTTCCTTGCCCTGTCACGCATCCTGCATTTTGAGCGTATACCCGTTACTGGCGTTTTTCTGTTTTGCTCGGACATACATGGAGGATATTTGATCGTGTCGCTTTTGATGACACCCTACCTAGAGGTTTGCTGTACTTGATAGAAAGAACAGATTTCAGAATCTAGATGAGAAATGAAAATCGCTGAATACATTCAATTAAGCACGTTTAGTAGATACGGAAATGGAATGTAAGATCCTGTATGTAATTGTGAAGGATGCAGGATGGGAGGGTAAGAGTGTCCGAACTTGAAGTTGAAAAAAGAATACAATAATCCCAAAAATAAGACCACCCGATCCCGATCCAGGAACAACCTTAACTTATACCTCCCACCTTCAACCCGAAAATGCCGAAGTATATATATTCCATCAGAAAGTCAATCCCTCTCTTTCCGGTGATGCTATTCGCCTCCAGCCCCGCAAGCCAAGACCGCGCCCCGCATCTGGACATCTGGATTTTGGACACTGCATATCGCTGCCTCTTGGCATTTGGGATTGGCGAACCGGGTTGTGCTTTGTTTGCATGGCTTAAGGATCGACGGTGGAAGGGGTTGGTGAGTGGTTGGTTGGGTTGTTAGGGTGGTGCGTGATGGTTGTGGGTAGGTTAGATAACTTTGTTGTGAGGGTTGATTGGAAGTGGGGAGGGATTGGGTTGGGCGGTAGGTCCGGGTGTCTTGGCGGAGATGATGTACTGTGGGTATATTAGGTAGGATTTTGTTGGAAGAGAGTGTTGGTTTGACTGGCTTTGTGGTTGTGATGAGTGTGGTTATTTGGAGGGTTGTTGGGTCATTCTGGTGATGCGTATTAGGTGTGCTTGAGGCATGATGTATATATAACTAGGTTCGAGAGGTCGAGTGTCGAGTGCGGCGATTGTATCAGCTTGCATTTCAGGGTCTCCCTGCGTGGACCTTGTATTTTCAAATACCGAGAGCCATGTGTTATACAGTAGATGTAAAGGTGTAAGGGTGCCGATTGGGTCTTGATGACTGGCAACAGGAGTCAGGATGCCAAGGATAGATGGGAAAAGCTCTATAACATCCAAAGTTAAGTCGGACTTCTCGAGGTTATCATTCAACGCTGTAATCACTCACCCATCACATCACTAAGTCCACGACTGCACCGCGTCATGCGTAAGCTTCATCGTGATCTTGTACGACAACCAAAGGGCGAATTTCCAATCCACACCCTCCCCCCAGCACGGAGACAAACCCTCGTATCGTGCATTGCAAAGTGAACCGCGAAAGCCACGTGGAGTGATTGAGCCGTCCCGCTTAGACCAAGTAATGCGTAGATTGAAATTTCAGGAAACTATGAAAGAGATAGAAGGTGGTGGGCAGGCTCGTGCTGGTATTTATGTTCAGCTCGTCTCAGGCGTCCTGGTGTTGCTGTGTGATCAGCTCAGCTGTGTCTTTTTGAGTCACCCTCCCCACTTCCACTCTTCCCCCTGGAACATTTGACGTCGTTTATGCATCCAAGGCGCCGGTGTAAATTCTCCGCGTTTTCTTTGGTTGCTGGGGGTTTGTGCAGGGGTGGTAGAGACCCCCTGCGCTGTGGTTCGACACTCCACTAGGTATGGAGTACTTTGCTTGTGGAACGATGAAACGAGTTGCCGGTAGATATCACAGCATATGTCTACTGCTAGATCACTTTTTAAGTATTTAAAATGGCCTTCAAGTTATTCGTGTAGATTAACAAAGATTTTCGGAGAACTTCAGCTATGCCATTCTTCGCTCTGTCGTATTGAGTCCTCTTGGCTCTGGCACAAGTTCCATTCTATCTAAATATATACACTCCAGTCCAATCTGAAATTCTGCCTCGGCGCATCAGTCGCGAGATGAAAAGTTGATCGAATGATGTAACAATTACGAGTCAGTTTGTGACAGCGCCAAAGTCCAAATTTAGGATGCAGATTCGCACGTTGGTGTATCATTCAGACCCGCAGACAACGAGCTGAGTGAAATGCCCTCGGTTTACCTATCCTGTCAACCTACCAATCTAACCCCGGGCATCGCCGCGTGGCCAGATGTTTCAAAGTTTGTACCAGGAATAATTTCAAAAATCCTTTGATGAGTCCATTCCTATTGTTGAGCAGGTTAATTTTTTTTCGAAACATCCTACGCCAATCGACGCAGAACAGTCACATGACCGTCCGCGCCCTAGTCTTCGCGGGTTTGGGGTCTTTGATACAGGGCGATTGATCGGTGATACTCAATCTTTTCAATCATCCAACAGTATAGTTGTAAATCCATAATGAAGACTTGTTAATCTCGAAGTAGAGTCACGCTCCCGAGGAAGTGGTTAATCTACTCGTCTCATCTTGGTGTCGCTTTGCTTGCTCTCATGAATTAGGGTCAAAGCCTAAGTAAGCAGTATAACTCGTAACAAAATATACTAGACCATTAAGATAGTATCTCTATGATTGAACAAATCAATAACTACTGGCAAGAATGAGGCAGTGCTCGCTTAACCAAGTCAGATGTAAGGTTCCGTCAACCATGGCATCGAACGGTCAGCAGTCTCCACTAGATGCAATGTGCCGCACAATAATGGCTATTGCGGCTGCAGTCCATTGAGATAATTGGCATTGTGTTTAGTCACACCGTGGAAAAATGATCATACCAGCGTCCCAATGCAGATGGCGAGAAGTATAAGCATTGGACCTAGTAACAGTAGACCGAGGGGGTATGGCGAGCTCCATGTCCTATACAAATCAGTAGAATCTATGAAGATGACACGGGTTTAAAAGTCAGACAATTTATTCGAGCAAATTTGGCAAAGCAACTGGAGAAAGCCATGAGCCGAATGAAACATAATGAGATGGGAGGCCCGAGAATGCCCGACGGGGTCCATGACAAGGGAGCATCACCAAGAAAGCCTCACACGAATGGGACACCTAATGATTCAACCTTTTTAAGAGGTAGTAATAATGCACACCGTATTTAAGCCCTGGTGGCTCGCTCAATCTCATTGTAGACCAGTCCCAATCCCACCTTCTTGGTATACCCTCACCTCCCACGTGGGCAGCACGCCACCGCTTATCAGGTGTACACTCTGGAGTTGCTAGGATATCCATATATCACCCTATTGATCCCATTCAATTCTCACTTACTCTTGTGTATGTATCTTTGACTTCTTTCCAGAGCGTTGACACTCCAAACCTCGCTTTCCTCCCTTTACCTTTTCCCAGTACACCAGCCTGTTCATACTTCCATCATGCTTCGGTCCATATGGGACCTGTTTTGCTTCTCTCACCAGCAAACCATCGTCGAGACCAATTCAACTTTGCCAACTTCAAGCAAGGCCATTCGCGTGAGACCCGTCCTAGACACCGCCGTCACAGCTCGTCTCTCTATCCCCCAGGTGACAGTCATTCAGATCACCGCCAGACCGTCATCTATAACAGCGTCACCCGGGTTAGCAAGTACTCCTAGTACTTGCCCCTCCACTTGCAGCTCGCTTGCAGAGTCCATTGTCACCGCCACCTCAGTAACCAGTGATGGCTCTTCCTTGACGTCCGATACCCTCGCCAAGCTGGAGCCTATCCCACCTCTGTACGATTGCACACCGTATTTCCAGATCCTGCAGCTAGATGATACGCTGAGACCGCCACCGATATCATTCAGTGGCTACGGCTCCTTTGGGGGCCGGTTCGTTCCTGAATCGATCATGGGATTCCTGTACGAGCTGACCTCGGTTTTCGAGTCTGCCACCTCGGATCCGGCATTCTGGGCAGAGTATGCTGCCTTTCAGCGGGCGAGAAATACGCCTCTTCATAGGGCCAGCAAGCTCACGCACCTGGCTGGCGGTGCTAATATCTGGCTGAAGCGTGAGGACCTGAATGTGTATGGCAGCCACAAGACTCGCAACATCATCGGTCAACTCCTGCTGGCCCGACGAATGGGCCGTGCAGAGATCGTCACGGACTGTGCCTCGGCCAAGCATGGCAACTTCACGGCAGCAATGTGTGCGCGGCTTAACCTGCGGTGTGTGGTAGTCATGGGCGCAGATGACGCACAGGCACAAGAAGAAGACGTCCTGGAGATGAAGATGCTCGGGGCGAGGGTCCTGACTGCACGAACCCCGTCCGGCATGGGCACACTGCGCGCCGCTATCACTGAAGCACTCCGCTATTCAGTCTGCAACCACGAGACTGCATACTACCTCATGGGCGGGCCCGTGGGTCCCAATCCTCTACCGACCTTGACACGCACCTTCCAGACACTCCTAGGCGAGGAGGTCGCCGCCCAGATGCACGCGGCGGTGGGCTGTCAGCCAGATGCCCTCGTCACCGCCGTTGGCAGCGGCGCAGGTGCAGTCGGTCTATTTCGACCTTTTCTTCACGAGCCCTCCATTCGACTGGTAGGCGTTGAGAGTGCAGGGGCCGCAGCGCTGACCGAGGGCTCGGTGGGCGTTCTTCAGGGTGCGCGGACGCTGATGCTCCAGAATCACGATGGCCAAATCCTCGATTCGTACTCCATCTCGCCAGACATGAACCTCTCCACCGTGGGACCAGAGGTGGCTCATTGGAAGGAGTCTGGTCGAGTTGAAATCTCGACTGCTACGGACGCGGATGCCCTGGACGGGTTCAAAACTTTACAGCGCCATGAGGGTATTGTGTCTGGCCTGGATTCGAGTCACGCGGTGAGGAGAGCCATTGACCTGGCGAGGGAATTAGGTCCAGGTAAAAATATTGTCTTGTTGGTGACGGGTTGTGATGCGATTGGTATGCGTGGGTTGGATGTTTGATGAGATGGGGTTTTCATTCGAGTGTTGCGGTGAAGAACGAGGGAGAAGGGTCGGATTAGCGACTGTCCACCTCCACCGTTTTTACTTTTTCATTGTTTGATCTTTATTCTTCTTTTCTCTGCATTGTTGTGTGCTTGCCATTTATCAATACCCTGGAGTCTCCTGGTCATGGCGTTGAACTGAGTTGCTTCAAGATCGTTTCTGATGTTGATGATCGTGTTGTGTGTAAATATCAAAATTTTCACTGTCATTGGTGTTCAAGAGTATGCAGTGTGTGGCTGTCTCTCAAAGCTAAACCCGAAAGAGAACTTGTCATCGAGTCTGGAAATACCATGCAACTTTTTTTTCACTCATTCATTTTCAATACTCGACAACTATATCGTCCTACTATGGCCCTCGAGAGACATTGCATTTGTACGACACGGAGGGCTAATTCGCAACCAATCAATCTCATTCCTGCAAGAGCAACTGCAGTCCAGCCTGTTTCTATTAAAACTTATTTCAACCTAGACATGGTTTCCTTTTTCTCTCTGTTCTTTTGCTTCTTTTATCTAACTTTATCATCAGTCATTTGCAAGGGGGTTGTCATGTACATCATCCTCGGAAAGTAGTATAGCAGCGCTAGTCCAAGATATCCGAGATTCGAGAGAGGTCATTGCAAGATCAGCTTCTCGGTTCGTCAACCGATTAATCCTCGTGGGTCACCGACATGTCTAACACCTCTACTCGTCCTCGCCCACGAGTCTCAGTGCCAATAAAGTCAGTGAGTCCTTTGAATGCCCCCGGCTCAGCAAAGCCCACCACTTCCCACTCGTCCCCGCTGACTTCCTGCGATTCAACCGCTTCAATGTAATTCAGAATCTTGTCCTTGACTGTGCCTGCGGCCTTGGGCGCCGTTTCGGCAGCCTCCCCGCCAGTCTCATCGTCGGACTCATCTCGCTTCGACTTCTTGTTTCCTTTGCCACCCTTCTTATTGCCTTTGGCCGGCGCCTTTTCTTCCTTGGCAGGTGCCGCGCTCGGGGCCGCCTTGACAGACTGCTTCAGCAGCGACACCGGACACGTAACCCGAAGGCGCATCCGCGCGCGCATCACGGGAATGGGTTGCCACGCGATAAGAGCCTTCATAGCGTCGAGTGCTTGACTCTTCGCAGATCGATTGGAAGAAACTCCGGACCACATAGGCTTTTTAGGCTGCTCTTCTCCAGCCCCATTTGCCTCTCCGCTCTGTTGTTGACCACTAGCCGACAACAGCTGGTCCAGCGCTTTGGAGATCATACCCGATGTGTACACACGCTTGGTATTCGGGTCGACTAGTCGTCCAGACACGATATCCAACACCTCCTTCTCCACACGTTCGAGAGCATCTTTGCGCTCCCGCTCACCGACTTGCACCTCGCCTTTCCGAAGGATTTCTTGTAGTATCTCGTCTCGGGGAGTGTCGGCGCCAAAGGCCTTGGTGAGTTCTGCGGAGGGGGCAGTTTGCGCTTTTGATACGGAGAGGAAGACTGTAGGAACTTGGAGGACGTTGTCAAGATCTTTTTCGGCGCCAGATCGGTATTCAAGCAACTTGTTCTTGTAGCAGGCGAGTTCAAATCGCTTCTTGCCTATAATTAGAACAGAAGAGGTTAGCACAGCCTTGGTCGTTGAAGGTTCTGTCGCATCGTCAGTGTTACCTTTTTTCAAACGGACTATCGACACATTAGTGAATTTAATCTGGTTGGAGGGTTGGTTGATCGGCATGGTGAATAGCAGGCCACTCCGGGCTGGTCCAAAGTTGCGATAAGAGGGTCCACAAGGGCTGTTGCTTGATTTCAACTAAAGCAACGACGGCGCGGATGTTTTCTCCCGCGAGAGACTTGTCCGAAGTTATTTACAAACTTTCCCGAACTGTCCCCTTCGTGCCTTCCCATTCCAGGATCTGCGATGAGTCAGCACCTTCCATTTCCAGGTTTCACCCCCGCATGACTCAGCGAGTCACGAGGTGATCAGCTTATCGAGCGGAGACTCCTCATCCGGCGTCATCGTTCCCAGGGTTCCCCTTCATCCCCAACCTCTTCCCTGTTACCCCATCCCCGATTGCAGGCCCTGTCTTGCTTCGATTCCTACTTTTATCTCCCAAATACTTGGGTGTCCTAATTTTGTATGTTCATGCCCTTTCTCTCTCCCTTCTGACGCTGTCGTCTGAAGAGTTGCCCGATTGGTTACTGATAAGAGCTGCCGCGCAGGCCTCCCAGCAGGTACCCGCTTACCATCAACAACCCGTTAATCTCTATATTCATTTCATTTCTCTGTAAAGACCATCCATCATGAGACTTCTGCCCGCCACGCTGCTGGTGGGAGCTGCTTCGGCAGCAGCCCCTCCCTTGCAACAGGTCATGGGCATCCACCGCGAGCAGGTTGAGGACCTGACTAAGCAGGGCTCCAACATTATCGAGGATTGGGCCAAGCAGGGCTCCAACGCCTTTGAAGACTGGGCCAAGAAGGGCTCCGATGCCATCTCCAAGCCATTCCAGAAGCTCAAGGATGACTTTAGCACTCTCTCGGATGAGGCCCGTGGGCTGTGGGAAGAGGTTGCTAACCAATTCCCCAACACCATGGATCATGCCCCCATGCTTTCCCTTCCCAAGAAGCACACCCGCCGTCCTGACTCCCACTGGGACCACGTTGTCCGTGGCAAGGATGTGCAGAATATCTGGGTCTCCGGTGCTGACGGCACCAAGGAGCGTGAGATTGGCGGCAGACTCGAGGCTTACGACCTTCGCGTCAAGAAGGTGGACCCCAGCGCTCTGGGTGTGGATCCCAACGTCAAGCAGTACAGTGGGTATCTTGATGACAACGATAACGACAAGCACTTGTTTTACTGTAAGTCACGACGGACCTTGTATGGCTGGTTGTTCATCGTGCTAATAATCTCTTAAAGGGTTCTTCGAGTCACGTAATGACCCTGAGAACGACCCCGTCGTCCTCTGGTTGAACGGCGGCCCCGGCTGCTCTTCCCTGACCGGTCTCTTCATGGAGCTCGGACCTAGCTCTGTGGACAGCAAGATCAAGCTTGTCTACAATGAGTACTCTTGGAACTCCAATGCCTCTGTTATTTTCCTGGACCAGCCCGTCAACGTTGGCTACTCCTACAGTGGCAGCAGTGTCAGCGACACTGTTGCTGCCGGCAAGGATGTCTACGCTCTGCTATCCCTGTTCTTCAAGCAGTTCCCTGAGTATACCAAGCAAGACTTCCACATTGCTGGCGAGTCCTACGCTGGCCACTATATCCCTGTCTTCGCTTCTGAGATCCTGTCCCACAAGAACCGCAACATTAACCTAAAGTCCGTACTTATTGGCAATGGTCTGACCGATGGCCTGACCCAGTACGAGTACTACCGCCCCATGGCTTGCGGTGACGGTGGTTACCCAGCTGTCTTGGATGAGGCTTCCTGCCAGTCCATGGATAACGCTCTGCCCCGCTGTCTGTCCATGATCCAATCCTGCTACGATAGCGAGAGCTCCTGGGTCTGTGTTCCCGCCTCCATCTATTGCAACAACGCTCTGCTGGCTCCTTACCAGCGGACTGGCCAGAACGTCTACGACGTCCGCAGCAAGTGCGAGGACTCCTCTAACCTGTGCTACAAGGGCATGGGCTACGTGTCCGAGTACCTCAACCAGGCGAGCGTGCGTGAAGCCCTTGGTGCTGAAGTCGACGGCTATGACTCGTGCAACTTCGACATCAACCGCAACTTCCTCTTCCACGGTGACTGGATGAAGCCCTACCACCGTCTGGTGCCTGGTCTGATTGAGCAGATTCCCGTGCTCATCTACGCTGGTGATGCCGACTTCATCTGCAACTGGCTCGGCAACAAGGCCTGGACCGAGGCGCTTGAGTGGCCCGGCCAGAAGCAGTTTGCCAAGAAGGAGCTGGAGGATATTGTCATCGAGCAGAATGAGCACGTTGGCAAGAAGATTGGCCAGGTCAAGTCCCACGGCAACTTCACCTTCATGCGTCTGTATGGCGGTGGCCACATGGTTCCCATGGACCAGCCCGAGTCTAGCCTGGAGTTCTTCAACCGCTGGCTGGGTGGTGAGTGGTTCTAAGCGTGTGTCATTATCGCTATGATATCTTGCATCGTCACTTCTTTCCTGACCAAATCAGTTTGGGATTGACCGTTCAGTTTGAGATCTGTTTTCGTCTGCAACGTGATGTCTTCGGCTGGTGCAAGCTAAATTCGCACCAATTTGCTCGGTTTTAGATGGAGGGTGGCTCATGTTGATAAGTATATACACGCAATGTCAATTGGAATTTCAATCATATTGTCCGTCTTTTTTTCGTTGATAAATATAGACATTGTTATGTAGATTGATGTGACTGTAGGTACGTCTCAGCACTTATGGAAGTGAAGGTAGGATTACCCGGTGGACGTAGCACACCCATAGTGACCTACCAAGCCGATCAGGCAAGCTCTGATAGCCCCGCACCCATGGCGAGGGCCACGCACATGTGCCAGAAACCCTTAATGCAAGGTAGCGGTGTGCGCTACGCTGTCAACCAAAACTTTAAGCCGATTTGATACTGTATCTACGAGGCCAGAGACAAGCGGCAAAGACCACTAGGAGCAAGTCTCCATCGCAGCCAAAAAGCCACATGAACCCAACGAGTCCCAGTCCAGGCCATTTTAAAAGAAGCAAAGCGATCGGTTCATTTCATATTGGTATGATTCATTTTCAATTTTTAGGACCAGCATCACACCCAGTCCAGCGGGGAAAAGATCCCACGGATGCCCATAGAAACACACCGACAATAAAGGAATCCCTCCATAAACCCCCGGAAAATAGACAAGACAATACGTTTAGCCCTTCTTCTTGCTGACACCGACGGTGCGGCCACGGCGACCGGTGGTCTTGGTGTGCTGGCCACGGACACGCAGGCCCCAGTAGTGGCGGAGACCGCGGTGGGAGCGGATCTTCTTCAGGCGCTCGAGGTCCTCACGGAGCTTGGAGTCCAGACCGTTGGAGACAACCTGGTAGTCCTTGCCGTCGGTGATGTCGCGCTGTCTGTTCAGGAACCACGAAGGGATCTTGTACTGGGTCGGGGTCTGGAGGATGGTGACGATGCGCTCAAGCTCTTCGGTGGTAAGCTCACCGGCACTGGAAGAAAAAGAACTGTCAGCATTTCCACTCTGTATTGATGGACTTTGTGCGTTCGCGAGAATCCTGCAATGTCCTCGAGGTGTCTTGGCGATTCATCTCCCGCTTTTCTTTCATCCAACCCCCTTCCATCCAACACACAAAGATATGAAAATTCAAAATTCCAAGCCGACAGCATCGTAGCCCATCAATTCATCATCTCCCATTCTTCTCTCACCCTTCATATTCCCCGACCACCAAGACACCCGTGAACCTTGCAGAGAGTCGCTGGATGATTTTCCGATGAAACGTACCGCTTGTTGAGGTCGACATCGGCCTTCTTGCAGACCAAGTTGGAGTAGCGGCGACCGACACCCTTGATCTGGGTCAGGGCGTACATGATCTTCTGCTTACCCTCAACATTGGTGTTGAGGAGACGCAGAATGTACTGGAAGTTCGTCTTCTCGCCGGACACGAGCGCTGTTAGATCGGGCGACGAGTTAGCTTGATGTTTCTTTCATCGAGGGGCCTCAAAGTGTGGCCAGGACGGGTTATTCGATGCTTTCGTTGCATTGTGGGATCGAAACTGGCGTGGGAGAGGGCAACGTACACATGATGGGCGATGGGCGCACGTATCGCGATGTATTGTCGACAAGAGGAATGGAGAGGAGGAAGTCTCGAGTGACTTTTGCTTCCGTTGTGGGATCGGGTAATTGGCGCACTAACCAGATTAAGAAAAGTGCGTTGTGAGGGCTCGCTTGATGTGGGCGCTAGTCTCTTTTTGGTGGTTCTGGTCATGTGCTATCCTTCCCTTGGATTTTTCCTGGATTATCAGGTGGTATCACCTGACATGTATGTAATCTTGGTAACGGCCACCCAAATTCATTGGCGGAGATTACCTGTATGTTTCAGTGGTATACGCCCATGCCCACTCGCCTTTCTTTGATACTGCCTCGAGGCTGACTTCCAGATAATCAATCCCCTGGCTCGGGCCCATAACAGTTCCATTCGAGTCTTTGTCTTGTTCCTAGGGCCGAACCCCTCCCTTCCGAATTATGTTTTTTTCTGAAACGAACTTACTGACCATGGGCTGCCCACGAACGTCAACGATATATCTGCGGCATCGAACCTAGTGAGATGATTGAATACCGCGTCTTCTCAGTTCCAGGCCCAGCAGAAAAGTCGGCAATCTATTCAGTAGCTCCCACCTATTGAAAGACTGTGAAACACATGAGACTCTTGAGCTTGGAACTAGACGAACTCGACGTTCTCTTTGTTTCCAAAATGACCCAGATATTGGAACAGAATCGTCCATTCATTCATTCATCCCAACTGACGCCACCTACCTTCCCCGACTTTCGCACTTCCATCTCGGACGTCTCTGTCTGTGGTCTTTGTCTCTCGATCATCCCATCCGCCCATTCACAGGTATCGGCTGATGCCAATTTTAGTAGCACTTGTGCAGCACAGCCAACTTGGCAACGAGCCCGCTACCACTCAGGATGCGCGTTTCGAGTAGACTGGGGGTTGGAAGACCCATAGTCGTTGTTCAAGTTACTTCTCTTTCATTGACTCGAGATGGATATTGGATCATTTCTTTATCCTCGGATTCAGACTCGACGAGGCGCCCGTCTTGCCTTGGTCGAAGACCCCCAGCTCGACAGCATAAGAAATCTCTGAATCCCCCCTTGAGACTCTTTCGACTTGTTAATGATCGACTTGTTCCTCACTACGTATTCTTTGACTTGAAACAATTGAATATTCACCCATCTTGAATGCAGAGTGTTTATTACTCTTCTTCTCCAATTCATCTTGAACGACAGCCTTCTACATTCTCCAACTCCCTCATTTTTCCCGCGGAAATATCGGTACAAAGCCCAATAAAGACTCGCGCACCCAGAATCTCACAGCAAGATGCCGGTCCCCTTGAACCTCGATTACATCCCAGTGCCGTGGGAGCAAACGCCGAGCTATGATCTGAGCCAGCTTCCTGACCCTCCCGATGATTATCTCTTTATTGGGCGAAGTGTCGATGCGATGTGCAAAACACGGGATCTCTCAATCAAGGAACTTAGGAACCTTGCTAAAATCTGGCTATGGGGGTTTGACTATGGTCCCGATAGAAGGATCCCCATTTTGAAAGGCCTTGCCAAGGTCAACTTTTGGATGAGACCGGAATATCAATTACACAGAGTCGAGGATTTGACCGACATACGACGAGACAGTGGTCCTCGGCTCCTGGGGTACACAATTACACCTACACCCTTGCCAGTCAGCCGCCATTACCCTGCTCTTTTATCAGAGGATGAGATGCGGCAGCTTGGAGCGGAAAATTATCGCCGCCCAGCAGATGCCCCCTCGCATGTGCCAGACCATCACATATTTCAATTTCTATTGCCTCCAAATCCGCCCCCCGGAGCTATTCCAGATGCTGCTCAGACTGGTGGAGATCAAGTGGCACCAGGGCCAAGTGTACCAACAGCACCAGGTGTCCCGTCGTCGCAGAAACAGTCAAGTTATTCACCCGGTTTCAACCCCAATCCCATCCGAGAGGCAATTGAAAAGGTCATGGTCAAGTTTTGCTACAAAGACCTGGAGAGGCACCCCCATGCACCGAGCAAGGAGCCTGTGGCTACCCGAACCGCTACCTCTCGCAGTGATCTGGGTATTGTGCAAGTTGGTACCCACACCACAGTTTCGGAATTGCGATTGAATCCGGTAACGTTCGAGTTTGACCCGAACGGGCTATTGTTTCCATATCGTGGTCGTGGTCCCGTTTGGGCCGATGGGTCGTGTTCCATAGATACGACCATCGTGATCGGCATCTTGACCATGGCCGGTTGTACCAACATTGACCGAAATGAGGGCAGAGAAGGACAGTTCAGCGAAATTGAAAGGGCCTTCATCCAAGTGACAAACATGAATTGGGACGCCTTTGACGATAAAGTGTCGATTGAACTTCGCCATGCCTATTACAATCTGCTCTGTGACCATGTTCCCGACATCAAACGCGGCGAGCTCGTTCCGATTTGGGCAACTTGGGCTGAATCGACCAGAAGCTTTGCGCAATTTCACATCCACTACACCGAGACGGCGGCAGATCCATGCATGCATTGTGGATATCTGGAGGAGGGAGAATTGCGACGGCTGGGAGAAGGCCTGGTTCCATACCCGGTGCCTGGCGATGAAACTGGTGTTAAGATGTCGAAATTATGGGAGCGGGCTTGGCATCCAAACCCTGTTTCTTACAGCTGTGCTAAATGCGGTGCTCCAGATGGACCACGACGACACAGAATCGTGACTCAGCTTCCTTCTCGCTTATGTTTCAGCACACCTGAGAATTCCAAAGTTCTGAACCATACCGAGAACCAGGTACTCACGTACAAGGACATCAACGGAAATATACAGACAGCGCTTTATCGTTGGCTCGGTGGAGCTTATTATTCTCCGAATCATGTTCGGGTCTACTGGAATGACAGCGAAAGAGGCGAGTTTGACCTTGGTAACCTCCGCCGATACGACGGTGAACACGCAGGAGGAGTCATCATCGGTAATGTTGCGCCTCACGCACTCGATGACCGCGTGCCACCGGACTGGACTGCCCGTGGTCTTCCTCTGGTAATCTACGAGCGGATCATCGACCCAACCCCGGACATGTTGCATGCGGCATTGGAGGCTATCAACGATATGTGCGACTGCGTCGTGGATGGCAAGTCTTTCCTGATTCAGCACTATCCTTGGTTCCCAGAGGCACTGGAGCGCAGGTCGCCTTTCCTACCCCTGGAGCGTATCTTACCAGTCACCGGCGAGCGGTACTATGAGAAGACCCTCACTCCACAGCCTGACGTGCAACAGAAACCCACGGACCCGAACCAAATCGTCGCCGATCAGATCGCCGAATGGCAGATGCAAGGGACATCATTCGACTTCGCCGACAATCCGGACGACACACCCATGACCCTGGACCCAGGCGCCCTCCAGCGCTTGCAAACCGGCGAAAATCTGTTCAGCTCGCTCAATGAAGGCCCTGACAACCTCATCAATCACCCCGAAATGTGGCCTGAGGCTGGCCTCCCTCAAGAGGGCGGTGCATCGAACTTCCCCAATCTCCCTAAGACTCCGGTGATACCCGGCGCGCCGCGAAGCCCGTATTGGAATTGGGTCAACTTGTCCCCCAAGAACAGATCTGGCGCCAATGCGCTCAAGGCGAAGGGCGAGAAAGAGGAGGAAATGGTGACGGTCGTGAATATTCGTGATGACTACCTCACGGGCCCATCGCCCTACCGGCTGTGCAAGGTTCCTGTCACGTCTATCCGGGCTGCGATGCGGCGACTTAGTGAGAAGCAGAGTCAGAGCCCGCCGAAGAAGCGGAAGTCACGATTGGAAGAAATCAAGGATGATGAAGCTCCGCGCATGAGGCGGACCAGACAGAAGGCTGCGAAGTGAGTGGACTAGGGGGGTTGTACGGGGGATTTTGGATTCGGCGGTTGGTGGTCAAATATCAGTTTGCTTTCTAGTATTGTTTTGTTTGTTGGGCTGCTGGCCTCAAGCTTGGGAAGGCTCTGCTGCTTTATTTCTTTGAATGGGTTGTCTTGATGATGTTTGTGGTGTTGTATGCGCCTTGAGTAGATTGATGATGATTGATCTTCTGAGTTTAGTTGGTTATAGTCGATGCTATTACATATCTCTTCTGCTGATCTCTTTCGTCTGTGCATAATCTGTTACTAATGAGAATTGGCAGTGCAAAGTGTTTAGTCCCAGCATGGCATAGTCGTTTACCAGTCTTGGGCGATGTATCGTACCTAAGAAGACAACGCCGATACAAGTCTCGGGCGGGCTGGACCAACCAGAGTCTAGATATTAGCCATCGGATACTTTGGTATGGAAACTAAAACACACCAAACCAACAAGTGGAGGCGGCCGCCCCCGCTTACCCCAGACTGTGCCCAGACTTTCTCTTCTTTCCTATTTCCTCTTTCCTTTTCGCTGACCTCCGTCTTCCCTCTTCATCCTGTCCTCTCCTGCCCTCCGTCTCTATTAACCTGATTCTTGCCCTCGAGCACTTCCACAGATTTCTCCAACGAGAGAGTTCTCTCCACGCTGCCTCTTCTAGATTACGAGGTTCACTGAGCGTTGGTAATCTACAGAACCCCTGTGCATTGCCATGTGCCCTGGCTACTTACCAAGCAAGCCGCTCACAAGATTAACCTTCCTGACTACCACGGATATTGGAGTCTCAAATATCTTTCACTCATAATCTATGGTCTATGTACACGTCTATGCCTAGCCTCTATACTGACTGGCCAGATCTATCAACACAAGGGGAATTCATCCGCAATAACACAACAGGAAAACGGGGCACAGGATTAACAAAAGCAAACAGAAAGCAGATATCTTCCGCTTACAGACGAGCACGAGGCTCACCCTTGCCCTTGCTGGGGCCCGTGGCCACGTTGCTCTTCTTAGGAGCAGACACGTAACCACCCAACTGGTTGTCGGTGTTGATCACATTGCCCTGGGCATCACGGCGGATACCCAGCTCGACCAACTTGGCAAAGACCTTGGCAAAGTGGTCGAAGAACAGCTCCTTGTCCTCGGCATAACGCTGCACCCATGGCAAAAAGGCCGGGTCAGTCTTCAGCGCCATATCGGTCGGCAACATCATGAGCGGCTCCTCGTCCTCCTCCGCATCGGGATCCTCATATACGAACTGAGTCATGCCGGTGGCCAGCTTGCGGGGCTTCCAGTCCAGCTGCAGCAGCAACTTGAAGAAGGAGTTGGAGAACCGCGTCGGGTTTGTGACCCAGGGTCCCTCGAATCCACTGCGGTCGCCGTGGCAGCGACCGAGGTTGTGACCTCCAGACAGCGCGACGATCTCTTGGTCGTTGAAGCCCATGCGGTTGAAGATGAAGCGCAAGTGGTCAGCACCCAGGGCACCGTCGGGCAGTCGGCCCCGGGGTGGCACCTTGGAGTCATCGACCAGGTCGGTTCGGCCACCCTGCCAGGGGATATCGGGTCCGCCCAGCTCTTTGATGGCGACGACGCCGGCCAATGTCCACAAGTCCGAGTATGTGATCCACGGGTGCTTCTCCTTGATGGGCTCGAGGAATGCGCGACCGTGTTGCAGACCCGCGTTGGCCGGGTCGCCACCCTCTGTCTCGTAGCGCATACCGGCGCCGTTGGAGCCGCCGGTGTCGGATTCGGCATCATAGGTACCGGCGGAGTGCCTGTGAAAGGGAGATGCTGTTAGCATGTCTCGTTCCTATTTAACTACTGGCATCCCGAGCCGTCGGGAAGAAGTCCCTCGCCGACCGGGACAGCGAAAACAACATACCATGCCAACCGCACAAATACGGGACCTGCGCTTCCATCGTCGTATCCGGGCTTCTGGAGTTGAGCAGCGATATCCTTGCGGACCGCCTCATAGTCACCGTGGCGACTCATTCTCGGCCGATAATGTCTGGGGTAAAGAGTGGTGAAGGGGCCAAAGAAAGATGCTGGTCAAGAACGCGAACGTTGCTACCAAAATGACTATTTTCGGATCTTCAAAAAAAAAATGAAGACGTCAAGAGATATGAAACACCGAGAGAGAGAAAGAAAGCAGAAACAAAAGGGATCGCAGAGAAAAGACAGGGTCGCGAGTCTGGAGGTTTGAATATCCCACATGAAGACCGCAAGTGGATCCCCGGAACGAATCAATTCGCGCGCCCGTCGACGGCCACAATGCCGAGGTTCTTTCTCGGTCACAATACTCCCATCCCCGATGACCGCGTCCGATCCTGCTGGTCGTTCGACAGCGCAATGATTCGGCTGGCCTGATTCCTTCGTGCGAATTCTTCCGATTCTCGGCCATTCTCATGATTTTCAACGAATACGCCGTACAAGGTTTGGGTGTGTTTCGGACTGGATCTAACTTTGCCTGCGATAAGCTGTGAAGTATCCTTTTTTTGCGGCGATCAAATGCCGTCGGCCGTGAATCTGATTTGCCTCGGAACTTGAAAGCCGACCTTATCGCCAACCCGTGCAACAGATCTATACTACTTAGGACGATGGCTGGCATAGCACGCGATCGTACTCTCGGATTAAGAATTTTCTTTCTATGAAGTGTATTCCTCCCAATCGATGAATTCTAATTATTGACCCTTGATCTCGCCAATCTGCAGTAATCATCCACTGGAAATTCTCCCCGATAATCAAACATTCACGACCAATCGGCCAGCCCGACGTAACTTGCAAACGAGCACCTGCAACTCCCAACTCCCATCAAACTCCCACCAAAATTAATATGACAAGTGAAGAGAAAATCAAACAAAAGGAAAACACTCAAGTCATCATATTTCATTCTTTGGCATCTCCGTAGATACTCTCTTGCTCCCACTCACCATCCGCATCGTCCCCGGCCATCCCCTTCTGCTCACCGTGGCCCTCACGCCTGATCAGATCCTCCGAGACACATCGGCGATTGACATGGCCATTCAGGCGGCTCGGTGACAGGCGCAGTAACCCTCCTGCCTCCACCCAGGCAAGCCGCTTCTTGAGGGCCATCACCTGGCCCTCCAGCGCCTTGACCCTGGCCGCATATTTCTGGCCCATGGCGTCCATCTGCCGCACCAAGTCCCGGTAGTGCTGTCGTAACTGGTGTCGGTCTTGTCTTAGGTAGGCAATCTTCTCGTCCCACCGCTCTTGCAATTTTGTATTGTTGTTGTCGATGTGTTGCAGCATGGTGGAGAATTGGAAGATGTTGTCGTTGCTCAGTATGCCGGCTTGGTGGTACTGATTGATGAGGCTGATGCTGGCGATGAGGTCGTCGACGATGGAGTTTACCAGCCGTGTCTTGTCTTTCTCGTCGGATGTGTATTTGGCTTGTTCTACGCGGAGGACGGAGTAGCCAGGGACGAAGCGAGGGTTGCTGGCGTTGAAATTGAAAATACCGGGCTTCTCGGGAGGTTTCTCTGGCTCCGGGGTTGTGCGAGGGCCGGGCATGTCCATGGACTCGTCATTGCTGGACGGTTCTGGATTGGTGTTGAGCACCATAGTGGAAATGATGTGTAGTGCGGGTTATTAGCGAAAGAAGAGAATCCCAGGAGAGAAGCTGAGGAAAGAAGAAACGAGAGTTTAGGTCAGGTGGGATTCTTGGATCTCTTCTTTGGCATCAGAACGCGCTTTCATGTTGTGGGTTTGTGGATGGAGATGGTGTCAATCAAACATGGAAGGTGCATCGGGATAGGCATGCAAACCGGGTCGCTGTTTTCCTGGGGATTGTTTTACTGAGCGGGTTCCACGACTCTTTGTTCGACAGTAGAAAGAACCTTAATGCAGCCTGTATTTTGGACATGCTTTCAATTAGAAAGCTCGAACCACCACAAGAGAACACTGCCAATATAGGGCATATGGTTGTTGGAGAAGATAATTTATCCATTAAAATCAGCACTGAAATAGGGTTCCACCTCTATATATGGAAGATGGCTTCGTGCCGTAGTATGTAGTGAAGTGTGGCCTTCTGCCCCTCGAATTGAACCTGATGCTCCTGACTGGATCAGATATCGCATGACCTCCAGACGTCCACCTGATGTCCATATATCGTAGCCATATGGAGCTCTTATGGAGTACTGGTGTACTGGGTGAAGTATCGTAGTATTCAGCAGCATCTGTTCCCCCATGCAGGACTATGAAAGTCCTTGTTTGCCTGGTAAAAGATGTAGGTATATTTAGATTGCTCGGCCATTTCAGAAACGTGTTCAAGTTAAAGAAAAGACATAGGAGTAGCGCTGATATAACAGATGTAGAACAGGGCCAGAAGCGTTCCGGTAATCAGCTTCGGGAGAGGCAAGAGGAAAAATCTAATAGGGGTATAGGGTTGCTTATAGCGTACTGACAAAAGAGGCAAACACCCACGGTAATTGAGGTCTCCAACAGTGGGCCCAAAATACCTTTCTTATCGGGTATATCTTAGCAAGCTCATCTATAGCTTTCTAAAGAACTATAGCTCGGCTACAATAGCATCTCCTAGCTCCTTAGTACCCATCGTGCCCCCTAGATCCGGTGTCCGCAAGCCCTTATCAAGGACCTTTCGCACTGCATCTTCCAGACGCCTAGCTTCATTCTCCATATTCAGGGAGTACCGGAACATCAGTGCAACACATAAGATCATTGCGACGGGGTTAGCAATGTTCTTTCCAGCAATACTGTGAAACAGATTAGTATATCATACATTGCTACAAGTAACAGTGTTAAACTCACGTCGGAGCCGAGCCATGAGTTGGCTCATACAACCCGTACGGCCTTGTCTTAAGTGTCTTATCACCAGGCAAACCATTAAGACTGGCACTAGGCAGGACACCCAAAGTCCCAACAATCGAGCCCGCCTGGTCGGAGATCATATCACCAAAAGTATTATCAGCAAGAATAACACCATTCAGGGATCTTGGGTTAGTGGCCAGGATCAAAGAGGCAGAGTCAGCGAGTTGGTGAACCAGCTTGAGTTGTGGATACTCGGTGGTCATGGTCGTTTCGACTACACGACGCCAGAGGCGAGAGGAGGCCAGGACATTGGCCTTATCGAGGGAAATAACTGGCCAAGGTGGGTTGTGACGCAGAGCAACTTCTGCAGCTAGACGGGTGACTCGTTGGATCTCGGCTTCAGAGTAGCCCCATTCATCCATCGCTGGGAGAGAGTAGTATTAGCGAAAGGCCAGAAAGATGTGTAGACCTCCTTAGGAAGTGGCAAACCAACATACCATAAGTTGGATCCTCTACTTTCCTTCCAAAGTAAGCACCACCGCAGTTCTCCCTAACAACTACAAAGTCCACCCCTTCAGCTGCACCATCCTTCTCAGGCCCGAACAGAACCTCATGCCGAAAAGGGCTAAACTCCTTTGCAATCGACGCACTAGGGGAACTAGACGAGCACGGTCGCAGGTTTGCATAAATATCCATCGCTTTGCGAAGCTGTAGCAATCCACCCTCGGGGCCATCTAGACCTCGTCGAGCATTATCCCACTTGGGACCGCCAACGGCTGCAAAGAGAACAGCGTCCGAGGCAAGAGCTGCTTGCTTGACTTCATCGGTGACCGATTTCCCGGTTGCATCAATGCTGCAGCCACCGATCAACTCTTGTCGGAGCTCAAATTTGTGCGAAGGGCCTTCGAATGCTTTGAGCACTTTGACTGCTTCGGTCATGACTTCGGGGCCTATACCGTCGCCTGGTAGAACGAGGATATTGTGAGTTTGGGCCATGGTTGCGGCCTCTTTGTTTTTTTGTTGGGGCTCTTGTTTAGATGCAAGCCGAGGAATGAGATGAGCTTTTAAGCTAAAACCTTCTGTTTGATGTTTAAATGTACTCCTATATCGGGGTCGGTCTTCCAACCGAGTAATGCGGGGTTGAAGGTTCTCGGCTGTCCTCCGACGTGATGGTGTCCGAGATGCGGAGGTCTGTCGGTGTATCTATTGAAGATCATTCGCCTAGTATATATTTCAACATAGGCTATGTATATCAGAATAATCACTCTCTGGCGTCAAGGGAATAGGCTGTAGTCTTGATTATTTCAGGTTCTAGTCTAAGGACATAGTTCAGTGCTGTCCTGAGGCAGTAAGGTGTCGAGTATCCAGATAGAGCTCTCTAGGGCTGCGTTTGTGCACGTGATCTTGTACTGATGCTACCAACAAAGGTTGAAATCCAGGTTCATTCAGATTCATTTGATAAGATACATTACTGTCAGTCGACTTCAGATCCATGGATGATTAAGCATTCCAACTGTCAGCCTCAAGAATGCATATAAAGGCTTTCGTTGACAGCAAACCTTTCATCTGCGAAACCTTCTAGAACCTGCCTGCGGGGCTTACATCATACCATCTCCCCTCGTGTTTGCACTGTTTGTATATTCGCGATTTCTAATCCCCGCAAAAAAAGTCCATGGACCATCACAGTTCGCTGTACAGCACTACCTCTCATTAACATCATGTCGCGGATCGAGGAGCTCCCAGATGACTTCGATGAGTCGCTCAATCTCAACGAGGCGCCTCCCCGGGTCGCTCAGGATCTGCCGCAGCCTGGCTTCGACGCCTTCGCCGCAACCAACGAAGCGCCGTTCCCGATCAACGAAGAGAGATTGAAGGAGCTCATCAATGACCCTAATGCTCCTGGTATGCCCCCGGCCATGGCGTCGGTTAAGTCGCACTCCAAGGAGGAATTGCTGGATATGATGAACAAGACCCCGCTTTTCATGACGGACATTGAGAATGCGGGTGATGAAAGTATGTGAATCCTATCTCCCGCTCTTGTCGCTTGGAAATGAAAGTCTAATACTTCTGTCTTTCGTTTAGAGGGCGAAAATGTTCTTCTGGATGCACTTCAAGCTCTGCAAAACGAGGGTACTCGAGGCGAGGTCGCTCAAAGTTTTAAGGAACAAGGCAATGAAGCTGTGCAGGAAAAGCGCTGGATCGATGCCAAGGAGATGTACACCAAGAGTATTGCTGTGATCTACGCCAAGGAGGACAAATGGGACAAGCCTGAAGATCCCAAGGCAGAAGAGAAACTTCTGCGCCAGATGGAGGAATTATCGCACATCAACCGGGCCCTGTGCAACCTTGAGCTTGGTATGTTCGCGTTCAACTCGATCTTTTCGGAATTGCTGCTTACATGAATTCCTCTCACAGGTAACTACCGGTCTTGCACCCTTGACTGTGCCGCTGTTATCAAGCTCAACCCGAAAAACGTCAAGGCTTACTACCGCTCAGCAATGGCTCTGCTCAAGCTGGACAGGGTCGCGGAGGCCGAAGACGCTACCTCGCGAGGCCTGATCATTGATTCTTCAAATAAAGCGCTCCAAACCGCTGCTTCCAAGATTGCCGATCGCAAGGCCCAAGTGGAGCATGTCGCTGCCAAACGCAAGGCCGAAGAGGATCTTGCGCGCAAGCAGAACCTCGTCCTGAGCACCGCTCTGCGTGCCCGCCAGATCCGGACCCGCAAGACCGATCAGCCTCCAGACATGGAAGATACCAGGATACGTCTGGTTCCTGACCCGCTCTCGCCTGAGAGTTCGGTTGAATTCCCAGCCGTCTTCCTGTATCCGATGGATGCTCAATCTGATTTCATCAAGGGTTTCTCTGAGCTGCATTCAATTGTGGATCACCTGGAGTATATTTTCCCACTTCCATGGGACACTAAGAAAGAGTACACGATCAACAATGTCGAGTGCTTCATGCAAACCGTCACCGGCGGTCTCATCAAGGCTGGAAAGAAGCTACCCTTGTTGCAGATTCTTTCTGGTGGCAAAGTTGAAATTGTCGATGAGCTGGTCAGAATCTTTATTGTGCCGCTTTCCAAGACTGGTGCTTTTATCGCCGAGATGAAGGCCCGTAAGGAAGGTTGAGCTCGTGAGCTTGAGCGCAGTGTCGCTGACTTCAAACCTCTACGCTTTTCATTTCGGGATTCCCGATTTCCTCCACTACCATGGCGACGAATTTCTCGTGACCAAATAAGCTGTCCTAACGGCTTCTGTGCCAGTTCCGATCATTTAATATCGCTCTCGATGCTACAATGATCTGCCCTCCGTGGCACATCTCTCCCCGAAAGCATGCTGCTAGGGCATACCTGATACCCATTGCTTATTGACAGCATCTTGTATATAGAAATGCATTGATATTCGGTATAGATCAAAATCATGAGCCCTGGATAGAAAAGATTTGAACGAAGAATTCGTCTTCCTCCTCAGCTACCATTTCCAGCGCGAAGTGTCTTTATTCCAGTCGTCATCTTCCCATTTATCTGATGGGTCCGGTATAGCGAGCTCGAAAGTCGCTAACACTGCTCAGCGCTCTTAAGCCCGGCAATTTTCGAACCAGATATCCGAATTATCTAGTTCATGCTATCTTTAGACCATCAGCGTTGCAGGCTCCGTTAATCACTCTTACTTACCACTACCTAACTAACTAGTTAACTATTCGAGTCATGATTATTAACAATTTGAACTACATACTCCTAGGAATCCCCCGTGCAAATTAAAGAGCCGAGGCAGTCGACCAGAGAGCGTAGTTGGCCTGTCAAGGGGGAAAGGGCTGACCGTAGGAACTTTAGAATAAGTTAAGCCAGATTTGGAACAAGAGTCAAGATTGCCCAAACTAATTCTCGAAGATCTCTCAACAGCCAGTCTTTGATATCGTAAATCTCATTGTAAAAAGAAAGTGAATCGCCAGGTACCAAATCGGAAGAGGATAAAATACTGTGTATACTTTGCCTATCAAATTCCTCTCAAGGATGCTACGGCATTCTGACCTCCGCAGAAGAAAGAGACCACAAACATTGTTATAATATCTGCGCGACGAACATGTACGGTGAAAGATGATACAGATAAACGATATCAAGTTTCTTATTATTAATCTTCCAAATCAAGTCTTAGGGGAAGGGTAAAATACTTTCCGTTGTCTGTTCGCGCCGGGCATCTTTCTGTAGTCTAGTATGCATGTTACTAAGTAACCTGCTGCAGAAAAAGTTGGCTAAACAGCACATCTGGCTAACAGTAATATTACTTTATTTCAACGCTGGGTCTCTATTCTTTACTAGCCAACATTATATAGATTCGGAATGCATCTGTAAGATCTAAGTATACAGCCCTGCCTAGAAGCGATAAAAACGAAGATGGTACAGCACTAGGTGAGATTCCATTATTTTACTCAGTAAAATGATGAAGCTCCTTGCTCGAGACCATCTAGTACTTGCGGTTCTTGACCAAAGTGGCAGTATCAAGGACGGTATTGTTGCCACTAGCAACAAACTGAGTGGTCAAGTGAGTGCTGTTATGGACGGTGAACAAGCTCCAGCCATAGGCAGAGACGACCTTACGGGAAGTGGAGACATAAGGCGTGGCGGGAGTGTCCAGACCATCGTAGTGACCACCAGCACCATTGACAATGTACCAAGGGTAAGTGGGGTCGGCGTTGATCTCTTCAGCGGTACCATTCCAGACAGCGGCGTGGCGTTCATAGAAGTGCTTGTGGCCAGAAAGTACGAGGTCCACACCGTACTGATAGAGGACGGGCTCGAAAGCGGACTGACACTCGACACACTCAGGCGCACTGACATACCAGGGGCGGTGACCAGCAGCAACAACCCAGGGGGTCTTCTTGCGGTCAACTGAGGCGAGATCCTTCTTCAGCCACGCAAGCTGGGTGCCGCTAGGAGCGAAAGGGCCAGCATCCTCGGCTCCTTCACCTCCAGGCTCGTCAGCAGCGTTGGGATAGTCGGTCTCGGTGTTGAAGGTAACGAAGTGCACCGGTCCGTAGTCGAAGGAGTACCAGAAATTCTCCACACCGCCAGACTCAGCGGAGGGCATGTTCCAGTGAGCGCGATAACCAGTGAAGTTCAGCTGGCCAGGGGGGCAGATGTCCATGTTGCTTCCGTTGTCGCAGTTGGCCTCGTGGTTTCCTGGAATGAGGGTCAGCTATATGGGCAATGACAAGAATGATTAGTGATGAAGGGTAAACTGACCAGCGGCAACCATGTAAGGACGAGTGCTTGAAAGAACCTCAATCTCGCTGTAGAAATCATTGAGGATCTTATCGTATTCGGCACCGCCATCGGTCTCGTTAAGAGGAGTAACATATCCGCTAGTCTCTTCCTTGAGCCAAGCATCGGCATAGGCAAGGTCACCGACTATAGAAACATGAGCGAACGAAAAGACGAGATTTGTTTGCATGGGGACAACGAACCGTGCCAGATGAACTCATAGCTGTTCTTGAAGTCCGCCAGGGACTGGACGGTGGTCAATTGACCGGGCAAAAGAGGGTTGGAAGCACCCTTCCCGACGGTAGTGCTGAGACCATCGGGACCAAAGGTACCCATGTCGCCGACCATGGCGAAGTTGAACTCGACCTGCTCACCAGCGGGACGGGGGTCTTGAAGGTATAAGTCTGGTTACCGCACTGGGGCTGATAGTAATAAGTCGTATCGGGCTCCAGACCCTTGATGACAACATGGTTGTTCCAGGTGGCCGAGGTTGGGTAGGTGGTAGAGATATGGGAAGAGGCGAAACGGTTGAGCTTTCTATTATCTTTACCGAAGTAAACAGTAGGGTTTGCCAACTGCTCATTGGTATTCCAGCTGACGGCCATGCCATTATCACCCGCATAAGCCAGCCGAATCTGGATCGGTGCAGTCTTGGCATTGCACAGGGCTGGGTTGGCAGGGGGAGCCGCCAGAGCAGTGGCAGCAAAGGCCACCAAGGTCGCAGCTCTCATGTTGCTCATGATGAAATGCATGGTTAATCACAAGGGAGAGGAAATAAAAGCGGATGATCGGTCCAATTTCTACTCCCAGCTCAGTCCCAGACCAGGGGGGTTGAGCGATGGACCTGTGGTTTGAGGCATGACCGCATTCGGTGCTGGGACCCCGGATCCTACGCCTCAAAAGACCAATTGTGAAATGTTCTTAAAGGCCCGATGGAACGGATAGAACGGTGAAAAGACAGTCGACGGCCTCGCTTGAAGTAGTTTATATCAACAGCCAACCGTTGGCACGTGGTTGTGCACGTGGTTTGGATCAGGTAATGTAACTGTTTGGACTAGTTGAGCTTATGTCCGCCACCGCCCTGTTCTAGACTGCATGAACTCGAGGTTCAAACCAATGACTGGTTAGTATTTATTAATGTCGCCAATCTAAATAAAATTACCCCTGCCTAGAACGTAGTGGCATACGAGCATGGGAATGAATCTAGTCCCAATGCAAACCTATAGGAAAAAAACTCGACCGAGGACTCCGGTATACCCGACTATATGTTGTGATGGGTGTAGCGTCGTTGTGTCTACATTTTTGAATGGTTAACATCCTCCACTACCCTGCATCCAGGAGTAATATCTTCAAGAATGAGTTCCAAGTTTGCGCGGAGGTAAGGCTCTTAGTAGAAAAATAATAGAAAAAGAAGTAACCCACGTGGCGGCGACAGAACTTGGTATTGAGGTATTCACTCTACAGCGTAAATTTCCTTTTACGAACCCCACTGAGGAGTTCATTCACTATTTAAGCGATAGGCGAAAAGTGCCGGATCTTGATAGGGAATAGGGAATTAATTGATGGAAATAGTCAAGGTACGGCTATTCAGTCCGTAGTTACTCGGTACCTGACGTTCCTGACGACTTTGGTCAAGACCGCGGGAAGGTATCACACCAATAACCAACCAGATTCCGCGAGTGACACGCTTAGGAAGGAAAGCCCCACCTGGCATAGGAAATCAAGTCGGTATGTTTTTGCTGGTAGTGGCTAGTAGGGAGGCCGTAATATTTTTATTCAGTAGTTTGAATAGAACAGATGAAGTTCAGGGTGAGCGCCGCTTTAGCGTCCCGTGACCAGGGCAGGGTGAGTGTGTAATGGACAGGGTAAGAAAGCCGAGTAAGAGAGGGTGAGAATCATATTCCGCAGTATACTGCTATTGGCTCATATCCATCTTCATGGAAACTCCATCGATTTACACCCGCATCTACCATTGGATTCGCTTGGGGCAACGTCCGCTGGGTACTTAGGCATACGGTCTCGTGGGCCAACAAAGAATTGTGTCAATGACTGTTAGGAGCCAAGCGAGAAGGAAGCAAAAGTCCACTTTGGGTGCATCAATTCAACGTATCAAGTCTCAAGAGGAGAGAGGAAGAAGAAGAGGGCGATGGTGGAGACGAAGTCTTCTATAGGAGTTGACGGCCCGAGGCACGCGAAAACTGATTTCCCCTTTTGGCAATGCCCTTGACCCCGTCACGTGTGGGCAAGTCAATTCTCTTGGACAATCGGCCTGAGCCTTATCGTTATCGCAAGTACCCACGGCGACTAACTACCTATTCTTCGTCCACAACACCGGCGTCATCATCCCTCGAATTGTGCCACAACGCAGCATCCGAAATCTTAATATTCACGTGATCGGGGACCGCCTGACTTTCTGGATGGTAGCATGATTAAAGACAGTTCATGATATGTGTCGACCACCATCTACGCGTTTCCGGTGCTATATTCGCAGTATAATCCCGGGCTCGAAACAATAATTACGGATCTTTCGTCAGTAGGGAGTCTGACAGAATTGATATAGTTCAGGCCTTAGGAACCACAGAACTAAATACCTGCTATGGACCGTTCTAGGGCATTTATTCACACCGAAGTAGATTATGAAAATAAATCCTCTAGACGGTGATAATCAATTCATATCGACAGATTCTCGACTATACTCCCCTCGCGGACATGACACGCCTCAAAATCAACGCCAGAGAATTGACAAATTCCCGTCCCAACATATCCGCATGCCGTCCCTCACACTGATGCACGGCCATCCCCGACTTGCTTAGACTCGCCCATTTCCCCAAATAATCTCGCACCCAAACCTCTCTCTGATCTGTTACGGTCAATAATGGTTCCACTGCGAAGACATCTACCACACATCCGATCTCTTCGCTCGGCACATACTCGCCTGCGGCCCGGCAAAAGCCCGCCGTCACGTCGGTCACATGCGTCAACTCCTCCTTTTCCAGTCCCAATACTTTGACTCTCTCTTGGTCTGCCTCACCAAGAACAACATCTAGTGCTACCTCAGGGTCTTGATCCCTCAGCTCCGACATGAGTTGGATAGATCTTCTCTCCTCAATCAACTCATAGAAGTACCCAATCATCACCAGTGCTTCCGACCACGTTAGATGTCCCACCAGCGGGGCGATGTCCGGCGGCCCATCCAACGCTCCCAGAAACTGGACTTCTGCGCCAGATGCTTCTAGCCGTTTGGCAATCTCAAAGGTGACGCTGCTGCCGAGCGAGTATCCTGCTAGAGCATATGGGCCATGGGGCTGCGTGCGTACTAGGGCAGTGACGTAAGTGTCGGCCATCTCGGTGATGCTTGTGAAGAGATTTTCGCCAGGTTTGGTGCCGCGGGCCCGGAAGCCGTAGATTGGCCGGTCATGGAAGGCGCGAGCCAGGGCCGTAAAGATGAGGACGTTACCTGAGGCTGGGTGAACGAGCCAGAGCGGAGTCTTGGAGCCGTGTGGCTGAAGGGTAACCACCGGGTCGTATTCTGCATTCATGGTCTTGGTGGAGGTCGAGACGTGGCGGGCAAGGCCGGAGATGGTAGGGTCGGCAAGGAGATCTGGGAGAGTGAGGTGGGTATCAAAGTTCCGATGCAGATCTTGAGTGATGGTATAGAAGTCGAGGGAGGAGAGGCCAAGCTGGAATAAATTGGTGGTAACGCTGACATCGTGTGGATCGACAGCCAGGCGCGTGCACACCAGATCAAGGATGGTTTGCTCAGTTGGGGAGGAGGGTGGTTGTCGGTGGGCCTGGCGGTAGGCTTGCAGGCGAGCTGTATGAAAGGCTCGTTCACTGTCGAAGGTGCCGTTCTCGAAGAGGCGTCTAAAATGGGCGCGGGAGAGCTTGCCAAGGGAGGTCTTTTCAAAGTATTGTCGTGGAAGGGGGAGGATCGCGGCAGGCTTGACGTTTACCACGAGACTAGCGATACGCTCAATGGCGTCGGTGGTCTGAGCCCGAGCTTCGTCGTCATCCGAGCTATAGCTGGGAGAGTACACCACACAGTACGACTCGGTGACAGCGCCGGCAGGTCGGTGAGCAAAGACCAACGTGTAACTCGGCGTGAGGCCTGTAATTCGGGCCTGCTCAATGCCGTACTCCACCTCCACGGCGAAAATGGTCAGCCCGTTGATGAGGAGGGTATCCTTGGTCCGTCCGGTGATGTAGAGCTGACCGTGCTTGTCAAGAATGGCGTTATCTCCGGTGATGAACCACCCATCCGCCGTGAAAGCTGCACTTGTGGCTGCCGGATCACGATAATACCGATTGAACATGACAGGACCACGTAACTGCAGCATGCCCTCTTCATCCGCAACAGCCTCCATGCCATCCATCTCACGCACCACACGCATCTGCACTCCAGGAATGGGTAAGCCACAGGAGAGGAACTCCCCAGAAGCATCATACAGGCCGTCCAAAGTGTGGTCAACCAGGTCCCAGACCATACCGGCGCACGACTCTGTCAGTCCATACCCGGCGCGGATGAAGGGTTGGGCCCCGTACGGTTGCAGTGCGCGTGTAAGTTGCACCGCCATCTGCCGGACAGTGGCCTCTCCGCCGGAGAAGACACAGCGCAGGCACGAAAGGTCCCAGTTTGAACCTTCCTTGACAAAGTCTGGTTGGGACACCCGCTCGCATAGGAGGGCGAGGAAGAAGTTAGGAGCAAAGCTCAGAGAGACGCGGTGCCGGTCAACCAAGTCGAGGAATTGGCGCGGCTCCTTCAATACCTCCTCGGTGGCCACCTGAATTTGGTCTGCGCCTAGGAGCATGGCATGCAGATGCATCTCAACCAGGTTAACCACATGGTCAAGTGCAATCCAGCTTAGGAACACATCCTCAGAGGTGGCTCGACAGTGTGCAGCCTTACCGGCTGCCGCGGCCAGCATCTGGGGTTGTCGCAGGCACACGGCCTTGGAGAAACCGGTGCTACCAGAAGTGAGCATCAGCGCCCCGAGGTCATCATCGCGTTGGTTATGTATCACAGACGGAAGGGTGGTGGCAGTCTCAGCATGGAATGTAGGTTTCTGCACAAGATCATCCACACGATACAGGCGATGAGCCTCGACACCTTTGAAGGCACACGCCATGCGGTCATTGGTAAGGATGACCGGACCATCCAGCAAGCGGAGGATATGCTCTGCTTGAGCAATGCGTCTTTCGTTCGACACTGCCAACTTAGGTACAATACAAGGTACATAACCTGCGACTGTAGTAGCCCAGAACCAGCGGATATTCTCCTCGTGTGAGTCAAAATGTAACAAGAACACGGTATCACGCTGCAGACCCGACACGGAGGTCTGTAGCCATGCTGCGTCTCGGCAAGCTTGATCGAGTAGCTGCCGGTAAGAGATTTGCTCTGGGGAGCTCTCCGAAGGACCATGTGCTTTGTAGAATGTGATCCCTGCTTGGGTCGCTGCTGCTCTCTGAAGGAGCTCTAGCAGGCTAGTCGCTGCAGGGGATGGGACCATGGGGGAGTAGTGCTTCAGTGTTTGTCTGGGCCTCCTGTTTCGCTAACCCGACATTGGTCAAAGAAGGCTCTACGAGGGAATGAGACAACATAGCGAGAATGATTGATTTGAGAAAAGACGGATAGTTGGGGTTGCATTATCTCCAGGTTTTCCACGCTGCATTAATATTCCATTTAGCCCCTCTTCTTCCAACTCCGAGCATGATTAAAAGTATGTCTATTTCTTGCTCTACGGGCGAGGTTTCACTAATGCTGGACTAGCATAGTATCCCTGCCACTGGGCCCCAAGTCCGATCACCTAAAGAGGTATTTATCATTGTCTAATCCCACTCATTGTTCTTTCGTCTCTATTGTCCTCACTGTCACTACGATGTCGAAAATTATGACCTCCGACTCCGCTGCCTTGGATTCCCTCACAGTGACGGAGAGAGCGGAATGGTCCGAGTCTGTGAAACCCGTCGTGTTGGGCCTCAGCATTGCCATGTTGATTCTGGCAAACCTCGGTGTCTTGCTGCGTATCTTGGCCCAAAAGCGTATTTTAAAGCGTGTTATGGCAGAGGACTACTGGCTGGTCCTCGCAGTGGTACGTTCCATATGGTTTTCTGTCTTTTTCCTTTCTTCTTCTTTGGTTTCCATGGCATGACTATTGACTGATCCATCCATTATCCAGGTCTTTGCCAACGTGGTTTCAGTAGCTACTATAGTAGCAGTGCATTATGGTCTTGGATATCATTTGTTCCGAGTCGAGGCCATGGATCCTTCGGGCCACGCACTCGTAACAATCTTCTTGTGTGTCTGGCTAACGGCTACCTTCAATGGACCGTCCATGCTGGCCACCAAGATTGCCTTACTACTCTGGTATCGCCGATTGTTTATCGTCCAGCAGTTGTGGTTACGGATCTTCTGGTGGGTCAACATGGTATACATTGTGCTCTGGGCCATTGGTTCAACCATTTCCTACATGTTCTCCTGCGTACCGATTCAATATTACTGGGAACGCTTCGACCACATATCCACTCTGCACGGCACTTGCCGCAATACCACAACCGCCGACGGTCTCCCGTTGATCCTGGATTTGATATCCGACGTGGCCATTATGGCCCTTCCAATTGCCACCATCGCCACCCTGCAAATGCCCCTGGCTCGCAAGGTCGCTTTGATGACTGTTTTCTCAGTTGGGTTAATGTACGTTGCGTTGCACTCCGCCCCCGGTTCTCTGCATTCCCTGCTCCCGCCAACCACACTTGACCCCATGAGCGTGCTGGGGGCAAGCCCCAGATTCGCAAGCTTTTTTGGGCATCTTTCCATCAATGGATAGTGGGGGCCAAAGGATTGCCCCCTCCGGGAAAATCTCCCTTTCCGCCCCCACAGTCCCACAGTTTAACTCCACCAGACTAACTCATCCCAGATCGGTCGTATCGGCCGTAGCCCGCGTCGTCGTGCTCTATCTGGCCACGAACCTCCACTCCGATTTCACTTATGCCGCCGCGCCATTCGAACTCCTCGACGTGATCCAACTCAACATGGCCATCGTCTGCGCCACCGCCGTGCCCATTATCTCTTGCGTGCGGCTGGCCTTTCGAGAAGTCCGCACGACCAACCACTCCTCCACTGGCATGGTCTCCCACAGTCATCCCTACAGCCCGTCTTCGCACTGGGCTCGAATCCAGCGGGAGGAGTCATCTAGTAGTACGGAATTGGTGCAGATTGGCCATTCCAGTGCGAAATGCACCTCCAAGCTCGAATCACAAGGGCCCACGCCAATGAAGGGGATTATGGTTCAAATGGATGTGGATATTCGGTGAAGGATCTCGCAATCCCTGTCAGATTCCTGGATAATACAGCTGCTCCCCATTCCTTTGGAACTTTCTCTTGATGTCTTTGAAGATTTCTCATTGTCTGAGGCAGCCAAGCGCGGAAGGAAGCCCTCGATATCCGTGACATATCAGGAAATCAAACATTCAAGGCTGGCCAGAAGGCTTCTACCTAGACCGATTGACAATATAAATTACGGGCAAAAAATAGCTAGCAAATGACGCCTTCGCTTTGTGTACGATATGGGACCCTGGTTCTGGCCTTAAGGGTCTAACGAAATTGCAATTTGTCTTTCTACACGTGCATGCTATTTTCCTTAGCTAGTATATCTCAACAACCTGTACTTCGCACTTTATCCAACTAATTCAGAAATTCTCTTTTCCTGCGAATCCTTTGCGCCCCGAGGACAATCTGGTGGCACACCACCAGATTATTCTTGCATTAGAATCCACAAAACTCATCCCTTGCATCTTCGTAGTTGTCTCGCCGAATTCCAAGGCCCCCTCCACCTCCCATTTTTGCCCGGTCCGTCGCTGAATATCGAACCACAAACCCTTCAAACTCTCAACATTATGTCGATAGTGCTTCTTTTCCAGTAACCCGGTCAACTCATACTCCCCTGCCAATACACTTCCCATTTGCCTTCCACACAAGATGATACCCTCTTCATCTCGGCACAAACCAATTAACCGAAGGACTGACTGTACCTGTCCCTCATAATCCCAGAAATGCAGCAATGAGCCTGCCCATACTACATCAATCTTTCCGCCCATAATTTCTACAATCGGAGATGCTTCCCAATCGGCTTCGTCAATTCCCAAGTCCGCTGCCAGCAGCGTAGCAGGAAATTTCGTAGTATCATCGCGGAAAAGTTTGTAACCGAGATCAAAAAACCCCGGTTCGAGATCAAACCCATACAGATTCTGGGCTGGAATATTGGCACAGTTCACTAAGTGTCGGAGCTCCTGGCCGACACAGCATCCGGCATCCAGGAACGCCCTCGCGGATTGGGAACGAAGCCGGGCGAGGACTCGTGGATAGAACGGGAGGCGCGAGAGGTGGCAGCTTATGAACCGCATTTGCCCGATGCAGGGGTATGGGAAGATTTTGAATGCTTCATCTCGCTGATTGGTTTTCCTCGTATTTTAGTGCGATGAAAGGAATGCATGTGCAGCAATTGTCTCGGGGGGATCGGGATGGGGGCCAGCCCCCAAATAAAGGTGGGAAACTTACGAGAGCGAGGACATGAGGAAGAACCTCGTCAGGTTGTAGACCGCCATATTTTTCCAAAAGAGATTGGGCCTCGGGGTCGATGGATTTGACGTTGGTTTGGTACCATCCCGGGGTTGTTGTCGTGGTAGTAGTCGACATGTTGGCTGGAAGAGGACTCCGAGTCTTTTCAAGGTATACTCCGTCGATCTCACGGAGGAATAAACTTTGTCCACTGTATGGTCAATCAATCGAGTACGAGGCAAGACATATTCGTTCTTTATAAATTGCACGATCCAGGAGGTGTAGTAAATGTGGTTGGTGTTGACACCGACGGGTCGATGGCGTTACATACGAAGCTTAGGCCGCTAAGCTTAGCCCATGCCGCGGGCTTTTCACTAACGCACCTGCTAATGCATCGGTAATGTATCGCAATCCTCGAAGGGTCAGTCTTCCTAGAACACCCTTGTCACCACGGGCGAAGCCGTCAATTCAATTTATAGGTTTCTCTCCAGGATCCAGGGTTACAATCTGGCTAGTTCGTTTCAATTGAATCCCCTTCCTCCCAGCAAGCCTCTACAATCGCCAATGCACTTCCCCCGGTCGCCTCACTCCAACCCACGTAAATCGCGGATCTGCGCTATGGAGCAACGCCCGCCACGCTGTTTCATCCCGCTCCCGCGCATTCAACAGTACCATCATATTCAAATCCATGGCGCTCTCTAGCCTCCTCTTCCACATTGGCTGCTTCCGATGCTCCAGGGCATGCTCATGGATCAATACGCGCGTTCCTTGACGCATCCCGGGGATCAACCCCTTCAAAATCTTAATCGCATGTGCATCTCCCCAATTATGCAGTATATGTCTTAGGTAGAATACAGCAACATCGCGTAGTGGTTGCGGGGTGAAGAAATCGTGCACGAGGAACTCCACACCTTTGTCTGAAGATTGATCTTGTGGTGCCCGTATAATTACCTCAGGGAGGTCTTGGACGATATAGCGAAGTTGTGGATAAATGGTTGCAGCGGCGAGGGCGATCGCGCCGTGTGCGCCGCCTACATCAACGAAGAGCGAGCCTGGAGCAACAGAGGTCAAAAACGGACTATAGGCTTCAAGAAAGGCGGCGGGATGAAAAGCAGAGCCCGAGGTATAGCCGCGTTTACTGGCAGCAAAGGTGGCAGCTCTGTCGGGGGATTGTGCGAGAGCCTCATAGAGTGTGAGATTGTTGTTGGCGAGAGCGAACCCTGATCCGATATTGATTGATTAGTAGGGGCTCGGAGAGGTCAGAATATACTTGTCTCGGAGCTTTCTTCGAGCCAAAGGTTGTCAATTGCCTGCATGACACGAATAGATGAATAGGACAACCTGGCCGTCTTCCGTATAGTGTCTTCCTTTTCCAAAGACACATGATACTGATGAAGATGTATAACTTGGCTTGGTGGCCTCTGTGGACTTTTCCCATCCTCCAATCTTCATTGAGAGAGGCATAAAGGGCGAGACTCACCGATTGAGAAGGATCTGAAGAGCCGGGAAACCGTTTCAACGATTCGATTGTCTATGTGCATGATTCTCAAAATTAGCATCATTATAGTTGACGGGTCATTGGATGCAAAAGGGGGACTAACTCTCGTCGCACCAGGCCACATATTCTGGCAGGTTGACCCGATCCAGCCATGAATGCCTTCATCGCGAATAAGCATGCTGGCCCGTGTGTGAACCACCTCATCCTCGTGGGGTTCGTCGAATACTCGGATCGTCATTGCGTGCCGGAGGAGACGACGTACGTCTGCCTCAGGTAGCCCACATTGTTCGGCTAGGACCGCAAATGTGGTGGTCCCGCCACCGATGGGGACAAGCTTGGCGATATTGAACTGCTGAATAAAGTGCAGCGACACTAGATGTGCATGCTGGAAACAACACGAATGGTCAGATGGTCGAAACCAGGCGATAGGCCCCAGAGAGTGGGACAAGGGGAAAAGAGCTAAATTGACTTACTGCAGCATATGATCGCAAGAGATCCGCCGGGTCAAGAAGAAGGTCCTGGATCTCACATGCTGCATGCAGGAGCGCATTTCGCGCTTCGTCTGCCGCTGGAGGTAGAGCTATTGATGGGAGATAGTCTGCCTCGAAGGAGGGCTCTTCGAGGCCATGCTGGGCCAGTAAAGTGCGAAGCTCCTGCGTTGATTCGGCGATAGTAGTCGCCAGAGACTCGAGTCGTGACGGGGCCATGCTATTCTTTTGATCATTTGCTTCAGTTACACGCGGTAATGAAGGGTCAATGAGAGATGCAGTAGATGAAAGGCAAGGATGCCAGCAGGGATGCTTGAAACTACTAGGGCCAAATACAAATCCGTCTTACACTGTTGCCTATCTCGAGCACGTGCCATAATGCTCGGTTGCAGCCCGTCTTTTAATGTGCAATGGAAAAATACTAAGCCTGTAGGCGCGATGTGGGACTAGGTTTCACTAGCTGGTCTGATGCAGACGGCTGAAAGATACCTCTATTTTTCTGGCAGGCCCGATGGACTTTAGGCTAGAATTCTATATAGGCAATTTTGCATGGTCTTAACGACAAGCCGAAGGGGATCTAAACTGCAATAATGGCTGCACCCACAAGAGCCAAGGCACTTGCCAGATAGTACTTCTGGCTGTTCGCCCCCTTGATGGCTGCTCCGCTGGACGTGCTGCTAGCGGTCGCGCTGGTAGTCGTACCGCTGGTAGTCGTGTTTGTGCTGGTGCTGGTGCTGGTGCTGTTGGTCGCCGTGACACGGAAGTAATTGGCAGCAACGGGTGCTCCCAGGCCAGTCTGATTGATAAAGGTCTCCAGTGGGAGGTTCAATCGGTTGAGCGGGGTTTGATCATTTGTCTCCACGAAGGACTGATAGCGGGGAGGTATAGTAAAGTTGGAGGGCTGATTGAACAGGAAGAGGGTGTAATTGTGGGTGCCAGACTTGGGTTCAGGACCAAGGTAGGTGGCAATTACCTTCGCCTTGCTCGTACTGTTGACGTTTGTGGTCAAGTTGGCGACGACAGTGTGCAGGATTACTGAGGGAGGGCTGGTATTGTTCCAATCCGGATCAACCATCAGCATGAGGTAGGGACCAGTGCTGCTCAGTCCCATGTCATGCAAGTGCGGCTGCGGCGCATCTTTGGAGACTGGAGGTTGGGGCTTTTGTTAATTGGAATAGCTAAACGTGGGAGGACCCGGGTGTAAGGGAGGGGGTGTTTATGCATACTGGTTGCGTTTAGAAATTCACCGGGTTTAAAGCTGACCTCGGTCGACCCCACGGAATATGTGAGGTTCAAGACGGTCGATGGCTCGCCAATGACAGCAAGCTCAGGAGGAACTGTGCTAGCAGATGATGCAGTGACTGCCGCTGCAAAAACCGAAAGAGCAAGAGCGAGACGCATTGTGGCGGCGAAGTAGTCAACAAGGGACTGATGGGAAATAGATGGATTGGAAAGTAACAATGAGAAGCAGGAAATAAGGGAATAATAAGCACGCAGAATTCAGACTGTGTAAAGTTCGCAATGGGTTTAAATAGAAGCCCCTACCCCTTTTGCTGGTATCAAACCCTTTGCCGATATGGAGAGACAGAGTAATGGCTAGCTGCGTCAGTAGCTTTCAGTTGGCTGGCCTCTCTTTGACCAGGCCGGGGGGAATTAGCGCGCAGTAGTTTGATTGCTGATAGATGATTCGGATCCTTTACGATGGACAGTCCTATCGGGGTGCGTGCTTCTAGAATTTGTCTAGAGCTCCTAGAGTTAAGCTGCTCTGTCTAAACAACACTGGGACAGGGAATCTTGGCGGCTGACAAGATCCAAAGGGCGGCGGCACCCGCCAAAAGCCACACGGATCCTGCTTTTCATGGGGCCATGTACGTCGTATGGACTATGGAGGGTTACTTTAGGCCCGCCGGGCCGCCGAGCATGCTAGGCGACCAGCGCTAGCCTTCTCCATCGTCATTGGTAGGCTCCAGGTTGGAAACAAAGAATGGTGACTGGAGCATGGACCTACTACGCGTAGGCCCACCACAGCCAAGCTGATTCCCAGCCAAGCTAGATCTCTCAGCGGGGCCAGAAAGGGCCAAGCAAGTTAAGCAACAACTGGACCCAGATCCATGTTCTCCACCCTCCTGCTTCTCCGACTTTAGTTGGGTCCTATGACACTAGACCGGGGGAATATGAACAATTATTCGGGCCGGAAACAATAGGGTCAATGGGGGGACTGGTAAGCAGGGGTTTCTCGGTCTGAGGACACAAATGAATTCATTTCGGATTAATGTACTAATCGCGACCGAACAGGGATTCCTCGTCAGGCGGCGTGATGTGTTCCGAAACACAGCCTGGCGAATGACGAGCCGCAACCAATTAGAACTCATAGTCATAAGTACGCGGCAAGCGATACTAACCTAGGGAAATTTATCGCACTGTAGCAGGATAGGTGGATATCCGAAGGGAGAAGACAGGTATTATTCCTTTTTCTCCAAGATTGGTGATGTATTTGAGCCCCACCAGCAGGCTCCCAGCGAGGGGCCTTTTCTTCTCTCATTGGTGCACCTATATCCGTGCCTTTCTGCCCACCCAAACCGCTACCCGTTTTGGGTGCGCCACTACTTCTTCGTCATCACAACTTCTTCGTCACATTTTGAAGAAACCATACAATCGGCTAATTCAACCACACAACATGCCTAAATCACTCGAATTTGATGCAGATCGCCTAGCAGAAGCCTGCAAAGCCGCACTGGCACAGAAAAAACCCAATATCGCCAAGATTGCGCGTGAATTCGGCGTGTCTCGTACTAGCCTGACCAGTCGCGTCAAAAAAGCCAAAACGCCTGCTATACCTACCCCATCGGCTTGTAAGGCCCTCCTGCCTTTCCAGGAGAAGGCCTTAGTCAATTGGATAGTCAAAATGTATAGCTGGAATCTTCCACCTACTGCAGGGCTTATCCAGGCGTGGGCGAATCATACACTCGCGCGCGGGGGCCGGCCGGATAGGCAGGTTAGCAAGATGTGGGCGTATCGCTTTGAAGCACGTCTCCCGGAGCACCTAAACCTAGCCCCAGTGAAGCAAAAGACTAAGGAACTAAAGCGAATCCAAGCCGAAGATGCAGGGTTTCTTCAGCATTGGTACGACCAGCTAAAAACTCTTCTCCATAATGTTCCCGCACGGCTAGTATACAACTTCGATAAATGCGGCTTCCAACCTGGTCAAGGGCGATCGAGAAAGGTGCTTGGTTCTAAATCATCTTGCCCTGATCTAGCCGAAGCTGGGCGAGGCGAAACTATCACCGCGGTCGAGTGTATTAGTACAGATGGCTGGCTTATAGACCCGCTCTTTATATTCAAGGGTAGTGGGAAAAACTTCATAGAGGCCTGGTTCCACGGTAGCGAAAATCTACCATACGAAACTACTACTGCACTATTACCAAACGGGTGGATTTCTGATGAATTAGCCTTATACTGGCTAGATGAATTTATTATTCAGACCTATCATCGTGTAGGGCGAGGCGAAAAGCGCTATCTTATATTCGATGGCCATGGTGCACACCTTACCCTCGAATTTCTTACGAAATGCGAGGATTATAATATTATCCTATTCGGTTTCCTACCTCATTCAACACATCTTTGCCAACCACTTGACGGCAAGCCCTTCTTGAATTATAAGCAGCAATTTCGGCTTATGAATAATGAGCTATCATTCTGGGGTGGGCGGCCGTACGGGAAATCGGAGTTCCTACAGATTATCGAACCAATTCGCAAGAAGGCCTTTTCGCAGCGAATTATTCGCGAATCGTTTAAGGATCGTGGTATTTGGCCAGTTGATGGTAGTAAGATTATCGAAAATCTTGCTAGTCAACTAGTAATTCCTGATCTTTACGCACCAGATCTCCGGTCGGCTACAGTTTCAGCTACACTATCACCACCACCACCACCAAATCTCTCTTCTTCTAGTATGGAAAATAGCCCTCCAAACACTATTAAAGCACTTGAGAAGAATCAGGCGAAGATAATTAAACATATCGATTCTCTCTCGCAGAAAGCGCAGCGAGATCTTACCAAAATTTTCTTACACCAGCGGGAGAAGCTTGAAGAGCTTGCTATGACCCAGGATACAATTCAGCGAATCAGAGCCGCGCAAGAACCTCAACGTCGTCAATATACTAAGCGGCAGATTAAACCGCTTAGCCAGACCGGTATATTAAAGCCTCGCGATGCAAATCGGTCAATTCGCATTAGGAAGGAGAAAGATGCAGCCGCCGCGGAGAGGAAGCTAGCTAAGCAGTTCGAAAAGTTATATGGCTATAAACCTACACAGCGATCGGAGGAGAGTATTCAACAGGCAATGGCCAATGAGATTGCAGGGAGAGAGAGGGGAGACCTTTTTTTTGTTGATAATTAGCTAATTGTGTGGTTAATTGTATGGTTTCTTCAAAATGTGACGAAGAAGTTGTGATGACGAAGAAGTAGTGGCGCACCCAAAACGGGTAGCGGTTTGGGTGGGCAGAAAGGCACGGATATGATCTGCTTTCCTCCTTACCCTGAGTATGCATGCTACTTGTACTTAGATCTCCCTTCATCGTCTTTCCTTCTTTCCTACCCCACATGTTTAGTTCTTCCAGCAATGTTACTTTCTTCGGTCGTTCTCTTCGTATCTGAGCAATAATATCAGTGATGCTGCTGGTATGATTTAACTGCTACAATTTAGGCCACTGGTGCAACATATTCGGGAGAGTGCTCACGCAGAGTACTCCTGTCCGACAAAGACGAACTTCGGCCACGACCGGGCCTTATTCTTGGACGTAATAATTTTGCTGTTGTCAACCTTGACCAATAGATGACAAGTCGGTCAAATGATTGAAGTGTACTGGTTATGACGGACTTTCTAAATGTGGTCTGCCCTGTATAGGTGGACAGAGGATTGCGAGTTTTTCTGATAACAAGGTTCAACGCTCGTGTCGGGTCCTACATTGCTTGTCTGTCGTGTTTAAGCAACCAATGAATACAAACCGAGGTTAATCAACCTGATTTCTTCAAGTCTTATCAGACACGCAATACACACAACATCATCACCATCATGCCATCATGTCATCATGCCATCCTCGATTCCCGTCTATTCAGGTTGGATCACTTAGTCTTTCTGCCGGAGGAAGCTGGGCACCTGCCTCTTACCTATCTCAAAACTTGTTGAAATATTACGGCGCTTTACATTTTTTCCATCGGAAGCAGCTAGAAAGCTAATAATCAATACGATCTTCTAGGATCAGCCAAGGCCTACAGCTTAGCTAAGTGGATATGAGACTCCGATACCGTCGACCTAGTTGTGTGCATCTCACTACATTCTCTGTAAGCCTGCTATTTGAATGATGCAAGGACGTTTATGTCGAATGGCCTCGCTACGGAACGACCGACGAGGCAAAATACCTTGCTCAAATGGCTAAGGAAAAAGGCGTCTGAACAATCTTTGGCTTTGGATCTCTCATCAGCCATGTCCACTCTACTATGAAGGAATACTTGACAGTGGCAGGATTGGCTGGACTCTACCTTTCGCACATCATTTTCAGCTCCACTTCCCTAGAGACGGGGAACCGACTGGACAAGCCGCAGAGATTTGGATAATGATGATGACTCGACCTCGACCGTTTGGTCATGCATGCGCTCGTCCTTCTTTGCCCTGCAGGTTTGCTGATTGCAGGCCCAGGCCTTTGTTTCTTTCTTCTTGTAGGCCTATATAGGCCTTTCCCTTCTTCTTTTCCTTCTTCGTCTTCTGGTTCTCCTAGATAGACCAATCTGACTTCGTTCTCCCCTGCTTCCTGTGTGCTTGGTGTCTATGACACCATCAAATGAAAATCATGATTAAGACCGTGATAAACCATTGATATCATCAATTCCTACCGACCTATCAACCTAACAACCTTCTTGGTCCTGAAATCACATCTGTTGTATCCAAATTACAAACGCGCAATAATGCATCACGTACAGAAGACATAAAAGTATACACAGAAAACCTAGTGCAATATCTTACTGGCGTAATGGAATTAGATATATTATTTGGAGAAGATCCTACAAGAGATTTAGAGGGTTTGTTGCCCGATTATTTATATGGGATGCAGAAAATAAACTCAAGCTTATATATGTTTCTTCGCCGGGGAACGCATGTCTTGTGGGCATCTCATAAACAGGATACTGTCGTACCATCATCTACAACAGCCGAATACATATGGCGCAATGAGTACTGCGTCCGAAGAATGATAAAAGTTGGCTAGATTGGCCAGAAATCTTAGGCTACGACCCCTATTGAGCGAAGACAAGAACTTTGAAGACAATACCCATTGCCATTTTCTTGCGATTCGGATGATGCGACTGAACCAGTTACGAGCGCAAAGATTTATCCCAAGGTGGCCTGGATCAGTACTCGTTACCACCAGGTACAGAATATCCTGGGGAATAATCTTATGGAAATAGTATATGTCCAGCAAGGATAACACAGTGGATATTCTGACGAATTACACAGCAGTTTTGAAGACGATTAAGAGAGATTACTTTGAATATGAACGTCATTGGATTAATGAGCCAAATTACAATAGTTTGAGTTACAGATTATTTAAACAGAATGATTAAATAGAATTTCCGATCACTTTGCCTCTAGTCCTGCAGGGGCAATAGTAGATATAGTAGAGATTTCCCTTCAGGAGATCTCCGTTGGTGGATCTTGCCATGATGAAGGTTTCCCGGACCAGCGTTTGCAGTTTTCTTTGAGGGCCATTTAGCTCTTTCTTTCTTTCTTTCTTTCTTTCTTTCTTTCTTTCTTTCTTCTCCTTGATAGATAAGCTCGTGTTTTTCTGGTTTCTCCCTCTTCGGATTCTTTGCGTCAACACATGAGCCGTCTTCAAATTTCAGTCATGTGAAGTCAGAAGTTTACTACTTAACTTCGGACATCTCCAACTCTCATTCTAGTCCCTCTTACTCCCCTCACTCTATATAAATATAGGCTATTGATCCTTTAGGGTAGTTTGAAGGGAGACAGTAACTAGGACGCTGGAGTTTGTGTTCCCTTGGCCCTGTTTTGAAGATCTATACTAACTTCCGAATAGTTTGTCCAACTTGCAAATGAATACTCGAATGGCCCCTTTTCCAGCCAAAAGTCATACACGATTTCGATCTCTTTGAGGGTCCTGAGTTCATAGAAAAGATATTTATCTCTGAAATCGACGAGGAGAGCAAGGAGTATAGCTTCGCCAATGCGGACGAGACAAACGATTTAAAAACTTTAACTGAGATCCAAAAGATGACCGAAATGGAGCTCGTGTTCAGTAAATACGCTCAGGCTGTCATTGAGGAAATTCGCAAAATTCAAGGTGGTCGGCTCTCCTCCTTAACGGCAGACGATATCTTCCCCCGTCAGGTTTTCCTGCTCAACACTATAATCGTGAACGCTTCCTTGCCCAAGCCCCACCTCAGGCTCATCGCAAAATCTATATTAACAGAATAGCGCTATGTGTGACGAATGTGTGTATGCGGCTGGATTCGAACCCGCGACCTTGGTGAGTTGAAGCAGAGATCTGATGAGATTAGGAAGGAGCGACAGAGGGCTCGCAGGAAAGGAAGGAACGAAGGACGGAGGTAAACAAAAGGGCTCATCGCGCACCTTCGTAGCTTTCTCTTCTTCTTCTTCTTCTTCTTCTTCTTCTTTTCTCTAGACTTAGTTTCTTCGTTTGAATGCACCAGAATCTACGCTTTCTTATCCTTTCTGATTGTCTCGTGACACTATGGAAACAATTTTGAAGTCTGCTCAAGGGAACGAGAACACCACACCCTTTGTGTGACGAGCAGGAGGGATAGCAAGGCAACTGGTCAATGAGTGTTTGGGTGTTTGATGGAACTGGGAGTTTCCGACACGCATCTTCTTCTTCTTCTTCTTCTTCTTCTTCTTCTTCTTCTTCTTCTTCTTCTTCTTCTTCTTCTTCTTCTTCTCTAGACTTGATTCTTTCGCAGATAGCACCGAATGGAGGCTTCCGTCATCATCTCGCTTGGCTTGTAACAAGGACCAGGTGTGCTGTTTAGCCGAGGTCTACTTAGCCCTCGATTTGCCCTTCTTAGTTATCCTAGAGGGTTGAACATGTGATTTTTCTTGCTTCTGACTTGCTTTGCGTAGCAGCAAGATTCGCCGTCTGTAATTGTGGTGGATTAGACCCGGCCGCAAAGAAACTTTTCGAGAAATACTCGATTACACTGGATGTGTAATTATTCCGATTACAGCCCTTTCTACCCAAAAAGAAAATTCTACCCATGGCCAGGACAGCCAGCTCGGCTACCTGGCTAGGAACTACGTTACTACTATTTGGGCCTAGTCATCGTGACACCATTAACTAAGTAGTAAGGCTACGGTTCACTGTCAGGCTTCATTGCCCTCTAGAAACCATAAGTTCTTAAATAGCATAATGGAGGATATCATAGTAATAAAATACGTATACCTAGTCAATAGCGACTTCCTCCCCCCGAGCTATGGCCCCGATCAGACCACCGCTCCCCAATTATAGAGACAGGCCCGCCAGTTATATATATACACGGCTTTCAGTATCTAGATATACACCACCGGTGTGATTGATATCCCAGGGATTCTGTACTAGAAGAACCACAATCCCACGGCCTCCGACATTCTCGCAACCCAAAGTATCTACGGCATCGTCTCTCACACAGCAGACACGAGTAATCTTATTTGGCCGAAGAAGTCTAGGGCCCTTGATGGGGGTTGCTGATTCTATAGGCGGAAATACCGTGTGTCTAGCGGGTTTCTGCATGAAGCGATGCCGAAGGACTGGCGCCAAGATCACCCAGAAGTGAATGATCAAGAGTGGGCCCACAACTTCCCCAGACGTCTGCGCCAAGGAAACTACCGTCATTCGATCATATTTATCCGGAAGTATGGGTTAAGCGATTCATTTAGCTCTTCTTCAGGTCCCGGTAAATGCGGGGATAAGCATCTGCACAGGCCTGTTTGGGGCATTTTTGCCGGCACGTTCAGGGCCCAAGACGGAGGTTCCTCCGCCATGAGGAATTGAGAATTGTCAACTTCGAATTGAGATCACTTGAGCCAAAGTATGATGATGTTATTTATTGGAATCGCTACTCTAGTTTAAAATTTATGATTCACATGAGTTTATTGGGAATGGCGACTATTTGACAGGGTCAACTTGTTTGAAACATGTTTATCAGCCTTAATCCAACTTGAAACGTTCGGGGCTTTGGACGGCCAAGTCTCCTGGTTCCTCATGACCCCCATCACGGACGAAGAACCCATTTTGGTCAAAAAATTCCTATTACGTCTTTTCACTTTCGATAATTCCTTCAGATTAAGACTAGCTCAGCTCGATAAATAATACCTTTGGGCTGGATGGGTCTCTGTCTATAATAATCCTGCGTAGAAGATGGCCCCTGAAGGTAGGGTCCAGTAAAACACCTCGTAAACATGAAATTGAAGGCTAAATGATCATAGTGCCTTGTTGTCTTTGGAATAGCCGCGACTACTACGCCACGGGATAATAGTCCGAATCTATGTGGATAGTAGTTGTTCCTAGCGCCCGGAGGAATTATTCAAGGGACCTGGTAGCTGAGCCCTTCCGTTTTATAAAGGCCAGACAATGCCAAATTAGTCGAGCTTTTTGTAGAGACACGGACAAAACATATATCTATTTGCCATCAAATCAAACCTTCAAGATGGTTCATCTATCCGCTCGCTCTCTGCTGTTGGCGGCCGGTATTCTACCCAACCTGTACGTACACAACTCGGGTGCAGGAGACCACGATAATCGGCGCTAACCATGACCTCCAGCGCTTATGGCGCTGGGTTAGACACTGCTGCAGCGGCCATTGGCAAGCTGTATTTCGGAACAGCCACTGACAACCCCGAATTGACGGACACTGCCTACGTCTCGCAGCTGAACAACACAGCTGACTTTGGCCAAATCACACCCGGAAACTCGCAAAAGGTGGGTTGACCATCGCGTGCCCAGAACCTGGAAGGATTATTCACTGACAATTGTTTCGTAGTGGGATGCAACGGAGCCATCGCAAAATACTTTCACATTCGCCAATGGAGACACCATTGCGAAGTTGGCTGAAGCCAACGGTCAGAAGCTGCGATGTCACAATCTGGTATGGCATAACCAGCTTCCAAGCTGGGGTAAGAACACCCAATTTCCATTGAGAAGATCGAATTGCTGACAAAATAATAGTCACCAGTGGTACTTGGACCAATGCGACGTTGGTGGCGGCTTTGAAGAACCATATCACCAACGTAGTTACACACTACAAGGGGCAGTGCTACGCATGGGACGTTGTCAATGAAGGTAATTGCTCTGAAACCTGGTTTTACTATTTTTTTCAGGTCTAATCTCAAGTAGCTCTCAACGAGGACGGAACGTATCGCACGAGTATCTGGTACGAGACCATTGGCGAAGCCTACATCCCAATTGCATTCGCCACAGCCGCAGCCGCAGACCCTAATGTCAAACTCTACTACAACGACTACAACATCGAGTACTCCGGCTCAAAGGCTACTGGTGCAGCCAACATTGTCAAGCTGATCCAATCCTACGGCGTCAAGGTCGATGGAGTCGGCCTCCAATCCCACTTCATCGTCGGTAGTACTCCCAGCCAGAGCAACCAGGCAAGCACAATGGCATCATACACAGCTCTGGGTGTGGAGGTTGCCATTACCGAGCTCGACATCCGAATGACCCTTCCCTCCACCGACGCCCTGCTCGCACAACAGTCAACCGACTACAGCAGCACCGTTGGCGCATGTGTCGAGACCAAGGGCTGTGTGGGTATCACCATTTGGGATTGGACTGACAAGTACTCCTGGGTTCCAAGTACCTTCTCGGGACAGGGTGCTGCATGCCCGTGGGATGCGAATTTCGTGAAGAAGCCGGCGTACACTGGCATTCTCACCGCTCTGGGAGGAACGGCCACTGCAACCTCAACGACTACTGCCACAACTGTGAGCACTTCGACCACTTCTTCTAGCACAAGCACGTCCACGGGCGTTGCTGCGCACTGGGGTCAGTGCGGTGGTCTTGGATGGACTGGTCCCACTGTCTGTGCGAGTGGATACACCTGCACCTACTCCAATGATTGGTATTCCCAGTGTCTGTAAGGATATGTAGGTGACTATGGGACGGAAGGGGTTGGGGCTGAGTCTTGATCAACTTCAATCATTTTCTTGCCTTGCTATGTCTATTGTTAATCAATGTGATTGGATTCACTTCAACGATTGACCAACAGCCCGGTTTCAATTTAAGACTTGAGTTTGAAATTCATGGTTTTAATAGTTTACCTTTCTGACCCTTTTCCACCTGGATTATCAATTATGGCATCAGATATTAGAAGAAGAAACCGTATCTGTTGGAAGTTTCAGTCATCCCATCGGGACATAGAGTTTCAATAACTTGGTCAATACAGAAAAGAGTAATTGAATAGTTCATAGTGAATGTTCTGCAAATCCCATGTTCTGCTTCTCATTTCTTACGGCCAATAAATTCCACTGAAAGGTATGACTCCCAACTCATCATTTACCATAATTTCAACGAGCTGACCTATCGTATTTGGGCCACCCAATAATCTCAGAGTATCCTACACTGCGAACGGCCGCCCGCGCTCGCTTGCAAATACGCAAGCCCTCTTCATGCTTGTCAATCTTGAGATCTCAGACGAGCGTATTCTAAGGAATACAGAAAAGCGCACTTTGAATCTTGTTTTGTGATTTTCAGTATAAAGCTAAAACCAGTGAACTCCCCGCCCTTTGCAACTCAAATCAACGCTCGCTTCAAAATTTCATAATAACAGGCGTAGCAGCCACACCAAGTGGTCTGCTTTCATGCACCGATGCCATAATCAAGGAGATTCGTTATCGTAATGCCAATACCCAAGACCCAAACTGGTTTTGCTCTCAATTATCAAAGAAGTACGGAAACACGTAGCCGTCCATGTGCTCCCCATAGTGTTCAACACCGGGGGTGCTGATGTTGGAATGACTTGAGGAGGGAAGCTTTGGAGCTCGTCGTAGGACTCGGGGATGAAGGGTTGGGAGGCAACATACACAGGCGGATAGTATGCTAGTGTGTGAGGGGTTGTAGTGGTAGATGGATCGGATTCCACACGGAGGCGTTTCCTCTTCGATTCTTGCTGAGACATCGATGATGATGATGGTCTTGGGTCGTAACTTGGGTGTATGGGTAGGTCCTGGTGGATTAATTGGCTTGGGCTGTGGGAGGGATGACGGAGGGTCGTTGGCGATAGATCCGAAGGTAAGTCTGCAGGTGCGAAGACAGATTGGGAGACGATGGCCCCCTGGCCGGGTCCGCCGCGCATGGCCATTGTTTCTTCGCTAGTCTCTTGTTCGTGTACAGAGGCTTCTTCGGTCGGAGAGCTTCTTCTGCTACGTGATCCTTGGCTGAATGTAGCCTCCACTGCATCGGGCAGATTCGCTCGGGAAATCGACACTAGAGCTTTTCCGTCTAGGGCTGGTCAGTTTCACTGCATACACAAGGTTAAAATGGGTGAACATACTGGTCAATCCCTCTTGAAACTTCTCTTCTTCTTCCCTAACTCGGTAGACCTCGTCCAGTATTTGTAATCGCTCGGTCGGGGAAATTTGGCGACGGATCGGTTGGTCGGCTTCCTTGAGTCGACGAGCAGTGACTCCATGGCTGGTGCGTAGCTCGCATAGTATGTGAACTAGGAGCTTGATGCGTTCTATACTTATTGTCAGTTGCCTATTTGACTTGAATTAAAGGTGATTCTCTCCCTTACCAGCCTTGGGAAGATGATCTGGCTCACGATGGCTCACTCCTGAAGGCCACCATGGCGGCTTAGTCTCGTCCGGCTCCAGCTGCTGGGTCCTGCCGGCAACGATCTTCCGTCCATTGTAGGGGTAATTGACCTGCTTGCGCGGCTCCACAAGCTTGACGAATGCCTTTGCCAGGACTCGACAGTTGGTCTGCTGCAGGTTCTGGAAAACCTTCTCGTAGTACCGGTGCAGGAAATCCTTGTCCCGAATTGAGATCAATGCTTTCTGATTGCTTCTCATACTAACCTCTTCGTTCCAAGGCCTTTGTCTGCTTGGTAGTTGCTGCTGCTGCTGCTGTTGTTGTTGTTGCATTTGCTGCTGTCGTGGCCACATGGCCGGCTGTATGGGAGGCATAGAGCCCATAGGGCCTCGATGGTGTCCTTCGGTCCCTACAGTTTCTGGGCTTTGAGCAGCACGGTTGAGTAAGGGCCGGAGAGGAATTTGACCACCGAGTACTCTTTGTGGTGGTGAGGGCGTAGTGGCTCCAGCCTCCACTGTTCTGGATCAGTTTTCCCCGTTCTGGTTTTTGACGGGTATGTGACACTTACACAGAGAATGTGATGGGACGGTTTCGCCAGACCGCGCCACAGCCTGAAGAAACGCATTGGTGACCCCAGGAGATAGGATAGCTTCCCGGCTATTACGAATAGACGGAGAAGCCTCGTGGCGGAGATTCCCGTCCTGATCGATGTAAATGAGGGCAAAGTGCGGGTATGCCAGCTCGTCCGGTTGGTTTTGCCTCGACATCGTGGGCGAGACCTACCCATCTCGTCAGTCCCTCTTTTCTTGTGCTGCAATGAAGAAGTGTAATGCTCAAGGAACGAAGGCAAATACCATAGAACACAGGTCCAACGACTGTGGCTCAAATTCCCACTTGGTGGGGGAACTGTCCAGGCCGAAGGAGGCACTCCAGCCAAGAACAGGAACAGACGAAAAGGACGGTTTATAGCCAGTGATCATTTCGGAATATTTGAAAGACAAATGGCAGCCAGCATTGAGGACGAGACGAGGAGATTAATAGGGCAATAATAAGGGAAGGATCCACCGAACGAAGAGGAGAGCCACCTTGGGATCCGGAGATTTATAGAAACCTCAGCCACCGACCATCCATTCTGTGGCGCACCACAGGGGCAGACAAAATGAATAAAGTGTGGAGAAAAAACAAACTCCTAGGAAGGAGAAAGGATGGGCGAGATGGGAAGGAAAAAGCACGGACTGCCTAGAGATACAGTGACGAACCGCCGCTCCGAGGTTGGGCCACTAGGGCGCACGCACTATGGCCGAATCGTTTTTGCGGAGGTATTTTTCTTACCGTTAGTCTACCGTATAGCTGTAAAGTTGTATAGTCGTCCCATAGGATTGTTATACTACTGCGAGAATTCTGTGGCTCGGTTGCTAGGCTGCCTCTTGAACGACTTCTCTACAGCAGGAAGGAAGGGGACAAGATCAATAGATGACAGGACAGTCGAAGACCAAAAAAATGTGATCCTCCCTCTCTACGCAAATGCGTGTCTCTGTTAGTGCTCCTTGGTGCTCCATAGAGATCCTCTCTCGTTGCATGCCAGACAGTAATTGCGGTTAACAAACTTGGTACTGTACTTTTGGAAAGTCATGACTTGCTCTTCCAAAGTCTAGTATATTGCAAAACGGGAAGGTCATCATCTGTCAATATGAGACAAATTGAGAATTCCATGAAAGTGCCGCGAATGACTCTCATTGGCAGCCAGTGACCCGTCTATCGGCCAAGCTAGATGGTAGCTCGAGATAGTCACACCAATACAGTGGTTACAGTGGTGTTCCAACCATTTGAAGCAAGGCTAGTCCGAGTCTATTACGATGGTCCCCGGTTGTGGGTTGTGCCGACCTTGGGAATGCAGATCAGTGCCAGGCCGTTGGTAACAGAAGTACGTCTCGTCTGTCTTATGTGCTCTGTCTAGTCTAGGATTTTCTACGTTGCTCTTCTGAGCTTCATGCAGGAATATGAACACCAGGCACCCTGAGTATTTGTAAAACAGCAGCTGTCCCACGCATGCAAGCTCCAGTCTTAAGGTAGACATTGTGGACCGTTGGCAAGCACAACGTCGTCACTCCTGTCAGTCCAGGGATCCCGCGTCTAGGATGATTGAAGCACCAGTGTAGCGCCCTATTGGGATCCTAGTTGGCTTGGGGTCCCACTTGGCTGAAGGTCGAGCATACGAAAGTCAAGCATGGAGAATGCAGATCGACTGGCGAACGTTGAGAGACAATCTGGCCCACAGGACGGAACTCTTAATTGCCCCGGCCCGCGTCCTTCACCATGCAAGAAGATCAGATCTTCGGTGAATGTACGATCCCGTCCACATGGTCGAAGTGTCCTCCTCTCGGTGTGGATAGTGATTGCTAATCTCATTCTCTCTCGCTAGTGTCTAGTTCCACTTTTAGTGAAAATAGTAATGTGCACAAACTATTGCTTGTTTTGGTATTTTTAGGGTCGGCGACCAGGACCACTGCTCCGGGACCCTAACGCGGTTTGGCACTGACAGGATCCGATTAAGCCATCGATTGTGGCTGGAGTTGGGCTTGGCACGCACATTTGCGCTCCAGGAAAGTCATGTGCGATGAAGTAGCATTACCATTCGTGTCCCATAGATATTCACCGTTTGTATAGTTTAGCTACATGCATCAAGTCCACAGTCTCACAACGGCCTCTTTTCGCGGGAGGTCAACATGCTGTACTCACTTAGCCCTGCAAGAAAGCCCCTTCTTACTCATTCAGGAAGTGGGCCAGTCTAATTGCACAAATCCATGGTTCCGAATCCTTCTGTATCCTCTGAACCCACTGCACAACGGTGACAAATTGCACCTCATGGTCTCCAGAGCTCATCAGGCTCCGCTTTTCGGTTGCAAGTCGACAGTACATATTGGTTGTACAACTAAGCCCTACCAGAAGCAAATATGGACATGAATGGTCAAAATATCCAATAGAATTATCAGTATTCGCTATACCTTCGTCATCAGGTCTTTCTATAATCAGAAAGATGTCCCCGAATCGCCGCTTATGCAATGTGACGGATGTGAATACGGGCGATACCCGCGAGGAGTGAGATCCACGATCGTCTTGGCCATGGATCCCCCTGCCACGAAGATTCTGTTTTTTTCCCTCTAATCTCGTTCTTCCAGTTAAAATCGACTACAGTACCTAGCCCAGATTCCAGAGGCCAGCCATTGGTGCGCCACTTTGTGGCTGAGTTTGACCTTGTAGTGCAGATCAACCACGCTCTTTGCCGACGGAGATGATCCTTACCGCAAATCCTGGACGAAGGGGTTTCCCCGCCAGGGGAGCTGAAACTCGAGGGCCAATGTAACGCCGTCATGACCCATGGGTGTCACCGCAGGGCCACATTTCTTGTCTCTTTTGGTGGGAATACTATTAAGCTATCGTATAGATTTTGCCACCCTGGACGGGGCCGGTCCGGACTCGATTTGCTTCGGCCGGGCGGACTCAAACTCGGCCCAAACCCTGGGAACCGCGGATGTACAGTTGAGGGGAATCTCTACCAATCGACCTACATAACAATTTTCTGAATGATTTGACAGCTTTTGTACAGTGTTGATGTATATCAACGGCTATGGACCCATCTCAGCGATAATTATGCAACTCACGATTGGCATACTAGCCCAAAATCCCGCAGTTGACACCCCCATCGACAGTTTAGTGACAGCCTGTCTGCCGATCGAGGTATTCTTCCGTATGTGGCGACATACTTTCGGGGGAACCTAGAGCCCCCCACGGGTCCGATCTATGGTTCGTTCCATCGTTTGGTCTCGAATGTCCTCAACACCACTGGTCAAGAGACGCCGGTGATATTATTCCCCAATGGGCTTAATTTCCAGCCTCGAAAAAAGAAGCTTAGACGCTGCACTAATCCCTTCGTCGCGCAATAGGTTTCGGATGATCCAGTGTGCTGGAAACTTGGGAATCTCTTTGCCGAGAGACTTTCCGTCGATCTCTCGGTCTCCCCGATGTATCGAGCGAATCAAATTGTATCAAGGACATACCGTAACGGAGAACACAGATCAGAGTTCTCCGGCTGCAAGTCATGCATGCACACGATGTGGGCCAGTCTTACCCCCTCAGTTAAAGTTGACAAATTCTTGTGGAGGGAGGGGTTTTACTTATTATTGGGGGCCTTGCTGTATTTGTAACATAATAATGTGGAATACTAACTGAACGGGAGACAACGATTGGGATCGTCCGACTGTCACAGGTTGTAATGTGTTGCTTAATATGACGCTTGAGATAACTATATTTCGATAGTTCCCGTCTTTGACAGGGGGTTCCGGAGGCGCTCAGGCTCATCTGAAAAGCGTACAGTAGTACTACGAGATATTCAGTTGTGTTAATGAGTGTAGCGTACGAGGTTGAATTACGGACAATCTCCTTTTTTGTACTCCGTACTGGTCACCGCATAGAAATACATTTTTACATGCACCTCCAACACCGAGTACCAGGATACTCATACCGTAGCTCAATGCAAGTCCGTGTAGTGAATCGATCGTGTACACCGCGAGATGCATCTCCTTGTCGAGTCATGCTCGTCTGCTGCAGAGGACTAGTTGCCTCCTCTCTAGCAGGCGGGCTACCCCAGGTCCAGAGTGACAAGCAGTCCAGCGCCGGTCCGTGCCTGAGCGGAAGTTCACCACCATGAGCCTGCGCCCACTGTGGCTGGCTGAAACAACATGGCAGGGGATCCTGTCATCTTCTCGTTAGCGCATAGCCTTTTCTCCTCTTCGCAGCCCCAGGGTCATAGTTTATCGACGAGCTTTTTAGCCTGTACACGCGAGGATAAGATCTCCAACTTGCATTTCCTGGAAACTGGGAAAAATGGATCCCTCGCAAATGGCCTGGTGGCGTCGGAGTGAATCCTGCCCGCTCCACCTGTACCTCTCTTTAGCGAGCTGCAGGTTACTGCACCCGTTCCTGATAATCTCCAATCAACACTGGTGGGCCCTGTTTTTTTTGTTTATTTTCTCTCAAATTAGAATGATATTATTTCGGAATCAGAGCCATAATTATTACCGTCACAGAATTATTGCCAATATGTGCATTGCTCGACGTCACCTGCCAGATGTTGCTATGGAGTATGTACTGTAAGTACCGAACAGTCGCCAAAGGATATTGCAGATCGCATTGCCGATCTCCTGGCGCCTATTGGTGCTCATGAGCACAGCATTGCCGAGTGCTTAACGGTCGGAAATTAGGAATGTCTCGTCTGATCTCAAATCCACTTGAGGGATCGGTGTCACCGTTGGTTGCCTGGAGACTGGATCGATACATCGACTCTACCGTGGTTCAGAAGGGTAGCTAATCGCGCCTCAATTTCGTGCATATCAGTATGTGGATAGGCTACGTAAGGCTAATTCTTTTCTTCCTATTGACACAGCACTGTAGATATCTACAAGGTCGTACAATACGTCTCCTATGGCGTAAGGCATGATCCTGAAGATTCGGGATATTATTGATCCAAGCAACTTAATCTGATCTCGCTCTCTATCACTCAATTCACCTTACCTTGGTAAATTAGGCTCAGCATCCATTGTTTTGTCTCTGTTCCGATATGTTTCGATGGTTTGAAGCATCCATGCAAGGTTGAATTGATTTGTTCCTTACTCACCGCATGGTGGTTTCTGCTCGAGTGTGAGACTTGCCGTGTTTCTGCATAACAAGAGCCATTCTTTGGAACGGAATGATAATAATAAATACTGTCAGAGCAGATTGATGCTAATGAAGTAATTATGGGCCTGAGAATGCCGTGTTGCGCCACAAAGCTCCACCTAGTGAGGCGCAGCAGGTGCGGCTGAGGAAGCTGAACTGCAGAGTCCGCTTCTCCAATAATTTTCCACTCGATGCCACACATATTGTTATCTCCGGACAGGCGGAACCGGCAAGGAGGTTGTGGCTCGTATGGGGAAAATGTAAAGAGGGTCTCACCGGGTCAGGTGGGCAGTAAGGGATCATCATGGGCTTCCCAATCTAGCAGTTGCTCATTTGTTTAAGCCACTGAACAGTAGTTTAATGATCGACTGTATGTGTATTACGGATTCTTTTTCCGGTCTTTGGTGCACAAACTCCTCTGTATGGATATACGGAGTACTCCTGTACTGTACTCCTTCAACGGCCAACGCCGTTGGTGCCTGAGGTTTCAATCCACGTGCGGAGGTATTGTCAGATTAGGACTAGCGTGCATGTCACATGTCAATGTTATGGTCTGTAATTTTGATACGTCGCAAATACTTTGAATACCTCGTACACAAAGCCATTCCAGGATGGAGTCGCAGCCGTATTCGGTATCCCCAATACAGTCCTCTGCCGGTCTCGTGACTTGCTGGACTCGTTCGTCTCCAACCATCTCCTCAGGTCAACATGAGACTTAAATCTCACCCGATCTCTCACCTGCAGGACACACATCAACTCCCGCGATCGAGAATCATCATTCTTATTCACCGAGAACTCCTCCATCTCCACCTCTCATTATTATTATTTTCCGTTCACCATCACACCGTCGGGGCCCGTGTCCCCACTCTGACCAAAAAGGCTCCGCTGCATTAGCCCGTCCGCCCACGGCTGATCGCGCTGAATCCGGACCACCGTCCACCAAAATTCTCGTCGCTGCTCCGAGGGCCACCACGTCTTGTCAAGCCAGAGGTCGATCTTTGTTCGAACAACTAACATCCCCCTGCCCAGTCTTCCTCCTCGGGCCCAATCATTGTCGCCCATTTCCGTTGTTGCTCGAGATCGCTTTCCAGAGACCCTCCAGTGTCCTGCGTCCAGGCCCTTTCAGCCACTTCATACAATTATCCTCAGCGTGCCCTATCCCTGGATTCCCGTGAGGCCTTCCGTCCGCCTTTCTCCTCTTTGTCTATCTTCCTGTCCGTGCGGCGTGCGTAATCAAAGGCGCTGTCCACCCGTGGCTTCCCTCGGGCTCCAGGAGGCAATCTCGAAGGGGAAGAGATTATATTGGGCGTACTCTGACGCGCCCCAGGTCCCCCTCATTTACCGCCATCTAGACTGGGGACCGTGATATGATTCCTTCGTACACAATGGACCCCAACACTGGCTATCCCGCTGGCTATCCCGTGCCGACTCAGACTCCTCCAAACCAAATGTCTTTTTACCCCAATTCGATTCCCCAGTACCCCCAGTCTAAGACGCCTCTTCAGCCTGTCCAACAACAGCAGCAGCAGCAGCAGCAGCATTCCTTTGGTGCCATGCCCATGCAGCCAGGCGGCCCTGGGGGAGCTATGATGCCCACTGGCTTTCCCCCACAGACATCTGGTACGTGGTCAACTCTCACTCACCCCCTTTATCTTGTGCTCCTTCATTATGATTAGCCCAACACATCCGTCACCTTCCCCTGGCGGGGTCGACCTGTCGCTTTAGAGCATTTGAGGACCAAGACCCCGGGTCTGCTTTGAGCTTCATTAGAGTGTCGACCTGTCTTCCTCTACCTAGTTTTCCCCTCTCTCTTCGGACGGCGTGTGGCCAATCTCTCTTTCCCTTCCCCCAGGAACTCTGCAGTTGTGATGGATCCCAATCATAGTGCCACCGCCAGGTGTGGCTCATTGGCAAGAATGAACGCCACGATTCGTGCGATCTAGCGGGATCTGCCAGTGGGAGAGAGTTCTCGGGTGTTGAGCTTACCTTGAATTGACACGGATCTGACCGCTAACATGACGACAGTGTCGATGGACACTTTCACCTCGCCTTTCACTCAGCCTCCCCTCCCCGCAAACATCACCCCTTTCTCTCAGCCAGGCACCATGCCCAACGGACCCTCAGCTGTCCAACAGGCCTTCTCCCAAAATATGGCCTCGATCCAACAAAACAACCTCCTCGCTAACCAACCGAAGCCACCTCATATGAACTCTCCCCAGATACCCCAAACCGGAACTCCAACACAGGCCCAGTCACCTGCTCAGTATCAAGCCCAAGCTCAGGTACAAGCTCAAATAGCGGCTCGCGAGAAGGCCCGCGTTACAACCCTGCTCGACATCAACTCAACCTTGTTGCAGGAGGTGGTCAACCTACAAGCGTCCGGCAAGGCAGGCACTGCTTCCCCCGGTGATGCGAACGCGTCACCAACGGATCAGGGCGGAGAGGCTGCTAAGGTGCAGAGCACTAAGCCAAGTCAAGAATACATTGAGTGCATGCGCCGACTACAGGCCAATCTGGCTTACCTTGCCACCATAGCCGATCGTGCCAAAAAGTCCGGCGGTGTTGCTCCCCAAGCACCAGCGATCATGACGCCTCCTCCGAATCTCCCTGCCGTTCACGAGCTGTATGCCAAGTTGAATGAGCTATTCCCACGAGCCGGCAAGACCTCGACACCTCAAACACTCAGCCCAGGAGCCATGCAGGGTAACGGTGGACCTAGTCCCTCGCCAGTCTCGGAATCCGTTGTCTGAAGAGGAGGGTGTGAGGTCCGTGCTTCACAGCTTGTCCTCGTGAACAAGCTTCTTGTCTCCCCCATTGCAACGTTGATCGTCATTACCTTGTTCAGCATGTCCAAGCACGCGCGAATCGGGATCCGAGACCCCCCCTTTTACCTCTCTCCATGTATTAATATCTGAATGGAGGAGAAGCCCTCGAGAACGGCGCCACCCGTCTATTCGGCAACCCGAACTATTTACGCCACCCCCCAAGAAAGGCACCCCCTGTCCTGCAGCCCTGCTGTTTGGTCCTCAGGAGTACCGCCGTCATGCGGGATGTCTGCGCTGTAGCCGCATGAAACCTCCCTCTATCTCAACAAGCAGACAGATAGAACTCCAGCACGAGGATCACCTCGAGTATGACCATTGTGTAATTCTTTCTTTTTGTTTCTCTCCTCTTATCCAGGAGTCTTGTTGGAAATAGGCACAGCTCGACTGCGACTGCTACATGTTTCCGTGCCCGTACTTCGAGCGAAACTTGGATGTGCGCGATTATCCCATGTATTCTAGTCAAGTTTAAACAGAAGATATATAAGGCTTTGTCTTTCAGAGCAATGTGTTGATCATGTGGGACTTGTTTGTATACGTAGAACGGGAGTGCTAAGGGTACTTGATCTCCAGTCACGAGGAGGTTCACCACCGATAGACAGACAATCTGTAACATTTTTTTTATTCAACTTAGCTCTAGTTATCACTTGTAACTGGAAGTATCGAGTCTTCTGCTAACATGTACGGAGTCCTCCGTTGCCTTAACCTCCTGGTTCATCCTGCACGGATCGGCGCTCGTTAGGCGCGTGGCCCAGCCATGGGATCGTATCGTGTGCGTCACCCCCCCCGGCCCAATCAGCTGTTTTCCTCCACTCCGCCTCTTTTTAGCAACCGCGAATGTCTCTGCTGCTGCTGCGCTGTAGACGAAGCGTCCAAAGCTCTCAATCCCGTTCGGTCGTTACTTCTGTGACTGCTGTGACTGCTTCGACTGCCTCTGCCGTGCATTGGCCCCTGGTCGCGCCCCGACTTTCACCTGATCTGTCACCTGCGCGCCACTTTGGTCCACCCTCGATCCCGTCGTTTCGCTCCATCGCTTTTTTCCACCAAGTTCCTCTGCGGCGCTTCAACTCAGCTTCTCAAGCTTCCTTTCGTCGCCCGTCGTCGCTCGCAAAGAGCATCATGGACGCAAACGGGGACATTGGCTCTAAGCGCAAGCGCAGCGCTGTCGCTGGTGCTGTGGAGCGGCCGGCGAAACACCTCAAGCCTGAAGGTTCGGTGTTGACTCCCGGTGACTCTACCCCGGCCAATGGGACTGTATATGATGTGGAGGAGGAAGAGGATGACTCGGGTCGCTTGTTACCCCTTGTCCCTGCGCAGGCAGATTCGCCCGAGTGGCAGGCGACGATCGAGACGGTTGTGAAGAGTGTGGTCTCCATCCACTTTTGTCAGACTTGTTCATTCGATACCGAGCTGTCCATGAGCAGTCAGGCTACCGGTTTTGTGGTCGATGCTGAGCGAGGATACATTTTGACTAACCGTCATGTGGTGGGTGCGGGTCCGTTCTGGGGATACTGCATTTTTGACAATCATGAGGAGGTAAGTCAGAGAGCATCTGCCAGAAATCTTGCATCGTCTGGAAGCTAAGTGTCTTTTTGTGTCAACAGTGCGACGTCCGCCCCGTCTATCGAGACCCCGTACATGACTTCGGTATCCTCAAATTCGACCCGAAAGCCATTCGCTATATGAAGCTCACCGAGCTCAAGCTCCAGCCCGACAGAGCTCGAGTGGGTGTCGAGATTCGAGTCGTTGGTAACGATGCTGGTGAAAAACTGAGTATTCTATCCGGTGTCATCAGTCGTTTGGACCGCAATGCTCCCGAGTATGGCGAGGGTTACAGTGATTTCAACACCAACTACATCCAGGCTGCGGCTGCGGCCAGTGGTGGTAGTTCTGGTAGTCCCGTAGTCAACATCGATGGCCATGCTGTGGCTCTGCAAGCAGGTGGACGTGCCGACGGTGCCGCGACTGATTATTTCTTGCCTCTGGATCGCCCGCTCCGTGCTCTGGAATGTATTCGGCAGGGCCAGGCCGTCACTCGTGGCACCATCCAGACCCAGTGGATCCTCAAGCCCTTCGATGAATGCCGTCGTCTGGGCTTGACGCCGGAGTGGGAAGCCGCTGTGCGCAAGGCTGCCCCCAACGAGACCAATATGCTTGCTGCTGAGATCATCCTACCTGAGGGTCCTGCGGATGGAAAATTGCAGGAGGGAGATGTGTTGCTACAAGTGAACGGTGAGCTGCTAACGCAGTTCGTCCGCCTAGATGATATCTTGGACTCCAGTGTGGGTAAGACCATCCGGCTGCTGGTTCAGCGAGGAGGCGATGACCTGGAGGTGGAGTGCGAGGTTGGAGACCTCCATGCGATTACCCCCGACCGATTTGTGACGGTGGCGGGTGGTACTTTCCACAATCTGTCCTATCAACAGTCTCGACTTTATGCCATTGCTACTCGCGGAGTGTATGTCTGCGAGGCTGCCGGCTCGTTCAAGCTTGAGAACACCTTGTCTGGGTGGATCATTGACTCGGTCGACAAACGGCCAACTCGCAACCTGGATGAATTCGTAGAGGTTATGAAGACTATCCCGGACCGCTCCCGCGTGGTCATCTCTTATCGTCATATTCGGGATTTGCATACCAAGGGGACCAGTATCATCTATGTGGACCGACATTGGCATCCCAAGATGCGTTTGGCGGTCCGCAACGACGAGTCTGGCATTTGGGATTTCTCGGACCTGTCTGATCCTATTCCGGCCGAGAAGCCTGTCCCACGCAAGGCAGACTTTATCCAGTTGGACGGTGTGAGCCAGCCCGCCGCCGCCGAGATTGTGCGCAGCTTTGTGCGGGTGTCGTGCACGATGCCCTTGAAACTGGATGGTTATCCTCAGGCGAAGAAGACCGGCTTCGGTCTGGTTATTGATGCTGAGAAGGGCCTAGTCGTTGTCTCAAGAGCCATTGTACCCTATGATCTTTGTGATATCAACATCACAGTCGCCGACTCGGTCATCCTTAGTGCCAGGGTGGTGTTCCTGCACCCGCTACAGAACTACAGCATTATTCAATACGATCCCAGCCTTGTCCAGGCGCCTGTCCAGAGCGCTCGTCTCAGCTCCGAGTACATCAAGCAGGGACAAGACACCATATTCGTTGGTTTCAATCAGAACTTCCGCATTGTCGTGGCCAAGACCGCTGTGACTGATATCACAACCGTATCAATCCCCGCCAACGCTTCGGCTCCTCGTTACCGCGCTATCAACTTGGACGCCATCACTGTGGATACCGGACTGAGTGGACAGTGCACCAACGGTGTATTGATCGGTGAGGATGGTGTTGTGCAGGCTCTGTGGCTGAACTATCTCGGCGAACGTACCCCGAGCTCTCACAAGGACGTCGAGTACCACCTTGGTTTTGCTACCCCGTCTCTACTTCCGGTGACTTCTAAGATCCAACAGGGTGTCACCCCCAAGCTACGCATCCTGAACATGGAGAGCTATGTTGTGCAGATGAGCCAGGCGCGCATCATGGGCGTCTCGGAGGAGTGGATTCAAAAGGTTGCTCAGGCTAATCCTTCTCGCCATCAGCTCTTCATGGTCCGCAAGGTGGACTGTCCGCCGGCGACTTTCACCTCTGATGTCGATAGCTTCCAGGAGGCTGACATCATTCTCACACTGGATGGCCAGCTTGTTACGCGTGTCTCGGAGCTGGATGTCATGTATGAGAAGGAAATCTTGGAAGCTTTGATTGTTCGGAACGGCCAGGAGATGCGTATTCGCGTCCCGACTGTCCCTACTGAAGATCTTGAGACTGATCGTGCGGTCGTCTTCTGTGGTGCTGTCCTGCAGAAGCCTCATCATGCTGTTCGGCAGCAGATCTCCAAGCTCCATAGCGAGGTTTACGTGAGCGCTAGGGTAAGTAAAACCTATGTGGAGAAGTATATGCCCGTTACTAACTATTATTACAGAGCCGCGGTTCACCCGCTTACCACTACGGGCTTGCTCCGACTAACTTCATCACCGCTGTCAATGGCGTATCCACCCCCAACCTCGATGCTTTCGTTGAACAAGTACGCAAGATTCCCGACAACACCTACTTCCGCCTGCGTGCCGTCACTTTCGACAATGTTCCATGGGTGGTAACCATGAAGAAAAACGACCACTACGTGAGTAAATCTTTTCTCTGCTTTCCCTATCCTTCTCACTAACCAAACTCCCGCCAGTTCCCCATGTCCGAATACATCAAGGACCCCTCTGTCGAAGCCGGCTGGCTCACCATCTCCCACGACAAGACCAAGGACGGTCTCGGCGCGGCCTCAGACGCTGCAAATCTGAACCCCGACGCCATGGACGAGGGCGGTGAAGCTGGTGGTAGTGACGTGGAACCTGACATGGAGTAAGTAGTCCGTGATCACGCCTCCATTGGGATAAGGTTGTTTACTAGACGCGACACGCGGTCTCTTCCGGGCGGCTGGTCTTGTATTATATTTGGTGTCGACGGCGCGATCGGTCGGGGTGGGTGTAGGTACCTAGGGCCTGGCTTGTTCTGTGGTGGTGTCTTGGAATTGAGATCTTCTTGTATATCGTCCACGGGTGTGATCTGGGAGAAAATCTATGTGGCTGTCTTGTATGGCCTTCAGTGTAAAATTCATTTCCTGTTTCGAACGATCGGGCTATTCTTTGCTTGTGACTACCTTTCTGTTTGGAAGAAATGTTTGGTATTCATCGTGGTTCTAAGGTTGGTAGTCATTAACGTCCATTCATGTGCATTGATCCGACCAGTAGGCTCTGGTACATAGGGGAACAGCTACCTAGGTAAATACCTGAATGGCTTTTTGGTAGCTGCCGTGACTATATATATCATCGGTCTCAGAGTACTTATGGTCAATGGTGCATCGAAATGTCCCGTTCCTACCTAGGTTAGACTAGGGCTCACGGCTCATCCCGTACTGTACTAAATATATATTTGCTTGAACCTCATCTAGGACAGACGCTGGGAAAAAAGATAGAGCCTGAGGAAGCACTAGGTACTTCACAGTAATTAATCCTCGTACTATACTATAGACCTGTAGACAATGGACAAATGCAAAAAAAGCCAAAAAGAAAAACATGTGCTTCAAGTGTAGTAATGAGAAGAAAATAGCCAAAAAAAAGAAGAGTGCATCATCCGTGAATCGAACACGGGCCTCGTCGATGGCAACGACGAATTCTACCACTAGACCAATGATGCTGGTTCATGTGAAGAGCACTCAAATATTGATATATTAATGTGGATGAAGAATAGTATCCCCAGACGAACTGGACTGCTCATCAACGGTGTGATTCCAAGCGCGGTTCTTGGGAAGGTCCCACTCCATCGCGGGCAGGTGTAAATCCTCCAAGTGAGTCACTGATACGCGGGAAAAGATTTAGTATGGGATAATTCAACGAATTCAATTGATGACCATATGCAGAACGATGGATGCTTGCTATGCCACTCAAGTGACACTCCTCAAATGGCTAAGAATGCAAGATAACGCCATTAAATTAACCCACCCCAACCCCAAGAACTCCGATCCAGTTGCAATATTACCACATGGCCGCCGCTGTTTGATATAACACAATAATACACCAAGCAAGGACCTAGTAGTCCAAAATCGACTTGATTGCCTATTGCTGGAAAGACCATCCACCGTTGAGCCGCAGCTTTTGCCGCTCGATACGGTCTTTGCGGATCTCCTCCTGAGTGAGACCGTCGGGGCCGTTCCAGTTGGCGCTGCTGGTGCGGTCACGGTATTTCTTGATCTTCTTGTCGGCCTTGAAGGTTTCCTCTAGGGAGAACGGTGCAATTGGACCAAAAATGGAGTCAACTTCCATTCCGTCTTGCTGCCGCAATAGATCATCCAGTTCCTTGGATTGAGCCCATTTGGGAACGGGGAACATCTCGGAATCTGAATCATCCTCATCTTCGCTATCCGTGGCAATTTCGGGGAGATGGATGCTTTCTCCACTCGGGTACTTTGGTGACGGCTTAGCGGGAGGTGGAGGTCGCTGGGCAGAACCAGGTGCAATTGGCTTTTGTACAGCCGAAGGTGGCGCGTGGTTAGGTTCCGCGAAAGGAATTTTGTTGTTTGTATACTTTGCCAACTCCGATGGGTGGGCAGGTCGTTGAGGCTGGCCGGTTTTGAAAATCGAAGAGCCGGGCTGTCCAAACATAGATGGCTGCTGTGCAAGATTTTTAGCATACGCATGCAAATGGTTGATCTACGCGGAATATATTGAGCTTACCTTGCGAATATTTGACTGGCGGATCGGAGGGGCCATCGTAGGACGCACAGGCTGCATATGGTTTTGCTCATCCTCAGTCTTGCGTCGCTTGGCCTCGCCCAAAGGTTGAACATTGCTGGGATTGGCAACTGCAGCGCGGTAACCAGCTTCATCATCCATATTCCTCTTGGGCGGCTTGGCAGGGTTTGGTGCTGGGGGATTAATGGGTCGACCGTATCCAAGGCGAGATGCTGGCCTTGTCGCACCCAAGTCATTTCGCTGAGAGGGTTGTGATGCAGCCTTCTCGTGCTGCAGAATGGGAGCCTAGGCATCGTCAGTAATGAATCTTTATCAAATGGTAATGATCTACAAAGTTTACCTCGCTGATTGCCTGCTGACTGTCTTGGCGCACGTGTTTCCGAGCGTTGTTCTCCTGTCGTCGCCTCTCAATTGCCCGCATATGAGCACTCTTCTTGGGATCCTCGTGAGCAGAGCGTTCCCGCTCAGCCTCAGCTTGCCGCCGAGCCTCCTCATCCTGCTGTTGTTGGAGAGCTCGTTTCCGCTCTGCCTCACGTTTCTGCTCCTCCTTCCTTTGCTCCTCCTTTCGGCGAGCCTCACGATCCTCCTGCTCTCTCTTTTTTCGCTGGGTTTGTGTTTGACTCGAGACGGAACTCTTGAAGCTGCTCGCCGAAGAAGTCGTGTGCAGAGATTGATTGCTACCTTTCTTCTTCAATGTCGCTGCTTTTGGAGCAGGACCGGGGGCGGCAGGGGGTGCAACGGACTCCTGGCTATTCGAAGTCATAGAGGAAGCGATAGGCATCGGCCGTGAGAGTGTGCTACCGACACGAATCGAAACCGGCCGCGGGTTGGGCTTTTGGGCCGGTTCACGAGTGGGTGGCTTGATGCGCCGATCATTCTGCTTCGGCTGGGAAAGGCCAAACCTCGACCCATCGTGAACAGAGTCTGGCTCACGCGATTGCTGTCGAGATCCCTGCATTGACCGTTGGGCGGCGCTGCCTGGCCTCTCTTCAGGCTCTACAGATGACTTGTTTTGCATTACCTTGAGTTGCATAGCCCGCTGCTTCTCCTTTTCACGTACTTTCTCCTGTCGGATTTCTTCTTCTTCCCGCTGGCGATCCTCTCGCTCCTTCTGTCGGCGCTTCTCCTCCCTCTCCGTAGAGCTTCGTGTTCGACGACCCTCTTGTCGTGGGGGGCTGGAGATCTGACAAGGCTGTGACTCGCGCTGATCATCCTTGTTCTCTGCAATAACACTAGCTTGTTCTTGAGGCCGGAGGCGTGGCTGCTCGGGAGAGGAATTCTCCAGTCTCGAAGAGCTACCAGTGCTTGTGAATAAGCCCTTGGCGGACTTCATAATGGATTGTAACCTCATTTTTGACGCACTGAGAGGTCCATCAAAGCGCCGAGGGGATCCGGTAGGAGTGGTTGAGGCTTCTGATGCAATATTTGACACCGAAGCAGTTTTTTGATGACCATGTGGGCGGGGCGAGGAGAAGATGGAATATGCTGATTTGGGACGTTCTGGTTCAGTAGACTGCTGCCCCGAGGCATTCATTCCATTCGCTTTCCCTGGTGATTGATCGATATCAAAGAGCTTCTCCATCGCGTCTTTGGTTTTGCTCTTCGTGAGATCGAGTCGCTGCGGCGAACTCAGAGGCCTGATCCAGTCATCCACATCCATTTCGGTGGACTCCGGTGTAGGAGCTGCGCGTTCTCTCTGCACCGGAGGTTCTAGCTTTGTTTCAGGCTTTGCCGCAGGAAGGTCCGGGTAGGGAACCTGACCAGCAGATAGGCCGGCCATCGACGCAATTGACTTCTTGGGACGAGACGGCTGAAGCTTTCCGAGCATGCTAATCCGCTCATGAAGGCTTTGTGTCGACTTCTTGTTGTGCAGCTTGCTAACCTGATCCATGTCCATGGTTTCTTCCGATTCCTTCGCGTCATTTAGATCCATTGTGCCAGCATCGACCACGTCATCCTCCACTGCTGCTTGGGTCACTCTGTGCCCTCCTGATTGCTTACCCAGAAGACTAGGGCGGCCAGTAGTGCTCAGCTTCGGAAGATCAATGTGGGAAGAGAGCCGCGAGCCCTTCAGAGGCTCTCGTGCTGGCAAAGAAGCAAAGTTCAAACTGCTTTTCCGCATTGGGAATCGTTCGGGAGTGGAACCATCCGATGGAGACCCGATGTCATCAAAGTTATCGTCGAGAATTGTGTCTTCCTTGCCTGCATCTTCCATTTCAACGTCTGGGCTTTGATGCCTTGGCTCCTTGGTTTCTGAAACCCCGGGTTTGGACGAGGGACGGTCATCGTTTGCACTCTCCTTGACTTGTTGAGCAGGTGGGCTCTCGCGCCGCTTCTCAGCATCCGCGACAGTCTTAGAATTAGGCTGCGTCCGGGGTTTGGGTGTCAAGTCTACCTCCGGTTCTAAGGCCTTGGAAATTGATTCCGACTTGGGCAGGGTTCGTTCATTCGTTGGAGTTGGATCTGTGTTCATCGGCTCGATAGTTTCCCCTCGCATACGCACATTCTCCTGCGCAGAGTGAAAAGAGTCCTCCGTTGGTTGTTGGTCAATCAAGACATCCACCTGAGAGCTTAATCTAACGGGCTCGTCGACCTCGAAGGGTTGCGTGGATGTCTGGGTCGCTGGCTGTGTATCCGGCAGAACCACCTCATCATCGTCCTGCAAGCCATGATAACCCGAGTCCGTGTTGTACTGTGAGAAGGAATTCAAATTCTGAGTGAGGTCGGGGTATTGTGGCTGTAAGCCCTTTTGCACAGGTTTGGACCGAGAGGTAGCGGGGGAAGTTGCGGATGCGATCTCCGTCGCATTTGTTTTCGAGATGACACGATGTATGAAAGGACTGGGACTGGGAACTGCCTTGTTCTCTACAGGTTTCTGAGCGGACGAGAAGATCTCGCTTAGCGGCTAAGGAAGGGAGATTAGCTTCACCACATTGGGCTTCATCACGATAACTCCAAAGCGACTCACCACTCGACTCTCTTCCACATTACGCTTTCGTGCCGTTCGCGGAGTCTTGCCTCTCATCTTTCCTGGCGTTTTAAACACATCGGTAAAGTTTCTGCGCAAATAGTGAGCAACGAAGCGAATGCCCGCGAGATCCACCGGTCGCAACTCACGTTTGGCCCTTGGAGAAGATCTCAACCATATGTTCATTCAACCAGTCCAGCTCATGGCGGACTGGGTATTCCACTTCTTCCAACTCCTGCTCAATCAGCTCTGCCATGCTTTCTTTCTCTGTGGCGATCCATGCGGCCGAGCCGACGGCCCTCTGAGCCCTTGCGCCAGCGGCGGCCATGATGTAAACAACGCGCTTCGGGCAGCGGGGTCAAAAAGGTTGGATGGCGCAATGCAGTAAAAGAGAGACGTGCGGGTTGAAACTGGGTTTAACGGTAAAGAAAGCCCATTGGGATCATTAGTCGGGCGTCGAAGGTGGTGGTGGTGGTTGTTGCTGTTGGAGTTTGTGTGGAGAATGAAGGCGGTTTCGAGATCAAAACAGACATCCCAACGGGGAAACGCGTGGAGGTGCGGAGTCACGTGATGGGCATTTGGCCTGTGCTTTTAAAGTATATACAGTATTGTGCACTCGAACTATTCCACTTCTTGAAAAGATCATTGATGTTAAATGATAATATATGATAAAGTAAGTAGTCATAGCAAAAATTCCTCTGTATCGTTCTATAATGATTACCCTCTTTGCTGACTAAGAAAGTGTCCATCACTTAATCAACTTACGTGGTTGGTGTGCAAGAACATCGTGACAGTCCTTCGCGTCTGGTTAAACAACCACGAATAAGCTTCAACTCGCCTTTGTTGTGACTGAAATCGAGTTTGCACTTGGAAGGTCAATGAATCAGCATCATATCTGTTCCTAAGAGAGGCCAACGGTCGTGGCTTCTCATCTCAGATGTTTTGGTGAGTATGATTAGGACCCCGTTCCAACCACTATAGCGGCTACATTAAGCATGGCTAAGCTTTAGCATAGATCTTATATTCAGCTGCATGCTATTCCGAGAGGTAGTAGCCTGAAGTGATCAAGCGCCAGGAGGAAACAAGGTCGGGAGCGAAGCTGACCAAAGCTTGGTAGGATTCGATCTGCCTCATTTAACTCTATAGACATGGTGATGTTCGAGAGGTAATTTTCATCTAAGCTATACTACGTAAGCTATACTACGCACCTAATGCCCGAGTTGTTATAGGAAAGAGTACATATTTTATTATTAATTTTTCATTGAATCCGAAAAGAGAGCACCGTCGGGCGGGGTTTCATGCAAGCTGTCCTCCGTACTTATGATCCATCGTGGCTAGGCAGATATGCTCATGTTGGCGGAGGATGACGGAGACGGAGATGGGTTGGTGCTAGTACAAAACCAACTATGACGAGATAAGGCCCGAACAAGATGGATTAGCTCCTTGGAGTCGTAGTCAGGGGGAATTTATGAGAGACATGTAGGTGCTAACCCTGTGGCGTACCAGCCAGCTCCTGGCCAAAATTCTTGCCTCTTTCGCAACGTGTACCTACCTTGGAAACGCAGAGTTGACATCATCCAGTCGTGCCGGTCCAGGCTTGGCGGGCGCACATGACAATCGGCGGTTGCATCACACCAAAACAATTCCTGCCCACCCAACCCTCTGGCCCTGGCCCTTATCGTTCCTTTTTTTCCCTTCTTCTCCCTTCCACACACACCCCTCCAACACTGCTCTTCGAAACCCTTTGATTCCCTTTTCCTCCAGCTCTAATTTCCATACCGTGCTCTTGCTCCCACCTCTGACAACTTGATCCCGATTTCGCCATGGCCGACTCTGGTGATGTGAGCTACCCTAACACGGGCAGTAAGGTATGTTCCCAAGCAACCGGCTCCTCCCGATTTCTCCTGCATAGTGGTCCTGACCAGCTTGTTTCATGCAGTCATTTCCCTTTCTTCGCTCTTCGCTCTTCCCTCTATTCCGGAAAGCTTCCCAAAGACCACGCCAACTGACCCTGGATTCCCCCGAGTCTAGGCCTTAGCGATGCCGTTACAAAGGGTATAGTTATCCCCCTCCCCCCAGTTCGCCGGGTTGCAGGGGAGCTATTTTGTGGCCTGATCATATCCGTTTAATGCTTTCTTCTTCTAGGCCCCGTTGTCGATAGCCTCAAGGCAGAGGCTTCCAAGACCTCCGACGAGTTCCGCGACCTGAAGAACGCCCGAGTTACCCCTTCCACCACAACTACCAATGGCCAGCCATTGACCCGTACGTGCTCGCTATCTGCAACCGATGGAGACAAATGGAATGAAGAGAGAATGCTAATAATCGTGTAGACTACCACTCGCTGTTGTACAGCCTATTGAGCGTGAGTTGTCTCGAGTCCCGGTCTGTGTGGTGATCCCCTTTTTTTTTTCTGACCCATTTTTTTTTTGGTTGACAGTGGGAACAACCTCGTGCGACCGCTGTGTCCTATGCCACCGTGATCGGTTTCATCTTTGCCGCCCGTTATCTGCCTCTTCTCCGTTGGGCCTTCAAGTTCCTGTATATGTCGCTGGGCTGTGAGTTGGTCGCGTGACCCGTGGTATTCGATGAGAGACAGACTGACCCGCTGTTGTAGTGACCGCTGCCGTTGAGATCGCCGGTCAAGTCATCCTCAAGCAAGGCATTGCCAGCTCTTTCCGCCCTCGCCGCTACTACACCATTCCCAAGGAGACCCATGAGGCTATCCTGGAGGACCTTTCCCAGCTGTTGGACTTCTTCCTGATCGAGTTCCAGCGCATTCTGTTCGCCGAGAATGTCGTCCACACTATTGCCGTATGTGATCTTGTGACGTGAATGATGGATATAATCGAACGTTTCTGATGGGATTCTAGGCTTTCACTGCTGCTTTCTCCGGCTACTGGCTCGTCCGATTCGTTCCCCTCTGGGGTCTGGCCGTTATCTCCGTGACTGTGGCCTACCTCGGACCTCTTGTGTACATCAGCAACCGCGAAATCATTGACGAGCAGATTGCCAACCTTCAGGAGATCATCAGTTCCCAGACCAACCAGCTGAAGGACCTTGCTGGCGAGCGTACCTCCCACGCCACTGGTGTCATGAAGCAATACGTGGGCGAGTACAGCCACAAGGCCCAGGAGTACATTGGCCGCCGCTCTGCGTCCCCCGAGACGGCCAAGGTCCCCACCCCCGTGAAGATCGAGCCCGTCGCTGAGCCCACGATCAAGACCGAGGACTTCCCCGAAGCCCCCAAGATCGAGCCCATTGCCCAGTTGGTAGAGACCGCTGAGCCGGCCCCTGCCGCCGTGGAGAAGGAGCCCCTTCTGGCTCTGTAAATGAGCGTGGCCTATCACCGGGCTTGATCGGTTGTCAATTACTATCGATTCGACGAGGATGGAAATCCACTTTGAAATCCATTTTATTTCTCTCAGCAGATATGTTTTTGACGACATGCAGAATTGGTGGTGAGACTCTTTCTTTTGCTCTCCAGGGTCTGCTAGCAGGAATGTATATTGGGCTGCACTCCCTCGTCCTGATGACGGACGGCCACTCCCCAAAAAACCCTTCGTGGGAATGTCCAGACGATGAATTGACGTTCATGTTCTTCTGTACTTTCCTTCCTTCCTTTTTTTTCTTTTCTTTTTACTTCGTTTCCTCACTGTTCTTACCCCCTTTACCCTTTATTCTGTCTATTCCGCCTTCTTTACACCCGCATCCTATTGTTACTTTGTTTCGGGTTGATATTGTTCTAATGCAATTGTCCTATGAATAATTTCACGACTTGAACGTTTAGTTACCTCGTCTGATTCTCGAGAAATCCCGTAGCTTCTCAATCCCAATTCCCAATGCAACATTCCGGTCCTCGAGCCTCTTCGAGCCACCTTCCCCCCAAGAGCTAGTCTTGTGTCCGGGACTGTACGAGTGCACGCTACCCTTTTATCAGAGAATAAACCTGATATCAGCTCAGGCCAAAGATGAACCATGGTTGGTACTTTGCCGCGCTTAAGCCCTCGACTCGACCGACTTGGGCAAGTGTTGTCTTCGAGCCTGCAGCTGCGCGCGCAGGCCCAGTCATGCTGATACTTTGCACTCCCGCATGAGTAACGAGTAACGAGTAACGCTTCCTTTCTCCGCGCCGTGCGAGGCGAGGCGAGGCGACTGTTGGGTTTCATCCGAGACTTAACGCTAGGCCGTTAATTTCTCCGCATCGTAATTCGGGCTGGTTTAGCTGTGCTGTCCTCATTATCTTAGTGACTATGTTCCTCGCCCGTGGCCAGGCAGACTCGTCTTACTCGGACTTGATTGTAACCTTCCCCTCATTCTCTAGGCGGTTCTGTCTACCCCGGATGTGAGATGTTGCACGGTTTCTGTGGTAGCTCCTTGTCGTGGGTTGGACGTCCGATTTCTGTGGATGGTTCTGTACATGGGACGGACTGGGCGCGGCAATCTAAATCCGGCTCGGAGGGGTTGGAGTCTAGAATGGCTGGGAATTCATCGTCTGTTTCCAGATCCGTTGACTTTTGGGTGTGGCAGGTGTGCTTTCGAGGGTTGGTGAACTCGTTCATGCTATGTGGTGTCTCAATACCTCTAGTACATTGCTCAACTCTGTATTGTCGGGCATCGAAGGACACGATAGTCTGAATTTAATGATCAAGGTAATGTCTCTTCTATAATTATTGCTCTGAAGATGGAAGTTGGAAGATCTTGACTCTTCCCAATCGATATATGAGTACCTATGTGCTTCGAAACACTCAATAATATGCACCTCCAAGGCCCGAGCCCTCGTAGCAACAGCCCAAATGAGACCTCTAGCTTTTCCTACCCCTTTTCCAGAAGCTCATGAGAGTCCAAATACACTATAGCTGGAAAAGCCACTTAGACTCATATTTACCGCCCTTTGGAATCCAATCAACTTGGCCATCATCGATAGGCTGTCTTAGACATTGGGATCCGAACCTCCTTACTATGCCACTCTTAGTCTCAGACTCGTATAGTTAGGCTGAAGTCTAAACATAAAGCTGCCTGACCGATTCTATGAGAGTTGTTGACCTGGACTAGATTAGTAGTATTGACAAGTTCGACTGTTGTGGTCAGCTTCTAGAATCTGTCGTCGACTCTATGAGAACTCGGAACGGTAAAAAATGGAGTAATCTGTGCCAATTATGCAGTGTAAATGGGAAAAACTGAATCTGTAACTATGTAACGGTCATTTTTATTGGCATGGAGCAGAGTGAGGACAATGGGGAAATGTTCAAGAATGGACTGGGGCGGAGAGTCAGTGTGGCATACTGGGATCAATGACTTGAAGTCGGAACAGTATCGAAAGAATAGGAGTTTCCTACCGCCACCAACGTGTCATACCTCTGCAAAGAAGCATGCATAGAATGTTCTTTGGGCTTTTCTTCCGAGTAGTGCGGGATCTATTGGGAGAAAGTGACCAAGGATTCCGTGATGTCAACTCGATACAGGGCTCAAAGGGCGGTCTCCTCGGATGCGTCTTAGGGCTGTACATCCTTTGTCAATGGGAGCTGACGGTAGCCGAGACGCATGTCTCTCCTATATGTCGATGTTTCAAACCTGGAGCAAGATGCTTTTGAAAGAAGGAGGCTCGGCCAAATTGTAGGAGGACGTTTGTGAGAGGATGAATCGCATGGCATGGGCATTCCCTCTTTATCTCCCGGCACGGACTCGCATCTTTGATCTTTGATCTGGTCAGAAGTTTATCTCAGTGACAGGATAGCACAGGCTTCTAGACTGAGAAGGACTCGCTCGCGAGCTATGTGGCTTCCCGTCATACAAGGAAGAAGTTGGCCCTGCAGCTTGCCGTAGGTCTCAGGCCCCTTTGATGCCCAGGTCGATGCCTTTGAGGATATATGGGTTTTTATTGGCGCTCTGACAGCTGTCTTGATTGTCTGCTCTTGCCATGGGCCCACTTGGTACTTGTCTAGTTTGCTCATCAGCCGGTCATTATAACTTCAACAGTTGGAGCGCGCGCTGGAGGTGATTCTAATGTAGCAAAATCGCATCATGAATTAGGTCGATTCCTGTTTAATAGAATTAGACCTCAATCGAAGAACGCCGATAGGATGAGAAAATTTACTATACCGCCATACCTCAGACTACCACAACGGTCTGTTTGCATGCATCAAAATCCTGGAGGGAGCGGTGCCCAGCTTCGCATCTTCACCTCCAGCAACGCACAGAATCTCCACATGGTCCCAAACGGAGTACTAGAGGCAGCAAGTAGCTCATTGGACTCTTCGGTAGTCCTTTGGCTTTGGCCTTGCAGGTCTTGGGTACCCACAGCTGCGGCGGTGCAACAGGTAAGGCCTCGAAGCTTAGAAACATAGGTTTCATGCTGAGTGTCCTGGGGGTGATTTGTGGCCCCCCACTTGCTGTGGTTGTAGCCTTTTTCTCAGGAGCATCAATGGCGGTCATCGATGACAACATGCGCACAGCATGGCGGTCAGTCCAGATTGAACGTCTCCGAGGTGAGAACGGGCCTCAATTGCTTGACTTCGTGGTATCGTGGAAAGACACAGGCCCAAGCCCAAGAAGACTCGTCCGACTCCAGCTGCCTCGTGATTATCTGCGAGGAGCTAGAGGAACCAGAAAAATCTGAGGAGGAATCGGTGAGAACGACAAGTTGAAGCTATCCCGAGGAAACCACAATGTACTTTGGACTCGTTGTTTCTTGATTGTACACCGCTACGCTCTCCTTCCTTATACAGAATATATTTGAACTTGATATTTGCCTTTATGACCATCTGTCTGTCCTCCCAATTATTCTCTAAATCATATCATCAACCCTCAATCCTAAGTTCCTGTTTTGATCATAATAATTTCCAGATATCAGAACAGCTCCCGTCTCAGGCTGTATACAAGTCCGAACAGACAAACATAAAACTGTATTCACCCTCTCTGGATTTGGTAAAACAGAAACACAAAGCAGGAACACGCGCAGAATCAGCACAGACTGGAACAAACCTTTAAACAAAGCCAGGGGCTGTCTTGCTTGATGCTTCAGAACGCCCATTGAGAGTGGATGTCCAGGTCTTGCTTCTCACGGCTTCTGGAAAGCACGTCTTGTTCCGCACGAGGATTGCGGGATCTTATTCTGCTTGCTTGCTTCTTTTTTGCCGACTCTACGATTCCTACTTTTACTGAAGACTTTTCCCTCTTGTCCTTCTCGATACTTTCCCTTAAAACGACTACTCTTCCTTCTCCTCAGTCTTTCTCTTGTGCTCTTCGAATACCCTTTCCTCCAATCCCTTCTCTCTGAAACACGAAACCCTTTCCTCTCATTCATGGGCTCCATTCGCGACTTGCTAAATCCGCTCCCTGAGGTGACACCAGGACATTTGGGCTTCATGATGCCGGCCCCACGATCCGCAACTACAAGTCCTCCATATTCGGATCGGCCGAGAAGATCCAAGGTAGCCAAGGATGGGGCTGTCTTTCGAGCTGGACCCATCCAAGGGGAGCTTCGCTATCCTCCCCACGAAGAACGGACCCCACTCCTGGAAGAAGAACATCGCAAGGCGGATCTGAAGCCCTTTGGCAACATCGCCGACTTCCCTCGCCACATCCCGTACCAGAGTGACAAGAAGACCTTTCGTGAACGGACTGGACGGGATAGTTTTCACTGTGAGATGACGAAACTAGCTGTTTAGCTGTAAGCCGGAATACTGACGAGTCATATCTACAGTGTTCCAGTATACCTTCCAGAGAAAGGGCGTGGACGCGGAGCCGTGGACCATAACTTGGGACTACAATATCGGACTGGTCCGTACTACCCATCTGTTTAAGTGTCTGGGCTATTCCAAGGTATGTGTTCTGCTTTCCACCGATTGAATGCGACGTATGTTCTAACACCGTAGCCATAGACCACCCCCGGCAAGGTACTCAACAACAACAATGGCCTCCGCGAGATCAGTCATAGCATCACTGGAGGAGCGCTTGCGGCTCAAGGTAAGAAGACTCAATGATCCCATCTACTCTTTGACATATGTGACTATGATTGCTGAATGGTTTCCTCTTTGCCAGGCTACTGGATGCCCTTCGAAGCCGCCAAAGCCATTGCCGCCACGTTTTGCTGTGAAATCCGCTACCTCCTGACTCCACTGTTCGGTCTCGACTTCCCTGAGATGTGCATTCCCCCAACAGACCGAGTCAACTTTGGTCGTATGGTCATCGACCCCGCCATCGTGAACGAAGCTGCCGAAACCTCGCGGCGCTACCGTCTGCTCGAGCCTCGGAGCTACGACGAGATGTCCACAACCTCCTTCCCTTCCCATGCCCTAGGGAAGGAAGTCGACTATCCGTCCCGAGATATACGAGCTCCCCATATTCCTAACAAGTATGCTCGACGCAACTACGCTGATAGTATCAGCAGTGCGCGGGGCTCATCATCCGAACCCTATTGTGGCTCGCCTCAAAGTCCCACGCACAGAGGCTTCCTCCCGATCAATAGACCTCCCAGCTCGCATCCGGTGACTCGCACGCCCCATGAATCTTTTAATAAGGCTACCGAGCGCCGGAAGAGAGTCATGAAGGCTACGGGTGATGGGAGTGACTCGGAGACTGAATTCTCGTCGACGTCGCGCTCAGATCTTCATCCGAAGCCGGTGTTTCCGATCCATTATCGAGATGAGCGCGTGTCGGCCGATGGAGACTCGGAGACAGGTCAATCTGAACTCACTTCTTCGGATGATGAGTCCTTGTCAGAAGATGAAGGTGACGAGGAGTACCGAGGGCCACGTACACGAGGCCCATCGAGCAGTGAGATTGCCTGTGGCAAGACCGGGCTCAAGAAAAACCCCTCGCGCTCTGCCAAAGCGAAGAATGGTGAGAAAGGCCCTCGTTCCTGCCGGTTCGCCAAAGAAGTCAAGGCTGCCCATGCCTTGCTCCATTTACACATGCAACAGGCTTCGTCTAAGAATGAAGACGATGATGAGATCATGGAGGATGCCATGCTTGGTCCTCTGTTGGGATGTTTTGGATCTGGAGACAAGAAGAGACGTCGTGCTTCTCTGTGAACAGATTTGAGCATCCCTGAGTAAGAAAGAGTACGGGGTGATGGGGGTATTATGAGAATTATGCATCAAGATCGGTGTTTGGTTAGACTGGACGGCGTTGTTCGGGGAAGGGAATGAGTTTCTGGAGTTTGGCGCTGGACTGCAGATTTGTGGATTTCTCGAGTGTACTTTTTGGTCGTTTCTGTTCAAGTAGCCAGTTGAATTTCAAGCTGTTTGTCAATGAAGAACCCGACCTTGTTAGATTTCGATCATTTTATACGGAAGCATACGACTACAGCTCATCTCAACGAGCCATTTACGAAGGCCATCATATTCCGAGCGTGCAGGCAGGTGAGTTAACGAGCAGCAGGCTCAGGTATCCACTAAATCTTAAGATTCTAGGTACTGTACTTGATTGGAAATGAAGAATATTCAAATTCACGTCATGTAAAACTAGTCGGCTCTGCCTGACCACGACAAAAAAAAATGCAAACTAAAAACACAAGGGGATAAAGAGATCAGAATCCAAGAAAATGAAAAAAAAAAAGGGAAACCAACATCAAATCTCCGTTAAGGGGAAACAATGCAAAACAATGCACCGCGACGCCCGATGAGGTACCATCTAATCACTCTCATCTTCCTCAAAATCATCAGCAGATTCCTCCTCATCACTCTCTTCCTCGACCACGTAGCTCTTCTTGGTCGCCGCAGCGGTGCGGCGAGCGGGACGGCTAGCTGCCGCACGTCGAGGGGCGGGCTCGTCATCCGAGGCGTCCATCTTGCCAGCTGGGGAATCCAGAATGTCGTTGGCCATGGCGTCGATATCGTCCTCGGAGAAGTCGTCGTCTGCAGCCTTCTTGCTAGGGGCCTTGGTCTTGGCTAGCTTAGAGGCATATCCCTTTGCGGCGGGAGAGAGTGCAGGCGCGGCATCCTTCTTTGAACGACCACGAGCCTTAAGAGCTGCAGCTGCCGCAGTCTTGGTAGCAGGCTTGGCTTTGACTGCAGCCTTGGCCTTCGGCGCGGGCTTGGCAGGTGCCTCATCCTCCTCTTCCTCATCGTCATCGTCTTCAATTCTAGAGACATCCTTGGGCTTGACCAGAATCGAGCGACGCGGAGAGTTCTGTGGGATCAGCTTGCTGTAGTCTGTCTCGTCCGCGTCAAACTCGCTGACCTTGGACTTGCTCGGAGCCATCAGGCTGGCACTGCTGCCGGCACGAGAGCGCTCAGAAATGAGAGGCCGAGTGTTCGAATCATCGCCGCCAATACCCTTGACCATCTGGCTCACGTCGCCCAGAAGATCGTCTCCATTGTCGCTATCGGAGTCACTGAGTGCGGTATACTTGACTGGTTTGCGAGCGCGACCGGGCGGGGCGGCCTGCTTGGAAGGTGCCGTCGCACGCGCGATCTCCAGGAACTCATCACCGGAATCGTCATCGGCAGGTTTCGCTTTGGCCTTGGGTCCACGCTTCGCTGCCGGCTTCGGCTTCGGCTTCGCAGCGAGTTCATCATCGTCGAGATCCATAGGATCGGCGGCGGGCTGTACTGACGCACGCGAAGAGTTGACCGCGGGGACTTCTTCAAGATCGAAATCATCGTCCTCTGCCTTGGTCTTGGCCTTTGGCTTTGCCGCTCCTCGATTCTTCTTAGGAAGGATTTCCATATCAAAGTCAAAGTCGGAATCGGAATCGGCAGCGCCGTCAGCGCCTGGCGTAGGCTCCTTGGCCGTTGTCTTGTTGAGGAAGTTAGCCAGGCTGTTGACAGGCTGTTCCTTCTTCTTGGCTGCAGCCGTCTTCTTTGGCTTTGGTGCTGCAAAGTCTGCATCATCGGGATCGTCTCCAGCCGCAGCCTTACGCTTGCGTGCGGCCGCGGCGCCACGACCTCCGCCGGTCATGAGCTTAGATGATGCCCGGCGACCCATGTTCTGCATCTTGCGCAGACGACGCTCCTCGTCCTCGAGCTGGAAGCGCCACTCGTTGATGAACTCCTCCAGATCCTTCTTCCAGATATCCTCCTTGGACAACTTGATTAGATCGTCAACCTCCATCTCACGGTCACCAATCTGGCGACGGAGTCTCTCGACACGCTCTTGAGTAAGCGACCACATGGGCATGCCGAGGAGGTAATCGTAGGAGCTGGACAGGACTTCGACATCCTTGTCGTCGACCTCCTCGGTGTCTTCCATGGCAGGTTCATCCTCGCCCAGCTTGGCGGCATCTGCGACCTTGGCAATCGGCTTGAAACCCTTCTCCTTGAGCTCGAGGACCAGAACGGACTTCTTCTTCTTGGAGATGACGAGGGTTCCCTCAATGATCATCATGATGAAGCGAGCTTGGTTGCTCAACTTCTCAAGTTCCTTCTGAAGCTCTCCGAGCTGGTGCTGCTTGCGTCGCTCGTAGTACTTAAGGCGCACAGTGAAAAACTCCTTGAGGATGTCATCAACAGTGGCGTACTTTGTAATACGTCCCTCAGGATCGAACGCAACCAAGTTGGACGTAGCGATTGTCTTGGAAAGCTTGAACTTCTCCTCCCAGCTCTCCGATGAGGTGGCCTTCATGTTCTTCTCATCAAGCTGGATCACGAAATGGACCTTGCTGTGGGTGTTGTAGTCCCTGTAATCCTTGATGAAGGAGGGGACCTTCTCAGCCTTGATAATATCCTCCAGCTTGTCCTTGAAGTCCTGAGTCCAGGTACGGATAGGTAACTCGGTGATCTCAACCTCCTTATCCCCAGTCTCTTTGATGATACCGCTGAATTTGAAGCGATCGCCGCCCATGTTGACAACCTCGCCAGTGAACCCACGGAACCAGGGTTCCATAGGAACAGTCTCCTGGCCAGCCATCAAACGCTTCAAGTTGGCCACAATATCTTCCGGGTTGTAGTTAGGAATAGAAGAACTCCAACCAGTTCCAATACCATCAGCACCATTGATCAAAATCATGGGCACCACAGGCATATAGGTCTCAGGCTCAATCTTCTTGCCATCATCCTCGTTGTAGGCCAGCAGAGGCTCATCAGCTTGGTGGAAAACCCTCCGGGCAAAGGGTGACAACCGAGTGTAAATGTAACGAGCACTGGCACAGTCACCACCACCTTGGAGTCGACTACCGAAGTTACCGCTGGGTTCAAGACAGTTGATGTTGTTGGAGCCGACGAAAGTCTGAGCCAAACCGACAATGGTTTGCTGAAGCGAGGTATCACCGTGCTGGTAGGCAGTCATTCCGGAAACAAGACCTGCAAGCTCGACAACCTTCATATCCTTCTTCAAGTTACGGCGGAAGCAAGTGTACAAGACCTTGCGCTGACCAGGCTTCAAACCATCGACCATGGATGGGATAGAACGCTGGTTATCAGCCATACTGAACAGAATCAGCTCCTTGTTGATGAAATCTGTGTAGGAAATCTTGGCCATAGAGTGGTCAAGGTATGTGCCGGGCTTGAATTGACGCAGCCACTCCTTTCGCTCGTCGGCCTTCTTCTTCGAGAAAGCCAGCTCGATAAGGGCTGCCTCGTCATCCTGCATGGTATGGAACTCTTTGAGGTGGCGATCGAGATCACGGAAGTAGATCTGGGCATCCTCGGTGGAGCTAGTTCCCAGACCCTTGTAGTACTTGTGGTCCCATCCGCGTTCATCCCTGTGTTCTTCTTTCCACGCCTCATATTCAGGCATTGTGAAGAAGGACCGCGATTTGGTCGGGTTCTTGGGGTCACCCTTCCAGACCTTGATGATGGGAGTGATGAACTCGATCAGGAACTCGGGAATCTTGAGCAAGCTGGGGAACTGCGCCTGGAGGAAGTTGATGAGCAGACCCTTGATGTGACTACCGTCATGATCCTGATCGGTCATGATCATGAGATGGCCATATCGGAGACCCTTCGTTTCGGTGTACTCCTTCTTGTGCTGCAATCCGATAAAGTTCTTGATGTTCTGGATCTCCTGATTCTTGGAGATCTGATCGAACGAAGCATCGCGGACATTGAGCAGCTTTCCACGGAGAGGAAACACTCCGAAAAGATCGGGTCCAACGACTGCACGTCCCGCCATGGCCAAACCCTTGGCGGAGTCACCCTCAGTCAGAATCAGGGTGCAGTGATGACCCTCCCGGGTACCAGCCTTGTTGGCTTCAACCAGCTTGGGGTTGTTCATGCGAGTACGGCGACCGGTATCACCCTTCTTGAGGATTTGGTCTGCCTTTTGGGCGGCAAAGTGCAGGATATTAGACATTACATCGGTCTTGAGGACTTTCTTGTAGAAGTCTTCCTCGAGAACACACTTGCTACCAAACTGACTCTGCTTCGTGGTCAACTGCTCCTTCGTCTGGGAGTTGAAAGATGGGTTGACAATGAGAGCGTTCACAAAGATGAAGATGTGGTTCCGAATCTGAGCCGGCTTCAAGGTAGCACCGGTCTTGTTCTTCTTCTTCACCTGGTCCGCCAGGCGATTACAGATCTGGTCCGCAATGTAGTTGACGTGAGTACCACCAGAAGTGGTGGCGATGGAGTTGACGAACGAGACTTGCTGGAAAGCACCATCTGAGACAGCAAAACCAATTTCCCACCTGGGATCGGGACTGCAGGTGATGATCTCATCCTTGGGGGCAGGGCCCTCATCACCACGCTCCTTGCGGATAGCCTTGGTGTACATCTCCATGTACTTGCGGAAATTGCGAACGGGGACACGAGTGCCATTCAGTTTGACTGCAACGCTTGCTGTACCTGCCAAGTCGTAGATACGGCGTTTCACGAGGGCCTCGAAGTCATCGTCAATGCTCTCCATACCAAATTTGGCAAAATCAGGCTTGAATGTGACTTTGGTGTAGTCATCACCCTTGGCCTCCGTGATCTTTGCTTTGCCCATCTTGGTCATGTTTTCCGTCCATGTCTGTCTGTACCTCTTCTTCTGGCGCGAATCTTGAGTCTCAATGGAGAATTCAGTGGAGAACACGTTGCAGAGCTTGGCACCGAAACCGTTACGACCACCAGTCACCTTCAGCTGCGCATCGTCATAGTTGGACGAGGTCAAAAGGTGACCAAAGATAAGTTCGGGGACGTAGATTTGCTCTTTGGAGTGGATTTCAATGGGGATACCACGTCCGTTGTTCCAGACGCTGATCTCGCCCGCCTCCCGATTGATTGTCACTCGAATTTCGTTCATGTTCTTGTCGTTCTGCTTATTATCGGCGGCGTTGACAACAATTTCGTCGAAGATCTTGTAGAGACCGGGGACGTAGGATACCATGCGGAACTCCATGGATTCGGATTCAGAGTTGTAGACCCACATCTGTTGGGTCGTACGTTCGACTGAGCCGATGTATGTATCAGGACGTTTGGTAATGTGTTCGAGTTGTGTAAGCTAGCAAATCGTAAACTATTAGCAAACAAGTCTCATAATATGATACCATTGCGCGCGCAGCTCACTTTCTGGTACTTCTCTGACGCGCCGCCTTTCTGCTTAGGGGTCTCGGAGGTGGCATCTCCCCCGAATGACTCGTTCTCCACATCAGCGAGAGGCTTCGAGCCGGCCCTCTTGGTCGCAGCAGCCTTCTTCGCCTTGGGAGGAGTCTGAGAGAGCAGGGAGTCGGCATCGTCGTCGGACATGTGAACGTCGGACATTTCGTCTTCGCTGTCAGCCTTGGCCTTTTTCTTTGCCGCGGCAGTCTTGCCCTTGCCCTTCAGTGTAGTCTGCGCTTTTTTAGCTGCGGGTTTGGTAGCAGCCTTCTTAGGAGCAGCCTTTGCCTTGGTTTTCTGTAATGCGAAGAAGTCAGTAACTTGGCACCCTGGTCTCACCACATGAGTTGGACTGACCGCAGCCGGCTTCTCAGGCACAAAGTCTGAGTTGTCATCATCGCTGATGTTAAAGATGGAATCATCGTCCATGATTGAGTCGTCCATGGCGAGGTCGAGTGTCGAGGAGGTGGCGCTGAAAAACCGAAAGGATCGGATTCAGGCCTGCAAACGAGGGAATGATCGGGTCAATAAAGCCCACGAAGTCTGTAAGAAGATTAAAGAGGGTGATGAATGGATTAGAGAGCCAGCATGGCGATGCTGGAAAGGAATTGCTAAAGGAGAGGACGAGTTCTTTGATTCTTTGTTTTGCATGAAACGCGACTGCCAGCGCTTAGTCGGGCGGTGACCGATGTGGCCACTCGGATCATCATTCTTCCTCACCGCCTGCCCCGCGCGTGACCCAAACAGGCAATTTCTAAACAAACCACCAGAGAAGCGCGTCACCAAAAAAACAGCGTAGCATAAAACATAAGAGAATTTAACCAGACCTCTATCATGATCCTTACCACGACATTTAGAAGGAAGTTAGGCGCAAGGCCTGGATGGCCTCCATAGACACAGCTACAGTGGTCGAAGTAAACACGCCGTTCCTTTGAACAGCCGTACGCCAATGTGATCTTGGTGTGACAAAGAGATTGACAGCGGGGTCTTGACTCTAGTAACAAAATCAATGGAGATGGTAAGATAAAATTAGATTCGCGTCAAGTCACTCTTCGATCTCTTTGATCCCCGTCATTGTCCGCCAATAAGCACAGATACTCGCCCCTTTGGTCGATTGGCCCACCTTGTGCATGAGTTAATGGAAGCTTTATCTAGCTACCAGGCATACCCGTCGTGGCTCTCGAGTGTTAGACTTCATGGGGGAGATCATCACACCAGAGAGACAGCAGCGGATGGCAACGAAGCAGATGAGATCTGAGTTGTCAACTTGAGTGAATCTGGTCAATGTTAAACGACTATTAGGTGCTTTTTTCAAAGACCTCATCTATCCTGCCATCTGCTCACCTACCTGGCCGAGGTGGTAGGAGGTCAAGAAGCCATATACAAAGAGAGCATGCGATCAGCATCTATTTTAGATACAGCCCTCCGCTTCGTATTTTGATATCAGAACGTTTCTTCTTATGTCCCTAGAAGCCTGATTCCGCCGGGGTGCGCCTATCGCATTTCATGCGTGCACAGAGATAGATATATTGCCACGGCAGGTAGGCTTGTAATAGCGCCATGCAGGTACAGCCGAGAGTTCTATGATTAGGTACCCTTCGCCCTTGCATGTTTTTTTGCGCTGCAACGGTGCAAACTAGGATGACCGACTGTATTCCCCCCCAGTAATGATTTTATGGGACAGTTTCTCCTAGGTGACCCTCCGCTCTGAAAAGGGAGGACGAGCTGGAGCGAGCTTTGGGTGTTAGTATATGTGTATAACTATGGAATAGATAATGGCGCTGGTCAACATATATCTGCAAGAGTACGAGAGAGTAGACTTGGGTCACCAAGTAAAGGACCTCGACCTCTGTCCTTGTAACAGAACCACAAGATTGATTGAGACAGTCGTTCAAGAAGATCCATTTTTGAGTCAACCTCTAACGTCTTCGGAGGTTATACCCGGTGACGGACCGCATGGACCAACGGTGATCTCCACCGAGGCAGGTGCGACCTCGAGAGATTGACAGGGAATTGTGTCGTGATGGTAGCAGGAAAATTGGCCACACTTCCTGATAGGAAACGGAGAATCCATAGGGTTGATTCCACGTACAGATTATACTCGTAAGAGGGACTTGGACTCCTTGATAGGTTTGCCATCCTTTTCTCCCCCTCTCTGCGCCCAAAGATGAAACTGGGCTGTCAAGGGGGGGTTCGTAACGGAGTTTCACAACCTCCCCCTCGGAAGTTGACCAATGATTGATTTATATACAGAAATAGTCCAATGGACGTTCAAATAGATTACCAAAGTAGATCTTTCTGTATTCAAGATACCACAAATACAGCCATCCCGTTCAGGGATCCTTCCAATTAGAAAATCGGAAGGAAAAGGCTGTGGTACCTGCAGGAATCAGTAATTTCGAAGCCCCGACTATTGTATGTGCTGGACTCCGTACTCCTAACGAATCAAACAGTCTCATCTACTTCATACATAGTGGACTCCTGGAAAGAAGGCCGTAATGAAATCACGAACCCGGGCAGTTCTACGTACTCCGTACTTTTTTCTGGTCGGCGGGATCGCACTTGTTCTCTGGCACGGCGATCGGGAGGGTCGCGAGGCGCGGAGGAACTTGGTAAATAGGGGACTAACCGCCCACCTTGGGAGAATTCACATCGCAAGAATGACAACAATAATGATAACAACCCCTCTGCTTTTCCTTCATGGACATGCCAAGAATTGAAAAGGACTAGCCTTTCCAATATTAAATAATAAGCCCTTATTGATGGTGCTGAATGCCCATCAGACAGTCGGTGTATGAGCGATCGACGGGGGGCCGAGACCTCCTGGAGGGGAAAACACTAAAGGGGGCTAGCGAAAGAGTTGTGGATATTCCACTCCTGAAACTCGCTCCCTTTTTCTTCTTCGCCAGCCTTTTCGCCTTTTTCGCTGCAGCCAGTTTGCGACAAAAACCATAGTTGCGGTCCTTGATGGTGCTGGATCACCTCCAGGTGCGTTTCGTTCCTGGGTTCCCCTCGTCGCCACGGCGCCAGTGCTGATCTCGTTTGCCGCTCAGAGATGAAGCTGGTCTTGAATAATTACACAACTCTCCGTCACCCGCTTTCCAGAGTCTAATTGCCTGGTCCTCGGTGACTACTTGATCATACCGCAAAGGGTAGTCTTGATTCACTTGCAGCAAGATGGACAACTTCGAACCCGCGTCGCCGGGTGTGCCACACGCCCCCAACCACGACTCCATGGTGACTGTCTCCCTTTCCGATATCCAGTCCAATTCAGAGCACACGCAACCGGACTGGCGTACTCTCGACATCCCTCCGACACCTGTCCTGGCGACCCAGGAGTCGGAAGCCATCAAGAGCAAGACCGAGTCATTTGGGCCCATGGCCCTGCTAGATGCCGCAAGGACGACCCCCATTCCCGTCGACGAGCCTCCGACCCCAACCTCAGCAGACCCCAGACATGTGAACGCCGAGCAGCCAGGAGAAGAGGATAGCGAAGTAGATTGGGAGAATCTGGATCGAACAGAGGAGCAGGAGCCGCGTGGAGAGGGATCGGACGATGTAGGTTGACAGGCCAAGCGCATTCTTCCCCCTCATGGACCGTGCGGTGTAGCCCGTGGAATGTGAGATTGACAATTTGCTCGTGATCTAGTCAACGGCTCTACTGCTCGCTCGCCTGGAGCAAGAGAACAATGCACTCGCTACCAACCCCAAGTCGGGGTTATCCAATACCCCTCGCATCCAGCGGCACCAGCGACAATCTCGTTCGCAGTCGCTCGTCCAGATCAAGAAATTGATTAATGAACCTCCGCGGTCGGAGCTGCGTTACTCGCAACTCCAACCCCCTCCGATGACCGAGCTAGAATTTTGGGCCGCCCTGGTGGCAGATTACCCGCAGACAGCTCAGCGACTGCCTACTTTGACGTCTAATAAGATCCAACAGGGTGTTCCTCCGCCGCTCAGAGGCGTGGTTTGGCCTAGCTTGGCCGGTGCTCGTGATCCAACCCTGATAGAGGAGTTCCAGCGATTGTCTGGCGAAAGCAGTCCCTACGATGGTCTGATTGGCAAGGATATCGGTCGCAGTTTTCCTAATGTTGAGATGTTCCGAGATCCTAATGGCGAGGGCCAGCAAATGCTGGCTCGAGTTTTGAGGTGTTTTAGTTTGTATGATGCCAAGATTGGCTACTGCCAGGGTCTTGGCTTTGTCGTTGGGCCGTTATTGATGCATATGTCCGATGCAGAGGCTTTCTGTGTGCTTGTCCGGTAAGATCTCGCGCAGAAAGAGAGTTTATGCATCAAATACTAACAGAACTGACTAGACTGATGGAGCATTATAACCTTCGGACCTGCTATCTCCCAGATCTGTCAGGCCTTCACCTTCATGTCTACCAGTTCCAAAACCTCCTGGCAAGGCATCGCCCCGAGCTTTTCCAACACCTGGAGTTGTTGAATGTTGAGCCAGTGTATGTGTCTCAGTGGTTCTTGTCGTTCTTCGCAGTGGCCTGCCCATTGCCAATGCTTCTTCGAATTTACGACGTAATTTTCCTTGAGGGTGCCTGTGAAACCCTGATGCGAGTTGCACTGTCTCTGATGCAGCGCAATGAGAAACGCATTTTGGCCTGCACCGAGTTTGAGGATGTCATGCAGTTACTGCTGTCACGCAGCTTGTGGGACACGTGCGTATCTCCTTATCGATAACCCCCGCGCCATATCGCGATAACACACTGACGTCGTTGCCCAGATACGCTTTCAATGCCGATGACCTTGTCAATGACTTTGTTTCTCTGACTTCCCTCGTCACCAACGAGAGTCTCCAGGCCCTCGAAGTCAGCTACAACCAGTCCCAGGGTGTACCCACTGGAATTTCCTTTCCTCAGATGCAAGCAGCTGCATCTCGGTTCCTCGGTCGACTTTGGGCGGGATCCAGTTCTCACAATTCTGTCAAATCTCTCAACCCAAACACAAGTCCATCGCGTCCCGCTAGCACCATTCGTCGCTCTACATCTAAACAGAGCTTGACTTCGACCTTGAATTCTGTGGAGTCAGCATCTGACGCGAGTACAGCCCCAACTGAGCTATCAGCGACGGTTAACAGTGATCAGAAGTCACGCAAATCCAATATGTCGGCGCACCACAAAGACCGTGATCTACACACGCAGATCGAGGATCTGTTGATGGCACTGAGCGACCTCCAACGTCAACAAGCTGATTTGACACGTGAACTACAACAGGAACGGGAGGAACGCGAAGAAGAACAGTCCTTGGTAAAGGATATGCTCAAGCACATCCAAGAGCAGCCTGTCGAATCACAGCCCCAAGAACTGATCGCAAAAGCGCAAGCTCGCTTTGCAACCAGTGAACCCAAGGAAGGCTCAATCTCCCAAACCAAACAGCAGCTTTACGATGATATGACTCGATGGAAGGAAATGCACGAGTTGGAAGCCAGCCGTGGTCTAGACCTGACACGGCGCATGGATGACTTTGAGAAGGAGAATGCCTCACTCAAAGAGCAGTTGCGCGAAGCTCGCAGCCGAATCCAAGATGGATACCGCGACCGCCAGCGACTGGAGCGTCTGAACAAGGAACTGCGTGCACTCAAGATGCCCGAATCAACACCCCCGCCCGAGGCTGCCTCCGCATCCGCTGATTCCGAGTCGGCTTCCCCCACTGGCGGGCTCCGTGAACTGAGACTGGTCCGGACCAATTCGCATAAGACCCCGACCTTCAACAAGCGCTCAAGCAGCTTGGGTCTTCAGACCGTGCTGGCCACCGAGAACAACAAGCCTGCCGCTGAAGATTCTCTCCTGCTGGAGTTGGTCAACGCCAAGACTGCCGAAGCCGTTGCCAAGCAGGAGCTCGAGGAAGTGAAGGGCAAATTGGATGCATTGCGAAAGATGATCAGTAAAACCCATTCTCAGCAGGGCGCCAACCTCGAGAACCGCCATTCCTTCCTCGGCTATTCGCCTTCTCAAGCTAGCATCTCCCAGTCCGCCACCGAGCCTGTCAGAACCCCTGGAACTTCCAGTAATGTTGGCGCAGGCGGTGGTGGTTTCTTCAGCGGATGGGGCCGACGAGCTCCGCCCGCAAATAATGAGTCCCCGTCATGAGAGGCACGAGGTGCCACTTCTGTAACTTGTGACTTCATGACATGTGGCAGAAAGTTGTCAGCCATCTTGATGTGCAATTAATCTTGTTTAGATTTCGTGTCAAAATTTGTTCTGAGCTGAAGGGTTCTTCTTTCCTGTCTGTTACTAGCTTGTACATAGATGATATCCCCCTCCCGAAACCGAGGAGAGAATTGCACGTTACCTTTCTACTGTGAGGCTGCTATTAATTCCAAGCTTGATTCTTTTCATGTTTGCGCAATACTTTAGCTAATCTTTGTACACTGGAATATGGCAGAGCCATTCGCAAAACAATCACGAAGAAACACCCTCGATAATAACCTTGATAACACTCTCCTTTCCTTGCCGAACCAGATCAAAGGCCTCTTCAGCTTGCTCGAACTTGAACCGATTAGTGATCAAGCGCTTCACATCGATCTTACCACTTGCGATCAGGTCAACCGCAGTTGGGTAACATCCCGCTGTATAGCGAATGGATCCTCGAACATGAATATCCCTAATACAAACAGTCGTGATGGGGAAATCGACATTCTGCCAGGAAATCAGTATCTCCCCCCAGCATTATGGTAGTCTCCGACTCACTTCGCGACCCATACCCGCCTGCACATAAGTGCCACCCTTTCGCACCAAATGTATACCAGTCTGTATACAAGCCTGGGCCCCAGTAGCTTCGAGAACCACATCAGGTCCCTCACCCAGGTCGAACTTCTCCTTCATTATCCTCGCCACCTCTTCACTCCAAGCACTATCATTCACACCCTCAGGTCTCGCAGGAGGCACGAATACGTCATCTGCGCCGAACGTTCGCGCAAACTCCGCTCGAGACTGACTGATATCCACCCCAATCACCTTCTTCGCCGCGTATGCCTTACTAACAGCCTGGCAGAGCAATCCAATCGGTCCGCAGCCGAAGACGACAACCGTCTGGTTGGGCTTCACGTCACCGACCTTGGTGATTTGGACTGCGACAGCGACTGGTTCCACGAGCGCGCCTTCTTCAAGGTTCATGTGTGCGGGTAGTGGATAGCAGTAGTCGGCTTGGGTGAGATAGTATTTGGATAGTGTGCCGTCGTGAGGGGGGTGTCGCGGCGAAAACGGTATCGGGGCAGAGATTGTAGGAGCCGCTGCGGCAGTAGTTGCAGCTTGGTCTGTTGTTAGCGCTGTGGTGGGGTTGAAATTGGTGAAGATGGGACGTACTGTCTGCATGGTACGCCTGGTTCGATGGCGACTCGGTCGCCTGGCTTGAGGTTTTCCACGGCTGAGCCTACTTCGATCACAGTACCGGAGCTTTCGTGGCCGAGGACAATGGGTGAGTTTAGGATGAAATCTGGTTGGGAGAGGGATGAGCCCTGAGTTTGGAAGATGTTTCGAGACGCTGTGCTTACCTCCGATGCGACCCTTCTGCCAGCTGATGGTCAAGTTAGTCTCAGGATTAGCGTGAGCTATAATTGAGGACATACTAGTGGACCTATTCGTTATACTTCATATTAGCCGAATTTTCTGGATATAGAAGGGTAAAGCAGACGACTAACATCACTGCCGCAGATACCAGTCTGCGCCACTTGCACAATGACATCCCAAAGGTCCTTGAGCTTTGGCGCCGCGCGATCCTCAATAGCCACATCCTTAACCGCACGCAACACGAATGAACGGTTCATTTCCTGCAATGCACTTAGCGTGGGACTTTAAGTTAGGGCTTTGCGTATACATACACCCATTCTGTCTTACGGTCGCTGTTCTTGACAAGAGATCGATCGTGTCCAAGGTGAAACACGTAGGATTTAAGTATCATCTCGAGCTTCTCTTGTACTTCCATCATAGCTATGCCCCGCTGGATTCTCTGCACCCGGACTGGGTCGTCCGTTGCACGGCGACACCACCCCGTTGACAGTCACAATGCGGAGTGGAGAGTACCCGCCGTCAGACGTCCGTCCCATGGCGGTGTAACAGAGTGTTCGAGGTACCATACTGGAACCCGAGAGTTACCCACATATTAAATACAAACACAATAGGAAAGGTGGGACACATCTACTGTAGGTTAATCTCATGTCACTGGAATGAATGGGCCTACACTCATTCTCGGAATTGGCTTGATCAATACGCACTGAGCAACTCTTCCTTGGCCCTACCCCTAATACCTTAGCGTAAAATCTTATTGAAGAAGCCGCACTAAACCGAGGGCCGCAATATCAAGCCGCCATATAATACTGATGCCTTTGGAGGTTTATCGTTCAAGAATCAAAGAATAAAAAACGATGCATGTAATTTCAGGCAACAGTTACTGGCCCATGCCAAAGCATTTTGTCTTGCCCCTCGATTTAGTGCGGCTTCAATAAGTTTTCCGCGGTCAGGCCTTGGCCGGAGGAGGGAGGGGAAGCACGGATTTGCTCAGTGTGTATTAGTCAAGCCAATTCCGAGAATGAGCCTAGGGTGTCAACAATTTCGAGACATACTGTACTATAATTATGTGCGAAGGAATGTAAAGAGTGTTTTAGCCTCTGATACAACATGTCAGCCGAATTCCCCGTGTTGAGGGTCATAGTGGCACATATATGTGGCTGGTTCTAGACCCTGCAATCGTCAGACCACATACGTATAAGAACTTTCACAGGTAGTCATTCCAGGGAACAAGAGGTCTCGATTCCATGAAGTTCATGACATCGGTGGCGGTGTCATCCAACCGCTGGAGATATAAACGGCTCCGCCCTCCTCTATTGCATATATCATACGTAGCAAGTCGACATCCAATTTTAACAATAATCCTTCCGTCCCAATCTTATCATGAAGCAACTGGGAAAGACGTTGGCTTTGTGGTTGGCTATTACGGGGACGACAGTCACCGCGGCCGCCATACCCGCGAAGAAGCTTACCATCACACGCACAAACCGGGATTGCGGTGGCGCTCTCATTTCTCCTGAGACTGATCCCTTCGGATTTGTCAACCTTGTAAAGCCAGCTTCAGGCAAACTCGTTGCAGCTATTGTACTACAGGGTGCCACGCCTACCGCTACCTATAAGGTCCGGCTGCTTCAGGTTCCGAGATCTCCACCTTGTTATAGTAATGTTCCCAGCACCACATTGGTCACAGACAGCTTAGGTTATGGGAACACCAATTTTCAACAGCCGCTGGACCCGACTGCAACAGCTGCGTTTGTTGATCTGAACAACCTTGCTGATCCCAACGATGACTACTTCACTACTAACCCGGACAACTTTATAATCCGTCCACCAGCATAGGTGTCGGAATCACAAGATGTAGTGAAGACATCGGGTTACGGATTATCAACTTATCAGCTTGTCTTTGATCTTACAACTTGGGTCTTTGTGTCAATTAAGATTGTATCTAAATCAAGGGATTTATTCAGCAATTCAGTCATCTGGTGATTCCATTGGTGGGGCTAGATATTGATATCGACTATTCCATGTAACGAGATAAGGACATATACAGTGATTCTAAAAATTGCCTTGACCGGTACATACTGAAACACTCCTCTTGCTACTGCCAAGACATTAGCGCAGGTTATTCATTAGGCTGGTCACACTAAGCTGAGGACCTGGCGCAATGGTACCTGGTGCGGGTTTGTATCTTTCCCTCCGGAAGAATATATCGCACGCTTTGAATGTAGTAGTTAATTACTCATCAATCGTCCAACATCCGAGGAGAAACATTCCTTAGAGGCGATCACTAGTTCATTAGAACCATAAACCAAGATTTTCTGGATATTCTCGTGAACATGTTAGAGTATTGTTCGAGAAATCCATACCGACCATTAGAAGACTACATTATATAATAGGTTCCGGTACGTCTGGCGGCAAAAGAACTATAGTTAATAGCACTGCTACCAGCTCGATATCTGGCAACTCAAGCGGAATGCTTCTCTCTCTTGTTATACTTGTGACCGCAACTTGCGGCGCTATGGCTTTCCCGTTCGTTAAGAGACAAGCCTTGCCCCCTCCTTCATAACCCTACACTTCTAATCCTTTCAAGTTTAACCACTATTTGTTCAGGAGATATGGCTCCCTCCAAGACTCTCTCATGGAAAGCTCGTTCTTATAAGTGATATTATTAGAGAGAGAGAGTCCTTCACCACATCTAAAGTGGCTATGGTTAGCGCAATATCATTGAAGCCAATAGGAGCTTGTATGTGGCAGACCGGCTTATGCTTATGACCTCATGAAATCCTTCCGCATTAGGATAACATCGGTGGGGCGTATCCCAGTTCCTAAGGCGGTCTGCCATATGCAGTCGCGTATTGGCTTGAATAAAAATGCGCTAACTACCTTAGGCTTAGTGTTTCATTACTCATCAATTGTTCAACACCAAAGGAGGATCCTGGAGAGGGTCGCTGGTTCATTGGGACGAACCATTGACCAAATTTCCTAGATACGTTCTTTAACCTCTTTATTGGTATTACTTAAGAGATCTAGATCATGCCACTTACGATACTCCATTACCCCTATATCAAAAAGTAACTAGTAGGCTGGACTTGGTTTCCAAGAACTTTTTAATTGTCTCTCGGTGTAGCTAAGACACTATAAGTTTATAGAGCGCTTTGATAAGACCAAAAAATTACTTCCCTGGCAGCATTATCTTCTGTTGCCGGCAGCAGGGAAAGGGTTCCAATATCATTACTGTCTGCTCACAAGAGGTACGCCGTAAATTTCGATGGTTCAGTTCTGAGAGATGGCAGTCAAGAACGCTGGAGTGCCGGACGGTATACCTACCCCTCCATCAAAACGAACTAGCCAGCCAAATCCGGGGCTGAATAGTGTCACCGACCCAAAAGACAACAAGAGAATCGTGTCTCACCAAATCACGGTTGCTGGGTCTGTAGACAAAGAGGAAACAGACTGACCGATAATTTCCAATCTCATAATCGCTGCCCTCGGCTTTCTTCTGGCCGTGCCAGTTTTCGCTCTTACTATTGAGCAGTATAAATATGCCAAGAATTCTGTACAGATAGGTGATGCTGCGAACAAAATCGCCCTTGTCCAGTATTGCCAGAACGAAGTGAGCCCTCATCCCCCCTAGCACAGTATGTTCAGGGCTCAACGTGTAGGCTGATAATCTTCCTCAAAAAGCACCTCTAATGGTTGTTCTGCCGTGAACAATAACGCGTCGCAAATCATCAGCTCCGTCGTGATCTCAATTTTCTCTACCTTGACATTCACACATGCTCCACCTAGCGTAGGCGAGCCTACCGGATCACCTATGTCTAACTCTGGCACGGCATCTCCATCCCTTCCTCCTGCACCGCTTACGCCAGTCCCAATATTAGGGAACCAAATCTCCCATGGATTGTCCAGTAGCGTTAAGCTAGGTATTGGTCTTGGGATATCCAGTGCTGTTATAATCGTAGTTGCTGTAGTCACCTGTTGTTATGGGCAGCGTCAAAGGAAGAATCAAAGGAAGAAAAGTAAGATTGAGGTTGCGATGCAAAGTGACCGGGAAGCTTGAGAGGAGTGATCTAGGGCTGGTATGTGATATTCTTGCAGCAGATTGCAAAGGGCTTCTATCATTGGCCATGTCACGATTTTTTCTCTGATCTAGTCAGGTCTGGAGCGCGAGGATACTTCCAAATCGCTGTACTTTCTGCAAACATTTCCAATCGAAGGCTTGTTGTTTTTGTATTCCTTGGTCATCTGAAATGTGATGGAAGCAGGGGTATCTACTCCATACACATTACAATTGAGATAGAGCTTCGAGGCTGGGAGCCATGGAGTCATGTTGTCAGAGCTGGTTCTTGATCATGTTAGCTGAAATGCCGAAGGGTATTAGCTCTCACCCTTCTGTTGCCAGAGACTCTCCATCTCTTCCTTGGAGGGTCCTGTCTAGTTTTTCCAAACTCACCGCCCAGAAGGTGTTTACGGTCACAATTTATTAGAAATCGCAGATTTGCTGACAAATAATTCTAATGGAGGCCGTGAGACAAATTTCAAGGCGCTTGGCAAAGTTTAGTCGATAACCATAAGAAGCAGGAGAGGAAATAGTCAACCTAAAGTGCGCACTGGGTGAGCGATATGCAGTAAGCGCTTCCTCCACCCTCCACGGGGCTAAGACAAGGACACCCATCTCGCCAATAATGAGGTTACTTTTATGGTTCGAAGGGTGCAATGATCTCCATTGCAGCGATTACATTGAGTACCTTCGGGCAACCTGGAATTGGCCTCCAAGGGTAATTGTCCCGGCTCGGCTGGATTATGCAATGCTGGCGTGGGCATCGAGATAGGGCTTAAAGATGAATTTGGCGACATAAATACTTTACTAAGGACGGATTAATTTTCTACGGCGGAGAAAATTACTCCAACGCGAGAACTGCGGACGCTCAGACAGATGGTGATCAACGGGGTCCTTCTAAGACTGACAAGAAATGCGCAATTTCTCTTAATGCTGTTCATTTCAGAGTAAAGTAGAGCGAAGGAGACAGGAGAATGTGTACGTGAGTCTACATGACTAAGTGATGCGGGGTTAGCTTCCAGACGAGTTATCGCCTAAAAAGGCAGGAAGCGGCGATTTCGGTTTTCATCGCTCGACAATCGTTGATAATAGCGGATGGGAACATATAAAAGCCTTCAAGTTTCTTCAGAATGATAAAAAAGATCAATCTTTGATTTTCCAAAGGCACTTACCAAGATCCAAAGCAAAAATACTTCATCTGGTCTCATTTCTCACTAAACGAGCTCAATATGAACCCTCTGCAGATTGCTGTTGTCGGTCTTGGGCGTATGGTATGTTTGTTTTCTCTGCTCGACAGCACCAAAATAAATTTTTTTATTGACATTGAATAGGGCAAGCGACATGTTCATACCCTCTTGTATCGTGTCCCACGAGCTAAAGTTGTGGCCGTGTGCAGCACAGACCCTCAGGAGATCAAATGGGCCCAGGAGAATGAAGAATACAGAGAGTTTGGAATTGCTGTTTATAGCAACTATGATGAGATGCTAGCCCACCGCGGCTTGCAGGCTGTGTGGATTTCCACAAGCACCGATGTTCATGCGAGCCAGTCATTGGCGGCTATTGCGAAGGGAGTCCATGTGCTCTGTGAGAAGCCGTTGAGTACCGACCTTGTAGAGGTATGAGCTTCACTATCCAATCCCATATTGAGTTATTGAAGGACTGACAAATAGGGAATAGGCTCAATCTGTTGTCGATGCTGCTAAGCAGAACCCTTCAGTAAAGGTCATGGCGGGCTTCTCTCGCCGCTTTGATGCTTCGTACAGGGACGCAGGCCATAAAATCTATGATCAGAATGCTATCGGATCTCCCTTTATGGTTCGATCGAACACTTGCGACCTACGTGATGAGACTGGATTCTTTGTCCGATATGCGACGCGGAATGGCGGTATCTTTGTCGACTGTGCCATCCACGACATCGATCTATCTCTGTGGTATCTCGGCAGCCCTGTTCCTAAGGCTTGCTGGGCCGCAGGTACACTTCAGCATCACCCAGAGCTCAAGGAACTCTCTGATGTGGACAATGCCGTTGGCATCGTTGAGTTTTGGGGTGGAAAGATCGCTTATTTCTACTGTTCCCGCACGCAGGCCCACGGCCACGACGTCTGCACCGAGATTACTGGCACCCATGGTAAGGTGATGGTGAATGTTATTCCTAAGCAAAACAATGTTGTTCTTGCCGATAAGCTGGGTATCCGCCACGAGGTACAGCCAGAGTACTGGCAAAGATTTGAAGATGCATTTGCCCTGGAGGCCAATGAATTCATGGAAGCCATTCTTAAGGATAAGGATGTCCCTGTGAAGCTTGAGACTGGAATTAAGGTGATGAAAATTGGACAGGCCTTGCAGCATGCTCTTCTTTCGGGCGAGGTTGTTCGATTCAATGAGAGTGGCGAACGGTTGAACTAGGTTCGTGTTTATTCTTCGAATCTAGTTCTAGGAAAGACGACTCAGAGGTAACAGCATAGAATCCCCAGATATTAGAGATATGGATTCAGTTTCAAGTGGCGAAATAAATATTTCTTATTTTAAAGTTTGTCCCGATATTGCAGTAATCCAGATTTTGGCTACGCTATGATGAGAATCCAGGGTTGTGGATGTTTAAGAAATATGGAGCTTGATAGGAAATTGAAGTCTTAATGTAAATACATAGCAAGATGGTATTCTGAGTGCGATGAGAACATGGGAGTGTCTATCCACAAACGGCTTCCTCTCATATACCAAAAGGGTCCCTAAGTCTAGGTCCATTTCTAACGTATGTTTAAATCTTCACCGTTCATAATCGCACCCCAAAGTTGTAAAAGCACAATTTAAATGTGAAAGCTACGATCCTCATCGAATCAATAACTTGAAATAAATGCACAAGAATCCGTTCGTTTGGCTATGTAATGCAGCTCCGCTTAAACGCTGATTGTTTGAAGGCAAACCGGAATGCGGGGTCACTTCCCCAAACTGGTAATTTCGATGGATGCGGGGTCCTCATCCCCGCATTTTACCCTATAAGGGAGGCAACGCCGCCCCTTGCGAGGTATCCTATCGTCAAGTGATTAGATACTCAATATGGGTGACTTGCAACAGAAACATACTCGAAACTGAACATGTCGTCAGTCTCCTCATTTGCTAAAGGCCCCTGCTTGAACTGCCGAGGTAAGCTAGTAACACCCTGCACGAGTTCGAAGGCGTTGCTGATTAAACGTGTAATAGCGAGCCACCAAAAATGTAAGAATCTCATTCCAGCATTGTTCATGCAATAAATATTTCATTTATATGTATCACTCATATGGCCGATAGGTGATAAGCGAAAGCCAGTTTGCAAGCGCTGTGACAGAAAGGGGCTTGATTGCAAGCCCGTACAGAGGAAAGCAGTCTTTCGACATGGCTCCACGGCCAACTTGGACGCAAACTTCTCAGGTGGCCAGGTGTGGGTGAACAGCAAACCAAGAAACTGGAGACCAACGAAGAAAAAGTCAGCACCGGATACTTCTCCTTCCGACCAGGTGTCAGCACCTTGGGCTGCTGGAGACTCTCGAGGTGCTTCTGAAGCACGTATCTTCGAGAACCAGGCAGTGATCGATTCTTTGTCTCCTCTCAAGTCGTACCCCATTGGGAATGATCAAATTGAAAATGGAGAAGCTTCACAAGAGACCTATCAGTTCCACGACTCGGATAGAGTCAATGGCCACTCACCTAACAGCCCCTCGAGACTGGTTTTGACATCGAATGCAACGCCACCAACAAGTATTCATGAGATAGAATTTTCTCCTGGTTCTGAATCTGCAGCCAGGTATCTAGAGACCTCAGGGTATGGTCATATAGGCCATTCTAACTATCAAACTTTGACGAGAAGCAGTACTGCAACAACTCACGATGTGGCTTCCCCCTCTTCCTCTTCACGCAATGATCTTGCACCAGCACCAAGGGAAGCCCTGCAAGAAGCTTGTCTGCTCCGATATTTTATTGAAGAATTATCACCATGGGTAAGAAGCAAACTTATAGCGACGTTCAGCGATGAAATTGACGTGAGTTCAGTTTGACCATTGTGACGAGCGTCGGCATTTCCAACTCGTTGTACCTCGTCGAGCACAGCATTGTGCGACTCTTCAAAACGCCGTGTTCGCCGTATCGGCGCGCCATCTTTGCCGGCTGCCACAGTACAAAACTGCTAATGGAATCGTGTATCAGGGGCAGCCACTTCCTAATCTGAACAAATCCAGTGCACTGGAGTACATGCTCAAGTGTATACCGGATCTCATCGAGTTCCCCAACATTCAGGACCCTTCACATCAAGAGAATATTATGGCAGCGACGGTCATCTTACGGCAGTGTGAAGAAATGGAAGAAGAGATGGAAGAGAGTGAAATTCAGTCCGTGCAACATGGAGCCGTGAACTTTCTTGCAATTACCCACACGATCATTGACTCTATGAGCGCATCCCCGCTTGACTCTTCCCTTGCCACTGCCACCTACTGGATTACTGTTCGGCAGGAGATCTACTTTGCTTTTACAAGGGAAGCCGTTCCTCATCTACGATTTGATGTCGATCGCTGGCTCAATGCTTCCATAGCAAACACGATGATTACGTTTTCAGGACAAGTTTCCACATGGCGCTGGGGTAGTAAGTCAGCCGAGGAGTGGGGTGAGTATTACTATCTATCGAACATTGTTGACATTTTCTCCTTGAGGCGCTGACCCAAATCTATGTTAGCTCGACTCAAGGCCCAAGAGAATCAGCTCCTCCGCGATTCTTCCGGGGAATTGAAACCGATTCTCAGTATAAAGGCAGAACCAACAAAAGGAAGGATATTTCCAACGGTGTGGTACAGTTTTGACGTTCAAGTGACTGCAGTTCAGCACTTTTTACTTGCGCAAATGATCTTGACTGCAGAAAACCCTCGTCTCGAGTAAGTTTTCATAATTAAAAGTCTTTTAATGCTACAAGCTAAACCAAAATTCTTTCCAGTGGAGCGAACCGAGTCACTCATCGAAAAGCAGAGGCACGGGTCCGGTCCTTGGTCCTGGACATCTGCGGAATAGCCCTGTGCCATCTCCGAATCCAACCTGCCTTGGTCAATGCAGTAATTGCAATCACATTATATGGTGAATACTTTACGAATCCAGAAGAAAGGGAGGCGCTTCTTGGAATCATCAACATAACCAACAATATACGAGCGTGGCCGATGAGAAAGCAATATGAAGATGTGCAACGGCGGTGGAATATGGTAGATAGCGCGGAAATATGAACTATACACGAAAGCTATGAGCAACTCCAGCATGGCGAAGTATTTCTGGCCTTCATTCAATACTTCTTGAAGCATTTTCTTTCCATAACTTGATAGCATTTCGCTCAAACTTGTCTTACGGTAGTTGCTTAGATGCTTTATGCCTGAAGTGTTAGGCATAGATCGGACAATCTCCGAACCCGCTGTTGAAAATGAGAGACGGTCCCCAACCCCCGCTCCTGCGACTCCGCTACGCACTAATCTGAATTGACTGCGATATACAAATAATAATGTCAGACTTAGTATCACCTATGCCAAGCCCGAGCGTTGATACACAGAATAATACTCAGCGCCCCCAAGCCGAGCAAGCATGCAAAGAATGTCGTCGCAGGAAGTCCAGGGTGAGCGCTTTGAAGTTAAATATGTGACGATACAGGAGTACTGATCTTCCTCCAAAAGTGCGATCGAATTATGCCGGCATGCTTTTTGTGCCGTAAATTCCAACGCCAATGTCTTTACGAAAAGCTAGCTAAAGCACCGCTCACTCGACGTTACCTTAACGAGGTGGAGAATGAGCTTAGACAGGCTAAGGAGCTACTGAGGCAAGTGTTGCCAGGAACAGACAACAACAGCGTGAACTTTGGAGAGCCAATACATGGAGGCCATGCGAATCGTTCTGACAATGGCCCTGGGTCGTGCCGACTACAAACAAGTACCGACTTTATACACGACCAGAGACACTCTGTTCTTATGCAGCAAGACCAAGACCGAATTGAGACCAGTGAAAGCCTATCCCGACCACAGAGACAACACACTTTTGTTCCACAAAATATCCGACGACAACGAACTTCGAGTAATCTCGAAGGTCGTTCCCTTGGTCCGTCCGGCATATCTCTGGAAACACCACCATCTACCAGTAACTTCGAATGGGATGAGCGAACTGGCAATGCAGATGGAGATAGATTTGTCGACGGCATGGCCAGCTTGACTAGCAGCTTGAATGAGGGTGGATATCTCGGTAGGTGGCTTTCGTCTCTGCTGGCCGCGGATACTAACATTTCTCAAGGAGCTGCGTCTGGCGCTGCACTCCTACGATTAACTGATAACAGGCCAACTGAGACATCAGGCCATGCAGATCATATTGCGCGAACGACCACTCAGCCTCCCACTAGTGTCCCTTTTGCCTTGACTTCACTTGGTCAACTAGAGCCATTTGTTGAGGCATACTTCTCCCTCTATCATCGATCATATCCAATTGTCCATGAAGCCACATTCCGTGCCCAGTTCATGGAGGTCATTCCACGACCGAATGGACAATACTGGCAAGTGTTACTATTTGTAGTAGCAGCCACAGGGGCTTTTACTGCCTCTACCCAACCGACAGATGTGGACCTCGGCCTTTTCAAAGCGGCAAAAGCGCGACTGACCATCGATATGCTCGAGACTGGCAACTTAATCCTAGTGCAGGCATTGACCCTGATCTCAAATTATATGCAGAAACGGAACAAACCAAATTCAGGATACAATTACATGGGATTGGCGCGACGCATTGCTATGGGCATTGGGCTTCACAAAGAGTTTCCGACCTGGGATGCTAGCCTATTCACGACAGAAATGCGAAGAAGGGTGTGGCATTGTCTTTACATTTTCGACGTCGGTGCTATAATTACGTTCTCGCGACCTCTAGATTTCCCAGACGAGGGAATCGATGTGGAGCTTCCCATGAATGTGCATGATCTTGTAAGGAGCATGGTGCCTCAGTGTTGGTCAACACGTTGCTAACGATTTCTCAGGACATAACCTCAGGGACAAAGCATATCCCACAGTCAGCGAATGAAACCACGGTCTATACACATCTGCGTGCACAGGCAGCATTTCACACGGCCACCAGCCCAATATACACAAAACTCATCTCATCACCGTTTCCTTCGGCATCGGAGATGATCGAGCTCGATGACACACTGATCGGCCACTGGCTTGTGTCACTTCCTCCATTCTTTGGTGAGAATGTGATCCAGGAAACAAGGTTTCGTCTGTGCCATTCAATTCTGCGATGGAGATACCGAAACTTTCGCATTCTCATGTATCGTCCGTTCCTAGTTGGACGACTGATGGCCCGGCCCGGCTGGGCCTTGGGAGCTCAAGATAAAGACGAACATGTCGACTTGGCCATAAAGCGTTGTCTGAACGCCGCCCAAGAGTCCTTGGATTTAATATCAACATTCTGGACTCAGGAACCAAAGACAATGATGGCTTGCTGGTATGGGCTCTACTTCCTATTCCAGGCAATTCTGATTCCAGTAATTTGTCTGCGAAACGATCCCCAGGCTGCTCTCGCTATGAGCTGGCGTGAACAAATATGTCAAGCGATGCCTATTCTGGAGTCCATGGCTCAGCTTAATCCGACTGCACTCCGTTGCTTGGAAAAAGTACAGTCCCTCTGTGGAGCATATCTTGACCCTTCTGTTGATGAATGGGGCCAACCTACCGAAGAGTCACCACAGACACAGCTTGCGAATTTGTATCCTTTGATGTGGCCCACGTTGGAAATGACGCAATTAGACGGAGTGGATTCAGTTCTACAGGAGTCGACTATTCTGGATTTTATGAACCAACTACCTGGAGTCGAGTGAATGCCTTTGTGGAGATATTTGACAAAAGGTGTGTCAATTAGTTCAATTTTTCAAGAGAAATACGGAGACAAGTCTATGGATTTCTGTCTGACCAATCTATGGCAAGGTATAACCCCCATCAATGACTATATTAGCACCCGTCATGTAGCTTGAAGCATCAGATGCGCAGTATACGTAGGCCTAGGAATACGAGTTAGCTCTGACTGCATAATTGAGTATGCGGCCTTACCCCTTTCAACTCATAAGTTTGTGCCATGCGCTGGGCAGGAATCATGCTGAGCCACTTTGTCCGCCATTCCTCAGGATGAATGTCCAAAATTTCAGTGGCGATGAAGCCAGGGGAGATGCAGTTAACACGGCAGAAGTCTACCCATTCAACCGACAAGCACTTGGCCATCTGAACAACACCGGCCTTGGATGCGTTGTACTGCAATATTTCAGTATCCTGGATGCCTAATATCAAGGGCTTCAACTTTGCTTACTGCTGTTTGTTTCTGAGGCACGTTAACTAGTGTCGCGCTCACAGATGCAGTGAATATCACGTTGCCATGTCCTTGTTGCTTGAAGACTCGTCCCGCAGCCTGTGCGGAGTAGAAAGCGCCATCAAGGTTTACCTTCATGATCTCACTCCATTGATCGGGTGTATAGTCCTCAGCAGCAACGCACGATGCAATTCCAGAATTCGCAACCAAGATATCGAGCTTTCCAAAATCCTTTGCGATCTGTTGGATCACGGCCTCAATCTCTGACTGGTTTGTGACGTTGGCCTGATAGGCAGCTGCTCGTACATTGTTCGCAGACGCAATTTCGGCAGCTGTTGCTTCTGCTGTTTTCGAAGAGTTATAAATCAGGGCAACCTAGATAGATTGTCATTAGCATTCGAGATCTGTATATCAAATCGAATGAGAAACCAGGACGACCTACACTAGCACCGGCTTCCGCCAGGCCTCTCGACACTTCAAGTCCTATTCCACGAGCACCGCCTGTAATTTTTATTAGCTATGTTTATTGCCAGTTCCAGCAAAAACCAGTACCTGTCACGATGGCAACTTTGCCTGTGAGGTCAAATGCCTTCATAACATGTTGGTTTTGAGGCTGAGCGAGAACCATGGTGAAAGGGGAGAGCTATTGACAGAGATGATTGTAAGCTAATATCTATATCTTAGAGAATAAATATACTGTCGACTATCAGAGTGACTTGCCTGTACAAAGTTTCACAGCTATAACGGAGGACTGTGATCCAACCCCGCATAAATCGGCCCATCTCCGATCGGACACATTCGCCCGGGCGGACATCAGTGGCCCGCGCTCACGGAGGAGAATACACCTGCCTTTGTGGCATGACGCCAGAATTGAATTGAAACTTGGAACAATGAGCCCCGCTCTATGCTCCAAGTATCGTCGACAGGCAATGCTGTATGGACACGGTGGGTTTCTATCGACAAAACTGGGCCTGGTAACCCACGCAAGATAATCGCCAAACCACAAATGCTCCACGGGCGATAATCTTAGTCTATGCTGCGGTTGTTCATCCATGGCTCCACCCAGAAATCATCAAATTGGGGTTGGGGGTTCGCAATGTGAGGTTTACGTGCCTCGATTGCCCAGAAAATGGAAAGATGTTTTGAAAATCTTAAGCTCAATTGATTACACATAACTAAGCACCATCGCACTGATAAATAAACAAATCCCATGCTCCATCTAAGTAACGTGTTCTGCGTGTTCTCCCTTACAGACCACGTCATCATCTCCTTTGCCAGTAGTTGCACCACCAACTAGAACCGAGGGCCCATCGAACACCTCTGCGATTTCCTCGAGGGAATGGCCCTTGGTTTCCGGGAAGGCAAACCAAGTTACGACCAGAACGAGGACATCGAAACAACAGAAAAAGATGTAGTAATGCCAGCCGATATTGTTAAGGGCAATGGGATTCACAAAGGCAAGCACAACGAGGGAACCATAAACGCTAAGCAATTCGACGGTCAATCCCTTGCTGCGAATTGAGTACGGGAATATCTCCGTGGGATAGCCTAGCAGCAAAGGCGTATAGGCAATGTCGTAATGGAAGAAGAAGATGAATACAAAAGCAATTACCGTGCGACCAAGGCCATCGGCTTGGGTGGTGCTGAATACGGCTGAGCAAGCAGTCCAAACGATGAAGGATATAAGCATCCCCACGGCCGACCAGAGGAACAGAGTACGCCGGCCTAGTCGGTCTACCAGTAACGCAGCACTCCCGGCTGCAATAAAGTTGAAAATCTGAAGAAGACCGTTGATGAGTGTTTGCGTGTCCGAATCAGTAACGCCGACTGTGTCAAGGACGAGAGTGAGGTAATATGACACAACAGCAACACCCTATATGGAATTGTTAGCTATAGGCCAATGCCAGACATTATAGTTGAGTCACTCACATTCCACTGAGCAAAAGAACCAACACACACGGCAATAAATGTACGCTTGCGATTTCCCGGGGTTTTCACCAAAGTCGACCACTGCGTTCTAGCCGCCTGGTTTTCCATTTCGATGGTATGAGAGATCTCCGTCATTTCGAACTGGATGAGGGGATGTGATGTGTCGCCAGCGGTATGGAATCGAGCGAGTAATTCCTCGGCCTCCTTTTTCTTCCCATTGGCGATGAGCCATCTATCGTAAAAATATTAGTTCCCATACCCTTGGGAGTGAGGTTAGACAATTTACTGACCGTGGAGATTCTGGAACGAAGCACCAAAGCACTATCTGAACGAGAGGGAATCCGGCCTGTACGATAGAGGGAACTCTCCAGCTCCAGTCCGACAGGCCCAGGTGTTTCTGAGTACCGTACGATGCCCATGATGCCAAGATAGCACCAAGATAGTACATGGTCCAGAAAGCGCTGGTGTACTTGCCTCGATGCGTTGGGTATGCCAGCTCTGTGATCAACATAGGCGATGGCTGTACGACTAGCATAGAGCCCACTCCTACCAGAACGCGAGCAAAGACGAACATGCCATAGTTCACCGATGCTGCCTGAATGATTGATGCAATGACGATCACGATAGCCCCCGACAGAAGGGTGAGGCGTCTTCCAATGCGGTCCGACATGATACCAACAAAAGGAAGCGAGATGACGCTACCGATGGACTGGGCGGCATTGACAACGCCAAGAACCGAGCCTTCGGGATTGCCGAAGTAGTTCTTCCATTCAGTTATAGACTGAAGACCATTCATGAGAGATCCTGGTTGGAAAGAAAACCTGTGTCAGTGGGCTGTGGATCTTGCAAAGTGATAAGGCAGCAAGCAAATGCCTACCATCATATCCAGCTACCGCAGATGAAAGCAGTGGAATGAGTAGAATGAGGTTCAGTTCCAGAAGATGGGGCACCCTGAACCAAGGGCGATCATACTGAGGCAAAACAGATGCCAAAGCCTCGCCGACAATGCTTTGATCTTTCATCGTGCTAAGATTGTTGCAAAGTAATGGATGTGGTCTACTTTCAAGGAAAAGCGGGGGATTAATATAATCTCCCCACTGATATGTCATTGAGTAGCCTTGGCTACAATTGCTTTGGCAACACGGGAAGTCGGGAAGTACGGAATGCTCTGACAAGGAATGAGAAGCAGGCCCACGGAATTGATGGTCTGTTTCCCCATGGGGTGATGTAGTGATGTACCCCAAGTTTGCGGGCCCAGTGAGAACTAACGTTAGCCGGTGATTTGAGTTTAGGTTATCTGTTCTACGGACTCTGGTGTCCGTTCCAGCGGGGCACTTTGTCCGTCGCGGGCTCATCCGTCCGCTTTTGTCGGTATGCTCGTAAAGCTTCATGGCGGATCAAACCGAATGTGGAGTTTTTCTACTCTCATTGAAAACGAATTGCTCAATGCCGCGGTGTTGCTTCACCGTGACGCTCGCGCTTAAAGCTATAAATCTTGCGATAAGAACAGATTGTCTGGTTTCGAGCAATTATCTTTTCTCCTACAGATATAACAAGTTTTGATAACCATCCATTTGCCTCAAAATGGGTTCCATTCAGCAGAGCATTCGTAAGCCCAACCCGGTGCTGTCAGACAGTGTGTTTGAGATGTTTCGGATGAATAACAAAGCGGTCATCATCACCGGCGGCACTGGTGGAATCGGGTACCAGGTTGCTCGTGGCCTTGCAGAAGCTGGCGCGAATATTGCTTTGTGGTACAACGGCTCTTCAAAAGCTGAGAAACTCGCAACATCACTCGAGAAGGACTTTGGAATCAAATCCAAAGCATACAAGTGCTCCGTGCAAAATTTTGATGAGGTGCGTCCTGCTTGCCGTCAAAGCTTTTCTTGATGCTGACTGACGTGTCCGTAGGTCCAAGCAGCAACCAATGCTGTGCTGCACGATTTCGGCCGACTGGATGTTATGATTGCAAATGCCGGTATCCCATCAAAGGCTGGTGGTCTAGATGATAAGCTAGAAGACTGGCATAAAGTAGTGGATGTCGATTTCAGTGGCGCATACTATTGTGCTCGGGTTGCGGGCGAAATTTTCCGCAAACAGGGCTCTGGAAACTTGATCTTTACGGCTTCGATGTCTGGTCACGCAGCAAATGTACCCCAACAGCAGGTAAGTCAGCCGGAACCAAACTACCGTTGATACTCTCCTTACCAAATGATATATAGGCTTGCTATAATGCTTGCAAGGCAGGCGTCATTCATCTGGCAAAATCACTGGCCGTTGAGTGGGCTGATTTCGCCCGTGTCAACAGTGTCAGCCCCGGCTATATCGATACTCCAATTAGCGGAGACTGTCCATTTGAGATGAAAGAGGAGTGGTATTCTCTAACTCCTTTGAGACGCGATGCCGATCCTCGTGAGCTGAAGGCTATATATCTCTACCTCGCGAGTGATGCCAGCACTTACACAACAGGAGCAGACATTGTCGTGGATGGTGGATATACTTGCCGGTGATACGTCAGAAACTGATAGGAGACCTCTGGCTTGACTTCAGTGACATTAATTGAAGATTCGCATTATCTCCATCAGGATATACGTCAATTATAGCAATTTAGATGCGGTACATCCACTTCAATTAAGCCAAGTTTGCAATATCGGCAGAGGCATGTACATAAAGATAGAAAGATATGCATCTGAGCCGATTCATGATCTTACTGATGATAGTTGCTCAGGCTGGGAGGAAGATCCTCTGTTTGAGTTCCCCATTTGCTTTCAGTTGCGCCCAGCTCCAGTTCGAGAACACCTCCATTGGTAAAGAAGTCATGAGTGAGCCAATTGTTTGTCCATGTCTCACCATTCAGCTTTGCACTCTGAATATAGATTGACTTGTAGCTGGCATCGAAGTTCACATTCCGAACGGTGGCAGTTTTACCTGTGATCGCATTCTTGATGCTCACTTCCTTGAAGTATGGTGGTGTTATCAGGTAGACGTCCTGTCCAGGAACAGGCCAGAGACCCATCATACTCAGCATCACGAATGAGCCCATGGCACCACTGTCATCGTTCCCAGCAATACCCGCAGTCGTGGTATTAAACTGAGACGGGATGTAGAAGTGGCTATACTTGGCGGACAGAGCAGGCCGTCCACCATAGTGGAATTGGAAGACGGTCAAGAATGCTTGCTCATCACCCACGTAGAGGAGACCAGATTCGTGAAGGAACTGCAATCGTGACGTGAATTCCTCTGCGCCACCAAGAGTTTTAATGAGCGCTCCCATATCATGTGGGACGTAGCTATTGCGAACATGTTAGTTTGATGATTTTTGAGAGAGGGATAATAGAGGGAACTCACAAGGTATAAAGCCAGGAGCTTCCTTCGTAGGTCTCATGGCCATCGGGGTTCAAATAGCAGGACGTGAAATTGAGCAGGGGACTGCAGAAGATTGGATCTTGGTAGCCCCAAGTACCATTCGTGTAGCGAGGCTGCAAGAATCCAGTGAAGTTGGTGTCGGCGCCATTGATGCTGGACTTTTGATCTGCTTTGAACATGTGTGCCCAGTTACCCGAACGAGTACCATATTTCTCGTAGTCCGCTTGCTTGTCCATGCCTTTCGCAATCTCGGCAATACAGAAGTCATTGTATGCATATTCCACCGTCCGCGAGATGCTGCGTGTATGAGTGCCTACCCCGTAAGGGTCAAAATCATCTGTGGGAATGTATCCGAGGCTCTTCCAACTGTGCAGACCACCACGTCCCTCGACATTCCAGTTCGCGGGCTCGACTTCTGCGTCCTTCACAACGGCCTCGTAAGCAGTGTCCCAGTCGATTCCCTCGACCCTCTTGAGGTACGCGTCGGCCATGAGGACATCGGCGTTGGAACCTCCCTGAGTATAGCCTTTGCAGAGGGACATTCGGCAGTCAGGAAGATATCCCTCATGGCGGTAAATATCGAGAAGGCTTCGCATCATCAGGGATTGCGAAAGAGGGTCGACCAATGTCAATAGAGGGTGAATACTGCGGTATGAGTCCCAAATGCTAGAAAATCCGATTAGCAAACACTGCTCGCAACATTTTGGGAGACGGAATCTTACCAGTAGTAACTGTCGTAGTACGGCTCATCACTTTCCCATAGAGGATTCTCACCGGTATAATCCTGAGGACTAATGAGAGACCGGTATGCTCCGCTCCAGAACACTGTTTGCAGATCTTTGGATACTCCTTCTGCGTCAACAGACACGACACTCAGTTTCTTCCTCCAAGCAGCTTCGGCGGCAGATCTAGTGCCCTCAAAGTCAAAGTTGGGTTGCTCCCGCTCGGCATTCGCGCACGCTTGGTTGACATTCATGAAACTCACACCCACACGAGCTAGAATCGTGTTGTCTTGAGGGCTATGAAATCGAGCGAATGTCCCGGCTGAGAGGGTGTCGGGAGTGTTTGTGCCATCACCCAGCAAAGAAACAGTTTGACTGGTGTTACTGGCCCGATTCTTGGTCCAAACACCGGTATCACGAAGCTCTGCACCCTTGAAGTCGACACAGAAATGAAGGTTATAGCTCCCGATGCCAAAGCTGGGATTAAAAGTACCATTTCCGGTTAGGCGGCCAGTAGAGGGGTCAACGTCGGCGGTTCCATTGGTGCGAGACTGAGGCAAGTCTATCAGATCCACCAGCACTACTGGGCTCAGCGAGTCGGATGACCCATCAAAGGTGAAACGGTATAGAGCAGATCGATTAGTTGTCGTCATTTCTGCCTGCACACCGTTTGCCAACGATATGCTAAAATACCCCGGACGGGCCTTGACCGAGTTCTGTTCCCAAGCCACTGCTCTATCGTTGAGCTGCCATTTGCATTGGTTGATATCATCATTTGGGCAAGAGGGCTGGGCGAATATCGGAAAGTTTCCCAAAGATGGAGACTGTGAAGTGTCAGGTCTTGATCTTTTATTGAAACAGAAGAAGCAACGTACGCCGCCAGTGCCAGAATCATGCATATGGGAGAAACCAGTGACGAAGGTAGTATCAGATGCGAATCCAGCCTGATTCTCGCCTATTGTATCGGCAACAGACTTGGCCATTCCTATCGTCTGTTAGTCGTGTAGGCACCGAGGGCAAGTCGCGACTTACCAAAAGGTAACGTTGCTCCAGGGAATACATGGCCTAGCAAAGACACTCATTAGCTGCTGAGGAGATAGTGGCGACAGCATCAGACTTTTGTACCTCCATTGGCCGTCCCAATTAAAGGGTCGACATAGTCCAGAACATCAAAACTATCGGTTGAGGGAACCGAGGCTGACAGGGCAATGGAGGCATAAACGGCCGTGGTTAATACACTACGGGGAAGGTGAGCTTGGAGGTGCATAGTTGCTTTGAGCAGACAGCAAGCTGGCCCGCCGATCCCAGCAGACGATCAAGGGTTGACGAATGAAGCAAACTCGTAATTTCAAGAGTGGTAGAAAGAAACGCGTTCCATGCAGGATTCAAGCTTTGCAGTATTTACTGTCGCTGGGGGAAGCATTCCACGCGTCTTGATCGACAGGGCTGTCGCCCCCTTTCTAGGCCCGCCCTGCTATTTAACTACAATCTCACAGAACGCAACAGTAAGAGAGGTAACATCGACTGCTGCATGGTGTCACATCTGTAGTCTACGGCATTAGCAGCACTAGCGACGGTAGTAACAAGCTTGCAGCGGGCATGCTTTCCCAAGCTCAAAGTAAACCCCGCGCAGCTGTATTATTAACTGCAGCGATGAGCAACTATCATACTCGAAACAGCAAGTCGGCCAAGAGGGAAGACGGACAGGGAAAGTGCAGCTTCCAAGGTGTCTAAGTGGAGCGCCGATCCTTGTTGATTTCTGGACGAAAGGGGCGAATGAATCACCCTGAGATGCGGGGAACGCGGGTCTCCTGATTTGCAAGATTCGTGGGATTTCCATCGGAGTGGGGAATTGGCATCGACTCAGTCCTCTTTGTGCATGTAACCTCCGCACGTTACCTTGAGGTCGAATATGGAGCCTTTGAAAGAGGGGAAGATGATGATCGCGGCGGGTAAAAGCCAGAGAGGGCACGGTGTTTAGGTGTTTGTTATTACCCGATCTATCGGCTACCTGCAAGCACCAAAAAGCATACAAACAACATGCGCGAGAAGATCCAATAACAGCCCATCTACTTCATTTTCTCAGCCGACTATGGTATCTTGATCTGGACTATTGATTTGTGTTGTTCTATTCGTCTTTCAACATGCATGGTCTCATACTCAGTTTGACTTCAGATAAGATCTAGAACAATGCTATCCCAAGATTTCCCACTTGTCTCCGGTGTTGGCCTTGGAATGGGTGAGAAAATAGATGGTGTCGAAAAATTAGGCTCCCTCGAAGGCAGTCGAGAATTGAGGTATGTTCGAATCTGGATATTTTCGGTTTGTACCCTTGAATATTCCTCCCGAAGCACTGCTGCTTTCTGGAGCAGCGCCCGGTGTGATTGCACTTCTAGCATCATCGAATGAAGTTGGTGGATGAACTCTGGTTGACGGGTCACGTCCTGCGTGTCCGGTTGAGCTAAAAGGCCCAAGATATGGGGATACATCTCCGTGATCGGAGATAGGTTTGTTGATAGATGATCATGCTCGAAGGCATCAGTCTCCTCTGGGACAAAATGAAATGCTGAAGAGACTCCCGAGATGCCGTTCATACCCGCCCAAGAGGATGCTCGACCACTGCGCGAGACATCTCCATAAGAAGGTGAAATGAATCCCGAGGATGCAATTGGGGTGGCATCCCTTGAGGTACTCGAAGATGAGGTTGGCGCAGGTAGTGAAGGAGGTGCTCGATCCCAGCCTTTTGCTTTACATGACGGACAATGGAAGCTCTGATGTGGTATTGGGACAGCAGTAGTTGCTAGACATTGTGCATGGTAGGATCTACAGCACGTTTCACAGCCGATCAAATTCTCCGGGAGATAGCATCCCGAGCAAACAAAGACATGCTCTTTTCCAGCAGCTAAACATAGTCAGTATGGGTGGGACGATGGAAAGCAGTGATCATACTGATCCAGTCATGGTATATTCGGCTTTGCTCCCGTTCCGGGAGACCATTAGGTTTTGATGAGGAGCGCCATGCCGCCTCTCTTTGCCGATCGGGCTGACACACGATCGGGTCTGTTTCGATTGACTGTCTCACAGCTCGGGCGGAATATCCCTGGATATCACTATTGGAATTCAATTCCTGAGATGTCCGCAGCATGATTTTTTTCTTGTAGAGAATGGAGATCCTGGAGCAGCAAAGGCTCCAGGGAAAAGAGTCGAAGATGGACGGCAGTGCCGAACGAGCCGGCTTGCCGAGTCTGTGCCGAGACATCTCCGGCTTACGGCTTACATAATATGATCCCTTGATGAGCGTCATAATGTTTGTTCTCTTTCGATGCTTCCAAGATGCTCGTGGCTCCTTTGTCTGCATTTTGAAGCTCCAGAATTCCCGGCATGTAATATTTCGGAGTACACTGTTGAGTTTCCCGCTGTGCTACGAGGCAATACGGCGCGTTGCGTCGTCCGAAACGTGCGAGTGGTGAGATCACCATATTCTTGTGAAACGCACAATGCCAGGAGTTCCCTCCAATAAGGCATGTGAGCGGTGTAAAAAGAGGCATTTGAAGGTATTTTCTCACTGGAAATCTTCCACCTCTTGGAAAGCTTCAACTAATGTTCCCAGTGTGATGAGACGCGTCCTCACTGCCAACGGTGCGTTAACGCAGGCGTGGAATGTCCAGGCTATGTCCAGACACGCAAATTCATCGATCAAGGTGCTACAGTAAGGCGTCGATATGCTCCATATCAAGAGAGCCATGCAAAACCAAGCACAACGGGCAATGCTAGTCAAGTATGCAAATTTCAAGTCGACCTACTTAGCTGGAAACTGACATTAAATAGGGAGATGAACATCCGCCTAGCTTAACCCAGAGTGAAGGCCAACTGGCAATTGACCAAGATAAGCCAAGTCAAGCGCCACCTGAAAATGGAATGGTGGGCTCTACATTCAGCTTCCAGCAAGAACAGTCAAGACTGGACTTTGGAACCGACACCTCAATGGCTGAGGTACCTACTTCCACCATCCAACCAGGTATTGCGACTGGCGCAACTCACTTGCGTACCCAAAATACCCCAGCATCCCAATATGGCTCAGACATCAACAGGCTTGCTGGCTTTGGAGACAGAGAGAGCTCGACAAGGAGCCCGTTGCAAAGCTCAGAAGTCTCAGGAAATGTAATAATGGGACTTGCTCCAACTCTTGCGAACACTTATAATATACTGCCTCCCGACAGTCAAAATTATGGCAGACCCTTCACTTCGGAGAGCCCATCTCAACGAAGCGAGAAAGAAGAATTCCAGGACATCTTTTCCGAACTGATGACTGGCACGGAACATGAGGTAGCATTTCTTACTCGCCACTTCGCAGAAGTCTTGGGTCCCTGGTATGATTATGTTAGCTATCCCACTGTCTGCTTTGACACTGACCCAAGCTAGGCTGGACCTATCCGATGCTGCAAAATTCTTCTCAGTTTACGTTCCAATTAGAGCTCTCAATTGTGCATCTCTGAAATACTCCATCGCAGCTTTGGCAGCCAAGCAGCTTGGCCGAGTGAAAGGTTCCAAATCTTGCACAGGGCGAGGAATGCTCACAAGTCCTGCTACGACCGAGACATATCCAAATTCCGAGCAAGTGGACTGGTTCTTAAAGGCAGCCAACTACTACTATCTTTCTGTGTCGGATCTGACTACATCTACATCGGATGGCTATTCTGTTGTATCCACCTCAGCCGTTCTTGACTCGCCCATTGATTTGCTTGGGCGGTGGCTGAACACACAATCTGCTCAAGGAGCGGGCCAGAGTCCTGATGATGGGGCATTCTTGCGAAAGACCGAAGATATCTTGGCAACAGTTACCGTTCTGACATTGTATAAATTGTTGGACGCTAAAGGAGAGGAATGGCACATGTATGTCATTTTGCCCAGTGCGAGCTTCCACTCTGCTTACAATGGAGAACAGGTACCTCACAGGCATTCGTCAAGTTTTCAACTCTCTCCTTCAAATGAAGCAGATGGACTCGACATTCTTCTCTCACGGACTTCGAGCATGTTTCTGGAATTTCGCGCGTCAGGACTATCTTGGATCGTATTATATCCGCTCGGGTACGCATCTCGATCCTGCGAATTTACCTCTCTGGCGCGCAGCGGGGATCTCAATAGATGAGCAAGAGAAATTCCACATTATTGGAAGCGGGTCATTTAATCTATCTCAAGAAGACCAAACATTCAATGGGCTATGCTGGCTTGTTTCTAAGGTCGTCAATTTCCTCGCCAAGTCCAAACAATCTCAAATCGCTCAGTGGACGGGTTCTCCGCCGGAAAACCCATCCGGAGCCCAAGATTCGCCCGCCAGTTCTAACCAGCAATCGTCCTATCCCGATACAAACACCTGGCTAGACTTGTGTTTTGAATTTCAAACGTGGTTCGAGGGCGTTCCGGAGACCATTCGCCCCTGTGTGCGGATTGAACACCCCCGAGATCTGTCCAAGCCATCTGATACAAGCCAAATCCCCTTCCCCGAAGTTTTCCACTCCCTGGCAACATGTGCAGCTGCGATGCAGCATTATCACTTTGGGAGAATTGCGTTGTTATTGAATCGCCCGCAGGACGTGATAAGCGGACCCAGTACAGCCTTCGACCGGCTTCAAGGCTACCGAGAAGTCACCAAGGAGGTCGAGTACCGATGCCGAGAGGTGTGCGGTATTGCCTTAGGGCGGCCCCATAGTGAAGTACGGATTTATATGATCCCGCTTCTGTTTGCCGTGGGCCAATGTTTGGAGAGTGCGAATGAGCGCCAGATCATTGTGGACCTTTTGCGAGGCGCCGAGGCAGACCTGGGTTGGGCTACAGAATACGCGGTGGAGAAGCTTCACTCTTCCTGGAATCGATGAGCTTTGCGATTCAGCGATTCAGCGATTCAGCGATTTAGCCTTCGGTCTCGATTCCTGTTTAACAGGCTCAATAATCTTCACATTCCTGGTGCCCCTGTGACATTCAGCGATTAATTTTCTGGAGTCTCAAGATACGAGAGCCTCGATTGATGAAGGGGCCCGTGGCTTGTTTTTTGAGGCGGAATTTCTCCGTTGGAGAAACTCCGTTGGAGAGACTCCATTGGAGCAGACACAGGATTTCTTGTCGGTCTTGAAAACTTTTATCCTATTCCATGTATGTAGCAAAATATTTGTAATCGCAATAGATAATGAAGATGCGACGGCCATGACCTAACAACTGGGATTTACTACTTAAAGAGCTGATCAGTCCAGATCAGCACCAGGGGCATCATATATTACCTGAAACCCTGACCTACAGTATTGACATGCAAATCAATGCCTCTGATTGGCCTCCACGTCCAATGTTAGTAATGATTGTCTGACAGTCAAAATCAAGATTCTCGGCTTCGTCAACAGCCGTGCCTATACGTTTCGGCACCTCAAACACTATAATCTCCCGACAAACGACATGAGCCAACCCGACCATCATTCTCGTCTCTAGCATTTTACCATGAATTCATGGCACGAAAGCCACCACAAACCCCAACTGGTTATGGTTCTCACATGACGACACCACTCAAGGACATACTCAACTCAACACAGCCGATATTTCGCCCGAGAAGAACATCTATTAGACTAAACAAGTAGACGCGGGCAAATGCCGCGGGGGATTACCGAGTACGTTTTCATGGCAAAGATAGGCGACCCCCGTCCTCCCCCCCCGGCAGACAAGCCAGTTCCGAATAGGATTGCTCGGGGGGATGTGCGTGTGCGGGGTGGAAATCTGGGGTCTAAGTGGAGTCTTCTAGGGAGAGAGTGGACATCATTATTGACCAAACCATACGCTCGCTATCGTTCTCTAGTCCAAACCAGGTAGCTTTAGAACTCAAACCCACACAGCCAGAATGTATGGTGGCTAAAATTCTCTGGTTCTTTGGATAAAAGGGGGCTGCTACGGTAAATATACGAAGGACTGCGCTGGTCTGACGGGCTCAGACTCGATTTAGCTTTACTCGAGGCGGCCCTTGTGGGGTTCTATAATTCCCAAGTAGACATCCCCGGCCCAATTCCGCACATTCAGCATCCCATGGGAGCTTCGTCGCGTGGCTACTTAAAATAAAGCGTTGTCCTCTGTTGCAATGATCTTGCTAGCTGGTCAGTCGAGCAAGTCTCCTCAATCTTGGTTCAGCTAAGCTTGGCATTTATTTTTGAGCATCCACTTAGCCTGTAGAGGGCAATTGGTTCCAACCATGGAGATGAATTATGATGAACGTGTAGGTACTTTCTCGTGGATATCATCCATCAGATCAGGGTGACTGACATATTCTCGTCTCTGGCTAGGCCCTCCATCAGTATGAATGTCTGTCCCATGATAATTCGCCTCCATCTAACTCTTGCTGAACAGAATCGAGGAGGAGCTGGGCACGACCATTTATCCCGGTACGGAGATTATGGCTGATGTAGGCACACACCATTTTGTGAAGTCCTCAGCCAAGTCCGACCGGGTGCTGGTGCCCCAGCCATCGCAAGACCCCCATGATCCTCTGGTCAGTATGCAGGAGAACCAAACGATCGAAGTATCCCCTAACGAGTCGGTCAAATACAGAATTGGAACCGTTTCTGGAAGTTGAGCGCCATGGCTATATCGACTGCGACTTCATTCAGTCAAGGTCTAGGACCTCTCGCACTTGCACCTATGTTTCCTCAATTGATGGAGTCGTTCAATTCGGATCTTGCTGGCGTGGTGCAATTCACGGGAGTGTGTATCCTGGTGCTGGGATTTAGCAATTTCTTCTGGTATGTTATTCAGCGGTGCTGTCGCTGGTCTATCGCTTACTCTATGGTGCTGTAGGATCCCCATCCAATCATCCTATGGCCGCCGACCCGTCTTGATCTTCTCGACCCTGATCTGCCTTGTCAGCAACATCTGGCGCGCGCTGGCAACTTCATATGGTAGTTATATGGGTGCATGCGTTCTCAATGGATTTGGCGCTGGTCCTGCGGAGACTTCCCAGCCTGAGATCATCGCAGACATCATGTTCCTTCACGAGCGAGGTGCCTATAACACACTATATTTCACTGTGTACTTTGGATCTCTGATGGTGAGAAGCCTAGATCTCTTTTCAGAATCAACGCTGATATCTTAACAGGTTGGTCCAATCATTGCTGGGCCCATGGCAGAGCATATCGGCTGGCGCAGCTTCTTCTGGCTGAACGTTGGTGTCCTTGGAGTTGTGCTGCTCTTCCAGATCTTCCTCTTCCCCGAGACGAAATGGCACCGAGTTCACCCTGGCGATGTCACTCAGGAAGGCTCAACACCGGTCATTGATGATTCGGAGAACGAAAAGCCGGTAGAGGTCACCCAGAAAGAGAATGTGAACGTGGAAGATGCCTCCGCGCGAGATCCGTATCTCCACAAAGGCCATCCATCCAAGAAGCAGTTCATGCTCTGGCAGCTAGACGGACACAACATCAAGACCGTCCTGCTTAGCTTCTGGTACCCCTGGAAGCTCTTGACCTTCCCCATCGTCGAGTTCGCGGCCTTTATTGTGTCCTGGTCGGCCAGTTGTTTCCTGACGCTGAACCTCACGCAAAGCCAGGCCTTTGCTGAACCTCCATACAACTTCAACAGTCAAACGATCGGTTTCTTCAACTTTGCCATTCTGATCGGTGCCTTCATCGGATTGGCCACCAACGGACCCTTCTCAGATTGGATCTCCATGAGGGCCACTCGCAAGAATCGAGGTATTCGCGAACCGGAAATGCGATTGCCTGCTATCGCGATTTACATGGTCATCATGATCATCGGAAACTTTGTGGTCGCATTTGGGTATGAGTATAAATGGGATTGGAAGATCATTGTGATCATCGGGTATACCGCGGCTGGAATCCAAGTTGCTGCCTTGCCAGCCATTGCCAGCACCTACGCCGTGGACAGCTACAAGCCCGTCGCAGGCTCGATTTTCGTTTCCATCACGGTCAACAAGAACTTGTGGGGGTACGGCTTCAGCAAGTTCATCACCCCGTGGATTGAGCAGAGCGGGTATATCAAGCCAATCATGTTGAACATGAGCCTGACTGCCCTGTGGTGTCTCTGTGCGATTCCATTCTACATTTATGGAAAGAGGTTCAGAGGGTGGACGGCCAAATCCTCGGTACATAAGTTGTAAGAATGGCTCGTGGGGCCTCGCGTCGCAAGTACAATGGATAAAATCCGTAGTCAAATAAGATTGATTCTCTTGTTCCAGCCATGATTGTTAACGTCGCCGCTCTCTTTGGTATCATAATAAATAAATGCATGGCCGAGTTGCTGTGTAAATGCTTAAAAATCGTCATCATCAGGATCATAAAGGTCGAGGTCCAATGTAGCCTTCGGTTTTGGCTTCGGCGCTGGCGCAGGTGCAGGTGCAGGTGCAGGTTGTCTTGCTGGAGGAGCAGCAGAAGGTCTAGCTGCCGCTGCAGTCTTCGCGGCCTCTTCCTGCTTCGTCTCGGTTGGTAAGACGGGTGCCGGCGCCGGCGCTTCTGCCACCTCCAACCCTTCTGCCTCGCGTATCAGTCGCTCCACCTCCTTCTCACGGTCGGTGCCCTCGGCGGGGATCTTGCCCATCAGGCCCATGCGTATCCGATCTTCTGTTGGGTACGGCAACAGATTCACCTCGCGGGTGACATTGGCCGAATCGTCCAGCCACTGAGTTGCATTCTTCGTAACAGATGAGACAGGTTCCGCGCCATCTTCCTCGGCACCCGTTTCACCGTTCATGCCCGTCATGGTCACGTCTTTGTCTCCAATCTGTGGTCGCGTGTCCTGGCGTGCTCCCATCCCTATCCCTTTAGCAACATCCGCCGCAGCTTCCTGGTTGTATTTGCTGATGCGACGAGCAAAATCCAGAAACAGGCGGTAGTCGATCTCTTTGCGGGCCGCGACCCTGCTCTTGGCCGCCTCACTCTCGTCTGCTGAATCCAGGTCACTGTCAATCTCTTCATCGTCACCGCAAGCTGTTCTGATCTCCTTGTCAAATCCTTCGAGATCCCTCACAATGTCCTTGACACGTTCTTCTAGTCGCTCTGCCTCGGATCGTAGTTGCAGAATCTTGGCGTAATTTTCTTGGTGGAGTCGAAGGGTATCGATAGAGGAGGATAATGAGTCGTCAGCTTCGAGTAGGGCAACTGCAGCGACCGGCGCTCCAGCTGCACCCGGAGAGGTGGTGAGGTGTTTTAGAAGAGTATTGAGCTTTGACTCGACGTCGGTCAGAGAAGACTGCATCAGCGCATTCATCTTGAGGTTGTGCGTGGAAGGAACGTGGGTCGTCTGAGCTCGAGTTGGCACTGGCGCTGAAGGAGAGGAAGGAGCCGAGAGTGGAGGTGAGAGTCTGATCAATGCTATGAGTTGGATGCACTTGGTACTTGGTGATCAGACTCTGCTGCCTGATATGAGTGCATTGGAGAGTATGAAGACACGGCGCGATGGAGGAGCTCAAGCCAGGGGGGCTTCAGAAGCACAGTCAGCCAAGATCACGTGAGTCATTGTTCCTAACCACCTGTTCCGCGATACTCTTCACCTTGACATCGACCTCCTCCAGGCTATAGCGACAAAAAGCATTACCCTTGGGGATTGAAACCTGCCTAGCTACCATTATTGGCAATCGGAGTTTGATTTTTTTTTTTCCTCCGCCAATTTCAGCTCCAACCTGAGAGGAGATCAAACATCCAATAACTATGATTGACAATGATAGAGTGCAGAGCAAGTACATCAGTCAAGATCACATAGGTATTGTGTTTCAAAGTCTAATGTAGAATTGAGTCATCTCGATAAGAGAAATGCCTGTTTGTTGCAGGCGTCAAAAGAGTCTTAGGTGCTGTCTCTATTTGTGGAAGACCTGATAGACATACTGCATCGACCGACATCTATGATATAAACCCGGTCAACCTCGGGCTCGATGGGTTGGTTCTTTCCATTTTCTCCATGTCATATTTTCTTGCTTCTCTGCATTGACTCCATGGCTTTCCCCTCAGTCTCAAGGCTTCTCTCTCTCTTCTCTCAATCTCCCTTGTCCATGTCTTCACCTTCAGATATCATCCATGGAACAATGTCTACGACATTCCGTACACGAGGCTCCCAAGGTTGGGCTCAGTCCTGCTAAACCCTCTCTCGCCTTCAGCCTGGTCCTGGTCAAGCTGTGTGACGTGGAGAACAGTACCGTGCGTTGGCAGCCTCGTCTAGGCGGGTTGATTTTAGCTCCGAAATCCGTTCCTCGTTTGCATCCATTGAGTGATTCTGCTAAATATTCCGTCAAAATCAATTCGGTTTAACCAGTCGGTGATGTACACTCTTTCGTGCGTTCCTTGCGCGGTGGCTTAACAAACCCCGCACTTTGTGTTGGCCGAGCGCTACGCTTAGCCACATCGAGCTAAACAGGACATGACAACAGGGTGCCAGTTCCCTGGTGAGGATGCCTTCCAGTGCTTTTCCCCAGATTATTTAGCGCGTTGATTTGTGGGGGCCTGTGGAGCTCGGATCTCTCGATGCCCGGTCGCTTGACATCATGGCCATCGAGCTTGACTACATCAGTCGTAGCAGTCATGTATGCCCCACCGGCTTCAGTATCCTGTAGCGACTGAGCAAAGCTTACAAATATCAGGGTAGTATATTGGGCTTGTTCTTCGTGTGCCCCGCGTAGCTTGACCGAGGCTGATTGAAGGTTCTTGCCAGGGACGGCCTTTATATAGATTCCGAGGCTCCTGGGCAAACCAGATGGCCGATTTCTTGATTCTTCTACAACGTGTGTGCATGCTATGAAGATGAAGGTCACCTTGTGTCTGCTGGGACTGGCCTCGGCCTGCTACGCGTCTGATCTTCCTATCATTGATCTTGGATATGAACTGCATCGGGCGATTTCGTTGAATGTAGGCATCCATTCCATGTTTCCCCAAGATGGCACTTGTCTAACAAGGATGGGCAGAGTACCTCTGGCCTGTATAACTTTAGTAATATTCGATATGCCGCTCCTCCATTGGACAACCTGCGCTTCCGGGCCCCTGTGCTTCCAAAGCAGAACCGCACACACGTTCAGACTGGTGATGTTGGACGGATATGTCCGCAGGCCTCTCCCATATGGGAAGATGACATTGAAACCTCATTCCTCCTGAGCTTGCTGTACAATACGACCTTCACCCAGTCGACGAATATCTCCTCGTACCCCTACGTGCCGGCCAAGATGGACCCACGAACTACCGAGGACTGCCTGTTCCTGGATGTAGTGGTTCCGAAAAAGGTATTCGATCGAGGACAGCAGTACACCAAACGTGGCCAACACAAGTCATTCGTCCCGAAACATGAATTAGCTCCAGTGCTTGTGTGGATCTATGGCGGCGGATATGTAGGAGGCGAAAAGAGCTCGAGTGATCCAACGGGTCTGATCGAACGAAGCCAGGTTGTTGGTGACGGTATCGTATATGTTGCACTTAACTATCGAGTAAGTCTGAAGGTCAGCATTGGTCAAGCTCTCAGCAGTTATCTAATCTTTGCTCTCTTTTTAGCTCGGCGCATTTGGCTGGCTTGCAGGCGATGCAATCAAGGCCAATGGTACCGCCAATGCCGCACTTCATGACCAACGGTTTGCCCTGGATTGGGTATACAAGAACATTCAGCTGTTTGGTGGTGATCCCACGCGCATCACAGTCATGGGCGAGTCTGCTGGAGGAGGTTCGATCATGCACCAAGTCACAGCATACGGAGGGAATGCGGGACCATCCCCGTTCAAGCAAGCCATCCTTCAAAGCCCTGGATGGATTCCCATCACGGACGATGAACAGCCCGAGCAAACCTTGCAGCAATTTTTGGGAATCCTAAACGTCAGCACTATTGAAGAAGCTCGGAAATTGTCCTCTGAGAAACTGATCTCTGCCAATGCCTATCAGATCGCCACCAAGTCACAATGGGGATCCTTCATCTATGGGCCAGTGGTTGATGGTAGCTTCGTCCCCGAATTGCCTGGAAAGCTTCTCGCGGAGGGCAACTTTGATCGTAATCTGAACATTATGGTCGGACACAATGCCGATGAGGGATTGGTATTCACCTCGCCAGACAGCCGGAATGAGAGCGGTCTGGCTGCTTTGCTTCATCAGCAGTTCCCTTACATGAAGAAGAACGTCAGCGACTACATCTCAAACGTGCTCTACCCACCCAAGTACGATGGTTCATACGGGTACACCAGCCCCGTCACACGCACCGCGCTGGCCATCTCCGATCTCATCTTCGTCTGCAACACTGATTACTTCAATCGAGCGTATCACAACCAGACCTTTGCGTACGAGTTTAGTATCCCGCCAGCTCTGCACGGGCAGGACGTCCAGTACACCTTCTACAACAATGGTTCGTCGGCTACTGGCTCGTTTCTCAGCGTACAGAACGTCACTGTAGCGGAGGTGATGCAGGACTACTTCACCAGCTTTGCTCAATGCGGCGAGCCCAGGTCTTCTCTGGGTCCGGCATTCCACCGGTATAGCCAGAGAGGCTCGCTCATGAATATTGGCAACCATACCATCAGTCCAGAGAGGGACCCGACTGATAACCCGCGTTGTCGATTCTGGCAGACTGCGCCATTTACCTGAAGGTTTCTTAGCAGGTAAAATCACTGATGCCGGATGGAGTCCAGGATTAAGGCTGCCTATGGAGTACAGTCACTCGCGAAACCTTCTTCTTCCCTGACGACGTGACTCCCTTCGATATCTATTGAGCGATATTTGACAGCAAAATTACAGTAACTTAGTTATCTTTTATTTTTACAAACAATTACACGTAATATTGAATGTTACTGGAACTGGTCTAACACTGCCGCCTCAGTCCTCCATGCTCGTTGACCTGGGCTTGTCGCCAGCGTAGCTCCTCCAGCTGAAAACCAGGCAGCAGTGGCCAGAGATAAATTGCCGATGGCCCCGCATCTCACGTTACACTGTGGTCCGTGAACCTCCATCGAACAGGAGTGGCATGAAAAAGGAAGGACGATGAACGATGATCGACCTCGACCCTCGTTAGGATAAACGTAGGCAACGACTAACTAACCTAACACTCACATATCTGCGTCTTAATCCAACGGTAGAATTCGAAATTAGTTTACCCCTTGGACACTCACGATTTCTTTCCACGCGCCCTACTGAATTGCGCTAGACTAAAGTCGGTCAGGGATTATGTTAATAAGCCACGTTGTCTTCGTAACGTAACTAAATAGTTAAATAACAAGCTTCTCCTTTCCCCACGTATATTTACTTCTTTTGAATACACATCGCGTGTCTTCACCTGGTGACGGCCTACTACTCCACTCGTGGGTTTAATCCGACCTTTATGATGAGTAGTTGTCTGGATGATAAACTCGCCCCTGAGTAAAGCTTCATTTTCAACCCTAACAAAACCCTGAGCATTAGATCTAATCTTCTACGCCTCTAGTGCTGATCATGAGGCTTCCCCACAGCCAACAAACCCAAAATGCACGGAGGTGTTCCGAATTACTTGCGCTGAGCCCTGGGCTATCAACACAAGTAGCTGGTGCCTCTTCTCGTCCGAGCCCAAGCTGTGCTTCCAAATAAACCAGGGTTCCTCCTGGACGGATCGCTCCATGTTCCCGATATATAACATCTGGAGTCCCCCATACTTCGGAATCTCGCTACCAAAACCAAACCCTATTCAAGACACGAAGACCATTCCGGGTCTTGAGAATGAAGCTCTGTCAGACCGAAGTGCATCGAATCTGAATAAGTCGTATAAGCTGAACTGCAACGACCTTGTCGTGACTAGCTACGAAGATGATTCAGCATGCCTAAAGGCTAGAGACACTGGGTCAATTCCGTTCGAAAAAGAGAATGTTGTCGGTGGTATTGACGTTGACTACCCCGGTTTCCTGCAATGCAGGTGTTGCCTCCGATATCGAGGGTGGGTAACCTTAGCCAACGGCGAACGTTGGCGATTTGACGAAATCAACGAGTCATATTATCAGTTCGAGCGCGTGCACGAGCGCGTGAATGATCGGGAATTCCCAAAGACATACCCAAAGATACTCCAATGGGAGTGTTTTAGCGACTGGGAGTCGAATTATGGACAGGCACCGGCGAACGTGCCGTTTATTTTGGACCAGGACACTCGTCTCTGCCGGGTTGGCTCGAAATGGCACGAACGCCACTGCAAAGCTTCTGAGCTTGTGGCTCCCGTCATTGCTATTATGAATCGAGAAGGCCTTGTCTTTGTTAATGGATTGAAGGAGTCTAATGGAATTGAGACTGCTAATCTTCGAGAATTGGTACTGATGACAGGACTCACGATTGCGAAGTTTGAACGCCCTGCATTGGAAAACTGAAACTTGGTCTCGTAATTTCCAATATTCGTCATCTGATGATCATAGAGCCTCCCACAGTCAATCTCGGGCTTACTATACGAAGAGTGATTTACGAGATAGCCAAATACAGATTACTGCGATCTCGGATACGAACAGAGAAACAGTTCGAGAGTCCATGGGGAATCTGTTTTCAACTCCAGTTATATCGTCAATCAAGGACTTTTTGCAGACTCTTCGAACGGGATTTTCGGTGGTTTGTTCTTGAATGTACACAGCGCGGTAGATTTCGTCATTCCGGTAATATTCTTCCTCCCCGTAGAGGCGAAAATAAATCTAGAATGCTGATGCGGTCAGTTCAGGCTCAATATTTTGACATATCCTGTTTGACGAACGTAGTAGTTGTGAATTGAAGTCAGATTCCACTTTCAACGGTACTGTTCCGAGGCCCACGTCATTTGCATGCTCTCTACGGAGTAATCTAGGTCTGAACCGTTACTTCCATTTGATTTCTTACTGAGAGTTGGCGACCCCACCTTCGGGGATGTCTAAAAGACGAACTTGAGTATGTAACTAAATCAATCATAGTTGCCTAGATACAGACAACGCGGTCCAGTGGATCCAAGAAATGACCCGCTAAACGAATCATATATGATCCCACAATTTAACAAGGCTACAAGACTATAATGGACGCAAACCAAAATTATCAAAAGAGCAAATGTAGCTTGTTTAATAACTCGGAACGACCAACTCATCTATTAGTTTTCAAGGTGTAAGGCTGGGTCCAGCGTCGATCGGGCGACGCTCTACTTCGTGTTGACGGTTATAGCCGCAGCAGCCACGCACTTCTTTTTCCTTTGAGGGGATTCACACCCACTAAATTTAATTATTGATTAAGAAATCGTCAGTTGATATTTCACCGCGGACTTGTCCTCGAGCCGAGGAAATTCCCGTTCGTATCATGCTGATCATCGCTAAAGTTCAGGCACTAGGGAGACTAGCCTCTAGCTACCTTCAGGAGCTTTAAGTTGATAGCTAAGCTGAATTGAGTATGAAGACGACAAATTCTATAATGACAAAGTCAATGGCTACGATTGAATCTTCCTCGTCGCTGGAATCAGCAGATGCTCTGTACAAGAAAGCGACGATTCGCAAAAATTCCCAGGTGATGCAGGTCGTTGTCTTTTCTACTGCTGCTGTCACCAAAGACTTTAAGGCACTGTTTCGCAAAACTCGAGTTTTGCAACTAGTTCATGAGTTGATCGCTGACTGTTCGTGCTACTCGACTCTTAGCTCAGATCTCGATCCGGGCGGATATCGAAGAGGTTGACGAGCCGTTGCTAAGGCTAGGGGGAGCCGAAGCACTGCGTTACCAGCCATCGTGTCTCAGAGCCCCACTGTGTATCTGCAGGGCACAAAAGCTTGCTCCCGCTTGGGCATTATTGAGATGACTGATCGATTTTATTTTCCCATGAACTTTGTCATCAGCGAGTCCATCGCGATAAATTCTGGGACTACTACAGCCCCTTGCCAGATCAATCCAGTCGGGGTCGGGGGCCGTGAAGGATCAATGACATCGACGGCTGCCGTCGCATTAAAAAGGGTCCAACTCTAATGGCCCCCTTGATGAAGAAAGGTTGGCCCCAAAGTCGAGCGACAAGATGGGGGCTAGCCTACCAAGGTGCATGAATTGGTAATATAGGTCTCAGATTACTGTCTGTACATTTTTTACGGAATACTCCGTGTATGTATGTCTGATCGGTCGGGATTTCGCACTTTTCGATGGTCCGTGAGGTCTCGAAATTAGGCCAGCGGGATCACAGGAAGGCACATGGCAGAAGGAATTAAGAGCTGAGAGCCATCGCGATCTTCAACGTGATGGCGTAACACAGATGCAGCAGGCTCTGGACATTACTACATACCCTCATACAGCAGTGTTAGTTCTTGGAAAGATCTCGTGACCTACTACTGCATGTGACTTCAGACCTATCCATTGAACGCCGGTCCCAGCTAGCCAAACCATATCTCCAGCATGATTGGAAAGGCATCTCTGCAGTCAGCAACATTTCCGAGACATTGGACCCTGGAAGGCACCTTATTTTGAAAAAGGTGTCGCCGATGCAGCAAGCCACGGTGGAGGCTTCGGGCGAAGCTCTCCGGGCGACGATCTTGGTGCCTGGAGAGGTGCCATCGGCATCGAGCTTTACAAAGCTTCGGCGGGCTAATCCATATTCAACGGGATCGCCATCGGTTACAACCGTCTAGTTCCATCATTAGCGACTACTGTACTCCGTACTCCGTACGGAGTAGTCACTCTGTCTTGGGCTAGTGACAGCTAAAGTAAGACATTGAAACCCTGACGGTTAGCGGTGGTCGGCCCACTACGAGCACAGCCGCGATGCCGATCCCTGACTGCCGTTTGGAGGAAGGAGGATGCTGTACAGTCTGTACTGTAGTTTCGTTCGTGTATGATTTGTGGTTATCGACTTCGGACTTTTCGAAGAGTCCGCTGGCTAGGCACCTGCACGCGCTGCATGAGAGGAATGTTGGGACGGGGTGGGGTCAGTCAGAGACTGAGCACAAAGAAGCACTCTTTGCGACCGGTGAAAGTTGATCAGATCGAACGGGAAAAGAGAGTCATGATGAAACTAGGAGACCACGAGGCTGGAGGATAAGCGTCCGAGAGAACTGACCATCTTATTTAAAAGGGAGACATGATGTAGATGCTTCACAGCGTAGTTCATAGTTAGGTGGAGATGCAGGGTCCGACTTTAAATTGAGGCAGTCAAGAAACGTGTCAATGTCTCTGTATAACCGTATTACAATGAAATACTTGCTTTAAATAACAAGAGGATGGAGTATGGAATAATAATATAGAGTAATCTGCGTCTGCTGAATCTCCTCACCGTGGCCAAGTTGCCAACGTCGCAAGCGAATACCGACTACCGTCCCCCAACTACCATCGAACCAGCAAGCCCAAAAGATCCAATCATTTACTCAGCAGCCTGCAGGTGCCAGACGCGGTGAAACCGACCTCGCCCCCAATGGAACCCCCTCCCAAAGGCCAAGGACGCCCCGAGACCCAGAAGTGTAGAGAGTGGACTCGGTAGTCTGGATGAACAAACACCCTCGGCCCGTATGAAAGATACAAATCGCCAGTCAAGCCAAGAGATCTCGAAGGGAGCCTAACATGGCCCCCAAGTCCCAGCTGGCCCGCCCAGTCCAACCGGCGCTAAGCTTTTTGCCCCCAAGTGCATTGCACTGTCAACGGACCCTGCAAGGATGGCCCAATCGCGAGGCCTTTCTCCTCGGGCCAAAAAGCTTACTGACTGGCTTTAATCAATACTGTATGGGTACACTGTACTTGTACGAAAGAGAGAGAAGGCCAAGAGTTGCCGAGTTCAACATCATGATGAGATAATAATGAGCGTAGCATATCATCTTTGAATCATTCTGATCCAGGAGTACGGAGAATACATGAATAGAGATATCCTGCAAATCCCGTCACGTAAAATTCTATCCAGCATAGGCTAATTTCATACTCCCACCCCCCCGTATCCCGTATCGGATAGTGTACTATTAATATGTACTTTTCTCGTATGTACAGATCTTCCGCCAGTCCCGCGTGTTTCGACGGAATTTTCGAGCTCCCGTAAACTTTAGAGAGAACTTTACCATTTCGTATGGATCATCGACCCGTTCCAGCCATTCAGCGTGAACCTTTGGGAACCTTTGGTCTCCAAACTTTGGGTTGGCAGGCACCTACATTCCATTCCGCCCTGTAGGGTTGGTTCTCCCTCTCCCTCTGCATCCGTCACTTTGTCCTTTTCAAAAGCACGCCAGCAGCCACGGAAAATTGCGAATTGACATCTCCTCGGCTGATACTTTTCCTGTTATTAGCCAGCGCTTTTCTTTCTTCTTTCGCTTCTCCGTCGAGTCGTGCCAAGCTACAAAAAGAAGGCTTGCCAGGGTCGCTTATCATCCCCAAACACTGCCCCCAATTCGCCCAGCGCCTTGTCACTGGCCTGGACGTTAGGCTGACTCTTTGGCTCCTCTCTCTTTTATTCTTATTTTTTTTTTTTTTTTTGGATTGTTTCTTTTTGGAATTTACCTTATTCCTTTTGCTCCACGCTTATTTCTTTCCCTTCTTCTTCTTATTATTACTACATCCTTCCTCCCTCGACGTCGTCCACTTCTTCTACTTTCCCCGCCTCCTCCTCCTCCCCCTCTGGAATTGTCGACCATCCTATTCAAAGACTACGACTTGATCCCTCGGTCGCAACTTCATCTGCCACATTGCGATCCTATCCTGGGATAATCCTCAACTCCCTTCTTCCCGGGCTTATCAGTATCACTCAACCATCATGCGGCTTCATCCGTGGTCGACCCTCTCCGTCTTCGGTGCGATCGCATCGTCGATCCCCCTCTCGACCTCTCACGAACTCCATCTACCCTATCTCCCCTCGCTCAGTCCTAAACAGGATTCCGACGCCTACCTGGTAAGTTCATCGTGGCTGTAATTTTCCGCCAATGGCAACCTAGACATCTAATATACAATTCAAGGCTCTCAAATGGACCGTGACGAATGGGTCCCTCTATGCCAACAATGACCAAATCTTCCCGCCCACAGTATCTATGCAGGTTCATGCGCCTCAATATAGAGGTCTAGCTAACGCCCGTGTCGGCGAGGAAGATCTCGAATTATCTTATTCTCTCCATGCTCGGCCGCTCTCGTCCGAAGAAGCCGGGGCAACCTCCAAGATTGTGCGCGTGCGCGTCGATTTAATGGATCTCCAGGGAGAACCTGTCACTCCCAACGCCGTCGTGTTGGATCTACTCGCTCATCCCGATGGCAGTCAGCGAATTACGCGGATTCGGATGGAACCCGGCAGGGGTCATCGTGAGGGCCACGATCGGCCTTGGCATATGAAGTTCTGGCAGACGCAGATGGCCGGAATTATCAACCACTCCAACAAACAAAAAGAGGACAAGCAGGCCTCGGCTCCCGTCCAGCCGTCTCAAAGCACCACCGAGGAATCCACGCAAACACGTCCCAATGATGCCGCCCAAACGAACGACAACGAGGAAGTCACTCAGGTTGGATTCATCTTCTCTCCTTACTGGTCACCCTCGGCCTACTCCCACCGCGGCCATGGCCATGGCCACCGCCACGGACACCACCGTGACCGTACCTTTATGCGCTTGGTTCGCCCGGTCATTCTCCCTGCCGTCCTGGGTGCCGCCGCAGGTTTAGTCGCCTGTCTAGTAGGCTTCATCATCGGCCACCTGTTCATGTCGCTCTCCGTCCGCCTCGGCCTCCGCAAGGACAAGAAACAACGACGATCCAGCGCCGTCCACCTGGAAGACGGGACTCGCGGGGAGAAATCTGTCCTGATGGTTCCTGAGATCTACGTGACAGATTCAGATTCGGACGCTTAGGGGATTTACGGGTACGACAATCGCATCATAGGCGCGGCGCTCTGGGTCTTGGTTGGCTTTCTTCTTGATTTTTGCTTTTACTACAGCGCATTATCCATGCATGGCTACTACCACCCTTTCCTTTCTCTTGAATCTCCCCGTTTTCTCACCATTTCCTTTCTTGTCTCTACTCGTTTTCTGTATCAATAGACTTTGCAATGTGTATACCCTGGCATGTTGTATCATGCCTGCGATCAAATTCAGACTCACTTACACTCACCTTGGCCTCTCGCGTTCTGCGCAGCATTGTAAAGTATCGCTTTGGCCGTTTGCTCCGTGACTGTATCGTTCTGTAGAGTTCCGGGCATTCGTTTAGCCATGACATACTCTGATCAGCAATGTTCTGGAAAGTTTATCGGGATAAAGCGAGTAATATCTCGCAAGGCGTGAAGTTAAATCGAGCCACGCTCAGGCTATTTCAACCAATTAGAACATCGTGGTCTGTTCCCAGGAAGGCTTAGCTTCATGTAGCACAATTTGGACCAACCTTCCATCATCCGGGATCACTTGGCCTAACGGTCACAAAACTCGGATACGGCCGGCTGGCCCAATGGCAAGGCGCTTGACTACGAATCAAGAGATTGCAGGTTCGACCCCTGCGTCGGTCATCTTTTTGCTTCTGTTCAACGTCAAACATCTGTGGTGTGGTTGGTTGACACGCGGAAGGCAAATTTTTTGCTTCGGGTCGAGTCGTTCTTGGCGGTCCCACCGGGTCCCATCCGAGACTCGACCCTAGGCCACGTTGAGATGTCTCACCGATGTCAAACATTGCGGACCGATTTTTCTGGAAAGATGGAGGCTGTGGATCGAGTTTATTTCTGTGCTTGGATGTGACCTAAGACGGTGTGTCTTACATCTATGTATTACTGAGGTAGAAGTAGCCGGAGACTCGCGTGCGTGATTGAGCGCGCTAGGCGAAGGCGATTCTCATCTTCGTGTTGGACCAGGTGAACTACATGATTGACTAAACTAACCATAAAGTTTCTTTGTAAGTATGTAGTCGACTACTGACTGAGCTTGTACTGCAAGTGCGGAGCCCGAGGAGGACTAGAAGTTGTAATTGTGCCCATTGCTATGTGCTGTATTGTGAAATAGTCCAATCCGGTGCAACACGCCTTCGTCGTGGCGTGATGAAAAGGAGAATACCTCATACATATTGAAAGGTCTGGACTCTGAATCTAAATGACAACCGGGCAACTTTTCATGTTTATGCGTCATTGATGGCTTTTAAAAAGCAAACGTTGGTGGAAATGAGATGCGGAGATCATGAATTCCTTGCCGGCCCGATCTATCGAGTAGCGCACCTCGTTGCGAGCACCTGGCCATTCCACCCGTTAAAGTTACACGTTTCTTCTACAAAAGCTTCTAAAAGGATCTTCATTGTATCCATGTATTAACTATATGGCTGTCTGTACTGTGGGTTTTGTCATTTCCCGCGCGATCCATCGACAATGAGCTTTGGGCACGTTCCTCGTCGGCAATTGGTGCATTAGTTTAAATTGTGCTGCCTGTCGTGAGAACTTAGTTGTAATGCTGTCATCCATGTGGCTCTACCCGAGCCGTGCTAACCTTAACCAACCAGGGAACCCCGCACGCCACGACCAGTCTGGCTTGCGTGGATTCACTGGATCGTGGTGGGAGACTCCTATCATGTCAATTGAAGGCGCACGTGCCCCGTGGGGGTTGCAGACAACATCATTCGCCTGTCACGAATGAGCATTATCGTAAATCGGCCACGTATGGAAAGACAGGTACGGTACGGAGTACTGGGGAAGTATATTTGACTCGGTGGCTGGCGGTTTGCTTGGCACATCACTACCTGAGAGTGTTACACCTTCCCGGTTATCGCCGACCATTCGAAGGGCATTTCCACCTCGAGGATGCCCTGCGCTTTTAAATGGCAATGGATCTTAAGTAGCTATTACCTCGGCCCAATCTCTCATCGTTCGATCTCAAATTGCGACTACCTGGCCGATCGAGAGTAGAGCTACCATCATGAAAGAGCCAGTGAATGATATCCGTACTCCGTCTGTCTCAGGTCGGGTGTTGGTGGAGAACGAAGTAGTGATAAGGAGAAGTATTTTGATCCCCCTTTATATAGGAGTTAAAGAGTTGAAGTAGTGAAACCTGACATTTTCAGTAACAACCCGACGATGGTTCTCAGACTAGATAAACGAAATTGTCCTTCTGATAAGCCGCTTATCTCAATAGTCCCATGAAAAGTATATGACGATAGTTATCTTGGGGGTTGATATGACTAAAGAGCATGTACCGCTCCGCGGAAGACCAAATACCTGTATTTTTGAGGCAGTTGGCCAGGAGAAAGATCTCTGAACTTCAGGTTGTTTAGACTGGCCTCAATTGTCATTTGATCATTCCCTTAGGATTGTGGCTAGTATATTCCAGACTAATTGCACTTCCATCGTGCCCTGAAACTCACCGGAACTTATTTGAGTGGCTTTGCCTTCTGACCGATGATGAGCAAAATAATTCTGAGCTTTACCTTCAAAAAAAATCTCGAGAGCGCACGTTGGGCAGGATCGTAACTCTCATGTACCTGGAATACGGCATATGCTGGGTGACCCTCCCAGTAGCTAAGCTTTCTGAACTCGCGTTCCTATTGGCTAACTACCTACTTGTCTCAGCTACTTCAGACCGTGAGCATTGCTTTGGATTTGATTGTAGAAGCTAGTCGAAATACCAGCGAGGACTTTGGATCATCAATGGCCGAGGACTGGAGTGCAGAGGGAAGCATCCATCACATAAAAAGGATTCAGGTCCTCAAATGCCAGATCCACAACCCAAAAAACGATCTCACAGAATGGAACCTTTCTATCATATATTCCATTCTGAAATTGACTCAACTCTCACTTTTCAAACACACCCTTAAGCCCTCCACGCTTAGAACCACCCCAAACGACAAACTTCGGCTCAAAGCCCTTGCCAGCCGTTTCTGCTCTGCAGAGTGTCTCATCAGCAGGAAGCAGAACGACGTTCTCCGGGTACAACTTCCCCAACAGGGCCAACGCAATGAGAGGGTCCTCGACGGGGAAAACATGCACACCTCCTTCTTGTACGGTAAGTAAGCCGCCATTTTCAGATTGCAGAATACTCAGAGGGTCATGGACGACGTAGTCTTGAGTAAACTTGGTGATATTTTTGTCTGGGGCATTTTGAATCAGGTATGAGTAGCGGTGACCGCGAGCGATTTGACCTAAATCGACACTGATGCATTTTCCGTTGCTGAGCTCGAGTTGTAGCTTCAGGAGCTGGGATGAATTGACTTTAAGGACATTTGACATGCCAATAGCTGCGCTCTCGACAGAGGTAGATTTGGTTTCTGGGTAGATCTGCAAGAGGGATGCAGAAGTCGGGCTGCCTTTGGGAATTTGCCCGCGAGGCGCAGAGTAATAATCCTGAAACTTGTACTCGAATAGAACCTCCGTTACAGATTCGTCAATCTTGGTCGGTAAATACTGAAGCAAGTGTAATGGAGTTGGACCGCCAGCCAGAAAAGCGGGTAGAACGGTACCATGCGCATACTGGAACCCATATCCGGCGGCACCATTGTGAAGCAATCCAGGAGCAAGTAGAGCTTTGGCATAGGCAATGATGCCTTTCTGGGTGGTGTGTTTGGTCAAAAGCTCCGCGAGAAACTGGCTTCTCGCGGATTCAAGGTGGCGGATGCCTCTTGCCTGGCGATCCACAGGGATGAGCACGTCCTGGTAATTCTGGAATGGCAACAGGGCATCGCGCAGCAAAACCATCTGATGCATGTATTCGTTGAAGAGCTGCATTAGATGGGGTGCAGCTCGATCGCCAAACATCAGGTCAACGTTCGATGGAAGAAGAAGGTGACCTTCGCAAGGGCTGCGCAGGTACATTTCCGGATCGAATGAATTGGGGCTGGATTCGCGTGCCCATTGCACGAGGGTCTTGCCAATGCGATTCGCCTGGTCTTTCATTTCTCGCCGTGAGATATCGAGGGGCTCCACGAGTCGGAGGGTACTCTCGCGACTGTCGGTAGCTAGGTTGGCAGCGACGTTGTCTAACAGTCGGGTACGTGCAGGCTTCGAGCCAGTTGGGTCAATTCCTAAATGAAAAACGACGGTGTCAAGAAGAGGAGCGAAGCCTTCTACTAGCTGGCGGGGGGTGTAGACTCCCGAGCGCAGGCCCCAAGCCTCCTTCAAGGGCTTGGTGTCGCGTTCACCGGCATCTGCATCGACTTGAGAGTGTCGCCCAGCAATGAGACTGCCGAGGCCAGCCAGACGAAAGACATTCTCTGCGGTAACCATCGCAGCAGCGACTCGAGAGATCATGCTGATGATGAAGACTGCAACAGTAGATATGAGCAGATCAGCGATTCTCATGGTCGAGTCCAATTGTAGGGTGATTGCCAGCCTTTATCATTTTGCGGAATTGCAGTTTTTAATTTCTAATCCGGAGAATATTGGTTGTTGGTTCGGAGAGGGTTGGTCGTGAAGGCCATGAAGCTCCGGGATGCGGACGGAGTTGGATGGACACGACCAGCAAACTCCGGTCGTCGCATTCCGTGCTCAGGAGTTGGTAGACCGGAGCGAAATCAACTATAACTGAGTTTGATGGATTATTTTTGCCAATGTGTTTATTCTCCGTCGCCGTTCACATTGTTGCTGTAGGCGGATGGACGCGGTTGTGTATGACCGAACTGCTTCAATGCACATAAAATGACAAATCCCCGAAGCTCGTCAGAACTACCGAGGCCATAATTTGAATACACCAAATTGTGCAAATCATTAGTAGAGAAGTTGGCAAATAGATATTTCAAAGTAAGACATCCTGGCACTAGATGAAATGCGGATGAAAGGTCTTCAACGGCTAGAGACGAGTTGCATTGGCAGTACTGCATTGTCAGTCTCCACTCTTGCTCCGTACGAGTAGTCCACAGTGTATGTGAACAAGGCAAAGGCATGTTCAAGATTAGTTCATCATCCAACGGCTCATAATATGGAAAAGTCTCGCCAGTCTCTGGATCGTGGTTGCCGAGGAAATGCACGATGTTAGCGAGAAAGACAGTCCGCCGAGCCGTCTCGGTTGTCGCCCACTGTTGGAACGTCTGTATGAACATATGCGACTGCGAAGTCAAATTCTCTCCGGGAGGCAGGTTATGCGAGTGGACGAAATCCCGAATCATCTTCACCAAGAAGGGCGCCTTCAGACCTTTCGAGTAGGACTTCTGCTTCCAGCCATCATCGCCCTCCGCATGAGATGCCCGCAACTCGAGGATGCTATACACGAGCATGGCATGCAGAGCGTCCCACTGGTGCATGCAGCTGTACATGCGGTACGAGGCGATGAGTCGCTGGCGCTCGACTTCCATTGCGTGTCGTGCGAAACGTGCGCCCCCGGCGGTCTCCATCGCACAGCCGCAGCAGACCGCCATGGAGGTTCGTGCTAGTGTGGCTATGTCGGGCACGTCCTCGTCATAGAGGGTACGATGGAGACAAGGTGGGGTGAAATCATCGCGCAGGAGCTGCCTTGGGTATTGGTCCAGCACGTGGATCATGTCCGGTAACGAGTACTGCATAGTTGATCCATGGGATCGTAGGTCTACTAGATCTGTAGTGGGGACTGGCTCTAGCAGTGCGAACGATTCCGCCGTAGCATAGGAAGGGATTATACCGCCGAGGACTCCTTGCGTCGGGTGCTGTACATTTGGAGGCTGGCCTGCATTCGTGAAATTTGGGGTCCTGGTTAACGACTGGGCCGGCTGAAGCACGGGCAGGTCTCCTCCAATGTCAACACCAACCAGCCATTCGGGATGGTGAGTGTCTTCCAGGTAAGTGTCCTGGACTTCCTGGTAGCTGGTCTGATACGCATCAGGGCTCGAGGGCTGGTAAGCATAGGTGCAGGGAACCCCCGCCCATCACAACGCGCACACGGCTGCACGTAGGTGCATTTCGCTTTGGCCTGGACGCAAGCATTGCAGGCCTTTTGCCGCGTGGGGAGTTTCTTGAGACCGCGACATCGACGTCGATGTCGGAGGAGTAAGTCGTCTAGACTCTCTTGGTTAGTTTTGGTTTTCTTATTGCATGCAACTGCCATGCGCTCGGGCAGGACCACGTACGCCGTTGATAAGCTTTCAAGCAGGACGCGCAGACATGGTCCTGTGTGTCTGTCGCCATGTGGTCTACTTAATTATCGATCATAAATCTGATCGAATCAACGTGATAATAGCAATGGGGGATTCCATATCCTGAAAGGGTATTGCTAAAGTACTACTGCGAGGTGGCCTCCAGTACCCATGGCTTACTAATTGGATGAGATGGTAAGTTAAGAGCAGGGAAAATGTCGCGATCTTAAGGTAAATAAACATGTTTATGCTTCGTTGACACAGAAAGACAGTCAACGATCCATGAATTTAAAAATCAACCTGCATCACGTCACCCCCTTTCTTCCGACCTGCAGAGGTAAACAAAAAGCTTGCCTAGCAACGGTGGATGCAATCGTGAGATTATCACCTCCACACGAGGGGGACACAAATCCAGAAGCAACCCACTCCGCCGTCCGGACCTGGAGATTAAAATATATTAAGAATACTGCAGTCAAAGAAAGACGAGAGAGTATTCTCCACTTCGGACGGCCTCCTCCGTCATTCTTCGTTTGAGTCTGATCTTGCTTCACGCTGTGGCTGTGCTCAGCCACACTTGCGGTGACCAAATCACTGAATTAAGTTAGCTACTGGATGAGCATTGCTCGCTGAATTCAATAGTGCGATCGGAGCTCGCGAGGGATCCATCAACTATTCGGCTAGATTGGCCCCGAGATGGATTTTCGGCTCTTTTGGGGGTTGATCACCGCCACTCGGTGCGTTGATTCAGGAAGGTGGGAGTCAGCTTGTAATTTGTTTTGCTTTTCTGTAGAAATGAATAGTAATAATGAAAGCAACAAGAATACTTCGCGACGGAGTTGTATTTCCTCTTCCCGTGCGGAGTAGGCCATGTGTAACTTGAGGAACCCGTGGTTAGTGCCGCCATTCCACCATGACGGTTGACGGCACTTGCAATTGAGTTTTGGAGCTGAGATTCCTGGGGCAACGCTAAAACGGCAATAATCAGGTCCAGCAGGCTATATCCACTTCTCTCGACGGTGGAGTGACGCACGCTTGAACGGAAGATTAAGGGCTTTTGTCTGTCATCTCAACCACATCCTGGAGTTTCACCACGTCTCGAAATCCCGTAGCCTGCGCGACAGACCACATGTGGGAAAAAATCATACTCGTCGCATCCCAAGAGCAAAGCCAAAACCCTGAAAGATGGAAAATCTCCAAGAGTCAGAAAAAACTAATCCCTGCCTTCCCCAAGGTGACTCCACTTCGGCCCTGGCTCCATCGGACGAGCCAATCACATCGAGGATCGCCTTCCAGGACCACAACTTTGGGCATCGAACTCATCTCGCCTGGCTGATCCCTCCCGAATCGAGATCCAGATCTCAGGGCTCCTCCAGGGCTCGATGCCTATCCTTGGTGATCCCTGCAACCCAATGACTTCATGATGAACTGGGTTGCTGCCTCCCTGCCAATGCTCAGGCCCGTGCTGGTTGTTCCTTCCAGCCACATTGGCTGGGGAGGCATCCTGATGCAGGTCCTGCAGAATCAACAGAGCCAGCAGCAGGATTAGCTGGACAACAGGATGTACCAGCAGAACCAACCAGGACCAAGTGCAACAGGTTCAGAAAAAGCAAACGCCTCACAGTCACCGCCGCAGGGAAACCCACTTGGCTGATCACCGTGGCTTGGTGTTTCCCTGAGTGGTCGGGCCTTTCCTCTTTGGAAACTCCTTTCCAGGCCCAACATCAAGCCAGAGACGGGACTAGGACTAGGACTAGGACTCGTGCTAGTGTCCTTCTTCACCCAGTGGTCCACTGCACCAAGTCGGCAAAGGCTACGTGCAGATCGATTGTTTGGTTCCAGTCCCAGCTGGGAGGTTCCTGCTAATCCAAATCTTCATTTGCCCCTTCTCCTTCCTCCCTTTTGGTGTTTTATAAAAGACCCGGTGCTGAGCCCCAAAAAGTACTTTGTTTTCCTCTTCATCCCTGGCTTCGTGTCTTCCTGTCTATCCTTTTTCTTGATACCCCATACCCCACGTATCTAATCACCGACTCGAACTAGCACCTACCATCATCACAATGAAGTCCTTCTCGAACGTTGCTCTTGCCCTGCTGGCTGCGACCAGCATGGTCGCTGCTGAGTTGTCAGCCTCGGACTGCGCTGTATGTGGTACTCTGTCGTTTATCACACATCTCCAGTGATGAATCCTTCATGACTCCGAGCGAGCTCCTGCTAACCTGCCATGGTCGGACAGCAAATGTGCATCAACAACATGAACGCCAAGGCCTCTGAGCTCAACTGCAAGTCTGGTGACATGGCTTGCCTGTGCAAGAACCAGGACTACCAGTATGGTATTCGTGACTGCACCGCCCAGGCCTGCCCCAACGATGATGCTGCCGCTGTTGTCAAGATGGCCCTTGCCTCGTGCCCTAGTATGTCTTCCTGATGGCAAATTTCATGTGGACGATGAGAAAGATTCGCGTCGCTAACCATTATCCTTTCAGGCGGCTCCGACTCTAGCTCCAGCTCGGGCTCCAGCGCCTCTGGCTCGGGTTCAGGCTCGGGCTCCGAGACCACCACTGGCTCTGGAAGCGAGAGCACCGGCACTCAGTCTGGTGATAAGACCACCACTGGTTCGGGTTCGGGTTCTGGCTCGGCCACTACCACTGGCTCTGGCAGTGAGAGCACCGGTACTGGCAGCGAAACCACCGGCACCAACTCCAATGGCAGCGGCACCGCTACTGTGAGTTCTCCCGTCTTTTGGCCATCCCCTCGCCTTGCTAATCACAGATACACAGGGTACTGGCACTGAGGCCACCGGCACTGGCGCCACCGGCACTGGCGCTTCCACGATGACCACGATGACCACGACTGCTAGCGGCTCCGAGTCGTCTTCGACTGTCTCCAACTCGGGCTCGGGCTCGGGCTCGGGCTCGGGATCCTCCACCGAGTCTGGTGGTTCTGGCTCGCAGAGCACTGGATCTGGCTCCTCTGGCTCGAGCACTGCTGCTTCTTCCAGCAGCACTGGTGCGGCTCACCCCATGGCGACTGTCGGTACTGGCGCTGTTGGTGCTCTGGGTCTGGCCGCCCTGTTGGTGCTGTAAGATGTCTGCTTGAGTAATGGGCTTGGCCTTGGCCTTTCGAACCCTGAGAGTTTCATTGTCGAGAGACCCATCTGTGTATTTTTCTCGTGTGGTTTATGAATCACTTGTCACTATTCCTCTACGAAGTCCCGTTGCTGTAATGTCCATCTAATGAAGTCATGGTCCAACCCAGGCACGTGCCGGGGCCTTCTTGCATGTGATTGCGGACTGTTTTTTCTATTTTTATTTTTGTGTAGTCCAGTTGACTCAACTCGATGCAAATGATGCATGTAGTTTCAAGCCATATATCCTCTTTAACGTACTCTGTACTCTGTATATTAATTATACATGATCAGACTCCCCAAGCCTCGCGCTCTTAGCACTTCCTTGTTCCCGCCGGAAAAGTGGCAGCGCCAGCAGTTCCTTTCCCGTTCACCCGGATCGGCGCCCTCCGAAAGCCACTTAATCCCACGGACTAAACCACCATCTTTTTTTTTTGTATTTCATATTTCACACCAGACAGATATACACATCTTCCTTTGCTCTCTTTTGCATCTCTCCTCGGTGTGTACATCTTCAGCTCATCCTCGGCGGACCACTTTCCCAGCGGCAATCTAGTTTTTCCGCGTCCGAGCCGAGGCTCGTTGCAGCTGTCCGGGGAATCTTCCAAGTGAACCGCTGTTCGGCTTCGGTCCGCATCGCTAAGCCGATTAAGTTGCTTGAAACGTGCAGTTGATCTTTATTTCTCTCTCTTCACTCTTCATTCCTCCTCCTTACCTTTGACCTCGCCCTCTTTCTTTTTTCTTCCCTCCCCTCCCCTCCACTTCCTCCTCCCTCTCCTCCTCCTTCTACGGTCGCACTCTCCCCCGGATTCTCAGCTCCCCCACTCGACCGCTCGCCCACAATCATGTCGACCTCCGCGTCTTCCCCACAGGAATTCAAGGATGAGATCAAGGTTCTTGATGTCAAGCCCATGAACCAGACCATTCAGCAGATTCGCTCGCTCGCCGCGGGTGCTGCTGGTGGTCTCTGTGCCGTCATTGTGGGACATCCCTTCGACCTGGTCAAGGTGCGCCTGCAGACCGCCGAGAAGGGTGTCTATGCAGGCGCTATGGATGTGGTGCGCAGGACGGTGGCTCGTGAGGGATTGGCTAGGGTAGGATATATGATTTACGCCTTTAACCGTACAATTGGACTTTTCAGCTAATCGGCGCGTGAGCAGGGTTTGTACGCGGGTGTGTCTGCCCCGCTTGTGGGTGTGACTCCGATGTGTAAGTGGCTCCTACACGGCTTGGATAGCTTTGCATATCATGTGCGATCGCTTGAATAGAATATCTGAGCTAACCTGACTTCTCCATGTAGTCGCTGTCAGCTTCTGGGTATGTTCCTGAACATCGCGTCTACGTGACCAAGTCCGAGTGCGGGTGTGCCCTATCTAACACGACCATGCAGGGTTACGACGTGGGTAAGAGCCTGGTTGAGAAGGCTTCGACTGTGCCCGTGGTCAACGGCACCCCTCAGTACTCCATTGCTCAAATCTCCGCCGCCGGTTTCTTCTCCGCCATCCCCATGACCTTGATCACCGCCCCCTTCGAGCGCGTTAAGGTCCTCCTTCAGATCCAGGGTCAGAACCCACCCCCACCCGGCCAGAAGCCCAAGTACTCCGGTGGCGTGGATGTCGTGCGCCAGCTGTACAAGGAGGGCGGTATCCGCAGTGTCTTCCGCGGTAGCGCCATGACGCTCGCCCGTGATGGTCCCGGATCGGCGGCCTACTTTGCCGCGTATGAGTATATCAAGCGGTCGCTCACCCCCAAGGATGCCAATGGCAACGTGACTGGCGAGCTGTCTCTGACGGCGGTTGTGGCTGCGGGTGGTGCCGCCGGTATTGCCATGTGGATTCCCGTTTTCCCCGTCGACACGATCAAGTCCCGCCTGCAGAGTGCACCGGGCAAGCCCACCATCGGCGGTACCGTCAGGGCCGTGTACGCCAGCGGTGGTTTCAAGGCCTTCTTCCCTGGTTTCGGTCCCGCGCTCGCTCGTGCTGTGCCTGCCAATGCGGCTACTTTGTGAGTCCCCTTTGATTTCTCGGATATCCACCTGATCCCCGAAACTAATACTCTTCCGTTCATCCAGCCTCGGTGTCGAGCTCGCGCACAAGTTCATGAAGTCGATGTTTGACTAAACTCGTATTGTTCATGATTTCTTGAGTGTATATATTCCCATTTTTCCCATTTTTTTTTCTTGAAGTGTCTTTTTTGCAGCGTTGGTTCTGGTCTATCTGCGTATAGACGCTTGTGACGGGTTGATGACCGTCCCGATAGTCTTGCATGGGAACTTTCCGGACGTGACTTTGAGCCGGTTTAGATATACACCGATACCATACCCCTTTTCGGTTCGTTGATTTCTTGGTCCACGCTTGTTTTTTCTTTTGTATAGATCAGGTGCTGTTCGACAGCTTGGAATGGCATCAATGAATATTCAGGGTTCTTTCCCGTCTTTTGGCTATACTCGGTATTTGAATGCCATTCTGCTCTTGGTGTACTGTCCTGTATTGATAGTACTCGATTGATTACGCTTGCCAAGCTGTATAAACATGTGCCAAGACTATGATAGTGTCTGTCGAGAATTATATCAAGACCAGTAAGTCCCGGATTTGTCTACCGTATATACCGGCTTATATATATATTACGATATTCTCCCTAACGACTCGGGTCTCGTCCTGCTCGACTTATATCTATACCTATTTCTACTAGGGCTTGGTGCCGTTAAATTTTCCCTAAGGATACGAATTAAGAAGAGAAGTAATAGGATTATTAATCATTAGGCTAGTTACGTTAACTAGTTAACTAGTTAACTAATAACTACTCCGTAGAGATTATCTACTTAGTAAGCGAATCCTCTTTGAGTTGAGTCAATTTCTGCCGATGGTGGTATTTATCCACGCGTGAGGATACACCTATGGCGCGGCGCCGTAGTGTAGGGAACGGTATGATGTATAGCTCCGCTGTTGCACCTAGAGATTTAATATTGCCCTTCTGAAGGTCTTGGATAGCGAATAGGATCTTGCGCTCTTGGTTAGCCGCTTTTTGCCAGGATTCGGAGCGTTTTGGTGGCATAGTTGCTGGTTGAGGAGGAGGGTGTAGTGGTAGAGACGCATTTCTGGGTAGGTGATCCGCTTAACTGGGTGATCCGCTTACGGGAATTACGTTACAATATCTACTCTCCCCCTGTGCCAAGGTCCGACTAGCCGAGGCAGCTCAAAGGATTCCAGGATTTCGATCTGAGCTCCCTAAGGTCTGAATCGCCTGCATCAGCTCTCCCTGAGCCTTGTAACCCTCTGCACGACGCAGCACTACGCGTCTAGCGAGTTGGCACGACTGTAGGCATTTTCGGGCGTGGTGAGGTTAGATTCCGCAACGCCACCTATACCATCGGTGTCGTTGATAGGCTTGTCAATAGTGAATTTGTCCTTGAGTGAACGGGGCATTTTGTCAGGATTCTTAGTCCAGCAATTTTCTTCGATATGACCGGTCTTGCCACAATCAGGATAGGTGCATTTTAAATGACTTTTGTCGTTATGCTTTAACTTTTGGCTGTTGTTGTAACTAGTGGCGCTGAAGATACTATTGTTGCCGTTCGCATCCTTAGCGAGTTGTCTGGCCTCTTCGACATGCAGGCGTTCATAGAGGTAGTCTAAGTCGGGAGGATCGTCGGGTTTGGTCGAGCGGATCCAGTCATATTTTTCTTTGAAGCCACGATAGTTGGGAGGAAGGCCGTGGAGCAGAGCAGTCGCAAACATATCGTCAGTCATCTCATATTTGACAGTCTTGAGGTCGGCTTTGATCTGGCGCACTTTGCTGGTGTACTCGGTCACGGATGAATAGTCTTTAAGTTTGAGTTCATTCAGTTGATTCAGAGGGTTGTCGCGTGCACGCTCATGGGTGACTGCGTATCGTTTCTTGATGAGATCATAGGCCTCCCTGGCGTCTGGACAATCTTCAATCTCGATCTTAATGCTATCGGAGGCCCACGTGTTAAGCAACTTGCTTACGAGTTTCATCTTCTCCTTAGTATTTTTATGTTTAGTATAATCAATCTGCTCTCGGATGTTGTTATTGGTGGTTATAAGAATAGCCTGGGCATTATCTGGTTCGTCATCATCGTCAGGCGCTAGAGTTGAAGTCTTCTTGGCGGATGTAAAACGACGGGTATCGACTTTGATAGGCTTGGTAAAGTAGTTTTCGTTCTTAGGCTTAGGAGGGATAACTTCTTCACCGGTGAGAAACTCAAAGGTATTATTTGCTTTAGCCGCACGCTCAAACTCGCGCTTCTAACTGATGAAGTTGATTTTGCCTTTGAGCTTGCGGTCAGCTTTGACTTCGTCTATTTCGGAGTTTGTCATGTCTAGTGCTGAGAACTAAATGTTTCGGTCTGCGGTCCGGGGTCTGGGGTCTTGATCACTGATCACCTGCTTCAATCCAACGCCTAAATTGGAAAAAAAAGAGGCTTATAACCAGTTGAAACCCTTGATTGAAGTACAAGTGTGGTGATCTTTCTGTAACTATGCCAGTAGGCGCAGCTATTTGTAGTCACAGCAGCTGCCTTCTCCCTAGAGTAGTGGTGGCTAGGCTGCCACTACAATATCTATACATCACGTAATCTGGAATCCAACTTAGCGAGGCGTCAGCGTAAATGAACTGGTGACGCGCGCTGCGCACGCTGTGGCCCTGAAACGATGACAAGGGCAGGAGAGAGTTATGGATTTGAAAAGATTTGAATTGTTTAGGTCAAGGTCAAAGGTTTGATGAGAGACGCGAGTAGCCAATGAATAACTGATAGTCACACGAGGTACAAGGTTTCATAGTCGCACGCGAGGGGGTTGATTATTGGTGAGAAGAGCAGTTAGGATTTAACAGCCCTTCAAGAGACGCTCGGTTTGTTCTAAATACTGTTTATCACCTCATTGTGGGAGGCCAGGGTGGGTGAAGCCACATATATATTCTAAACGTTTTCTTCTGCCTATTATGAGCTAACAAGTAAAAGCGAATAGGTACCAATATCATTTATCTTGGATCGCAAATTACAGGAGATATAATATTTTGTCCCTATTATTGTATTCGGGCTGTTTTTCATCCTTTTGCTGTATTTGCATGTTGTCGAGGTATGCGGTAGTAACTTTGGGCTCAGCAGAGATTTCGGCGTTATAATTGCCGAGTAATGGAGTATTAGCCTGAGGGGATTCCAACAGCTCCCTCATTCGGTCTTTACCATCAATAATCATCAACCCGATCCTTCCACTAATTCCATTCGATATCTACTTTACTAGCGAATACCATGCTAGCTTGATCTAACGCCTGTTATCACTAAAATGTTTCGTGGCGTATATCGGCATTTTTAAGCCTTTAAGCCTACTGTAACTAGTCACACAGAACCGAAATATAATTTTTTTGCTAAGCAGACTATATCCTGCCTCTCACCTTCCCTCAATACCAACACATTCATTGCAGGTTTGCTTGTTTTGATTTAAATATTTTGTAGCAGCTCAAAAATCCTGAGAACCTTCTCCATCTCATCAATCGCTTCATTCGGTGTGGTCATCACCTTCTCTAACTCCTCTGCCACATGAGTTGAGCGTGAGCACGAGTCTTGCCTGACCATTGAGACAACAGCATGGGAAAGCAGATCTTTAGGCATATTAAACTCCCGTGAGGCCTGACCGTGGACGAGGAAGTATTGTATCAGGGTTGACGGCAAAACATGCTTCTTAATATACCCATAAATATCGTATTTCAAGAACATAGCGCACAGGCGATATAGCCGTCGCTTCTGGGACTCAATGTCCTCCAAGTGCCCTTCGTCGGCCAAGTAACACTCGCGCAAAGTTTTCATGATTTCCTCTTTTTCATCGCCTGTCAAGCTCATAACACCTGTTCCGCCGCGTGCCAGCTCTAGGGATGCTATAAGAAAAGCATGATTTAGCTCTCCCGCGATGAAGTCTTTGATCATGTCGTCATTGATAGACTGGAGATATTCGTTTAGTGGTAACCGACGAGGAACTTGCACATCCATAATTCGTGAATCTCTGATATCTTCGACAATCTGTAATACGACAGCCGCACGTCGAATTGTGTCAGTGTAGAGGTACCGACGGTCGCTAGTACTGAGGATGTTTTTATAGCAGGCCGCAAGTCGACAAGCATGTAGTATTAACTGAACGTAGTTTCCCGAACGCATGTAATGAAAGGCAGCGAATGTACCTCCAGTCAAATCATCTATCGAGGGCTGTGTGGCCTCCTTTAAAGAGGTGTTTGGCGATTTTTGGTTTCGAGCGTGGGTGACGGAGAGGTAGCTCGTACAATACACCATGTAATTGTGGTAGAGATGAATAAGGTCACTCTTGCAAGGATGACTGCCAGGGAGGAAATGATGTAACAGCCGATTGCCTACTGACATCACTAGACCGGCATCGGCTGGAAAAGTTTTCGGGTGGTGAATATACCACGCTGGCCCCTCTTCCCGAATCTCGTCCCCGTCGACTGCATCATCCACGAAACAGTTATATGTCGTAATTAGATCAAAAGCCGCAATCACAGTGTAAACCACCTTCATGTGGGAAGGTGTCTGATACTCGGCTGGCGAAATCTGGCGGTAAAAGCGCAGCATCTCATGGCGGGTCCAACCACCACTCCAACTCTGATCAATTGCTCCGTCAAGAACCTATAATTCCTTAGATCTCTTCGATTTACCAGCGATAACGACTTACATGTTTTGACCACGACTGAAGTGCTCTAGTCAGTACAGGTTCTTGCAATTCTGGCATCAAAGGAATTCGTGCCAGTAAACGAAATGCATTCATGAATGGCCCGCGTACTTCGTCGGCGACGGAATGGTCGGACGGAATGACATTAAGACTAAACTGCTGTGCATTTAAATTCTCCGTAGGCCATTGAAGGCCCTCAGCATCTATTGAGCCATGGTCATAGTACTCTGCAACAAAGTCGTCTAAAGTACGGCAGTCAGGGTCGAACTCGAAGGGAGCTTGCATGGTTGCTATAAATTATTTATTTTCCAGTTGGAAGAACGAGAATCACTATTTATGCTACAAAAAACACTATTAGAAATCCAGGTGAAGGTTGCCGAGTATTCTACCCTTCTAGTGGGTGTGGCTGCAAGGTTCGATGCTAGGGGAACCGTGCTATGTGGATCAAGTTCCTCAGTGACTAAATCTGCGCCTAAACTCCAATGAGAGCGGAACACGTTGCATGTATTGCATCGATGCATCGGATGGATGCTGATCTTGTACCTGTTGTATCTTACCTCTTGATGGCAGGTTCTGCGTATATTATCAAATCCGATTCTTAGAAAGAAATATAGATGAGCCTGTAGAGAAACAGGGACTCTAGAAAGAGTGCGTTAATTGATGCGGTTGGTACTCTTTATAATCAGACCCACTGCTAGGCAATATCCTTATATTCTATTGCCAATTCCGTCGATCTAAGGGGTGGCAATTCAACACCACTCCTACGACTAGAGATTGGATGATTCAGCGGCCACCCAATTCCTCATGTTTTTTGTATAGTAAACCGGGTCAATTCGGAATATCCACATCGTACAAACCAACACCAGCTTTTCAGGCCTAGAGACGCCTCAACAGCAGTCTCTCAGAGCCCTTCGATCAGTCATGTCGATTATCCCCCTCAGAACTATTGCATACGGAAATACTTCGACAGTGTGGGCGTGAAGTAGAATATGAAAACTGTCGTCCTCGGATTCGGTGAGGAAGGATCCCCAGGCATAGATGAAAGCGTCGGGTTGGTAAATGTCAGATCGATTTCCTTCAGTGAAGAATCTGATTAGGGTGGGAATGTCGTTTTGGTCAACGTCGTCAGATTGCACTATATATAGCAGGCGGGGCGTTGGAGTATATAAATATGAAGATGAATATAGATAGATAAGATATAGCAGTGAACAACGGAGACGATAATATATATAGAGAACGTATAATAGAACGAGAAATATATAGAAATCCGCAAAAGGCAGTAGCGAACGTGGAAGGCCTAAAAACCTAGAAGAAAGGAGAGAAATAAAATAGAAGGATAGAGGCACGCGAAAGTATTAGTGCAAAGATTAGTGCAAAGGACGGGTAAGTAAGCCAGGCGGAATAACAGGCGAATAGCGAGAAGAGTGCAGCAGGCAGACAGCATGATAAGGAGATAGAACTAGCATATGTAGGTTATTGCAATAGCGGACAAAAAGGGTACTGTACAGGGCACAATATACAAGGATGAACCTTGCGAAGCATGCAAAGTAGATAGTGGGGCAGGAGAGCAAAGAGACGGACCGAGACAAGCGAACGTGACCTGGGATCCAACCAAGCACCAATGAGAGAGAGGCTTAGCGAGAGAGTAGGGTGTGTGTTTCTCGCTGTGTTTTTAGCTATCTCAACGTCGGCGTCGCGCAGCCGTGGGGTTGGTAACCCCTTCCACTCCGTTCCTTCGTTTCAGGGCACTGGTGACGCGCGCTCCGCACGCTGTGGCCCTGAAACGAAAAAAAGTGGAGGCATGATGATAGGTCATGCAGAGGTGAGTGAAAGTATGAAAGCCGAACTTAAGCCAACATGTAGTGGGAAATCTACTAGTCGGAAAGCTTCATTGGTCTCTGGCTAGCTTGGCAATCCGTTAATCTTCGGGCTCCTCTTCCCAGAATTCTGCGCCCGGTGGTATCTCCATCACTGCTTCCTTACACCATATATGCACAGCCTTTGACATCATTTCGCGTGAGAGAGCCTCGAGGCAACCTCCTTTCACGCTAAGAGAATTTTCCCCCTGGGTACGATGTATAAGTCGCGATCCACATGACAGACAAAATAGACACTCCAGTTGTCTACCTTGTAAGGTTTTCCGAGTAAAAGTACCGATCCGCACAGTGCCATCAGGATTAACCATTAGCATCTCAAACCATGGGAAAATAGCCGTTATGCCACAGTAAGATGAAGACTGGTGACGGCACTCAGTGCAATGGCAAACGTATATCTTGGATGGCTCTGGAAGAGGTGTGATAAATCGGATGGTTCCACACTGACAACGCCCCTCCATATCGTAATCGTAACAATTGGTCGCGAGTCTGGCGTATGTGAAGACGACGTCAAGACGAAGACTCGATGAAGTAGCTTACACGGGAATTATTTCAAGATCGGTTGTATGGTCGCGTTCGCAACTGCCTCATCATAACACCGGCCTGGTTATATAGGAGGGTAAAGGTGAAGGTGAAATACAGTACTGCGGGCAGGTCGAGTGGGGTAAAAGATAAGCTTCTGGGCAGGCGGGAGGAGAGAGAGGAGCACGTGAGGCTGTAGCACCACGTAATCTGGAATCCAACCAACCTCCAATGAGAGGGAGGCTTGGCGAGAGAGTTGGGTGTGTGTTTCTCGCCATGTTCTTGGCAGTGTCAACGTCGGCGTCAGGCAGTAGTGGGGTTAGTAACCCTTCCACTCCGTTCCTTCGTTTCAGGGTATTACACACACACATACACACACACACAGAGAGAGAGAGAGAGAGACTGTACTCACTTCAGCAGATAGAGACTTTCTCGTAACGAAGCGACTATTGTTAATTCTTCCAAAAATGAAACTTATCCAACCCCACAACTTCTATAAGTCTTTTGCCGGAGATTATTTTACAACAAGAACTAAATACATGTGAGTTGCCTACTCCTGCAGCCATCAACACCAGCATCAGACAGCACCATATGTAATTCGACACAGTCGCCACCAGATCAGGACAAGCGTAATCAACCCTGACTACCAGGTGCAAGCTCCGCTACTCATCCCAAAGTAAGTAACATGAGCAGCATTCACACCCTGACCGCCCTGGGCCTCGCAGCACTGGACCTGGTTTCCGGTGCAGATATAAGTGTTATGGGCGTTATGGGGCTCAACACTCCAGAATTCCACACCCGAATGAGCATAACCCTGGGCAGTTGGGGGCAAGTTCGGAATGCCGTCATTAGCATGGGTGACCCGGAAGTACTGGGTCGCCGCGGGGTCTGTAGAATGAAAATGCGCATTCATATATGACGCGAAGGCTGAGTTGCCAGTTCGCGGTTCACCAAAGGTGTATAATTTAACGCGACTATATGTGGCAGATAGCTGAGCAGCAGTGATGGCTGCCATCGAGGCACCAAGACTAAATCATGTGTTGGTCAGATCAGAAAATGTAGATCGGGAAGGGGGATATTATTGAGAAATAGCATGGGAAATTCTTGAAGAACCAGACAAGACGAATTTCCTACCTGTGGCCCGTGACCGTCAGTGCATAATCCGGATACTGTCTGGCCTGCTCCTGGACAAACGACTCGACCTGATCCTTGACTGAGACCCAACCAAGATAGTATCCGCCATGCACAAAGCAACCGACGCATTTGGGATTGGTTTGGAAAGAAGCAAGAGTGTAGTTGGTATCGAGCTGCAGGTTTACAGCACTGCCAGTACCGCGAAAGACGGTAATGATTTCTTTCCGTGAATCATCGCGAAGAACCCATCCGTTGATGTCAGTCTGGGCATTGTATATCTTCTGCACCGTGGTAATGGTCGAGGGAATTTTACACAAGTTTGCGTAGGCAGCTTGCGAGATCGTGGCCATCTCAACCAGCCGGCTGTAGATTGTATCAGGAATACCCTGCGTGACGGCAGCTAGACCTTGTCTTGCAGCCAGAGACAGGACGAGAGTGTGCGATATAGAAAGAATCTTCATGGTAACAGAGCAGTGTCCAAGGATATTAGATAGATAATGGTTCAACGAGAGATGAGTGAGTTCCGTTAGTGTCTATCGTAGGAAACATCGTTCAATAAATAGTTAGAGTGGGAAAATACTTCTCGGATAAAGAGTGAAGCTGTCTTTGCCTGAAACTTAGGAGCCTTCTCTGCCTCCATAACGGCATACTGGCATGCTAGGGGCAACTCTGGGGATTTTTGGTGATTGGCGGGGCTTGATCTAGCGGCCTACTAATCCAATTTTGATTGACGATCCGATCGGCCCTTTTAGGCAAGAGGCCTCCGTGTGGAAACTCCAGGTTTGTCGTGGACGATCCTACGCTCTGCTCGGTAGTTGTCAATGCTCCATCTCCCGTGTGACTTGCTGAAACACCAGTTGCTCGGCAGGTGTGGGGCTACTCTCCTCAGTAGGCTAAAGTTCTCCCCCGTTCAATAGAAATAGACTAAGTTACTCCGTACTTTCAAGCCTAACGTAATTCACGGTTAAACGGATCACATGGTGAAGCAGATCACCTCCAAAACTAGTAAATGCAATATTTCACAGCTTCATATTTCAACGCCCGAGGCTAATTTTATAGTCCCAGGGTGTATTAGCGTTAAATATGTCATATTAGGTATTTTTATAAGCTCGAGAAATATTTTGGGGCATGACAGTGTAGATATATGTACTACGTACTGTGACTATGCAAAAATCCTAACACTCCTTGAGAGCCACCCATCACACTGCCCGTGCCAAGGCTCCACTGCCTACTAACTCGTTCACCAAGTCATGATATAAGGCACCTAAAGGAGCTGGAGAACCCGTTGGAAATTTAATTCAGAGCTTCAAGTGTAATTTTCGAGTCAACAAGGTACAGTGGTGTTCCGTAAGTATTTGGATAATCCGCCTGGTTACATTATATACAATTAGGTTCATGGCCATTCAGTGCATTCACTATTGAATACAGTACTGATTTAGCCTTCGCGTGTGTTCAGGAGTCACAGACTCACAGTCACCAAACGTTGGTCCTCTCCGAGAGACCTTTTCCGGGGAAGGAACCCATTCAGTCGGCGAGTTGTGGAAATTCCTTATCATTAAACTCCCGATTGCCCAATTGATGAGGTAGGACCCTGATTCGAGCTGAAGCAGATGGCCGCTTCAGTGGTCGGCGGCACCTACAACTCACAAAAGCTGTGATGCCCTGGCCCACGGACCACATGGCCACGAGCCACTTGAACAGATACAAGCGAGGTTTAGCCGACATTTTATCCGAGGATACATCCCCTTGACACTTAAACCCATTCAATTTCGTCACTGGGTGCTAAAGAAAATTTTCTTCTTGTCAGTGTCTCTTCCCCGCCCGAATTCCTGAAAAGACGGACAGGGGTGGCCAGGTTAGCGGGGATACGGGGGAAGTAATCCGGCCCACCTACACGAGAAGTCAGCCTCGCACGAATTTTGTCCTACGTGTTTCGAAGTTCTAAGTTTTCTGGTGTCTTCCATCGGCCGAAGCACTGTGAGCCAAAGATTTATATTCGTGGCTCCACTGCCTCACTATTGCCTATTGGAGCCCTGGAGGTCACCCGCATCAACTATCCCGATTAAGGATAAATCAAACTCCAAATCGCTGTTCTAGATTACCGAAAGAATCATGGAAGGCGGCATTGTGCTCGTCTTTGTAGACTAGAAGTGTCCTATAATCGTTCAATGGTTTATCGGAAGCCCATTCGAAGGCCGGGATCTCACATTGAACTGTTATATCTGTTGATTATCCTTTCTTCAAATCCCGCAGATCAAATCACTTCAAATCAACATATCCATTTGACACTACCTACCACCGCCAATGACAAGTTAGAAGGGATGATCCAGTACCTACTTATGATGGATACTAGGGCTAGGGTCGGTCCTCAATGATTGCCGGATGTTTAGGCAAATATCATTATTTCTGAAAGTAGAACAATGGAAATACAATGGCTCTACCCCCTGATCCGAATGTCATGACCGGGCTATCCGAAGCGAAGAACTGCCGACTGGGGGAGGGTCAAAGCTAGATCAAGACACCCACAATTCTGGACCCTGAGCCCCTCCCCCGAGTATAATAAGGTTTAAATCGAAGCTTAACCCCGTTCGACGCGCAGTCACTATCCGGTACTTAAGAAACTGGCGCCGGTCTCCTTTAGACTCTTCGCAAGTTTCCTTCGCTATGGCTTCAACGGTGTCAGACGAAAACTACAATGCCGGTACTGGTGTACTGGCAACAGCATGGGCTCTTACAGCGGCCGCAATTGTCGTTATGTCCCTCCGGGTGGTCGCCAAATTCAAAATTTCCAAATTCAACGTCGACGATGTGGTGATGATCCTGGCGCTTGTGCGTTCAACCTGCTCTCTCCCGCAGAATAACGGGCTGACTTTGCTATCGTGCTTCCGGATATAGGTGTTGCTCATTTCCAGCGCTGCTTGCGTTACCATCGCGGTCCAGGCTGGTCACGCTCGCAACGCCGTCATCACACATGATCAAGAGGTGCGCAGCATCAAGTTCTACCTCCTGGCACAATCTCTAGGCATTATATCATGTACGGTTGGTCGTATCGCATTCATCATGTACCTCCGCCGTCTCGTGCCGCTGCAATGGAAAACGCGAATTGCATTACTCATACTTCTGGGACTACAACCACCCGTCAACGTGGTGCCGGTTCTTCTGATATTCGCTGGGTGCAAGGATATTAGGGCGGTCTTCGATTATTCTATAACCGGCGTATATTGTTTGCCTCCGAGAATTCTGATTACCTATAGTTATTTTCAAGGCGGTTCGTTTTACCTTCTCCCTAGCCACTATGAGTGGTACCCTCGATACTAACTGCCCTAGCTTTCAACACGGCAACTGATTTCTACCTCGCAACCTTTCCAATCTACAGCTTCTGGAGCTTGCAACTCAGACTGCGCATAAAGATCGTGCTGCTGTGTCTACTTAGTATGGGTCTCTTGTAAGTGCATGGACAAACTCGCTTGAATCCCATGAAAATATTCTGTCCACAATATCACTAACACAACCCGTGCGGCTTCCTTTTAGTGCTATGGTCGCCAGTATAATCAAGACGGTCAAACTCCGTTCACTTAATCAACCCGGGGACCCTACAATCAAACAAGACCAGTTGTTGCATTGGGCCTATATCGAGGCAGGCCTGGTGGTAATCACTTCTTCCATTCCGTGTCTGCGGCCGCTCTTCATCGCGATGGCGAAGGATTTCAGTAGCTCACCCAGGCCGACATACGAGCTTACTCCTACATTTGGACATTCCCACAGCCACACTCGGTCTCGTGTCACGTCGCGAACCCACACATACGTCCGCGGAGATGGCAATGATGGTTGGGGAGATGGAGACAGTACCCGCCAGATCTTGGGGGAAACACGCGGTGGGATCACTAAAGAAACAACTGTGACGGTGCGAAACGAGTTATCAGCATAGAAAACCCCGAATGGGAGAACACATTGTAATTAACCCCGAGGGCTCAGCTACTTACGGCAAGAATATTTAACTTCGCTTTTCAGGGTTGCGAGATTCATGCAAAACTTGGGGGCCTGCTGGTGCCAGCTGAGAGCTTGAGGTTTTCGTATGGCGTATGCTAAGGTAGAAGATTTCTATTATTCTACTCTTGGGAGATGACTGTTCATAAGACCATCGGATATCGTTCTTACGACACCTCCATCAGCTGGATAAGGAGTATCAATCTGACGTCCTAGAATCTTTTGAAGGCGGTGCTGCAACCGCACGGGCAAGAAATTCTACTTGGGGGAAATCGGCGATTTTCTCGAAGCAGACTATATGGTATAGTGCTGAAAGAAAGGGGCGTCAGAAGTCCTGTGAACTTAGTTGAGGAAAAGGATTTGCATACATGCATTATGTCCTCCCCAGGTCCCGTGGTCCATTCCCGGATACATGGAGAGGCGTAGGTCACCCGGTTGGATGATTCTATTACAAGCCGGTAGTCGGCATTTCGCACCACGGGTAGAATTTGGGACAGACTCGATGAAAAACAATGACGGCACGGTATGAGCCCTACCTGACGGTTGTCGACTTGGTGTGGGTCGAGGCCTAGATGGAGGAAGAGCAGCCCTTTATATAGTTCTAGAAAAGGCTACGATGCGGCCCCTAGCTCAGACTTCAGCCAGTATCCGTAGGGGAGTCTTGCCGCTCAAGGGGGTCTGGGTCGGTTCGGGCCGACCGTCAAAGCCGACGACGAGTACCCACTAGATTGATTCCATCGGTTTCTCTTGAGCACGATAGAATTAAGTCGGAGTATTTTACCTTGAATATACAGTATGACAGTTCTCGCTTCTTGTGAACTACTCTCTTTGCATCTTTAGTCTTACCTTTTCACCAGAGAAACCCATGATTAGTCACATTGGCTCGTGAGATGCACTCTGGATTATAGCCTCGCGCCCGGCGCCTACTGTAAAATAGACACCGTCTCGCGGGTCAGGACGGTCAACACCGTCTTGGACTTCGCAGAGGCGTCACAGTGATTCCGAAGTCGCGCGCCACAAGGGCAGCCTAACAATGGGAGCGGCAATTAGGTCATGACGGGCCTTGACGAGGCTCTAAGTTGTTTTCAGGAAGTGGGCCACTCTACATGTACACACTATATAGTTGCGGTAGCCTGCATATCGCTTTGCAAGTTGGTTCCCAGATTATATGATGTATAGATATAGTAGTGGCAGCTACAGTGACTACAAATAACTGCGCCTACTCGCATAGTTAGAAAAAGATCATCTCACTTGTACCTCAATCCAGGGTCTCAACTTTGCATTGCGAGGGGTCAGGGTAATTGAAATCCATCCATCCATCAATCCATCCTCTGTAAGTGTCCGCAGACTTGGATTGGTCACTTAACGTTGAGTATCAATACGGCATTGCCATTTTGAATGAAACTATTGTAAAAAAGAATGCACTTGAACGGTTGCTCTGAAAGGTCACAAGATCCATGCAAAATATGAGATGACAGAGCCGAAGTTTGTCGAGCACCATTTACACCTTGATGCTCTCTAGAGTCATAGCTTAGCTGTGGAGATTATTCAACTCACCTGTTCCAAATGTCCCGATGATCCATCAGAACTTCTCGACGTCAGACACTTTCGTTGAGTTACAGCCACTTGGGACCTCAATAGTCGGATCACGATCATGCTTGTCCACGACTAGCAGCATAAATCTATAACGGATACTCGGACATCTGGATTAGGAATTTCCATCTTCCACTCTAGGCGGACCTCCTATCAGCCCCAACTAATATGGGTCTGTTTGTTTATTCTTTTATTAAATAGAAAGTTTGCCGTTGATCGCATTTCATGTAGATCAGATTTCAATATTCATTGACTGATCATATCGAAGAGAGGATTTGTAAATCCAGCATTGTCAGGATATACGTAGTCGGCAAGGTCATTGGACAATACATCAGTCAAGTGGAAATATCGTGGATTACAAACGACCCCAGTGTCCATCGGACTGACCATTACTAACCGCAAAGATGTATACAAATTGTTCATGTTACCTATTTCAGGGAACCCATCACCAGGCCTAGGCCGAAATGGAACATCAGCGAGAGTCTCGCCTTGCAGAACCGGGTTAGTCTCGGTAGGGTCTACACCGTCATTAGCAGCTGCATAAGCACAACGGTATAACGTATGAATAGCCTCTAAAGACTTGTACCACGCGGCAGCAGCTTTCCACTGGGATTTCCAGGTTCGAAAAATCGACAGAAAAAGATCGCTAATTATTACGAGTGCGGAGGACGGAGCTAGGCAGATTACCAAAAACGAAAATGTAACTGTGGCACGCGCCAGATCTTTGGACCGAGGAGGGAAAGCTTAAAACAACGTAAGAAGGGGTTGGATGGGTACCAGTGTCAATGAACGCAAGAGCAATATCTTCACGGAAGAGGAGCGAAGACTAACCTCAGTATCTCTGGGCTGATGTAGGCAAAGCTCGCTTTTTCCTCAGAACCTGGACCAAAAGATTACCGTATGCACACGTCCAGAGGTCCAATACTTCATTCCAATATGTGGATTTTCGGGGTCGATATTCTCGAGTTGGTCGCACTATTTTTGTTTTCGAACGTCGTCATCTCGTAATGAGCGTTAACTATAGTGTGTTTGTCAATTTAGGTGGTCAATGCAGTCTGTTAGTTACGACAATTTGGCAATCCTAATTCACCAAAATTACCCACTTGACTTTGCTTATCCTCCCGAACTTGTCTAACCTCCATATCTGAATTCAGCGAATCCTTTCAACCACCTAATTTAATCTACCTGAAGTGTTCACAGGGCTCTGATCGGTCATTATTAAAGGACCGGAAATATTTGCTTCAATCTGTGTCCAGGATTGACCATCAACATTCGAGTGGTCGTTCGGTGTGGATTCTGGTGAATTCAGGAGAATGAATATAGGTCAATTCAGCGGTTCAATTGTACTCAATTTTGTTGAATTCAAAGATGCGATTATGGTGGATTCGTGCAGTGTGAAGCCTAGTAGCTAATTTTGACAGATCCGGAGGGCCAGTCTAGGTCACTATAAACGATCAATCTAGGTCAACTCTGGCGGCCAAGTATGGCGGGCCATCTTGGATGAACTCAGGTTTGAGGCCGATCTAAATTGACCACTTAGGAAATATTCTCTAATGGGTGTTTCTACTTCCATCCACAGTGGCAACACTAATATCACCTCGTTAATGAGGCTGTCTCAAAATTTGTGCGCTGCTGAGTAGCCGTTCGAAGGGTTGCTTCATCAATGGAAGGACTGGAATCGCACGGAGCGACTCGGATCCGATCCTCCCCCCGGACTGCTACTCAGCAAAATAACATGAAGCACAGCAGATCATTTAACTGTATTTCCAAATGTCGCCGCAAAGCTCTCTAGAATTCCGATCAGAGCAGGGTGCTCAGAGACGTGCCCAGATCTACTCAGTAAGCAATAGCGGCGAGGGTCTGAGCACTAAAACGGAAAGAGAAAGCCAAGACTGGCATAGGGAATCCAGTTGGTAGGTAGTACGGAGTACCTGGGGCCTCCATAGCTTTCGGGAGATAGATAGTTGTCCGGCCTGTGTGGTCTTCGGGCTGAGAGCGACCCATATCTAGTGCCTGAAGGCCTGAAATGAAATAAATCCGTGGAATCATGTCCACGGAGGCTTCATGTCTGGAGATGTGGGTCCTTAGTTGGGAAGCTATGGTGAGAAGGCTAAGGCTTTGGGCCCCGTCATACAGGACAGGTGACTCGAGGCTACAGTCCAGAGGCTTCAGATTTGGATCCACTTTGGACGTACGTCTATAGCTCCAGGTCTACCATAGCCTTCAATCTATTAACTGGTGGCCGGTACGGCCGAGTAGCTATGGGGGCCGCAGGTCTGCTGACTACAGTCTATACGAGACAGAAATCTCTGGATTCAGGTCTCGAGAAGAATATATTGTTTGAGTCCGCTACTTACGTTTCGCCGGCCGATTATATCATCGGGGTCGGCTTGGCGTGCCCGTGTGATCGAATCCACCGTCGCTTTACTTATAGTCAGATCGTCGCCGAATGTCATAAAAACCGTGTTCGTGCTATCCTTAACCGCTACATCGAAGTACTGCCCAAGGGGTACCTGCCGTAGATTCTGGTCGTAGTAGGTTGCCTTGTGTGCTCGCACCTACTTAGCTGCTATTCGCTCTACTAGAGACGGGTCGGACGGGTCGACCATTATCTTGTGGACTAAGCGATTCTAGTTAGCATAGCCGTTTCAGTTAGGTTAGCAAGGCGGTATAGTTTTAAGATTGCTTCTAGAAGATTAATCGAAGAAATACAATAGGGCTCTTTCGTTATCTAAATACACTCTGTTAGGATTTGCGACCCTAACGTTATGTGCGCTCCTTATGTCGGTCCCGGTCATGTTAGAACATAGCGTTCGGACATGTTTCGTCTTTTGGCCTGTTCAGTTAGCGGGTCCGGGTGCGAGTCGTAATACTTTTACATTTGCGAGCATGTACCTTGGGATGAACCTAATCGAAGCTCCTGGGACATATTCGCTTTTGAAATATACTGAGCTTGCACATGGGATTCTCTATCCTGAGAGTGGATTTGTGAAGGTCAGTCTTGTCATGTCTATGTGAGATATTCTCGAGCTTACAGATACAGGTGCTAGAAGCATTGGCGCGCGTTGGAGAGCGGTTCGGGGTGACATACCGTATAAACACTGCAGTCTCTGCAATCGTTCAGTCCCCCGATGGCACTGCTCGTGGTGTACGACTGTGATTGGGTGAAGAGCTTCTCCCCGATACCGTCATCATAAATGCCGATCTGGTCTATGCCTTCAACAACCTTTTATCGCCAACTAGTTATGCTGAAAGATTGACCAAACGACGGGCGTCATGCAGCAGCATCTCTTTCTTTTGGTCCTTCGATCGAGTTGTCAAAGAGTTGTCTGTGCATAATGTCTTCTTGGCAGAAGAGTACAAGGAGAGTTTCGACTCTATTTTCCATCGCCCGCCAACTGCCGACAGAGCCTTCTTTCTCTGTGAACGTCCCGAGTCGAATCGATCCTACCGCAGCGCCCGACGGTAAAGATGCAGTGGTGGTATTGGTCCCCGTTGGCCATATTATGGACGATCCTTCCAATCCCCAAGACTGGGATTCTCTGGTGAACCGAGCTCGAGAGGCCGTTTCGCTGACCATCGAATCTCGAACTGGTGCTACAGGGCTGCGTGAAAGCATTCTTCATGAATCAGTCGAGACACCTACGAGCTGGAAAGCTAAATGGAATCTTGATCGTGGCGCCAGCCTGGGCCTTTCACATTCCTTTTTCAACGTTCTGAGTTTCTGGCCGAAGATCAAGCATCCCCATATCCAGGGTCTGTATTTCGTGGGAGCCAGCACGTATGCGTCAATGGATTGGAGCAGACTTCTTCCTCTGGAAGGGAAGCTGTGAGAAGGGATGGATGTAATTAGCTAGATAATTGATAGATATCAATCTGTTGCCGTGAATGTTGCTTGTGGTGCACTAGGCCCATTCTCGGTATTCTTCCGTAGTGGGGGCTTCCCACGGGCCCCGCTTGGCCCGTTCTCGGGCATCTCGTTCTTGACTCGGCCAGTCTTGGCCGTTGAGGATCCTCGAGTCATGAAGTCTAACTCTTTGAGAGGTGGTATATATTCTGATCGTAGGTGTAGCTATTTGAACACCATCCTGCTGATTGATTTTCACCTTCATTCGGTCTCTCTGATCAATGCTCTCATGATCACGATATTCATTTTTTTTTTCTCGTGTCTGTGGTGGACCGAGCGAGTTGCCTCTCGAACAGGGAGCTCCCCGCGAGTTCAGCGAGGGGCAGGATTGGCTGCATTGACCACGGTGGCGCACCGGAGGTAAGCGAGACGAATGGTGATTAGTTGAGAGCGCTCCTCTTTCTCGGGGGGGCCACTCGCGAGGCTCTCGTTGTTGGTTCGGCACGGTCGGAGATGAAAAGCACCGACGGAGTTAGGGGGCTTCTATATTTACTTTTGAGGAACGAGCCTGACATCCTCCACGAAGATGAAGGGCCTTGCAGTGATTTGGGGGTAGGAGTGAAAGACAATACTGTAATCAACGCATAGACTCGCTAAGATGGTATGAGACGTAGGAAAAGCAGAGAACTACTGCTACTCTCGTAGAATGCATACAAACAGGGGAAAGTACATAGAAGAGCCTCATCATGGACCCCCATCATGGACCCCCCCTCTTGGCTGATCCAGTTGGAGTGGAGACTCTGGAAATATTACAGGAAATAGAAAATACGACAGTCAAAGCACTGCGATGGATCACTCATCAACTGCCAACTGCTCGTAGTGCACCCGTGCTGAGCCGCATCCGCTGGCTGCCTAGTCCTCCGCGAGTCTGGAAGTCAGTGACTTGGGCGTCTTCCTTCAAATAAGCACCGCCCCCTCTTCTCTCCCTCATTTCCATCATTTCCATCATCTCACTCTCTTTTTTCTCATCTTCTCTTTCAACCTCTGTCATCGAGTCCATCCCTCCCTTCTTATTTCCTGCTATATAATCACCCCTTTTCCCAAAATGTCCTCCATCGCGGGCCATCTCGTCCGTCGGGGCACGGAGCTTGCTGCCGCCCATTTCAAGGACCCCGAGAAGCAGCCGCAGCAGATCTCGGGCGCTCTCGCTGCCACTTTGATCGTGACCATTGTGGTCTTCACCCTTTCCATGTGGGCCGTAAGTATTCCTTTTGAGCAGATGTGCAACTAGGAAGGAGAACCCGAGACTAATCACGGTCCTAGGTCGAATATACCTACGGAGGCGTCGTGGCCACTCTCGCCGCCGTCGAGGACTCCAACCCCGATGTTTATGTCCGCATCGATAATCCCCCCGAGGATGACCCAACCAAGCCGTTTAACCCCAACGAGCCCGAGCATGCCGACCTCTCTCCCCGTCTCCAGCCCGTCACCAGCAAGCTGCGCACCACCATCAAGCACCTGCGTGCCCGCGCGGGCTTCTGGTCCCGCTTCCGCGGTTTCGCCATGTACGCGACCTATGCGATGGCCCGTGGCATCCTCGCCGGGTTCATGCCTGTTCCCAAGGGCTCTTTCATCGGCCAGTTCGTCGTGCAGTCCATCATCAGCCTGCTGCTCGCCACCTGGCAGATGGCCTGGGTGCACATCGTCATCTCCGAGCCTTCCCCCAGGCGCTTCTACCAGCGGATTCCTAGCTTCCGCACCTGGATCAAGATTGCCCCCGCCGCGGCCCTGGAGGACATCCTGACTGCCGCCGCCTTCTTCTTCCCCATGGCCATTGCCAGCTTTGCTGGTTGGATCGAGAGCAACAACGACAGCGAGAACACCATTGTCGTGATGTCCCGCTACATAATGGTGATGGGTATCCCTGCCCTGCTCGCCTTAATCATCTCCATCCCCGCCCGTGTGATCTTCATCCGTGTCGCGGCCTCAATGCTGCCCGAGGAGGACGAGACCATCGTGCCCTTTGACCGCTCCTTCGGCGGTAAGGTGCAGCCCCAGATTGTGGGTGGCAGTGGCCACATTGGTCTGCTGGATGCTTGGACCACCTTTGACTGGGCTGCTCGGGTTCGCTTCGCCAAGGTCTTGGGTAAGACCATTGCGATCGAGCTTGCTCTGGGCCTGTTGCTCGGTATCCTGGTGTTTGTCCAGATCTTCACCCTGGCTCCCAAGGCTATTCACAACGGTGATGGCTCGGGCAAGCCTTCCACCGCTTAAATCGTTGGAATTGAAACCTGAGACTACGGCCATGTTTGGGTAGTGGTGGGCCCGATATTATCTAGGATGTCCCCTTGTGGAACTGTACCCTGACTTACGATCATACTCTCTCCTTATGCCCGTTCTTTTCATCTTCCTACTGGATTATACTGTCAAGGCTCTTTCTAAGCATGAACCAAGAATTCCTTTGCTAACATTTTCGAACTTGTATTCCTCTAGCTCGATGATTGTGTATAGTCGGCTTAAGGCCGGGTATGACTAGTCTACTCCAGGCTACCTTTGTATGAGAATTTATTCGGATTCTCTTGATAATCTAGTAGCAGCCTCACACTCCCTTTGGATCCAGTTCCATTTATATCTCAAGTTCAAAAAGGTACAGAATTTCTCTTCAAATCATCGTTGAAACTTAATAGTCTCGTAATCATCCACCCCCGCTCCAACGCCCCTCACCGCCTTCCTTACTTTTTGCATTTCCCCTCCTCTTCTTCTTCTTTCCTCCTCAACTCAGGCCCTCCCTCAATCCTCAACAGTCTTTGAATTCCTCTCAGAGACCCTTCGTCCTCTCAACCGCCTCGTATCTTCGGCTTTCTGCCCCCCCGGCAATTCCCACACTTACCCTCCATCATGGCGACCTCTCCCGCTGGCCGCATGTTGGCCCGCCAGCTACAGCAGATGCAGTCCGATAAGGACATCCCCGGGATCAGCTGTGGCTTGGTCGATAATAATGTCTTCGAATGGGAGGTGATGCTGATGATCTCGGATGACGTAAAGTTATATGGAGGTAAGCATTAGACTTCCCTCCTCTGCCGATCAGCCGGGATGCCAATCTACCGTTGAGGACCCTGTCGAGCGTCCAAATTCTGAACTCGAACATGGGGATGCCCGGTCAAAGGAAGGGATTGAGATAGTAATTTAGGATGTTAACGGTTATCTGCAGGTGGTTTCTTCCGCGCTCGTCTCTCGTTCCCGTCTGAATACCCCCACATGCCACCGAAGATGAAGTTCGAATCGCCCCTCTTCCACCCCAATAGTAAGTGATCGCCAATTCTCAATACCTCGGAGACAACCCGGTTTGTGTTATATTTGTTGGGCCCGAGTGAGACCGACGAGGAAAGGGTTTGGAGGGCTGATATGTACATTGTGACAGTCTACGAGAATGGTGACGTCTGCATCTCCATCCTGCACCCGCCCGAGGAGGACAAGTTCGGCTACGAGTCTGCCGCCGAGCGCTGGTCGCCCGTTCAAACTCCCGAGACCATCTTGCTCTCCGTCATCTCCATGCTGTCGAGCCCGAACGACGAGAGTCCCGCCAACGTGGAAGCCGCGCGGCTGTGGCGAGAGGATCCAGCCGAGTTCAAGAAGCGGGTGCGCCGCTGTGTGCGGGAGAGCCAAGGGGAGGAGTAACGAGACATTCGACAGTTATGATATCTTTTTATTTTCATGGGTGCATTTGGCTGGTTATATTCGTTGCGTTTCGTTTCGTTTTCTCTTTTTCTTCTTTTTTCTTTTTCCATCATTTACCTTTCCATCTCCTTTCCTGACATGCCCGAGATTTCGGTCTAGGGCTTTTCTGTGTTTGCTTGCTCGTGGTTTTGCTCTCCTCATTGCATTATAGAGCGAGCGCTTATGGGAAATCTGTTTTTCATTTTGGGGATTTTTGATTATGGGTGGAATGATCTAGCATTCATGGTATCACGATGAAGCCCCGTCTTCTCGTGGCGATTCATATTTTCTATCACTTATGTGAGTGGCACGGATTTGGGATCTTGGAGTCAAGTTGCTCTACGACACAGGGTTTGGGCCTTGAATTGGACTTGTTCACTTTGGAATTAGGCTTCATCTTTTCCCTTCCCGGGTCGTAGTATATCATATTTGGCGAAAGATGATTTGGCCCAGTCAGGATCATGGTGAAGATTCAAAGATGTATGTTCAATACTTTTGGAATATGTTTTCCAGGTAACGCATCATATGCTCATGCTATGGTTAGTGTGATATCACGCTATGCTCGATTCTATCCAATGCGAGAAGGCCAACGAAAAAAAGGCAGAATGTCAGAGAAAAATAGTAAAAGAAATCTTGGAAAACAGGAAGAGAGCGGTCATCTAAGTCCGGTTTTTGTGCCCGGTCCGCATCGAAGGAATGAAAAGACCAGGGTGGACGAGAGTGAAGGCCGTACAGGCCAAAGCAATCATCCTAGATTTATCAGCGTAAGTGACACAATCGGGGGATTCAATGAGTACTCACATTCCGTCCAAAAGGAGGAACTCGTTCTCCTTTTGCATCAGCGCGCTGCCCCAACCGCCGGCCATCTCAGGAATACTATATCAATCAGTCAGCAAAGAACTCCTTGCTTCAACAGAAAAGGCCAACCCACCGATAGATACACCGGATCAAGACTGTAAAGTATGCAAAGACCTCAGCAATGATCACCAGCCTCATTCGCTGAGGCGAAATCGCCGGTGTAGGATCCTCCAACGTCTTCTCACCCACCAGGCCATTACCGCTGCGGAAAACATTCCAGAAGAAGTTCAGACCCAATATCCCACAAACGGCCATCGTGACCACCTGGAAGGCAATACCCGCGATAATGATATCGTCGCCAGCCTTGAGGAGCTTTTGATCCGAATGTCCAGCAGCAGCCGCGACACCACCACCGGCTGCTTGCAGAATCAACGAGCCGATATCACAGCTGATAAAGATCCAAGTGAACAGGCGTGGCTTGAGTTTGGAGTGCTCGGGACCCAGGTTCAACACAATATGCTTGAGAGTGAGGTAGACGCCGGCGGCGACAAAGGTCGGTGCTAAGACTAGACACACAATTTGCAGCTTGAACGCACTCTCGTTCCAAGGGTTGGAGTTCATCAAGACTCGGCCCACGTATCCGGCCATCTCCATGATCGCACCGGCGCCCAGGGCGACCATGAAGGTCCAAGTGCGAAAGTAGACTCCATAGCCAATCTGGCAAATGCCCAAAACCCCAAAGAAAACAGTGAAGAAGACGTTGGCGCCAAAGTTGGGATAGTAGCCGTAGGTTGTAGCCTCGACTGGGCACAGCGGGCTGACGGCCGTGCAGTCAGCGTAGCTAGGCATTTTGGTTGGATTGACTCTTGCGGTGGAGGATGACGCCAGGGAGAGCGAGGGGTTGATTCAAATTAAACACTGAAGGGACGAGGGATGACGAAGGCGTGTTTGGTTGCACGTTGGCACTGGCACTTGCGCTGATTGCTTCTCTCTCTCACTCACACACACGCAGCGAGAGAAAGAGATCGCGTCAGCCCCATGGTGAGCCATGTGTCTTTTTAATATGGTCAGACATGGAGAGCACACTTAGTACCGGACAGTGGACTGGACTTGCCAAGGGCTTGCGCTGACGGACGCGAGGCTTCGGCTAACCCCAGTCGAGCTATTCGATTAGATGAAACGGGCTTCCTTCGCGATGGCGATTGGACCTTGTGGTCGCTCTCGTTCTCGTTTTCGGCGCCGGCCCTCGTTTTGGAACTGGGTCTTTTCTGTGTCTTCGCTTCCAGGGCCATTGGACCCCACCGGGATCCACCGGAAAATGGAGATCTTTTTGGGTTATCGCCGGGGGGAGCGGGCTGCCATGCATAACGAATCGGGGAATTGTTGACGGTTGACGCTGTTTCGCGTTCGTCTTTTGAGGCTCGCGAGTCGTGACAAAGGTCAAGGTACGTATGTCATGGGCGGATCTGATGGCTGATCGCTCGGGCGGAGCGATCGGTCCGAAATCCATCGGTCGGAAACTTTCCAGGGTCTCTTTTTCTCCTTCTTTTAAAAGGGAGACAAGATGCCTCTCCGAGGGATGCTCTCCGAGGGACTCTCCGAGGGCAAGAGCTCGGGCAGGGCTGGGGAGATTAATTGATCCTCCTCGTCCTCTTCGGAGATAAACGCGCAAAACAGCACACGCCCAAAAGAATGTAACGAAACTCGGGCTCACCATGCCACGTGACTCTCGGCCTTTTCCTGCGCGCCGGCGACGTCGCGCTTCGTCATCTTGCGCGCGGTCGAGATGCCTCCACGTCGGGCGCATACCAAGTCTCGCAATGGCTGCGACCAATGCAAGCGACGTCGCGTCAAGGTGATTTCCTCCGTCCCTGAATATCATTACAATACTTTCTCTCTCGGCCCTGCGTTACCCGTGAAAGATAATCTCCCCCCCCCTCCTTCCCGTCAAACGTCTTGTCTCTACCGTCTGACATCTTCTTCTACTGGCTAAACTCCCAGCTGACGCAACGCAGTGCGACGAAAAAGGACCCCCCTGCTCGAACTGTATTTCGCGCGAGCTCAACTGTACCTATTTAAGAGCCCCGCCGCGCGATGCATCAAGTAGCACGCGAAGACGTAATACTGTGCCTCTCCCGGCAAGAGAATTGGAGATTCCTCGCCCGTTGGCGCCCATCAGTCCCGCCTCCACTCCATCTGCCATCTCCGGGGTACGGGATCTGGAGTTGATGCATAAGTTCGCTACGGAGACATTCAGCACCGTCAGTACCTCCGAGTCGAAATTTCATGTCTGGCAAATTGTCATTCCGCGGCTGGCTCTGCAACATGATTTTTTGATGAACGGCATTCTGGCCTTGGCGGCCTTGCATATAGCCACGACCACGGATTCGCCCACCTCCCTAGCGTATATCGATACCGCCCTGCAGTATCACAATTTGTCATTCGCGCCCTTTCGTGCAGCTATCGACAATCTTACGCCGCAGAATTGTGAGGCTGTACTCGCGCAATCGATCGTCACAACGGTAATTGGCATCGCGTTGCCCCGAGTCACGGCCCCGCGCGATGATAATCCCAATATGATCGAGAATATGCTCGTGGTGTTTGAGCTCCTGCAAGGTGTAAAGAAGATTATTCTCATCGGCCGGTCCTGGATCAAAATCAACCTTTACTCCCGCCAAAGGGAACTGTACGAGTCCAGTCCGCCTGAACTGGACAGTGACACGTCCACTGCTTTCGATCGACTCGCCTTATTGAATGAAGAGACCAGGGCCAGTATGGACGAGCAACAATATCAGATCAATAAAGACCTTATCGATCATCTTCGGCAGTGTTACGCCTTGTATGCGAGTTCAAAAGATCCCGGGGAAGTGCTTGCATGGCTAGCGGCTGTCGATAAGGAATTTGTGGATACCGTGAGGCGCCGACAGCCGCTGGCATTACTGATCCTCATGCACTGGGGTGTGTTGCTGGGCGAGCTGGATGGTCGGTGGTGGTGGGCTCAGAATTCGGGCAAGTCTTTGGTTTTGGAGTTGCTGCGTATATCACTACCGACGGACGCGGATGCTCGGTGGACTGAAGTCATGTCGTGGCCTCAACGAAAGATAGGACTATGATCATCGAGGTTGGGATTGATCACAACTCTACTGTTTGCCTGACAAGGCCAGTGATTGATGGACTGTGATCACTAGACTAGCATCGGCCAACCAACCCACTTCTTCCCGACACCGTCATGTTGATGGGTCATGGTCGAAGATACTTTGCGTCCAAAGTTCCAGGGTCGTAATTCGGCTCCCTCTGGCTGACGAGGCTATCGGTCGGTATATACACCCAGCAATCCCGCTCTCATCCTCTCCGAATCCAGACTATACTCCCAGTCATGTTGGCTTGAGTTAGAGCTGGCGAGCTCGAGACATCTTTCAACAGAATCTTTGGTTCAACCTCAGTTGTCGACGAGGTTCGATTTACAAAAGTTTGTTCCTGCTCGATAAGAAGCAGAGAAAAATCCCTTGTCTTTATGGACATTGCCTGGTGATAGAATTGCCTTAGGTACGAGCCTTATGATCACCATGGACATATTGTACAGGGCAACTTAATATCTTTCTACATATTCAGATTGTGATCATATACCAATTCAATGAACATACTACTCATCTGACCGTGTCCTACCTACTCGTAGCGATCTTATAAACTAGACAACCAGACGCATGCTCAACTCTTACATCCGAGCCCTCTCAACCCTCTCCACAGCCCGCTTGTAAATCTGTTGAATCCGCTTCTTATTCACCTCCTCAATCTCCCACTTATCCGCACGCAAACTCAGCGGACCACCAACTTGTTTCATCCAATAAGACCGACCACAATCAAACAACCAATTCCGAGACGCAACCTGCACCAACTCAGCCAAGAAACATTGCGGCGCACTCCGGTCTTCAGTAAAGACTACCCGAGGCAAGTCACGACGAATAGCCGGCGGCGCATTCGAAACAGCAATATCCAGATACTCATCAAACGTCAACGGTTGATACAACTCCGAGCCAATCTGGACAATCCCCGTCGTGCGCGCCGCAGCGTGTAGTAGACATGCATTCGCGACAAAGTCCACTGGAATCTCATCCAGGATATTCGCACCGGTCTTATATCCCTCTGCGGCATGCCAGACCTGCGTGGCGCCCCGATCGGCCATGAAATATTGGAAGAATTTGCTCATAGGCGTCGAGTTCTCCAGGCCGTACAGCGGGTAGGGGTGGCGGAGGGCCTGGCCGAAGATCGTCGGGCGAAGTAGTAAGATCGGTAGAAGCGGGTAGCGCGTGGGCAGGAGTCGTTCCATGAGGTACTTGGCCTGGGCGTAGGTCGAGGCGAAGCGACCCGTATAAGGGGATTGATCTAGGGACAGCGCGGATGCTAGTTCTTCCTCCGGGTCTTGGTCGGAGAGTGTGTATGGTCGCTCAAGAACGGGTCCATCGGGTAGGAAGCTGTTGATGTAGGCGGTGGAAATTTGAATCAATAGTTTTAGTCGGCGGAAGTGGGAGGCGATGCGGGCCATTTCCAGTGATGGGAGACAGTTATTCTCAATCGCATCGTGGAGATTGGCATCGAGGGTGATTTTGGCGGCTGTATGGATGGCCAGGGTAACCTCATTTCGTAGCTTTTCTAAGACTGAGGGTTGAATGCCAAAGTCGACTGCTTTGATGTCGCCGATGATGAAGTCCACCTTTTTCGAGGCGAGGATGGCCTGTGTATGATTCGGCATGGCTCGTTTCCATTTCGCAATCGCTTCGTCTGGTGTCCCGCGAATCAAAGCGTATATCCTGCGTGTCGGTAACTGAAGTGCTAATTTGTATAGTAGACATCCTCCTAATGAACCGGTACTTCCCGTTAGGAAAACTATTTGTCCTTCAAAGTACTTTGCATATCCTTCTCTGATGATCTGCTCGACATGGGATGGTCTCTGGGCTGGCGGCGAGGCCATGGAGGCGAAGTTCTGGGAGAACCAGTCTTAGGAGGTGAACCCTGAAGGGGCTCGGTGTATAGTGGATATTTTGTATATGGACCAGCGATGTATTGGGGATGCAATTCCATTTAACTTAATCTTAAACACCGATGATGGTTGGTAGGACAACTATTTGTTACGACTTTCGGATGTATTTCATTATTTCATTGGAAGATTCAGGGCCGATGAATCCCAGCTTGGCAGGTACCTTTCGATGGTTAGCTGCGGATTCAGACGGCATAGATCATCAGGAAATCAAGTTTGATCTTGGCTTTAGTATCTCCGAGCGTAGATTGAAAGCACCCCTGCTTCACGAAGCACTATCCAGACATGTGCGAACCGAGGCTTGGTAGAGTTTGTACGACTTTGCAGGGAACGTCAGAATGCGAGAACGATTGAGATCCGGTCTGGACCAGTTCAGAATGCCTGAAAAGTCAGAGCAATTCCTGATGAGCTGCAGGAGAAGGCGGTTCATGCTGATGATTGGCAAGCACGGTAGCACAGATGCTACAGTCGGTTCAGGAACGCCAGGTTCAGTCTAGCTTACGGGTGATACAAGTAGATTTGTGAGGAGTTCGACGGCAGACTTCGACGGCAGACAGTCGTTGTATGTAGTATTTCTCAAGAATGTACGTTATTTGCTGCTGATTGGTAAACCAACTCCCAATGCCCCATATTATACATCGTGTGGGGGTTGGAGACAGCTGGGCTGGACCTGAAGATCGAAATGCGCCGAGTATCAACTGCTGGGCAACAGATTCAGAATTGACTCTTAAACAAGGGATTGCCTTGTGTCACTCAGGGACTTTTTTGCCTCCACCCCCGCACCAGCAACGGCAATCTCCATCGCGCTCCACTTGAACCACAATATCCATATCCTTTTCACGAAGGTAATTCACGGTCCGCTGACGAACGTCTTCAAGATCCGCGCCTCGGGAGGCAACCACGTGAATCACTCCTAGAACTTTCTGATTCTTGTGTTCATGCACGTGGTCGTGGTCGTGATCGTGGGTGTGGTCATGATTATGGCCATGACTGTGAGTGTGATCGTGATGGCTGTGGCTATGACTGTGGCTATGGTTGTGGCTATGGTTGTGGCTATGGCTGTGATTATCATCACAACCGCCATGGCCGGAATGATCATGAGCGTGGCCATGACCTGAAGACGAAGAGCTGGTATCATCGAGCCAGAATTTGGGCACGGTGTAGCTCACAACCCCTCGTAGAGTACTCACTCCGGCCAGGGTTTCACGAACATTATACTCGGTATCCGCCGGTAAAGTTAAAAGTAAAGTTTTGGCCGTACTACTGACCAACGGTACCGCCGAGGCAAAGATCAAGATGGCGATAAAGCATGACGCTAGAGGGTCATAGCCGGACCACCCTGAATAGTGCACCAGAATGGTCGAAATCACCACTGCCACCGAGCCAAGCGTATCGGCGAGAATGTGCAAGAAAATTCCATGCATATTCTCATTGCCATGAGCGTGGTCATGGCCGTGATCGTGACCATGGTGGTGATGTCCGTGCTCGAAGCTGAAAATGCCGACCAGATTGACAAGGAGACCAGCGACACTGACAGCTAGCAATTCACCGATGCGGTGCATCTGACTGCCTGAAGACAGCCGTTCCACCGCTTCGTAGATGATCTCCACACTGATGATCCTAGTAATTGTTAGCATTGACTTGAGCTTGTATGCTTTTATTGGGCTCTGTTGAACGAGGGTGCTCACATGAGGAAGATACCATTGGCAAACCCAGACAAGGTGTCAACCTTGCCATAGCCATATGGAAACCGCGCATTGGGCGGCCATTTGCTCATCACAGAAGCGCAAAGTCCAACAACGAGAGCAAGGCAATCGAAGAACATGTGAATACTATCACTGAGCAGACCGAGAGAGCCCGTGACGAAGCCGTATGACAGCTGAACCAGCATGAAAGTAAAGTTTAGGCTATGAATTATTAGTAATAGCTTGGGAGGATAGGAAGCCTCGAATATATGGACGTACCACATGAAGTAGAAGATACTGCGAGAATCTCTCTCCTTGAGAATGCTGTGTAACAATGGATAATCCTCACTGCGATGGATTAGCCACTTTGTGACTCGTAAGGTTTCTGTGCCTCCATGGGAAGAATGTCCGTGGTGGTGGTGAGTACGGGCATGAGTGTGCGAATGAGCATCTAGGCGGAGTTGGCTGTCGTCCATTCTGGCAGCGAAGAATGAGACGCCAGCGAGGATACCGCGCGCGGCATAAACAAACAGGAAATCATCCTTGATATGAGGAGAACAGAGCAGAGCCGCTGTCGCAGTGCAGACAGCGAGGCCGACTTTATCAGGGGAACGAAGGCCCGAGGGGAACCAGATCATCAAAGACGTCGCAAATGAAACCGCGGCAGGCAAAAGGTAGATCAGCTCCGAGGTGCTGAATGGCAAGCCACGACCGAAAATTACAGTCAACCCGGCCAGAGAAGCTCCAGTGATCAGCGCGAGTGGTGCATCGGTCGGAATAATGACAGATGATTGGCCGGCATCTGAGGCCTTGCTCTGCTGAGCCATAGACTCCGCAACGAGACCCGGCTCTGGAATGGGTCCCTGGCGACGAAGTGTGGGAAAGGGAGGGGGAATAACAAAGACTGATGTCAAAAGTGCCGTATATCCCATGAGCGGCGAGGAGCCCCAAGGCTGGTTCATGCCAACAAAGCTCAAAAGGACGACCGTCACCAAGAGCGCAGTGGTGAAAACCTTTTTGCTGTATCTCTCAGAGGGCCCATTTTGAGAGACGATGTTCACCAGGTTCGGCAACCCAGAGGCCGATGCAAGAAGAAGAGCAAAAGCGACCAGGAAGCCTCCAACCTTCAATGCAGCGTAGATTGGCAGTCCCACAGAAAAGACCTGCTGCAAAGCCAAGTGAGCTGTTTTTGCGCTGGGTACTGGCAATTTGATGGACGTGGTGCTTAGAGAACCGCCTTGTAGGTAATTCTTGCTCACGATCTGTCCACAACCGAAGGCGAGGAGGGTCATTGCGGTCATGAGTCCGACTTTTGATCCAACTTGCTCGAGCGACCCAATTGATGCGGTTGTTGGATCTTCAGGAATTTCTGTCTGCGTGCAGCTCCTGGAGTACCAAGATAGGGCAATCCAAGGCAATGCGACGAGAGAGCCGGTATATATCTCGTGTCTAGAATTGGACATTAGTTATCGCTCAGTGATTAAGAGCTGTCCACTTACAACAACTTTGAATTATGCCCCGCTTGCGCCAGCGAGTCTGGTTTCCGGTCATGAGCGTGGTGGTGGTGGTGGTGGTCGTGGTCGTGGCCATGATCATGCGTATGCGACGCATCGTGATGAATCGAGGACGCGGTATTGGTATGATGTTGCTGCCCGATCGAGTGGGAGGATTCTGAATGATGATGGTTATGAGACACGGACGGCTGTGAGGCATGACTATACGAGTAGCTAGCATTCACAGCGCCGGTCGACTCCGATTGTGGTGGGCTGCTGGCATAGGAATGTCCCTGCGAGAGGGGAGGTGGTGGTTGCGCCCAGCGAGCAGATCGATTGTGACCGTGGCCGCGACCACGGCTATGACCGTGTACATGTCCAGTCGATGGAGCAGCGATATCCGCGATCGAGGGCAACGCCCCCGCTGACATTGTCGCCTTGGATGTTTGGTGGGCAGCTGGACAGGGGATTCAAGCAGCGGCGAAAAGCACGGACAGGGGCGACGCCAAGAACCCGGGGAGGGTTAGCGGAGCCAGGCAAAGCTCAGATCGGGTGGTGCAGTGGTGAAGAAGCACACAGCATTGCGGAGGGAGATTCGATCGAAAAGAGTGCAGCGAGCACTGGTATGGCACGGGGCGAGTTCGGGAAGGCAGTAGTAGCTTGTGGAGAGTTGCGCCGCGGATGTCGAGACCTTCGAGAGACCCTTTTGGGGTAGTACAGCGGCCGATAGAGGCCAGTCGCTAGTACTGCCCACATAATGCTAACCGCTTTGATGACCGCCCTACTGGGAAGCCTTATCTCTCTCACCTTAAAAAGCTTCCAATGACACCTTGCCGATAAGGCACCAAATTGACGCACGAATATCCTTACTGTATACTCCGTACACTCTCCCCTGTTTCATCTTATAATTTATCCCTTTCCTCTCAATAATATCTCAGCAATCTACTGCTTTGGTCGGGAGTAGAAGTGAGATAGCACTTAGTAGTTTCTGCCGTATAACTAAAGTTGCAGAACCCTTATTCATCGGGCAGGCGAGGGTACCCCGTGGACCTTCCAATAACTACAGTAGTGGAGATCTCAGCCAGTCAAAGTTGCTTATCAAGCTTGCATTGGAGAATGGCCTCTAACGTAATTCCTGCCCGAGTGAAACACCTGGTCGAGTGAAACACCCCAAAACACCATATTGAAGGCGATATTTTGTAGTCCTATATCTCAACCACCACGACTTTTTCCTATTGGATATTTTAAAGGTTGACTATTAGCTGCACTAGTAGTTATATTCTGGACTTTCTAATAGCTACGATGCTTATTCTATACCATTACAGTAAATTACATGGTATGACTGGATATATATACTGAATTCGTTCCTCATGAAGAACACTCAAAAACTCAAATACGCCTTCTAAATTACTATAGGAGTATTGACTTACTACAAAATTATAATATAACTTCTGGTTGTTGAGATATGATGTTGTAATCTATCGCCTTTAATATGGTGTTTTGGGGCGTTTCACTCGACCGGGTGTTTCACTCAGGCAGGAATTACGTTATCGGCCGAGCTAGTTGCTGCCTTGCGCGAAGGCCAAAGAGCGTGAATAAAGTCTATTTCTTCGACGGGTATTCATACATAAACGTGTTTTTCCCTCTGCCTTTGTCCCTCGATCGGCCGTTCGGAACAAAGATCAGACTTCATTCTATAAGAACTAACCGACGTTCACACACTGCCGGACTCCGTCTGACATACTCCAGCTTGAACAACACGAGACAACATGGCGGCGACAGACACCTCGATCCGTTCCAGCTGCCACTGCGGGGCCATCACAGTCACTGTTCCCCGACGCCCCGAGTACATCAACGTATGCCAATGCACGATTTGCAGACGCTACGGCGCCGCTTGGGGCTACTATCATCCCGACGAAGTAAAGATTGAAACTAAGCCGAACGCAGTGACCAAGCAGTATGTCTGGGGCGATCGAGACCTGTCTTTCAACTTCTGCGATAACTGCGGTTGCGTGTAAGTCAAGCAGAATATCTGTGCTATGCTATCAAAGACTGATGTTCTGTACGGTAGATGCTATTGGTGGCCCATTCGACCTCCGCCTACTGATGAAGGCGAATACAAAATGGGGCTCAACACAAACAACGTCAATCCCGAGCTCTTGAAGTTCGTCGATCGAAAATTTGAGTATTCGATGTTGACGATACCGCTGCGGTCGAAGGACACGGCGCATCCTGATGACCCGGCCAAGTATTAAACGCCGCCTCGAACCATTGCAATTCGTAGACATCTTAGAGATTGATCTACGAAACTTGTTGCCGTGTGACTGTTGCACCGCAGGCAGACCTGGTCTCGCAAGGGGGTCTTAGATCTAGTGTTTTACAACCGGTCGTGCCTAAGACTGATTTTTAGTCCTGTGTCTAACGTTTACTTCCGCACCAAGTCCACCGCTCATAGCTTTCAATATGACAGTATTTTATTTGAATCCGTCACTTGTTACATGTGTAAGGACAAGCTGTCGAATTGTTGTCATGGACATCCAAAAGGAGAAATCTTTTCCTCGAGTACTTTGCGGTCACTCAAGGAAGCCCTTAGCGCTGAGAAACATCGACAGAGTGCTGAGAACCTCGGAACAGGTGGCAGCTTAGGAGCTACAATAAGCTGCAATGCTGTTGAAGGGATAGACGCTCACTTTCAATTGCAAGTTTAGATGCTCGACATGTAAACCAGGATGAGCTTCGCAGAATATTCCAAAGTGAGCTCGTTCAGCCAGGCGTCATTCCTAAACAATCTTCTCTCTACCCGATGTACTTCGTATTCCCACGTGACTCTTATCGCGGCCTGATAAGCCACGCGCCCTCACTTTTGGCCACGCGAACGACCTCGGCCGAACACTGGTGGATGGGCTTCCCCCAAGATGATCGATTCTCTCATCACCATTGCATTCGTCCTGTCCAGTATACTGACGGTAGTGATCTTACTGCTCCCCTCGCAGTATGTCCCACCTCGGTCATCGACAGGACAGGCCGAGACCGAGAAGCCCACCGTGCAGATCCTCGTCTTGGGGGATATTGGACGGAGTCCGCGCATGCAATACCATGCTCTAAGTATTGCTAGGAAGGGTGGGAAGGTGGTCATTATTGGATATAAAGGTATAATCCTCTCAATTGGCATCTCTTTTCAAGGATTCCATAGCTAATTTGGCTGATCTTTTGCTTTGCTGCATAGAATCCGACCCCCACCCCGATATCGTATCCAATCCCAACATCACCGTCGTCCCTTTGCGTCCTCACCCGGCCATCCTACAGACTAGCAATAAACTTTTGTTCACGATATTCGGGCCATTGAAGGTTCTCTTCCAGGTCGCTTGTCTCTGGCAATGCCTTGCATACACAACTGCTCCCGCGCGGTGGATTATCGTGCAGGTATGTCGATATCTACGATGAGAGTGGCATAGAGTCAATGTTGACTTTAGTAGAATCCACCCTCCATTCCTACTCTGGCTGTGACATCCTTGTCTTGCTTCCTACGGCAAACGCGGCTCATCATCGATTGGCATAACTTCGGGTACTCGATTCTTGCACTCAAGCTGGGACCCACCCACCCGCTTGTAAAGCTATCGACCTGGTATGAAAAGACCTTTGGCAAATCAGCTTCAGCCCATCTCTGCGTGACAGATGCAATGGGGCGAGTTTTGAAAAAGGATTTCCAGCTTCAGGCGCCTATCCTATCATTACACGATCGACCGGCCAGCCACTTCAATCCCATTTCCAGTCTGGATGAGCGAAATGCATTCCTCGCGGCTCTCCCAGAGGCACAGTCTGTTCGTCCATTGCTGGAATCCGGCGCCGTTCGTGTCCTAGTCAGCTCCACATCTTGGACTCCAGATGAGGACTTTTCGGTCCTCATTGAAGCTTTGGTGAAGTATTCCGAAGTCGCCGTGGCCCAACCACACCTTCCAGATATTCTGGCCATAATTACCGGGAAGGGCCCGCAAAAGGAAATGTATTTGAAACAAATCGCGGCATTGGAAGCTGCAGGAAAGCTTCAAAGGGTCACTATTCACACCGCCTGGTTGACCGTGCCAGACTACGCGCGATTGTTGGCATCGGCATCTCTGGGTGTCAGTCTGCACACCAGTAGCAGCGGGGTTGACCTTCCGATGAAAGTAGTCGACATGTTTGGTGCGGGACTGCCAGTTGTTGGTTGGAATCGGTTCGAAGCCTGGCCGGAGCTGGTGACAGAAGGTGTCAACGGGATGGGCTTTGGAAGTTCGATGGAGCTAACGGATCAACTGGTCGAGTTGTTTGATGACAATCAAAAACTAGATCGCCTGCGGGCAGGTGCTCAGAAAGAAAGCTTGCGTCGATGGGATGACGAATGGGATCCCATCGCAGGAGCTTTGCTTGGCTTGACATGAAGAATCTTAGAAACTAATGATGTATAAGCTCTGTAGCGAAGAATTCTATCGGTCTAGAGCTTTTGATCAAATTTCGTCAAGCGATGTTTGTCATAGTTTGCACCCGGAGTAGATAACGGCGTAGTCTAGATGCCAGCCTGGAATTTGCCCCCACAATAAAGGCATGTATCAAAAGCATCGAAAAGATTTCTGGATAAGGGGCAGAGGCTGCTTTCGTGAACTCGTGCCACCGTCTCTTCGTTGATGTATTCTGTCCGACAGCGGGAACAATACTTCGATAAGCCGGGTTCTTGAATGGCTAGGAAACTCAGCCCACAACGCACTAGATGAGATTTGGATTAGTTCAAGGTTGTTTTTGGGGGAGTTTGTTCTATCGTACCGAAGAGATGGCCCTCTGTACATTGAGCTTCACCGGCAGAAACCCATGCAATTCCAGCTTCGCAAATCTCGCACCTCTCAAACATATGTGCCCCGGGGCCGCTAAGCTGCTCGATAGTCTTGGCAGGTAATGTCGACTTTTCATCTCCGCATCTGGCAATCTCCTCGTTCAAATCCGCGCCTGTCAGAACTGCGAGTCGTTCTAATGACACCCGGGCATGAGCTCGGATAGCTTCGCCCTTTTGATCGACAATTGCGCAGCAAGCTGATGCATAGATGAGCCTCTGACTCTCTGGGTCATGTTCGACTGTTCCATCCATGCTTGACAGCAGATACGATATCACTGCCTCACGCTGGTCCGCTGGGGACCACGACTCGGTAGCTGAGGTAATCGGAGCGAGAAGTGTCTCTATGTCAGGGGAGGAATCTAAGTCCTCAGACGCAAATGCGAGGGCAGACTTCTCGTCTGACGCGACTCGATATTCAATCATATCTGTTGGATGCCTCGAGAAGAGCACCGCGATCACACCGCGATGGGATGCCAGTCCCCAAATTCGGGCCACGCTCTGTCCCCCAAGATCGCGATCCAAGTCAAATTGTTCGAGCCGATCTGCGACAACCTTGCTCCATTGCGATGATTTCGGGCTGTGGGTGGTTCCAGATCCATCCAGATTAAGAACGGCTCCTATTCCACTCATTGTGCCCAAATGAAGACTCAAAGCTTCGCTTTTATCGTCATACAAGGCAGTCATCGCTGGAACAGATCAGCACTCAGATGTCTCTTTATGTATCAGGACAGTGTACGTACCCGAGATTGGTTCCATATATCCCCTTGGGCCTTCCACATTTTCTTCGGCAATACTCGATAATGGCCACTCCTGGATCTCGAGCTCGTTTGGTGGCGTTGCACTGCCATCATATGCAGCCCGCGGAATGGATATGGTTACAAAGCCCGCGTTGGTGGAAATATTCAGAGAGATCGCAGCTGAATGACTCTAGATGTGATTCAGGTAAGCGAGTGTGGATTCTGCTTAATCGGATTCAACATACGGTAGAAGCCCAGTGAAGTGGGCCATTCACTGGGCGAGAGGTCCATTGCGAGGCAATCGAGCTCAGTGGATGATCCGAAAGTCTTGCTCTCGCCTCATATCTGGAGGTATCACCATCAACTGGATCAGATGTATGTAAAGTCACGGTGGTTTTGAAAACTCGTAGCTGTGTCCCGAATACCGTGGCTATCACTGCGGTAGCAGAAAAGAAACAATCGTCACTTGGTCGGGGCAACTCAAGCCACGGGCCACAAGAGACCGACAAGGCCCGTGCTTTGGACTGAAGCGCACTCCGAAGAAGCGATGCAGAGCAGGGTTGTGTATATCGTTCTTGGCCGTCCTCCATCGAGTACAGTGCCAACTTCTCAATTGAGTACGGTGTGGAGGAACTTTTCCCGCTCACCAACCTCCGAACACGTAGGAGAATGGCCTCATTGGCATCATTGGTTATCATCAATAGATGCACACCCCACCGGGTCTCGGGCGCGGGTGCTAAACCTGAATTTACCGAGGGTGCAAGTAAAGGTTGACACCATTGAAATGATCGAATATTTGATCTTCGCAGTTCCAATCCACTAAGCTGTGCCGGGGCTGTAGGATCAAGGTGAAAGATGTGGTTCACGATGGCGACTCTGGTCCATTGACCTTGGGTGCCAACTGGCTCCCATAAAGACAGAAGAAGATTAGAAGTCAAGACCGCGAGCACACTCCGGCGAAAAATGGCCAGACCGGGTGGAGACCAAGCAACACCCACCACCGTACCGATCGATTGCTCGGCTGCAATGGAGAAGTCATCTCGATTTTGGGGTTGGATGGCCTGCCACTCGGCAAGCGTGAAGAGATTGGCGCGGATGCGAGTAATGTTCCATTCATCTTGGCTCTTGGGTTCTGATGGATCTGCGTGGGATTTATTTGGTGTCTAGTAGTCTGTCAGACTTTCATTGGGCTCCGCGCATCGATTTCCGCCGCCTCTTGACTTACCAGGACCTGGACATACTCGCCCGCGGCCACGGCGAGGTCGCCGTCTGCTGACCAAGAGAGGGCATCGAAACAGGATGGGAAAAAGGACAAGTCCACAGGGCTCAGCATGTTTCATCCCAAACTTGAATCATCGATCCTATGTACTGCTCACATCTGCATCTTTGGTGGGTGAGAAGAAAGGGAATCTCCAGACACCGCGCTGGTTCCGTGTGTTGAACCCTCCCGATCGGGACTAGCGCAATTCCGACAGTATCCCTGCAGCTGCAGTGAACCTTCATTAAACCAACAATCAACAAACCGTAGACATTAGAGCAGCTTTTTCTATTAGGTAACATCTTCATGTCTACATCCATTTATTATCTGATGTTTCCAATTCTTCTTGTGCTGCAGCTAAAGGATTATCAGATATTTAGGAGCTCTATGTTGAGATTTCCTCCAGGGTGCTACCAACTATAGGAAGGGTGAAAAATCTAAGAGATCATGATTTTGTTTCTTCCTGGAGCCTAGATACTTCAAATTGATCACAAAAGGCTCGCCATAATATATACAAGGGGGATGGAAACACTGTACACAGTGTTAAGATGCGAGGGTATCATGAAGATGTTGACGATTACGTCCAACGTAAGACTTTTAGTCCACGCGATCCAGCTTCTGCACAACCATTGCAGTTGCTGCACCACCACCGTTACAGATGGCAGCCACACCGTACTCGCCAGGCTGGAGCTGGTGCAGGAGGGTGACAAGGATACGAGAGCCGGAGCTACCCAGAGCATGGCCTAGGGAGATAGCACCGCCGAGCAAGTTGACCTTGGCGTCTTGCAGGCCGAGGATCTGATAAGTCGTGAGTTAGCACTGATTTCAAAGTCTAGAAAATCCGGGGATATCAGAGGGAGGAGATCAATATTTTCTCACCTTCTCGTTAGCCTTGATCACGGCGGCAAAGGCCTCGTTGAACTCCCACACGGCCACCTGGTCCTTGGTGATACCCGCACGCTCCAAAGCGATAGGGACGGCCTTGGCTGGAGCCACGGGGAAGTCAACGGGGTCAATAGCAGCATCAGCCGAGGAGACAATACGGGCCAGAGCGCGACCACCGGCGCCGAATTCCCGGGCCAGGGCCTTGTTACCCAAGACCAGGGCGGACGCACCATCGTTCATGGTGGAGGCATTGCCGGCAGTCACCGTGCCGGTTCCGTCGCGCAGGAAGGCAGGCTTCAGAGTAGTCAACTTGTCGATGCGCAGGTTCTCATAGCCCTCATCACGGTCGATGATGGTCTCGCCTTTCTTACCCTTGACGGTCACGGGGGCGATTTCGTCGGCAAACTTGTTCTCCTTCCATGCCTGCTGGGCCCGCTGGTAGGAGCGGATGGCATACTCGTCCTGGTCCTTCCGCGAGATCTCGTATTTCTTGGCCGTCTGCTCGGCGCAGATGCCCATGTGGAACTGATTGTAAACATCCCAAAGGCCGTCCTTGATCAGGCCATCCTCCAGCTTAATCTCACCAAAGGGAGGCAGCTGGCTGGAGCGGGGCATGTAGTAAGGCACTCGCGTCATGTTCTCCATACCACCCGCCACCTGAGCCTCGGCCAGACCCAGTTGGATGTTCTGGGCTGCCAATACAACGGCCTTCAGACCGGACGCGCACACCTTGTTCACAGTCATGGACTCGACACTGGAGGGCAGGCCAGCGAAAATGGACGCCTGGCGGGCGGGAGCCTGGCCAACCGATCCCTGCAGAACATTTCCCATATACACATCGGTGATCTTCTCCACGGGGATCTTGGTCTTGCTCAAAGCGGACTTGATGGCGACGGCACCGAGCTCGGGAGCGGAGACGGAGGCGAAGGAGCCGTTGAACTAGAGATAGCAGACAGAGGTTAGTAGATGAAGCAATGAGGGTCGCGGTCGCAAGCCCTCTCTCCTCGGTGGGATCTTACCTTGGCAGTCGGCGTACGCGAGGCGCTAAGAATATAGACATCCTGAATCTCCTTCAAGGCCGGGCGGGCGGAGCTAAAGTGTCGCTGAGCGCGGAATGCGGGGATGGCGCCTCGCGTAGGGAGGCGGGCAGACAGCCCTGCGGCGTTGATCATAGTGTGAAAAAGTGAAGTTGAAAGAGACGGTCAATGCTGGGGAATGTATGATCAAAGAGGATAAGGAGAGAAGGGGAAAGAGTGGAAGAAGAGAGTGGCATGCAGATGAGCAGCATTCCATGGCCGCCTCTTTACCCGCTGGCGAGCCGCCTGTAACCGCTGAGCCGAGGCTGAGCCGTCTCATCCACATGATATCATTGGGTCTCCGACAGGACAAACCATTCGGAATAGAAACAACCTTAGGGACTAATTAACTTCAAATGCAAGATAAAAGATCCATGCTGTTAGCTAATGAATAATCCATAGAGTGCATCCGATCTATACGAAGCTTTTTTTCTCAAAGGTTGGAATTAGGATTCCTGCAATACACTGCCGCCCGTTCGTCAGTATAGTTCCGAGCCAACCGCCCAATATATATTCCACAGCTCATATGCACCCGCGGCGGGCACGCACGGATGTGGAGGAAGTACACCGCTCGGCGTCAAGAGGCCAGTATATTTACGATGTAAATATTGTGCCCCAATCCAACTATTCTGCTGTATGCCCGATGCCGAGAGAAAAGAACGACCCCAATTATCATCTTGGCAAAACTATCGATTTCACGGGCTGACAATCTAGTCGCGGGTCATCAATCAGATTAAAACGCCAAGTGGGATTGGTTTGCTATTCATCTCCAGCCAAGAATAAAGTTCTGACATTCTTCTTTTGCATCAAACGATCTGCCTCCACCCAAAGTATAGCTATAACCAACACTCCAGGGACCTTGAACGACTACTTCGGACCTTTTCCGCGAATATACTTGATTGGGATAGTTTCTCCGAACGTGGTCCGGACCCAATTAGGATATTTAGCCCGGGTCCCCTCCTCCCGCCTTCTCCAGTCATCGCCAGTCGCCTCGTGCAGCAACATCTCCCAGCTTCTTTCCGACTGCTTTCAGCTCTCTTCTGGTTGCTCGGTCCCGACTCCAGCTTCTGCCAGCAACCTTGATCTACGTCGCCTCATCCACATCCAGAACATCATGTCGACCTCTGCACGCCGCCGTTTGATGCGGGACTTCAAGGTACGTTCGGCGGCAACACAAGGAAATTGGGGGTCTCGTGGTTGGTAATCATTCGAAAACTCTCCTGTTTTGGATGAGATACCTATACATAAAGACCTTCATCCCGAAATCCTAGAATGGAAACCTCTTTCCTCTCTTCCTACCCTACCCTCAAAGGTCCTTTCGGAAGCTTATTTGCCCCTCCACTAACCACGAGCTTGTTTGATTACAGCGCATGCAAACCGATCCGCCTGCGGGTGTTTCTGCATCCCCCGTTGCCGACAATGTCATGACTTGGTATGTGCAGACAAAGCGTCCTTAGCTTAGCTATCGGGGTCATTGGTGCAGTTGGCTGATGAATCTACAGGAATGCCGTCATTATTGGCCCCGCCGACACTCCCTTCGAGGATGGCACATTCCGCCTGGTGATGAACTTCGAAGAGCAGTACCCTAACAAGCCACCGGGTGTCAAGTTCATCAGCCAGATGTTCCACCCCAATGTCTACGGGACTGGCGAGCTCTGTCTCGATATTCTCCAGAACCGCTGGAGCCCCACATACGATGTGGCTGCCATCCTGACAAGTATCCAGAGGTACGAGGCTGCGAGGATACTATCTGATATTACAGAGGATAAGATACTGACATTGGATGTGGTTGCTTTCTAGTCTCCTCAACGACCCTAACACCTCCTCTCCAGCGAACGTGGAAGCATCGAACCTGTACAAGGACAACCGTAAGGAGTACATCAAGCGGGTGCGAGAGACTGTGGAAAAAAGCTGGGAGGATTGAAAAAAGGAAAATCATGATACCACAACTGGGCTCTCAAGTCATCCCTCCCTCTCGGCTCATCCAACGGAACGATGAAACGACTGGGGCGATGGAGATGGCACCAATTCGGGCTGGTTGATCTGCACAGCGTGGGGTTTAGGCGCATGGTTCTTGTTTCTGTCCCTTTGTCCTTTTGTGCTATTGTTCTTTTTACCCTTTGTGCTTCTTCCCCCCCCTAATGTTATGTCCTGAATGACTCTTCTCGTGCATCTTGTGACATCTGTTCCCATTCCCACTCCCGTCCATAGCCTCAATGCATCAGCCTATGATCTATGATCCTGACAAAATCAAGATTCTATTATAATCTTAGCTCATGTGAGAATCCCAAGATCCTCCAAGATAGAAACCAGTCTTGAGAAAACAGGAAGACAAGGATCTTATATCGAATCGACGTAGCGCGCATGAACTAGTGCGTGCGGTTACGCGCAGTCCCGCACGTCCCCAGTCAATTTAGTTTCGGGCGGTCGGCCAAACGTCCTAAACGGGGGGCCGTGTCAACAAATCCACTCCGAACCTCGACCTCCAACCGTTTCACTCCTTATTCGTCTGAAAATCGTCGTGCTCGTCCTCTTGGATTCTCCATTCATTCAAGAAATTTACTTTATACCTCTCCCTGGACGTGCGCACACGCACACGTGCAGGCCCCTGACCCTGGTCCCTCCAGGTAGCGTGAAACACTTCTTGACCCCCGGGATTTATCTGCCCCTCTTTGGGGTCTGTTTTGCCCCCAGAAGAGAGCCTGTGAACTGCAAAGATGGCGTGAGTCTCCTTGATAAGGTCTCTTGAGGGTATGACTGACTCAGGAAATAGGTCCTCGGGGTCCAACACCATCAAGGGTAGGCGCACGCACAATATGGAGGAGAACCCGATAGATGAGGGATAGAGTTCAACTGACCTGACCTCGCAATACAGTGGTTGCCAGATTCCGCCCCCAGAACAAGGTTGAATTGGCCTCCGGTGGCAAGCCAGTCGTCGAATTTGAGAGCGAGGAGTCATGTATCATCAACGTGAGCACAAGGTCCCAGGTTGCGCGGGGAGTCGGGGCTACGGGGTCGGCTAACGGGGCAGGGTCTAGTCAAATGAGGGCGCCAGCTCCTTTACCTTCGATCGTGTATTTCCTATGGACACTGCCCAAAACGACATTTTTGACTTCTCGATTCGCCCAACCGTCGACGATATTCTGAATGGTTACAATGGAACGGTGTTTGCGTACGGCCAGACCGGTGCGGGAAAGTCGTACACTATGATGGGTTCCGATATTGATGACGACGTGGGAAAGGGTGTGATCCCCCGTATTGTCGAGCAAATCTTCGCCAGTATCTTGACGAGTCCGAGCAATATTGAATACACCGTGCGGGTTAGTTACATGGAGATTTACATGGAGCGAATTCGCGATTTGCTTGTGCCGCAGAACGACAACCTGCCCGTCCACGAGGAGAAGTCCCGTGGAGTCTACGTCAAGGGATTGCTGGAGGTCTACGTCTCCAGTGTGCAAGAGGTCTACGAAGTCATGCGCCGGGGTGGAAATGCTCGAGCTGTGGCCGCAACCAACATGAATCAGGAGTCATCCCGTTCGCACTCGATCTTTGTCATCACCGTCAGTCAGAAGAATGTCGAAACGGGATCTGCCAAGAGCGGTCAGCTCTTCTTGGTGGATTTGGCCGGTAGTGAGAAGGTTGGCAAGACGGGAGCGAGTGGTCAAACTTTGGAGGAAGCGAAGAAGATCAACAAGAGTTTGAGTGCGCTCGGCATGGTCATCAACGCCCTCACCGATGGCAAATCGAGTCACGTTCCTTATCGTGATTCTAAGCTCACTCGAATTCTGCAGGAGTCCCTGGGTGGTAACTCTCGCACTACTCTGATTATCAACTGTTCGCCCAGCAGCTACAATGACGCAGAAACCGTCTCCACGCTACGGTTCGGTGTTCGTGCCAAGGCCATTAAGAACAAGGCCAAGGTCAATGCCGAGCTCAGCCCTGCCGAGCTTAAGCAGCTTTTACGCAAGGCCCAGACGCAAGTGACCAGCTACGAGACCTATATATCCGCGTTGGAGGGCGAAGTGAACTTGTGGCGGAATGGAGACAGTGTTTCTAAAGATCACTGGACTCCAGCTCGGGGCAATGAGATCGTGAGTGCTGCAAAGGCTGAAGCCCGTGGGCCTCGACCAGGCACTCCATCTCGTCTGCAGGAGACTGCCCGCTCGGAAACGCCCCGCCCCGACTCTCGTGTGGGCGATCGGTCCAGCACACCCAGCCTGGTGCTGGAGAAAGACGAGCGTGAGGAGTTCCTCCGCCGGGAGAACGAATTGCAGGATCAAATCGCTGAGAAGGAAACCCATATTGCCAATGTCGAGCGTAGTCTTCGTGATGTTCGCGAGGAGCTGAAGTCGTTGAAGGAGAATGCGGGGAGCTCAGTCAAAGACAACGAGCGTCTGAGTACGGAGGTCAATGAACTTCGCATGCAGTTGGAGAAGGTCTCGTATGAGAGCAAGGAGGCGGGTATCACCATGGATGGCTTGCGGGAAGCCAACGCTGAATTGACTGGTGAGCTGGATGAGGTGAAGCAGCAGCTCCTTGATGTCCGTATGAAAGCCAAGGAAACCACTGCGGCGCTGGATGAGAAGGAAAAGAAAAAGGCAGAGAAGATGGCCAAGATGATGGCTGGCTTTGATCTTGGCGACGATTTGTTCTCCACAAACGAGCGCAAGTTGCAGGGTTGGATCTCACATGTCAAATCTCTTCACGAAGTGAGTGCTTCCGGCGGAACAATCGCGCCGGACGATCTGCTCGAGCTGCAAACTGGTCTTTTGGAAACGCAAGGAGTCATTCGCCAAGCCGAGCTTACCATGAATGACCGAGGCGAATCAGGTGTGGGGCAGGACAGCCGTTACTCTGAGCTGGTCAAAGAGTTTGACGACCTGCTCCGGGACTATGAGGAACTGCTTACCCGTAATGTGGGTGAAGGTGAAGTTGATGAGGTTCTCCAACGCGTGGAGAGAGTCTTTGACCGCCGAAAGGAGGTTGAGACCGCTGCTATCGAGCAGCTCCAGACTCAGATTACCCAGAAGAACGAGGAGCTCAGCAAGATCCGACAATCGCAACCCGACAACAAGACCGGAATCCCGACCTACCGCGCTGCAGCCGACGATCTGGAGCACCGGATTGCCGAATTTGACGCCATGAAGAAGTCCCTTATGCGTGATCTCCAGAACCGTTGCGAGCGGGTTGTTGAACTTGAGATCTCCCTGGACGATGCACGCGAGCAATACAACAATGTCCTGCGTTCCTCCAACAGCCGCGCCCAACAGAAGAAGATGGCCTTTTTGGAACGCAACTTGGAGCAGTTGACCTCCGTCCAGCGCCAGTTGGTGGAACAGAACAGCCTGTTCAAGAAGGAGGTTGCTATTGCGGAGCGGAAGCTGCTTGCACGAAACGACCGCATTGCCAGTCTCGAGGGCTTGCTCCAGGAGAGCCAGGAGAAGTTGACCCAGGCCAACCACCGGTATGATGATATCCCTAACCTCCATGCTTGTAGTTCTTCATTGATATTGACTGATATTGTTTAGATTCGAGGCCCAACTCACCGCTGTGAAGGAGCGCCTGGAGGCTGCGAAGCAGGGCTCCACTCGAGGCCTCCCCGCCATGGATGGCAATGGGGGTTTCAGCTTTGGCGGATCGCGCATCGCGAAGCCACTACGTGGCGGGGGCGGGTCGGACGGGCCAGCGAATGCGAACGTCGCGGGCGTGCAATTGCAGGAGGCATCGGGCAAGCGCTCGAGCTGGTTCTTCGACCGTAAATGATCCCGCAACCCCTTCCGAAGGATGCTCGTCTGTGGCGATGCTCCTCTTGAAACTCGACGGCTGTCTGCCGTGGACGCCGGACCTCTTTCAGTTTGTTCTCCTGTCGCTGGCCTTCGGCCCAACCTGATATCTTCGTAACGCCGTCCCACGAGTCTCATCTGTCTCCATTCTTGTTTATTTTTCAGCTGTGCTTTTTGCCTGGACTATGCTCCCGTTGAGATAAGGAGACATCCCGGGCCTATCTCTGTGTTGTGATGTTTATGTCGATTGTTTCTCGTGTTCATTCTTTGCCTCTTTCCATCCAGTACATTAGATTGCGCCCTGCTTGCAGGGGGAAGTGGGGAGGGTTGTGGATCTTTCTGATACCCTTTGTACATCAAACCCAGATAGAATGCAGCGGAACAGCCATCCATCTTAACGATAGTCTCGTTTTTTGGTGGGCTGAGTATAGGTTTTTCGTTTGCGGCACTTTGTGGCTATCCGCGTCAACCTTGAGAATCATAGACCATTCAATAAAGTAAGGCAGTGCCGCTAGTATTTTCTCACAGATACTATTTCCTGACAGGTGATTCATTCTGCGAACTTGATATCCCTGTGCAAAGAGTCGAGAAAATATGAGAGCCGGGAGTATAGTGCTTTTGGCCAGAGAAATTGCACCCGACAACACAGCGGAATTCCTCACAATGAAAAGCCATTTCTAAAAGTACATTTCTTACAGCACATTTACTCAATAGCAAGCTGCTAGTAAGATGGGCTGCCAATGAATTTCCAGCAAAGATTGCGTGAGACTGTTTGCTAGGCTCTTGTGGCTCGTCATCGTTACTTTGGGTCAACTCGTTGGACTAAGCCTCCCCAGCAAACAGCTAAACCTTTGATTATATGGAATAAAGCTCTGAGACATCATCTCTTAATTGTGCGTGACAGTTTCAGACATGAGTTTTCCAGAAACAACCACGCCATACGTATAAGCCTCCATCATACACCTACTGTATTCATCAATCACATGTCTCTCCTCTCACACATCACATTTACAGTGGGCTGACACAGCTTCTGCTGCTCCTCATTCAACGAAAATCCTCGAGACTCCATGCAGCAACCACACATTCTCGTACAATGTCCGTCGCCCTTGGACTGGAGGGAGCTTCGTGGCTTCTTACAACAGCCACAAGCTCGACCGCAGCAACCGCCTCTTCTCACACAATCTTCGTTCAACCAGGCAAAAAGGTGCCATTGCGGTACTTTTCGAGCGGCGAGATATGCTCGCCACAAAGGTCCAGTGGGACAGAGTGCATAATTAGCATAGAGCATCCGTTCAACGCTCCAGTAGTCCTGGTTAAGAGCTTCCATCTCCGCATGCCACTCGTCCAGCTGCTGCTGTGACTTCTTAGTATCCTTCAGCAGATCCTCTGATTCAGCGCATTGTTTGACCAGATACGCCTCGCGTTGGACAATCTCGCACAGGCGAATATTAAGATCAATCAGCTTTTGTACCCATTGGCCGCGGGCCGGCAGCCATGGATCATTCTTAATGGTGTCTTGTAGGAAGCGAAGAGATTGAGCAAGTACCAACCATCTTGACAACTCTTTAGACGATAATGATGCTTTTACATCGAGTTTGTTCTCAAGTCAGACAAGAAGCGGCTCGAGCATGAAATACGTAATCTTCACTCCTCGGCGCATGATGAGAATGATCCGGCGGGGGCTTGAAGTAGAGAGGGTCAGGTTAATCAAGAGACGCGAGATGTTAGGCAAATAGGTTAGCCGATGGTGGGAAATGCTCATTCAATCTCAGATGTTCTCGGATATTATTATATCTTGATTTATCATCAACCCATTTCCCAGAGATACCCGCCTTACTTCGTGGGGAAACCTTTTAAGTAAATAATGAATATTATTCGTCATATACGCAAGTATACTACGATGAAGTCAAGGAAATTTGGATAGCCCCTCACTCACACTGCGACGTAGAGTGACTAGTAAAGCTGCAGTGGAAGGTAATGAGCTCAACGTTGTGATAAGATGGAAAAGCACTTGATCAAATACGGATTATAGCTCAAGGGGGTCAAACTAAACATAAGACCGGAGGGGTCTTAACGAGGATAGAATTTCATGTTTTCGTTGTTCTTTTTACACCATTTTTTACAACGGAGCGTAGCAAAGCTTATGGAGTTAGCCTTACGAACTTTAACACTTAGTCTATAGTATACTATCATCGTTATATCCTCTTGATATTTCTTTTTAGATGTCTTTCTAGAGAGCTTTTCAGAGAGCTCACAAATACTCTATTTCTTGATTAAACTTATTGACTACTTTCTGATTAATTGATTGTGAGAGCCCAGACTCGGGTTGAGTATAGTAGGGTAAGGACAGGGGTAAGCCACCGTGACACATGTAGACACGTATAGCCAGACGGGCTGTATCATGCGACTAGCCCTATATACTAGTATGACCCTTGAGCTCAGAACGCTTTATATTTCGGTAGAGCAGCCACTACCATTTTGACCAGCCTTGGTGCGAATTTCAAGCTTTATCGTTCGCGTCGGGCACCCCGAGCCCCCGCCAACGTCATCGGCCAACGTTGCGGCTCTGCGTGCGGCTGAAAAGATTGGCGCATCGCTCTCGTATTACTCCGTGGGGGCCAAGCAATGCCACATTTTCTTTCAGCCATGTTGGAATCACATCCTGATTGCCTTATTTTCTTGGGTTTTAGGATAAAATACGAAGAACAGAGCCACCCCCTCTAGATGGGCGGGATGGCTAACAAAACTCTACCAGAGAAAAGGGAAAGGGAATCGTTGCTGGTTGCCTCGCTGGCCTTGCTGGATCCTTCCGATGAAGAACTTCTCGTTCAAACTTTGCAAGATTCAGTCGGAACTCAACCTCGGGTGCAAATATGGCATCCTCCCAAAGTTGGTTTGCCGCAGCCATTCTACGAAAATAAAGGACGATGGGATAGCAAGGCCAATATTTATGGCTTGGCGGTTCTGGCGCATCGAGATAGCAGATCTGGCTTTCTTGTCGCAGATAGACTGACCAAACGCCAACTAAAATCCGATCCAAGGCCGGGAGAGAGTTCGATACTCTCGGTGGTGATGGTGGGCATTCGATCGCCCTCGAGGATGTCGAGAACGCGGAGCGGCCATGCTGAAAGCGAAACAAGCGAGCACATTCATGTTATTGCGAAGCGACATACGATCCAAGGAACAGACGCAGCGGCTATTTCTAGTCTACTTGAGACATTTGAGCTTTCTTATACATTTCTCGGGGGCAATAGCATCGATATCACGACTCGATTATGCGACTATGGCCTCGAGCTTCATGATCCCGATTATGCAGTCTTGACCCCTGACACGGCGATGATTACGGGACGCGAGGAGTTCGAACGCGAGACGAAAGCCGCACTATTAGACTCCACTCCCCTACCAGCCGAGCTAATCGCTAGCATCGTCTCACGTCTGGATCATCGGAGCCATCTTGATCTGGTTACCCCGGGAATTCAGCCAGAGAATCTTGTCATCTTCCTCACTTTTCCCACAACGGAAGAAGATAGAGAGTTGATGCAGTCAACTATACAGAGAGAGGTCTACAGAGGCTTGGAGCGAAGGACCAGAAGTCCTCTGAAGAGGAAGCGAGAAGAGAAACCCACGGAGATCACAGTTCAATTGATTCCCTGGGAGCAGAAGTGTCGTGCGACGCGACGCGACTTGGAGTATCACTGGAAAGAAACGCATGATCGTGTCATCTGTCCTTTGAATTACCTGCTCGCACCCATTAAGCTTTCTCGCCTGCCCTTTGATCTTGGAGATGCCCAGTTTGGGTCAATATACCATGGCAACGATGGGTTTGTCCTGGTGGCCCGCACCACTCTCGACCAGATGGTACAGACCAAGTTAAACCACTCGAATGGTCGCCTTGGCAAGATTGCACAACTGCAGGAGGATTTTAAAAAGGGGACTTTGCTGGAGTCGAGTCAAGTGGAGTTTTTGGTTGGACCTGATGAACCTTTTTATTACAATCCTCCCTTGTGGGAGCCGGTGAATTGGGAAGGGTTAATATCAATTGCCGTCTTCTACTTGACCAACAAGCTCTCGAAAGATCAAATTCTTGCGTTGAAGAGAGAGTTGCTCAAGGATAATCCACAACTCGACGGTGAAAAGGCGTGTTGCTTCGTACCCTGGGAAGACGGCAATCAAAACGCACCCGACGGAAGTGTCGACGATATTTGGAGAATCTTCTGGGAAATGCGACGGTGCACCTCTTGTCAGATGCCAATCTTCTTCATCGATGAGCAATCTGGCGTCGATCAGACTATCCTCATGGTCGACACGGACCATTATATTTGGCAACAGGATGATGAACGGGCGACTGATCTGCTGAGAGACGTGGAAGATCCTTCTACCAAAGGGCTTCTTTATGGCCGTATCAAAGGGCGCGATGCCCATGAGGGTCATGTTAATTTGAGCATGGGGAATTTGAACTTTGACGAGTTTTTGGAATCTTGTGGATTGGATCAGGAACATCGGTATCCGAGACCTGGCTGGCCGGGTCATGGCATATTGGAAAATGATGAATGATGGGATAATAAGACGAGGTTATGATTTGGAAAGTGAAAGAGGAATCCAGATATGGTCTGAGATGGGGATCCTTGTTCGTCGATCTGTTGATCGAATACTGGTGATGACTGTTGTGAACATTTCCGCAACCAAGCTGGCTTGGCTGTTTCTTTCTTTCGACATTGAGTGCGAAAGCGCGTTGTTTGTTCATGAGTTTAATATACGGAGTGCCCAAGCTATGATCTGAATGTACAGGACGCGCCCCGTAACGTGTTCCCAGGGCAAGAAAATCACGAACATCAATAACAGTCCCATCTGTAGTAGAGTAGCGGGAATCGCCGTTCCAGGTATACAAAGGAAGATCTTCCGCAACACGGCCTTACCTCTAACCGTCATCGACGAGACTAATTCGCACACCTTCCATCCCCATGGTCGTGGCGATGCGATCCATCCAGTCGGTAGTTGGAGGTTGGCGTGTTTCAGGAGTCACTCGGGACTCGATCATCAAATGAGGACGTCCCGGTGACCCTGGGGGTGTTAGAGGAGAAGTAGACCCGTCGTGGCTCTCGGCAGACTGAGGACACCTCGCAGCTCGCATTCGATCTGCGATGATCCGGTTCTCGGCTTCTGCGTCTGGCCGCTGTGATGGATCAAGGAGAATGATGATGTAGTTGAGAAGGAGGATACTCGACCGAATACCTTGCATCGTCAGGGCTGAGAATCCGTCGAAGAAATGGTGTGGGATGGGCCCGATGAAACCGGTCTTCGGTTCACGGCCCGCCCGAAGAGTTGAGGCGGTCATGCTGAACTCAGTATGAATGCCTCGCAGAGGCGCGCGTGGCGAGGATCTCCCGCAGAAGTGTAGGGCGCTCACGTTTCTGCACGTTTAGGGGCAGACCTTGAATTTCACGCATTCGCCTCACAAATCCCGGAAGCTTGACGACTTCGCGGAATGCGCGCTCGGTGATATCCGTATAGACAGATGAATCTGGTTGCTTTGCATTTTCTGCGGCAATATGCTCGTTGAGAGCCTGCCACTCGGGTTCCTCCAAGAAACAATCCTCGCCAGTGACTAGCGCGGAAGTGACGAGAGTATTGCGATATGCAATGTACAATGCGCAGCCAAACCCGTTGTAGTGTGTCCTGGGCCCTCGAAGCCGCATCAATGCTCGGATACCTGCAGCATGATGGATCCATCCATCCGATGTGGTGGAACAGTGCATCTCATAGACCGCGAGACTTATGGCGGTAGCTAATGCTTCGTCCGATTTTGCCTTGGTCTCATCGTTTAACAGTTTCGAAAGGCCGCGCATCGCACGGATATAAAATTCTCGACCTGCGTCGGAGTAGGAAGGGTCATTATGTCGACTGCCAGCATACATGGTGGTTAAGCTGCGGACGGCCAGGTCGAATGGCGTGTCGCCGCTCTCTCTCGAGGCGACATATTCCACCCAATTGACAGGTACTCGGGTCTCAGTAGCTTTGAAGTAGCACGGATACGCGTCGAGCACAAAGTTGATGTATAATTGAATCTGCCCCGCAGCAGCAGCCTTGGCGACAAGCGAGGGAGTTACATTTTCGTTGCTGGGTGAGTAGGTCAAGTAGCGCGCGTCACTTCGGCCTTCGCGGGAGATCCATAATAGCTCCTGGCTCGATGATCGTGCTTGGTGAGACGCCGGCGATGCTGGGGAGGCTGAAGTTGACTCCGATCGGTAAGGTAGGTCGGAGCATGCTTCTCGGGTCTCGGGCGGGTTATCCTCAAATCGACAGGGAAGACGAGCGTTATGGCACCGTAGACAAGGGGATTTCCCGTCACACTACAAAAGTCAGACAAGCTTCATGCGCTGAAATGGCGAGTCGAAAGAGGCAGAATTGTGGCATGAGAATAAGACTTGAGTGCCACCGCCCAGGAGGCTTCCCCCACACATAGTGTGGCGATGGCCAGGGTCCAGGACAGGGCCCACCTGTCAAAGAGAAAGTGCCCGCGGCCTTAGTGGGTTTAGGGGTCCAACTGGATGGATCGGGAATCTGTAGCGTCCTCATGGCGGCTTGCAGATTGGGGGGCTATGGACATGCCTTTTTGAGAAGCGGCTCAAGAGAGGGGGAAGAAAACGAGAGGACAAGAGTGCGCGAACCCACCTGAACGGATGATCGGGCGCATCGCAGACAGCGACGGGGCGCTGGGACCATGCTGGTCAAGGCATGAAGGGGACCCCAGAATCGGAAGAGTCGGCATTGAGAGGAAAGGGGCGAAGGGGCGAAGGGACGAAGATAGACTTCCACGCTCGGAGGACTTATTCTTAGAAGCGATGAAGATCCATCGACTCACTGAGAAACAGCAGTGATTGGTGGGTCTCGCGCTGGAATGCCTACACCGGCTGAGAAGGTCATCCGGGAGATGAACGTAGAGCCATCAAACCATTCAAGCCCACAATGGACCGTAAGAAGCGCAATATAAAGCAGGTAACAAGATCCAAGATGATTATCGAGTCGTCAAATGGGAAACAACTCGTGGCATGCGGCCGAAAAGAGGCTGCAGAACTGGTCACGAGACCGAGTCATGTGCGTGCTGCATCGTTGGCTTTGGGCACCCAGCTCACGCGTACCCAAAAAAGTTCACACGGACCCAAAAAATTCTGACTAATTTTGGGTACCCATGAGGTACCCGACCTCGCACGTACCCAAACCTCTAGATTATATAATATTTTTTAATGCAGAAAATTTTTTAAACACCTTATTTTACCCCTTTTCAAGATTGTTACCAAGTATCGAATTCCACAAGATGTCGGCGTCTTTACTCTCGCCATCGCTATTCGAGGATTCCGATTCTGACATATTTATCTCTACGCAATCTACTACTAGTACTGCATTAGAGATTAATCAAATTCTTTATAATCTTCCATCTGTGAGTGATCGTTTTATAAATAAGAGCATACATAAATCTTATATTTTATATCAGCGACAACGATCGGCCTCTGAAACTTCAGTGTACCAAGATTGCACTAATACATATGAGTTATCTGATGTCGATTCTTGTGAGGATAATGAGGAAAATACTAGCTCTCTATGTTCTACACCTTTTACGGAACGAAACCAAACAGGTATAGAAACAGACGGGACCCAAGTAAGCATTAGCTCTAGAGATGCTGTGATCGCCTACGAAGTTCAGGAGCACCTTATCCTCCCAGAGTATCCTGATACAGACAAGAATGGTATTTTACATATCATTCATGCCTCCAAAAATCCACTTGAAAATGTGGAAGACACCGTTACTGCTGTCAACCAAGCTACTTCACAGCTTATGTCGTCGGTATGTTCGATATAATCCTAGCATATGTCTAGCATATGCTTAGCATATATGATAACTAATTATCCTAGGTTCAATTCTCGATTAAACAACTCAAATCGGCCAAGAAAATCTTCACGAAACTCCTCCAGAAAGACTCTAAAGACAAAGAATCAAGATCATGGCATCGATCCTTTCAATGTACAGGGATTCAACATTGCCACCAAGCTCATCCTGATCTTATTACCCCGTCTGAAAGCTATAACCGTGTTAAACCAACACTTTTCCGCGAACTTCAGGCTCTTGCTGCAAAGCCTGTGTATCACACTATTGCGCAGGAAATCCAGGAGCGAACTAGAGAGTAAGATATATCCCTCCCTAGCTTTAACCTCTATTAAGCTTACGCTTAAGATAGATTTTACTTCGGATTTCTCAAGACGTGGGATATAGAAGGGCCATGTATTTATGCACCTAGTGAGCGGACATGCAGAGGTCAAAAGCCAACAGTGTGGCTTCGAGATGGAGTAAGTGCATATTATTATCATGTACTAAATATTTGTTAACTATAAGTAGTTCACCTTTATTGGGTGTCCGAACGCGCAGGTCGGATCCCAGCGTTGGCACTACTGTCAGCACGTTCCACGAAGTGCTGCAAGGATAGACACCGCGTTTCTAAAGCTTCTTTGCGATAAGGATGGCTTACGAGATACTGGATATGGAACCAAGAACTGTTACTTCGTGGAGCATCGTTCAGCTAGACGTCGCCACTGTGGTATGTTTTACACTAGATATGCTCTGGATATGCTGAACATATGCTAACCCTGTCCTAGACTCAATTCATGCAGATGGTGTTGGTCAGCTGATATATAGTGTTTGCTCTGTGAAGATTGACCTTTATATCCCCTGCGTATGGGATCGTTTTCCTTTTTTCCTTCTCGTTTGTCGAGGATCTCATTCACATGCGCCGCCACCGCCTACAAAGCTACCACATGATATTGGTCAAGAAATCATTGACGCAATCAACACGCAGGATATCCTAGGATTAACTGCACGTAAATTGATGGTCTCACCTACTTTTGCGAAGATTATACGTCAACATGGTGATTCTGCGCTTCGATATATCCACAAGAGCTTACACATTGAGGATAGAGTAACTGCTTTGATTCATAAGCAGAGACTACTATATTATCCAGAAGGGACGAATCTTGCTGGGGTATGGCGTGAATACCAGTTTGATCTAACTAAACACGTGGATGATCAATGGATTCGTGAAGTCTATTTCTTTGACGAGAATCGGGAGCATTATCTGATCATATGCTGCACATACGAACAAGCTAAGCTTTTTCAGAGTGTACGACATCTGGAAATGGATCTTGCTTTCAAGATGGTTCAGGGAGCAACCAAGCTTTTCACAATTTCAGGGTGGAATGAACAGGTAAAGAGTAAGATTTTCTGGTGTTCTATATATGCTAAACATATGCTAACCATATGCTGACTCTCAGGGTTAAATACCTATGTCTATGCTTTCATGAATCTCGAAACTCGAGTAGCTTATCGGGTTCTTTTTGAGAAAATCTTCAAGATTCTTGGGGATGTTGGACGAAAACCAATTAGATGGGCGTATCAGCTTGGAAGGGATGATTCTTGTGAGGGAATTCGGACGGTTACTGTTGACATGTGTAAGAAGCAAGCACCTGGTACGCTTCCCATATGCTTAACATATGCCTGAATTATACTCACTTTCTATTTTCATTTAGGGCTTGGAGATTATCTTGCTGGCCTAGATCCTCGTTGGACATGGTCAGAACATCTGCAAAATATATTGATCCTATGCCAAACGCACGTTAAGCGAGCCTTTCGGAAAAGGTTTCCTGGTCACGAAGCTACTACGTCTATTGATATGATCTGGAATGCAAATTCAAAGGCAGAGGTTATTCGAATTATGGATGAAGTTGCAGAAAAGTGGCCAGAGACCGAAAAATGGTTTCAGAATAAGAAGGTTGATTGGATTCTTGCTGGAATAACCCCAGAGGCATCTAAGATTCCTATTGAATGGTGGACGAATGCATCACATCATACTGGAATTAGTGAAAGTAGTCACTTTCACGATAACGAGGCAGTAGGCCGAAAGCAAGCTTTGTTAACAGCAATTCTCCGGTATATTACCCGATTTATCATGTATAGAGCATATTACTAATCTCTTTATTACAGATGCAAAAAACATGTACAAGAGATGATCCAAAAGAATAAACTTGCAGAAGAGCTAGGTCTCTTCCCAACTTGGCGATCTCAAAACCCTGTGTATCGTATTGCCAAACAAGTTCGCAAGAAGGGTTTGTTCCATATGTTCAACATATGTTACACATATACTAACCTTATATCAGACAAGCGCTACAAAAAATCTGCCAACCGTCGTATCAATAAACCATACCAGCCCTGGAACGTGATCAATCCTTACGATGACCTTAACCCGACGATGCAACCACCTGGGCTTCCAGATATTTCGGACATAGTTTCGATATCTACTTCAGAGATAACTGACATAAGCTCAGTATATGGTCAATCTATATCTGCACCGCTATCTACCCCTCAGGGTAGTTCAGTTCTTGACGGATCGTCTAGAATAGCGCCGCATGATAGTATTTCTCAGCAGTTAGGCTATACTCAGGGATTCGATGATGAAGAGGCACGGCTACAGCAAGAAGTTGCGGAACTTGAGAGAAAGCAAAGGATCTTAGCCCTTCGAAGGAAGAAGGAGGAATTATTACGGAGTATAGAGTCAGGCGAATCTTTGGTATAAGTTAAGAATATCTTGAATTTACTTTGAGCATAAGTTTAACATATGTTCCGTATAGACAAATAACAGAAAATTCATACAAAGAGACCTACGCCTAACTAAAGGGACTCAAAAGCATCAGAGGATGAGTCCTCTACCTCTACCTCTACCTCTACCTCCTCCTCCTCCTCCTCCTCCTCCTCCTCCTCCTCCTCCTCCTCCTCCTCCTCCTCCTCCTCTACCTCCTCCTCCTCTACCTCCTCCTCCTCTACCTCCTCCTCCTCTACCTCCTCCTCCTCTACCTCCTCCTCCTCCTCCGAGTCTTGCATATGGGGAGCAGGTGGGCCACCTCCTCCATCACTATTGTCTCCATTACCGGCAGTGGGGCCAAAACCCGCGAAGGGAATAGGATTCCCAGGGACGCCAGGTCCACGCTACATACTATTAGCATATGCTTAACATATCATTTCTTAAAAAAAGGGGACTTACCCGGCGGCTGCGATGACCAGAACTCGGGGTTGCTGGGGCCTGCCAGCGGTGGAAACGAGTGCCGTATTGTGCGGCAAACTGTGCATCGGTAGCTCTATACGGATTGTTAGCATACGCTAAACATATGAGAGTCATATGTAACAAGTATATCAATCTTGTGCAAAACGTAGAGTACCCAGAGTACTTACGCAATTCGCTCCAGAGCGGAGGCCCAGTGTCCAATCCATCCATTGTCAGGGCCGCGTCCAGGCTCATGGAGGTAGCTAGCATCCCGCCAGCCACCCTGCAGGACCCAACGCTTGATGGCGTTTTGGCCCGCAATAATCTCCAGCTGGGTCTTTGCTCGCCGGCTGGGGTTGACGACTATATCGTAGTCATATTGTTAGCATATGTTCAACATATCCAACGAATAGACACTTGCCAGCTCCGGAATGTTCATTGCGGATGTGTCGACGCAGAGCAGGTCCCTCTGAGAAGACTAGACCGCACATTTGGGACGGAGGGTTGACGACAATATCACAGCTGTTCCTCTCAGTGTCAGCATACGATAACCATGCCCTCAGTATATTCAGACACCACGTACACTCCTATGTTCTCTTTGTTGAGAACCTCGGCCGGATTTGGAGGCGGGGTCGCCGC